TACGTATGAAAAACATATTCCTCTCTCAACTCACCAACCCTCCTTCTTATTCTACTCACGACTTTCCTCTACTCATCCGACGCTTCCAATCTCATCATCTCACGTTATACGGCCGCTACCTCACCAGCTAACCCCCACGAATCCCGTTCAAATTCTTCTTTTTTCCCTATTTTAAAATTCCAATCCACTATTCCAATACCCACCATAAACATACTTCTCTCCTGACTTACCAACGATCTTTTTCTTCCATTTTCGCTCCGCCTTATTCCACTTCATACGGCCGCTACCTCATGGAATAACCCCCACGAATTTCCTTCAATTTCGCCTTTTTTTCTCTTCTTAAAACTCAAACCTACTATTTCAATACGCATCAATAACATACTTCCTTCTCAACTCACCAACTTCTTTCTTTTCCAATTTCGCTTGACCTTATTCCACTCCATTTCTCATCTCCGATCTTCCATCCTGCTTCGCACTTCATACGGCCGCTACCTCATAGGATAACCCCCACGAATTTCCCCCAACTCACCATACATTTCGCATTTCAATATTCAAATAGTTTCTCTTCACCTACTTCTATAGCATACCTTCCTATCCATCATCCAACTCTCCCCCTTCCATAATTTTCTTCCGCATTTTACACATCGGATACCTCCGTTGATAACCCTCAATTTCCGCTATTTCTCTAATCTTAATACTAAATTCTACTGTTTCAATTACCCATCGCAAACATACTTCTCTCCGGGCTCTCCAACTATATTCCTTTTTTATTTTCGCCTGACATTATTAACCTCCATTTTTCAGACTAACCTCCATCCTCCTTCGCACTTTATACGGCCGCTACCTCAGCTTATAACCCTCACGAATTTTCACCAAATACCGCTATTTTTCCAGTATTAAAATTCAAATCCACTACTTAGATACGCATGATAAACATACTTCTCTTTCGACTGGCCGACGGCCTTCCTTTTCTATTTTCGCTCCGCCTTATTCCACTTCATATCTCGCTCCCATCCTCCCCGCACTTCATACGGCCGCTACCTCAGCTGATAACCCCACGAATTTCCCTCAATTCACCATAAATTTCGCATTTCAATATTCAAATCAATTCTTCCAATTCACTTCTATAACATAGTTTTCTATTCATCCTCTACCTACGCTATTTTCCATGATTATTCCTCCTCTTCTAACTCATTCGATACCTTCATTGATCTCCCTCAATTTCACCCAATTTTACAATATTAATATTTTAAAACACTATTCCATCTAGTATTCATTACATACTTCTCTCTTGACTTACCAACGTTCCTTCTTTCATATTTTCGATTGACCTTATTCCACTCATTTCTCATCCGACGCTTCCAATCCCATCATCTCACGTTATACGGCCGCTACCTCACCAGCTAACCCCCACGAATCTCGCTCAAATTCTTCTTTTTTTCCAATCTTTAAATTCAAATTTACTATTTCAATACCCATTATGAACATACTTCTCTCTCGACCGACCAATCCCTCTCTTTCTTAATTTATTTTTCCCCTTTTCCACTCCATTTCTCATCTCCCATCCTCTCTTTCCCGCACTTCATACGGCCGCTACCTCATGGAATAACCCCCACGAATCTCGCTGAACTTCTTCATTTCTTCCAATTTTAAATTTGAGATCTACTATTCCAATATCCATCAAGAACATACTTTCTTCTCAACTCACCAACCTCTTTCTTTTCCAATTTCGCTTGACGTTATTCCTCTCCATTTCTCATCTTCCTTCCTGCTTCGCATTTTATACGGCCGCTACCCCATCGAATAATCGCATTAATTTACCCATCGACTTCCCCGAAATTACCACTACTCTCCCAATATTAATATTCAAATAGACTCTTTTCACCTATCTCTATAACATTCCTTCCTATCCGCCTTCCAACTCCCTCCCCTTCCATACTTTCCCTTCTCTTTTAACACATTTCATACCATCATTGATTTCCTCCAAATACCACTATTTTTCGTATTTTAAAATTCCAATCCACTATTCCAATACCCATTAAGAACATATTCCTCTTCCTGCTCACCACCATCTTTCTTTTCTGTTTTCGCTTGACCCTATTCCACTTCATTTTTCGCTCCCATCCTCCCCGCACTTTATACGGCCGCTACCTCATGGAATAACCCCCACGAATCTCGCTGAATTCCTTCTTTTTTTCTCTTTTTAAAACTCAAATCCACTACTTAGATACGCATGATAAACATACTTCTCTTTCGACTGGCCGGCGGCCTTCCTTTTCTATTTTCGCTTGACCTTCTTCCACTCCACTTCTCATCTCCCATCCTCTGTTTCCCGCACTTCATACGGCCGCTACCTATCCGAATAACCCTTACGTCTCCTCCAATTTACCGTACGTTCGGCATTTCAACATTCAAATTGGCTCTTCTAATCTATTTATATAGCATACCCTCCTATCCACCATTCAACTCTTCCCCTTCCATGATTATTCTTCCGCATTTAACACTTCGGATTCCTCCATTGATCTCCTCGAAACACCACTAGTTTTCCAATATTAATATTTAAACCCGCTATTCCATCGAATATTCATCACATACCTGCTTCTCGGCTCACCAAAGACCTTCCTTTTCCATTTTCGCTCCACATATTCAATCCACTTCTCATCTTCCCCCTTCCCGCACTTCATACGGCTACTACCCCATCCGATATTCCCCACGAATCCCTCCAAATACCACTAGTTCTCCAATATTAACATTCAAATAGATTCTCTTCACCTATTTCTATAACATATCTTCCTACCCGCTCTTCACCTACCCCCTTCCATAATTATTCTTCCGCATTTAGCTGATCCGACTCCCTCGTTGATTTCCTCCAGAGCTCACTGCTTTTGTACTTTTAATATTCAGACCAACTCTAATGATCCACCTTCGTAACATATTCCTCTCTCCGCCTCTCACCTATCGTATTTTTCCATTTTCCTTCCCTCTCCCTGCTCTCATCTCTCATCTTCCTCGCTTCATCGCGTTTGATACGACACAATCCATCCATATTCCTACCGCTCCCACCACCCGCCTTCTTGGGACACCCGCTTTCCTCGGATACCGCACTTCCAACTCACGCTTTCCTGGGATACCCATTCTTCTCGACCATCACTACTTCTACTCGTTCTACCGCTTCTACGATACCAGACTTATTACTACTCCTACTTCTTCCATCGCTTCTCGCATTACCGCTCCTGGAATACCTGCTTCTCTGGCACCTACTTCCCATTTCGGCTTTCCTAGGATACCCGCCTTCCTGACACCTCACCATCCTGGCACCTCACCTTCGTGGGATACCCACCTTCTCGAAATACTTTCCATGACATCGCGATTCCCTGACACTTCACTTCCTAATACCTCACCTTCCTCGGATCTCATTTTGGATCGCACCTGGGATCTTACCTCTTGGAAATCTCCATTCCTCACCCCGTTTTCATGGCAGACCAGCTTTGCTCGATACCTGCTTTTCTCGCATACCTACTTTCTTAGGAAACCTACTATCCAGACATCCACTATCTGAAAGAATTCATTATCCAGGCATCCACTATCCAGACATCCATTATTTAATCAATTCTTCCAACACTATCCTATCCGCCTTCCACCTACCTACCTCCCTCCATGACTTCTCCCCTCATTGATTAATTATTGATATATTTTCCTATTCCCTTTCGATGAGAAACAGCTATTTATTGACTGCTTCCCTGCTTCTACTGCTAATATTACCAAGCAATCACCATACGCACTCTTTTAATCCGCTCTCTTGGTACTTTCCACTGCTAGTTTCACCACACGCCTCCCATTTACTACGCACCTCCCACTACCCAACGGAATTAATCTTCTCACCTTTGACCTCCTGGCATACTACTTGGCATTCCACGTTCTTATACTACCATATCTTGTTTATCTTCTCTGCATTCTCTCCAAATTACAGATTCCAATACTACTACATCGACACCGTTCCTACCGCATCCTCACTCGCCTTCTCGCTCCCCCAACATACTGTTCCTGAATAACGGTACTCATTTCTCTTGAGGCTATCCATCATGATCAGCTCCTTCCGTATATTGCTAACATCTTTCTACAACCTATTCTGTATAAACACTTGAGGAATCTACGCCTTCGCCATCATCTGCTTGTGAATACTTCTCTCGCTGCTTCCACGGCTCATGAAAAACTAGCTCCCCCTCTCGCCTTCAGACTTTTCATCACATGATCAGCTCGTCTCCCTCGATTTACATCACATGACCATTTCCTCTCGACTTTCCATCTTCATCACATGACCAGGTCCTCCTGCATCCCCACATCCCTCCCTACACCACGCTGTAAATCCTGACATCCCTCCTTACACCATTGAACATCCGTACCTACATCCTTACATTTTGGAGAAATTCGACGGTCTGAGACGACTTGAAGCTTTATCATTCTGCCTGGTCCTTTAGGCCGAAAATGGGCTTTTTTCTCGAAACAATAATTGAGATTACTCAGTGGAGATAGAAGAATGAAACATAATATGTGAGTTGTAGTATAGTATAAACGCATAGTTACACGAACCATACCTTTAATTGACTAATTAGGTCCTCTACACACTGATACACTACGCCACTAGTATCCTGCTTCCAAAACTGCTCTTGAGATGGTGAACAAGATATATACTATTCTAGGCACTCATTAAGTTGAGCAGAATCACAATTTGGGTCACTCACGTAAACATGATATTATATACAACGCATCTGACTCCAATAGTTTACATCAAGGAACTTGACCTGTGGCGCTATTATGAATATATCGCAACTAGCACAACAACACGAACTCTCTCTACCGTGGACTTCTCGGCTACCTCCTAGAGGGAATTAACAAGACCAAGCTTCTAGCTTCCAATCGAGAAGAACTACTGCTTGAAATACAATACTTCACAAGAAAACTCGGTGAGCTCGGAGAACGCTCGCTGAGCTCAGTGAACACCCGGTAATCAGTTCAACACTAGACGGTTCAAGACCTATGTATCACGTACTTTACAGCTTATAACACACATCTGCTCATCGTCCTCGCTTCAGCCCGCACTGCCAATCCTCGCCCACCCTACCCGGCGCAGCTACCGCGTCAAAACCACCCATCCACCAGTCTGCAGCTCTCACGTGGAACACTCACGCTCACAGTCCAACCACAGTCCAAACCATAGTCCTACCGCACTAGCCAGTTACGCACCTATCCCCGCACCTGTCCGAATAACACTGCACTGTACATGTACAACGGAATATGTTCACCAGGCAACTCCATATATACATTCTGCAACCGCAACCAGTGTGGCAGAACATTCACTTCAGGGACCTCCCGCACCTCCCAATGAAATTTCGTCGAAACGTCTCATTGTTAAACAACCCGATCTGCATCATCAGGTATAATTCCCATCTCGGCGTCTTGCTACCGTCATATCCCAACGATTCTCTCTGCTCCATCTCACATGACATTCTGTACGCATACTTCTTGATTTCCTGCGCACGATATCCAAACTGCGCAGATATATACTCAGGCCCAACATACGCTAGAGGTCCCGTCCGCCGCAGCTCCCAAGCGCTATTCTCATTCTCGATAACCGCCTCGAAATTGTTCCCACTCCACAGCTCGGCGCTTTTCTTCTCCTCATGTTTTCCAAAATACTCCAATATACTCATCTGCCTCTCGCAGAGATTGTCCCACAACTCAAAGTATTTTCTCTTTATTTCTAATCCAGAGTACAAACGGTACTCCCGCAACGCCGCGTCCCTACTCATCTTCAGTACCTTTCCCGACGATAGCAGCTCCAGGTAACTTGCATACTTCATACGGAATCGCACCATCAGCTCCCCCTTTCGCTCGTCAAAATCCTTAAGGAACGCAACCAGGTCCAGTTGAGTGTGAACTATCTTGTCTATAACCATACGGTAATCGCTGTCCGAATATATCATTCTCTTGAACGCTAGCGCCTCAACTGCCAGACCACGAAGAGACAACTTGGGCCCGTTGTTCAGACACAAACACACATCGGGATACCGCTCGCATCCATAACAGGTATCGCGGGTCTGGAACACACCCGGTGGAAGAAACTTGATATCCACCCCGTACAGTATAAGATGTTTGATTTGTTCGGTACCCATCTGCAAGTACTGAAACACTGTGGTATACCCATTAACTCCGTAGAATCGCCTTCGCAGAAACGCCTTTTCTCGCTGGATGTTAATATCTCTTCTTGTGGGTTGTGTTTCATCAGCAAGGTCATCGGAGGGTCGTTTAGACACTCCCAGCTTGACCCTTCGAAATAGATCGCATGTATCCGCCTCCAGGCCGTCCATTCTATCACAGCAACCAATATGTTCGGGTGAGGCTTCGACAACCCATAGAACTGGCGGATCTGTGACGTTATACAGTCCAATGTCATCGAACCATCCCCTTCCCTTTGTCTTGGTGACGGCAGCTCGTCGCTATTCAAAACCAGTGAACAGAACCCGTTGGAACGCAACCGCCCAGCGCACTGGATGTACTCTCCAATCTGTGGAAGATAGTCGACAATGAGAACCATTCGCAACTCCTTAACGTCGATTCCCTCGGACACAAGCTTTGTTCCAATGAGTACACGCATACCCCCGTCGTTGATAAACCTTTGTGTTCGCCGTGTCTTTTCCTCCGATGACAAGTCTCCGTGGATCCAAAGAATGTTGAAATATCTGTTCCACTCAATTGCAAGCTCCTCCACCAGGGCCCTGCGGCCCACTGCTACAATAGCCTTGGCATGCGGCTCAAGGGCAAATAGACTCTTTAGTAGTTCCAAGGCTTCCTTGGGCGAGTTCTTGGAAGTTACTATATCCTTATAGATATGGCCGAGCGGCGGTTTGTCCACCAAGTCGATAACCTTCGTCTTGAAATCCATCATCAACGCCGTACTTTCGCCACACTCCGCAACCAAGTGCTCTCCATCCTCAAGCACCCCCGGGAATCCCAACCGGCACATCGCAGCCCTACTATTATCCCATTCTGTCGCAGTGGCGCTGAGAAAGACCACCTTTTCAAACTTGTTAAAGTTTACATTTTTCATGGGCTCAAACGTCTCTCGTCTATACTCCTCGGTCTCAATGTTGTGATACTCGTCAATCACAAGATACCCCAGGCGTGGAGTGGACGCTTGCTGGCTCGATCCATAGATGGACTCCCACCCCTCGAATCTGTAAAGCAAACTCATTGCTCGCAACGTCGTTGTATGTTCCTATGAATACGTCAGAGATACCGTCATGACCCCGCTCAAGAAAGAACTTGATACTGTTGGCTAGCAGTCCCCCGTTTCTCATCCGCGTTAGTGTTCCCGCTTCCAACACAGTGTATGGAACACACACAAAGGAAACGTACTTTACATCAGGCTTCGCTTGCAGCGCCTTCATGGGCACTTGATATAGTACCGTCTTACCGTACCCAGGTGGGGCAATTATGGCGAGCGAGGGCACGTTTGACAAGTACATCTCTACGCACACGGAAAACTGTCCTTTACGAAACCGGAAATCGTCTCCATACACTTCTTTTCCGGCTGTGTTCAGGTCGTCAGGACATCTAATGGGAACCGAACGAGGCACCCCATCTAGCATTTTGTTTGGTTTTTCTACTTTCGTTATCCGCTCAAACCCTATCCATTCCAGCCACTCGGTGGACGCGCGGCTTTGGAGGTAGGTTGCGGTTGTTCCGCTCACAGACCTCAACGAAAAACTATCCACTCCATAGTTCTGAAGACTTGTCTTTGCTGCATGGCCAAACATAATCTCTTGTACCATCGATTCGTACAGGTCCGTGGTCACATTCTTGTTCACGTACGTTCTTGATATTGCAACCATACCCTGGCGTAATTGCTGGAAGCTTAGCTTGCAACTGAATGTCGTTGGGTACTTGCGACGTAGATACTTGTCAAACGCTCTGAACGCAACCATTTGTCCCTTACTAGTGTTGAGAAAAACATATCGACACAGAGCTCTGAAAGTGACTTCCTGAGCTGAAGGGTTCTGATCCATTCCCATTCCCTCCACAAACTTCCAGCGCGCCGGAGTAAAATTGTCGCACTGCGGACCCAGTAAATGTATCTGCATTTGTCGCAGTACGGCAGAAAGTAAAGCACATACTGGGGGGTGGCCCTGGTTAATCTCTTGAAGAGCAGCAAGTGCTTTCCCGCTTAGTGGCAGCAGTCGTTTCTTTGCATACTCAGGAATCAATCAGCGGTGACCGGCGATTCTTTACCTTGTTCTCGGAAACAGTTAGACTTCGATCTTCCAAAACCATCCCTCCAACATCCTGAGGGCTCGGCATGCAACCCCAGCAAAACTACCTAAATAGGCGGTCATCACATTTCCTATTTGGGTATAACAGGTCACATGCTCTCTTGCAAACCTAAACATGTTAGGTTTGCGAAAACCCACATTCTTATTGTCTAGCTTTGCAAAACATTGTAAAGACTGACATGTTTAGCTTCGCAAAATGCCATTTTTCGAGATTTAGGTTGACAAGCACTTTCTACGATGCAGCGCCTTCTAGGTGTTCCCACTTAGGTTTGAATCCGCCGGGCAAATTCCACTTGGTGCATGGCCAAACATAATCTCTTGTACCATCGATTCGTACAGGTCCGTGGTCACATTCTTGTTCACGTACGTTCTTGATATTGCAACCATACCCTGGCGTAATTGCTGGAAGCTTAGCTTGCAACTGAATGTCGTTGGGTACTTGCGACGTAGATACTTATCAAACGCTCTGAACGCAACCATTTGTCCCTTACCAGTGTTGAGAAAAACATATCGACACAGAGCTCTGAAAGTGACTTCCTGAGCTGAAGGGTTCTGATCCATTCCCATTCCCTCCACAAACTTCCAGCGCGCCGGAGTAAAATTGTCGCACTGCGGACCCAGTAAATGTATCTGCATTTGTCGCAGTACGGCCAGAAAGTAAAGCACATACTGGGGGGTGGCCCTGGTTAATCTCTTGAAGAGCAGCAAGTGCTTTCCCGCTTAGTGGCAGCAGTCGTTTCTTTGCATACTCAGGAATCAAATCAGCGGTGACCGGCGATTCTTTACCTTGTTCTCGGAAACAGTTAGACTTCGATCTTCCAAAACCATCCCTCCAACATCCTGAGGGCTCGGCATGCAACCCCAGCAAAACTACCTAAATAGGCGGTCATCACATTTCCTATTTGGGTATAACAGGTCACATGCTCTCTTGCAAACCTAAACATGTTAGGTTTGCGAAAACCCACATTCTTATTGTCTAGCTTTGCAAAACATTGTAAAGCTGACATGTTTAGCTTCGCAAAATGCCATTTTTCGAGATTTAGGTTGACAAGCACTTTCTACGATGAAGCGCTTTCTAGGTGTTCCCACTTAGGTTTGAATCCGCCGGGCAAATTCCACTTGGTGCAGAGCACAGCATACACACAAAAAACTTGATTCCGTCTTAAAAGCCTCCTCACCCTCCGAGCGGGCTGTAGTGCGGGGTGACACAAGTTTGAATTTGATCTCTGTGTACCCTCAGCGCTCTCATCCTCGGATATTTCATCTTCACCTTCATCCTCTTCTTGCTCACTTCTTCTCACCTCTGCTCCGACGTCAAACGCTGTGAGTCGCACTATGACTTCCAAAACTGCACCCAGTCCGTCTTCATCCTTTAGCATCCTGCTGAAAATACGCGAGATTTGTTCGACTCTAACCTCGCCCGAAAGATCATCCCGAAGCTCGACTTCGTCGTACACGTCTTCCTCGTCGTCAAAACACCCCATTAAAAGAGGAAATTCTCTAATGTTGAGAATCATATAGAGAAAAGGCGCAAAGTAGAGTGAATATGTGTTGATGCTTTTTTCCTAGCAGCGTCTTGAGAAGTGACTCGCCTGCCTGAGGCCTTCGAAAAGTCCTTGTTGCTCTATAGCGCAGCATTTTGCGATCTCTTGACATTTTGTACACAGCGTGGCACACACGCTTGCATGTGGCGTTGTACTCACCTCTGAATGCGTGGAAACGACGTAGTGCTTGCAAATCCCTCTCGCAAAACACAAGCAGGTCTGCACCAAGATGTTTGTACACCACGTTGTTACACCGCTCAGTTGCGAGCATGAGTTCCTGGCTCTCCTCTTCAACTTTAAGGCTCCACCTCTCCTCTCCCAGCTGACGGCTGACTTCAGCGTCGTCATACTCCAGATAGAGGTACTTTTTCTTGTTTCCTTTGAATACAATAGGCACAACGTTCTCGCGTACCGCACTTTTAGAAAGTTGAGACTTTGTTCTAGTGGTGGTAACCTTCTTCACGTTACTAGCAGGATCGACGTAAAAGAAGTGGATCTCGTTCGCTACCAACTCAAATAGAGCTCCAGAATTACATGGGAAAAGATCCGTGTCATAATCTTTGTATCTTTCAACTTCTATGAATTCGTAGTTCTTGAACCGATCTTGTTGTTGTTTGGACATGCGTCGTTTAACTCTCTGCCATGACGCGACTTTATATTCTCCATTTTCTTTGCGCTCAAGTAGATATCCGTCGAGTGCTAGATAGCTTTCTGCTCTGTCCATACAAGTGGCTGAAACACATCGTCGACCACCTCGGAAAAAACTTCACCATGAATTAAAAGCTTTAATTTTTTCTCAAACATAACGAACAAAAAGAAACTTCTGGACGGCGGAATCGTACGTTCTCCTTCGCCGTTAGCGGTCTTTATCAGACGGTAATTGTCGTAGTCATCAGCAACCCCAGCAAAAATACCTAAATAGGCGGTCATCACATTTCCTATTTGGGTATAACAGGTCACATGCTCTCTTGCAAACCTAAACATGTTAGGTTTGCAAAATCCCACATTCTTATTGTCTAGCTTTGCAAAACATTGTAAAGCTGACATGTTTAGCTTCGCAAAATTCCATTTTTCGAGATTTAGGTTGACAAGCACTTTCTACGATGCAGCGCTTTCTAGGTGTTCCAACTTAGGTTTGAATCCGCCGGGCAAATTCCACTTGGTGTCAGTGATTATGTTAGAAATATTTCCTATTTCTTCACGCTTATGTAGCATTTCTTGATCAATCCACTTACCGGATGCATGTGCAAATACATAGGCCTTGGCTCTCATTTCTGGATCGTCTGAATCACTAAATATAGGATCAGCGTACATCCCTTTCTTGGAAACAAATTCAAGTTCTTCCCAGTTGTTAATCCAGGCGGGAGGATCAAGCGCTTTCACATCTTCGGGAATTTCAACTATTTCAAGATTCAGTTCTTCCAATGTTAATGGAGTTGTTTGATTGTGGTTCAACGCAGCTTCTTCTATGGATGCAGCCGTATCCTCTCTCGAAGGCATGGCGAAAGCCGTAGAAATAAAGCTCAATAAAATCAAGGAGAAGTGGCGCATTTATTTTCTGGAAACTTAAGAGTTAAACTGTCTTGTAGTGATTATGGACTTCTTTCCTTGGCTTAATTCATGACAGGGCCATAGGAGGGGCTTTTTATATTGAAAAAAAAATTTCAATTTTACGAGTTTTTACAGTAAATTACATTTCTTGCCTTGAGATTACACATGCTATGTATCTGTATGTTGTCCTCACTGTTTAATTTCAGATTTTTGACTAAACTAAACTTCTTCCCGTATTTCTGGAAAGTAGGTCCTGTTTATGTTTCATAACAGCCGGCATGCAATAGCTGATAGTAAAAAGTCACTGCTTCTATTTCTGAAGGGCCCACACATTGCTAACAAACTTAAAAACTCACTATGGATTACACTTCAGTATAAATTTGTTGATATTTCATTCAAGGGTCCTTTTCGTTCAAGAGTCCCTATGCCATATTTACGGTTTTGTTATCAGGCAGGCAAGCATCGGTTCATTTTTACTGCAATTTGAATTTTACCGAGGTAATGCATCAACCTTGCATACGTAATATGCATAAAATTTCTCAACGTTTTTTTTAAATTAATCCGAAATTCGCTTAGGTAATCACGAATACATTTTGAATTAGTTCAGTTGTACACATCACGGGAAGAGATAAGCCGCATAAAAGGTTAATTGAGGGCAGTAGAAATAAGAATAATAATGTAACACAGGTCGTAAATGAATTTCAAGCTTGAATGAATATAGGCTCATGGAATGCATTTCTTGCACTGCTGGTAAACTCTAATTTAGAGAAGAATAGTGCGGAGGAAGTACTGGTAAACATCAAGAAGATTAAGATGACAAATGAAAAGAAGAAAAGAACATAATTCATATCGAACCGAATGTGCTTGCGCAAAGGATAGATCAATATTTGTAGCTCTGATAAGATGAGAACTAGCCAATTCTACAGCGGACGATACCAGGACTTCGATGTACTCGAATATCATGGTATTTAAATGTAGTTCACGCATCGTATATAGTCTCTTTATCTAACTCATGATAGTATAAGGCAAAAAACATGTCTTTTTGCATAAGATCCCAGGGTACTGGATCAGTTCGAAATAGAAATATTACCTATTAAAAAAACGTATTACTGCCACCAGACGTAAATTGACGCAATTAATTACGAAATAAAAGATCTCTTTTGATTCCCAACTAATTATATGACTTGTCAGATTATTTTTGTCCGCAAAAATTAACCAAGTGATTACTAAGCAAGGATGCTTACAGGTAAGTTGCTGTCTGTCTGATGAACCCCTTCCAACGTGTAGAAGAAAAAAGGTACTAAAGTTAATATTTTGCCTACTCGCCTTCAGGGAAAAAAAGAGTAAGCCTAAAAAAAGAAATTACCGGTCGTAAAAAAAAAATTAGGAGGAATATCACGATTACTATAAAAAGAGAGTGCTGCGCCCGTCGAACCACGTAAAATATAGGAAACATTCGACTTTATACATTATTGCAAGCATGCGATATCCGAATGTGAATACTGTTTCAATACTATTGAGTGGGTTTTTCATCTCTGATTTTATCATCACCTGTTTTGATGGTCCCAGCAATGCTTTAGCCTTTAGGCACCGCTGGATCCATCGCAAGTGTAATCATAGACTGGAAGACAGTAATGAAAGATTCTCTGTTCCTTCTCAGTAACATGAGCTCATTATAACCTGGTGAGTCAATTATTATTTGCTAAATTTAAGGTAATTACGGAGGAAAACTCGAGCGTTTTGAATAAAAGAGAGTCCATCTGCAAATTAAAGTTCTTAGTGAGTTACTTTTGTCTAATAATTTCCCAGCCCGAACACATCAAGTAAACCATCTTTTCAACCAAACGACTCTGCAGAAGTGCAAAAATAACATGTGTACTGTTGAAAGCAAGCAAAGCAGTGTTGGATGAAATGAGAACATATAGTTTGATGTTTTCCTTGTGCCATGTCTAGAAGAAATAGCCATTTCTAATCTCCTAAATATGCGCTAATCAAGAAAGGATATATTTCCTTTTGACCATTTTGTTTACAGTTGGTGTATATATCACAGTAGGAATTCGTACTCGCTTCAGCATGTGTGGTCTCGCTACAGAACACGTAGATCTCTTTTCAAGGTAATCAGAAGATATGAGCCCAAGTACTTGTAAACAGCATTTTTTAGCACTCTGTTGCGAGCATTAGCTACTCAATCCCCTCTACGAATCAATGTTTTACTTCTCTACTTTACAGAAATGGAGATCGGTTTTTTTGTAGTCCTTGTGCTTTTTTCTTTGAAAAGTGTGTGGTTTTTTAAACCCGCTTTGTTGTTGCTTGGACACACGTCGCCTTGCCATTTCCCAGAATGAAATTGAGTACTTATCATCCCTATACACCAGTGGCACACGCGCCTGCAAGTGGCATTATAGACTACTCATGAGGCGTGGAAACGGCCTAGTGCTTTCAAATCTGTCTCGAAAAATACAAGAAAATCTCCGCTGAGATGTTTGTAGGCAGCGTTGTTACACCGCTCTATTGTGGGCATGAGTTCCTGGTTGTAACATCCTTCACGCTGCTAGCGGGTACTATTTTAAAGTACAGAATTTCTTTGTTTATCAATTCGGATAGAGCTTCAGAGTTACAAAAAAATGAATTGTCATAGTCTCTGTATATTTCAGTCTCAAATAATTGATAGCTTCGAGACCTCAGCAACATTAACCAAATTAAGTTTATAATGTTTCCTATTTGAGTGTAATGGTTAATATGTTCTCTTGCGAAACTAAACACATTCAGTTGACAGAAACGCACACTCTTATTTCCCAGCTCTTCAAATCATTGCAAACCTGATTATCAAGGCTCGCAAATATCTTTTCTTAGATTAAGGTTTACAGACTTCGGCGTGTGCGAGTTTTCTGGTGTTCTCACCCAGTTTTGAGTCCGCCGGGTAATTGCCTAGATGTGCCTTGCAGATAACTCCTAACCGCCCCCAAACTCGCTATTTTTTGCCATTATTATGATAGGCAATCTCTTCTCTCTTGGTAATCTCTTATATTTAATGAAATCAGATACCAAATGATCTTGCTTTTCCCACCTTGGTTCACGTAGATGATTCATCATAGAGTACTCCTGTAATGCTCTTCATACAGTCAACCTTTGATTACTCGGCTGTTATGAAAAAAAAATATGCTGAACACTATGGGAAATCTTAAACTAAATTAAAGATCTTCAGGTTGATATAAAATAACATTAGGGACTTTGGTCACCGTAGTACCTACACAATAAGGTGAGAAGAAAGACGAGACTCAAGTTATGAGCTCTGTAGTCCCCATAAAATAATTTAGTAAGAATTTATTTGTATTACTTGAGTGAATCTCATCCTGCAAACTTTTAGACAGATAATATGTCTTTGCAGCATTTTTGCATAAATTCTCAGCTATTTATCAATGGAGAGGAGCGCAGTTGGTGACGAATGAGGTCTTAAACGGTAAAATTTCAGGAAGTTATTTGTTTGCATGGAGAAGGGAGGGCAAGATGAGCAGTAAAGATGAAATTCAAAAAATTGTCATTCTCATAGCCCAAAAGTTAACTGTAACACATAGTTTCGAAATTTTCATGCCAAACACTTGGAACCGTATGGAAATTCTAAGAGAATCAACCTTCTTAGCTGTAAAATGTGATTTTCACTTTTGTTTCACATGTGCTATTATCTGTATAGTTTATGATCATACAAAATTTATAACCTAAACAAATAAACTAAACATACAGTATGTGTATTCAGCTTTAAGATGTAATAGAAACTGTACTCTTGAAAAATTAGCATTCAACGTGGTCTGAACCAAGAGAGATCCCAAGGTTGTAGGGTTGTGTATTGGGGATATCACCGTGGATATATGGCCCCCATGAGTCACAATGAAGCCCCCCAGAGCCGTAATGTCTTCTCACACATGATTGTCGTTGTTGATTTTGCCAGACCATTCGCTTTTGAGTCCATGTCTGACCGACGGATTCTGGAGGTATAGAAACCTGCCAAGATCCCCCTTGTTGAAAGCTTTTTGTTATGGTAGCCCCAATATTCAAAGCAAAACTTTTACCAACGTCCCAGTTGAAACCATCGGAGACACTCCAAGATGTACTTTGGGACTAAGACTGAGAATACGTAAAAGGCGTATTTGAATATCCTGTATATTGACAACCACTAGCTGGGTACCATATTTGGTCCCAATATCCTTGTTGTGCGACCTGATATTGATGAAACCACGTACCTAATGGGGCATTTCCGGAATCCCATCTCTTCGACAAGTCAGTCCCGTTTTCTGGAAAGGTAAAGATAGTGACTATGGTATTTGCAGAACTAACATGGATCAAAATTTTCGATGGGTCACTACCATTTAGGTAAGATGTATATGCATAGTCAACGGCAGTAGATAGATTTGCAGCTGAAGGCAATTGCACAGTAACGTTGCAAATTTTCAGTATCAAAAGAAGGGTTTATTGCTGCTGCTACACCGACCATGAGGAGAGCATATAAAATTAAAGAGACTATTCCCCCCCTTGGATTGGCATTAAGAACTGCACCCGCTGTACTGACTCCTGGTGCCAAACAATCCTCGCCATCAGTTTTCGTACATGTGATATTACCCGAAGACATCGTTACCTTTAAAAGTTACTTGACTTTTTGTAACAAATGAAAATGTGACATGATCAAGCTTTGGCTTTTAGTTTCTCATCTATTAAATAAGCTCATTGATCTCAGTTACTATTGCTCTCTCGTTTTTGATGGGCGAGAAAATTTTTCTCGGCAAATTTAACCTCTGCATCATGCCGAAAACAAAAATGCTCACGTAATTTACTAAACACTAGGCTATGTAAGAATAACATCTGCAAAGGCTTTGTATCCGAGTAAAATCAATGAGAGAATTTATTGTACTTCATAGTATAAATTTCAAGTTTGACACGTCTAATGCCACAAGAGTAAAGAATTTGCTGAGTAATAATCTCGGTAAGGAAATTTTAGGAATTACGTCGTTTCGAATTTTTCCATTAGTATTCAACAGCTATTTTTATGAAGATTTGTCAGACCTAAACTTCATTTTAAATAGAGATTAAGATCAAGAATACTATGGTGCAGGCTTAATGTATATTCACTATCAACCTGGGCCACCCAGCTTTATCACTAATTACATAATTTTCATTTCCTAGAAAACGCCCTCTCAACCGTAGTATTGGAATCAGATGTTAATTTATCTTCTAATCCTGGAAATTGCTAAATGATAAGCCGTTAGATTGAGTAATTAGAAGTTTCAATGGCACCATGGGATTTCACTACTGTTATCATTTTCGAGGAAAATTACCGAAGTTCATTCTTTTGACCGTATCTCTGAAGTCCGAAGAAACTTTTTCCAGAGTGCGTTATTATTATTTCATAACAAAGCAGATTACATTGGAGAGTACTTTATGAGCAATTTTAAGCTTGCATGCATACGCACAAAATTTTTTGGTAACTCCGCATAGACCAAACTATATTCTGGCTCAGCAAATAAAAGGAATTCATGGGTTCTTTAGGCCCTTTAATCATCTAAAAGAAAAAATAGTGAAAATAATCCTTGCAGGCCACGTAGAATGACGGCGCTTATGAAAAAAATTATCAGCATTACAGCTTAGAGAGTTTGATGCGTAGACAAAAAAACGCCAAGTAATTGTTGATGGATATCTACAGAAACAAAAAGACAGAACTCGAAAGTCATAAATCCAGGGTCTAAGTAGTCGTGTTCATACGCATGTGAAAACTATATTAACCGCAGGATAAGATGAAGTTTTAGTGGCCAAGAATTTAACAGTACAAGGGCACCAACAATCTATAATATGAAATGGAAAGAAAAAAATAATTGCAGATATTACTTTCGAATTAATAGCATGGTGCGAAAATATTATCTTAGGTTTGTCTATGGATTGGCTATCACAACTTGTTCAGGAACTAATTGTCCTGAGAAAAAGGTACAAATGTTCATTCGCCACCGCAGAGAATCATTTCTTATATTTCAGCCCATGAAGATCTATCATGCGCAAAGGACAATCTAAATATTAACTTGGAGGGGTTGCCTGCAACCGAGCTTAAATTAAGTTGCTTTCCTATTGACCCTTTTTTCATGCAGTAGAAAAAGTAATAAAGATGACTCATATCTCCCCTCACGGGTTCATGGAAATAAAAGAAGCTAAAAAAGAAACGAACGTTATTCTAAAACTAAATATCGAAGATTGGAAGGGATGCACCGCTACAGTAAAATGTTGATGCAATATGCATACCAAATTTACGAATTTGAAATAGCCGGAAATTATGTATTTTAATAAGTATGTTATCCTCTAAGGTGATCACTTCCCTAATATGATTGAATGAGTTTTTATCTCTGTTTCTATCATGACTTGTTAGAATAATCCTAACAGCTGTTTAGCACCAAGATAGCGCGGGATTCACCGACAATTTAATTTGAGTAAAACCGAGATAAAAAGCTCTCCTCTATTCTCTTATAAATATTTGGGTTCCATGATCTTATATGATAGACCATCACCCAATCGGTGAATCGTCTCTCGAGATATTTAGGTAATTGAAAAGAATTTAAACTGCGATCAATACCAAGAGAAGATTATCCGCACTCTAATTCTATGATTAGGTAAATGTGATCAAAGCGTTTACCTTATATGTCATTTTCGCTCAACTGATAGCTGAAGTCTGCTTCATCGAACTTCCAATTGAGATACTCAAATTGCTTCCTCTGATTCAACTAAAACACCTACGCTGAAATTTTCCTAACACTTCAAGCGATGAGGCATGTGTTTTCAAATTTAATGATGGTGAACCAGAAGCCATCAAAACAGTACGGCGTTATTCTGGAACCTAAATTTTTTTTTTGAATCTTAGGGATAGACGGATGATTACTACCACATTTCACACGCTTATATTTCAATACATTTTTCCTCGTCTCTTAATGCCACTTCTACCATATCATGTTTGGCAGATTAGCTGCAGTAGTCTGTCCTTCCCTCAATAATTAAAATTCTTTAAATCTATACATTTTAACAATATCCTGTTAATCCGGTTCTGATTCACTTCTACTCATAAGATGCTCTCGCACGTTTTTCCATATTTTAAGCCGTAAGTTTCGAATAGTTGTAATGATTCTCATGGAGTATATAGCATACTTTTGACACTGTTTCTTATGGTTCTTATCACAACTTATCTTGTCCGGCACCCCATTTTCAAGGAATGAAGCTTCAATAGTGATCAGAGAATACAAGCCGTTGTTAGTAACTCCATCAGCACGATCCTTGTAATCTCGCGCCCTTGAGTATTAACCCAAATTACAAAAAGTCTGGAGTAGATCATTTAAAGGCAAATGAATTTAGTTCAACATATAAGGACCCTGTTCTCAGTGATGAACTTTCCTTGTTCCGCTAATTCATGCGCAAAAGGGGCCCGTCGCCCGCTGGAAATCCGATATGCTGTACTTCAAGCTCCACAATAATTTTCAAGTCATTGCTACTCCACAATAACTAGTTGAAGATGGTCAGCTTTCGAGAAGAATATCCTCCTGCCCGTCATAAAGACACTTTTGTGCACTTTTAGTTACAAATACAATCGTCTCTTATATATTATTATCGTCGCATGATCTTGGCACCCCTGCGAAAGTTGCGTTTGACGACAAGCACGAGCTAAACGAAACCGCCAAATATAGTAAAACGCATGAAAAATCCGCCGGTCAAAGACGCACTCGCGAGAGAGTCACTGAAGGGGGTTGTGACTGTGCCATTTTTTGATCGCATTAATACATACTTTTGATTCACTTACTACCTGTAAAAGTTTGGGAGCGAGGAGAAGTACTTTTCCATCTTCACTAATTCCTTAAGTTGGAGAAAAATATTCGTAATAGCTTCAAGACGTTGTGATTTGGTCAACGGGTTTCATGCTCGAAGGCTTTACTACTCAGCGGCATAATGCCACCCTAAATTGGCTTTTTGATCGGTAACAAAAGCTTAGAACTCTCAAAAAGAATCTCCGAAGCCCATTTATACAGATCCGATGCTTGATTTTCGGTACCATGTATTATTATCATCAAAAACTCTGCAGCAAAGTATCCAACTCGTAGCATCGTAATAATTTTCTTCTCCTTTAATGCTTGTTCGGGGAATTCTTCTGGCGTTCGTTTCGTTCAGCTTATTAGTGGTCAATTGCTTGATGAGTTTTAGTGATTATGCTACCACCGTCATAGTTACGTGCTGGTATCTTGATCATAAACACTACTAATTTAATAATACATTCCCGCTTAGCAAAATTTCGAAGACCTCAAGGAGGAGTAGTCTCCGACCCTGCTTCAATTGCTCAAAATATTCATTATGGAATGCTCTAAGTGAAGTCTCAAATGTTAAATCGGGGAATGATAATTCGCTTCTTTTTTTTTTATGTCAATACTTATATTGACACAAAGAGCAAGCTAAATTCTCGCTTATTGCATAACATTAAGATGGATATTCTGATCAAACAGATCCATGTTCACGAGGTACTCTGTATTCAAGTGGCTCTCATCGTTAGATGCCTTGAACTCACGCTGCTTGTATTCAATATACCGTTGGTTTATTCAATGTACCGTTGGTGTATTCACCTTCTTTGCCGCGTGGAAACGGTAGAATTGCACATTCACAGATATTTGGGTTCAAATAGCTAATAGTGTCGCAGTACAGAGCTGTCCATGGGTTGCAGAAAGTTCCCTTGGAGATGAAATTAGCCTACGTATTTGGTTCTTTTTGAAACGAACCACCGAAAGCATTTAACTGAAAATCCAGTTCAGTCACAATCAACGGACTTCTTCATGGACGGGGTGCTATGTTAAACACTCCCAATGATTGATTTGCATGATAAGAGATGAATGTTGGTTCTTTGATTCATAGAGAGATAAAGAAATGATTCGAAACCTTGGTCCTTACTCATATTTATTGCCTACTATTGATTGTCAATCACGTGAATAGAGATAACCTGCACCTAGAATGAATATCCTCTGCCTTGAATGTGGAAATACTATTTCGACCACTTGAATGCATCTTACCAACTTCTAATCATCCACGTTGTCCAGTCGGACCGTTTAAGTTCGAAACATTTAATCAGCGTGGATCAAAAAAGCCGAAAAATCCTCGTTTTCGAAGGCTTTCACATGAAATTGATATACGCGTTTTGTTCTGACCCTTTTCTTTGGTATGTTCGTCGAATAAGTTTCGAGGTTTCATTCGTACAATGAGCGTCGATTTTGCTTCGGTCTGATTTGATTTGGGGGTTTTTCTCCAATGAAAAGCAAGAAGTTTATTACCCCAGAATATTTTTAACATGTAGATTACCTTTGTAATGTTTACCTCATTGCATATCTTTTCTTCTTTGTCCCTCGTTTCTTGGCTGCAGCCTGATCTGTGAGTAAACTGAAAAATATCGGGATTTACAGTTCTTTTTTTCTATTTTCCGCCGGATAAAAATTCAAGCCCCTCACACATTTCGTTGAGGATTAAAAGTGGAACAAACCATAAACGGAAAACGACTCTTCCTATTTTTATATAAATCATTGACGAAATGAAATTGTTGCATCTTCTTAACTTTTGCCGTTTTACTTTTGCGCGAGAAAGTTTTATTCGCCAGTCATAGCGCTACTGGACTTCAGTAACCGAATAAATGACCAAGGACAACCCCCAGTCACCAGTTCCCTTAAACAACCGAAGCATCTCAGTTTGGAATGTTTCTAACGTTGAAGTACCAAATTACCCAAGAGTTGATGTAAAGGAAGGTATTGTTCACTTAGGTGTTGGTGGGTTTCACCGTTCACACCTTGCCGTTTACATACACCGTCTAATGCAGAAGTTCGGTGTGAAGGATTGGTCTATTTGTGGAGTAGGGCTACTTGAACTAGATGCAGCGATGCGTGATGCATTACAGACTCAAGATTGCTTATATACCCTTTTGGAACGGGGAATCGATCACACCACCATTCAGGTAATAGGCTCGCTTACTTCCTATATGTATGTGCCAGAGAATCCAAGAGCTGTTATAGAAAAAATGGCAAATACGAGCACTCGTATTGTCTCCCTTACTGTTACTGAAAGTGGCTATTATCATAGTGAAGCAACCTCTTCCCTTCAATCCGATCACCCTGCAATTGATAACGATTTGAAAAACTCAGATAACCCAATCACCATTTATGGTTACTTGTATGAGGCCTTGCTTATTCGCTACACAGAGGGTCGTCGTCCTTTTACGATCATGTCCTGTGATAATATGCCAAACAACGGTAATACATTGAAGTCCATGCTGATTGCTTTTGCAAAATTAAAGAATTCAGAGTTCGCAGAGTGGATCGATAAATGTGTTGCTGCTCCAAATTCCATGGTAGATCGTGTTACTCCAAAGACAACCGATGCTGATCGTATCTATTTGGATAAAATTTTAGGTGTTTTTGACAAATGTCCTGTAATCTGTGAACCTTATATCCAGTGGGTTCTGGAAGATAATTTTTCAGATGGACGTCCAAACTGGGAAGAAGTTGGGGTTCAGGTAGTTTCTGATGTAGAACCTTACGAGTTGATGAAATTGCGTTTACTGAACGGTGCACATTCTGAAATGGGTTATTTGGGTTACCTAGCTGGATACGATTATATTGATGAAGTCGTGGCAGATCCCATGATTAATAAATATATTCGAATCATGAATCGCGAAGAAGTGATACCGTTACTACCTAAGATTGATGGCGTAGACTTCAGTGAGTATTCGAACTCTGTGCTTGAAAGATTTTCTAATCCAGCTATCAAGGATCAAGTCTCACGTATTTGCTCAATGGGATCTGGCAAAATGCCAAAGTACGTTTTACCTTCTATTTCAGAGCAATTACTAAGACCTGACAGCAATTATGATCTTTTGACTTTAGGTGTTGCAGGTTGGTTCCGTTATTTGACTGGTGTCGATATGTATGGGAAGGAATTCAACATTGAGGATGTTATGGGGCCAACGCTGATTCGTGCAGCCAGAGAGGGTGGTATTGACCCCCATCCTCTTCTTAATATTGAAATATTGTTCGGATCTGATCTTCGAGAAAACCCGGCTTTTGTCCAAAAATTGGCCCACGCTTTGGAAATCGTGTCCCTTAAAGGCCCTTTGCAAGCTGTTCAAGAGTACTTGGCAGAACATGAGAGTTAGTGTATTAGTGTATTCTGATGGTGTTATTCCAGTGCAACGTCCTTTGAATCAACAGTATCGAGGTTTTACAGTCATTTACCTCTTTTGTACGTATTGATTATGGAAATTATGTAAACTAACTGCGATTTTTGAAAATCATTTGTTGCTACTAGATAAGAGTTGCCACCGTTTATTGATCGAACGGACCGCTTGTCCTAAGACTCAAAAAAATGTTTTTCAGTCGAAGATAAGATAAATCTAAGGGGAGGGCGCGAAACTACATTTCTCCATCACAATAAAATACATATTCAATATAATAACTAAGAATTGCAATAATCAGACATTCAATTATGTAATTGGTTATGAAGCCCTAAGACACAAAGAATTGTCCTTCAGGTAACTTCACTTGGAGTTAATTACTGCGATACCATTTTGCTCTCATATCCTACGAACTTTTGACCTGACTAACTGAATGAACTCACATTTGGCGTACCGAGAAATGTATCTTTACGACCTTCCTTTTTGGGCTGTTATTGTGAAGAAAAGGGTGTTTGATAAGAAAACTTCAAACGGAGAGGGAAGAATATCTTAACAAACTCAATGATGAAACCCTAAAGAGACCGTTTCAAAATCAACATTACTCTTTTCAAATGCTGGCAAAGTCAAGAAATCCGTGCAGAAACTGTGTCAAGCAAAAGACGAGATGCGATCGTGTACGACCAGTTTGCAAAACTTGCGCCGAGAAAAGGGTCTCTTGCAAGTATGATTTGGCACTGCAATGGGGCGGCAGACCTTTTAAGAACATGTCTAAACATTTGAAATTGCCAAAGGGATGCATTATGGAGGATGGTGTACTTACAGTGGAAAAGAAAAAGAAAAGGGCACATAAGTGCAAAGCTGAACTGGAAAAGAGCGCACATGTAAACTATTTGAGTTCAGAGGTTGAATCATCACCCAATACACCATTCATGAGTATGATAGTTAAACAAAAGATTCTTTTGCACTCCGTTGAGTGTATGTTTAAATTGCCGCCTGGAAGACTACCTGCAATGGACTTTGTTTTAGGATCTTCGCAGTACAAAAATTTATTGGATTTTTTTATTAATAGAACATCTCGGGTGCTGGTATCAGTTGATGATGGTAATCGCGAGCTCAATCCCTTTAGAGACACGGTGCTACAGATGGCAATACATTCTTTAACCTTGATGAAAATAATAATTGCCTTCGCAGCGGAGCATAGGCATCAGCTCATGGCAAGGAAAGTTGGCATTGGTTCTTCTTCAGTTGAGAAGAATCTCAGGTCCAACAGTAAAGACAAGGTTTCGCAGCAACTTTTAAACGAGGCAATTCAAGGGCTTGTAACTAAACTAGAACGGCGAGATGAAAAATACAGTGAGCAAACTCTAGCTAGTGTGCTAATGCTAGCAGCTTACGGCATTTTTTTTGGCGATCGACGTGCCAAGTGGAGTAGTCATCTTACTGGCGCTCGGATCATTTTGAGAAAAATGCTGGGACCGAGCCGTAGTGGTACAATCGTGGTAAGGTATACAGGAGCTCAGGAACCGCAGTATTTTCTTTATCGATGGTTCACTTACATTTCTGTAATGGGATTATTGTCTTGTGCGACCTCAGCATATAGTGAAGAAATTGCTGTTGATTTCAGCTCTTTTAACAGAAGCAGAAGCAGTCTTGCTCGAATTGGTGAATTTGATAGTATAGAGTACAACCTTGGTATGGAAGCCGAAGTACTGGAAATGTTGAATAAGGTTGGTTCCATAGTAATGAAATCAGAAAAGCAGGGTAGCAAATTGCCCTTTGGGAAACTAGTGGCAGATGCTGTTGAACTTGACTATAAGATTACAAGGTACTTAGATCGGCGTGAAATGGAGCAAAACATTTTTTCAGACAGGGCTTCTTCTTCGGACCAATTCTTGCGAGCCACTAACATTTTGTTTTGCCTATCGGGGATATTACATCTGAGAAGACGCGTGATGGGTATGCCTCCTAATAGTTCTCTTGTACGCGAGGTGGTCCTACAAGCTGCAAGTATTCTAGAGAAAAAAATACCAGCGAATTCCACAACGTTGTGCAGTATTACCTCTTGCCTGTTCACATGTGGATGCGAATGCGTGGAACCAGATTTGGTGCATTTACAACCTTTGTTCTTAAGCCGCCTAGAGCAAGTGATTGAGCTTGGAATGTCAAGTACTTTACAAGCAAAAAATATCATGGAAGAGTGCTGGAGAACAGGCAATGATTGGTGGATAATATGTAAGCAATGGGGAACCGATTTATCATTCGGACTGTAATGCGAGGGACATATCCCGTTGAAACGTAATATGTTTTATAGGAAAGATTATTGCAGTTCCTTGCACTCAGTTGATTTACCAACAAGAGTGAAATACAATGGTAATGTAAAGTAATCTATCAGAAGTATTATCAATTCGGCAGGTAGAGCTGCCCTTCTTTCACTATTTGTTGTGACGTATTCGGGTAGTTTGAACCCACAGTTGATATTAACAACTATTAACATGCATAGCCGCACGTGATAGGACCTTCCTGAGCAGGGCTAGTTCTTCTTTGCTTTTACTTTCGAATCATGAACAGACTATCTTAAAAGCCACCTAGAATCTTTTCTTGAAACAACATCTCGTTCATAAATCACAAGAATTAATTCTTCGATTTTAACTCAGTTACTGCTTCTTTAAAGAAAAAGGGTATTCTTGCTTAGTATTCGGTGGCCATAATGAGGAAATTAATGGAATATACCCAAGTGCATAGAACATGCGAACTCAAAGATTCAAGAGACTTTGACACTCTTTGTTCGTATCAAAGCTGAAAAAGGCTTAACTACTCGATTTGATAGTAAGTTTGGTGGCACCCCTTACTTTCTACTTGGCATGGAATATCCCTGTGATACAAATGGTCTACCCATGAAACTACTGGCACAAATCAATTTTGAACAAGTGCCACCAATACCAGATTATCCAGTCTCGGGTATACTTCAATTTTATTTGAGCGTGAGGCATGATTCATATGGACTTGATTTCGGCGATGAAGGCGTGCAGAAAAATTTTCGGGTACTATATTTTGAAAACATCATACGTGATGAAGATAAGATCTTAACTGACTTTGAATTCACAAAAGTAACACCAGGAAAAGATGTATTTCCACTTTTAGCCGGTTCAGAGGCAAAGTTATCATTCAGTCTGGATGAAGAGTTCATGAACCTAGGGGATTTTCGCGTGAAAGATGCGATTGGGATAGATGAAGATGAATGGGACTCTGATCTTCAGGATTACTATGAAGTAAGTACAGAGGCAGCTATAGGCCATAAAATAGGCGGCTATCCATGGTTCACGCAATGGGATCCTCGCGGTGTATTAAAAGGCCTTACAAACTATACGCAGTTACTCCTTCAGATTGACACTGATGATGATATTGATTGTCACTGGGGAGACGGGGGCGTGGGAAACTTTTTCATTGCATCAAATGATTTGAGAGAAAAAAACTTCTCAAAAGTTTTGTACAACTACGATTGTAATTAGTTTGCGCATACTTCTATAATCGCAGTTGAATTTCATAAGATTTTGATATTTAGGATTACTCTTGAAAATGTGACTAAAAAAAAACCATGAAAGTCAGATAAAATCCAAACATATATGGGAAATGCAGGTATTAGCACTTCGTTGCATGCTTGTTTTGATTTGAATATTCTCTTGGCGAACTTTTTGTGGGGGTATTAAGTTATGATAATACCAAAAAAATGTTCCAAATGATTTCTTATTGATCGCTGAGGACCTCGATATTTAAGATACCTCTGTTTTAAATACAGTAGTTTCATTAGACATTTGGGTATTTCAGTATTCCGTCGTACTACTTAAATTCTCTAGTATTGGCCCTGACATATTCAGCTTCTGAGTATGGCATATTCAACTATAAAAGTGGATTGTTCAGTTTGGTGGGTTAAAGAACGATGCAAATCCGATAACAAATAAATAAATCCGAACATCATCGTAAGATAAGAACCCGTTAAATTGCTCTAACAAAACTTATTCGACATGTTCAAATACACATTCGCTTGGTGTGTATCCTCTTATAATAGTAGGAAGATATTTAATTAGCACGCCAATCTTCTCATTCGCTCCTTCGACTTAGATTTTGTATAATCTGAATTAATCGAAGCCTCCAAAATCGGGGAGAATGCGGCTATTTTATTCAGCGTTCTCTCTATTACCATTAATTAGCACTCAATCTTTTACACCTCCACATAGCAGGGCTCGAAATTCCACACCGATCATCGCCTTTTTCGAACGGAAAACGCGACCGGCCGTGGCTCTCATATACTTATCTTTATACCTTTATTTATGAGCTATTAAACAACTGAAACTTCCAAAATGTTGCTAGAAATGATCGCCTTCATATAATATCATTGATGTAAAATCCACGATATTCGCTTTAGGTTAGTTTACATAGTTGTTGAGACAACTTTAAATTCAAAATATATAGGTAAGGATGAACAATATCTACTTAAATTCACGTAGATTGAAGGAAGTTGGGCCATTTCTTTAAAACAGAATACACACGAAAAGTAAATCGGTATGTACGCTCTCTCATGATGATTTTCAAGCTTTCCTACCTTTCTCATTCTCGTAGTTTCCATCGGTCAAGTGTGACATACAGATTTTCCATCAAATTCTTTTGAAAACTCTACACTTTATGCGCTTCCAATGTGGGACAAGTCTTGCACCTTTTATTTTCACAAACGTAGTCTCATGCAGTGTTAAGCATGCCTTCCTTAACAAGAAATAAATTCATAACCTTGTTCCAAGGCTTTAAGGTAGTTTGTGTTGCATTTGGTGATGAAAGCTTGATGGGTGCACGATACCAGGCCTTCGGATTATCTCTAAAGTGGATTGAAGAAAGGAAAACCAAGAATAAACCTCTGATTTTTTCTTCCTTTTATTTTTTTCCATAGTCAAGCTGACAAAGGAGATTTTATTCACAAGCGGCGAAATCTGAATCCTCTTATCCTTACCATCCGATCTCAAGGATAAAGTACGAATACGTTTCGAATTGTTTGTATTTCCAGTCGATTATTGCTCGAAAAACTCAAAGGTTCACTGTGCCTTCGAGACCAAGTAAACACCACATATACGTTGAAAGTAGATGATGCGTATTACACGTGAAAATAGTCCTAATCTAGGTGCACTCGGGTTATCAAGATATGTATCATTACACCGTTTCTTTCGGTTCTGAGCCATGGAGTCTGCCATCTTGGAAATATGTGGAGCATACTTCTGGGTTCTGTATAGGATGTGTGAATAAATTCGCCAAGAAACCGCTTTCTCTTATCTCTGTACATGAAGAGATACATTATCAAAACGACCCAAATTTGGGACCCTTAATTTTACCAGTGAAAATGTATCAATGACCGAAGTCTGAATAAATTCTTAGCTATTTGACTAAGGAATCCAAATTCAAAAACATAGCATGCAACACTCCGAAAATGTAAGTGTATCAAAAAAGGCCCGCGTGATAGCTGCTGTAATCTATTTACTGTACAGAGTGAGGAGCATTTGCACGTTTTAGATGTTTCCTGTCTTTACAAGAGATCCAAAAAGTGCACTTTTAGCAAGAAATGTAGCCGAAAATATACTAACTGTAACGCGATAAGCACATGCTATCTACTTTGCACCGTTAGCTATTAACAAAAATTCGAGATGTATTTTGATGGCTACATTTAGCATATCATGATGATTGCGTTCTTCATTGGGAAGGTTAAAAAGCATATATCTTGTCGAAGGCACTTTGACAGGTCATTTTAGATCAAAACTGAAATTGACCATTCGCAAATATATCACCCGCCCACACAGATACAGCAAATAATACGTTATTTGCAATGTTTATTTGCAATATAAGATCCAAAATGTATCCAAGGGCTTTCAGCAATATTAGTCTCGGAGTTAAAAACAGGAGAGCAATTTTTCTTGGCAAAACGACGTAAACATCCCACGCGCTGTTTGCCCTTTCCGCCAATCCCACGTCCCTTCGAAGGAAGAAAAAATTTAGTATGGCACGAACACAGTTATACGCCCATTAAGCGTGGGTGATAAGAGTGGAGAAAGCAAAACATGAATAAAGTCTTGTTGCCAGACTACATAAGGGGGTTAATATGCTCTCAATGTAAAGCATCAATTTTTGATCTCACTTCAGTTTTCATTGATTGCTTAAAAAGTCACACTCGTCATGGAATACCTTGAAACATCAGCAGGAAGCCCACTGCAATATATGGCTGACGTTTATGGTCACGGGCTAAAGTACGAACGACCACCATTTACTTTCCAAAGTAACAATTGGGAAGCGCTTGCGCGGGATCGAATGTCACAAGATTCGCTAGGTTACGTTTGCGGAAGCGCTAGTACTGGGGAAACCGACCGTAAAAACCGAGCTGCTTTCCAAAAATGGTCGCTTGTCCCACGGCGTCTCGTCAAAACAACCTCATATCCCCGTCTTGATACTCACTTGCTAGGTCAGAACTTTCCATCGCCTATTGCAATCGCACCAGTTGGAGTACAACGAATTTTCAATCCTGATGGGGAAATTGCAGCTGCGAAGGCGGCTGCAAGAGAAAAAGTTCCGTATATCTACAGTACAGCTGCGGCTACATCAATGGAAGATGTTGCTAAGGCGAATGGCAATGGAGTTCGTTGGTACCAGTTGTATTGGCCTTCCAACGAACACAATGATTTGACGGCGAGTTTATTGAAACGAGCTAAATCCAATGGTTTTAGTGCTCTTTTCGTGACTCTTGACACATATAAGCTGGGATGGCGTCCAAGTGATCTCGACAATGCTTATAATCCATTTTTACGTTCTGACAGCATAGGTACAGCTTTGGGGTTTTCAGATCCTGTGTTTCGAAGTCATTTTAAGGCAAAACATGGAAAGGAAGTGGAAGACGATTTACATGACGCTGCCAGTGAATGGGCAGGATTAATCTTCCCGGGATTTAGCCATGGTTGGGAGGACATTGCATTCTTGCGCAAGCACTGGGATGGACCGATTGTATTGAAAGGTATTCAGTCAGTTCAGGATGCAAAAATGGCAGCCGAATTAGGTATCGAAGGAATTGTAGTCTCAAACCATGGAGGAAGGCAGCAGGACGGGGGACCCGCTTCTTTAGATTGCCTTGTCAAAATAGTTGAGGCTGTTGGAAAAGAAATTGATATCCTCTTTGATTCGGGAATCCGTTGCGGCTCTGATATTGCCAAGGCGATGGCTATCGGAGCCAAAATGGTCTTGATTGGTAGACCTTATATTTACGGCTTGGTGCTTGGTGGAGAAGAGGGTGTGGGTCATGTTCTACGCTCCTTGCTGGGAGATTTGACGATGAACTTACATCTCGCTGGAATACCATCAGTATCGCAAGAGGATTTGAACAAAGAATGTCTCGAATATGACGGTTGAAATGTCCTAGATAGCTATTGTATGGTTGTTTTTTCTTTGCCGAGTCGTCTTCATACTTTAACTGAATGGCACTATTCAGCTATATTTATTGGCATCAATTTTTTATATAAATGATTGCAAAAACTAAAGTAGTTTTGTTGAATGCTTATCCTCGCGTGTAAACAATTCTTGGTAATGCTGACATATTTGAGGTCCTTTACATAATGACTTCGAAAGTCTGCATTGCTTGAGATTTCTATTTTCTTTGGCTGTGATTAGTAATAACTAATAAGGATTTAGGCTATATAAAGAGACACAATAAGGCTGTCGTTCACGATCTCAAATGGTCATCATAGCATAAGTAACAAAAAGTAGTGATTCAAATCAAACTACAACTAGTATTTATAAAATGAGTGATCAAGCTAAAAAAACATACTTTATTACAGGCGGCAATCGCGGTATAGGATTCAATTAAGTAAAAATTTTGAGTTAAAGATAATACTGTGATAGCATCCATACGTGGTCCAATTTATTTACCCAAGAATACTCAGTTAGAGCAATTGAAAAAAGGGAGGGATAATATTCATATTGTGCAGCTTGATTTTATAAGTGAAGACAGTATCAACAAGATAGCAGATGAAGTTAAGAATACGCCTTTTTTCGAAGGTATTGACGTTTTCATCTCAAATTCTGGGATACCAGACGCATATTACGAGGTTCTGACCGCACCAAAGGATGTCTGGCTTGAACATCATACCACTAATGTTTTGGGTCCGATTTTCACTCTATGAAAATTGTATCCTTTTCTCCTTATGAAGAGGACTCACCAACTGTTTTTCATATCAACTTGCGCAGGATCAATTGGTGATTTTTCTCCTATTTCTGTATCCGCATATGGTCAGTCTAAGGCGGCTTTAAATTACACCGTAAAGGAGCTCAGCTTTGAGTTAATGCCAAAAGTTTTTACTGTTGTTGCCGCTCACCCTGGCCTTGTCTCAACTGATATGGGTCAATAGGGTGTACAAAAATTTGCAGAGATGAATATTCAGTTAAGCGGTGTAGAGGTTATCACACCCGAGCAAAGCGCTTCCGGGCTGGTTAATGTTTTGGGTAGTATTACTCCTTCAGATAATGGAAAGTTTCTCAATTATGATGGACCTGAAGCTGTTTTCTAGGGTATACGTGAAAAGAGCATTTACAGTTGGCAGAGGTAGGTACTTTGACTTTTTTTTATGAAACGTCTTGCAATAGATATATGATATTCGTTAAAAGTAGCTGAATTGTGCAAGTTTTTAGAAGCTATGAATATTTTGGTTATCAAGTTATGAGACGGTATCTTATGACGAGTGAGAGCCACTTTTTTCTAAAGAGTATTTGTCAGTATATTTTGTTGTAATAACTTAAAGTGATAGTTCCTTAATGCATCCTTCACTCAAAGATAATTTTCAGGGTGTTTCCGGAATGTCCTTTTTTCTTTTCATTTTGAGCATACTCTGGGTTGACAAAATATGCTGGACTCATATAGTCGACATGCCCACAGTAAGGCTCCGAAGTAGCGAGGCCCAACAACTGCAATGATTTCAAAGAAAGGCCCTTGAAGAAATTCATTTCAGTACCAAGATGAAGGTTTTCCTCCTGTTTCAAGTAACCCTTTGTCATAAAAAAAATCCTGCAATTCTATCCTTGGAGGTATGATTCGCGCTTGCTGCATGATATACACTACCCAAAAATAAAACTGCGTCCCCCTCTTTAGCTTCAATGTAAAATTCCATTTCCTTGTCGAAACTTCCACATGCATCGTATGGACCCCAAAGGTGAGAGCCAACAATAAATCGAGTTGCGCCATTTTCCTTGCTCATATCTGTGAACGCAACACCCAAACCAAGCATTGTTTCCTCTCCGTGCTTGAAAGTATTACGTGATTGGTGTACAGTATGATGTACGTAGTCTTCCCGATGATACCCCTGATCAGCTGCACCTGGCCCAACTTTGTAAACGATTCCAGAGTTCAATTGAATACCGCAAGTGTACTCTTTCAAAACTTTTCCAGCCATAAAATAGTTTCGCTCGTTTAAGAATTTCTCCGCAACGCCACCAAACAAGGGATCAGACACTATCTTTTCCAATATTGTTGATGAGTGTAACACTGACCTTGTAACTACTGTTGTTTCTTTAGGAAATGGAGATCCGTTCCATGAATCATATCGATAAAACTTCGGCTGAATTTCTTTTAAAGCTTCTTTGCAGGAGGACTTTTCTATAAAATTGGGCACGACACAGACGCCATACTTTTCCAAATTTCTGATGATAGAGCTAAAATCAGACTTATCACTGACTGTAAAGTCCTTCTGAGTGAGATTTTTTGGGTAACCTTTTGGAATAGTTTTCGTAGGTAGTTTTACACACCCCTGATTACTGTCGATGCGTTGCTCGTAATACTTACGTGACTTTGTGTTCATATGATGCCGGTTACTGCCGTGTCATGTCGCGTTTTCTGGTACCTATCAGTAATGATATTTATATAGCATGATTCTTTGAAGAAATTTACTGCCACGCGGTATTTAATTTCATGTTCAGTCCACTCTGGGCACTGGTTACTAAAGCGATTAATTTATTTAATCATAAGACGTGGCGATTCCTTACGTCATTTGAGTCATACCATGACTCATTTTTACGATAATCATGAAGCAATGATTTTTGGTCAACGTGACTAATTCTAGACAAGATCCCCGAAATCTACTCATAGATGATTCACAATTGGGGAGCTGATGGGCTGACAATGGTACGAGTCATGCTGAGTGGTCCTTACCATCTCGAGCTTAAGTATCTTTCTCCGGCGTGATTGGTGAATTTCTCCTAAAAAGTGGATCTGCCTTATCCGATAGGTTTTTGTACTTTGAATTCTTTGTCTTTGATTTTTCATCTTATCCAACACGGTAAGGTTTCCGCCACAACATAGCCTAATTATGTGCAACGATTGTTCAGTGTTCACCTCGAAAAACGTCGGGAAAGAAACATTAACTAAATCTAGTAATTTTAAAATTTCATGGACGAAAATGGCCGGGAAAAAACTAACTTATTTACATGCTAATTGTGTTTTATCCATTTTCAGATGCATGGTGCCAAATTCCTTACAAGAACAGATCGAAACTGCCCTTATTGAACTGAGCGTCATAAAATACGAGTTCTATCTTTGTAAAAAAATCTTGATCTTAAAATTTTCTCAGAATATTAAATATCTTTATCCAAACGTCTCTAATCAACTAATATCATGTATATGTGAATTTATCACCTTTCCAATAATACTGAACTAGAAGCCAGGGTTATTTATTCATAAATTAACTAATAACATCAAATGGATACCTATTTGAAAAAAAAATTTGAGAGTACTGGTTTTGTTATCACTTAATCCATATTGTTTCGGTTTCATAAGTATCTTTCGACCACTAGAGTGTGCAGAACATAACCGCGGCATCACCTTATGTGAATCAATTACTGAAGATACCTTGGTATACAATTTAAGGTCCGCTTTTAATTGACTGGCATTCTGCAATGGTCATAAACAAGCTTCCAAAATATGAACCTATGCTGAAAACAATAATCACCAAAAGCATGGGAACAGCATCAAATGCATATATAAAATACTCATGCGATATTATAAATCCATCAAATCCTTGTGCAAATTCTACTAGTCTCACGATAGATCGAATCATAATCAATATACTGACAATTAATAATGTGTAATTCAGGAATTTCCACCTCTTGGAAATATACCGATAGAAAGGGCATTCCTCTGCAACTCTCAATGAAAATCGCAACTCATTTACAATGAAGAAGGCAAAGAAGACAATTTGGACAGCGAGACCGGCAGTAATGAGGTTTGTACCCGTTTTTCTACTTTTCTCTTTTGTCATTAACCCACCACCTCCAGCCTGCATAAAGAAACTCAAAACATCGCCAAATACAAAGAAAGTAGTTCCGTAACGGGCAGAAATAATCATAAGCGACTGACATCTCATAACGTGAAGTAATCGAACCAAATATCATATAGATAGTAGCCGCATATAATGCGGGCGCAACGAGTAAAAGAACGGACTGCATGATGTACGGCGTAGTTGCTTCTGGATTAGAGCTCGAGAGTGCTCTTCCGATGTAACCTACAACTTCCATAAGACAGCCAACAAAGAACGGAATAAAAACTAGGAAATTCGATGACATAGTGAGCTTTTGGTATGTGCCGCTGGGGGACTCACTGATTTCAGAGTAGTATTTTTCTTCTTCATTTTCGAAAGGGTTACCATAAACTACTCTGGTGGCCTCTTTTGCTTCCCAAATACACTGACAGGCATAAAATACTGTCAAAAGTATAAATACTATGGCAACAGCTATTGCCCCGCCTTTGCTTGGAGTATACTGGTAGAGAACCCATCCGGAATCAGTTGAACTTGTAGACATATTGATCTCGCTTTAGTGAAGTTTCTAAACTGAGGAAAGTCGATTGTGGACCAGGTCTTATTATATGTAATTCATTTCCATAGCATAGCAGCCACTATTATCACCTCTTTCTCCCTGCAAGGTTTAGTGGCGAAGTATGTCAATGGCGTCTCGCTTAGTTGATAATACTGCGCCATCCAGTCACGTGCCTTAGACTTCGAATTATTTTCTTAGAATCGCCAGGGCCCTCTTTGACGTCCAAGAGGCGCAAGACAAATTTCGTAAGCCTCACATTAAATGGTTGGCGTCAAGAAATAATCCAAGAGCACAAGCAAGCCAGTTAAGAGCGCTTGGCAGAAAATGACGTTTGATTGAGGCGGTGTTGGACAATGGTTTTCTCAAAATGTAACCAAGCCACCCGATTGGTTATACCTTTTGCAAACAGAAGATAGTGCTAGATAGAGGTGATTTCACGAAACGACGTCAGCGTGCACGACGATGTAATATCGAACCGTTAAAGCTTGAGAGGGCGATATTTTGAACCAACAGAAAAGGCACGACAAATATGCCTATAACCAGTTGTTAATAAGTTTCGTTTAATATATTCGTATGTGGCGAAGAGATTAGAGTATATTGGAACAAGATCGTTACCTTCCAAACAGTCGCAAAGAAAGAAAATGTTGTAACGAAATACAACTATCGACCATCGACTAGTATTCGTGTTACTAGTATATTATCATACACGGTGTTTTAAGATGACATAAAGAATGAGAAACGGTCATCGAAGTTAGTGGAAGCCGAAGCGCGAGGATTGATAATGTAATAGGATAATGAATGAAAATGTATAAAAGGAACAGAAGGAGCAAGAATATTTGTAAGTAGAATTATCAACTCTTCTTTCTGGATTCTTAGAAAGAGGAGGAGAACTTCTAGTATAACCATATACCAATTATTGTAGCCTTAATCAAAAATGGAATCCCAACAATTATCTCAATATTCACCTATTTCTCAGAAAAGATATTATTACAACACTGCGAAAAGATTTTTCCTGTAAATCTTCATTGCTGAGCCTCTCCTGTTTTCATGGTTTTGGGCGTGCATTTCTTTTCTGTATATTAATGTTCCTGCAGGGCTGATTAGACCCTTGAGTTAAACGACTTTCGACGTATAAAATGATTCTCAGTTCTTTTGAGATTAGTACAAACTGTCTCCCGCTTGCGTTATTATAATGACAAAGGCCTAACGCACGAAAGAATGGTATACTCTCTTTAGTTTATACAAAACACGGATTATTTCAATCCTCATTTTATATTTACCAATTTTGATCAACTAGCTTTTTTACAGTGTTTTTAGGATCTCCAGACAGCAGGATACTTCACCGCATTGTAGTTTTACGTTCGACAAGCCTTATGAACAGAAAACAGGAATTTTGGTAGCAGTACTGCTCCCAGAGATCTAATATAAAATCAAAAGTGTATTGAGCAACCTCTATTTCAGCTCACGTGTATTACTGATGGGTCAGATGAGATTTCCTAAGATGTTTATTCGACATGATCTTATTTTAAGTGATATCTTGATCATATTGTTCATTTCCAGCGGCAGTGATATTAAATATCTCATCCAATGTCCTCTCTATGGTGAAGGCTTAGTGTCATTTCTCCAAGTGGCACTTTTGACTCAAGCCCGAAAAATCGAATATGAAAACGTAGGCGGCGTGATTTAAGAGAAATCGAATTCTGCATGAATTTATCACTCTCCTTGATCTCCCAATCACATAGTCTGGTACAATGCAACTCCATATCCTTTGAAATCGGTCCAATCTAGTATAGTTGCTTTGGCCCTTGTGAATTTTCTATCTGTCACATTGAATCAAAGGCACACTATCTCCAATAATTCACCTCCATTTTCACAGGAAGGTCAGCCGTGATCAACGAAAAATGGAGGATTTCTGCGGGCAGAAATGTAAAAGGCCTTAACTGCTGTCAATCGTATCAACTAATATCCGATGAACATTAGGAATATATGACGATTTTGTCATCTAATTTAATTTTACCCCAGAAAAATACTTTTGCGCGGCCCGAGGAACATTATGTTTAGGATCATATGTCCCCAATCGGAAACAACCGTCGGCGAAACTCCGAACTAGCGAACTCCAGAAGAAAAACAAAATGAATTATGTCATACGGATAGTTCCCTTTCTGAATAGCCGACACATTACATGAATTAATGACATTCTCTGGTGGTTGAAAAGGTATATAATGGCCCACAGCGAATAAAGTTATGAATATGAGAAATCCAGTAACAGTAGTCAGATATTAGTTGACAACAGTTCACCAATCAAATTCAATAAGTTCAAATGGCCAAGGGAAAGATTTTGTTAGTTCTTTACGAAGGTGGTAGCCACGCACAAGAACAGGAAAAGTTACTGGGGTGTATTGTAAAATGAACTTGGAATCAGAAAGTTTATTGAAGAGCAAGGCTACGAACTAGTTACTACCACTGATAAAGATCCTGAGCCAACATCTACTGTAGACCGAGAGTTGAAGGATGCTGAAATCGTTATTACAACACCCTTTTACCCGGCATATATCTCTAGGAACAGAATCGCTGAAGCTCCTCTTTTGAAGCTTTGTGTTACCGCCGGTGTGGGCTCCGACCATGTCGACCTGGAAGCTGCTAATGAAAGAAAGATCACGGTTACAGAAGTTACTGGATCTAATGTCGTTTCGGTAGCAGAGCATGTTTTGACCACCATATTAGTGTTGATCAGAAACTACAATGGTGGTCACCACCAGGCAGTTAGTGGAGAGTGGGACATTGCTGGGGTGGCGAAGAATGAATATGATCTTGAGGACAAAGTGATTTCTACTGTAGGAGCGGGTAGAATTGGATACCGAGTGCTGGAAAGATTAGTTGCTTTCAACCCTAAAAAGCTTTTGTACTACGATTACCAAGCTTTGCCAGCCGAGGCCATAAAGAAATTAAATGAAGCCAGCAAGTTGTTCAATGGGAGAGATGATATTGTTCAAAGAGTCGAGATTTTAGAAGACATGGTTGCACAGTCTGACGTGGTGACGATTAACTGTCCATTGCACAAAGATTCAAAAGGTTTGTTCAACAAAGAACTCCTCTCACACATGAAAGACGGCGCTTATTTGGTTAACACAGCCAGAGGAGCCATTTGTGTAGCTGAAGATGTAGCCGACGCAGTCAAATCCGGTAAGTTGGCAGGCTACGGGGGTGACGTGTGGGATCAGCAACCAGCTCCAAAGAATCACCCTTGGAGATCCATGGACAACAAGGATCATGTGGGAAATGCAATGACTGTTCACATTAGCGGCACTTCTTTAGATGCTCAAAAAAGATATGCGCAGGGTGTGAAGAACATTTTGGATAGCTATTTCTCGAAAAGGTACGACTACCGTCCACAGGATGTTATTGTTCGCGACGGTGCTTATGCCACTAAAGCTTACGGCCAAAAGAAATAATCTCGAAGAAAGGCTAACTTTCTATACTCGATCTTTTATATTCATTCTCGTACATACATACATGCATGTAATCTTTTATGACAAAAAATTTGACCTCGATCATCCTTTAGTGACCAAGTAAGGAGCCAAATTACCGCCTCGATTCTATTTGAAAGCACGAATGATTGCAATCTCTCAGGTAGACTAACATTTACGGCATAGAGGTTGTTTTTTTCCATAGAATCCCCACGCAAACCTTTGGGAGCTTCTGCTATTATATGACTAACTGGTCGTCAATTTAAGTTCAAAGGAAACTGAATTACTTTCTAGAATCCATAGACTGTTAACTCTAAGAAGAGGGGCGAAAATAATCCTAATTGCGGGATAGGAGCTCTGAAGTAAGCAACTAAACCAAGAATTTGAAAAACATGAAATTGTTTTAGGGATACTGGTCAAGAGATAAAATGTAGTTGGTGAAAAGGCTTTGTTTGAGTTTTTAATGTCTCCAATTTCTTTAAAGCGATTGTTGAAACTCAAGACTCTGCCCATTTCGTTTATTTAATGTCTGCAGTTCAGCTGGGTTTTTCCACCGAGAAAATCAATTCGAAAAAGAAAATGAAGCTTAGTTCCCATGCAGTACTTGCTCCAGTATTTCAGGGTACCATTTAGCTGCAACATCTTGATGTGACTTGATCCTGTTCCGAAAAACAGTATAGCCGACTGGATGATTAGAAAGATCTGGCTTAAACTGAAACCCGGTATCTGAACCCCACTTTGTGATGAGTTTATCTCTTTCATCCCTCATTCGCATAATATCTTCTGGTATTGACGACACAGCACTCTTGCGAGAATCTAAATCTATTGTTTGAAAGAATGGGATCGACAGCCTTGTACCGCGCCCAGCAGAGGGGCTCACCACTTTATGAATAGTTGCCTTACATACCCCATCTGTAATTGCTTCAAGGGTCTGTCCAACGGCAACGACTAGAGAGCCTGGAACATTGTCGATAGGAATCCATTCCCCTTTGAAATTTTGAACTTGTAGACAGTCCTTATGCTCTGAAGCTTGGTAGATGAATGTAAAAAAGTCAGAGTCCCTGTGTGCCCCCACGCCCTGCCCTTGTTCTTTTTTAATATGCTCTGGACTTGATTTCTCACTGTATCCTTCTTCCGGATATGAAATCAGTTTCATCTTACATTGCTGGTTTTCCTTAAAGTAGCTGTCAAGATCGTTGGGACTTAATCCGATGGCTTCGCATACTATTCCCCTGAAGGATTTACTTAGCAGGGTCATTTTTTCAATATAAGAGGTAACGACTGGACGAAAATTTGGTATGCTATTCTCGTCTGGCCAAAGATTTGGGCCCTCAATTTGTTTGTACAATGGCTCATTCTTGCCAGGTGGGAATAATTCCGTTGCAAGATCGATTTGTTCTCTCCAATCAATCTTGCCGCCCGTTATCTCATTTGCCAGCCTCGTGTAGCCCAAAAAATGAGGCGAATTTATCATTTCGCATTTCTTTTTAATGCTATCCGGAAGAGAAAAGAACTCAATCGCCTGTGATTTTATATCTTCGAAGTCTCGCTGAGATGGGCCAACTCGTTCGAAATTTGTAATGAGAAGGAATCCGACATTTATCAGAGCATTTCGAACTTTTTCCAAAAAGACCTTTCTCTTTTGTGCGTCAAATGCATCCTCTAGATCAATGATCGGTATCTGAGTGAATGACATATTATATGCTGACCTGTACTCTTCTTTGTTCTATCTGGAAGCTATTTACCAAAGAGGCCACCATTTATAATAAGGGGATAAAAGATTTCTTCCAGCCACAGTTGAAAAAGATTATGGTCGGACTTCTGAAAGTCATGTGATCTACTGTCGTCCCCAACGCCACAAATGTATACCTAGTGTCTCACGTTTCTATGAGGAAGATAATTATGAGAAAAGGAGCATCTTTAAGTGAAGACCTCTGATTATTGGAACTTAATTTTCTTTTTTCATATCAGGTATATTACTTCTCAGCATCCAAATATAGAGTTGACGCAAAGCAACAAACAGAACAATACGCAATAAAAAAATATATAAAGATCTATTACAAAACTCTAAGCAGTTACGCACTCAGTCATTTTTCATATTGCGTTTAGATTGCAGTAATGATATTTAAGAATATAAATCAGCGTCGACTAGATGAATTAATCATACAAAGCACTCTCTCACATTGTTGTAGCTTGACGAACAGTCTATGAATGTCCTAAATTTCTGAAGTCACATCAATGAATACATGAGTTCGACTTTGAGGAAAAAGTATTCATTTGCTTTTGCATTCAGTAATTCATGTCTTGATGTTCAGGATATAAAGAGTTTGAGTCAACAAGTATCCATCAATTCATTTTTGAAATAGGTAATGTGATACTTTTCTGGCGTGCGCTGTTACTCCAACTTTGAAAATTTCATCCAGCTGCTCTAAGGTGAATTTTTTAGTCTCAGGAATACAGAATAATGCCAATATCCAAACCAATATATTAAAACCTCCATAAAAGTACAATCCTCCAGAGGCTGTCATTGTGGAATCCATTTTTGGCCATGTCATACTTAAACAAAAGTCAAGAATCCAATTCACAAACATGCAGAAAGAGCTGTGAGCCATTCTTACCGATATCGAAGAAGTTTCTGCGACCAACGTGAAGCTTACAGGCCCAATTCCGGCTCCATAAAATAAAACATAAACGTACATGGAAGCCAACCCGGCACCTAGTCGACTTTTAGGATTTGTCACATTAAGAATCCCTCCTAGCCAAAATAGGCAAAGTGCTTCTACAGGCAAAGTGTATAAAAGCATTTTCCTCCTTCCAAATCTATCAATTAACTGGGAGGACAAGAATGTTGCTAAAAAGCAACCACCACCAATCCCAATGGAACCAGCAATAGCTGTTACAGGATCGACGCCGGAGTTTGTTAGAATTGTGGTTGTGTAAGACACAAGAATATTAACACCACCATATTGTTGTCCCAATATACCGATCAAGGATACTATAAGCGCAAATCTATTTCTGATGTTGCCAAACAGTGACTTGAATTGTTGCCAGAACGATAGCTGATTCTTCAGGTCACCTTCAAACTTTAGTGACTCATAAAGTATATAAAAGTCACGAGCTCCTGAAAGAGCATCCGGTCTAAGCTTCATAAGAGACTCCAATGCCTCTTTCGATTTACCATGAACCAAAAGCCACCTTGGAGATTCAGGAGGGAGAAATATAAGGGCAGCAGTAATTAAAGGAGCTACTGCAGAGGATCCAATCATTAGGCGCCAGGAGAGGGATCCGTTAATTCCAACAAATGCACGATTAAAAACTGAACCTAAGCAAACCCCTAAAGCGATGAAGGTCTGCCATAACATCAAAACGGCCCCGCGCGAAATTGCTGGAGCACATTCTGCGGTATAAATTGGAACCGTGGAAGAATTCATACCCATACCGATGCCAAGGAACAATCGTGCAAATAGAAGACAACCTAATCCATTCGAAAATCCCTGGATGAGCGATCCAGCAAACCCTATGAAACAGCTCCAAAACACAATCCATCTTCTCCCTAGAAATTTGTCAAGATAAACAGTCAAAGGGGATCCTATGCAAGCTGCTGCTAGGTAGGGAATAGCTACGGTCAAGCCCTGGATGTTCACATTCGTGATATTAAATTCTTTCTGGTACTGGATTACTGCTCCTCCCACTGCACTTTCATCCATTCCAAAATTAATTGCCGCTAAAGAAGTACAGAGAGCGGCCATCAACATATGTCGTGACAATGATCTGAGCGGCTTGGACTGGGCATTTTGAGCTACTGTTCGTTCCCTTTCAGTGTAATCCTCTGATTCAATGATAGTAGGATCGTTCGCCCACAGGGCGCCCCTAGTTATGATCTCTCGATACTCTTCCAACTCGTAACTATGGATGATTTGCTCGACCTCACTAAGAACTTCATTTTTTGGTTCATATTCTTTGAATACGGTGACTTTCTGTAAGTCTGAGTTTGAGGACGAATCCTTGGAAGAAATTTCGACAATATCTGATATCTTTTCACTCTCAGCCATTTCTGCAAAGTTCAATAGCTGTCGAATGAAGGATTAAAAGAAAAATCCCACATAGGATATCTTATGTACATAATTTTGCGGTGTACCAAGTCCTTTTTTTGTCAGCTTATCTAAGCCGTGACTTTGAGTTCGCAGACACCGAGACTCCGAGTCTCGAAGACAACTTCCAAGACAAAATAAGTTTCATGGCGCTTTATCCTGATTATATGCTTAATTAGTTACATCTGTGACTTATAGGGATAAGAAAATATTGAAAAATGGGGAGCACCATAGTGCAATTTTGATGTTCTCGCATCATTTAATTACACCTGTGTTTTCCATGCCAGTCACAGGATTCATTCAAAACGAAAAAGCAAATCAGTAAGAGTGTCGTACTTGATCCATGTTATGAATTAGCTCAATTCGCATTCTCTCATTGGTTAATCGAAAATCCGCTTCTTCCTAAATGTAGACTTTTACCTAAAAAAATTCACATACTTGTGGTTAAGGGATGCCGTCGCAGACCGAAATCTTCATCTGTGACACCAGGAACGCTAATTACCAAATAATGATTAGATCTTTAATTCAGCATATTGAGTATCTTCACCAAATTAGACAATGAGTTTTCCAGTTCTGGTTACATCAAAAATGCGAGAATTAGAGATGACATTTATGAGAGCATATGTACCTTTCACCATCCATATTCAGGCTTTTTTTAAGTTTTCGAAAACCATCATTATATGACTTCTTAAAGTTGATGGGAAATTTAATGTGTATTATCGACCATAATACATAAATTAAAAAACAGTTTTGAATAAAAATTTAATTATGCTGTTAAACATTTATGCTCTTGACAAAAATTTCCCAGCACCCCTTATTAGTTGTTTTGTTTCGTTCATATAAGAGTAAAAGTCAGTTTACTAGCCTACGCCCAGTTAGCCAATGGCTCTTCATCGTCATTAATAATTTTTGGATATTTATTCTCCGCAGTGGTTAGATGAATCAAAGGAGAAGCGAAACCTATACGCTTAGCTCTTTTAAAAGTCTGAAGTTCAGTCAAATAGATAGTTAAGCTATGAATTCTTGTAAATGTGGATAAACGTATAAAATTTCTGAATGTTATTCTTTTTTCCCCCAGAGCTAGCTACCACAGTGTGCTCATCGACGAGAAGGATTTCCGTATCAGATTAACTGAATATTTAAAGAATGAACTCTCTTATTCTGAGGGACGGGGGCACAAAATATGTGACATATTGAGAAGTATTTGAGAAAATGCAGTAAAATGTTGTATCTGGAAATCGCCTAAAAACAAACAACTGCCGTTTGACAAAACGGCAGTTTATGAGAGAATTTATGTATGGGTGAAGCTGTCGTCTTTTCACAACATACTCCAAATGCTTAGAGTAAGCGAGAATAGATCTGAAAGTTTTTTGAGTCCATATATAACAACGGATAATAGAGTTTAAATAAGAGTATCAACGTGAGGATTGAAAGGCGATTTAGACCTCACTTTCATTTCTATTAGCTTGAAAGATGGATTAAGGATGGATATTCAATATCATCGTCACGAATCCTTTTTATAGGTATATATCTTCCCATTCAAGAGTTATCGTATAAACTCTTTCAGTTTCAAGCGAGGCGGTTAAACTCAAAAAAACATCCTTCTTTATTTACACGCGTATTACCTCAGATACTCTAAGTGTGGTGAATAATTACCAATCAAAACAATATAGTGAATTTTTCGAATAGATTACCAAATATGGTCATGGAAAACGTTGTTATTATGATATTTGGTGATCATTTCAGATAAATATAAATGAGTCTCAAAATCACGCTGTGTTACCTGGATGAAAATAGTAAAAATAACCAATAACAGAGATTCTTAGTGTCAACTGTAATTAGATACGCAGATGTGCTTTAATATTATTAACAAGTGTCAGACATAAATATACCACCATACTTTTCCTTAACCAAAGACTCTCATCTAATTCTATACTCTCTTCCAAACAATTAAAGTTTTACCTCCTGTACGCCAGGCAAACTTTTAGCCAAGAGTTTCTTCGAGTATTAGAACAGAACTAGGAAAAGGAGTAAAGCCCTGATAATTGATTCGACCAAACATACTTCAATGTGCAAACTATATTGTGTGAGAAATAAGCCTTTTCTATTTTTACGACAGAGGGTATTGAACAATTAATAAAATACCTTGAAGGATGTCCATGCGGTGTTCTTTTTATCAGATTCAGCGGCGCATGTTAAGTTCTGAGCGAAAAAAAATACGGATCATTGTCGAGTCAGAATTATGGGAATTAAATCATGCTAGGTTTTATTTAACACAAATGTTGCATAAAATAGTCTTTGCGGTTCGTACAGCAATAAAACCCGACTCTTTTTGGTATTTAAAAGAATTTAATGCTCTAGCCAATGTGTTATTTTCTGTTAGGTATTTTTATGTCAAGTTTGAGTGCACTCCCATAATATCGTGAATTAGCGTTAATAATTCATATGGATTGATATTCGAATTGTTCAGATACTAAATTAGCGATGAACTAATTGCCTTACTTCAGATTCTTGATTTACGTTTAAACTCTCATGATGCAAAATCCTAAGATTCAAATGTCAACCTTTAGTCTTACATAATATCAAGTGGAATTATGTCACTTAAAAGCAGAGAAGAAGTTTTAAATAGCAGATATAGAGAAGAATACAATCAAATAAGAAGAAATTGAGATGAAAACAGTAAGTTTGGTCAAATAAGAACATCATGCATGACAGGATCTCGCTCTAATTTCATACCATGCAAATTCAAACCACCTGAAGCTTTAAACCATGCACAACATACGCTATTCCAAGTCAGAACCATGATAACCACACGATGGTAACAGTGATCGTGCAAATCTTCGATTTCAACTGGCTCTAGTTCATATTTACAGTATCTTCGAAGTTTTCTAATTTGAGATTTAGGATATTCTCATCTTTTACAAGTTTTTTCGACATTTGAGATTGTTGCCATCTTAAGTTCAATACAATTGATGCACTCAGATAGGATAAACTCAAAACTGAGTTCTCTTTTGGCTAATCGAACCTGAGCCCATCGTAGATTATTTGATAAAGGTCTAAAAGTATATTGTCTAAATGGTCTTATTTTTGGTATTTGTTGAAGTGAAAGATAATAATTTTATGATTTTGAAATAGTTGTCCTAGTAGTATCCACAGTGGATCTAACCGTGCTATAACAATTATAAATTTCCATGAAAACCGACCACTTCACCACAACTTGTCCTAAATGGGCACCATGAACCCTTAAATGACTAAAAAAAGCTGGCATTTCTCATGATTGTTCAAAACTTGAGCAAGAACAGCCAATTGTCTGCTCTGATTACCTCTCATACCATAGTTTGCCCAAAGCCCACAACCCAATCCAGATGAAACTACGGTAAAGGCTCCAATTTTATGATTAGTATGAAATCACTGCATTTCTTCTAACTAAGGTTTCTGAAAAAAAACTCTCTACAAGACAATTTTCATCTCAATCGAGATGTGAAGTTCCGGACAGTCCAAAAATCGAACGTTATTGCACCCCTCTGCTGCAGAAATGAAATGAACAGCGACGTGTGAAACGGGAAATAATTAAAGAAAAAATGAGTACTTGCGATTTAATCACTGTACCGGAAGTAAACCGAGAAAGGTGCGATATTCAACACGCCAGTTGTAGTTTTTTTTTCTGTTTTTGAAAGGAGCACAGGGGAAGCACCTAAAGTGAGAAATTATCGAAGCAGCTCATATTTCGAATCTAAGAAATTGTCATTGTCAATGGCTACAGTGGTGCCGATCCGGAGCTGCCGATCAAGAGCTCTTCTTCGGCACATCACCGTTCTCCGGTAAAAGTGCAATGAAAAAAAATGATCTTTCAGTTTTCGCAGTTCACAGAGAAGTAACTGTAACTATCGCTACCTGTGTAGAGGTCTCAATATAATAAAGAGCTGAGAAAAGCTTAAATAAGGAGTTTCTATCGGTCATTCTTTTTGTTATGCTTTAGTCATATGTTAGTGGACTAGTAATTTGAGTCCTGCTCATTCAGAAACCTTAGACGTTTGAGTTCTCTCTCAATTGACATTTCAACTTGTCGTTTCAAAGATCCTATTGCGCTTCATTCACGATAATAGTAATGCACACTTCAATCAGTCAATGTAGCTTCCAAAAACACATCATGACTTCTGACTATCCTTGGAGCTTCTCGTATAATTCTCCTAGATATTGTCCAACAATTTGCTAGCAAATTAGGGCTTAAACTTCTAGTGGAAAAATTCAATGCTATCATATCAGATTTCCACATTTCCCGCTTAATTGTCGGCTTTATTCTTACCGCGGGGCCTAGATTTTTATGAGTTTTTTCAACCAAGTTTCTGAAAAAAGAAACAAAGGATCTTCACCGTTTTCGACGGCGGCTGCCGTTCACTGCTACGGTTCGGGATAAATAGGTATGGGTGTAGAGGCTTCGCGACAGATACCCCTGTGTAGTTAGGCATGCCAAAGAATCTGAAACGATGCGGAAAAACAGTTTCAATCGGACTCTTCAGTCCAATATGAGAGAGCCTTCCTCTCAGAGAACGAGGTGCGAGAGGACCCCAGATATGCACAGGAACTAACCTTCAAAGACTATTGTGACATTTCGCTAATGAGCATTCCGTTATCTTTAAATGCTGCGCCTCTAGTTAGACTTTTTGAAAACGAGAAATTACCGCCAAAGCAACGTTTTTGAAGTTCGACGGTAAAGGTAGTGAGGTTTGCTTTTTCATAAGTATATTTCACGGTTCCCATGTAGGAAATCATAGCCACAAGGAATTTTAACCAAATTTATGCTCGTTTTCTTGGCGCTGACGTCAGTTCTGCAGGTTTTGTGGCTAACTGGCCGCGTCTTCCATTCCAACGACGAAAATCGGGGTGCGCGTTGTGCTATTGATGTATTACCAAGATGACATCGGAGACCTTCAAATCTCCGACGCCGCAATATATCACTATCAACGTCTACAGTTGCTTCGAAAATGATTCTACAATCATCGACCTCTTAGATTTCCTAGGCGGCTTTTTGAACGCGATGAGAAAAGGGTGCATTTCAAAGCGGTTAAGAATGTTTAGGCTTGAATTAGTCAAAAGCCTTGCTGCCTGTAATACCAAGATTTCCGAAAAGCACCCCATAATTACAATTCTTGGCAGACGGATATTTCGCTAATTGAAAAACCTTATCAGTTAGTGATCGTCTAGATCTATATAAGTAAGTTTTACCTCGAGAATTATTAAAAGTGATCTAAAGGTTATCTCTTTCTTCACTGCTTTTTCTTGAAACCAAGATGAGAGTCATTAACGCGGCAGTGTTCGTCTTTTTTATCTGCTTATCATATGCTGATTATGTCACGTACAATGATGGGGAGTACATTGGAATTTCATGCAAGGCAACATTGTTAAAAACTGCGATATTTTGTAAAACTGACACTTCCAAAAGTTATAGTTGTCAATGTACGGATATCAATGCGTTGGGCTCTTACGTCTATTGTGGGTATCAGAATTGTCATTCTGACAAAGAAAAGAAGCAATTTGAAACCTTTTTTCAGTCAAAATGCCCGAAGATTACAACGAAAAAAATGGAACAGGCATACAGTAATGTAACCTCATATTTGGTTAATACTACTAGCATTGCAAATTTTAATATTAGCAAGCCAGTGAGCGTTCCCGTTATTTATAATAAGAAATATTTCGGATATTATCTGAATTCAGCACATGCTAGATATGACAATTTTTATGATTCAATGAGAATGGGCGCTGGTCTTATGGGATATTGGGGGCTAGTTTTTCTTTGCGGCATAATTGTTAATTTGCTATCGAAATTTGCACCAAATCTACTGCTCAAGATTAAAAAGGGTACATCTCAGCTAGCAGTGACAAGGTGGTACAGGTCGTTTGTATCTCTACCAGCAGTTTTCTCTGGTCGCCATTCTCAAAGAAGTGTGTTAGGTGGTGTTTATCCTACTAGATTAGAGTCTCTTGTCCTATTCGGGTTCTTTGTGCTCTGCGTTCTATTTGAAGCTACAAGATTTCACTACGTGGCACACGATGTTTTCTGGAGCAATCGTAAAGCACAGATGGGACGTTATATTGGAGATAGAACCGCTGTTCTTCTAGTTTTCATGATGAACATAACCTATTTATTTGCTGGGAGAAACAATATATTTATATGGCTGACAGGGTGGAAACAATCAACTTTTTACATATATCATAAGTGGGTCGGTCGTATGTTTTTGCTCACGATTTTCGTTCATTTGGTCGCGATGTTATGCAATTCCATTTATGCAGATCTTTACGCGTCAAGATCCGCCACCAGTTGGTGGAGATGGGGCTCAGTTTCGGGTGTCTGCGGTGGAATTATTGTCGTTCAGGCATTCAGCTGGTTGAGAGTGAGAAACTACGAGCTTTTCTTATATGTGCACATATTGATGGCTGTATTTTTCTTAGTAGGAGCTTGGAGACACATTGCGTATTTTGGCTATACAAAATGGGCGTATTCGACTGCTGCGGTGTGGTGTTTTGATTTTTTTATGCGGCTGATCAGAATAGCTTCATTTGGGATTAAGGATGCTAAAATCGAGATTGTTTCCCATGAAACACTCCAAGTTACTATAGAAAAGAAGTCGTACTGGCCATTTTTCAGCGGATGCTTTGGCTATATTTACTTCGTGGGAACACCTGTATTTTGGCAATCACATCCTTTTACAGTCGTTAAGACGGATAACGGAGATCTCAGATTGTATATCAAGATCAAAAAAGGTGTTACTGAGACCATATACAAAAAGCTACAAGATCAACCTAACTGTACAGGGACAATAAAAATCGCATTAGAAGGACCATATGGAGATGAGAAGCCTCTGGAAACTTACGATCAGGTTTTATTATACACTGGAGGAAATGGTATCCCCGGACCATTTACCTATGTCAAGAAAATTTGCGAAACTGAGAAGGCAAAAACAAAGTTTATCAAACTTTATTGGGTTATCAGACATTGGCATTCAATTGATTGGTTTTTGGAGGAACTCCAGTCTTTGCAAAAATATAACAATGTTGAAACTGTTATATTTGTGACCAAATATCATGAGGCAAAAGTGGGAGAGAAATTGAGCAACAGAAATACGAGTGGTTCGAATTCAAACTCATCAGTAAACGAAAAAAACTCAGATACTGTTAATGAGGTAGTCTACACCTCTTGGCTAGACGTCATTGAAAAGACGTTACCTCATGTCGATTTTAGAGAAGGAAGACCGTCGACTTCCAATCTCGTCACCGAGGATCTCCAGGAGTCTTTAGGCCAAGACGTGGCCATAGTAACATGCGCACATGGTGATATGTGCGATGAGATTAGGCAGGTGGTATCTAAAGATGCTCTTAAACGTAAAGAAGGAAGAGTTGATCTATTCGAAGAGTTACAAACCTGGTAATAGACCCTTCTGATATGGCCTTTTTGAGCTATTAAACTTCAATTTTTAGCTAATGCATATAAATAATCTAACATAGGGCTTCTTGAAAATGCTTTACTTTCATCTGTTTAGCTGGGTATCATACTTGAGAGCACTCAAGATAAAATTGGAAACGTTTCTGCCTAGTGAAGATAGAAACATTTTAAAAGAATCATTATCACTGAGATAGATACACAAAAGTGTATTTTTGTTCTACGCAAAAACGATATATATAGTACATCCTGTAAGCATCTTCATAAATGACGGCAAATTGAAGACGACAATTTATTACAGTTTGAAAGGCAGGGTAGCATGATAGCGTAATCCTCAATTATCTCTGTGTGCAAGGGTCCACGACCTTTTTAGGAACTCTGGTCCTATGTCAAAAAGTTTAAAACCTTAAACGCTGCCTACCATCTACATCATATGACCATAATATAGATTTTTTTTCCCTATATCTTGAATATAATAGTAAACGTGCTTTTCTGAAACATCACGTGACAGAATATTAGAATTAATTGGAATTAATCAAGAGACAGTTTTTCTCATCTTCTCGAAAGAAGTCGCATCGTTCATACCAATGACTGATACAGAAAGTGACATCACAGACGATCGCAATACCAAAAACCATGATGGAAGGAGAGCAAAACGTAATTTTCGACCAAAGAGAGGAAGAAAAAGTACTCCTACGAAAGAGGTTTGCCAAAAAATTGCTTCAAATAAGACTTCTCAAGCGAGCAAGAATGTAAATCCTCCCCCCTCAGGAAAAAAGGGCATTAAAAACCTAGCCAGTTCGTATCGGACTCCAAATTCTGAGAACACTAGCACATTACTGAGTATCCAGCAAAGAGAAATCGATGAGATGGAACATTCATTTGGAAGCAAACGCATCAAATTATTTAAGAAGGGCAAAAATGTCAAGTCATTCGGCCTGGTTATACCTAATATATTGGAACAAAAATCTATTACATTTATCGTGCACATACCGCACAATTACCCGCAGAGCCCAATTAAAATTGGAGCTAAGCCCCTCAGTATGGCCGATGTAGACAAACCCCTGCTTTCAAATACACAGCAACGGTGCCTACTTCGAATCGTGAATAACTTCAACATTAAAGCACGCGAGCTGAATTCCAAAAGTGAGCCTCTCGCAATGCAACTCAACTACTTGATGAATGAATGGCCTTCACTCGGGGCATTTAATTTTAAACAGAACGATGAACTACATAAATCTTTTTTGAGCCAATTCTTCGAGTAACTTCAAATCGAGCTTACTCCCTAACAAAAACTGCTGCCGCACCCATCCCTGTTCCAATGCACATACTCACCACACCCACTTCTCCAGCCTTTAGCTCTCTCAAAATCGTGGCAACTTGTCTGGCACCTGTGCAACCTAAAGGATGACCTAACGCTATTGCCCCGCCATGAGGATTGACTTTTGACAGTGGAATTCCAAGCTTTTGGATACAGTAGAGAGCTTGCCCCGCAAATGCCTCGTTGATCTCGAAGACAGTAACATCATCTACTTTTAGGTGGCAGTCACTAAGAACTTTGGGAATGGCGTAAGCTGGACCAACCCCCATAATTTCAGGAGGAACGCCTACGGCTTGAAAACTCACATACTTCGCCAAGACAGGAAGATTCAAAGAATTTGCAACGGACCTTCTGGTAAGAAGAACCCCTGCCACACCATCTGAAATCTGAGAGGCGTTACCTGCAGTTGTGACACCCTTTTCTTTTATGAAAGCTGGACGCAGCTGCGCCAAGTTCTCAGCGGTTACACCCTTGCGTGGCCCCTCATCCGTGTCAATTACTCGTCCATCTGGAAGCTCGATAGGAAGAATTTCGTCCCTGAAGAAACCCTTTGACACCGCTTCTTCTGCCTTTTGGTAGGAGCTCGCTGCAAACTTGTCTTGATCTTGCCTTGAAACCTTATATTGCGTGCTAACATTTTCATTAGTTATCCCCATTGGAATCAGGCAAGTACTAGCTGATTTGTTTTCTTTCATTTCATGAGAGAGCGCCCCGAGAGCTTTGGGACCATAGTTTTTACTCATAGACTCGACTCCCAGGGCTAAACCTACGCTGATCTGGCCAGCCCTAATTTTATTGGCAACGTCGTTCACTGCGGTAAGTCCAGAAGAACACTGTCTGTTGATCGCAACGAAAGGAGTGGAATAGGGAAGACCAGACGCTAAGCACGCCGCTCTGTGCTCAGTTGCTCCTGCACCAGGATTAAGCACGTTACCGCAAGCAACTTCTTCAATCATCTCCTTATTTTCTTTTATTGGTGCAGGAAGACGCTCAATAAATTCTTTCAAAAATTGGTAAAGTAAGTAATCCGAGTTCACATCTTTGAAACCTCCCTTGAAGCCCTTGGCCATCGCAGACCTATAGGCTGAAACGATGACAACATCGTCGGCGTTTTTCTCTTGTACAGATGGTTGCCCCTGAGACAAAAGATGATCTTTTATTTGAACTAATCTACTCGACATAACTTCGTGAAATGGATTTCTAAGACAATCTCTATCTGCAATCCACTAGCGAAACATTCCATATTTATAACCTTTGCTTTCTGCCTTGTATGTCACGATTTCGCCTTACCCCAATTGCGTCGGCTCGGAGTTAGTGAGAATCCACGAATTTTAATTTTCTCCACAATCACTAATTAAAGGTACCTCAAATACCACGAACCTTGGTCTTGTCTTGCTCATTGGATATGCAGATGCTCGTGACTGTACTTTGAGCTATAATGCCCTAATTGTTGCGCTTCTTTGCTTGTAAACGTCGTGCGGCGCTATTGGTGTCCTACTTTTTCTTTCTTCACGTGTTCAAATAGTTTTGTATACACAACAATCTTCTGGACCGAAGCGCGTTTCAAATTCACGTACGTTTTACCTTGATCCACACAAATCCAAGAATAAACATATAAATTTATGAAGTCGCGCAAAAAACATGGGTGGATAGAGCCGCATGCTTACTCCACAAGATCGTTTTCACTAGATGAGGGTATAATACAGCCTATTACAACCAGCGGTACGACAATCGATGATCCAGTCGCCATCGGTCTGATGTTGGCTGGTTCAGGATTGAATACCAAAGGATCGCATAATAAATCAGGTCCTTACAGTTCTAAAGCACGAAATTTTTCCGCCAATGACATAGAAAGGTATGATATAAATTCTCAAAGCGCTAATTCTTCTGGTGACGAAAACCCCCCTTCACCTGCCATTGTTGAAGCGCGATTCAATGAACTTCTTCAGAATAAGGCCTTTTTTTGGGGCAGTGCACGCAAAGGTCTACAGAATCTTTCTAATAGAAGAAAATGGCAGCTTGTTTGCAAAGAACAAAAGCTAAGGTCACATGCTGATAGGATCGAAACTCCTAGCTCTACGATCGAGCTGTTTAACGCAATGAAGATGAAATTGACTTCTCAGAAAGATCTCTCTGCCCCACTGTACCATTTAGAGAGATTATTGAGACAAAACGAGTTTTGCCAGGTATTTTTAAAAAATGATGGAGTTGAGTTTTTAGCAAAGCTCTCTGATAACATTTCTGATCAAACAATATATGTATTTCTGCGTTGCTTCAAAACGCTGATGAACCACGATGAAGGCCGAGCTGCCATACTGATATGTGATCGTTTAGTTTCATATTTATGCTTCGCTTTGACAACTGAAGAAATCAGTCTTCGTGTGCGCGTTTTGTCCACTGAAATGTTACTTTTGCTCACTTATGTTGACCATGACGGCAGGAACGTGGTGGTAAATCACATGAGCAACTTCTACGGACAGTGGTTTTCGTTAGTTAGATCAACCCTCTCTGACCCAGAAAATGTTTCTACTCAAAATGAAGTTATTATAATACCAAAACCCCAACAAATGCTTTGCGACTACTCTCTAACGACGTTATTTCTCATCAATTCAATTGTACAGGTCTCTGCGACGTTGAAAGAGAAGCGTGAATTTATTAATACCTTCAAAGAGTATGATATACACAAAATGTTTCGCCAAATGCAGCTCCAGGATTTTCAACCGATCCAAGAAGAAATTGAAAAATATACTTCAATTGAAGATGAATTACTATCACAGTCTAATTCAGAGTCGTCAGATTTACTTGATACATCGTATGGTTCATACCTGAAGACGCTGTTTCTCGAAACACGAGATACTCCTCTAGAATTTTGTGTTAATCAAGTATTAGAAGCAATATTGAAATTACTAACGAGCAGGACCTCTTCAGAATCTCTAAAACTGCTCACGTTGATCGTTTCAATTTTGAATTATTTGAAGGATTATACGTTCGGAGAGGAAGGAGTTGAGAAGGAGGCAATTCTGCAAATATCACTTAATCAACTAATGGATAACTTGCAATCCGATGAAATAGCCAAAAGAGCGATGAAAGAGCTCAATCGATACCAGGCCGAAATAGAAAAAATGGAGCAAGAAATAAAAAGCCTTAATGAAGATAAAATGATTACGAAGGGTGATCTCCTTACAGATTTAGAAAATACGAAAAAATCGCTAGATTTTAAACAACAAGAATGCGATCACCTTCGTGAGAAATTGAACGTTGCTACTGATCAGCTTAAGAGTGAGAAAAAAAGATTCGAACAAACCCTCGTACATATCAATCACCGGCAGCCTATGAGGGTTAGCTCTCTGTCAGTTTTCGAAAATCTCAAATCTCAAAGCGATTTGTCAAGGTTGACCAAATCATCTGGCCCAAAGAGAGCCACTTCCCTCTCAAAAAGTAGACCCTTTACCTCTTTAGCATCTGTCATGAAATCGAATCAATATTCTAGGAATGGACATGATCAAGTGAAACCGGAGAATGTCAATTACTCAACCACAAATAACAGCATACCATTTAACAACTCTGAAGAAAACTTGTTAGAGTGTGGCTTTTCTAGAAGCTACAAAAGATTCCAAGGAAATAGTAGCGATGGCTGTGTTCTTGCATGCTCCTCAAACAATTGCGTTTCAGAATGCCAAACAAGCTTTTCCAATGAAATTGAGTTTAACACCAGTAATAATACGTCGTGCAATGGGGAAAACCGGGAATTGAGAAGCGGGTCGTCGGTATTTCATTCTTCACATCCACGGCCAATTGAATTATCATCGAGCAGCAATAATATCTCGTCAGAAAACGAATCAACCTCACATATTTCACCCAGGATTGCAATCTTACCAAATAAAACAGATAAACCAAACCCAAGCTCAGAAATGGGGTGTGAAAAGATCGTAAAATCAGACACTATAACTGAGTCTGCTAAGGTATGCTCCAACTCTCAGCAATCCCGTTCACTTGCTGTTCTTTCTCCGCATATGGTTGTCCCACCGCCACTAGCTCCTGCCTTGCCAGACTTTATGATTTCGGCTTCGTTGCCTCCACCTCCAGCTCCTCCTCTACCTGCAACAACGGTTATAGACCTAACTGTTAACGAAAACAATGAGATTGATAGCATAAAAGATGAGCAAGATATTCTACACTTGGATACACAAGAACGTGGATCATTTGCTTCTGACGTGCCTCCACCCCCTCCACCTCCGCCACCTCCTCCACCTCCTCCACTGCCCTCAAATACACACCCTCATCGCTTCACAAAGACAGAGCAAAAGCCTAGTAATGGGGTTATTCCGTTGAAACAAATTCACTGGGACAAAATAAACGACGTAAAAGAGACTTTCTGGAGTCAAGACGAATGGCACGAAAAGAAAACTCGAGAACTTGAACAGCTGGGGATTTTTGCTGAAATCAATGAGTTATTTCAGGTAAAGCAAACGACTCTACTGAAAAACAGCAACAAACTTAAAAATGATATGAAGTCCTTACACTTGCTTCCAACAGACTTAGCTCAGCAATTTGGAATTAATCTGCATATGTTTTCAAACCTTGCTGTGGAAAGCCTCGTCCAGAAAGTTCTTCATTGTGATCGTGATATTATAACAAATCAAAGCATATTAGAATTCTTCAATAAAGAAGATTTAACTAACATTCCTCATACTTTAGCAGTTAAATTTCGACCTTACTCTACTGACTTCATAAATCGCATAGGACCGGAAAAAGATGTACAAGAATTGGAGCGATCGGATAGAATATTCTTGGAGCTGTGCTATAATCTCAGAGGCTATTGGTCTTCAAGATCGGAATGTCTGCTCACATTGCTGACGTATGAAAAGGATTATTATGACATCTTATACAAACTTCAAAAGATGGACGACGCTATCAAAGTTATCAGGAATTCTAATGAACTCAAAGAAGTGCTGTTCACAATAGTTGAAATCGGGAATCATATGAACAAAAAGCCAACCTATGGAATAAAATTGAGTTCTTTACAGAAACTAGCATTTATCAAAACCAATAAAGATAGCAACATATCGTTCTTGCATGTGATAGAGCGGATCGTACGCACAAAATATGGAACGTTATACACGTTCGTTCAAGATCTTTCAAAAGTCGCAGATCTAAGTAACCTAATAGTGAGTCAGGTAGAACTCGAGTGCCAAGAATACTTATTGCGAATCGAGTCTATCAATAATTCGCTGAAGCAGGGACCGCTATCCAAACCAAAGATGCTTCATCCCGAAGATCATTTATTGCAAAAGATAAAAGCCAAAGTTACATTAGCAAATCGCAAGGCAGAGCTTTTAAAAGACCAATGTTTACTGACAACACGAGACCTTGAAAACCTGATGAAATTGTACGGTGAAGACCCAAGAAATGCTGATTCAAAAAATGAATTCTTCCTTTACTTCATCGAGTTTCTATCCCTGTTCAAAAAAGCTGCTAAAGAAAATATGGAAAAGGAAGAAATGGAGCGGATTTATCATCAAAGGCAGCAACTAATAAAACAAAAGGTATCCGACGAAGATCAATCAGATGATAATAACAAGAACGGCGAAAGTGATGCAGTTGACATGTTGATAGAGAGATTGCGCAATGTAAAAAATGAAAAAGGTCAAGTGAAAAAGAACAAATCAAGGTCCCCTCCAAATAATCTACTACTATCGAGAACCCAGCGTATGCTAACGAATATACAAAATATATGAATAGTGATGTCAGTCGTTCGAATACCGGACGTTGGAACTTCACGAGTCACTACATACGTAAAAGGCACTTATTTCAAGTCTAGACTTTCTAAACGGGAATACCCTGCAAGCGGGCTTCGCGAATTTTTTCAGAGCCTTCAGAAAAACAGTAATAGGTCACTGATACTCAACTCGAGAGCATAATCCTTGGCACTAAAAGTCCGCCTGTTTACCAACCATTTTACACTCGCTTTCTGATCTTACACTCTCAGTGGTGTTCAAGTATCATCCTAGTTCTAAATGACAGATGCAGTCTCGGTCGCCGTCGGTTGCGCTGTAGGGATCCCTTGTGGTGTAGCAATAGTCGTGGCACTGTTGTTTTGGTATCGAATGCAGCGTAGATTCAAGAAGGAACGTGAAGAAGATAACGAATCTATGAATGATGATGGTGAAATCAGCTTCAATAATTTGGTACTGACGCAAAGAAGGGGAGCAGAAAAAGAGCCGGATGTTAACCACGTTGTAGCAGGTTCCGGTTCCTCCGAGGATACCACAAACCAGGAGGAAAAGATTGTAGACAATACACGGGGAGGAGAAGTACAGAGATCAAGGAGTAAGTACACTCCTGCTTATCGGAAAAAGCTCAATTCTTCTTTGTCCACTTACCATCAAACAAGGAGTAGTGAAGATTTCAAAAGTGCTAACAACAGTTCATCAGCATCCCTAGATACAAGGCAAAACCTCACAAATCCCTCTACGATGTATGATCAAATTATTCCAATGCTCCCTCAAGATCAGAGTGGCTTAGAAAGTCCTTCCGACATCAGCCTATCTAACGAGCAAGTGGCTAGTAACGAGAATTTAATTAAAAATCTCCAAAATCAGGACTTTGGCTCTTATCCCAGGAGGAAGCCTTCTATAAACTCAGCCATTACTGGCCAGGCCAACTTTTCCAGCACATCCGTACACACAAGATCATCATCTATTCATTCCAACTCCAAGAAAAGTGCCGAAAATGTTTTTGAAACGCCTAAGAGTCAAAAGATTATAATGCATGATGATGATAGTGGCGACGACAAGAAATCAAGCGTCTATATGTTGAAAAACAACTACGATGTTGGAAATGCTGCTGAAATTGCAGAAGAAGATCAATATGAAAATGAGTTCACAAACTACACTGAAAGTAAAAGAGAATTCATCGATAGCTTGAGGCCAAGAAAGCTGTAAATTATGATATCTTCTTTAAGGAAATGAAACATTTGGATTTATTTTTGTTTTTAACGGTTATTAGTGTATATAAAAGCTGCTTTAATGACCATTTCAAGGTTATACGGGCAGCGGGTATGTACAGGAAATGATGATAGGCTTCATAATGTCTTAGGTTCCCCTTCCTCTGAGAGTAGGTCAATTTTCTTATCATTGACCGTTACACTCCATTCATGGATGAGAAATTCTTGATTTTTGTTTTCTCTGTCTGCAACAAGCTTTACCATGCCCCTAACGCCCTTGCTTCCTTTGATGTTAAACCTGATATTGATGTCTCCTGAAACTTGATTCAGCTCACCGTAAACCCAAGGTACCAAACCATCGAAATCGATACTATCTCCGAGGAGATCCCTTGTTAATGCAGAGCGACGTAAGTGATAGAGGGTATTAGAGATGATAGGCGACTGAGTTTTCTCGTAATTGAAGATGCATGCCAGGGACACGCCCATTGCTATGAAAAAGGCACCAAGTTGGACTCTTCTCTTAACCTTATCTTTGGTAGGATCAGGTAATTCCCGGTCGATACGCATAGGTCTTGACTTGTCCTTGAGCACAAGGGCTCGCTTTGTGCTTAACATAAAGTTTGAAGTCCGAGAAGCATGAAAAATACGTTGTCTAGAATAAGACCCTAACAGTTTTAGCATTTCCTTCACTGATGGCTTTTTTATATGAGGGTGAAAGAGTTTTTTCATCACCAAAAATTTTGAAGAACACAAACAAGTACCTCAATAATGACATTTGTAAGTTTTCAAAACTCGAAGGGTACTTAGAATGACATTTACTGACATTTGATTAGATTGGAAAATTGGTTCATTTTTCTTTCGACTTTGTGCTGATTTCTACGTGTCTTGCGGGGATTAAGCGCAACACTGGTTTGACCCCCAAGTTAGATTCGATACAAGACCCTCACATACAAGGCTACTGTCTAAAATATTTGAACTTTGGCGAATCATGCTATGACTATACGGTCGCAACATGCGGAGCATCCAGTTATTTTGTAAGAAAATGACTCATGTTTCACAGAACATAAGCATGCAAATATATTATTGTTATCGAATTCTAAAATTAGGGTTTAACTAGGATTGAATGGTAGACCTTTGTAAGTAGTGTCTAGGGGCTCTCCTCCATTATTTGGACCTTTGTCTGAATTGGTGCGTTGTTGGGGTCCAATTCCTAATAGATCAGGTTTGCTATCATATATATTGTAGAAGAAACCATATTCATCAGACTGACCCTCTATCGGCACATTTTGCACGTCATTTTCGGGAACTGCAGCCAGAGATCTCAAACTTTCCCAGAAATCAAGCCCTTCCTCTTCTCCCACAGTAGAAACTGTAGCGGGTGTTAATCCTGAAATATGCTTTTGGGTGTCGGCCTCATCACGAGATTCACTTATACCTTTCGGGCTCACTTCTACACAGATATTGTTCGTCAAAGGCGTGTTCCCTTCTGAACTACTCTGCTTAGTACGTTTTCTACGCTTTCTTCTGTTGCTGGTATTTTGACCTGAGGGACTAGGATTTGAGACTGAGCCTAAGTCTGGGGTATGCGAGGGATCTGAAGAATTTAGTTGGGGCTTTACACTAGGAGGTAAATAGTTGAAATGGAATTTCCGACCTGGACCTATTTCTTCAAGATCCGCTCCCGTCGTGGAATGCGAACCAGTTGAGCTTGGAGGAGGTGCTTTTTGAGGATTTATGGGTAGCGAAGAGTAGTGATGATGGTGGTGCTGAAGTTGTTGAAAAGTTATTCCTTTCGGCTGAAGCAGCTGTTCGGCTTGTAACGTAGAGTCTAGTGCTAGGCTGGCATAATTCGGTGTACGAGATAAGAAGTCCGCTTCAAGTTCAAGCTCATTAGGAAGCTTATCACCATTGTTAGCTTCCCCATAAAATGGCAATGGAGAGAACTGGTTTAAATAGTCAGCACCAGAACCTGGAGTCTGTGCATTATTTATCTGTGGAACAAACCCATAGTGATTGTGAATATGCTGATGGATGGAGATTTTTACTGAGCGCTTTCTAGCGTTTTCGATCAATTCCTTTACTAGATCAGAATTTGATATTGTGCCTTCCGAAATATGTAACCCGGCATTGTCCTTCAGGGCAAACCGCCAATCCATGTGTGTAGAAGTCGGAGTTGCATGCTTTGAAGAGTTGGAACCCTGCCCCACCTTGGATAAATTTGACTCTCCCACTTTCTTATGCTTATTCTGATCAGTTGAGATCGATGGTTGAGCCAAATCCTTAAATAGTGGTAGTGATTGTGTTTTGTTCCTACTCGGCGGACGAATAGCTGCTGGAGATGTAGAGCTTGAGTGCGACCGAGAAGTTGCCGAGGACAACGCGTTGTTGTTGGGCACGCCATTTGTATTTTCGCTCTTTACGACCTCGCTGGTCGAACGGTTCTCAGATATCGGCTGATCTTGGTTTTCATCAAAAGCGGCATCTTCATTCAAACCTTCAATTTTCATTTGAAGTGTTTCTCGAAGCTCATCCAAAGACTGAAGTTCTTTATTCTGGGAGGTTTCCTGTACAGCCTTGGCTATTGTATCTGAGGCTTTCCCTCTCATTATCATAGTTATAATCTTCCTCCATCGATTTCGGCAAGTCAAACTAGGGCGGGACTCCATTTCGGTAGAGATTTTACGCCATCTCGTCCCATACTTTTTCACCTTACTTATTAGCGAGAGGTCTTCTTCCAAGCTCCAAGAACGTAGTCTGTCTTTCGTGCTGGGATCAAGAACCTCAATGTACCGCTTAGCACACTGGTCTTCAGTTCTTCCAGGAATCTCCGACGAGATTTTCAACCACTGCGCACCCCACTTCTCATAAGATTTCATTAGCTGCTCATCCTCCTCGATAGTCCATTTCCCCTTTTTCAGATTTGGGTCCAGAGAGCTCGTCCACCGCTTTCTGATGTCCTTCGTTTTCCGGATGTTACGATCGAATCGCGTTGCAATTTCATCCCAATGAATACGTTTGCACGCAGAGTTAGACTCCTGGATAGACTTTACCGATTCGATACCCTCGGGATAGCCCATCTGTATCAGAGAAGAGTTGACGGACGAACGAAGCAGTTCATCTTCTTCTTTGCTCCACGGCTTACGAGCTCCTCGTCTATGTGTCTGGTACCCCAAACTTTCCGTAACATCTAAGGGGTCTATACGACATTGTTTTTGTTTCGGCTTCCTACTATCCTGGGACATTAGGAAAACCTGTATACTGTCCTTGATGATGTTCAGATTCGTCTGCAACCTGGTCCGCTCATCGCAGCGATATTTTGGACGGCCATAAGAAAAGTAATACCTCTGGAAAAAGGAGCCCTGGCTTCCAAAAAGGGTATGGGTGTAAATCTATTTGAATTCCAGGATCATATTTAGGCACGTGATAGTGTGGCTGGTGCATTTTTCCCTCTTTCACGTGGACTGATCACAGTTAACGTCAAAAATTGTGCAGTGTCAACATTTGAAAGATGGTCTTTTAAACCAGTTCCACAAGTGAAGGGAGAGTTGACACAGTTGCCTCCGTGCGTGGCAAAGCTCTTCAATAAGTTGGGATGGTACAGTCGTTTACACCGGAGTATTCCAATGAGCTTTTCAAGTTTGTACAGGAGGTTTATTCGCAAGATATAGCTCACTATTTCCCCAAGCTAAAGTTAGAAAAACTGATAGATCTTTTGGAACATGCGGAATACCTGTTCGAGTCATATCGTAATCTACTCAACAGCGGTCAGAATGATGAAGCTCTAACAGCGTTTGTGATAGGGTGCTTTTACATATTTTTGATCGTGCCCCACTCGATTCAATTCCACTCCAGGAACAAATCCTACGGGATCTATTCCGATCTGAAGAAGTACTATCAGGAGGAGTCGAATATGACGAATGTTTTGCTAATGGTCACTAACAAAATCGATTCTTTGCTGAAAACTGAAATTGCTGAATCGGAAGCGGCGAAAATTACTCGAAGAAGGGCATACTCCGTGCCCAGCAAAAGCCTCGAAAAACAGCTGCGCTTGTTGCAGGTGTCCAATGCGGAAGATCCTCTACCAGAAGTGCCTGGCGAATCGAACTCGGATAATGAATCAACTATGTGGACCGCCCCCCAACTAGATCCCAATGATCAGTTAAAACTTGCTTTGGCACCGGCTATATCCCCATCCTCGTCGGCATCGTCGGCGTTGAATGAAGACTACTCGAGGGCCTCCAGAGACTCCTCCTTACCCCCCTTGGATGATCCGGAGATGTCCTTCACGAGGACCATGACAGAACCTCGTCTTCGTCACGCCAGCATACCAACATCTAGCCCATCTTCTGACGATCCGGATACTCTTGCTCCTGTCAACAATATATACTCCCAGGATGTCGACCGCTTTGTGACCCACAGAAAAGACTCATATCATTCAGTTTACATGATGAATGAGGATTATGATGATGATCTGATATTCAATTTAACGCGTCTTCAGAAACAGTCTGTCATTACGTGTGATAAATTAATGGACATTCTCAATGGATCGGACAAAAATGAGCTGCTATTAGTAGATTTAAGATTGGCCAAAAGATTCAAACGTAATCACCTTGTTGCTCATAATATAGTCAATATTGACCCCAAGATTTTATGGGATTCTCAGACGCATGCACCATTATACTCAGATTCACAACTTGAGTCAGTCCTTGCAAATCCCACGTTCAATGACCGTGCAAAATTCAAGCATATAGTTTATTACACTGATATGAGCACCTTTTTGCATGTGGAGTTTGACTACCAGTTGGTTTTTTTCCAGCTCTTATACACATCTTCAACGGAGCTACTTTGTGTTCCCAAGGTTCTTCTTGGTGGCTATGAACAATGGAAAAAGTATATTAGCACGTATGCATCAAATCACAGCATTGATAAAAATGACTATTTGTACAGACCGAGTCATGCTGAGAAGAAACTTGAAACACCACCTATTCCGAAGGCCAGTCCTCCTGCTATACCACATCCAACAACAGCCCCTCCTCCCTTGCCATCCGTGCCTCCACCGCAGCTTGAATCTACTAAACCTTTACCAGAGAATAAACTCAAACGCGCCCCTATGCCATTACCCGAGAAATTACCTTCAAATGCTCTCAATGTGGTGTCCTCCGCTCACCATCATCGGCATCCAAAGAATAATCAAAACTACGCGAATCGGCAAAGAGTAACAACAACTATACCGTCTCTTCCAAAATTTCATGTGAGTGTTCCCACTATTGAACAAAGCCCCAATGCATATGTTGCTTTATCCATTACAGGATTAAGAAATTTAGGAAGTACGTGCTATATCAATAGTATGCTTCAATGTCTCTTTGCAACAAGAAGCTTCAGAGATATTTTCCTGTCCTCCAAGTACCAGGAGTATTTCTCTCATAACTACCACAAGCCTAACCAGTTATCAAAATCCTTTAATATGCTTTTCAAAAAAATGTACATGAATGGTGGTTGTTCTGTGGTTCCTACAGGATTTTTAAAAGCTTGTAATGCATTAAGACCCGATTTGAAAATCCCGTATGACCAGCAAGACACTCAGGAATTTTTGTTGTTCCTTTTGAGTCAACTGCATGATGAACTTTCAGATCCTGATCATGTAGCTGCTGACTTTCCTAATTTGGTTTTGCATGATGATGATCAATTAAAAGTCGATCATAAGGAATATAATAAATGGTTCGAGAACAATATTATGAAAAATGGAATTTCACCTATTGATGACATTTTCCAAGGTCAAATGGAGAATAGTTTGCAGTGTGAGAGATGTGGTTATTGTTCTTACAATTACTCTATCTTTTATGTCTTATCTCTTGCAATTCCTAGCCACTCTTCTACCTTTGGCAAAAGCAAGAAGGTAAAACTTGAAGATTGCATTAATTTATTCACTAGTGATGAAGAGTTAACAGGTGAAAATGCATGGGACTGTCCAAAATGTGGTTCAGCCGCTTCAGGAAGTGGTCCAGAGGGTGATAAAAAGCGGAAAAGAAGGTTTTTATTGAGCAGCGATCACCCTACTAGTAATAGAAGCAAGTTTTTCAAATTACACTCAAGATCTCGGAGTAGATCTGAATCACCATTTGGAAGACTTAATAATAATCCCGAAAAATGGAAGTCTAAAAAGCTATCTACAATCAAAACTTTGAATTTTATTACTCTTCCTCCTGTTTTGACAATTCATCTTTCCAGATTCTATTACGATTTAACCAAGAAAAACAATACTGTTGTAACATATCCTCTCATATTGAGTATCGTTTTGAAGAATGATGAAGTTGTCAATTATAGACTCTACGCAATTGTTAATCATTTTGGAAACTTGATAAGTGGGCACTATACATCCTTGGTGAACAAGGATCTGAGACATGGGATTAGGCATGGATTACAAAAATGGTACTATTTCGATGATGAAGTGGTAAAACGTGATAATAATCATGGTGATTTCGATGCAGGTATCACCGGAATCTCCAGCAGCGACGTATATGTGCTATTTTACGAAAGGATTAATGAATGAGACGTGCAAAACAAACCTGTCTATATTTGTGTGTTTAATATTTAGTCATTGCCGTTTCAGAATTGTCACAATTAAGTCATGTTATTTTATAGAATATGGATACTACGTAATTTTCATCAGTTAGTTAGAATTTGTCGGTTACTCAGACACCAAAGGTTTTGATGAATTCAGTTGCATTTTCCGTTTCAGCTTTACGCTTTTCAGAATCCCAACCCAATTCGTCACCCATAATATTAACAGTACCATCGACAGCATGCAAAGCTTGTCTAGCGTCTAAAAATGCAAATCTGGTTCTTCTCATGAGGAAATCAAGTGCAGTTCTAGTGTACTCATATTTGATGCTGTATTTAAGTTCAGCAATAGTGAATGGATACCTAAAAGAATCGAAATCCACGTTGCCATAAACCGTGACATTTTCTCTGCCCCCAAAAGTAACTGGCAACTTGTTCCTTTCTTCTTCCATCAACATTTCGCATATTATAGGTGCACGAGTTCCGTAGTTATTAGCAAGATGCTCAGCCATTTTTGATGATAAATGGTATTCTTGAGCCAAAAGAGCAGCAAAATTGGGGTCCCAGTTTTCGGCACCGGCAAGTTTCAATTTTCTGGTGATGCAAGGCTTGGCGTTGAATTGGCCTAGTTTGACTACTTCGTTCATAGTCTCTTCGGCCATTTCTCGATATGTGGTCCATTTACCACCTGCAATGGTAACTAGGCCGTTGTCAGAAGTGAACAAGAAATGGCTTCTCACTAAACCTTGAGTGGAACCAGCTTCACCCTCTTTCAACTTTCTAGGATCTCTGACCAAAGGTCTGATGCCGGCCCATGCACTCAAAACGTCAGATCTCTTGACAGGGAATTTGATGTAGTGTTGTAATTCTTTCAAAATATCCTGAATATCCGCCTCAGTGGCGGTGGGGTTTTCGGGTACTTGTTTCATGGGAATATCGGTGGTCCCGGCGAGGACCTTGCCCTGCCATGGTAGGAAAAACATCACTCTGCCATCAGAAGTCTTGGCGTCCAGTAACCCCATTTCTTTGGGACAGTAAAAAGAGGGTAGCACCACGTGAACTCCTGCAGATGGGACCACCATGCGAGGGTTGGCTACTGCCACTCGGGATCCTATGGAGTCGTTGTCTTCGTTTGCATGCGCCACCAGTGTGTCGTTAGCCTTACCGTTAGGATCGGCATCCATTTGCAAAATCCGGTCGCTAAAGGGACCCGTGGCATTGACCACCACTTTAGCCCGCACGCGATACTCTTTCCCGGTCTCACGGTCACGCGTGATGGCCCCTTCTACTTTACCCGTGCGCTCGTTTTTGAGCAACTGGGACACCTCCATGTAGTTGAGCACGGTGGCACCACGCTCGACGGCGGTGACGGCAAGTGTGGAGTTCATGCGCGAGTCATTAAAGGACCCGTCGTGGTATACCAGTCCGGCCTTGAGCTTCGACGCGTCCAGCATGGGCGCGATCTCACCGGCGCGGCCGGCGCTCACCAGGTAGGAGCTTTTGAGGTTTTGCGACCCTGCAAACAGGTCGTACATCTTGCAACCGGCATAGAAGTACGGCACTTGCCAGTAGTTGTACACGGGGATCATTATGGGCAGAACTTTGCACAAGTGGGGCGCAGTGTGCAACATGTGCGCACGCTCGTTGAGCGCTTCGATCACCAAATCCAATTGCGCCTTGGACAGCTCCCAGAACGCCTTTTCCAGGTACCGAACACCGCCGTGTGCCATCTTGGTGGACTTGGACGACGTACCTGACGCAAAATCGCCCATTTCCACAAGTGCCACGTTGAGCCCACGCGTGGCCCCATCCACGGCGCAACCGGTTCCGGTCGCCCCGCCTCCAATCACAAGCACGTCAAACTCCGCAGTCTTGGCTACCCGTTCTAGTAGCTCACTGCGTGAAGGTAACGCAGTTGCTGCGGTTTTGCGTAATCCTACCGTCCTCACCTCGTTGTCGGCGCGCCGCGATTGTAACGTCGCGGCTCCCATGCCTGCTGCCACCACCGTTGTAGCAGCTATGGCTGTCTTGGCTGCTAGCCTTCTACCAGCAAACATTCTTGACTCAGTGTGTATATGTTTATGTTCAAGTTGATTATCGTTTCCCCACGTTCCCCATATTTTGTTCAAATCGCCGCTTCTTATATGTTCGATTTGTCCCTTTGCTCCGAACTTTGTTGCTGTAGCCGATTGCAGCGCAACGCGGCGGTGCGAAGAGGAACAACGCCCCGAGAGTTCGAGACGTTATAATGTTGCTTACAAGCTGCTGCCTGTTCGAGCAGCAGTAGCAAGAGCCTACGGGCAATTTAGGCAACGCGAATGTGTTGGATTTGTTTAGTCATATATACCTTTCTTCTTGCTACGCTTCAGTTTGCGACGGATGACGATTGTGGGCACCGGACACACGTAGTTCTGTAGAGACGAGAGTACGAGCGAGAGCGGGACGCACAAGGCGGTGGGCTGCAAGGCGACCACCAGCTCGTTGAGCAAATGCTTTTGGTACGGATGCGACACTGAGAGCAGGACGATGTGCACGCGCTCGAGCACGGCACCGGCGCAGTCCAGCAGGTAGGCAGCGGACGAGCGCAGACGCGCGAGGTTGGCACGCAGTTGGTCGTGGGCTGCGGACGGCGCAGAGTGCACGACGTAGAGCGTGTCGCCGGCGCACAGCACGGACCCCACGGTGTAAACGAATGCGTAGAAGGACTCGCTGGTCAAGTCCAGATAGAGCACGTAGCGAGCGCCCGTGGGGCTCGCAGCAGCGGCCGAATCGGCGTCTGCGGCGTTCGCGCGCGGCGCGGGCACCGGGTCCGTGTCTGGGTCGGTCCCCGGAGCTGGGCCCTGCGTGTGGGAGCCACTTGATACCACCTGCGCTGCGCGCGCGTACCCACCGGGCAGGTCGTCGACGCGCACGGGCCCGCAATGGAGTGTGTCTGAGCGCTCGCCGTGGCCCGGGCGCTCGTGCTCGAAACTCGCGACCCACGCCTTCTCAGCCTCGAGCACTTTCCAGATGCTAGTTGTGAAATTGGGCAGCACGCGCGAGCCCTGGTCGTAGTCCATGGCCGCGTCAATGTCGACGTCGTCGTCGACGTCGCTGACTTGCTCCTCGTCGCTCAGGTCCTCGAGCTCGCCGTCCTCGAGCTGGTCGTCTGCGCGGTCTGCGCTCCGCCCACTGGTGTGGCTGGCGCCGCTCTCGTGTAGCCGTTCGGACGGGTCGTGCCGCAGCACTGTCCACCTCAGATGCGTGTCGCTATCGACCCGCAGCCTGCTGCCGGTCCTCGACCGTGACCGCGACACACCGCTGCGCGGCGTTCCTAGCTTCTCGCGCGAGCGACCACGCTCGCGCCGATCCGGCAGTTCGCTTTCGACGATCCTGACGTTGTCGCCACCTGCTTGCTCTGCTCTGCTGGGCAGTAAGATGCTTCTCTTGGGTTCTACAGCGTCCATCTTTGCAATGTGCTGCTGTTCCGACTGCTCCGATGTGATTGTAATTTATCTCTCAACATGAAATGGCGCCCTTTACAAGGGAGAGGGAAAAAAAACACCTCGTCGCGAGAGACATGAACCATCGCCACAACCAATATTCGACTTCAACGAGACCATGACAGAGTGTCAACGGCTCGATGTGGACGCTACGCACTTCAGCGAGCCTGTTAAACGTATATTCGACTCCCAGGGTACCCAGGACTTCCAGTCGTCCGTCGCCATGCTCCGCTTGAGCTCCTACTTGCACCGCTACGTCCAAATGGTGCAAGGACAGCGCATCCCCACCGACACGCAGCATCCACAGGTGGCTGCGTTTGCACAGTTGCTCGACAAGCTGTCAGAACTTGTGGACTCCACGCCTGCGCTCGCGGGCCCGCGTCGTTACGGTAACCTTGCGTGTCGCGATTGGCACGCTAAGATCGACGCCCAGCTGCCGCAATTGCTAAACCAATTCGTACCCGCGCGCTGGCGCGCCAGCGTTGTGGAGTTGCAATACTATCTCGGGAATGCGTTTGGCTCCAGCGAGCGCCTGGACTACGGCACGGGCCACGAGCTCTCTTTCTTTGCCGTGGTGTGCGCCCTTGACATGCTGGGCGCATGGGGAGACGCGTTCTCGGGCCCGGACCTTCTCTACGTGTTTGATCGCTACTATGCCCTCGTTCGCAAGCTCATCCGCACCTACACGCTGGAGCCTGCTGGTTCGCACGGCGTGTGGGGTCTCGACGACCACTTCCACCTCGTTTACATTCTGGGCAGTTCTCAGTGGGCCGACGATCGCACCGCCCCGATCATGCCCCAGGATTTGCAAAACAAGCACGCTGCAGAGGACTACGCTGCCACCAATTTCTACTGCCAGGCTATTGCGTTTGTATTCAAGGTCAAGTCCGGGCCTTTCGCAGAGCACTCGCCCATGCTCTACGATATCTGCCGCACGGTGCCCACATGGTCCAAAGTCCAACGAGGCCTGCTCCGGATGTACCTGGTAGAGGTCCTCAACAAGTTCCCCGTGGTTCAACACTTTTGGTTCGGAACGGGTCTTTTCCCATGGACCAGCGCCGCGAACGGTGCTACTCTCCCGACCTACGAAGCGGGCCAGGACTCTGCCACCACGACAACTGCTTCTACCAACGCGACAGCTGAGCTGCCCACCACCACCACTTTCATGCCGTATTCTTCTTCTTCTTCTTCTACCACGGTGCCCGTAGCACGCATGTCCATGGCTCCGCCCAATGCTCGCCACGTAAGCCGGTTTATGGCCCACGATCGCCTCAGAAGAGCGCCACCTCACCCGGACCGCTAAGTAAGACGAATAAACATTGAACGAGTGAAACCTCCTTCTAAACGCATAACGAACAAATGTTTTTTTTGTTGTTTTAGTTAAATGACAACTATTATACCTACATAAATATCCAACTCCTTCTTCACAACACAGGACCTGCCGCCAACACCTCGGTCGTGGCCTTGTCCTGGTACGTCTTGAAATTCTCGACAAACTTCTCAGCCAGTCCACGTACCGCCTTGGTGTATTGGGCTTTGCCCTCAGACCAGTTGTTGGCGGGATTCAGTAGCGAAGAGGGAACGTTGGCCACTTCGCGGGGCACTTGCAAGTTGAAAGTGGGGAGCGTCTCATACTCGGCTTGTGCCAGACTGCCGTCATGGATCGCGTCCAGGATAGCACGCGTATACTTGAGTGGACAACGCTTCCCGCCAGACACGTAGCTGGCGCCAGTCCAGCCCGTGTTGAGAAGCCATGCGTTGGCGTTGTGGTGGGCCATCTTGGTCGCAAGCATGGTGGCGTACTTCATGGGGTGCAGCGCCAAGAAGGGTTGTCCGAAACACGACGAAAACGTGGCCTCGGGCTCCGTGACGCCTTCCTCGGTACCGGCGACTTTCGAAGTGTACCCGCTGATAAAGTGGTACATCACTTGCTCGGGCGTCAGCTTCGACACGGGTGGCAACACACCGGACGCGTCGCACGTCAACAGCACGATGTTCTGAGGGTGCTCGTTGGCCAGACATGGGATCTTGGCGCTGGGGATGTAGTCGATGGGGTACGCACAGCGCGTGTTTTCCGTGATGCTGCCATCGTCGTAATCGATTTCGCGCGTGAGCGGGTCGAACACCACGTTCTCCAACACGGAACCAAACTTGATGGCGTTGTAAATCTCGGGCTCCTTCTCGGCGGAAAGCCCAATGCACTTGGCGTAGCACCCACCTTCGATGTTGAACACACCGTGGTCGGACCAGCAGTGCTCGTCGTCGCCGATGAGCTGGCGGTGAGGGTCTGCGGAAAGCGTGGTTTTGCCCGTGCCGCTGAGCCCAAAGAACAGCGTCACGTCGTTGCGGTGGATGCCCTGGTTGGCGGACGAGTGCAGGGTGAGAACGTTGTGGTTGATGGGCATCAGGTAGAACATCACGGTGAAAATGCCCTTCTTCATCTCGCCCGCGTACTCGGTGCCCAGGATCACCATCTCCATCTGCTGGAAGTTGATCTCGACCGTGGTCTTGGAGGTCATGCCCTCCGTGTGGGTGTTGGCCGGGAACTGGCCGGCGTTCCAGATGGTGAACTCGGGCTCGCCAAAGTTGCGGAGCTCTTCTTCCGTGGGCCTGATCAGCATGTTGGTCATGAACAACGCGTGGTACGCGCGCGCGCACACGACCCGGATCTTGATGCAGTAGCGGGGGTCCCACCCGGCGTACGCGTCCACGATGTAGAGGTGGTCGCGCGTGCGCAGGTAGTCTGCGGCGCGCTCGCGGTTGACCAGCCACGTCTTTTGCGAGCACTTCTTGTTGACGGGGCCCCACCAGATGTGGTCCGTGGACGTGGGCTCGTCGACGATGCGCTTGTCACGTGGCGACCGCCCGGTCTTGGACCCGGAGTACGCGATCAGCGCGCCGGACGCGGCTACCGCGGTCTTGCGCTCGCGGAGTGCGTCTTCGTACAGCAGCGCGGCGGGCGCGTTTCTGCGGATGGTCACCACGTCCTCGCTCAATGCGAGTTCTTGGCGGATGGTCTGCTCAGCGGACACTGGAACTTTGGAGGGAGACATGTTGGGGCTGGATGCTGGGATGATATCTAGTTATTGTAATGCGGGTGCAGGATGGGCAGGTATGGTGCGAGATGCAAATACGAAGCGAAGCGTTAGCGTTAGCGTTGGAAGCTTTTAAAGCGCGATACTCTCATGAAACAACAACCATGCCTCCAGCGCACCCCTCGCGTATTTATACATTTGCCGCCGCCCACGCCAATCGTTTTTGTGTCGCTCCCGGAGCATTGATCCAGCTTCAATGCGTCAGCACCAATGGGGGTAATAACCGCTGGGGCAGGAGCGGCGGGGGCGCGGGGGGAGACGACGGCGGCCGGGGAGAGGGCCAGGGCCCGGGGCGCGAGCGGGCCAGCCGCGCGAGGGCCCGCCGATAAAGCTCCGGGGCCGCGGCGCTGCGTGCAGCGCGCAGCGCGCTCAGCGAAGCCCCGGGCATCGACGGCGCCGGTGCAGGGCCCAGCGGCCCGGGGCTTCGGCCGCGGCGTCACGCCATATCCACGTGACCGCCCCGGGGCTCTGGCCGTGCGCGGCGACGGCGGTGTGTGGGTGCGCGACGCGCCGCGACGCCAGCTCGAGCGCCCGCCCGCCCCCCGGGCCGGGGAGGCGGCGGCGCCACCGCCACCGCCGCCGCCGAGATCGGCGGATCAGCGGCTGCCGAGGCCCGGCGGCTACCACGGCGGCTACAAGGACGGCCGCCGGCGGCAGGGTAACTCCGTGTGGCGCGATGTCTGCGTCACGTGGCGCGCTCCTCCCCCGTGCGGCGTGCTCACGTGGACCCGCTCTCTCCCCCAAAGTGCGTTCGCCCTCGCCCTCCAGGTCGCATGTCCAGCAACAAACCGCGCAAGGAGCGGGCCTCCGTGGTGCTGGCCGCCGCCTGCCGCTCGCAGCCCGCGGCCAGGCCACCACTGCAGCCCAAACCCGTCAATATCTCGCAACTTGTGCGCTCCCCCGCGACGCGTCGCGTCGCGGCCAAATCCTCGCCCTTGAGCAGCGGCCGCACGCGGCCGCTCTCGAAACTGCTCACAAACAGCGGGCCGCTGCCCGTGGGCGCGCCTCAGGCTGCTCGACACGCGCCCGATACCACTGCGAACGCCGCACGCGCCCGAATGGGCGCGCGCGACTCCAGCTCGCTGCTGTTCCGCGTTTCGCGCGCCGTAAGCGCCGTCGACACCCATTGGCGACTGCAGCGGCACGCCCGCGGCACCACGCGCTTCGACCAGGTCCTGGCCGTCCGCCACATGTGCGTGCTCTCGCCGTCCGAGCTGCTTGTCGTTGGCCACGACCGCAACTGTCGAGAAACGGTGGTCATCCTGCACGGCGACGCGGCGACCGCGTCGCGCTCCCCCGCGCCGCCGCCGCCGTACGTTCTGCTCGAGTCCCGCTCCAGCTTGCCGCTGTACCACGGGCGACGGTGGCACTTCAAGTGGAGGTTTGTGGCGCGGATATAACAGGTGGCTCTTAAATAATGAATGCAACAGGTTTGGTAAATATATATATAATGCTGAGTTTCGCTAGTTGGTGCATGCGTGGTGCGCGACCCCGATCTGGTTGCACACCGCAAACATGAACCGGCTGCTGAAGGTCTGGATTTGCTGGGCGTGCGCCTTCAAACGCATGTTGGTGTCGTCCGTCACCAGCGCAACAAAGTGGAACGGGTGCTCCTCCGACGACGCAATGCACTCGCGCCCTGCCTCTCGCGCCTGCGTGTTCAGGTTCTCGAATTTGGCCTGCGCTTTGAACACCGCCTCGATCACAAACTCGTCCACGTGGGACCGCCACGTGATCTGCTCCTCGAACTCCAGGTGCTCCTCGAGGTGCGTCGCCACATTGCCCGTGAACCGCAGCGGCAACAGCCGCTTCTCGGTGTACAGTTGCCTCACCGTGATGACCGCCCGCGTGGCCGCCTCCACCACGCTTTCGTCCTTGGACTTGCGCAAAAACCGTAGCTCTTGGAACGTTGTCAGACAAATGGCAAACTTGAGTACTCCGTTGGTGGCCAGTTTGTACACGTGCGCGAAATGCCGCAGCCACGACGTCGCATCCAGCACAAAGTACGACACCCCGCTGTCGCAATAGCACGACAGGTCTCCGTACGGGAATTTGTTCTCAAACGTCTGCTTGATAAACTCGGGATTCATACAGGTGTCGAGCCACTCCCGCTCCAGTTTCTCCAAGCTTCCGGCCGCAGCCGTGGTGTCGGCGTTGGCCGCGCCGTCCCGCCCGCTCTGCGCGCTCGCGTTGAAGTCGTCGCCGCCTTGGATCGCTCCCTTCTCAAGCGGGCCGGATGTGTACAGCGAGCACGTGATCATGTCCCCGTTTTTGTTGAAACAACTGTAATCTGGATACAGCTGTCTATAACCTTCGAATTGGAACAGGCTTTCGCCCTCCAGCATGCTTGTCCCCGGGAGCGCATTGACGTCCATGTTCGCTTGGCTGATCTCTTCGGAAAGAGGTATATGAGTGTTGACAAACGCATTCCCACCAAACGCATTTGCGTTTGCATCGAATTTGAACGAGAAGCGTTGCAATGGATGGTCTGGCGACACAATTCTTCTTGTAGGCACCGCGGTGGGCGCTAACGCTAACCCGTATTCAAACTCTCGAGCTATGCCCTTGAATAAAAAGATCAACCGACAAGTACGCTTCCAAAACTTGACACCGCTCTCATCTTCTTCGTCGAAGCAAATTCCATCGATAGGAAAATCAAGAAATAGATGGTCTTTCACACCGGTGCTTTGCATGCCGTCATCCTTTGGTTCGGACTTGTCCGCAATGACGTCGAACCACAATGTACCCCAACACTTCCAAACTTCGGGTAAATCCTCGTTATTGCTGAAATGTTCGATTAAAGTCGACAAGTCAACCGCATCAAACTGTTCGCACAACGCATCTATAGGCGTCGTTTTCCAGTTGTTGTCCAGAGAAAACGCTATGAGCATGTTGAGGAAGTTTACAATGCTGTTCCAAGGTAAAATACGTCTCATTAGACTTACCCAGAATATCTTCAACTCTTGGTTCGGTAGCTCCCTTATTCTTAAAGCCACTGCCAACAGAAAGTAGGCCCATGGTAGCAAATGAGGGACGGCAGATACCAATGGCCCGTGTAAGAATTTCCTTAAAACAGTCATGCTACACTCCAGAGAGGTCCTGTTAACATACGATAACGCTTGCTCCCAAATTGCAGTGTCTGTCGGGAACTGGTAGCTGAATTTCGGTGAATCGACATGCTCCAAATACTCAGTGGGTGATTGGGGAGGCATAGTCTCGATCGCGATGGAAGAAGATGATGTTTTGGATTTGCGTCTTTCTTTTCGTTCTTTCCTCTCTTTCAAAAACTTGGGCAACTCAAATAGAAGTGCAAACGGGTTCTTCGGATCACCAAATCCAACCAACTGCAATATGTGCGACTCCGCAAACGCTGGAGCGTGTCTAAAGAAATACTTCACTTTCTCACCGTCTTGAATAAAAATCTCTCTGTGATTGAAAAAGTCCGTGTTTTTGGGCAAAAGACCAAATTTTTGATGGAAAAATGTAGATACAACTTTTTGAAGTTCAGGACTCTCGAGAAAGCTCGAAAGTAGCATGACTTCACTGTGTTTCAGATATTCAACGATTAGGGAGTTACGATGATTCCCACCATTGCGTTCGGCAAATGCACGTTGGTAAATATTATCAATCACTAGCTGCATGTATTGCTGAGATGGGATAAAAGTGTCTTGGCAAAACACGCTTTTCCCCAAATTCACAAATGCTTCCAAAGTATTTTGTTGGACAGTAGACATGTGATAATATAGTTTCCCATGGCCATATATGTATATCATGGCTTGACTATACCAATGTTCAGCGCTCAATTTCCAGTCGATAAAACCTGAAGGATAAAGGGCGATAGCCATACGTGATAAATCTCCTAGTCTTTCTAGCCAGGGTGTGGAATATTTTGGAGGCATATCACCTAGCATGTTTGATATAGAAATAAAAACATGCGTAATAAATTGACAGCAAACTTCTGGATCCATGAAGTTTGAGAAATTTTTCAAAACGTCCAAGAGCGTAATTGTTCCATACACCCACAGTCTCCTTTCTATTCTGTATATGTCCACAATTTCCTGTCCCACAAGCAAATCTTGTTCAGGTTGAGAGGGTAACAATGCAGTTGTTATGAATGCAACGTAATTATTAATGAGTTCGGCGTTGACTTTGTAAATAACCCAAAGGTTCTTGAGTTCAGTTGTCTGAGAAGTTGTAAGCTGAGAGCAACGTTCTTGAAGTTCAACCTCTTGCTTTACGATATTTCTATAAATATCTTGCAACTTCTGCACGAGTGCCTGACTCGTTTGCTTGGACGACGCACCGACTGGCTGTACATTTTCGTTGTTATTTTCGTTGTTATTGTTATTGTTATTGTTATTGTTGCTGCTGCTACTGCTGTTGTTCTGGTTGTTGCTGCTATTGTTGTCGTTGCCAGGATTCCCATTATTAGTATTACCGCTATCGTTACAATTCTGATTCTCTTCGTCGTTTCCATGAGGATTTTTGTCATCGCCAACGCAGTTGTCATTGTGCTCATTACTGTCAACTTCTCCATTAGTCTGATCAGGATTTCCCACAATCGTTTTATTAATATATCTATTCGCAGAGTCCTCGTGTATGCTATGAGTAATTTGATGCTGTCTTTGAAGCTGATTGTCATTGCTCACTTTTGAATGATAATTAAGTTCAGGATTTCGTGTATGCAAATGTTCTTGTTTGTGTTCTATGCAAGTTTCCGAGAGTCTGACACTGCTGTTCTCATTCACGTTGGCGGCTGCCTCCAGATTACATGACGAAGTAGTAGGCAAGTAGAAGGGAGACTGTGGCGGTTCGGCAGCAACATACGACGGTTGTGGTGTTTCATCTATAATCCTCTTGGAGTAGCCCGGTGACATTTCATGTTTCTTAAATGGTGTTCCATGCGCATCGAGAAAGCATGCACTTTCTAATTCATCTGTGCTTAAGCGTTTCTCAGTGGAGCCCACCCGTCTTTTGATAAAGGAGCTGTTATGGTACTCGTACGAATTTGATAGATGCCTTTTCTGTTGGATGCTCGGTGGTTTAGCCTCTCCAGCTGATATATATGCCACCGTTGATGAATCGGCTGTGATATCCCTCATTACGCTTATAAATCCTAAGTGAGAGGGTGAAAAGGAATCAAACGCCTTTGACAGTTATAGAGGAGCTATTTTGTCTTTTTATAACTTCTTTGATGTGATCAAAGACTTGCGCTTCAAATGAATCAAAACCTCTTTTGGCTTACCAAGGGGTCACCCCGTACCATGGAACGCTTGAAAATTTTGCCACCACTGTATTGCCTCTCTCGGACTGGTCGGAAGAATTGCAGTAATCGTGTCACGTGACTTTACGGTTTTACATTAAAACGTTTATTAGGCATTGCTACAGGATATATACGGCCCTATTTGAATTCATCGATGGTTTCTATGATCGACTTAATGCTTTCTATCACACTGCTGACACCTACGCGAAGAACGCGGTCGTCGATGCTTTTGAAAGATATACATAAATTGCGATCTTTCGAAGAATAATCAACTTCAAAATCCTCTGGCCTGAGAATTGGATCTGGCTCCAGAACCTTTACGGCTATCTCAGCTTGTGTGGAGTCTTCGAAGGGGACTTCAAGATAACTATTAGTTGCAATGTTAGTAATCTTTCCCAAACATAAATAATATGACACATCAGCCATGATAACGAAGGATTAGAAGCATACAGAGTATGTGCTAGCATTGGAGACCTAGCGCTTTTCATTGGTTATCAACCTCTTGTTTTATCAGCGAGGATCTGCTTGATATTGCTGCCGAGTATTTAAGTGTGGCATCGAACTCGAAAAATTAGTCAGATACGTTATCACTGCGAGAAAATCCAAACTTGAAAGAGCAGTGTCCAATGATCGAAGTGGTGAATGAGCCATTGGTTAGCTTCAATGGCCTTCATTATAGTGTGAATATTGAGACTGAGGGCAATAAATACAAGTCCTTCCAGCTGGAAACAAATTCCTCAGAGAACTGTAACCCCGCGATCTCTGATCCTGCAGTCTTCTCCTTAGAATCAGACACAGTTTTGACCGTTCTTGATTCTATAAAGTCAGGCACAGGGCGTACAAATGAAAACGATCTTTGCAATAATGTAATCGTCCCCATTCTATCTGCACTCGGTGTATCTTTCCAAGTACTCAAGACAGCGAGCTGTAACTCTGTCGGAGAATTCGCCCAAACCATTGATCGAAACTATAACCACATTATCATTATAATATCAGGAGATACCAGTATTTCGGAACTTTTGAACAATTTACCCGCCTCCGATTCCGAGGCCCGCGAATCTCAGTTGTGCTTACTACCTCTGCCCATGGGTACAGGCAATGCCTGGGCAAGTTCCTTGCAATTGAAATGTCCCATAAAAACGTTCAGAGGATTCATAAACAAACGTCTAAGTCCAAAAAAATTTCCGTTATACAGAGCTATTTTTCCCAATAAGAAGAGTACTGTCTTCTTCATCATCTTATCTCTTGGATTTCACGCCAACTTACTACATTTGTGCAACGATCAAAGGTTTACCTCAATGGGCGTCGAAAGATTTCAAATCGCAAGTAAGGAAATTTTTGATAATTACAATTTGACATATCAGATAAAGATACCTGGTATTATAGACGCGAAGTTTTCTTACTTTGCGGTTATAAATACTCCAAATTTGGAGGCATATTATATGCCATCACCTTCTTCCGACCCATTAAACTCGGAACTTCATGTAATTGGTTACTCTGCCTCATTGAAAAGAGATCAGCTCCTGCAACGTATCATGAAGGGCTACTCAAACAAGCCAGGAGATTCGCTCATTGATGATGGAGTTACCTATGAACCTATTGATGGAGATTTTGAAATTATTGTCAAGGATGATCCCTCGAAATCTCCGAAAACTACGTTTGAAATATGTTGCGATGGTCAACTGCTGAATTTACTTGATTTACACAGCGCAGGCGCTTCTTCTGAAAATAAAATTACAGTCAAATTCCTCAAAGATTATTCGTGTTACAATTTGAAGGTTTTCAGCCCGTTGTAGAATATGGAAGACGAGCTAAACTATTTCCAGTTCACTGTCACTTTCATCAAGAGTGCCTCCATCCGGGGCAACAGTACCATTGATATCATCTTCTCTGCTGCTCATATGATGCTCCCAGACCTCTTCTCTTCTTTGAAGCCTATTCTTTCTTTCTTTCTTAGAAGGTTTTAGTACAATTTTTTCCTTCCTGATATTCATTACATCTTTAACTAAGGACTGTTTTCCATCGTTGTCTCGCAGAGCATTTGCGCTGTTCCGCAGAACACTCATCATTTTGCCGCGCGTAGGATCAAATCCAATATTCTTTACTAGGCCACTGTTGATCGCATGGTTTGTTGTGCTCTTTATTTCTTCCTGTTGATGCACTGACTTGTTGTGCAAAATGTTCTGTGAAGACTTCCCAACTGCTTTATCAAGAAAATGTCGCAGATGTTTATCTTTGCGATCGTCCTTTAGCTTTCTTCGCTTGTTTTCTAAATTAGTCAAGATGTCAGGATTTTGATAGCTATCATCAAAGAAAGCTTTTGCAGAGTTAGGGTTACTAAAATAAAGCATATTCTCTGATTCCCTTTCTTGTACTTTAGGCGCATATTTATCTGGTAGTAGCTCGAACTTTCTGCCTCTCTTATTAGAATTTCCATACAACGACTGCCTGATACCGTTTTTCGTTGGTGATCTTAGTGACTTATTTCCGTTGAGTTCCAGCCTTTGTGCATTAACCTGTCTAATTCTGATTTCTTGATGGTATTGACACCGATCCTCAGCAGACTTGTTGATCGGAGCGCCACAAGGCTTACTTGATGATTTGTTGTAAACGGCGCAAAACCCTAAGTCTCTGCTTGTTCCAATTTCTAATATGCAATCGAAATCATGCCGGATTGATAAATTGAAAGATTTGACGACAGACCCTTTAAACTCATCATTATTAACTTCAGTTGGTCTCCAGGGCAATATGTCAGGATTAAGAATGGCAATTACATCACTAACCTTCAAATTATAATACTTCTCCACATTTTTATTACCAAAAATGTAAACATCTAAGTTGAATTTGAAGTCAGTGAGTGTCATCTTGAAATATTTGGCAGGTTTTTCTGAAGAGGTCATTTTGATTGGTGACTTAAAACTCAGAATTCCTATTGCAACCCAGTTTGCATAATCTGGCTCGTCAAATTTCGGTGGTCTAACTTTGCTAAACAATTTAGGAAGTCGAAGTATTTTCATATCTTTAAAAACAGTCCTAAGGTCATCAGTGGGTATATAACGTCTTGAAATCCATTTTCCTGAAAACTCCTCTTGTTCATTGGCAGTAGTAGGTTGGTAATCGCGTTGACTATCAGTATCTCGGAAAGTGTGCACTCGGCATTTCATCAGATTCTCCTTCTTCTCCGCTGAAGCCTTATGAACATTTCTTGAAATCGCAAAATTTTCCACGAAATATGACGTTGTGTTGGATGGTATACCATTTTTCCGTACTTTTAACTCGTTAATATTCTCTTTGGGCAAACTTACCGAAAGCATACTATCCGCCGTTACAGCAAGCTTGGTCTTAGTCTCAGTTTTTTTACGCGGAGAGGCTTCTACATCGATCATGCCTGTTTCAAGTCTTTTCGCCATTTTCCTTCCAGCTTTATGCTCTAGCCTTTGTCTTAAATCCTCTTTTTGTCTATCTAATTCATCTAGTCGAGATTGTACTGCCCAAACCGTTAGTAAAATGTAAGGCGCTTGAATCAATCATTCTTCATACTCTTTTGTACATCTTCCTCGTCTGAGGTCAAACTGTCGTAAGCGTCATAATTTAAAATCAACCTGGGATCTTCATTACGCATAACTGTTTCACCTTACACTGTCCTATGGTTGACTGTTATTTAAAATTTTTGGTACGCGTAAAGTTTCATAAAACGGAAAAATATAATACAAATTACATAAACATTGTACGTAACTCTTTATTTAGCTCTTTGAAAAATCAAAGAAACTAAGTGTCATGATCAGCCTTATGCTTTTTGGCAAATAGATCTTCGGCATTATCTTCGGATACTCTCTTCGAAGTAGAAGAGCCGTCTTCCTCTGAGATTTTTTCCTCGCTTGATACCTGACCCGAGTCCTCTAAAGATACTGTTTTTATTGGCATTATAGGATGCTCGATAACCTCAGAACCTCCATCGGATTCCAAAGGAGAAGCTTCGGATATTTTCGTTGGTCTTGCAAACAGTGTTCCTGTTGTAGTTGGGGGTTCTTGGGGTTCTTTTTGAGAGTCGTTTGCTTTCAATTGAGCCTCAAGTTTAGCAATTTTTTTCTCTAGGAACATTGATTTCATACTTGCCTGCTGTTTGCCCTCGTCAAAAGCTTTCTTTTTGATCTGGGCGCTTTCTTCATTAAACTGATTTCTCATTTCAACTTTGATCTTCTCAATCTCCTGTTTATGATTCTTCATCATTTCTGTAAAGCCGCCCGAAGGTGGCTTTTGACCAGCAATCTCTTTGGCGCGCTCGTCAACTTTTGATTGAAATTCATTCTCAAGTTCACTTCTTCTTGCTTCGATTATTTTATTAATCCTTTCTTCAGTTGGTAATCTTATTCTTTTTCTCAATAACTCGTTAGCTTCTTCAATCCTGCGGAGTGTCTGTTTCTCGTATTCTTCCTCCCATTCTCTTTTTAAATCACCGACATCAATCTCTGATTCCTTGGGGGGATTCTGCTTTAAACTATCTTCGAGCTTCTTTAGCTCCTTTGCTTTCTCCTCCTCAAATTCTTTTCTGAGTTCATCTTCACGCTCCGCTAGAAGTTTTTCTTTTTCCTGATTGAATTCTTCCTTCAATTGCTCTACTATTTTTGATGAAGCATTTGATGTTTCCGAAGTTCGATTGATCTCCAGTTCTTTTTCTAATTCAGCCAACTTGGTTGTAACTTGTTCTAGCTGAACTTTTAAATCACTTTCAACCCTGTAGTGCGTTGCCTCGACGTTTTGGAGTTGTACTTCCGCGTGTTGGAGTTTCTCAAGGGTTGTTTGGAGCTCGGTCTTCAATTTAGAAGAATCAACTCCATCATCTGGTTTTGCTTCCTCGAGCTGTGCCTCCAAACTTTTGTGTTTCTGTTCCTCTATTGCCAAATCCTCCTCTAATTTCTTTTGCTTCTCCTTTGCTTCGCTAAGTTCCATAGATAGCAAATTTTGTGCGGCCTTTGAGGCATCTAATCGCTCGCGTGCTTGTTTCTTCAGCCTCTGGAAACGATCCTCCAATTCTGAATTTTGCTCAGTTTTCTTTTCTACCGCAGCCTTAAGTTCAGAGACTTCTTCGACAAGCTTGCGATGTTCCTCAGGATCAATACGCTCGTACTTGTGCAGAATATCTTGTGAACGCTGTTTCCAACGACCGGCCTCTTCTTTACCCAAAGCAATTTGTTGTTTCTGTTCTTCCGTGATTCTCTCCAGTGAGGCAATTTGTGACTCAAGTGGTTCGAGACGACTTTGTAACTCGGAGATCTTTTCTTGCAGCTGTTCATTATGCTCAAGAGCACTTTTTGCCTCGTTACGGAGCGTAATGTTGCTCTCTCTGAGCAAATTGATTTGATTTAGCTGTTCTAACACTTCTTCGTGGCTCTTACTCACATCAAATGATGCTTCACCTAATTCCTGTAAACGCATCAACTCTATTTTGGTCTTTTCCAACTCAGTATTTGCGAAATCCAGTTTTTGGCGGTAAGTTCTTTCGTCTCTCTTTGCAACCTCTAGTTTTGTTTCAAGAATATCCCTCTCTCTTCGTAAAGTGGAGACCAGCTCATTTGAATATGAACTCCCATTAGATAACTCCCCATGATCTCCCTTCGTCAACAAGTCAAGCTGCTCATATAGTAAACGGTTCTGCATTGACAAATCTTCAGTTCTCTGAGTTACTAAGCTTAATTGGTTTTCGTACTGCATTTTTTGTTCTGCCCAACTCTTTTCATTTTGTTCAAGAATTTTATGCGCGCTTTCAGCAGCATTTTTCAAAGAAATCATCTCGTTTTTAGACTTATGTGCTTCTTCCCTTAACAAACTAATGGTTTTGGATACATCTGCATGTTTTTGAAGTTCCTGTTCGTAGTTTTTCTGCGCTGTATTTGCATAAGTCGCCTGATTATTTAAATCTTCCTGCAGTTTTTGTATTGTTTGCACATATTCAGACTTAATAGTTTCTCTTGATGCTTCACCTGCCTTCAAGATCTCAAGTTGTTTTAATAAGTCACTTTTCTGTGCTTCGAAAAGACGATTTTGATGATCAAGTTCATTATTGAGATTGGATACTTGATCGCTCAAAATTGAAATCTTGTCTTTTGCCATGTCTCTTTCCCTAGTGAGGTCTTCGATAAACTTATTAGATGCTGATTTTGAATCCTCGTAGGCCTTTGTAATTGCACTCAGTGAGTCCTCGTTCGTGGAGGCAAGAGCTTTATATTCCTCTAGCTGAGAATATGCGTCTTTTAGCTGTATGCTCATCTTTTCAATTTGCTTTCGTAGTGACTCTGCTTGAGAGGTAGCATCATCTGTGACATTGAATACATCATATGATTGAATTCTGGTTTCACTTTCTTCAAGCTTGCTGGTTAAAATCTTAATTGTACTTTCAAGATGCTCAATTGATTTTTGCTTCGCGTCGAGTTCGGATCTTGATTCCATAACAGAGTTATTCAAAGAGTTGATTCTATCCTGAAACCATTGTACTTGGGAGTCTTTGGATGAGATATATTCATCAATCTCTTCGGTCTTCTTCTCCAATTTGGACAGCGTATCAGAGAGCTCTGCTTCCAACTTCCTTACTTTATCTTGACCACTGGTCTGAGTATCTCTCAGCAGTTTTTCTCTTTCATTTTGCAAAGTTTGAAGTTGAGCAACGAGTAGAGACATTCCATTCTTTTCACCCAAGAGTCTCTCATTATCTTCTTTTAGAGTTTTTTCTACAGATCTCAAAAAATCTTTCTCTGCTCTTAGATGTCTGATTTCAGCTTCTAGTTGGCCAACGTGAGACTCAGAGTTTATCAATTTTTCTATCGTTTTCTGCGTCCGATCATCTTGTTTCAAAATATTATCTTGAAGATTTCGATATCTCTTCTTTAGTTCGTGAGTTTCTTGGGTCATCGTCTCGAGTGTTTTTTGTGCCATTTTTAGTCTCTCCTCTGCAAGAATCCTAGCAGAAGTCTGTTTCTCGAACGAAATGGACAATTCAGCTTTAGACTTATACAAAGTTTGAATTTCGTCGTTAAGCAGTTTAATATTTTTGTTAGATTCCTCAGTTATAGTGCGTAATTGGACTTCTAAATCCTCAACCATAGATCTTTTACCTCCCACTGGACTTTCTGGGGACGTCAACTGAACCACATTTTCAGCTGATGAGGCAGAACCTTCATTCGATAAAGCCCTGAAAGCATCTCTCTCTTTAGCCAAAACCATGATTTGATTTTCCAGCGTCTGATTATGTTCTTGTAAAGTTAAAATTGCCTCCTTTGCCTCTTGTACAGCATTGTTCTCCACTTTTCTAGTATATGATTTCTTTTCTAATTCTTCCTTCTCTAGTTTATCTGCTAGAGTACGCATTGAATCCAGAAGTTCCATGTTTTTGCTTTGTAATTCTGTGATATTGTGAAAGGTTAACAATCTTTGAGATATGACCTTTTGACTATCTGAATCCATGCTATTGTCGTCAGACATCACAATCCTCTTGATGAAAGCATTCTCCTCTGATGTGAGAGGGCCATTTGCATCATCCTTTATTTCTACTTGGATGAGCAGATATTGCACCTGATGTGCAAGATCAGACCGTTGTCTAATTAACGAAGAAATTTGAGCCTCATAGCTTGAAACTTTCATCTTGAATCTGTCTAACGATTTCTTCATGTCATCTTTATCTTTTGATACAGATTCCAGCATAAGAGCGGTTTCTGTTAATTCCCTCTCCAAGATCTCATTGCGTTCCTTAAAAGAATTGAGAATCGGAATTTTGTGCTCCAATTCAATAACAAATGCCTCAACTTGATTTTGCAAAAGTTCCTTCTGTCTTTTTTCATGAATAAGTTGTTTCTTTAAAAGACCGATATCGCCATACAGCTTCGGTACAGACGACTTACTATCCACAGATAGAGAGATATTATGCGAGTCAGATACATCGCCAGAAGACAGTAGCTCTTGCACTGTTGCCTCTAGCTTGATCACTTTAGCTTCATACTCCTCCAATTGCTTTTTAGAATCCAGTAATTCCTGCTCAATTTTATCATTGCCTGCTACCTGTTCCTCCGCCCGCGCCGAACCTTTATTCTGGGCATCTAATTCATTCTTCAATGATTGAACTTGTTTTTCCAGCAATTCCACCAATCGCTGCTTCAAAGACATTTCTCGAGTAAATTCTTGTTTTTCCGTATTGAGTGAATCGGTGAGATCTTTAACGGTTATCAGTTTCTCTTGAAGTTCCTTGGAAAGTTCCCCATTTCTCTTTCGCAGGGCTTCTGAAGTGCTGGAATTCAGTTCAAACTCGTTCTTAACCACGCTGAGCTCATTGAGAGCAGCTTGTAATTCACTACTTGCCTTTTGTCTGTATGCGTTGTACTCTGCAGTCTTTGCATTTAGCTCCTTTTCAAACCATTCATTGTTCGACTTCACAAGAGAGAGTTCCTGTGTCCATCGTTGTACGTCAGATTTATTGCGCAACTCAATTGACTTGCACGTCCTTATCTCGTTCTCCAGGTCCAGTATAGTTTTCCGCAACTCCTTGTTATCTGCCAAGAGTTGATCCGCCTCTTGCTTGGAAGCTGCGAGGTCGTTAATTTTTTCATTCAATAGCTTTGCTATGTCGAGTTTACTAGATTCGCAAAGTTCCTTTTGTTGATTAAGCTCATCTATTTTCAGCTTCAGCGAACGGGCCTCGTTAGAAGCTGCCGCTTTTTCATCGGCAAGTTTGAGCCTCTGGTCTTCAAATGACGTCTGCTCTTTTCTTAGTCCCTCAATTTCCGCCAAGAGTTTTTCTGTGTGGTCCTTCAATGCGTCCACTTTACGATCGGATGACGATTTGGTTTCATCAAGGATAACCGACGCTTTCAAGTTCTCTGCTTTGAGCAAGTTAAACTCATCAATCTTGGCTGTTAGTTGGTTCAACACTGTGACGTCCACGTCCTTCAATTTGTCTGAATCTACCTTTAAAAACGATGCGAGCGTATCGATTCTTTCATCAGGCTTCGGTGGCCGGTCGCTACTTCCCTCCATAACTCAACGGAGGTCCGATGGATATGATACTGATATTCCAATAGCAATTAGCCTAAATTACTACCTTCTGTATCGAAACAGGAATTTTTGGCGTGTGAATGAGCTTTACCTGTAGCTTGGTATATCTTCGCCGGCCGTTCTAAGGGCTGTTGCCAATTTCCCGCGCTTTTGCCACCTTCAGGAAGATTTCTTTCTCAATCTGGACTTTTCGTCCTCTGCGGGTAACAATAGTATTAGGGCTTCCATCAATATGTAGGGCATTAACTACATCAAAATTATTATTTGACTTACATCCAGACATTTTAGAAATACCTTTTTTATGTACAGGTTTTATCAATTTTTTTTTGCACACGTTGTGGAGCCTAGAAAACGACGTACAGCTTATGAAAAATGGACTCGATGCAACCCTCGCCGCGCGGGGGCGGGTGGGGCTCTCGCTGCCTTACCCACTCACGGTCAGCGAGTGACTTAGCAATTTTGTATGTAACGATTCTAAGATTACCACTTAGCTTTCAAGAACCTCAAGACTCAAAGATGCAAATGTATGCTAAAAATGTGGTATAATATCCAAATACTAGGGAGTGTTACGAATTTCCAAGTTGACTGCTTTATGTTGAGACTACAATTGTGTGAAAGGCGTGGGAATGTTCACAAATGATGTGAAGAAAGTGCTAGATCTTGGAAAGCACAGATTAGCTCTGGTGGACACGGGGAAAGAACATCTAAGTTACAAATGAAAGTTTTGGAGTCCTTCCAAACTTGAAAATGTTTCGTTGATATTCAGAACAGTAAGCATGTCGCTCGTTTGTTCGATTTCTCGAGCATTCCTAGTAATTGGATAGAGGATAAAATTAACGTTACTAACAATTTAACAGTTTTGTGAAGACCTTGACTGGTAAGACCATTACTTTGGAAGTCGAATCTTCAGACACCATTGACAACGTCAAGTCTAAGATTCAAGACAAGGAAGGTATTCCTCCTGACCAACAAAGATTGATCTTTGCTGGTAAGCAATTGGAAGATGGCAGAACCTTGTCTGACTACAACATTCAAAAGGAATCTACCTTGCACTTGGTTTTGAGATTGAGAGGTGGTATCATTGAACCATCTTTGAAGGCTTTGGCTTCTAAGTACAACTGTGAAAAGTCTGTTTGCCGTAAGTGTTACGCCAGATTGCCACCAAGAGCTACCAACTGTAGAAAGAGAAAGTGTGGTCACACCAACCAATTGCGTCCAAAGAAGAAGTTGAAATAGTTGATTTCGCACATCATATGCATGTTCGGAATTTATTTCTAGCCTTTTTTGACCAAATATATAAAATTTACGCTTTGTATCACATTGAGTACGTAATTTAAACTCTTATCGGTTTCTACGTTATATTACATGTAAGTGTTAAAATGAAACTATCACTAACCTTATTTGTCTTCCGTTGGGGGCCGGGACTCGCCCATCGTGCCTGGACGGTTATAGAACTCTTGTAGAATTGTTTTTAATCTGGGACGTTTGATAGGCTTCGACAAGAACCCATCCATACCTGCATCTAAGCATTCCTTGATATTGCCATCATCTGCGTATGCTGTTAAGGCTACAATCGGATAGGAATAATTGAGATTTTGACGTATCATTTTTGTTGCGAGTAGCCCATCTACCTTTGGCATTTGTACGTCCATAAATATTATGTCATAGTGCTCACCTTTACCTACAAGTGCTTGAACCTTTTCAAATGCTTCATTACCATCACATGCTAAATCAATATCAGTTAAACCCTCTAAATTCAGCATCCTTTTGATAACTTCTTGGTTGACACTGTTGTCTTCAGCTACTAAAACTTGTGACCTACTGGTTTTAGTACTCATAGTGGTAATACTTCTTGTAGATTGTGCCGTACCTGTACTTTGTAGAAAAGGCCTATCGATTCGCACGCTTCCGACACTGACCTCGCTACCGGAAGCACCGGAACTTCCTCCTAACGTATCTGGACTTATTTCTGCAACAGATGGCTTTGATTTGCTTGATTTACTAGATTTCGAGCTTTTCTGAACCTTGAATTTGACCTTTCTATTCTTTTTGCTGTGAGGGTTAAATTCATCTTCGAAGGGATTTTCGATATCATCGAACGATATTTCGCGTGTTTGTGTAAGCGGTACTGTAAATGTAAATTTGCTACCAACGCCCATTTTGGATTCCAATTTCATTGTACCGCGCATCATCCCTGCAAGTTGTCTGCAAATAGAAAGTCCTAATCCTGTTCCACCGTATTGTCTTGAGAGGGTTTGATCACCCTGCACAAAAGGTTCGAAAACACTCTCTTGTAGTGAAGGTTCGATACCCGGGCCTGTATCTTCAACTTCCATAGAAATAACCCATGTCTTTTGTTCTTCCATTTTCCTTCCAGCTCCCCCATTATCATCCTCGTCATCAGAAATAACCTTTCGGAACTGCGATTGGAAAATAGCATTGTCGTAAGAGCTTGTCGTACTCGATTCTAATGTTTCAATTTCGGCATTGTCATCATCAGAATTGTTCTCTGGCTCGTCGTATTTTTCTTTTTCATCAGATTCATTATCAGTTTCCTTGGTATCATCTGTGGAAAAAGATGTTTCATTGTTGGATGAATCACTCTTTTCTGCGGTCACTGGAGTTTCGAAATCTTCTTTGCGTTCGATCATTTCTTGCACACCAGTGGAATTTGACACCGATGGACTTAAAACTCCATCATCTTCGATTTCTGTACCCGCCTTGATGACGACCTCTGTAAAGTTGCAGCTCTTACTTTTTGCTTGATCATATTCTCCTAGGAGCTTGAAACGAAGATTCACTTCACCGTCCACAGGTGTGAACTTCAATGCATTTGAAACGAGATTCATAACTATTTGAATAATTCTATTGGAATCACCCCACAGTACCATTGTTCTCATGAAGTTCGGGGTGAGTATGATAGATAACTTAACGTGCTGATCTTTCGCAAGCTTGCCAAATATTGATTTAACCTGTAGAGCAATGTCAATAATGGAAAAGTTTCTTTCCTCCAACTTTGTACGCTTCAAAACGTTCTTAGAAAATGTGAGAAGTTCAGTCAAGATATGTAATAATAATTCGCCTGATCTGAAAATTAGCTTTAAGCTATTTTTTACCTTTTGAATATCATTTTCGGCCATTGCTATGGCAGTCATACCCAAAATACCGTTAAGTGGAGTCCTAAGCTCATGCGAAATGTTTGCTATGAATACAGTCTTCGCCTCATTAGCCGCCTCTGCTTCTATCTTTGCTGCCTCTAATTGTTTCGTTCTTGCTCGTACTCTATCTTCTAATAATGCATAGTGACGGTCCAGTTCGTCAGTCATGGTATTGAATGTGTCAGTTAGCTCAGAAAGCTCATCAGAAAACAATCTGCGATAGACTGGTACTCGAGCCTCTATGAGATTAGTCGAGGTAATGAATCTCTCTGACCTAAAAGAATGCGATTCGCTTAGCGTGGAAACGGGAGTATTTGAATGTATTCTACGTAGCTCAGTATCTGCCATTCCCATCAAATGTGAAGAGTTTTTATGTTTCATTTCATTATCACTGTTATTTTCGTTCATGTACGAAGGGAAGTATTCTTCTCGTCCAGCCCCAAAACCTGAGGCGAATGAGCCCACCGTGCTTGTTCTCCTGTGAGTTGAGTCTGACCTACTCACATGGGTGCTATTGTTTTCCGATCGTAGGCCCCTTCCAGCAGTTATTATCTCAGTTGCCTTTTGTAAGCGGACTATCGGTTGAACAGCCCAATAGGATAAGGGCAAAGTAATCAGGCACATTACCACAGCAATTGCAATCACTGTGCCTGTTATAATCTTTGTGAGCTTAGTAGATGGTGAAAGGAAAACGCTTTCAGGTTGTGTAACCACCGATAGCCAAGATACTAGGTTAAAAGAGCATGGAGAATAGCCCACTGCAACAGTACCATCGAAAATAAAATTCTTTTCCTTTTTGATTGATCCACCTTTGTTCTCTGAGAATGATGTGGCGATGAATGGCCATTGATTTATTGGATATACTATTTTAGTACTCAAGACGTCATCTCCTGAAGGAGGTAGAACCAAATGGAATCCAGAAATGGTATTGTTGGTGTACACCGCTGAGACTATTATCACCGTGGATTTGTCTAAAGCCGTAGTATCATTGAAAACCGACATCAACCCATCAGCGGACATAACAACTGTTATATACCCGTACGTCTCCGAGTTCGTGAGGAGAATGGACGGATTAGCGAATATCGGTAGCGACATCGACATCAAGTAGCCTGTGCCATTCAAGACAGGGTCAGTCAAAATACCGCTAGATTCAAGTGATGAGGATAGTGCAATGTCTGAAGATAAAGGGAAGAGCTCGGTCAGCACATCATCTGGTATGAGGTTTCCAGATCCGTTGTTTGTTGCATTCAAAACATCTTGGAAATTTGAATCGTACATCCTAGCTGCAGAAAATAAGTCGGAAGAACCAAGAAACTTATCTAGGACCGTTGAAGACGAAGACCAGTTTTCTTGAGTTTTGTTTCCCGCCATGTAGTTTGTTAGAGCATCTTGTAGAGTATCTCTCGACGCGAGCCAATAGCATTGATAGTAGAGATAATTCAAATTTTGATCAATTTGAGACGATTTAAGCTGCGCTGCTACGTGTAGACGATCTGCCCGCAGAGATTTGTAGTTAGCAGTGAAGTACACACCTGTTATAACGGCCAAAATGATCAAAGACGTCAGGGCCACGATGGATACCAAAGCAGTGAGCTGCGCCCTAATTTGAATTTTGAACGGTACCTTAAATCTTGACCTGATAAATCCCACAATTCCATGTCTGAGAGAAGAGATCATCACTTTTACACCGATGCGCGAGTTTATGGCGAAGTAGAGCTATAACAGATCTTTATTTGCGGCTTCAGCGCAGGACATCCACGCGCTAGTTGCTTTTCTTCGTTTTAGATGCCCAATGCTACACGACAAAATCTCGCTGCATGGAATTGCTACGCCAAAATAAAAACTTTATAACTTTACCTATTTCTTGAATATGTTTAAAGTGCTCGGATATAAGAACTAAATCAAAACAAGATCGAGCGCCGCCATTCCAGCTACTGGTCTATCAGAATCCTCTGAAATCCACTCTTTTCCCATCCTTTGCATCCATGCCATAGATGACACCTGGCTATTCAACATCTGTTTAATGGCTTGATTTACTTGCTTGATTGCTTTCCTGAATAGATACACTGCATGATTCAAATAGTGGTCGAAAGCGTTCTCACTTGATGTGTTTGGAACATCCTCGATGAGTTTATACTCGTCCGTAGAATGAAGGCTCACTGTAGCGGGAGTTCCCATGGTGGAGGATAATACACACGATATGCAGTATCCAATGCCAACTCCAACTGTCAAAGAAATACTCCATAATACCCATCTGCTTAGACCGGAGTCTTTCTTTTTGTGCGACTTCTTCCGCTTTCGAACTTTACTTGACGCTACCTCGGTCTCGTAACCTGAATCCACTTCCGTGCTTAGACTATGCAAATACTTTAGCATTTTATGGACATCTTGATGGTCCGACATCACTGTAAGATGGTAGATTATTCTTAAGGACTTCGCACGCGCAGTTTTTTGTAGCATGTGAGAAATTTGTTGCTGCTGCCCCCTTTGACAGACGGCGACGACGGCCTTGTCATAGTCCATAACCTTTTCCATCAAGTTTGGTGCCGACCTGACATCATTGAAAATGACCATTATGGCACTGTAGTGAGATACCTTTTCATCTTCCAAGCGGTCCAGGTCGCCAACTTCAAACAACTTTTGATACATTCTAGGAATGGTTTGATAAAACTTACGTGCAGGCTTACCAACTATTAGAATGCAAAACTTTTGAAATTTTTGAGACAAAGAGAGCTTTGGCATCACGAATGAGTTAGAAGAATTTCCCAAACTAATCGTAACAGTCTCATTATCGTTCTCATCGATGACGCCAGAATACGACACTGAGGGACCCTCGACGGGTCGATGCGAATAATGTAAGGCACTATTCTGGAATGCAAAATTGTTTGGAGAAGGAGATCCTAAATGGTCAGGTTCATCTTCAGAGGTGTCAGAAGATGATAGGATACCAGCAGGTTGCGCAGGCGGCTCCCCAAACATATTCAAGATTGAATAGTCAGTCCTTTTGATAGATTGCCAAGAGTCAGAGATGCTGCGGTTGAGCGCCTCCGAATACAGATGCTGTGGGGATGGCGCTGTGTGCAACGCGGACTGCAACTCCAACCCCATTTGAGATGAGTCACCCTCCTGGGTTGGGCCCCCATCCGAGTCGTTTCGTTCTAGCAGCTGCAGTACTGAAAGATGTGGATCCAGTATGCTTGTCCGCTGGTTCATAGTTGCGGACGACGCATATGTCTCACGCATGTCATCGGGGCGCCTTGCGCTATTCGCGTAATTAATCATTACCATATTACAGTAGGATTTAACTGAAAACCACTTAAACTGGGTGTGTCTTCTTTAGATGGGGATACACTGTAAACTCTATACCCAGAAGACACCAATGTTTGTTTCTACTCGCCTAGTCAACACAGACTTCCGTTATCTCAACTGCTGAGTCAGGTTAAAAATGCGTTCATCTACAAGGGGTGCCCGCCCCTTATAAAGTGATACATCATTCCATCACGTCGTGTCAACTCTCTCCGATAATCCATAACGGCCGTGTCACCTGATCTGAGCAAAAGTTATTAAAAAGGAAGGCATAGTGAGTTGCGAATTGACATAACATGTTTGAACTCCATGTTGCGAGGTGCACTGATTAATGACTTAGAATTGTTGCGTTTGGAACTGAATATCTTTTTCTTTGATTTGTAGGAATCTTAGTTTTTTTAGCACTCTGTGACGTTAATGTCGCCAATTACAACTTTTTGATCTATAACATTAATGGCATTTAGAATAAAATACATAAAGAATGCAACCCGTGTTGGCTTACATGTGAAGCCCTATCCCATATCAGATACAAAATATTCATTAAGAGTGCTATATAGACACAAATAGTAGCGAAATCTTTCAGTTAAAGAAATTATAAACTTAATACCCAGGGACTCCTGCGGGCCAGCACAGTTAAGCCATTCCTTCGTTGTGGGTGTCGATGTTTGAAGAGATAATAGCGTCTATTACATCATCACCAACGTACTTCTGGAATTCGTCGTCTGTCAAGTTCGACTTTGGACCCTCGTAGTGCTTCCTCTGCCAGACGAAGTAGTATATTAGAGACAGCACCCAAAAGCCTGGCCCGATTACAACTGTGTAGTTCATGTTCTGAGCGTTGTTGCCGTGTTGTTGTGAGGGGAACATGACCATTAAAATAACAAAGCCCTGGAAAAACACCGAGATCCAGTTGATTATTGGGGACCAGAAGTCTCCCAAATAAAATGGACCAGGTCTGAAGTCTTTTCTACCATACGTCAATCTTAGCGTGATAGGGAAAATCAAGGCCATGTACATACCAGCAATGGACAAGCTGAAAAGGGCATCGGCGGCGGTATCGCCAGCGAGACACAAACATCCCAAGGCTAGAGAAAGCGCACTCGAACCCCATACGGCACGAATTGGCACTGCGACTCTTCCATTGACTTTTTTGAAAAAGTTGCTGAAAGGAATACCGTCGTCTCTTGCAAAAGCCCAGAATTGTCTCGAGTTGGCAATGACTGTAGAGGCACCCATTAGGAATTGACAAACAATGATCAAACTCAAGAAGGCCAAAGTCCAACGCTTGCCTAGAGCATCATAGAAAACTTGAGTGATACCTTGACCGTAAGCAGAGTTAATAATGTTATCGACATTGGGGTCCATGCAAGCCAAAAGGACAATACAGATTAACCAACCAAGAATCCAACACGAAGCAATGGATCCCACAATCCCAATAGGCACGGCGCGCACAGCATCGCGTGCTTCCTCTGCCATGTGTAGACAGGAGTCATATGCGCCAATGGTCCAGATAGCAGGGGTTAAACCGTTGATACAGAAACTCCAGCCATTGTTCCAGTCAGTGAAGTTTTGGAACTTTCCGAAGATAAATTTACCATCGTTGAATTTGCGGCCCAGCGTATCAGAGCGGGATACACCGATAGGCACCGCGATGAAAAACAAAATGATCAAGAAACAATTCGAGATGATGGAAAAAGTTTGCAACTTGGCTGTCCAGCCTGACGCCACAGATGTCAGCGATGCCATGGCAATAATGCATGCTGCAAAAACACCATAAGTGATGGGATCAGTCACGTTAAAATCAGGGTTCGACACCACAACAGCTGATAAAATCTGCTGTGCTAAACCGTACACGATAGAACAAACGGAAGCACAAAGAGAAAGAGTATCTAGGAAACCGACGGAATAACTAATGCACTTTCTGACTCTTTCAGGCGCCCATTGGTAGCAGGAAACATACACCGCACCTGCAGTTGGCATTGATGAGGAAATTTCTGCCAGCGCAATACCGATTGTCAAAATCAAGCCACCTGCTATGAACCAACCCCAACTCAAACCCACTGGACCTGCCAGTAAACCACCATCCATAGTAGAGGCAATCGAAGGCAGCAGACCCATGATAGAAAATGCTACACCGAAAATTTGCAATGTTGAAAATTCTCTCTTAAGCTCTTCCTTGTAACCAATTTCAGCCAGCACCTGCTGATCAGAAGTTGCACTCTTGGCATCCACGAATCTAATCGGAGCACCGTGTGCTGATGTGATCGTTCGAAGCTCTCTGAACTGGCTCACTTGAACGTCAGCATGGGACTTGCGTTGTGTAAGAGTGTCTTTGTTGCTGCTCGAGGTTGACATGTAATTTGTCGTTGTCATTGCACAGCTGCTTTTGCTCGTTGCTGTTCAAAATAAATTCAACGACTTCGACCTACGCTTATATATATGCAATGCTGCCTTTTCTCGATGTAGACGCTTGGGGAGAATTTTGCGAGCATCACTATCTATTTCTCTGATATCTATCTCTTTTTAGTATCCTGCCTTAATCTAAGCGCATCTTGGTCCCAGATCTCTTATCGGAGGGCGAGAAAAAGAAAAAGCGGTCGCTTAGCTGGTCAACAAATTTAAGCGACCATACGGCAACTTTCGCACGGCAAGGCATTCTTTTTTCTTAACAATGGAGGAATGCCGAGCATCTCACCGGCCCCGTTCAGCGTTATAAAACTGCCCGCGCATTGGACCAGTGATCTGCGACGGGCAAATTGCGCTTAGACATTCAGTTAAGAGCCGTAACCGTGTTTTTTTCTTTCTGCCGATTGCATATCATTTCACTCGAAACTAGTGGTCGCGTAGCTTAAATTTAAGTAGATGGATATCACTGCCCGAAATTCCAGTGTAATTATTTACTCGAGGCGTCTATAAGTATATGATAGTTTTCGGTAGGAGCCAATTAGAAAAGCCACTTGCGAAAATCTTAATGAACTGACTAACGTTTAGAAACGATGACATTGTCAATGAGCCTCACTGTTGTTGAAGGATCGCGTCTATCTTGAACGTATACAGCACAACTGATAATCGTATCTGAGCTTCTGGATACAACATCTCTCTTTTCTTGCAGTGCGAAAGAGTCCGCTATGGAAATGTAATCCACCTTAAAGTCTCCGGATGCTACAAATGGTGCCCAAATTTGCTCGATAACTGTCAGTAGTTCTTGTCTGCTGACCTCGGATTTTTCTGTCAGTAAAGCTGCTGCAGTCTGTAAGCCGCGATGGATATTTGAAGCTTTCTTAACGCTTTCTTCGCACAGATAGCGATTTCTGCTGCTGAGAGCCAAACCTGCCTCGTCTCGCACAATGGGCATCATTTTGATTGTAGTGTTCATAAACAATTGCTCTGTCATTACCTTCAACACTATGAACTGTTGAATATCCTTCTGTCCAAAATAGGCGGTGGTAGGGGAGACAATATTCAGTAGTTTTGTCACAACAGTGGCAACTCCCCTGAAGAAGTTGGGCCGCGTTTTACCTTCGAGCTGTTCACTTACACCCAGAATGGTAACGAAAGGACCACGTTGCTCATCTACATTTAGCGGAATCCCTTGTGGATAAATGTCCTTTGCGGAAGGCGCGAAACACATATCGACGCCAGCACTCTCCAAGAGCGCTAAGTCTTGGGGAAGAGTTCTTGGATATTTATCAAGATCCTCATTTGGGGCAAACTGAGAAGGATTGACAAATATGCTAACCACGGTAAAATCATTTTCCTTTTTTGATGCTTTGATTAGGGACATATGGCCTTCGTGGAGGCACCCCATGGTTGGAACAAATCCAATTGTTTGAACTCGAGGGTCAATATTTGACTTACGCCATTGGACAACTTCACCAACTCTGTGGCAGACCTGCATACTATATTTTGCGATGTTTGTGCCTTGATAACACCTTGAGCTGTTACAAATTTTTCTTTCTTTACGAGCGCTTTGCTGATGTGAATCGCAAATAGAACTACCGCAACAGAATAGAGGCGCCAGTCGGATATTTGGATACTCTACTATAAGATCAATAATTCTAGTCTCTCAGATCCAAATATCTTTCTATTAAAATTTCCAAAGATTGAACAGTGATTTACGTAATCTTCGAGATCTATATATCACGTGATATGTTTTCATACTTGTTTTCAAATCATTTTTGTTTGTACACAAACAAACACACTCGTGAAGCTAACTCTGTTTTGGCGTAAACCTCAAAAATGAGTGGATCACCCAGGCGCTATGGACAAGATGAGCCCAACCCTGTTTTAAGCAGTCTTGATCCTCATAAGTTCACGTCTCAAATACCTATTGCTGTCAATGGAAAACGGAGGAACAGCACTACTTCGGCGATCGGCGGGATGGGGTTGACAGATATGATAAACCGAAGCATTTCAAAAAACAAACCAGAGCCATTCAGAAGATCTTATACTGATACACGTCGGAGTCTGATTGGAGATAGGAAAAGTCTGCGGTCATCTCAAAGAACGTCACTTTTGTCGTTGACAGGAATCAATGGCACTGGGGGTCACAATGGTAACAAAGATCCGCGACCACTACGAGATCGAAACTTTCAAATTATTTTACAGCAAGAGATATATGACTACTTGAACTCTCAAAAATTTGATATCGACACAAACCATCCAATATCTTTAAAATCACTGCGACAACCCACACAGAAAGATTTCGTATTTATGTTCAAATGGCTTTATTTAAGGATGGATCCTGGCTATAAATTCACAAAATCTCTGGAGCATGAAGTGTACTCAATTCTTAAAACAATACATTATCCTTACTTGGAGACAATAAACAAATCACAAATCTCGGCAGTGGGTGGTTCTAGCTGGCCAAAATTTCTGGGTATGTTGCACTGGTTGGTAAACACGAATAAGAGACTCGATTCATATCTTTTGAAGCTGGATATGTCCATTATGAACCAAAACACTCAAGACCTAACAGTTTTGAAGCAACCAATCAATACTCCCGACAAACAGGAAGAAAAGCAGGAAAAATATGAGCTCATGGTGGAGCGTTTATTCATCGATTATATTGTTCAATCTTATAAAAGCTTTCTGCAATTACAAGATGACTACGAACCATATCTTAAAGAGATGGAAGCAGGGTTTGAAAAGTTCTCACAAGTCATTGAAACGGATATAGGTAGTATATCGCGACAGAATGATCAATTATCGGTTAGATATCATGAATTAATTGAAAGAGGCGAAGCTTTGAAGACGGCCAAGGATAAATTTACCGCTTTGCAAAGTGATTTGACTAAATTTCAAAACTATATTAATGGAATGCAACATAAGAGCCAAGAATGGCCAAGGAAACTGCAAAAAATGGAGGAAGAAAAACTGAACAAAAACTCACAAATAAAGGACATGGAGGAAGAAATCATCAATTGTCGTGAACTACTCAAGGAAAGAAACGTAAGCATCGATGAAATTGACAAAAAGGTAAGCGAGAAGGAAAAAATTTCGAAGTCTTTGGAATTAGTTTCTACTCAGCTGGACCACCTTGCGAGTTCAGCGAGAAGTCAAAGGCTTGCTGCTGAAAACGCTTATAGAAACTTTTTAACGGCCGTAGACCAATATCGTTCGGCGATAGAGAGTTTTATGGCCATTCGTCGCAACTTAGGGCATGAAGTCGAAAGCGGCCTCTTTCAACTTGAAATTCCTGATAATCTTTTGGATGACGACAAACTCGGCCTTGATACGCGCTCAGTTTTCCAATCAGGTATTACCATTAATGGGTCAATCAGAAATTCACTTTTGTCTTTAAACAGCGAAATTCATGAACGCATCGAGAACCTTCAGAGAGTAAATGCATCTTTCGAAACAGAATTAGACAACTTGAAAGAGGATATTAATGAGAAGACTAAACTGCTGGATGCTTTAGAATCGGAATTGTCTTCTACAAGATCGGATTATGAAGAGTATAGACAGCAAAGTAGAAGCCAGCTACTCTCTCAGCGTATTGAAATCGAAAAAATGGAAAGGAAACTACAAAACGCAAAATATACATCAAAACAGAAACTCTCAGAAGCTGAGCAAAAAGTTCAAGATACCAAGCTGAGATGTGAAGAGCTTAAGTTGACTCTGAACAGGGAGAAGGCTAATTTGTACAGCAAGGTCATCAAGGTTATCGAGTATGTTAGCAATTTCAAGATCAATGTTCAGTCCTCAATCGAGGATCTAGAGGAACTTACATCTAAGGAATTGAGTAATATTAAATCTGAAGGTAAATAATCAGCCATTCTCATGGCCATGGCGTTTATATAATTATTTCGTAAAATTGTATTATTAAGAACTATTGATCCGCATTCTCACAATGTCAGAAAGAGAAACTCGCAATTACTTCTTTAAATTACGGTAGTACATCTTTCTAATGAGTGGATGATGATCCTTCAAATCTTTATTCTTATTGGAGGAGTATTCCAAATATGCCATATCCTCGCCACCAGCCAAACCAGACAAAGAACCCTCTCCCCTAACTGCTTTTGACTTGACTCTTTTGTTACTATGAGCTCCACGGCCAACAGTGTTATCTGCATCGTCACCAATTTCGATACCTGCAGCCTCCTCGTTTTTCAATAAAACTTCTTGCAAAAGTTCCCGACGTTCACGAGCAGTTGAATAAGCTAGGTTTGGCAAACTCTCCATTCCATGTAAATGTGTTATAACCTTAAATGCGTAACCTTGATCGACCAAAAAAGCTTGTCTTTTTGTTGAGTAATACATCTCTTGTGTATCCTTAGAAACTAGAGAGTAAAAGAATGCGTTAAAACCTTCATCGTTACGTCTTTTTGCCCTAAGAATTCTGCCTAATCTTTGAGCTTCTTGACGCCGAGATCCGTAATGAGATGAAATTTGAATGAGACACGTCGCTTCGGGTAGATCAATCGATGTGTCACCGACCTTTGAAAGAAAAATGGTGTTTATCTGATCGTTATATTGGAAATTCTGTAGAATGTTCATACGCTCCTGTTGAGGTGTTGAGCCATAAATAAATGGTTTGCCCAATTTCAATGCATATTCTTGTAGGGCGTATACATTATCAGAGAACACGATGATTTTGTCACCCCTTTTCTCATGATATTGAATCAAAAATTGGCACGCTTGAAATTTGGTAGGATTCATAATGTAAAGTAACATTCTCTTTCTTGCGCTTTCTCGTAGATACTCTTGGTAGAACTCGGCTGTCATGGGGCACCATACCTCTGCACATTGTACATTGGCAATATGCCCCTTTTGTGAAAGCTCCATCCAATTTGCTTCATAAAGTTTTGGCCCAATTAGAAAGTTTAAGTCACTAATTTTATCATCTTCACGTACCAAGGTCGCAGTTAAGCCTAACTTAGCATGCGCCGCGATTGTCGTGACTACTCTTCTAAACATCGCAGCTGGAACAACATGAACTTCATCTAGAATAATAAAACCCCATTCTCTTCCTGTCAAAAAATCCATTACTTTCTGGGAGTCATGAGATCTATTTCTTGTATTGGCGACCATTGAATAAGTCGATACAACAAGACCAGATTCTGTCTGAAACATCTCTTTGTTATCAGAGGTGAACACGGCAACATTCTCTGGTTGCAATGTACACCATTGTAGAAATTGCTGTCTCCATTGCATGACTGACACTGATGAAGTACATAGGACGATAACAGACTTCTTGATCGTACACGCAGCTGTAATCCCAACTAACGTCTTACCCGCACCACATGGAAGCACAATGATTCCACTTCTTGCACGCCCATTACCAAACATTTTACTCAAAGATTTTTCTTGGTAAGGTCTAATTTGAGTGGAAGGCTTCAAATCTATGTCTAAATCTGGATTTCTGTGATCGTTCCGGAAATCATATTCTTCTAGTACGGGATAGTCAATCTCTTGACATCTTTTCTTGACAATTTCAACAGATGCATTTGCAATTTCAAAAGCATGTACAGCATCTATATCGTCATTGTCATCATCTATGTCATTATCACCAACGACAGACGAGAATACGGCCTCAACATCATTCGGGTCAACAGGTTTCTTGTTTTCATTGTTGTCTACCTTCGAGTTTTTATCTTGAGATGCTTCATTGGCAGCATTTCCCTCACTATCGATTCGAAGGGTTCCAATCACAGGATCTTTCAGTAACATTTGTAATATATCAGCCTGCGACGTTTCCACGAAATACCTATTATGCTTAATAACTAGTTTGACCTTACCGTAAGACACTGTGGCACTTTTGATAAAGTTAACAATTGAGGGGGCGACTGGCACTTTCGATAACCTATCTAGCACAGCAATGATATCGTCGGTTTCGAGACCTACGGAAACTGCAGCATATAATGAATATGCTGTTATTTTATATTCGTGAATGTGGGAAGGCCTACTAACTGGTTCCGCAATAGTGACCAAGAAGTCTTGAGCCTGTTCAGCGAGAGGAGAGAAACTCTCCAAAATTATACGACCATCACTTGGTGAGATCCAAAGCGGTCTAGAGGCATGATCCGGCTTCAGTTTCAGATAGCTAAAGTCATTACTTTTAAACAGCCCCGATACGACATCAGGTACGAAGTCCGAGGGTGCATCTGTGTGTACGTCACGCAGAAATGATTGGTCCTTTGCTGCAAGCATGTTCAGAGTCTCGTTCGATGACTTCTTTTGCCGTTGGCTCGATTTCTTCTGTGGCTTCTTAGCTTTCGATTTCGCAGACCCTCTATTTGACTCAAACGCATCATCTCCGTCCAAATAACCATCTGCATAATCCGAGTTATCAGTTGCAATGGAGTCATCAGAGAAGTAATCTCTGTCCATCCCAGAGAATACGCCTCCCTTACTCCTGGTTTGATACTGATGGTCGGTCATTTACGCTCTGGTATTTATGACAACTGCTCTTCAGCGAACGATTATGGACTGAAGCTTACTAAAAGAAGGGTCTCGCTTTACTTGTCATTCATGTCGACAAATCTAAAATGATTCCTTTGTAATTACAGACGGGTTCACGTGACTTTTGCCTTTCATGTCATCGCAAAAGAAATCATAGTAATTTCTGAAAAATTTTCTGGTACGCGATGAGTTGAAACCAATCCGTTCAATTGTCAAGCAAAGCGGCCACAGTCAGTTGGTTTGAAATGGGCTCCAAAAAGCATTCTGGTTCGAAGAAAGAAGATCCTCCAAAGCTGTCTGAGGCAGCTAAGGCGGAGGAACTGAGTACCTCGTCATCCTCTAGCTCATCTTCCTCTTCTTCATCATCATCTTCTTCATCTTCCTCTTCCTCTTCATCTTCCTCTTCCTCTTCCTCTTCATCTTCCTCATCATCCGAGTCGTCCTCATCCTCATCAGAGTCTGAATCAGAATCCAATGCTAATCATTCGAAGAGTAATGTAGCTTCTGTAAAGTCCAATGGGGAGTTGAGCACAAGTAGCTCGTCAAGCTCGTCTAGCAGCAGCTCGAGCTCTGGAAGTGGCGACTCAAGCTCTGAGAGTAGCGATTCCAGTTCCTCGGAAGACTCTGACAGCGATTCAAGCTCGGATGAGGAAGATAAGAAGGCCAAAAAAACTTCTCACAAGCGTCAGCATGAAGAGAAGGACTCTAAACCATCGAATAAAAAGCAAAAGAGGGAAGATGGCTCCTCTAGTGGTTCCTCTAGTGATTCTGATAGTGAGTCATCTTCCTCCGACGAAGATGACAGTAGCTCTGGTAGTGACAGCGACAGCGACTCCAACAGCGACAGCGACTCCAGCAGCGGCAGCGACTCCAGCAGCGACAGTGACTCCAGCAGTGACAGTGACTCCAGTAGCTCAAGTGATAGTGATTCTAGCAGCTCTAGCGACAGTGATTCTAGCAACTCCAGTGACAGCGATTCCAGCAGCTCTAGTGACAGTGATTCCAGCAGCTCTAGTGACAGTGATTCCAGCAGCTCTAGTGACAGTGATTCCAGCAGCTCTGATGATTCGAGTGCTTCGTCTGATAGCGAATCTGATGGCTCATCAGACAGCAGCTCGAGTTCTTCGGGAGATTCTTCCGATGACTCCTCAGAGGACGACTCAAGTGATTCCTCGAGTAGTGGATCATCGGACTCGAGTTCTAGTGAATCTTCAGACTCTGGTGATTCTTCTGATTCATCCTCTGACTCTGATTCATCCTCTGACTCTGATTCTTCAGACAGTGATACTTCTAATTCATCAATTAAATCAGAAGCGGACACCAAGACAACAGCAAAGAGAACAAGAGACGTACGCGATAAAGACGAATCGGAAGCTGACAGTGCCTCTAAATCATCTTCTTCATCCAAGACAGCCTCCCCTGATGTTACCGAACCAGTTAAGAAGAAGACAGCTATTCCTGCTATAATCGACGAGCAGCCTGGAAAACGGAAGCATTTTTCTAGAATTGACAGAGCTAAAATTTCCTTTGAGGCTGAAGCATTGACAGATAACACATATAAAGGGGCTGCCGGTACCTGGGGTGAGATGGCCAATGAAAAGCTTGGGAGAGTTAGAGGGAAGGACTTCACAAAGAACAAAAACAAGCTAAAGAGAGGATCCTATAGAGGTGGCTCAATAACTCTAGCATCGGGTTCGTATAAATTTACTGATTAGAGTAAGAGTTGAAACAGTTTTCGTGCTCTTAGCTCCAATGGATGTCTAGTTACCGTGCCTTCATTGGCGTTAAGCTGCAACACACAATTATCGAAAGTTGATAGGTAGAAGGAGTTTTTTGAACAACATATGTCGATCGTGCGATCATTCTATAACTCGCATCCCACTGTGGTGTTCACATAGCTGTTAAGGGTAATACGACTCACGCCAATAATCTTCAGAGACAATTAAAAGTGCGTTGAGTGGTAAGTAATGGTATTCTATTGGATTACAATGTCCTTGTTACCCGGTTACTGCTACGAAGTATAGAGTCGTATTTGCAAGACCAACTGTTTAAGCAGTCTAATTAAGAGACCTCTGCCGGTTACAACTTCTTTTGTGTCTAAAATGTGTATACATCGTTAGATTAGATAGCATATCATAACGATGCACAAGCGTAAATTATATTTGATATTTGTTGCGATATTTTGCGACGGGTGATAAGAATTTTAAAATGGAAATCAACGACTTGTGTCAAAACTTAAAACTTGAAGTCAAACAAAAAAATAGCCATTTAAGAACACAATCATTGTCCTTTAAGGCCAGGAAGGCCAACGCATCCATAAATAAAAAAGGAGAACCAATTAAATATTAGTTTAATCAATTACGCCAAGAAATTGATATCAACATGTAAGTATTCTCAATTCTTATAAAGAGTACGACACCTTCAAGAAGAAAAATAGGGAACATAAATGTCAATCAAATGGCTTTTGAAAACAATACAACAATTGAAAAAGAGCTAGAGAATATTTTTGTACCAATCGCTATGCCTTAGCGTCAACTTTCTCTCCTTTCAAGAAGAAAGCTTGAAATGGAACGGAGAATGTATGCTTCCATATTTAGAGATCTCCACATTGCCTTGAAAAGGAAAATCTTTACACAGGTCAATTAAGATACTTACCACTTGATTTCCTTTAAACAGTAAATCGGCAGGGATAGATTACATCATCTGATGCAAGATAATTTCAACTGAAGATTCCCAGAAAACATGCACCGTCCATAATGCAGTCAAGATTACAGCAGGCCTCGACCGTTCTATGAGGAAGTGAATTTATTGCAAAGACTTACTTACTCCACTAGAATGCTGAAATGTCTTGAGCTGCGAGGTGCCTTAGCACTAATGCAGTTGCTCAGATGAGCCGATTGATTTCATATGCAGGCATGCAGTATATTTTCTGAGAGTTCTGGGGCCACCGTGAGAAAAATAGTAGGGAAGCGAATACCGTAAAAGATAAGTCTTGAGCTTTTATGATTTCGGAACCTTGCAACACATTTCTCCTAATTCCCCATTTGACTACAAGTGCACTGGACCTGGCAAGTATACTTTGACCTATATATCTAAGGCGCAAACCACAACATAACGAAACCAAACGTTTTTATTAATTCCAGTCCAAAATCCCTCCTGTCACAGTTAGGGACATAAGCGCACCCTGACAGGAGAGAATTACGTGCGTAAGTTAGGCCAATTTATCAGACCTACCATGCAAGAAGCACACAGGGCTCCACAAAGTGAAGGATAATACAGTGTCGCTGATTTATTATTATTACAAAACCATATTTATAGTGAATGCATCCGTCTTACTTGCCTCTTATTAGTCATCATTATCATCATCCTGCTCCTCTATGTCCGTCTCAACATCTAAAAGAACTTGATTATCGTTCTTAAGGAGAAAGGGTTTTGCTAATGTATTTTGAAGAGAAGATGTGGAGGACGACCTCGAGGATAAGTCGAGACGAGGTTGGTCTGGTTGTTTCCCCAGTGATGGTTGGGTCGGTAATGACAACTCAATGCTACCACTATGTGACTGTTTCTTTGGGGATGATAAAGACATGAGCGTTTCGATTGCCTCTACTTCCGAAGGTTGGTTTCCTGAAGTTGTGATAGGGGGCAACTTTTGAGGACTCTTACTCCATCCTATAGATGTGGATGACATTGATCTCTGCTTCTTCTTGGGGCTTGCTAATGCATTCAGAAATGCCGCATGTGCCGAATTACTATCCACTTCTTGGAGATCCACGAATTGATTGCTATATGTAGACGTTCGTTTGGTTGCTACGATGTCTTTGTCTTCCTCATTTCCACTCTCTGCTTGCCTTCGCAAGCGATCGTTCCTCTGGGGACTCTGTTTGCCCTGCTTGCTGCTCAGTTCAGACTCCAGCTCAGGTAAAGTTTTGTCAACCCACCCGTTCTGTAATTTGACAAATGCATAATTCAGTCTTGTTTTCAAATTGTTTGAAATTTCCCGTATGGGCTTCTCACTATCCTTGTACACACCTGGTGATTTAAGCTTAGGTGACGGTGAGAGAAACAGTTCCGTGTGCTTCGATTTAGGTGTAGTTGGCGGAAGTAAGCGCGACTTCACGCTTGGTGAATTAGGAATGACTATTCCTGTACCATGACGGTTTCCATGTTGCGAAGGCGAGGGTAGAAAGCTTAACGTGGTAGATGACCGCCTGTTCTTACTATTTGGTGGAGATGGAGTTTGAGGCGATGTCGGACTCAAATCCAGACGATCACCAATATCCTTGCTTCCACTTTTCTTGGGAGTTGTGTCTATCATAGTTTGAGGTGTATTCAGCACGTATAGTTGTGCTAACGGTAAACAATTCTGCAAGCGCTATTTTCGCACCCCAGAATCTAGATAAACTGATAGAGACTTTAAAAATTCCTACCAACTGTGGTGATTCTTAGGTCAAATATTGCTTTACGTTGTAAGAAACTCTATCTCTTTCTTCTTTAGCCTGGCAGTCCGGAGAGTTGAGTAAGCGTTGCCACTGACTTAAGACTCCTTGTTTTGTTTTGAAAAAAAAAAATTCCAAATTTTCGCAGCATTTGCTTTCGCGATTGTAAAATTTCAAAAAACCGCGTTCATAACATAAATACGGATGTTTGGATTACATCAGGACCATTCTTGTGATAAGGTAGCCGTTTTGGCTGCATGACGTGGGTAATATTCTGCTCATAAAAGGATTTTCACATAATGTTTTTTCTATACTATTATCCTCTATGACAGCAACTATAGAATGCGAGTTTCGAGTAGTGTTACAAATCCGAGAGGAGTGGAATAAAATGAGGTCAGATAAAATTGATAATTCTTGTTCTTCTCTTGGAAACAGTATTGGACCGCCCAACAGAGTCGGCTTCATCAATGCCCTCTGCCAGTAAAGCTTCAATATCGTGGTTAGCACATAGCGGGAGCTCGTTGAAGAGGAAATAATCCTCCCGAATCGGCGATTGGCAACGGAAGCATCTTAAACAATCGACGTGAAAACGTTCGCTTCGGTCGTTTTCGAGGCACTCCCCCTCTATGAAACCATTGCAGATCCCGCAAATGCTATTATTCGTTTCGTGGTAGTGCTGTTGGCAATAGGGTTCGTCGTCAAGAATGTAACATGGAACCTTTTTAGAAAATTGAAGATCACACACGATACACTTGAAGCAGGGACGATGCCATTGACCCGAGAGTTCGTTTTCATTTTTCGAATAAACCCTCTTGGTTGTAACCTCCAAACCACAGGTGCGGCATGGACCTTGACCAGGTGGAAACTTGAAAACAGTTGGATGGTCTTGTTGTTCACTTGAAGGTCTGAATAACTCGTCAGATTGTATCAAGCGACTTTCGCGATCGGGCGGTATCAGAGGCGTTTTGTCTTCTTGTCTTGTTGGGCGGTTCTGGAGGTTGTTTATAGACTTTTTTTTGCTGAGTTGCATGGGCTGAACTACAGAAGTGTCAACCAATGCCGTTAGATGCTCTGATGGTCTTGTCATGTTATCGAACTCCTGTTCAGGAGAATCTTGTTCAAAAGGTGATGGCGTTGATGTCTTAAAGTGATAGAATTGCGGTGTCGACAAAGAAGGAGGGGAGATGTCCGTGGAAGGGACTGATTTCTCCTCAACTGTCAATACCTGTTGCTGCAAAGTCGTTTCATCCTCACGTTTATCATCATTGTCGAAGAGGGATTCAATGCCTGATGAGGGAACATTGAGCGGCGGTATGTAACCTGAAAGATACGCACTAGATTTTTTAACGTGGGTCTGGTTGGGTCCCAGAGGCCTGTTCTTTTTCACGCTCAAGCTTCTGTTAAAAGAAACGTCGTCTAGTTGGGCTATCAGTCTTTCAACCTGTAGAGATGATACGAGGGTGCCATTTTGTGTAGGGTCCGATTGGGAATCAATGTCATCATTGTCTTTGCTATCATCGTCCAGTTGTTCTGTTTCGTAAGAGGGCCTATCCTTAACACTGGCCTGAAATGAGTAAGTACTCTCATGGTTAGTGTTGCTAACGCTAGTAAAACTTGTGTAACTTCGATCGGGGCCACTTTGAACGCTGGTGTCGCTATTTTCACTCTCGTCGCTATCCGTCACATTCGAATGCGCCTCGGAAACATTGATGACAGGAATTGAAACTGATTGAAACGCGTTTTGAGTGTAAAATGATGACCTGCGGCGCGGCTCCCTCACTAAAGCAGATTCGCGTTTACGTGAGGGTGACAAACTCACATTCAACTCTGCCACGGGCGTGAAGCTGACGCTGCAAACACTGTCACGTTGCGCAGGGGTTAGTTGCGCATTGTGCGAAGAATATGAGTTGGTATCTATGGTATCGTTTAATTCGTTTCGAGGAGAACTTGGTACGCTGGCGTTCAGGTCTTCGTCGGAAGTGTCGTTGGCGGAGGTGGTTTGCGCAGATTGCATGGAGTTCCGCACACCAGAGCTCTGCGTCAGCTGCATGAAGCTTTGCTCGACTGGGTTGAGGGGTTCCGACTCAGCAGGGAATCGCGCAATCTCTTGGTTTTCACTTTTGTGCGCGCCCGAACCGTGCGTATTGCGAGCTGGAGACGCGTGGTTCTCGAAGTCGAACATGGACGACTCACGGTTCAAGTTGCTCAGCGATTTGTACATCCTGGTTTCCGCGGGCTGAATAACGGGCGGATTCCCGGCGCCCGCCACGTATGGTGAGCCTTGCGCGCTCTTTGCATTCGTAACCGACGCGCTTGCTTGCGCGCTCTGCGCAACTACCGGCGCATGACCGCTGCCATTACCGTACCGGGAATTGGGAAGGCTGGTGCTGGATTCGTAGCGGTACGCACGTACGCTAGCCCCCGTGGAATGTTGCCCACCACTAGGCGACCTCGTCCCGCTTGGATGTGCTCCAGGTTCCGGGCCGTTGTAGGCTACGTCAAATCCTGCTCTTTCCAGCGCTGTCTTGTACCGCACCCGAGGATTGAGTACTGGGAAAGGTGAACTGTATATTGGCGTGAACATGTGTGTCTGTATAGCCCTCTCAACGCTTTCTTTCGACTGAACAAGAGTTGAAAACAAATAATACAAACAAATACAAACTATATGATTTGGGTTCTACTTTCGGTTCACTCTTTTTGTCAGTCCGTTCCTTCACGCGTCACCCATGCCCAAAAAAGGCGATAGCGAAGAAAAAGATGAAGTAGGCTTTGACACCAACAAAGGACGCCCAAAATGCGTGCTAGTACAACGGGTGGGTGCGAATGACGGTGCGCTCGTCAGTATCCGCAATTGAGCGCGCAAATGCGACTGAGCGCTCCTGTTTCGAACGCTCTTCGCCTACACCAACCGTTACGACCGAGGCACAGTGGTAGTTGGGCTCTTTCTAGAAGAGCGGAAAAATCACCAGGAACGGCCGAAAAACAGAAGCGTGTCGTGGCCGCACAATAAAAAGAAACACAACACCCACACAAACGTACAAAGGGATATCACGACAAACGAAACGTATCAAGCGACAACAACACGTGACTAAAATAATTTTCAATTCACGTGACTTGAGATCATTACAGACGGCCGACCCTTATAATCTGATTTTTGAGACGAAAACCGCTTAAAACGTGTAGCTTTTTTTTTTTTTGAGGGGGGGCAAAGAACGTTAAAGCCGCCCACAGAGTGGTGTTAGTATCTCATCGAGTGGCAACAAATATAAGTGCTGAAAGGGTCTAGTAGGGAACAAAAATGGTGAGAAGTATGATCTCTTTTGCCGTAGAGCAGGTCCCCATCACCCAGCGACTCATCCACCGATACTATGATATGGTGCTAGGTACCGAAGACGCACAGCACACGAACCACTGCAAAAACTCGCCTGGGTCGTTTCTCAAATGCGGGGCGCTCAATACGCTTTGGCATCAGGTGTCTTTCTTCGTTCGCCGTATGTTCAGTCGCAACTACGAACAGGACCTGCTCATTGAGAAACTCACACACGAGAAACAGCACGCTACCTCATACGAAGAGTGGTTATCGGCCGCTCTGCAGCTGGACGAACTGACACATACCGAAGATTGGAAGTGGAAGGATGAATCCGTACTCTACGACTACAAGCTTGTGAAGACGCACATGGAGATGATGCGCGAGGCGCGCCAGAACAAGGATTACGCACAGCTGCTCTACCTGGTACGCACGACCTGGGTCCGGAATCTTGGAAATATGGGCAACGTCAACCTGTACCGCCACTCGCACGTCGGCACCAAGTTTCTCATCGACGAGTATATGAAGGAATCCAAGCTTGCTCTTCAGGAGCTCGTATGCTGCTCGGATCTCGATGACAGCTACTTGTTGGGAATGCTTGTGCAGACCCGTAAGAACATTGGCAGAACCGCACTCGTCTTGAGTGGCGGCGGTACATTTGGGCTTTTCCACATTGGTGTTCTCGTGACGCTTTTCGAACAAGATTTACTACCCAGAGTCATTAGCGGGAGCAGTGCGGGTGCGATCGTTGCCAGTATCTTGTGTTCCCATAACAAACATGAGATCGTCGATTTTTTAATGAGTGTGATAGAAAAAGATTTCAATATATTTCAAGACGATTCCGAAAAGACTCAAAGTGAGAACCTTCTCATCAAAATTTCTCGTTTCTTCAAAAGCGGAACCTGGTTTGATAACAAAAACTTGGTGAAGACCATGATTGAGTTTCTAGGCGACCTCACATTCCGTGAAGCATACAATAGGACAGGTAAAATACTAAACATTACTGTGTCTCCAGCATCTGTGTTTGAGCAACCTGGGCTGCTCAACAATCTAACTGCTCCCAACGTTTTGATATGGTCTGCTGTATGCGCCTCCTGCTCCTTGCCCGGCATATTTCCTTCTACACCGTTGTATGAAAAGGATCCAAAGACTGGCGAAACAAGAGAATGGAACAGCAGCACTGTTAAATTCGTCGATGGATCAGTTGATAATGATTTACCTATTTCACGTTTATCTGAAATGTTCAACGTTGACCACATCATAGCATGCCAGGTGAACATACACGTGTTCCCCTTCCTGAAATTATCCGTCTCTTGCGTTGGAGGGGAGATTGAGGATGAATTCAGCGCGCGGTTCAGGCAAAATCTCAGTTCGATTTACGGTTTTCTATCAAACGAGATTATTCACGTTCTAGAAATCGGTACTGAACTTGGAATTGCCACAAACTTTCTCACGAAGGCACGCTCCATTTTATCTCAGCAGTATTCAGGCGATATAACTATTTTACCGGAGATGAACATGCTTTTAAGGATGAATGAAATATTAGTCAACCCTTCAAAAGAATTTCTTCTCAGGGAAACCGTTAATGGCGCTCGTGCTACTTGGCCTAAAATTTCAATCATTAAGAACCACTGTGAGCAGGAATTCGAACTCGATAAAGCAATATCTTATCTCAAAGGCAAAATAATTTCTAGCCCTTCATTCGCTACTAAAAATCCCTTCCAATTTACCGATCTTTCAATTTCTTTAATCAATACCCCAGAATTACCAAGTAATGATGGCCATGTGCCTAATGTTTTGGATGATACTATACTTAACCCCTATTCAACTGATGGACTCTTGGTAGTACCTGACTCACGACGCCCTCATTCTTTTGGAAGAACAAGCATTTCTGTGGCACAAGCCAATAAAGCTCTTCATCATATTCGTCGCAAATCAGACTCTTATACCAAAGGAAAGGTGAGCTCTAGACTCCCATTAACTCATGCGGCAACTTCAACTGCACATATTTCCAATAAAATTTTACCTACTCTGATGGGATATAGTCCAAAGCTTGATAGGAAGAAGAGCATGGCACAAATTCAAACCAATAATAATGCTCTCAAAGTTGATCCCCGGAAACATAGTTATAGCTTTACTACACTTCAAGGGCGTAGGAAAAGTAGCTATTCACCTACGAAAACGAACCCTCCATCACCACTTTCAGCCCCCATTAGTTCGACTTTAGAGCAAAGCTCTAGAAGAGGATCAATATCTTCGTACGAGTCACCACTCAAATCATACCACAGAAGAGGAATTAAGCCTGCCCATAGGCGCCATCATTCTGGAGGATCTCGGAGTAATAAAGTTGTTTCAGTTTCTAATGAAACACCTACAAAGGCGAACCAAAATTCAGAACAACTAAATGCAAATAATATCGATGTCCATGACTCGAGGAACAAAGAATTGGGTACGGAAAGTATTGAAATTAATAGTGGGGAGGCAAGCAGACAAATGGCAAGGAATAATCAAAATCAAAGCGATGAGCAAAGTGATGAAAATATCGAACAATTAAGTGATACTGATCTACAAATGGATTTACAGATGGAACTACCAACAACATATGGCCTTTCATCAGATCAAGACACGGAAACGGATATGGTTAATAATGAATCATCCCTAGAGGACTAGTTATCATTTATCTTTAAACAAGAAAAAATACAGAGTAGTCTGTATATTATTAAATATTCTCTAATACTGGCTTTGTTATGCTGTGACTAAGGTGTTTATTCCGAATATTTTCCATGTCATTTTTTCATAAGAGCAGGATAGTTCTCTAACGAAACCATTCTGCTTGATGATGCTCATTGTGTGCTTTGAAATTGATGGGCAAGCGTCGATTACAAGCTTATCCAAGACTATGTATTCGCTCTCTTTCAATTCCCTTAAGAGCTCATATATGGAGGCACCTGTTATTGACATGTTAAATGAAAGGTCTAGCTTCCTTAATTTCTTCGTATATTTGACGTTTTGCGTTAGGAGCTGAACGGCATAGTCATCGAATGCAACGGATTGGTGAAGAAAAAGCTCTTCAATGTGGGGTAGCTTTGGTAGCAATGAACCTAGATTGAGATAGCCATTGTCAGTGCTTCTTTGGTAATGCATAAAAGGACAATCGCCAATGTTTAGTCTTCTGATAACATTATTGGGTATGCATGTGACTATTGAAAGTAGACCTCTGCCCCCAATAGAGCTACCCATTAGGTCCAAGATGCGTAGGTGGCAGAAATTACTGACCAAATTAGGGTTCTCTAAAAGATTAGGGTATTCATGAAGGTTGACAGGATTACTTCCAATTCTGTGTTCTCGAAATGTAAGCTTTTCCATACACTTGAATACGTGTGAATAAACCATGACATCTATGAAGTCTTTAAGAAAGACATTCTTATTATTTTCTAACCATAATTCCCGTAGGTTAGGAAAATTCAAAATCCAACCAAACCCAAATGTAGAATCGAAAGTGACACCGCATATAGATACTTTAGAAAGATTTGCGTACGGCTCGTCAACGAGCAACGCGCACTTGAAGGGGAAGAAGGGCGAAACTTTTTTGAGATCGCACACAATCTTCAGTGATTCCAAGTTTTGCAGGATATGCTTTTCAATTCTTGAAGATTGCGCTTTCAATCTTGAACTACTGCGCTGTTGAATTAGGTCTGGGAAAAATAGTTCAAGCCTCCTCAAAGACGTTGCCTTGCTCAAAAAATTTAGCTCTGCAGATGCCGAGAGAGTTCTTTTGTAGTGACATACTAATGATAATTCCTCAAGGCTGCCGCTCAAGGTACTATTCATTGAAAAGCGCTCAGATAGTCGCTCAAAGTCACATGCTTTTGTCTGTAAACTTAATGATTTCAACGACAGCGTGGCCATGTCCAGTAATGCGGAAACAGATTTATCTTCTGCCATCGAAGTGGAAGATGAATACTTAAGAGTGTGCAATCTTATACCACCTTGATGTTCGAATAACTTATTGACAAAAAGTTGAAATGTCAGTATCCTCTTATAAGTACTCCCACTTAAGTCAAAACTCCTGAAAAGATCCGATAAAATCCCAATTCGAAAATACCACGATTTGCTTACCAACATCAAAGAACTCAAACTTTTACTGTCGAATTCTTTTAGAATGTTCTTAGTTATCTCCAGAGGACAGTGACCGAGAATATCGAAGTGAAAATCATTACCAAGTTTAAGAAGTTTTTCATTGCTACTAAAATTTTGATTAGAGACATCCCGTTTTCTCTTGATACCTTTAATATCACGACGTTGCAATTTTGGTTCTTTTCGGCTTCTGATGAGTCTCTGCTGAAATTTTATGATGTCAACAAATTTGGGTATCACCCTTATTTGAAACTTTTCATTGCCCTCTTTTGCCATTTTGAGGCCCTTTTCATAAATATTGTAGGCTTCGTCGTCTTCTTGCAACTTCTGTAAAACTTTGCCGCATCTAATATAGCCCTTTACATTATATGGCTCTTCTCGGATCATCTTCTTCGCGTCTTTCAAAGCTTTTTGCAGTTGACCAAGCTTCTCCCAACTTGCAGATCTGTTGTCTAATAACTTCACCAAGCGAGGATGAGTTGTCTTCGTTGAGTCATGTACCGACCTCTTTGGTAAACCGCATCTTTGTCTCAGATTTTCAATATCACTTTCTCTATAGGAGCAAGCTAAATGGATAGCTTTCGTGAAGAGCTTGTTGGCATTGGAGAAGTCTCCACTCTTGAAATAAGTGGTACCCAATTCTAAAGCCTTTTCGAGCAGGTCATTGTTTTCCATCCTTATTTTCCATCCTAGTTGTTTTTCCTGACATCGTTAAAGGTTTACAAAAATCAAATTTAAGCACACCCAGAAAAATAAGGCCATCATTTAATCAATCACCTAAATCTTACAAAATTAATGTCGGCTGGGATAACTGAGGTGATATTGACCGCTATATTCTTCTTGGTGGCAACATTTGCGATTGGCGTCATCCCAATCTATTTTTTCAAGAAGAAATTGGACACAGATGACATGTACCTTACCGCTTTTTCGCTGTTTGGCGTCGGTATGCTGCTAGGTACTTCCTTTATGCTTGTTATACCAGAAGGTGTGTATTCGTGCTTAGAACATGATGGTAATGTGGGATTAAATTTGCTGATAGGTTTTTTAGCAGTTCATCTGCTGGATCATTTCGTTAAATGGGTGGGAAAAGCATCGAAGGAAGCAAGCTGGGCATCCTTCATGCAGCAAGACCCCGAACTCAACTCCTTTAAAGACCTTCTAAACTTCAAGAAAACAAGTGTTCTTGTTATAAAAAATAATGTTGTATTTGCCCTCGTTGTACATGGTTTATCAGATGGACTGGCGCTTGGTGCGTCAATTACCAATGACTCACTAAAAGTGATAATGTTGATTGCAATTATCGTTCAAAAAATTCCCGCTGTGCTATCGCTAACTAGTTTAATGGTATCAAAACAAAAGCTTCCGCCTCTTGTAGCAGTGTCGAACCTATTAGCTTTTGCAGCATCGACGCCTGTCGGGTATATTGTAGTTTCTCTTTTGAACCTCGGTAACTGGAAGGCAATGGAGTGGATAAGTGGCAATCTCTTACTGATGAGTGGTGGAAGTCTTTTATATGCCTCTTTTACTGCATTCCTGGGAAACGATAATCATCACCTGGAAACCAGAAATGATGGGTTTGTCGTTGTCGATGGAGCCCCTAGTACGGAACCTGTCAAAGATGTCAGCGATGTCGAAATTAATTCCCCATCCACTTCCCCAACACATGTACCATATGGTGAAACTATTTATGTGATGGCAGGTGTATTAATTCCAACGGTAATCTCCTTTTTCGTGAATGAAGGTTAAGTGACAGGGACACGAACTCAGTGTTTATTTAAAAAATGCTAATATGATACATATACACTCATTTACGTTTGAGGGATTTTCTTTTCAGCCATTTATCTTTGGAACGGGTTACTTGGTCTTCTTTTTTAGGAGCAAGTGACTTCTGGTCCTTTAGTGATGACAACAAACTCACTGTAACGGGTCCCCGTTTGAGAGTTTTCTTTCTTAATTGTTGAAGTGTCTTCTTCTTTTTTTTTTCAACTCTTGCACAACCTCTTGAGCGTAATTTCCGTCTATTTCATTGAAGTTGACGTATGTTGGCTTCGCGGCTACAAATGCAGGTTCCGCCTCGTCTAAACTGTCAAAGAATTCGTCTGGCAACTCTTCCGGCAGCTCCAGTTCCTTGGATTCAGTAGCAGTAAGTAGATCTTCATCGGTTTGCCTTTTCTTCTGTTCTTCGAGTTCTCTCGATCTCTTCTGCTCTTGTTGTTCTGCGAATTTTAGATTCTGTTTCCTTCTCTTTTCTTTCAGGAGATCCTGCTCACGTTTAATGGCTTGTTCTCTCTCTTTGACTTGCTTTTCCATCTCATCTTTACCAGCCGATAGTCCTTCCTCCTCTGGCGCATCATCGTCACTACTATCACTATCTGAAAGGTCTACCGAACCAGTGCTTTTTGGAGCAGTGGAGCCAGTTTGTGCATATAATTCTTTGTCCCGTGACGCATCCAGCAACACTTCAGGGGTATCAGATACTTTAAGACCAACCATATGATAAATGAAAGTCTTTCACAGCCAAATAAAAGCCAGTCTAAAAATTTCTAGAGCTATTTACCTCTGCCTGCAGACATCTCATCGCTAAAATTTTTCTTACTTTTCAATGTTGAAAACTTTCTTGCGTTTGGAGTGATCGAAGGCATCTCAGTAGGATTGATCCAAAGGCCCATGATCGAAAAATAGGTTGGCGGAATCAAACTCATTATGGCTACACATACTGAATCTTCTTCTAATCGAAGAGAATAAGTATTCGTTGGAATCCATTACCATATACATTACTGTAAGAACAGCAAGCAGTATGATGATGCAGAAAAGAGTTTTCCGCCGGAAATATTCGCTACGCCGGGTTCCTGTTTGTCGGTGTGTCTGCGTAGTCGAACGGGGACGCTGTCTTGAGATAAAAAGAGTTGACAAAAAGGCAGGTGGCGAATTTCTACTTTCGAAATTAATTGATGCGTAATTGTTGGGGTTCCGCTCCGGAGCCAATGCCTCAGTTTCTGGGTAATGGCCAGGCAGGTTTTTCCCCAAAGGTTCCAATGCTGCACCCTTTTCCAACGTATCAAGATCACACCTGAGCTGCGGCTCAAGATCGTGGATACAACTTGGCTCGTGAATGTCAGCAGGCTGAACTGGGGGTTCTGGAATGGCAATGGGCTCTAAGGAATGATCTGATGGATTCTGTGGAGGTAGATGGCTATTGAGCGAGTTTCCTGAGATTTTTGGAGAGTTCGAAACGGAATGCGGTGCTGAAACCACTAGTTCCTTCAAAGAGCCTAAAGTATCAAAATTATGATTGACAGAGTGTGACGGTTTTCCTGCGGAAACTGCAGAAACAAAACCTGAATCAATATCGGGAGAAGCACTTCTTTCCTCACTACCACCTTCACTCCTAGACTGACCTTCTAGTGGACTTTCGAATGCATATCTGCCAATTGAGAACATTCCAGAAGACATCTTGCTCGACGCTCTTCTAAGAAACGGTCTTTCACGTTGGTTACTGGACGGAAGATCCGCATCGGGAGTGGTTATCGATCCTTTCCTGGTAGGACTCCACAGTTTGTTCCGGAATTTCTTCGTATGAGAATTTTGTTTGCTCATTGTTTATTGAATCAAGATAGTATATATGGTAATCAAGATGGACACGGGCTTTTCGTCAAGCAGTTATGTCATGTTCATTCAATTTATTTTTGTTTTTTCTGACACAAAAGTTCGTGGGCGTCAGCGACAAGAAAAAAAAAGTTCAATTCACAGTCAATAAGAATGGCATCAGCTTCATGAACTAAAGAAAAGAATGTTTAATATAAGTTTCAGTAATTACAATGCCAATTCCAACAGCATATTTTTCAAATCTGTAATGCGCGAAAAACCGATTTTGCCTTATTTACTATAAATTTTGTATCTATACCTCTTAGAAATACTCTGTCAGACTCTTACATGCAACAGTAGCCTCCATCAACAATGATATCACTACCAGTAGTGTATGTAGAGGCATCGGATGCTAAATACAGGTATGCGCCCACCATTTCTCTGGGCAAGGCCTCACGACCCATTGGAGTCAAGGCATGCCATTTGTCCTTCTGATCCTTCTCAGCAAAGTTGGAAAGCTCAGTGGCAACGTAGCCTGGAGACACCGAATTTACACGAGCGAATCCAGCCCATTCGATGGCAAGCGACTTGGACATATGTAGTACACCAGCCTTAGCCGCGTTGTAAACAGCTTGCAGCTGGGGAACATTGACGATATGAGCGGACATGGACGCGGTAATTACCATGGACCCGTGACCTTGTTTCTTGAATACTTTGCCGATGTGCTTGGCCACGCGATAGATACCATTCATGTCGACCTCAACTACCTTTTCCCACGCCTTGTCGCACGCATCCTCGTCGCGCTCTGAAAATTCTAGCATTGGGCCCTCGGTCCATGCCACACCAGCGTTGGCCACCATTATGTCGATATGTCCACCAAAGTCCTTGAGAATTTGATCAATTGTTGCTGCTACCTGCTTAGAGTCTGTAACTGCGCATTGGTACGCCCTTATCTTCACACCGTACTTCTTCGACAGCTCATCTACCTCCTCGGTAATGGCAGGGTTCGAGTTGTACCACATCGCGACGTCTGCACCCGCTTGAGCAAATGCGATGGCGACCTCATAGCCAATACCAGACGATGCACCAGACACAGACGCGACTTTCCCCTTGAGCGAGAACATGTCCATGACGTTCTCTGGAAGTTTGGGAGGTTGTTGCGGCGTCTTTAGGGAGGTGGCTATAGTTTCTGGCATTGGTGACGTTTGTGATTGATTTAAAATTTGATTCTTTACGAATAGTCAATTGATAATTAGCAATTGAATTGGCTTGCAATCAGAATTCTCAATCATCTCAACACGTTTTTATTTCATCTTCTTATACTCTTCCCTCCAGGGTTTCCAGAGCAATCTTTAAGCCTGTGTCGTTACGTCATACGCGCCTATTATGAGCACGTGACGTCGAACTACCCGTTGAATAAATTCAATTGCTATCAAGCAGAAAGGAATCGCCTGATGGTGGCAGTTATACGCAGGCATATACGCAAGCAATGCTCTGTATGAGGATGAATGAGGCGTGTAATCGTACATATGTAGCGTCTCAGGCCCAGGAAGTCGGCATAAGCCAAATAGATGGCGAAACGGCGCTTTGCGTGACCACAAACGTAGCATAGCAGCAGAGATGTAAACGATTATTAGAATTGGTAATTGACTTGGCTATTGCGCTGATCGTGTCTACAGGGGCAGCATGCGGCTGCATCGGGCAGAAGCTAGCTCCCTAGCTGCAAACAGCAGCCAATGAACCACAATAGCTATTTGCTTTGCTGTAGTGTACCTCTCAAAGGGTCTTACCGAGAGAGTCGTCAATTGACCGAGTTGTATCTCTTAAATTGGCCATTTGAGCATCTTGGTGGTAGCGGGGCTCATCTTTCAACAGATACGCTATCACTACGTACGCAGGGTATTAATGGGTTTCCAACGAAGCAGCCTTGGTGCAACCCGTTTACCCCAGTTGTGAAACACAGACCAGATGGCTGAAGCTTATGAGGCCCAGGTCAGCGCCAGTAGGGCGCTGAATGGTGGCAACCAAGGTCTGCCACCCATTGAGGAAAATTTCGAGGACCTGGACGACGACTTTCTCGATCTTTACACGATGAATCCTAGGCAACGGTTGTGGCATCAGGTTAGACGCGCCAGATATAGGCTGCTCGAGTCATATAGTGGGCTGCCATTATGGAAAAAAATTGCAATAGGCGTAGTATTCGTAATGGGCGCCGGCTTCATGTTGGGCATGCTGATATTTCACAAGAGAATTCTGAAAGCAATGGTAGCAATTTCAGATCAGCTCCGAGAAAAGTGGTACACGCCACTTTTATTTGCGTCGCTAGTGTTTCTAGTTTCGTTCCCACCGTTGATTGGATTTTCGCTACTGTCTACGAGCGTCGGGCTCATTTACGGAGTGTCATTCCGCGGGTGGATCACACTCTTTATTGGTTCGGTGTGTGGATCCATCGTTGCATTTGCCCTCTTCAAGACCCTGCTGCGGTCACAAGCGGAACGTTTGATGCGGGCAAATTCAAAATTCGAGGCGTTAACGTCTATTCTACAGGACAATGACAGCTATTTCATCTTGGCCTTGATAAGATTGTGTCCGTTCCCTTACTCATTCACAAACGGCGCTATTGCAGGGGTGTATGGTGTCACGATCCAAAACTTTTCGATTGCTAGCGTCCTCACTTCGCCCAAGTTAGTGCTGTACCTGTTCATAGGCGCTCGTCTCAAAAATATGGGGGAGACAGATTCTCCCACGTCGCGCTTGTTTGACTTCCTAAGTATCGTAGCGACAGGCCTGGTACTATTCTTTACTGCTTGGCTGTTGTATTATAGGGCTAAAAGAAGATATTCAGAATTACGCAGGGAGCAGCAGCTGGACGTGTCATTTGATAATGTATTTTAGACTACCGACATTACTTCATTTTAAATACGTTTTTCTTTTTCGTCACTTTCTTCACACTGACAGGTTTTTTCAATTTCAAGGATACTTTCCCAACCTCCAGAGGTGTTATCCTACTACCCTCGTTGTCATTGCAACCCGATTCTTCATCCCCTTTCTCTTCTTTGTCCATCTCACGTCCCTTTTCAATCTGTTTCATTAGCATTTTGTTCCTCGTCACCTGTTCAGATATATTTGACTTTTCCACCTCTGCCAGCTTGTCCTTCCGCTGTAAGCTTTCGAATGAATTATCGATATAGCTTATTACTATGCGACTTTCGTCTAAGTCATTATTAGTTGCATTGTCGTCTCCTGGCCAGTACATCCGTACTTTGCCCGTTTTGCTCAAATGTCCTATAAAGTTCGTGAGAGAACGAAATTTAGTTGCGTTCATGTGGATGTGATCCCTGTCTTGTATAAACTCGTTGTAAAACTTATTAGCCTCGACCTTTTTTTCCCCGTGAGATAATCTCAGAAGACGTAGGAAGTCCTTCTCGAACTCTTGCGTATATTTGTCCACATCTTGTGGCGTTAATTGACTTATCTTTCTCATGTGAGATGGTGATCGTGAGTGTGACTTAAAACCATTCTCATCTCGACACTGCTTTTGACACACCTGGCAATAAAACCTCAACTTCTGAAGTCCCTTAGCCTTCAGTTGTTTACTCAAGTACTTTGCAGTTCCATATTCGGCGCTTCCCATATCTTCCCTGATGAGCAGGGATTCAGATTTTAAGTTCGGAAAACTAAATTTTCGCCTACATCGATAAATCCTCTCACAGCAAAGCAGGCGGCAAATGTTTAAAAACTCACTCAGGACGTTCTCTAAGGTGCGGTTCAATTCCCCACCGATTACTTACAGAAGATTCAATAACAATCAAGGAAATTCATTTCGTCAACTTCTCTTCGATGCAACTTCCAGAAGATATCTCGCAATTTTGTTTGGAGGGGGGTCACTATTCTATTTGACACATTTGGAGGAAGCGCCGGTAAGTGGTAGAACTCGTTTCATATGGTTACCTCGGTGGCTTGAGCTAAAAGTTGGCGAATATTCCTACCGGTCGATCATAGGCCAAACCAGAGGATCCATATTGCCACCGAATCATCCACTGACGCAAAAAGTTTCGAGGATATTCGAGAAGATAGTTGAAGCTGCCGAGAAAGATCCAACGATTGATAAAAACCTGATTACAGGAGTTAAATGGCAGGTGCATATAGTGGATGACCCCAGAGCGCCCCCTAATGCGTTCGTTTTACCGGGCGGGAAGGTGTTCGTGTTCAGCAGTATTTTAGGAATTTGCAAAAACGAAGATGGCCTAGCAACCGTGCTGTCTCACGAGTTTTCACACCAACTGGCGAGACACACGGCTGAAAATTTGTCAAAAGCTCCAATTTACTCGATAATAGGTGCTATACTATACACAGTTACAGGGGCCGATGTTTTCAATAGACTACTACTAGATGGTCTTCTGCGGATGCCTGCATCAAGACAGATGGAAACGGAGGCTGATTATATCGGCTTGATGATTATGTCTCGAGCATGCTTCCATCCAGAAGAATCGGTTCGCCTATGGCAAAGAATGGCGGAATTTGAACAACAGTCTAAGAGGCCTGGAATGGTTAATGTAGAATTCTTAAGCACACACCCGGCTAGTAATAGGAGAATTGAGAATATGGAAAGCTGGTTACCCAAAGCAAGGGAGCTTTACTCTCAATCGAATTGCGGAGGTATCGGCGGATATTACGACAGCTTTCAAAGTGCATTCGGAGTTCCTTCATTTGAACCCAAGACCATATGGGGATTTTGATATTAGAAAGCTAGTTCTTTACGGACAAAGTATGATAACATAATTCGTTAGAGTGGACGCCTTTTTTTAAAACCAATGCTAACGGCTAATGAAGAATCGTTTTCACCACGCTTCTTTGTTTTAGAGCCGCTACTCATCTCTTCAAACCTATTTCGATCAGTAGCCAACTTCCGCAAAACGTCTTTTTTCCTTGTATTGCAAGCATCGATTTGCAGATCCAACTTATCCTTAATACCATGCGAGGGTTGATCCACATCAAATTCATCTGTTTCTTCAACTCTTCTTTTCACATTGTAAAATAAAATTCCGTACTCCACCAACCAAAATGGATCTACCGATGTTACGACGTTGATATACTCTTTTGAGGTCAGAAGAAGCTCATGGTACACAATATAAGGGGGCAAATCTCCAGCACCAAACAATGCACTAGTTGGATGCAATTGCAATTCCATCCCAGTTTTCAAATGAACGTACTTACTGAGTCCTGAGAGCTTTGCAGCCTGTTGAGCATAACCTGAGCAAATACACTTTCTGACGGTATCCCAGTCACTTCCCGAGGAAAGTATTGGAATATTCTTTTTGACCATAACTCGGGATAATTGCCTTCTAATATCATGGGCTCGCTGTAAGGATTTGTACTGCAAGAAATTTCTCCGGCACCAGTGAAAAGAATATGCATTTGCTTTCCATTGAGAGTATACGTTCAACAGTGTTAAATGATCTGATTCTGGTACAAAAAACCTACTTCTTGCCTGATCAGATTCCTCTTTTCTTTCCTTCGGTCTATAGAAAACTTGAGGTACAGAGAGCATGGCAACTATGGTCAAAATTTCTTCGCTACATCCACTTTGTGCAGATATTAAGAGAATCTTCGACAAAGAAGGCTGAAGAGGGAAACTAGCCATTAGAGTACCAAGCTTAGTTAGAAACCCAAGATTATCTAATGCACCAATAGTCCACAATTCAAACAGGGAGGTCATGATGGTCTTCCGCGGAGGGGGGTCGATAAATGGAAATTTCATAACATCGTCCACTCCGAATGATTTCAAAAGCAATAAAGTGTTCGAAAGATTAGTTCTTTGGATTTCAGGGATCGTTTCCAGATACATGTCCTCATATGCACTATCTTCAGTGTATAGGCGATACGCCACACCGGGGCCAGTTCGTCCTGCTCTTCCCGATCTTTGATTAGCACTGGCGAAAGATATTGGTGTAATTCTTAGGCTGTCTAATCCAATTTGAGGATTGTACACCTTCAATTTGGCATATCCACAATCAATTACATATTTTACACCATCCACTGTCAAGGATGTTTCCGCAATGTTTGTAGCGACGACGACCTTTCTTTTGCCATTCATTAGCATGAAAATCTTATTTTGAACATCGGCTGGCAAAGAAGAATAAATGGGAATAATTTCAATGTCATTGGGCTCGTTATTATCGTTATGACTGTTTTTTTTGGTATAAACATCCAGCAACTTCTCTCTCAATCCGCTACAAGTTGCTTCGATATCTTCCTGACCAGTCATAAAGATCAAAATGTCCCCACTCGAGATAGGCGTTGATAGATGAATTTTGGCTGCCTGGGTTACAGCAGATTCAACGTAATCACTAACTGGATGACGCGTGTAAATAATCTCTACAGGGAATGTTCTACCAGGAATTGTAAATTGAGGGGCATCCCCGAAAAATTGGGAAAACTTGTTTGCATTCATAGTTGCAGATGTGATAATTAGTTTGAGATCCCTTCGACGACTCAATAATTCCTTGAATATACCCAATAGAACATCTGTATTCAATGTACGCTCATGTGCTTCGTCAATAATAATGCAACTGTATTTATCGAGCATTTTATCGAGAAGAGTCTCCCTCAGAAGAATACCATCGGTCATGAATTTGATTTTAGTAGCTGGTGACGTCTTGTCCTCGAATCTTATGGAATATCCCACCTTGTCTCCAAGTTGAACATCCATTTCCATTGCAACCCTAGCCGCCACGGACATAGCAGCAACACGACGAGGCTGGGTACATCCCACCATGAAGCCATCGTCGCAAAAGCCGTCTTCATACAAGAATTGTCCTAATTGAGTTGTTTTACCGGATCCAGTTTCTCCGATGACAACAACTACTTGATTGTCTCTTATGACTTGTAGTAACTGAGATCGGACCCGATAGGCAGGAAGTGATTTTCTCGACGCGAGGATCTCTTCACGAGTCACCTTGATTGCATTTTTGGGATCTTTATCAGACTGTAGTTGCGGTTTAGCCTCTGAATGGTTTACACCCAGTACATTTCCTATTGCGGTTCCCTGAATATTAGCTGTATCTTCTGCTTTCATTTTTCTAACTTCAGAAAGTCGCTTCTGCATAACCATCCGACTGCCTCTTTTTGCGTTCAAAGAAAACTCACTTTCTGGATTACGCACTGGGTCGATAATACCACTTGAAGCTGTATTTCTTGTTCCATCCATTGAACCTATAATGGCGAGCTCACCGGCTTCATCATGATAGGACGCTATAAATGGGGGTATTATTGATTTTCTTTGATTTAGAGTAATACACGATAAATGCACTTGTGATTTCAGGTCGGTATCTTCACTAACACTGACTCTGGGTTTCAATAGTTTGGGTTGGAAGTCCATATTACTAGATTCCACTTCTGCAGTAGGATTTCCATAGTCGTCGTCATCATCATACCAATTCCTTTCCTCCGACAAAAGCTGGTCTTGATCCATTATGAGTTTATAATCTTCACTTAGATCTTCCGGTACAACATCCTCGTCAAGGGATCTATCATCCAAAAGGCGACTCTGCTCATCATCAGAGTATGACACAAGATTGGGGGCAGAAATTTGTCTAAACGGAGCAGGATGGGTTTTTTTCGAGACATTCATATCTGATTCCACGTCGGCGAACTCCTTCAACTTTTGAGCCTTCTCCTTGCTTATTCTTTTGAATCTGAATGCCGAATTCACACCTTTTCTAGGCGGTTTAAGGTGCAAGTCAAGGCCCGTTTTACCTTCTGGATCTTCTTCACCATCGTCATCATAATGTAGCTTTACTCTTTTGGACTTTATTCTACTTCTATCTCGTGTATTTTTTGCCAGTAGAATCGGATCGACATGCGTGCTTTGCTCAGCATGTGGGCTGTGTGTAGTGGATGGACTTTTCAAGGACCTGGACTGTAGCCTTCCGTGCAACGCTCGCAGAAATGATTCCTCGCCTTTGAACTTTCCAAGTGCCATACAAGCCCTAGTGAACTTGTCTGAGTCATGTGCATGTATCTTCGCTAAGTTTTCCAATGTCTTAAGAAAAGAAGCAGTGACCTTAGAGGACGTATGATGCTGAACCCATTCAGATAGATTCCCTTCCATATTTGAGCGCCAGCTTTTTACATGAGTGATGAAGCATAAAAATTACCGCCTGTCACATGTTTCAGTCAAGCTTTCTCCACAACACGCAAATGCAATTGATGTGAGTAAGGAATATAGTACAGTAGGTAGCTTCCTTCACGTCAGAAAAGCTTGTTAAATTCGAACCTAGTAAAGCAACTAAGTAATAGCGCTGATCTTTCCCATCTTTGCCAATGTTGACTTTCAAATCATACCTGACGATGTTTTCTTGTTAGCACAGTATTGATCAAGAATAAAGGTTAAAAAATTTTCAGCTGTAATGAAACACCGAGTATAAGAGATTTGAAGAACTTTGGCATTACCAGATGATTTCATTCACCAGAAAGATCAGTATATCTGCTCTCAGATATAAAGACTTATCAAAGATCGTTAACGTAAATGGGAAGATTACAGAGTTGAAAGGAACACCTAATCTATACAACCCCAAGTCTTCAGCATCAAATTATCGTGGTGTTCTACGGGCTAAAATTGATCCTGGCACCTATTATTATCCCTCACAATCATCTAGTACAGGATCTATTAATAGTGAGACCTTTCCAAGTGCTTTCCTCCCCAAAGACGATCCAAGAAAACAAATCTTGACGGATCTTAGGGCCAATGACAAGGTTCAGTCACAGCTGGCACCGGAGTTGCACAATAAAGGTGAGAAAACGTATCATCTAGAGCCAAAAGACATTACCGAAATCATTGCTCTGAGGAAACAAGATCCAGAGAAGTATACAAGGAAGGTCTTGGCAAAAAAGTACGGTGTATCTCCCCTTTTCATTTCTTTGGTATCTTCTGCTTCTGAAGAGAGAAAAAATGAGATGTCAAGGAGGTTGAACGAAATTCAACAGCGGTGGCATGCAAAGAGGAAAGTCGCCAGGGAAGATAGGAAAAAGAGAAAAGAGCTGTGGTACAGAGCGTGAATGGGCAAACCATGGGCTTACTGGCTAGCATCATGTACATAAAAAAAATGCTGCTAAGTAGCTTACTATCAATGCATTAGATGTTTAAGAACCGTAGTATATTTCTGAAATAACATATATTTTGAGTTCACATCAGTGAACTATCAAGTCTAATTCAACCATCGGCGAAAGTGAGTGTTAGTCGCTAAAAGGTACTAATGATAGTCTAATACCTTTTGGAAGTCAATCGCTATTGGCACTGGCAAGGACCACTTGCTGAGCGAAATATTACAATTAGATTTGTTTCAAGTAGTAGTTGATAACCCCTACCCTCCCATTAAATTATTTACATAGGATACAGCTAATCAATGCATGATTAATGAAATTTTATAACGGATAGCGTCAAATATGTGTGACACTTGAGAACGACTCATAACAATTTTACTCATTCTTTTAAAATGAATTTACATGTTCTTGACAACTCTCCATCTAATAATACATTTAAATACGTAAACTTACACCAGAATGTTGATACCTTTCATACTCATACAATTTTTGCTCATCTTAATCATGGAAAGCCGACAAACTCACCAAATTCTGAGCCACTATCATTGGAAGAACCCAACATGTCATCTATCATTTCGTACTCTTCTCTTATCCGGAAGAGGAGATCATTAAACATTTGTTCCTCTATTGGACTCCTTATTCGCAACTCTAGTGGAATGTGTTTCCCGTTCGAGCACTCCATCATTATTTTAAACCACTCTTCTCTTTTCTCTATTGTAGCGTTAAAGTTTTTAGTACATTTGATAACCCCAGTTTGACAAAAGAAGGACTTTTCTTCATCATCAGCATCCCAGTCGAACTTGATCTGATACCAAGGCATGTCGTCCTTTTTGTTTATCAGCTCTGACACGCACATTTTACCTTGAAATAGTCTACATTGGGGTTCCCACGTCAGCGAAGATGACGGTGGTAAAACATTATAAAGCATTACAGTGTCAAAAAGCTGTTTCCTTGAAACCTTATCGTTATCCATAAAACTGAAAGGCTCTGGAAGGTTGCTAATCGTCTTTGTTCGACTGGACGGCAGTGATTAAATTTGAAATGTTTATGTTAACTCCTTTCCACGATAGTTCCATGATTGGTGTATGGGTGACTTGATAACAGACAACTCAGCTATTAGAAGACATCACGGTACAGTATGCACAAGATGTGAAGGATAGTGAGGACGATATTCGTTTGGGCAAAACCCCGTTATTAGGTATTCTTCGAAACAGGTAATTTAGGTATCCTCTGATAGACATGTGTTCTTTGTTTTTTTCGAAAGTTTGCCATGATTAAAAACGAAATTTTTACAAGCAATATCGGGTTATTCAATTGAAGTTACTTTTGAAAGCCAAAATGCCCACATATTATGGTGACGATGACATCGATTACGAGGAGGAAACCCCAGAGTTTCGTGATGAACATGAATTCGACGATTATTTGAATGATGAAGAGTATGAATTGATCAGTGAGATGTTTCCACGGGCTAAGAATGAGCTCGCTGAATATCAAGGTTGGAACAATTTGTCAGTAAAACTGGCACTATTTGACCATAACTTTGATTACGACGAGGCTATTATAGATCTCAAACGAACCTATAAAAAAAAGAAACAGACTGAAGGTATGTATAATTTGGATGCCCACCCGTTTATTTCACATTACTTGCGTTCTCGTTCTCTGGTGCATGTTTTCTGTGACGATACACATGTCAATTTTCGAGGAAGAGCATGGTGACTTTGTTCAATTTAGGTTTTTCAATGGCATTGTAGGGAAAATGTAAGGAGGAGAGATGGATAGTGTAGAATAATGAGTGTCGCATGGAATAATCCAACTCCCTTTCCTTGCTCCTCGAATGAAGTTACTAACACAGGCAATCATTGCAGAGTTTGAAGGGAAGATCTCATTGCTTGAGCAATTGGCAAGACGAAAAGTTTTGTCTACGAAAACTAGTGAGCAATCTCGCATCTCTAATTCACCTAAGGCTACATCACTTTTGGATTCTTTGCGAAAGAACACGTCTGAGAATTCTGGAAGAGGGAGCTTAAGTGGCCGTCTCTCGGCTCTTAAAGAGAGTAGGTCACGAATGGCCTCTAAATGTCCATCGGATGAAACATCGAAGAACAAGTTCGATAATCGAATGACAGCCAAGAAAAGTCCTTCACTTTCATCAATACTAGAAAGAAGAACTAAATCCAATACAAGCCAATCTCTAAGTTCAAAACTTGCTGCATTGAAGGGAAACCGTTCGAAGAACGATAGGCAAATACCAGAGCCTAAAGTTGAAAAGAGCGTCAATTCGCAACCTTCTATGGTACCGACAAAGGACAGTCATGCCGAACCCGTAGATCCAAGAATAGCATTTGAAAAACTTCGGAGTTCATTGTGCCATATTTCTTCTCCAAAAAGTTATCATCACTTAAATTCGGATTCGGAACATTCCGAGATCACCGCCATAGCCCTGTCACAACCAACTAACAACGATCAAAAGATAAAAAACATCAAACGCAGATATGATGAAATATTCACCGTATATTTTCCTAATACTAACCTGCCAGCAGCCAAAAAACGTGTCATAGAAAACTTCAACAACCCAAGCCCTGACGATGTTGTTTTGGATGCCCAAAATAAAGCTTTTGAGGCCGTGGAGGATGTGACCAAAAATGTCGCCACTCTATCGGTCACCGAAGATTCCATAAAAGACGGAAGGACTGAGAACGAAGATGAGAAACCATTTGACGACGAACCAATAATTCGTACGTATAAGAAGGCAAATATTCCAACAAAACCAAAGAATCCAATTGATTTAGAAAAGTACCTTTCGGACAAAAAGCCACATTTAAATTTCGTCGTTCTAGGCCATGTGGATGCTGGAAAGTCAACACTAATGGGTCGTCTGTTGTATGATGTAGGCGCTGTTGACAACAAACTTATTAGAAAATTGCAAAGAGAAAGTGATGTGGCTGGTAAATCATCATTCCATTTGGCTTGGGTCATGGACCAAACACCAGAAGAAAGATCGCGGGGTGTGACTGTTGACGTTTGCACAAGTGATTTCGAAACAGAAGCCTCGACTTTCACCATTATAGACGCCCCAGGCCATAGAGATTTTGTTCCGAATGCGATTGCAGGAGTAAGTCAAGCAGATGTTGCTGTATTGTCGATCGACTGTGGACCTGATGCTTTTGAGTCCGGATTTAATTTGGATGGTCAGACCAAGGAGCATGCGCTACTCGCACGCAGCCTAGGCGTTCGTCATATCATTATTGCTATGAATAAAATGGACACTGCAGATTGGTATGAGGGTAGATTTCGGGACATCCAATGGGAGCTACGCAATTTCTTTCAGGATATCGGTATAGAAGAAGACAAGTTAAGTTGGGTTCCATGCAGCGGCCTTTCAGGTGAAGGTGTTTATAAGAAGGAGTACTCCATTGGTGTAACATGGTATAACGGTCCTTCACTTGTTGGCTCCCTCGAAGTAGTAGCTCAGAAGCTCGGTAAATTAAATGTTAAAGATGTCAGCAATTCCCCTTTCGTATTTTCGATCCTTGATGCGGCTGCCAGTGGTAAAAACAAGGACGTTACCATTTCTGGAAGAGTGGAATCCGGAAGCATTCAAGCAGGAGAAACAATCACTATATATCCATCGGAACAAAGTGTAATTGTTGAATCAGTGTTGTGTGGTAATGATCAGCATCCCACGCCAATTGCTATTAAAGGCGACTTTGTGGGTTTGAAACTTCGGAATGCTCACTACGAGGACATTCAAGGTGGAGATTTGGCAGCAGTAGTCGGCTTCGACATTCCGAGTGCACAGGAGTTTACGGTAAAGCTATTAACATTTCAGTTAGATAGACCTCTTTTGCCTGGTACACCCTTCATATTATTTAGAGGCGCATGCGAGCAGCCTGCTAGAATAAAAAAGCTACACTCTATTGTGGATAAAGCTACTATGACAAAAATTTTGAAGAGTAAGGTCAAGCATCTCGGCTCACAAAAAGCTGCTATCGTAGAGTTGGAACTCACGGAGAAAAAAAGGAGGATACCTATGCTCACGTTCTCTTTAAGCAAGCACTTGGGTAGAGTTGTTCTCAGAAAAGAGGGAAGAACAATTGCAGCGGGACTTGTCGAGACCATTGAGTTATAAGTGGAAACTTAATGAATATGCTACGTTTCATCACGATTACCCAATCTATTTCAATTTATATAGTCAAGAAAAAGTATAAGAAGTCCGAAAATCATGGAAAGGTAGACGATCAATCTGGCTGACTTACCTTCACGTTCCTGAGCTCTCCTCAATTGCTTATTTCCTTGCTGAATGTCCATCTGAACATCATCATGGTCATCCAATAGCGTAAAAATATTCTGCGTTTGCGCCTGTAGATGGGCGCCTATTTCGTTTTGTAAAGAAGAAATTTCCATAATTGTTTTACTAAGTTTTTCAACCTTTTCAAGCTCTTTAGTTTTGTGATTGAGCAGCTCATCATGCTCTGTTTCTAGAATTTGCAATTGTTCTTGTGAAAGTTTGCTCATGGTCTCGTTGTATTGTTTGACTTCATCTTGTGTAGTCTCTATTGCCGGTGATTGTGAAACTGAACCAAGGGTCATATCTTGGGTTGGAACATATAATTGCGCATTGAAATCAATGGATTCTAGCTCCTTTTGACGGGATAATCTCTCTTGCTGCATTTTCGAGAGATCTGAGGAAACTGATGACAGAAGAATACTAAGGGATTGAAGCACTCCACTTCTGTATTTGTTGTTTGTGCTGTGGAAAAGCGACATCTCATCGTCAGTACCATCAACTAGTGAAAAGAAACTTGGAGTTTTCTTGGATAAGTATTTTTCTTTTACAACTTGTTGTCGCTGATTCTCATACCTCTCCAGAAACTTCAATTTTTCAAAGTATTGCTGCAATAAAAGACGAGTTTCGGTATCAAATTCATCTTTCTCTTTTTCTGTTAAATCCGCTTCACTTTCATATGCTTGTTTCAGTGAATACAAAACTTTCCGCAGCTCTATAATATGTTTAAGAAGTTCAGAGCATTCCTTCACAAACGTATCTTTTATACTAAATTTCTTCATCGCGAGATTATCTCGATCTTGAATTTCCGCCTTTTCAAGACTGTTATCTCTAGCTTCTTCAATGACATTAACATATTTCCTGAACAGTGGGGTTATGTCTGGCATCGCGTGTCGTCTGCTTAGGTACTGATATCAAAATGGATTGATCCTTTCGAAAATAAAGTTTTATCGATGTGTTCCGTATGAAAATACCACGAAAGCGCTTACGAATACTACATAACTTGCTACTACTCTCAGTTTGCGCCAATCGGTATATATTCATGGGTTAGTCATGGCCAACTGTGCAAATTCTTACTGAGAAGCTTCTACTTATCAACCTCTCTCTAAAATGTAAAGCTGCGCAGTGGTAGTCGTATAGTCACGAACTCATTTCGGCATGCTAGCAGCGGACCGTTCACCAGTTCAAAGGATGCATCATAAGGTTATGGAAATCTGAGTCATTGATCGTAGATGGATCGATTGCAATTAAATCTAAGCATGAATAATTTTGACACACAATTGTCAATTTCGCGTATTTAAACGCGTAAAAAATAACTTTCAAGGACAGCTCTTGGAAATCCTTATTTCACTCGAAGGGATCTCAAGCATAACGCTTAATCCAAATAGAGCAACTGATATGACTGAAGAAGAGCTCACGTTACAAGAAAATTCTTCCCCAAACGATGAGGAGCAACAATATCTCGATTTATGTCGGAGAATCATTGCTGAGGGCGAATTTCGACCAGATAGAACAGGAACAGGTACATTGAGCATTTTCGCCCCACCTCAACTACGTTTTGATTTGAGCAATGATAGCTTTCCACTTCTCACGACTAAGAAAGTCTTTACGAAGGGAATTATCCTGGAATTACTGTGGTTTATCTCAGGCTGCACTGACGGGAAGAAGCTATCAGAACAAGGCGTCAAGATATGGGAAGGAAACGGTTCTCGAGAGTATTTGGACAAATTAGGATTAACAGATAGACGTGAAGGTGATCTAGGCCCAGTATATGGTTTCCAGTGGAGGCATTTCGGGGCCCATTACAAAACATGTGAGGATGACTATAGCGGCCAGGGTTTTGATCAGCTTGAAGACGTAATATACAAATTGAAGCACAATCCCTATGATCGCAGAATTATTATGAGTGCTTGGAACCCTCCGGACTTTCCGAAAATGGCACTTCCACCATGTCATGTTTTTTCTCAATTTTATGTTAGTTTCCCCAACACAGAGGGAGCTAAGCCTAAGCTTTCTTGTTTGTTATATCAACGATCTTGTGACATGGGCCTCGGTGTACCATTCAATATTGCTTCATATGCTCTCTTAACCAGAATGATTGCACACGTGTGCGATATGGAACCTTGGCAATTCATTCATACGATGGGTGACGCGCATATTTACAAAGATCATATTGATGCACTACAACAGCAAATTCAAAGGACGCCAAGACAATTCCCTAAACTAAGGATCAAAAGAAAAGTGTCAAGCATTGATGACTTCAAATTTGAAGATTTCGAAATCACCGATTATAATCCGCATGACAGAATTCAAATGAAGATGAGCGTTTAGATTAAGATTATACTGATCATACACAAGAAATATCATTTCATAATTTAAAAGATGGCCTTCTGCCCCGTTTTTCAATATCTTGTTTTGCTTTTGCGCGATGAGTTTTTGTTGCAGTATTACCTTTCAAATCATCTAGCAAATCAAATACTGAAAGATCATTCTCATTGACTCTAAAAGTGTCACGATGGCCGCGTATTTCGTCATGCTCACAGCTGTTTTCATCCCCTATATCACCAACAATGGGTTTTTTGAATAGCTTTTTCGTTTTCAGAGATTTTAGCTGAGCTTTATTGGTAATATCTTTTAGCGGAATTTGCTTGAAGTTCACGGAAGATGGCAATTGGCCTGGCGCCTTCTCGTTAGAGACAGATGGAGTGGTGGGTTTCTGTTCCGCGTCACCATCGTTGACTTCCTTCGTATGATTTCCTCGATTTTGCTGCTCTACGTGAGGCGATAAAGGTGTCTTATCCCCCATCACCGATTGCTCTCTACTATGAGCATCTGGTGTACTGTCCCTTGATTTCGAACGACTGCTTCGGCCACTGCCTACCTGAAGATCATGAATATCAGTTACTGTGGTAGCATCGACCAATTTCTCAGTTGGCCGCCTCATCTTTGCCCTTAAAGAGGGTAAAGTGTAGTTAACAGCTTTTCCCCGTGTCCTGCGTGCTCTAGGGTTATTCACCAGTGATTTGCTTGCATCCGCTGTTAAGGGCATCACTTCGTCAACCATTTTTTTCTGGTTGGTGCGAGGTTTCATCGAATGTTTAATCTTCTTTTGAGATGATATTGGAATTGGAAGAAAAGGTTGTTGAGCGGAAGAGTTGGGGCTACGATTACTGAAAAGTTCATAAGACGGCGCGAAATTTTGAAGTAAGCTTGACTGATGACTCGTGCTTTCTTGTCTTATGTCTTTGTAAACATCCAACTTACTAGTATTACTATCAGACGGTTGATGCTTGGTATTGTCTGGTATTTCTTCGGGTATCGAATATTCAATTATGGAATTTGTAAAATTACAAGAATCGTCAATTTCCGCCTCCAGTTGTCTCTTATCTAAAGTTTGTTCCTCATCCACACGCTCCTCAGTTGGCTCCTCAGTTTGATCTGTTTTTTTTGCATCTAAGCCAACGTCAGCTTGTCGATCAATGGTATCGTCTGAAAGCTCAAAATCAGCGGGAATGAAAAGAGACTCCCTTCTTGAATTCCTGCGTCTCTTTTTTGAGCGAGGGCTCGCGGCATCCTCACCTGCTTGCTCAGTCTGGCATACGGAGTCCTGCTCGTTAAATGGAATTACCTGATTTTCATCCTCATTAAATGTAATGCTAGCTTGTTTCGACGTCCTTCTGCTTCCTGAAGAAGAAGGTCTACTCCTTTTCAGTATCGATCTCGGCTCATTAATCATATTGCGATACTCTAGATGACTCTGTGGTGTATGTTCCAGGCCTTCGCGTCGTCTAATTGATCCAAAAATATGAAAAATCTCTTCAAACCTCTGGAAAACCCCCTTTTCCATCAGCTGAATATGCTCATTTAGTTTCTCTTTGTATCTCAGCTCGTTCATCGATAGCTTAGACCGTAGTATCACATTTTCTTGAACCATCTCGCTGACATTTTTTTCCATATCTCTCAGTTTAATTAGAAGATTACTATTGGATTTAGCCAGATGGCAGTTTTGCTGCATGTAATTGCATTTGATCGACTCAAATTCGGCTTTCTGAAGGTCTATTACATCTTGAAATTGCTGTATTTGTGGAATCGAACTATCCTCATAAATGGGTTGGGCTTTCGATTGCGAGCTAACCCCTCGCTTTCTTACCGCCTTCGCCATAAACTGCAACTGATTCACCTTGTAATCCCAAGTTAATTGGTTATATGCTAGTTTCAAAATAGCCGATGTGATTGTTTACTTTTTGATTTTTAGATTGAAAAATCACAAAAACAAAAACAAAAAAAAACTACACGTGATACACTCATAATTAACGATAGTATACAATTTGAGAAATTGTTGATCTAATAAGTTCATAAAATAGAGGTACGCGTCAGCTGAAAGATAAGCAGGGTTAATGTCCTTGCAAGATCAAATTGAATCCAAAAGACAGGAACTAAATGCACTCCGTAAAATTAATATACTCACAGAAACGATGAAAAAGCAGCTAGAGCTGCTGGCAGTGCAAGTTGAGCATATGCATGGTAATGCGGAGAGCGTATCGCAAGTGATGAAGAACTGGGACTCTATTGTCAGGTCAATATCTCAGGCCAGTTTGAGTTTACTACAATATGCTGAAGGTGATTATGAAGTAGGAGTATGGAATAATACCAACTCTTCTGATACTCTTGAAAAAGATCCTCCCTTGCCGGAAACACTAGTTAGGGTCAGAGTTGATGACGAAAAGGAACTCTAATTAATGAAATAAAGGGACTTATATTCTGAATGTTTGTAAATTGGTAAAATTTAGCTTATGTAAACTATTTGTATTGCTAATATACATTTAAAGGGCCGTTCATGTAGATAACTTTTCTATGGTATTAGTTTCGTAGTTGACAGTACATTTCTTACCCGTTTTTTCATTCGCGGCGCCAATCATGGCCTTTATCTTTACAGAAAAATCGTCTCCTAACGCTCTGATGCATTCAATTTCCTTTAATGAAAAATCGAAGAGCCCACTTGCGTCTGTCACAAAATCACCATATTCTCCTTGAAAGTATTCAGCGGTGACGAGGGATGAATCTATCAGTTGAGACCATCTTGGAAGACTGCAACCTGAATTATAGAGCTCTTCACTAAAGTATCCTTCTAAGGTATCAGATAAAGCAGTCTGAGCTGCATCGCCCACGGTTTGCCAGTTATCGAATAAGATACATCTTCTCCAAATGATAACGTTAAGGAAATTTGTAACTTCGAATGACAAGTAATTCATATTCAAAGAAAGCAATTTGAGAGCACAGAAGAAAGAATGTTTACTGTCCAGAATCGTGTAAAAATCGATTGTATTTGAAAGTGATAAACCATTTTGAGACTTGGCACTCTGGCATAATATATGGAAAAAGTCTTTAATGACCACCGAGGTCTCAAATCTTTTGTGTAAGTTAGTACCACGATTCAATCTACTAACTATGTCTTTCTGTCCATCAATAGCATCCAAACTAGCCTGAATCAAGTAAATTTCATCGATGTGAGTATTTCCCCCATCGGCCAAACCACATAATTTCGCGACGCTTAAACGAAACTGGCGTGTGACAAGTGGTACCTCAGTGGTCGCATCTTTCGTACAGGAGATTCTGGTTAATACTCTAAGAGCTTTTCCATATTTTTCTTCAAATATATCGCCAATCCATTCGACATTTCCATACTGAGGGTTTTCCTCAAAAAACTTATTCAAATATTCGTGTTGATCGGGAAACTTAAAGTATAAGTTCTGTAATTTATCGGTAGAGATGTAAAATGCGAAGAGCTTTTCAGCAAAAGAATAGCCAAATTTTTTAAAGTACTGCTCGTACACTTCTGCCGACAAGTCTTCATTTACCGCATCCAGCGTTTCAACAAGAGACGCCAAGTCCTCATAAAATTCGGTAATCCTCAAGGATTCGTCTGGATAATTCACCTCACATAAAGTTCTGTTCCATTGAAGACTGCTGCTTTCGAACAAATGATGCAACTGTTGGTATTCGGCACTGGCCTGCCTAGAGGATTTGTCGCTATACCATAAAAATAATTGCTTGAAAACATAATAGAGTACTCTCACTAAAATCAGTAGCTTATCTGCATAGTGAGCCAAATTGTTTGCTCCTTCTGCTGATTCTTTCAATATGAAAAAAGCTTCGTTAATAATTTTGGGAAAATTGTGTTGGGCAAACCAAGGTAAGTTATCATTCAATTCCGAAGTTGCCATCTGAAATTGCTCAAATCTGAAAGTCTGCTCGCCATCTTCTAAGGTTGCCTTGTATATGCATGAAATAATCAAATCGATGTAAGAGATTCGGATGCTCAGATCTGAAGTTGTCGCAAGTAAGTCATTCAAGTGTTCGAAAAGCTGCGACAGCATCTGTGGGAAACGGTTGACTTCATGATGAAAAAGTGAGTCATTGCTCAACCCGCTTGCTGATACCAATTCATTCCATTTTGCAGCTATTTCGCTATTGTTTTCAATGAAAGACAAGAAATATTGAGCACAATTCAAAACTTCATATGATTCAATCAGATCCAATTTGACTTGTGGTGAAATCCTGTGCAAGAAGTTTGCTTTGGTGAAGGCTAGAAGATGTTTGAAAAGGTCAACTCTCATCTTAACATGATTATCCAATGTACTCAACTTTGGTGGGATGTAGCTCGATGTCGAAAGTAAAACCTCTCGACTGGAGTCCAATAAATCCGATTCAATTTCATTACGCTCTAACGAGATATTTTCTGGAAGGTTGAATTCAATTAAATTTGAAGAAGTATTAGAGAAATAAATTGCCTGATCAATATGAGATTTAATGAACCTTACATCTCCTAGTTCTCCGTCATGCATAGCTGCGTTAGCGGTTATCTTCAAAACGCCCATTTCCTTGTTAATCAGAAAAATAGAGTCTGCATCGTAACCATGACCAACCAGATGGACATCGCCGCGGAAACTGATGATATCTTCCCATTTCCTCCTTAACGGATAGGACTGATCAAGTTGAGAGCTCGTTTGAGTGAGAACAACTGCATCTGGAAATATGACAAAGACAGACGTTATGTTTTGATCAATTTCGCCATCCACTTCTGTTTTCAAAAATGAAGGAACAAGAATTTTCGGATAGTGTGAACCTGTTAATGGCGCCGTGTACGTGTTTAATCTGTAGGTCGAGAAAATCACGAAGCTGTTCGTCTTCTCGTCTAATTTAATTGTTGACAAAATATAATAAAACGTACCGTCATGATCAACAATAGATGATAGGATCAAGTGCGCCTGATCATTAGGAAGAGGATGAGAATTGAGAACCTGTAACGATCCGTTCGCAAAAGGATAAAGATCCTGAAGCGAGTCCAAGATTTGATCATATAAATTTACCTCAATCCTCTTATAGGAGTTTGCAACTGCAGATAGATTCCAAACTTGAAACTCGCCCCCACGAGTGACAGTAGAAACAATCCTTTCCCCTTTGCCTAATATGGCTCCAGTCTGCAAGGAGACAAACTCTTTGAATCTGTTAGATGAGCGAAAAAACCCCACTTGCGACTTAACCAGTTGACTTCTCAAATTTACCGACGGCTTTCCCATGAAATCACGGATGGTGATGAATAAAAGTCGGCCATTTGAGGTAGAGATGACAACTCCAGCAGGTTCACAGTTTAAAACGTTTGTAATAACTTCTTTATCCTTCAACCTTAAATCAAGCTCGTAGACTTTGTCTTTAGAAAGCAGGGATGAGATATTGGTAATGGTGTCAATGTCTTCATAAAATTGGACAAGTCCAGACTTTTTATTTACAATGCAAACACCGGCTGATTTCGTCGTACTTTCGTCGTCAATGGCTGCAGGCCAAGTAAATATAACGGATGGAATGCAACTTAATGAAGTACACTCTTCATGTAGTGGTACTCGTATAAAAGACGGTTGCTTCTGAGTTGAGTTATATGGCCAAATGTATAGGTTATCGCGGTCATTTACCGAGGCATTGCCTGAATATGTGTCTACAAGCCCTTCAATATCAAGTGTTGAAGGTAGGAATCCCAAACTTGCTGGTAATTTGCTAACAGTATACTTTTCATTTTCTGTAACAATAACTTCATTTGTAAATTTGTCTCCCACCGAAGACTCGACGTTACTGTGTGATTTAAGCTCCTCCACGAAAGATTGAGTGACATCAGATTCATCTTGTGAAACAGATGTACTCAATTCTTTTCTCAATTGGAACAATGGTTGAGTTGACATCAATATCTGGGCTACCCAAATCTTCTTGGAAGCCTAGTACTGCTGTCGAGGAAAATAATCTATTCAAGCCCATCAGATGCGTACGTAGTGATATCACGTATTTTCTTTTTTACTGAAAATTTTTGGAGCTCATCGCAGAGAGCATCGCATTAAATTTGCATCGTTGGCAAACATTGTTCATAAATTAGCCAGGAATCCAAATGATCAGAACAGTGTATGTATTCAGTTATCAATACACGAAAGCGGCTGTATAATTTGACTTTACTAACAAGATGATCATCTAACAGAAAGCCTAAAAACGCCAGAGCTAAGAGAGCGTTAGAGAAAAAAGAAGCAAAACTAGTTGAAAATGTCAAACAAGCTTTGTTCATTCCCGGTCAAACTTGTAATAAGCTACTACACGATGCCATGGTTGATCTTAGCGCATTGAAGAAGCCCGATATGAAGAGATTTTCTAAGAAAAATGATGTTCATCCATTTGAGGACGCATCCCGATTAGAATTCTTCAGTGAGAAAAACGATTGCTCGTTAATGGTCCTAGGAACACACTCCAAGAAGAGAAGAAATAACTTGACCTTTGTCCGTACTTTTGGCTACAAGATATATGACATGATTGAACTTCAGATCGCTGAGAATTACAAGTTGCTGTCTGAGTTCAAGAAACAAACATTCGCCGTCGGCCTGAAGCCAATGTTTACCTTTCAAGGTGCTGCATTCGATACTCACCCTGTTTACAAGCAGGTGAAATCTTTGTTCTTGGATTTCTTCCGTGGTGCACAGACTGAACTACAAGACGTTGCAGGATTGCAGCATGTGATTGCAGTTACTATTCAAGGAGACTTCCAAGATGGAGAAGCTTTGCCAAATGTTTTGTTCAGGGTCTACAAGTTGAAGACTTATAGAAGTGATCAGGGTGGTCGTAAGCTGCCTCGTGTTGAATTGGAGGAAATAGGGCCACGGTTTGACTTCAAAATTGGACGAATTCACACTCCTTCTCCAGAGATGGTTAAGGAAGCGCACAAGAGAGCCAAGCAATTAGAGACAAAGACTGTTAAGAATGTAGAGAGAGATTCAATGGGTGACAAGTTAGGTAGAATTCATGTTGGAAAACAAGACTTGTCAAAGATGCAAACAAGAAAACTGAAGGGTCTCAAGTCGAAATATGATCAAAACTCAGTGAATTCTGAAACTGAAGATTATGTTAACGATAATGAGGAGCACCTACGTTCTGTAGATGAAAGCTATGGTGAAGATTTTGTTACTGCTACTGATATCGAAGCAGAACCACCTACTAAGAGGCAAAAGAAATAAATCAACTAGCTAGCTCTATGCTTCTCATGTACATTATGCTCATAAAAAAATGCTTTTAAATGCTTTATACTCAAGTTTGTATCTCTGCGTATATATCTGTTTCGTTAGATAAATAGGTCACCCATTAATTCCATTGCATGGCACAAGCGTGTTGAACCTGACCTTATAATTGGTTTAGCTTCTGCCTGTTTTCCACTAATCTCAACATATTCCTGAGTAGCATGGATATGGTGACTTTACCAGTGCTTGGAACGTAGAGAGAGGCCTTGGATTTTACGCTATCATCAAAGTTCTTGTGAGATGAAAAGTTTATACAGACGGCTCCATCTCTGATGTAGTCAGTTGGAAATCTATAATCAGGGCTGGGTACACCAGTAACTATAACATCACTGTCGGCACAGCATTCCCTTAAGAGATCGTCGGAGTAATTCCCTAAATCTTCGACTTGGTGCTTCGAGAATTTCAGACCTTCACCCCTGGTGAACTTCTGAATGTTATTGATATCAACCGAATAAACTATGGCACCGTCATTTGCCAGGAGCGCTGCCAGAGGGCGTCCGACAATTTCTGATCTGTTCACCACTACGCACTTTTTCCCATATAATCTGTTGCCCTCCGGAAGAAGGTTATTGTAGACCTTCAAGAACTCCAAAATTTTCACAACAGCTAAGGGTGTACATGGTAAAATGGATTTCAATTGTTTGTCGTTATCCAGATATCTGATGTTGTGGTACATGTTTTGGTAGTATACATGATTCAAACCCTCAACATCTTTTTCTCTGCTGACAACTTGTTGTAAATACTGATCTTGGGCGTTGCCAAACACGGGAAAGTAGACCATAATCCCGTCAACCGAAGTGTCTCTATTGGCATCGATGATAGCTTCCTCTAAGAAATCCTTCTCCTCTATTCTACGCAATTCGTAACGGAACCCCATCGATTCGCACGTCTTTCCAGTCCAGTTAGCGTACATCTCTGCAGCGGGATCGTTGTTCGCCAAGAACCCGACCAAAAGTGGTCCATTGGGCCTTATGTTCCTCATAGATTCTATTTTTTTGGTTATTTCTTCGACGTAAGTCTTTGAAATAGATGAAGCTAAAATAGTACGACCAGGCTTGTCAGACATTCGTGATATGATGTAGTACGATGATTGATAACACAAAAACTTGAAAGATGACCTCAAATCAGAATTCTGAATTCGAATTTATGAACCTATATATATTGTAGGACCAGATATGACTTCAGGACTCACGGCAAAGTCACAAATTAATAAAAAAGGTTATTACCATGCAGCTTAATTATTCGTATTCAATGTTCCAATATATTTTTTCCATGCCCTTGACACGAGTCAGCTCTAATCGGGCACGTACTTTAGTCCAAAAAAAACGCATGGAACGCATGAAAGAGATGTCGTTGAGATAGTCATTCAACCTACGGGGTTCAACAAATCATGCAACGTTTCTTGTTGCACACGGCTTCTCTGAGTGCCATGACTAATCAACTTCAAGAGTAGTATAGTCACGAGTCGCTTAAAAGAAGCAGTTTAACAGGTGGGAAAGGACCGATCTGGACGTAAATTGAGCGACCTATGGAACGCTTAACGGCTATAGACGTGTTTGTCAATAAGCAGTATTTAGCTACAACATATTACCATCCATCCGTCGTTGGTGATGTTTCGTCGTAATGTATCACGTAGACACCTTGGGTCTTTCTGTCGGTCATATATATATTGAAAAGCTCTCTGTAAGCATTGATCTGAGCATGGGTGTCAGATCGTCGTCGAGTCCATACTCTCCTTCATCCAAAGAGATGTACCAAAAGAGCAATTCCTCTTCATCGACCTTAGTTGGTTCATTCATCAAAACTTTGCGAACGGGTTCCAGCAAACAGCAACAGCAGCAGAACCCAGGAGCTCAGGATGGAAATATCGAAGCTATGAGAAAATCTCAAACATATCTTAGACGTTCAACTAGTCATGGTCACGCTGTCTCTGGAATCCATATAAGCCCTTTAAGAAGCAGTAGCACAGGCAAGTGTTCCGGTAAGGAAAAACATCACCATGGTAAGAGCGACAAATATTTCACAGACTTGGATGAAGATTGGAGTGCAGTTATCGAAGACTACAATTCACCAATTCCAGTTATTTCTAATGGTGGTATGGAATTAAAACCACCAGTAAAAGTGAGCTCAAAGGCGGAGGGATCACAATCTCCGAGTTCTTCCACGAACTACCCAACTCTGCCGAACCTGACGAGAGCACTAAGTGCTGACTTGAAGTCGCAATACGAAAAAGAAAATGAGAGAAATGTACAAGAGCTGAATTCTCTCATGCATAGAATAGCGAAGTTTGACGCGATTTTAAACCCTTCCAACTCTCCACAAATCAATCTAAACGATCTGAGGAAGCTAAGCTGGAACGGTATTCCTGCCATTCATAGGCCTCAAGTTTGGAAATTACTCATCGGCTATTTACCGGCGAACACGAAAAGACAGCATTCTCTATTACAGCGAAAGAGACTAGAGTATCGTGATGGTGTTCAGTTGGTGTTTTCCAAAGAACATACGAGGGATATTCCAACCTGGCATCAAATCGAGATAGATATTCCTAGAACCAATCCACAGATCCCATTATATCAGTTTCCTCTTGTTCAAGAGAGCCTTCAGAGGATTTTGTATCTTTGGGCAATACGGCACCCCGCCAGTGGCTACGTGCAAGGTATAAATGACCTTGTAACACCGTTCTTTCAAACTTTTCTCACTGAATATCTACCAGCTGCCCAGAAAGAGGATGTTTGTAGATTAAATCCGAGAGAATACTTGACGGAAGCTCAGTTGCAAGATGTTGAAGCAGATTCTTTCTGGTGCTTGACAAAATTACTTGAACAAATTACTGACAATTATATTCACGGTCAACCTGGTATATTAAAACAAGTAAAAAATTTGGGCCAGCTGGTTAAAAGAATTGATTCAGACTTATACGACCACTTTAGTCATGAAAATGTGGAATTTATACAGTTCGCTTTTCGATGGATGAATTGTTTACTCATGAGGGAATTTCAAATGGACATGGTCATAAGAATGTGGGATACTTATCTCTCTGAGACTTCCTTGGAGACATCCTCATCGAAAGCTGACAACGTAAGCATCTCTTCCAGCTCCAACAGTACATCGCACTCTACTCCTCTTGATTCACCTCGAAAAGTGCAGTCCTCCACTGGTTTACGAGCCAACTCTGCAGGTTCAACTTTATCTAGACAGACATCCCTAAGTGAATTTCACGTTTTCGTTTGCGCTGCGTTCTTGGTCAAATGGAGTGAAAAGTTGATCAGCATGGATTTTCAAGGAATAATAACGTTCTTGCAAAATCCTCCCACAAAGGCCTGGAAAGAGGCTGATATAGAACTATTACTCAGTGAAGCTTTCATCTGGCAGTCTCTTTATAAGGATGCCAGTTCGCATTGGCGCTAAGCGCCAATCTCATTCCCATCGTTTTTGGAGATTCGAGCTTTTTCATTTTTTTCCGTTTTTTTTTTAATGTGAGCGATGGGATGCAATGAGCAAACTCAAGTATATACTTAATTCACTTAATCACTTTCTGAACGCCTTCTGCCTTTTACAGGCCATTTCAAAGTGCGTCAACTACTGATAAATAATCTCATTGGGAGAACTTCTCGATCTAACTCCTTCAAACTTAAGAATTGCGAACAGCTGAGGTATAAGTCTTCAAGAGTAGACATATTAAAAAGACGGCCAAATAAAGACGAGAACAAGGCATCACGGATATCGACAATGTTTACAATTACAACAATTACACATCCCACGGTAGATACGAAACATCCACTCCTCCTATTGCAATCAGAGCATGGTGATCGGTTTCTGTTTGGTAAAATACCTGAAGGCACACAGCGCACCTTCCCTGAAACAAAGACAAGGTTGGCTAAGTTGGAAAATATCTTCCTAACAGGTGAACTAGATTGGAGCTCTATTGGTGGCTTACCTGGCATGATTTTAACTTTGGCAGATCAAGGCGTTAAAAAAATGGACCTATATTATGGAAATGATATTCTGGCTTATGTTGTATCTACTTGGCGCTATTTTGTCTTCAGATTTGGAATCAATTTGAAAGCATTAACGGTCAAGAATGAACAGGTGTTCAAAAATAAACTGATGACGGTAAAGTCAATAGTTGTTTCTGCACCAGACTCATACGATCAACCTTTTACGCCCAAAGTCTTGGATGGATTCAAAACTCTGATATCAGCAATGTTTCCTCATCACGAGCCAACCTCAAAACATGACCCCTCGTCTGATCCTAACGTTAACGTGGAGATTCCTAAGCCATCCGTCATTCCCCGTGAGACTACCAGTTATGAGGTTGAATTTAATCCCATTAGAGGTAGATTTAGAGTTGATGAAGCCATCAAGCTAGGAGTTCCCAAAGGGCCACTGTTCGCTCAACTAACGCAAGGCCGCAGCGTAGTCCTTGATGACGGTTCAGTGATTAGTCCTGATCAGGTACTCGAAAAACAGAGAAGATTTGCGAAAGTTTTAATACTAGATGTACCAGGAAATGAATATCTAGTGAGCTTCAAGGAGAAATTCAGAAACTATGACAAAACGTACCTGGGAGCGGTGTACTTCTTCTTAGGAGAGGCCGTAGAGATTAATCAAGAAATAATCTCCTTCATGGAAACTTTCCGAGGCGAGAATGTTCAGTTTTTTGTTTCTCATAACCGAATATGTCCAAACTCAATTGTTTTCAAAAGTTCCGCCATAACAACTTTGAAGCTTAAAGCCGTTCAAAGCTTTAATTATAATTTGCCACGTTCTGGAAGAGTTTACTCAAAAGATTTTTGTGATTGTTTTGACATTCCTCTTCCAAAAGGAACATCTGTAATTCAAGAAAACGAACAAAGCCTGGTCACAAAACTTGACAAGAATAATGTCCATGTTCTATTACAGCAAAATTCTCTTTTTATTGAGCCCTTTACTGAAGGTGAAGAGGTGATAAAAGCCAGAGTGGAGAATAATTTCGACGAAATACCATCTTGGGAAACTCTATTTAACAATCATGTCATTCCTCTTAAGATCCCGAACGCAACATTCCAGTCCACTGTTCATGATCAGCTTGGCATAAACAACTTCAATAACTTGACAAAACGAGGGAAAGTTGAGATTGTAACATTCGGCACGGGAAGTGCACTACCATCTAAATACAGAAATGTCATCTCAACTCTAGTCAAGATTCCGTACAACATGAATGGAAAAGTAATAAATCGCAGCATTCTCTTGGATGCTGGTGAAAATACTCTGGGTGCGATACTTCGAAGCATACCTGACATTGATATTCCTTCAGTTTTCCATGACTTGAAGTTAATTTTTCTCAGTCATTTGCACGCTGATCATCATTTGGGCATTGTCAGCATTTTAAAAGAATGGTACAAACACAATAAATCAAACCCAGAGGCATACTTGTATTTAATTACGCCCTGGCAATATCAGTCTTTTGTTAGAGAATGGTTTACCTTGGAGGACGCTGAAATTATCGGAAGAATTCGATATATAAGCTGTGAACATTTAATAAGTGGTTCTTACGTCAGGAAAGAGATTCGTTCCAATTCATTTGATGACCTCTTGAATCATCATAACCCCACCACAAAAAAGAGACGTTTTGAACTTGATGAAAGGTCCTCATTTAGAGATCTGGAAACCATTAAAACGTTGTATCGAGATTTGAAAATAAAGGTCTTCCAAACGTGCCGTGCCAAACACTGTGATTGGGCATATTCAGGTTCATTATCGTTTTTCATGAATTCGAATTCTCAAGAAATATTCAAAGTCTCTTACTCTGGAGATACTAGGCCAAACATTGAAAAGTTTGCCAATGGAATCGGTTATCGGTCGCATCTATTAATTCATGAGGCAACATTGGATAATGATTTGATGGAAGATGCAATCAAAAAAAGGCATTGCACCATAAATGAAGCTATCTCTGTGTCAAATGCGATGGAAGCTGAAAAGTTAATCCTTACTCATTTCTCCCAACGCTACCCGAAACTACCGCAAATGGATAACAACCTTAAAATCACAGCAAATGAATATTGTTTTGCGTTTGACGGTATGATTGTAGACTTCGAAAAGCTTGGTGAGCAATCACCCAAATTTTCCCTCCTCAATAGGGCATTTGTCGACGAGAAAAATTCCTTTGAGAAGGAGGAAAAGGAAAATAACTCTGTGTAAATAGTTATAAACGTTTGCATTCGTGATGTGTTACGTTCATTGATGCTAGTGTAACATGTCGTATCGTTAGAGAAGTTCACATTCTTACGTAGTTATAAGGTTCTACAAATTATTCTGATAAAAGGTTTCCCAAAGCTCTATGCATTCCTTTTGAGATTCGATAGCAGACTCTAAAAATATCTCCATGTTGTTTCTAAAATCTTTAACTTTTTCTTGATCGTGTTTGCTCAATTCCTGCCTGATGGTTTCACCAATGTCCTGCCACTTCTGTTTAATTTTAGAAAATCTTTTCTGCAGTATTTGGGCCTCTTTAGTGGTCGCATTAATTTTATCTGTATGACTTTTCATATTTCGGTTTAATTTCTCAAGTTGCGATTGTTTTTTATTCAAATCATTTTCAACAATCATAAGAAAGTACCCTAGCTTTGCACGCTGGTTCAGAGTGGCTTTGATACTTCCTAACGATCTCAAGTATTCATCGATTGTAACTCCTAAAGTCAATGCTTCCTGCATGGAACTTCTTTGCAGAGATTCCTTCAATCTTAAATGAACTTCAGCGAAATTGGACAAAAGTGTAGATCCTTCCTTAGTCACTTCCAACTCTTCTAAAGGTTTTACGCTCTGAGCAAACTCCTCAGTTACAGAAGCTAGCTCATTCCTTTGTGTATCAACCAATTCGAGTGACTTGTAAAGTTGCCTTAATTGTTCCTCCAGAATATCCGCAGATTGGCGTTGGTCTACAAAGAACTGATCTGGTTCATTGTATCGAGGTAAAGAAGAAAAAGAAATACTCATAAATCCTTTATGGGATTCATCAATACCACCATTTCTCATTACATTGACAGCGTCCTCTTCACCAAGCAATTCTATTTCACTGATGTGGATTTCAGAGATATCGTTGCTATCACTAGATGCGTTAGATCCTGTCAAATTCTCCCTTACTTTTGAATCCTGACTGAAATTATTACTAGTCAAGAACATCACAAAATCAATGTCCCTTTGTAATTCTGCATCTTGTGCTATTTTCTTCAACATCCTTTCCATTTGAAATCTTCTGTTTTCTATGAAGTCATCTTTGAATCGACCAACAGCCTGTTTTTCTGGTGGTGGAGGAATTATCTTACCCCAATTATTGCTTTGTAATTGACGATATAACCATCTGAAATCCCTATATCTCCGCTGAACTCTTGTTTCAGGGTTATCTGTATTTTGATACCTTGTCCAAACGGTATACTCCATATGAGCAGATGTTAAATCACCAACTTTGACAGGGTCAACGACCTCAATCACAAATTCATTTGATGATTCTTCTACTTGTTTTGATGAGTTAGAAAGTTCTTCATCATTGTCGGGTTGGGCTATATGTTTAACATGAGGGGTAGTATTTGGTGACTTTCTAGGCGATAATTTAAAAAGCGGAGCGTCAACTTGCTGCATAATGTCTTGCTTGCTGCTTGCCTGCTCAGTATCATATTCCAAAGACTCATCAACAAAATCGTCATCTTGAGTGGTACCTTTGATGGCCAACGGGTCGACGAAGAGATCTTTCTTCTGTTCATCTGTGAGAGGATGGCGGCGCAGCCGCGTCGAACTAAACAACCTCTGTGGTTTGCCATACTTTCTTGAGGATAAGGATGTTTCTGAAATTCTAGCTGTGAAATCAGAGTCGGACACCCTCAATGGAGATTTGGTACTACCAGAAAATAAGGGATCATCCTTGGTAGGCGACGTAATGACATTACTTGCAGATAAATCGGAAAGAGGATCTTCCTCTGGTGCTAGCGACGATAACAAAGTCTTGGAACTTTCGGGTCCTTCTTCATCCGCAGCTTCTTTGTGTTTATCTTCTTTCTCTCCACCGTCTTCAGACCAAGCACTATGTTCTAGTGACACAGCATGTTCCGTCGAAGACAAATCTCCCAGGTTCTGTGCTAATTGATCAACTGTGGGATCATTCTCTGGCTTTGGGGCTAGATCGTCCCAAACTGGTGCACCTAGGTCGTCTTCATAATTCATTTTACTTCTGCACTTCTATTTTGATGTTATATTTCCGGAAGATTCAACAGGCTTTCAGAGGTGTTGCTCAACATACGGAAAAAAAATAAAAAAATAAGTAAAGGACACTCTCAACAGGAATCAATCAATGGGGAAAGCTATTAAAGCCGAGGGTAATGCTACTAAATATGACGGTAATACCAAGGACATTAGGAAGTTCTCTCTTTGGAATTTTTGGGTTTGTTCTACTGCCCTTAAACTCCTACTGATTCCTGGTTACTTCAGCACAGACTTTGATGTTCATAGAAATTGGCTGGCCATTACGAATAAACTGCCGATGAAAGATTGGTACGTTGAAGCTACAAGTCAATGGACTTTGGATTATCCACCTTTCTTTGCTTATTTTGAATGGTTTTTATCACAGTTTGTTCCGGGCGTTGTCAAAAAAGATGGTTGTTTGGATATTGTAGAAGTTGGACAATTTGGCATGCCAACTATTATTTTCCAAAGGTTGACGGTGATATTCAGTGAAATTCTGCTGTTTGTCGTTCTACAAATATATATCAACAAGAGTAATATCAGCGAAAAGTCGGCTAACTTCGTGATGGCCAGCAGTATCGTTCTCTCACCAGGGTTTTTGATAATCGACCACATCCATTTCCAGTACAATGGTTTTCTATTTGCCATTCTTATTGCTTCAATAATTGCTGTGAAACATCAGAACTATCTGTTGTGCGGTGCGTTATTCACTACTGCCCTTTGTTTCAAGCACATCTTCCTCTATCTGGCGCCGAGTTTTTTTGTTCTTTTGTTAAGAGCATATGTTTTGGATTTTTCAAACTTCAAATTCAAAAGCTACATCGATCTCATTAATATTGTAAGATGGTCACATCTTTTCAAACTTGCTGGAGTAGTACTCTCAATTTTCGCCATTTGTTTTATGCCATTTATTAGCATGATGCCCCAGCTTTTATCGCGGCTTTTTCCTTTCTCTAGGGGCCTTACACATGCCTACTGGGCTCCAAACTTTTGGGCTGTTTATTCGTTTTTGGACAAAGTTTTGACAATTATGATGTTGAAACTCCCTTACGTTCATAAATTTATTTCAAATTTTATCGCTCCGCCATTAATACCATCGTCTATCGACGAGATAAGAGAGCGAGTCGCTCATAACAATGTGGGGACAAGAGGTTTGGTTCAGGATGTATATTTTGTAATCCTGCCGCAGATCCAACCAAAGTTGACTTTCATGCTGACGCTGTTTTATCAAATACTTGCCGTTATTCCAGTTCTCTTTAATCCTTCTTTCAAAAGATTCATTGGCTCGCTCACTCTTTGTGGCTTCGCTTCTTTCCTTTTTGGCTGGCATGTACATGAAAAGGCCATCATGTTGGTAATAATTCCATTCTCTTTCCTCGTGACCTCGGATCGAAGATTGCTTACCCCTTTCCGTCTGGTTGTAGCAGCAGGATATGTCTCACTCTTTCCTCTCCTCCATGAATCTCAGGACTTTTTGATCAAAGTACTATACACACTGGTTTGGGGTATCATTTACTTCTTTGCATTAAGACAGACAACCAAAGTCTCATCAAGCGTTCAAAGACGTGTTTTCTTTTTCGATCGCTTTGCGATGGCTTACATTGCATTGCTTGCTCCCCTAGTTATTACAATCCAACTTTTAGATGTTATGAAATGGAAGTACGCCTTACTTCAAAAATTCGAATTTGCAGGCTTGATGGTTTACAGCATTTACTGTGCAATTGGTATCCTTTCTTCCTGGATGGGTCTTTCATGGTTGTATAACTTTGATGAACCTTTATGGTTATAAGAAATACTGAGTTTCCTTTAATCATACCATTACATTTATTTATATATGCTACTTAATTAGACCTGTTAAAATATTTAGAGTAGGGAGTGCGCCAGGCACATGAGAGTCTCTAATGTACACTATTCCAGCCCACTGATTAACTTTCTCAAAGCGAGCCTAGCATCGTCCTGCTCCATCAACTTTGGCTTCTGAGCCTTTGAAGGCTTTTGCGTGAAAGAATCATTAATTGGCCTATTCAGAGATCCGTTCATCGTCTGTTGTATTAATGGAGTACATTGAATGGACAGCGTATATTCCTGAGTCGGCTCAGCTACGGGTGTAGAAGGGACACTTCGCTTACTCTGCGAAAACCGATTTGCAGAATCAGTGGCGGTTACGACAATAGGCGGGATGCTTGAAGATTCTTGCATTGACGTTGGCCGGGGAGAACCCAAATTCATTAGTGATGGAGGTGTATTAAAGCAAGTTACAGGTTTGCGAGGCGAGTTCAAAAGCTGTTGATAAAAGAGTTCAACCGCAGGGTTCGCTTGTGGATGGGTAAGCAAGAGTTCTGTATTTGGATCATCTGTCATGAGTAGTGGATCGCCAGAGGATAATTTGAATACAAAGCTATTGGATCGCGATAAAGATTTGTTTCTCCCTTGTTTGCCATCTTGAGACTCAAGTGTCTTTTCAGGCTCCTCCAAAACTTCATCTATCGCGATATTTGGCGTAAAACCTGTTCTAAACTGGAAAACAGACGTGCATCTGGGTGTCCAGGGCATTGTCAGTTGAGAATTGCCGACTTGCTGTGGTGACGAAGGAGGAACCGTGGAGAATACCTCACTAGGACGTACCATGGCGGCTTTGGACGTTGGTGGGGAAACTGGAGAGGGTGCAATCTCCTTCCGCGTGCTTTTCATCTTTTTGAGCAGACCCAAAACCTTCCTCTTGTCGAAAGTTGACAGGGGCATCTTTTTTGGAGAGGGTACAACTACCTTGGACGTAGACACAGGGCCAGCTATCTTGGCCTTTCCATCTTCGCCGATGCACAGCGAAAATTTGAATGGTGTGTCCGATAACTCCTCCGCATAGCCTTGTGGTTTCTTTGGCGTTTCTACAGCCTCAAATTCAATGGGTGAACTCTTTAAAATTTGTCTCTTGGTTTCCGAGGAAAAAATGTTGTCAGATGGAGTGAGAGGCGAGGAGTTTGAATGGCTCCTGGGCCTCCTGACAGGTGTTGCTAGAAGCGTCCCTCTATGTCTCGCCTTCTTGGCAGAACCTCCCGTCGAAGAGGGTGAAGCTTCCAGGTTCAAACTGCTGTTTCTGCGTTTCCTAGGTGACGGAGTAGATACACTTGATGTCGTGACCTTCATCAGCGGCTTTGTGAAAGTTTGTGCTCCCATCTTTTGCATCTGCAGAGAGGAATAAGCCATCGGGCTTTTCATCGGATCTGAATAATTCTTCAAAATTGGAGGTCTTCCTCTTTTTTTTGGCATGCTAATGTTAGCCATGCTGGTTGTCCCTTGAGATGTTTCGTTCAGGTTCGAAAGATGTAAGAGATGAGAGGAAACAATTTCCCTGAGAGATTTGTTTCCAGCACTAAATTTTCCAAATGAGGTTATTAGTTTCGCAAATTTTTCTCAGCTTACGCGTTGCATTAAAAAGGTAAAAAAATTCTGAATGTGGATCGCTTTTTCGCGTTAAGGATCCATACATAATAAAACTATACGAACGTAAACCGATACAAGGAAAACCAAGATGACCTGAGAGCTACTTAATACCTGAAATTAACAACGAAATTACAAAGATCCTATGTCCGGCTTAGGACCTAACGGAGTTATTCCCAATGGATTGATTCGCGTATGGCTTCTAGTGTAATGCAGCTTTATGTGGTCAAAGCTAGTAGTAGAATGGAAAGGTTCATAGTTCCAGTAGATATTTCTCAGCCATAAGTCAACCATCTTAAATCCATCCCTGATTGTAGATATGTTGCATTTAAAGTGCTGGACGTAAACGGGGTCGAATCTCACAATTGTTGGATAGAGACGTACATCAGCCTCGGTAAGCTGCTCGCCGACCACGAACAGTTTGGACAAAGCTTCTTGCTCCCCATATTTCTCAACAAGTTTAACGTACTTGTTTTGGAGAATTTCTTCTAGTTTTTTCAAGTGCGTGAAAATATTGATAACTTCATGCTCATACACATCTTGCTTTTCAGCAAATCCTGCTTTGTAAACGCCATTGTTAATGTTGTCGTAGACCCACCCATTGACTTCATCAATTTCACTTTCTAGCTCCTTGGGCAGCAGGTCAATCGAGGGTACACTTGGGTCTGCGAACTCGTTAAATACGCCGCTGTTAAAAATTCGAATGATCTCTGAGCTTTCATTGTTGACAATAGTCTTTGTCTCTAGATCCCATAGAACTGGAACGGTGAATCTCGCAGCGTAGTCAGGATCTGCCTTGTAATAAAGCTCGCTCAGCCTTTTAAAGTTATAGTTATGATCGATGGTCCCGTCAATTCCTGCCCTGTAGGTCTCTGGAGTGAGCCCTTTGGTAGAGTGGGACTGAGGAAGACATTTTACACCCCCACTGGGCTCAAAGCACAAATCCCTGGAAGTGCTTTGCGACTCATCGGGGAAGAATTTCCATCCCTTAGAGTCCATATGCCAGTGCACAACAGAAACTCCGATCACAGAGGTCAAGCCCTTCAACGCGCGGGTGATTAGCGTACGGTGGGCCCAAGGACATGCTAACGACACGTACAACCAATACCGACCGTTTGCTGGTTTGAAAACTGGATGATTAGGGGAAATTGTTTCTCTGAAAGACGATACTTGTCTCTTGAAAGCACCGTCTTTTGGATCAGCCCATGGTTTGTTAACAGACATTTCTTGATTCAATTTGCTAAGGAGAATAAGAATACATGTTCCCTTCACCCCGCTTTTAAATAAGGATTTCTGAATTAGATGCTAATTATTAATCGCAACACGTAATAGATGAGTAATGCACATTAGCACTGGTTACGAGGAAAGAAGCACATTTTTTCTATTTGCTATTTGATCAGGACTTTCACTCTTACAAGTTCAAACGGTAGATTCTGTACGTATTTGAGGATTATCAAGCTGTGCCGACGATACCCCTACAGGCTTCGAAATTTCACTCAAGCTGAATGCTCACCTAAATCCAGAGTGGAGTACAAGAATTAATACCGCAATATGATGTTCTACAGTTGAATAATAGTGGTACTGATTATGTACTCTTCTGTCTCTTGTTTCATTGCAGAGAAAACTCATACTTTATCACGCTACTACTGGGTAGATTTGAGCTGTTATCTTCTGACCCAGATATAAGGCAAAAAGAGTGTTTGATTGGACCTTTGTAAAACTCTCTCTTCTCCTTTACTGTCATCAGCTATGCGCTTTTGAAAACGTCCGCCATTTGCAGAGTCTTCAAATCATTTACAAAGTCACAGCACATTATGACGCAAACAATCACTGTTTTTGATAATCTTCATCAGGACCAGAGATATCACTTCAACCTCTATTATCCACTCGCAAGCAATTCATCTTGTTAAAAGGCACATACAAATAGCAATCCTTTGGGAAGCATTTCTACCCATGTGCTCTATAGGTGAGAAATTTTCAGTCAGCAACTGAGTTATCTATTGATTGCGCAGAGAGCAACACATCTCACATCACCACCAAACTTAGGAATATTGAAAATTGAAATGGAGAGGAGGAAGGCGAAATTGTCTTCATTTTCTATTGTATGCGATCTGACTTAAATTCTTTAACATTAAATTCTTTAACATTACAGCTATAGCACCGTAGGCGAAAGGAGCTCACGCCCCTGCCCCCCCCTGTAGTTAGATATTATTGCGGTGTCTGTATACAATTGTAATTTGAGTAGATATTCTCAAGCCAATTCTGATTTACTGCAAAACTCAAATAGAGCTCTCGTAGAGAAGGTCTCATTTTGTGCCTCTTACGAATGTACTATTTTCAAAGCTTCCGCCTTAAAGAATCCCTTTGATTAGTTCTATTAAACGGTCACATATGCCAGATGAAGTATTGCTTTATGTTCCACTTATCTTAAACGTAACTTTGCATTGGTTGTCTCCGTTACGCTGTGATCGATCGGAACTTACAGAAAGACAAATCTGCTAGTAGAGCGGTATTCAAAATTCTCACAAATTATCAAGTAGACGTTAAGTAATCTGATTTCTGATATTCGAAGCGGTTTTACTTGCCAATTTTACTCAATTGTACTCGATTTGAGTCCTTTAGTTATGGAAATTATTGATCAAACCCCTCTAAACGTGTTCACAACAATACTTGCAGAGCGATCCTTTATATTACACTTTGGTAAATCCCAGTTCATAGTAACTGATCGTTGTGCTTGTCACTGTCAAATATCATGTTTTAGAAAGCTCTGCCGGCCCATTTTGGCAGTGAGACTACTCATTTCACTGTTGAATTCTTTATTCTGCGAAAACTAAGTTTCATTATGGTGGTTTGCCAAAAATATATTGATGAATCCTATCTCGGAAAAATCCTTATCAACACTGTCGCGGCAAAAAGTCGTCTCCTCACTGTTGCATGTCACGTTTAGATCTACTGCCTATCGCCAAGACATAATTGGTTCATGATGGTTGGTGTGTTTTTTTTCTCAAATTACATTTCATTACAAATAAGAGATCGGGATCTTTTAACAAAATGCCGAAACAACATCTACATCCGAAGTAGCACATTGTCATCCTAATTAGTGAGGCAAAATCTGTTAAGAAAACAGCATCTCAGTCAATGATGTAATAATGCTGGGCTGTCGGTCTATGACATCCATCATGAAAGCATTCAATTCCTTCAAATAGAAAAGCAATTAGAGCGTAGACCGATAATACAAAAGCTAAATCCCGATCTAATAAGGTTACAGATTCATTCAAATAAATTCTTTTTGATCTCGCCAAATGTTGCTGGTAGAGTGATTAAAATATGAAAAGATAATATTTGGTTTTTTTGGGCGGCATCGAATTGACGTTCATAATAAAACCACAGTCAATTCGAGTTCTCGGTATTTCTTGCAGTAAACGGTCTGGAGGATAGCATTGCATAATTGGATCTCTAATATTTATAAAAGGATGATGATATCCCTACACTCTTGTAAGTTCTGTCATGTGAACAGTACGAATGTTATCGTTAATGCACAAACACTCTTATATTTCTCTTTTAAGCTTTAAATCCGGTGCCAGTCTGAGACATAGGGCTAGCCATGCTGCAATTTATCTACGCCCTTTCCATTCCAATGCGCAGTCCAAGGATGCCGCCGAGGGAACCATCGGATCAGCTAGCATTCAGTCTACTGAAGCGTTGAGGATCCATCCTGGGCGCCTCAACCAAACTATTCTGAATAGTGGTAACCGTTTCGGTAAAGCATATCGTTGGGGTGATCAGCCTCATGAATTTGGTCTGCGCAGACTCGCGGGAACTGAAGTCGATGGTGCCGTCAGAGATTGGTTTGTCGAAGAATGCAGGTCATTGGGATGCACAATCAAAGTTGATGAAATCGGTAACATTTTCGCTACTTATCCAGGTAAACATAGTGGGAATCCGACTGCGATAGGATCTCATCTCGATACTCAACCCGAGGCAGGAAAATATGACGGTATTCTTGGCGTTCTTGCGGGCCTTGAAGTATTAAGAACCTTCAAAGAGAATGGATATGTTCCAAACTTTGACGTTTGTGTTGTATGTTGGTTTAATGAAGAAGGAGCACGTTTTGCTCACTCCTGTATGGGTTCTACCGTCTGGGCTGAAAATATGTCTCTGCAAGAAGCATATGGAATGCTATCTCTAAATGAAGAAAAACCTCAAAGTGTCATTGATTCCCTTGACAGTATTGGTTATAAAGGTGAAACTGTTGCATCTTACAAACAAAACGAACTTGCCGCCCACTTCGAATTGCATATAGAGCAAGGACCACTTTTGGAAGACGAAAATAAAAAAATTGGTATCGTTACAGGCGTACAAGCATATCACTGGGAAAAGATAACTGTCTATGGCATAAGTTCTCATGCGGGTACCACACCGTGGAAATCCAGGAAGGATGCATTAGTTACAGCATCTAAGATGATTGTGTCCGCTGCTAATATTGCCGAGAGACATGGCGGTTTATTCACTTGTGGTATTGTTGATGTCAAGCCTTACTCTATCAATATCATTCCTACGGAAGCATCATTTACTGTTGATTTTAGACATGAAAATGACATCAAAATGGCCAGCATTATTGATGATGCACATGCTGAATTTAAGAAAATAGCACAGGAAGGTAAAACTACTTTTGATAGTGAATTCCTTTTGACCTCTAAGGCTGTTAAATTTCACGACACTTGTATTAACTGTGTAACGAAATCTGCTTTGGACCAGTTTGACAGTTCTGAAGTTATTGAAATATGTTCAGGTGCTGGTCATGATTCATGTCAGACTTCGAGCCGAATCCCGACGTCTATGATCTTCATACCTTCCAAGGATGGTCTCTCTCACAATTATCATGAATACTCTTCTCCAGAGGATATTGAAAATGGCTTCAAAGTATTATTACAGTCGATCATTAACTACGATAATTCCAGACTTGTCCAAAGTGCCTAGCTTGGAATGGATACAGATAGATAAGTATGACAGTGTAATATTTCTAACGAGCGTGATTGCTCAATTAGCTCCCATTTCAAAACTACGTGTATGCACATCTGAATCGATTGACTTCTATAATACTTGTGTCGGTATTATCACACAATTAAATATAACTGGCAATTAAATTTCATACTGAGTAAGGAAGAGTCCAAGATCAACGGATCTGAATTCTACCACTTTTCGGCCAGAACTATTAAGAATAAATTCTCTAATGACAGAATCCTCTGGTAAACTGCAAAATACTCCGTCAAAAAAGTAAAAAAGGACTTTAATATACCTCGTATTGGAGCGAGGGTGAAAAAGACGTTAAATTCATATCAAAAAAGGCACATTCATTCAAACTTATCAAAGCTGTTCTTTGAAAAACCATTTAATTCACTCGAAGAAAACAATTTTGTGATCATTCTCTTTCTTGAACGCTCAGCGATGCGCACTATTATTTGTATATATATACATATATATACTAATGGATTTAAAATCGAAATAAAAAATACTTCTCGAGCACCTATTTCATAGCCGAGAGCATTTAATGAGCTATCCTACCCTTTTAATTTTTTTCATGTTGTTTCATAATTGAGCCGTATTGGCAATCTCATTTAGTATGCGTATCTGAAATGCTTGTTCTCAAAATCAGTATAGTCTTTAAACCCGTTAATAACACCTTCTCTTTCGGTTTCTTTCGTCAAGGTTCCGTATTTGCTATTCCTTGATTTATTTCTTTGGTACATTAAGCAGTAGTAAACTATGGACAAGAACATCATGCCTGCATATGATCCAATTAGGCCCTTCATTCCTGTGACATATTTTGGAGCTTCCTTAGCATAAAATATTTCAGATCCCACAATGTTACCAACAGTATAGAGAATGAACCACATCATCTTGACTGTGGAGATTTTGGAAGATCCACCGACTGTGACATTTATCAAAATCCAACACATGATTACAGGGCCACCGATAATGTATAATAACCAGCAGCATCCTACAAGTGCCCATTTATGTTCAAGTGGGATAACATGGATGCCAATCAAGCCTGCTAGAGTTGGTATGCATGTCAAGAATAATAAAATGGTGCGGACATTTCTCTTGGTAAATACTGCAAGCATACCGGCAGAAAAGACAACGACAAACTCTATTGCACCCGTTGGCAACTGTAAAAGTGTAGCACTTAATCCAGAAAATCCAAATCCTTTTATCAAAGATGAGATGAAATTGGAAGTGCCACCATTGATCACGCCGCATGCTAAACCACACAATGAAAGAATCCACGAATTCAAATCCAATAAAGCTTCTTTAGCCTGTTTAAACTTGAACTGAGTATCTTTGATACCCATTTGATTCTTTGAAACGCGCTCGATAACACAAAGCTTTTCTTCGTGAGTTAGAAATCTAGCATTATCTGGAGAGTCGGGTGCAAAATAGAGGAATACGAAAGCCCAAACAAAATTCATTAATCCAATGACTAAAAAAATCAATTTCCATGGTTTGAGGGATGATCCGGTTGCATGGCCAAGGCCGTAGGAGAGTAGTGCACCAACCATAGTGGCAACACCGTTCATTGAAAGAAATGTACACATCCGAAAAGGCTGCTCCTGTTTGTTGTAGAACATGGAGCACATCATCATATTTGAGGGAGAAATGGTTGCTTCCATAATTCCCAGCAAAAATCTCAAAGCCATTATACCTCCATAATTTTTGGCCCCAATATGAGCAATCAACAAACCAGACCAAACGATCAGGCAACTGCCCGTGAATTTGGCTACAGGAACCCTTTGGATGAGCCAATTCCCCGGAATTGTTCCCACAAGGTAGCCAGCGTTAAAAATAGCCGCAATATTACTGTAGTCGTTGCCTACTAGCTTCAGGTCCGCTTTCAAAGAGTACGCAGATGCGTAATTGAGGGAGAGTTTATCTAAAAACTGAAGCATGTAGGTAACACATAAAATTGGTAAAAGCCATCTATCAACCTTGCGTCTTACACGGGCATAAGATTTTTCATCTAGTACTTTTTCTGATTGTAAAACCTCTTCGAATAATGCACCACCAACCGCATGTACTGATGTATGGGAAAGCGCTGCTTCTAATTTATCTGAATCTTCAGATATATACTCTAAATTCCCAACTGTAACTTCAAAAGGTTCTTTTGGGGCGTCCAAAATTGAACTTTTGTGATCATCGTGCGATTGTGTTTGCATGTTGCTGTTGAGTGAAAGATAGTTGAGTGATGTTTCAGTTTTTTCCAGCAGCTTTTAAATGCATTTCGATATATGATTGATAATCTTTGAATCACTCCAGATATGCTTTACCTAATGCTACTTTCATTATCATGAACCATTCGTTTGGTGGTTATCAATAGATCGGGTAAAATGACCACTTTGCCGAGTCGGTGCAAAAAATTGTCTTATCGCTATTAAAAAAAGAAACGCTTTCGAGTTGTTGGTCGGAGTTTCGAAATCGGTTGATAAGCATTTACCAATTTTTTCAACGGTTTGAAGTTATATCTTGAATGACGGTTATCCATATTATTGTAAGACCTTTTAAATATAAGCATAACGCATTTGATTAAGTTACTGAATTTTTCGATTTAGATCAGTCACGTTTCCTTATTACTAAGTCCTTGAGAGATTTTATGGGTAACGGTATCTTAAAGTACATAACTGTGATTATAAACCATTTCTAACATTCTAAACCTGGTATAGAAAGAAAATAAGCCTGAATAGTAAGTTCCTCGCTCATATTCGTTTTAACTGCTTGAGCGAACACGAGAGCTCATACGCAACTAGATTGGATTTGCATTTGGCGAACTTGTAGTCAATTATACGTACTGGTTTCATTTCTTTGATGCTCTATAATTATCATAGTTGACTATGGCTTGAAGAAGTACTTTGAATCCGTTCTCTATTTCCTCTGGAGAAGAATATTCATAGTAGTTATGGGAAAGACCATCTTTTGAAGGAATGAAAATCATTGACGTGGGCACACGAGTGTTGACCTGGCAGGAATCATGACCTGCACCGGACCATATTTGTCTCACCTCTGAAGTTTTAAATTGAGCGAAGGCAGATCTGGAAACGCACTCTATGCACTTTCCATCAAAGTTAACCACCGGGGTGTAAGCAAGGACTTCAGAATCCCACTTTAAAGATCCCCCGCTATTGTCCGCAACAATTTCATCGAACTTTGATTTTGCCACCTTTAGCATGGTAAACAATACATCATCTGAAGTATGCCTGAAATCAATGCTGAATGATGCCTGCCCTGGAATAATATTAACTGAGTAAGGCTTTACATCAATAACTCCGCACGTAAATAAACCACCATATTGTTTGGCAACTTTGTTGCAAGCAACAATCATCTCAGCTGCAGCTTGCATTGCATCCTTTCTCAAACGCCATGGCGTCGTACCGGCATGCGCGCCAACACCATTTACAGATATTTTTTCCCAATAACAAGCTTGAACACCAGTCACCACTCCGATCTTTTTTCGTTCATCTTCCAATACAGGGCCTTGTTCTATGTGAAGCTCAAAATGTGCCTCAATTTCGTTTTCAGTGTAGGAAGCAGTCGTCTCACCTAAGTACCCAATGTTTTTCAGAGAGTCTATAACACTTTCTGGTTTTTCGTCTGTTACAGACTCCATCTTATAGGCATCTTCTAAAGGAAGATGTTGTGCCCAGACACTAGAGCCCATGCAATAACGGGCAAAGCGTGCACCTTCTTCATTGAACCAGCATATGACACAAACGTCAAAGTTTGGGACATAGTTGTTCTCTCTAAAGGTTCTTAGAACTTCAAGACCTGCAAGTACACCGAGAATACCATCATATTTTCCTGCCTCGGGTTGGGTATCGAGATGGGATCCAGTCGCAGTTGGCTTTCCTTCATTCTTTCCTGGAAAGATAGCAAAAATATTTCCAATCTGGTCTATCTTTATTCTACAACCTAATGACTTGCATTCCTTCACGAACCAGTCTCTGATTTCACCATCTTCTTTTGAGCCAGCGAGTCTTCTCATTCCAAATTCACAATCACTTTGGCCCCAACGAAATGCGCAGCCGAAGCGTTTACCAGTCTCTAAAATAGTCTGGTTAAGACGTCCGTTTTTGATAATTAAAGGCGTGAAAGCTGGCAAATTTAGTGTGTTTCTAACAGGAACCTCAACTTCAGAGGAGATATCAACCGGAATGGAGTCATTTGTCGACATTTTGAGATGAAATTTCAACTTGAAGTAATACCTTCTGTTGAATTTGTGAACTTCAGCACGACATCCGCCTTTGAATGAATAAATGAAGGTTAAATATGCTTCATAAATGTCGTTCGTATGATTCACCGGCAATTATGTTTAGATTACCGAGGATGCAGCGATCTCTTATCCAGATTTCTGAGATCGTATAGAAGAATTGTTATCAAACATGACCTTTTTTCAATGAAAAGAGAAACAACAAGCGACAAGAACTGCGACTGAAAATGTATAATCTCATTGTTTTTAGTTGCAGCTACCGCGGTTCTATGAACTCCTACAATATCGATCCCTAAGTTTTATCAAAAATAAATTTGGAGAAGTACACCTATCAGTAGATCATATAGCTTGAGTAAGATGTCACTATAGCTTGAGTACGGTGTCACTATAGCTTGAGCACGGTGTCACTATAGCATTTTGTTAGATATAAGTACTATCTTGGCTAGTGGGCATTTATTTCGGCTTAAAGTGAATTTTCTCTATGCAATCAAACGCAGGTCAAGATCGAATCATGAAAGGTATTCACGCAATTCTCAAAAGTATTTTTGCAGGCCATCCAACCGCTCGCATTCTTATGAAAGCTACTTTTATATTCAAGTATCTAATAATTTATATCATTTCATCTGCTATAATGTAAGCAATTTATTTTTATAGTCTATCTTGAGCACTTATCATAAGGTTCTATGAACGTTACAGTATATTAGGATTAATTCTAGTTGATTGACTCCAAGATAAAAAGTGTTGATGTCGTTTAGATCGCGTATCTGAATTCCGGGTTCTCGAAATCTGTAAGATCAGCGAATTCTGAGTTTATGAAAGAAGGATCTAATTTTTCGTCTTTCTCATCTCTGAGTCGATTGGCCCTCAGGTTGATGAGATATACGGCAATGGTCAAAAACAGGCATACTACGAAACACACGACAATTGCAATTTTAGCACTTCTATAGTGGGGTTCTTCTTTACTGACAAATGTCTGAGGTCCAATCAAGTTACCCACGCAGTAACCAATCATGCAGATTGCACTTGTAACAACCTTTTTGGTATGCCCAGCAGAATTTGATGTAACACAACTTATGAAACAAATCCACCCGATCACTGCCATACCCTGTAAATAATAACCGGCCAGTTGAGCTTTGTGTGAAGTAGGAAACGCTAGTAAACACCCTGACAAAATATTGAGGCAATAGCTAAACATTGCAACAAACATTCTGCGTTGAGTACGTTGCGCAATATATCCTACTAAAACAATGCCCCCGAACTCAACGGCCCCGAATGGTGTTCCCATTAGTAGTGCTTCTTTGCTGGAATAGCCCAAATCTGTCAGCATAATGGAACCGAAGCTCCCAATACCACCATTAGGAATCTCTGCCGCAACCATTAGAAAAAAATACAAATAAGTCCTGATATCTCTAAAAACTTCTTTGAGTTGGTAAATCTTGAAATGACGACTTCCGAAACCTTGTTTATTAGAGCGAATTCGCTCTACCACAAGTAACTTGTCCTGATCGTTCAAAAACCACGCAGAAGAGGGAGCATCAGGAACATGAATCAAAAACACTATACCAAGTGCAATAGTTATGACACCTAAGATAATGTATAAGAGTCTCCATGAGGACATGGGCAGGGTTGATGAATCACGATCAGCAAGTCCATATGCAATGAGCGCTCCAAGAATGGCTCCAAGGCCAGCAGAAGCACTCCAAATGGAAGTTCTGAGGAGTTGCTCTTCTCTCTTGTACCACTGTGAAGTTAAAAGCATGAACGCAGGAGTAACTGCGGATTCTAATACACCAAGCACGGTTCTGGTGGCAATGAAACCGGCGTACGTCTTTGGAATGCTTGTCATGCATAAAACGAATCCCCACAATATAATAAATAGTCCACTGGTCTTTGCTATCGGAAATCTCTGCAAAGCCAATGAACTTGGAATTTCAAAAATCATGTAACCCAAGTAAAAGCAGGTTCCGACCCAACTGTACTGATTTCCATGCATATGCAAATCACTTCTCATTCCCATAACAGAAGCGTAAGAGTTTGTCTGTTTATCCATGTACTGTACTGCATATACAACGCTCATCATAGTGCAGATGTACAAATCTGCTTTACGCAATAACCGTTTATTCGTTTCAGCATCTACTTCTAAGCCTAGAGATTGCTTGGCAACCTCCATCCCCAGATCAGCATCTTTTTTGTTGAATATCTTGCCTTCTTCAAGTTCTGCCACACTTAAATCAACTACAGTTGTTTTGGGAGTAGTCAATTTTTCACTATAGGACTCCATTTTCGTTGATTTTAGTTGTGTTTTCAATTCGAATTGGTTAGCAATTAACTGAATTGACAAAGAAATGTCTTGCTCTTATAGAAGTTCTTGAAATCAAACAGTTCTCTTTAGAAATTACAGAGCAAACCTCAGGGTGATATGAAGTCTCCAAATTGCTGATACTCATTTGAGTCTTCGTTGTCGCTCACGTTAGAAAATGATAAGTTATCGTTTTCTTTCTCGAGTTGCATCACGATAAGGAAAACGAAGCTCGGCAAATTCAACAAAATTGCCGAAGCGCGGTAAAAAGACTTAATGACAAAGATACTCTTTCCAGATAAATTCTCAGAAGAATAAATTTTAATAATTCTGATTAAAAATTATGAGATTATAATTCACAAGAAGTCGGTATTGGTATCCCAATTTTGAAAATTTACAGATAGATTGTATAATGTTTCCGGCGAAAACTGTTCAAATCCCGTTCCTGAGCTTTCAAGGTCGACTAAGTAAGCAAGATTTGAAGCGCATGACGCTTGATCGGACTCGCTGGATTGCACTGATTTGTCTTTAGAAAGATATTGCGAACGATCGTCGGGTGTCGTTGCATGTTTGTCTTTGGGTGCTTCTCCTATTTCAGCTTCTAGTGACTGTATTTTCAGTGCGCTTTGGACTTTCTGTTTTCGATCTCTTTCTGCCCTGAGTAACATCCCATCTAGTTCCTTCAAACGGCAATGATTATCCATTGCTGTAATATTGCCTTTTTCACACATGTATGTATTCAGCGAAACAGCAATTGAAAGCTCTGGAAAAGAGCCGCCGTCAAGCGTCGCCATAACAAGGATGAGAAGTGCTGAAAAACAACATTGAGCTTCTAAAAATCCGTATGCAGAAAACCATCCTGAATTCCAAAGGTTGCTTAAAATTTTGATATTTGAAACTGCAGCATTAACGCATCTCCTCCTAACATTCTCCATCTCGATCGTGTTTCCATCGCACTTTTTCAACAACAGAAGATATAAAGGACGAGTTGCAACAATTATTATTTGGTTGTAGCGTAGATGTAGGTTGGCAGTTGAACGGTTTTCTTTTATTTTTTCTGGCACGATCTTCAAGTCAGGAGGAAGTCCAGTGAAGAAAGAATCTAAACATTCAAGACTGCTCAATATATTCGGTAAAAGATCATTACCTCTCGATACGCCATAAACTTCTTTCATGACTGTTCCAACACATAAGGCGAGCCTAGTATTCGCGGTTAAATATTTAGGAACAAATCCATCTTCTGATGACATACTACTATCGGGAAGTTCGATATCAATGTCACTTACATTAAAATGAGGTGGTAATCCGAGTCTCGAAGCCCATAAGCTATCCATCAGACAAGCTGTCCACCAGAGCTTCTTTCTTGCTTCTTGTTCCGGTTTGGGTAAACGAGAATTTACCGCTTGCCTGTGGATACCCAGAATAATGGCTGTAGAAATAGCGAGTCCAGTGTATGCGAATACCGAGTTCCTTCTGTTGAGACCCTGGGAATAAAATGCAATTAGCAGCAATGTTCGAACAGTATCTAGATTTGGCTCTTCAATTGGCTCATGGAAGAATTTCAAAGCGGTCAAGAAAAACTCCATCCCAGGAATCTTCTGATGACCTTCAACTTTACCCAGATACTGCTCTCCAACGGCGAATGTAATTAGAAGATAAGCAAGCCAATTGGCATTTTGCGACTGGATATCTTTGTAAGTGTCTTCCAACCGAGCTTCAAACTCAGTGATAGAGAAAATTCCATATTCTCTTGCAAAAAACTTGAAAACTTTGTGTACTAACTTTAGTCCATACGTTTTCTGAGGTAAAATGAACATTCGTACGGACTGTTCTTCTCCTAGAGCCTTGTCATCGACATAAATATGTCTCAGCGGATGTCCTTTTGTAAATAAATCGTCTTTATTGTCTTGTTCAGTAGTATAGTTCGATCGGTTTGATGTAATGTAATTTTTGGTTAGATGCCACTGCAGTGCGTCCACAAAAATGCGGCACGAGGAGTTGCCAGGCATTTCTGGCCCAATTCCCGGTGCAACTGATCCTAAGTGTTCTTTGTGGGTCGACAACAAATGTTGAATACCATCGTTCGAGGCGGGAGAGTTATTTCGACCACCTATGCCGTTCTCGAGACCATCCACGGTCTCTACGCTCGTCCCCTCTAGAAATTCAATGCCGTCAGATCTTGCAGCTTGCCGCAGCTGCTTGCATTCATTTTCCAATTCCTGGATACGTTCTTGCATTTTTTGAATATCTGTATCAAGTACAGTTATTTTCCTTGCTTTGGTCGGATAGAAGCATGCGTCATTATTCGAAATTGAACAAGATCGACAAATTGGCCGCTCACCCGAGCATTTGATCTTGTGAGCACTGCAACGCGTACAAGCAACTTTCGCACGTTTTCTAACCTTGAGGTGCGTTTGCATGGGTAAGATTCATACCCTCAGTTAAAATGAGCGTACTAGAAAGGTGTAGATAACAGTTGAAAAAGATAGCGCAAGAAAAATACTAACGAAAAAAGATTATTAACAATTCCGACAAAACAAAAGGCAGAGAAGGAAAAAGATCAACTGATTTCAGGTATCTTAAAGAGCGTGCTGAAGTCAGCCTAGCAGATCTTATGAAGGTTTTTTTCGCTCGAATATTTATCCATATACATTTTACAAAATAAAAACTACCAGTTTACCAGATAGTAGTGATCTTAAGCTTTGGCACATTATCTCAAAACCTCATCTTTAGAGAGATATATTTCTAGTTCTAAATCAGGTTGCATAGCAGCATATAAACCATTGGGGCTCGATATATCTTTAAATGCCCTCTTGGCGATCTTATCACTTATTATTTTCTTCTCGATATGAGAGTTGTTGGCTACCGCGTCTACCAAAAGCTGTGTCTTGCACATGTTTTCCATAAGAACATGTAGATAGCCTGCCTCATCTACAGTTTTACCGACTGTCATGACACCGTGATTTTGAAGGAGAATACACATTTTGTTTCCGAGAACACTTGCAATCTTTTGACCCTCGACCTCATCTAGTCCCACGCCTTCATATTGAGCGAATGCAATTTGGTTGTCATGAACCAAGCAGCTATCCTGAGTCAGCATCTCCAATTCTTTCCCAAAAACTGAATATGTACGTGCGTAAAATGAATGAGCGTGACAAATAGCTTCAATATCGGGTCTTGCTCTATGCATAGCTGAGTGTATTCTGAAACCTGCGGCATTGAAAGGTGCCATACTACCACCAATTGGTTCACCTTGGGAGTTGACGTGGACTATGTCACTGACCGTAATCATAGAAAAGTGGATACCAATTGGATTAATCCAATAAGTTGTTGGATCAACAGGATCAACTATAGTCACATGGCCAGCACATCCTTCATTGTAACCTTTTCGTCCAAACACACGTAGAACAGTCGCCATGTGTTGAAGCATCCACCGGCGCTTTTCGTATTGATCTGTAAATGTGGGAACATCGAGGCCCCTGACCCTTGAACGTGGAACATTGACTTTCTTCTCTTGTTGCTCTGCGTTTTCCATGGTCATTGATTAATTTCTTCTTTAAGACGGTACAATCTTTAACGAACATGGCCATAAAACATCATTGATAGTTCTCATGCCTTATATAGAGTGGTGGAAGGAGGATTTTTGGCCCCTCGGTATTGAGTTATCATTGTGAGTGACGCCGAAGGAATACGTCGGTAAAAAAAGAGATCTAACCGAAGGCAAAAATATCTTATCATTTTTATCTAATACTGATAATCAATGCCATCCAAAAAAAAATGAATACTACAAATAAAGCGTAAGAAGTAAACTTGGTGGCCAAAAAATTTCCCAGATAATGGTTTAAAATTTGGGACAGAAGATATGTCCTCTTGATGTGACTTGAATTCTCAATTATATTCGGTATTCTGCCCTTCAAAAAGTCTCAAGTTTTTTATAGCCGTTATCGACGACTTGTAGAAGCAGATGACTTCAGACTATGGCGAATTGCAATTCATTCGATTCGTACTCTTTGTCATCCTTAAGAAAGTGATTATTTGTTTCTGATTCCTTTTTAATAAAATATGTAAGTATTTGAAGATGTCGTTTTTATTTGCTTCCAATAAATAGTGAGGAATGATAGACTGACGAAATGCACTTATAGAGATGCATTTCGAAAGACTGTCAAAGAAAAAAAAGCCTTAGTGACATAGTCTAGTGAAAATCCTGTTGAAGTCAGTTTGGCGCCTTTCTTTCCATCGGGAATATATAAACAGAGGGAATAAAACAAAATTTGGATCGAAGTCCACGAGATAAACAAAAGTAGCTGAAGTTTTCCGAGATTGACAAACTCCAGAGGTGAACGTTGAATGGAAACTCTCGATTTTTTTTGTTCTCATAAGACATTAGCAGATATAAAGGTGGCATTCAAGACCAGAAAAGTTCTCAGTCAGTGTTTCACCACATTTATTTCTTTGGAGGGTTGAAGACGAACTTTCTGGTTTTGATACCAGCCCATTTGAACTTCTTAACCCAGACGGACAATAGGTATAGAGAGGACAACATGATGATGGCCTTCAAACCTAGTCTCTTTCTTTCGTCGTGCTCTGGCTCAGCGCACCAGTTCAAATAAGTGGTGACATCCTTAGCCATTTGGGAAGTGGTGGCAGGAGTACCATCCTCGTATTCAACAAGATCGTCAAACAACACTCTGGCCATTGCAATGGACCCACCTGGGAAGTAAGGGTTGTAGTTGGCGCCAGGTGGCAAGACAACACCGGCAGGAGGCTCGTCTGGGTAACCGGTCAATAGGGAGAAAATGTAGTCGGCTCCACCGTGTCTAGCTTTAACGATTAGCGACAAGTCTGGAGGTAGGGCACCTTGGTTGGCTGCTCTGGCGGCCTGCTCGTTGGGGTAAGGACCTGGAATGTAATCGGCAAGTTTACCGGGTCTCTTTCTTGGGTTACCCTGGTCATCAGGCTCGTCATCGTACTCGAATTCTTCGGCCATTTCACGTACTTCCTGGTTGGTGTGCGACACACCAACCATGGTTCTCCATGCAACTCTGTCGAGAGAGTGGCACGCGGCACACACCTCACGGTACACCTGGTATCCTCTTCTGATTGACGCATGGTCGAAGGTTTCTAAAGGACCGTTGTGCGACCAGCCGTAGCTGGGAGGGTGTAGACCGTGCTCTGCGGCCGTCATGGCTTCGGCACTCAAAGATTCTGCGTATAAAACGGCTGAAGCTCCCACACCGGCTGAAACAGCCCCAAGTATACCAACCTTCTTGGCTAGTGTAGAATTGCCCGCTTGTTTGGCTGCGGTAGAGAAAGATTTCTGTAATTTTGTTAGTAACATTTTTCTAATCAATGGCCTCACGATCTACCAATGTCCGTCGCATTGCGTCATGCTTTAAATGCTTTATATTCTCACATACTGTGTTAATACGGCTAGCAGCTGTTCTGATTGAACTAAACATCCCGAATGTAATGATCCTCTTGAAGATCTTTCTATCTATTGACAAGTTGAAGTCCCTATTAAATTTTTTTTCCTCCCAATAACACTTGTAATGGTCGGGAATATCGCCCTAGCACTAGCTCCCGCCTACCGCAGGCCAATAGCGATGCTCTCCGGAAGAGCCAAGGAGGACAGGTGGGAAAAAATTTGAGAAGAAAATAGCGCACTGTGATTGGTCGAACGGCTCAGGATTATAGTTTTATACGACGTAGGCTTCTTGCCCGGAAAAACCGGACAAACTTTTACAGAGCACGTGCATACGTTAAATGTGATTTTTATCACGTGCAGTATTTTATGTCATTATCTACGCGTATAAGTCACATGGTGTTTATCGTTTTCTGAAAGCATCTGCTTTGAAACTTTCTGGGCCCATCGGTGGTCGATGTGTATGTTTAGATTGCAACCATCGATCGGCAGAGGTGACTGGCGCTTTCATGGAGACAGATATACGTTACAGCTTTTTAGATACACTAGACCACTTGCCATCGGAGCTCATTCGCAGCTTGTGGACCATCCAGGGCCTGGAGTTGGTAAGTGACGGAGATGCGACAGAGTCACATGCGTTCGCCGATCGCGAGGCTCTCAAGGAAGCACAGCACATTGAGCGGCTGCTACGGCACCATTCGAGGTATCTACGGTTCCAGGTAGGGGAAATGCGCGAAATGGCTGAGATTAAGCAGCGGTACGAGCAAGAACGAGCACGCAGAGATGCTTCAAGCCCGCGTAATGCGCTGCCGATACCGCAGGCGCATTCGCGTGCTCCGCTTAAGATCAAGATTAACCTCAAGGCCCAGAATCCCAAAGAAGAGGTCTACTGTGTATGTCGGGATGTGTCCTACGGGCCGATGATCGCGTGCGACAACAAGCGTTGCCCCATCGAGTGGTTCCATTACGGCTGCGTCGGGCTTGTAAAGGCGCCAAAAGCGAGCCAAAAGTGGTATTGCAGCGATAAATGTAGACGGCAGGCGACGCGACGCTAAGAAAAGGCGATTAAGCCGGGCTTACACATTTGCCTTTAGCGTAGGATCAACTGTATAGTAACGCGCAAGATTCTCCGGCCGGTAAAAAGGTCACTGTGACGGCGCGACAGATTCTTTTAAATGAATTTGGGAAGCAACTGACATTAGGTAAAAACTACACCATATATGTTATATAGTATTAGAGAGGACCATCAGCCAATCTAGAAAGATAGAAATAATGTAACTCAAAAACAAGTATGCATTTATTCCAAGTCCTTCTTCAAAGTACCCAAGAAAGCATGCTTTTCAGCAGGAGTTTGGAATCTACCCTTACCGAACTTAGAGGCAGTGTCGATCCACTTCAACTTAACGTCTTCCAAGGCCTTTCTAGAGGTGTTGGTGTACAAGGACTTTCTCAAAGTAACAACTCTCTTTCTGGTACCTGGGATAGAACCCTTGACCATAACGAAGTCGTTGTTGACAGCACCGTAGTGGACGAAACCACCCATTGGGGTGATGGTCTTCTTAGTTCTGTCGAACTCGGTGGCAGCGTTACCTTCATCGTCACCCTTACCGATTCTGTAGATCTTGTGGTTGATGGAGGTTCTGTGGTGGTAACCTCTTTGACCAGCTCTGGCAACACTCCACATAACGTGGGCTGGATGCCAAGCACCAATACAAGCAACCTTTCTCAAACCTCTGTGGGTCTTTCTTGGAAGCTTCTTGGTACCCCATCTGTGGGTGACACCCTCGAAACCGTGACCCTTGGTGACGGCGACGACATCGATCATTTCGTTGTGTTCGAAAACAGAGTCAACGGAAACGGTCTTTTCGAAGTGCTCACGGGCCCATTGGACCTTTTCAGCGATGGAACCACCGTTCAATTGGATTTCAGCCAAGTGAGCCTTCTTTTGAGACAATGGGGTCTTTCTGATTTGGGTGTGGGCCAAGACTCTGACAACAGAAGCGTACTTGCTGATTCTGGCCAACTCTCTCTCGATGGCAGCACCGTCTTGAGCGTACTTGGCGGAGTACTTGGTGAAAGCCTTCTTCTTAGACTTGAACCAGTTCTTGTAGAATCTTCTCTTGATCTCGTCGGACAAGTGTTCAGCCCAGACGGTGGTCAAGGATCTCAAACCTCTTGGGGTCTCGACGTAGCCGACAACACCGACAACAACCATTGGTGGAGTGTCGACGACGGAAACGGCCTCGACAATTTCACGCTTGTGGAACTTGGAACCTGGTCTGTCCAAGTCTCTGACAATGGTGGTCATACCGGCCTTGTAACCCAAGAACGAAGTCAAAGCGACTGACTTAGACTTGTCGTCCTTTGGGAAAGCCTTAACTCTACCTCTGACGGAGGCGGCTCTCTTTCTTGGCAAGAAACCAAGGTGACCGTGACGTGGTGCTTCGAACTTTCTGTGAGACATTGCTTAGCAGATTATATTGATACCGAAAGAAACGAAAATGTAATGGCTGTAAATAGTTGAAGGACTAATATCCAGTTATATATGGTCCCGATGAGGTGGTGAAAAATTTTTCACCAATTCTCAGCGTCCTTCTCACACGAGCATGCAGCGCTTCTGTTCAGAATCCTCTACGATGAAAAAATTTCCACATTGCTTTTTCGCCGTATGAAATTTTTTTCTGAGAGAGTTTTTTTTTGCGTCGGTGAACTAATATGCATGGGTGTCGATCGTGTTTCGTTGATAGCGATTTGCACAATTTGTCTGTTGTTTTACTCCAAAGTGCGGGGAAAGCGGAATTTGTTGTTGAGATGCGGCTTCGATCATCTCGGAGAGAACGGCTGAATATGCACCGATGATGAAGCAATTTTTCCGGCTCGCGGCGGGAGGGAAAGGGCCGAAAACAAACAAGCGAACAGTAAGCAAGTAATCACGCTTGTAAATGACGATAGCATGTTAGCGTGCTAGTCTGTCCTTCCTAGGATGGTATTTACAGCTGACAAAGCTAATATCGAAGAGAGTTACATACGTCTGTATTTTACAAGAATTGAATATCGGTGACTAGGACCAATTCAACCAATTGACGGTATATGCTCCTTGAAATGTGCCCCCCACGCTTAGTTTACAGGAGCTTTCCCAAATTGAAAGGGCAAATTCCGCGCGCATGAAAAAAATGACTGTCACACCACTGGAAAAAAATTGTGCACATTTTCTCCGAGATGCGCTGCAGAGTTTTCTCGGTAGTGCATCCCGGCGTTGTAAACCCCAGAAAAGAAAAATACTCAACCCCACAATTTTTCCGGGATTGTCGTAGGTATAAAGACTAGACGGGGAAGTTCATTAAATCTGAAAAGTTCAACTGTAATTCACACAACACTTCGTTGGTGGAGAAGTAGACAAGAGCATATCTATACAAAAGTTTTACTGCAGCAATGATGGTTAACAGCTTAGACGATAATATCATCGTGCGCAAGAATTTGATGCTGCTGGACAACGTCACAAATCTGGAACGCCCCGCCGTGGATTATTTTCATTACGACTTTGCCAGCACGGACAACTTGGCAATGCCACAGACTTGGAATCTTCTCTGCAAGGTGGGCAAGTATAAGGTGCTTCGGCTGCCTAGTTGCTCTCTTGAAGACGACATGGACTACAACATGTATCTAAAGCGTCTGCATCACTGTCTCTGGAGACGGTGGTCCATGAACCAGTTCCATCTCACCAAAAAGAAGATTGATCCTCTGCGAATCAACTGGAACAAAGAACTCGACATGACTGTTTTGTACGGACCTGAAGTGGCTAACACCAATTCCGTATCGCGTATCACGAAGGATACCGCATTTCTCGACAAGCCAGCTATGGTTGATGACAGCTTGGAAGAGAAGCTTTCCGATGAAAAGTTATGTTACTCTTCGTCCCTAGAATCTCGCGATTCATCGATCTTTGATCAAATTCCACACGGGTCCTGTCTCAAACGTACGCCAAGTGGCTCGGGGCCCAGGAAAAGTTTGCATTTCAACAACCATGTTCTCAGAAGAGACATAGACTCTCATGGATCTTTCCATGAACGGGAGGTTTTCATTAATGATGCGTTTCCCATCAGAGCATACAGAAGACCTCAAAAAAACCTAACAGTTCGCTCCGACTGTTTTATCATCGGATCACCTGATGATGAATTTGATAGCGATATTGACATGTTGTATGACGACGATGATGACTTTTACGATGATGACGATGACGATGATGACAACAGAATACGCTCGTATTTCTGATTCTGTCTGGAGAGCATCCTTTAACGACGTTATGAAGCAATTTATATTATATAGAATGTGCATGGTAGGTACAAAAGAAAAAAGTTGGTTATATTTCTAAAACACAGTTGTCGGAATAGTGTCAAAACGGCGCCGCTTTCGCACGTACAGCGATTTTATCAACAGGCTTCTTAATATTCCTTCTTGAAGAATTCGTGCGCCATCGTCTCTTTTGCGGTCAATCTCTCCTGGTGGTCGTACCTCAAAAGGTGGTCAATCAAATCGATAATCTCGGGCACGGCCAGCGGCGTATCTGAGGTAACAAAGTAAGACCAAGGTTTGCGTTCGAAATCCTTCATGATATTGTCATATTCATGAGGAAGCTTCAAGCCGTAGTGATTTAAGTAGGCCAATAGCTCTTTAGTCCCCAAAACGCGTGCAATTTTCACTAGTTGATCAGGATTCGTGCTACCCTTGAAAAATGGTTCCTTTTTGAACACGATTGCGGCAAGCATACAACCTACCGACCAAAGGTCTAACGAGTAGTCGTATTGATTTAGGTTCACTAATAATTCTGGTCCCTTGTGATAACGTGAAGCAACTCTCACGTTATAATCCACGCCTGGGTGGTAAAACTCCGCTAAACCCCAGTCAATTAGTCTTAACTTACGCTCTGTTGGGTCAATCATAACGTTTTGTGGCTTTACATCTCTATGCATGATTCCCATTGAGTGGCAGTAGTCAAGTGCGATCAATAGCTGCGTAAAGTAGTATTGTATATCAGATAGAGTGAACGACGGGTAAAGAGTTCTAAAGTCCACATTCTTCACCTCTTCAAAAATCAACGCAGGTATTTTACTACCCGGGTCTTGTACTATATCCAGTAATCCGATGACGTTCGGTCCACCGGTCAAGTTAGTCAAAATCTTGAGCTCACGGTAAATCTTCTTTAACTTTACAGGCTTCAAGACTTTAATCACACAATATTGATCAGTCAAAACGCATTTGCCACGGAAAACTTCTGAGTATTTACCACGGCCCACTTTGTTGACTATCTCGTAATTTGATATCCTGCCCCAGTCAATTGTGACACCTTGTTCGTAATCCCAGTACTCTTGTGGCCGTTTCTCGCAGGCATCTTTGTAAACTCTGGCAACAGAGTAGACTCGGCTACTCTTGCGGTTAAGTGTCGAAGGGGGCAATGGCATATCCAGACGGCAACCACCTCTTTTCAGGGAATGAAGTATAAATTTGTTTCGCCTTGTAAAAATTTCATGCTTGAAATGAGCACCACCAAGACGATCTCTATGCACGTAAAGGTTAAAAACTCCATTTATCTCACATATGAGTAAGGTGTACATTCTGAGGCTGGACCTGGGAAATGGAACGAAGATTAAAGACGTGCAAGTATGGGATTTGAATGCAGATAAACAACAGAAGGAGCAAACCTTCGATTGTAAGATTTTGGGCTCAGTCGACATGAAGCGACTCCCGCTGTGGGTGGAACTTCCAAATGAGTACGTTTGCTACAGTGCAAGCTCTACCACAACGTCTTATTTCAGATCGAAACTGTTGCAGAAGCAGTATCCCGATAGAGGATTGGTAGCGGAAGTTCTCGGCGAATCAGCGACATCAGAGTACATGCTATTTTACTCTGAAATAATTGACGTTGCACGCCCACAAATTAAAACATCCAAGATTGATATATCTATCAAGAGAAAGCTGGATAATCAGCTGCTTCAAGAAGAAACTCCTAGAGCTCAATCTGCAATCTTATCAAAGGATCAAAGCATCGATGCGATCGTCGCTAAAAAACTACTGAGGCGTACTCAAAGTACATCACGAATCTCTAAACACGTACAAATGACAGATTATAAACGCAAATTCGTGTCCACCCTATCAAATTGTATTTTAAGTGGTCTACGTTTGAGAGGAATTCCTGAGAGACAGGCCGACTTTCAACAACTTTACAAAATGACTTACAGCACAGCAGAATTTGCATTCCGAGATGAGCTTAAAGAGGCAAAAAGTCCTATTTACTTTGAGCAGGTCCAAGAGGCTGTGGAGCTCATATTAAAGCTCTTCACCAAGTCGTAAAATGTGACAGCGTGCGCTCCCCAATATTCCCGTTATAAAGTTGGTTTCAGTTAAGCTCCCTTCACCGTTCAGTTTACCACCAAGAGAAAGAGTATGAACGATGGGCAATAAGCATTTATTTGTGTTGGTCCACGGTCTGTGGGGCAACTATAAGCACATGAATTCGATCAAGGAGGTTTTCATTGATACTTTCGATGATCCTGATGTGGTTTTTTTCTCCCCCAAGCAAAGTGGATACTTCAAAACGTTTGATGGAATTGAGATTGTTGGCTATAGAACTCTCCTTGAAATTTGTCAGTTCATCTTTAACTTCAAAGGTGGCAAAATAACCAAAATTAGTTTTGTGGGATACTCCATGGGTGGCTTGATCTCGCGCTTCATAATTGGGAAGATGTTTACGGAATGTCACGAGCTCTTTCACAATATTGAGCCGATGTTGTTCATAACGTTTGCAACGCCTCATTTAGGGGTACAATTTTTTTTGCCTGAAACGCGGGGCAACCACCAGAAAAGACTATTGAATAAAGTGCTATCGGTTCTCGGAACAACTATTTTAGGAAGGAGCGGAAGACAGCTTTTTATCAAAGACAAGCACTCGCAATCAGGAATATTGGTTAGACTAAGCTCAGGTGAATACCTGCAAGGTTTGGCCAAATTCAAACATCGGATTTGTGTGGCAAATGTAAAAAACGACCGTACTGTTGCGTTTTACACGTCGTTCATCACTGACTGTGATCCATTTTTGGAAACAAACAACGAAATACATTACGAGTTTGAGAAACAACTCCCCGGCTCTGATCTCTGTATGGTTCCGCGGATTGTGGATATGGACAATTTGGATCCTCAAACATCAAGAAAGTCCATCAATGATGGAAAATTTTCGAGGCTGTTATTGATCGGGTTAATTTGCTGTATCATTGTTTTCATGCTTCCATTGATATTTATTGCTAATGTGGGAGGGACATGTTACAGCTACCTGGCAACAGTTCATTTTCAAAAGTTGTTACATGAGGGAGAAGGCCGCGTCTTATTAAGACGTAAATTAGGACTTCAAGACAAAATTGCAGACACGATTCGCGATGCGACGGGCATTTTGTCAAATGAAGAATACGGCATACAAAAAGCGGACCAAGACCAAACCATTTCCCAAGAGGTTATCTCTTGGGACGAGTTTGTTGCAAAGTATAGTAACAGCTGGAAGAAAAAGTCGAAGAGCCGTTTCACTACTTTGGATTTTGATCCAAATAGAAAGCATATTTTAGACAACCTGAACATGTTACCATGGATCAGGATTCCACTGTATATCAAAGCATTGAATGCTCATGATGGTATTGTGGCAAGGAAAGGGATCGACAAGACGTCACCTTATAATCTTTCAGGTCTTCAGTTCGTCGCGCAATTGGCCAAATTTCTCATTTCAAAAGATTAATTATTCTGTTTAGTCATGTATATACTTTGACTACCATTTTTCTTCCGGGTCGGCTTTGAAATCCAAGTAGTCTTGCATCTTAAATAGAGATATTTCTGTTTCATTACCAACACCATAATCCACCAATTTTTTAGACTCATCGCCAAGATTTAAGATCCAATCTTCATCGTGATCGAAATTTATTACCAGGTTGACCGTTTTTGAGCCGTGGGCATGTGTGTAGATCTTAAGCGTATCATAGTCGACATTGCGAAATGGTCTGAAGGCGCTTGTGTTTTTGATGTGTTCTATACTGTCGTTAAAGAGGTCCTTAGCTGTCTTGGTCTTTAGATCATAGTTAGTCAGCACAATGTTCTTCACATTCCTATAAGGAAATGACTTGATGACTCTAATTGTAATAGTGGAAAGTGTCACTGTATCAGAAGTTGTTAGAATAAGTTCCTCATTATGCTTCATGATAATGGTGAGACAATACCATTTGAAGAGAATTTGTACTTACAAGGTTTGACAGTATTTATCAAAGGTTCCTCGGTATCAAAGTCGATGGATGTTGACATTTCAAACTTGCTCAATTTCTCATCGGCTGAAGGTGAGTTCTTTCACATCATCATTGTTTTGAGATAAAAAAAAAAGAGAATTTGTCAAAAAGAGAACTCCTCATAGGGGGCTCGAACCCCTGACATTTCGGTTCCTTGCGAGCAATGCTTAAAAGCCGAACGCTCTACCAACTGAGCTAACAAGGACGAGTTCTCTGGTGGAAAGACTCTCAGAGATCCTTATATGTAACGTTGACCCCATAATAAAACAATAATACTGTTAAGATATTCTGTATTTGAGAACTAGGTGAATATTGAGATAATTGTTGGGATTCCATTTTTGATTAAGGCTATAATTATTGGTATATGGTTATATTAGAAGTTCTCCTCCTCTTTCTAAGAATCCAGAAAGAAAAGTCGATAATTCTACTTACAAATATTCTTGCTCTTTCTGTTCCTTTTATATATTTTCATTCATTATCCTATTACATTATCAATCCTTGCGCTTCAGCTTCCACTAATTTCGATGACTGTTTCTCATTCTTTATGTCATCTTAAAACACCGTGTATGATAATATACTAGTAGCACGAATACTAGTCGATGGTCGATAGTTGTATTTCGTTCCAACAAAAAGGAAACTCAGGGGAAACATATTTCGATACAAGTCCCCAATCTATAGCTTAAAGTATCGAAAAATTCTAAGCATGACGCCGATTTACTAGAAGGAGACAGGACTCATTTAGTACTTGGTTCATTACAGTGGGGAATCTGTAATTATATACGACTTACTCCGTAGCTCCAGGTATGAACTTAATGCACTATAAAACCCCCAGGCAACCCTGCTTTCTATTTTATTACCCATAGACGATGTGATTAAGTTTCGCGGAATATAATATCCGCCTGTGTTCAGTTTTTATAGTTTATTTCTCCAAGCTTTCAACACTAGTATTGCATTGTTCCACTTGACAATTCGTAGACATTTTCATCTGACAAATTAAAAAGTTCAAATCAGTAAGCATAAACTCATATTGTTGATCACTCACTACCTCTTGGCCTTTCGGATAAACTCTACTTGTTTGAAACTATGTATAGCAAATGCTCTATTGATATAGCGATGCATTATTCTGTTTTTTAGGTATTATTTACATATTACCTATTTTGGTAAATTATAAACACAAGGTGCCGCTTTTACAATAAAAAAAGAGAGATGAACAAAAACGAAAATACTGTCTTGACGATGGTCCCTGTGCCGAGGACATTATGATGTCTCAGCTTATAAACCTTAATGAAACAGGAGTACCGTCGATTGGCTCTCATAGAGATGTGGAGACCTCATCTCAAGAATCCTCCTCCGCAACGTCCATCAAAAGCCCATTATTGTTCACAAATCTGTCCGAGCATACAGATTGTCTCCGACTGACACCAGTCAATATAAAGAATCTGACATCTCCTCTGAAACCTCCAAGTGAAGAATTGACAGTACGTGGTGAGGAAGTTATATCATACACAGCTTACAAGGAAAATTTCAACCTTATATCGAAGAAACTAGAGAAACTTCTTAATGAATTGAACATAATTTATAAAGAGATCGGATACTCGAATACAGAGATATCGACTAAAGAGAAAGAGATATTCAATAATTTGTCCGATTCTATAACAGGTTTCTTTGAACAAGCTAATGAAGAACGAGAGAGAATTTCTTCTGAAAACGAAACAAGCCAAGAAATTTTGCAAAGAATCCTTCATATCATCCGGGATCCAAAGGGGACAAACACAATTCCTGACCTATATACAAGAAATGTGATTGTTTCCAATGATCCGTCAAATAGCCCAGGTTGTGGATCTCCCAAAAAACTTACTTCACTATTAAGCAAAAGAAAAATCCTTTCTAAAGCTAAAATGTACGTCCTACAAACATACAGTCCCATGTTGATGCAATTTTTAGAAAGTTCCATTTCACTGAAATGTATGATGACCGCTCTGGGAGATTTTAGACCATCTGAACAAAAATGGAATGTTGACCAACTTTTAAGCATAATACCACCGCTTGAAACATGCAAGCAGTTTCAGTCGTTCTTTGTATCTAATGCTAACAATTATGAGAAGATAAATGAGTTTATTAAGGAAAACAGAAAGGTACTTTTGCACACGATTAACTTCAACGACATATCCGAGACTGTGCTTCATCGTATTCAGAAGCTGGCTTCTATTTACGAGCAAGAACATGAAAATCGAATTCAAACTTTAAGTGCCTTAGGCAAAAAGACTTTGGATCTACTAAAGTATCTACAATTTGAAGCCGAAAACGAAGTAGATAAAACGCTCATGACGACCTTGCGTTCATATGCTACGTTGGACCAAACTAATAAAAGAGACATCAACGCTTCCCTGCGTATATTAAAAAAACTCGAAAAAGTCTTCAATGACTTTAAGACTATTGAGCAACAGCGAGAACTGGAGAAGGAAGACTATCATCAAAAGTGTCGGCAGCTGTGGGAGAAATTGAAAATACCACAAGCTTACGTCCAAAAATTTGAGAATAGAAATAACTCTCTCTCGCTTGATGCTCTTAATAGTTACTCAGAAGAGCTCAAGAGACTTCAAGAAATGAAGAAAAAGCTAATCAAGAATCTAATCCAGGATTCTTGGATCAAGATCCAAGACCTTTGGTCTGCAATGCACATGTCAGAGCGTGACACGTGCCACTTCAAGGAGCTCTTCAAAACAATTAATTCCGGATCCACAACACTTGAGGATGATGAAAAGGTTTTGGAAACGTGCGAGGCAGAAATTTTAGAATTGGAAAAGAAATACGCTCTCTACAAGCCAATATTAAAGTTAATTGAAGAATTTAAGTCTCTTCAAAACGATAAATTAGAACTCGAGAGAAGCAGTCGTGATTCTTCTCGCCTATTATCAAGAAACTCTCATAAAATTCTTTTACAGGAGGAACGCACAAGAAAGAGAATAACACGGTACTTTCCTACTGTGATTCAAGATTTGGCAGGAAAGTTGAAAGATTTCGAGAAGGATTTTGGTTCGCACTTGATAATAGATGGAGTCAAATTTTTAGATGTTGTGCAAGAACAGGAGGCTGAAATTATCAGTAAATATCCTCGAAGTCGAATTAACTCTTTTAGAGGCCCTGCTAATCCGAAACCTACAAAAAGTAAGCCTGCAGGTGTTCAAAAATCTCCTCATAAGGATCGAAAATATAGGAGACAAAATCCAAATTCGAAGATCAGTATTCAAGAAACGCCAATGCGAGTTACTGAAAGTGTCAATTCTGCAAGTTTGAGACCATCAGATTCATGTAGTTTACCGAGAACTTCGACTGAGATCAAACCCTTCAACAGATATATGCACGCCACAAGAATATCAAGCCCTTCAAAAGACATAAAGGAGAGCAACCTGTCTCTTGAAATGACAAAGAGTAGTCCGACTAGGATACCTAAGCTCAGTGTACTTCCGAATTTTCGCTCAAACAATACATTACCTCCCCATCCAAGGCAAAGATTAAGTAGGCCGGCTCTACTCTCTCAAATATCACCTAATAAGTTAAACAAGATGAAACCATTCACTGTCTTGTCTGGAAAACAGAGCAGCGCAATATTTCCCACATTCGCAACTGCGTTGCAACAAGACGAAAAGACTTCGCTTGACGGAGCAGAACAGAATATTAGCAGCACAGATAAGGAAAATTCAAATTTAATGAGCCTAAAATCACCTGCCCGAATTACAGCAAAGAAGCATGCGACCCTTCATTCCCCACCTGAGGAGCCTGATAACTCTCTGTACCAAATAACAAAATCACCTGAAGGCAAGTATCTTTTGAATGTACACTCTACTACCCATGAGGATCTTGAAGGGGAAAGCGAAGACACAAGCATGATGGATGATGACAGGTTCATTTCCTGGAAAAGAGAACGCTTCGCAAAAATGAACAAATGTAGCAGTAATGACCAAGAAATGCAATCCAGTATAAATTGGGATACCGATGTATTCTGAAAACTGTATGATACCGTTACTAAACGTATATATCAATGAAATACGTACGTACGTTTATGTTCAAAAGGATGCATTTCCTTAAAAATTTGAAAATGGCCTGCTCACCACTTTTTGAGCTCTAGGCCCTCTGGAGGAGAGCTTTCTACTTTACCCTTCGACACCTCGCTCCAGTTTGTGTTCAAAGCTGTTCCATTACTCTCAACGAAAGATTTCATCATCGCTCGTTTAGTGTCTGGATCCGCATTTGCATAGAGCTGTTGAAAGAAGGCATCAGCATTATCTGAAGACTCCTGCTCATCATCAAGATCCACTTTAGACCAATCAATAGTCTTTTTGGAAGACGAAGGATACTTTAGTGCGGTTGAAAGCGGCTGCGTTTCAATTTTTGGGAAACTGGCCGAAGAATCCTTAGGCACACCCGTATCTTCTAAATACTTCCACTGGATTGTGCTCTTTTTTCGCAAAGTGACCTCTATCTTCTTCGTGAAAACACTTACGAATATGTCTGAGGGGTCAATTTCGTAAGCGAGTTTGACATTATATTGGAATTCGGATCCTGAGTTAGGTATGGGATATGTGAGCGTCATTTCTTGGTTCCCCAGCGCAAAATTCACACTCACAGATTCCTTTGAAACCGGCAATGTCGACGTGAATAAGGAAATCGTGACACTCTTTGATGATTGATACCAATCCACCCTAAATTTGGGTTTGCCTTCAGTCACATTGGTTACAATGGAAGCGGGCGCCGTAGATTCTGCCGTAGTTGGGGCGTTTGCACACGTTGCTTCCGTAGCTTCCGTAGCTGATGCTGCTGCAGTTGGTTTTGCCCTGGTTGTGGTTTTCTTATTGCTCTCACTTTCTTCATTAGTATTCTTTAGCTTCTTCAGTTTTCTGGATAGGTTGAACTCCCACATAGGTAAAGTATTGTCCTGATACCCGAGTACTTTGGCATGATCCAGGTACTCCTTCGCCTTCAAATACTCTTTGCGGTTGAAATGGTGCACGAAAAGACGGAAATTAACTAGACCTTGTTTAGACCGATCTCCTCTTCCTTCAGCAATCCTCAAGGCTTTGTGAAGTAGATCAGATGCATTAGTTAGTGTCTCTTGGCTGTGCCAATCCTTGAATCCGTAATACAGTTTTTCCAGACAAGCTGCTTTATAAACATGGGCAACAAGGTTTGAAGGAGATTGCTTCAAAACTGAATCATATAGTTCTAAGGCTTTTTCGGGTTCTTTATCGTCATATAAAAGACGATATGCTGTTTTTAGATCTGTTTCAACAGGCATTTCTGCGACCACCCAATATTAAATTCATCTCAGAAAGTTCAAAGTGATTAAATTTTTAAGATGTAGAAGTGCTCAAAGGCAGTGATAGAAGAAAAAGCGCTCAGGTTCCTGTTGCAAAAATTAAAAAGACACTGCGGTACTGAACTAATAGTCATACTGACTAATTCGAAGTAACTATTTGCTACATCTTTCCTTACTTGAAGTTTCTGCTCTTCGTAACGCATCACATTTGACGTATTTCATCGAAGTTCTAACAGAAAATTTTTCAAATTGATGCGATGAGCTCCGATGAGCATCTCTGAGGATTGAACAGGCAGCGATGGTTGCAAATCAACAAGCACACGTAACCTCATTGGTTCTTGATGCCACACCTTTAATCACGCAATCGTATACGCACTATCAGTACTATGCAAAATCATTCTACACAACGCCAACCGTCTTTCACGAAATCAAAGATGAACAAGCAAGAAAGAACTTGGAAATCTGGCAGAGCTTGGGAACCTTGAAGTTGAGACATCCCAGTACGACCTCTATCAAGAGGGTTAGTGATTTCGCCAAACTTACGGGTGATTTTTCGGTACTGAGCGCTAACGATATTCATATCATTGCATTGACGTATGAGCTCGAGGCTGAGCTGAATGGAGGTGACTGGAGGCTGAGAAAGAAGCCAGGTGATACTTTGGATGAATCAAGGAAAATTGAGAAGCAAGAAGTCGTTGCACAAAGAAGTAAGGATGACAGTAAGAAGAAAAAACGCAGAAGAGGAGGAAAGAAACAAAGAGAGAAGAGAATGGCAGCTGCTGCTAGTATGGAAACTGAAACTGTTCAAAAAGAAGGGAAATCTCTTGAAGATGAAGGGAACGGTGAGGTGAACGCCTCAAAAGAAGAGACTGTCATCGGCGAAACACAACCCTCAGTTTCGACTGATGCGTCACAGGTGGTTCTGGACCACTCCGAAGCAGGTGACACAGAGGAAGTACCAATACAACCCGAGGCTACCGCTGAGGAGAGAGAGAATGGAGTTTATTTCGAGGATGATGACGATGGAGACTGGATCACCCCTGAGAACCTTACTGAGGCTATGATTAAGGATAGCGGTGAGGACACGAGCGGCTCTGGTGTGGGCGAAGACATCATAGAATCTACTAGTCAGATCCTCAAGCTTCCTCAAAACCAAGTTGCTCTTGCAACTGGTGATTTTGCCGTTCAGAATGTTGCACTGCAGATGAACTTAAATCTCATGAACTTTATGTCTGGCTTGAGAATCAAGAAGCTACGTAACTACATGCTGAGATGTCATGCATGCTTCAGGCTTCTGCCGATCCCCAAGGACGGAGTTTCCAAACATTTCTGCCCTTCATGTGGTGGCTACTCTACTTTGATGAGATGTGCAGTTTCGGTGGACGCTACCACCGGGGAAGTTACACCACATCTCAAAGCTAACTTCCAGTGGAACAACAGAGGTAACCGCTATTCGCTGGCCAGCCCATTGTCCAAAAACTCCCAGAAGAAGTTCGGAAAGAAAGGTTTCGTACACACCAAACATCCTCAGGACGTGGTGATTCTCAGGGAAGACCAAAAGGAATACGAAAAAGCAGTGAAACAAGAGGACTGGACAAGGAGGCACAATGAAAAGGTGCTTAACAACTGGATCGGTGGTGGATCGGCAGACAACTATATCTCCCCATTTGCCATTTCCGGATTAAAGCACCATTCTGTTCGGGTGGGACGTGGTCGTCACATCAATAGCTCGAAGAAAAGGAAATAGAAGTATTACTTAGATGTAAATTAGATAGTAAGCCATATTCTTGGTGGTCAATATCAGCGTGATCTTCACGTGTCTCATGTTACGGGAATTCTTCTAATTTTTTCCTTCACTTCAAATTTGAATCAGTTTCGATTTTCGATTGCTAACAAGCAGTCATATTAACCAAGGAGTAATTGTAGTGACAGAATGGGTGTTCAGCAAACAAGCAATTCAAAATCACCTGGTATCATTTCACCGAAATTTTCGAACATTACCAAGAAACCGAATCCGGATGGCTCAATGACTCCTTCGGCAGGCGTGGGCACGGCTGTGGGATCCCCCGTTTTGCAAAATGCCAGCAGCCCCACAGCGGCGGCTACAAAGTCTATTATGAATGTAAGTGGGACTTCTGGAGCTGTAGTAAGTAACACCCCTGAACCAGGTTTAAAACGAGTCCCTACGGTGACTTTCAGTGACTCAAGACATGTTACGTTGAAGCAGCAAGCGGTAACCAATGCCGCTGCTAACCCTGGTAAAGCGGCTAATGGAGAGGAAGCTGAAAAGGTAAGCATTACGAGTCCCAAGATTAAGGCTACTTCGCCTACTATGAGCTCAGTATCTGGCGTGAGGAATCCTTCACCGCCTCCACTTGCTACTTCGGAGCCTGGTACCCAAGCTCATCCCAGATCCGCATCTCCCGGGGTTTCCGCGCGGCCAGAGGGAAAGAAAAATATCATATCCAAACTACTGCATTCAGCAGATATATTACATCACAATAGTGACCATTCGTCTACAGTTTCACCAGTCGTGAGTGAGAGCGAGTCAAAGAAAGACGACTCCGAAGGGCATGCTCATTTTTATGTGGACGATGCTCTGCATTCCCCAGGATTCAGATCAAGATCCAATAGTCTAAGTCCCATGCCCCAGGGACAGGGGGCATCGCCAATTTTGCTCAGTGAGAAAAAAGTCGACGGCGTGAGGCAGGAACCCACGATAATAGAGTCACCAGATGAAGGCGCCGAAATCATGCCACTAGAAATGCTCTCCACGTCACAACAGATAGCTCCAAACATCCCAAAAAGAGAAGCTGGCAAGAACAGTGACCCCAGATTGCCTCAAGACGATGGCAAGCTGCATGTTCTTTTCGGGGCCACAGGGTCTCTGTCTGTTCTCAAGATCAAAGCTATGATCAAGAAGTTAGAGGAAATTTACGGTAGAGACAAAATATCCATTCAACTCATCCTTACTCAGGCTGCTGCGCAATTTTTCAGCCCTAGGGTAAAAAAGACAAAGAACGATATACGCCCAGGCATGGAAAAGTCTGCTGTTACTGGACCACCTTTGACAGGGGAGGGCACTGGATTCAAGATTCCTGCCCATGCCTCAGGAGCTGGAAGTCACGATTCTAGCGCATCTCTATCCTCTACTGCAAATGCCGCAGTTGCCCCCAAAATTGAACTTCCACCACATATACAAGTATGGACAGATCAAGATGAATGGGATGTGTGGAAGCAGCGTACTGATCCCGTTTTGCATATAGAGCTTCGTCGTTGGGCGGATATTCTCGTGGTGGCCCCACTCACGGCAAACACTCTCTCAAAGATCGCTCTCGGGCTTTGTGACAATCTACTGACAAGCTTGATTCGCGCCTGGAATCCAATGTTTCCCATCTTTCTAGCTCCATCGATGGTCAGTAGTAGTTACAACTCTACCATTACGAAAAGACATTTAAAGATGATAAAGGAAGAAATGCCATGGATTACGGTTTTTAAGCCATCAGAAAAGGTGATGGGTATTCACGGTGACATCGGTTTGGGCGGTATGATGGATGCCAACGAAATCGTTGACAAGGTCGTAATGAAGCTTGGAGGCTATCCGAAGGACGATGATGACGACGACGAAGACGAAGACGATGAAGATGATGATGATGATGATGAAAAGAAAGACAAGGGAGAAGTGAAAAAGCTGGACGAGGATGACGACGACGACGACGATGATGATGACGACGACGATGACGACGATGAAGAAGATGAAGAAGATGACGACGACGACGACGACGACGACGACGACGACGATGATGATGACTCCAACGTTCCACTAAAAAACCTGTCTTTGAAGGAAAGTATCTCGTCAGCATGAGTATCAAAGGCCTGCTACTTTTTGCACTCATACCATACACTCAAGTTTCATAACTTATAACTTATAATCTACTCACATTTAATAATAGCTTCGGCTTCTTCCGATATGTACTCGTACAATATGATGTAATATGTTAGTTTTCTTTTTTGGCGCTATAGAAATCATTAGTAATTTCAGTCATCGCCATTTTACGACTATAAAGTTATAAGTGAAATTGTCGCTATTTATTTATTGGCACTCTTGAATTCCAAGTAACATGACTCACGAGAAGTTTAGTCTGTTGCTGATACATCCTGCGGTTACTACAACGCCAGAGGTTGTTGAAAATGTGAAGAGAGGGAACATTTTGGCCGATTCCGGCGTTCTGGACCAATTTCTCATTAACAAGCTCAACGACGGCAGTGTAACTCTTGAAAAGGACAAATATGATGTGATATACTACCTGACACCTGAAAAACGTGAGGAAATCAAGTTCCCTTCGAAGCTTATCCCTGAGTTGCATGCAGCTCTCAGGACCGCCGGGAAATTTTACGGACTCAGTGATGCCTACAAAGTCGATGCGCTGGTGAACGGGTTTGATATCAAGGATTCTAATGAAGGATATCTGTGGGTTAAGAAAGAGCAACAAAAGGCAGCCCCCGTCGCGCTTAAACTGAATAGAAGCAGCACCGGCGGCGGAGGCAATGCCCTTCCTTCTTTCAAGAGGGCGTCCAAGGCGCTTCCTACTTTCCAGAAAGCACCTGGCTCGCCGCTTCCACTCTTCAAGCGGGCGGATTCACCTGTGGTGGCGATCGCAGAGGACGACCTTGACGACCTCGACGACGAAGATGACTCCGACGAAATCGCGGCGGCGAAATCTCGGTTTTTCGACGACGTGGGCGAGCAGGACTCCTCGGAGTCCATCGACGAGGACGACTTGGTAGAGGACGGCCAAAACGCAGAGATCACACTAGTAACATGTGAGAAAACCAAGACCAGAAGGAGAAAGGCATGCAAGGATTGCTCCTGTGGCTTGAAGGAGCAGGAAGAGCAGGAAATGGACGCTCTCCGCAACGCTCAGGATCGCGTGCTTGGCAACGCCGTCAAGTTCGACGAGCAGGAGCTGACTGAAGTCGACTTTACCATCCAGGGTAAGAAAGTCGGTGGATGTGGCTCGTGCGCACTGGGCGACGCCTTCAGGTGTTCCGGTTGCCCTTACCTGGGACTACCTGCCTTCAAACCAGGCCAACCTATCAACCTAAATAGCATTTCAGATGACTTGTAAATCCCGTCGCCCATTTTCTCGTTATCCTAGTATATATTTCGACTCCTGACGGAACGCCGAATTTTTTATTTAGTAATTTACATCATGGGAAAACTCTTGTTCCTCGAGCCTGCAGCAGCCTTGACACTCCAAACTTTAGTGCGAACTTATAAAACACGCTAAGAGCCGCGCACGCTAAACGGGAGCATATCTCCCAATAACAATCCCGCTAATAATCCCTAACCCCCTACAGCATTCACTCCCACACTCCTCGGTCGGTACCATTTTCACCTTTATGGTTCTTATCGGGATCAAGTTATCAAAGGAAAGGAACCGTTCACGTGATGTTCCAAAAGAAACCTCGCTAAAAAAAGCAAAGCCGTTCCGCAAGACCTAGGAGTCATATAAATACGCCACCGTTGTTCAGGGGCGATAGTTGCAGGCGTCTTTCTCACCCAAGCGGCGTTCAGCGTAAGCTTTACCAACCACTTACACTTGGGCTATTTTAAAACAGTTTCAGAATGTCAGAAGTAACAGAAAAGCTAATAGGGGAGAACGATTTGAACAATGCGACGAATAACGTCGCAGGCGGAAACTCGGCAAGCCGTGTGTCAAAGAAGGCGTGTCCAAAACGGAAGAAGAAGGACCGGTGTTACTTTGAGAAGTGTAATAGCACAGCTGTGAAGTTTATTGGGGACTGCCAATTTTGCCAGGGCCATTTTTGCTCGAAACACCGGTTGATGGAGAGCCATGCATGTCAGGGACTCAAGTCGTGTAAGGAGCAGATGCACCAGAGGAACGCCGATAAATTGGCTGCTGAGCAGACAATCGTTCCTAAAATTCAGATTTGACTCTAGAGTTCGATTCTATAACTACTGTGTAGGACTAAGGTAGTTAAAAATGAGATAATAGGTAATAATGGAAGCAAGAGAGGCCGCAGGGCATCTGGTTCTTCTGTGGATTGTTCTCGCCGTGGATTCAGTGCGCAGCTCGCTTTTCGAGGCACGATCGCGCTCTGGTAACTTTTAATCGAAGGCTGTCGTCGCTTCGGAGGAACTCTGCGCGTCCTCATGGTTTTACAAGCAAGATGTGCAGCGTTTATTCTCCAGCAAGCATGGAAATATAGTAAACGTGGCTATCACTTCGTTTCAAGAGTTTGCATGGGCTACCACGAAGCATGCAATCAGGCGTACTAGTACGAACGAGTTTATCTGTTAACGTGAGGACACTTAAAAGCCTTTGCAATAGAATGCGTAATGTTTTATAAGTATGTAATCTGCTTAGCGGGAGGCTGGGCTCCTGGATTTGGGCTGGTTATATAAATCCCTCGTTTCCGTGAACGCATTCAGCCGCACCTTCTTTTTTATCTAGAGATTAATGAAAACATGCCTCACCTCGAACTTTTTCGCAGGAAAATCCTTATCGTTCCACAAATTTGAGGTGATATGATCGATCAAGGGCTGGTCAAACCTTTAGCGCTTGACGCACTGCCTCGAGTACGTTATTGGTGATCATGGTAGGTACGCAAGGCAAACGATCACCGTCCCGGTAGACACCCGTCTTAACTAGACAACTACTCCAGCCGTAGCGATGTGCTCCAATGATGTCACTCGCAGGGTTATCCCCAACCATGAAAACTTCTTTAAACGGAGAGCTCGTGGGCTCCTCGCCCAAAGAAGGGAGTAACTGGTCGGTAACATTGGTCTTACCATCCAACAGCTTTTGTCTCCAGTCTATCAAAATATGATGGGCAAAATCGTATGTAACTTTCGTAGGTTTTCCGATGACCACATTTTCGAGCGGTTTTCCATCATTTAAGCTTGCATACATTGTTTCAATAATTATGCGAAATGCACCTTGCCCGAATCGATTAAGTGTGTACTGATTTGCCCATAACAAATCATTGTTAGAAAAATAAATCGGGATCGAAGGTTTACTTTGATTCTCTTTCCTTAGTGTATTCAAATACCCATCTTGGCAGTTCAAAACATCGCTTATAATTTGTATATCTGCACCCCAGTCTCGTGGATCGTTGAATACTAGTACTGCGTCAATTGGAGTTTTATCCAAATTTGGAATTTCCTCAGAAAGCTCAAGCAGCCGCTCATCTGTCGTTCCAGAAAATGGCGCAATGCTCCTGTTGTATCTTAAAATGTCCATAGGATGTATCACTTCTTTGAAACCGTATGTCTTCGCAACATCCTTGACCGTGGGAGATCCTACAGCAAGAATCTTGCTATATTTCGGAACGAGTGTCTTGAAAGGAGTATGACTTTGGACAATTTGCAGTGGAGAAATTGGAACGTCCAGCGCCTTCGAAATAAATTCCGTTCTTTGGTTCTCCAATGTACCTCCACCATTTGTAAGTAAAATAAAAGGAACTTTATGGTGTTGTAATAGTTTCAGGGCTTCCGAGGCACCTGGAATAGGCGTTTTACTTCTTAACAAAACACCATCGATGTCGAAAGCGAATCCAACATCTGAATGTATAAACCTGATTGAGCGTAACCTATTTCTTAACACCGGCTTGCATCTTGACAGCATTTTTAGGACAACCTCGAAATACTGAGTGTTGTGGCGGGCTTTTTTTTTTGGCAAGAATTCTTCACCAGAATTAATCATCTACGGAGATTCCTTGGCTAATACCTATTTTTCGGATATGGTAAGCTCTCATCTTGGGCCATACACATATCTTGTAGTTTGCAGAGCCTTCTTTTTATCAATAAAATCTTTTATATTACACATTAAATTCTTGCGAATATATAAATACTATAACTTAAATATGATATGCAGATGCGAGCTTAGTAAGGGCAACATTGTGCTGATCGTAATGGTATCCTTCTTCAATGTAAAACTTTCTAGTGTCATTGAACCTCACCTTTTCCTCACTCAATAGTGCAGTAACTGATCTTCCCACAACCAAGAGCCCAGGTGGACGAGAGCCAATTTCTTCTACAACCTCAGGCACATATTTCAAAGAAGTCCTGGTAATTCTTTGATCGGGGCAAGATGCACGTTCTATAATCGCAGCAGGGACTTCTGGATCCCAGCCCTTGCTCAGTAACGCTTCAATGAGCACACTCGATCTATGCAAGGCCATCAAAAATACAGTTGTGCGTGTTGAAACAAACTCCGGGATATCTGGCAAAGCTCCCTTTCTTCCAGTACCAGTGCAAATCAAGACTTGATCGGCAACATCTCTCTGAGTGGCTGGGATTTTTGAAACCACAGTGGAAGTTAATGCGGAGCTTAAACCAGGTAAAACCTCAGGTTCGAAACCATGCTGTGAAAAAAACAAGTACTCTTCACCGCCGCGACCGAAAATATAAGGATCGCCTTGCTTCAAACGGACAACCCTCTTACCATCTTTAAGACCTGCTAAACCTTTCTCTAAAAGCTCATTCTGCGCCCTCTCTGCATTTCCAGGAAACTTCCTTGCGATGAAAGTCTCCGTTCCCGATGGAATCAATTGCAATACCTCTTCTGGTACAAGCTTATCAGCTAGCACCAAATCTGCTGTCTTGATCTCATGCAAAGCACCCAAAGTTAGCATGGAAATAGATCCAGGCCCACTACCAACTAGAGCTATTCTGCCCTTTTCATTTGAAATCTTTAGAACATCATCCTTTGAGACTGCTACGGCAGGGACAGCTGGCGTGTTCTCTTCAGATGTATCACCTCTAGCTTTATGATCGGGTTGTGCAGAGGACTGTTTAGAGGACGACGCATTTTTCTCCGCATATTCGGACCGATAGCTATCCGCTAACTGGTCAATCGATACGTCCGCAAGCGTACTGAGAGGGTAATACTGCATAATCTGTGATAACCATCTGGTTCTCTTTAGCTTTTGTTCTTTCTCGGTCATACTGAATTCATAAACAAGTTTGTTGAGCTTTTGACTGTCCCAAACGTCTTCGTCGACTCCGTAACCAAGTTCTTGCAAATCGCTATTCTGGTGATATGTCGTAATCAATTCTGTGTGGTCTTCGTTGATGATGCGATCTCTCAATTGTCCCATATTAGTGACTGCCTTTGAAATGTTACTGGGTAGCCTGGCGACAATTTCCCTTTTGATGCGGTTAGCTAGCAGACAACCTTGACCATTAGTTGTCACTGCAATTTGCAGTCCACTTTTCTCTGGATCAGAGTAGGTCGAGAGCGGAGAGAAGGTAGACATTTCAGGTCTCTGTGAGGTATTTATGGGGATTCGTAGCTTCAAGCACTGCTTGAAAATGTCCTGCATTAACAAAGCCTCTTCTTGTGGGAGATTCACAAATACTTTATCCACGATTCCTCCCACGAACTGACGACCCAAAGTCGTAAGATCTTGCAACGCAAATGGCTTCAAAAAAACACAAACACGCTCATCACCGTAAAAATGTTCTTGGATCTTTTTAAAGTCGTTCTCAGAGCACATATTAACGACTTTGGCTTGCGCTCCGCTTGCAATCACTGCCTTGACACGGGAAATGGTGGACCCCAAAGACTGTGTGCCCACAAGCAAATGGACTTCGCCCGCGCAGTTCAATGAAGTAATGAATGGCGTATTGTAAATCATTCTGGACTTGGACGATGCCATGTTACTCATTGAGCTCGACAGAAAGCGCTCACCATATTATATACATTCATCTTCATCTGCAGTTAATTCAGAGCCACAACTGTGAAAGAGTGTTTGAGTGTCATGTGACCTTGTATTCAAAATAACGATCACATGCTCATTTTTTCAGCATTTTCTTTTTCGTAGTGACAGCATCTGATGATTTCAGAGCGATGCCCATATATTGAAGAATCTCGTTTAGCTTCCGTTACTTTGTAGAATCACTACCATCTTAATCGCTAGGAACAAAATGGCGAAAAGAACTTTGGGTTTGGGTAAGCAAAATAAGAACCAAAAGAAGCAGAAAGTCAGCGACAAATCAACTCCTGCTGGAAGTCCAACGCCCGATGTGTCTCCAGCGAACCAGATTATTGTCGAGGTTGACGAGGACAAAGATCCAGAAGATGAACTTGTACAATTGAAAGGTTTGTGGCGTACTTATTTTGACTCTGATCGTGACGACGAGTTAGTGCTTAATGGTATTGTACATGAGTGTGACAGGCTGCTGCGTAGCAGCAATGAAGATGCGTCATTGAAGCTGAACGACGAATTTCACGCCTTGTATGCACTTGCCTTGAGCGAATTGACCATTTTCAAGGCTGGAGAAGAGGAGGAAGAGTCCGCCGAACCCAAGAATGTTGAAACTGTGACTCAGTTTTTTGACACCGCCCTGGAGAGATGCAACTTGGGTCTTGCTGCATTTGCCGACTCGTCGCTATTAAAGTTGGTGGCCGCCAAAATCCTATTACAGCGGATCCCTCTTGAATACATCTCTCATCTCAAAGTCGCAGATAAGAACGCAGATGAATTGAAGCTTGATCTAAAGCTCAAAGAGGCAAAATCCGACTTCTGTATCTGCAGCAACCATTTGGAACTTACATTCGAAGTATTGCAGCTTTTTGATGATTTACTAGACATTGTTGAAAACTTTGGTCATGAAGATGATATCGACGAAGGCTTAGATAGCGATGCCGAGGAAGAACTCGAGATGGTTAAACTTTCCCACAAACATCCACTTTATAAGATCCAGAAGCATCTAAATGATAACTACGCCTGGTTACGCGAGCAATTCCAATCCTTATTTAAAGAGTTAAAAAAGCCCGAGGGTCAGGACGAAGAAGTGATTTCCAAAACACCAGAATTGAAGCTTTACCACCCGGTCGCCAGAAGACTGGGACAGCTTTACTTGAAGGCTGCTGAGCATCCATCACAAATTTTTTTGACATTGGCTTATGATAACGAAGAGGGTCAAAAGAAGATCGATAATCTGACTGAGAAAGAAGCTCAAAAAGAGGCGTTAAGCTTAACTTCCAAAGCTGTCGAATATCTTGAAGAAGCTCGTGTTGAACACGATCCCCAAACGTGGGCTGATGTGGCCGAAGCTGTAATTGATTTGGGTAATTTATACGATGCTGGATCAAGTGATCAAGAAAAGTGCTACAAAAAAGCTGAGAAGATATTAACGAAAGCTAATAAGGCTACTCATGGCAAATATGAAGACATCTTAAATAACCTTCTAGATGGAGAATAGACTTGTGTATGTATAATACTTGTTTCATATCACATGTAACGATTAAGATGAATTCTTGAAAGAGACTGTAGGATTGCTTGAAGACTGCAACTCAATCGTAAGAGCTTACACTGTTACGATGAGCAGTGGATCTGGAAATGTTCAGAATGGTCCTGCCGTCAGTACGAGCTCCAAGAAGTCTTTGAGGGTTTTCAGTGACGATATATGGAAGAACAAGACTGCCAAGATAAATGCAGAGCTCTTCACACTAACATACGGATCGATTGTTTCTCAATTATGTACTGACTTTCAAAGAGATTTCAATAAAGTCAATGATCAACTGTTTGCAATGGGATATAATATAGGGCTACGCTTAATTGAAGATTTCCTTGCAAGAACTGCGCTTCCCAGATGCGATACACTAGTAAAGACAAGCGAAGTTATCAGTAAGTGTGCGTTCAAGATATTCCTGAATATGACACCTCAGGTTTCAAACTGGTCCAACAATAAAGATGTATTTTCTCTCATCCTTGATGAAAACCCGCTATCAGACTTTGTGGAATTACCAATGGATGCTTCTAAAGAGCTTTGGTATTCAAACATCCTGTGTGGAGTGTTAAAAGGCGCTATGGAAATGGTACAGCTTGATTGTGATGTATGGTTTGTTAGTGATGTACTAAGAGGTGATCAGCATTCTGAAATTCGTGTCAAACTCAATAGAATATTGAAGGATGAAATCCCCGCTGGAGAAGATTAAATTGACAAAATACTCGAACAGTGTGCCCTATGTATGCAATATACTCATAAAATAAAAAATCTTCTTTAACTCCTTAATCACTTTTTTCAAGTTCTCTCTTCTGCCTTACGAGATCAGAGATTGAAGTAGTGTTCTTATGTTCATCCACTTCGATCGTGTCTTGTCCGTCAAAAACCCCTTCAGCCAGAATAGGAATGTCAGATAGAGATCCGGCGGAATTGACTTTAGACAACGCGTTGGATAACTGCGATGCCATTGAGTGAATGGATGAGGAACGACTGCGTGGATGCTTAAACTCGTCATCTGTGTCTTCTTCGTCTTCCGTATTTTCCTCCACTTTCTTTTGCGTTTTGATGAATTTCCCAAAGTCTGGGAATACTGTAGGACCGAGGTCGTTACAAACCTGAGTAACTTCTGTACTCAAGTCTTTTCTCATTTTTTGTAGGTCTTCGAGTTTCCGCTGTGGATACACCATAGATACAACCAAAGGTGGAAGCGATTTGAAAAGATCCATGCCCATTTCACCGGTTTTGAAACTAGAATAAGTAGCAGTTACCAACAACGCATAAAAATAGACAAAAAGAACAAAGAACTGACAGTATTTTGTGTGCGGTATCCACATGAACTTAAACCAATTGGGATGGTGAAGGGTTAAAAAGCATAATATCAAAGAATAGGTCACATAGAGGGTTGGAGCCATGACCAAAGCGACCACCAGCTTCCAAGTCGCAAGTAAATCGACACCTTTGATCTTCACAACCGACTTTCTGAGCCCTTCTTCGGCCTTCTTTTTGGAGTAATAGTGGCAAGTAACGAAAATAGGAGTGAAGAGGATAGTTCCCGGTAGTGACAGTAAAGCATAAATGTAAATTTGAGCTAAACGGGAACAGAGGGTTAACATAGAATTCCAGACACCTCCATTAGGAGTTAATCTCATGACTTGATGGTCTTTTAAGCCCAAAGAATATAATCTTGAGTTGTAATCTTGTACCATTCGCTTCAAATTTTGAATGCGTGGATCGTCTCTATACTTTGAATACCCAATCAACAACCTTCTATTCATTTCTACTACGAGCGGTAGAGGTAAGTGTTGACTATCTTTTTCTGGGTATGCGGGGCGATACAGTCTTCTAGCTGCTTGGATGGTCATCAGCGTATCATAATCGGGAGCATTTACTGTAACTGCATAAAGAGCTTGTGTGATTTGGTCCAGAAGTTTAGACGTGGTTTCACGAGGATTTTCTTCATATTTTCTACCCATTTCGCCATCAACTACTATAGGTTCGCCAAATTCCAAAACTGCTCTAGACCGGAACTTGTTACGGTGGAAATAGTTAATACCACATGGGACCACAGAAACCTTTATTTTATGATCCGCAGCTGCTGCGCCGAGTGCCATAATTGCCACACCTGCCTTAATTGGGAGAAGGGATGGTCTGTCATGGGAGCCGCCCTCTGGGAAAATTCCTACGCAACCGCCGGTGTGGAGATGATTGAACACGTTCTGAAAAACTTCAGCATTATCAATTTTGGGGGCATACTTGAATGAAGTGCCATGCGTGAGCAATTCGTGTATTTCTGGTGAACTTTTGAAAGGCTTGCTCAAACGAATGGTTTCGTCATCCACAATTTCCTTGATTTGAGCGTTACCAAGATAGTTGGGCAGTCCTAAAAGTGACTTGGAGGTGAAAGATGTTTTGAAGTTGGGTCCATCATGGCTTTTCACGCCATTAGCACCATCGACTGCCACAACACGGCCCTTAATAATGGTGGGGTCATTCCAATCTGGGACGTAAATCTGAATTGCTGGATCCACAGGCTTGAGGTTGTCCTGGGCCCGGGGCACAGGAATCCCACCAGTGGCTTTACTAAAAATCGAAATAAACCTCTTGCGGTAACTGGACTCGGCGGTCACCAGGCAAGCTTGTCTGGAGCGGTTGCCCTTGAGTTTTCTCACTTGGCTCATGACCAGTGACGCATCTACAAATTGGTTGGCATGTGGAGCACACACTAGAATTGTAGGCGTGCCCTGGGGCGGCATATAGTCACTTCCACGAACCTTGACTTCACGGAAGAAAATGGTGAAGATTACGTTGAACACGAACACCGCGACGTCGTAGATCCAAGTCGCTAGTGTATAGGTATCGCCATTATACGGATTATAGTATTTCTCACTCTTGGGGATGTGTGCACCCATTGAAGCAACACTTTATGAGCAAAGTTATGTGGGAATTGAGCACTTCCAGGACTATGTTGTAGAACAAGCACCCTATCAGAACTGAGCAAACCTGGGGAGGGCGGGAACTTCCATGCGGTCACGTGTGGGAGCGGCCTGATCTTGGATGCACTCTATACGACGCAGATCTCTCTAAACGTATGGCCGGGTAAGCATCTCGCTTCTTTCCCAACTTTTTCGGCCCCAGCCCTGAAGGGAGGGTAACTACATCGTTCAGCTGTGTTGTATTTTTCGCGGATAGTCTTCGTTTGGCGCATTGTCCTTGAATAAACGAACATTGCAGAGTACAATCGACATATAATAGGAGCGGACCACATCCACTTCTGCTTTCCCAGCTGTAATTGTCGAAATTTATTGTTATTTTCTAGTTATAAGGCTATATCGACCTTATATTAACACCAACATGGCTTCTATTGGTACCTGACCTCGTTGTACAAGGAGGGAGAAATCCAACCTCAGATTTGAGGCTCTCTCTTAGCCGCCCAAGGAAGGAGTATTGCATTTGTCCCTTTGAACGAAAAGTATTTTCCGTTTTCAGTGATTTATTATTTCGTTAATGGTGATGGATTTCTGTTCACGTGCCTTTAAAGTTCAGTATCCCTTTTTTGCAATTACGGTAACTGATCGCGATTAGGGTAACTCCTCGCGACTACTATAACTCGGCTTTAAGCGGACACCAGCGAAATTGTCAGCAGACGACGGAACCTGGATGCACTAAAAGGCACGAGGGCACAGCTCGGTTTAACCGCCCGAAAAATCTTACGGCCGTTGCGGCGGTCAATAGCTCGGACATCACAGGCTCCACGAAATAGTGGCTCAGATGGAGTAGTGCGTCTTTTCTGCGTTTTGCTCGTGCTGCGTATATTTGTGTGCAGTAGCTTTACTGAATCTGTAAAGAGTAGCTCGGGGTCGATGATTATATGCTAAGCCCGGCCCCGAACTAACCGCATCATCTGGGAATCGTCATGAATGCTCTGGGGGTGATTAAAATAACAAGGACACAAGCTGCCCTTGAACTGTTTAAAATACGTGAAATTTTGAAGTTGGATCTTGCAGCAGATTTAGGTTGAGCACAGGAAAAAATTTGCAAAAGAGAACCTAATGCTAAGTGCGAAGTTTCCTCAATCCGAGGTCCCCGCCTCGGAGTCCTTCTATTCAGGAATGGTGCCGAATCTGCGGTTCAACATAACCATGGCAGTGATATTTGGAATACTATGGTTGTTCCATGTTGTGATGGGGGTGTGGACAAAACAGTATTGGTTCTGGGTAGCATTCACGTGTGCATGTACTTTGGAGGTTCTTGGTTATGTAGGAAGAGCACTCTCTCACAACGATGTTATGAACATGAATGATTTTTTGCTACAAATTATCTGTTTGACAATTGCGCCTGTGTTCACCATGGGTGGAATTTACTACCAGCTAGCGAAGCTGATTGAAATATACGGTCACAAGTTTGCCTTGCTATCGTCTCCAATGGCTTATTCCTACATTTTTATCTGCTGTGACATTGTGTCTCTTGTGGTACAAGCTGTAGGTGGTGGTATGGCTGGTATGGCAGTAAGCCAACACACAAATGGGGCTGAAGGTGACCACATTTTTGTTGCAGGTTTGGCAATCCAGGTTGCTTCGATGAGCATTTTTCTGTTCCTGTGGTTCCATTTGCTTTACAAGATATTCATTGAGACTCGGATGAAGCATGTGGGTGCCCAAAAGTTTTCTTGGGCCTTACTGAAGATCTCACAAGACGAGATCGATTACATGTACAGACCAAAGTACGAGTTTTTGCGTCGCAACCCTCGTCGCTGGACTTTCCATTGGTTCACATTGGCGTTGACGGCTGCTGTGATCTTTGTATTTGTGCGTTGTATTTACAGAGTCATCGAACTAGCTGAGGGTTGGTCTGGCTACCTGATCACCCACGAGTGGTATTTCATCATTCTAGATGCTGTTATGATGTCTTGTGCCACACTTATTTTGAGTTTTTTCCATCCTGGCTTTGCCTTTGAGGGCCGCAAGGTATCTATCAAAATCACAAATGAGAAGAAGGCAATCGAGAACGAAGAACCTTCATCCTCCGCCACTTCTTCTATTGCCGATCAAGGTTCCAGATATTCTATGAAGCCTGAAAATCAAGTATAGACTCGGTTACTTTTGTCTCTTCAGCATCAGAGCTTATAAGGGAATCACTCACATGGAATCCCTTTCTTTTTTCACAACTTTAATATTCTGAGGGAAAACTTCACATGCCTCACCTAGGATGTGACGTCTTCGCTATCATCGAGTAAGGTAAAAGGTTACTTGTGAGGCGTTCATATAGATGACGACTTCACCGATTCCGATCAATCAATATGGGTACGGTTCAATGGGGTTTATATTGAACTCGTTGTAAAATCTGGCAATTTTGCTACCAACTTTTTGTCCTTATCCGGGATAGATTCATCGACATATGGAAAGTAGCACTTTAGAGTAGTGGTAACCGGTTTTAAAAAACACAGGTTTTTACCCTTCAAGAACCGCAATACTGGATTTATTAATTTCATATTTTATTGAGGTATTAAGAATATATAGCTTTACTTAGAATTATTAATTCGGTATAGAGATTTCAATAGCTGGATTTAGGGCGCTTTCTATGAGATGTGCTTGCCTTTCTCCGGCTTGTAAAGGTGAAATAATCAAACGAATGCAGTGCGATGCAAGTTGAGTAGTGTTTCAAATTAAGTGTATGTCGATCAAAACTACCTGACATCAATCCAAATCTTGAACTTCGAGGAATAACCTCGAAGAAATTTCTGTTAGCCGTGAAGGACAGTGATATTGCTTGTAGACAGTTGCCCTGCCTGGATCTCTAAGTGATTGGCGCCCAAAATTTTAGCACTTTGTTCCAAATCAGTCCAATCTTTTGCAAAATCGTTCAAAGATTCGACCTGGCATACTTTCATTCCATCATTTATTACCCCATATAAATGTTTTACTTGCGAGAAATCTGAAACAAATGTCGTTGGCTCTGTTGCGCTCAATATGTCGTTAGGTCCCAAGACGTTACTTGGCTGGTAAGAACTACCTTTTCCGCAGAGATCCTTAAAAGCTTGCAACAGGCTAGGTTTCCTACTTTGGGATAAATCCATGGCAATAAGTTTGTGTTCAGGAACACATTGCTTTAGAATGAAAAACAGTTGGACAAGTCTAGATGGAATATACGTGTCACTCAGACCGCTTTTGGTCAGAGGTTCTTTCAAAAGTTCATACGTCAACTGACACCAGTAATCCATTTGTGAATCAAAGCGTCGCGAGCGTGTGCTATCTTGTTCAATATTCACATAGCATTGTTTCCATAGGGTGTCTGTCTTCAAAATATAGTCATGCGATAGATGTCTTATCACGTCATTTATCATGAGAACATAAACAGGATCTTCAATGAAGAGGGAAGAATTCGCAGAGAGCGCACCATGTTTTATAACCCTTATTTTTTTATCAGGTATTTTGATCTCTTTAGTTTCGTCATAGAGAGGTACCAGAAAGCAGTTTATCCTTTGATAAAGGTCGTCGGGAGCTGTTTCCTTGAGGAATTTCACGATGCTGCGCGTAATTCTCAATGATTGATGGAAATCGGTATACATAGTGACAACATTGAGATCGTAGTAGGGATAAGAATTTAATTTATAGTCAACTAATAGCCATCTTGCAAGGCAGTGTGATAAAAGTGGTTCGAATAATGATAAAGAAGGCAAACTATAGGGCCTGTACCTTGGTTTGGGAGCAAAAAAGTTGTTATGACGAGAATTTTGAATGCTAACCCATTCAACAAAATCTCTCAAAGGAACGGTGGCCTCGGTACCCGGCCGTGGTAAGCCTTGCAAAAGTAATTGCGTTGTATCCAAAAGCGGAAGCGAATGTTGATAACGGATACCCAATTGCTTAAATGCACACATCTTTCGGATTTTAAGGACACCGATCATATGAAGTGTACCAAATTTGTAGACAAAAAATTCTTCTTATACTTCACAGTTTTGTCGAGAGAGCATCAGTGTTTATCTGATCGTTGTTCCTGTATTGGCTATATCTCAATCAGGGAAGATCAGATTCATATTTTTAAAGCTGCACGTGATCCACTTGAGTTTGGTTTGTATAGAAAATTTTCTTGAAATATCACTTATCTGATGTTCAACATTAGAATACCAGGTAATTTGGAAGTGGAAGTCATATTATGGGTGTTCCGTCATTTTTTAGATGGCTTTCAAGAAAGTACCCAAAGATTATTTCCCCAGTATTGGAGGAAACTCCTCAGGTCGTTGATGGTGTTACGCTTCCAGTAGAGTACGCCGCGCCAAACCCAAATGGGGAACTGGACAACTTATATTTGGACATGAATGGTATTGTTCATCCATGCTCACATCCAGAAAATAAGCCTCCTCCGGAGACAGAGGACGAGATGCTGCTCGCCGTGTTTGAATATACGAATCGTGTTTTAAACATGGCAAGGCCTCGCAAAGTGCTAATGATAGCTGTTGATGGTGTTGCCCCGCGTGCAAAGATGAATCAGCAGAGAGCACGTAGATTCAGAAGTGCAAGAGATGCTCAAATACAAAATGAAGAGCGTGAAAGACTGCTAATGGAACGTGAAGAGTATGGTGAGATTATCGATGACAGCGTGAAGAATAAGAAGACTTGGGACAGTAACGCCATTACCCCAGGTACGCCCTTCATGGACAAGTTAGCCTCTGCTTTAAGATACTGGACGAGTTTCAAGCTTGCTACTGATCCAGGGTGGAAAAATCTGCAAGTAATTATCAGTGATGCCACCGTTCCAGGTGAAGGTGAACATAAGATAATGAATTTTATTAGAAGTCAGAGATCCGATCCTCAGTATAACCCTAATACTAAGCACTGTATTTATGGTTTAGATGCTGATTTAATTTTCCTCGGATTGGCAACTCATGAACCCCACTTTAAGATTCTTCGAGAAGATGTATTCGCACAAGACAACCGTAGAAGACATCGTATACAGGACACTCTGAATATGACAGAAGAAGAAAAACAGGAGCTATCAAAACAGGATTCCGAGAAGCCGTTTTTATGGCTGCATATAAGTGTTCTGAGAGAATATCTAGCAGTCGAACTCTTCGTTCCACGGCTCGCGTTTGATTTTGATTTAGAAAGAGCGATCGACGATTGGGTATTCATGTGTTTCTTTTGTGGTAACGATTTTTTGCCACACTTACCATCTTTAGATGTCAGAGAGAATAGTATTGACATATTGGTCGACATTTGGAAGACAGTTTTACCACGATTCAAGACATACATGACATGCGATGGTGTTTTAAACCTCGAGTCTGTTGAATTACTTTTAGAGCAACTGGGTATACGGGAACCGGAAACTTTCAAGGGCCGGTATGTTCAAGAAATTCGTAAGCAAGAAGCAGCTAAGAGACGCAAGATGTTGAAAAATAGCAATGTTACGAAAGGCAAGAATGACAAGAACTTTACAGTTCCGCTTGAAAATATTCCTCTTTATGATGTTGGTGGGAATGCGGCGAAAGGGTCTTTGAATTTATCCAATAGCGATTTTGTGAAACTTAGGAAAGAAATGAATCTTGCCAATGAGGGTGATAAAAACTCAGCTAATGCATTGAAAACTCAAAGTGAGCAAAATAAGAAAATAGTGGAAGAATTTTCCCCTGAGGAGTTGAGCAACGCAGTAGAAATTGCTAATAAAGCTAACTTTAGTGCAGCCGCTCTCATGAGACAAAAAATACTTGCCAAGAAACGTAAGCTCGATAAGGAAGAAGAGGACGCGAAGATTAAACAAGAGAAAATGTCTCAGAAACTTGAAGAAGCAAATGAGACAACTGCAGTTAAAGAGGAAGCTATAGAGGACAGCGCAGACGATAATTCATTGAAGCGAAAGCATGAGGATACAGAAGAAGGTTCTGAAGACACCACTGGGACAGAAATGGGAAATGAAGAAAGTGACAGTAAAACTCCTGTTCAAGTTGTGCATACTGGTAACGGTGTTAGTGGGGTAATAGACACTGATGAAGAAGTCAAATTATATGAACCTGGCTATCATGATAGATATTATGTTGCCAAGTTTCATGTCTCTCAAGATGAAATTGCTCGTTTACAGAAAGATGTGGTCCGCTGTTACATAGAGGGGGTTTCCTGGGTTTTGCTTTATTATTATCAGGGCTGTGCCTCGTGGAATTGGTATTACCCTTATCACTATGCGCCTTTTGCATCTGACTTCAAGGGTATCAAGGATATTCATGTTGAATTCGAGAAAGGGCAACCATTTCTACCATATGAACAATTGATGAGTGTTTTGCCAGCCGCCTCAGGTCACAATTTACCGCAAGTTTTCAGACCATTGATGAGTGAACCTGATTCAGAAATTATTGATTTCTATCCTGTTGAATTCCCTATTGATATGAATGGTAAGAAGATGTCTTGGCAGGGAATTGCTCTCCTTCCATTCATAGATGAGCAAAGACTTCTCAAGGTTGTGCGAAACCAATATCAATTTCTAACTGAGGATGAAAAGAGACGTAATATGCGAAAGGATGAGGTTCTTCTGATTAGTAGCAAAAACCCTAATTATGAAAAGTTTGCTTCTCAGCTTTATGGCGATAGGCCCGTGGAAGTCGTTAAATTTCAACACTTCAAGAGCGGATTATCTGGAGAAGCCTTTAAAGACAAAGAAGGTTTTACCTTGAACAGTAAGCTCAGCAGTCCGGTGAATGGAGGGAGTTTGCCTGATCTGAGCACCAATCTATTCCTCAAAGTGGGGTACCAGATGCCAATTCCTCCCAGTCAAAGTAAAGCATTGATTTTAAATGGGTTCATTCCCTCCCAGCCCATGTTGACGCCACAAGACAGAGACGCTATCATTTACAAATACAATCAACGATGGAATGCGATGGACATAAAGAACAATATAGTTCCGGTGGGCCCTTGTACGTCAACCCAATATCAACCTCGTATTGGGGGTTATAAGGCGTTCCTTTTCCACCAGCAGGTGCAAAACCAACCGTATGCCAACGCACCCGTGAATATGAATACTAATTCTTATGGTCAATCTCACCCACATGTTCATTCTCATTCTTATGGGAACTCGCGTTATGGAAATTCTACCCAGAACGCAAATTCAAGATCATACGGAAATGCTCGTTCTTATCGTAAACCTCAACAAAATTATAACGCACAAAGCCGCTACTCGAGGTATTCAGGCTCAACCCGTCAACCAAACCCACGTACGGGCTATTAGAGGGATGCTAAATTCTAAGGCTGTCGTTGATAAATAATAATGGCCTTGGCCAAGAGCACTAACTGCATGATTGAATTATAATTTTAAGTAATCTTTTTGCATATCTATAATATAGAGAATCAGTAAACGCTGAATATGGTTATTAAAGTCGGAACAATTGAATCTTCATGATACTTGAAAGACGTATTTTTGTTTTTGCATTCTTTCCGAACTTAAAGTACGTATCCAGAATTTAACATTACATTATTTATTACGTTTATAACAAAAATATAAACATTCAAGTATAATCAAGACCATTCGAGTGATAAATGGTGTGTAAAATAATGGGAAGACAATTTTCCGTTTCTCTGTGACATAATGTGTTCATAATCTCCTTCATAGCATCTCGCTTTGTAAAAAACGCCACCTTTTGGTTGACTCATAAGAACATCGACGACCTCAATATTTCAACAAAGTCCGATATAGTGTAGGGGCTATCACACCACGCTCTCACCGTGGAGACCCGGGTTCGATTCCCGGTATCGGAATTTATTTTTGCATTTTATTACATATCATATGTACAAGATAATCAGCTAAGTATGCACTCTTCACACCACTCACCATCAACGATTACTATCCGATATAGTGTAGGGGCTATCACACCACGCTCTCACCGTGGAGACCCGGGTTCGATTCCCGGTATCGGAATTTATTTTTTGCTGACTCACACACTCATATTTGCAAAATATATACCTACCCATTACTTCACTCACCATCAACGGTTACTATCCGATATAGTGTAGGGGCTATCACACCACGCTCTCACCGTGGAGACCCGGGTTCGATTCCCGGTATCGGAATTTATTTTTACAACCCAATATATAGAGAGCATTTGGTACGGTAGATGGCCGGCGGTTTTGATCGGGCAGCCTTCGTCCGAAAGAGTTTTTTCCCTTCTGTTATCCGGAGGAACGGGTGTGATTCGGGACAATCTCGCCCGACCTATTTTTCCGGCCAGGCTTTTTGCAACCATTTTTTTCCTATTCACGGCAGCTTACTTCATAAAAACCCGGGGTCACGGAGCCGTCAAGGGAAAAACCCGTGGCCCTTAAGGATTCAACAGCAGCCGCAAGAACGCGGAGTGATTGCATCAAAGAAAGGGCTGTAGAAGAGGTGTTTTAGAGTTGGCACAGAAAAATGGGAAGAGTTTTTCCGGTTAGGTCCGGGACGACGCAGGTGTTATTTTTCCGCCTAGATGGAGATGCAGAGCCAACCAAAAGCGGCGTAATTGGAAAGGTACAGCGTGGGATAGTTGTCCCAGCTGGAAGTTCATTTTTCTACCTTTTTTCCGATTGGAATGTGTGGGGAGACAAAATGGCTTTTTTTTCTTAAAAGGAGGCACATATGCGCATAGCATCCGGGATTACTTCCATCTCTACCAAACTTTTCAAAAACCAAACGAAAATTTTCGTGGGGTGAATTACACAAAGATTACAATAATTCAAAGCTCAAGCTTGCAAACCTGACTTCATAAACAGGTAAAGAGATGTTCGTCTCACCTCCTCCACCAACGTCCACAAAACAGGCTTTGCCTAACTTGCTGGGCAAACGGAAGGGCCACGAGCTCTATACAGTGCCAGAGGAGCCTTCAAGTACACCATTGGTATCCTCACCACATTCGGCGCAAAAAGAGTTTGTGAACGCTCCTCCAGAATTCGCACATCGGGCACGCGATGAGATTCGAAAGCGACTCTTGAGCCGCAAAGGCGACTCACATCCGTCGGATGACCAAAGAAGCATTTCATCAGGAATGACACACAGCTCTTTCCACTCAGATGCACGGTCTGTGGCGACATCTGGTGTATCGAGCGTTTTTTCCTCTCATCCATCGATTGTCACGCAATCCAGTGCAGCCACTACCTTTATAGAAGATGACAAGCCAAGGGTCATAACTCTGCAAGAGGCCCTGCCGAAAGTCTTCTATGACATGTACACACCAGAAATACTCATGAACCCACAGAACTTACTCTGCAACGGGAGACCCAAGTTCACAAAGCGGGAACTGCTCGATTGGGACTTAAACGATATCAGATCTCTTCTGATTGTCGAGAAAATGCGCCCTGAATGGGGCACGTATCTGCCACAAGTGGTGTTTGATTCTGCGATCACTGCGACAGATTCAAAAGGACCCCAATGCGTCCCTGAGTTCAGAATTCAATTATTACCTTTGAACTCTCCTGACGAATTCATCATCCGTACATTAGTGGAATCAGATTTATATCTAGAGGCTCATCTAGACTACGATTTCAAACTCACAAACGCTAAGTACACAGTTGCAGCTGCCAGGAAAAGACACGAGCAGCTGACTGGTTTGAACGAACCAGTGATGCACCTTTCAAAGCCAGAATGGAGAAACATAATAGAAAACTACCTCCTTAACATAGCAGTGGAGGCCCAATGCAGATTTGACTTCAAGAAGAGATGCTCCGATTATAAAAAGTGGAAGCAAGAACAAATGGAAATTAAAAGACCGGACATGCCTCCACCATCAATCATACCCTCTCGAAAGCGGGAAAATTCATTACTAAAGAGAACACTTTTAAAGAACACGGCAATGAAATTAGCCGAAGACAGGCCCTGTGTCCCTCCCAAGGTATCCATCACAAAGGAAGAAAAAGCATCTCTATGGTCTCAATGTCAAGCGCAAGTGTACCAAAGGTTGGGTCTTAACTGGACTCCCGATGGTATGTAACGCTGAAGATATCTGTAGTATTTTACGACGCATTGCATATTTAGATTTAGACACTGGTTGTCTATTCTCATAACTTATCTTTTAACGACTCAAAATCATTAGACTAAAAAATTTGCTTGTGAATGTGGGCAAGATTTTTATGTTGACCGTTGTCAATTAACTTAACGTAGAAATAGCGTTCTGCGTAGTCACTTGCCTTTGTAACGATACCCGAAACACCCGTTCTAATCGTAGGAATGAGATGAGAAATGTCAGTAAACGAAAAAGAGGTGTCGAATGAAAGTAATTGAGCTTGCTTCGATCAGTTGGAATAAAATAGTAGTAACTGAATGTTTCAAGGATTGTCGCTCATGATATATAGCTTTGTGTGTTTGTGCTTTGATGTTAAGATTATTTCGTAGATTGAGATGTAGCTTACAGACCAAAATTTTTCAAAAATAACAACACCATTTAAGAGAGGCATCTCGTTACGAAAACTCGAGACATTATGGCTGGTATGATAATTTAGCAACGAAATGTAGGGAAGTGGAGTTCTACTAACTTTTAAAACTCAGACACTACCAAAAAAGCAGACGCCGCAGATCTTTTGGCCTCATTGAAGATCGAGTCCAAAAATGACCAAAGCGATCAAACAAACGTCGGTTCCAAGCCAGTGGCAGAACCAAAGAAAGAGGAAGCCAACCAGGAAGTGACTAATGCAGCATCCGAGCAGAAGAAACCTGAAGAAGATGGCAAGAAAGAAGGTGATAAACAAGACACCAACTTGATCACATCAGAATATGAGGTCAAAGTGAAGCTTGCAGATTTGCAACTAGATCCTAACTCACCGCTTTATAGTGTGAAGTCTTTTGAAGAGCTAGGATTAGCACCTGAGCTTTTGAAAGGTCTGTACGCTATGAAATTTCAAAAACCATCAAAGATTCAAGAAAGGGCTCTTCCTTTGCTGTTGAACAACCCGCCACGTAATATGATTGCGCAATCGCAGTCAGGAACCGGTAAGACAGCTGCATTTTCCCTAACAATGCTTTCGCGTGTGGATTTATCAGTCAATCAGACACAAGCGATCTGTTTGGCACCATCAAGGGAGCTAGCAAGACAAACCCTGGAAGTTATTCAAGAAATGGGAAAATTCACCAAGATTACAACGCAGCTAATTGTACCTGACTCATACGAGAAGAACAAGCCCATCAGTGCGCAAGTGATCGTGGGTACCCCTGGTACCGTGTTGGATCTGATGCGTCGGAAAATGATTCAACTGGGCAATGTTAAAGTGTTTGTACTGGACGAGGCCGACAACATGCTAGATAAACAGGGATTGGGAGACCAATGCATTAGAGTGAAGAAGTTTTTGCCCAAGAACGCGCAATTGGTACTGTTCTCAGCAACGTTTGACGACAGCGTGCGCAAATACGCCCAGAAAGTGGTACCCAATGCGGACTCTTTGGAGTTGCAAAAGAACGAAGTGAACGTGAGCGCCATCAAGCAGCTGTTCATGGACTGCACGGACGAAAACAACAAATACGAGGTGCTGACGGAGTTGTACGGGTTGCTGACGATCGGGTCTTCCATCATATTTGTGCAGACCAAGCAGACCGCCAACGTGCTGTACGCGAAGCTCAAGAAGGAGGGCCACCAGGTGTCGATTCTGCACGGTGATTTGCAGGCAGCCGAGAGAGACCGTCTGATCGACGACTTCCGCGAGGGCCGCTCCAAGGTCCTCATCACCACTAACGTGCTTGCGCGTGGTATCGACATCCCCACCGTCTCGATGGTAGTCAACTATGACTTGCCTACGCTACCCAATGGGCAAGCCGACCCTTCGACCTACATCCACAGGATCGGCCGGACTGGCCGTTTCGGCCGTACCGGTGTGGCCATCTCTTTTGTCCACGACAAGAAGTCCTTCGACGTGTTGAACGCCATCAAGAAGTACTTTGGTGACATCGAGATGACTCGCGTGCCCACCGATGACTGGGACGAGGTTGAAGAAATCGTGAAAAAAGTTCTCAAATGATCGAATTCCGCTCTATATACACTATATACTCGGCCCCGAACCGACTTTGCCGCTATAAAATAACTCAAATAACTCAAACTCAAGTTTGCCCTAGCTTCCCTCTCTACTGAACTGTAAACAATCACGGACCCGTGCAGTGCGACCCGGACAACGCCTTTTTCCGAAATATCGTCGGTCCCCCTTTGCCTGGGAGAATGCGATAATAAAAGCGAAGAAAGCTAACGGCATCTCACTTTCCCGACACACAACAACAACAACAACAATTAATTCGACATGGACAGCTCCAAAATCATTAACATCATCATTGGTATGTAGAGACTGAACAATGAGAAGAGCCAGCGACCTAAAGTCGTGATGATTACGGCTTATAAGCCCCGGTGCATTTGTCCGGGCCTCGAGCACAAACACTAACAAAAACACAGCTCTTTTCTTGCCACCTTTGGCCGTCTTCATGGCACGCGGTTGGGGTCAGGACTGTATCATCGATATTATCCTAACGATCATCGTGTTCTTCCCAGGTATGTTGTACGCGTTGTACATCGTGTTGAAGGACTAAGCGGGCGGTGAGCCTTGCAGGGTTGCGTCCGTGCTTGAACGCGATCCTTTGACCTTCTGAAAAGTTAGTGGTGTCGCACGCGGTGCGGGTTTATGTAATAGTAATATAGGATACGCGTGCACTATGCTTAATACATAATACATTAATCCAAGAGCGGAGGGGCGCTGGGCTGCATTGGGCAGCGCTGGCTGGCGTTCAGCGGCGTCGAGCAGCGTCCTCGAATATCCCCAGGCGCTGCTATCCGTGTGCTAGCTCGGTCTGCCACCCAACCGTCCGCTGGCCCTCCGGCTGAGCCTCCACCCCCGCACGTGCATTCTGCACCCTTCAACTAGTGTAACTTCATTAAAGCCATACATACCTACTTACAGAAAGCGACTGCAGCTCTGCAGCCCACTTGCGCAGTTCGTGCTCTCGCAGCTCGCGCTCACGCTATTTACAATTGAGGTGCCATCATGTCCATCAATGGCGACTGGATGAAAGCAACGCCCGCGATAAACAGGCTCACGTTGACCAAAATAGGGTACGCAGGAGTTTGTCTGAACTGCTCGAGCTTAGATTGCTTCTTTGCTGGTGCTTGGGCCCCGGGAATTCCAAATCTGGCGGACATGTTTGCTCTCTTTGATGATTGTTCTGGTGAGGCCACTGCGCCTTGAAATTTTTCACATTGCAAACCTCAAAGTTTCACACGTGAGCAAAATGCCGAGCATTTTGATCCTCATCACCGAAGAGTCAGCCACGAAGGAAAGACAGAATGGACCAGTACAAGTTGTAGAGCGGCAGGAAGCACGACAAAGAGTGTTAGTAGTCCTTGCGTCAGCCCACCCATATGGTACCAAAGACGGAACAGACCCGTCGCTCGCGCGTTATCGATTCATAGATTCAAGATAGCTAGCTATAGAGAGAACTGAGAACTGTATATATGACCTGCATAAACTCTCACGGGGGAATATTAATAGTGCTCGTGGCCTGGGGCCCACGAGACGCGGCGCACACCGGCAGCCGCGATTTCTGAATGCGACGCGGGCGTCAAGCCGTGCCAGAGATCAACTTGACCTCGTGCTCGTAGTTTTCCATTCTGCCAGAGTCGGACCCCGTGGAAAAGGTCACGGCAATAAGGTCTGTGAGCCGCGTGAACGAGCCCGCAGATGGCGTGGACCGTGGCTGGCGTTGCGCCAGCGACGCTTCCGACTCGGCCGCAACTGCAGCCGGGTCGTGCTCATCGCAACTACCGGCGGTGTCCGAATCGCTGTAGAAGCCCTCGTCCACGTTCACCAGGATCGTGTCTGTGTCCGCTGTCAGCGGGTCCAGCATCGTCTCGCACTCGTCTAACGACTCGCTCACGCGCGGTTTGCGCGAAGTGAGCAACCTCCATGCGTACAGTCCGATATCATATATGTACAGCATCGCCATGGGACCTAACAGCATCAGCGCCAACGTGCATAGCAACAGTCGCCACACCAGGAATAGCTGTGTAAGAACCATCCAGCCAACGTTCATCAGGTAGAGTAGTTCGTCCATTTTGGTTGTGCACACAGACATGTACAATGCTAAATCACCCGATGCATTTTCGCTTTTTTTAAAGGATAAGCACATGGATAGAAAAAAAAAAAAAAAAATTATCACGCAGATAAAGAATAATAAGGTCGTGATGTGTATCCTCAAAAGGTCACGGCGACCGTTTTGCTACGGATATGTACTATTAGCATATGAAACGTACACAACAGGAGTCGAGAATGGCCGCACGTAATTCGTAATAGATAGGTTTTGCGCTGGATGTTACTCGACGCCTACCACGCTTAGTTCCAGCGTCCATACGCGACGAATGTGCAACTTGACTGGGATGGTGACATGCGAAGGCACGCCCGAGGCGTGGAGCGTTAGTTGTTGCGAGGCGGAATCGTAATTGCAGCGCAGCTCGACGTCAAGATCCACGTCTTCCTCGCCCCACCAGCACTTGCGTGCGGGCTTTTTCCAGAATAACAGCAGCTTGGCGTTGATATTGGGTTTCGGCACGAGCTCGTAGAGAGTAGGAGAATGGGGCTCGCGCTGAGTCGAAGCGGAGCGGTTGCGCGACGCAGAGCGCGACCGCACGTTGTCGGCAATGGCCGACAGACGAGATTTGCGTTTGGGCTCGTTTTGCTGGGAAGGCGTGGGCGACAAGTGCAGATGGGAGTTGGAAGGTGTGAGGGGCTCCATGGAGGCGCGGGCCTTGAGCTCTTGCTCGTACTTGTGCTTGGCTTCGTCGACTCTATCGCGGAATGCCTGTGTGGTTTCGTTGGCCAACCTGCACAGCGACAACGAGCTGATCACGGTCTTGCCGGGCTCCTGCGCGCGGTTCCCCCAGGTCGAGGTGTCGTGGAATCCGGACGAGCACAGCATGTCCATCAGGTGCTGCTCAGCGGGTCCCAGCTTGCCCTTGGTCTGGCCCTTGGCGGGCCGCTTGAGACGGTTGGAGCTGCGCAGGCCTTGAAACACGCTCCGCTCCGAAGATAAGTAGCTGCCCGCAGCTAACTTGACCTGAACCATGAGCTCGTTCAGCAGGTCATTCTTGAGTTCCTCGGATGCGTCTGCAGGGAACACGAGCGCGGGCTGCGGCACGCAGTAGTAGTCGAGATCCTCACGCAGCACGATGATGGTGGGCTTCTCGTGCAGGATCTCCGCCTCGCTGGAGGCCGTGGAGGGCGCAGGTGCCGCGAAACTGAAGAATCGCGATTGCTCCTTATGCGAACTTTGCCCACGGTCGAACACTGTGTCCACCGGGTAGTTGACCAAATCCTCCTGCGCCCGCACGTACGTGTCCATGATATACTCGAAGCAGTCCGCGGGGAAATTCCCGATATAGACCTCGTCCTGCGACGTCAAATTCGTGATTACCTCGCCTGTCCGGTCCATGAATACACCGGATGGGAAGAGACACAGTAAAAGTGACTCAGGTAGCGACATTAATTGGTCCCGTGTGATGAAATAATGATTTTCCTGAATGTTGAGATGGATGAGAGAGTCATCGTCGAGGAAATCCTCGCTCTGTTCATGCATCACAGGCACGGGGTCCTGTGACGCACTCACTTGGGTGATAATACTCTGAGGCTCCGTCATCCGCCTTGAAATCTTGTCGTAAACCTGTGAATTGGTGGCAATCTAACCACCAAGTAACTCCCTTCACGACTTTTTCACGAACTAGGAGGAAAAAAAGCGTGTGGCCGTTTTTTTTCCCCGGGGAGGGTAACCCAACGTCACTATTAACGGCGAGTCACTTGCTCTTGGCACTATATAGAGCTAGTAGATGATCGATAATCAACTGTTACTTGGCGGCGTTACGTGGCAAGGGATGCCGGCTGCGCGACTGGCGGTTTAAGGCTGTTATTTGGGCTCCGCGGAGTTACCGGCGATAGAGCGGCGAACGCGGGCTTACCGCCGAGAATGTCGCGATCGACGTCTGTTACCCGGCACATTGGTTACCCGAACATACAAGTTACCCGGCCAAAGTTTTTTTTCTGATTTTCCTTTCTCATTGAAAATTTATTATTTATTCACCTCATCGCCTGCCGAGAAGCCTTTTCTTCTTCCTCTTTGATCAACAACGTGCCCCTAAGGGACGGGTTCAGGCCTAGTCATTGATCTCATATGGTCAATGCTCCCGTTTGATTATTGCGCGCCCCTTCCAATCCTTTTGTATTTTACTTCCCACGTCACGTAGCGCAGAACGTAAGTGTACGTTCTGCACGAACGTGGATTCGCGTGTCCATGTGATGAGTTATTTCAATTCTTATCTACATTATCTGAAAGTTATTTAAATTGAAGAGACTTTACACTCTGATGGATATTGCTTCACGTAGTACGTAATTGTGATTGGCCATTTTACATCTCGTCGTCACTGTTGATGAGAAACTCGTCCTCGTCCGGGTTCTTCTTGGGGGTGACAGCCGCGGCCACTGGTTCTGCCGCCTTGTCGTCAGGCTTGCTGGAGGGCTTGCTGGGTGTCTTGCTAGGAGAGGCGTTGAGTGGTTCGGGAGAAAGCGGCTGCCACTTCTTACGTGTAGACACATCGGGCGTATCGATGTAGGTGGTCTCGGGCACCACTTCTTTTTCCCTGTTGCGCGAGGGCAATTGGGGTGGGATATCTTCGTCGTCATCGCTGCGATCTGCGTCGCGAAGCGAGATTCCGTGGCTCGAGAGCCGGCTCGCAGGTTCGGTTGGGTCTTCGCCTACCTGTGCGCCAAAGGAATTGAAGCGCGCCGTGCGGCCCGCGGGCCGTATGGGCTCATCCTCTGGCTGCGGTTCCTGCGCCCACGACTTACGGAATCCGCTGATCCAGTCGTTGACCCGCTTGCTGGTCTCTTGTACCTGGCGGCCGACTTTCTCACGCAGCTCGGGCAGGTCCTTGTCGACCAGCTGGCTCAAGAAGTCGTCGTCGTCGTTGTAATCGTCGTAGTAGCGGTCATTGCCCGGAGGAGGCGCGTCACGCTGCGCGTTTCGCCTCTCATACTCCCTCTGGCGGTTTTGAATGCGGCGCTCGCGAGCAGCGCGCTCGCTGTCCATGTTGCGGCGACGGTGACGGTCGTGGTTGAATTGCTCGTCGAGCTTGCGCGCCAGCAGCTCGTCCTGCTCCACTTGCGTGAGCGCGCGGCGGGGCTCGGCAGTCGCGACGGGCGCAGTAGCGGGCAATGGCGCCTCAGCCTCGAAGCTGGGGTCCGAGAGGAACAACAACGCGTTGAAAGCCGGGTCCAGCGCGCCTTGCGACGCGATCAGCACCGCCTTCACGTATTTGTCCTCAATTCCAGGAAAAGCCTCTTTCAACTGCGCCAAGATCGGATTGGTGTCTTTCTTGGTGGGCACCTCATTAGTCGATTTTCTGACGGGCAGCGGCGGACGCTCCTCATCAGAGCCTACGTCAGCCTCAGCGGCAGCAGCTTCATCGTCTTTCTTTGCAGTCTCTTCCCCAGCATCATCTTTGGCCTTCGTGTCCACAGCTCCACTTTTCTCCTTCTCTCCTGGCACTATTGTAAGTTCTTGCTCGACCGACTCTTCTATCACCGCGACAGCAGGCTGTGAGGACGCAGTATCCTGGGCAGTGTCCTTGGCGGAACCCTGCTCTTTCACCTTGACCTCTTCATCTAAAGGCACTTCGTCGACCTCTTCCTTAGATACACTGTCTTTTTCCTGCATCGTTGAAGTGATGTTGTGTGGTGTTCTTGATCCAATTGTAACCTTGAGAAAGATTCCCTTTAAACAAACCCCTTTAAGATAAAACATCGTCACAAACGAAAAAACTCAAAATACATCACATCACACGAAAACAGAACCCATCACCATATACGAACTAAATTGTGAAAAAAAAGTTTTATTTCTTTTTCTACTCTCGTTCCATTGTTGACCTATAAAAGAGAAAAAAGTCTATCTTAATTTCAATGGTAAGCTTTCTCTCTTTCAATCTCTGGGAATTTATTTTAAAACCTCCGACACTAATAGAACTTCCATGTCAATCAATGGCGCAGGGAGCGTGGACAGCGGAGGGATATAGAATTGATTCTGCCAGAGACCTTAATTGGAGGCTTTCACGAGTCTCGGCCCAGCCCGCGTCGCAAGAAATGGCGGGTTGGGTCGTCTGTGGTGCTTTGAACAACCGATTTACAACAGTATACAACGTATGGATACCTACATAGAGTTCTTCATTTTGCGCAGCTTGTCCATGACATGTGCGCGCGTCATAGAGCCGGCCGTGTCGCCTACCGCATCGCGTACGCTGGGGTCGTCGAGGCGCATGAATGGGTTGTACTCTAGCTCATCTTTTAACGTAAAATGGCCCGTGGAGACCTCGTTCTTGCGACAGAATAGCTCCAGCTTGTCCAGTGCGGCGTTGTCGCCCGGGTTTTGATAGATAGCGCGGCGCACAAAGTCCACGTTGCTCTTGGTGTACTCGTGGCCAGGGTAAACCTTGGTAGTATCCCAATTGGGCTCGCTTACGCCGTCCAGAATCCGTCTGTTGAGTGCCTGGTCCATCTCCTCGCCTGTGCCTTCGAAAAACCTGCCGCAGCCTGCTGTGAAAAGCGTGTCACCGGTGAATATGCACTGCTCGCCCGTGTCGGCGTCCTTTGCAAAATAGCACACCGAGTCCTGTGTGTGGCAGGGCGTGCGGATGCACTTGATTTTGAGATTGCCCAATTGGTACTCTTGCAAGTGGTCAGGGATCTCAGTGGCACCGGGCGACACGCGGCTGCCGCAAATCACGGCTGGAGAGATACCCTTCTTTTTGAGCGCCGCGGCGATAGCCACATTACCCCCAGAGTGGTCGTAATGATGATGTGTGTTCACAATGGCTTCGATGCACTTCATTTCTTCTTCGTCCAGCTCCGGGAGCACCTCCACCGCTTCCGCAGGGTCTATTAGCCACGAGTGCGCTTTGTCCTGACTGGAAAGCAGATAGCTGTAATTGACACCTCCGGTCAACCATCTCATCTTGATTGCCTTAACGTGCATCTTTCGTACTTGCCTAAGCATTGAATAAAAGAACGTGAGAGTAAGTAACAAAGGAAGTTCAAGGCCCCTTCCAGTATTGTTACCCTTGGGCCGTAACGTATGATGTATCTCTGCGCTTATTCGAGTTGCTATCGCTGCTCACCATCACGGGCTGTTGGGACGGATATTCATTGAGCCCACGACAAGTAGGCCTATAAATATTGTGGAAGTTTACTGAAAGTTTCTTCCTACATCAATTATCTTGGCCTGGGCCCCGCTTAGGGTCCTCGAGTAAAATGAAAAATTATCAAAGCCTTCTTTTGTCGAAGGAAGTTATTAAATTACATTAATGAACAAAATTACCGTTTTCCGCTGACCCTCATTATCATTCTCTATTTTATGTATGGACGAATACTCACTATACTGGAGCTTCGGTTGATTCATCTTGAGATTCGCGAACCAAGCCCATTTGGAGCTCGATATCCTCTTCGCTCCTCCGTTCTTTGCTGAAGAGCCTTCTAAACCAACCTGGTGTCCGGGATTTATCATTATTTGTTGCCAAGCGCGGTGGCTGCCACCTGTTGAGTAGCAATGAGCTTGCTACAACACTGACAGAACTGGCTGCCATTGAGGCACCCGCAACAATGGGACTTAGTGTGATTCCCCAAGGCACAAGAACACCCATTGCAATCGGCAACATGAACATGTTATAGCAAATAGCCCAAAAGAAGTTCAACTTAACACGACGGAAGGTCGCCTGCGCGATATCGAGCGCATATATTAGACCCCTCAATGACGCTCTACTGGAGTCTGCACTGTCCAACACTATTATATCAGCAGCTTCCATAGCGATGTCAGTCCCAGTAGATATAGAAAATCCCAGATCACTAGAAACAAGTGCAGGAGAGTCGTTGATTCCGTCACCAACAAAGGCAACGTTTTTGCGGCCCCCATCTTGTAATTGTAGGACAATATCGTTCTTCTGCTGAGGGGTGACCTCACTGTAGATATTGTTAGCCTCAATGCCGACTTCCTGAGCAACCTTCATTGCAGCCCTATGGTTGTCACCAGTGACCATGCAAACGCAATAACCTTTAGAGATCAGATATTGAACAGCATCACCAGCATCTCTTTTGACAAAATCCGTGATCTCAAAAGTTCCAACCAACTTATCATTAATTTGCACGCTCGCCGTTGTTTTGCCAGAATGTGAAAAAGATTTCTTATCAGCCACAATTGATTTATTACCAATGGCGACCTTGTACTCCACACCATCAAGCTCACAAACACATGTCAAACCTCCCCCCACAACAATTTCACTTTTTATTACGGAGACCGATCTGTTCACATCTGCTAAAAGCTTCTCAGTGTACTCGAAGATGGCTTTCCCGGTTGGATGCTCGCTGACAGATTCTGCAGCATTGATACATAGAACCTCCTCGGTTGTAAGTTGTTTGGCTCCCTCAGCGCTGATGAAATTCTCCACAGTCATTTGGCCAGTTGTAAGCGTTCCCGTCTTATCAAATAAGAACACATCTAAAGAATTGCACTTCTCCAAAACGTCACCCCCCTTGATCAACACGCCGTGGCGAGCACCAACACCTGTACCGACCATAATAGCAGTCGGAGCTGCTAGTCCTAATGCACAGGGACATGCTACGACCACAACAGAAATCGCAATCTTAAGACAAACAAAAAATTTTCCGTTTGAATTGTTAAAAATGGCAGGTGGATGAGGAAGGATATGAGATAGGACAATCCATAGGATGAAAGTCAGGAGTGCCAAAGTAAGTATGAATGGGACAAATTTAGAAGCCAAATAATCAGCATACTGTTGCATGGGAGCTTTGCTTAGTTGAGCTTGTTTCATTGTCTGAATAATGTTTGCCAGCTGAGTGTCGTCGCCAACTTTGGTTGCTTCGAATTTGAAGGTACCAGGCCCATTGATAGAACCGCCAACAACCGACGACCTTGGTAATTTGTGTACCAATAGCGATTCGCCAGTTATAAGCGATTCATCAACCTCGCTTTCACCTTCAGTAACAACGCCATCAGTTGGTATCTTAGCACCAGGCTTCATTTCTATAATGTCACCGACTTGTAGAAGGTCTACTGATATTTCTCGAATGCCGTCACCTTCAACAATAGTACACGTCGATGGAGCCAATGAAATAAGCTTTGTAAGGGCAGTATTAGTTTTGGATTTGGCCATGTTTTCAAGTAACTTGCCGATGGATATGAATCCTATTAGCATAGCAGACGCATCGAATATTACGTTGGGCAACTTTTCAGATTTTCTATAGATATTCAAACCAATGGAGAAAATAGAAAATGCATATGCAGATGACGTAGAGATACAGATGAAAGTATCCATTGAACCCGAGCCATGTTTGAAAGAGTTCCAAGCAGCCGTGAAAAATCGCCAGCCAAGGAAAAATTGCACGTAAGTTGTAATGATGAAACCGACGATATCACGGTAGAAGAGACCAGGAATGGGTGTTTGTACGTAAAGAAAGTGCGTTCGTATGGATGGAAACCACATTGGAACCAACTTGTAAATGCCCATCAGGAGTAATACGCAAAAGCAGGATATCAAGCAAGTATGCCTCCAAAACTTGATTTCGCGCGTCCGTGCCAGCAGTTTGACTTGTGTAGAATTGTCAATAGTGTTGGCTACTATAGCTTCCAGCCCAAGATTTTCAATCCGCGAAACAATAGCGCGGATACCCAAAACCTCAGGATCATACTCTATGGAGGCCTCCTCGGTAGCAAGCGAAAACGACACTGAACGCACACCCGGTTCCTGCACAAACTCTGCTTCTATACTCGATGTGTATGCACCGTAGGCGAGACCGAAGATCCTTAAGGTCGTCTTCTTGAAGCGCGAACCTTGCTGCGCAATGTTTTGGTCCAGGATTTCGGCTCCGAAACCACAGTCCTCTATAGCCTCCTTTAGCTGCTCTACTGTCACAATCGCAGGACGATACACGACTTTACACTCCGACGTGACCAAAGATACATTGGCGTCTTCAACACCATGCAGTTCACTCAACTGCTGGGTGATTGCCGCAGAACAAGCTCCGCAAGTCATGCCGCTTACCGATAAAAGCGCCGTTCGAGTCGACTCCGCGACGGTTGAGTCTACAATATCGGCCCCAAATCCACAGTCCATTATCGAATCTCTCACTACCTCCACGTTTGTTTTTTCCGAATCATATTTGACATGGCATTCCTCTGTCACTAGCGAAACCACTACCTCATCGACTCCTTCTATAGCTTTGACTTGACCTTCAACCGCACTTACACACGCACCACATGTCATTCCAGTTACGTGCAGTACTGCATTGCTATCTTCCTTCATATTTAGCAGGAAAGGAATTACAGCGCTGATGAATTATCAAGAAGCTCACTAATATCATCAACTTGAAATATATTGGGCGGGCCGGAAACTGGGTGCGTCCGACAACGTCTTTGGTGATTACAAAAACCAGCGAAAAAAGCCTTACCAGCAACACGTGTAATGGTTGAAATGGACAGTAACACGAATAAGAAGGGCCTTGACGGACCTTCAAAGCTCGTTATCTGGCACAATTAATTACTCATATTTTTATTGTGCCCTTTTCTTGGTCAAGTTTGGTGTTTTCACCCAGTTAAACTGAAAGAGTCGCTGCGCGAAAGTGTATCGGAGTTTCCAAACGAAGGTGATACTTTACAGTAGCCGAGGAATTTTCCATGAAAATAGAAGATTGAGCGTATTGTGAGCAGTTCTGGATCAAACTATGCTAATTGGATAGCAATTGGGAGTGTTTATCAGTCTCACAAGTATGCTGACAAGTGAAGGCGTAGTGTCCGCGGTGCGAGAATGGTCCTTCCGCTTCAACTCATTAAGTAGCTTATTTAGTTGTTATTCTAGATATGGTGACATGGACGGTGGCTAGCATCAAAATTGAAACCACCGCAGCAGTCGAGGTTTTGGGGGCTTGTTGGCCAGGCCACACCTTTCACCTACCCTTCTTCAGGCGAAAAGGTGGATGAAGTGCGGGCCGGCATCACATGAGGCTTAAGAGTGCCGGTTATTTTTTGAATCCGCCATAGCCCGACAGGTCGATGCCTCTGCCGACCAATTTCTCCTCTAAATTCTGTCTTTGCAACTCTTGCCAGCGAGCGAGCTGCGCTTGTTTGTGCAGTTCAAATCCGAATATCTTGGGCACATAGCGCTTCACAGGATGCTTGGGGACCATCTCTGGGAACGCCTGGAGGAACATGCCTGGAAAACTAGTTCCGAAATAGGCCCCATCTATAGAATTGTGTCTCGACGATTTAGGGATGTACAGATCCTCGCAGCAGGGGCAGTAAAGCTTTACACAGTCAATACCTGGAATATCATGCAAACCGACAGGTAGCAAGGGTTGGAAGTTGCAATAAACACGGGGGCATCTGCCAAAATCTGCGTCTCTGTACTTCTGCAGCATTTTCTGCAGGCCCTTGACTGTTATGATATATCTGGCGTGAATAAGCCCATATAGCTTTCTTGCGTCATTCTCCAGTTGCTCTAGGCGTGCACTTGACATCTGTTCCAGTATCGTATCATCAAGCTCATCCACAATATATTGAATCACCTGTGTAAATTTGTTGACTGTTTTTTGTAAATTGATCAAGTTGAACCGGTCCGTGATGTAATCAGTATCGACATCACAAAAGTACTCATGGCCTTTCCTTCCTAGAAACAAATCTATCCAAAATTCAACGTACTCCGAGGAATCAGTAGTGTCGACGACTTCCTCGTGAGCTTCGGCCATCTCTACGTCTCCCATATTGCTGATACTCTGTTGCGTTCAGTTAGAAAATTTTCTTTAGAAAGGGAACTTCATCAAGGAAAGCTACAAAGCCCAAAGGAGATGAAACTTCTGAGATATCCAAGAAAGTTAACCTCAGGTAAGATAAGCTCATGTTGTTGTATCGGGGACAATTTTATTACCGTGGGTAACAACTCAATCTCAGTGTTTTCTAGTGAGGAATTGATGGATGCGGCATTGGGTAAGCGGTCAGCGAAGAGCGTGCTGGAGAAGTTCAGCATTGCAGCCAAAGGTATTGACCAGCCATTACAGTTTTGTTTTGGAGACGAAAACAGATTATTTTTGGGTACAGACTTGGGAGTTTACCATATCGAATCTTGGCTGGAAACTCGCGAGAAATCGGACATCAAGTCGTTTTATTCGGTGAAGGCTCCAAGTACAATTACTGATACCTTGTACGATCCAAAAAACAGAATTGTGTTCATCCTTGTAAATAAGAGCGATGGCTCTAACTTTGTTCTGCTTTACAGCGCAAACTCCTGCAAACAGTTAGGAGATATTCCAATGACGCAATCAAAACCCATGACTGGAATAATAGATCCTGTAGGACAAGTTTTCACTGTAATATGTGATGATCGTTACATTTCGGTATTTCAATATGACAAAGAAGGTAATCATAAATTACTGCACAGATTAACGCAATACGTGCAAGTAGATCCTATCCACTACAAAATCACGATGTCCCCGCAAGCAGATCTTTTACCAATTTTAAACTCACTAAAGGGTACTACACCTGCAATCGCATTATTAGACAAGAATAAGGAGTTCAAGGTCGACACGACTTTAGTGGGTCATCTGGATCAATGTAAGATACTCAAATTTTCTCCTAAACTGTATGAAAAGACTATCAAGAATGGAACGACAACTACATACAACCTTTTAGCCACTTCCGGGTTCGAAGATGGCCATGTTATCGTATGGAACACAAGAAGGTCCAAGCCGCTACTGAATGCCAAATGCCTTTGCAATTCATATATCACCGATCTGCAATGGACACATGATGGACTTGGATTGCTTGCGGTAAGTAATGATGGTTATCTTTTCATATTTGCATTTCACGAGAGAGAACTAGGTCAGGTGGTTTCTGAAGATCAGATTTCGAAACTTCAATCGGGAAATAAAAAGCTAGATCCATTGATCCCTACAGAGGAGCCCGTAATTAAAAATGAGGCCAAGCCTGAACTCATACCAACTATTCCAAATGGGACAGCAAGCCGTGTGAATGGTAAAAAGCGAGCAATACCTACCACCATTAAGAGTTCTACCATGGAGTTCAATGCTCCATCATATAGTGTCCCAAAAGATTTAAAAAGACGACCAAAAGAAGATTTGGGCTCTCAGACGAATTCCAAAAGGCAAAAACACGATTTGGAACCAATGGATTTTCTGGATACTAATCTTTTAATACCTAATATATCATTTTCCAAATTGAGGCTCGCCACTCCTAAAGTTCGTCTAACCTTCCAGTACGTATCGCCTTCAAACAGCAATTTAATTTTTGATGTTAAGAATGGGTCTGGAAATGAACAGAAGCCATCCATAGTTTCGTTACTGTCAAAGGAATCCGATCAAGAAAAAGTCTTATTTCATGATTTCCTCCCAAACTTTGTCACACTATGTACCTCTGGTGACACATTTTGGGCCTGCTGCAGTGAAAATGGTACTATATATGTCTATTCGGATTCAGGAAAAAAAGTACTACCACCAATGATCATGGGCGTTCCTTGCAGTTTCTTAGAGGCATGTGGTAAATTTTTGCTCTGCGTAACCAGCATGGGTCAAGCGTACTGTTGGAATGTCGAAAACTCAAAGCTTGAGTTCCCAGTAACCACCGTATATCCATTACTCAGTCCAACCTTGCGTTTTTCAGACGATGTTTTAACCAGAGCGGAAAATATCACGATGTGCACCATAACCAAAGGTGGTATACCACTTGTAACTTTAAGCAATGGTGATGGATACATGTTTGATAAGGATATGCAAACCTGGCTGGTGATTAACGATTCATGGTGGGCCTTCGGGTCCCAATATTGGGATGCAACAAGAACAACAGGCAATACAATCGCCGCAATTGGTATGTCTGACAAAGGAGAGAAGAAAAACAAATACTGGAATTCTGAGGCAGAAGGCTTACTAAATGATCTCAAGGAAAACAAGTCTAGTATTCTGAATTACTTGGAAAGTAGAACAAATGATGAATTGAGCAGAAAAGGTCGCATTCGTAATATTCAAAAGTTTGCAAAAACAATTCTTATGAAAGAAGGATTCGAGAATTTAGAAGAAGTTGTCACTCTGGCCCACTTAGAGAATAAGCTATTGGTACTTCTGAGGTTGTCCGAAAACGGAGAATTTGTCAAATTACTCATTGTTTATTGCATCCGTCTAAGTGAAATGGGATACAGGAACAGACTGGATGACGTTCTTCAATGGATATACAACGATGGGGATTACAAGAATAAAGAGATTGCTGGTGTTAATGCTGAGGTTTTACTGAAGAAGATTCTTGTGGCTTGTGCAGATATAAGACATGTTCAACGAGTGACCACGAATTATGCGACTGCGATAGGAATGATCGCCGATTCTCTTTAAGTATTTACAAATTATATCTTCACCCCACATAATGACGTTCTGAAATATATGATACGCACGCATGCTTATCACTAGATCTAAAATCCCATTATTTCTTTAATGGTCTTCATATTTTGTTCGGCAATTTCAGAAGCACTTTCCGCACCTGATTTCGTGATTTCTTCCAGATACTGAGGCTCCTTCATATACTTCATGAATTTTTCTCTTGGGTCCCTGAGCTCTTCTACCAACACCTCCGTCACATAGTTTTTGAAATCTTGATGACTATGGTATTTGGCGATATCTTTCTCCACATCCTCAATCGATTTTCTTTGAACGCCACTTATCACGTTGATAAGATTCGCGACACCGGGCCTTAGCACCGGGTCGTATTTGAATTCGTGTGACACGGAGTCCGTGACTGCTTTTCTGATTTTTCGTGAAATCACATCTGGCTCATCATTTAAGTAGATTAATGCATTTTGATTAGGATCGCTCTTCGACATTTTCTTCGCAGTATTAGCAAGACTCAGGATTCTTTTCGTGGGGGCCAAAATCGTTGTTGGCAACTGGAAAAACTCCCGATTGTAGAGAGTATTGAATCTTTGAGCGATGTCTCTTGTCAATTCAAGATGCTGTGCTTGATCATCTCCTACAGGGACGTGCGTTGACTTATACAGTAAAATATCTGCTGCTTGAAGTACTGGATAAGAGAATAATCCAAGCTTAACTGCTCCAACTGCGTCTGCGTCATTGAGGTCTTTTAAGTTAGATTTAGACTTCCACTGTGTCATTCTATTCAAGGATCCCATAGGCGTTATAGTTGACAAGAGCCAATGCAATTCCGTGTGCTGTGCAACTTGTGATTGATGAAACACAATTGCTCTTGTAGGATCAATACCTATAGATAAAATGCTGGCAATCGCCTCTTGTCGATACCTTCGAAATTCACTGGTATTAGGTTTAGGAACTGTGATGGCATGAAGGTCTGCCGTGCCAAATAGTAATTTTGTATCAGGCTGCTTCAAATCACAAAGATCTTTCCATACTCGGACTGCTCCAAGATAGTTGCCTAGGTGGAAAGTGCCGGTGGGTTGAATCAGACTGAATATAGTAGATCTTGCAGGTATATCAGTTCGATGAAGCTTGTAATCAGTCCTCTTCACGCTTTTATGAAGCATTCTGGCATTTCCTATAAATCTACTTTTCCTGAGCATATGATAATTGGGATTGGAAAGAGTGTGCTTGTCCCTGCTGGTCGAGACAATATTTTCATTGGAATATCAGACATTTTTTATTGTCACGAAAATCACTGTATCAAATTAACGTACGTACTAAAAGCATTATGCCAAAAAACTATTCACATGTCTCTATAGTTAGTATATTTATTGTTTATGACAATTTGTAAACATTTGAATTAGTCCATCCTTTTTCGCCCAGAAGACCTTTGATGGGGCCCTGACTCAAGTCGTACTTATCACCTGCAATTGTGCTGATATAGCTGTCTGGGCCACAAACCAAGGATAAGACAGGCTTGATTATAGTATCAGATCCGGGCTTCAAAAATGGCAAATTTGGCACGTATTCGGAGGGTTCAGGAATCATTTCCTTCACATTTTTGATTTGCTGCCTTATATCGCAGCCCTTTGAAGATTCAAATAAATAGAGTTTTACTCGGTCATGCTCTTGTAATCTCTTCAACAGAGGTAATAAAGGACCAAGCTCTGATTTTTCCCTGCAAGAGTGGAACAGCAGTATTTCACCGCGAAATGGTGATTCCGTCAGGAGAAGTTGTAAAGCAGTTACAATGCCAGTCCCCGCGGTGAACATCGACAAATCAAAGGGTTGATAACGAAATTTCTCAGTCTCAGAAGATTCTGTACTCTTCCATAAAAATTCCCTGCCTCTCTTTGTGTCCGATTCAGCATTGGGAAATTCATAGTCCACGTAGGGACCGCGCAATTCAACCACCTGCCCCACAGGCAGGTTATGCAACCATCTAGCGACTTCACCATTCTTGTACTGTTTAATATAAAACAGAAGTCTACCATCACAGTTTTCACCATCTTTAAGAACTTCAATTTCGTCATCATCGTTTAATTTCAGCGGAAGAGGAGTATAATTTCTGACCACCATTATTTCAGGTTGCTTGATTTGAACAGACCATAACTTACTTGACCCGAAAGTCGACCATAAGTTCACTTTTTGAGATATCAAAGGAGAGAGCTCTAAGAAAAAGTGGTCTTCATCGATGGTTTTCTTTTTAGATATCCTATACTTAGTGAAATAATCTGATCCTAACTCAACTTTAGAAGGAGCTAGACTGTGATATAATAATACACCAATAGCCGTAAATGTGGCCTTCTCAAGCGTTGATCTTATTCTCTTTGAAGAGGTTGGAGAGATTCTCAGGCTATTTATAGTCCTAAAAAGCCTGAATGAATGTTTCCACATAAGTACTCTTATGATCTCCAAGCTAGCGACATCAAATTTATTCTCCAGGCGAAAAATTATCGTGATCCATATTGACCACCACCCTCAAAGAAAACAAATATTGATAGAATGTCCATCAATCAGAGGCAATGCTTAAAGTTGCACAAGGATAAGGTATGGGCAGTTGACTGCTCACATGGTCTGATGGCGACCGCATCATCTGATCGTAAGATTAAACTTCTAAACTTGACTAAGACAGAGGCCCATTTGATTGGCGAACTCGATGATAATACGCATACAAAATCGATTAGGTCAGTTGCATGGAGGCCGAACTCTAATATTCTTGCCGCAGGGTCTTTCGATTCCACAATATCCATTTGGGGAAAGGAAGAAGAGCCTGATTATTTGGAAGACTCAGAGTTTGAATTATTGGCCTTAATTGAAGGCCACGAAAACGAAGTGAAAGCAGTGGCTTGGTCCCATAACGGTGAATTTCTAGCCAGCTGTTCAAGAGACAAGAGTGTATGGATCTGGGAGGCAGATGAGCTGGGGGAAGAGTTCGAATGTATAAGTGTGCTGCAGGAACATTCCCAGGACGTTAAACACGTCTCATGGCATCCATCAACTCTTTTACTAGCCTCTAGCTCATATGATGACACAATACGATTATGGAAAGAACTGGACGATGATTGGGAGTGCGTTGCAGTACTCAACGGCCACGAGGGAACTGTTTGGTGTTCTGACTTTGAGAAGTCGGATTCATCATTGCGTTTATGTAGTTGCAGCGATGATTCTACCGTACGAGTTTGGAAATATGTTGAAGAAGATGATAATGGTGAGCAAATATGGGTTTTACAGGCCGTTTTGCCCAATGTACATTCAAGAGCTGTGTATAGTGTTAGCTGGAGTTCAGAAGGACTCATTGCAAGCACTGGTTCAGATGGTCTTTTAGTGCTGTACAAAGAATGTAAAGATGGCAAATGGGAAGTCCTTGCAAAATATGAGGGTGCACACGGCGTTTATGAGGTAAACGCAGTGGAATGGACTCGCGTGGGTAATGAACAATTATTGGTTACGGGCGGTGATGACGGATACGTTAATATTTGGACCTACGACTAAAATTTCTTTCAAAATAAACCTACCTAAGTAAATACTATCAACAACATCATCAAAAGAAAGAATGCAAGAATAATGAGCATATATAGGCACCACTTGCTTGAGCTTCTCTGGGATGCCATGGCTTTGCCCAACTCTCGGGCTGCCGATTGTGTACTATTAACCACTGAATAAATATTGCTCTCGATATTGTCCACTAGATGCCCTTGTTGTTGAACAATAGTTCCTAGGTCATGAAATATCTCGTTTAGTTCAGTAATGCCACTTTCAATGTTCGAAATTTCCTCGTCTCGTTGTCGTATCAAATTTTGCTGATATGCAAACTCTTCGTTATTTATAGCTTCTCTTTCTATCACTATCTGCTGATCTGGTGCACCGACAGAGGGAGCGTTGGTCGACACATCACCACCGTGATTTATGTCTTCTTCTAAGGCCGCCCGAGCCTCCTCGTTCATGTTTTTACTGATACGTGCAAATTCCGTTTGAGCACTTTGAAACTCTTGCACTGAATACTTGACATCTCTAATCAGCTTTTCCCTAGATATTAGTTGTGCCTTATTTAGGGCTGTTTCCTCGATGGAATTCATCTTATGCACCAGATCATTGACCACCTTCAAAGCACCTGAAATCTTTTCGATATGTAAGACGGACTTTTTGTCAATGTTTGCAATCATCTTTGATCGGTTATTACCTTGCTTAAGATTACTTTGTAAGGTTTTGATGAATTGCTGCAATGTGCTCAAGTGACCGTTAACATCAAACAGATTCTTTGTTATAGCGTCACTCCACTCTTCGAACTGAGGATTGTCCGTGAAATGCTGCGATTCGCCCAGATCATCCCTATATTGATTCATATCTGTAACTGCTAGATGAGGAAAGTTATCAAAGTCCTTACATTTCTGCAAGGAGGCAATTATGTAGCACTCCACAAACGTAGTTTGTGATAAGAAAGACAAATAGAATTAGTTGATGCAAAACATTGAACGCTATATAATAGCCAAAAACTACTCTTACTAGCTTTCAATCACTTTTTTTATCGTTATCATTGAACCTCTGCTTTTGCAGGTATAATATGATGTGTACTGTTACATAACCGACTGTAACCAGTAGGATCCATCTCAGCAATTTAGAGTTCTCTTTAAGGAAGTCTTCATCAAAAATGGTCATATAATTGCTCGAAGGTTCAGTAAACTTGGGACGATGCGTATTAAAGGGTGGACGGACGTCCAAAATCTTGTTATTTCGCTCAATATCTTGATTTCTTGACGCGTCGTCGAATATTTGAGGAAATATATCTAGCGCAATCCAATTGTCATCCCGAGGAATTGGTTGGGCCTCCAAAGAGGTGAATATCACTGTATGATGTGGCGAAGGTAGCTGTGCCAAGACATACCTTAGAAATTTATCGTAATCTTTAATAACTTCGTCGCGACTTTTTCCATCTATAGAGTAGGTGACAGGAAGGGGAGGATAGTCAATCCTAATAATGCGACCTCTGGAATCAATGTACGGCTCGAAGTCTTCTGTCTTATTCCCTCTAATAGTAATTATATCCTGCAAATGGCAGCGAAGAGCAGTAAAATCGATGAGTTCTGTAAACAAATCAGGCTCCTCTTCATTCACCTCAACTTTCTCGAATTTTAATGCAGTAGAGCTTCCCTCAATGTATCGTACTAGTGATGTCCACTGATCCGTACTCCACATTGAAAGATCAAGCTTTGAAATTCCTGGCATATTAACAAAGACAAAGGCATCCGAATTGCATTTTGCAAGCATTTGCTTAGCTACATGCGAAAACTGCTGCTTTGGAAGTTCTGAAAGCGTATTATAATCTGTCATGAAATGAAGTAAACCTGGCGACCTACTGAGGCGTTAGTACGATGCCGACGCAAATACACAGGTGCGCTTAACCGAACATACAGTGAATAAGAAAACAAGATAGCTGGAACATTACTTTGAACCGCTACATTTGCTTTCCCTAATGCGAAAAACAATAGATATAGCCAATATCTGAGCATTGCTATTTGCCGTCTTTTCGTTATTGGAATGTAGTGGTCGATCAGAAAAAAATCGTGCAACGTGCGATATATGAATGCAAGAAATTGAATGGTATATATTTATATGTAGCCTATTTACAAGATGAATTAATGGGATCCCTGAGTGATCCCCAAAGCTCTATGAGATTATTGGCAAATATTTGCTTGTCTTCAAAGTCCTCCTCGAAAAATTCGTCTCCCAAGAGATCTTCCAAGCCCTCATATTTCGAAGCAGATTCATCGCATGTTTCTTGTAGCAGCAATTCAGTCTCAACGCCATTCGGTAATTTCCAATTGTTTTCAATTGCACATTTCAAAAGACTTCTGTGATTGATCGGAAACCCTGCATGCAATAGCTTCTGATACCATAAGTGCGCCTCATCTACTTGGTTCAATTTGAGATATCGGAAAACCATCGAGACTATAACACGAAAATCTAAGGGAATTTTATTCTTCTCCATTAGAAAAAGAAGTGTAGAAACTTCTGATTGCGTAAGCATGTAGTTGTGATAGAGTACAAGACCAAAAGGAGAGGATACATTAGAAGGTAGTTCAATACCTGACCCATAAAACTCCTTCACAATTTCGTACACCAGACGGTCTTCCCTAAGCTTGTAACGTAAATTGTAAATGAAGACATTCAAAATACCACAATCAGGATTATAAAATAGATTTTTTCTTCTTTGTAATGTCTCTTTATATTTTCGAAAGAGGTCAATGACGATTTGCTTGAATTCCGCTTCCGGAAGAGAAGCGTGGCAAAAGTCTAAAGTTATGCGATAGAGCTCTGTTAAGACAACAGTATTGGGTAAAACAGATGTTTTTAACCGTTTAGAAATTTGAATATTGCAAGCATCTGAAGTAGCCCCGTCCCTTTTGAGCTGCTGCTCAGGTAGAGTTCTCACTGTACTGTAATGAACTAAACTCCATATCCCGAGCTCATTCAATAATTGAACGGTGTTTCGGTTCGTATATGCGGTAATGATATAACTGATGGTCATTTTTGGATCATTGAAAAACCTCAGGGTTGAAATTATTTCACCAATCAAGATTTGATCGAATTTGAAGTGTCGCGGCAATGGAAACGCTTGAATCAATGATATAAGCTTCAGCACATCCGAGTGCTGATCTGCAGCTCGCAAGTATTGTAAGGTCAACAGAAGCGGATAGTGTAAAAATCGAGCAGACAGTTTTTGTTTATGGACGAAAGTCATAATCATCGAGAGCGTATCCAAAAACATCTCATGATTAGAAGTTCTTTTCAAAAAGTTCAGCAGCGTAGTCACAAATTTTATAAATACCGCGTTTCGTTCTTTTTGAGCCAGCCTAGCATCAAGAAGTTCGTGTTTTTCGAGTCTCGAAAGTAAAGCACTGAAATAAACCTTAGTGTGCCTAAAATCACTTCTATCAATCAAAAAGTTGGTAAGGGTGCTCAGTTGAGAAAAGTTGTACAACGTAACAAACTTGGAATAGAAAATTTCTTGATGCTTAGGGTCATGTAAGAAAATTTGGAACGTTACTAGCTCAATGTCCATCTCTGATCCTTTTAATAATCTGTTCATGAACTTACTGCACTTTGGAGACGAAAGCAGAACGTCGTTTTGTATGAGAAAATAATAATGCGTAAATGACTTGCTTTTTGGAATGTTGACCCAGAACCATTGATGAACGTCATCGGGTACCAGGATTCCCCGCTGCCGCGCCAGTGTAGGGTAGAGCGCGTGCTGGAGTCGGATTGCCCTATAAAGAGCATCTATTTTTTCTTCGGTACTTGCTTTTGAATCCAGAATTGCACTTAGTTTCTTTGAAAATGCAAAGTATTGATCCGTTCCTGAATGCCTGTAGAATATCATGCTCAGGAAATTGTCATCGATACTAAACTTAGTCTGAGTTTCCACAAGAATTTTCAATTGGCTCACCAGGTAAACGTACTTATTTCCATGATGCCTAATCAGCTTATTTTTATATGTCTTGATCGAGGACAATTCTCCTCTCTCGAGCTTTTCATTGACATAATTTAAAATCTCCACTGGCGTTGGCAATACATTTCCCGCCCCACCAGCACTTCTCTGGAGTAAAGGGCAACAGCTCAGATATCGCAGACCTACAGGACTTCTGTAGATCAATCTTGACATGTAAAAGCGCTGTAATAAGCGAGGATGCGCTGGATGCCACGGCTTTTTATAGACACTTCTTATTTGAATTGAAGTTATCAACGTTGAAATTTCAAGACCTTCTTCCAATCACGTGAAAATTATATCATGTGACCTATATTTCCTTTTTCTTACACCGTTTTATCTCGATTCAACCATCGTTAATTTTAAACCGTTCAAGAGACCTAGTGGATACAAACACCTTAGCGTGGAAATCTATGGCGCCCAGTATGATTCCGAACAAACCAAGCGAGGTGCCTGGCTCCAATGTCAGTACTGTGTTCAAACGCACAGAGGTAATCGGGCGAGGAAAGTTTGGGATTGTATACAAAGGCTACCATGTAAAGACAAAGCAGGTGTATGCGATTAAAGTACTGAATTTGGACTCAGCTGAAGATGAAGTGGAGGATGTTCAGAAAGAAGTACAGTTTTTATCGTCACTGAAGCAAGTACCCAATATCACACACTACTATGGGTCGTACTTGAATGACACCAAGCTGTGGGTCATCATGGAATACTGCGCGGGTGGGTCGCTGAGGACATTACTACGGCCAGGAAAAATTGACGAGCAATACATAGGGATAATTATGCGTGAACTATTAGTAGCGCTTGTGCATATCCACAAGGATAACGTGATCCACAGAGATATCAAGGCCGCTAACGTGCTTATTGCCAATGACGGGCGGATCAAACTGTGTGACTTTGGGGTGGCCGCCCAGCTAACGCAGTCCAAAGTGAGGAGGCAGACCATGGCAGGGACTCCATACTGGATGGCTCCGGAAGTGATCATGGAGGGTGTGTATTATGATACGAAAGTCGACATCTGGTCTCTCGGCATCACCACCTATGAAATCGCCACTGGGAACCCACCCTATTGCGAAGTCGAGGCGCTGCGAGCAATGCAGCTCATCACAAAATCCAAGCCACCCCGGTTAGAGGGCAGACAGTACTCTAGCAGTCTGAAGGAGTTTATTGCACTATGTTTAGACGAGGATCCCAAAGAGCGCCTGTCAGCAGAAGAACTACTGAAAACTCGTTTTATCAAATCGTACAAGAATCTTCCTGTTTCAGTGTTGCAAGAACTAATAAGTCGATATCTGATACACAGAGACAAAAGATCTAGTCGTGATGCAAGCTCAAATATAGAGGAAGATGATCAAGCGCGTGGTGATACTAACGGGGTGGTGGAAGGAGAAGATCACCTAGACGTCAAATGGGACTTTGATTCTTTGAGCTCTAACGAGTACATCATGGAGAATGATATAAATATCGAGGCAATACCTGAGGAGTCAAGTCACGAGCATTTTAACTTCGCCTATCCAGACGAAGATATGCTGTACCAGTCGAATAGAAGGTTTTTCCAGGGCACCACAATCGGGAAGGGCGGGATGAACGTAACGATGAATAACTCAACAATCCATGCATTAAACAACAATACAACTTATCATAACTCTACAAACCTGCAGACGAGGAACGCAACTGGCACTACTAACAAAAAGTCGGAAACGAAAGCTTCGAAAGCTCTTCAGCAGCTTTTTGAAGAGACAGATACGCTTAATGAAGCAAGTGCCGAACAGGAGTATTCAAGGGTATCAAAACCGAACAATCCTATGCATCTGGCGTCTCATGAAGATATACTGAGGCCAGCAACCCCAAATTCTGAGCGTCCTTCTCATCCAGATGTTATCAAGGGCACTATTTACCAAAGTCAAAGCACGCCTTCTTTACCCATGTTGCAAACAAACTTCAGTCAGCCTGTTATTGTAGGCCCCGCAAGCTCTACTGCTCTACCGACGCCCATAGAAATTGAAATTCCCGAGGAGCTGCCATCAGTACAAGAGAAAACATTGGGTGCCTCTACCAAACCACGCTCTTCAACTGTTTCCGTAGTCACGAATAAGGTTTCCCAGCACCTACAAAGAAGGCTCACAGTCACAGGCAATGGACCCGGTAGAAGCGAAAATGGCGGCACACCGAAAACTATTCTAGAGGATAAGGGTAGGGTTAGCAGTCTGGCACCAGCGCCATTAAGTAAAAGTGGAAGAAGCTCGTCTCCCATGAAATTGGTGAGTAATGGATCCCCCGGGAAAGGCCCATCATCCATGCCAGGTATGCACGTGACATCACCTTCTATGAAACCAATGTTGAATGAGAAGACTGATGTCCTCCTACAGCCCATGAACGGAAATGACAACGAGCATGTGCCAACGAGAATCAATCGTGATTTTAAGAAGCAGAATCCTAATTTAAAATTACAGATGCCATCTCCGACGTCATTGATGCCCAACAAGCTTCTAGAAAACATAACAACCGTGACTGCCAATACGGAGGATTCCAATATCAATCAGTTTGGATTTAACACGAGCACTACTATGCTTCCTGTAGCGATGACACCTGTGGGAGAACGCCCCCACGATCCATTCAAAAGAAATAGAAGTACTAGCAATGCCAGCAGAAGTAACAGCGTTGCCTTAGAAGGGTCTGTGACCGTTTCTGCGAACAGTGTAGCCTCTAACGCTACAACCAATACATCTACTACTAATGGAACGCCTGTCGAGTCTGCTATGGAACCACCTCCCAAGTTTCTTCAGATGGATATGTTCTTAGACGCTCCGGATGAAGCCGATGAGCCCGATCACGAGGACCGTAAGTTTCTTGTGCGGCGCGAATTGGAAAAACTACTCCGAACAGTTGAGGATGCCCTGCCCATTATGGAACAAGCACTCAAGGATGTGCTGACAAAAATACATAGTGTAGAAGACTCTTAAGTACATTGTCTAGCGGGAAAGCTCGGAAGCCATTGTGCTTCTAATTTTGGAACAGGAACCCTTTGGCATATAAAACCATGTAAAAACATCTATTCCATTGTGGATATCCTAATTTTGAGATATAGTTCATGTGGAAATTGGCTTAGATGCAAAGGAATGTGTTGATAATCAGCTCCACTGGCAATCAATAATGCATGAGTGATAATAATCTTGTTACCGACCTTCCATGCATACGGTATGTTGGTAACCTTCTACGAAAATGAAGAATGTTAGCTTTTTTCTTTTCAAGAATCTATGAGAGTACCAGGGCAAAACTCTTAATTATTGTTGACATCGTTTAGATCAGGGAAGGTTCGCCAGACATTAGGCATTATTGAGTAAAACTTACGTTCGCTTTATACCCATGAGTTCACACAGTTCAAGCACCCTTGACACGCTTCAAGAAGAGACCGCTGCTCATGAATCCAGCTTGAAAAGCAATGTTCAACAACAACGCAGAAGGGGCAAATCCGGATCCTTCCCTAAGTCTAGCAGTATATCGAGTGGTAACAGCAAGACAGTAGGACTGGGAATTGCTCGGAGACCCAGTGACAACCTGTTAATGAACCTTGCTCAAGAGGAACAGCCAATTATCGCGCAGCCTCCATCGCGGAAGAATTTGATCTCGCGATACGAGCGACCAATATCTAATGATTCAATCGTTACGGAGAGCACAGAACTCTTCTCTTCTAATCCAAACTCGACTGCTTCGTCGACAAGCAACAACTCTCGCGGGTCGTCCATTATCGACGATCTGGACGAGAGTGTGAAACAACAGGGTGAGGAAACTAGTCAGGAGGACGCCGGTGATGATTCTACTCTCGACTACTCATCTTCGCTTGATACAGACCTTTCCGTCTCAACTCATGGTCAACCCAAAACCAGATACATGTTTTCTAACAGTACAATGGCACGGTCGCAACTGTCTTTTGCGGCGAACAATCCTTCTCCCCTCAAGAATAACGTCAATCGTGCTTCACCTGTTCCAAGGCCTTTGTATTCTAAATCAGCTCCTTCGCTACCGCAGGAGACTGTATTGACTCCTTCTCAGCGCTACAGACTAAGAAGGGAGCAAAGTAAGGTAGCTTTGCAAAAGTCGATTAAACAGAGAGAGCAGTACTATGACGAACAGGAGAATTCTTTCGAATCTCTTGCCAATGAATCTGTGGTAGACGATGCCTTAATTTGGAATATTCCGGTGGCATCTCACAGCACTAATTCTTTTTTGATGTCGATGAAGCCTTCACCCAAGAAAAGCAAGCAAAAGCCACCAAAATTTTCGAGGTCCACATCATTGCATTCTATGGCCTCTGCATCTTCATCATCTTGTCTGGACTTTCGTGAAATGCCTACCTCACCATTACCGGGCGTGCACAAGACTTCAGATTTGCAATTCTATCAACAAACGTCAGAAAATCTCTCAACAATTTATCAACATTCTTCAAACCAACTTTCGCGGAACAAGCTACTAGAACGCACAACGTCTACCGAGTTTCTACCTTTCCAGTTCAAGTCTGCCAGCGATGAAGGAATGGAGGATCTAAAGTTGGTGTCAGAGGACAAGGTTCAGTTGTGCAGTCCCTCGAGACCTACGTGGTTACCCCCAAAGCCTACTGAGGAACGAAAATCACATGAAAGGGAGATCAATAAAACAATCAGCATGGCTTCTATCGATTTGCTAGATCGTAGCAAGGAAAGAGAAGAGAGGGAGATAAGAAACGAGACTAACAGACAAAAGTTGTTTCTGTTATTGGATCGCGGGATAACCAGACAGTCTTCTTTACATGATTTGAAAAAAATTACATGGGAAACAGCATTGACGCCAGAAACACGTTACGAGATATATGACGCGATTTTACAAAGTGACATTCGCTTTATTTCAGAGAACTTCATCGAACCTCTGCGGAATACTACTACAGTTTTAGACAAGATGGAATTTCCTCGATCTAAGCAAAGTGAGATAGAAAAGCTCATCAATAAAATTCCATCGATAGAAGAGAACGAATTGTCGCGGGATCTCACCCATTTGTTGAAGCTAAAGTCCATCTCTAGTCAGGGCCTTCTGCCTGGGGATGAATTTCTGTTCTATCATTTTTTGAGTGACAAATCATTTGGTGATCTAAATAAGGTTTGGGAAATGGTTCACCTCATCCAATCTACCTGTTTTAACGACCTTACCAGGGAAAAATTTGATTCTCGAGTTTTGAGCTCTCGTGGAGTTATTGCTAGTTACTTAACTCGGGATGATAGCTTCAAAAATGAGTTCAATTCGAAGTCACTTAACGTTTCAACTTGGTGGAATATCTTACAGCGCATGGATCATGAAATGTTCATGTGGTGCTTAGATATCATCGTGGTTCACAATAGTCAGCCATACAAAAACTCGCCTATAGACAAAGAAGCTTTTGAGGGCAAATCTTGGGATTACTACAGATCTAAGAAGGTTGTAGTAAATTATAAAATACTTTGCTCACTAATGCTCAATGTTTTACTGAATTATCATTTTGGCTTTGATGATTTAAACTCACTTGCCAGTCTCAAAGATCAGGATTTCCGGATTCCCTGCTCTATGGAGGATCTATTAGATGCTTCTGCAGTACATGAGGTCTTTGTTAAGAAATGGCAGCATTACTACAAGAAATTCTAGTACATATGTGATATATAAATGGGCGGATTTTAAAATATCTTAAGAACACCGGTTTCTGAAGTAAGGGTCTGTTTTCTTTTTTCGGGCTGCATATATTGTTTTTTTATTTGATAGCAGCAGAAAAGTTATTCTGTTGCCTACACGTTACGCAGGAATGTCTTGTTCACACACGATATTGCCACATGTTTCGACTGTGGCCGGAACAGTATCGTTTCTGAGCTCTTTCATTGCGCAGATTCCCCAACTTCTAGAAACTTATGCCGATAAAACGGTTGAGGGCCTTTCACCAATATTCCTCCTGGCATGGCTGCTTGGTGATATTACTAGCGTGATCGGAGCAGTATTAACACACCAGTTGGCATTCCAAGTTATTTTGGCTTTATATTTTTTGGTGAATGATTTGTTCATCTGCGGCCAATATTATTACTACGGTATTCTGCACCAGAATAAGTTGGCTACCCGCGGCCACGAGGCCATGCCAGTGGAGGAAAGAATTGCGACGGTCAGAAGTCGTGGGTCTGGGGCCGTTTTAGATGCACGTTTGAAGCGTAAATCGTGGTTGGCAAGCTTGTTCATCTTTGGTAACGGAGCTCACGGATTTCCTTTGATATTGAGTGCAGCATCCCTTACCGTGTCTCCAGTTCCGCCAGACAACTCTATGACGATTGGCCGCATCTTATCATGGGCGGGTGCTATGTGTTATGTGGGTGCTCGTATTCCCCAACTGATCAAGAACTATCATCGGAAATCAACAGATGGGCTTTCTCCATTCCTGTTTTTGAACACTTTGCTAGCCAACACAACGTATACTTTGAGCATTTTTACGAGCTGTGCATATCTAGGGAGTGAGGATAAATGGGCGTTTGCCATGAACGAAATGCCGTTCATCGTGGGAAGCGCCGGCACCATTGTATTTGACATCATTTATTTCTACCAACATTACGTGCTCTATGCTGAAGATATGCTGCTCAGAGAACTCGAAGCTCGCGGGGAAGAACGCGAACCATTGATAGCAGCTGCATAGGGATATCGCAGTATTTGGGACTTCGAACGTTGTATTTTCATATTCGAGTTTGTATGTTCTCTTTGGCACATATCCGGCAACTCAGTTAGCCACGGGAACATTTACTATACGGAAGAAATTGCCATTTGCCAGATGCAAGTTCTGCATGTTCGACAGACAACTGCATACAAATGGTTCATGTTGCATTGGTGGTTAGACCCCAACAGAGCGGTATTTTGTAGCATATATAGTTTCTACATAATGAAGCTTTTTTCCATTCGTACTTGTTAACAATTGAATGCCGAGACAAGTAAGTAGTTGTCCCACATTTATTTAGCAATTACATACTGGCTTGCTAGCGTCTGGCATTTTTTTATAAAGGTGGGCTGCCATCGGTTCTTCATTTTCCCGCAACATAATGAACAAGATCAAGATCCTGTATTTCTCGCTGCCGCACGATACATCTATCTTGTACCTTCGTATTACGGCCCCCATGCTACTGTAAATCCCGTAACGACGAAGCGAACACCCATGTCTACTTCAAGTGGATATCCTGGATGCTACGCGCCAAGGAAAACTCCTGGGTGTACGGTTCTGGAGCTCGAAACCTAGTAACAATAGCAAACAGTATGTCTTGCGTGATATTTCTACGAGTTCCTCCAGGGATATCATGAAGATGAGGCCTTGTTCCCGACTATGCCTCAAATTAATCAGCTTTTACCCTTTGTGAATTACGTAGAGAATTCATCTCGATACCGCAAGAATTAAAAACCGGTGCAAACTTAATCTCGGATCTATGAGCTCCGAGGAACCTAGACTATTGCATTCAGTAGCTCATATTCCTTTAAATTTAACCATCAAAGTCTCATCATGTGATAGAATCTTGTCGAAAATTATGCTACCGTCGGCATTAGCAAAGATTCCCTTCACGTCATATATAAGTATAAAGGAAACGAAATTCATTCTCGTTCAATCCTTTAGTGACCCCAATTGCATAGAGAATTACAAGCGCAACTCAAGTATTATTGTAAATCAGTCAAGAAATGTCCTACGCCGCAAAGACAGTCACACTTAACAATGGCAAGAAGATGCCCCTAATCGGGTTGGGATGCTGGAAAATTCCTAACGACGTGTGTGCCTCTCAGGTGTACGAGGCCATCAAGCTCGGATACAGGCTATTCGATGGAGCTGAGGACTATGGTAATGAAAAAGAAGTCGGTCAAGGAATCAAGCGTGCTATTGAAGAAGGTTTGGTGAAGAGAGAGGATCTGTTCGTGGTGTCGAAGCTGTGGAATTCTTACCATCACCCTAACCACGTGAAACTCGCTTTGCAGAAGACGCTTGACGACATGGGATTGGATTACTTAGATCTGTTTTACATTCACTTCCCATTGGCGTTCAAGTTCGTACCCTTCGAAGAGAGGTACCCACCTGGGTTCTATACCGGCAAAGAGGATGAGGAAAAGGGTATTATTTCGCAGGAAAACGTGCCCATCTTGGACACTTATCGCGCACTAGAGAAGTGTGTCGACGAGGGACTGATCAAGGCAATCGGTATTTCCAATATGGCGGGTGCTCTGGTCCAGGACTTGCTTCGCGGTGCCAGAATCAGGCCCGCCTGCCTACAAATCGAGCATCATCCATATTTGACTCAAGATCATCTTGTCAAGTATTGCCAAAAGGAGGGTGTTCAAGTTGTGGCGTACTCCTCGTTCGGTCCTCAGTCTTTCTTGGAAATGGGCTCCGAGCTTGCCAAGACCACTCCTACCCTGTTCCAACACGAAACTGTGAAGGCAATTGCTGAGAAACACAAGGTATCCGCTCCGCAAGTTCTGCTAAGATGGGCAACTCAAAGAGGCGTTGCGGTGATTCCCAAGTCTTCCAAGAAGGAAAGGCTGCTAACCAACTTGACAATTGATGATGATATCACCTTGAGTGACGACGAACTGAAGCAGATTTCAGGTTTGAACAAGGACATTCGTTTCAACGATCCTTGGACTTGGAGTGGCATGGAGTTCCCAACTTTTGCTTAAATTCAGAGACTCGGTACGAATTCATGAACTTAAATATGGCGTGTATGTAGCGTAATCGTACGTTGAATATTCACGAATCACTTAAAAGGTCCGTTGCAGGTTGTGGTGCGTATTTAGTGATACTTGCTTCGATAAATTGTGCAAGTTATTGCATGGCAACTCATCTCAGTTCTATAAAGCATAGAAACATACCTATAGCTATCAATATGACCCAGGGGGTTCAGTTTCTCGCTCCGGAGCCCATACATCTAACAGATAACGAATCTCCCGCCGAAAATTCGCCTCAACGATCGCTACATTTCAAGCAAATTACCGTAGGCGATTGCACCATCGTCAATGGGCAGAGGAGCAAGTTTTCCGTATGGCAAATCCAGCTCGTACTATCACCTCGATCAAATACTGGTAACAGTAGCCCACACATACAACTATACAAGAGGTATTCGGACTTTGTGGTTTTCCGTGAAAGTTTGCTAGGCAGTCTTCCACCAGATCTGCGAAAGAGCGTTCCAGAGCTTCCGCCTAGAGTGAGTTGGTACGATTCCTGGCGCTACCAAGAAGCCAACTTTAATAGCAGCTGGCTCGCGCGTCGCCGTGCTGGTCTTGAGTTTTTCCTCAATCAGGTGCTGCTTAATGACAAATTACTAGCGAAGGCTGGAACTTGCATAAGGGCGTTTCTAGAAAACTAGTCACCCTCAAATCCTATCACTCCGAACTACGAAAGGAACTTAAAGGGGCTCGAAATTAACTATTTTACTAAGCATGCGGCTAGTCCCGTTGATTATATCTTTGTTTTCTCAAATCAATATCAGGGTGGTCCAGACCTGGCACATGATTTGTCATTCCCGAAATTTTTTCGTATTATAAAAGGTCGAGCATCGTACCAGTAAGGAACGAACATCATGAAACCCTGGAGAATATCAATTAGAATGGTTCACCAAAGAGTTACTATTATCGGATCCGGTCCTGCCGCTCACACCGCTGCCATTTATCTAGCAAGAGCTGAAGTTAAACCTACCTTGTATGAGGGTATGTTCGCTAACGGTATCGCTGCTGGTGGTCAATTGACCACTACGACGGAAATTGAGAACTTTCCAGGTTTCCCAGAAGGCTTGACTGGTAGTGAACTTATGGACAGAATGAAAAAACAATCAGAAAAGTTTGGCACTGAAGTGATCACAGAGACTATTTCCAAGGTCGATCTGTCATCTAAGCCATTTAAATTCTGGACCGAATTCAACGAAGATGCAGAACCCATTACTACAGATGCCATCATCTTGGCTACCGGTGCTTCTGCCAAAAGAATGAACTTGCCAGGCGAGGAAACTTACTGGCAACAAGGTATCTCTGCCTGTGCTGTTTGTGACGGTGCTGTGCCTATTTTCAGAAACAAGCCATTGGCCGTCATTGGTGGTGGTGACTCTGCTTGTGAGGAGGCAGACTTCCTAACCAAATACGGTTCTAAGGTCTACATGCTTGTCAGAAAGGATCATCTACGTGCATCTACCATTATGCAAAGGCGTGCTGAGAAGAACCAAAAGATCGAAATTCTATACAACACTGTTTCCCTAGAAGCTAAGGGTGACGGTAAGTTCTTGAATGCTTTGAGAATCAAGAACGTCAAGACTAATGAGGAATCGGATCTACAAGTCAATGGTTTGTTTTATGCTATCGGACATACTCCAGCCACCCAGATTGTTGCTGGCCAAGTCGATTTGTACGAAAACGGGTACGTTAAGACCGTCCCAGGAACCTCGTTGACTTCTGTTCCAGGTGTCTTTGCCGCTGGTGATGTTCAAGACTCCAAGTACAGACAAGCTATCACTTCTGCTGGTTCCGGTTGCATGGCTGGTCTAGATGCTGAAAGGTACTTATCCGAGCTAGAGTAAGTACAATCGGGTAGTGATTTTACTCATTTTTCCGTATGTTACAAATAAATAGTACTTTAATAGACGAATTCACACTGTAGAAACAAATTTGCAATTTTACGCTCTTTTTTCAATCATTCCAGTACTCTTAAAGTACGCTTGAATATTTTTTACGTCGTGGTCTAAAGAATGATGTTTCCTAAACGTACATAGCTCGCAAAAAAAATCGTGATTCCATTTGTCTTAATGCCGTCTTAGTTGAAGGGTTCTGACTTGTTCCTCTAACTTCTTTACCTTGGCCTGAACTTCTTCCAAGTCACTGTTGAGCCTAATTCTCTCGTTCACAATATTTTGTTCCCATTGTCTAAATCTTTGTTCTTCGGCCTTCACTTGATCTGTAAAGTACTTCTTCAATGCATTCTCTTCCTCTTTGAACTGAGGGTTGTGAGAAAGCTTTCTGGCTGGAGCTCGGGTGGGTAAAGATGGGTCTTCTGTTGAACCCGCACCTTCCAAACGGAGTTTTCTGTACGCTTCATAGTGCAGCTTTTGAGTCGACAGGATAAGATCCAAGAGATTTGTTCTTAACAAAAGACTTCTCAATTTACGGAAATCACAATGCGAGTCGTTTTCAACCTCTACGAGTCCCCAAGGGTATTTTCTAGCCGCTATCATTTGCCCTTGGCCATTATCATATTTCTCTTCAGAACCTATGATTGCAAACGGCATAGACTCGATTAGCTGTCTAGCATGTTCCATAAGAGCAGGGTCTGGAGACGAGGAATCATCCAAGGGAGGCGTAAAAATACGGATTTCCTGGGCCTCAATGACTTGTCTGATCCTAATCTTGAAATCCTGTAGTTCTTGAGCGGTCAGAGTGTCAGACTTTGCGATCACTGGAATCAGGTTAGCTCTTGACGAAATGCGCTTCATGGTCTCTATATCCAATGGCTTCAATCCATGACCAGTGGGTCTGATAAAGTACAACACAGCGTGAACCCTCAAGTCGAATTTAACTGTACGGAATGGCTGTTGTTCCTGGCGCATGTAGGAATCATGTTGATCGTCAATGAAGTCGATTATGGTTTGCCACGATTTATTGTTGTTGACATTGTCGCCAAAACCTGGCGTGTCGACGACGTTTACTCTCAAGGAAAAGTTCTTCTCCTCGAGAACTGCACGCAGAACGTCTATTTCCACAGTCTTTTTGATGGGCTGATTACGGCGTTGTGAGTCCACATGCTTAAGAGTAGTTTGGAACAACGTGTTGATGAAAGTTGTCTTGCCCAGACCGGATTCACCGCACACCATCAATGTGAACGTTCCCCCATTGCTTGACACAATCTTGTAACGCTGATTAGGCAAATTAGAGATGCCAACTAGAGCTCGATCCGAAGTCATTGCTGTTCTCTTTCAATTGTTTCACGCGTGTGATCTTAGATCAGGAATCCGGTATGTGAGATTCGCTTCAAATTTTTTTAGCCCAATTACGTGTCAGGAGGGTAACTATTTCTACAGCTCAATGTAGAAGAGCGTTTAGCGATTTTACAAAACTAAGGACCTATCTTGGAGCTTATTACAATGCTTAACTACATACCAGAACGTCAAGAAACACTACAACTACAATATTGGCAGTGCTGTAGTCTTTCGTGTATTGTGATTATATGTACCCTACGATATTCACCCCATGTGCAAGGACCGGACATGAGCAATTGACCTATCAGAAGGCCTAGGATCTTTGAAGCATGTCATGTTCTTGGATATTATTATCCCTTTCGCTTTTTTCTCTTCCATTGCCAGGTTCCAATTTCATGCTATGCGTATTTTAATTTCAGTCCTCAATATCAGCGACATTAAAAAATCCCAATCAAATCGGAAACTGGTGAGACGAATATATCGGAAGATCGAGAAAGTGAATCATGGTTGATATAAGTTTTTTCACTAAGAAGCTGTTAGTACATCCACTGCAGCTGACACCCCAAGACCTGCATCAAGCGATTGGGTTGATTGTCGACACATTAGCGGCGGACAATACAGTTGACGCGGAGACATATGTTCCTATCGGGAGCTTTCTGTCATGTTTGCGAGCCAGCGGCCTTGATCACCGTGCTGAATACATCGCCGAGGCAGCAAAAGCAGTTTTAAAGTATTCCGATGTAGTCAAGTCTACTGCCAATGACACCGACGACGTGATCATCGATATCGTCGGAACAGGTGGAGACGGACAGAATACGTTCAACGTCTCGACATCCTCTGCGATTGTGGCATCAGGTATTCCAGGCATCAAGGTTTGCAAGCATGGTGGTAAGGCGTCAACCTCAAATAGTGGCGCCGGAGACCTGATCAACGTCTTGGGATGTGACTCATCAAAGGTTACAGCAAAGACTGTGCCGCAATTGTGGGCAGATAATTCATTTTTGTTCTTGCTGGCGCCCTATTTTCATGATGGTATGAAGCATGTGGCCACGGTTAGGAAGCTGCTCAAAATCCCCACGATATTCAACGTTTTGGGACCTCTTCTCCACCCTGTTGCCCACGTCCAAAAACGGGTACTTGGCGTCTACTGTCGCGAGCTCGGTTTAGAATACGCACGGGCTGCGGCTCTTGTGTATCCGGACAGTGAAACTTTTGTCGTATGGGGCCACGTAGGTCTCGACGAAGTATCTCCCACTGGCGTTACCACTGTTTGGCATACGGTTCCAGGGAGCACAGAGATTGCGTCCTTTGAGCTAGAACCAGCTCTTTTTGGAATCCAAGAGCATCCACTAAAGGAGTGCGTTTCACTAGGTCCCAGGCAGAACGCAGAAATTCTTCACATCATTCTAAGTGGTGCGTACCATAAAGGTGAGAATTCGGTCTACGACTACATTCTACTGAACACAGCAGTTCTATATTGTTTGAGCAGAGGCCATAAGAACTGGAGAGAAGGTGTCGAAGCGGCTGAAAACTCGATTCACTCAGGTGCTGCTTTGAAGGCCCTTCAGCATTTTATCGCCGACGTCCAGGGCCTATAGGATAGATAATACTGATAATAATACTTACCTCGAATTTATAAATATAGAAGCCACCATTGTTTCGTTTAAAGTTGGCTAGTTGTGAATGAGGAAACTACCATGTGGTCTTGAACTTCAGTTGTTTTATTAGTAAAGCTCTCTGCTAATTGATGCGGTCATGTGATATGAAAAATCTCTAGTCTTCGCGTCGCTACACAAAACAAAAACAATGACATTCAATTCAAGCGGGAATATTGCTAAAAGATAAACCATAAGATCAAATGTCGGCCATTCCGGACACGCCAGGGGGGCCGAATAAGGTCGATAGCTACGAGTTCACACCCATAGGATTTGTGAAACCTGCAGAGAGAAAAAAAATATCTCCTGTAGATGACGAGACGCGAAAGAGATTGTCAGAACATTCTGATATCGAGGATGATGAACCTCCCCAGAAAACGTACAAGCATGATAATACTCTGAACTCCACAAGGATTTTCAATGAATCTTCATTCGACGACACGCTACCATTACATAATGGGATGTCCGAATTTAGGAAGAATCTTGTCGCAGAATTAGTGGACACAGAAATTGTTGGCCAAAATGGATCGGCTTCAAATCCATTGAAAGAGCAGCAAGAATCGCTCCACAAACTGAGTATGGAGAATTATAACCTAAGGGTTAAATGTAACAGTTTACTGAAATTTTTGAATAACGTCACAGACGATGGGGAACTGAGGAAGAATTTAGAAATCTTAGATGAGATTCAACAATGGAAAAATAAGTACCAGTCCCTTAGTCGAGCATACCGTGACTTGCAAAAAAAATGTGATGAACCAGAGAGGGGTGAGGGGGATTCCAAGAGAGAAGAGCTTGAAAGTAAGGTTTCCACTTATGAGCTCGAGCTTTCCAAATCGAAATCTGCTCTTGCAAACTTAGAGAAGAGAGTTTCAGAGTTACATGTTGAATCAGGGCAACGGGACGAGCAACATAAAGCAAGTGTGGGGGCTCTAAGATTAGAAATGTCGGATTTGCAGGCTTCGATTGTGGACAAGACGCGTGAATTGGAAGAATCGCGCAAGAAAATTGAACGTTTGAGCAATCAATTATTAGAGTATGATCATCAAGGTGGATCTCTTTTGGAGTTAGAAAAACAATTGGATTTGAAAAATGAAGTCATAAGGAATTTAGAGACTAGGCTTCGAGAATCGAACCATGAACGTCAATCGCTTGAACGCCAGCTTGACGGCAAGAGCACAGAGCTGGGAAAACTAAATCTTCAGCTTGAACAAGATCGCAAAGAGGCAAGCCAAAAGTTAACAGAAGCCATGGCCAGTTCCGCTGCTACAGGTAATGAAGCCAAGGATGAACTTCATAGTGTTTTATCTCAATACGATACACTGAAAACTCAGTTTGGGACTCTCGAAAAGGAAAACGAAGCATTGAAAGAGGGGCTCAAAAAACGCGACGAACAAATGACTCAATTGCAAGACCGCATACGAAAACTACAGAATGAGTTGTACACCGAACAAGCTTCTGTCGGTGCCAAAGCTTCTAACGAGGAAAGGAAATTGAAAGAAAAGCTAAGCAAACTGACTGAAAAGCTCGAACAGCTATCAGTCAGTAAGCAGACGTTAGAGAAGGAGAATGAGGCATTGAAGAAACAAATCATCGCGCAAATTTCAAAATCCCCAAATCTCAAACAGAATAACAGAAGGGTACTAGAGAAAGAGAAGGAAATTAAACTTCTTAAATCAACAATACAAGATCTCGAAAACGAGGTAGCCCAGTACAGAAGAGATATTAGTGAAATAAAACGTACCCATTCGACCAAGATGAATGAACTAGAAATTCAGCTGCAGAATTCAGAAAGCAGGCCTTTGCTCCAAAGCAAAAAGTTACACAATGAAATGAATATTTTGAAGCTTGAGCTGGAATCTGTAAAAGACACCAAACACAGAGAGATTTTGATATTGCAAGGCAAATGTGATGCACTTAAAGCTGAAAACGAGCAATTGCTCAAACAAGATGATAATCATTCGAACCAATTACGGAAGCTGTTAAAGGAAAAACAGCAAGAATTGACCGATCTGGCTCAGAGATGTAGCGACCTAACGATCGAAAAGCTGCGCCTCGGTAGAGATCTAACCCAAATGAAGGAAACAAGCGCCAAACAGAAGGAGGAATTGAAGGCTACATCTTCTAAGTTGGATTACATCACAAATGAATTTGTGAAACTGCGGGAGACTGCCGAAAGGCCTTCCTCAGCACTCAATTCTAATATTGCGGATAAGTGGGCTGGGAAATATCAATCCATGAAGCAAAAACTTCTGAATGAAGTTAAAATGTTGCAGGACGAAAATCTAGCTCTAGAGAAACGACTGCTCGAAAGAAGAGGAGAAGCTAGACCAATCTCTAATGCCACTGATGGCTCTCTACTGCAGGACGAAGTAGATTACTATAAGCTGCGGTATCATCGGGAAGTGAAACAAAACAATGATCTGAAAGTTATGAACGAATATTTAAATCGCGTGCTCAGAGCTGGTTCTCAACACTTGCGGTTAGACATTCTTAAGCTGGAAAATGAGGTACCAGGAAGTGACAAGGTTTTTGGCGCATATCCGTCTCGTTTAAAGTTCAAGACTGTGGCATTGTTTGTGCTGGCCTGTGTTCGTTTCAGGAGCGTTGCTCTGAAACATAGATGGGACGACCAGCGTCTTACGTATCTGCAAAGGAAGATTGTGATGGACCAGGAAAGAATAACTTGGTAGTTGACCACCTGTCTTTCTTTTTCAGACTCTTGTGCTCCTTTACTACATCCTCTATTCTCTGTTTAAAAGTTTGTACTATAACATCAATTTGATCTAGCATGTCGAAGCTGGATTCCAGCTCTTCACATTGAACCAAAAGTTTTTGAAGCTCTGCAATATTCTCATCTATGATTCCCTCTATAACCTCTTTCGTTACTAGTTCGTTTTGACGTTTACATATTTCGGTGGTGTGCAGATGAATAGATGAGACATAATCCTGAATCTTATACAACAAATAGTCGTAATGCACAGTTAAACGGTCAATTTTAAAAGGATCGCATGGCTCTTCTTCGCTTGCAACATTTTCTGGTTCGTCTGACATCGGTGAACCACTTTCAGCCTTGTTTCTTGTCAAACCTAAGTAATCTGACCAAGTTTCCCCTTTGACCTTCGTCTGGAAACACATCATTATAATTACCCGCACATTTTTTTTTTCCTCAAGATTATATAGGGGGGTTGCTTGATTCGAACCGAAAGATCGTAGACAAGAGAAACACCTGGTAAAACTTGTTCATGTCCCAAGGAATTTATCTCAGTGATGCGCCAGTGAGGAGACCTCAGTACGGTGGAAGTCCTCTAGTTAGGAAAATTCAACGTGCTTGTAGGCTCTCACTCCAAGAACCGGACTTGTCGCTCAACCTTGACGTTGCCGATTATGTCAATGCCAAGCAGGGTGCTGCTCCAAGAGATGCTGCTGTGGCAATTGTTAAGCTCGTTAATAGCAGGGATACGCATACTGCTGTCTTTGCATTGGCTCTTCTTGATGTTTTAGTGAAGAACTGTGGTTATCCTTTTCACTTACAGATTTCGAGGAAGGAGTTTTTGAATGAACTGGTGAAAAGATTCCCAGAGAGACCGCCATTACGTTTCACTAAAGTTCAACGCCTAATTTTGACTGCTATTGAGGAGTGGTACCAAACAATTTGCAAGCACGCTGCGTATAAAGAGGATATGGGCTACATTAGGGACATGCATAGACTGTTAAAGTATAAGGGTTATATTTTCCCAAAAATCAAAGAGGAAGACCTATCTGTCTTGAGACCTAGTGACCATTTAAAAACCCCAAGCGAAATTCAAAAAGAGCAGGAGATTGCTCAGGCTGCCAAATTGGAGGAGTTGATCAGACGTGGGAGACCGGAAGATTTGAGAGAGGCTAACAAGTTGATGAAAGTCATGGCAGGATTTAAAGAAGACAATGTCGTTCAATCCAAGCAATTGATCAATGACGAATTAAGAAAGCTTAAAAGAAAAGCAGATCTTTTTAACGAAATGTTGAGCACATCGGAGAACCCTGATTTGAGCAATGATACCCTCGTTGAGCTCTACAGTGCCCTCAAGGTATCTCAACCCAAGTTTCAAAAGATTATTGAGGAAGAACACGATGATGACAATCTGGTCCAAGACTTGTTACAGTTCAATGACACTGTCAATCAATTGATGCAGAAGTACAACTTGTTAAAGACAGGCGAAACAGGTCAAGCTGCTGAAATAAAGCTTTCAGCTATCTCTTCCCCAACCCCTACTGGCGGTGCTCTGGCCAATGAAATTAATTTAATTGATTTCGGTGATGAGGATGCTTCATCTTCACCAACACCTACTGGACCATCTTCTGGAAACCCTGTTGATGATCTGCTAAGTGACTTGGACAACTTAAATTTTTCACAGCCATCACAAGGTTTTGGCTTGGGTGGAAGTATTTCATTGGGTGCTTCGGGTCCTACCTCTGCTGTGAATACAACTACTGCACCTGGTAATAATATGGATCTACTAGCTGGACTGTCATCTCCAGCATCACCCTCACCTCAGCCAGTCTTCAACGCCCCTACTTCAAATACTGCCGATCTTCTGGGTGATTTTTCGACGCCTGTGACGTCTGCTCCCTCAAAAAACTCTCTAGAGCAAGTAAAAGTAGAAATGTCCTCCTCGTCTCACTTGAGAATTGATGTTGAATTGACTAGGGAGTCCGATTCCGTTTTGAAAATTGTATCTTATTTTTCAAATATCGGTACATCACCTATTTCAGAGTTGACATTCATGGTTGCTGTGCCAAAGTCGATGACTTTGAAATTGGAGCCACAATCCGGGAATTTTCTACCAGTAAGTGCTCAAAACGAGGTTACGCAGGTTGGTTGGATTCAAAATGCTCTAGTCACGTCTGAAAAGGTATTAAAGGTGAAGTGGAAGGCGTCGTATATTGTAAACGCCACTCCTGTTGAGGAAACTGCTATTTTCGCTCTCCCAAAAATCTGATTTTTGAATTGCCCTTCAAAAGCTTTCAAAGCGTCTTGTATTCTAGTACTATAGAAGGTATTATCGTCATTATGTAGTCAAGTCATTTAACTGTCCGCTAATGCTATTTACCTTGCTGAATTTTTTGAAGTATTTCTTGTGGAGTCGGTGATAATATTTTGTCCGCCGTGGCTCCTTCTTGTCTAATGGTGGATTGCGTCTGTGAATTAGTTCCAATCTTCTGAGAAGCGCGCTGTGGGTCTCGGGATTGATCTTCTTGATGGGCCTTTTGTCTCTGTTTCATGCTCCTATAATAGCTTTCTGCGGCCTTAAGAGCCAGTTCAGGGGTGAATTCAGGCTTTTGCGTTAAAATCTTACGGGCATAGCTCTCTATGATGCTCTTCTCGGATAGTGGCTTGATGTCTCCTTGTTGCGGTATTTGAGTGGTGATCTTTGAAACATCAGAAGATGATCTAGATAGATGGTTTGGTGCGTTGTTGGCCGCATGACGGTTTCCCAACTGAGGAGCGCTTTGAACTGATATCTTGGAATTTCTGGGTGATGCTTGTTGGTTCAAAGTCGCAGCCTGGAGTTTCTGCTTGGCAATTCGCCTCATCTGAATATCTCTCCGTAATGCATCATCTCGTTGTGCCTTTAGTTGGGACATCTCCGTAGGAGTAGGCACTGACGTGTTTTTGCAATCGAGAGGTTTTCTAGGTTGCGTAGGGTTGGGCCGGGGAGCATTCTCTCGCTTCTTTATACATTTTCGCATCGCTTCAAACATACTCGCCCAACGTAATCTTTTGTGTCCTCGTTGAATTGATTCCTCGCCGACACCTAAAGGAGAGATTCGTCTCTTTTGTTGCTGTTGTAACTTATGAGCTTCCATTAGCCAAATTTGGGCATTATGAGCACGGGGCCCTTTCATGTCGGTAAACTGAAACTTTTCGTTTAGCTGAACAAATCTTTCAAAGCATTGCCAAGGTGTCCTTCTCTCAATATTTGAGCAGTAAGATCTAGTTGTCCTGGACGACATTTGGGTACTTATTAAATCCCAATTATATGCATAAGAATTGATATTCTTCACAAGTTCTTGATCATCTTCGGGGAGCCAAATAGTTGGTGTTCTGTAACGCAAGTACCGAAGTGATGGGGCCATTGGTGGACGCAAATAATAGCTTCGTCTATTACCGTAAAACATTCCTCTTCTTTTACTCAGAGGAACTAATGAAGGTTCATCATCTATGATTTGCCGCTCGACAACTTTTACGTAATGATCGTCATCTAGCGTAACCGTCGATTTTGAAATGGGATCGAAAGGTAATTCGTTTGAATCATCTTTTTCAACTTCGGTGTAGCTTACTCCCATATAAAGAGGGATGTCCTCCACAATTTTTCTTTCAAGTGAATTCAGTTCGTCGAATGACAGGTGCATTTTGAAAAATGAAGGTCTCTTATCTAAAGCTGCTTTATACTCGGCTTCTGAAGTTGAGGGAAGTTCTGGTGGTGAGAATTCTGTGTTTGGATCCGACTTTGATAAAATAAGTTTCATATCAATAGAATCTCCTTCTCCATTTACAGCCGGATCGGTTTTGTACTGATTATTAATTTCCTTATCTTGTTCTTTTTTGGTTTTTATACAACATACTCGCCCGTAATTCCAAAAGTCGATTACCGCTTGCGCCATGACGGCACATACCGCAATCTTATACTTCTTAAATTCATCGAAATCACAGAACATCCACTTAGCTTCCTCTAATAAAAACCCATGATGAGTTGAACTTTTTCTTTGTGAACTCCAAGGATCAATGAATCTTTTGGGCTGCCGCAGGGACCACAAACCCAACCTGCGTAATTCCTCTATTCTAGAGCTAACAACTGCGATACGTCCTTCGTTTAGTGCCGTGTTCATTATATGAGTTGTGATAACTTTGTGTGCCGTTGGTATTAGTTTTATCAATGGAAGAGTTTGCGAAACATATTTCAGTTCGGCTAATGGTACAGCCTGTGGAATTTTTGAAGGTATCTTGTCATTCATCACCAAATATACGGACTCTTTCGCATCGATGTTTGCCTCATTAAAAAGGGTTGCCTTTTCTACAGATTCTTTGGTCAGTTTACGTAAAAGGTAGTCCTTCTGCTGACTCTTAACATCAACTGGAGTTACTCGCACTCTGTCGACATTATTATCTATCCTTTGACGCTTGAGTGGGGGAGGAACGTTCAAATAATTTGAATTTTTATTTGATTTTGGGTCTTCCTGATCGGTAGCCTCATGCAGTGTCCGTTTTCTATCATTAGTAGTTGTACCGTTGTCAGGATTTATTACTGTCACCGTGCCATGCGCTTCATTACCCTTAGATGTTAGTATATCATCATCGGTGTTCTTTTCCCCACTTTTGGAGTCGTCGTTGGATTGTTCTTTTGATTCTTTACCTGTCTTGCCTTCTTCTTTTTCACTTCTTATCAGCTCTTTTTCCTTCTTAGGGTTATCTACAGGAGTACTACTTTTGCTTCTAGCATTCTTTTTATCAAATGGAGGGTCAACTTGAGTGAATTTTGGTAGGGTATTAGTATCAAAGGGTGAGCCCCTCTTGATATCGTTCGCCTCTAGAAACTGATGGATCTGCTTCTCAAGAAGAGCATCATCGGTTACTTGTAAAAATTCATGTAGCCTTGATACACAATAAAGTTCTGTTAAAATATGATTGCGGTCTTCTAGTAGGCTCTCAAGCGGACTACTTTTGCTTACATCGTCCACCCCAGGTTTCGACATTATTATTGGCGAAGAGCACAGGGCGCGGTAAGCAATGGGAGAGATAAAAATGTCGCGGAAAGAACAGAACTTTGGTGCACACACACAGCAACAGAATGAAATGAAATCTGAAAGCGGGTCAACTTGTTACCTTGCCCTTCAACTTCTTTTCCCACTTGATCTCTTCTGTTTTCAAAATGCGAAAAAAAAAAAAAAAAAAAGTCACATGCCATGGAGCGGTCAAGTTTAAGTTTCTCATCTAATGAGCTCATCTTCAACTTGGTTATGTTTGAAGAAAACACACCTTTATATCGTTTTATGGTATCTAAAAACTACATTATTCCATTACCAAGTAGCTACCTCTTTTTCAAAACTATCAATAGATTTCTTCAGACCATCGTGATCGATAATAATGTAAGAGGAAATTACACCTTTCCTGCTCTCAGATTCGAAGTGAAGTTTGGCATTGCCTTCAAAAAATTTGTCTTCCTCATGGAAGTAGTCTACTTCGGTCGTTTTGACCCTTTTCCTAGAAACCGATTTTTTGTCATCGTCCATGTCTGTATTCACTTCAAACTTTCTGCTGACAATGATGTAGTAGTCGTAGTGAGAGCCTCCTCCAAGGGTGTTCGAAACGTCATCTAGTGTGATACGATATAGTGGAGAAATTACCTCAGGAGGCATATTAATCAACCGCTCACTCAGCACCAAAGCACATTTCTTGTTGGTTGATTCTGAACTTTTGAGAAACTGCGAAAGCCTCTCATCAGTTTTGTGAAGGTACTTTGCATAGTCGCACGCCTTATTTTCCTTATAGTCTATTAAGGACAAGAAACAATAAGGGTCGGACTCCTGCCCATCTGTCTTGATTGTCGTGGTAGGCGAATCTAGCATCAAATCCGCCAAGGCACTCAGCTGAATTCTGTTCGATTCCTGAGGTCCAAATAACTGGCGCAGTAGGTTTTTAAAAGCATGAAAATCCACGTTTTTATTACCATTGAAGAAGTCAAAATCTATGTTAACTATCTCCTGATCCTCGTCGTCGCTGTTTTGAGACTCATTCTCAGAGTCAGTGCTGCTAATATCAATATCGGAGTCATCTTCATCAAGATCCCGCTTTCGTTTCACAATTTCACTAAGCTTGACTGATGCAACCATATCTCCTGACCTTTATTAGCTAATTTCTGGTTTTAACTGGGTGGAAAGCTTACAGGAACAGCCTGCTCATCGCGGTCAAAAATTTTCATTGCCAGTTTTTTATTCCCAAAAGGCCCCAACGGCGAATTTATAATAACTTGAAGCAGATACGATCTCTTAGGTTCATGAAATCTTTAGATTATACATTCATTCTGAGCAGTTATCTGATATGAGATCAAGAACCTATACGGGGGATAGTAGTCCCCGATTCATATTAATCTTGGCCATCGTTTTCCCACGTGATACCTCAGGGAAATCGGACAAAATCTCAAGGAGCTTTCCAAGATCACAAGTTTTGATCGTACACTAAGAAAGCTCATGACTTTCCCTCGATTGGCATCAAATTGTCCTTCCGGTGAGGTGTTTCAGCTTTTCGTAGCGAAATTTGGTGTATCCCATAATCCAGGATTGTCAGTGAAGAATTCAACGATAACTGACGAGGTTGCCTGTAATGGTTTATTTGTCAGGCAGGCAAAACTCCCAGAGGGTTGCAGAGAAGACGGTCTGGTTGAACTCCTAAGAATCCCAAGAGAGTCTACCTTTTCCATTCACACAATACTAGAAATTTTAAACGATAAATCCAATTACAAGACCGAAGCTGCGTTTTTGAAAACCAGTTCAACAGTCAAGGATTTATTTGGAACGTTTTGTCAAAGTAGTGCCATAATCTCGCGAGTATCGGAGACGCTTCTGCTGGTTGTCTATTTTGTTATTTTTGACTGTTTGAGCCGAAGTGCCTATGAGCTTCCTAGCGTGATAAAGTTATATCTGCAACAGGTTTTATTGAAAACGGAAGTCGGCTCCCTGTATTCCGATCTACCTTTAAAAGACGCCTGTGTGGTCAGGCAATTCTTTGGCCATTATGGAGTCGGTGGCATTCTTGACGTCTTTGAAATGGTGGTTTGTCTGGTGCAGAGATCCTTTTCTCTAGATGACATTGTTGAAAGAACAAGTCGCATTTTCGCAGCCATCAGTTCACGATGTCTTGAGATTCCTGAAGAGCTATCATTAGACAGTGAGGACTTCACGGTGAACTCCACTTTAGTGCCAATATTGGATTATGCGAATCATGACAACGACAAAGTCAATGCGCATTTTGATGTTGATCGAGGAAATTGCGACGTTGTACTACTTCTTGACAGAAATGCACTTGACGAGAAAAACGACGAAACCGAAGTTTTTATCAGTTATTCACCCGTCGAAGAGTTGTTCCAGTTTGAAACAGCATATGGATTTTTCCCGAAGCTAAGTCAAAATTCGGCAGGCGTCCAGTTTTGGAACCTTTGCATCGACCAAAACTATTTTAAAGTTGAGAAGCCATGGGGAATAAATCTTGACATGTTCTATAAGTGGTTCTCTATAAAGCCATGCATTCAATGTGTTTTATACGAAGATCAGGTCTTGATTAATGATGCTATAGAGGAATTTGGAGAGTTTCTTCTTCCTTTTGCTCCCAATCCTGTGCATGGGGAGGAATCTTGTTTCCAGTACAATATTCAAGCCTACAAGAGCTTTGCACGATTTGCCTCTAAAGCTAATGACAGATCTGAAGAGGACTATTTGCAGCACTTCCGTGAATATATTGATTCAAGAGAAAAAAGTAAAGACCAAGCAATTGCAATGCCACAATTAGCATGGACTTGTTATTTCGTAGGTGATCGTTATACATACGCAAGGCTCGATAAAGGCCAGTGCATTGATGTGGTATTCGAATCTGATGACGCGTATGGTTGTACTAGAGACCTCTTCACGGACTATCTTCGAAACTATTGTTTTTGGCGTATTCGTGCATTGACTTTGCTGAAATTCGAGGACTTTTCCTTATCAGTCCAAAAAATTGCTCGACTAGAGCTGCTTGTTCTAAACAAAATCGTAGACCAATTGAATGCTGGGGAACCAACATTTTGGACTGACTTGAATGGGTCGACCACGTTAAAACTTCCCAAATGTCCACTTCCACCATTATTACAAATGTCAGGCGAATGCCTGGCCGAAATTAGCAGGCCTGATACAAATTTTGAAGAATCTGAATACACTGATTTCTTCGATGAAGAGCTTGATCGATATCTTGATTTCTTCACGCAACTTTCTTAAAAGCTTGAGATGAACTTTAATCATATTTTTAACTGATTGTCCCCGTCCTTCATTCAACGCAAGAAATTCTATTGAACCAGTTAATATTTCCTTCTAGAGTTACTCGTTTATAAATTATGTACGTGTGTAACGCTGGGCAGGTGTATTATTATGTTATTTTTCATTCAAAAGTTCATCTTTATATGACGTTGAAAAGTAAAATCTACGCCTTTTAAACAGCGCATCTCTTAGAAAGGTAGAAAGGCAATGAGGTGTAGTTTTCTCTCTTTGTTATTTCTTGCAAACATTGTATCATCCATGCACTTTTACATGAAGCCGGGTGAAACGAAGTGCTTTTATGAGAATCTAACACAAGGACATCTACTCATAGGGGACTTCGACGCATTTGTACTGAGAGATGCCAAATACGAGGAGGACTTCGGAATCAAATTAACTATTACGGTTGACGAGACATTTGACAACGATCATAGGGTGCTCATCCAGAAAAACTCACACACTGGGGATTTCACCTTCACAGCATTAGAGACAGGTGAACATAGAATTTGCATAAAACCAACATACTCAACTATGGACGCTAAACTGCGAATTTTCATGGAACTGGATATAAGCAACATGCTCTCACTTGATAGCAAGAGAACAATACAGGTTCGATCTCTGAAAGAGCGGGTACTTCAGCTTACCGAAAGATTAGAAAGAATTAGAACTCAGCAAAAGGAAATTCTACAAAAAGAAGCGGTATTCAGAGATCAAAGTGAATCTGCCAACAGAAAAATTCTCCTTTGGTCTTTAGTTCAAGTATTGGTGCTAATAAGCACATGCACTTTTCAGCTACGCTATCTGAAGAATTTCTTCATCAAACAAAAAGTCGTCTAGTGATATTTGAAGCTTGCAATTAATATAGCCATCATACTTTCAGCAAGCTCGAATTTAGATAGCTTCATGTGTCACTTCTATATACAAATTTCTTTTGTGAACTAAAGTATCGATTATAGCTTTGACCATAGGATCGATTTTTTTGGAAAACGAATTTCATCTCATCGTTCACCTGCTCAAGATTAATGTCCTCAAAAACAGAGCACATGGAATCCGAGGACAAGTTAGCTAATGCTTTGAAAGAGCTTGAGGCCCTGAAACTAGAAAATGCAAAGTTGAGAGAACAGCTGAGCGGTGAAAAGGCCCTCGATGCAGAATTGCCGATGTCTTTGGAGGAATTCAGCCGTTATGGTAGGCAAATGATTGTTGAGGATACTAAAGGGATTCAAGGCCAAATAAAGCTGCGAGACGCCAAAGTTCTTGTAATAGGAGCAGGGGGTCTTGGATGCCCATGCCTGCCTTATCTTGCCGGCGCAGGGGTGGGGCATATTGGCATTGTAGACAATGATACAGTCGAAACTTCGAACTTGCACAGGCAAATTCTTCACAACTCATCCAAAGTAGGTATGTTGAAATGTGAGTCAGCTAAGAAGGTTTTGCAAAAGCTTAATCCTCACGTCTCGATAACCACTTACCCTGTCAGGCTCGGTTACAGCAATGCGTTCGGAATATTTGAAGGATACGATATTGTGCTTGACTGCACTGATACACCATTAACCAGGTATTTAATATCAGATGTTGCGGTTTGTCTAGGAATGACTGTAGTGTCTGCTTCAGGTCTTGGAACTGAGGGACAGCTCTCCATATTGAATTTTCAAGGGATAGGTCCATGCTATAGGTGCTTTTATCCGACTCCTCCTCCTCCAAATGCGGTCTCTTCGTGTCAAGAGGGAGGCGTAATTGGGCCCTGTATTGGCCTTGTTGGAGTGATGATGGCGGTCGAAACTCTGAAAATAATCATGGAAATATACACCTCGGACAACTTTCAACCTTTCCTCATGCAATATGCTGGATTTCCTCAGCAGACACTGCGGACCTTTAAGATGAGAGGGAAAAAGCAAGCATGTTTATGTTGCGGTGACCAACCGACCATAACACGCGCAAGCATTACATCAGGTTCGATCAATTATGAACTGTTCTGCGGTAAACGGAATTATAACGTTTGCTCCCCGGAAGAAAGGATGACAGTTGAAGAATTTGAAGCTGATTACTGGAAAAACAGCGGATTGGATTACATTTTACTGGACGTTAGACCTCATCATCACTATGAGATTTCTCATTTACCAAACACGTTTAATTTGACCGTGAAAGAATTGAGGGACATGGATGGAGATTTTGCTAAGTTAAGAAGTAAAATTCCCCCTGTCAGTAAAGAGAAAGAGGTTCTTGTTATGTGCCGACATGGAAATGATTCCCAATTGGCCACGAGGCTTCTAAAGGACCAATTTAAAATTCGTAATGTTCGCGACATTAAAGGTGGCTTTTTCAAGTATATCGATAATGTAAACCCTTCTCTACCAAAGTATTAAATTCGTTAATTAATATTACATATACGCTGCTATCTTATTAATCAGACTTTCCTAATTCTTCAATTACAAGTAGACCTGCGTTATTCACAAAAGCATAAAGCTTTCCTGTTCGTGCTTTTTCATTCCATTTTACACATGATATGTTGACACCATGTGGATCGATCCTTGCTTTTGATACTTCATTAACACTGAAGTTAAATACCTCATAATTGGGATCCAACCAGTACTTGTCCTCTGTGGGACTGTAATCCCATTTCCAAAGTTTTAGATATTTGTAGACGTTTGTATTGTTTTTGATTCCAGTCAAGAATCTTCTGGCCAAATTGTTTATTATCAAGGTTCCGTCTGCAGAACCCGATAATAAGAATGGGTGTCTTCTTGAAGCAGCTAGAGAGCTAACAGTGTTTTCGTGTTGGCAGATCTGGTGGCTGGCAAAAATTGCTCTTGGGGGGTAAGCTTTGACTGAGTTGACTCCATCTGAATGTGCAACACTGTAGACTTGGGGACAGTACACAACAGGAATGTTATTTCCTCCGCGAGCCCTACCTACAATACACTTGGTAGTTCTTACATCTTTTTGATTGAAAGCACTTATGTATCCATCCACAGACACTGTGTTTATTACGGTGTCCTCATAATTTGAATAAGCAGTGACCACGGAAATAATGTAAGAATCGTGGATCTTGTAATAATATGAAGGGATATTGGATCCGAGTTCGAATTCTGCAACGTTACCATTTTTGAACCCGCATACAATTGATGTTGGCGAGCAAAAGTCAAAGCAGGAAATTAAGGATTGAGGAATTGAAATAGTTATGGATGCGTTTTCATACATTCTTATCTCGTAAGAGTGACATTTTTCCACTTTAAAAAATTTGACAGAACCATCCTGACACACAGCGCCTAACAAACCAAGATCACTTTCCGTTTTATAACCTTCATGCCATTTGAGATTCCAAGTTTCCCCGAAATTATGCACTATGGTGTGGTACTTCTCAAATGAAAGAGTATTCGGGCTGAACCTGAATATTGTTATGCATGATATGTGTTCTTCCTTCGAAAATAACTGTAAATGCGGATTAATTGGGTCATCGAGATATTGTGACATCGATATTGCCAAATAAGAGTCATCACCCTCCATAGTATTTAACCAAGCCATATCTGTCACTAGTGCTCCCGTATTGTATACTAACCCAGTACGTTTACCACAAGGTAAAGTTGGGAACTCGAGTTTTTCATCCGTGTGAAGATGCGTCTCGAAATCTGAGATAACTATACGCAATTCAGACGGCCTTTTTGCGAAAAGCTCATTAAATTCAGATTCTTGGATAACATTGTATTGTGAATGGTTTAAGGCTAATGCGGAGGATACATCTTCCTTGCTGAAAATGGGATCAAAATCAACGTAGTACTGGGAGTCCGTTTGAATATTTTCAAGTGGGAAGTTAAATGGTCCAACTTCAAAACTTTCCTTTACCTTGGCCAAACCAAGTAACTTTTCCTCGTTCAGACCGTATATCCTCTCAATTTTGTCTCTTGCAGAAGTAAGATCCTTTAAACCTCGTATAATTCTGCGTTTATTATCAAGCTTCGACGTGGGGAAAGTACTTTTGGCATCTTCGTCATATTCAGTTGCATTCTTTCGCTTGCGACCCCTTTTTCCAACTGCTTTTGCTTTCTTGGGGCTACTGCTCTTGCGGTTTGGATCTTGTTCTACAATATCACTGTCTTCAACTGTTACTTGGTATTCAAGCATGTCATCATCTTCGATTTCAACTTCTTTAGCAGGATCAAAATCATCGTCTTCATCGTCTACTTGTACCACACTTGGATCAATCATATCGGCAAATGCTTGAGACGCCTTCTTGGATGCAGACCTCTTAGGTCTGGCCCGCGCGTATTTAGCATTCAAAACTGCCAATGACGCAGCAGATTCCTCTGGAGAAGTCTTTTTTGGAGTTAAAAATGCATCGAGAGTTTTTCTCTGTCCGCTGGAGGCCTTCGACTTGCTGGCTCGTCCATCTTTCGCCATTTCCTGCGCAAATATCTTATTAAGGTACTTGTTGTCAAATCAATTCACGTCACGTTCAAATCGCTTCGCTTGAAACTCGAATTGAAGTCCATATCACATCAGACGATCAACGATTGGCCCCCAATTATAATACTATGTATATATTGACACTTCACAGTGTTTTGAAGTAGCTTTGCTGCTTCTCTACCACATACGTGATAAATAAAGTAGAAAAGATCGAGTTTATGTGTCTTCTTTCCAAAATTATTGTTTTGTAGACACTACTTTACTCTGCGAAGAAAAAATGCTTTTCGTGAGAGGAATACATTGACGGGATTAATAAAACTGAGTGCTAAAATGATTAGCAGCATTTGACATCTTAAATTCACCGTTATCCCAAGAATTAAATTGAATAAGTCTAACGAGTTAATTATTGCTCACATTTTATTCAAACTTAATGTAAATCAACCTCACATCAGCGTTCCATAGGTAAGGCAAACGTATTTACAAGCCAACTCAAATTACTCCACACAAAACTAAGAATCGATTCGTTAATCAGTTTCTTTAGATGATAAAGGACAAAAAGCGACGACAGACCGAAACTATAATTAAAATTCTTGGTAGATTAGATCATATATAGTAACGCTACGTCTGCCGATGGATTATCCCCTTCCTGAAAGGGTAACCGATATTCCTATCCTTCATGATATCTCTAACGAATGTTATTCGATCTGAAATGACACCTTTATGCAGCCAAAGCCTTCTAAAAAAGGCAGAAGGAACGCAGACGGCACGATGCTCTTCGAATCTTCGGTCAATTCTCGTGAAACCAGTGCCGCTTTAGGGAGAGGCAAAAAAAAACAAACTATAAAACGGAAATGTAACAATTGACCGGCAAGGAGATTCAGGGAGGATCAGTTCAACTCCATATTTATGCTGAAATTGCATTTACGAAAAATATCCACTATGCCTACCAGTAGCGTCAATTACCCCCAAGAGTTTATTCAGTTCTTGAACTCTTCCCCAACCCCTTATCATGTGGTACACAATATGAAGAAACACTTGCAGGACCACGGTTTCCAGGAACTTGACGAGCGAGAATCGTGGCATGGGAACGTAAAGAAGAATTCTAAGTATTTCGTGACCAGAAACAATTCTTCGATTATTGCATTTGTAGTGGGTGGCCAATGGGCTCCTGGTAATCCTATCGCCATTACTGGGGCACACACAGATTCTCCAGTCCTGAAAATAAAGCCAATTTCAAAGAGAAGCTCTGAGCAATACGCACAGATAGGTGTGGAATGTTATGGAGGAGGCATATGGCACTCATGGTTCGATGCAGACTTGTCAATTGCTGGTAGAGTCTTAGTAAATGACAAGGCAAGTGGCAAAATAATTTCTAAACTGGTCGACTTAAAGAAACCGCTGTTGAAGATTCCAACTTTGGCCATTCATTTGGATCGTGATGTAAACCAAAAGTTTGAATTCAACAAGGAAACTCAACTTTTGCCTATTGCCGGATTAGTGAAGAAGTCAACTTCTCAATCTTGTTGTGCCGACAAAACAGATTTGAAGGAGAGCGAATTCCTTTCGGTGAAGTCTATAATCGAAAGGCATCACAAAGATTTGCTGGATCTTGTAGCCAAGGATATTTCCATCAAGGATGTCACAGAGATCGAGGATTTCGAGTTGATTCTCTACGACCACAAGCCATCTTGTCTCGGTGGGTTGCATGACGAGTTCATATTTTCAGGACGCTTAGACAACTTGACTTCGTGTTTCACCTCGATGCATGCTCTCACAGAGGCAGCGGATACGAATATTCAGGATGAGACTGGCATCAGGCTATTAGCATGCTTTGATCATGAAGAAGTGGGATCATCTTCTGCGCAGGGTGCTGACTCAAATTTCCTCCCAAATATCATGGAAAGACTGACATCCTTGAAGTGTGACGGAACCGACAAGACAAACCCTCTTGGCAGAAATTATTTGTTAGAGTCTTCTGCGAAATCCTTCTTTATGTCTTCAGATGTCGCTCATGGCATTCATCCAAATTATTCAAGTAAGTACGAGTCTCAGCATAAGCCTCAATTGGGTGGGGGCCCCGTTATCAAGATCAATGCCAACCAACGTTATATGACAAATTCGCCTGGCTTGGTGTTAGTGAAGAAGTTAGCTGATGAGGCCAAGGTACCACTACAATTATTTGTTGTTGCTAATAATTCACCTTGTGGCTCTACAATTGGTCCCATTCTGGCGTCCAAGACAGGGATTCGTACATTGGATTTAGGTAACCCCGTGTTGAGCATGCACTCTATCAGGGAGACTGGAGGGTCCGATGACCTCGAGCTACAAATCAACCTCTTTAGAAAGTTTTTTGAGAAGTACAGTGAGCTGGAGCAAAACATCATTGTATGAAATAGACTTGCCACCATAAAATTTGAGAGTGATAGTTTTTAAAGAAGCTTTCACTCCTCAATACATATTTAACTCTACAGTGTGCAAAATAAAAATATTTACCCTGCGCATGAAAGCCAATTGTTAGCTTGTGAACAGCTATGAATGGTAATAAGCTCCTAACGTTGAAGCTGACACCATTAATTCAACTCGACTTTGATTCAGAAGAATCACGCCGACGTAAGATCCAAAATCGTATAAAGAGATATAATTAGTCTAGCGTATAATAATCACCGATCACCAGGTATGTTATTAAAGGTTAACACAATTGTTCGACTGCGATGACTGAGGAGCAGCGGCCGCACACAGGTTTAAAAGGTGCTAAAGTAACCAGCGATATACAGGATCAGCTATCCTTTACTGATGCAAATAAGACAATTGGAGGCTATATAGATGAGAACTCATCTGTCGATAACGAAGCAGTGAAACTCGATAAACTTCCTCGATTCTCGTCCACGATTCAAATGGATAAACATGAAAATCATGAAGCAACTAACAAATTACTAGCTGTAATTTCAAGCCCTGAAAAAGAAATCAAGACGCCTGTCGATTTCGAATCTGACGATGATGAGTTTTTCTATGGTGACTACATTTCAAATACCAAAACGACAGTTGATGAGACGCAGATAATAATAGACTCCAAAACGGGGATGCGTGGTAGGGAAGCTGTAGAAGTAACTACCAACTCGATCCAAGAACTTCGACACCCGCTGCAAACTCCTAAGGCCCACGATATAATACGAGATACTTCCGCGGGCAGAAAGAGAAGAAGATCTGTTGACTCATTATCGGGATCAACAAGCTCAAGAGAGAGCTCATTAGAACGTAGTGATACGTCTCCAGAACATAAAAAACCTAGCTCGATTATCCAGAGGGAGGAACGACCTATCATTGTTGAGGAAGACACTGACGAAGATGAGGAGTTTTTCAAAGAACTTGCCAGAGAAGCGAAGAAGTCTTCGAACACTACTAGAGAGCAAACGCCTGAAGCAGCCAGAAGAATTTTTAATGTCAGATTTCGGTCGCGCTTAGAGGGAAGTGTTGATAAGAAAATTAATGTGAAAGTGAAGGGAAAGCACACTTTTACACAAATTCTTCCTGCAGCCTTGAAAACGATGATCAAAGAATATTCAGTCCCGAAAGAACTACAAAGTATGTATGCCGCAGATAATATTACTCTTTTTCGTGACGGGGTTAAAATATTAAATTTTATGAGTTGCAACTCTCTTCAAATCCCACAAAGCTACGAGAATGAAGTAAGCGAAGTACACTTAACTATGGTTTTCAAAAAAGATGAGCACTCCTATGAGCAGGAATACGAAAACACAAACTACGGTGGTCACGAAATCACGATTTTAAGCGGAGAGGCATCTGCGGAGGAAGTAGAAGAGTTAACAATTCCCGAATACGAAAAGGACGTAAGTCAGGCACCTGGACGAATAACAGCAAGTAATGTATACGATGATGAGGAAGAAAATACTGAAAATGATGTCATCAGAGTTGCACTTCTCGGCCAAGATAATAAGAAAGTGCATGTTAACGTTAGAGGAACTACAAAATTCTCGAAAATTGCAGAGCATTATAAGCAAACGAAGGGACTTTCGTCTGCTAGTAAATTAAGGCTTATATTCGACAATGAACCTTTGGATCTTGACGGAAATGTCATGGATGCCGATATGGAGGATGAGGACATAATAGAAGTAGTCATTAGCTAGTTAGTTATTCTTGAATATTGCTAATAATGTCTTCTGATTCTGAAAATATAATTGATGAACTTAGGGCACAGGATTTTATATTAAGTATAAATAAAACAAAATCTCTCATAGAGAGCATCAAATAATAAGAGCCTTGTTGGCGCAATCGGTAGCGCGTATGACTCTTAATCATAAGGTTAGGGGTTCGAGCCCCCTACAGGGCTTTCTTTTTACAACTCGTATTATCTTGCGAAATCTTCATTTTACAATAGATTTAGATTGGCTGGTTTACTAGAGTTAACCTACTTGTAATTTTACATTTATATAAATCCGAACTAAAAATTGCATCTATATCTGTCTTTTTTGAGATCCTAGTTGACTTTCAGCGTAGTGTTGCAGCTGCACAGGCTTTCAAAGAGAGTGGGCTTTGGCTCTAAATCCTCTGGTGCAATATTTGTTCCCTTGACTACCTTGAAAGCACCTGTCCCGATAGTCATTGTTTGACCCAGAATGATACATTCTGAAACCCCCTCGACAGCATCCTTCTTCATGTAGAAAGCCGCATCAAACAAATGATCGGTCGTCTTCTCAAACGATGCGAGTTGCAACACAGAGTCTCTCATTTTACTTAAACCGAAACGTGTAATACCCAAAACTTCACCTTTGTAGGTCATGACATCACCTAGTAATTGGACGTGACGAGGGTCGACACTCATACCGTGATTGCTCATTGTGTAGTCAATTTCGCCAACAATACTTGTTCTAGCGGCCTCAATACCCAGAACGCTATAAACTTCCAAAATGTGGTTAGTTTTGGTACGTGAACCTATCACACCATCCGTGGTCATAACATCACGGAGACCATATCCTTCAACAAGAAGTTCTCTTCTGCCATCATCACGAATGTTGATAACCGCTCTTGCAATGTCAGGTAGACCTTTGACAACAATGTTAGGTAAAGAGCGACGTAAATGTTGCATCTTATAGAAAATTTCATTTTCAAGTGGTTCCTTTGCAGAAGTCGATATCGATTTCAGTTTAGACCCTTCTGGATAAACGTTAATGTTAATCTTGTTTTTTCCGATAATACTCACGTCAGAAGCAGCAATCTTCAGCTTAGGAGCCCTGGTAATGGCAACAGCAATATCTTCGATAGTTAGCTCCAGTTGAAGCTTTTCAATTGTCCCTAGGTCAATTTTAACTTGAAGAAATGATAAATTATCCTTGTAAACATCTTGAATGTAAAATGCAACATCCGAAAGTAAGGTTTTCTCAATTCTACCTTTAACAACACGCGCTGCCCTTTCATCGTTGTCGTTCACCAGGACAGCATTAATAATAGGAGTTGAAATGACTTTAGATGCATTAATAATTTCTTTAATACGGGGAACACCAAGCGTAACGTTCATAGAGGCAACACCAGCAAAGTGAAAAGTTTTCAAAGTCATTTGTGTACCGGGCTCACCAATAGAATGTGCACCAATAGCACCAACAGCGGTACCTGGTTCTACTTTGGCTTTATGATATTTGAAAATTGCAATGCTTAAAAATTTGTCCACTAGACGGCGACCAATTTTACACAGCTGTCCGACAGCAGTCAAACCAGCTTCTTGTAGGGCATCATGTTCACCGATAGCTTGGAAATCTAAAGTAGGCTCGTCTAACAATCCTTCAAGACCCTTATTCTCTCTTATTTTGGCCAAAGCGGATGCTTTCTCATACATGTAATTTCTCAATGACTTGTAGAAGTTTCTTTCAGCGTCAAATTGGTCAATGTATTCTATTTTATTTTCATTTTCACTCGACAGCTTGTTGCCTAAGTTATCATACCGAACCAACTTGGATTCTAAAGGCTTCAAAATTTCGTCGGTTTGTTGCATTATTTGATAAGGCAGTAATGCTTCATCTGCATGACTAAAAGTGATATTATTGGCGTGATCCCAAGATCTGTTGAAATTCACGGGTTGTGCATTTCCTTCCATATCTAGAGGATCTAAACCATCACCACCATATGTAAACTGGACAATACCGTTGGAAGATGTTCTGACAGTATTGTCGTATTGGCAAGATAAATCTTCTAGCGATTTCATCAAACGACGGGACATGTAACCGGTTTCGGCAGTTTTCACAGCAGTATCGACCAAACCTTCACGACCTGAAATTGCATGGAAAAGAAATTCTGGTGGTGACAACCCTGTAAAGAAGGAATTTCTCACAAAACCTTTAGACTGAGGCGTTTTGGAGTTCTTTGGGAAATGAGGTAGGGAACGATCTTGGAAACCATCCGGCACACGATTACCAGATATAATTTGCTGACCGACAACTGCAACCATCTGAGACACGTTAAGATTCGAACCTTTCGAACCACAAGTGGCCATGATCAAACACGAATTCAAGTTGTCTAACTCTTTGATACAGACTTCACCAACCTCTTCTCTCACCTTCGACAATAGACCACCAATTTTTGCTTCCAGTGTCTGTTCTTCATTACAACCCGGTTGAGTTTCCAATTTACCACTATTGAATAAATTGATCAGTTCATCACACTTGGCGTAAGCTTCTTCGACCATTTCTTCTTTTTTCTGCTTCAACTCAGTACCTGGAGTTACATCATTAATTCCGATAGAAAAACCACGGTTACCCAAGTACCTTGCACAGAGTTTTGCCATTCTATTCATAGCGTTTGCTGCTTCTTGAGGACCGAAGTCTCTTAATATAGTGTAGAAAACGGAATGTTTTTTACCGTCACCTAACACTGATTTATCCATTACACCACTCAAAATGTTTGAACCCCTAATAACAACGAAACCATCATTTTGAGACATTTCACTTGGCAAACTCTTATCTTTGGGAGGGATAAAAACCTTGTTCTTGGCATCTAAATTGATAATGACGGGGGACTGCTTATTTGGTCTAATTAATAATGAGAAAACCTGCTTACCCGTCCATAAGAAATGCGGCTTAAACACAGTTGGTGGAGGCAAGTCAAATTGCAAATTACCATCAGACATCATAGAAAGGAGTTGGGTTAATTGCGCTCTGTCAAAAAACGAGTCTTTATGAGAGATCAAATAAGACCCTGTAATGAAATCTTGAGTTGCTGCAATAATCGGCTCACCAGATTTTGGAGTTAATAAATTATTTTTCACACCCATAAGGTTAATGGCTTCCGCACGAGCCTCTTCAGTTTGCGGAACATGCAAATTCATTTCATCACCATCAAAATCAGCATTGTATGGCGTACACACACACTCATTTAATCTGAAAGTTCTCCAAGGTCTAATCTTGGCATAATGCGATAAGATTGATAATCTGTGAAGAGAAGGTTGTCTATTGAATAGAACAACATCACCATCCTCAATATGTCTCTCCACAACATCACCATACTGCAGATTTTTAGCAAGCTTCATTCTATCACCGTAACGAAGATTTCTTCTAGCGTCCTCATTCTTCTTAAGTAAATAATTGGCACCAGGATGTACATTTGGACCATTAATAATCAATTCTTGCAACTTGCGCTTATTATAACGAGTGACCTTTTCCGGATAAGTCAAAACTTTAGCAACACGATCGGGAACCGCCACTTCATCAATGGATAGGTTAGGGTCAGGTGAAATAACCGTTCTACCTGAAAAGTCTACACGCTTACCCGACAAATTACCTCTAAATCTACCCTGCTTACCCTTTAATCTTTGACAAAAACCTCTAATTGGCTTGGTTTTAGCTCCAGAAGCACCCGGCATCATTGCTGGATTCACGGAATCTGAGTTAATATACATAGCAACGGCCAACTGTAAATAATCCCATTGCTCCATCATGTTGTTGATAGAAATACCTTTTTCAAGACCTGCTTTAATCAAAGACGACGTCCAGACAATTTCGGTCAGCTTCACTGTCAGATCGTCTTCGTTAGAGGCGGGAGAATCTTGCATCATAACCGAGGGGCGGATGCAAACGGGTGGTGCAGGAAGGTATCTCCAGATATAGGTTTCTGGCCTTCCTGATTTCAAGGTGCTATCTATACCCAACAACTCGCAATCTCCAGGAGCAATCTGTTTGAATAAATTGAGCGTTTTTAATGGGTTCAAGTCGTCCATGCACCGTTTTACGTATCTCTCAAGTTCGGGATTATGCGTTAATACTTGTTTCCAATCACCTAACCATTTATCCTTCTCTGGCGCGGACTTCTTACCTACCCAACGGAAGGTGTCGTGGATGATCTTCAGAGACGCAGATCCTGAACCTGCTGCCGCTTTCTTTACGACACCGTTCAAAGCACCACACTTCAAGCATCGACGCTGCTTTTTACACTGATCTAGCACTTTCTTAAGCACGGCCATTCTTCTAAGGTTGTCAATGCCGGGCCGACGCAGCTCTGATAGGAACTGTCTTTTGTCTTCTTCGCTCAAAAGAACAGCAGCACAACTCTTACAAATGGCCTGTAAGATTTGAATTGTTGCTTTGAAGTATCCCACATGAAAAACTGGCAGTGCAAGTTTGATGTGCCCAAAATGGCCGTGACATGAAGCTAGATTCCCGTGACATGTTGCACACTCCGCGTGCGAAGACGAAACACCCATTCGGGTATCTAAAGCACCGCCTGCCTTAGCAGCTCGCCCATTTTCCAGATCGAAAAGGTCTCGCGTAGAGATCTCCACTTCTGACTGCGCAACAATGTCACTTGCAGAGAGAGCACTAAAATCTATGCCTTTGATCCTTTTTGGAGCTATATCCACCACAACTTCTTTCATTGTGAGTACAAAATTTCTATCCCGCAAGCTTCACAAGCTATAAGTACCCTCAAGCAACAAGGACACGCGCTCTCACAAGCTCTGACTGATGTACACTTCTTGAGATGAGATCAAATTTTTTTTATGTCCTACTGGGAAAATTTTCATAATCCAGAAATTGTCACGTGTGTCGTGAGCTGAACCTCTCCGTACAAATTTATACAATATTTTCCCTAAGTGAGTGGCAAACTAATGGGTATTAACGCTTCTGAATCTACTAATTGCAAACGATGAGCTTCGACAAAGACCCTAAGAAGACGCTTGAAGAGGACGATGAGTTCGAGGACTTCCCAGTTGACACCTGGCCAGACAGCGAGACGTTGAGAGAAACCAGCAACGTGCAAACCAATCTTTGGCAAGAGGACTGGGATGATGTCGAAGTGGACGACGACTTTACGAAAGAGTTGCAAGCCGAGTTAGAGAAGCGCCAACAGTAGACACTAGTCGGGTATGGATAGGCACAGAAAGGTCGTGCGCTTTTTATAGGAATATATGTACATTAATTGATGCAATTTCGATATCGAACCTCACATACCAGGACATTAGTCTGAATCAATTGCGCTGCCATAGTCAATGACCAGATTATAAAAAACACCTAAGCCTAGAAATCAGGCTGCTAGTTAAATAACATGGTTAGATTACTCGAGGCGAAAGGCATTCTTTCGTATACAATTACAAATATTGTAATATGAGAAGGATTGTTACAGGCGCCGGTGGCAAACAGATGTGACAAACTCAACATCTGATAAGAAAGCACTAGAATGGCTACTCTAGAGGAATTGGCAGCGCAACAGCTTCCAGGGGATGAGGAGATTGATAATGAGATTTTAAATCTCCCCACATCTGAACTTCAGACAAGAACAAAACTCTTGGATAACGAGATTAGAATCTTCAGGTCAGAATTGCAGCGTCTATCGCACGAAAATAATGTTATGCTCGAAAAGATCAAGGATAATAAAGAGAAGATTAAGAATAATAAGCAACTTCCATATCTGGTGGCGAACGTTGTTGAGATCATGGATATGGATGAGCTGGATGATGAACAGCATAACGAATCTACGACGCAGGGGGGCAACGTTAACTTGGATAACATCGCGGAAGGGAAAGCTGCTGTGGTAAAGACATCATCTAGACAAACTGTGTTTCTTCCCATGGTAGGCCTTGTCGAACCAGATAAGTTGAAACCAAACGATCTAGTAGGTGTGAACAAGGACTCTTACCTCGTACTAGACACTCTACCCTCCGAATTTGATTCCCGTGTCAAGGCAATGGAGGTGGACGAAAAACCTACAGAAACCTATTCCGATGTCGGTGGATTAGATAAGCAGATCGAAGAATTAGTGGAGGCCATTGTCCTTCCCATGAAACAGGCAGAGAAATTTAAAGATATGGGAATAAAGGCCCCAAAAGGTGCTTTGATGTACGGTCCCCCAGGTACGGGTAAAACCCTTCTTGCAAGGGCATGTGCAGCTCAAACAAATGCCACTTTTCTAAAGTTGGCTGCCCCTCAGCTTGTGCAAATGTTTATAGGTGAAGGTGCCAAACTAGTGCGTGACGCTTTTGCACTTGCCAAGGAAAAAGCCCCCGCTATCATATTCATTGACGAGCTGGATGCCATTGGTACCAAGCGTTTCGATTCCGAGAAATCTGGTGACAGAGAGGTCCAGAGAACTATGCTTGAGTTGCTAAACCAGCTGGATGGTTTCGGCTCAGACGACCGTGTAAAGGTCTTAGCTGCTACAAATCGTGTTGACGTTTTAGATCCTGCTTTATTAAGATCTGGTAGACTTGACAGAAAAATCGAATTCCCACTACCTACGGAAGATGCCAGAGCTCAAATCTTACAAATTCATTCGAGGAAAATGACCACTGATGACTCTATTAACTGGCAAGAATTAGCAAGATCTACTGACGAATTCAACGGTGCTCAGTTGAAGGCCGTTTCCGTCGAGGCTGGTATGATTGCATTACGGAACGGACAATCTCAAGTAAAGCACGAAGATTTTGTGGAAGCCATAGGCGAAGTGCAAGCCAGAAAATCCAAGTCTGTATCATTCTATGCTTAATTACAAAATATATACATAAGTGCCCATTTAGTCGTACAAGTAAATTTTCCCACCATTTCCACTACAGTAAATCTTACTGGTCTCTTGTGGATTCCATGCAACAGCAATAACAGGCTTTTTGTCCGGGACTTCGAATTGCTTCAAAATTCGCGTGCTCTTCCAATCCCATATGAAAACACGCCCCTGTGTGTCACCTGATGAAATGAATTGACCATCAGGGGAAAATGCAATTCCGACACCGTATCCTGCACACTTATGTCCTGAGAAACTTTTTTTTGGATGCCTTTTATACTTTGGTTTCATAGAAAAAGTATAAATGGTATTATCCATACTCTGGGCAGCGAAATAAGAATTCTCCGGGTGGATATCGAGGTACGGCATTGCAAATTGAGCAGTATCACTTATTTGCTTTATTGGAATATTAATTTGATTCTCCCATATTCTAACTGTCTTATCCTCCGAAGAGGAAATAAATTTGGAACCATCAGGGAAGTATTTCAATGCTATAATCGAAGATAAGTGGTGGTCGTAAACCTGTATACAGCCTTCATTAGAAGATGAACGAGTGTCGTAATGCCTGATTTCTGAATTTGAAAGGCCCACAAGGAATTCATTATCATTCACGGGATGAAATGTCGCACAATTTGGAACGCTGGAAAAATGATAGCGCGACTTTACGACTCCAATTTCCGTATCCCAAATCTTAGCTGAGCGGTCAAATGAAACACTGATAAACTGTTTGGCGTTACCTGAAAAATTGGTATCCCTGATTGCTTTTGAATGACCAGAATAGTCTCTTAGTAGTTCTCGACTTCGATATGCATCCCAAAGTTTCACCTTGTTATCGTTACCTCCAGACAACAGAAGGTGTCCTGTCGTAGGGAGGGCTCTTAAAACTGTGGTACCATTTCCGTGCCCATCATACGTGTGTATAAGTCTTTTCGGAAGGTAGCACTTGAAAGATAGGGAAGGCTTGTGAAAGTCCACGTCTTCTTCGATGGGAGGATGCAAAATTCCCCTGCCTTGGTAATCTACTAGATTTGTACCATAAAATATGGAGTTTTCCTTGGTGTCCGCCTCAATATCGCTATTATATGCTTCTTCTTGAGTTTCACGGTAATCATTAAGTTCAAGAACATTCTCATTCGAAGTCACCTCTTCATCTGATGTATCCCAACTTGACCAAGGCCCTTGTCCTTTTCGTTTTCGTCTTTTCGATCTTAGTTCTGCTTTGGTAAAATAAAACTTTCGTTTATTAAATTCTTCTCCTCCGACTGAAGAAAGGGAATTCGATAGCCTGACGTCTTTCGAAAGCTCATCACTTTCATTTTGATTAGAGTGACCTTGGTCACTGCTTTCATCAGAGCTATAACCTTGAACTAGCGACATGCAGATGTCATATGGTTCGTGATGTATCTTGATGCTGCATGTGCCATATCAAAAACTTCTGGATCCTGACTTAAAGACATAATATATAGCGAAAAAACATTCATGCCAACAACTAATTACAAGAGCCTTGTTGGCGCAATCGGTAGCGCGTATGACTCTTAATCATAAGGTTAGGGGTTCGAGCCCCCTACAGGGCTTATTTTTTGCATGCGGAGATCATTATTCGGACTTCCCTTTTAATATGTACCAATATTGTATATTAGGTAGGGCTCACGTTTAATTTAGATGACGAGTTTGATTGTTCATTATCAAGTATTACCTATATATTTACATGCAGCTATTTTCTTTCAGATTTGTGGGATTTCCTTTTCAGCTTTGCCACGAGGGAGTTCAGCTCCGATTTATTGTCTTTCCCAGTCGAATTCTCGACCTTACGCTTTTTACTGTGGTTTTTGTTGCGCTTTCTGCGTTCCTTTAAAATTTCCTTCATTGCTGCAGTGCCCTTGAATTCTGGTTGAGATGGATCAATAGCGAAGTCGTGGTCTTCAAAAACTTCGCTAAATCTGGGGTCATTGAGGTCGGGTTTGAAACCGTCTTCGACAATCCTCTCCTTCTTTTGATACTTAGATTTTTTGCCCTGTTCTTTCTCAGACCTGATAATTTCATTCATGTTGAAATGTGCCTTTTTATTCAATGTAGAATTATCGTCCTCGTCATCGCTCATCATTAGCAATTCAAGTTCAGCTTTTGTTTTCTCAGAGCTATGAGAGTCATTTCCAGACGCAAGCTCACTCTTCTTTGATTTCGTTTTCTGTTTCTTCTCTTCCTCAGCCTTTTTCTTTAATTCCTTTACCCTTTCTTTTCTCTTCTTACGGCGCTCCTTCTCCTTCCTTCTCACCTTTTCAATGGTAGTTTCTTCGTTATCGCTTCCTTCTTTGTCTTGAGTGGCCTCTGCAAGACCGGGTGTGAAGGTAATCTCCATGTCCACGTCACTTTCAGGATCCTCAGTCTGGTCGAAGATGGATTTGTTACCTATCTGAACAGATTCACTGACAAGAGCCTTCAACTTATTCTTCATGTCATCATTTGGCTCTTCTTCAGATTCATCTGTGTCTGATGCCAAATATGCTTTGAAATCCATGTCGTCGATCTCCTTTTGTGAAAAAGCTCTCTTTGACATTTGAACACGATCAGCAGGCGTTTCATCCCAAGTGAGCTTGACCTTCGAGTGCTGCAATGCGTCTGTGCTGAATTGTGAAGGGGTGTAATTTTTAGGTATCTCCTCACATGTATCTCTTGGCTCATCATCGAAATTCATCCCATCGGGAACGTATCGCAAGTCAAACATATTGGCAGTTGACTCATATTCCGTACCATCACAGTTTTTGTAAATTGACTGAGCAGTGGCGACGTTATTACAGTAAACAACGGCATAGTAATATCTCAGTCTTTCCAATTGGTAACGACGCAACGACTTCATATCGTAATCCTTTTCGGCATCACCTTCCTCGTAAAGATCCTTCAATTCAACATCTGAATCGCTCTCATTGGCTTGAGATTTTTTGCCTTTCTTACTTTTAAATATCTCTCTCGGTGGGCCTTCAACCTCCTCTCGCTGCATTCTTTCTTTACCGAACTCACTGGGATAAATTGCTACGCTCAAAATTTTACCACCCTTTGGCACAAAACTTCCGAATGTAATCATAAGATCTTCGGATCTAACATGGTCCCAATCCAGATTAACAACGGCCAAAGTTTTGGTGGGATCACCAGTAGCAGGCTTAGTGTCTTCAATCTCAACCTCTGATTCATCACTTTCCAGAGCGCTATCTTCTGAGTCTGAAGAGGATTCAGAGGAAGTTTCCTCATCTGAAGAAGAGATATAGTCACTAGGAACTTCACCACGGGCCCTGTCCAGAAGAGCAACTTTCGTAGAAGGGTCCTCCTCCTCATCCTCTACTGATTCTTCTTCTTTTTCGAAGTATTTGTCAAAATCTCTTTCGTCCTTATTATCCTGATTTTTGATACGTCTCCCATATTTATCAACTTTCGCTTTCTTCTTGAACTCTAAATCTTTTTTGCTGAACCTATCATCTAATTTGATCTTGAACTTTTTAGTTCTAGTTTCCCTAAATTTAGGATCGCTGTAAACCCCAGAGAATCTGGAGTCACTACCAGTGTTCGCAGTCCTATCATTATTTTCAGACATTTCGATGAACTGTGTTGATACTTTCCGATGCCAACTTTAAGCTACAGTTCACTATTTGAAAATGCGATGAGCTTGAAAAATTTTAGGTTCCATTTTGCAATTTCTTTTTAAAAGCGTAAGATATGACATTAAAGATCCTCTGAAGTTGCATCGCTGTAGAATATTATCTGCAACAGTGCCAAAAATCAATAAAGAATGGGCCAAAGCGCTTCATCAGGTAGTAGGGATCTGGATAGTTCCAGATACTTCTCTTCTGAACGAGAAATGATTCGTTTTTATAATACTTTTGCAGTCAAGCAATTAACGGCCCCAGAGTTAGTGTCATTTAAGGGTAATATCGGCGGGAAAGCGCTAGATGACGCAGTTACGTGCCCCACAATGCTGAATTTACTGCGTATATCTACGAAAAATGAGATTCTGGCTAATCTACTTTTCAATTGTTTCCGCACACTTTCCAATTTCCCACTCATAAAGGACTCCTACGATGACATAACATATATCGGGCTACTAAAGAGTTGCTTACTTTTGCATAGGCAAAGGTGCTTGAAATATGTTGGAAACAAGGCTTACAATCAGGTTAAACTTATATTTGTCTCTTTAGCAATGAACAAATCGGTCAAAGAAGTGCCTTCCTCACCGAACCCTGCTACGGCACTGGACTCAAAAAAAATCATCAAAGATTTCGACAATGTTGATGTGGAAGACCTTGGAGTTCCTGCAGAATCCATGTTGCAGCTGCTTACTTTGCTACTACGTATATCAAAAAGTTGTGCTACGTCGAACTGCAAGTTTGAATCTGATGTAGACACTAATTGGGACTCGTTTAAGCCATACGCACTGAACTTACTCCGCACAATGAATTCAGAAATAACAAACTCTCAGGATGCCGCAAGACATGTGATTACGTTCGATCAATTTGAGAATACTGTTACAACGGTTTCCCCGAATCTTCTTAATATTCTCGAGTGTTTGATGGAGCACCTTTTATTCTTAGATCGCGATTTGGTCGAGCCGCAGGCTACAATGCCGGCAACAATAAGCTCAAAATTAGTTAATGATCCTTTTCTCGCACAGCTAGCAACTATTTTACCCAAGGAGCTCGTGTACTCGAAAATGCAAAAGCTTTACGTTGGACGAGAAAGTGGGTTCTCCATGCGATCATTCCAATCAAAGGCATTCAAATGGATGGCACCTTCGATTTTGATAATAAGTGGGATGCGTATTGTCAACGACACTGAATATGCCATGGATAAAAATCCACGCTACGGAAAGTTTTTGGAGGAATATCCTCGTCTGAAAGATAACGATCAGCAATTAATTGCATCTCACACAGGGAAACGAAAATTTACATTTGCTGTATACATTGATGAGCCATGGAAAGTGACGAATAAAGAAATGTTTGGAAATCTGAAGACTACCATTGTTCAGTTATCCCCAACACAAGAGCTTTTCAAAGCGGTAAGACCGGAAAACGTTTACTTTAACACCGTTGGGGGAGGAATCGGCATAGGTTGCAAGCAACCAGTGGTGAAATCCTCAAGCAAAAAGTATGTCCCAGGAAATGTGTCACTGACGATAGACGCTAGTCTTGAATTTGGAGTTTTCCGCCACGTTGGCCATGGTGGCACCATCAACCCAGGAGAGCTACTTGCCAAGCAAAGAGAGGATAATATTACATTTGAACACCGTTTTTTGATTCAGGATGTAGAAGTTTGGGGATGTGGCGGTCAGAAAGAACTTGAAGAACAGATCAAAAACTGGGAATGGGAAGAAGCAGAGGCTAAAAGAAGACAAAGAATAAATCTTCAAAGTTTGAATGAAGACAGGGCATTATTAGAACTTGCAGGTCTTGTCGGTCAAAGTCAAAGTGGTGGTTCAGTTTGAACAGCCGAAAATATTTAATTCGAGTTTTATAGTTAAATGACTATCTGTTTTTACGCTACTTCTTGGACTTAGTTTTGTTCACCAATTTCTTCTTGACATGCTTCTTGATCTTAGTTTTCCTCTTTTCTCTTTTCGCATCTTTTGCTTCCTGTTTTCTTTGACGCTTTGACTCCTTGTCTTCGTATTTCTTTCCTTTCAAATTCTTAGGTTTGTCATCCCATTCTTCGGAACTCTCGTCGCCATCATCATCTTCCAAAGATGAGCCTGAATTTGAATCTGGATCTGTGCTGCCTTCATCGCTTTCATATTCATCAGAAGATGAAGAAAAATCAAACTGCTCTGAAGCAGTAAAATTAGCAGCGACCTTCTGGTTGTCATGGGCAATAAGGCTTTTCAAAAGGTCAAATTTACCATCGGTGAATCTTTCAAAATCCCGCTCTTCTAAACCACCCAGATTTCTGACAAGATACAATGACCGGAAAACCTCATCTTCTGCCTCATCTGCAGCAGTGAGTTTAGGCAGTAAGTTCTTTGCGATATAATTGGTTAGATCCTCAACACTGCTATAGTCACCTTCGAAACGTTCGAGAGTTTCGGATATAACAAATTGAAATATCATACGTTCTGAGAATATTTCAATACCCATTTTTTCAAAATATGAGTTGATATTTTTGATATCCATCCTGAGAAAATCCAGACTCATAGGATGCTCAGGCTGAACGCTTTGAGATACGTCAATCATGAAGAGCCTACCTTTGTGGATGATTGTATTATACTCAGACAGATCTGCATGAACTAACTGGCACACTTGATACAGCAGTCTAATGTACGCGACCATAACATGATAGTAATGGCGAACCTCCTCGCGGTCTTTGAAAGGGTAGTCCTTTAATCTAGGCGATGCAAAACCATCTCCTCGATTCAAGAACTCCATTACCAAAACATTAGATTTCACTTCAACAGGTTGAGGAGCGGGAATAACTCCGGATTGATGTATTCTTTTCAAGTTGCGGAATTCTTTCTCTGCCCAAATTTTGATCATCTTACGAGGGTTATGTTGAGATCTTGAGTTTCTAAAGCGAAACTCACCATCAACATATCTTTCTCTATCTTTAAAGACTAAAATAGAGGTCTTGTAGATCTTGACTGCGTACTCTTTTCTGGATTTATTCTTTACACCAGAGCCATCGTCGTCTACACTGTTGTCGTATCCTGCAAGTGCGTGATAAACGTTTGCTTCTTTACCAGTACTGAGACACCCGTTAAATTCTGATATCACACCACGACTAGTAAGTGCCTTCAAGAAACGCATCGTACGAGGGTCCAACACATTCTCAACGGTAGCTCTATTGGCTTTGTCTTTGTTAGTCTTTCCTTTTGTAAGCGACAACTCATCTGTCTTAATCCTATGGCCGAACTTTTCATAAATCTGAGTATTAGAATGTTCTTTGAATTCACGCGGCTGTTCTTGCACAGTAAGCTCATCAAACTTGTCTTCTAAGGACATCTTGGGATATTAGAGTTTTATAGTTGTTGGTAGCTCTCGCGATGAGCTTCGAAATTTTTTTCCATTTTGAAGATCATCCGAACTCAATCTTATATGCATCTGTGTTACAAGACAAAGATATGCAAAAAGAGATGGTCCATTTGCCGAAAGTAAGTGAAAATCAAGTCTCACGATCTAATATATACCGGGTTTCTAACTAACTTGTGTCGCATAGTCTTTCCTAGGATTTTTGCCCCTTTACGCAGGCGTCGAGCTTGGCCTCGGAATCTCCATTCTCAACAAATGCAGTGGATTCTATGGTATATTGGCTCTGTTTACAGGCCACCAGCTGGATTTTATGCAGTGGGTCTTCTATCTATTTTCTGCGTTTACGTTGGTTGTATATTCGATTGGCCTTCGCCAAGTCAATAAACCAAACCTTTTGAGCTTTTCGCTTGTTTTGGTCATTTTTACGCTCGATACTGCGCTGACATGCTTCTTCACCGTGTGGTTCAGTGCCGCCTGGTTTTCTGCGGAAGCTCAAGAATTTACAGATCCAAAATCAACAACAATTCAAAGCGCAGGAGCAGCGATTGGACCTGGGAAGGAACTAAACCCTCGAGGCAAGACTTTGGAATCCCAAAGTGCTTCTCAAAGCTATGAATTTTTCTTCACGATACTATTTACTGTTATCACGCTTGTAGCTAGATTCTACTTCAATTTCATCATGGTCGCCTTCGTACAGAGGCTTCTTCGCCATCCAAAGTACATGGTCGATCAAGACGATGTTGAGCAAAATTTGAAGAATAGGTCCTTCTTTCAACGCTGGTGGATAAAGTCTGAAAAATCCTGCTACAAATTCTGCCGGCGTTATCTCGCTTAGTTTACTTATTTGCCAAGGTAGGAAGGTCAAGTATTGCCGAAGAAAATAGGAAATAGGAAAGTCAAATATGATGAAGAAATAGAGACACCGCGCGAACGCCACACGTATCTCATTCCCCGCCGCGTTTGCTGCTTAGCTTCCAAATACGTCTTTTAAGTAAGATACAACCATGGTTATTAAGATTGATGTACAGGTGTTTGATGTAGACGCGGCGTATATAAATGCAACAAGAGTAGATATGGTTTGCCATTATAGACATCACCTTCGAGCTATCGAGACTGAATAATCAACAGCATGTCAAACATTCTTAAAAATTCTACAGCGACTGTGAAACTAAACACTGGTGCGACAATTCCACTTTTGGGACTCGGAACGTGGAGATCGACGGAGGAGGAGGCTTACAACGCAGTGTTGTCTGCAATTAAAGATGGTTATCGTCACATTGACTCAGCAGCTATTTACGGCAATGAGGCTCCTGTCGGAAGGGCTATTCGTGATTCAGGAGTGCCACGGGAGGAATTGTTCGTTACCACCAAATTGTGGGGGACTCAACATCGGGACCCCAAATTTGCCCTCCAAGAATCATTGAAAAGACTAGGTCTGGATTATGTGGACCTGTATTTGATGCATTGGCCTGTGGCTCTGAAAACTGCTAACATCAAGGATGGAAATTATTTGACATTCCCAATTGCTCCCAATGGGAAGCGAGACGTTGACCTAGATGACTGGAATTTCATAAAAACATGGGAACTGCTACAAGAGCTTCCAGCGACAGGCAAGACTAAGGCCGTAGGAGTATCTAACTTTTCTGTCAACAACCTGAAGGACTTGCTCGCTTCGCCTACAACAAAGGTAGTACCTGCGGCAAATCAAGTGGAGCTTCACCCCTATTTGCCTCAAGAGGAGCTTGTGAAATTCTGTGAAGGCAAGGGAATTGTTATTGAGGCCTATTCTCCACTCGGCTCTAACGGATCTCCTCTCCTTAAGGATCCCGTTGTCATTAAGATTGCCGAGAAGTATGGCGTCGAACCTGCCCAGGTTCTGATCAACTGGGGATTAAAGAGGGGATATGTTATCCTACCTAAGTCTGTAACTCCTTCAAGAATTGCTTCAAACTTCAAGGTCTTTGAGCTTTCTGATGAAGATTTCGAGAAAATCAACAACATCTCAAAAGAGAATGGTATTAAAAGATTTGTCGATCCTGACTGGGAAGGCTTTGAAACGTTTGTATAGTTATGAACATAATTATGAAATATGAAATCATGCAAGTATTAAGTATAAAAAGCATTTATGCAAATTATCGTCTTGAATTGAATCGAAATTGGGGCTCGTCGTCATCGTCCTCTTCATCGTCATCACTACTAATGCGGTGGCCATCAAAACCATTCCCCCCATAACCAGTATGCGCATTGGAAGACTGTTGCCACTTAGCTTGTACCATCGCTGCATTGCTCTTCGGGAAATTTCGCTCTTGGCTGGACATTTGGGCCGCATGTTCATTTTGACCCATAAACGATCCATCGTTCAGATAATTTCTTTCCGATAGTTGAGAGTCTTCATCATCGATGACAAAGAGTCCTGCTGCATTTGTAGAGGTTGAAGTTAAATGCCCATCACCTTCCTGAATTTGATCATTGGAGCGAGAATTATGCCGCATATTTGAGGCTTGAAATCTGAAAGAGTGCTTATTGGCATCTTCATTGTCACTTGATTCCTCGTGAATGCGTGTCGGCGGATATTTCTCTTGCTCAAAACTCTCATCTTCCACACGACTTGCATGCGGATTGTAGGGCTGAAAATCCACGTAGTCCCTTGTTATCAAATATGTCTGATTCCTCAAAGATTCAACAGAACCCTCTCGTGAATCCACATGTGAGCGTTTGGGCCATACTTTGACGAACTTCTTGAAATTTTTGCGACCAGCCCATTGAGGATCTACTGTGAATTGAGCAATCTCTTTCTCCTTAGACTGACTCCTCAACAATTCCCTATGCTCAATAATTGCTAAATTAGTAAGTTGATCGATAGCGTCCTGGGTCAATTCCTCATCTTTAATCTCTGTAAACGCTTCTTTTAACCGATTCACCTCTTGCGATTTTGTCTTTTGTATTGCTTCTACAAGCAAATGCTGAGGACTTTTATCCAAATCCTGACTGCTGAGCCGAGTGATTATATTGGGAGTTGGTGATTTTCCCATATTCGCATTGGAATTCGACTGTCGAAGATCTTCGGATGGACTTGGAGTTTTATTCTCAGAATGTAGTTGGGCGACAGCAATTTGATTGGCGTTGCCTGAAACATCACCATTGTTTCTTCTCTTAAGTGGTGGTACCAGAGATTCTTGTGGTTGAATATCAAGACCCAGCGGTCTCTTGAGTATTGAATTTTGCTCAAGTGGGCTTTTCTCGCCTGTCTTTTGCTGATCGACAGACATGTTTTTTGCTGGCGTTATTATTTTTGAACTTATATTGGTTGTATCGTTAGAATCATTAGGCGAATTGCCTGCAAGAGAGCTCGCAAAGCCCGCTTTACTACCGTTCTCATCCATAGATTCATTTGCTGTTGAGCCATTGAGTATCCCTCGTGCTTCTTCATTGCTAATAGCCTGATTATTTTGTTGATTGCCTATAGTGTTTTGCAAGATATCTGAATTTTGACGGTTTAAACCACCAGCGAAGAATGCTAAACTATCTAAAGGCTTGATTTGGTTTCTGTTTATCCTTCTACGCTTCTTAGTCGGAACTTCATCAGTTCGTTCCTGTGTTTTAGCAACCACTTCCACATCGGGATTTATTTCTTCCAACTGCCTTTTTCTGCGAAACTCAGACAATGAAGATGAGGTAATTGGCCCTGATATCGTTCTTTGTAGTAAGTTGTTCATGTCACCTTGCAAAACGGCATTTACGACATCATTGACATCGTGTAACCTGAATCCCAAAATCGATGCAATTGAACGCAGCGATTTAGCTTTTTCAATTTCATTATTTGAGTTATCAATGACCGACTTTGAGCTAGGTGCGTATGCATCATTTAGGTGAATTAGTATCACAATTTTTTCTGACCGAACCTTCTCTTGAATGAACTTGTCTAAATTAAAGATATCATCACACAGCCAGATGCTTCCTTCGGCGACTTCAATTATATGCTTGAAAATTGTAAAGGCTCGCTCACTCGACACAATCACATTAATTCCTCGAAATATACCTTTCGATGACTTGAAACCTGGAAAAGCAAGATGAGTTACCAAGAGATGTTCCCACTTGGAATCAAAGTCTCTCCCAGAATCTAGCATTTGGTGTTTAAAATCCGCCAAAAAACCTTCACGTAAGATTGGAACTCCTTTCACTAGTGAAAACAAGCAATTGCTGTAGGAGTCTTGATTCTGTTTGATTATCTGCAACGTAGTCTTAGAAGAAAGAGTCGAACCGATTTGAATACCTTCTAATCGAATATCTTTAATAAGTCTCTCCGATTCCCCTGCTAAATCGTGTGGTACTTTCCAGATTTCATCAAGCCAGGTTATCGATGCCTTTATTGGTTTTATTCCCAGCTCAAGTTCCGCTGTCTTTCCAAGAGGAAAGACAACAGTTTGGCCTCCTTTCAGCAACTTATCCCCAAGCCTGGTGACTTTTCCCATATTAATTACTGTTAAGTCGTCATCTTGGCTCACTGACAGTTGAATGTGCTGCCTTGATATGCTTTTGTCATTTTTTATGTGTAACGGACTCTTTGTTGATCGTCCCACATCATAGCTTCTTCCTCTCTTTAAAATACATGATTCAACTATCCAAGTACCGTTATCATTGACGTAACGATACCTTAGGACCCACATCAATGTATTAAGCGGTTACAGAGCACTTAACCTGCAAAAATATTTGTATAAATTTCGAAATAACTCAAACCTTAACACGTGAAAGGATACTTGTACAGATGTAGTTCATAAACGATTCATAGAAGCGTCCTTGCAGTGATACTTATTATCCGATTACAACAATCACAGCTATTTCTCTTGAATAATGCCTTATTTCGAAATAGAGATAGGTTTAGGAAGTGACTAGTGGAAAGATCCTTATAGCTGGACTTGCATAAAAAAAGCGTCAACATGCTTAAAAAGAGTCTCTTTATATTTCACCTGAATGATAAACAAGCAATTTTGAAGGTTATAGAAGGCATGATACATGAAGACAAGCCTCGAAGCTTCAAGCGAACTGAACTATGTATGGGATTATTTCCCACGGTAAGTTGATTATGTATATACAGGGAAAAATATGAACTCACCTTAAGAGAGGCGGCCCAAATTATTCTCTAAACATGATAATAGGCAGGAATATAGGCAACGGTACTCAGTAGAGAGACAAAGCGACACCAAATGAAAAGCCCGGTTTGTGTCCATCAGTAATTCTGTTTGATAAAGGCACCGCGTAAGTCAAATCCATGTTAGCAAGTGCTGTTTTGTAAATCAATGAGATTCCTGAACTTGAAGCAAGTGATTGAGGGAGTGGCCCTTTATTGAATACATCACCCGCATTTAGGAAAAACTGCATTCTCAAAGGCGAGTTAGCCGGAGTATTAGGGATCTTAAACGAAGATGCTAATGCCAGCTTACAGTAAAAGTGACCGCCATGCTCACCAATCGAATTTCTTTCAAATCCTTTTAAAGTTGCGAGGCCGCCAAGATAAAATTTATCCATCGTATGCACGACTGCCGGTGGCTCGCCAATCTGAAAAATACCTCCATAAGCGAAACTCATAGAATTCACGATTAGACTTTTGAAGAACGGGACGTGTTTCTCGTAAGAAATACCTAATTTATCGAAATTCTTGTCTTGCGGAACAGCTTCCTTTCTGTTAGGAAAGTTTTGAGCCAACACGTATTCATTTTTTATAGCGAACTTTGACCCAGACGCTGGGAAAAGACCAAAAAACTTCCTACTATCGTGCAAAAATTGGGTGATAAAACTGTTTTTGACAAAGGTGCCATTAAACTGTTTGATTGAATCGGAAACAGCGTTAGGTTCTTTGAACCCATAGACATTCCTGGCGACCATAGTCACACCAGTGAAAAGCGACGGGGCTGCCTCTGTACGCTTTGAAATCCAATGCTTCTGAACTCCTAAACTCAAAGAGTATTGATTTTGTTTATGCTCATCAGCAGTATCGAGAAATGGTTGGTTACTAAAATCGAGTTTAGCATAGGTTAGATCTAAGACAGCCTTTAGCGAGGGATTTTTCTGAAGCGGAAGGAGCAATTTTGTGTTGACACTTTGCTCATCAATCTTCCCTTCGAATGGAGTGTATCGAGCATCTCCTTGGACCACAAGGCTTTCTGCTCTTCCTAACGAATTGATGAAGGAAATACGGCCACCTAGCGAGGAAAATGTGTCACTCGTGCAGGAAGTGACACTGTATTTGTGGTACTCTAAAGGCTTTAAGTTGATCTTTGCAATAGAGGGAAGTGGGTATTCCAAAGCATAATCTTCGGGGAAGGATTTCTTTAGCTTATCTACTGAAGCTGCAGACACATCATTGTCTAAGGAAACTGTAACCTCTTGAAACAGTCCTGTGTACATGATCTTCTCCCTGACTTCATCTAAACTTTCGAGTGTATGCTCTAAAGTCTGAAGTGGCTGAGAAAGGACAGGATCCAATATGGACTCGAATAATGCATTTGAAACCGGACTCAATTTATTGTCACCGTCAACTGCAATTGAGGTTAAAAAAATTGGCTTAGTAGCCGAGTGATTGACGTACGCTAGTTGTGATTGCTTTTTGAGCTCATCCTCTATAACAGAAGCTGTCATTATGTGTGAGTTTTGTGAACAACGCCAGCGATGTGTAGATAATTTGTCTTGCTTTCATTGGCTTATTTTTTTCCCTTTAAAAAAAGATGAAAATGTGTCCTGTCCCCATTAAAAGATACAATTACGGAATAGCACCTTTCGGTGTTTTGGAGAGGGCTTCAATGCTTAAACACAGTTCTTTACTTAACATGACTCTGAAGCTTTGCTGGCGGTTATCTTTGATATTATTCTCTACCAGATCACATAATTGCTCGATTAGGTGATGAAACCACTGCACAGATATATTGGCATTGTAATTGAGGTGCATTCTATCAACTTTCATGTTTTTGTTGTTAAACTTATGGTATAATTGATTTCTCGTGTAGCTCTGTAGAGCGCTTAATTGGTTGTAGTAAGGGTCTCTAAAACCGATAAGCAAATCAGTTTGAGGAACCAAGGATGTTTGTACCCACATCCTCAGCAATTTGCGGCGATGATGTTGATTGTTGAGCTTAAAGTCAGTTGAACATTTGATTTCAGTATATGTTTCATGAAAATCGTCGTGGCAGTCCATTTCCGCCTTAAGCAACACCCCTATGTTATCGTTTATCTTTCCTTCTATCATAGAAAAAAAGCACGAACGCTGATTTTCGGCTAGCGGCTGGGTCACAAGGTTTTCCAACTCGAATCCTGTGTAGCAAATTCTCCTCATATGTGTGCTTTTCGAGTGAATACCTGTGTCTTTCTTGGCACGACGGCTATCTGGAGAGAAGTACAAATAGCCGTCAACGTAAGTTACCACTAGCGATACATCTTCTTTTGAAAACGGGCACATAATTAGATCAATGAGATGATGTCTCGCCGAGACAATGGTGAACTTATTATTCTGATTGAACTTTGTCCCATTTTTGGCTTCAAAACGTTCCATAAACAAGAAAACGCCACGCATGTCCTCCAAAACCGCCAATGGAAGAGGTTCAAAACTCTCAAAACCTGTAGTCATGTTATGACCCAAGTACTTTCTGATTTTATTTTTGTTTCGGTCTTTCTTATACTCGCATATATCAGAATTGAGGCGGGGAAGACCGCTCTTGTCATTTATAATATACCTTTCATCATCGTACCGGTGCGTGATTGTCCCAATTTCTCTTGATTCTTTAAAAAAGTGGAATGCCTGTTTAGGATATGCAGTCAAATTGACGTGGCCAAATTTTTTACAGTGGACGTGGCTTTGTGCTCCCTTGTCATTGATCGAGAGACTACTTAGCTCCTCTGATAAAGGTTCCATCAGGAGATTGTCTTTATATAGATTGAATTTGAATAGACATAGAAAAAGCGGCGGCAACAGAATTTTTTCTGATATTGTCGAAAGTTGAAGCCATCGAAAACCAAACCATAAATATTAAAATGAGACAATAGATCATCCAATATGGCACAATCGAGCATTGAAATTTCCTCAGTGGAATAACACACGGCTGTATCAGTATCTGAATCGAGATAGTCAGCAGTAAACGCCATCAAAACTGCCAAAAGTCGGTAAAAAAGGAACTCAAAGAAATCTGCATCTAATTACTATCCCTATATAGGTGATCAATGTTCAACCTCATGTAAAGGATCACATATTACTGACCTTCTATCTAGGGTATAAATTACCGTAATTAACGACATCAAGAATAACCGAAGGATTAGTGGGACGCTACCTTATTTGTCGTTCTTTTCGCCGTAGCTCTACATCGAATACATAATTGAGACGGTTATATCAAGATGGTTGAATGGTGTGCTATTGTCTACGATAAGAAGGGAAGTGACAGATCTCAAGAGAGACCTGCTCACTTAGCGGGAATTCCTCCCTTGGTTGAACAAGGTAAGCTTGTGTGTGCTGGTGCCATATACCACGATGTCGTGGACGGCAAGCCAACCAATTTTGCTGGTTCTCACTTACAAATCGTCGCAGACACCAAGGAAGAAGCCCTTGAGGTGATTAAGAATGATGTGTTCGCCAAGAAAGGTATCTGGGATTTAGACAGCATTTTGATCTTCCCATTCGGATGCGCTGTCCGTAAAGAGAAGAAGTAGTTACTGCAATCACGTAATTCGAGTGCTGGTACTGAAATATCCTCATAAGATCAGATCAGATTTTCTTAAGGCATGAAGTTCTAAGCTCTAAAAATAATTACGCAGCTATATATCAAAAAATACGTATCTTTATCTTTTCAGTACTGCACACTGATCAAGTAGTCAGCTAATTGCTCAACGATTTTGGTCGCTTCACCAGCTTGTACTCCTGCCGGGTAGTGAGCAACTAAAATAGTCTGCTTGGTTCTGACACAAACAACACCTTCAGCATCGTGTCTACCGTAAATGCTTCTGGCGTCTGCCCTAATCATCATGAACTTTTGACCTTGAATGTGAAGACCATTGCTTTGCAAATAGGCAGAATTATCAAAACCTTGAGCGATTTCTCCAATTTCGGCCGGTGGCAAAGACAGCGCACCGGAGGCTGCCCACAAAGAGTCACCAGCTCTAGAGTAGATCGCGGCCTTGTCAATTTTACCAGTTGCTAATAGATTGTCAGTATAGGCTGTAAAACTGTTAGTAATCTTGCAGTTTAATTGACCTAATAAAGGATCGCGCTTCTGTATTCTCGAGGAGAAGTTTTTTTAATCCTCGCTGCATCAAACGCAGTTACAATGTGCTGGCATTGCTTCGAAAATCCGATGACATACCTTGCCAAGACATCTTGATGTAGCTTGAGTGCTTGGAGAAACGTGTTTAATGGGAACGAGCATTGTGAAGGGATCCGAAAAGTAAAACACATACCCCAGTCCGAAGCAAACTGGAACGCCTCATTTGACTCCGGGTAACCTCCATAGAGATCATAATGTTAATTATACAGATATCGTGACCGAGCGTCTAAATTATACACAGACGTAAATCTATTCTTTTACAGATCTATTGCAAATTATTCATCATCCTCATCCTCATCGACTAGCGCAATTTTCCTTCTTTTAACTGTGGCTTCCTCTTCTGCGCTGTCCTTGGCATCATCTTCAGATTCATCACCTTGATATTGCATTGCACCGTCTCTTTTCAATTGTCGCAATCTCTCTGCATTAAGGTCATCCTCTTCGTCTTCTTCATCCTCCATTTCTTCTTCTTCATCGTCTAGAAGATCGTCTTCATCGTCGTCCACCATGAAGCCATCATCCTCATATTCATTACCTCTGGCATGTCCAAACGAAGACGTAGACTTGCGCAAGCCCACAGGATCCGGTGAATCTCTGTTCTCCTTCTCCAGCTGCTCTCTCAGCTGCCGTTTCCTCCTCTCGCGTATAATTTGCCCTTGTTTCTTTTCTAACTCTCTTTGTTCAAGTTCCGGATCCACCCGAACAATATAAGTACTTGGACCTTGATGTTCCCTTTCTTCCCGTCTCACAACAGCATTACTTAGTTTTTGGTGTATTCTGGAGTTGGTAGATGTAGGAATAAACATCATGGTCTTCGATATTTCCCCACCTCCTATGGATTGCACTAGCTCTTGTTCCTCGTGACTGACTGCAAGGTAAGTATTATCGGTGTCATTTATCAGCACATCTGTGTATTCTTCGCCAAGTCTAAGAGAGAAAGTTCCATCAGACCATTGTATGATCTGCGCGTTAGATTCCTTGAACACGCGTTGATTGGCGTCTCGGGAGTATCTCCATCTCACTGTGTTTTCATCAATGAGCCTGTCACCCAGTTGGTCCTCTTTAGACGAGAATCTATTTAACCGCTCCTCAATCTTGCTCTGAAATGCCGGAGGATCAAAGGGTATGGGATCAATCGTTAAAAATTGAGGGACCTTTGTGTAGTAAAGCGTGCTATGCGAATCCGAGGCAACAGTCTTATATGGAACCGTATGCTTAACAATATCAATATCAGCTTCCTTGAACTCAGCTTGAGAATCATCGTCATTATCATCCTCATCAACCTTGTCACCGTAAAACTTACGATTGTACATTGCCTGCTCATCGTCTTCGTCATCCTCATCTACAATCCCGCGACTTCTGCGACCATTTGTAACTCCTTCATCATCTTCGTCACTACCACGCTCTTCTTTTTCCTCACTTCCCGGCTGGGACTCATTTTCGCTATCATCCCCAAATAAGTCATCCATTTCGTCATTTTCCTCAGGATCCTCTGCTTTCTGCACTATAGCAGAATCTACTGGTGCTTCTAATGCTTCTAAATTGTCCATTGGCTGCTCTGTGGATGCTGCAGATGTTGAATCCTCCATCTTCTCCATCACTTTTACCCAACCTTGAAAGTTAACTACCAAACTCTAGTATTGATAAATTTTTCGTTAGTTCTTTTAGATATAATTACGTACGATTCCTATAAGGCAAGCGTCAGATTTCCTGGATGCTTTGTGTCAGATGTAGCCTAAAATAAACCATTTTATTCTATAAGACTTCTCTATCCCGATAAGATGAGATATAATTTATTCAGGAAAACTTTACTTATCCTCTGTTTGATTATATTCATTTTTGAGATGACATTGGGACCAAAGTACGTGAAAGATAAAACCATCACGAAATTTAGACAATTATATAAGGCGTTTGAAACGGGCCTGCCTGTTGACAGCTCTCGAAGAAAGGGAAAAGAAATGGAGACAGATGAAAAAGGCTACATTTCTGGTGTTTACTATTCTAATTGGTCACCGTACCCACCTAGAAACCACTTTCCTCACGAAATAGACTTTAGGATGGTGACGCATTTTTTTTACGCATTTTTTGTGGTCAACGCTGATACAGGAGAATGCCAGTCTAGCGACGAATGGTCAGACTTCGAAATGGATTTATTCAAACAGATGTATTTCCAGATGTCAAATAAGGGCCAATTGAAACATCATTCTCATGAAATGAAACGGAAACTTCCAAAGGGTGTCATTGGGGAGCTATTTTACTTAAAATACACTCAGATGTTGTCTCATATTAACGAAGATAGCGCATCGAGCAACTTCAAAACTCTGATGTCAGTTGGAGGGTGGTCGAACGGCCAAGCATTTCCTGTTATCGTAAGGGATAAAGCGAAGTTGGAGGTATTCTTGCAGACGTGCGTGGATAATATGTTTAAGCTTGGGTTTGACGGAATTGACATTGATTGGGAATTTCCAAACGATGATGGATTTGAAGCCGAACAGTTTCTTTTAATGATGCAGTCATTAAGAGAACGCCTCAATACCCTGGAACAAGAAATATTCGGCAAATCCGATCACAAACAGCATTTCCTGTTGACAGCAGCAATCCCCGCTACTATAGAAAGACTAAAGATACTTAAACTATCCCAGATGGACAAGTTCGTGGATTTTTGGAACCTGATGACCTATGATTTCAGTGGTGAATGGTCAGAAAAGACGGGCTACCATAGTAATTTGTACAATCCTCAAAGAAATGACTCAACGGCGTACACCTCGGGAAACAGCGCAGATGAATCTGTTTCCTACTTACTCAGTCATTTCCACCTACCATCTAAAAAGATCATATTAGGAATCCCTGCATATGGGAGAGGGTTTACAAATATCAAATTACACCCATACGACGATACTTTTGTGGGCAAAACATTTAAAGGTGTTGGTGGAGCATCTGAAGGGGAACCTGGAATGTGGCTTTATAATCAACTACCATTGGCGGGAACCAAAGAAATGTTCGATGAAAATGCCGTGTCAGCATATTGTGTTGATGTAACGAAACGAACGTTTGTGGGCTATGACAATGTGCAGTCAATGAAATATAAAGCCAATTATGTTGTTAAAAAAAAGCTTGGAGGCGCCTTTTGGTGGGAATCTTGTGGAGATGATCACAAAAATAGCTCTAGATCGCTTCTTACTGCTTTCAATAAAGAGATTAAAAGTTTAAGGAAAAAAGATACGTCAATATATGCATTGCCACAGGTGAGCAAATATTACTTGACTAAATATTCCGGAGGTCACTTATCGCAAGTATTTTAAACTATGAGCCCCCGCTATGAATCATCTGAGGGTACAGATACGAAAACCTTTTGCCAGAAAACTTGTCCTTACAACAAAGAATCCATTCTTGAAAAGACTTCAAAGACACCAGCAACAACTTCAAGCTGTAAGTCTGTGTCTGGATTTTGGGCGATCTCCTCTTGAACCTCTTTATTCAAATTGACAGATACCCCGGACTCAGTTGCTTTGTCGAGACCAAATGGATACTGAGAGAATTGCGCCAAGATTTCGTCTGCGCGAGAAAATGCTCTGTCTCTTTTCTCGTATTCGAGGCTTGAAAGAACATTTTCCAAAACATTGGCACCGTAAGAGCCACAAATAAGGGAAAGTGTTCTTATAATCTTAAACGTTACGTTCTCTGGGAAATATTCATTGTAGTTTAATTCCATGTTTCTTGATACCAGGACAGATAGAATTCTTCTCTTGATCGCCTCCTTACAGCTAGTATCTGTAATCGGGTGCGTTGGCATATCGAATAGGAAAAAGTTCTTCATTTCAGTTCTCAAAACGCCCTTATCGACCAAACCCTTAGCTAGCCTTTCTCTAACTTGCTTTAGTTGATAGTTAATTTTGAGCAAGTTCCATGTTTCACCACTTAGAAGATCGATCCAATTGGCGATTGACAGAGGTTCATCATTTTTCATGAGATTCAATGCTTCGTCAAGAAGAACCTCACCCGTTTTGCTACTGTCTATAACTTCAACTAGTCTCTCGGAGACTTCGAATCTTTTACGTGATGAATCGTTCACAACTCTTATCTTTCCTCTAAGTGTAAGTTCAATAAGAATACAGCCACGTAGAGCGTATGATATGTTATCGTTCCAGAAGGAGAGATAACCCTCTTTATCCTTCAATCCTAGTAGAAGAACCTCTTCCATCAAGGTCAGCTTTGGGATATGAGTGCTTTCTTTAAGCTTGACCTCCTCTGGGTCATATGCCACTCTTCTTTTATCGTAGTCCTCATCATTGATGGTACTTATCGGTTCCTCGGAGATTCCAGATTCAGACTTATTCACCCTACGGCGCTGTAAGCCTGACATAGTCCAATTCCTATAAAAGTGATTTGAATGAAACTTCGAAACTACCCTATTAGTTTTAAGATTCACAGCTTGTTGATAATTTCCAGACTTAAATTTTTCTCCTATAGACAGTTCGTTTTAAACGACGTTCATGAGCTTCAAAAAACACATTGTAAGTTAATCCTATGTAGAGATTCCTATTCAGTGACTATTCTTTTAAGAGGCTCAACTTCATCTTCGTGACCTTCTTTGATGTAAACAAGAAAGTAAGGGGTTGCGGTGTTCCCCTCGGTGAAATTAAAAACCTCGCTTTCTGGAGCTTCCGTGACGCTCTCGTCATTGTACTTTCTCCATATGCCATTTTTCTTGTGGTCCTTTATGTAAGTCCAATAGTGACCGTAACTCGCCTCTCCCCTATGAATGAATACTGCAAAAAGAGTGTAGCCAAAATTTTTGAACTCATCGAATTGGTGTGCGATCTTCTGCTCCAGAAGATTTAGTTCTTGATATATTGTTGCTAGTTCATTGTCAATTCTCATAATCACCGCATCTATACCTTTGATGACTTTCTCTTTGTCTTCTACTAAAATATCATTTTTTTCTAATATTTCAGATTCCAGTAATTTTTTCGTTTCCAATAAAGATCCCTTATAAGTCATACCACTTTCATTCTTTACGAGCAACTGCTTTTTCCTATTCTTCAGAGTTTGGAGCTGTTCTTTCAGTTTTGCAGTTTCATTTTTTTTTGCAGTTAACGAAATATCTGTTGAGTTCATGTATCTATCCATGTAAATCTTGTTTCCAAAGGGTAGAGGTTCAATCGATTTGAACGGCATGAATCTTTCACGGTCATAGTATACTCTTTGAATTTGAATTTGTAGAATGTTTGGCAGCTCTGTGATAGAAACTGTTCTTTGAACTTCACCATCCTCTTCCAGCTGCAAAACATCGTCCTTGAAATACAGGTCAAGTGCGTCATAGACATCCTTGGATTGCTCTCCAACGTTGACAAGGAGAGAGACAAATCTCTCCATTTTGGATCTCACCTTTGATGGATTGCCGATTGGAACCAGATCTTGCTTTAGTTTACCGTAGAACAGTTCCTTGATTAAATCGTACTGTTCGCCATCACTGTCTAATCTAATAGGATCCGACGCACTCTCAAGTTGAAATAAGACATTCCCAATGCATTCGGTTACATCTTGCTGCCTACCCATCTCAAGAGCGTTTTCCAATTGATCAGTACTAATTTTGGCTACACGCGTTGAGGTCAAGAGCGGCTCACTTTCTTCCGTTCCTGTCATTATAATATCGTTATCTTTCTCTTCTGTGATTTTATTGTCAGCAGTACTATCTGATGCAACTTCCACAAGATGCGAAGGGGAAGAGCTTGTCATTACAATGTCATTTTCGGCCACATTATCTGCGGTAAGATCTATTATTTCAACTTTGCTACACGCAGCCGGGTGAGATATCCTTTCAGTCGATGTACCCTCAAACTCAACCTCAACACTACTAGGTGCGAAGGCTAAATATGCTAATTCTTTCCTAGGCGTAACGAAGCGCTCCTTTGTGTGAACCATGTCATTAAATAGGTCTCGAAGTTGATAAACAAATTGAACTGATCGTTCTACCTCAGCCTCACTAACTTCTCTGCCACCTATCCTCCTTTTGTCTTTGAGGTTACCCAATGAAAGATGAAAGTCGGTCAACGTTTTCTGGTAGTCTAGAACAAACTGTCTCAAAGGTGCAATCGAAAAGTAGTATTGAAGCAAAGAATTCAAATAGCATGTGTTTCCGATGTTATTCAAACCAGTTGGCCAATTTCCCGCTGGAAGACAGCCAATGTCAATAACGCCTGTATCCAAATAATGATTAATCAATTTCGAGTTTCTTTCATTACCCAGTTTCATTAGAGCCGCTCTTAAGGTAAGAAATTGATCTGGGGATGCAATAGGCTCATGATTCCATTTGCGTTGGAAAACTTCTAAAACGACGTCATCAGTAGCATTCTCATTAATTTGTAGTATACAAAGAGCATCAGAATATGAGCAATCATCTGAGCTGTAGTATTTTTGGAAGGAGGAACATTCTTGAACGAGAAAATTAAATAAAGCCATACTTCTCTTGGAAACTGCCAAAGTGTAAAGTGCTCTGTCGCAATCCATTTTCAAACCTGGAGAATCTGAAACTCGCACAGTATAAGCAGTCTGTATAACATCATTGTCGACCGATTCATCAATCTCAAGCAGTTGATAGGCTTGGCGAACATCATCGTATGGCTCATAATCAGCGTAAAATTTCAACTTTTGGCTACCTTTGAATTTTGCCAGTAGTCTCAAAGCATTCTTCAAATCGCTGCGTTTTTTACCACTAGTAGAGTTTGATTCCTTCCTGTAAATACTTATCAGAAGATCATCTGGAATGACCTTTACGTCAGTGTCGGTTGAATCAATTCCGAACAACATGAGAGCCGTATCAAGAGCTTCTTTTCCTACAACATTCTGTCTTCCGCAGTATGCGATAAGTTGATAGCTTCCCTTAGTATTTGCAACATAACTCAAGGAGTCATAATAGACCCCCACGTTTTCGCGATCTAACACAGTTTGCGTCTCGTAATTTCTTATGATGTCTTTATCAGAATAACTGTGGCAAACAGACAAATTCATGAAATGATAATTGGAATCTAGAGAAGAAGACTTTTGGTTATGTATGTCTCTTGATTCTCCTAAGAGATGAAACCAGAATGCTGTCGAAATGCTTGTTTGGTATAGGTTGAAAAACCTTGCCTTTGAGTTCTTGGATAATTCTCCCTTGGGCATTAAATTAGTTGACATCTTTCCGAGGAATATCAACTCGAGGCATCTTCTAATATATGATTCCCTCACACCTCGAACTTTTAAATCGTTAACATAATCTGTCAAGTCTGGAGGTTCAAATTCTGGAATAATCTTTCCAGTTTCTTCTTCAGTAGTTTCGATCAGTTGGAATCCATACTTTTCTGTAAGCCAACTGGGTTCGAGCTGAGAATTTAGGAACTTATTTTCAGCTGAGATCGTCTTGAGCACATCATCTGAGCTTTGTCGGTTAAGAGGACCCTTGAATATTTTGAAAAGTGTGTTAAAACACTCTGCCTGTGTAGGGATCATGTCTCGATCTAAGTCAGTAAAGTTTTCGCACGCTTCTAAATACCTTTTCTTGATGTGATCTGATGAAAAAGCAGATAACTCTTCAGTGGAAAACTCGGGTGTCAATATTTCAATGCATACCAGTTTGTTCGAGTCACTAGACACATAGATAGCTGAGTCAACCAGTCTTTCATCACCTTTCTTTAAAAGAAAAACGTCCTTTTCATCATAAGGATGCAATTTCTCTACCAAATGATAATGTGTGATGCCAGTATACCGTTTTGTGCGTTCTAAATGCGATCTAGTTTTAACAGTAACCTTCAAGTGATAAATAGATGTTTCGCTTAGATCGTCATATGACATGGGCTTCACAGATTGATCGCACAAAACACCCATAAAAACCGTTACCTTGTTTAATTGAGGACATGTTATAGAGTCATACTCATAACGGGTCTTTAAAGACACTTGATCGATAAGGTACCCTATTGACCAGGGTTGTCCATTTCTCTTCCGTGAATACTCCAATAGGGGAAGCTTCAAGACTCCATTATGCAAATGCGAGTATAAAATGTCATGCTCCTGAGAGTTTGTAAAACATAAATCTATCCTTATATCGTCCAACAGTCTATCTGAAGTTTTGAAAGGAAAATTGGTGGAAACAGCAGGATAGAGTAAAACTTTTCCGCTATCCGTGTCTGACTCTATCTCACCCACTCGTTCGTCCAAATCCATCGTGGGTATCTCAACGGCATCCTCAAAAGGATTGTTGGAGCCTTGAAGATCTTGAAACATGTCTCAATGAGCCACTTCTGTATCTTGCGCTGGTACTTCTTCAGAGTTCCCTTTTTCTGGGAGATTCCACTTTCCGCCATTTCGTCAAACGAGATATGAATCTAAGCAGATATATATATACACATACCCTTTACTAATAATTGGAAAGCAAGAATGACTTGGCGTTGCAATATTATAGTTTATTCGGCTCATAAATGTGACAGTAATATTTTCAAGTGAAATTAATCGATTTTTGTGCAGTAAGAAACGACATAAAGCCGATAGTTTAAAGATAAATTTACAAAGTGAAGAGCGCTATCAGTACTAGAAACAAATTTGATTCAATAAATGTGATTAGTTGTGGGTGAGAGCAGCTGCTTTTAATAAATATCGAAGTTTCATTAAAAGTAAAATTCATGTATAAAATGAAACATATGCTTACAAAATCAAAGGCGTCCTTGCTCATGGAAAATAACAATCTACTCGAAATAATCAATACTTTGAGCTTGTACCGTTTGAAAATGAATACAAGTATCGTGTGCGCATTACGAAAGAATCCAGCTAATTGAAACTATCATCAAAACGATCACGTGATCAGAGATATAGCAATCTTATAAAGAAATTTCGAACGTACAAGCCTTCTTTTGAAGGGACAGCCACTCTTTGATCCAAACCATCATCATTCAATGGGCGCCAAGGCTTCGAAATTATCCAAAGACGATCTAACAAGTCTCAGACAATCGACATACTTTGATCGCCGAGAGATTCAACAATGGCACAAGGGATTTCTAAGAGATTGTCCATCAGGACAACTGACGCGAGATGAATTTTGCAAGATCTACAAACAGTTCTTCCCATTCGGTTCACCTGAAGAGTTTGCAAATCATGTTTTCAGTGTTTTTGACAAGGACAATAATGGAACAATAGACTTTAAAGAGTTCATTACAGCCTTGAGCACGACGTCAAGGGGGACTCTGGAGGAAAAGCTAGTGTGGGCATTCCAATTATACGATCTAAACCACGACGGATTAATAAACTACGAAGAAATGCTTACGATCGTCTCTAGCATATATAAGATGATAGGGTCGATGGTCAAACTTGATGATGACGAAGCGACCCCAGAACTTAGAGTCAAAAAGATTTTCAAGTTAATGGATAAAAATGAAGATGGCTTTATCTCATTAGAGGAGTTCAGAGAAGCATCAAAAGTCGATCCCTCTATTGTGAGCGCCTTAAATCTATACGACGGGTTGGTATAAAATAATCCAACGTTTTGACCCTTTGAGCACTACAATTCACTTTTTTACAGGATGTTATGTTATCAGTGTACTATATTCGTTTGGTATTTAAGAACATTACCATATTCCTCTTTCCCCAGTGATTATATCCTTTCAGCTGTCCAAATGGCTGCTCTGCAAATGGTCTTGATGCCCTCCGTTAACAACATATAAGGAACTGCTTTGTGAGAATCGTACTCCACCGCAGTGTTTAAATGTTCAAGCTCTTCATCTCTAAATTGCTTTATAGTCCCTGTAAGTGATTTTAATTCCATACTTTGCCCCTTAGTTCCATCAACCCCCTCTAACTCGTATTGGTTATTTAAACAGCGCAGCTGATCGTTATAATGCCCACCTATCACTGTTTCCACAGCTTCTGTGCATGCCATTGCCGCTTCGGGAGAAATAAGAGACGTCCCACTACCCAATGCAAAGGCGCCTAGTTTCCATAGAGGAGTCAATAAGCTTGGCCGCACACGCCGTTTCAATTGCAAATCATTGAAAGTGTTGTGGTGGTGAATCTCTTGGTCCCACATATGTCTAAGAACAGGCTTCAGGTGTGGATACTTGTTAGCCAGGACAAAATATTGACCTGCATAAATGTAATTTGCACCAAGTTCACCTGCTTGATCAACGCGAACGGCACGGTCCAGATAAGCTTGTTGAGCTCTGGACATTGCCTTAAATTTCTTCACAGGTTCTGAAGAATGCGAAGTAGATTGATGTCCTGTTTTCAAACTTTTCAGAACTGAAAAAGACCTACATGGCTGTCTGAAGGACGTGGCTTTCAACATATTTCAAGGTTAGCTGTTCGATTAAATGAATAAAGGGATTAAATGCTATATGAATGTAATCAGAAAAAGCCAAGTTTATTTCTACTACTCGTTCAACACGATTAAAATACTCGTGAATTTTAACTGGTCTGGTGACTTCCTGTAAATGCTGAGAAGACCTCAACCACAGATCGAGCAATATCCAATGGTATTTCCTGTGTATCTCTGGACTGCGTAATTGGTTTCATTTCATTCTTAGGGTTCGCGAATTTTCTAAGAGCTCTGTTGGGAACATCAACAACGAGTCTCCAACTGACAGAAAACAACCCTTTATAAGATCTTTCCTCGGCCCAAACGTGTGTCTTAGCTCGGTCCACATCTGATGTCATCTCTGCTATACCGCAGAATTGGCCTGAGCCATTTACGGAGAATAAGAGAAAGAGTTTCGCTCCTTTAGGAAGATTTCTGTATGCTCTTGAGAGGCGACAATTACCGTAATCAGTTGACGACCAAATGCCTCGATCATATGAAATACGCACATTTTCATCACTATTTGATTTGATCACAAAAACGCGGGATCCCTGGGGAACAAGTATCTGCTTTGAATCGGGCTTGGATGGTTCAGCTTTACCAAATATCTTTTCCATCGAAGACGCACTGGAAGTACAATTCGTAACCGTACATATGCCATTTGGCATTACCTGCTCTAAGCTATCCCATTTTATGCCTTTTGATATCATCGAGTGATCACTACTAGAACTCGTTTTTGGTTCCCAAAGCATATCCTCACTTCCATACATTTTGCTATCTCGCTGCTCCGTTCCTATTTTTGTATTGCCTAATGAGAAAATTGTCTCCAGCTCTTTTAATGAATCCTCAATCGTCTTTTCTGTACTTGAAGTGTAACAGCTTTGTTGAAACACCTCGGCGGCTAAATAGCTTCCTGCATTCATTTTTCTGGGCAACAAGTCTTAGTAGTTTATGAATTTCTGACAAGTTTATTATAAGAATGGTCTTCAGATTTGGTGCTAGAAAATAGACAGAACCGATGTTTTAGATTATTATTCCTTTGTGAGGATCGTCTTATTGGTTTCTGATCTTCTCATTACTTACGTGATCCACGTTAGCCAGCCTCTAATCGCATCTTCGAAAAATAATTGTAGTTTTAATCGATCTAAAAACAAAAGTACCAGGGATGACAAACAATACGATCGCCAATTATTTCTCCAGAGAACTGGAGAATCAAACGAGGCCTGTGTCTTCACCCAGTGAAGCGGAAAAACTGTTATTGGGGTGTGCTTACCAGGAGTTTTTGAAAAGAATACTAAATGAGGCGAAGGTATACGCCGAGCGGGATGGATCTAATCAGATATTGCCCTCTCACTTGGAAAGTGCCCATAAAGCTATCATGCAGAGAATTTAACTACGCTATTTACATGAGTTATTGTTAAAAATTTTGTTCCCAGTCCATCTGAGCTTATTGGAATACGTGATTTGGTGATTTCAATGTGTCAACCATCTTGATAGCGGAATCAGGATCATCCTTAAAGAATACAAATAGACCTTGTAATTGAGCTGTACTCACCTCGACATTAAGATTTGCTGCGTGTTTCACAAAATCTTTGCACTTCTCTTTTTCTCCAGGATAAAACTTCAAAAACATTTGCTCCATCTGGAAAGGAGTAGCGTTGCCCACAAAGACTTTATAATCAATACGCCCTGGCCTCAAAATGGCCGGATCCAAGCGTTCAGGATGGTTCGTGGTCATGAAGGTAATGGTCTCTTCTGATGATGCCACTCCATCTAGAGCATTCAAGAGACCACTAAAGGTTACTCCAGATTGAAATCCCTTTTCACTGGATTGATTTCTTTGGTTAAATGCAGCATCAACGTCTTCCAGCAAAAGAATGCTTCGCTCAGGAATATTATTCATTAGATGATTGAGCCTATCGTCGGTAAGGTTGGCCTCCGACAGATTCATAATGCAAATGTTATAGTCTAGTTCGCCGGCAAGTGCTTGAATAAAACTAGTTTTTCCGCTTCCTGGAGGACCGTATAGTAAGTAACCTCTTCTGTATGGGATGCCTCTTTCAAAATACCACTTGCCATTGCTCATAAACTCTTTTACGTCTTTTAAAATAGCTTCTTTTATACCACGATCCAAAATCACTGACGGTAATAATCGTTTGGCTTTTGGTTGACCAAATGGCCTCCATTCTGGGCCCCATGAAGTGTAAACCACAGTCTTTCCATCTTTTGACTTTACAGCCAAATTCTTGGCTTCTGTCAAGAGGTCACTGAACAATTTTCGATCACGGTACAGAGTCGTGAGAGTAACGGTCTCAAATGGTGCACCATTGGTCATATCAATCATTTTCCCTGACCTCTCACGCTTAATAAGGATAAAAGCACCTTTATATCTAATCAAATGGTTGCCAGGTCCCGGTACTAGTGAAAAATTTGTAGATGTAGCACCATTATCATGCTGAACAAATTTCGTCTCGACCGACAAATGTCTAGATGACCTATGCGGGTGTTTGGCCATCCACTCAAGGAACCAAAGGTAAGATTTATCTTTAGAGGGAATTTCCAAGTCCACCACCAGTTGACGATATAAGAGTCCACTTGCTCGAATCATGCCGGATCTGGTCAAAGCTAGTGCCGAGCCAAGAAGCATCAAACCACCACCAGCAGCGAAATATGGATTTCCTTGCATTACTTGATCGAATACACCCTTAGCCATTCCCGAAATAGAACCATCGGATTCTTTGCTTACCTTTTCGAGATCAAGAGAAGGGCTGGGATTGTTTGAAGCCGGACTTTCCATTGTCTTCGATTTTAAGTCTTTGGTGTTTGCTAAGCGAAATTGCAGTTGATCTAATTTTTTTACGCCAAAGTTTGAAGGCAAATGCTTACGTGGGACATCCAAAATGAAAGATGGATGTGTCTTTCAAAAGGATCATCACAATTGGCTTAGACTTCGGTACAATGATTTGTCGTAAAATCAATTTAAAGTGAATTGTAAATGAAATTTAAATGAAAAGGTGGCATGATGCCCGGCTAGGCGTTTATTACCGATCCTGCCAGCTTTCATATAGGCATCGCAAATTAACCTAAAATCAATCTTCAGTTCTACGATCGAACTTTATATGCCGTTGGGTATCAACCAACGACGATTTCAAGAGTTATTTAATTGCTGAGAAGTAAACTAAAATGATGAGATAACTATCAATCAAACTGATTAGAGTTGACATTGTCCTATCACAGTGTTTCATGTAGCTACAATCTTTCTTCTGTACAGATATCTGTTTATTAAGGAAGAGAGAGAATTTGAGGATCAATTAAATAAAATTCTTCAGGGATTAAGTTCATAGATAATAAATATACTTGGCAACCGAAGTAAACCATAGCAAGGCCGGGCTGAACTCTTTCCAAAAGCCTATGGGTCATATGGACGCCGAAGAATGGCATTGACTGCCACACTTGGAATTCATTGTTACTATTTCGCGAAGAATCTGGAAAGTAGAGAGTGGTGAAAAAGGGCACTTTATTGTTAAATAAGAGAAGGCATGTGAATACGCAATCACGAATCCGGCAAAAATTCAGTTGGATAATTTTCTTTTACCAAGGCAGCCATACCTTTACCCTTGTCGCCACCAACTTCATGTAGAAGGTTTTTGATCACACCCTGGACATTCACTACAGGACTTTTTTGATCAAATTTAAATTTGGACTGGATACTATCAATTTCAATTTCGATTCCTACGATATTTTTTAACATTATAGCGAGATAGGATTCTGGCGCATCTGAAACCTTCCATTTTTCTTCGTACTCTGCGCCTTTGGGCCTTTTCCCTTCTTCTTGTGCGGTCAAAAGCGTTAACATGTTGATAAGCCAATCCTTATCATCGCGAATGATCTTAGGAGTACCGTACACATGCACCGCGGCAAAATCCCAAGTGGGAACAAATTTATGGGTTTCCTTTTTCAATGGATACCAAGAGGGAGAAATGTATGAGTCCACGCTTTGAAATACCACCAAGCACTTGCCTGATCTTTCCAGAAGATCAATCAATTGGTTTCTTCGTGCTAGGTGGGCTATCAGCTTGTGTTTTCCATCCTTTGACTCCACAAAGAGGAACGGAATATGCGATGCTTCCATCTCGACTTCAGGACTCTTCGTCTCATACAATTGGCTAGCAAACTGTAAGATACCGGACTTTCTTGTTCCAGATGAAAACAAAACTCCTAAAGGATACTCTCTGATAAGAGCCACTTGCTTCGAAAAATCTGTAGACTCGTATTCCTTTGGAATGTACATCTCGAACAATTTCACGTTTGTTTAAAGTGTGTGGTTCAATTAAGTGATCGCATCATCCCGTTCAGTATATATGACTTTTTGTCTTATCTAGGCCGGCTTTTTCGCACTGCTCGAACTTCCTTTCAAAGACAAAGCGAACCCCGCGCGGACGTGGTGGAAAATTCAAGACAATATGATGAATCATCGTTTTGCGAAAAAATGCGGATCTTGTATAATAAGCAGTAAATATTGACTGAAAGCAATTATTAGGTCATGATTCATACCTCGTAAAGAGACGAGTCGCTCTGATAAATTCGTTTCGATCTTCTGAGTTGAACTGATCGATGCCTGCCTCCATTGGTGTTCTGGCTGGCATGGGACCAAGATCGACAGCTCCATTCGTTGATATGCTAATACAGGCATGCCAAGATCTGTACGATGCTAGAAATGATATGGATTTTCCCAAAATGCACATAATTTCGCTTCCAACTCCATTCTATCCTGGAATACCGGTGATTGACAGAGATATGGCAAATGCACTCAAGAGGGGAATTGCTGAACTTGTAAAAGTTGGCGTGGACTTGATTGTAGTCCCTTGCAATTTGGCACACGTATATTTCACAGCGATGATTGAGGCCAGCAAGGATATCCCGCTGCTACATATAGCAGACTGCGCACTAAGAAGACTTCCAGCTCAAATAACGCATGTAGCTATTATCGGCGCTGCGCCAACCTTGGAATCAGGAATTTACCAGCATCGTATTAGGGCAAAGGGAAAAGTCGTTGTCAATACTATCAGACTGCAGGAGCTAGCGACAGAGCTTATAAGCCTAGTGAAGGAAAGGGGGTTCATTGACAAGCAGGTCGAAAATACCTGGAGAAAAGTGCTTTCAGAGGCAAAGCAAGGAAATGCAGATGCCATTCTTGTTGCATGCACTGATATTAGTCCGTTAATTACAGAAGACCAGTCCTTAGTAATTATTGATGCGGCCGTGAGTTTGGCAGAAGCGGCAGTGCACGCATCTTATTCTTCGCATTGTCAGATCCTAACTTTAACTGGCTCAGTTACTTAATTTAAATACGCAGTTCCTTTCCTTGTGTGCTATCGTAATACTAAAAAGCTTTCATGAGCATGATTATGTATCAGTGATTGAGATAATCATCAAGAACAGAGCCTTTTTCGTCAACTTCTCTCCATTCAGGTAACTTGTACTCCATGTTTTGCGGGGAATATTCTGGATACGATTCCTCGATGACTTTCATGAGCTCATTGAAAAAAACTTCATAGCCTTTACCAGTAAAATGAATACCATCACTAAGGAGAGACTGCCAGCTATCGTTTCTTTCTGAAGAAAATGCTTGGTAAAGATTGACGAAAGGGATTCTTTCCTCTTTCGCTAGTTTCTCTCCAGCATCAGAGTACAATTTGTTGTTCTCATTCGATCTAACGAAGCCAGCAGCAACTTCTTCTGGCTTTCTCGGTTCCCAATTATTTTTGTCATGTAATGCAGGACCAACGAGAATAGGCCTAATGCCCCTGTCCTTCAAGATCTTGACCATTTTTTTCATGTTAAGTTTGAACTCAGGTAAATCCACTCGTTGAGAACCACCTAAGGCCGCATCGTTGGTTCCAAAAAACAATGTCGCCATCACAATGTCAGGTCCAGCTTGCTCGAGAATTTGAGGAATTATTTTCAAGGCCCACCTGGAATTGTAACCTGAGAAGCCTCGTTGTATGATATCCATCCTTCTAGTATAGGTGTTAACAAGGGCTGCCCCAAGAGAAAACTCGTCAAAATTAGGCAGCCTACTAGAAGCGAATGCGAATTCGGTGATTGAATCACCAAATAACAAGAACTTTTGGTACTTTAGAGACATAAATAGTAACTCACCTTATATTATAAATGGTGTAGAAAGTTAGGTATTTCCTTGCTCGGCCAATGTTAGAAAAATGAATACTTTTAGAATGCTCAACGTATGAACGAGCTGACAAATACACAATCAACTTCGAACGACAGGCACTTATGAAATCATGTTAAGTTCTTTAATCTTCAAAAGATTTATATCGAATAAGAAGAAATCTGTTTCAGTAATAGGTTCTGGACCTTCTGGTTTTTATACAGTTTGCCGGCTACTTTCAAAATCACCAGTACCACTTGCGGTAACGCTATGGGAAAAGTTGCCAATTCCTTTTGGCCTCAGTAGATATGGAGTTGCACCTGATCACCCTGAGGTGAAGAATTGCGAAGATACATTTACTGAGTGCGCTGGAAAGTACTTATTGGGGCAAGGTCAAAAGCATACGTTTCAATTCAGGGGAAATGTAACGATTGGACAAGATGTAAAATTAAAACAATTGCTGGATACTCAAGATGCCGTCGTTCTGTGCTACGGTTGTTCTGGTGATCACAAGCTGGGAATTCCTGGCGAGGATACTACTAAAGGTGTATTCACAAGCAGAGAGTTTGTCAACTGGTACAATGGGCATCCTGATTTTGCACGATCTAAGCGGTTTGAAAACTTTGATTGGAAGCATGTCAAAAATGTTGGGATCATTGGTAATGGTAATGTGGCCTTGGATATCGCTCGAGTTCTGCTCAGCAATAGAAGAGAAGAAATTTGGGCAGGGACAGACATAAATCCGCTTGCATTAGATCTTTTAAGATCAGCTCCCGTTGAGAACGTGAAACTCATCGCTCGTCGTGATTTCATTCACAGCAAGTTCACTAACAAAGAATTCAGGGAACTTTGGGAGCTGGAGAAGTATGGAATTAAAGGAATCATCCAGCCCGAGTTTTACCAACCTTCCCAATTCGACATGAAAAGCGCTGATAGAGTCTTTAAAAGACGTGTAGAGATGGTATCGGAGTATTTGAAACCTTACGACCTAAGAAAGAAAAATTATAAGAAATTCACACCTCCAGCGGATGGGTTTTCGAGATTTTGGGAGCTAGATTACCTAAAGAGTCCTTTGAGCATTAGTAGCGATAATGAGGGGTATATCAAGTCCTTGACACTTTCTAGAAATGAGCTGACGTCTGACAACAGAGTGATACAGCTCGATTCAAGGATAACTTATGATATCGATTTGCTTGTGACGTCGCTAGGATATGGGAGCAAACCTCTGGCAGAGTTTGGAGAGTTAAACATTGGTTTTTCGAAAAATCATGCTGCGAACAAGAATGGGTACGTGTTAGACAAGAATGGTGCTGTGTTTCCAGATCTCTACGCTTGTGGCTGGATCAGAAAAGGAAGCAGTGGTGTAATTGCCTCCACTATGATGGATGCATTTGAGGTAGCAGACAATATCATAAAAGAACTAGAAAGCCAGAAGATCACAAAATCTGGAAAAATTGACCTGTCAGACGTCAAATACACTACTTGGGAAGATTGGGAAAAGATCGACGAAGAAGAAAAAATTCGCGGCAGGAACCTCAACAAACCTCGATTGAAATTTCTTTCGAGAAGTGATATGCTCACTTTCTTGGATAAATAAAACCTCATGTATATACAAGATTTAGCTGTTACTATGTTAATCATAACGAACTCTAAGCTTTACCAACCAATTACATCGCTTTATTTGTTGATCATCAAGAACGAACAAAAATTTTTTTTGAAAGCTACACCTTTCCGAAAAGGAGGGTTGAAAATACATACGTTACAATTCAACATCATTGAAACTAATCACTTGGGAGTCATGATTGCTAAGCGTTCCTTGTCTACTTTGATTCCACCAAAGATTTTCTCCGTGAAGGTATGTTGACAGAAGTTTAAGTTGGCCATGTGCAGATGGAATTATATCCTCGAGAAATGAGTCTACAATTGTTAAGACGAGAGATACGATGAACAAAAGAATGATCAGGGCAAAAATTTAATATCCTTTAATTGTGGGCAACAGTTTACTTGTACATGATCTCAATTCAACTGATAAATTCGAGCTTGTAAGTTGAAATGAATGGATTAGGAGTGGAATACGAACTAAACGGATATTAATTGAGCCTGAATGAGAGTGTGCGATCGGAAGTGCGTACAATTCGATTACTCACGAAATGTAACTAATGAGAGCTAATAAAAACAAAGAGTTCCTTCTTCGTGTTTTCCGCTGGCACATGGCTAGAGCACTTAATAAGGTTACGATACTAACTTTTTATTACAGAACTTGGGCTCTGCTCCAAACGCTAAGCGTATCACGCAAGTCGTTCAATTTTACAAGTCTTTGCCACAGGGTCCAGCCCCTGCCTATAAGCCATCCGGCCCAATTGGCAAGTACAAAGCCAAGTACTTTGATGGCGACAACGCTAGTGGCAAGCCATTGTTGCATTTGGCACTCGCTATTTTAGGTATGGGTTACTCTATGGAATATTACTTCCACCTAAGACACCACAAGGAGGGTGGTGAGCACTAGACGTGCTGCCCTTGCGGTTCTCTACTATCCATATGTATATTCCTGTTTATGAAACGGCAACATGCTTTGTGTTACGATATGACAATGCACATGCGTTTTAACTAGAAAACGTACTATATAAATTCAATATCAAGCGTGAACTCGATGAACTCATTCTTTATATTTTACACATCCCATATTACAGTAGCATGGCACGTTTGCACAAGCTAGCTGTGAATAGCAGGCTTAAGCCTCACTAATATACAAAACTTGTGTACCCCTTACAAACACGTCTCCATCGTATCTATGCAACAGTCCATTTTCAGCAGTTTCGTAGTGTTCTGTGGCGTTGTTCAATGCAATGTTCATAAATCCATCGATCGACTCCAAAGTGCCTTGGAAAAGCATACCGGAGTGTAGCTTCACGGAAACAGACTTGCCAATGATGTTAGAAAGGAACTGCTCGGAGGCCTTAGTAGTAGACTCAGTGGCGGATGACATTTTTTTCTTGGTTTGTCAATGAAACATTAACTGCTATTCATATTTTTCCTGCTCGGCATGAAACGAACGCACGGCAGACCTCGTAATTGAAGATCTTCGCGCGTCGGGGAAAATTCACACTGAAACAAATCAAGAATATAATCTCGAATAGGGCGATAGCATCTAAACAACAATCTTTTCATAGCCTCAAGCTGGATGTCGAGTCCTGAAACCCCGTGCTGCGTGAGGTGCAAAGACCCACTTGTAATGGGGCATGCCTATGAATTAGGAAACGATCGTTGGCACACGCACTGCTTCTCGTGTTATAAATGTGAAAAGCCGCTAAGTTGTGATTCGAACTTCCTTGTATTGGGGACTGGTGCACTTATTTGCTTCGCATGCTCAGACTCGTGTAAAAAATGTGGCAAAAAGATCGACGATCTAGCAATTATCCTTGCATCCTCCAATGAAGCATATTGCTCCGATTGTTTCAAATGCTGCAAGTGTGGTGAGAAGATAGAGGATCTACGATACGCTAAGACAAAACGAGGGCTTTTCTGTATCACATGCCATGAGAGGTTGCTTGAGAAACGAAAGAATTATGAGGAACGAAAGAGAAGACTCAAGAAGGAGCTACCACGAATACCCACAGATGAAAGTCTTTCGTACATTCTCAAATCCCAAGAACTCGTTGTTCCTGAACGGTCAGCTAACAGACCGATGTCGCCTATGAAATCTACCGATCCAATGGGGTCTCCCTCGTTCGACTTATTTGCAGAGAATACGGTTGCTGCAGAAGACGCAGCTCCAATAGATATGGCTAGTGCTGAAGGTGACTCGCCCATCGAAAGTTCCTCAGAAAAGTTGATTCAGCCCACTTCATCATCAAGTGCCCATTTTTTAACGGCACCTGTCGACTTCTCTGCTAATACTTCAACCGCGGGGGGGAGCATCTTAAATGGATCGGATAAGTCTCAAGAGGCAGATGGGAATGAGTATCAAGAGAACATACAGAGCAATTCTGAGAGTGTAGTAGCTCAGTTCTTGTTAGATACTGACTACACCAGCACCGGTGACGAGCAAACTCCCGTTAAGAAATCACCTAAAAAGCATCAGAGCCAAATGTCAATTGATGACATGTTACAGAGCACTTTAGAAAACGATCAGGTAGAAAGCCCCATGTCGTCCCAAAATGGCTTGAAACCTCCACAGGAGACCAAGAAGGAACTTTTGAATAAGACCCCGTTAAGGAACTCAACTGAAGATTCATTCCATAAATCACCTGTAGCTCATAGGCGGGGTCTAGTACTGAATGATTTTGAGGTCATGGATGCACTAAACAGTCCTGTAAAAGTGCAGCCTATAGCTGAAAATGACAAGGATGCTGGAAGTATAGGACTCGGTATTTCCAATTCTAAGGAGATCAAAGAAGAGGACGAGGAAGATAAGGTATTAGGCATTCCTTATGAGAGCGTGAGCCAGGCTGAGGTGAATACTCCCTCAAATACGAACCTTGTGCGTTCACCTTCGATATTTGGGCACCATAGAAGAACCTCTAGTGGTAACAAAAAACTCACTAGATCTCTTTCGAAGAGGTCAAAGAATCTAATGATGAATTTAAGATCTAAATCCAAAGATTCGAAGAGTAGTATTTCTTCAAAAGCTAACGATTCAGATACTCATTCAGGGTGGGGCGTTTCTTCAAGTACATCGCAACCGTCAACAGTTCAACGGCGGACATCTAACAAGCATCAAAGTGACAGTACTATATATTCGCATCCTCCGCATGAGGGCCGAGAAACGCCTGCCGATCATAAAAGGTCTCATAGTGGTGCCAGTAGCGTTGCTGTTTATCGTACTCCACCTCTTGATACAAAGTCATCATTCAACAAAGGATCATCGGTACATGAAAAGAACATGAGTTTTAGTAGTACTGCCCAGATTGAAGAACGCGATGAGGAAGATGATAAGACACCCACGAATACAGATTTTATTGACAAAGATATCATACATTTGGAACTAACGTTGAGGAGATTAAAATTGGAGGTGAATCAATTACAAGCTACCAAGGCCCAGCTATCATCGGAGATTGACAATTTGAATCATGTGAAAAACGGTCTTTTACAAGATATAGAAGTACTGAAGGTCGAGAAAAAAACGAGCTCGACAAATTCAGTTGAGTCTCTCGAACCAGATCCATCAGACGAATCTCCTGTTCGTCAAGCAACGGCAAGTGTTGGGACAACTGCAAAGCCCAAATTTTGGAAACTATTCTCTGGTGGACGAGGCAATTTGTCCAACGGTAGCTCAAATGGCAAATTTGAAATATCTTCACCTGTTTTGCAGAATCCTAGCGAGTTTGAAGATTTGAAATTGTTACCTGTACTGAATGATAAAAAATCTGCCCAATCTGCCACTTCAAACTCTACATCGATGGATGGTACGTCGTTGCACGGATCAACATTAGTAGCACGCTGCTCGTATGAGGGAAATAAGATTCCGACTATTGTCACAACGTGTATCGAACATATTGAATCGAAAGAAGAATACCTTATGACAGAAGGCTTGTACAGGAAATCTGGAAGTCAAGTTCTGATAGAACAAATTGAAGGGTTATTCTCGGACCTAAGTCCCGGTGAGCAAATTTCAAAGGAATTACAATCGCATTTGGATCAGGATATTCACGCAGTTAGCGGAGTTCTGAAACGATACCTAAGGAGATTGCCCAACCCAGTATTCACGTTCCAAATTTATGAACCTTTAATTAATCTTGTGAGAGATCGAAACTTGATTTCAACAGTGTCACTTGGTAGCAACCTTGATCGTCAAAATCCTAACTATACCAAGGCACTTGATAAATTCATTGAAATATTACAAAGTTTACCCGAAGAACACTATTTCTTACTCAGCAAGTTAGTTAAGCATGTCAATGAGGTTGCGCGTTATAGTGAATCGAACTTGATGAATTTGCATAACTTGTCGCTTGTATTTGCGCCCGGGGTAATAAGAGACTATAGTGGGGAAAAGGACATTGTGGATATGAAGGAGAGAAACTACATTATTTCTTTTATTTTTTCAAGACACAGGGACATATTTGATTAAACTTGTCGGATTGAGATTTCTTTTGTAACTATCATAGAAAACTGTTAGGATGTAGAGGTTATAGAACAACGTTATATATACAGAAAAAGTCGAAGATGATGATTACATGATCAATGAATATCTTTAAGTTCAGGGGCGGAGTACATTTCTAGTCTTTTGTGACCGACTCTTAGCAAATGCTCTATAGTGCTGAATTCTTTGCGGGGAAGATCTTTGTACTGGCCGAATTCGGAACGGATGTACTTGAGGAAACGTGGTTGGTTATCTTTGGGCTTAGTATGTGCAGCTCTGATGCATTGTCTATAAAGCTGAAGGACTTCACGCTGAAGGCCACTGACTCGACGGGACATTGTCGCTTATTAGCATGAAACGGATTAACTTTGGATGGTAGTCACTAATTTTTTCAGAGGGAAATGAGATATAAAACAGGGATACGCTCAACAATATCGTAATATTTTCAGAGCCGGTTGGAGTGTTGAAGGAAGAGAGGCTGGTGAGGAGCCCAGTAGCATTTCCAGCACTTCAACTGCGAAAGAGTGTGCGGCGTCTTTTGGTTTAGAACTATGAAGACGACCAAAAAAGAAAGAACCTCTATAGACAAGAACGAAGATTATTTTTCACTACACAAGGGAGCAAGAGATTGCAAGCCAAGCTGTCGGGCATGCTCTGTCTGTGAGATGCACGCATTCTATCGGCTGTGTTGTTGATGCGATGAATGGATCATAAAATTCCGTCATTGTATTGAAAAATTTGTTTCCGCAGGCTCATCTGTCAAAATTCACGCTGCCAAGGCGAGGCTTAATGTACCGAATAGGAGCAATTTCGAGCGCGGCCATCACCATGTTGGGGCTGATATTAATGGCTACACCAAGCTTGGAGGGATTCGTGCCCACTTTGGCGGTGCAGGAGTCTGGCGTGAAGGGCTCGGAAGCTGCCGGCAAGGCACCCGGGCATGGCGTCCAATGGTACGTCGGCGTCATATGCATTATTTGGTACTGCACAGTTCTATCATTAGCATACAGTGGATGGATCGAGATCATGAGAAAATTCACTCAAATGAAACAATTGCCGGATCCAAAGCTCGCGCAAGAGCCCGTGAGCATTATTCGGCCTTGCAAGGGCATTGACACAGAGATGACCGCATGTTTGGAGAGTTGTATTTTACAAGTATACCCGCGCGACAGGTTTGAAGTGCTGTTTTGCGTGGAGAGCCCCGAGGATCCGAGCATCCCGATTATCAAAGACGTGATGCGGCGGCATCCAGACTACGACTTGAAGTTGCTGGTGGGGTGGGCCGGCCGCGAAGACCACTATGGGCCCAACCCCAAGATCAACAACCTGTCGAAGGCATACCGGCACGCGAAGCACGACATTGTGTGGGTGCTGGATTCGAACGTGTGGAGTTCTCCGGGGACGCTGGCGCGCAGCGTCGAGAGTCTAGTGCACTCGCTCGACAACGGGGCCAAGACGCGCGGTCGGCCTGTGGTGTTGACGCACCAGGCACCGCTGGCGTTCAGCGTGGGCGAAGAGACGCGCGCACTGCCGTTGAGCGCGCGGCTGGACGAGATGTTCTTGTTCAGCTCGCACGCCAAGTTCTACGTGGGGTTCAACAAGGTGAGCATTGCGCCGTGCGTGAACGGCAAGAGCAACTTCTACAGACGGTCTGCGCTGGACTTGGCCGTGGAGCGCATCGGGGAAGCGACGCGGGCGACCGCGCTGTTCAGGGACCCGCAGATACAGCGCGACGCACGCGCCATAGCGCTCAAGAACCACGGCCGCGTCGCACACGAGCATTGCGGATTCACAGAGGTGACGCTGGCGCGAGGCGGGCTGGAGCCGCGCGCCGGGCTCGAGCCACGCTCGGGCCTCGAGGATCGCGCGGGCTTCGACGAGCGCGCCGTCGCGGGGCCCGACCAGCCGCACCACCACGGCATCGAGTTTTTCAGCACCTACATCGGCGAAGACAACATGATCGGGACCGCGCTGTGGGACATGCTGGGAGGCCGCACGGGCATGACGCGCGACGTGGTGGTACAGCCACTGCGGTTTGGAACCAGCGACGATGGCCTACGAAACTACATCGACCGCCGCGTGCGTTGGCTGCGCGTGCGCAAGTACATGGTACTTGCAGCGACGCTGCTGGAGCCCACGACAGAGTCGCTTGTGAGTGGCGCGATGGGCGCGTACGGGATATCGCGCGTGTTTGGCGCGAGTTTCTACGTGGTGTTTGGCCTGCACTGTGCGCTGTGGTGCGCGACGGATTGGGCCCAGTATTGTGCGCTGTTGCGCTGCGTTTACTCCGATATAGCTCTTGAAAACGAAAACGAGCCCGAGTTCGTAGCGGCGGCGCGGCCGCGCCGCCGCTTCGCGACCTGGCTGGGCGTGTGGTTGCTGCGCGAGGCGCTGGCATTACCGATCTGGGTCCGCGCAATGTGCGGGTCGGTAATCTACTGGCGCAACAAGCCCTTCAAGATTAACCGTGATTTGACAGCAGAAGAACTGCGGCCGCAGTTGCGGCCGCGTTCGCCGCCGCGAACACCGACAAATTAGTTGTCGTACGCAAACACCGCGCGCTGTGGAGCGAAAAAAACAAGAAAAAACCGGGCTCCAGTGTGAGCAAATTGGAATGCCGGTGGCTGAGACTGCACGCCAGAAGCAGTGTGTGAGCAAATTATGTCACGGATTCCCGGGACGGCAGACGCCAACCTCAACGCGGGTACGCGGTTTACGCCAGCTTCGTCACCGTGCGTGGCACGTTTGCGCACCGCGCAACTGGGTGTCCTTTGCATTTGAGGTTCAGGTCTTGGCCGGGACCCAAATCTCGAGCTACAAGCCCCATCTCGGCCGACAAGCGCTGCCACGGCATTCGCGGGCTGGCTCACATCCCGGCCGGCGACTGCCGCGGGGTTGCGTCAGATCCCGAGGCGGGTTTCGGGTGTCGCGGCGGGTGCCTGCGGGCGCTGCACGGTGGCAGCAACCGAGGTCCGCGCCCGCGCCGGCGTTTGAGCCCGCGCGCAGAAGCGGGCGGGCTGCGCTGCGGTCTGTGGGCGCAGGTGCGCTTCTTGCGCGCGTGCATGGGCGGGCTCCGGTCCTGTGGTCCCACGGCCGCCAGACGCGCGCGCAGCGCACCTGCGGCGACCTTGCGGCGCGCCACGCGTGGGATCCCGCAGCGCGCTGCGCGGGACTCTGGGCGCGCCGTGCGCCGCGACGCGCCGGCATCTCGCGCGCGTCTCGCCTGCGCACGCGTGCAGCTGCCGCGCCTCTTCGTGCAGCATGCTCTGTGCGTGGTGGTGTTGTATATGTATATATATACGTCCGCCATACAGGCATTGAAAAAAGCAGGCACTTGGCAGAGCAATTGGTAGTATCGTTGCCAACTCACACTCCGCGAGCTTGCGAATGACAGACAGGTCGTCCTCGCCCACGGAAAGCTTTGAAAGGAAACGCAAGGTCGCCAGACGCGCGTGTCTGGCGTGCCGCGAGAAGAAGATAAAGTGCGACGGCGAGCAACGGTTGGGCAAGGACCAACAGGGCACCGGCGTGTGCTCGAATTGCGCGCTCAGCGGGACTCAGTGCGTGTTCGTGGCCAGCATGCGTGGGGGCAAGCGCATACCGAACCGCAAACGCCACCTGGACACGCCCGAGCCCGCCAAACGCGGCCGCGACCCGCACCCTGCGCCGGTCCAGCTGGCCACGCCCACGCTGCAGCCGCAACGGGCGCCCGGGTCACGTGACCCGCCCTCCCCTGCCGACCCCGCCCAGCTCCGCTCCTCGGCCGCCGCCGCGGCCGCGCTGCCGCCGCTGTTCGACCTCTACCACCAACAGCCGCCGCCGCCGCCACCGCACCACGCTGGCGCGCCGGGCGGGGACCGCCCCGACCGCCCCGACCGCCACGAGTTCGTGCACCTGCCGAACCCGCACAGCGGCCCGCGCTACGACGTGCGCTCCACGTCGCCCGGCGGCGCGGCCGCCGAGCGCATGCCCAGCGGGCTGTCCAGTGGGCTGTCCAGTGGGCTGTCCAGCGGGTTCCCCAGCGCCGGTCCGGGGCCCGGCCCAGCCGCTGGCGGCGACCCCATGGGCCGTATGCCCAGCGGGCTCGCTCCGTCGTACGCCACTGCTCCTCCTAGGATGGGCGGCCCCCACGGGGGGCCGCCCCATGGCCCGCCCCATGGCCCGTCCGCGGAGTCCGTGCACGAGCTGTCGCACGGGCAGTCCCCCCAGTATCCAATGTACGGGCCCGCGTACGGGCCTGGGTACGGGCCCTGGGGCCCACGCCACGGTCCGCGCCGCGGCCACCACCATGGCCCCCACCACGGGCCCCACCATGGGCCCCACCACGGCCCCCACCGCGGCCCACGCCACGGTCCGCGCCGCGGCCACCACCATGGCCCCCACCACGGGCCCCACCATGGGCCCCACCACGGCCCCCACCGCGGCCCCCACCGCGGTCCGCACTGTGGGCCCCACCACGGCCCGCACCAGAGCCCGCCCCTGTACGCCGCGTACGGGCAGCCGGCGTTCCACGCCGGCAGCCCACCGGCCGAGGCGTTCTACGGGCCGTACGCCGGCTCGGCCTACGGCCCGGGATACGAGTTCGGCGACTACCGGGCGCACCCCAAGTCGTTCCCGCGCAGACACTACCGCCAGCACCCCCACACCTGGTTCCCGGGCGCAGGATGGCACGAGCCGCACGACAGCATGGGGCCCGAGTACTGGCGCGGTGAAACGTTCGGCAGCGAGTCGTTTGGCGACGAGCGCGACGTTACGTCGCTGTCGTCGGCCACGACGTCAACGCGCAACGGCCACGTCAGCGGCAACGGCAACGGCAACGGCAGCGTCGACGTCGGCGGCATTCCGAACGCCAACGCCAACGCCAACGCGTCCGAGTTTTCGCAGCTCTCGGACACCGCGCCGTCGGAGACCGTCCGACCCCGTGGCGGCAGCGACCTCGGAGACCTGGGTCCGCCCGCTCTGGACCTCGACGACCGCGTCCAGGCTGTAAAGCCCGTGGAGCCCGCAGCCGTTGCGCACGCTGCATCTCAACCCTCGGCGTTTAACCGGCCGTGCACTCCGGTGTCCAACATCGCAGACTCGGTGCTAAAACGCGCCAGGCCGTCGCCCGCTGGCTACCGCGTGTGCCAGGACATCTCCAACAACGAGCTGGTCGCTCACGGGCTGCCGATCTGGTCCGTCGCGTCCGTTCTGTTCGACCTCTACTTTACGTTCGTGCAGCCGCAATTCAAGCTTCTCGAGTCCAAGGACAAGGTTGTGGGTTTGTTCACGCCGCGCCGCAACACCGCGCTCGTGCACGCCATGTTTCTGTGCGCGCGGCCTTACCTGGCCCCCACTGTGACGGGCGCCATCGACGACCAGTACAATTACTCTGCCAACTACTACCTCGAAAAAATTGAAAAGTACATGGACGAGCTCGAGACCCTCGAGATGCTGCAAACGCTGCTGCTGCTGAGTTACTACTACACCAAGTTCGATTTCAACAAGCAACTGGCCGAGGCCAACCTCAGCAAAGCCCTCTCGCTCATCCACGACAGCGGGATGGTTTTGCCGTTCCAGGGCGCGTCGTTCCCCCGGTTCATGAAGAACGCGTCGAAAAACTCGAAAGCCCAAAAGGAAACCACCCTGCGCGCGTACTGGGCAGTGTATCTTCTGATCCAGGGCGCGCGCGTGTGCTTCGACGACGACCAGCTTTGCGTAGATATTCTGGCAGGGCTCGACATCTCCACCCACAACGTGAGAAGCGAGCTTCTCCCGGAAAACCTTCCCCTTCTGTTCCCCTACGGCGCGTTTGACACCAATAACTCCGATCCCAACGGGAAAGCCAGGACTTTTTATGCCACCATCAGCATCCAGCAAATTCTCCAGAATTTCACCTCCAAATACGCGCATCCCGGGGCATATGTCATCACAGCTGCCAAGATTTACGACGACATGAAGGCAAATCTAAATGAGGACAACTTTATCTTGCAGCAAGTGGAGTTCGAGCGCGTCCTCAACTCCAAATTGTACTCCCTCGAGGATAACGGCAACTTCATGGTGTTGAATTCCTCTGCGTTGCACGCCAAAATCATCGCACTTATAGCAGACTACGAATTCCTAGTGTTGGAATCAAGGGGCATGCCCCATCGCTCACTATTTGATATTACAAAAGATACTCTATGCTCATCGCATTTGGAAAAAATTAATTTGGCCATCACTTTCCAAATCACCAAATGGAATAGGTGCGCCCATTACAAACATTTCCGGTTATTGCTTGTGATCCTGGATTTTTGTGCACTTCTGAATCTGGCCACTGGAACTACCGGTTACCGCTCAAATAATAGAATGGACGCTTCTCTCGTGGCTGTAGGCCCAGACGTCACTACTCCCTGTTTGGATATATGCAGCGAAGACTATATTCACAACTCCCACTCCTACGAGGACTGGGTTCGCGAGGTTGGGGATCGGAAAAAAAAGGCCTTCATGGCTCTGAGCCACGATTGTCCTAACGAACAGGTGCTGGAAGAGAGAAGAGCTGAATTCAAACGTGAACAGACTAGGCTACTGTGGTTTCAATTCCCATCTCTTCTTTTCAAAATGTCTTGTAGTGCCTTGCCACTACTCGGATACTACACGGTTTTATTTCGATCTTTAAGACCTGCAACCATAAACGGACAAAAAAAATTGTTTTATCAAAACTCTCAAGAGCTACATTGGCCCAACGATATCTGGTCGTCTCCAGAGATACGACAACAGTATAGTAAAACTATCGAATGGGCCGAAATGGCATCCGATGATGTGACCGATGATGAAATTTGGGAAGTGGCAGTGAGCTGTTGCGATGAGAGCTTTTTGGCCAAGCGGTTCTACTGTTGCGCTGATTTTTTGAAACAGAATGCGCAACTGGTCAAGGACGGTGCCAAGATTCAAAGAAACGTGGATTATTTCTGTAAATTCATTGAAAGGGGTTAAACATGCTTCTCAAAATCTTAGCAACAGACCCTAACATCAACACCCATTTCTCGACAAGGAAAAAAAACCAACGGAAACGATCATCTTAAAAGTTGACTCTATTGCATTTAAATCTAAAATATTGTATAATATACAAGTTATCAAACCATCTTCATTTTTTTTCCAAATATGATTGGTAGCCAATTGTCTCCAGTCTATCAGCTTTAACCAGAACTTCCTCCTCTTGCTTCAACAAAAATTCTTGCATTTTCTGATGGTAGACGGAATCATACGCCCCTAGAAGTCTTATAGCCAATAGAGCAGCATTAGTACTGTTGTTGATTGCCACGGTGGCAACTGGAACCCCTCTTGGCATTTGCACAATGGAGTGCAGCGAATCGACACCATCCAAGCACGAACCTTTCACAGGTACACCAATTACTGGTAAGGGTGTCATAGCAGCAACCATACCTGGCAAGTGTGCAGCACCACCAGCGCCAGCGATAATGGCTTTCAAGCCGCGTTTTGACGCTTCAATGGCATATTTACTCATTCTGTGAGGCGTTCTGTGTGCAGACACAATAGTCACTTCGTATGGGACTTCAAAATCATCCAAAATTTTGCATGCAGCGCTCATTACAGGAAGATCGGAATCAGAACCCATGATAATACCCACAAGTGGCTCCTTTGAAGTACCGGGAATCTCTTGTGCAACTCTATCAGCAACACTGGTGACAATAGGTTCGGCATCTTCTCCTACTATGTAGCGCAATTTACGCTCACATTCGCTCATACAAGAGTCAATGATATTAATATGACCCATCTTTCTTTGAGGTCTAGATTCTTTGCCGTACAGATAAACAGACGATCCGGGTGTTCTTAATGCGCGCATGCAAGTTTTCAATTCCCCATCCTTTTCCTTCTTGTCTCCAAGGATGTTCAACATAATAGCATTCGTGTTGGAAGTTGAGAATGAACAAAAGTTTCTAGGCAATGGTAAATCAAGAACAGCACGAACATGAGCCTCGAACTGAGAAGTGACACAGGCGTCGATTGTGTAATGACCAGAGTTATGTGGTCTTGGTGCGATTTCATTAATGAGTAATTCTCCGTTTTCTAGATAAAACATTTCAACACCAAAGATACCACAACCTGGGAAGGACTTGATGGCATTTTCTGCAAGCAATTTAGCTTTTAGCTGAATTGAGTCTGGCACTCTCGCAGGAGCATAGCAAACGTGGCAAATGTTATCTTGATGGATTGTTTCAACAGTGGGGTAAGAAAATACCTTGCCATCAATAGAACGAACAATCATCACCGCTAGCTCTTTGGTGAATGGCGCCCACTTTTCAGCGTATAGAGGCTTACCACCAAGAGTCTTCAAAGCTTCAGGGATAGATTCTGCGGACTTCACAACAAAGTTTCCACGACCGTCGTATGCCAAAGTTCTGGCTTTTAGCATGTAGGGATAGCCAAATTTGGCTCCAACTTGAGCAAGTGTTTCTTCAGATGGAGATTGGATTGCGACACTTGTGGCCACAGCGATGTTGTTCTTGATCAAATGCTCCTTCTGGGTGAACTTGTCCTGGATCAGTTCGATTGTTTCAGGAGAGGGATAGATTTGAAGTTTGGGGTGAGTTTCTCTCAAACGCTTCAAAGTGGGGACGTCAACATGTTCGATCTCAACAGTAAGAACGTCACACTTCTCTGCAATCTTTTCTATGTCCTTAGGGTTCGCAAACGAACCGTCTACATGCTCGCAGAGCGCGTTGATTTGTTTGGCAGGTGAGTTAGGAGCATCCAAAATCACGGTTTTAATGTTTAGCCTGCTTGCAGCTTCCACAATCATACGACCCAACTGGCCTCCACCTAGAATACCGATAGTTCTCGAGTCCATGGAGTTTTACTGCGTAAGAATTTCTTGCTTTGGTGAGTTCGTTGGACAATTACCGACTGTTACCACTGCACGATTTATAAATGAGCAAACTACTCAATACACAAATCTTAATCTCATCTAATCAAAATGTCCAGAGTCAGAGACAATTAGTATTCCTCGTTCTAAGTGATATATGTTTTAGGCATGCCGTGGTCTGCCTTCATCTTGTGATTTTACATTCTGTCAGCCTACAGCTCGTCTTGATCTCGACGATGGTGTCACCATGATTCTTAACATCTCTAAACCTATAAATCTTCTTCGTGTGAGTACATTTGCAAATATAGCTATTCCATTTTTCTCTTTTAGCATGCCGAAACTCGAAATCTTCATCTTAATAAAGATTTATAAGCACCATGTGCTACTGATTTCATTGCTTGTTATTCAATATACTTTGAGAGTGGCCCTGTTGATAAGTAGTTGTTTGTCATCTGTAATTCTTGATATCTCTTACTATGCTCACTTTTCTTCAAGTTGGCGGCAAATGCCGGTTATTTTCTTCCCGGCAAATGGCGGCATGCGCCAGTAACCGACACAGACGATTAAAGGTGAAATAATACTTGTAAATGACACAAGGCATTAGAAGAGAGGAGAAACTAATGAATTCAAGGGGGTCGCTGGTTCTTGGTATCAAAAAGTATAAGAAGGGTTATTTATTGAAGGTGAAGGATTATTTTATTAAAGTACGTTCTGAGGGTTAACAGTAAACCAGCTTTAATAAATGGCACCGGTTAGTTTCCTAGACCGTACTGCGAATATTATCACAGATTCAGAATCAACTAGATCACAGATAACCCTTGGTCAATATGTGTTTGAGAGATTGCTCTCCTGTGGAACACGTACTGTGTTTGGAGTTCCCGGTGATTTTAATCTCTCTCTCTTGGAGCACATGTACGATGAGGAAATTGAGAACCAAGGATTGAAATGGGTTGGAACTTGTAACGAGTTGAACGCTGCATACGCGGCAGATGGGTACTCCCGTTATACCAACAATATTGGTTGTGTCATCACGACATTCGGAGTAGGGGAGCTATCTGCGCTAAATGGTCTTGCGGGGGCGTTTGCGGAAGATGTCAAGGTTCTCCATATAGTAGGTGTTACTCCATCGAAGTTTCACACGGATGCAGTCGTTTCGCACCACAATGTTCATCACCTTGTGCCGGCTCCAAAGAATTCTAATTTCGAGGCTCCGTTGCACCGTGTATACCATGACATGGTCAAAGACAGAATCTCATGCTCCACTGAATTTTTGGACAATTTGGAAACAGCATGCGACCAGATTGATAAGGTCATAAGCGATATATTCAGGCATTCCAAGCCTGGCTATATATTTATCCCAGCAGATTTTGCGGATAAATTAGTAGACCCTGTCAATCTTTTCGCCATGCCAACTATTAATCTGGACATGGTGCTGAGTGGGAACGTTTTCGATGAAAGAAGAATACAAATAGCGTCAGACTTACTTTTACAATTAATTTATAAGAGTAAGGCGCCAGCGGTGATCGGGGATGTTTTATGCGATAGATTTGGATGTACAAACCAGTTGCGCGAGTTTGTGCAAAAGACTCAAATGTGGAATTTCTCATCGATGATGGGTAGGTCTATTTTAGATGAAAGTAAACCGACATTTCGCGGTGTTTATAACGGCAGTGAGTCTGAAAGCCAAGTGTCCTCTATCATACAGAATTGTGATTTAATCTTGCATTTTGGTGCCATAAGAAATGAAATGAACACCGGGCACTACTCATTCAGTTTTAGCCCAAATTCCACAATTGTAGAGATTCATCCAGACTATTTCAAAATATACGATTCCCTAAGCGGCAAGAAAACCCACATTGAAGGCTTCCCTCTAAAGAGTTTCTTGCAAACAGTCATTGAATGTCTTGATGTTCAAAAGCTCAACTTCGGTTATCCGGACGTGGTAAAGAAACAGGCAGCAAGCATTTCCTATGATCCTGACTCCCCCGTCACACAAAGTAATCTTCAGCTGGTTTTTCCCAAATGCTTGAATCCCGGAGATATCTTTGTAACGGAAACAGGTTCATTCCAATTTGCTGTTCGTGACTTTGTCTTTCCTTCAAACCTGAAATACATCTCGCAAGGGTTCTATCTCAGTATAGGTATGGCATTGCCAGCGGCATTGGGAATTGGATGCGGCATGGTCGATTACCCCAGGCAGCATATCAATGAGGTAGAAAATACTGTGCCAAAAGATTATATTCCTCGACTGGTTTTGACAGAGGGCGACGGTGCTGCGCAAATGACGATTCAAGAGTTGTCTTCATTCCTTCGCTATAATATACCGCTTGAAATATTTATATGGAATAATGATGGCTACACAGTTGAAAGAGCCATTAAAGGACCTACTCGAGCTTATAATGATATAATGCCCTGGAACTGGACAAAGATATTACATGCGTTGGGAGACATTTCTGAGACCAAAACCCAAAACTGCAAAATTGAAACTTTTGGACAGCTTTCCAAACATCTGAATGCATTGAAACTCAATGACAACCGAGCGACAATCAAGCTACTTGAAGTCAAGCTGGAAAGAATGGACATTCCTGAGCAGTTGAAAATTATGGCAAAAGCCTGCCGGCATACTTAATTTCACTAGCCTTAGAGGAGCGTTGATGTGAAGCTACTTTGTGGCTACTTCTTAAAGTCAACTAAAAATTTCATATGGCCCTCATTGTGTTTCATTTTGAGAAAGGCTTTGCCTTGAACGTAGATGCTATTATAACCCCACCAATAAATTCATGACATCAACCGAGTTAGTTGACACTTATTCCATTAATTGAATTGGGAAAACCATTTCAGTCCTATGTTTTTACCCATCTATTACAAGAGCTCTAAATTTTCAAAAGTGTGTGAAACGATTATACATTTTGGGGCATTCCGAGAATGCTGTATGTAGGATTGTTTACTTCATACTTCGATTTTAATCATCATTCTTGTGAGGGATTGCTATCTGATTAAGCGCATCTAAAATGCTCGGTCTCACTGCTTTTTGAATTTTTGGTTGTTGATTCCTTATTGTCTCTTGTTTCTCCAATATCGAATCTAAATCCTCTAATAGTTCCTGCCTTTTCGGCGAAACGGTTTGAGGAGAATCTTGTTTGAGCCTGACTTGTGCAAAATTATCTGCCAATGATGTTCTGACAGACTCATGATCGAAAAGATCCTCCTTCAGGGTATTATATGCTGCCCGAAACATTGGATTAAGTCTATCTTTCAATAGTAAACTCCCCACATCATGCTTTTCAATTCTGTAAAGAAGCTTTACAGCTATCTTCTTTATTTTATTAACTTGACCGTCACCTTCTTTTCTGGAACTGGATGTTGTTGTATCATCTCGAAATGAGAATGTAGTGCTCATTGCATCGTAGCTTACAGCTTGATCAGTACTTTCTTCGTATAAACTGGAAAAATTAGACATACTTCCATCAGATTGCCAGAAGCCAGCGGCCATTTTATTTTCGTTCCTTGTATGTGAAAATTGAGAGTGTAAGATCGTGGAATCGCTGAAATTTGAGGCTTCATAGTCCAATTCGACGTTCAGAAGTAATGGTAAACACAAAAGTCTAAGACTTCTCTCTGACATGAAATAATCTATTACCTTAGCAGATCCGACACTCAACCCTTCGACTGAATCAGATTCTTTCAATTTTTTGAATTCTCTTTTCAAATCAAGTGGGCCGAAGTCAGAACGTATTGGATCAAATGAATATAAGAGCTGAGTTACAGGGTAGTTCAAACATATGTTCAAAAAGTTGGCCATATTTGTTTTATTAATGGACACGTATTTGTAAAGCGATTTCAGACTCGACAATGCTCGTTTCAAAAATATTCCCTTTTCGGAAGGTGAATACTTTTCTCTTCTGCTGAATATTATGGCATTCAGAGATAATTCAAGTTCGTGAAGAGAGCGTAGGACATTCAGGGAGCTGTATTCGAAAAACTCTGGGAATATTATAAAATCCTTGTAGGTAATAATATACTCATCCTTGAGTATCAATTCAGAATCATTTGATTTCCTCTGACTAATTATCTGCAGTAAGTGCAACAACTGTAATGTATTAATTCTCTTTAAAACGTTCAGGATTGTTTCATTGTCGTGCTGTTCGTCCACAAGGTAGTTTATTAATTTTGACATTAAACTGGTCCGTGAAGGTTTAGAGGTTATAAGTGACCCAGAGGAATTATTTTTTTGGAACATCTTCTTAAAGGTTTTGTTCTTTGTCAAATCATCTATACTCCGTGCACTGCTATGACTATTTGGTGCAACATCCGATTGTGTGAGAAGGGAATCATGGTCCATATCGTAATAAAAGTCCCAAACATCATGCTGGTATTCAAAAATAGGGTTTGAAACACCAACGACGGAAAAGTACAAGCCACTCCTATTATTTGGAAATTCAATTCTAAATTCATCAATGAAAGATATGTCCATGTATGGGAATATTATTAGATGAGCATTGTCGAAATACTGGAAATCAAAGCATTTTAAAAACATCGAAAGTGATATCACAAATTGACACAAAGTATCCTTTGTTTCCTTTGTTGAATTTACGAAAAGTCGCCATGATGATGCAGAAAGTCCGCGTTTGCACAGTTCAGGAATGAAATTTCTTAAAAACTTTAATACATGGTCGTTATAATTTATGTCGACCTTTATCGAATCATAATCGACCATGTCTATCTGCAACGGTATTTTGACAAAGGTTGAAGGCAGTACTGTTGGGGTGAACGAAGAAAATTGGTATTCGATATGGTGCTGCTTAAAAGTAATTTTGTTTCCAAAGCAGTCGGTTTTCGGCAGTTCATTGACATTTAAAATGCTCCTCAAACATCTTCCCTTTACGTCAAATATCTCCAATGTAATATCTTCGTCATTTATTGAGTTTAAAACATTCTGAAGACTTATGTTGGAATGAACCCTGTTTATAAGTGATAAATCCAGACTATTGACCATGTTAAAACATTCTATGAGGATGCGAACGTCGTTATTTGAATGCATGTATTCATCCAATGCCATCGCTAATAATGGCTTGAAAATTCGAAACTTCTTCATAGTTGTTCCGAGAGCGATAGATTTTATAATCGCACCACGTTTGTTTGTCGTGTCTCTCCGGGCAGACACGACATTCACGAAGAATAAAGGTTGTTCCTTCGGGTTCTTGGTATGGTTATCTCTCGGAATTTTCCAGGGTGAGCTATGACCTTCATCCTCTTCGAGAATGGTCATAGTACCAGATCCATTCTCTTGTTCTTCGGAATTTGTAATAGGAAAAATTTGATATGTTTGTTTGAACTTGTGCTTGTATAGAATGAACACTGTAAAATCTGCGCGACCCGGCGTCGATTCTATGCTATTAGGGATCATTAGGCTTGCCAAATTCATTGTGCTACTTTGATTCGATGAAATCTTGAAACCTGGAATTGATTTGGGGTATTGGTGCTTGATAATTGGGCCTTGCTTATTGTCAAACTCCGCTGCCAAGATGAAGTGCGCGTTATGATGATGGAGTGTGTGCTCCTCATGAGTTTCTTTTATATGGCCATTAAGACCTGACCTTATTGTTGAAGAGTGCCTGAACATCCCCTAGTGGGCCCTAACTTGTTTGCTCTTCCTAACGGTACTTCTAAGACGTGATATCGATGCCGATGGAGGAAGCCCGTCCACATTCTGGTGATCTTGTACGTGCATAGAAAAAAAGCATAGAGTTGTTGATGTCACTAAATACGTTATCATATGGAGCACATTGGGTACTATCATTGATGGACAGGCAGCAGTGACAGAGAGCTTGGCATAGGTATGCTTTCATATTTGGCCCGAAACTATGGGCCAAATTAAATGACACTTGAACCTGCTTTACTTCTGTTCAAGCGCTTCAATTGAGCCGATAGAAGCCGGCGCGGAACTTGTGCTATTGCTTATAGAAGTCTGCTATCTTGAACCTTCAAAAACATTTGGTTCTTTTTGTCCTGACCTAAGATCCTACGAAGATCTACTCTAGACATTATTCCGAGCCCTGCAGGCATAGTATGCACTCAGTCTGAAATTTATCTTTTCTTTCCTTCAAGAGCTTTCTGTAAAGGTGAAATATCTATAAAACTACATGGTTGATCATCGATTGTAATGGATCCACGGATGGCTCGCTACTTAAGAGGAGTGGTCGAAGGCACTAAAAAAGGTTCAGCTGATAAGCAAAAATATCATCTCAAATGTTGGTCAGCATTTTAAAATGCATTTCATATGAAATCGATCAGAGGTGTCTAGAACGAAGGAATGTGTAGATGCGTCGTTCTGTGCATCCATCCCCGTCGCTATTGGTATCAGCGCTCTTTCAGTGATGACTGCCAGCCATCTTATATAACAGCACGTGAAGTTGCCGAGGTGTATGGTTGTACTTGAGTAGAAAATTTTCTTTCGTTTGGAGAAAAAAAAAGTGTATATAAAGGGGCAATGTTTTCAGCGGGTGGCGCTTTTTGAAAACCCAATACATTTGATTCGCTTATAGAAGCAGAGCTTTTAAGCGTTTGAAAACTTCTGAAAGACTAAAAACTCCCAACCCCCTACACTGAAAATGTCTGCTAACTTGGATAAATCTCTGGACGAAATCATCGGCGAAAATAAGAAGGTCGTCAGAAGAACGAATAAGAAGGCACCAAAGAAGGTGTCTAAGCAACTGAACGGTAACCGCCGTCGCGGGGGAGCCGTTGTTGGTGGTAGAACCGCAGTTCCTGTCAAGGCTGCTTCGCTACTGGATGCTGCTTACGCCACCAAGGTGAACGTCGAGGGCTTGCCAAGAGACATAAAGCAAGACGCTGTTAGAGTATGTTCAATCTCACAATGTTCTCTTGAGTCTTGAGCGTCATGGAGGAAAAGAATAAAGAAAATTACTGCATCTATTGGTGAAGAAGAAACGAGATTTTGGAAATTACTTTTTTATGAAAATTCTCGGACAATCAGCATCTCATGCACTTTACCTATGAGCGGTTGTCTCGGTAACTCGTGTTTACTGATTAATTTTGCTTTTACTAGCGTTATCTCTTGAGTTGGTTTTGGCTGGGTATTGTGGACTTGGCAGAAAATGTGTTTGAACTGCATGGGAATTGGTATTCTGTATATCTCTACATTTGGGGACCAATTAAATTTGCGCTCTCCTAGAAGTGTGCCGTAGCTTCACTTCGAGATTGGCGAATCTAGCCTTGGGGGTCTTTTTTCGCACGATTGTCTTTCATCAAAAACAGCAATACACCCATCAAGTTCGCAATAAATCCTAATGAAACCTTAACCACTCAATTTGACCCAGGTCGACTGGAATTCAGATGGTTTTATACAATCAGAGGGGTAACGAGTATCTGCCCAGGTTCTTTTTTTTGATCAAACCGTAGTTATACTTCAATTGAGAACTGATAAAGGTTGTCAAAAAAAGTTCAGGCGGTGGCAAAACTTTTCTCAAAAAGCGCCAATGTAGTAGTGTTTTCTTTTCCCTTTCACTTTGCATTCTTCCATTGCTCTAGAATATCAAATCGAGGAATCAATTGACTAACAATTATCTACTAGGAATTTTTCACTTCTCAAATTGGAGGTGTTGCTAGAGTTCTGCTAAGTTACAACGAGAAGGGTTTGTCCACAGGTATGGCCACGATTACTTTCAAGTCTGTCGAAAAGGCCAAAGAAGCCGTGAGAAAGTTTAACGGTGCACCAATTGATGGTGGGAGATCCAGATTGAGGTTAAACATGATCATTGACCCAACCAAGAAACCACTAGCTTCTAGAATCCAACCATTGCAACGTAAGGCTGAAGGCCCTGTCAAGGGTGCTAACCTCAAGGGCCCCAACAAAAAGGTTGTTGCTGCCAAAAAACAAAAGAAGGAGGTGAAGAAGAGAGTCAAGCCTGAAAAGAAGAGCTTGGAGCAGTTGGACCAGGAAATGGCCGACTACTTCGAGGAGAAAAAGGAATAAATAACTTGGTGTATCTAAATTTTTTCGCTCATCCAAGGTTGAGTGCTGTTTGAATCTAAAATCTGCAACGTTTTTGGGTCCGGAAGTGTATGTGTATGTAATCTTACAAAGAACTTTAATTAAATTATGTGATTTTAAATCTATTTACAAGGTATTGTTCCCAGCCTGAACGACTACTAATTTAGTTGTCCTTGCTTCTTCTATCCCAAAATCCCAGCTTGTCACCTGATTTTCTGCTACGGTAACTGAGCCCTGAACCTTCAAACTCACTTTTTCTGTCGGAGCTAGCTGCATCTGCTGGTAAAGGGAAACCAGGCTTCACGTTTGCTACGTTGGAATAGTAATCACCTCCCTCTGCTCCTTGATCCTTCGCTAAGGGAATGAATTTAGCATCTCTTTGAGATCTGATGATAGTCTTTACTAGGATAACCGAAAATGCTCCGGCAGCAGTCAAATACAAAATATTTTTCCTGAGAAGGTTAGTATTCAATGCTTAGTGAACAAGTAGACTAAGTGATACCTACCCGACGTTCTGGAATGGGTTCACTGACATATCGTCTTCCGCTATTTGAGTTCTTCCAAAGTGGTGGATACTTTTAATCTGCAAGAAAGAATTTAATGGCGAACGATCACGTGCTTATTCAGCATAACACGTACTATAATCTACCTGAATTAAATCTGCTTTTGATTTATTTGTATATGTACTTAGTCAATTAGTGTAAGATTACTATAAGTCAAGGGAGTGATGTCGGTAGAATTCTATATATTAGAGTAGTGTAGGAACTGGAGCACAAGGGTGCTCATTTTTTTTATTTTCGTGAGAAAAGTTCAATTTAAAAATGATACATGTAGTTGTGTGCTTAAATTATAAATTCAGTTGGGATAGAAAAGGAATGGATAGACAAGGGATGAACATCCCATTCAGATGCCGATTTGAAGGCACACATGTGATTCCCGGCTTTTGCTTTCGGGATTTTTAATTTCTCTACACGGTAAAAGATGTAAGAAGGTCGCACCCAAGAGTGACTGCTAGGGTATATTCACTGTTGTCATAAAATAGGGAAACACGTAGGTGAGAAGAGGCACCGCTCTTTATACCGCAAAGAAGTAATTCACATTACGGCGTTTTTGCCATCGGTACCTCGACTAAGCCTACTTGCATTAAATTCACGTACAAACGTACATAGCGTGCTTATTGGGTGCGGTAAAATTGCAGCTCATTAGGCCCGGGGTGAATAGTGGCTGATAGTTGATTGTTTCATCTGCAGGTCAAAAGGCTTGCAGTTTTCTCGGTATTTGCTTCGAATTGTCTTTGCTTGGCATCAAGTTCAATTACCACAACTGAAGTCGACATCGTCAAGCATCAGAAGAAATGACCGATAAAGCCATAGATCCTTCCAAGGCAGACGTCCTTACGCATGCACTCGCTGGCGCTGCGGGAGGCGCCATTTCCATGGCGCTAACATATCCTCTAGTGGTTGTTACAACAAAGTTACAAGCACAGGATTCAGATTGCGAGAAATCTCCGAAAACTTTGGCAGAGGCCGTTGAATATGTTTACGAGGAGCAGGGTTTGTTAGGCTTCTTTGCTGGTCTAGAAAGCGCCGTTTATGGAATGGCTGTTGCAAACTTTGTCTATTACTACTTTTATGAGTTATCGTCCAGATGCGTTTTGAGAATACGGCAAAACAAAAGGCTGAACACAGGAGAATCCATGCTGGTAGGCACGATTGCTGGATCTATGACTGCTTTTGCTTCCAATCCCCTTTGGGTTGCCAACACCAGAATGACAATTTCGAAGTCCGAAAAATCGACGCTTAGCACCATAATCGAGATCATAAAAAATGAGGGTTTCCATGCCTTATTCAATGGCTTGAAACCTGCTTTGGTACTCGTTGTCAATCCAATTATCCAATACACCGTCTACGAACAACTCAAAAATGTGGTATTGGAAGTACGTCGTAAATCTACTATTTCACCTTCGTGGGCATTTCTACTGGGCGCCTTAGGAAAACTAGCTGCGACTGGATCAACTTATCCGTATGTTACAATGAAAACGAGAATGCACCTTCTTGTCGACAGTGAGCTAGAGGGAGAAGGGTATTCCAAGCCAACTATGCTTGGCCTTATGGCTGCTATTGTAAGAAAGGATGGCATTGCTGGATTATACCGTGGTATTGGTATTAAGCTGGTCCAGAGTATTCTAACAGCGGCATTTTTGTTTTTTTTCAAAGAAGGCTTGGTAATTTGGAGCATCAGAGTGTTAAGGATATTCCGCCAATTCAACAAGAGAAGACTTGCGTAATAAACTTGGCACAAATTCTATCAATTTAAATATCTAAGTGGGACAAAGTCTCGTATGTATAAAATATGACAGCATTAGCAGGCGCTGCTCTCAGCAGAGTAATCCCAAGACCACGGTACATACCTGCTATACCCTGTCTTGCTAGGATATTCTTTGCCGCGGTCAAGAAGTTCACATGTGTGGTTTGCATGGTGGATTTGATAGTGTCTGCGGGGAAAACACTACCATTAAACCCGACACCTGCAGCAGCGCCTGACACGAGCAATTCCCAGGTTTGGTTTTTAGTGTCGTTGCGTCTTTTTGCTAGAAAATTTTTCATGAGTTCATAGGTAGTAAACCACACAGCACCTCCACCAGTTTCTCTGATGAAAGTACCAGATTGACCTTGCCATAGACCAGTTATTCCCTTGGTTGCGAGGACAGATTTGATCGTCGGCAAAATTTTCGTATGCGCTCCTTCAGCTTTGGTAAGATTAGCCACTTGCAATTTGCACTTAATCAACTCCACAGGCGTCAGCACATAACTAGCACATGCACCTGCAAATGCACCAGCACACACCGTTTTGGATAAAGGGTTGAAGGACGTCTTGGTCTCTAAAAAATTACTAGCTTGGTTGAATGAAACAAAAAGGACTGCATTTTCTAGTGCTGCACCTGCCAATGGTGAAGAAATTCCCTGATAAAAACCTTTCCAGAAACCTTCATTTGCATAGGTGTAGCGAATACAGGACCATGTTGTTGGAAACACGTGCGCAGGCTGCGTTTGAAGTCTAACTTTGACGGTGTCCAATGGGTACTCTATCACTTTCCCGACTGCCCCAGCAACGGATCCAAAAAATATATCCTTCAAAGCTTCCTCAATTTCCATTTAATACACTGTAGCTTTGCTATTTTTTTTTTCAGTAGTCATCACATCTTCGAAAGTGTTCCACACTGAGTCAGCTTTAAGATCTTTACTTTTTCACACAATATTTCGAATGACTTGAAACTTGGTATGAAACCAATGCCGTGTAAGATGAACGAGTTTATGGACCGAAATATTCGCAATATGCGCGAAGCATTTGGTCCGGTAACTATACACGGGATGCACATGATTTTTCGAATTTTTCACGCGCATCCCAAGCAAAGGAACAAGATGAGATTTGAAAAATTTTTCACTTTTTCACACTTTCAATTCTCTTCTTAGTTGGTCAAACCTAAGGAATAGTCTGCTATTGAAGCTTAATTTGATTATTCTATTACTCGTCACTTGAGAAACAAAGAGAAAAAAAATGAAGTATTTGGCTGCTTACTTGTTGTTGGTTCAAGGTGGTAACGAATCCCCATCTGCTGAAGACATTAAGAACGTTATTGAATCCGTTGGTGTCGAAGCTGAAGAGGCTAAGATTGCTGCTTTGCTAGCTTCCTTCGAGGGCAAGGGCTCTTTGGATGAAATCATCGCTGAAGGTCAAACCAAGTTGGCTAGTGTTCCAGCTGGTGGTGTCGCTTCTGCTGGTGCCGCCGCTTCCGCTGGTGGTGCCGCTGATGCCGAAGCCGCTGAGGAGAAGGAAGAATCCGCTGCCGAAGAATCCGATGACGACATGGGTTTCGGTTTGTTCGATTAGATGAACTCGATCTGAGTATATTAGGTGTGTAGTTAGTCTATTTTATTAATTGTTGAACAAGCAACTTGTTTTTTCTAAACTCTATGCAAAGTTGAACTGCTTAGCCAGTTCAAGCAGAAGATCCCGCTTGTCTGGGGAGAGCTGTGTATTCTTTTTCAATACCTCTTCAATCAGCATTGCGCTTTCTTTGGCTTCTTTAAGAACCCGCTCACGATAATCCCGAAAATAGGCTTCTGCATCGTTACCGTGAGTTTCACGAACAGCCGAGACCAGTAATTCGAGTTTGTCGAGTTGAGATTGCCAATTTCGCAGTTTGATCTTGCCCAGTCGAATTACCTGCGCTTTCTCAGCTAAAGACTGGCGTAACTCATCATATTCACGCATCAGAGCTGCATCGTCTCCATCGTCGCTATCAACTAAAGAAACTCTCGGTAGTTTTTCAAGATCAGCCATGATATTTTGCAGGGAAAAGTACTTGGGGGCTTCCTCGGTACCCATGTCGACAAGGTCTTCGCCGATCCGCTCGCGGGGGAAATCTCCAACTAGTTCTATAATTGTTTTTAATTCCTCTAAACGCTTCGTAGACTCTGCATCCTTTATCTTGGCAAGAACGATGTCTTGATTGCGCGTATTGAAAATTTCCCTGCAACGTAAATCAACTTCGTTCTGAAGCCCTTGTGCGACTCTTTGGGCCACCGCAGGTGGTAGTGCTTCTCCAATTACATCTTCAAGTGATGAATCATCGGCAATCCTGTCTATCTCTTGGGCCATGAAAGACGCATAGTCGTCAAATGACATTGCTCTCAGCTGTGTCGGTTGGAAGCAGAGTGCGCTGTTTGTTCTACACGCGTCAGGGAAATCTGATTGTTACCGAAATTTCAGGGTATAGAACTCAGGAATGAAAGTGCGAAAGGAAACTACAGTTCAACCTGTAATTTAGCAGGCTTGCACAAGAAACCAGTCACGTTCAGGAAAAGAGTACATAGTGCACATATGTAGATTAATTGCAGAGTGAAGACTCAGTGAATTGCCTTTTCTTTGTCACCCTATAGAATTCCCAATATATAAGAAATAGCTATAATACGCAGATGGAAAGTAGCGCAGAAACATGCCAATGAAATCCACCCTAAGTTGAAGCATGTCTACTACCAAAAATGTTTCAAACACAGATGTTGAGAATGCACGATGTGCTTCAATGCTTTTCATCGGCGCATAAGCCAGGTCTTTTCACCTACGCCATGACTTAAAAGAATTTTATTTTCAATATATTTCAACAAGAATCCGTGATAGTTTAGTGGCTAGAATTCGCGCTTGTCGCGCGCGGGACCGGGGTTCAATTCCCCGTCGCGGAGATTTTTTGCCTTTTTTTTCAAAACGCTGAAACAACCCCTCTGCGATGAGAATTGCCTCTTGCAAGCGCAGCTGCCGCATAGAGCAGAGCAAGCCCAACAGTAAAACATGATTTTTGTATTAGCATAAATATTGCAACGCGGGGAGACCCATCGCCTCCCATAATTTTACATTAGTTCATTATCATAATACCGTAAATAATCTCGCGTATGGTTTGCCAGTGCAAATATCAAACCGTCCACGTAAGCAACTACACAGTAGGGGCGTTGGGCATGAAGTACGCCTTGATAGGGAAGTAACTGTTGGTCTCGTCAGCCACACCACTGTAGAGCGAGTACCAGCCTGCTAAACTGCTGAAAATCCCAAAATAGCCACCAGCGATCGTGACACGGTCGCTTCCGATAAATGTACCAATCACAAGCAGGAAGAAAGTCACCTCCAGGAAGAAGAATAGCAAGAACAATCCCCAGGTACTCTTGAGCGTACAGCACAACATCAGCGTGGTGAACACCAGCCAGCCGGTCAGATAAAATCCCACTGCGTTTTGGTACATGGTAGGGTCGTCGGCGTACGCGGCCGCGATGCCGAACTGGTCGAGTTGTATGCAGCCGTAACTTATCCAGAACCCACCGTACGCGCCAAACACCGTGAGCGCGTACGTGTTGCCGATTGGGTAACATAGTAGCCCAGCGAAAAGCTCGATGGCTCCGCCGAAAAAGAAGCTGCCACCCACCAGCACTGCGTTGTTGGTCACTCCGCGAACCTGCGCATTGATTAGCGACAAAACAAGACAGCAGTATGAGAAGGAAGCCAAGCCCAGCGGAACTGGGTTGGCGAGGTTGGGTGGAGCCCGCAAGTGGATACCGGGGTTCAACTCACCGGCGAACGCATTGGCGAGGTCTGCTCTGCGGTACGTGCGGTCGCCGAGGTGCACCAGCTCGCCGTCCAAGGAAATCGCGTGCACGAGCGGGTTCGCACCCGCGCCCGGGTGGTGAATCGCGCTGGTCGCGCTCGAGTCACTGTGCACGGCGCTCCCGCTGCTGTCGTAATTCGTCTGCCCCACATTTTCTTTGTGTTCCGATTTCGAAATCCCCTTCTCGAGGTCGGGCGACGAAGAGTCCATAGATATCTGGTTTTTAGTGTTGGTCATCGCGTGTATATAGTCGAGAGCTGTGTTCTATCGGAGTAGGTAGTCGCGTTCACAGGACTTCTGACTGTTGCACTCTTTCAACATTTCGAACCTGTCTTGGCCCCGCGCCCTGCCCTTTTATATATCTATCTACGCGAACTGCGGGTCTCGCAACTGGTGCATACCGGACTTGCTTACACGCACGAACGCACTTGTAATTAACTTCGGGGCTGACCAGCACCCTCATGTTTACGGGCTTGTAACGCGCCTCATCTTTGCGACCCTCTCTAGCAACCGCCCGATAAACAAGCCAACTGTTGGATCTTCTGGCGCAACTCCGGTTATACTATGGAATTCTCTTGATCACAGAAACAAAAAGCTAAGAATTGGAGTTGCGCGGCACACAGAACCGCCCGTACCGCAAGGGGCGCGAGCTGACGTCCGCCGCTGACGTCCGCAATTGACGCTGGCCGCTGACGCCGCCCCGTACAAACAAAGCGCGCCACTCCGGGAGCGCTGACAGCCAGAAGCGGGATCGAAAAGAGGGGGAGCGGGATAGACGTCTCGGACAAAATGAACACGACGCGCGACGCGGCGCGCAGCCGCGGGGTGTGTGGGCGAGGTCACGTGCGGAGCGGGGAACGCGGGGTAGCGCCCGGCTGGGGCCCTGAAAAGCGGTGGTGGTGTTTGCGCCGGCGGCCGGTGGTCATTGCTCAGTGAGGAGAGCAAGACCGGTTGGTGTGGCGGGACCGAAGGAAGGCCGAGCTGGACGGCGACGAGGGGCGGTGTCGGGCGGCTAGGAGTTCGTCGGGGGCGACAGGGAGGAGGAGAAGAGGCGGGATGGGGGAGCAGGGGCGGAAGAAGGAGCAGGCGAGCAGCGGAGACGATCGGGGCGGAGGGGAGGCCACGGCGATGGGGCACGTGACACGGAGGGGAGGGCGTCACGCGACTTTCACGTGCACCGGCTCCTCATTCGCGGGTGCTAGCGCCGCGCGCCTCGAAGCCCTCCTGCAGCAGCCCGATGATGTCTGCGAGATCGTCCACGACTGCGTCGACGAGCTCTGGATGCGCCGCGAGCAGCTTCACGTTGGAATCGTTCTTCACCAGCACGGTCGCGCATCCCGCTGCCGTCCCGCTCTGCATGTCGTCGAACGAGTCGCCCACCATGAGCATGTTCTCAGGCGCCACGTTGAGCTGTCTAGCGATGTGTAGCAGCGGATCCGGGTACGGCTTCGTGGGGCGGAAGTCTCGCGTGACGATGTGGTCGAAGCTCGAGTGCAAGGGCGGGACAAAGTTCGACAGCAGATGGTTCACGGGCTTGATCAGATTGCGCGTACAGATGTTCTTGCTGACCTTGTTGGCCGTGAGATACTCCAGAAGCGCCACCAGCCCCGGCTGCGGCTGCATCTCGCGCATTGCCTTGGCCTCGACCTCGGAAATCCGCAGGTTTGCCTGTTGCTTGAGTTTCTCCGAGGACAAGCCGTCGATGTGCGTCAGGATGTCCACCGACTTGTCTTTCAGGCCAATCGCCTCGCGCATTGCGGCTGTAGGGTCCGTGTTAGTAATTGAACGAGCTTCTCGGGCCGCGACCTGGGTTGTGCCATCGCATGTCACATACCGAACATCCACCTCTGGGGTAGGCACATTGTTCCGTCCATGTCGAACACAACGGCCTTTATGGCCACCTGGGACTCGCTGATTGGTTTGAGCTTGACTATTCTTGACATATAATAGACGCGGACCGTGGTGTGTAGGGTGCGACTCTGTTGGTCGAGCCACGCTATGTTCGCAACAGTTTTTCCAACGCGCCCGCCCTACATAGGGGAAAAATACATCTGATTTTCAAAAGCCTCCGACTTTTTTGGGCTAACCGATTAGTCCACAACGGCGACGAACAGCTCACACGCCTGCAATGACGTCTGCTATTCCCTACGATCCCTACGACGACATTGACAACAACCCGTTCTCAGAACCACAGCCCACGTCGGTGGCACCCGAAGCTGAGTCTGCTGTTGCAACCGAGGCACAAGACGTTCACGAAGGGCCCTTAACGCAGCCATCAGAACAACCGGATCTGCAGCCATCTCAGGAAGGGCACGTAGCCAATCAAAACTCAAACAGCACAACTACAGACCAAGCGGGCCCCCAATCTGAGCAGGATGACTCTCTGTTGCCAGAGCGCAAACTGAACAAGTACAAACTAGTTGTCAAAGTGACGGGGCTCGAGCGAGCGGGTTCCGTTACCAACAAGAAAGAGAACCCTACCATAATCTTTGATGTCTCGACAAATCTCCCCACGTTTCGGAAACCACAACATCGCAATCTTCGGAAAACCCTGGACGAGTTCCAAAACTTGTTCAAGTTTTTGAATGGCGCCATACCAGAGACGTTCATCCCTGCCATCCCACCTCCACGGACCAGTTACGGAATCAGCAACCAGGAGGACTATCAAAGGACCGTCAGTAACTTTCAAATGTGGTTCGACCGTCTATGCGCAGACCCACTGATCCTGCGAAACGAGGAGATAGCCTTCTTCATGGAAAGTGATCTCAACACGTATACACCTGTAGGTAAAGTCAAGCTGCCGGCGGCTGGCCTCAAGCGGAAAACGCTCAAACAACTGGCACCACCCTACGACGAGTGCATTGAGCTGGCCGAGTTCAGACCGTTGGTCAAATCGATCCACCATCAATGCCAAGAAATACAACTCAAATTGTTCAAGCTGTGCAAGCTCAAGAAAACGCTCTCGGCGGATGAAAACGGCGTGGGTAAGGGCTTCGCAGAGATTCCTATAGATGTCGCGCAGAAACATGGCAAAATGTACAAACGCTTCGGAAAGACGCTCACGGCAGTCGGCGACATCGACAGCGTGATAGCCACTCTAGACATGGCCACACTTCACGACGGTCTCGAATGGATAGTGCAAGACACCTACGTGGTCAAGGAGGCCATGACCAATCGGCACTTTCTCATGCGCGACTTGCTGCAGGCGCAGCAAAACTCGAAATTCAGACAAGAACAAGCGCGCAAACTACGTGCCAAGCGCGACGTGAGCCCTCTCAAGGTTGACGAGGCCATACGCCAACTCAAGTACGCGACCACCGTCGAACACGAGCTCACCATGAAGCTCAAACGCACGACGGCCAATATGCTGCTGGAGAAGCAGCGTTGGCTCGATTGGTATTCCGCCTTTCTGTCCACCAGCGTGAAAGAGTACACATTACGAAAGATCGAATACGAACGCAAGAAACTGTCGCTGTTGGAACGCATCCGCGCAGACGTGCGCTCAGCGGACGAGAACGGCGGACTGTCGAGGCTGGGACGCAGCCGCTCCACCACGAGCTCCGATCTACACCCCTCGCAAACCGCTCACGGAGACAGCTGGGCTGGCGATGCTCGCCGTCGCAGCCAAGCGTTCGAGTCCGACGTGCTGCACACAGAATTCGATGACGCGCTGTGCCGGGACGAAGCACCTGCTTCCACGCTGAACCCCGAAGACCAGCACGCGCTCGACGCGCGCAATGCAGCCACGTTGCTGGGCCAGTCTACTTTCTAAGACCTCTAACAGCACGTGCCAGGGCTCCATCTAGTTTTAACGTTTTACAGGAATATCGAACAGGAAAATTGAGCCAGGAAGTGGAAAAAGGGAAGCCAAAAAAGCAATAAACCTGGCGCCGTCCGTGCACGTGACCCGACCAGGCCTTTTCTCAGCGAATATCTAGGACCGCGCGCTGTGCTCATATATTCGCGCGTAACGAGGGCATCGCTCGCTCCGAGCAGAAATAATTGATACTCACGCTCAGAGAACGGCAGAGGGCGCTCAGAAAACAGCGTACAAATGTTTCGGATGTGCATCCTCCCTTCACAGAAAGTGGCGCAGGATGCAATAGCATAGGCGTCGATGTTGTGTTGAAGTAGGTTAAAAATTTTTCTCCTGTTGATATATATACAGTAAAGTGAAAAAATTTTCACACTTGACCTCATCTCCTTTCTCTCTTTCTTACACAGAACCAGTAAATCCCAAATCAACAACAACAATGGTTGCTTTCACTGTTGACCAAATGCGTTCGTTAATGGACAAGGTTACGAATGTTCGTAACATGTCCGTTATTGCGCACGTCGATCACGGTAAGTCTACTTTGACCGACTCCTTGGTCCAAAGAGCCGGTATTATTTCCGCTGCCAAGGCCGGTGAAGCTCGTTTCACCGATACCAGAAAGGATGAGCAAGAGAGAGGTATCACTATTAAGTCCACTGCCATCTCTTTGTACTCTGAGTTCTCTGAGGACGATGTCAAGGACATCAAGCAAAAGACTGAAGGTAACTCTTTCTTGATCAACTTGATCGACTCTCCAGGTCACGTCGACTTCTCTTCTGAAGTTACTGCCGCTTTGCGTGTCACCGACGGTGCTTTGGTCGTCGTTGACACCGTTGAAGGTGTGTGTGTCCAAACCGAAACTGTGTTGAGACAAGCTCTAGGTGAAAGAATCAAGCCTGTTGTTGTCATCAACAAGGTCGACAGAGCTCTTTTGGAATTGCAAGTTTCCAAGGAAGATTTGTACCAATCTTTCTCCAGAACTGTCGAATCCGTCAACGTTATCATCTCTACTTACGCTGACGAAGTCTTGGGTGACGTTCAAGTCTACCCATCTCAAGGTACCGTTGCTTTCGGTTCCGGTTTGCACGGTTGGGCTTTCACCATCCGTCAATTCGCCAACAGATACTCCAAGAAGTTTGGTGTCGACAGACAAAAGATGATGGAGAGATTGTGGGGTGACTCTTACTTCAACCCAAAGACCAAGAAGTGGACCAACAAGGAAACCGATGCTGATGGTAAGCCATTGGAAAGAGCTTTCAACATGTTCGTCTTGGACCCTATTTTCAGACTATTCGCTGCCATCATGAACTTCAAGAAGGACGAAATCCCAACTTTGTTGACCAAATTGGAAATCACTTTGAAGGGTGACGAAAAGGACTTGGAAGGTAAGGCCTTGTTGAAGGTTGTTATGAGAAAGTTCTTGCCAGCTGCCGATGCTTTGCTAGAAATGATCTGTTTGCACTTGCCATCCCCAGTCACTGCTCAAGCTTACAGAGCCGAGCAATTGTACGAAGGTCCAGCTGACGATCCAGCCTGTGTTGCCATCAGAAACTGTGACCCTAAGTCTGACTTGATGTTGTACGTTTCCAAGATGGTTCCTACCTCCGATAAAGGTAGATTCTACGCTTTCGGTAGAGTTTTCGCCGGTACTGTCAAGTCCGGTCAAAAGATCAGAATTCAAGGTCCAAACTACGTCCCAGGTAAGAAGGACGACCTTTTCATCAAGGCTATCCAAAGAGTTGTTTTGATGATGGGTAGATTCGTCGAGCCAATTGACGACTGTCCAGCTGGTAACATTGTTGGTTTGGTCGGTATCGATCAATTCTTGTTGAAGAGTGGTACTTTGACCACCTACGAGACTGCTCACAACATGAAGGTCATGAAGTTCTCTGTCTCTCCAGTTGTTGAAGTCTCCGTTGAGGTCAAGAACGCTAACGACTTGCCAAAGTTGGTCGAAGGTTTGAAGAGATTGTCCAAGTCTGACCCATGTGTTTTGACTTACATGTCCGAATCTGGTGAACACATTGTCGCCGGTACCGGTGAGTTGCACTTGGAAATTTGTTTGCAAGATTTGGAGAACGATCACGCTGGTATTCCATTGAAGATCTCTCCTCCAGTCGTTGCCTACAGAGAAACTGTTGAAGGTGAATCTTCTCAAGTTGCTTTGTCCAAGTCTCCAAACAAGCATAACAGAATCTACTTGAAGGCTGAGCCAATCGATGAAGAAGTTTCTTTGGCTATCGAAAACGGTACCATCAACCCAAGAGATGATTTCAAGGCTCGTGCCAGAATCATGGCCGATGACTTCAACTGGGACGTCACCGACGCCAGAAAGATCTGGTGTTTCGGTCCTGACGGTAACGGTCCAAACTTGGTCGTCGACCAAACCAAGGCCGTCCAATACTTGAACGAAATCAAGGACTCCGTTGTTGCTGCTTTCCAATGGGCTTCCAAGGAAGGTCCAATCTTCGGTGAACAAATGCGTTCCGTCAGAGTTAACATCTTGGATGTTACTTTGCACGCTGATGCTATCCACAGAGGTGGTGGTCAAATCATCCCAACTATGAGAAGAGCTACCTACGCCGGTTTCTTGTTGGCTGATCCAAAGATTCAAGAACCTGTTTTCTTGGTCGAAATTCAATGTCCAGAGAATGCTATCGGTGGTATTTACTCCGTTCTAAACAAGAAGAGAGGTCAAGTCATCTCTGAAGAACAGAGACCAGGTACTCCTCTATTTACCGTCAAGGCTTACTTGCCAGTTAACGAATCTTTCGGTTTCACTGGTGAATTGAGACAAGCTACTGGTGGTCAAGCTTTCCCACAAATGGTGTTCGACCACTGGGCTACTTTGGGTACTGACCCATTGGACCCAACCACCAAGGCTGGTGAAATTGTTGTTGCTGCTCGTAAGAGACACGGTATGAAGGAGGAGGTTCCAGGCTGGCAAGAATACTACGACAAGTTGTAAGTCCGCTTCTGGCCTCTTGCTCGTATAGAAACATTCTTAAACCACTTTTCTAATGTCTTCATCTTTTTGTTAATGTTTGTAGATTTCCCCCTTTATTTTTAAATATCTTCAAATGAATGATAAGTTACATATTTAAAATTTCGGTCGCGTTACATTTTTTCGGGCGTGTGATTGTTTATGTTGTGCATCACGAACCAAATGGAATTTCGTGATGAAGACTTCGATGTAGAAAAATCGGAAGCAAACCAGATAGGTAGCCGACATATGTCACTTCCGCAAGATCTTAAATCCCTATATGTTAAATGGTTAGATGATGAGATTCAAAAAGTGTCTGCCAAGCAGGAGAGGCTAGCTATGGTTTATACCAAAGCCCTGGATAATTTACGCCGGTATGACGCAGAAATTGGCAATCCAAATGAACTGCTGAAGATTAAGGGAATTGGTAATACTATCAAAAACCTTCTCAAGCAAAGACTCTCCGCGCACTGCGAAGAAATAGGTGCTGCCATGCCCGATGACTCTATTACTGACGGTGATAATGACAAGCAGCAGCGAATAAGAATACGAGCATTAGGGAAAGATGATGATGCTGATAGCGAAAAGCCGAAGAAAAAACGGAAGTATGTACCGAAAAGAAGATCAGGAGCCTACGCTATTCTTCTCGGCTTGCTCGAGGGAAACGGACTTCGAGGTGGAATGTCCAAAGATGAGCTCACAAAAGGTGCTCGCAAATATTGTGATAATAGCTTTCATGCCAACCCTTCAACAAGAGAGTTTCATAGCGCATGGTCTGCAATGAAAACTCTGCTCGATCGGGAACTTGTCATTGAAGAAGGTAGGCCCAAACGATATATACTCACCGCTGATGGCGAGACGATGGCAGAGCTTCTGAAAAGAACGGATGGCGTAGTGTTTGAAGATGAGGAGGAGTACGAAAGGCGAAAGCATAACAAAACCAAGCGTAACGACGACATAGAAGCAAACAATTCATGCGAGATATCAGCTAATTTGAGTGAGCTGATGAAACGCACCCGATCCAGCTCAAAGGCTGATAATGTAGATCATTATCCCACACCTCACCCAAAGGCAAGCGCCTTGCCGGAATTTGTCGAGCCTGCACGTAAAACTCATTCCATTTCAATCTCATCTCCATCCGAATCTTCGAAAGATACTCCAATACCACGAGATCAAGCGCTATTACACAGTAGTAAGGACAACATCATTCGAGCACGGTGGAACAAAATAAGCTATGAAGTTTGGGAACCTAGCAGTTATGATATTGTTTTAATCATTGATCATCGAGAGGTAAGGTCACAAAAGGATCGAGAGTTTTTCGCCAATAAGTTAACTGAAAGAGGTATTGAAACGGATATAAGACAACTGTCTCTGAGTGATATGCTTTGGATTGCTAGGCACAAAATTTCGAAAAGGGAATGCGTCTTGAATTTCATACTTGAGCGTAAGCGGTTGGATGACTTTGCAATGAGTATCATGGATAATCGGTTTCTGGAACAAAAGAACCGATTGAAAAAGACAGGAAGCAAACATATATATTACCTTGTCGAAGAGACATCAGCAAATGATACGAGCGTGAATCGAATGGCAGAAGCTATTAGAACATCAGTATGGTTAACAATGATATACAATGATTTTCATGTGAAGCGTACGAAAAACTCAGATGAGACTGTTGATTGGCTTCAAAGCATGACAAGCGTGATCAAGAACTGCTATTCCACATTGCGACTTTTAGTTATAAGCCCGCGTGATCTTAAATGCCAAGAGGACTATGAAGCATCCCTAACGCTATTTAGAAACCAATTTGAACGCACGGACGAGATTGAATGCTGCCATAGGTTTGATTGTTTTCAGGAAGTAATGGGAAAAACATCGCTTATGACAGTAAAAGAGCTTTATCTAAGAGCGTTAATGCTGAATAAAGGCGTCTCATTGGAAAAGGCCTTATCTATTCAAGCAAAATTTCCCACTCTTAAACAACTCTTACTCGCTTATAAAAAATGTAAGACCAGGGAGGACGCTAAGATGATGATTGCAAATACCATGAAAGACGAGCCTGGTAATAGAAAAATTGGAAAAGCGCTCTCGGAAACTCTTTGGAAAACTTTTGGGGAATGCGATAATGTATAGAAGCCGAATATCTACGAATGATAATTCCTATAAATGTAGTAAACATCTACCCCATTTTCGAAGACTTGTCCAATTTCTTCCAGAGATAAACCCTTTACCTCTGGATACCAAAAATAAACGAACAACCAATTGAGTACCGTAACACCTGCAAATATGAGCATCGTTGTCTCATTTCCTAGTTTGTCCATGAGCGAAAGATAAGTCATCGATATGAATGTGTTTGTAACCCAATTTGTACAAGAAATGCAAGACCCACCAAATGATCTTCGGTTTAGAGGTAAGAACTCAACACTGCTCCATGGTACAGTTCCCATTGCCGATGCATAAGCGCCGACATATATGATTACTGATATCAGCAATAGGACGAAATTGTTGTTTTCGAAGCCTATACTGCAAAAGAGAAGGCCAACAGTCATAATCCATATTGTGCTAAGTAGCATACTTCTTCTCCCAAAGCTATCCACAAATCTCATTGCTACCCCAGTAAATAGAAAGTTAGTGAGCGCAACAATAATTGCAGGCAGCAGGGGATTATCCACCCCTGCGCGTGAAAATATGACAGCTGAATAGTACATGAATGCATTGAAACCACTGCTTTGTTGGAAGAACATGAGGACACAGCCGATAATAAGTGCTCTTCGAGTGCGAGGTTCCATTTTGTGCTGAGTCTTTGTCACAGGTCTGATCGGCCTATAAGGTTGAGGAGACGGAGATTCTCTCGAATAGACGTAATTTTGTAATGAAGTCAAGCTCGGAATTTTGAAAATCGAGTTGGATCTGCTTAGGAGGGGCTCCGTCTCATCCTGATATGTTCGTAGTTTAGTCAAGTCTCGTATCATTTTGCCCAACTTATTGAAGATTTCTTGTTCCGTAGCCTGGGGATAAATCATTCGAAGAGCATCTCGACTCTCTGGAATTCTTTGCGCAGTGATTAACCATCTAGGAGATTCTGGGATGAAGTCTAGTAAGCAAATAAATATAAGGGCTGGAGTAGCACTGATAGCGAAGAGGTATCTCCATGCGTGGGGCCTTGAACTGATTCCATACGAAATAATATAGGCTAAAAGCTGTCCACCAGTGATAGCCATCGAGTTAAGCGTGATCATTGTTCCTCTAAGGGAGCTAGGAGATACTTCGCTAAGGTATATCGGGATGCATTGCGCAGCAATACCTACCCCAAATCCAACGACGAATCTCCCGCCTACCAACATCGACAGGCTTACAGACAACGACATTAGTAAGGCAGCTGCAATAAAGAAACAAGTACATATTGCTAGTGTCATCCGGCGCCCATAACGGTCTGCTAGGGGAAAAGCTAGTATCGAACCAAAAATTGACCCAACGCTAGTAATACTTGTGATCAACTCTCGTTGGAAATTCGTCAATATTTCGAGATTTATATCTGAAGGTTTCAATGATACAAGCACACCCGAAATTACGCCTGTGTCGTACCCGAATAAGAGTCCTCCTATTGTAGCTCCTGCATATATTAAGCCAGTTTTAAAAGTGATAGGGTACTTTCTTTGGTCAATATCATTTAAGGTAGTCGAAGTCAATTGTGAAAACGTAGAATACATATCAGAGTATACATCCTCCACATCTCGACCCATCTCATTCCCAATTGACATTCTTTTTGACTTTGTGCTTCGCGCGCTCATTACTATCAAGAAATCCATATCGTAAATTTCTAGAATCCGGAGAAGTTCCGCGATACCGGATGCACAGAAAGCTTTTTGTCAAATACCGAAGAAAAAGGTACAATTCTTACCATTTGACGATTGATTTCTTGAAGAAGAGATTAAAGTGATTTACCAAGATCAATGGCTTAGAGAATATCTCGAATAGCACGTAACTATGAAGTATTTTCGGCACGTGGGGGTCAACAGGTCAACAACACAGGAACGCAATCACTTTATAGCGTAGTAGAAAGCTCATCAGACAGATGAAAACAAGTACTTGAGCCTCCAGTATTAGTATAGAAAGGTGGCAATCTTGTAGTGTACGCCAAGAACTCATGATGGTTCCTATATCACATGCTCGTAGATAGTTATATACTTTATCAATCATGGCAAAGTTATTTAATGAAAAGGGGCCATCTTCCATGCTCAAATTCAATAGAAGAGCGAAATTAACAACTAAAACATTGAATGAGTTTCAAAGGGTTCACAAAGGCGGTAGCAAGGGCGCCTCAAAGCTTCCGGCAAAAGTTTAACATGGGTCAGCAGACTGAAGATGCTGTTTATGAGGATGCAGAACGGCGGTTTAAGGAGTTGGAGGCTGAGACCAAGAAACTTAGCGAAGAATCGAAGCGTTACTTCACAGCTGTGAATGGGATGCTACAGCATCAGATTGGATTTGCAAAAGCAATGGAAGAGATTTTCAAGCCCATTAGCGGTAAGATGAGTGACCCCAACGCTGCTGTTCCCGAGGACAATCCAGAGGGAATTGAGGCAAGTGAGCAGTACCGTGAGCTTGTGGCGGAACTGCAAACAACTTTAAAACCCGACTTGGCGCTCATTGAGGAAAAAATTGTACAGCCTTCACAGGAGCTGCTTAAAATCATCAACTACATCCGGAAAATGGCTACCAAGAGAAATCATAAGCGTATAGACTTGGATAGGCATCTCAACACCTTAAACAAGTACGAGAACAAGAAGGAACCTACTGCGAAGGACGAAGAAAGATCATACAAGGCACAGGCTCAAGTGGAGGTCGCGCAACAGGAGTATGACTACTACAACGATATGCTGAAGAACGAGCTACCAGTTCTTTTCCAATTGGAGGCCGAGTTCGTCAAGCCTCTATTCGTGTCATTCTACTACATGCAGCTTAACATCTTTTACAGTCTTTACAATAGAATGCAGGATATGAAGATTCCATACTTCAACTTGGACAGCGATATTCTCGAAGAGTTTAATGCTAAGAGGGGTAACATTGAGGAACAAACCGATTCCTTGAACATCACGCATTTCAAAGTGGGATATAATAAAGCAAAACTAGAGATGACTAAGAGACGGTACGGTGCGCAATCCCCTACCAGTCCCACATCACCCGTCTCCGGTACGTCCTCCTTCGGACAGGCTCCTGTATACAACTCAGCCGCGGTGGCTGGCGCGCCAGGATACGCGCCACAATCGCCCACTACAGCTTATGGGCAAACGTCCCAACTACCCTCCTATGGACAAGCGACTTCTTTTGTAGCTCCTCAAGCACAATACCCGCCCCAAGTGACAGGAAACGAGAAATCTCAGTACATACCACAACCAACTGCCGCACAGGCTGCAATTCCACAGGCCCCAATGGCAGCTCCACAAACTGCTTCCTCGTATGCCGTGTCCTCACCTCCAACTACTGCACCAGCTCCTGGCGTTGAAACGGTGACTGCTCTCTATGATTACCAAGCCCAAGCCGACGGAGACTTGACTTTCCCAGCTGGTGCCATCATAGAAGTAGTCGAACGTACATCAGATGCTAATGGCTGGTGGACTGGCCGCTACAATGGCTACCAAGGTGTTTTTCCAGGAAACTACGTTCAGTTGAACAAGCAATGATTGCTCATCTCATTTTATCTGTCGAGAGAAGGCGGTTCTTTCGCACTTTTTTTAACGTATATAAATAAAACTGAGTTTCCACTATATTTAACCACACCATTACAATCTACAACCTTGTTTAGATAATACTGTCTAAATATGGCAATGTAAATGCCAATCCTTTGTGTTTTTAGAAGCGTTGAAAATCACATTAGTTGAAGTTTTGCACATGACCAGAGCTTAGAAACGACCGTGAAAAAATGGCCAAAGAGATCATTGCATACAAATTTTGCCACGGTACTGTAACGCCAAAAGTTGAAACTAAAGTAGAAGTTTTGAAACAGGAGAGATTGCTTTTGCCATGGATCCCTTTCAAGCAAGCTCATCGCCGTCAAAAAGTCAGTTGACATTTTGGTGGAAACAAATACGGAATAATCCCAAGAGTATGTCGACAGATTCACTATCAGTCAGTTCAAACGCACCAAATAGGAGGCCGCTGTTAAAATCAAAGTCTCGATCATTTAACAATACACGAGTCGCTTCGCCTCCCCCTAATAATCCACGATCTGAGGAATACCGGTCTTACAGAGACGATTTTTTATCTAACAGACATCAATTTACTGGTCAAGTTTTTGGCGTTCCGCTGGCGCAGTCGCTGAGCGTGGCTAGCGCAGAAGTTATTGTGCAGAGCGAATTAGTAAGCTTTGGACGTATTCCAATCTTGGTGGCGAAATGTGGTGCGTTTTTGAAGGCTAACGGCCTGCAAACGTCTGGGATTTTTAGAATAGCAGGCAATAATAAACGCGTCAAAGAGCTCCAGTACATCTTTTCCACACCTCCAAGCTATGGCACGAAATTCAACAACTGGGACGGATTCACCGTTCATGACGCTGCATCTGTTCTACGAAGATATTTGAACAACTTGGAGGAACCCTTAATACCGTTAGAACTATACGACCAGTTTAGAAAGCCTTTGCAGGAAAGGCCGAGAATATTGAAGCATATGGCGCATTCAATGACCAAGAATAACGACGCAAATGAAGATACAGAAGATTTTGATGAGTACAAATTAGATGACGAGGAGGCTCGTGAAAAGAGAAGGAGAAAATTGCGCCACAAGAAACGTCTCACTAGAGATATTCGCAGCGCATTAAAAGAGTATGAAATGCTCTTCATTTCGCTTTCCAGTGATTCAAAGCAATTGCTAATATATCTTTTGGATCTACTTAGCCTTTTCGCTCAACAGTCTGATATAAACCTGATGACCGCTCGCAATTTGGCTGCGATATTCCAGCCATCAATACTTTCACATCCGGAGCATGATATGGATCCTAAAGAATACGAGCTATCAAGATTTGTCGTGGAATTTTTAATCGAATACTCGTATAAACTTTTGCCTCATTTGCTAAAAGCGACAAAGCCGCAAAAAGACGCAGACCTTCCTAAGACCAATTCCAGCGAAGCGAAACCGATCGAAACGAAACCTGCCGAATCATCAACAATACCTCAGACTATTGTCCTTTCTCCTGAAAGCAGTCATGGCACATCTACAAAAGCTGTGGAGATCCCGACGACTCCCACGGATCAGCGCCTACAACACCAGGACGTATCATATCTCACCCCGCCAGGTCCTTCATTTTTAGAGTCACAAAATAGATCGCTTAAGGGTCGGCCGCACAGCAAATCGCTTAGCCATGCTCACGCTCCTTCTGATATGATCACCACAAGAAAACGCACGGCAAGATTTTCGTGGCTGAATCGAGCTTTATCTAGCGACACCGGTGAATTTAGTGCAACAGAAGAAGAAGAGGAAGATGAAGATGATATACATTCACCCGTAAGGGGCCTTTCGTCGTCTCTTCCTAAGCAACATTTGCATGTACCGAGAGTGTCTCGAAGCATGAGTGGAAACAGCACAACATCAAACGGTGCCCGGCCTTTATCTTTGGCGATGAATAAGTCTATCGAGGAACTTGCATCAACACTTGGCCTAAAGAAACCAAACGGCAAGGAAGCGTCACCCATTGCTACCGATGAAGAGGAAGATGGCAGATCCAGATCAAGCAAGAGGAACTCATGGTTTCAGAGACTTAGAAGTCGGTCAAGGTCTGCCACTCGCAGCTAACCTGCTAGGTTTTCTGCTTTAGGATTGAGGTTTTATTTTGTATTAAGTACATGTATTATTTTCCAAGGACAGACTTGCTAATAGTAGCACACGTTGCTTGACTATCGGCCTAATCAAGAAGCACAATGGCATCATCATCAAGCTTTGCCATCTTTGCTGCTGGTTCGGAGGCATCTTCAAGCTCTCTTTTACGAGAGTCACCGTTATCTTCATCTATGATAATTTCTCCATTGCCATTCAAAATGTAGTCAGGTTCATCCTCTTGCGGCGACATCGCCTGCGGCTTGAAGGAGAGTACTTCAATTTCAGGTAGTCTTAGTTTATTTCCGGTTGCATCTAGCTGGAGATAGAATTCTGCTGAACATTTTAATTCCTCTTCATCATCACGTTCGTCTGCAACCAAGAGTAAAGAGCCTTGACCTAACTTCATGTCAGAAAGGCTCTTGCCCAAAAGATCATCGAAATCAAAATCGGCCAATAGTCTTTGTGTGGACTTATCAACAAGAGAGACTTCGCCTGGGTAATTGTACTTTGTGCGAATAGCATCAAGAAGCTCCCCTAAAGTAATAGATTTCAACGCAGAAGTAGAGAGTGAAATCACGCCGCGCGCTATAGAGCATACAGGACAACGTGGATTTGGAGTTGCTAGTTGTGAGTTGGAAAGGTAGCGATTAGATGATATATTGCTCGCCTTCGCAGTAAATGCCATGTATAAATCCTTTGGATCAGTTGGAGGTATATGCTTCAACAGATTTAGAACCCTTAATGAAGCAAGTGAAGACAAACCGGCGATGATAGCGTTCGTAGTTGCAATTGCTGGAATAATATTGCCTGCTATTTGCTTTACGTCAAATAATGACTTAACAGGAAGATGGAAAACATATGCACGGATATTCGCCGCCGTTGCTACAAATTTCAAAGTATCAGTGTCGTCTTTGTCAAATTCAATTTCTTTCTCGGTAGCCAAGCGTTTCATCAACTTTTTCGTTACTTCGGCAAATGCATTGACTTGTTCTTGAAGGGTCCACACAGAACTAAAATCAGTATTCAATTGGTTAGATATCTCAAAATTGTGAAGTGGAGTGGGCTTTTCGCGATTTTTCCAAAGGTTTTCAATGGAAAGCAGCTTTTCGATATCACTCACGAAAAGCTTGGTGATTATATCAGGAATACAAGAATTGTCACCTGATTTGATGTATTCTTGGAGTTCATGAAGCTCGTTTGTCTCTTGTTTGATGCGCTCAATTTCCTGGGGATCCTCAGTTCCAAGATCCTCATCGGTAGCAACAGATGTGGAAGACGCAAAGAGCTGAGAGAACAGGAAGTTCTTGGCCCACACAATGCAGTGAATCGGCTGAGAAGGAGTAGATCTGATTGTGCACACCGGGAAAGTTTTTGGCGTTTCCTTTGTGGTACAATCAAAACACTCCGTCTGACCCGGGATGATTGGCTGAATGTAACCATCGAAACCCGCGGTGCCGCTCTCCAGTAGCGGCAGATGAAGGAATTGTGCAGTCTGGTTAACGTAGCGACGGGCTTCAAGGTTATCTAAGGCGTTGAAGATCAGCGAGAACTCGCTAAACCAGCTCAGAGGAAACTTCTCTGTGTCCATGATGTTAGACTGATATGCAACCAGCTTGGAATTGCTGACGTGCTGAATCGCACGAACTGCTGTAGTTGCCTTGGGCTGCTTGATATCACGCTGCCGGAATAGAAACTGCCTATTGAGGTTTGATAGATCAATAGTATCGAGGTCAACGACGTGAATCTCTCCAAATTCCATGAGCACAAGGTTTTTGAGCAATTCGCAGCCAATCCCTCCGGCCCCCACCAGAAGAACTTTCACAGACCGCAACTTGGCGTAGTTTTTCTGCCCAACTATCTTCACAATACTAGGGTCGCCCATATCTAATTAAGCTTTTGCAGTTATCGATAATATCCCCTAGTATCCTCTCTCCAGTAATTCACTAACGATTTATATGATAATACTGAAAAGTTCAATTGTCGATCACCTGATCACTAATCACTTTTCGCTAGAGTCATGTGATACAAATTCTGATCATTTTATACTAAATCGTCGTTTATGACAGAGTTATTCCATGGTTTTCACGGTTTCCGTGATCGGCTATCGTGACTAGTCGGCTCCGAGAGCAGGAGGTAGTGAAAGTTGTATATAAGAAAGGGGCACGCAACCTAGCAGAAGACGCAACAGAGGTCGACACTTGAGGAAGTTGACGTGAGATTCCAATGTTCAGAGCACAATTAGCCAGAGGGTCTAGAAGATTACTTTCGACCAAGAAGCAGCCATCCATTGGTAGATTCACTGGTCAGCCTGACGCTTCGACGGGTAAGTTTACCGTGTCTTTCATCGAGGGTGACGGTGTGGGACCTGAGATCTCCAAGTCTGTGAAGGATATCTTCGCTGAAGCCAAGGTTCCTATCCAGTGGGAAAAGTGTGATGTGACCCCTCTATTCATTAACGGTCTAACGACGATCCCCGAGCCTGCTGTCAAGTCGATTAACAAAAACTTGATCGCGCTAAAGGGCCCATTAGCGACTCCAATCGGTAAGGGTCACCGTTCTTTGAACTTGACACTAAGAAAGACATTTGGACTTTTTGCCAATGTGCGTCCAGCTAAGTCTATCGAAGGTTACAAGACGCCTTACGATAATGTCGATTTGGTGTTGATCAGAGAGAACACGGAGGGTGAGTACTCCGGTATTGAACATGTGGTTGCGCCTGGCGTGGTTCAGTCTATCAAGCTAATTACTAAGGACGCATCCGAAAGAGTAATTAGATACGCCTTCGAGTACGCCAGAGCCATCGACAGACCAATTGTGTCCGTCGTCCACAAGTCCACCATTCAGAGACTTGCTGATGGTCTCTTTGTCAACGTTGCCAAGGAGCTGGCTAAGGAGTATCCTGATATCAAGTTGCAGACGGAGCTTCTTGACAATGCTGTGTTGAGTGTAGTCACTGACCCTGCCAAGTACTCAGATATAGTTACCGTTTGTCCAAACTTGTACGGTGATATCTTGTCTGACTTGAACTCTGGTCTAAGCGCCGGTTCTTTGGGTTTGACTCCTTCTGCCAACATTGGTCACAAAGTTTCCATCTTTGAAGCCGTGCATGGGTCTGCACCTGACATTGCTGGCCAAAACAAGGCTAACCCAACTGCTTTGCTATTGTCTTCGGTTATGATGTTGAATCACATGGGTTTGACTGAACACGCTGATAAGATTGAGAAGGCGGTTTTGTCCACCATCGCCTCTGGCCCAGAAAACAGAACTGCTGATTTGGCCGGTAGCGCTTCAACCTCATCCTTCACTGAGGCTGTCATGAAGAGATTATAATGAACCCAATGCCGAATGTTTTTATTGAACCGTATATATACACGTTATACACATACCAAAATAATGAATTATTGGTGTAAATGATTTACTGTCTTTGCTGGTAGGTGTCGCATCCGCACGAATGGGCACTCTTGGCAAATAAGTCTATATTAAAATTATGTATGTAGTATTAAGATATGTTTGATGGTCGTGTTCATTCTCAACTGCTCTTCCTTTTGTAGACATATTGATAATCGTAAACCCTAGCTGGGGTAGTTATCCCCCGCTTCCAACTGGTGATTTCCCCAGTGTTATCGTTGATTCTAAAGAATCTGACGTTCGGCGCTGCAGCGCCTTCTATATAATAACCTGATACGCCAGTACGCCCCCCATAGCACAACCACATTTCCTCTTTGTACATCGGGCCAGTTGATTGCAGGCAACAGTCATTCCCATGCTCATGGCCACAACTCAAAGCTTGAATACTCATGTCTTCTAGTGTAGATCTGAGGTTAAGCTGGGGGGATTCTAAAGGCTGTTTTTCATTATATGAGCCTATAATGGCAAAGGAGCCACTAGGTCTGTACTCAGGTATAGGTAAATGCTGAAAAGCGAGCGAGTAATAATTAAGTTCATCACGCGCTGCCTTTATGTTGATAAATGCTTCCGCTAAAAATGCGTTTGCTTCCTTAGGACAGGTTGAATCTAAAACAAAAATCGTGCCGATAAACTTATTTTTGTTATGCAATGTGATTTCGATGTTCGTATTATTGTGCTTGGGTTCAAATATGTTTTTGATTAGCGAAGCATCCCCGCTGACGCCATTTAGGCAATATGGTAAGTTTTCAACAAATGAAAGGAGTTGTCCTTTGGAAGCATATTTCGAAAAATCGTCATTACCCCATGCAATTGCATATGGAATACGTGCCTTGATGATGGGTTCTACGGCTCTTAAAAATACAGCTTCGTAGTCCAACGTATGTACACCTGCTAGCACATCTCCAGTGATGATCACCAAATCAGGTCTTTCTAATCCAATTACCGTATTAATGAATTCTCGAGTTCTTAGATCCCCAATTCTTTCGAATTTATAGTTGCTGTCTTCCACACCAAAATGAAGATCAGTTAGTTGTAGAATTTTTAATTCGCCATTTTTGAATGAAACGCTATTGGATAAAGCAAGATTGTCCACCTCACCATGCTCACTTAAGATCTCCATAGAAATAGAAATGGCCGGTAGCTGCTTTCCTTTCCCTCTCTTCATTTCATGAATGACTTCTTTCCACATGGGCCTTGATTCAACAAACCCATTACCCAAGAAGAGCTGCATATTGGATATTACGTTTTCAAACTTTGAGTCTCGGATTTGGGAGTATTTGCACCATATTCCATGCCCTTTGTAATCCCAATCTTCCCCTTTGATTGATATTTTCGTGATATCATGCTTGAAAAGTTGGCGCCAAAACCCCAGTTTTAGATCGTGATCGTGAAACATTGAGCTGTCTCGCGAGTTTATGTGAACATTTATGTCCTGTAAAACCTGTATTGGGATCGAAGTTGCATCTCTGGCGATGGCTAAATCAGACAAAGCTCTGACACTCCCGAGACGAGAGGTAGACGCAAGATGTACATAGAGGTAAGTCGAGTAGAGCAGCCCCAATTTAATAGCGTAAAGTTTATCGTCATTGAGATTTTTTTTAACCCTGTGCCAGGGTACCAGATTGCCATTTTCATCGTTAGCGTCAAAAACAACATCACAATTTCCGAACCAAACGTAGCACTTAATGAACCTCACGTCATCGATCAGTCCACCTTCGTAACCATTGGCAACTATGCCAGGCTTCATGACGTTCATACTATGTTTCTTGACATCATGCCATGAAGTCAAAGCATACAGGAGAAGAATCACAGCCAGCACCTTCTTGAATGTGTTATAGATCCTCCTGTGCTGCAAAGAAACCATCAGACGGAAAAGAGGAGTTGAAGAGGAAATAGAAGGCTGGTGATGGTTCACGAATAAATACAAGGAGTCTCCACAGAGGTCCTAGATGCAAAAATGGATGTACGGTATGCTATTAGTGGTGTTTGATTCACACACGGAGGCTTGGTTTTTTTTTTTCTCTTGCTCGTTTTTGATCTGGCTAGGAGAATTCTTAAAAAAGATCCCTTACTCTCCTCATCTAATTTTAAGTTTGAGAGTATTAATAAGTCACGTGCCTCGATATAGTCCAAATTAGCCGCCGAACTTTTGAGCATCAATAGCGATTGTCGACATATTTCACTATCTCATACGCACTCTGATGGTGTTGGAGGCTTATTTTATGTCCGATCGAAGATCATTTAACTTATGTAGCTCATTTTGACTGTTCTGGCTTCAAATCTTGATTTTTCTTCAGCAGCTCGAGATGATCTTGATTTAATAAAATCGAGCACAAATGTCGAGAGCAAGAGCAGCTTGAAATGTCTCCAAGAGGTGACTTTGTCCAAAATTAAGAATGCTCGAAGGATCTGTCTCACGACTCACCAGGTTGTCGAATTCTGTACTTTTTGAACCACGTAACGTCAAATGAGCTCACAGCAGGTCGTAGTTATGCGGCGAAATGTGATTAGTGTAAGTAAAACATCCTTACAAGAATATGCATGGAAGGGAACTTTTAACTTTTTCCATGTCTTGGCATTTGAAACTTTGTGAGCCAATCGGCTTAGATAATATATTTAGGGGTATGCTCTTTCTTAACAATCAAAGCTCGCGTAACAAGCTGACGAGTTTTAACAAGGGCTAATATAATCAGCAGTGCGTTTGTAATCAATATTATGTAAATGTTGTCAAGGTAACTCTTGAGACCAAATGAAACTTGCCCTTAAGTAATTTGATCGCAAAACATGCAAAGGCACTAGGCAAGTTCCTCGCATAAAGTGACAACTTTATAGCCGCAGGATGAGTGAAATTAGAAAAACCTCGCCATATAGTGTGAGTTCATAATAGAAACGAGCATTAAAAATCAATCAATTTTTCTTTGTGTTTGCTAGGCAACGATTTTAGTTGTTCCTCCTCCTTCAGAGAAAAATTGGCAGCACCTACATTTTCCGCCAGAATTTTTCTGACAGTGTCATCGGTGTCAATGTGGCTCTTCTTAAAGTAAGTAAACATAAGAGGGGTAAGAGAAGCAAACCTCGTTCCAGCTTTGATCGTGTTTACTACTTCCTTTGGCTCAACCCTGGTGACAGTTATTCTAGTGATCTCGTGTTCATCACAAACAGTGCGGTACCATTGGCCGTTTCTCTGCCGGATGTAATAGTGATAAGGCGAGAGTATTGCGGTGGTGAGAATATAGGGTTCATCTATTATACCTAGCTCCTTGGCATGGTCTATAACGCTGATCTCTGGGTGTGAAATATTCCAGTCCGAATTCAGCTTTTGAGATAGAAGCTTATAGTCAGACATGCTTTTGGCCTTCCGAGCAGTTATTTGATCTTTGACTGACTCCAAACTTTCCACTAGTTCGCTCATTTCTGGTGTACTACTATCAACCAAAGTGTCTCTTGATAGAAAATCTATGGAGTTGCTGAGGAATGAAGTCACATCCTTTCCTTGGAAACTCTTGAGATCGTTCAGCGTGCGCAGAATCTTCCGCGATTCGAGTTGCGTTTCTCTCCTGCGTACAATGATATCCCTGATCAGAGACTCCTTGGCCTCTCTTGTATAAAGCTGAGGGTAAAACTCAAGAGGCACTTCCACACCTTGTGTCGCATGAACTTCTTCTGTGCTTTCGTCCATTTCATCAAAAACTACGGTAAGCATTGGCGCCAGGTTTCCCAATGAATTATAGGTCTCATCGACATCAGAATCGACATCGTCCTCGGGATACAATAAAACATTAAACATCTTGTACAAGTTCGTGTCATACTCCTCGGGAAGAAAGTGTAATAGTGATACGAGTGTCTCCATTGGCTCAGCATCACTTGCTGGTTTATAATATGCAGTTGATATGAAGAGTTCTTTGATACTTGGAGAATTGGGACACATTTCCACGTCGTTAGTGAGACTCTTGATGAACGTTGGGAGCACATCATAAAGATGCTCACAATTGTTCAATTTCTCCACAACAATGGGCTCGAGTACTTTACTGAGATATGTGGCACTCACAAATCTTCTCATACAATCAGGTGTGTTTTGGACAGCAAGAAATTTTTGGAATTGCCATAGTAGCTCGGGTTGCAGAATGACCGAATCCTTGCTGGACAGTTCCTCTTTTGGTACAATTACCACAGTATCATTGGAATCAAACTTAATCCGGTACTTGGGCTCCAAGTACAGACCCCTGAACCAATCCTTATTGTAAGAAAGGTCTTTGAAGTCTGGCAGCAGAAAATAGTGAGGAAAGCTGATCCCCACTGCCATACAAAAGAGCGCAAAGTAATTTTCGATCACAGCATTTCTTGGCGCCGGTAGGATCGCAACAGGATCATCTGAATCGGCTTTCACTAGATCCACGCTCGTGTCTGCAGATGTACTCGAATCGAAGGAAGATCGAGCGGGTGCTTCATCCTCGTCTGACGAGGCTGCGTGCTCAGAACGGGCTTCCGGTGATCCTGGTGCATTTTCAAACGTCTCTACGGTCCCCATATGATCATCGTCCTTCAAACAAGCTGCCTCGGACTGCTCAGGCCCATGTTTGCGCTCTGGAAGTTCCCCAGAGAATATGTAGTTCACGGATGCCTCAACATCGCCATTGGTTCTTGAAAGAGCCTCGATGGCCACTTCCCGAGAGATGCCCATGTCCAGCAAAGACTGAATCGTTTTCTCCGGAACTGTCATATGAAAAACGTCCGTTTCAAGGTCGCAGTGACAACTTTGTTGGCTATAAACCACTATTAAGGCCCCAATTTCCACATGTTGTCAGCCTTCCAATGGCTCGTGATTATGTCATAGTATACGAAGTACTTATGTACGTCCTGTTATGCCATTAGCAAATACAATCTCCAAGGTGAGATAAACAATTCTTATGATCAGCCGCTCAGGGATTAACTTCGCACAGATCACAATGATAGTTACGAGTTTAATGGAGCCACATCATGGCTGTGACTGCGTCTTAGCGTATCTGCATGAATTACTGCACATTTAAAAATCTACACATCTACGCAAAATAGCATACAATTTCCGCTGCAACTCCCTCTAGCCCAGGGAAAATACTTGCGTCACTTGTGTACCTCGGTCGTACTGCGCGGCGGAAAGCAGTGATAGATTGTATGTCGAGTTATAAGACGTCGAATTGCGGCGTTTAGACAGTCTCTAGCCGCCCACCACGGGCGCATCTTTCAGGGCGGCATTTGGCGCTGCATAAGTGAACGGTTCGTTGTCACGGGAATAGGCTTAACGCGATACAACAACGGTCGTTTATTCTTTTATCGGCAGGACAATTTGCCTGTTATCCTTGACACATGCGGAGCGTATTTCCAATTCACATGTTATTCCATAACAAATCTCGGGCAACGCGGGAAAGCATGCCTGTCAGGCAATGATATCCCCAGGGCTCTGTTGAAGCCCAACATTTTAAGCGCCATCTTAGAAAACGTCCCAGTCTACAATGAGCAATTTTTTCCACAATGGAGGTCGAAAGTGAATTCGCCGGTTTTCCATGATGATTGTAAGGCATCTTTTGCGAAGTTGCCTGATTGTAATGATTTTGCGAATATAGTTTCGCGCCCTTGCGTATGAAACATACAACGTAAATCGTTGCCTTTCGCTGGCGAAATTTGCACGCTGCATTAATGAAAAGTTTGCTGCGCCTACATATGCCGTTGATTCTAAGATAGCCTGCCAAGTATTGTGAGTGTTGCATCCAAACAATGGCAATGTTCTGCAGCTGAACTGCATCGAGAATGTGCACACGTGGTTTTGCATGGCGATCAGGGAGCGAGGAAAAAAATTTTAGGGAAAACGGCAGGTTGGAACGGCTTTCAAGTGTTTTCTTTGATAAAAGCGTGTCAAAAATATTGATTGATCCGATTTATGTCAACCATGGCTCGTGCTAAATCGGTTCAGGAGGATTCTGGCAGGCGCAAGGGATTCGGCATAGGCGCGAGCCTCGGATCTACTTCTGGTCCTCAGTCGGGCGTCAACACCAACACCGCGTTCATTCACAAACTTTACAGCATGCTCGAGGATAAGGACATGGAAGATCTGATTTGGTGGACACCGTCGCAGACATCGTTTCTGATAAAACCTAACGAGAAATTCAGCAAGGCACTGGCCACGTATTTCAAGCACGCGAATGTCGCCAGCTTTGTGAGACAATTGAACATGTACGGGTTTCACAAAGTTAGCGACCACAATGGTAACAAGGGCAAGGAAGATGACAACACCGCCGCCTCCGAAGATTCCGTGAACTTATGGGAGTTTAAGCATAATTCCGGAGCCTTTCGAAAGGGTGACATGGAAGGTTTGAAGCTGATAAAAAGGAGATCATCCCGTAATCAAATTTCTGCAAGGAAAAACTCAAACAGTGCTGCTTCCACACCAATGGAGCACGACGACATGTGGGTCGAGCCAAGTGTGGTGAGATCTAACTCTCTCGCTGAAATTCCATCGGTATATTCATCTTACCCAGGCAATGTTGCTCAGTCCGCACCCAATTGTGGAGTGCTTTATCCGCAGCCTGATCCCCTTGCACAACAGTACCCTCGACACCAATCTCAGTCTCACGTACCTCCGCAAGCTCTTCCACAATCTCAAGGGGGACCCTTGCAATCACAGCAAGCGATTCAACCTCAATCCCAAATTCATGGCCAAACATCGGTGCAGCATCCCCAGTCACAGCAACAACAGCAACAGCAACAACAACAGGCAAGTGATGTGTCACATAGTGTGACCGGTTTAAAGGCTGAAAATGGTTTCCTGCAATCTCGATATGATCATGCAGTTGAAGAACTCAGGAACACTAACATGGATATGATTAAAATGCTGGATTTAGTACACGGACTAGTAACACTATCGACGCAAAGTAATGCTCAACAACCTCTGAAATCGGAAGAAATAAAGCGTTCAACTACGCCTCTGTCGAGCCAGCAAAATGCAACCGAGAATACTATGTCTCCTGGGCAATCCTTGCCTCAACAAGGGCTACGTGCTGATCAATTAATTTCTGAAATTTCAAGAGTTAGAAACAATATCCATTACAGACTACAAAGGTCTATGGAGATGCAGCAGATGGCAAGACCTTCCCAAGCGGCAGTGCATGAATATCAGGGGAATCCTACTTATCCCGTTTACGTCCCTGGTCGACCCCCTATGCCAAACCTTAATGCAGCCTCTCCAGCTCCATCCTACGCTGCGGCTGGTTCGCAAGGTGCACCACCTCCACCCTCGCATGCCATGGTGGTTCCCCCTGGTTATACTTCGTCCTTTTATTCTAACTCTACTAGTAATCCTCCAGACTTTTATAGCACCGGTGCTACTGCCGGTTCGGGGGGACCGACGCCATATCTTATGATGAATCCCTTCGAGCAGAAATCATCAGCCTCTGTTAAAAACAGGCATATGAGCGTATTCATGGATCCTTTGGCCCCTGCCCCTATGCCTTCATCGGGCGCCCCCGTATCAGCGAGCGTATCACCCAACCCCATTCAGCAGCAACAGCATATGCAACAACAGCAAGGAGTGTATGTGAGTCATCCTGTTGCAATGAGTACAGCTAACCAATCAAGGCATGATTCGCGCACGGATGTCAGGCATGCTTCATCCCATCCTGAAAGCACTAAAGAGATAAAAGGCCCTGAAAGAAGACCGATCTCTCCTTCTATTCCGGACAGGTTACTGAGCTCTTCTCCGAACAGAGTCCAAAGTAAGTCTCAAGGGGTGTCGATGTATAACCCCATGACATACAAACCATATTATCCTTATGGCACCATGCCTTCTGCTGGTCCTACTTCTGCTGTACCGCAGCAACCCCAGTTTGCACCTGGATTACCTCAAAGTTCTGTGCCTCATTACCAAATGATTGCTCAGCAGAAGCCAGGTAGACCACAACAGCATCCTATACCGAGAGCACAGTCTCCATTGAATCCAGGTGCGTCGGCCTCATCGGATCAGCATAAGATTGTAAAGCCCACTCCAATAAATCCTGCCAAGTCAAAGCCCGAATCAGCACCTCAACCCCGTGAGGAAAATAGTAATAGTACTTCAAGAGTCTATGCTTTGCTGAATTACGAATCGAAGGAGCCTCCTGCCAAAAAGATGAAATCATGACTAATTCATTAACTTCTTTTGAACTGGGATGGAAAAGACCAAAACCCATGTGTAAAACGAGAATAGAGAATTCTTGCACACGTCGAAAAAACGCAACTAGGTCGTTTTGAGTCAAAAATGTGTGCTCGGGCTTTTCCCCTGTTCTAGAAGTGTGTAACTTTAAATATCAACCTTCAAGACCTTCAACATCGAAGTCTTTTAACGAATAAGGCCAACAATAGTGTATTAATGCAAATACTTAAAACTAATAATCAAAAAGACATTTGTACTGAAGAATCCTGCTTCCTAACACATCCCAATCACTTGCAGTGATGTAGAGTTCCTCAACAAGCTTGATTCTTGCGAAAACGCTACCTCCTTTCCAAGTTAATACGGATGGATCCATTTCTCTTGGAGGAGGCAACACATTAATTGGGAAAACACTTTCATTCCCACCAAGAGCGTCAACTCCTTCCCAGTAAGTTTGCAATTCCAATTTGATCATTTTAGCCAACTTTTTCTTGACAATTGCAAGTTCCTCTTGTTCTTTTATCTCGCTCATTTTGTTTTCCTGTTCAAAATCCTTCACCTGCTTGGCCAGCTTGTTAAAAAAGGCTGGTAGTGTATTAACACTTAAAAGACGAGGTCTCCAAATGTTTATGCGATCAGTCAATATGAAATCCAAGCTTGGAAATTTAGAGCTTCCACCCACCACAAGTAAGTTAGAGTAGAAGTTAGTTAACTTGGAAAAATTGTTATCTAAGCTAACGCACGCTGTTGTGATGCTCTCTATGATCGCTTTCTCCAGTGGAGTATACGTTTCCTTTAGATTGGCAGTTGCTGCTGCCTGATAGTCTTCAATTTCCGAAGGTAAGTTTAACAATTTTTGTAAAATTTCTATATCTTTTGGCATTTCACAGTAAGTGGTACTCTTTTGACATGCCAATTGACTAATTGACTTGGGACTATCGTCACGTTGAGTGAAAACGTCCTTAGAACGAGGAAGTTGGCCAACAACGTATTCATTTACGTTGCCTTCTTTAGGTTTCAGTAAATTGAAAATTTGTGGGAAAAATAAACCCATGGGAGCTGTCATAACTTCTTCAAAGACTTTAAATTCGTATTTCTCAGCACCTGGTTTGCCGGGAACTCTTTTGATGAAATTGTAAAGCTGAATTGCCACATTGGCATCTTGAAATGTGGCATATTGTTCCTTCAAGTGTTCAGCCAACGCCCATCCATGAGGTGTGTCTAAATCTAGGTCTTGGTAGGGGAAATTGGAATCCAGTAAAAATTTCGCGAAAACACGAGTGACATCATCTCCACCGTAATCGAGAGTGATTACACTGTTATCAACTACCAACCCTTCGTCCACACATGCAATCTTGGTTTGGGTGGCGCCTATATCTACGACACACGTGGAATCGCCTATTCCTGCACCATAGCAAGTTGCAAGAGATTCCTGAATTATTGCCACAGCTTGAAAGCCCATTTCCACAAGCAGCATTCGTATGAAGGTTTCAACATACCTTTTATCATATGCATCAGGCACGACAAGCACGATTTTGTAATTGCAAAACTGGGATTGTTGGACGTCCAACTTAGGATGTGAAAGTGCATACTTCAGGAGTTCTGTGACATCTGAAAGTAACTCTTGAACAGAGCTATAATCAGGCGATTCAAGGTTGAATCGACCTTTAGCAAAAGGGTAACGAATAGTGAAATGAGATGGCAGGCACCTGGTGGCTTCCTCACCGTAGACATTACCTGTAGATTTTTGAATCCATTCTACACGATGGAGGTCGTTGTGCTCCGGTATTATCTCGGGTTCGACACGCGAGTTGAAGTTGACCACGGAATCATGCGCATTGGGAATCATCTTGCGCTTGTAGTAGCGCATTCTTTCTTTGAAATCGTGTTGAATTGCAGCCTTTTGCTCATCGTATTGTTCTGAGTCCAGCTGGGCCGTTGGAGTCTTGGTAGTGGGGCGTGGTACAGCAATGCAGCTTGGAATGGTTTGCGGAAGCACGTCAGTTGCAAGTCCGATTTTGAGAGACCGAGCGCCTGGATGGATTACAATGGTGTTGACCTCAGATTCTTCGTCGAGATTCTCGTCCTGGTCGTCTTCTTCAGCGACGTCAGGGGTCGAATGGGATGCATTGGCGTTACGAAGCGACTTACGCTCACGCATGGCGAAAATCTGATCGTCACGCTTGAGGTAGTCCGACGAGTAGTTTTTTTGGTTAATGAGCATGAGAGGTTTGAAGAGCCCCAGCTGGCGCAAAGTAGGATTATCCATTTTCTCGATTCCGACCTGCTTCAACTTCTGAGCAAACTGCTCGGCCGCCTTAATACGGCCCAAACGCCGTTTTTCCAGCAGATGCATGGGCACTTTCTTGGATGCGCCGGCTTGCGTATCGGGCTTCTTGACCTTGGAAGCGGTCGACGATGGAGGGGCTGGAGTCATCGACAGCGGAGTGTTTCCAGCAGTGGAGAAGTCGCCTTCAGCTTCGGCCTCGCCCTCAGCCTCGAGCTCTTCATCCTCCACGTCTGGCACGGGCGTTTCTTCGGGCGGAGCATATTGGGACGAGCTGGCAGTCATTGGTAGCTAGTTGAAATTGGTGATCTGCGATGGAGCCGATATGTAGAGCAAGCGTGTCTGGCTTCAAGTCCACGATACTGCGAGATTAGTGACCGCTGCTGGGTAGATTCAAGATGGTACTCTATGGAGCGATTGCAGACAGAACTGGCCACACCAGATGGAGGAAGTCGACGCACCTTGTACGGCAGATGAAAGGGGAAACGAAAAAAAAAAACTTGTGAAATAAATCCGTTATTAGTGATATGTTTTCGTATAGAATTATAGATGTCATGTGACTATAAAGTACGTACAGTGTGATGTGTATTCGTCTTAGGTGATTTCCGTTTCCATCGCATGTTACGGTTGCAGCCCATACACCCGCCTTGGGTGTCAACCGCCAACTGGGTGCCGATAGTTCCGCAAGGGGTCAGCGTCATCGCTGATTTATAAAGCACCCCAGACATACTACTGTAGTTGAAACAAACTGGTTTGATCGAAGTAAAGAACGTGAACTGGAACGACGATAAGCATATTAGCGTCATTTACAGTACACTGGCATTTCAATTAGCAGTTCACACGACCAGTAATGTCACAATTTAGACACTTTTCTAGCACAAGCAGGAGACTGCTAAAGAAAAAAGCAGGTGAGATCTTTCGCGCACTGCCCAAGGTGCCGACTACGCAATTCTTAGAGCCTCGTGAATTGACGAGAGACATTCTTTTCAGCGGATATCGCCCCATAATATACCCAGTACGCGAGAATCCGCTATTCAAAGAGGCTGGGTTGCGTGAGAGACGGCGCGCGCAGCAGGCAGGAGGCGAGCAGAACAAAACCAGTGCTCAGGAGCCTGTACCCAATAGCATGGCGGGCCCACGTGGAACTGGCGGTGTCAGCTCCGGCGGAGTCAACGGCACCTGGCGTTACAACCCCCGTATCCCCTCGAAACTGCTTCCATACAACCTGTGGTCTGCGACAAGCATGGCAATGGAGTACCACCCGGAGTGGCTGGGCGTACCTCGTGCTGTGGTGAGTAAGTTGCGGCCTTTCGACACCCCAGCTGCGGCGGCCACGCTGAATGCGCCCCAGAGGACGTCTGGCAGTTTGGGCGACGCGCTTGCCAATAAGCAGAAAGCACAGATTCGCAAGCGTCGAACGTCAGAGCGCTTCTCTGACAAGAAACTGGCCAAGGAGGTTGAGCAATTCACGCGGTATCTGCGTGAGAAGGACGGGAATTGACAGGACTCCACGGGACTCCACACTAAGAACGCATTTCAGTTGTGGATTTAGATGCGTAGGTACGTTATTTAGCAGGTCTTTATACTATACATTCATACACGCAATGCAGACGGTATTATAGCCGGCAGAACCATCCGCGGCGGCGGGCGGGCACTTGTGCCACACATTCCAGTTCCACCTTGATGGCCGGGTTCGGGAAGCTCACCACGACGCAGCTACGAGCTGGCGCGTTGGGCAGGTACTGTTGGTACACGCGGTTGACGACCGCAGCGTACGAGGGGTCTGCAACGAATAGAAGGACCTTGATCACATGCTCCAGCGACGATCCGCTGGCCTTCAACACGTTCTGCAAGTTCTCGAGTGCGTTGCGCACCTGTTGCTCCAGGTCCTCGGGCATCTTATCGGTCTTGGGGTCCGAGCCCACGCAGCCGGATGTGAACACCAGCTCCCCGGCCCGCGACGTGACAAACGCAGGCGACAAGAGTGGAGTTCCACCAACAGGGCCTACCTCGTTCCAATTGATCTTTTTGGCCATGATAATCAGATGTGTATAGTGAGAGTTTGAGTCAACAACTGCCTCGGGATTGGATGGTTGCAACTGGAACGACAAAGAGGGAAACTGAAAATTATCAATTCATGTTGAGCTCGATATGCCACGTGACCCGCCTGCCAAGTAGTAACGCACCAAACCGTCCAGGGCAGCGGTATCCTGGGCGCGGGCGAGGCAAGCCAGGTCGACATCCAGTGGTGAGTCTGGCACTGGATCGCTTAGGAGCAGCCACACCGCGTGCACAACGTGCAGGACGTTCCACGCGGGTGACCAGTGAGCCTTTTCGAGGATGTTGAGGCAGATGCGGCCGGAGTCGAAGTCGACGTTGCAATGGGGCATGGCACGAGGCTCAAAGCGCACCTGGGGTGGTTCCATTGGATAGGTAGAGGGGATCTGAATCACTAACGTGAATGCATGGCCCGCATATGGTGTGTCGGGCGGTCCTGCGATGCGGGCCCGCCAGCGCGACAGATCTTGGTCAGATTCAGGCGCGAGTTCCAAGACGTGGCGGTATGCAGGGTCGCGCAGCGTCTTTTGAAGCGCCAGATACTCCTTCCCGATGCGATGAGACATGGAACTCTGGGACCTGAAGTGAGGAGATGACAGCTAGGGCGATGCTAATGATTGATTGGATACGAAATTAGAAAGTGTGTCACTTTATACGTCCATAGCATCCCCCTCTTTCAAGCTTTGTCCATTATTTCCAAGAAAGCTTTTGCCACTCGCCACGCACTTGTCAACCAAGCAATCGTGCACAAAAGACAAGTTTGCAGCAGGTTATAATAGACTGAATATGTCCAGGATTGCAGACTCTATTGCGAGGATTGCGCTTCCCATTGGTGTGGCGTTTTCTGCGTTGCAGTATTCCATGTACGACGTGAAGGGAGGAAGCCGCGCGGTGATCTTTGACCGTTTGAGCGGTGTGCAACAGCAAGTGGTGGGCGAAGGTACGCATTTCTTAGTACCTTGGTTGCAGAAGGCTGTGGTGTACGATGTGCGGACCAAGCCTAAGAACATTGCTACCAACACGGGGACAAAGGACCTCCAAATGGTGTCGCTAACGCTGCGTGTGTTACATCGGCCGGATGTGCTTCGGCTGCCTCACATTTACCAGAATCTGGGGTTGGACTACGACGAAAGAGTGCTGCCCTCGATTGGTAACGAGGTGCTGAAAGCGATCGTGGCGCAATTCGACGCGGCCGAGCTGATCACGCAGCGTGAGACGGTGTCGCAGCGGATCCGGCAGGAATTGTCGCGTCGTGCGGCCGAGTTCGACATCCGTCTAGAAGACGTGTCGATCACGCACATGACGTTTGGGCGCGAGTTCACCAAGGCTGTGGAGCAGAAGCAGATTGCGCAGCAGGACGCGGAGCGTGCGCGTTTCTTGGTCGAGAAGGCCGAGCAGGAGCGTCAAGCTGCTGTGATTCGCGCAGAAGGTGAGGCCGAAGCTGCAGACTACATTTCCAAGGCGCTGGCCAAGGCGGGTGACGGGTTGTTGCTCATTCGTCGGATCGAGGCGTCCAAAGACATTGCGCGCACGCTGGCCAACTCTGCGAACGTAACGTACCTACCGGGCCACGGCGCGGGCGGCGCGGGTGCGGAGTCGCAGGGGTCTCCAAACTCGTTGTTGCTGAACTTGGGCCGTTAACGGCGCGGTTTCCGATGCTAGTCTGTATATAGTGTGTAGGTGTAATTATGCGTTTCGTCAGTGACAATGTGCGAGTGAGCCTCGTGCAAGAGCCGCGTGGCTGGTTTACCGGCCGCCTGGCAAATTCACCCGCCGCCTGGCTGCAATTGTTCGTTACATGTGTCGCGGTTTCCCTGCAGCACGCGCGATGCGCGCTCGGAACAATCGGCGTTTGGGCCGCAAATTAGTATGAGTATTAAGTTTAATTGCGTACGGAAAAGGTACATAATAAAGATTAGTTGAAAGAACGAAAATAGGAAAGGTTACGCAGAATTAGCAATGTGTAGTTGGCCCTGGCGCCGCCGACCAGGGCGCTGGCGGGCAGCGCGCGGTCCGGAAGGTGTAGGACAAAAATTATCACAGGCCACAGAGCAAAATAGAGAAAGTGAGGGAATAAAAAACGGCCGCGAGGCCGCGCGGCGTGCGCGCGGGCGCGGGGCCAAAGGTATCTCTTCTTTTTGGGGAAATAGGGAATAATATTACACTGGGGCGGGGTGGGCAGCGCTCAGACCTGGGAGATGGTGGGCACGCCGACGTTAGCCCTGCGCGAGGAGCCGGAGCCGAAGGCGCCGGACGAGAACACGTTGAGCAGCGACAACACGAGCTTGGCCAAGAAGATGAAGAAGGAGAAGTACAGGAACGCGACGACGGCCTGAGACTTGCGGCAACGGTCGGTGGAGCCCTGGGTGATGCTGTTGCCGTCGAGGTAGCTCTGGTTGTGGCACGAGTGGGTTCTGATGCCGACGGCGAGGGCGGTGGCGGCGGAGAAGGTGAACACGAAGTTCAAGAAGTCCCACGTGACCAGCAGGATGGGCCACGCGAACGCGGAGAACAGGTTGGCCAGCACCGCGTAGAACGAGTCGAACACCAGCGCGAACGCGGCCGTGAAGATACAGAAGTTGACACGGGGGTTGCCGTGCGACTGTGTGGCGATAAGCGAGCCGACGAGACCCAGCACGATCACCAGGAAGCAGAAGTTGACCAGACGCAACGAGTTATCGAGGATGGAAAGCATTGTATCGATGTGGAGACGGGGATGTGAGATGAGAGCGGTAAAAAACTGCGGAAAGTACTAAAGCTGGAGAGACTATAAAGGATTCACCAGACGACTAGGACGCTCTTTTTTTTTTCGTCTATTTCAATGGTTGCGCTGGAGCAAAAAAAAAGGTCGGTGCATCCGGGCTGCGCACCTTTATACCTTTTTGAGAGAGAAAAAAATAAATGTAAACAGAGCAACCCTCGCCCCGTGAAGGGCGAAAAAGATGGAAAAAGACCGGAGTAAGAGAGAGGGGGGGGCCGCGGGACGAAAAGAGAGAGAGAAAAGACCCACAAGCCGCGGAACGCGCGGAAGAGCGCTGACGCGTTGCACACGCACACGCCCGCCACATTGGAGCTAAGTAGACTACATACCGCACGCGCGTGCGCGCCTGAGCCTGCGCGTTGCAACGAGCCGCCGCCGCCCGCTGACGTAGTCAGCGGCGGCTTGGCGGCGGCAGCGCATCGAGCACGGGGCAGGGGCGCCGGGCCGGGACGGAGCGGGCTTAGACGGCCGCGGGGGCGGGCCGGAGATGCAGCGTGCAGCGGGTTACCCGGCCGCGGCCCCTCCCGACGTGCCCCCTATTTTGCGCCGCCGCACGGGCCGGCTTCGCCGCATGCGGGTCCTGGCCGCAAGCAATAAGTAAGGGGGCCGGCGTGGAAAGATTTCTGTCGTAACGACGCTCATTTTTTCAAGGCGTCCAACACACACTTAGCACGCACACAGGCCATGTCTATCTTCAGGAAGAGGCCTCAGAACGACCCGTTCGAGCATTTGCTGAGCGGGAACCAAGGACAGACGGAGGCCAACGCGGCTGCGGCCGCGGCCGCGGCCGACAGCGGGTTTCTGACCCGGGTGGTGACGCAGGAGCAGGAAGAGTACAAGTCGCCGTTCCGCTCGACGCAAAACGTCGCAGAGGCTCAACGCAGACGTGCCAAGAAATTCCCCACGGTGAGCGCGAGCACGGGGCCGGGATCTGCGGCGGAGCTCGGATATAAGGTTGTGGACGCGGCGCGTAAGCGCGCCAAAGATATTGCGGTTCCGCGGTACCTGCAGGGCACAGACGAGCGGCAGCGGCGGCAGCTGGACAAGTTGGAGGCGAAGGAGGATCGGTTGCGGTACCTGCGGGAGTCGCAGCGGATCGTGGACGTGCGCAAGGGCGCGGCTGCGGAGGCGGAGGCGGCGGCGCAGGGAGAGGTGTTTGGTGGGGAGGTTGCTGAGGAGGTTGGTGACACCGGGGTTGCTGAGGAGGCTGCCGGGACCGGGGTTGCTGAGACTGAGGTTGGTGAGACCGGGGCCGCTGAGACCGAGGCTGGCGAGGCCGAGGCTCTTGGACCCGAGGCTCCTGAGGTTGAGGCTCCTGAGGTTGAGGCTCCTGGAGCCGAAGCTCTCGGGGCCGCCGAGGTCGAGGACGCCGAAGTCCACGAGCCCGAAGTCCCCGCGCCCGCAGCCGAGGCCCCCGAGTCAAAAGCGGCCGAGTCCGAGGCTCCCGCGTCCGACGCCCCCGCGTCCGAGGTCCCCGCCCTGCTCCCCGCTGACTCGCCCCCCGCCGACGTCACCGCAGCCGCCGAGCTCGCAGCCGCCGAGCGCGACGCGGCTGAACCGGCGGCTCCGGCCACCCCGACACCCGCCGAGCCTCTCCAGCCCGAGCCCCTCGAGCCCGAGCCCACCCGCGTCCCCCCCGCCGACGACGACCGCGGCGCCCTCGCCGCCACCGCCGCCGTCCCCGCCACAGAGCCCTCCGCCCCCGCGCGCCCCGTCGACGTCTCCAAGGCGCCCCGCGTCCCCTTCAAGTCGTCCGGGCTCTTCGCGCTCTGGACCCGCGCTGACGCAAAGGGCCAGCCCGTCGCCACCCCAGACGACCCGGAGTTCATCGTCCGCACCGACAAGGGCTACATGTCCAAGGCGCTCTACGACACCCTCCAGTACGAAACCCAGGAGCACGACCGCGAAATGGCCACCTACACCAAGGAGCAATCCGACCGCTACGACGCCACCGCCCGCGAGTACCAAGACAAGCTCACCGCGCTGCAAAGCCAAGTCGCAGAGCTCGAAGCCACCATGGAGCAACTCCAGCGCGACACCGCCGAGAAAATCAAGGTCAGCGACACAAAGCTCTCCCGCCGCATGATCGAGCGTAACGCCGAGCACAGCGCCGCGAAGAACGTGGTCTTCAAGCAGACCGAAAACATCAAGGCCGAAAAATTACAACAGAAGCAACACGTAGAGGAGCAGCAGGACGGCGTCAAGGCCGAGATCGAACAGTTGCAACAGCTCAAGGCCGAGGTCGACGCCGAGTTCCAACAGCACCAGCACCAGGTCGACGAGCTCACCGCGCAACTCGACGAAAAACTAGCCGCGCTCGACGCGCTCGCCGCCCGCCAGGCCGAAACCCAGGCCGAGCTCGACGCGCTCCACCAGCAGCGCGAGCAACTCGAGGCCGACGCGCGCGCCGCAGACGAGCTCCACGCCGCCAACCAGGCCACGCTCGAGAGCATCCACAACAAGGAGTACCTCACGCAGATCAACGGCATCGACACGCAGATCTCGCAGGCGCTCTCGTCGCTCACGCTCATCAAGCAAGAGACCGCCAACCACCGCACCGAGTTCGCAGCCATCACCAAGCGTCTCGAGGAGGAGCGCATCGCGCACGAGGCAAAGCTCAAGCGCGAGGAGGAAGAACGCAAGCGTCTCGAGGAAGAGCGTCTGCAGCGCCAGCGCGAGGAGCTCGAGGCCAAGGCCGACGAGCAACGCAAGCTCCACGAGGAACAGCTCCGCGCCGTCCAGGAAGAGCACGACCGCCAGCTCGAAGAGGCCGCGCAAAAGGCCGCAGACACCGAGGCCGCGCTGGCCCGCGAAAAGGAAGAGCGCGAACGCGTCGAGCGCGACCGCACCCGGCTCCAGGGCGAGCAGGCCATCCAAGAGCAGCAGCGGGCCAAGGAGGCCGACGACGCCCTCAAGGCTGAGCTCATGGCCAAGCGCCAGAAGCAGGCAGAGGCCATGGACGCCGCGGACGCCGCCCGCAGCGCCAACGCCAGCGCCAGCAAGCAGCGCGCCTCCAAGTCCGTGCTCGCATCCTTGAACAACGCGCCGGGCACCAACGAAAGCTCCTTGTACGAGTACGAAACCGAAGAAGAAGTGGTTACCGTTGACAATTGAGTTGCGCGTTGTTCGCGCCTCGCGTCTTTTCCTGGTCCCGTGGCTTCACCAGTGTTCGTGACGGTCCTACAAAAAGTATCTAAAAAGAGACCGATCTACCCGGCCCAGTCTATAATCTCATTGTAATTGAGTAGTATTGTGTATTCTAATTTATTCATAGTGCCGTGTCTACTAGGCCTACCGTGTACGCCCGACGCCTGTGTTCTCGTGGGTTGTTTCGACGTGTTTTTCTCGCGAAATCCGGGGTTTCAAGCCTTGTCCCTTCTTCCTCCCTGGAAACTTTTATTTTCAATTTCAAATTCTTCGCTCTACAAATCAGGAATACGACTCAGGTACCATTTGATAACAACCAAAATGTCTGGCTATTTCGGTGGTTTTTCTCTCAACAAGCTGACTGACACCATTACGTCAGCAGCCCACAAGACTCAGGACAAATTGAGCACTGCAATCGCCAATATACAACTCGATGATCCACAGGCCAAGCTCTCGTTAAAGGCTCGGAAACACTACTTGCAAGAAACCCTCGGTACCATCGACGACATCAGCAAATTGCCACCCCAATATCAGTTCCTCGAAAAGAAATGCGACTATTTGGAAAAGGTGTGTAAAAGAATGCTTGTGGTGACCAAAACTTTCGAAGTCGAAGGGTACGACTACCCTCCAAACTTGACGGAAAGCTTCTCAGATTGGTGGTCCACCAACAAGGAAGGTATCTTCAGCTTCATGGATTCCAAAAAGAAAACCAAAAAGTCAGAACCAGAAAAGGAAGACCCGGAGGCATTCTTGCCTCGTTCTTTCGCACAGGCGTTGTCTAAGGCGGCCAAGGACTCTGGAGAGTTACTCAAGGAATTGGAAACTGAACAAAAGGCGTCAGCCGAGGAAGAAGACGAAGAGGACGAAGACATCTCCTCTTTAGTCAAGATGTTTGATGCCTGGGCCGATGCTCAATACAAGATCGACCTCGGAAAGGCCGAGATGGACTCTTTGATGGTCAAAGAGTTCAACCAAAAATTGAGCAACATGATTAATGACGATTTCAAGAAAGCCCGTGCCTTACGTAAGAAAGTCGAGGACTCCAGATTGAAGTTCGACACTATGCGCTATGAACTGAAATTAAGAGAGGAAGAAGCCCAGGCTAAGGCTAAGGCTTCCTTAACTGAAGAGTCTGCTGCTCCAACCGAATCCAAACAAGCTCAACCCGCCGAATCACAATCAGAAAACACAGAAAAGGAAACTGCTGCTGAAAAAACCGCCGCAGAAGATGCTCCTAGTGCGAAAACTGAAGTTGCACAAGAACCTGCTGAAGAACCCGTACAAGAACCTGCTGAAGAACCTGCGGAAGAGACTGCAGAGACTGCTACTACCGAGGAAACACACGGCTCCGAACCTGAAAAGGCTGTTCTCCCTGAAGACGACCCTGAACAAAAGTTGCTAGAAAAGTTGGAGGATGAATTTGTTTCCAACACCACTGAAGCTGTCGAAACCATGGGTGAAATCACCGACAGTTCCGAAGTCATTTCATTAGTTAAATTGTTCCATAATTTCCAACTGATTTACCACCGCCAATGTGTGCGGGACTTGGAAGATAGCATGAAGATACTAAATGGTTTGGATGGGGAGGAAAATTAATCATTTTGCAAACGTTTTGATTCTCTCGTCAATTTCTCGTTAAATTGTCTGTTCTTGTTGTTTATAAATGCTTCTCCAGCACCTGTTCCGTTTCGTTTCTCAATCTTTTTACGTATATTCGCATACCGTATATCAGCAGTTTTGTCCAATGAATCCTTAAGCTTATCTATCAGTTTATCTTCATCCTTCAAGACAATTTTCCCTTTAGAATTTATCTCAATTTTCTTGGTCACTTTACCACTCGATATTGGCCCATCTTTAGTAATGTTACGGATTTCCTTGTCATATGTCAATTTTGCTAGGTCCCGCAAGTTTGCACCTTCAGATGACCGCAGACCTTCGCGGTTTTGTTTATTCTCCCATCTCTCATAATCCTTCATGGTGTATTGAAGTAATTTATCTCGCTCATCTCCGTCTTTCTGTTCATGTACTTCTTCATCATCCTTCATGCTGTAAATTAAAGGCTTTTTTCCGCGAGCAGTCTCATTATCTTCCTTGACCGTCTCTTTTCTATTTTTCACCCTTAAATCAACTCCCCTTCTTTTGAGCTTTTTAAGTTTCTGTGAAATCTCATCCAAATCCATTACTGTCTCTTCACTGATTAGAATACTCATCGATGATTTTTTGGATTGTCATTTCTGTTTTCCTTTCCTTGATGGATTTAATCACAATGGACGTATGATCGATTTTCTTGAAAAAATTTTTGATAATTAGATGAGATGAGCATCAAACAGAAACCTCGAGAAGTTAACTAATTCAACAGCCATGCCTTCGGTTTCGCAACCTTTCAGGTTGACCGTTTTACCCAAAATTGCATCTTTGAATAATTTTGCAACTCAAACCAGCTATCTTCAAGTGGCAGATACCTTAACGCCATTGACGAACAAGATTAATATCGGTATATCAGGATCTGCCGTTTCTCAATATATTGTCAATCCCACACCCAAGCTTGTATACAATCTACCGATTCCATCAACGAATACCGTCTCCTCGTGCGATGTGGCGGAGCTTGCTGCAAAAACTGAAGGCGAAGATCCACAAGAAGTTTGGTGTTACGCCTTAGTTGCCAATAAAGTGTTCTCCTTAAATACATTAATCAAGCCATCAGTGGCAACTGCATCAACTTCTAATTTTGGTGAAACGTTTGAAAACAACAAAGTGGACATCAAATACAAAGCCGTTAACGTGAAAGTTTATCCAAAGAGAGAAACCATCGTAGCCGTGTTAGAAAATGGTTTGATCCAAACTTTTGACTTCCAATTAAAACTTTTGCATTCCATTGACGCAACATACGGGGAAATATTCCTTGTTCAGCATTTCACCAGTGAATCTGGTCTAGATTTTGTATGCATGCTTAGTGAGTTGAAAGACAAGAAGAGCTGTTTTAAGCTCTTTGAAGTTAATGAGTTAACAGCTGCAATCCCCGTCAAGGAATTGAATTCCGTTATTATTGAAGATTGCCCATTGAAAGATGCCAAACTATTCTATCAGTATGGTAAAATTTACAGACTTTGTGACGCTGAAATTAAAGTTTATAATTTGCCTCACTTCCAACTTGCACAAACCATCAACCTACCATTCATTTCGTCCAATGATGTCATTTCTTTCAAAGCTATATCTACCAATCGAGCCCTCCTAACGGCTCAAAATAAAATTTACTTGCTGGATTTACTGCATAATGCTACTTTAAGTGAAAGAGAGCTAAGTCACGTCAAGACTTTTCAACTTCTGAGAACTGCTGTGATTCCAGGAAACACCTCTGATAACGACAAAACTTTTGCAATCGGTGTGTCAACAAAACATGGTGCTAATCCTGTCAGTACTTTGGATATTATAAACGTGGACGTTGGTACTGGTACGTTGAGGGACTCCATGGGCAAAGGGTTCTCTCCACGTGGAGGTAAGCCCCATACTTTGAAATCTCTTCTATCGCCCGATAATGAGACGGAAACAGAAGAGTTCGATTACTCTAGAATCGTTGAAGAGCTAGAAAAGGTAGGAAGCGATTCTACAAGGTTTGATTCAGTATTCTTCAACAAGCTGAATGTGAAAAAGGACTATTACACTGATTCAGACAGATTTTTGAATAACGAAGACTTTTTGGAGAAGGTTGTCGGTGTAATTTTCGATAACTTTGTGAGTGAGTATCCAAGAGCTTTAACATACCTTTTGACACATCCTCTATTTCCCCTCTCTCATACCAAAAATCTACTCAAAAGATTTAAAGAGCATCCAAGGCTATTCAAGCAAGCTATTGTCACATGTCCTAATTTGCCATTAGATGACTTGTTACACGAACTCTTCACGGTGATGAATGATGAGCTATCCCTTGATCTTTCGTTGAGAATACTCCAGGATTTCAATAGGGACTTCATCAAAAGCTCTATCAAGAAAATGAGCAAAGTTGATACCCATAACTTTATTAATTTTGTTGTTGATGAGAACGCTGACGAAGAAAGGAACAGAAATAAGCCAAGATTATTTCAACTTTTGAGTTTGGTCCTCGACTCGGTGGGACTTTTTGCACTAGAGGACTCGACGTTAATAAAATTGAGCTCGTTCATAGATGATCAGGTCCGTGTTGTTCAACAAAATATTGAATTGTTAAACCTATTGGAAGACTCAACAGTCGCACGTTCTTCAGCAGGATCGCAATTTAACTCTAGCCAAACAGAAGAGCAAGTAATTAAGCCATACAGTGTTCAATACTTGGATTGCTGATCTTAGGCGTGGATGTTGTAAGTTATTTGTACACTACATAAGCATTTTGAAAAGGCACTGAAAAAGTGCTGAAAAAGTTTCTAGGAATCTTTCTTCGAACATTACTGCGGCAAATGTCTATAAATGCCTATAACAAGAGCGGTTTCCCATGCTCTATCTACCACTTACCTCCAAAACAAGAATATGATGATTCAGAGAATCCACTATATATTTTCATTCCAGGAAACCCCGGATTACTCGAATTCTATGTGGACTTTCTGACCCTAATTCAGGAAAAAAAACCTGAATGGGAGATTCTGGGAATTTCTCACGCGGGCATGAATTCATGTGATACTATAGAATGTCCAGTTTATTCCTTGGAAGAACAAATCCAACACAATGTCAATGTAATCAAGAGTTTTTCATCCGAAAAACGGCAATTAATTATCATGGGACATTCGATAGGTGCCTTCATAGCTCAAAAGGTTGCAATGCATGAAGATCTCGAAGGGAGAGTCATTCAAGTTGGACTTTTAACGCCGACAGTAATTGATATCCATCTAAGTGAAAAGGGGACGAAACTCACTCTCATTAATAAGTGGTGCCCAAATTTCCATGCATATGTGGCCCTGCTAAGCTGGATATTCTTTGAAAAGCTTCTTCCAGTTTCAGCCACAAGGTGGATTGTGTCAACTTTTGTGGATAAATTGAAAACTCGTATGGGCGCTGCTGTTTTGGTACTGCTAACAAATTCCAGATTTGTCCTTCAAGCATTGGGGCTTGCAGCTCAAGAAATGAAATTAGTTAGATCAAATTGGGAGTTTCAGCGTAAATTCGTCGGCATGTGTAACAGCGAAAATATCAGCATATGGATGCTATTTAGTAAATCCGACCATTGGGTTAGCGATAAGACCCGCCAAGATCTCATAGACTTTTATGAAGATAATTGCAGCTCAAAAAACCTCGAAATTGACATTTCAGAGCTAATCGAGCATGCTTTTGTGAGGAAACATACAGAAATTGTTATAGATAAGTACTTTTAGTTACGAATTTTGAAAAATTCATAACTTTATATGGAATTTCACTATGCTTTTTGGCTTCTCGGGAGTAAATATCATTGCCTCGGCATCGGAATCGTGCACAACATGCTCAACAAAAGTGATCAACTTTTTATCTTCGCTCACCAGGGTGACAATCTGCGAACGAGTACCATAATATTTTCCACATGGTAAAGAAGCTCCTAGATCTTTGTTCTCGGGCACCAGAAGAGGTGGAACATAAATACATGCACTTGTAATTGCTTCTTGTTTTGTGGCAGGTTGGTCCTGTACTGAATTGGATGCAAGAGCGAAGCACTTCTCGAGAATAATATCTTCTTCATCGTCCAAAGAACTCAGTACCATCTTGTGAAGCAAATCCTCTGCAAGCTTTACCTTGCCCCACTTCTCAGAACTATTCACTAAGTCGTTTGAAATCACCATGTAGGGGTTAGTATCTGTTAATACAGAGTAGTCATTGCCCAATGAATCGATCACTTTGTATGCTCCTACTCTGCTATCCCCGTAAAAGAAATTGAAAGAGCCAGTCTCGGACAGATAAGGATAATGCTTATTAAACTTTTTGTAGGAATTCCAGTCTTGGAAATCGCTCCCTTTATCCTGAAGATATTCAATGGGGATTGCACCGCGGGAGAATGGTGTTTTAGATGTAGCTGTCTTGGTGGAATCTGATAGCCTCAAGTTTAGTATGACTCCGACCTTTCCCTCTTTGTTAACGCCACACCACGTTCCGTGGCTTTGTTCCCCCTTTGAATTGGAAGACATATCAAAGGGAGAAAGGATAAAATCATCGTGATTTAGACAGCTGAGATGCGTTTTCCTCTCATAAAATTCGTCTCTATTTGATATCAGGATCAAGGAATACTTGGGATGAGCAGTAGTAGCCATTAAGATGCACATTTTCAGCTGCTGTTAGTGGTTTTCGCTCTCTCCCTCGAACGGCACGACATCAATTAAGGCCTAAACAGGAAAATTCGTCTGATCGAAACTAACCCTGGAAAAAACATTTATTTAAATAGTTTATCTAAAAAACTCATAAACCCCACGTAAGTCTTGTGCTTGTGGTAGTTTTCTATCTCCTTCTTATTCTTCTCAATAGCCTTTTTTAGCTTCTCAGAATCGTAGCCACTGTCATGATGTTCTTGTGGGGGTTCTGTTTCGGACTTCACAGACTTCTTACGAGTGGCATCGCTGCCTATCGAGTGTCGACTATCTAATCTATTCAACTCACGTAACGTTTTTACTTTTACCAAACCTGTATCTGTTTCCATTTGGTATTCCTCTGGAAATTGGGCACCTGGATCATTCATTGCTGGATTGTTATAATCTGGTATCGCTTTACGTTTTAGATTTAGACCCTTCTCCTCAAGTGATTTAGCAGTTTCTGTTTTGTCATTGATGGCATTACGGGATACTACCTTTTCTATAATATTCGGGTCATCCTCCCTTAATGTGCCACTGCTCTTGGCAGAAAGTAAGTCCTTGGAAGCTATTGTATCATTTCGAACAATTTTTGGTCCGGAACTAGTTTTTGGCTTCGAGTCCAACCCTTGAAAAGGCTGTGGATCGAAGGATTCGGAGGATGACAGAGATGATAAGTCCATGTCACCACCCTCTGAATCATGATCCTTGATTATTGGCGTCATTGTCATTGTATTTGGCCTTGATGATGCCAATTGAAGAGCTGCCCCCCGTATTGCCGACCTTTATATAGTAACTCATCAAGGGACGTTCGGCGCCGCGTTCTTTTCCAATGTATTTTATTTCATTTTTCATGCTGAGGGGAAAAAGGAAATCTGCCTGAACCGAACTAGTATGTCCCGGATAGAAACATTCTACTTCTTATCCTTGGCATTTAGGTATCCCGATGACATATCGATAAATGCTGTTGTATCATTCTCTAAACATCAAATTATGTAACATATATCAAGCGAGAGGGGGGGTAAAATTAAAGAACAGTAAACTAGCTGCTCACGAGACAATAACCAATTAAATCCCGGTATCTACTTTGGTTCATGTTCATTGTCACCAATAGCAATTCTGTATAGGAAACTAAGTTTTCTTTCTGCAATGTTGCCAAATTATTAACATCCATTACCCAGACGACACAGTCGGTCTCCGTTCTAATTTCAACAGTAGACTCCGGGAGTTCGGCTGCTTTTCCATTGATCATCCCAAAACAAGTTTTACTCGACATAATCTCATAAAGTTGACCTTGGTGAAGATTATAAGTAACTTTTAGCATACCACTTTCGACTAAGAAGAAAATATTATTATGATGAGGTACCAATGATTGTGCGGCTAGTCGCTTCTTTGTCATGTACTTGCACAAACCAGACCACAGTTTTTCTTCAGATTCCTTGATTTGCTTCTCGGTAGACATGACTTGAGGTCTGAATCTCTTCAAGGCAATGAGTAGCAAAGGAAGCACAGGTTGTTCTACTCTATAATGATTCCTTAGATTGGACACATTCTCTTCATCAGAGAAAATTTTTTGTGCAACGGATACAAACTGTGTGTTTCTGGGAGTATTGACAGGTAACATCATATTTTTACTGACATCTCTTTCACGTTTTTGCTCGGTTTTAACGTTTGCCTTTTTGCGTAATTGCTTGTATTGCATCAAGAGTTCGTTTTCACACCATTCTAAAGCACTGTTCAGATCTGCAAACAGTTCAACATTCTCCAGTAGACCGACTTTGTTAAAAGCACTGTAAATTCTATCCCACTCTGTAATTGACGAAATGATTAAAGTGATCCTCTTTGACATAGTGAATCTCTTAATTCTATTAAATCCCTCAGCAGCCGAATAATCAATGTTGTCAGCATTGATATTTTTGAAATCCAAAATTAAATATTTGATTCTTTGTTTCGTGGAGTCATTGTCGCTAATCTCCAATAGTTTATCAATTTTCTCTTCAATAGAGATGATAGTACCAAAGAAAAGGATGTTTTGCAACTTCAATACATGAATTTGTTCACCAATTTTGTTTAGAAATTTGGTCTGGATATAGTCTCTGCAAACTGTACTACGTGCAACCTGGCCATCATATTCACCGTTTACAGTTTGTAATTTGGTGCTGTCGACAAGAAACGAAAAGCATGCGATGAGAATTCCCACAATAATACCAAGAACAAAGTCGAAAACGCCCATAGTCACTACAATGATGAGAATAGTAATGTATTCGAATCTGTTTAACTTACCCCATGTATCAAACAAAGCTTCCTTGATCAATTCATATCCAAGTAGGAAAATTAACGAACCTACGATACAAATTGGAATGAAAGAAATGATCACTGGACCAATTGCCATAACCACAAAAGTGAAAGCAGCCAACAAGTATCCTGCAAGGTTGTCATCAGCGCCCGCTCTGATGAACAAAACACTATTGGTGTAGACCAAGTAATTTTGAACTGATCCAATGAGGCCTGAAAAGAAATTAGAATAGCCATGTGCAATAAGTTCCTTATCCACGTCAAACTTATCCAGTCCCATAGACATAGCAAGTGCCGGAACATTGATTGGCACATGTAAAATACCAAAAAACGTCAAAGCAAGCATGGTGGGTATTTGTTTCAAGACAAGAAGCCAATGAACATTTTGAAATTTGTACAAACGATAGAAGTCGTACCAGTTTTCAGATGAGCCAGCCAGTGGGAAGATCCAGCCAGAGTCACGCAAGTGGTCGAGAGAAAGGTTGGGCAAAACTGCGACAACGACGTGGAAGAGCAACAATGTGGCAATGTAAAATGTTGGCAAAACCAAGGAATTCTTGAACATGTGCTGAATTAAAACCAGAATAGCAGCAAGAGCCACAGGGAGCAACCACTTGCATAGGATCGAAGGATCGGTAATTAAGTGAGAGAGGAAATCCCAAGTGTATTCAAACTTCGCAGCACGCGTACTTACCTCCATACCGGTTATCACTAAGAAGTATCCCACACCACCAATACATCCGATCAAAATATGACGAGGGAAAAAACCTACAATCTTACCTAGACGAAGCTTTCCGAGTAGGAAGAAAGTGAGACCCGTAAGAATTGAACTCAAAGCATAGCAAACCAAGGTAGTCGTGATCACCTCATCGTCTTTTCCTGGCAAAGCCGCCATGATGGATCCTGCCATTGCATGGTAGAAAGGGGTGATCTCGATCATTTCACTACCAATACCGTTGCCAAACACAGAGAACCCACCAGAGAAGACGACCTGCGATACAATACTAGAGACGTAGAACAGGGACATGCCTGTGGGACCCAGATGAGAGAACACCGGTTCTGTGACAGGGAAAATAATCATACCGTAGGATAGAGCATCTAGAATGTTCAATAACAGGCCTAGGATCACGGCCGGCATGTAGTTCACGCAGCGTGACATGAAGTGCACGACGCGGAAAGGCAATGGACCGTCAGCGGTGCGGCCGGCGACGATTCCAGCGTGGGAGTGCGGAGAGGACTCGGCCTGCAAAGACACATACTGAGTCGAGTCCGGAAGAAGGGCCCCATACTCTAGATCGCGCGAGTGCGACGGAGAGAGCAAGTGCAGGGACTCATTGTCGCGAAGGGAGAGCGAAGAGACGGGGGGCACGGAGAGACCACCGTCGTGCTGGTCTGCGTCGAGTGTGCCCATCACGTTCTCGTCGAGCGTTGGGCCCTCGTCGTTCCCGAATGGGCCGTCAAGGTTGTCGAACGAGTCGTCAAACTCGTTGGAGATCGCCGCTGTCTGCCGGTGCAGCGTAACGGTCTTGTGGATCGACTGCGACCGCTCCTGCTTGAACGATGCAAGATCACTGGATGGCGACCGGTCCTTGACCATTAATGGCGGAGACGTGAAGCTGCCGACGTAGGACCGACCCAGATAATTCGAGGCTAGCTCTGGGTTCACGGACGATGTCTTAGACCTGCCGATTGGCGAATCCATTTCTGATTCCGCCTGAGACTGCAATCCAAGGGATATTGAGATCGCTTCGGATATAGACTGTCTATTCCTGGCCCTGAGAGAAGCCATACTTATTCTTGGGAGCTAAGGAACCACAGGTACAATTCTGCAAAGACTCAAAATTTTTCATTATAATACATGTTTCGACGCAGCGACTGAGACATGACTCCAATCACGTGCATCCGATAAGCGCTCCACCGCAGCTTTCCTTCAACGCTGACAGCTTGCGGCGCCAGCATCGCTTATCGCTTATCTAAAACGGGGACGGCTCCCACGGCCTCAGACCATCGGCAGGTGTGCGCGAGCCGCTCGCGCCGCGGGCAGCTCCACGCGAGCACGTGGGTGTCCTGATGCAATAATTTGGTGTGTGGGTTCGTGTTTCCGTGCGCAACGATATGCGCTCTATCCACGTTCAGCGCTGTCGCATTTCCGTCGCTTGCCCGCGTTAAACCCGAAAACCGCCAGCCGCACCGTCCTTGCAATCCCTTGCAGCTGTTGCGGCTTGTTGCAGTCGGCGCCGCGGCGGCCGTAGTACGTCCGCGGATGTCGGGTCTTGTGTTTCCGCGTTTGGTCCCTTTGCTGAAGGTGACAAATGTCATTTCGTTTACGAATGTTTCTGAGCTGTATTTGTGTACGTGTAGGGAAGTACGACGGAACTCATAAGAAGGATCCCGCAGCCGCGCATTCGCGCGTACGAAGGTACTGATTTGTCATGGCATCTCACATTTATAAGCCCAGGGTCTTGTCAAAGGCGTATATCTAGGTTGTAAATAATGAGTAGTGAGCTTCTTAAGTCTCTACTGGCGCATATCACAAAAGTATAGGCTTCAGCTCGCAGACAAATAAGCGACGTGGTTATCCTTCACTTATTCACACTTTTCACATCCTCACAAAATGATGGCAGTAGATTATAGTGCATATTTCCTAGGACACACCAAAGGCGTAATGGGAAAGACCTTACACGTGATGGAAGGGGCATTGCGTTTTCTGCGGCCCACTGGCCATCGGCGGCTGAAAGCAGCAGATGGCGGTGCCGAGACGGGAACGGCTCCCAGTCTTAAAGTGCGAAAAGTCGTCACTCGTCGCGATCTGTTAGACGACGCAATTGCGTCGCTGGCTTCGACCACCGACTCAGAGTCCGCCACGTTGTCGGCATCGGGTTCAGGTGTAACCCGTCATGTGCGATTTGCCCCCTCTATGTCGTCAAATACGAAATCCAGCCCACCCCGCCGGGCTGCATCCTCCGGAGGCCACATAACGCATCCGCTGCCGTCGAAGACGCACGCGGACGCCCCTCCTGCTCCGCAGCTGTGTATGCGTTCGCGTACCAGCTTTGGCGGGCTGGGAGATCCGTTTTGTTTGGCGGTACCGTTAGGAAGTGACCACTCGCTCAAGGGCGAGAGGACTATTCTCAACGAGGCATAGCGTCGACTTTTTTTACGGTAATGAGAAGTATCTGGGTAATGTGTAATGTCTAGTTAATATAAACGAGTCACGATTAATTTCTAAGTGCGCCAAGGGCTGTGAGCAGCCGCGACCCGGTGAACATCTCCGGGCGCGGGTTGGCCCGGAAAATATAGGTAAAAAGTAACATAAGCTTCGGGCTCCCGTGCCTGGAAGAAGGGTTGCCGCCGGTCGTGTCACGTTATACGTATTCCGATGTAACTATTCACGAAACTCTATTATATTACGCGGGTATATATACTTACATGAACATGGCGACGAGCTCAGGTCTTGCAGCGGCGTGCTTACTGCTTGTCGATGTGCTGCTCGTGGATCTTGGCGTATCTTCCGGATGGGTCCTCAGCACAGCCCCAGTCGGCCTTTGGAATCCATCTCATAACAGTAGAGGCAGCGGTCTTCTGAGGGAAGAGCGCATCGAATTTGAGTCTGTACCAGTAAGCCTCCTTGGTGGTGGGTATGTCGGAACCCCACTCAGGTTTGGCTTGCTTGAATTGCTCGTCGGAGATAGCCGCTTCAGCAGCGTCCTTCAAACCGTCGATCCAAGAGTACCCGACACCGTCAGAGAACTGTTCCTTTTGTCTCCATAGAATCTCTTCCGGTAGGTATGGTTTCACATCTGGCTCGTCAGTTGTGTCGAAGGCCTTTCTCAATATGTACTTCTCGATGCGGCCCTCGGATTGGTTGATCATCTTTTCGGCTGGGTCGAGGTTCATGCACAATTGCAAGAATTCCTTGTCCAAGAAAGGCACACGAGCCTCCAGACCCCACGCCATGGTGGATTTGTTGGCTCTCAGACAGTCGGCCAAGTGCAAATTCTTGACACGCTTCACAGACTCGGTGTGGAATTCAGCTGCAGAAGGTGCTTGTGCGAAGTATAAGTATCCACCGAAGATTTCGTCGGAACCTTCACCGGAGAGGACCATCTTGACACCTTGGGCCTTGATCTTTCTAGACAACAAGAACATTGGGGTGGAGGCTCTGATTGTGGTCACATCGTAAGTCTCTAGGTGGTAAATAACGTCTTCCAACGCGTCTAGACCTTCCTGTAGGGTGAAAGTGTGCTCGTGGTGAATTGTGCCGATAAATTTGGCCACCTTACGGGCAGCTTGCAAGTCAGGAGCGTTTGGTAGACCGATGGCGAAGGAATGCAGACGAGACCAGCCCGCTGTGTGCAAATGACCAGCGTCGTCCACACCAGACAAGTGCTTGCTCTCAGAGTCGTAAACAGCTGGGTCCAATTCCTTGTTGGCCTTTTCAGTCTCTCTAGCGGCGATAGAGGCAATCAAAGAGGAATCCAAACCACCAGATAGAAGCACACCGTATGGGACTTCGGCCATTAATCTCTTTCTGACAGCTTTTTCCAAAGATGCACGGATCTCCAATAGGTCAACTGGCTTGCTTGGGATACGGTTTTCGTCCAACCAATCTGGAGTGAAGTAACGAGTGATCTGGTCTGTCTCGGAATCGTAAACATGGCCAGGAGGGAAAGCGGTGATTTCATCACAGTCGTCGGTCAGACATTTTAGTTCAGATGCGAAGAACACGGTCTTTGGCGATTTTGAAGATCTACCCATGTACATCGTGGTGATACCAATAGGATCTCTAGCGGCGACAATTCTGTCCTTCTTGGCATCATACAAACACCAAGCGAACATACCATCCAAGAACTTAGGAGCGTCAGCACCGTATTTCTGGTATAGTGGGATGATAGGTTCACAGTCGGATAAAGTCTTGAATGGATAGTCTGAGAATTCCTCTCTTAGCTGAATGTGGTTGTAAATTTCACCATTGACGGCCAAAGAGTAGTCGCCATCTTCAGAAACAATTGGTTGAGCACCGGAGTCCAAACCAACAATCGCAAGTCTCTCGTGAGCCAAGATAGTAGAGTTCTTGACAAGGTTACCAGACCAATCAGGTCCACGGTGTCTGATTCTCTTGGAGAGCTGCAAGGCTCTTGGTTTGAATTCTTGCACGTTTTCGTGCTTATAGCACGCAAATATACCACACATTGATAATGTATTTGCTTAGGTTTCTTAAAACAATGCTGCAACCAAATGGTTTTTCTTGATATAAATATGACTACCGAAAATTTTTTATGTGAATATGAGTAATCGACGATTTTTGAAGCGCGACGAGAAGCGAAGACTCATTTTTTCTTTTGGTCCAGGCGCGCGTGATTTGTTAGGTTCACTTTTTTCAGGCCGTATAGAGCAGCCGTCGACGAATCGGATAACGTTTAACCGGAGCACAACGGCCGATCTCTGGTGCCGTCTGTAAAGCTAAAGTTTTCTGATTGTGTTTAAAAACCCTGTAGGCATCTACCACCTTGTGCCCTGCGATCTTTTAGACATTCAGTGGAAGAACCGGGAATTGATTTCCTATCGAGCATTGTAGTTGGAACGCTTTTCTCCTGCCCTGATTACAATGTAAGCGATACTCGGCACAATTTGTGTGGTACTTGTGTAGTTCTGTTCTGAGGTGGATTCTTCGATATTAGATATGAGATAACCGCAAGGATGGCGTCGCCGTAACTCTTATGTTTAGACCTCAACGGCGACTTTCCTAGCCATGTTTCTTTGAGGTGCTTTAAATCACTGTACCCCGTGCAAGCCATCGTGCTTAAACGCTCATTGTCACTACGTCTTCAAGAAATCTACAAAAACAGATTGTAAGCAATGTCAGATATTTATCGATTTGCCAGTCTCATGGGATAGGAGATGCAAAGTTCCGAGTATCTGATATTGCTGTTACCCAGTTGTATAAACTACATACGAATCCAGCACTAGTTCTCATCTGCTGGATCCACCTTTTTCTGGGGTTTTAAAAGAAGCCAATGATCAGCCACTGCTAATCTGCCACTTTGCCTTCTCTCTTTTTGACCTTCCTTGTTGCAATAGCAAAAAGAATCAGAATTTTCTAAAAAGTGTCCTTGAGCATTCATTGAATGTAACAAGATTAAAAAGCTGCGCAGGAACCACATTCTCCATCAAAACCTCAAGTACAGCTAAGCTACACTGAGAAGAATTGTTCGAATTGAAACGCAAATAATTTCATCTTCTTCTTTATAAAACTTGGAAGGTCATATGGTTTCTGAAACTGGAACCAAAATTTTCCATGATGAGAGCTTCTTTTATAGATATTGTATGTCATTTGATACGCTATGACTGGAAACAATGTTAGGGCACAGGCGACAACGACGTACTAATTTAACAATAATGGAACAAGAGAATCCCTGTGTTTATATCATTTACTAGTCGAGAGGTAGAAAGATTGAAAATGCTTAAATCCCGCACACTCACCCTTCGGTGTCAAAATTAAAAATATACTCAGATATAATACTTCGATCATTCTTTACTAGCTTTGGTCCGGATATCCAATAATGCTGAGACATCTAGCATCGATTTCTAAATGAGTTTGAAGCTTATATGGAGAACCCTATAGTAGTTTCTTATTGTGTGCAACAGTCGGCGTTCATTCGGATGCCATCTCATATGATACGTATTGTAGCTCTCTCATCTTTGAGAACCAGTTTCTTTTACAAGAAAAATTTTTAAGCGATGAGATGACTTGCCGATAATAGTGAAGGATACCATCGAGAATTACGAAAGATGGCTATGTCAATGGAAGATATAAAGGCCGTGGCAAAAGCTATTACTATATCCAGTGACAAAAAGCACTACAATAGTATAATTAAGCTGGTTGGTCAATATAATGATCTCACGGATATTGATGAGAATACGTTTACTGACGTAGAACCTACCATGAGGTATCTTACAATGTCTCTATTCCAAATATTCAAGACCTTATTTTCTAGAGAGCAACTAAACCCTGCCAGAGCCAAAAATGAAAAGCAGAAGTTATTTTTTCAATGGTGCAGAAAAGTCTACGAGTCTTTCAAGTCGAAACTACTGCAGTGTATTTCCAGTTTTAAGTTTGAGACATCTTTGGCTCTAGACTGCTTAGATGTTTTTTTACAAATATTGGAATTAGAATCAATTCATTTCACGTCTCAAGTTGGTGCCCCATTCTTTCCCAACAAAACTCTTAAATCGCTAACCATCTCTCTTTTTAATTCACATATCAACGATGAGATAGATATTGCGAAAGGTCAAACAACAAATCCAATTGTCGTCGAATTTTTTGAAAATTACTATAGAAAATATGTTGATATTCAATTTTATCTGCAGTCAGAACTAGCTTCCATATGTTCTGATGGCCTTCTCGCAGGAAATGACCAAGCAGATTTGATGGCGAAATGGTTATTACTTATGAATCACGACAACCACTATACTAGTGAGGAGGCTGATCTGGAAGTCTTCGTACCTCAGCCTCCGCAAGCAATGGAGAACGAGTCGAAATTCAAGTCCAACCTGGAGAAAAATTGGCTATGGTTTCTCAATTTAGATGGTCTGCTCGGTTCTCAATACAAGACAACGCTTCTTATTCTACATAAGAGGGTCATTCCTCATTTTCAAACTCCCACAAAGTTGATGGATTTTTTAACTGATTCATACAACTTAGGCGATGGCGTCACGTCAATTTTGGCTTTAAATGGTCTATTTGAATTGATGAAAACATACAATTTAGAATACCCTAACTTTTACACCAAACTTTACCATTTGGTGACGCCAGAATTGATGCATGTGAAGTACCGCTCACGATTTATGAGATTGACCGATTTGTTTCTATCGTCAACACATGTCTCGGCAAATTTGATCGCCTCGTTTATAAAGAGATTTGCTCGTCTGAGTTTGAGCTCTCCTCCTGCTGCCATCGTTTCCATCGTCCCTTTCATTTACAATCTAATAAAAAAGCATCCTACCTGTATGATTATGCTGCATGATCCTGACTACATCGTGGATCCCTTCTCCAGTGAAGATGAGGCTGAAAAGGTTAGATTACTCCGAAAAACATACCAAGACCCCTTCAACATTGATGAGGAAAATCCTGAACACACTCATGCGATAGAAAGCTCTCTATGGGAGTTGGACAGTCTCGTAAATCATTATCATCCAAATGTTGCAACATTGGCCAAAATCTTTTCTCAACCATTCAAGAAATATAGTTATAACATGGAAGATTTTCTGGATTGGTCGTACGATTCTTTGTTGAATGCAGAGGCCACAAGAAAACTAAAAGTACTTCCTGCATTGGAATTCGAGGAATTTAAAGAAATTTTTGGTGGATATCTCGATGGTATCGAGTGGTAGGTTTAACAGTATAGCCCTTTTATCTTGTGTCGTTCAAGAATCTGGAACCCTTTATTTTGCAAAATGACTGTGTAATTGATCGAATATAGTAACAAGCATATAGTGCGAGTTTCTCGTCCATATTTACAAGATTCGGAAGTAGATGATATTTCCAAGCCTAGTTTACCACAGGAATACTGGCTCAGGACTTTTTTTTGCATAGCAGAACTTTAATCGTGCGAACATTCTCTGTCCTGATGTTAAAAAAATGTAATACGCTCGATAGATAGCCAAGCTAACCTTATATACACTCTGGAACAGTCACATTAAGAGGAGAAGAGATAGGTCCTCCTTCATCGATAAAAATGGTCCCTAGCGGGATCGAACCGCTGATCCCCGCGTTATTAGCACGATGCCTTAACCAACTGGGCCAAGGGACCTTTTGTTGTTTCCAGCCAAAATTTTATACCTATGGAAACTTCCCCATGTCTCAAGATTGAATAACTGTCGATTCACGTTCATATCAAACTATTGATATTGAAAGCATTGGATTACAATATGGTGACAAATATATGAAAGTTTCATTATCTAGCATTTGGCTTATTTTAGTTTGTCGATACCAATTTTCAGTCCCAGAGAAAGAAGGGACGATAAATGATGGGTTTGTGCTAGATTGAATATGCTTTACAACATTTTGCTGCCGTTGAAATCAATATTCATGATAATTTAGACATTTTCTTCGTGAAGCGCGGTGTCAAGAGTGATGGCATTGTTCTCGAAATGCGTATTCCTTCTATTACCGAAAAAAGCTGTTTCTCAGTACGTGAAAATAAAAAAATCAAGAAAATTATTGTCAAACCTCTCTAATGGTAATCAAAAATTGATTAATGACGACCATTTCGGCAGAAAATGCTTCGAAGGCGTTGGAATTTAAAAACCAAGGGAATGCTTTCATAAAAGAAAAAGATTACACGAACGCAGTGGAGTGCTACACAAAAGCGATCGAATTAGATGACTCTCAATCCATTTTCTTCTCCAACAGGGCATTTTCCCATCTCAAATTGGACAACTTTCAATCTTCATTACATGACTGTGACAGTGCCATCAGACTAGATTCTGGTAATATCAAGGCGTACCATAGACGTGGCCTTGCTTATATTGGATTGCTCGAATTCGTTAAGGCCCGCAAAGACCTTAGAGTAGTGTTGAGATCTAAGCCTAATGAACCTACGGCAACAAGAGCGCTAGAGGTATGTGAAAAGTTCATAAGAGAGGAAAAGTTCAGAAAAGCAATTAGTGGTTCGGATAACGAGGTAAAGGTCAATTTGTGTGCCACGGTTCAGCTTTCTTCATTTGATGGAAACGCCGATATTACCAAATACGAAGGGCCCAAGCTAAGCTTGGAGCAGTTGATTGATGAAAAATCATCTCCAGCCGGTGCGAAGATCACTAATATGTCTCAAGAGTTCGTATCGAGCTTGGTGAATGACATCTTTCTGAAGGGTAAGAACTTGCCAAAGAAATATGTTGCAGCGATCATATCTCATGCAGAGCGTTTGTTCCGTCAGGAACCTACTGTTGTAGAGCTTGACAATACATCAGAAACCGATTTTAAAATTTCAGTTTGTGGTGATACGCATGGTCAATTTTACGATGTGCTTAACATTTTCAAAAGATTTGGCAAAGTCAACTCTAAACACACTTATTTGTTCAATGGTGATTTTGTGGATCGTGGATCGTGGTCATGCGAGGTTGCCATTTTATTCTATTGTCTCAAGATTCTTTTTCCTAACAGAATTTTCCTCAATAGAGGGAATCACGAAACTAACAACATGAACAAAATATATGGATTTGAGGATGAATGCAAATACAAGTATTCTGCAAGAATTTTCGAGATGTTCTCTCAAAGTTTTGAGAGTTTGCCCTTGGCAACAGTTATTAATAACAAATATCTTGTCATGCATGGTGGGTTGAGCAGTGATCCTAATGTTGACTTGAATGACTTCAAAAAGATCGACAGATTTTCACAACCGCCTAGAGACGGTCCCTTCATGGAACTTTTATGGTCAGACCCTCAAGTTGCAAATGGTCTGGGTCCATCGCAACGTGGCCTGGGCTTTGCCTTTGGCCCTGATATCACTGCCAGCTTTCTCTCCAAGAATAAACTATCCAAGATTTTCAGATCGCATGAGGTTAGAATGGGCGGGGTGGAATTCGAGCACAATAAAAAATTGGTGACAGTTTTTAGTGCACCAAACTACTGTGATGCTCAAGGAAACCTTGGTGGTATAATCCACGTAGTTCCTGGTATGGGCATCGTTAACCAAAATGGCAATGACGATGAAGACTTAATTGTGGATACCTTTGAGTCGGTTTCACATCCTGATATCAAACCGATGGCGTACTCTAATGGGGGGTTGGGTTTTTGATGCAATTTACGTCTTTCTTGTATTTAATTATTTGTCGTTTGTGATCCTTAATAGTTTAATCAGTGTAGGAAAGTAACCGAAAAAGTATTATTTAAGGTGCGTTCAGTCAGCCAAGAGTTAAATTAAGGCACAGAGACAAATTTCAAAACTAGATAATGCCCATAGAAATAGATGCGTCGGAAGTAGAAACTGCCAAAAAAATTCATGAGGATTGTTCTTACAACAATTGCTTCCTGAATACTAATTAGCTTGTTGAAATTTAATTATATTGAAATATATGTTACAAATGCATTTGATACTCCTCTATGAATCACCAGCAGCTTTGACTAAGTCCAAAAATTTCTCTTTAGACAATTCTGTCAGCAGCTCATTTTTTTCAGCCCGATTCTTGACACCATCTAACTTTTCAGTAACCTCCTTTTCTGTTCTCACCTGAGTTGCAAGAATAGCATTGAATAGTTTAACTACACCCTTTTGAGCTATCTTCCGCAACTTCCTTTCCTTTTCCAAGACTTTTCTTATCTCGTCCCCCGATTCTGCGTCAGCTGATACAGTCGGAATTATTTCTTTCCTTCTAGTTTTGTTAAGGAGTTTTTTCTTTTCCACTAACAAAGCTTTTTTCGCTTTTTGTTCCAATTTATCGGTGTCGTTCTTTTTAAGAACAGCTTTGTTTCTTGCCATAATTGGGTCTTTACGATCATAGGCCTTCAAATGAGAAGACAAAATTGCACTAACTGCTGATGAAAATCCTGATGATCCATCATCATGTTTACTGATCTTGGACTTTTTCTTTCTGGGGAAAGCATCTTCATCTTCGCCGTTTTCTTCACTTTCATGATCTTCCCCGTTAGAGTCTGGCTCAGACTCAGAGGAAGAAACATCGGCTAAATCCATTTCATCATCAGTCATGTCCGCCGGTTCATCACTACCGCTGCTGGAGTTTTCAGAATTGGAGACATCTTCGTCATGTTTTTCATTGCCGCTGGCTAAGGAGCTGCCTTCATCTTCCTGACTATCTTTCCTCTTTCTTTTCAAAGTTGGTGTACCCTTCTGAGCAACAGCAGGTTGTTTTTGCTGCTGATTTGACTTGGACTTCTTTCTGCCTTGCGTGGACACCGCACCTTTAGAACTCATATCCACTGGATGTGTTAGCCCGTAAAGCGTAGATGCTCATCACATAAAATTTTTCATGTAGCTTGTCTTTCCTTTTAGATGTTGAGCATCACGTACGAGATATATAAAACAATAACAAACACGAAGAGGAGTGAAACACCAGATCATGGTTTATTACGGAGACATTGAATCTATTATTTCATTAATTACCAAGAGAACTAACTTTGGTGTTTAATCTTAAAAACTTTGCCAACTGTCTTTTAACGAGGCTTTCCACAATTTGCAGTTCAAGCAATTATTCATGGACTTCGACATTCCCAGGACACCAAGTAGACACAAGGAAGAGAGCTTTGAGGCAACTTCGAAGATTCCTTCGCCTAATGGTCCTGATTCACCGAAATTTAAGAAAAGAACGGCCTCACCAACACCTGTTTTGACCATATCCGAACAACGTAGTAGCATAGCCAACATGAAACAACACGCCGCCAATGGGGATTCCTCATCGCATATGACTGCGTTCTATAAAGAAAACATTCGGGAACTGAATGAACTACAAGAGATGATGTTCAGAAAAAAGGCAAAGTTGGACGAAGTTAAAGATGAGCTTATGGACTATAGAGACCAATTTCGAGCTCTGGAACTGAAGGTTGAGACGTTGAGAGAAGAGAAGCATACCAAATCACAACAACTAAAGTTAAAAGAAAATGAGTTGAAGAAGCTGAAGGATGAACAACATACTAGAGATAAGTTTCTATGCCATGGTCATGAACTTGAACTACAACAGTTGCGGGCTAAAAACACGGCAGAAGTCAATGCTCTCGATGGTGAGTTCAGGAGAAAAATTGAAGATTTGAAGTACGAAAAGATCAAGAAATTAGAAGTAGATCGTGATTCTCTTGTGATGGAGCTCAGAGCGGCCGATAAGAAGATTTCCTGTAACCATGAGACCTTGCAGAGCTTAATGGAGGATTGTCTCTTGAAGAATAATGCAGATAAGGAGAATTGGCTGCGATCACATCAACTTGGCTGGAAAAAGACTATTGAAGAGAACGAAACATTAACTCAGGAGTCGGAAGTACTCCAGAGAACAATAAACGAGCAACTGCAAACCGCGTTAAATCGACAAAAGACGAGGCTTGAAGAGCTACATTCTGAATTGGAATCGATGAAACATAAGCTAGATGACTGCCAAAGCGATAATAGACAGCTCGAAACGGAAATTGAAAAAACGAAAGCTTTAACGGCAGAAAGCATGAATAAAAAGATTGAACTAGAGGATTATATAGCATCATCGTCGGTTGAACTAACACAAATCAATGAGATCCTAATTAAAGAGGAAACGATGAGACGGAAATTGCATAACGAACTGCAGGAAATAAGGGGCAATATACGGGTATTTTGTCGCGTCAGGCCACCGCTTCCTAGAGAGGGGGGGGATTTATCAAATATTTCGATTTATGGCTTCGATGATGATCAAGGTACACAAACGCTGGATATAATTCGCGACTCAAAGGCCCATACTTTTACTTTCGACCGAATTTTTGACAGACAGGACACCAATTCTGACGTTTTTGATGAAATTGGTCAACTAGTGCAAAGTTCGTTGGATGGATATAACGTCTGCATTTTTGCATATGGACAAACGGGTTCCGGAAAAACTTTCACCATGCTTCATCCTGAAGATGGTATCATACCCTCTACGTTAAGTCATATATTTATGTGGATTGAAAAGTTGAAGGAGCTCGGTTGGAATTATGAAGTGACAAGTCAGTTTGTTGAAATTTACAATGAAACTATTAATGATCTCCTCAAGGATTTAGACGACGATACAGAAGAGTTGGGTGAATATCAGAAGCATGAAATAAGACATGACAGCGAAACTCAAACTACGCGAATTACAAATGTGACTGTTTGTGAATTGACTAATCGGGAGATGGTGTCTGATATACTGAAACGGGCCTCAAAAATGAGATCGACTGCACCTACAGCTGCTAACGAACGGTCTTCAAGATCACATAGTATTTTTATTATCCAGCTCTATGGTTGTAATGAATTTACTGGAGAAAAATCTTATGGAACACTAAACTTAGTGGACCTAGCTGGCTCCGAGAGAATCAATTCCCTACAATCAACAGGTACGAGGCTACGAGAGACTCAAAGCATCAATAAATCCCTGAGTTGCCTTGGCGATGTCATTCATGCTTTGAGCGCTCCAGATGCAAATAAACGTCATATTCCATTTCGTAATTCTAAACTCACATACTTGCTACAATATTCATTGATGGGCCAATCCAAAACACTCATGTTCGTCAATGTTTCTCCTTGTTCGCATAGTATTAACGAAACTTTAAACTCACTAAGGTTTGCATCAAAAGTAAATTCAACGAAGATGGCAAAAAGAACATAAACTTCAATTGCGGCGCCGTTCTACGTAAGCGATAAATAAAAGTATTTCAATATAAGCATTCCTTTGAGGAACCACATCCAGTATTTGAGTGAATGTACCACTGCTTATTGATGCCAAGGTATTGATGTGAAATATTCACGAGAAATCCTCTTACGGTAGAGAACAATGACAAGCAAGAGATTGAATGTGAGAAGGTTACTTGGAAGCGCTTAAGGACCAGAATGAGCACGACAACCTCATGTGGTGTGCACCTGCGATGCTCTTGATATTTCTAAGTTTCAGGTCAGAGAAACAAAATAGTAAAGGGACTATGTATGTACAGGAAATGAAAATGCAGGTTCTTGGCCATCTATTTTTTCTCTTCTGATTTGCTGTTCAAATTTTTATCTATGTTAGCTTCGCCCTCATCATTTTCTTTCAAAAACTTTTGCAGCCTTCTGATTGCCCAGTTCTTTCCAATAAATTGGACACGAGGATCAGATGCACCTTCGGTTTGGGTATAAAGTTTCCACCAATTTGGAGAGCTAAACTTCTGGTCTTCCTCGGGAAACTTGCGCTCCTGGTTACGAATAATTGCAACATGTGCCCTCAACTCTGCAGCGAGCTTGCTTCGCAGAGCTTGTGCCTCTTTGCCAGTTTTTAGCTCCTCTGTGAGATCAGTAGGAGATTCAGGGTCATAGTACTTTTCGACCAATTTTTTCCATTCTTGTCTATAATTTTCTATAATGGTATCGTCTATTGGGTCACCAACAGTGACGTTAATTTCAGCTCCAAAATTTCTTGGCAGGTAGCGTTCAACAGCTGTTCCTGCTGCGGACTCGGGCGCAATTTTTTCAAACCCTGTGGTAAATATCGGTACAACTATTGGGGCCTTTGTACTTTCTAAAATCATTCTTGTAATTCCCCACTTGAAATATCTCATAGAGTTTGCATATGGAGGTTGTAACTGGAGAACGAAACCTTCCGGGTAAACATGAACCCACGAGGGCTTAGAGCGGAGCACAGGAGGTAGGTATTTTTTATCAAACTTGGGAAGCGATTCCTGCGTTTTGTCGGTTTTTGACGCTTCAACATGATGTGGAGTCCATTCCAAATCGAGGGTGTCATCAGGAGACAGTAATCTAATAGAGGCATCAATTGAACCTTGGAAGGGCCCTCCACCGAATCTTTCAGTAGACAAAACTTTTCCCAAGGAAAAGAAGTTTGCAAGAAATTTACTCTGAAAACAAACGTTGTGAGCTCCTAAACACCATCTTATCTGATCGAGATCGGTATATATTCTCCATGGAAAAACTCCCCATATAAAGGGATCATCTACAACCGACATATGATTCATAACTGTCATAAGACCTCGATTTTCTGTGACCGATCTATCTATGGCGTTCTCCAGCTTCTCAAAATTATTCAGCTTAACATTGTAGAACGCCTTCAAAATAAGCTTTGAAACACCCACTGTAAAAAGACAGGTACCATGCGACGCTAATTGCCATAGATGAGAGCGTCTTGGGAATTCCGATAAAAACTCATCCCCTCGTTTCAACACATCCGGCAAGGACATCTTATCTTAAATATTGACGATGGTTCTATTCAATTGTACTAGGCGAAATGACAAAAAAATTTCATTTTGGAAAATTGGCTCCATGGACTAAAGTGCAATAGATAGATGGAAAAGTTCACGAATTGGAGAGATAAAGGTACAGGAATCGCACCATTCTTTCCGGTAACCCCACCGTTATCCCAAGAGAAAGGATTTCGAAGCTTTTTAAGCAATGTGATTACAACGCTAAAGTTGATCGTGGCTTTACCCTTCTTACCATTTGTATATTTGCTTCAATTTCTAAACCTCTCAAAGCCCATCTGCACTTTAGTGCTAAAAATTATATGTGGTTGGAACATTCAGACAAATGTTCAGGGAGTGAAAAGGAGGGATCAGGGTCCAGAGCATATGCCTGGTGTGGGACGTTATTTTTTTGTTAACTATTCATCTCCGTTAGATTGCATTGCCCTATGGCTCATAGCGAAAGGTCCGGTGACATTTTGCATACCTAGAATGAAAGGTAAAAAGGTGACAATGTACAGACTTTCGTTGATCGAGGCATTGAAATTTGCGCTGAAAGGTTCGATATTTGAAAATGAAACATCATTTCAAATCATAGATAAAGTCGACGAGGCAAAGGACTACGTCACATACATTTTCCCAGAGGGGACTACATCCAATGGGAAGAGTGTGCTTCCTTTTGCTCTAACTCAGGAATTTATGGATGAATTCTTAGGCATTGAAGAAGGTTTCTCGTCATCTGCCCAGAAGCCAATAAATTTGAATCTACACAAGAGAAAAGTGGTACAAACTATTCAACTTAAAATAAATGCGACTTTAACCACTCCTTTACCAATAAGTGCCTGGAACTATCTCAACAGAATGTCTTCACAAGGTGTTACTTTTAAGTGTAAAATAAACGAACCTTGCACGACTAAAGTTGATGAAGTTCGCACGGCGTTGTGCGGTGGTGACAAATACAGTTTGGTTGGAAAGGACTTGAATGTAGACTCTAAGACCAAGTTTATCAAAGAGTTCGGAAACCGCAGACGATAAAGACGCCCATGTATAACATACATAATTTCTGAACATTTTCTAACTGCATCTAGAAATAATCAATCTTTCCGCCGGAAGCTTCAGTCAAATGTTGTCCGTCGAAATTCCAATCGATACCGTTGGCGTCCGGGGCCTTGCCTTGCGGCCTGTGTTTGGACAATTCCTGTGAATCTTTGACAACAGGCTGGTAAAAGAGCTTATCGTTAGTTATTTGATATCGATATTGCAGGAGCATGATTAATGGAATGATAAAGTCAATTAAAGTCGATTGCAGGAATGGATGTAAGGCGTTCTTATTGTAAATGCCGCCCAGGTCGGCAGACGCACTGGGGCTTTTAGATTTTTTAAATTTGGACCGCAGCTGCTTCCCCTCGATTTTCATCTCTTTTATTTTAGATGTCAGCCTGTCTTTGAGCTTCACATTGTCTTGAATTAACTTCAATTGTTTACGTGTAACAAGACCTTGTGATAGGCTATCTATAGCAGCAGCAAGCATGCCGAGAGCTAGTCCGCATTGGCCTTCTTTATAGGCGTCGAGGGACAGCAAAGTATAAGTTAAAGTGTCAAGGTACCGAGCCAGATACTGGGATGCTGTAGCGAGTTCTGTATTCGCCAGTTGCGAGCACATGTCTCGGCAACCGATGCATAAGCGTGCGTAGAGGACGCTGGATTTCGAAAGTTCTTTGAGGTCTGATTCTTGGAATTCTAGCAGCCTCTCGTACTTTTCAGCGGTACCACCAGTTCCAGTCCCAGTTCCACCGCACACCTGCGATTTCAGCTTCGAGAGCGACAAGATCACCACACCCAATTGCTGAGATAGAGCCCAGCAGCGCATGTACATCTGCACCGTGGACAGTAATTGGGTGGTGCGCGGAATCTGAGAGCGAACGAGAAATTGTAGCAGCCCTATGCACCTTTTGTTGTACAAACCGCTGGCAGCCCACGCTTCCTTGGAGCCCTGCACGTACGCTGTTTGCAACATTTCCTGTGACAATTGCTGGTAAAAGTAGGCTGCGTTTACCATGGCTACTGTGATGTGCTCCTCTAGCACCGCATCCTGCGCTGTGGAGTAGTAGTACGCCAGAAGCGCGTCCGCATACGCCATCGACGCATCCAGCTTAGTCGCCAGCGACGTATCAGTGGAGTCCCGTCCTGCGAGCACTGCACCTTGTCTTAGAACACACAAGTCTGGGGGAAGCCCATTTTCAGATGGAATTACTAGAGGAAGAGGAGGCGTCTCAAGCATGTTACCAGACTTCAATTTGATTGCCCAATTGGCTCCTGGTTTCTTTCAATCCACGAAGATAATACTTCCAGGCGAACCCTGACGATGAGAAGGAACGTGATACTCGACAATTCGTCCAAGATGCTCTGTTCCTGGGCTCTTATGCAGAAACATTTCTTTCCTTTTTTTTTGGAAAATGTCATGTGATCGGGGCTTCGCGGTCGTTTTGTACGTTCCTATGTCACGTGAGCGGTCGCAAATCGCGCCCCGCTTTAGTTTCTTTTTTCGTTCCTGTGTCATTTCTTTTTCTCGTCCTCCGCCCTTTGATTGGTCCGTTTCGCCGAAAGGACCCTTTCGCCATTTTCCGCAACCAATGAAAACGGCGCCTCGTTCTCCAACGCCGCCGTGCAATGGGCATCATATGGAATTTCTGTGCGCCGTGGCGAAACAACAGGAGAAATGTGCGTATGTGAGGGCAGTAAAAGTCTCTAATTCGGTAGTTTGGATCTTATCACAGATTGAAAACAAAACGCGGGCGACATAGCGCTTGTAGCGTTTTAGGCGGCGGGTGTGAAGGTCGTTGACAATGGAGTAAATGGCGTAGCATTTGCTGGAAGGGTTAGCTAGATGCATGCAATTGCGAAAAAAAAGGCAAGCGCGGAAAGGCGTGGTTTTGAGTAATCCGTGCAGATATATAAAAGCGAGATGTGGTGATGAGCTTCTTAAATGTGAAACGCGGGTAACTTCTCTTTAACCGAGGCGTGTTATTGATATATACAAACATGGGATATCTTTGGCAAGAGACGTACGAGCCAGCGACGGTGGCTTTCATACTGGTGGGGTCCGCGCTGGTGTTCATCATGGTGCCAGGGCTGGGGTTTCTGTACTCGGGACTTACGAGACGGAAGTCAGCGCTGGCGCAGATTTGGGCAGTGATAATGGCTACACTGGTAGGAATGGTGCAATGGTATTTCTGGGGCTACTCTCTAGCATTTTCCAAGACTTCGGAGAACCACAAGTTCATAGGTAATCTGGACTCGTTTGGATTCCGAAACGTGTACGGAAAGGTGGATAGCGATAGCACGTACCCGGAAATAGCATTTGCCGCATTCCAAGGGTTGTTCATGTGCGTTACTCTGAGTATTATCGCCGGTTGCACGGCGGAACGTGGTAGGATGCTTCCGCACATGGTTTTCTTGTTTTGCTTCGCCACAGTAGTGTACTGTCCCGTGACGTACTGGATCTGGGACTCGGATGGATGGGCAGCCAGATGGGGAGTGCTCGACTGGGCTGGAGGCGGGCCTGTCGAAATTCTCTCGAGTGCAGGTGGTTTTGTCTACTCTGCATTTCTTGGCAGGCGCAAAGAAAGTCAGCTCATCAATTTTAGACCACATAATGTATCGATGGTGACGCTGGGGACGTCTTTGCTGTGGTTCGGATGGCTGGGCTTCAACGCTTGCACGTCATTGGACCCCAATTTGAAGTCGGCTTATGCTTTTATGAACACCAACTTGAGTGCTGCTGCGGGTGGGATGACGTGGTGTCTGCTCGACTTTAGACTCGAAAAGAAGTGGTCTACCGTCGGTCTTTGCTCAGGTATCATTTCTGGGCTGGTGGCGGCAACGCCAAGCTCCGGGTGCATCACGCTTTATGGGTCTCTTATCCAAGGTATAGTTGCAGGTGTTATTTGTAACTTCGCCACAAAGATAAAGTACTACTTGAAGGTTGACGACGCAATGGACATATTAGCGGAGCACGGTATCGCTGGGGTTGTAGGGTTGTTCTTCAACGCTCTTTTCGCAGCAGACTGGGTTATAGGCATGGACGGCGCTACGGACCATGAAGGTGGATGGATTACCCACAACTATAAGCAGATGTACAAACAGATTGCATACATCGCTGCTGTGTACGGATACGGCATGGTGGTCACTGGAATTCTCTGCTTCGTCATAGATAAGATTCCCGGGTTGCAATTGAGAGCTACAGAGGACGCTGAAGAGCGCGGTCTCGACGAAGACCAAATTGGGGAATTCGCATATGACTACGTTGAAGTAAGGCGGGACTACTATTCATGGGGGGTTAATAATAACACTACTGACACTTCCTCAGAAGATAACGAAAATCCTTCCGAGCAACAGGAGGAAAAGCATCGCGCCGTTGCTTCGCAAATGGGCGCCACAACTTTGCATGAGGCTTAAAATACTAAATGCATATATATCGCATAGTATATAGTTGATAAAGTATTTTAAAGGATACAGTAATGGATGGAAATTATTTCCTGGATGCGATGTGATGAGGAAAAGATGAAAAAGTTCCTTGGCAGCAAAAAATTCGACCTCGGTGAGGATTGAACTCACGATCTTGCGATTAACAGTCGCACGCCTTAACCAGCTTGGCCACGAAGTCTTGAAATTGCTTGAAAATGAAATTTGCTGGAGGCAATTATATTGCTAGCTCACTAGAGATGCCGACTCAATCATATACATAGTAAATGGTGTATATGTGTGTTGCAACGAAATACAACTATAGACTTGTTGGAACGAAATACAACTATCGACCATCGACTAGTATTCGTGTTACTAGTATATTATCATACACGGTGTTTTAAGGTGACATAAAGAATGAGAAACAGTCATCGAAATTAGTGGAAGCTGAAGCGCAAGGATTGATAATGTAATAGGATAATGAATGAATGAAAATGTATAAAAGGAACGGAAAGAGTAAGAATATTTGTAAGTAGAATTATTGACTCTTCTTTCTGGATTCTTAGAAAGATGAGGAGAACTTCTAGTATAACCATATACCAATAATTATAGCCTTAATCAAAAATGGAATCCCAACATTTAGCTCAATATTCACCCAATTCTCATGGTAGCGCCTGTGCTTCGGTTACTTCTAAAGAAGTCCACACGAATCAAGATCCATTAGACGGTTCAGTTTCCAAAATCAACGAATATGATAAGCTTTCCACTAAGGCAAATTCTCAACAAGAAACAACACCTGTGCCCACAGATGTTTCAGAGAACACTCATCATGCCTCTCCTCACACTGCTCAAGTACCATTGCCACAGAATGGCCCGTACTCACAGCAGTGCATGATGACTACAAACCAAGCCAATCCGTCCAGTTGGCCAATATACGGTCACCCATATACGATGCCGTACACACCTTATCAAATGTCGCCCATGTACTATCCACCTGGGCCACAACCACAGTATACACAGTATACACCAACTGCGGGAACGTCTTTGAGCGCCACACCCCCCGAGCCCGGTAACACACTTACCAAGCCACCTTCAACGAAGTCAGATATGACACCCGTCAACAAATCTGTTCGACCACCACCAATTTTAACATCATCAAATGATTTTCTAAATTGGATCAGAACTTACGTTAAATTTTTACAAAATTCAAATCTCGGTGACATTATCCCGACGACAGACGGAAGACCTATACGTCAGGTAACATACGACGAACAAACCTTCTTGTACAACACTTTTCAAACGTTTGCTCCACCTCATTTACTACCTACTTGGGTCAAAGACATATTATCTGTTGATTATACAGATATCATGAAAGTTCTTTCGAAAAGCTTTGAAAAAATAAAAACCGATACTCAAGATGCTAACGACCTGATAACGATCACTAATATCCACTACAATGGCAGTACACCAGCAGTCGAGTTTGAAACAAAGATCACGAATACAATCGAGCGACTAAACAATAATGGTATTTCTATCAATGACAAGCTAGCACGCCACGTATAATTATGAGAGGTCTCTCTGGGGAATACAGATTCTTACGCTACGCACGTCATCGCACCCAAAACATGACAATCGCAGAACTGTTCCTGGACATTCATGCCATATATGAAGATCAACAGGAATCGGAATGCCGTAAGCCTACTTACTCAAGGATTCCTAAAGATGACAAGAACATTTCTCGAATCTCTTCAAATATAAACAAAGCCAAGACTGTAACCCGAAACCCTCAAAAAGAAAGTAACTCAAAATCAAGAACGGTCAAAACTAATAACGTGTCTACATCTCATAACTCTTTTGACAAGAACAATGATTCGATCAACGAATCGCCTGATAAAACAATACACTTGAACAATCAGTATGACCTTCACCTTAGGCCAGATATATACTGAGTCCAAGGTAAACCACACGGATAATTCAAATGATGAACTTCCTGGACATCTTCTTATCGATTCAGGTGCATCACAAACCCTTATCAGATCCGCCCATCACATACACTCAGCATCACCTAATATTGACATAAGCGCAATTGATGCTCAAAAAAAGGAAATACCAATCAACGCCATTGGTAATCTCCAATTCAAATTTGAAGACAATACAAAAACATCAATAACAGTACTACACACTCCGAACATAGCTCATGATCTACTCAGTTTGAGTGAGCTAGCTAAGCAAAACATCACTGCCTGTTTTACCAAAAATACCCTAGAGCGAGTTGACGGCACCGTACTTGCCCCTATCGTTCGACATGGGGACTTTTACTGGCTATCCAAAAATACTTGATTCCCTCGAACCTATCAATGCCAATAGTTAACAATATCGGTACTGATAAAGCCTCACACAAGTATCCCTATCCTTTGATTCATCGCATGCTTGGCCACGCTAATGCTCAAACCATTCGGAACTCTCTAAAGAATAACTCAATAACATATCTAAAGGAAGCAGATGTCGATTGGTCTAAAGCTACTACATACCAATGCCCAGATTGCTTAATCGGCAAAAGTACTAAACACAGACATGTCAAGGGATCACGAGTAAAATACCAAAACCCGTATGAACCTTTCCAATATCTACATACCGACATATTCGGACCTGTTCACAACCTGCCAAAAAGTGCACCATCCTACTTCATAACATTTACCGACGAGAAAACAAGATTCCAATGGGTTTATCCCTTACACGATCGTCGCGAACAATCTATTCTCGAGGTATTTACCACAATACTAGCCTTCATTGAAAGACAATTCAAGGCCAGTGTCTTGGTTATCCAAATGGACCGTGGTTCTGAATACACAAACAAAACTCTCCACAAATTCCTCCTTAAAAAGGGCATCACTGCATGCTATACAACCACAGCAGACTCTCGAGCTCACGGTGTAGCTGAACGATTAAACCGTACTTTACTAGACGATTGTCGCACACAGCTTCAATGCAGTGGATTACCAAACCATTTATGGTTTTCCGCAGTGGAATTCTCAACCATAGTCAGGAACTCTTTAGTTTCACCTAAAAACGAAAAATCTGCACGGCAACACGCGGGTTTAGCGGGACTTGACATCAGTACTTTACTACCATTTGGTCAACCTGTGGTAGTCAATAATCACAATCCTGATTCGAAAATACATCCTCGCGGCATTCCTGGCTACGCTCTACATCCATCCCGGAACTCTTATGGATATATTATCTATCTTCCATCTTTAAAGAAGACAGTGGACACTACCAATTACGTTATCCTGCAAGACAAGCAATCCCGATTGGACCAATTCAATTACGACGCACTTACCTTTGATGATGACATAAGTAGACTAACTGCTTCATATAAATCGTTTATTGATTCAAATGAAATCGAACAGTCCTACGACCTTCAAATGGATCCTAATCATGATTTTCAATCTGAGATAGATCATGACACTGAACTCCGGGGAGATGACAGTTCCACAGATCTGATTGCAACTGGTTCACCATCAACTCCTACTCAACCAACGAGATTGGAATCTGTACCTACAACTAATGCTCGTGCACCCAAAGAAGTTGACCCTAATATATCTGAATCAAATATTCTTCCGTCAAAGAAGAGGCATAACATACCCAATATTCCTGATCCAGACAATACCTGTTCGGATGGTATGAATAGATCAGATGTATCGATCGATATCCCCGTGCACGGCTCTGTCACGCAACAGTCGAATAAATCCAATGATCACGATCAAGTGAGCGATTCAGATTCACATCGCCAAATCAATACTAATCCTAAAAACGACACAACACCATGTTTGGGTGGTACACACAACAAGACTATATCAGAGTTCAGTGATCAGGCTATCGAGAAAAGCTTGATAAACTATCCAATTGCACTATTTGATCCCTCACAGGGAAGTGAGATACCAAAGTATAATGCTCCTATTGTTACACCAGATACCTACTCTGAAAATGATGTCAAGGAATATATTACAGAAGATCTTCCGCTTCCCGACTTACCTCCAGAATCTCCTACCTGTTTCCCCGATGCCTTTAAAGAAATTCCACCGATCAATTCTCGTCAAACTAATTCCAGTTTGGGTGGTATGGGTAAATCTAATATCTATGCTACTATACAATAGTAAGAAAAGATCATTAGAAGATAATGAAACTGAAATTGAGGTATCACGAGACACATGGAACAACAAGAACATGCGTAGTTTACAGCCTCCAAGATCAAAGAAACGTATACATCTGATCGCAGCTGTGAAAGCAGCAAAACCAATCAAACCTATACGAACAACCTTAAGATATGATGAGGCAATCACATATAATAAGAATATCGAGGAAAAGGAAAAGTACATTCAAGCATACCATAAAGAAGTTAATCAGTTGCTAAAGATGAACACATGGGACACAAACAGATACTATGACAAAAATGAAATAGACACCAAAAAGGTGATAAACTCAATGTTCATCTTTACAAAAAACGAGATGGAACACACAAAGCTAGATTTGTTGCAAGAGGCGACATTCAACATCCTGATACGTACGACTCAGGAATGCAGTCTAATACTGTACATCATTATGCATTGATGACATCCCTGTCACTTGCATTAGACAATGACCACTACGTCACACAACTGGACATATCTTCGGCGTACTTGTACGCAGACATCAAAGAAGAATTATACATAAGACCTCCGCCACATTTAGGTATGAACAACAAGTTAATACGATTGAGAAAATCACTTTACGGCTTGAAACAAAGTGGTGCAAACTGGTATGAAACTATCAAGTCATATCTGATAGATAAATGTGATATGGAAGAAGTACGTGGATGGTCATGTGTGTTTAAAAACAGTCTAGTAACAATCTGCTTATTCGTTGATGACATGATACTATTCAGCAAAGACTTGAACTCAAACAAAAGAATCATAGAAAATCTAAAACGACAATATGACACTAAGATCATAAACCTAGGTGAAAGTGATGAAGAAATCCAATATGACATTCTTGGACTAGAAATTAAATACCGGAGAGGGGTAAGTACATGAAACTAGGTATGGAGAATTCATTAACTGAGAAATTACCAAACCTAAACGTACCTTTGAATCCGAAAGGTAAGAAACTTGCCGCTCCAGGGCAACCTGGTCTTTACATAGACCAAGAAGAGTTGGAACTGGAAGAAGATGATTACAAAATGAAGGTGCATGAAATGCAAAAGCTAATTGGCCTAGCATCGTACGTTGGATACAAATTCAGATTCGACCTACTGTACTACATCAACACTCTCGCACAACATATATTATTCCCGTCCAAACAAGTTTTAGACATGACATATGAATTAATACAGTTCATATGGGATACCAGAGATAAACAACTAATATGGCATAAAAACAGATCTACGAAATCAGGAAACAAATTAGTTGTAATAAGCGATGCTTCGTACGGAAACCAACCGTATTACAAATCACAGATTGGTAACATATTCTTACTCAATGGAAAAGTCATTGGAGGAAAATCAACAAAAGCATCACTAACGTGTACTTCAACCACAGAAGCAGAAATACACGCAGTCAGCGAAGCCGTTCCGTTACTAAACAATCTAAGTTATCCCGTGCAAGAACTAGATAAGAAACCAATCATCAAATGTTTACTTACTGACAGCAGATCTACAATCAGTATAGTTACATCCAAAAATAAAGAGAAATTTAGGAACAGATTTTTCGGCAGTAAAGCAATGAGACTCAGAGACGAAATATCGGACAATAATCTGTACTTATACTACATTGAGACCAAGAAGAACATTGCTGATACATTGACAAAACCTCTTCCGATAAAAACTTTCAAGTTGTTAACAAACAAATGGATTCATTAGATCTATTACATTATGGGTGGTATGTTGGAACGAAATACAACTATCGACCATCGACTAGTATTCGTGTTACTAGTATATTATCATACACGGTGTTTTAAGGTGACATAAAGAATGAGAAACAGTCATCGAAATTAGTGGAAGCTGAAGCGCAAGGATTGATAATGTAATAGGATAATGAATGAATGAAAATGTATAAAAGGAACGGAAAGAGTAAGAATATTTGTAAGTAGAATTATTGACTCTTCTTTCTGGATTCTTAGAAAGATGAGGAGAACTTCTAGTATAACCATATACCAATAATTATAGCCTTAATCAAAAATGGAATCCCAACATTTAGCTCAATATTCACCCATTTACTCAAGACTATCGACTAGTATTCGTGTTACTAGTATTTATTATACACGGTGTTTTAAGATGACATAAAGAATGAGAAACGGTCATCGAAATTAGTGGAAGCTGAAACGCAAGGATTGATAATGTAATAGGATAATGAATGAAAATGTATAAAAGGAACAGAAAGAGCAAGAATATTTGTAAGTAGAATTACTAACTCTTCTTTCTGGATTCTTAGAAAGATGAGGAGAACTTCTAGTATAACCATATACCAATAATTATAGCCTTAATCAAAATGGAATCCCAACATTTAGCTCAATATTCACCCAATTCTCAATTCACCCATTTCTCAATATGATCCATTAATTGTTCAATGCCAGAGCGATTCTTCTGTTTCTTTCAATTTCACTCATACTGACTTTGACCATATTGATTATCAGTGTCTTTGAGTCTGGTTACTCTTTTGTTGTGTTTTTTCTCCCCAAATGCTACAAAAAATAGGTAAACATAAAAACAAACTTCAAAGGTCTGAGCTCAATTTACCTTAATTAGGAAAAATGATACATGAGGGGGGTTAATTGCAAATAGATAAAAATTCACATAAATACCGCGCATATTCTAGTATTATATACAGATGTTGCTGACCATAGTTTGAAGAGGTAGATGATTTAACTTCGAATTTAATCTCAAGGAGTACACCTCCACAGTAAAAGAGTTTGTTTTCGTCTGGGAACCACCACCAATGGGTTAATTATTCACATTTGCGTCACCAGTCGCAAAATCCAATGGGTAATAACTCAGCTTACGTTTCAAAGTGCTTCTAATTGTTAGGAAATTAGGCGACTACAGGGTCCTATAGGTTCAGTGAAGAACTCAAACCGAAGGCATGGATGACGTAACACACTTGCTTATTATCCTCCATGCCATTTTAGTATAGTGGTTAGTACACATCGTTGTGGCCGATGAAACCCTGGTTCGATTCTAGGAAATGGCATTATTTTTAATTAACGGCTACCAGAGTTCTTTCCCGATTTGACAAAATGTACACAGAAAAGCCGCGAGTTTTCGTAATAGCCATTGTTTACATTTTTCCCGATCGGATCAGATCGGTCAATGCCGCACCGTCTCTTGCAAACGGCGCTGCATAGGAAAAGAACAACAAATATCATCAAACTTCTGGCTGTTTTTCTCTTCTTGCATTCTTATTTTGTTGACTATCAAACCTCAACATTTCAATTAAAAACTCTTTACAACAGCCCTATCCTAGAAGAAAGCTGCTCTGATCAAAACATTTGCAACTTTACGGTAAGCCAACGCCCAATCTCACCCTCAGTCTTTCCTTTTCAATCTAAAAAGTTTTGCTTACAGTGATTTCATCTTACAAAACCTTCAATAATGCAACTCAAGAAATTAATCATACCCTCAGTGCTTGGCTCAGCACTTGTCAGAGCCCAAGAAACAGTTGTCGATGAGTCAACAACTACATACACCTCCACGATTTTGGTTTACACAACAACGTACACTCCGGAGGAGCTAGCCTCAATGCAAAGCGTTGCGAGTGTGTCATCAGCATCCGAACAATCAGCTGTAAGTGCTTCTTCTGTCTCAGCTGCTAGTATCTCGTCAGCTTCAGTTGCCAGTGTCTCTTCGGTCTCAGTTGCTAGCGCTTCGTCAGCCTCGGCTGCTAATGCCGCTTCAATTTCAGCTGCTAGCGTTTCATCAGTTTCAGCCGCAAGTGCTTCAAGCATTGCTTCCGCATCCGCCGCCTCGGTTGCGTCGTCTGCGTCCGCCGCCAGCGTTGCCTCTGTCTCATCTGTCTCAGCAGCCAGTGAAGCTAGCGTTGCTTCGGTTGCCTCTGTTTCATCGGTGAGCGCGGCAAATGCCTCTAGTATTGCCTCTGTCAAGGCTGCGTCATCCGCTTCTGTTGCTTCAATTTCATCACTGGCATCAGTAAGCTCCGTTTCTGCAGCATCTGCAGCGTCCCTGGAGTCAATCGTATCTGCTTCAAAAGCATCTGTTGCTTCAGTTTCTTCTGCTTCAGTTGCGTCTGTATCTGCAGCTTCCAGGGCCTCCATCGAAAGCTCGTTGTCCGTGGCAGCCGTTTACAACAAGACACATGTTACTTCTCTCGCTGGTGCAACTGGTTTATTAGCGATTGCGTCTTCGAATTCATCCTTAACAAGCACCTCCTCGAGCGTAACCACAGGAATTACCACTTCTCTGACTTCATCGATTTCGTCTTCATCGCCCGATGCTTCCAGTTCCGTGTCATCCAGCAAAAGCAAAGACGCTGGAATTTCTTTAGGAGTGAATGGAGTTCTCCTTGGTGCTGCTGGTGGTATAGTTTTAGGGTTATTGTGACGCGTTTCAAAATTTCAAAATAGCGGCGTGATTTCTATACATTTCTTCCGATCTCTACCTTTGTTTGTTCTTGTGATAACATCACTTACTTTAATGAAATTTAGGAAATGCAAAAAAAAATGAAAAATAAAAAAAAGCTTCGATACCAAAACCCAAGAGCGAGCGTTTTGCTCTCATAGCCGGTATTTGAATTATATGTGTTATTTTATGTATTTGATCTTCTTTGTACTATATTAGATGGAATTGATATTTGATTAAAATTATTAATCTGATGCTACTTTAGAACACATATACGAGTACTAAAACCTTGCCTGCTCAATGACGGCTGAATAAAGACCGTTTCTTGCACCCGGAATATTGCTAATCCACCTGCCTAATTTATGCTCTTTGCTAACTCCAGCAAGTATGCGAAACGTTTCTCTTCCATGCTTGCCACTTTCAACAGCTTGAATTTTTGTTACCAAGCCTTTACACTTAGGAAGTTCTCCAATAAGATCAAATTCACGTAAATTCTCAGAAATTTTCCATACATTTATGGTTCCATTCCAAGAACCAGAGAAGAACACATTAGAGTAAGGTATTGCGTGCAAGGCCGTAATCCAATAGGGTTTTGATAGTTTTCTACCTTGCAGTTGAACTTCACATGCCTTTTCGCTGCTTTCTGCTGATATTTCTCTTGGTAAAGGAGAGGGAATCAAGCCATGGGCAGAACGTCTAGTGAAGACGGGTTTCTTCTTCGACAGAGACCATAATGATATGCTTCCGTTATCAGATCCCGTAATGAAATGAGTATCATCAACCATCGTTACACAATCAATACTTCCTTCTCCGTAAAAAATTGGCCATTCTTCTTCTGGAGGTACTTTCTGTTCACCATTTGCCAATTGTTCAGTATTGGCTTTAAGCCATTTTTTTAGAAGCCTTTCGGGGTCATCACCACCTCTAAATGTCAATCTCGTTTCGTCTGCAATCTTCCATAACATCGCTGTGCGGTCACGAGATCCCACTGTTACACATCTTTCCATGCTTAACGCAGAAATATCCACGACTAAATCTTGATGACCGTACAGAATTTCAAGTTGAGAGAATTGATTGATGGAATAGGTCCTAATTTTGTAATCTGCACATGCAACGAAAAGCTGATCACTATTCCTCCTAAATACCATTGACAGTACCTCACCGCGACGGTCTTTAGTTGGGATAACCTTTACGGGTGATAGAGATTCGGTACTCCAAACAATTAACTTTCTATCTCTTCCACCGGTAACAACATATTTACCATCTGGTGATGCAGCAACTGTTAATATTTCATCATAATGACCTTCTGTTGTGTTTTCATGTTCAAATTTACTATCAGGAATGTATCGAGGTCCACCCTTCGCGTATTTCATTTTTTTTGGCCTTGCATTGAAATCTGTAACATCGTACTTTGTCAAACAGAGATCTTTGCTGACTGCATATGCAAAGGTTTTTTCTTTGTTCTTTCCGCGGGTATCTTCATGGCTAAATTTATTCAGAGCCGGCTGATGACAGCTTATTGACGTTATGTTCTTCTCACCCACCCTAGTAAAGCTTACTTTAACTTCTGATAGAAGCAATTTATCAGCAATGAACCTATATATACGTCCTTGTTGTTCAGCGACATCTTGCTTCAGTCTTGTCGCAATGATATCACGGTCTAGATCACGGGCATCGAAGTTGTTGTAGTCACCTGCATTAGGGAAAGGCTCATCTTCATCTAGCTTCTCTTCTTCTACCATGTCATTTGCCTCCAACTTTAAATTGTCCAGATACTGCTTTGCTAAGCGCCGTCTTTTGTCGGTAGAGCTCTCACCATGGAATTCCTCATCAGATTCCAAGTTTTCTTCATCCTCGTCATCCTGTAACAGCTCGTTGGAACTTTCATCAGATGAGGGTTCTGTAATCTCTTCATCCCTTTCGATTGAGTCTACTTGAGGATCCTTAGACCTTTTCCGTTTCCTATTATTGACGCTCGTTACGGCCATAACTCGTACGAATTACCTTGCTTATTACTCTCTAATTTCAACTAGCTCATCTCATTGAAATTTTTCAAAATTTTCATCTAAAAAGAAAAGACACAAGCGATCACCGAATCGTTAAAGATGAGTTTAAGTAATGATCACTATTACTATATAATGGCCATCAAATGCCGGCCAATAATTGTTGCGCCTAATTGATCACGCTCCGTTGAGTTGCTGCTCAAATCTTGCCTCTCTTATGTTATCAATTTTTTTCACCAAGGACGTGAGTTCAGCCCTCTCGGCTATTTTAGCAGCTGCATTCAATGCCTTATCTTGTTTTAATTCCTGAACTATTGACACTGCTTTGTCATTGTTCTGATCAGAACATGCAATCGCAAACAGCCTCAATAGAGATTTATCATGAGCACCCGCTAGGGATAATAGGATGTCATGTTCATTTCCATATAATTCTCCATCATGGCTCAAGGTATCATTTAATAGCTGCGCGAGAATCTTGGATCGCAGAAACTCCTCTTCTGCAGCTATATTTGTAGGAATGACAACTTCGTTTGACTCGCTTTCATCACTAACATCTATCTGGTCCTTGGCCAGAAGAGGAATCCGAATTTCCATTTCTGAAGGAAGTGGCATAGGAAACTCGGGCCACATGTTTTTGCCCTTAACTAGGATATGGTTAAGCGTGTCGTAGGTGAGTCCCAAGGGCCAAACATGCAAATCGTTAGATTCATTTCCGCCAGACATTTTCCAGATCTCGAATCTCGCATCTAAAAGTGGTACCCATGTACTCTGCGCCGGAAATCTCCACTTAGAGAGAACTAGCAAAACATCGTCGCTTCCAAAAATACAGGGATCCCCGTAAGCAGAAAAAAAGATCGACTTTATTCCTAGCGGATTAAAAGATGAAAAATTATGATGAACATCTTTAACATTCCCATTATTTTCTGGCATGGTAAGTGGTAAAGAAGATTCTCGCTGATAATAATTATGGGTCGATCGAGGGTTTTGTTCGAATAAAGAATAACTGAGTCCCTGAAGTGGAGAAAAGTGAACTGCAAAGATTCTGTAGTCTTGGGCAGCTATTGCGACAATGGGTGACATTTTTTCAAGCGCCAACGGCACTCCAAACTGATTGAATATTCTAACGTAGCCGTGTGAAGTACCCACAATAACCCTTCGAGGTGTTGCAGCGACACTAGTAATGCACTCAGATTTTTGCAAAGGGATCTTTTTCGTCCATGTTGAATGAAATCCATTATGGGGCCTATAATGTATCTGCCCCATTTTCGATTGCGCAAACAAAGATCCATCGTCAGTTAGAGAACAAATGTCGTAACCGAATAAGTCTTCGAAGTGATACTCCTTAAAGCGTCCTAGGTCAAAAAAGGAGACTGTGATAGTATTGTGAGAGGACGAAGAACTACTGCCGTTGCGCACGGTCCATGCATATCCAACATTATTCATCGTGAGATACCGCCTGTCACCGATTCCGAAGGGCGTTGCGCCAGGAGAAAAGGGTTTATATGAGAACTGAGGTTTTCTATGAGAGGGAAAACCATATTGTGGAAGAGGGTTTGAAGCATTGGATTTATGTTGCTTAACGCTAACGTAACCTGCTCCATCATCGTCATCTATGAAGTCTTCTTCATCATCATAATGGAAGAGTTTCCTTTTTTTGCCCTCCTCTTCATTATCAGTGAATAAATCCTGTGAGTTAGAGCTGTATCTTCTCTCTCCAGTTTCGCCCAAGTCAGTAACTTTTGGAGAGATTGCGTCGTCATCAGAGTCAACAAATAAACTTTGAGCAGCTTCTTTCTGATTACCTAGATCATCAATGGTAGACTGCTGAGAAATAATGCTCACCGCAGGAATGAAGATAACATCACCAGTCCAAGTACCCAAAATAAGATCTAAACTGTCGTTTTGATGAAGCTTCCAACAGATATTCGTGATTTTGAAACTCAATTCCTTTGTAAAATGTATTTCGCTTGTCTGCACATTCCAAATAGTCAGCTTGTTATTAAGATCGATAACCGCAATGTATTCTCCTGTTTTTGGACTGAACTTCACAGCCGTAATATGAGTCGTCGTTCCGGCAGGTTTCAGGGATTTAATTAAAGAGTAGTCTTTGAGGTTGAATATTTTGACCGAACTGTCTTCCCCAGGCACTGCAAACTGCATTCCATATGGATGCCATTCAACTCTCGTAGAAAGCCTGTTATCCACGCAGTATTCTAAATCTTTGACGCCATCAACCTCATTAGTTGACTGAGATGGGGCAACCGAAGGAAGGTGGTCCAGGAAATCATCATTATAAAAATGACTTACTGTGTATTTGGAAAGTACATGCACTTCATTTGGTCTAGCTGAAGTCATTGAAAAGAAATGGATAGAGCCATTCACCAAGGAGACAGCTAGAATGCTCATTTGAGGATTGTATGACAGTTGGCTAACCTGATCACTTACATCAACAGAAGTCCTCTTACGATCCCCGTCCAATTCAATAAGCGATAATTTCAAATCATCACCACCAACAGCCAGAGTTTTCCCGCCATGCACTAGAATACAGTCACGAACGGGTAAAGCAGATCGTAGCAGTAAACGATACTTTTCTTCGTCAGTGTCATAAGAATGTACATCTCCCTTCAAAGTACTTATGATGCAACTTGAAGGCGAAGTTAAAACCATTGAGGTAGGATTCTTGCATGTTTCCAAGACATCGGGCTCTTCTTCAGGACTCTCAAGCTGTAAAATCTTGGTCATGCCATTCTTATTAGTTGCACATAAGTATTTCCCATCTGAAGATAGTGCAATTATTGTTTTCCCTCCAGAACCAAACACAGACTTTTCAACTATTGACGGCATCGACCTCTTTGTTCTTGAGAAGCAGTTGAAGAACCGCGTAAAAGTTGACGCGTTTTTTTGGTACTTTAATCAACACTCGGGAAGAATGACAAACACGTGAATACATCTCATCACCAAGATCTCAACAAGATCACCTTTCCAGCGTCAAAAGACTTCTGCATAAAATAGCAAATAAGAACGGAATTCACTTGATTATTTAAATCTATGATTGTTTATGATACTTAAACCCGTCGTACTTTGCGCATTAATAAAGCATATTCACTGCTACTACGATCCTGTATTTTGAGACTGATAACTATAATCAGAAAAACATAAACCCTAAATATTAATATAGTTTTATCGCATGTCTTTAGCTTGGTGTTAAAACTATCCAAGAAAGCGGCTTGCTTCCATCGGATTAAAATGAACCGTAGAAAGATACTCATTTAATTCCTTCCAAAGGTTTACTTAATTGAAACGTGAAAGAAGAATGGACGTACTTGATGAAAACTGGGACTTTCCCTTGACGAAGGATGTGTCGAGAGATCTTTTCTCTTCATATACTGATGAGGAGTGTTTCGATGTCGACACGTTTCTTCTAGAGAATAAGTTTCAATTCGTTCCTTTGGACTCGCTTACCAAGGAATTGCATACTTTAACGGGGAAAATGGATCAAGCGCTTTTGGAAGAGATGCAAGACAGTTACACGGATTATATGGAACTTTGTGCAAGTTACTCAGAGGAGAACGATACGAAGCACGAACTCCAATTGGTGCAACAGGATTTGATTAAATTCAGAGCAGAATTGAAGGCACTGACCGATGAGAATATGGCAACTACGAAGGAGGTGATCATAGATACCTTAGAATACCTTGACGGGCTGAACAATCTTTCACGCCTACTCAATGATCACACAATACTTCACAAGTCGTTGGGCCTCGCGGAAGAGCTTTGTCATGGTCTGCAGACACTGTGCGAAGATGAAGAGGAACTAGAGTCGCTTCTGTGTTGCGACTTAATCAAGCAATTACATACCCTCATCCAGCAGATATATATCGCTCTTTCGCGGGTCGGAAAAATCAGTTCTCCCATCGTAAACCAGTTGCGAAACGAATATCTGGGAGTTCTTCAGCAATTTCGAGCTTGTTTATGCATACTCAGTGACAGATGTAATAAGGACCCTACGAAGTATCAAGAAATTACGCAGCTGCTGGTGGCAATTTATAGATATGAGTAAGAGTGTTGCAGTTTACGAGGCAAAATTGATTTTCTTATAATACATGTCTATAGATTCTCTAAATTGATGCTAGAAAACTTAATTAACGATTTCATAGCATAAAATGGCGCACATGAATATAGGTTAAATTGAGTAAAGCTAGATCCGATGATTTGGTTTATCCAAAATTGTCACAAATGTTCTTTCACCTATTATTATCACCATTTCACATTATCAACACTAGTCGTTCCAAACGAAGATACATGGTATATCGCCATTGAAAAGTTTTCCTCGGTAACAGGTAAATAGAACCCTGAGTAAATGTTCAGCTTTGGTAACCCTGCTACTAACTCTGGTGGTAACACTGGCAGTGGCTCTTTGTTCGGAAATAAATCTGCCGGATCTGGTGGCTTTTCATTTGGGCAGAATAACGCTGGGCAACAGACACAGACATCTTCTGGTATGTTTGGACAACAACAAACGAACACAAGTACAACGGGTAGCTCATTGTTCGGCAATAAAACGGCAAGTACAGGGGGATTGAACAGCGGGTTTTCTTTTGGCCAGACCACTAGCCAACAGCCTCAGAACAATGCCTCCGTTGGATTATTTGGAAATGCTCAGCAAAATCAAAATACGTCCGGTGGGGGAATGTTCGGAAGTAATACGCTCCAAAAGCCAGGCACTGGAAGTGGTGGACTTTTTGGTAATAAGCCTGCTGGTGGGTTTGGGAGTTCAAATACACAACCAGCAGCCAGCGGAGGTCTTTTCGGGTCAAACAATCAGGCGAACTCATCTGGCGGTCTCTTTGGAACTAACCAGCAGCAGCCCACCGGAAAGTCCTTGTTCAATAGTCAATCTCAGGTTTCTTCAACCGGAAATCAAGGCCTTTTCGGAAATCAAGGTCAACAAGCACCACTACAATCGAATTCTATGTTTGGATCCTCTACGGTTAAAACGACGCAGCCCTCCTTCGGCTGGTCACAACAATCTGCGACCCAGCAACCATCTAATGAACAGCAACAACAGCAACTTCAACAGCAGCAAGCACAGCAACAGCAACTACAACAGCAACAGCAAATGCAAAACTCCAACTACCCGCAACAAATTCAAGAGCAAGTCATCAAATGCAAAGAATCTTGGGATCCTCAATCATCAAGAAGCAAACTCAGAACATTTGTTTACAATAAGGTAAACGAGACTGAGGCCATGCTCTACACAAAACCGGTAAATGTATCTCAAGAAGACTGGGACAATGCGCTATTGCATAAACCTTCGCCTACTGTGATTCCCGTACAAGTTTTTGGCTTCGAAGAATTGAATTTCCGTAATACACTGCAAAGAGAACACGTCGCTCAGGCACGTTTAATATTGAGCCAAATTTTGGAGAAACTCACGAAGCTCTCTCAAAAGCATGATTTGGACACTGCTACAAGAATTCTTAAAGCACAAACGAGAAATGTTCAGATTCAACAACGGATACTAAAGTTGGGATCTCAACTTGCAATTCTGAAAAGTAAAGGTTTACCCTTGAGTGTAAATGAAGAAAAACTATGGTCTGAATTTGAGAAGTTGCTACAACGTAGTAATGACCCAGCAGGGCTTGGCAAAAATAATGAGCTATGGGCTCGCCTGTCGGTTTTAAAAGAAAGAGCGAAAACTATATCAGATCAGCTCGATAGCACTTTGGTAGTAATCAGTGAGAACGGCAGCTCTAAATCGAAATCCACAACTTCGAGTAAAGCAGCAGAAAAGAGACTTGATGACGAGGTTGAGAATAGGGTAAACAAAATTGCTGAGATATTGAGCAACCAACAGCGTGGTCTCTGTTATCTAAATGACATTTTAGAGAAGGACAATAAGCTGATTGGAAAATATGTGAGCTCCTAATGTACGTTATAAAACTTTGTACATTTTCCAACTGTACACCTACTGCATATGTACGTTAATATTACCTTTAAAATCCTTTGAACCCATTTAAAAGAAATCCAAGTCTACTTGCCTCTTCCTTTTTCCACGAACTGAGGTTCTCCTCGGTGATACCATCCAGCCAGTGCTTAAGCGTCAAAGGAAGAGACTCAAAGTCAGGATACAACACTGGCTTCAGTTTTATGAAACTAGAATGGTCTTTTAAAGACTCATGATGTGTGCTTACAGTTTTGTTGACATACTGTCCATTGACTGAAGGAATTCCCAAATGCCGATCGAAATCGAAAAATCGGCTGCCATGAAATTCATGGGCGCCATACAATTTGCTCTTTAAGTTTTCGGTTGAGAGTGGAACAATTTTCCCTGTCACAGTTTGGGCAAAGTTATTTGGTTCATTTTGGAATATCCAGGGATTTAAAGTTATGTAGGGATCAACTTCTTTTGACTTAGATTTTCGTCTTTGGTCTATAGTAGCCCACTTGTTCGCCAAGCGGTCATACACGCTTTCCAGCTTAGTAGTGTTTGGAGCAATGAACATTGAATTTATATCATTTGCGTGAATGGATTTGACATGGCCGTCGTTCACAAAACCTCGCAAGTTAAATAACACTAGCGCAAGCAAAGAGACGTTTGAACTTGATAATATAAGATCCATACTAGGTTGACTCCTTTTGAGGGTTTTGCCCCAGCGATCTGCATTTGAAGACAAATAGAGAACATTTCCTAGTTCCTGCAGGTTTGCAGTAATAGCATGCTGCAAATTTGTTTCATTGAGGGGTGTTATACTTTTATAGCTCAATCTCAACTGTAAGATTAAACAGTTATTCTGTATAAACTTTTGCAGAGACATGAGACCTCAATTTGATGCGGAACAGCTAAAATCACCAAATTCATATAAGTCAATTACTGATTTAGATATCGCATGCAACGTAAATTTATTATCTCTTTTATGTACATGATAGTTAGCATATTTAAATACAGCTTTTAATCATTAATGGTCATTACTAGGTATCCGCCCCAATCACTTCCATTGCTTCTTAACGAAATGCCACACCATAGGTGAGACCCATAATAGTGCTGCTACGTAACCAGCAGTAACCAGAGTTTGGTTTGACTGCTGTTGATGAAGCTTCTTTTCTTCCTCGCTTGGCTGTTGTTGAGGTAAACCGAACATTATGCCTGCTTATTTACAATAGTTTGTGGCAATATCAGTTAAATTCGATTACAGTTATCAGGTAGTAGTATTTTGATACTGAAAATTTTTCAGAAGTCATCAAGAACGAATATGATGACATTATTATTGAACTACGAAAGGTGGCCCAATTACCAACGCATTCAAACGGAGAGGGCCAACCATGGACAAGGAAGCAGAGAACTTGGGCGGTGATTCAGATGAAAGCAGAGATTTAGAGGTTAGGGAGGACGATAATATTCAAGAGAGGCAGCGGAAGCACATCGACACAATAGATTCAGATGAGGAGGACTCTTTGTCAACAGAGAGGAGGCTGGAATCGCAACGTATTGTAAATGGCGCTACGAATGAAGACGGAGAAGTTGGGCTCGATCAATCACATCGCAGGCGCCAAGAGCTTGAGGACAAACTAGACAGGATATTAAAAAAGCCAAAAGCACGGAGATCCAAGAGGGATGAGGATGATTTAGAACAATTTCTGGATGAAAGAATTTTAAGGTTGAAAGATGAAATGAATATTGCTGCGCAAAAAGACATTGAAACTCTTAACCGAAGAATGGATGGTCAAGATGATAAAGCAGTTGCAATGGAAAAGGTCAAACTATTACCTAAGGTTGTTAGCGCACTTTCCAAGGCCAACTTGGCAGACACTATCTTGGATAATAATCTATTGCAGAGCGTAAGAATATGGCTAGAACCTTTGCCTGATGGATCACTACCATCTTTCGAGATTCAAAAGTCCTTATTTGCAGCTCTAGAGAATCTGCCTATCAAGACCGAGCACTTGAAGGAAAGTGGTCTCGGCAAAGTGGTCATCTTTTACACAAAATCCAAACGTGTCGAACCCAAATTAGCACGTCTTGCAGATAAAATGGTAGCTGAATGGACAAGGCCTATCATTGGTGCCTCAGACAATTACAGAGATAAGAGAGTTATGAAGATGGAGTTCGATGTTGAGCAACACAGAAAGAAAGCAATGTTAGACAGTGCAAAGAGTAAGAAATCCAAGAAGAGAAGACCTGATGATACTGAATCTTCTGGTGCGAAAAGTTTGTACGAACAAGCTGCTGCTAGAAGAAACAGGGCTGCTGCACCTGCACAGGCTACCACAGATTACAAATATGCACCAATTAGCAATCTGTCTACTGTTTCCACGAGTCTAAGATCAAACGGTGTAGGATCATCCCTGAATAACAGTGAAATGTTTAAGAGGCTAAACTCCCGTCTCACAAAAAAGGCCAAAAGGTCTAAGTAAACACGCATAAGTATTCTGTAGGTATGTCAACGTGTTTTAATGCGCTTCGCTTGGGCCATCTAACTCAATGTTAAACAAAAGACGTGAGTGATAAACTTATATCGTTTGAAAACGTGCAATTATAGATTGTAGTACATTGTTGTAAATATGTAACCATGGTACACTTGAAGGTGAGAAAAAGATGGACGGAAAAGGTGGGCCATATATCCTAGCTTAGGATCTTGGCTTCTCCTTCTTCTCCTTCCACAAAGCCAACAAGGAGACACCGGAAACCTTGACGACCTTGAATCTAACACCTGGGATATCACCCTTGGCCTTACCCTTTCTACCGAAACCGGCCAACAAGACTTCGTCGTTTTCATCAACGAAGTTCAAACAACCATCATTAGGAACGAAAGCAGTGACCTTCTTACCGTTCTTGATCAATTGAACTCTGACACACTTTCTGATAGCAGAGTTTGGTTGCTTGGATTCAATACCAATCTTTTCCAAGACAATACCCTTGGCGTGAGAAGAACCACCGAATGGAGAAGACTTGAAGGCAGTACCCAACAATCTCTTCTTGTAAGTTTGTTCGGCCCAACGGCTGTAGCTGAGTTAGTACATGTACTCTGAGAGTCAACTTGAGAGAAAGCATTCAAATGATTGGGAAAACAACTCTACTCCCTATCAATTCTTTCTATGATGAAACCTAGTTAAGATCTCATTTAACCAATAGATCCATTTAACATGATCTTGTGGCACGCACAAATGCGAAGTCCCCATGGCTATTATCCATCTTTCTCAGGTCGTGGTTCTTTCCCAACGATTATCCTTGCTTTTCACCTCATGTCGTTTTAATCGTTCGATCTTTTAACATACTTGTTTCTTCTGTGGACACGCAACTTTCTAGCGGAGTTCAAACCTCTTGGCTTACCCTTACCCATTTTTGGTTGATTGCTGATATGTGTTTCTATGGAAGATGTTAGATGGATTGAACTTCTAAAGATTTTTTTCCAATACAGTATTCGGGGAGCTAGCAACTGGGAGCTGCTCGCGGGGAACGAGCCGCGTGCGACGGAACGTGCGCGTGGGGCAGAGCATGAAGCTAGGCGGAGGATGGCATGGCACTCCCAGCAGTGCGGGCCTAGGATCCAGCCTAGGCTGTTGAGCTAGGCAGGGCGCCCGCAGTCTGTACTACGAATGTCTCTCACACCCCACCCTTGGAGAAAAGGCCCAGAACAGGGCGCGGCACGAAGTCACGCCAAAAAGTTACCAGATAAAAAACTTGAAAACACAAAAGTGTATGGGTGGTTGAAACACAAGATTAAATGTACAGGTGTAGACCGTCAAATGTCTTTGTATGATTATATAATCCATATAAGATTTGAGCCTAAAAAAGTCCCCTCATAGACAAGAGAAACGATTATTGCACGATTTGAGTATGGAGAGTACGGTAGATCGATTGACAAAGGTTCTTATTGCACAGTACTTGGCCAGAAATGGGTACGACGGCTCATTATCTAATTTTTTAAAAGAAACATCATTGCCTAGATCAGTAACGGATGAGAATGATGTGTACGAGCCTTTAGAAAAGATCGTCGCTGAGAGAATCGAGTTCAATGAACACGCCGTCTCAACGAAACTCGAAGAGCTCAGTATAAACAACAAACTTGCTCCGTTGGACTCGAAATTTTTTGTTCCAAGCTGGGACTCAACCCGCAAATTCGAACCATTGCCACACATAGCGCAACCCAACAGCTTGGCCATCGAGATCAGCTTCGACCACACCGGGGCAATACTAGCGGCCACTGCCGGAAGGGAGATCGCACTGTACAACTCGAATCTCCAATTGGTGAAACAAGTTGGGACAGGCGGTGGCATAGTCAAGAAATGCGGTACCATACCTTCACTCAAGGGCGTTACATATTATTATGCGTGCCAAGCTGATGGATCTCTCATTATTTATGACAAAGAATTGGAAGTTATTGCAAAGCACAAGCTTCATCGACGTATTATTACTCATATCGAGTTCTTTATTTTGAATGACAGTACACTACTCTGTTTCAGCTGCGGTCTAGACAACTACATCAAGCTTCACAAGATCATTTTAGCCACACAAAGTGTTGAATGTTGCGATGAGGTGAAGCTCATTTCAACTTGCACATCTTTTCAATTGTCTCAAACAGAGAAATCCGAACCCATACTATTCGTGAGCAGAATGGACTTCACGCAAGTCATGGTACTTACCGTAAGCAGAAACCGCTTCTTAGAAAAATGCAGAATAGCCTTAAACAGCGCTCAATTCAGCACGCACTCTTTCAATGTTTGGAACTTGATCGTGTTTAATCTCAAACCATCATCATCAAAAGAAACAAATTCCCATCTAATCATGCTTAGGGATGATACAATGCTTGCAGTGGCAACTTCTCATACTCCTTATATGCGGTTGATTCTTGTAGAAGTACCGCCTTTCTGCTCATGTCCCGCTGAAGATCTCAGATCTGACTTTCCAAAGGAAGTAGATGCTACTGGCAGTTTATCCAATCCTGGAGTTAAAACATATTTTGACAAAATACTACGGAATATTGCAACTACGATTCAACAAGATTCATTCTCACAACCAGTATTGAAGGCTTTTACAGTTGCAAGGGGACTTTTGCTGGGTGGAGATCATGGAGTGTGGGCTATCGATATATCTAACGGTGACACATGGCAATTGCTACCAGTCGATGATAGAGTAAAGACAATGGATGTCGAAGACGAGAGAATTGCAATCTCCTTCGCTAATAAAGAACTCCAAGTTTGGCAGTGTAAATAATTCAATTCACCTCATAGTTTACGTACGCACTAGGAAATTATCAACACATTAGCTCCATGATAGACCAGTCACCAAAAAAAGTAGCTACCATCTACAAGAGGGTCTGAAACCATGACTACGATACAGCCATTTGAGGCAACAGATCTTCTCAATTTGAATAATGTGAACCTCGATGTTCTGACTGAGAATTTTCCATTGGAGTTTTACTTTGAGTATTTGATATTATGGCCTGAACTATTCTTCAAGAGCAGAGAGCTTACCAAGATACAACCTAATGGTGACCTCGAAATTTCAGGCTATATGATGGGCAAAACTGAAGGAAAGGGGCCGGAGTGGCACTCACATATCACTGCGGTTACGGTGGCCCCCGAATTTCGGCGTATATCACTTGCGTCAAGTCTATGCAATGCTCTGGAAACTATTACGGACAATCAACCCCACAGTGTGAATTTCATAGACTTATTTGTCAAGTGCGATAACAATTTAGCGATAAAGCTGTACGAAAAATTAGGCTATTCTGTTTTCAGACGAGTAGTTGGTTATTATAACTCTGCAGAAGACAACTATCCTAATACGCTAACTAAAATACAGGACGATAAGGATGCCTTCGACATGCGAAAAGGCATGAAAAGAGATGCTGGACGGAGTACGCGAAGCGACGGCCGAAAACAGAGATGTTTTCCGCATGATGTAAAATTCTAAGGGCGCTCGTGGAAATTCGTTGTATTTACATCCATTCACAATGCGATTATGCTGTTAGGTTTACAGGGTATGGACAATCGGCATCGTATTTCGACAATACTACAAGAAGCCGCCGAAGAAATAAGTGCTAAATTCAATTGATGGTTTTTTTTTCGTTTGATCAAACAATGAATTGTAAAGACAGCTCCAGAAATCGGTTAAAATATGATTAGCATAGTAACAATAAACTGTGAAGCAATCAACTAAATCACTTAGTGTCTTGATACGTACTTGTAGAAAATTGACGTCATACAATAAAGTTGCATTTTACACATATAGTTGTTGTCGATTTTTTCATGAGCACTGACACCCCAGAGGGAATTACACCTCTAGTGGCGTAATTGTTTGAAAAAATCACTTGAAAATTTGTGTTAATGAGTCTAAATGAATTTACTGCCTTATCTCTCCCCATAGATTCTTGGATCAATTGGCAGCTGCAAAACAATTTACGATCTATTCCATAAGACGCAAAAATAGTTATAATACCTTCCAGAGTGCTATTTAAATTCATCTTACGCAACACCTAAGCTGCTTAGGAGACTTAGAGGTCAGAAATAGGAAATATAACTTCACTTAAACTGCAATTTATGATTGATAACAGATGGCAGCGTCTCTCCAACATCCTTCTGCGATGGCAGCCTTTATTTCACTGCACCTCGCATGGCCAATAGCAACATGCTTCTTGGCAATAGAGACTTCTGTAGAACGTTGGCGTGCTTCCATGATCAGAGTAGCGTAATGACTATCAGAAACATATTACAAAAAGCGCTTTTCAATTTCTATGCTTACGAAATTGTATTTTAGACAAGTTACAAAATCAGGGACTTTCAAGAAGTATGTAATTTTTCCATTCTTCAGAATTCTATTTTTTCGCTGCTGGAATTATCCCTGTTGTTGAAGTTACGGCCACGACCACCACGTCCTCCCCGGCCACGGCCACGATACTGACCGCGCCCGCCTCTGAAGCCACCGCGACCACGCCTGTTGATGACACTTGCCTGTCCAAATGTATCCATATTCAATTGACGTTCTTCTTGCCATCTCATATTAGTATTAGTTTCCGTAGAAGTCGATATGGTATCGAAAAAGGAAGACTTTTTATTGTAAAAGGTGCCTTCGCCATCATCCTTATCTCCACTTTGAATGTCATGATCCTGAGCCTCTTCTGGCTTTTCGAATTTAGCATTATTTGATTGGAAATCAAAATCCTCATTGGGAATCTCTACTTTACGCGACCCATGACGCGGCTCTGGTTTGGACATTTGTTTCTTCTCAGGCACCTCTTGAACTTTTGCACTTCTTCCAAGATCCGTAGGCTGTCTCTCGTTTGGAGTTTTCGCTTCAGATCTGAACTCCTCTTTAGGCTCTCTCTTTGCTTCTTGACTCTGTTTTGGTCTGCTATCAGATCTAGGGGTATTTCCGGACTGCTCTGAATTTTGAGCTGTAGCTGGAGTTGGAGCATACACACCATAACCGGTCATAGCAGCAGGAACTTGCTGCTTCGCTTGAGGTGGAGGCATCACAACCTGCGGAGGCAACACAGGCTGTACGTCCTCTAACTTGACATCTAGAATACTCAGATCCTTCACATCGTTACCATTAAATGTTACTGTCTCATACACTGTTGGATTAGGATAAATTTCTTCGGGTCCCCATTGCTTGCGTCCCTCAGTACCAAAACACCGCACCTTGTTCAGAGTCACGACACCTTTCTCAGAGTCAATGCCCTCTAAAAGGCCCACATACCGATTATCGGTCACTGAGATCAATGAGATTGTCTTTCCAATATACTGAGCCATTAATCCTTGGGTCTCTCTCAACACTACACTTGGCTCGACCCTCGCCACTTCACATTTTTCTGATGCCTGCCACCATCGTTACGAATGATATCAAGGTGCTTGGGCGTCGTCGACACTGCTCAAGCTTACAATGCAAACATCTTCATTTATATGAATTTGAGAAATCTTAAATGCCATTGGAGAAGAAATGTGAAGCCTTAGTTCAGTTTGACACATTACCGAATTATTTATTGTTGTGCACTATTCCGGTTATTTCATCAGTCCCCCAGTGCCCCGTTTTATCAAGTTACTTGCAGGAGAGCCAGACATCTCTAAAATTTTAAAATCAAAAATTTCAAGAAACGAAGAGGCTTGAGCTGACAGGTTTTATACTTTTCAGTGTTTCTCTTAAAATTCAAGTTTTTCATGCCATACAACCAAGAACATATAAGTAACCTGATAAGTAAAAAAATAGACCAAAACAAATAATTCATATAGCACTAGAATGGTAATAAAAGCTCCCAATCTTGAGTCACAATACAACACTGTGATTTAGCACGCAGCAAAAAAACCGGTAGAGTGTAATTCTCAGAATGTATTTTAGGTAATACTAAGTCATGTGATATCGCGGATAATCGCCTCGGCCCGAAGCATCTCGGATCTGGAAAGATGTATTTAAAGTCTACACTTAAATGATAAGAGGGGCACTTCGTGTAACGAGAAGCATAGTTGAGCCAGTATGACAAGCTTAGAGAGTGCAATTACCGGGGCTGTTGCCTCCTCATTGGCTAATGTGGTAGTCTATCCATTAGATCTGGTGAAAACCTTAATTCAGACTCAGACTACAGCAGGTGGAAACTACCCCACGACGGAAAAAGATAAAGATGCGCAGGACTCGCAATCTAACAATGCTGTAGTGGACGGAAAGAATATTCAGTATGAGAGTGACGATGATGAGAGATACCAGAATGCTTTTGATGCTGCATTGAAAATTGTTAAAACTAGAGGCTTTGGGGGACTGTACCAGGGTTTACCAGCATCGATTATGGCTGGCTTTATACAAAGCTTTTCATACTTTTTTTGGTATAGCATTGTTAGAAAGCAGTACTTCCAAATCAAGAGTCTGGAAGGCAAATCAGGCAGATTTTCTACGCCCGAGGAGCTAGTTTTGGGAATTTTAGCTGCCGGAGTTTCACAACTTTTCACAAATCCTATTAGCATTATTTCCACCAGACAGCAAACCACCGAGAGAGGAAGAAGCAGCGGTTTTATCAGCGTGGCGCGTAGGATTTTTCAAGAGCAGAATGATATTACAGGCTTTTGGAGGGGACTGAAAGTGTCCCTCGTTCTTACAATAAATCCATCGATAACCTATGCGGCTTATGAAAGACTCAAGGATTTGTTTCTGTCAACGAGCACAGACCCTACAAAACTCCTGGACACGGCTTCACAATTAACTGCGCAGCAGAACTTCATTTTGGGAGTTTTATCAAAAATGCTCTCCACTTTGATCACACAGCCGTTGATCGTGTCTAAGGCTTTGCTTCAAAAAACAGGCTCTAAGTTTGTCAGCTTTCAGCAGGTATTAAACCATATCTACAAGCACGAAGGCTTTTTGGCGTTGTGGAGGGGTGTGGTGCCGCAACTCACTAAAGGAATCATAGTTCAAGGGCTTTTGTTCATGTTTAAAGGTGAATTGACAAAACTATTAAGGCGTATATTCTTCTATTTACAAGTAGTCCGCCAAAGACGGATTCCTAGCAAAATAGCTCAGTAAATCATCTACTTCTTAATATGCTCTACTCTCCCACCTCTGATCTCAAAATTGTTGATGAACGTTTCAATTTTATGAATTTCTTCCTGGGTCAATTCGAATATGGCGTAATTCTGTTCAACTTTAGAAGCCGTAGTGCCACCGGGAAGCGGAATCAGCCTGGTATTTGGATATTTGGAGTTCAGGGACCTGATCCAAGCAAGTGCAGCTTGAGATAGAGTGATTCCATCATCACGCTTAGAAACTATCTCATCTTGTAAAAATTGTGCAACCTTTAAGTTTTGTTTCAAGGAGTCATCTTGAAATCTTGCAAAATGTTGTCTGAAATCTCCCTCTGGTATATCTGTAAAACATTTGATCGCTCCACTTAATAGCCCTCTGCCTAGGGGGGAATAACATATGACAGGGATGCCCAGCTCATTGCATGTATCGACAACACCATTGCTGAGGATTTCTCTTGAGATTAGAGAAAGCTCAACTTCAACGCAGCATAAATATTCTCCATATTTCGAATTAATTGCCCTAATCTGTTCGGCATTGACTTCACTTAGCGAAATACCGCCAATTTTACCTTTTTTGATATAGTCTACAATGCAATCGAAAGTCTCAGCGGCATAGCAATTACTACCTGCCAGTGCAACATCGATCCGCGCTGGTTCAAATATCTCGATTGGGCCCCCAATTTCCTTGAGACATGTATCGATTGAATTTGACATACTAGCATAGTCTCCTTTAGGGGTTAAAGTAGCATTTTCCATACCTCCTTTGCAGCTGATAATGACGCGGTCTCTCTTATGAGGATAAGAAGTGAAGTACCTCCTCACAAGCTTTAAATTGTTGAAATCAGGACCATAAAATTCTCCTACGTTGAAGATAGCTTTCCCGTCTGATTCTTCGATTGCTTTATCTATTGCTTCGAACGACTGCTTATCGGGAAGGGGTTCTTGTCTCGTAGTGAGGCCCATGAGACCATAGGCAGTACTTGCTTCTAGATGAATTTGTTTAAGTTCCTCAGCCGAGATCATGATTTGATATGGGGTATAGTATAATTATTCAACCTACAGGGAGTTAGTTTGCTTTGTTTTTGGCTATTGCGATCGCTTTTTTTCCAGCGTGGGAAGAGGAGAGAATATATGACATCCTTTAAAAATGAAGCCTATGACAACGAGAAATAATCTATTTTGGCTGACAACGATTGTTAATGAAATAAAGGTCACTATTCACTGCTATTATATATCTAATTCAATTTTGCCAAGACGTTAAAAATGTGGCAGTGGCGCGATCGTTGTAATAATGATGTGTTAACTGTAACAGGTATATACACGATACGGAATGTTTACTTGTGCTCTTGAGCCGGTAGCTTCTCTTCATGCTTATCAAGGGCATCCAAACTCAATTCGTCCTTCACTTTTACGACTGCATCCTTCTCCTGTTGTTCTTCTTCTTTCATGATCTCCTCCTGCTCCTTCAATTGGGCCATTTTCGATTTATTCGTGGCACTGTTTTCTTCCACGACGTTCACTTTAACTTCATGATACAATTCGTCTGGAATACCACTCAAGACATCGCATAAGGCTTCGTAGAGGTTTTTTTTGGAGGTGATATCACCGTACGTATAAGCAGTAGCCATGACTAATAGCGTTGATGGAATTTTGTCCTTCAGCCTCATATTCAGCCAAATCTTTAAATTATCACGTAAAACCGATTCTTCAACGTTCAAATTTCTGATTCCTCTCGAAGCACATGCGGTACGTAGTTCAGTACTATCCAAGCTGTCAACACCTTCGTAATAAATGGCGATATCATCTTTCTTCAACTCCAACAATTTATAACGGATACGGTAACGAAGCATCACATCAGTGCCAAATGGTTGCAAATTAATGTACTTGGCAAGAGCTACCAAGTAAGGTCTGGTCACATTATCCAGAACAGTATCATCGGTGAATAGCCTTGCAACCTGAATTAACTGTTGGCGAGATTCCGGCTCACCTGAGGCCCTAACATGCTTGTAAAAACTATTGAAAACCACTTTCTGATCATCTGTAATATTTCCAGGCTTGAAATGCGATTTGTTGTCCTTTATGATTTGAGACATGAGACTTCTAGTTTTCCGTAAGTTATTCAACTTTGATTGCTTGTCCTGGCTAGACTCGTATGTTGAGGGCAATAGATTGGGGAACAACTTCAACGCAATAGGTAAGAGTAACTCAGCAAATGGGACAAGAACAAAAGCCGAAAAAGGAACCAATCTGACAACGTCCCGAGTTGTTCTCTTTAATTGTTGCATTTCACGACGGCTAAGCACGTAACCGGCTGACATCTTAAAAAGAAGCTTACTTGAAATCTTCATCTCTAAACCTAGTAGCTTCGTACCATCCCAGTAATGCTGTGCCTCATGCTTAACTCTACTCCATAGGGAAGGTTTTGGCTTTTCCGGACTCTTGCCGGAAGGTACCGATGGTGGCCCGGTGGCGAATGTCCGGTGAACCAATTGGAAGGGTAAGGTTTGCGGTTTGACTACAACCCTGCTTTGGTACCTTATCCAACTGAGCTGTTGCCATGGCCTCATCTTCTGGATCATCCTTGGATGAGATAGTATTTTTATGTGATTGGTTTCGTGTTAAGTTCATGAAAATTTTGAATCACCGAACCTGGCGCCAAACGGAAGAAGAAAATATACAAAAAGTCGAAGACAGAAAGGTCCTCGAGCTAGAACAGCGCCTACCTTGAAAACAAAACTGATAGACGTAACTGATAATAGAATCTGCTCGATAGTTAATAAGAGAGTTCTGCAAGTGAATTCAATGAAATTTAGTTTAATTTAATATCCGCGGGACAGAAATCCTGACACGCTTTTATCTCTCAACAAAACGTGAAATATGAGAAGATCAATTGGAGACGAAATCAAGCACACGTGTCATAAATATCTTGATTGCAATTCATTATTACTTAAACATTATAAATCATTCAGGTCATCACATCTAACTCTATATCGTTGACTGGGTAATCCCAGACGTTGTAGCATCTGTCAGCTTGTACTAACATAATATGGAAGGATCATCATCCAAAAATCGTTGATCACATTGTGGTTTTGCGTTGCCTCAAAGAAGAGTATTCCAGAGGCTGTTCATCGTCGTCTTCCAATTCTGCTCGCGATACATTATCGAACTCCAGCTCTTGGTTTGTTAAAAGCAAACTTGGAATAGAAAATAGGGACGAAGAACTAGAAGAACACGATGAGCGAGTAAAAGTAAATGACCTGGCTCTGGAAAAGGTTTCTGTGCTTGCTGTCTTGTGGTACAAGTTATGAAGCACGCACATGAGCTCACTCTCACAACGACGTGATGTGTGTCCCTGCAACTGCAATGTTAGCCCCAAGTCAATCACTTTGAGGCATCCTATCCCTGCGATGTTATCGGGTTTTATAGCAAATTCAGTACCTACATCGCACTTCTCGTACACTTTTTCGTAATTCCTAAGCCGACTTTGGAAATCAAGGTAGCACCAAGCCTTATCTTCCACGTGCATATAGTCAGGCGAACGGTATACCTTATGGAGAATATTCCGGTTTATCACCGCCTCATCATTGCATATGCTTTCTAGAAATAGTACCTGATAACCTGATCCAAATCTAGATATTGTGTCAATAATTAACCTTCGGCGAGACCTGGTGGTGTTTGTGGCATCAAATATACCAATACGATGGGAATCATCGCTGGCGAGCCAGCGACACATTTTGTCTAGAGTGGCTGTCGCTATTTCGTCACGCCGACTTACGGCTTCACAGTTTTGTGTGTCGAACAGTGTTTGCTTCGGCGCATCAACCGCCATAGCCCGCTTTGAAAGCTCGTGGGCCGCTTGGGCGTCAAGGGATGCGAGGTTTAGGTAGCCCTGTTCTGTGATCGTACGATGTAACAGCGGCTGCCCACTGACTTTACCAGCCTCATCACCGACAGTTTCTTCTTCCTCATCGGAAGCCATCTGCCGCCGCTGTTTCCCTGCGTTGAAAAGCCTGCAGCTCTCTTCGTTCCCATAAAACTCTTGGTAGTGAGTCTTGACACGCTCTGCAATGAAAGATTTGCCTCGAGCAGGCAGCCCTACCATGCATATAACCAACTTGCCCGTCATTACAATCAAAGTTGTCGTAGCTTGTATAAGTCAAGAACAACTTCAAATGGAAAAAGAGCTTATAATCCTCGATTCTTTGAATAAACCCCACTAGATGGTAGGTTTTTTTATAAAAGTTTCATTTCTCCTCTAGCAGGCCGCCACTGTACACATACATTACTTTTTTGCCGTTGGATTTGTGTCGCAGTGACTAATATTCCGTCTGAATTGCGGAGGCTCGTCAGCACCATTGTGGAGTTCTTCCGAAAGCGGGGAAATGCCATTTTCTCCGGAGAAATCGTCCCGAACGGACTATGCGAAATGAGCGGAAAACGCGGCTTAAGAGACAAGCACGTGGGAACATCACCAAAGACGCTATTAAAAATCGTGCTTTCAAGTATATACTTACACATCGTGCCCGACTAATACCCATAATAACCCCCTGTTGTGCTGGTTGGTGCCGCATTAACATTATTGAGAGATGAGCCCGACCTTTGGTTCCTACTGCTCGACTTCAGTAGGGTCTTGAATCCATTGCACAATTGGATTACTGTTGGATAGTTGTAGTTGACCAGGAAAAAACCAGTGTGGGTCAGCTTTACGTTCCATGTGTAAAGCTTGCTTTGTGCGTTGATCTTGAACATTAAATAGAACCAACCAGGGTGTTCGTAGTTGAAGCTGAAATAATACACAGACCGATTGGGGTTGACTTTGGAGTAGTCCTCAATAAACTTGGTAACTTCCTTTTTGGTACCCTTCTTGAACTTCTCATTGGAGGTGATCTCGTTCAATAGTCTCACTTTATTCTGTAGATATTCTACAATAATTTGGTCCAGATCGTGGTAGCGCTGCCCTTCTACGATCAATACCTTACCCAAGGCAAGCGGATTCTCTTTTTCTTGTTCTTCAATGTCCACGTGCTGGAACAGATCTTTGTCAAGTTTCCAAGTGATCGAAAGATGATCGTCACCGCGTGAAGATTGCCTGATAACGAAATCACCGCGCTCCTTACTTCTGAGGTAGTCCTCGGCCTGCTTGCCGTTGAAGGGGAAGTAGTATGGATGGTTAATTACACGATGAGTACGTTTTGCTCTCGCTTCTCTCATTGCTATCTGCTTCTCCTCTTCGGCATCTTCTAACTCCTGTTTGAGGTCCCAGATCGATGGGTCCTTGCTGTAATGAATAGGAACGTATTGATGCTTTACGTCATGTTCTAAGAGGGACACCTCCGCACTGATGTTTTCATAGTCAATGAAAATGACCTTAGCAGGGTAAGTTTTTCCAATCTCGTACAATTCAGAAGCTGGCCTCTTCAGCTGGGCGCCTGCATGGCGCTGAGCATTGACCACACATTCAACTTGTGAATTTGTTATACACAAAATGTCACTGTGCCGAAATCTTTCAACTCTAACGGGGACAATACAACCCTTAAAGAATGTCTTATCCGTTTCACCTGTTAAAGCAGTAAACACCTCGTCACCGTGTAGCGGATGGAAATCATTTCTCAATTCCTCGAATCCGTCCAACAATTCCAACACAATAGTGTTTAAATTGTTCAGTTTTCTCTGTCCTGTGTTTTTCTCGAGTTCTTCAGCATAGGATTCCAAGTTTAGAGACTCAAGCTTACTTCTGCGATCCGGATCTTCCCTTAGGAGTTCTATAAATTCGCTCATAGTCCCTTGCTCTTCTTTCTCTGCAATCGCATCTGGATCATATTCGAGGGCATCTGCAGCAACTTTTGTTGCTAGATGGTAGTCTTCAGGGTGAATTCTGGTGCTATCAAGTTGATCATGTTCTAAATCTTCATATCTTTGATTTTTCTCATTCCATGAAATGTACAGAAATCCTGCAGAATTGACGAATATTGTCTTGTGTAAAATATCATGCGTGATCAACTGTTGACGTGCTAAAAGAGGTTCATTCAATCTTTGAAGAGATTCCAAAAAATCTGTAGCTTTACGCTTCCCTAGACCAGATATGTAATGCAAACACGATGCATAGTATGGATTATCCGTTGCCTTGTTCACCTCCATACCGACAAGGTTCACGATATCAACAAACGATGTTTCCAGGGCTCTCATAAAATATTCACGAGTGAGCAAAGATTGTTGGGGATGAATTGATAATGACATCAACTCGTCCGCTGATAAACTAGCATATTCCAATAATGGAGAATGCATGTAACGTGCAAGGGCAATACAATATTTTACTAAAGATGGTTTGTTGGGATATTCCTGATTACCACGTTCAGATGTTTGGTACCGAATTGCTATTTCATCCTCAACATAAATCACTGGAATGTTGTGACCTCTGTTATCAACGATCTGCTTCTTTTGAATCACTTCCTGCAGCTTTCTGTAGAGACGCTGAGTCTTTGGATTAGGCCCATTTATACCAATCGCATTTGGTTGACAGTTTTGGATGATCGTATCTAAGCTTTCCTCAAACTTTTGTGGATTGTTCCTATCAAATGGATTATCGACAATTTTGTAATCTCTGACAAAGTCAGTCTTTCTATTAACGTAAACTGCGATTATTGCATCAGAACCAAAGCGACCCTGTCCACAAGTAATTGTGAGCAACCTTGGAATTTTGGGGTCTTTGGGGTTAGGGATGAAAGGTGCCTGATCTAGTTTTGTCATAAATTTATGACGAACGCTTTTGGAAACGAGTTTCTGGCAGGACTTCTTTAGGTCGTCTTTAATTTCCTGACTAATATCGACGAAAATCTTGTCCAATGCATTAAAGAACGCTGTTTTCCTGAAGTTGTTCCATTCAGTAGCGACTTCTGAAGTATTGGTAGTTTCTAGAGCAGTTTGGAACAAATGGTCACAATATTGATCTTGCGAAGACATATGGATTTTGATATTCATGAGATGTAAAGATTCGGCCTCTAGCATCCTTAGAAAAACTTCTGGCTCTTTGCGGAAATGTGCTGGAGTCCTGTTGATCGCATACTTTATATCTTCGTATGGAGATCCTCTTTGTATTTCCTTCTTACCTTTGACTGTAAGAACAACATCCGCGATGTAATATCTGTAAAAATCAGCCCTGACTTTTTCTCTTACTTTAGGATTGCTTGCGATTTCAAGAGAGTAATACTTCTGAACGGTCTCCAATGCCAAATGGTGATTATTAGAGAATACCGATAGGTCAGCGCTTGTTGTTTCCAACAATTTGTCAACGACTAGCATAGGCTTTGAATCAGGATGATCGACTATAGGATGAATTTGGTGCTCCGCATGGATATTCTCACCAACATGCTCTGAGGTAATCCCAATATCATTGACTACCTGATAAAGGGCGCTCGATTTAAACTTCTCATAACTGGAGTTCTTCATGTGCTTTTTAGTGGATCCATTAGTGTTGCTCAATAGGGCTTCGTTAAGTTCACGGGCATATTTAAATTCCAGATAGTTGTAAATATCTTGGAGAGAGCTTATTTCTGTCATGGAAGAGCCTTGATTCTTGAAATATTCATCCACTATTGGATCATTGATTTCCAGTTGTTGATAGAACTTCTTCACATAATCTCTCTTGTAGATAATACTGTGAAATTCCGAATCCATGTAAACAATATCCCACAGGTCATCTTCATTCAAAACGAATCCGTCTTTATCACGCGAAGATATATAGTTTCTTCGGTAAGCATAAATGAAGGGTACCTCGAAATTATCCTGACTTATGAACTTTATTGCGTTACCCACGGCTTCTTTGAACTCAGTTAAATCATAGTCGGGATCGAAATTTTTGTCAACGGAAATTTTCTCGCTGATCCAATTCTTTTCTAATTCTTGGTCTTCACTGCTGAGTTGGCCATAGTTTTTTAATCCAGCTCTTAACTCTTGGTATCTCTCAGGTATATCAGCCCTTCTGATAACCATATCCTCTTCGGTCATTAAGTTCTTTTTCAAATCCTGAAGATCATAGATATCTTGAAGCGTAATTTTTGATTTCTTCGCATCTAGAAGGCTACCCTCTTCTTGATCCTCATCAGCGCGGACTGCTTCCTCATTTTGATCGAGATCTTCGTTTTCAACTTCAAGTGCCCAATCATAATCGTGGCCATCACCAAATATGTCGTACATTTCATCGATTTTTTCTGACGAAAGACCTGTTATTTGTACAGGCTGCTTCATGCGCTGCTCTCTGAGCATTTTTCTCTCTTGCAGACGTTGCTGTCTCGTTTCTTCATCTTCATCGGAAAATTCGTCCTCTTCGATAAAATCGTCTAATTCGTCCAGAATCCCAACGTCCGAAGGTTTCTTGCTTTGACCTGATCCTAATCTACCGGTATCCTCATCATGTTCAAGATTCTCATCTTCGTCTTCAGAAAAGAAATCGTCGAATTTGGATGTATCGTTTGATCGCTGGGGTTCATCGGCAACCTCTTGCTCGTTATCATCACCCGCTCTTTTTAAACGTTTGAATTTTCCTTTACTTGAAGAGGATTCCGTTGTTCTTTTGACGCCTGCATTTTCCATCAATAGGTCTAAGTCATCCTCCGATAGTCTGTCGTCATCTTCTTCTCTAGCACGCCTCTTATGCTTTCTTCTTCTTCTGCTACCAGTGGTTGCATCGCCATCATCTTCATCATCAACTATAAACCCCTCCCTTACACGCTTTGCCTCTTCTTCGTCGTCATCTAGATCTTCATCCTCTTCAGAAGAGTCGAAGACATCCTCACCCTCCTCCTCATCACTGGGAGCCTTATCTCCTGCAATATTGTCGTCAATAAGAGGCTCTTCCCTTTTGGTAGCTTCTTCACTAGACATTGGTAGTTCAACCGTGTCTGCTGCTGTTCCAATCAAGCTCTTAGACAAACTTGTATTTGTTTATAATCGGTGTGTTCTTGTTCGTTGGAGAAAAATTTTTGACGGCCCTAAAAAGTTACGAAATGATAAAAAAGAATCCGTCATGGTCACGTGAAAAGATAATACTCTCGAATTATATACACACGCTATGGGCTCATTATTATTTGATACATTATATAAATTTCTCAGCAGGCGTTAAATTTACATCCATAGTGCCAGCCTGCTCTTTCTGGTTTGAAATTTCCATGGCTTGGCGTTCCTGTTCGGCTTCTTCGGCTATGGAGTCATTGTCACAATCGCATTTTGCTTCATCCTCTTCACCTTTTTCCGGCACACAACAGCAGTCAGATATAGGTGGCTCATCAGATGCACTCTTTTGTTTCGAACAGCATCCTCCACCTGGGATTTTTGTGGTCGGGACAGGAGTGACTGATGCGCCATCGCTAGCTTCGCGATCGGTCTCTCTATGTTGACCACAGAAGCAACTGCTACCGCCTTTACAGTTACGTCTTCTTTCGATCTCTCTCTGTAAATTCCATCTGGAGATGAGACACATCTTCCATCTGTTAAAGAACACCTCAGCAAGTGCTAATCCTAAGATTACACCAAAAACATACGTTAGCACAAATGACATCGTAACAAGCATCAGCATGTAAATGAACATTGTAGACGTGAATGTTAACAAAAGTCTAATGAAATCGTGAGAAAGCTCTATGCTTGAGGGAGAAGCAAAGTCCATGAACAAGTTTGGGACCTTAGGCAAAAACTGTGTTTGAAATTCAAGATCCTGCCCATAATTATTAGCCGTTAATTGAGAAGAGGAGTCAGAGGATTCCTGAAGAGGATTGGAGGCATCCCGGTTCGATGCTTTGGGATTCCATTGCTTGAACCACTTCACCTCTAAACACCAACTGGTGAATAGCAAAAACTTATAAACGAAGGCCACGACTACAATCAGAACAAAAATACCAAATGCTCCACCTTTATCTTTGGCGGTCAAATGTTGAAAAAGAACTGGATAGTCCTTGAATTTTGGTGTGAGATAGGAATTCATCGCCATATTCATATCCATGTCCATGCTTGAGCTAGTTGAAGTACTTGAAGACATGTCCATCGACATTGTGCTGGTCCCGGATCCCATAGCCATAGTCGTCGAAGTGCTGGACGACGATACGACAGGGCTGGTGGCGGTAGAAGCCATCGTCGAACTCATGACCATATTCATGGATGTGCTAGACATATCCATTGTCATCGAAGAACCGGTTGACATTGAACTCGATTCAGAGCTCATGGTCATGGAGTTCATCGCGGAACTCATTTCCATCATTGTTGAGGAACTTGACATGTCCATACTAGAGCTCATGTGCGTAGACGTCGATGTGCTTGACATATCCATGGTAGAGCTCATATCCATTGTCATTGAAGAGCTTGACATATCCATGCTTGAACTCATGTCCATTGTCATCGAGGAGCTCGACATATCCATGCTCGAGCTCTGAGCATTCGACCCACGTGCCAATACTCCCAGGAGAGCGATAACACCAATTCTTCTGCAAAACATGTTCAGTTTTTTGAGCGATAGGCCTTCCCAATCCCGAAATCACAGTAAATGTAGCTTTCTCTTATATTTCTGGGCTTGTTGTTTTTTATCGTAAATTGCTCGCTTTTCGAGAATTCTATTTGCTCGCGTATAACTTTTTTTCTCTCATATTGAGTTCTTAAGCGAAAAAACACCCAATCTGACAGATCCTAACACAGAGACTATGGTACTAAAATGGAGGCCTTTTATTCAGATTTTGCCGATTTGTTACTCTCCTATTGGTAGACTGGATTGTATTTCTTTTCGCTATCCCGCCCAGTGTGCTCCTTTTGTTGGGGGGTACCAAACGCGAAGCACTAACAGCTAATGAGCGTCGCCTCTGCTGGTCAAAAACATCATGACTTATAGCATTGTTTCTTATTGTGTGCAATATTGATTTTCGCCTTAATTTTAAGTTTGAGGGAGGCACCATGCTAGGATTTGAGACGAATGAAGCGTCTGTGTTATCTTCGTCATTAAGATCTTGGTCTGCGAATAACGATAGAGATGTTGGTTGCTTCACCGAGCGTCTCGCAAGCTTCGCAGGTGATTTTTGATGCACATTTTCTTGTCTTGTCTTTAAGTCATCACTTTCAGCCAACTGCCGCAGAATAATCTGCTTTTCGCTTTCTAAATCTGTCAGCTCTTGCATTATTCTGATTTCTCCTGCGGTATCATGCGGCATATGTGAGAAATCAACACACCACGAATTGCACATTAATCCATACAACAATGCGCCGATGGATTCATTCAAATCAACCAAATTTTCGTGTATGAAATTCATTTGTGTAAAGTTGCTATCCAAAGTAATCATGGCATCTGCTAGCTCTTGAATTTGCGGAAGAACGTAAGTATTCACCATATTTTCTGTCTCGTGTCCTTCATTGTTATTTGCTCCAAACGATGACCTACGGGAGCCCGGGTTGCTTGAAATGGACAGCCGATATTCAGTAACACTCTTATGGTCCCGAACTGGAGTTGGGAGTCCCCCTGAGGGCTTTATGTCAGACATTATCGATCGGCTGGACGCTTCTTCAATCGTTGTTATGCAATGGGTTCTAAACTTTCAATAGGCATTTTCGTCGTATTTAATGATTGATATATACACAGGACTTGAAGGAATACTTAATGGTTAATTACATGAACTTCTTAGCATGTCTGAGTTTGTCACGCTTGAGTTGTGATTGCGATACGGCACCGCTCCGATTACGCTTTAACGCAATCACCAAAAATATACTGCTGAGAAATGAAAGACCATACCAAGTGACTAGATACTGTAAGTGATTATTCTTTAAATCAATTTTAGGAGTTTTTCCTATCGGAACTCCAGCTTTGACTAGTTGATACTCATTGAACTCGACATTGCTATCATTGTCAAGGAATTTTGTCTGACCCTTTTCTTTGTCTTTCTTTCTCCAGAATGTCCAAGAATTTGTAGGGGTACCACTTTCTTGATTTGTTGATTCAGTTGCCCAATGATGATCCTTTAAATCATACAGCGCCTGAATGTGAATGGGTGTACACCCAGTTGCTGCACACATTTCATCGATGTCAATAATTTGCCAGAGGCGACTATCTTTATCTTCTTTTTCCCATTGGAATGTACCTTTTTTCTTGGCAACGCGAACGAGGCACTCAATTTTAACATTATTACCTTGAGGTACAGATAAATGCATTAAATGCCTCTTGGTAGGTACAACGTTATCCTCACTGACCCACCCTCTCTCGATTAACAGTTTCTCACCGGTGTCCTTTCTTACAAATGGGGTGAAAAGAAGATACCCCTTGATCCCATTTCTAACCCTTGGTCCCACAAATAGTTCCTCATCATGCTTGAATTCCCCTGTCAAGGTAACCTTACGATACTCCCAATTCTCGGCCATGTCAGGTGTGAAATGTTTTGGCAAGGGAACAGGAGGATATGTCAATCTATCTTCACATACAGCAATGAGATTGGTCTTCCACTTGAGTCTGCGCATCTGCCAAGTTCCCAGGTAAAAAGAAACAACAGGCATCGCTATCATTAATCCTAGAAATATCTTGCTTGTGAAGCCTTTCTTGTTGGAGCTTTCATTTGGTGTCTTTGTGCTTTTGAGAGGTTTCCAATCAACAGTAGAGGTTTTCACCGATCTTCTCGCTGAAGCCAAATAAAGACTCGATCTTTTCGATGCGAGTTGCCTCAGGGAAGTCAACATTGGTATTGATTTCAGCATTTACTTGCGAATCACTTGAAGAAGCTATTTAATTAGCAACAAGAAGTGTCAAAATGTCGAGGGTACAAAAAAAATCATAGCGAACGGTGATTTGATTATTCCCAGATACCGCTTGAATCAGCGTCGTGAATATAATTATGTACATGATTTATAGATTGCCATCTATATAACGGGCTAACTGGAGTAGTATGCCTTTCTCACATCAATGACCTTCTTACCCCTTCCTAATGCAATCTCATCTAAGGTCTGTTGGGCAGTTGTCAAAGCCTCGAGTGTTCCCTTAGCGATGTTCATTTCATTTCTACTCTTGTAGACCTTCCCACTCAAATCTTTGATACCTGCGCATTCACAGATTTCATAAATGATATGGTTAACTCTGAGTCCAAAACCGGGCTTCACTGATCTGAGAAATAGTTTAACTCCGTGGTATCTGTGGTCAATATCTCCATATATAGTTCTTTTCTCGTACCTTGGAATTTCTTTGAGGTTACGAATAGCATCCCTGTGTGCCTTGGAGACCGCTTTCGACATCTCGTCTCTGGATTTGCCCTCGCCGAGACCAACCATACCGTTACGGTCACCCACAACAACAAGAGCATAAAAACTTGGAATCTTACCCTTACCAGTCTGATTGGAAACACGTTTCATGATCAATGGACGCATAACCAGTTTCTTTGTGATATAGTCAACATCTACACCAGTCTGTTTGCGCAGACCACGTGCAATTTCAGCAGTTGCAGAAGAGCGACCACCGTCTAAGCGTGGTATGGATGAACCCGGAGGAACATCTTGCCCATTGGGAATCTTCTGTTGGATTTCATTGAAGTCGTACACAGAGGAGGGCTCTTGCGAATGGATGTTGGGAAGACCTGGCTTGTAATCCCAGTAAGGATCCAATTTCGAAAAATCGTCCAGATAAGAGGGAGAAAACTCGACATTGGTCGACACCTCAAATTTTGTGTCTGGTGGGATGACCGATTCTGCAAGTTGAATGGACTTCACAAGTTCCTTAGGATAGTACTTCGACAAAAACTCAGCGTGGGATATCGACGATGGTTTTCCATTCTGCTGTAGAAGACGAAACCCAGTGGAGAAAGCCCTTCTAAACATGGTGCTGAGCGGGTTGTAACGCGTGCTTACTTCCTAATGCTGCCTGCACTTGATATCACTTGTGCATGGGCTCGGTAGTCGCGGTGCAAGAGAAAAATTTTAGATCCGTATGGACGGTGGCCCGAGTCACGTGGCACACACGTGAACACGCCTCTCCAGGTCACGTGCGTGTGGCTGTACACGCCGCGAATGAGACACCGGCTTTTAGCGAGGGCGCGACTTCTCGTTGCGCCGCGTCGCCAGCTCCGCGACGGAGTACATGCTATTTGACCGGGTTTCCGGAAGTATGAGGCCCGGGTGCCTGGTGCATTCTACTCAACGTGCGCATTTTGCGCCCGAAGAAGCTCTTGTGAAAAGATCCATTTGAGCTTTCCTGCCAAGACATACAGCGGCGTTTCGGCCGGAAGCGTCATCACCCTGAAACAAAGCCGTGCAACGGTATTTCCAGAAACTCATCTTGCGTAAGGGCGCATGCTCATACTAGAGCCAAACGCAACGCTGCGATCTGTAGGCTCTCCATGTACACACATCCGAAGACCGTTTCAAGGTCGGCCACTCAACAGCAATAGTTGCACTCACTGTCGACGCCCGTTATAGTGTAGGTATGGCTTCCAAAAAAAGAGGCACAATCCATAGCATTCTTGCACCTCTGTCCGCTGAATGCTATTTTTCTCCGACATGCCTTGTGCATTGGATCATAATGCGGACGGTCCCTTTTCAGGCACCTCGCCTTGAAAACCTCGCACCATATGCACCTCATAAGCAGGCGGGGTCTGGGTGGATCCGGCGTTTGATTTCGATTATTTCAAACGCCGAACGAGTTTACTTCCGATATCCGTGCGAGCTCTTCTGAGCGCGGAGCTAGTAAATCTTCGGTAATCGTACTTCGGCGCTTTATTGCCCTTCGTCTTAGATTACGGTCAGACTACGTTACCGAGGTTATTGAAACCATTGTCAATTATGTAACCCTGTTTTGGTTCCTGTTACGTAGTATGTTCGGGAGCGCATGCAAAACGCCCGGGAAACACGTAGCAAGAAGTGGCTGAGAGAAAGCTAAGAGACGGGGCGTAACTTCCTGAGAATGCTGTGGAATTTAGCACTTTAGAACCCAAGCCAACCGTTGTAAAAAGCCGACCAGACGTAGTTCGCAGCAAGAGTTTGCAATGAGCTTGTCATTTGGTGGTGGTAGATCTTGGGAAATATCACTACGATGCATAGGAAATCCCTATTACGTTATCCAAGAACAGGGGTTGGCAATAACCCAAGAGTGCTGAGCACAGCAAGACTCACCCCCGATAGGCACAAAGATAGCGTGGGTTCTGGCCAAGTTTTCGGAACGTCGACGCGTGGGGATCGCTACAGTATTATCTAAACTATGTACCCTTAAGCCCGTCTTAAACGGGAAATATGCGTATGCAAGAGAATATGCTGCTCACAATGTCTGCATGCAGTATCTGTGTTAGAGTTATGTTGTGTTGCAGGTCGCCTATCTCGAACGGCTACTGGGGCCGGAGCATGATTAAAAAAAGAAATGACGCTCTGGTAGTTTCCTTGCATTACGCCAATTTGGTCCGCAAGGTTGCGAGAGTGTTTTGAAATATATATAGACAAGGTTCGGGCGTGCAATTAGCACGGGACATTTATAAGAGGAACAGTGCCAAGACTTTTTGTCGCTTCGATCGCATCCGATCCGACCCTATGCAATCAAACATCAAGCTTCCCTCTATTAGTACTTTGCTGAGCGGTGTGCCGGCCCTCACGAGCGAGCGTGACTTGCCCATGCTAACCCCCGTGGGCCCTGCTCCGATAGGCATGATGGCTCCTCTACAGCCTCGTGCGTACTCAATAATGGTTCCATATGGGTGGCCCGCTCCCCAACTGCGTGCTAGCAACCCAGCTACTGGACCTTATCCCATGTCCGCCGGCTACCACGTGGCCTCGGGGTCAACAATGGTGGGTGCGCATGCTCGCGTGCCCGTGATCAGTCCCCGTGGCTCTGTGGCCGTCACGCCCTCCGTGTCCCCTCTTTCCAGCAGGTCGAACTCCACCGAACACTCCAAGAAGGCCCAGGAGCCAGCGGACACCGCAGAACTCAAGTGTGTGTGTCGCAACAACACCCAGAACGGCCATCACATCCCTCGTCCCCGCAATGCCTTCATTCTGTTCAGACAGCATCTACATCAGCAACTGTTTGCGAAAGAGTCGTCAGAGTCCACCGAGTTGTCGTTCAAGACAAACTCGCAGGTCTCCCACGAGATTGGCCAACGCTGGCGCGCGCTGGATGATAAGGATAGACAGTACTGGCAGGAACTGGCGCTAAAGGAGAGAGAGCTACACAAGCAACGTTACCCGGATTACAAGTACATCCCGCGCAGAGCGCGCGCTGGCAAGAGACAGCGCAAGGATGGGTGCGAGTACTGTCGTAAGAAAAGAAGCCATAGCTCGTGATTACGACCACCTCGCCCACTCTACCCATCTCATAAGTTCAACGTGAATTGTAATTGTAGTAATTGCGTGCCAAAGACGGCTGGATCGCTTTTGGCTCCCCTCATAGCATTGTATGATTGGTTAATTAGATAGTATTTAGTCTATTTTCTACGTTGGTAAGTACACTCATAACTACATTTGGAAACTAATAATTGCACCAACCATTCTGTATCCCGGACCGTCTTCCAGGTTGCTCGAGACTAGAGAGCGCGTGGCTCGAAACAATATGGGTTGAGTGTTTTCACAAGCTGATCTTCGCGGCTCAACAAATACGCATTTCATTTTCTTTTGCATCGCAGCACTTCTGTCGTGCATATGCATATGTACGTCGCGTAGAGAACCCGCGGCGCTCCGCATGTCTACGTCTACTTCTGGAGTTGAGTGCGTGCCTCCAAGAAAACTTGCATCAGCGTAGATCCGGACCGTAAAAAAAGGTTGGCCAACAACCTATCAAATCAGCGACTACAAAATTTTTACTCTTATCACCACGGCGACTCGGAGTCACCCAGCGCTACCGCAATCTTGCAAGCAGACCGTCACATTTGTAAACTATTCTAGAAGGAAGGAAAGCGCACAATCTGAGCTATATTATGCAGGTTAATAATTGTGATCATGGGTGAAAATCGTGGTAAAGTCTGACAGAACAAGCATGCCCGGAGGATCCTCATTGAAGTGTGTGATAACAAGGTATTTTATTTACGTTTCGCCCATTTTTCGTGGCTGGAACTGGCCATGTAGCCTTCACAAGCACAAAATGCAAACAACCCCGAAGATTTGCGCGCGATACGGACTGTTTGGGTTTCACTATAACTCCGAGGCCAACTGAGGTGCATGCCATGTTCTGGAAGGCACTTTGCGCCCAGCAGCGTTTTTCTTCTGCAACTTCGGAACTGGCCGAGCGGAAGGTAAGGGAGAAAATGCCCAGAAACAGCCGGGCAAATGCGTTTCGGAGCTTCTTACATTAATTCCGTAACGAGCATGTGCCCATTTTGCGGACATAATGCCCAATGCCAATGGACTGCAAGACACTTCGCCTTGCATTTGCTTGATATGTAAAGGGTGTGCCTTTATGGCATACGATTGTCGGCATGGGGGACCGTCCACGTGGCGTGTTTCGCGGAGATTGTCGGCGTTCAATCCATTCCGCTTGTGTTGGCTTCGTATTCATGCGGCGTTTCCATCCTGCTAAAGTCACATGGAGCGACCCGACGGCATTATTCGGCGAGCGACGCAATACAATACTCCGTGTAAGGGATCTGAGTGCGAGGCTTTCAACGGCCGCATGAATGGGGTGCGCTGTCGGGAACTGCTCCCTACGGGATTACACCGGCATTTCCGTGTCGCTAATGACGTATTGTCAAATACCGATTGCACCAAGTTCTCAAAAGCCGAAATTCTCGGTTTCTGGCACGTGATATTAAACTTTTTCTGCGTCTGTTAGACGTCAGTGAATTTATTGTTTATTTGTTATGCACTCAATTTGAAGGTAAATCTTCTGTCACGGCTAGAACATGTTTATCATACAAGTCTCTCCGGGGCTGTAGTTTCTGCGCATTATACGCTAATTCTGTGTCTTACGGTAGATAACAGTGCCAAGGTGGCCATATCTATTGAGTCATTCTCGATAAAGATAGGGTGCTCTGGCTTGCCGGTACGTAATGCTAAGTGGTGCCACCTAGCGAAAAGGTGAAAGGTACGGGTTGCCATTTTGTACCGCTGCAATTTAGAGAATATCAAGAAAACACCGTTGCCCCAATCAAGCACTCTTGGCGCATGGCCCCAGTGTGCTGCGACTGGGATTCTAACTGTGATGCTCCGGGCGTCTCAATGTTATCACAGGACGATACGTACACAGTGATGCATCGGCTCTGGGGCTCGTCCGGGTGGCGAAAACGAATCGGATGTAGTTCACTCGAACAATGAGTAGCTCTAAAATACTGCGAGGATGCTTAGGAGTCTGCTGTTTAACGTTGGTAGCGTATACCGCACCAGACCCGTAACAAGACGTCCGATTTTGTCCTCAACAAGGCTTTTCAGTGCACAGAGTACGCGATTTTTCCATTACACTCCCAGAAGACTGAACTCTAACGAGCCGAACAAAGATGACAAAGACAAGGACAAAAAAGATGACAAGCAAAAGAGAAACCCAGAAGATTTCAAAACGCTAGGAGAGTACTTCAAATCTAAGGAGTTTGCAAAGACAGTATACTTGACAGTTGGACTGACGTTCATTTTTCACATTTTGACAACTCCCACCACCGACACCACCGAGGACAACGTGCTAACGTTCCAGGAGTTCAAGACAAAGTACCTTGAAAAAGGCCTAGTAAAGAAGGTTTACGTAGTCAACAAGTACCTGGTAGAGGCCGAGTTGGTTCCTCAGGCGGTGAATGGGCTTGGAAGCGGAAATGGTTTCTTCTCGCTCCCCAATACATCTCCAGTAGTGGCGTTTACCATTGGTTCCGTGGACCTTTTCGAAGAGCAAATGGACGAAGTCCAAGACAAGCTAAAAATACCACCAGAGGAGCGGATCCCCATAACATATGTCGAAAAGGCCTCCCTTTTACAATACCTATTTCCATTTTTGCCCACGATTATACTATTGGGTGGGCTTTACTTCATTACACGTCGCGCATCAGGAGCGGCAGGTGGCGGAGCTGGCCCCATGGGAGGCATGTTTGGAGTGGGTAAATCCCGTGCCAAGCTGTTTAACAAGGAAACGGATATCAAAGTGAAATTCAAGGACGTTGCCGGTTGTGATGAAGCAAAATCAGAGATTATGGAATTTGTGCATTTTTTACAAAATCCAGAAAAATACAGAGCGCTTGGTGCTAAAATACCACGAGGTGCTATTCTGTCCGGACCCCCGGGTACTGGTAAGACTTTGCTCGCCAAAGCTACTGCAGGAGAAGCTGGTGTACCATTTTTGTCTGTGTCAGGTTCAGAGTTTGTTGAGATGTTCGTTGGTGTAGGTGCCTCTCGTGTTCGTGATCTTTTCGATACTGCAAGGAAGATGGCACCCTCTATTATTTTTGTGGATGAAATAGACGCTATCGGAAAGGAAAGAGGAAAAGGAGGTGCTTTAGGTGGAGCCAATGACGAAAGAGAAGCGACTCTCAACCAACTTCTAGTTGAAATGGATGGTTTCAGTACAACAGATCAGGTTGTGGTACTCGCAGGCACAAACAGACCGGACGTACTAGATCCAGCTTTGATGAGACCTGGCAGATTTGATCGGCATATTCAGATTGATGCCCCCGATGTCGAGGGCAGAAAGGCAATTTACCAAGTCCATTTAAAGAAATTGAATCTTGACCCTGAGTATTCCACTAACGAACACAAGGAATTACTTGCAGGCAAATTAGCTGCCTTGACTCCAGGTTTTGCTGGTGCAGACATTGCAAATGCATGTAACGAGGCTGCTCTGATTGCTGCGAGACATAAAGATGCTTTTGTGGAATTAAGACACTTTGAGCAGGCCATTGAGAGAGTCATCGCTGGTTTAGAGAAGAAGTCTCGTGTTTTGTCCAAGGAGGAGAAGAAAACAGTCGCGTACCATGAGGCGGGTCATGCCGTATGTGGCTGGTTTCTACAATTTGCCGATCCGCTACTTAAGGTCAGCATTATTCCTAGGGGTCAAGGTGCATTGGGTTATGCACAATATTTGCCTCCAGATCAATACTTGATTAGTGAGGAACAATTCCAACATAGAATGATTATGGCACTTGGTGGTCGTGTATCAGAAGAACTTCATTTTCCTTACGTCACAAGTGGAGCACATGATGATTTCAAGAAGGTAACTAACATGGCTCAAGCAATGGTAACAAGACTGGGCATGTCACGCAAAATAGGTTATGTTGCATATGATCAAGATGATCGTGGATTTCAGGTGACCAAACCTTTCAGTGACCGTACGTCGAGAACAATCGATTTGGAGGTGAAACGCATCGTAGATGATGCCCACTCTAAGTGTAAGAATCTACTAACTGAAAAGCTGGATATGGTGGATAAAGTAGCACAGGAATTGTTGCGCAAAGAGGCCATCACAAGGGAGGACATGATTAGACTGCTTGGACCAAGACCTTTCCCAGAAAGAAATGAAGCATTCGAAAAGTATCTTGATCCTAAGAAAGACGATGGTACAGTAGCAAGTACTTAATCACATAGGGCACTTTTTCCTGTAAATAGATTTAATTAAGAAGTAGTAAGAAGGGTTTCCGTCTACACAATACATTTTTACAATCGCGCTATAAAGTCTCCGGTCCGAAGTGCTGTAGAGCAAATATTATTATAAATTAGAATGTTTCCTCATCAGTGATCAGATTTTGTGGCGGCTGATGCTTAGCGTCAACTAAATTTTCAGTAGGTAGCTTTTCATATCCTAACGCATCTTGCGATTGAGAAACAGGCTGTGAATCTTCCTCTATTACCTCGAACCCTTCCTCAGTTGCGTACAAAATTTGCTGTACCTTGTTCAGGAACTTGACAAGTGCTTCAGATTCGTTTTCATAAACACCTTCTTTGCAGAGATCTTTCGTTGACTGTGAAAGAATCTCAATATCCCTGAGTTTTCCAAAGTAGAAATCGCGCTCCCTTTCCATGATTGGCATGGCCTCCTTATATTGAGTTAGCTCTTTCTGAAGTGATTGTATATTTGCCTGAGCTTGTGATAGCTCAGCTTGCATGCTCAGTAACTGCTCAGTAGTCACCCTTCGTGTGCCCAATGCTCCCTGGTTGCGAGAGGGCAACGATCCGCTTCGAGTAGCACCTGTTAAGGAACTTCTAGGTCCAGAACTGGTCCTTCTTTTGGCAACATTAATGATTGATCCACTAGTAGGTGCACTATTGGCTGTGGGTCGAAACTTTCTTCTTGAATCGGGATCGTAAATGCTCTCGTCCTTATGCTGTGTCCAGTATCTCTTGAGCCATTGTAGAAATTCTAAGTTGTCTTGAAACCTACACCTGACAAGCTTTTCGACGTATATGATCTTCTCCACCTTGTGCTTGGTGAAGCAGCTTTGTAGAATCTTGAAGTTCGTCATAAACTCATACTCTGCAGTCGAATTAAACTTCACTCGATGCATTGGCACGTCCCCGTAGATCGAATCCATGATCTGACAGTACGCCGCCCCTGTGCCACATTGCTCAATTTTAGTGTAGTTAAGCTTGAGAAGATCATTCAGCCACGTCAGTAATTCTGTGCGTGATTCACCTACACCGCTCATCCTTGCGTCTATTGTTATGAATGAGTGCGCGTCAAGTCCTCTTCCTAACGCGATCAATTCAGCGTGAAGCTCTGCGTGCAAAGCGATTACGAACCTTAATAAACACGCGATCCATCATTTATACATAAACACTACGAGAGGATCTAAATTCTTCAGTCGCCATTCTGCATATGTTTTGGTGAATATAAGTTCGATGGTTAGCCACTAAGCTGCCGTCAATCGATGATCGACTGTACTGATCATATTGAAATATTCGCGCACATTGTACAAGAATGCACTTCTATAAACGCAGTAAGGTCCTGTTTAACACCACAAGAAGGTGATGAACATTCTATCCTATCCTAAGAACCATGCTAGCCTCAATTGGCCTTTATAAACTTCAAAAGACCAACTGAACACGTGATACGATGATCTTTTGTCATTTTATATTGGACTGTGTGGGTATTATTAGGATTCCAACGTCATTGGTCCGCAAATCGGAGTATACCAAACCATGGTCGCCAGAGACCGGGTTTCGCCGATGAATATCAACTCTGTGACTCCGGAGACTATATCACAGATGTTTCAAAGCATGGAGGCGAGGCTCGCAGATCTGCAGCAACAGGTGCAGTCATTGCAATTACAATTGCGCCAGGAGCGCTCAGAGAGGCATGCATTCCAACAAAGAGTTGGGAAGAAAGTTCGAAGTGTTCTCACTAACTTGTTTGAGGATGATGTTAGTGCCTCAGAAGACCTTCCATTGGAAGAAGATCATATGAACGATTTCGATGAGGTGCGTGCAATTCTGGATGCTGCGGACAACCGGTCTCGCTCAAATCCTCGGCTACCAAACCAAACTCCGAACGCTACTCCTTCTGAGCAAGATACGTCCCCAGAAGATATGCTTAGCTCTTTTGTTGGGGGTCAACGAAGCGGCATAGTAACGCTTGCCGAATTGGCAGAAAATGCCAATTCACAAGTAGATTCCTCGCATCAAACAGCTACGCTACCTTCCCTCGTTTTGAAGGACATTGACCAAAATAGTAGTCACAATGAGGATATAGCTACTCTTATCAATGATGCGATGGCCCAAAACATTAGAAAGCGCACTTTATCTAACGAATTCCTACTTTCGCAGCCCCAGAGGAGCAAAACGCGCAACATTTCAGGCATCGACCCCTCTATGTCTTTAACTCCTATAAGTCATCCAAGAAATATACCGATAATACCTCTACGCTTGAACACACCCGCTAGTTTAAGTAATGCTCCACCTACTCCTTCGGGCCAATTAAGTGAATCTGATATACTAGAAAAGTGGGGCGTACGATTTTCGGAGAAGTATAATAATATATGGGAGATGTGGAACGAATATCAGAAAGTTGGTGAGAAAGGAGTCTCTATCAAGTCCTTGGAGCTTTCTTTCTCAAACAGGTGGAGAACCAATTTACGGAAAAACGTGAAGAAAAAATATAGCAGGCGTTTCATTGTTATTAGAGCTATAGAGACCGGAATCAAAAGAGGTAAGACTGTTGAAGAGTGTATCGAATTCTTGGAGAATTTTTTGAAAAGTAATAGTAAGCCAATATCGCATCTCTACAGAAAGGCCAACGTTCCTCAAGAACTAACGTAAATTCTGCATAAAGGACAAACTAGGTAAGGAATTGAATAAATAAGTATAATAAACATAATATCATAATTTTTCGTTTCTAATTAGTGAGCCTTGTTCGTAAAGGTGATCGAACTCTGATCGAAAATGCTTGATAGCTTTCGCTCTTTTCACTTTGAAGGTGGGGGTTATTGTGTCGTCTTCAACTTTAAGAGGTTCAATTCCAACCACGATATTATGAATCTTCTCAAATCCTTGCAAACCCTTGATAAATCCATTTATTAATTTCAATAATTGCGTTTTCTCCGGTACTCTGTCATTTAATGCGTTGATCAAATCTTGGCCGTAGAGGTGACCGAGACTAGGAATTCTGCGGTGTAATATTGGTGTTACACTTTCCATGTCCAAACCCACAACGGCCACAAGATAGGTGCGTAAAGAATCCCCATGAATAAATAGTTGGGTCAAATAAGGGCAAGATGACAGGTACAAGTTCTCAATCTTTTCTGGAGCGATATATTCTCCTTGAGCCAGTTTGAAAAAATTCTTGACTCTGTCAACGATACGTAAACGTCCTTTTTCATCGATATGTCCAATATCCCCCGTAGAGAACCATCCATCAGAGTCCAATACCTTGTTCGTTTCCTTCTTATTCTTGAAATACAAGTCAAATATTTGAGGGCCACGAAGCTGCAACTCACCCTTGAGATGTTTTTCAGCATCATAGCCCATTTCGGGCACCGATTTCAGTCTGCATTCTGTGCTTATACCAATCCCACCACATGACCCCGAATCCCGCTCATGTGGTTCACTGATGCAAATTCCAGCATAGCTCTCCGTCAAACCATATCCCTGGCGAATTCCGCAATCCAAAGCACTTTTCATGAAAAGTAAAGTGTCATTGGAGATGGGCGCCGACCCTGTGATTAGAAAATCTGTGTTTTCTAGGCCCAAGGATGCACGAATACGATCTATGAGAACCCTGTGAAAGACCATATTATTTATCAGTGAGTGATCTTGTCCACCCCGAGCAGTGAAACGTGCTTGCTTCTTGTTTAAAATGTTTTTTGCAACGGATTTAGCCATTGAAGAAACTGAGTCGTTGGTCAAAGAATTCTTGATCCCTGCTTCAAATTTAGTTAAAACCCGTGGCACGAGCGATAAAATGTCGGGCTTGAGTAACTTTAAATCCTCCACCAACACTGCTGGATCTGCTTTGTGAAGAAAGCCTAAACCAATTCCTCGTGACAGAGCATAGCCAGAGATCATTCTCTCAAAAATATGCGCAAGTGGGAGAAAGCACATGTCATGTAACTGCTTTCCGCGCTTTGCAGCAGGTATACGAAACGTTGAAGCCGCCATTGCCACACCAGCAGAAATGTGACTGTGCTTCATTTCTACACCTTTGGGAACACCCGTGGTACCTGACGTAAATGAAATGGTGTACAAAGTTTCTGGCTTAGGGGGGATAAGTGGAACTTTGTTCCTCGCACCAATATCTTCAACTTGTTTCAAAGTTAGTAGCGAAATCGCTTCTCCCTTTTCATTACGTTTCTTAGGTAGCAAAGAGTTGTTCAGCTGAAACAATTCGTCTGAATCCAAGTTATCCATGCAAATCAGAGTATTCAAATTTGGCAGTTTGGGCAATAACTCCAAAGCTCTGTAAATATTGTTTTGAGATAGTATTAACACTGGAGATTCTGTGAGGTTCATGATAAACTCCGAAGTTTCCGGACCTAATGTCTCATATAACGCAGTATTAGCTAGCGAATAGGCCTGGCAAGCCAAGTCGGCAATGATCCATTCCTTACGATTCGCCGACATAATTGACACGATAAAGCCATTTTCATCGAAACTTTTCTGACGTTTGAGATTTACGATGGTCATAATCCCACTTCCAAAGTTTCTACTCCTCTCTTGAATTTCACGGTACGTTTCAAAAACGTAGTATTCACTCAATTGACCCGTTATAGGGTCTTTGATTCTTTCGCCTAAGCAATCGTTGTCTGGATGACACTCTACAGAAAAGTTAAACAAATCAAACGCTGTTGCAAGTTTCGGATGCACGCAAGATATCAGTTTGTTTGGGCTCAAAGCACTTCGGTAAGTAGCGCTGTATCCTGATTGTGATTTGCTCCCCGCTGCAGGCACAGATTGCTGCTTTAAAAACTTCTTATAGTTCAGATATGATGACAAGGGCATTAGATCGTAGAGTGCCTCGAGATATTCGCGGGAGTCCTTTTCATAATGTGAAAGCTGCTGCTTCAGCTTCACAAATCTTACATCCGTTTCAACGAGTTCAGCTATACTAATGTACTCTGCCTTTTGAGATCCATCCATTGACATTGTTCAAATTCTGCATTATTTGGAAAACAGAGCACTTCTGTCGTAAGATATTTCATAACCTCAAATTTATACCATGCTCGACCCTCTCCAATTTCCCTTATTCTCAATGACAATGTCATTGACAATCTTACTCCAATAGTCCGGGGTCGTTGCATACGTCAAATCTTAAAACAATGACCAAAGTAGAAGGCTCGAAGAAATCAATCTATAAGACCAATTAAGCTTGTTCATCAATAATTGATTTTGTATTATGTTTGCTGAATTGAATGTGCACCGGCTTACCAAAAAACTGGTCGCCTTGAAGGGAAAGTCTTGCCAAATTGGCCTCATCGACGCTTCGTAGAACCACGAAAGCTTGCCCTCTGAGTTTCGGAGACATTGAAATCTGTAAGACTTCGCCATAGGTGGAAAAGAAAAGGTATAAATTCTCTCGCATAGTTTTGATTCTTACTTTGTCGTTGAGGTTGTGAACATATAATGTGTTTTTGGGGGAAGGTTCACCTGGAGAATTCTCTTCCTGAATCCTTTGCCTCTTGACCACAGAATCTAATTTTTTTTCAGATGAAATAGTACCCTCGCCGTGTCTTTTGCTTGCTGCCATTGATGGTCCTCTTCACGTCTAAACTCTGATCGTTGCAAGGTCATCGAAAGCTACTGCAACTTGAAAGTAAAAAAAAATGCTAACATGGATTTAGAATTCACGTGATATATCATAAATAACAGCTTTTATAATAAATAAGAGTCAATGCTCAGGTCTTGGATAGCGCCAGTGCATCATCAAAACCATCAACAACTACGTCAGGAACACCAGGGCCCTTGCTAAATGCCATCCCACCAAGGGAAACGTGTTTGCCGTAATCTTTGGTAAAGAGCGAGTTGATACGAATGAGCCAGTCGTCGTAGCCGACTTTGAATTGTGGCAGGCAGTTCTCAGCTACAGTCACTTGCCACACGGCATTATCTAGATCTGTATCTGAAATATGCAGCTGCGTTGAGAAAGCGTGCTTCACTGCGTTGATAATCAAAGATCTAGATGGTACGCTGTGTGGACCCTCTCTATTCAAATAGTGGCCACCAAGCATAGCGGTGAGCTTAGTATAATCTGAGCTTTTGAAAGCATGCTCTGCAGTTGGGGTCAATGGCTTGAAATTCTTCTCAATCACAGAATCAAAGATTACACCTAGCAACTTTTCATGGTTTTCGTTTGATTGTGGCACCAAATATCCAAATGAGTGGAACGAAGGCACAACATCCTTACTAGGCAAATAATAGTTGACCAATAAAACGGTATTCGACTGAACTTCTTGTAGCAAATCTTTTAAAGTGGAATCTTCAATCATTTGGGAGATAATCGCAGGATTACTGGTAATTCTTAGATGATCAAAATCATTCAATTGTTCTCCATCCGAGAGGTGCAACGATAATTTGCCCTTTTTGTCCATCTTAAAGGAAGAAACACTCTTACCCGTGAGTAGCCGAATGTTTGGGACCCCTGTAATAGCCTCGGTTAAAGCCTTGGGGAAAGTTTCCAGCCCATTTTTCAAACCCAGCATCGGGTACTTGACCAATTGCGAACGCAGTTTTTCTAACTCGTCTATATCTCTATTCATCGCCTGCTGATATACTTTAAGATCTTTGCTTAAGACAGATTCCTTGTTCATGTCGTTGTCCTTCTTTTTACTCATTTTATGTAGCATGGCCCTAATCAAAGAGCCGTGCTTATTTTCCATTTCCACTAGAGCTCCCAAAGTTCTTTTGGCACTCAATTCTTTGATATCTCCGGCGTAAATTCCGTGAAAAATTGCACTAAAGATGTTTTTGCTCATATATTCGTTACCAAACCTTCTCGTTATGAAATTATGAGCGCTTTCATCCCTTCCCGGATGATCAGGTCCTTCTCTAAAGGGCTCTCCTAACATTCCTGGCACCACCCCCTTTCCTAACGGACTAACCAAGAACTTGAGAAGGCTGCCAGGAGAGTTGGGGACCTGTATAAGCTTATTATCGACGCTCAATAGGAATTTACGATTTGCTTCTGAATTCGACTCAATATACTGCACAGTGTTTTCCTTATTCAGGGCCTTGAGTGTGTCAATTATCATAACTGTACCATCAGAAGCCCCTCTTAGCGTTCGTGGCCCTTTCTCAACCATAACCTCTCTATTTGACCCGTCCTGAATAATGCAAGAGTTGATGTAACCACCACACCTATTTGACGAATCTAGCACTGTAATTTGCACATCCGGCCTCAGCTTATTTAGGAAGTAAGAAAAGCTTAAGCCTGCTACACCAGCCCCAACAACTGCTATCTTGGCGTTAATGGGAAGCTTGACTAGTTGCTTGTTCATTACCGTTGATTGTCTCTACTGCCGCCATGAAAAATACTCCGCCAGTTTCCTTTTAAAGGTTCTGATTTACTGTACTTTTTTTATACGAAGAATGCGTTACGTAAAAGGAAAGGAAACGAGTTTTCACCTTCTGATGCCTAAAGCCTTTTCTTTAGTCTGTCTAATTGAACTCAATCTCCAAGAGTCTTGATCTCTTGAGAACTTATTGTGAAGTGGAGCGATTTTGGCCCTTTTCCTATTCTCGCTGTCTGCACCTGCAACTTTATAAAAGTGAGGTGCGCTTTGCACTAGCCATTGAGGATCAATGGCAGTCACATGAGACATATACTCTCTTGAAGTTAAAACTAAACTGTGGTATATGACATACTCATGGTCTTTCCCGAAAAGTGCACTTGAAGGATGTATACTAACTGACGTTCCATCAGAGATAGTCTTGTATCCAACTTGTGAATCTCTCTTTGCCGCGTTTTTGAAGAAGCCAGATACGAGGGTTTTGCGTACCAGATCTAAATCCCCATAGCAACTGACGATAGGAAGATGCAGTTTTTTGAAGATGGAAATCAACTGCGTCATGACATCTTTCGCTCTTCTCAGATGACGTTCGTGCAAATAGTTGTTGGTGCAAAATGCTTTAGAGTAGTTATTTTCTTTCCAGCGCTTATAGACGTTCAGTAACGTCAGATGATCTCCATACGGATGGTGGAATCGTACCTTCTTGTTATCCGCATCTTGTTGCTTATCCTTTGGTCTGTAAAAGACATTTTGTACTGACAGCATAGAAATGATAATAGCTATCTCCTCAGAGCAGTTGTTCGAAACAGATGCGATCAGGGTTTTAGACAAAGCTGGCTCCATTGGGAAGAGCGACATTTGCTTCCCTAATTTTGTCAAAGCACCATTCTCTTCCAGGGCTTGCAGATTATAGAGATCTTCCAAAGCACTGAACATCGAGCCCCGTGGTGGCGGATCCATAAATTCAAAATGCAGAAGGTCATTGATACCCATTGCTTTAAGCATTAAGATAGTGTGAGACAGATTCTGTCTCTGAATTTCAGGAATTGTGTTCGGTAACATTTCATTGCGAAATGCCGATTCGGTATAGAGTCTAAAACATTTTCCGGGGCCTGTACGGCCTGCACGACCTTTTCTTTGATTAGCCTGGGCCTGAGAAATTGGAGAAACAACCAATTGTTCCATACCAATGTGAGGATTATAGGTATTGATTTTCGAGAATCCTGGATCAACAACATAATAGATACCATCAATAGTAATGGACGTTTCTGCGATATTAGTAGCAAATATAACTTTCCGACAGCCATCTGGCGTGGGTTCAAATATCTTCGATTGTATTTCACTCGGCAGGGCAGAATATACCGGTAAAACCAGCAGCTGTTGTATACTATCTCCCAAAGTTTTGACTCTTTCATATAAAATTTCACAACATGTGTCGATTTCCTCTTGACCTGTCAAAAATACAAGAATATCACCTGGCCCCTCATTGATATGAATTTCCATTACAGTGTCAAGTGCACTTTCAATATAATCCATTTGAGGCGTTTGTGAATATAAAACGTCCACAGGGAAAGTTTTTCCGGGAATTTGAATAATTGGACAATCCATGAAATAACTGGAAAATTTCTCGGCGTCTAATGTTGCAGAGGTAACTATAACCTTAAGATCTGATCTCTTCAAGGCGGCATTTTTCAGTAACGCGAATAGAACATCTGTAGCAATAGTACGCTCATGTGCCTCATCCAACAATATCACAGAGTATTTTGTCATAAGCTGGTCCATAAGTGCTTCTACTTGCAACATACCATCTGTCATATATTTTATTCTCGTTTTCGGAGAAGTTTCATCTTCAAATCTTATTGTATAGCCAACATCTTCACCAACTCGACAGCCCATTTCTTCGGCTACACGCTTTGCCACCGAAACGGCTGCAACTCTCCGAGGTTGAGTACATCCAATCATGCCATGCGCACTAAACCCCTCTTCATCTAGATATTGCGTTATTTGAGTGGTTTTGCCTGACCCTGTCTCCCCAACAATTACAAGAAATTTGTTCTTCTCAACCGCTTCAATTAGTTGCTGGCGCATACCAAAGACTGGAAGTGATTCACGCTGTTCCTTCATGGGAAGATTCGTTCTTTTACCATAAGATATTTGTTCTCTATTTCTTGTACGCTCCCAGGCAGTCAGCGCCATCTGCTGCGACTTGTAAGAGCTAGGCTTTGAAGCTGGGTCATCAGGATTTGCCGTTTTCCTCATTTCCTGTTCGAGCTCCCTTTTCCTTCTCAACTTCTCGTCTCTATGGTCTTTCATGATTTGAGAACCTCCGATGGCTGTTCTAGTGAGCGAGCCCTTCGGAACTTTTGTTATTGTTGGCATTTCATAACGATTTTCGTGCTCATTCTGGCCCTTTAAGAATTTGGGCTCATCATCGGTGTTTAGTTCAATTTCCACATTATCCATTTCTGGATCAGGTCTTTTAGTAGTTTGCGAATTTTGCTCCAATTCTTCTTTAAGTTCAGGATAATCATCTATCGAAGCAACGCCACTTGCTATAAGTTGTCTGATTTCCCATCGTTCTGGAGATGTTAGCTTTCTACGCTTGATTTCTGGCTTTCTCAAGTTCCTACCGCGGCTAATCTGCTCCTCAACACCAGTTGTTTGGTTGACGTTTTTCATGCTCAGTGATATCTTGCCATTACTCTGAATGCGAATAACTTTAATGAACACATGCTGGCCAGTGGATACAACATCGGAAACTTTATCGACTCTATGACTGCTGAGCTCAGATATATGGACAAGTCCGTCCAAGCGAGTATTCCGAACGCCCAATATTCTAACGAAACAACCAAATACTGTTATATTTTTCACCACACCCTCATATATCTTGTTTATAATGGGCTCAGAATCTTGAGCAATAGGTAGCTGTGAATTACGATTCTGGCTCAAAGATCTTTTGACTTCAGATTCTTTGAAGTCATCCCAGTTCACTTTCTCGTTAGGCATACCCAGAACATCGAACTTGGCCGCCGCATTTGCAGTATCCCATACACATTCATATATTTTATCAACTGTCTCATTAGATAGCCCGGTGTCCATGTTGGTCATTTTTTCTTGAAATTCTCTGGAACTTTCACTCTTTGAACATATATCGATCATAAAATCTACCACTGTGGGGTCATCGCTTCCAATACTGTCTCGAAGAATGTTAGCCACTTGCTCTTTCATTAACAGCAGATCTTTCAAACCAGGAGAATTATCGAAATCAGTTTTCAGATCATGATTTCGCCCTGTTATAATATCATGGATAATGGACGCTGTGTCCGAATCCACACCACCATCAAGTTCAGCTATCTTATCTTGAAATTCTTTCAATCCAGAGCATTTAGAGTGAATTTCAACGATAAATTCAGCAACAACATCATCCTCAATTCCCAAGAGCGAACATATTTTCTTTTCCAATAAACCCATGCGACGCTATCGTGAATATGAGTGGTTTTCCCATGTGTACGATGGAATTTCCATATATTCGATACTAATTAGTAGGAATTCCGTCACTAGTGATACGAGATTACTTCATAAGTAACGGCAACTACATCTTAATGCAATGCGACGTCTGATGTTGGTTTCCTTTATAGATTGATAAGTATACAGCAGATTTTATACGAGTCAAAAGTCTTCAATTTCCCGGACACCATCCTTATCTACCACCTTTACAAGGACACCCTTGAAATCCATGGGCATTCTGCGCTCCAGTTCTTCTATACACATCTTTAGAAGCTTCAAAGCTTCACTGGTATTCATATCCGGTCTGTAATGGTGATCGAGTAGAGAGAATGTGTAGAAACCCGCATAACCATGGGCAGCGTATGGTAGATCTACCTTTGTACCAAGGTAGTCAATCTGATAAAGATGTGGGGACTCTTTACGAGTGTCATAGCCACCAACAAGCACATTAACCTGGAAAGGCTTTCTTGATCTAATTGATTTTGCAAGTTCTTGTCTTATGAAACTGGACGCCGCGTGAGGTGAAAGCTCGCAATTCTCTCTAATTGAGTAAAGCTGTATATTCGCCTGGATATATTCTGCAAATTGAACTGAATCACCTGGCTCTCCGGTGAATGACATAAGTGTGTGGTCTGATAGGACTCTTGTTTTGTCGTCGTCTGCCTTTAGCACGGAAATACCCCTTGTCACAGCCTTAGAAGACGCGAGAATCACAGAGTCTTTTACCCTAATTCCTAAAATGATATCCATTGTCAAATCAAGCCTTCAATGTTGCCTAAGTTTGTGCGTCCAGCTACAATATGTTAGCAAGTTAGTTTTGCCACCCAGAGGACTACTCTAACTTCTTGTGCAATTATCATCGCTTTTAACGTACATATATTTGTCTGTTTGAACGAAGATATTCTTGACGCGTTTGTATCATCAACATCGCCTATTTACGTGTCTGTTGCAATTGGAAGTCAAGGAGGACGCTGAAGAACAGCAACACACTAGCTACTATGCCGACAATGGAAGGCCCTCTTTTGAAAACTGCCTCAATCGAGCCATCTTCTTCGCTTGCAAGTACGCCTCCAAGCGCGATTGTGCCGAGCAATGGGCCAAGTGCTTCGGATATGCAATACTATTACCAGTTCCTATATCCTTTCAAATCAGTATTCGAATGGCTTAATCACTCGCCCAAACCTTGTCGAGATATGACGCACAGGGAATTTGCCATGGCTTTCAGATCAGGAGCATACAAGAGATACAATTCGTTCAATTCCGTACAGGAATTTAAAACTCAAATCCAGCGTGGTAATCCTGACAGGTTCGAAATTGGTGCTATTTATAATAAACCTCCACGAGACCGTGATTCAGTCCTCAAAACAGAAATGAAACCTTGTGAAAAGGAGGTAGTCTTCGATATAGATATGGACGACTACGATGCGTACAGAACATGCTGCTCGGGCGCCAACGTTTGCAGCAAATGCTGGAAGTTCATCTCACTTGCCATGAAAATCATTAATATCGCTTTATCAGAAGATTTTGGTTATGAAGACTTCATCTGGATTTTTTCTGGGAGGCGTGGTGCGCATTGCTGGGTAAGCGATAAACGTGCCCGCACCTTGAGTGACATTCAACGTAGAAATGTTCTAGATTACATGAACGTTGTGAGAGATCGAAACGTTGGAAAGAGACTTAACTTGAAAAGACCCTACCATCCGCATCTAACACGCTCGCTTGAAATTCTTAAACCTTATTTTGTGGATGTGATTCTGAAAGAACAAAATCCATGGGAAAATGATGAAGACGCTATCGCAAACCTTCTTCCTGGCTTGCACGATAAGCAACTCATCGAACTATTGAAAAAATACTGGAAATCCAACCCTAAGCGGTCGAGTGAGCAAAAATGGAGCGATATCGACATTACCGCTGGACAAATAAAACATGCCTCAAATACCAAAAAACAAGAATTTTTCAATAGACTACGTGAGTCCAAAGAAGATCTAGTAATGGTTACTTTATATCCTAAACTCGATGTCGAAGTAACAAAGCAGACAATTCACTTGTTAAAGGCCCCATTTTGCATACACCCCGCCACCGGTAACGTTTGTGTACCAATAACCGAAGGCTTCACTCCTTCAGACGCGCCAAGACTTATTGAACTACAGCAACAAATGGAGAGTAATGGAAATATTGTCGAAGAAACATCCTTGAAACCTTACTTAAGCCATTTCCATAATTTTGTGAAGAATTTGATGAGGAAAGAGCTCAAGCAATCGAAGAGAGAGCGGGAAGATGAAACAGAAATAGATTTCTGAGCTTCTGTCCTTGTAGTCTTCGTCGACTATATAGCAAAATTTATTCATATGCTATTTACATCAATGCACACCCCTCTGGTTCCTCACCGTTTCCCAAAAGCTGCTCGGACCCCAAATTTGATATAGTAATGTACTGGTGACCGGGTTCATGAAACCATTTCAACACTTGTTGTTGCGGGTCATACTGGAATTGACCGGACGAAGCTTTGATGTGGACGTCTCCAAGTGGAAAATGATACTTCGGTAAGAACAGAAGCGATGCATGACTTTCATCATTATTCGGCCTTCCCTTAATTTTCAAATTATAGCTCCTTTGTGAAAGGTCAAAGTCCGCGCTTTCGAATACGCCATGTATCTTAACCGGGTATGGTCTCAGGATACCCTTTAGTGCCCTAATTCCACTGTAGTCTAGAGTCTTCACCGCGCTCTTATTGTTGGTCGTGCTCTCATTACTAGAAATAATGGGTGCTGATCTTGTCTTGAATTCTTTTCCATCATTTGGTTTTAAATGTACCAAGACTGGTAAGCTGTTCAAGTCATCTTTGCTCCATATAGAGAAATCTTCATTGTTCCAATAATCACCCCATTTATGATCATTATGACTACAATAACACCATAAGCTAAATGATAAATTACTGCCCTCCAGAGCAAATCCTAACGCATCCATTGCGCTAGTCTGCGAGGCAAAATTACCATCTTTATACGCTTTCTTATCGTCCATGTCGAACGGCATTCCTATCTCTGTGAAAAACACAGGCACACTGCTTCCCAGTAACCTTTTACCTTCTTGTTTCATTTCCAGTAGCTGATTTCGAATAGATTTCCTAATGTTGGCTTCTCCCAAGACAATACTGAAAATTGGATTCTTGTATCTTCCGCGCATTATTCCAAATGTATCAACGTTATAAGTTCTATTCCAGGTTTTGAACATAAGTGACATGCCATCGTAAAAGTGACAGGCATACACAGTTTTTTTATCGATGTAGTTGGTACCAGCTAAATTTGGAGGCTCCTGCAAAGTTGGTGGCTGCAGAAACAAGAAAGACGATTGATCCAATTTCCGAAACTCTTCTCGATAGCTCAAATAATGCTCAAGAAAGTAATGATTAACAAAGTAACGCATGTCAATAATGTCCTTTTGACCAGGAACTCTATAAAAATATTGTGGCTTCACAATTTTTGGTCCTTGAGTGTCTGTTATTTCCCATACTCCATGTTGGCGCCAGATGCACTTCCCTGCTTCCCATTCTTCGCCTCTCTTCCATTTGAATTGCTCGTCAATCTTATTGCGCTCTAACTGAGAAAGCCATGCTGACTTGCCCTTTGGATCAACAGTTTGTACGCCAGTTTTTCGTGGCCCAAAAACTGAAATATCATAAGTGTCCACAACGGTGGCTATGCCTTCTCCCAATTTAAAACACTGGAAGGCAGTTGGAGTAGTACCACGTTTCAGTTTACGATCTTTGGGAATCTGTGACAAGTCAGGATCAATAAAATATCCGTTATTGGGTTCGTTCATAGTTTCCAACCCAATTATGTAGTTTTCCTCGAAGAGCTCGGGCGCATTTTTCAATATTCTCGCATAAAAGATCATGACTGCGTCACAGAAGCTCTGTTGAAGATAGTCCTGGATATTTTTGCCATTTATAATACATTTGGGCGCAAATTCTCTTCCACCAAAAAATAAAGTGAACATAGTTTGTGCAGCCAAGCGAAAATAGTTTGTAGGCCACAGCATTTTGGGGTATTGCGGCTTTTCTTCCCCTGTACTACTATCAATATAGTAGTTCTGCAAAATTGCCGCCTCTGTGGCTTGAAAGCCTTCTGGATTAAACCCTGCACTGTAGAGAGTCCAGAGCGGCGCCCCGGAGCCACCAGTGAAGCGCGACCACACATCCTGATGAGGATCCAGATAGATACGAATCCCTCCTATTTGACGGATTTTTTTAAGAACTGAAATCGTAAAATCCATGAATTCAAAGTCATATATTCCTGGTCCGTCATGCTCCAATGATTCCCATGTGAAAGGATATCTGATAGTATTATAGCCAAGAGACTTCAATCTTTGAATGTGCTCCTCTACATCATCAACGGTAAATGGATGATTGATATAGTTAACCTTTGCTTTAGGATTGAAGAATTCCTTATTCACAGGATCATGACTTGTATACTCAGGGCTGCTTGGAAACTTTATCGTAGGATCTAAATTAACACCTCTTAGTTGAATTTGATTCTTATTCGAATCAATAAATTCCCCATCTGGGGAAATGTGAACTTTTTCCACCATCTTGCGGAGTTGGGAGCTAGTGTTCTGAATTTTAGAATCCCCTAATTAAGCTAGTTATATTTTCGCCGAGAAAGCTCGAGCCAAAAACTTGAATAAAAAATACTTATATAAATATTTGATAAATCTATGTGCAAGACCAGAAACAAATTAATCCTTCTTCGTTAGAGACACTTCTGCAGCATCCTTTGCTGGCACCGGGATCGTTGGGGTATCTTCATCTAAACGAATATCATCATTAATTGCCTCCATCGAGGTTTTTCTCTTCTTTGCTTCCTCTTCTTCTTTTTTGATCAACTCTTCTTGTTCCTTCAAAACATTGAGTTTGAACTCATTATCGTCAGAGCGACGAACCTCCTCTTCAGCTTCTGCAGGTTTCTCGGGCTCTTTTGGCTCCGGCTTTTTAGTTCCCGCGGCCTCAACATTGACAGAAGCTTGAGCTTTGGCTGCTGTGAGATTTGCCGTTTCGGTCGTTGCTTCAGCAGCTTTTTCGGCAGTCTCTGGAGCTTTTGAGACTTCATCTACAGGCTTTGGCTCCTTGGATTCACTAACATCCAGCTTGGCCACATTGTAAACAGGGTCAGGAATCGAACTCAACACTTGTAATATACCATCGTAATACAAGTCGACTAGCTGATTAAATTTAGTGTCTTCGACTTTTTCAGTCCTTGCCGTGTGCGCATTAGCAGCATGGGCATTTAAACCGCCAAATGTATATGCGCTACTCAATATCATCAAAACGCTTGGAACCTTATGTCTCAATCTCAACTCAAGCCAGACTTTCATGTTTTCTACCAAGTCCTCGCGCTGGACACCAAAAGTCTTGATGCCTCGTGAAATACAAGTTTGATACAGTTCCTCATTGGACAAAGATTCTACGCCTTCGTAGTCGATCAATTTGTCATCTTGCATGTTGTTCTTTAGATTATAACGAATCTGGTAGCGAAGTAGATTGTCATTTCCAAAAGGCCTCAATGACATGTATTTGGCAATAGCAACTAATTGAGGGCGAGACAGATTATCCAATACCGTATCATTCTTGAACATTTGTGCCACCGCCAAGATCTCTTCATGAGTAAAGACTTCACCATTGCCGTCTTTTGGTGAATTTAGTTTCTTGAAGAAATTTAAGAACTTCTTCTTTTTTTCAGCACTTTCGATAGAGTTGTAACTAATTAAAGACGACTCCTCCAGCGTTTCCTGAAGGAAGTTGGAAGTTTTCTGTCTAACGTCATTGAACTTCTGCTTTTTTAACTGTTTATCTTTTCCTGATTCGTACGTTGAGGGAAGCAAGTTGGGGAAAATCTTCAAAGCAATTGGTAGTAGCAGCTCTGCGAAAGGAATTACAACGAATGCACTAAACGGAACTAAGCGAAAAACATCACCCATAGTACGCTTTAGTTGATTTCTTTCACGCCTAGAAAGTTCGTAGCCTTCAACCAATTTAATAAGCAGTTTGGTAGAGATCTTGATCTCGTATCCGAGAAGTTTTGTACCATTGACGTAGTGCCTTATTTCGTGCTTTATTCTTTGCATAAGAGGCTCTTTTGATTTTGGTTTAGCCACACTAGAAACGCTGGCCTCCAACTTCTTGTTGGGGTCTGATGGTGGTGGCGAAGCTGAAGAGTTAAGTCTTTGCTGGCAAGATATCATCAACGCAGGACGGGTGGTCGCTGGCCGAATGCCACGCTTGGCGAGATGTGTAAACGGTCTCAACTGAATGATGGACGGCATCATAACTCGAGAACAGTTCTGCATACTTGCCAATTGCTATGTTGACCAAAGTGTTTCTCAGGAAGGAAAAATTATAAAGCCATGGCCCGCTAAAAAAATAACTCGCAAATCTAAAGATTTGAGTAATCCATGTGTTGAACGCTTTTTAGAAGATGAAAAGAAAGTTTCGCAAGTAGTTGAAATTGCAAATATCTTCTTAAATCATATAGAAATTCATAAGTAAAGACTCCTAGCTGACAATAGTTTTAGAACGCTATCATTGGAACACTCGGTCAAACGGAGATAAGCACTCGCACATGACTTGAGACTAATTCTTATTCCATCACTTAGTAGCCCGGTTCACAATTCACATACTCTATGCTGACGACGAATTAAATTCTATAGATGTAACTTTGACAAGAGAGTATATGAGAGTGCAAATTAGACACGAATTGAGCAGATAAATCGCGGAACTTGATTTTATCAAACATTTCACTGTGGCAATTAAGATCCACATAAAAAATTTAGCCAGGTACTCCGAGTAAATGATAGCATTCATTACCTGTGACAAGAGTTCATCTCACTCAATTTGAACATATCGTATCGGTAAGTCTGATAGGCGGACATGCTACTAAATGCGAACTCTCTGATGAGATAATTCTTACGCATGATATTTTATTGGGCCTCTGGTGCCGCCTTCGGGACTCGGTGCACTTCGATGATTTGAATGGTCTCACTCTTGTCATTAAACTGCTTCTGATCCGTATCAAAGCTATTCCAAGCTTCACCCATCAACTTTGAAAGTTTTCTCACGATGCTGACATAAAGGAGCACCTAAGGACATCTAGCAAGAAAACAATTACATTATGTTGGTTTCGCTCCTCCCGATGACTTCTTCTTCTTAATAACTCCCTTTAGGCGTTGTCTTGACTTCATCTTCTTTACAATGACGTTTTTTGTGATCTCAACTGTGTCAATGCCATGGTTCTCTTGTAAACCATCATCTTGTAACACTTGCGCCTTCCTTTCTTCGAACTGTTTCATGTTTCTGATTAAATACTTCTCCATCTGCTGATGATCGAGCTTCGATTTTGAATTGAGTTTTCTGTAAAAGTCAATGTCTTCTTCACTTAACCGATTGAAACTATTCTTCTCTTTGACAAGCAAATTGAATTCTTCCTGTTTCATTGCAGCATTCTCTTTCAACTGCTCCTGAAGAGATTTGCGTTCTTTTCTCTTTGAGTCTACTTCCAATCTCATCTGCTCATCTTCCTCGGTTTTGCCCTGCGACGTAAGATCAGAATGCCCTTCTTGGACAAAATTCACAGCCTTGTTGACTTTTCCTGGGCCATCATGCATGGTCTGTAGCTTGAATAATAAACGATGACAGGCTTTAAACTCTGTGACCTTCAATGTTGCAGGGCAAAGCATTGAAATAAAAATTTTTGTGATATGAAGATCAGAAAACTTGGCTTACACTCAGCTTTAAAAAAAAGCCCATTCAAACAGCCATGATGGACGGATATGATACTTTTAACAGCAATCTTGCAACAAATTCAGTGTTTCTGAGAATCAGGGAGACTTTTTGCTCTGCCCCAGTTTTTTAAATGCAGTTGACCACATAGCAACCGCTATGCCCTTTGCAATCGAGAAATGCTGCAGGTAAATGAAACGAACGTTTGTAGGTGAAAAATGGACACGCTTTTAGTCATCCACCTATATTGTGATGGTCTTCCAACCTTTTGTTAAAATTAGCGCCTTTAAAGATGATATCATCAAAGCACCTTCACTTCACTGGCTGATACTGTTGTGAATGCTACGAAATTCATATAGAGGTGGTTCTAGACAAGAAGTAAAGAAGTAAACCATGTTACATTAAATCAAACATGAAAAGTTAACTAAAAAACTGCCCAGACTTAAAGTGCACTTCACCCATTAGGCTATCTTTCGAAAATACTGCTGTGACTTTCAGCAATAGGTCTACCAGCCCTCTAGTACGCAGGAAGTCCAAGCATGAAAGTGACGTATCTATGGCCTGGATTCGACTTGAAGCATTCATATACGAAATGAATTGATAGTACAAAGCTGAAACAAGTCACACGAGACATGTGTGTTACTTATAGAGCGCAATAACACTTCCGCTTAATCAAGTTTATATGCGGATTTAGCTCAGTCGGGAGAGCGCCAGACTGAAGTAAAACTTCGGTCACTTAGTAATCTGGAGGTCCTGTGTTCGATCCACAGAATTCGCATTTTTTGCTTATTCAAAAAAAACATCGCCTAGTGGTTGTAGATACTAGGTTCATCGAAAGATTCACCTACCCCAAAGACATCAGAAGGTTTCGCAGTAGCCGTCAGTAGTCTTCGTGAACTGAGCCGTGTACTTGAGATGGGCCGGGGAAGCACTGTGGTTTCGGAGTCGACATTCAAGCAGAATGAGATATCCATGGGGTTAGGTCCAAGCGATCGTGGAATACTCATTGCATCGTGGCCCCTTGATGTTACTTGAAGGGGATAATTATAAGAGTTTTCAAGCGTTAGATACTCGACACTATCTTCTGAACTCTCCTTAACGTTCTGGGATGGCGAGCGATAGACTATATGGTCATCATTCAGAGTCATCTTGTTATTAAGCTTCCTTTTTTTATTTTTCACTGAGAATTTGGATGCACTGAGAGGGTCTGGTTGATGATAATGAGGATATGCATCAATAACGGCGTCATTGAATGGATCATCCCTAAAGCTCGTCAAAAAGTCATGATCATAAAGACCCTGAGGCGACATCCGCATGATTGAACCCAGTTCTATGTCTTTCATCCCAACTGCTGGAATGGTATGTCCTGAAGCCTTAGGACATCCCTCAATATCTTTGCCATTCACTGTGCTTCTCAGAACTAAAGGCAAATTTTTTATGATCACAGCTTCAATGTATGACATTGTCTGGAGGCTTACAAACTGGTCCTCCCCGTCCATCGAGATAGTGTCATCTTCTGTTGCAACGTCAGGAGCTATCTGTTTTGGATTGGGGGTCTTTCTAGTCTTCCTTACACTTTTATTCAGCTGCTTTTCACGGACTGGAGAGCTAGTCACGTCATCTGCAGTATCTACTGTCAGATTGGAATTTAACTTGGCACAATTAGTAACGGTGTGATTTTCTCGATGATTATTCACACCTTGAGTAGGCTCTGGGGCCTTCACAGGACAAGAGTAGTTTGATGGGGACCTTCCTCTGATAATGAGAGGTGGAGTTTCCATCTCCATAATTGGAACAAATGTACTGGATCCGCCGTCCACAATACAGTCAAGACCCCGGTACACACCATTCTCTGACTTAGCAACATGAATTCCTTTCACAACACAGCCCAAAACCACGCGGAGTTTGAAGTGTTTGTTCTGCTGAGAAGGCTTTTTAGCATTTATAGATGATGAAAATTGTACCCTCTCATAACGAGCAACCTTCTTGATACTATCATCTGGGTAAGTACAGAGCAACGAGTTAGGGGAATAATCGCTTTTGACTCTCTGCCGGTGCAAGAAGAAAAGCGAGTCATATTTCTTCATTTTCGCTTCATTTCGGACGTTCGAGGCTTCTCGAATTGTCTGGTGATTCGGTAGCTCCGATGGGATCAAGGCATGGATAGGAGGAGCAAATTGCGGACCTTTGTCGCGCTTAGCTGTATGCTGCACTAAGTTTATCTCCGATTTGTCCTCATCGCATGCTGCTACCAACCTGACAGCGAAGTATTGGATAGTCAAACTCAGCCGCTGGCCTTCGAGCATGGTTACACTGAAAGAGCCATTTAAAAGTTCATGCGTGCCCATATTATGAACACCAAACGAACAAACCAAAGTGAAATAGTTTCTCTTATAGCCTATCCACTCACCGTTGATGTAATCAAAGCCGCGGTCGATGCGCGGCGCAAGGCTCAAGTCCAGTTCCTCTCCTGTAGAGCTATCCTTCACACAACAGTAGTTGCTAATCACATCAAAGGGAGGGCCGACTTTGAATTGCAGAGTTGAGCGGGGTGCTATCTTAAGTCGTCGCTTGTCAAAATAACTACTCGTCGTTCCGTCCTCATTAATGAAAGTTTTTATCACGGGCCCCTCTTTGGTCGTCTTACAACCTGCCTCCTCACAGCCCTGTCCTTTCAATGCATTGCCAGATGTTAAGATTTCTGTTTCTTCGTGATCCCTCCCCTTATCGCCTTTTTGACTCGACATTTTTATAACACTCTTTATACTGCTAATCGTTCGTTCAAATCAGAAATCGTTCGCGGCGGAGAACCCTGTGTGCTCCGCAATAGTACTCAGTATTACTTAAAAGTAGAATATCACTGTTCAGTATTGGGTATAGTTTATTCGTAATTATGTCTGTTTTTGTGGCCTACATGGCGGTTCACTGGGGGAGGTAATTAACCGCCGACGTAATAACGTCAGCTATTTGACGGCTTACACTATAAGCTTCCAAAGGCAGAGACGGAAACCATTTGCGAGACTAAATAAAGTTTGATCATGAAAGTGTCTGAAAGGCTTTCACAGGGGAACGACCGATTAGAGGTTATTCAAACTATGTACTTGGTTTGTCATTGAGTAACCCAAAGGCAAAAACGTTATGAGTTATCTCCCCTCGGTGCCCTCGGTATCGAAGGTTGTTCTTTTCGCGCTGTTTCTTTTTCGTCATGAAAAATTTTAAGATGAGCATAGAGATTCATTCGAGATGAGCTTGTAGTGCGAAGAGACGAGCAACGAGGAATATCAGAAAGATGGCAAAGAAAGCTATTGATTCGCGTATCCCAGCACTTATCAGAAATGGGGCGCAGACCAAACAGCGAAGCTTCTTCGTAATCGTTGGTGACAAGGCTCGTAATCAATTGCCCAATCTTCATTATTTGATGATGAGTGCAGACCTGAAGATGAATAAGTCGGTTCTTTGGGCTTACAAAAAGAAGCTTCAAGGATTCACTTCGCACCGCAAGAAGAGAGAAGCTAAAATAAAGAAGGAAATAAAGAGAGGTACCAGAGAAGTGAACGAACAAGATCCTTTTGAAACGTTCATCTCAAACCAGAGCATTCGATACGTTTACTACAAGGAAACTGAGAAGATTCTCGGTAACACTTACGGTATGTGTATTTTGCAGGACTTTGAAGCGTTGACACCCAATCTGCTGGCTAGAACGGTAGAGACGGTCGAGGGTGGTGGTATCGTGGTGATATTGTTGAAATCGGTGGCTTCGTTGAAGCAGCTCTACACCATGACAATGGATATTCACGCAAGATATAGAACGGAAGCACACAACGATGTGGTTGCTAGATTCAACGAGCGTTTCATTTTATCGCTAGGTTCCAATGAAAACTGTTTGGTTGTTGATGACGAATTGAACGTTCTACCGATATCTGGCGGTAAAAACGTTAAGCCTCTCCCACCTAAGGATGACGATGAGATTCCAGTCAAACAGCAAGAACTGATGGAACTCAAGGAATCGCTAGAGGACGTCCAGCCGGCAGGATCTTTGGTCTCGCTTTCCAAGACTGTTAATCAAGCCAAAGCAATCTTGACTTTCATTGATGTTATATCTGAAAAGTCTCTAAACTCCACTGTCGCTCTTACCGCGGGTAGAGGTAGAGGTAAGTCTGCTGCATTGGGTATTGCTATTGCGGCTGCTGTTTCTCATGGATACTCAAATATTTTTGTCACTTCTCCTTCACCAGAGAACTTGAAAACTCTTTTTGAGTTTGTTTTCAAGGGTTTTGACGCTTTAGGATATCAAGAGCATTTGGATTACGACATCATTCAATCAACAAATCCATCATTCAATAAAGCGATTGTGAGAGTGGATATTAAGAGGGACCACAGACAAACTATTCAGTATATTGTTCCCAATGATTCACATGTGTTAGGTCAAGCAGAATTGGTGGTCATTGATGAAGCTGCAGCTATTCCATTGCCGGTCGTCAAGAAATTATTGGGACCTTACCTAGTTTTTATGGCATCCACCATCAATGGTTATGAGGGCACCGGCAGGTCTTTGTCATTAAAGTTAATTCAACAATTGAGGGAGAATTCCGGTACCACTGGACGGGAGTCTTCTGAGACTGTTCTAATTTCTAGGGACAATCAGAAGCAAGACCGTCAAGTTTCTGGCCGTACCTTGCAAGAAGTTGTTCTGGACGAACCTATAAGATACGCACCAGGTGATCCTGTAGAAAAATGGCTGAACAAATTGTTGTGCTTGGACGTGACTTTGATCAAAAATCCTAGATTTGCTGCTCGAGGCACTCCACATCCATCACAATGCAACCTCTTCATAGTTAACAGAGATACGTTATTTTCATATCATCCTGTTTCTGAGAGCTTTTTGGAGAAGATGATGGCACTTTACGTTGCGTCACACTATAAGAATTCTCCTAATGATTTACAGCTAATGAGTGATGCTCCAGCCCACCAACTCTTTGTATTACTTCCTCCAATTGATCCAAAAGATGGTGGAAGAATTCCAGATCCTCTAGTGGTAATCCAAGTCGCCTTGGAGGGTGAAATCTCCAAAGAAAGCGTTAGAAATTCTTTATCCCGTGGCCAAAGAGCTGGTGGTGACTTGATTCCATGGCTCATTTCCCAACAATTCCAGGACGAAGAATTTGCGGGTTTAAGCGGTGCTCGTATTGTAAGAATTGCTACAAATCCCGAATATTCCTCTATGGGTTATGGTTCGCGTGCTATTGAATTACTAAAAGACTATTTTGAGGGCAAATTTGCTGATTTAAGTGAAGACATGCGACCAAAGGAATTCAGCATTAAAAGAATAGATGATAGCAGCCTGCAAAACACTAATCTATTGAAGGACGAAATAAAGTTGAGAGATGCCAAAACTTTGCCACCATTGCTTTTGAAACTTTCTGAGCAACCACCACATTACTTACATTATTTGGGCGTTTCATATGGTTTAACCAACACTCTTCATAAGTTCTGGAAGAAAAATCGTTTCATCCCAGTTTATTTGCGTCAAACGGCCAACGATTTGACGGGTGAACACACCTGCGTTATGTTGAATGTTCTCGAAGGAAGAGAGTCGACATGGCTTGCCGCATTTGCCAAGGACTTTCACAAAAGATTTTTATCGCTACTTTCTTATGACTTCAAGACATTTACTGCTGTTCAATCTTTGAATGTGATTGAAAGTGCAAAGAGGGCTAAATTGTTAGAAAACGGAGAGGCTGCCAATATTTTCGATACGAAAGAACTCGACAAGGAGCAACTCGATCAAATTTTCTCTCCCTTTGATTTGAAAAGGCTGGATAGTTATTCAAATAACCTTTTAGACTATCACGTTATTGTTGATCTACTTCCGCTGCTGGCCATAATTTATTTCAGCGGCAAAATGGGAAATGGTGTTAGTCTCTCTAGCGTCCAGAGCGCCATTCTCCTGGCAATTGGATTACAACACAAAAGTATTGATGCTATCTCCAGTGAGCTAAATTTGCCTTCGAATCAAACTATAGCAATGTTTGCCAAAATCATGAGAAAAATGTCGTTACATTTCCGAGAGGTACTTTCGTCTTCAATTGAGAAAACCATGCCAGAATTGCGCGACGAGAATGTTGCGGAAATGGACGGCGAAGAAATAAAAGCACTTGATGCCGCTGATGCCATTCAACAGATGGAAGAAGATCTTGAAGAGGCTGGTACGCAAGCAATTCAAGATATGCGAGAAAAGCAAAAAGAACTAATCAACTCCCTCAACTTGGACAAATATGCGATAGATGAAAATGCCGAGGAATGGAATGGTTCGAAAGAAGAGCTACAGAAAGCTGCTAGAAATAACGGTACCGTTCATGTCAAAACAAAAAAGAAGAGACAATCTGAAACGGCTGAAGATGTCTACAGGCAAGAAATTAATGCCTTGAAGAGAGCTAAAAGGAAAAGCAAGAAATAAGATAATAATCCGCATATATTTGTAAAGAAAGATATAAACTTAAGAAAGCTTCATGGAAGCTCTCTGCTTATGTGTAAAGTATCATGTTCTACGTGTGAAAATTTTTTATAAATCAGTTTGAGGGTAGTTAAAGGATCCCAGAACAAACTATCTCCACCCATCGGAAAAACATAAAGATCAAGATGGTTGAACTAACAGAGATTAAGGAAGAAGGCCACCCTTTCGAGAAGGACGCTCAAGAAGTTAGACCCGGCACAACCTATGCCGAAGCAGCTGCTGGGGAAGAGACAAGTGATGAAGATTCTAGTGACGACGAATATGATGAAGATGAAACCTTATATGAAAGATTATGTGCGCTTAAGGACATTGTTGCACCAAAGCAAAGACAGGTCATTTCTAATGTGTTCAACACAACTGTATCTACGTTGAAATCTGCATTCTCAAATGGTGGAAATTTAGTGTGGGCTGTAACTACTTCAGCTCTTCTCCTTGGTGTTCCACTATCGTTGTCAATTTTGGCCGAACAGCAATTGATTGAGATGGAAAAGAGCTTCGACTTGCAAAAGGATGCCAATGACATTTTGGCCCAAGGTGAGACAGCTCCAGCTCCTAGCCAAGCATGAACAGCATTTGTGCCACTGTCCTAGTTACTTCTTCTAATGAACCAAGTTTGGTTTCTACTACTTAAGAATTTATAACCTTGTATATAAATGTAGCGAGCTTTAATATCAAAGATGTTGCAGCAAGAAGCCTGGTAATGATAATGCTAATGAATCACAACCTCACGCAGTCTTTGGGTGTTTAATGGACAACGCATATATGTCAAGGTAGGTCGTGAACTCATAAATAACTTCTGTGATGAACATTGAGTGAATTCCAAAGGACAAACCGAAGCCAAACCAGTTGAGGGCTGGAATCACTTCTTGTCTTTTATAACTTAAAACATTCACGAAGAAAAAGCGGAGTAGCAGTTGAACAGTTGGGATCAACATGGGTGGATTAAACATTGGGTATGATTGTTTGGTCAAGTGACAGATAATAATCCTGCCCACTGTAAATGCCATTGTTAGACCAATCGTTAAAATGAATGGCAAAGAAATAATTTGCGGTTCAATCAATACGACGAGTGCAATAGAAGCGTAATAACTGAAGTATGGGACCAAGCCACGGGTAGCTAAAATAATTTGTCTTTCGGATTCCTCTTTGCGAGAGTGGTTTTGCGTGTAGTAGTCCACAACATTCTTTCTGGCAGAGAGAATATTGAAAAATACTGCTATACCGGAGAAGCCGAAGAGAGCATGAATAGTTTCTACTCGCAAGTTTTCACTACCCCAACTAAATTCAAACAAAAGGGTGTGCCATATTTTTTCTGAGCCATATATCCCAGTAATAATAAAAGCTCCGATGATTATTAGGATTCCTTCAACTGGTCCGGAGAACTCACTTAAAAACAGCTTATGAGTATGATATTCTTCCCATGTGCTCAAATAGAAGTTACAAAGCAAAGCGAATTGCGCCAAAATCGTCATATATCCCATACCAGTTCTAGCTGCGGAACAAAATACAAGCATGGAAAGTGTAGTGTTCAACGAATCAATGCAGTGATCAAATAATTCACCAAGAGGACCCGATTGACCAGTACGACGCGCATGAGTTCCATCACAAGCATCAAATGTCTGGTACAGGAACAATCCTAAGGCGTAAGTGAAATAGGTCCAGCGAGGAGATTCCTTTGACAAGGTAGGATCATAATAAAGTACAGTGAAGATGTTTAGAATAATGAAACCAAAACCAGATAGGGTAACTACATTAGGAGCCATCCACATTGGAAAAATGTAAACGAACTTGGACCAGAACGGCTTGAGAATGTATTTCGTAACCAAAGAACGGTCTTCACTTTGGTACCTAAAATTGCGAAAGTTAGTTATTATTATTGCATGCAATGTCTCAATACAATGACACACTTACTTATAGGCCTTCAAATTTTCAAGCTTGGAATGTGGAATGAAAACACCCATGTTCTGAATCTCCTTTTCAACAATTTGCTTCTATAACTTGTTTGCCATAAGATCAAGAAATAAATGGTACGAAATATTCCGAAATCTTACTTAAAGAGCATCATGTGATCACAAGTATCCTGGTCAACTAACCCTACACGATCCAAACCGAACGAAACTTAAACTAGAATCTACTTACACGTCGCTAACATTTTAGAGACGACACCAAGTAGCTGGTCGTTTTCACATGCAGCAGCGACACGTTCTTTATCATTAAGCTGCTTGTTAACTTGATTTTCACTCTGGTGTGATCCTTCTTTCAGTAGGATAGTTATTCTGTATCTAGGAGATAAGCAACGTTCGAGTCTAACACGAATTCCCAGACCAATAAGTGTAGCCAAAGAGCAGTGCGTTATAGTCGGAGTGATTTTAACGAGAATTTCAGACATTTTGGATTTGTCAGGGTTCTCACGAACAACAATATCCGGCAAATTAACTACTGCTAGCTGCCCTAAGGTAAGGGGATGTTCTGGATCTGAAATATGGGCAATCATGTCATAAATCTCTTGAGCATCAATAGGATCCTCAAATTCTTCCTCTGAGTCTTCTGTATCTTCGTCCGTCAATTCGGGAGCTTCATCGAGGTATCCTTCTGTGATTAGGAGCTTGTTTATAAGCTCAACATTACTCATCACAGAGGAATCTGTTTTGTGGTGAATTCGGAGAAGCTGCTGTTTTCTCATCAAGTAAGTCCTATCATGACCGGCACCGAGAAGCAGGTCTGTGTCGTCACTCTTTCTCGATGGAAGTTGATTTTCATCTAGTATATCAGGATTTTCATTAATAAATTCAGACATATCGCTTTCTTAATTTCAAGAAGGTTCAGCTTTACGTGAATTATTTGCTCAACCTTGCGTTATTCAATAGTTTTCCATGTGGCTTTCTCAAAAAAAAAAAAACGTCTGATAAGATAATCACCAAAATGTATGCCAACGAACAGAAATGACCTATAAAAAAGTGCTCATCGTCGGAATCAGCGGGTGCTCTTCGAGTGGAAAAACTGTATGTTTTGGAATTCAGGCTGTTGATTGTTTCTGCATTGAATTTTGTGCTAACACATAGTATTTAGACCTTGGCTAAATTGACGTCCGAGATACTACCAGGCTCAACGTTAATTCATGAGGATGACTTTTTTAAGCATGATGACGAAGTTCCATTTGATGAGAAGTATCAAATACACAACTGGGATTCTCCTGAAGCTCTCGACCTTGATCTTTTCGGGAAGGAGTTAGTTCATATTAAGAAAACGGGAACCATATCGGCTGAACTTATCCATAACAACAACATGGGCGATCTTTCAGAGCTGAACGTCAACCAAGCTACCCTTAAGGAAATAAGTGCAAAATATTCTGCCACGTTTGGAGACGGGGATATAAAAGTTGTGCTTGTAGATGGCTTCATGATTTACAACAATCAAGATCTGGCATCAAGATTTGATGTGAAACTACTGATCAGAGCACCTCGCGCTACTTTAAAAAAGAGGCGTGCGGCTCGCAGTGGCTATAAGACTCTAGACTCTTTTTGGGTTGACCCTCCATTCTACTTCGACGAGTTCGTTTATAAGGCGTATGCCGAGAACCATGCCTGCCTCTTCGAAAATGGTGATGTAGAAGGTGCGCTTAAGAAGGACGTCGATATCTACGACTTCATCAACGATGATAACACAGATATAAATGAGGCACTGATGTGGATTTGTGATCATATAATTTCAATGAGATAGACAACTTAACTGCTGATATAATAAAACATTTCCGTGTAGGTTCACCAGCTTTGTTAGGGAAGGGAATGTAATTTGTTTACCAAGAAGAGTAAAACAACTGAGGACAATTAAGCACTCTGTCTTGACTTCTTTGTAGGAAAGTAAGTGATGTATCAGAAATTTACATGAGTGAATGCTCCTTAGCAAAGAGTTTGCCTCACCCAAGATTTCCTCACATACACCGCATCAGTACTATTTAATATTTCTGCAGAGTAATTTCAAAAAAAAATAATAAGGGACCTCAAATTATTCGAGGACTACCTTGTGAATACATTCTAAATGTTATGCTTAAATAGTTTATGGGGGGTGCTACATAGAAGGCAGATTCGATGTGATGCAGGTAGAGCTCGGGCGTGGATGAAGAATCACAACTTTCGGTCAAGTAGGTGAATTCAGATATTGATTCAATTCGTTAAAGTGTGAGCCTAACCACCTTTTCTCTCGCTTTCCATTTTCTTCCAGGCTCCTCCGACAATTTTTTGAACCAGATCCAGGGACTTGGCGTCTTGCGCATTAAGTGGTTTTATGTTCTTTATCATATAAGGGGGATTAATCTCAACTTCATCAAGAACCACGATGCTCTTTCCGGACCATTTGGTCTCAGGTACTGTTTTGTATAGCGTGTTGAAGACAAGCTGGCCTTCTGACGTAACCCCTTTGCCAATGATCAGATCATCTTCCCGAGCTTGAAGGATCTTTTCGCGAAGTAAGTTTTCAACTCTTTTTATACTAACAGAAACGGGTTTGATAGGATCTCTTTTCATTCCACTACTGAGTGGCTTATCGCCGATAACTTCTAGGCTCTTAATAAATGTAATTTTGATAATTTTGAAGACATGCGGTTGTTGAGGTTTCTTTAGTACTAACAAAGTCAATGTATTATTGGTAGAGTTGTAAGAATAAATTCTACCTTGAGTCACAACATCTAGGATGTTAGTAACCCTTACTTTAAATCCTAAAACTTGTTCCAAGTTCAGGCTCATATATTGCGAGTCGCTGTTTGAGTGTTTCTCAGGTGTGCGGTGGCAATAGTTTTTTCTGAAAACTTGAGCTTGATTTTTGGGACAATCGTCAATACTAAAAGGCCGAGAATGCCGGAAGAAGGAAGAGCTAGATCACCTTTAATACGGTCCATCTCATCTAAAGATCTAAGGCGAAAGCCAGGTCGAAAAAGTGCGCCAAGGGAATTAGATGAGACAGTTACTTTTGACGTAGGCGATCGTACAACTGAGGCGGAGGAGCATCTTCTTCAGGATTTGGATAATATCCTTCACAGAAAGCTGCACATAGCAGATTCCAGCTGTGAATCTGGAAGTCCAGAGGACTCTCCCAGTTTTAGTGGAAAAAATGGAAATAAAATCGATGCTACTAAGAGCAATGAAGAATCCGGGGATGAAGATGATGCCGAAGATGATGACGAAGATGAAGAGTTCGCCAACGTAGATGAGATTGATGGGCCTATATCGCCTTCTTCTAGTAGTGGGAGTCTTAAAGATTTGGGGCGAAGCTCAAGTAAGAAGATCAATCAGGTAGTTGATAGTCAAGATCAGAAGATCGATTATAACCTTCCGGTGGACGATAGCTACCAAAAGCAGCTTGATAAACGGGCTGAAGAAATTGCAAATGGATTTTACATTCATCCAATATCAAAAGCAACCCTGAAGTGGACTGTCAAAGACTTTTACTCTTTATATGAGGAAATTCCAGAATGGTTTTGTGCTCGTGATTACTGTCACTTACAGAAAGCACGTTCATGCTTCGAAAAGAGGTTCCAATCTGATAAATTCTTGACGGATGAGGTTTACGCAAAATCTTCTGTGCGAAAACTTATACAAAGCCTGGAGGAATCTTTTTTTGACGTCAGTGCCCTGTTGTCGCTGTTACACATAACAATGGGGTACTCCAATTCGCACAAGAAGATAGCGGACCACATTGCAACAATCAAGAGGAATAATCTCATCATACTTCCTTATTTGTCAACAGTTATAAAAGCTTTCAAAAAGCATGCAACATTCTGCAGAGACAAGAGCTCAAATCTGAAGCAATATACGACATTGTTGTTTTACTCAAGTACTGTGTTATTTTTTTCAATATGTTGTTGCATTGATAGCAATGGGAATTCCACATATGACATTTCAAATGTCAATTTAATATTCGATGAAAATCATATGCTAACATTTTTAACAAGCTACATCGAACACTGGAGATGGAGCAGCAGATTGAGCATGCGAATAAGAAATATAATTGCTCTACTGCATAAAGTTATCCTTTTACAATTCGGAGACTTGCAAATGTACAAAAAAACCAAGACTTACGTTTTGAAAAAACATTCCATTTCGTTGTCCAATGACAACCCTAGCATTTTGAACATTAGTCCACTTGATTACCATGGCTTTCGAGAAGATGTAACTACTCGATTTCCATCCTTCGTTCCGCCTCCCTCAATCATTCCAGAGGGATTTGATAACTCAAACTCGCTGTCACAGTTTCTCGAAATTCCTAGACCCAAGTCAAAAAACGCGATCAATATGAATTTAAGCGTGCCAGAGATTCATATTGCTACACCTGCGCCATCACCATCAAGTTCGCCAGTCCCGCAACTTTCTGGAACAAAACTCAGAAAGTCCTTTCAAACAAACATGGCATATCCTACATTATATCCATCGGATGATGAAAATGCATCTGACGATTTGAGCAAATTGATGTCTGTGCCCCAAGATACAGACAATGATAACATTGTTCCTTTTAATATTCGTGAAGCAACTGAAATACTTTCAAAGAGCATACATGTTAAACTTTCCACAAAACAGTTGTGGCATGAACGTGAACTTTTCATGGCCCAAGAACGTGGTTGGAACAATAATGAAACTCTTCCAGACCCTGAAAAATACAAGAATTATACAGACTGCTGTGAAGAGGCAGAAAGGATGAACCGAATTGAGAAATACTACGAGGAATCCCTTCCGAGTTTAAGTTCTTTGGTTTATGTACTTCTTCAGACAGTTGAATCCAATATCAAAAACCAATCATACATTTCGTCTGAGGTATCTAAACTCGATACAGCTGATTCTTTGCTCCCACAGTTGGAGGTGACAAGATCGAAAGAAATCGTCATGAACTCTGCGTGTGCAATATTGCATCTTCTTCTGAAATGGTTCAAGCTAAGCCATGTTTTAAAATTTGAACACTTAAGTGTTTTGATTTATGACTTCAAATTCATCAACATATCAACAAACCTGCTTCATAATTATTCCGAAAACTATATTGACAGAGTATTTGATAAGATGATTAAGGTTCCCCATTCGTTTTGGAGGGAATGTGGATCTTATGCTGAGCCATACGCTGTTTCTGTTAGTGACATCCTTCAAGACTCGCAAGATCCTTTAGACTTGAGATTTTTGAACACCGAATATTACCTGCTTCAAATTCTCAACAAAACAATTGGAAGAAAAACTCAAAGATTGAAGGAGCTTCCATTATCCGTAGGATCTCTCTTCAAAAAGTATTATCAGGTCTTTAATTTGGATATCTATCATCCAATTCTAAAACTCATAAGAGAATTGACCCCCTTCAAAAACAAAAAGTGGAAGTCAGATCATATGGAGCTCATATCTGGAGTCTACTTATATGAGAAGTTAAAATTGACCGATAATTGGGTGACAGGGAAGGATATTTCTGGAGAATTAAACGATGCTTGCGGACAGGAAATCGCCTTGAGGGCATTGCTTCAATTCTACAATTTCACCCATTATAAAGCTTCGATGGAACACTTTGGCTACCACGACAAAAGTGACACCTCTTTTTTTTCTAAGGAGTCGGAATTGTTGACAACTTCTTATTGAGATGATCAATTTTTGACATGAATACAAAATCGACATATAACTATGTACGACTAGGCAATAAGTAACAATCTTGTGGATGTTTACACATCTTGAAGGTGATGATGACTTGCGGAAAAACAACTAAGTTGGACTGAAGTGAATGCGCAATGGACATAAAATCTAACCTTAATGCATTAATGGGGTCTATTGCTCCGTTAGATCTCCCTCCTACAGTTGTTCAATCTCTGCAAGATCGTTTACTTGCATGTATTGATTCGCCCAGGGCAAACTCTTATCAGTTACTTGAGCTAATTGAGCATTACAAGGAAAGAGCAGACCACAGTGTATATGACAGCTCAAGATGGCAGAAATTAGAGGCGTTGGCGCAATTTTTTACGACTGCTCGTGGTAGGGAGGAGATATCAAGGTATTTGACTTTTATGAAAATGATGATAGATGAAACTCCGCAACGAAAAGATACAAAGCAAATAGACGCTTACTTGGACAAAACAGCTTTGAATGATCACGATAATATAATACCATCTACTCGACCACCCAGTACTTACGCAGAATCGTTTGAAAACATCGACAAGTTTTCTGATCGAAGATCAAATGTATCGGGCACACATGGAAGACACCCTTTGGAACTATACAATGCTTCAACTCTTTCAAGTCTAGCAGATCCTTATTACAGTAATATGGTGAGTACTGAGGAGATTATGAAATCTATCCCTTTCACTTTAGTTGCCACGACCTCATCATTATTTGCCTTCAACAATGATACAATTCAAATTCCTTCGAACATCACTAACGGTGAAAGTGGGGTGCTACATTTACTATTCGAAGCCGGACTTCTCTACCAATCCCTGCAAATGACGGTCGACAAACAAAAGCACACAACTACCTTGTCGCCATTGAAAATATCCTTCTTGTCATTTACCTCAGCAAAATTGCAAAACTATGTTATATTTTTAAACCGGATCTCTCATGATATCCAAAAAAGCACTATAAGATCAATTTATCGTGTAATTTACCATCAGATCCTTGAATTTCGTGTTTACTTTCGTCTGTTGAAACGCTTTGATCAAACAAGAGGAGACGAGTACTTATCACAATTTAATGCTTTACGCCATCATGGTGATCCCCTAATCTCAAGCATTGGTAGTGAACTTTTTGATGCACTTATTACCCTTTATCATGAATATATAATCAATTGGTTGTTGCACGGTCAATTAGGTGATCTTCACTCGGAATTTTTCATTGAGAACGTTACTGAACCTGAGCCACACAATATGAATTTAAGACTTCTCCGTGACAGAATACCGGATTTCATTCCCTTTTCCATTGCCGGTGATATTTTTATGATAGGGAAGACTTATCTTTTTCTGGAAAAATACTGTGGAGATATACAATGGGTTGATGATTTCAGTCGAAAATATGCTGCGAAATACGACGGTACGCATGTCAAACTTATTGAGGACATATTTGACATAATTCACTCACAATTCATTGAGATAAAGGAACACTGTAACGAAGTTTTACAAAATAAGTTCTATTTATATGACGTTTTGAAAGCATTAAAAAATATGCTTCTGATGGGAAGAAGTGATTTCATTGAAGTCATGATCCAGAACTCTGAATCACTTTTACGACAGCCTTCGAACTCATTGGCTAGTTACAGACTCACGAGATGCTTACAAGATTCTGTTAGGCAGTCATCGTTGAGATCAATGATCAACAGTGCCGACCAAAATTATGTCATCAACGGGCTTGATGCACGCGTGCTAGAATTGGGTCATGGTTCAACAGGATGGGACGTGTTTACTCTGGATTACGTACTTGAACCTCCCCTATCACTTGTTCTGAATGTCAATCGCGAGAATGGTAAAAAAGAGTATCTGAGGGTATTCAACTTTTTGTGGAGAATCAAAAAAAATAGCTATTTCTTTCAAAAAGAATGGCTTCGGCAGAATTCACTGATGCGCGATTTCAAAAAAATACGCCGTAATAGGCCATTGGTTAAGGATATTCTGAATAAGATGTCCAAAGTTAATGTGATACGAAATCGGTTACAAAGTTTCAACGCCAAAATTGAGGCATTCTGCTTCCAATCAATAATTCACAAGAATTATAAGAGCTTATATTCCACTCTTATGTCACAAAAGGATACGGGAAAGAAACAAAAAATAATAAAGTTGAAAAATGGACTGAATGTAGTTGAAGGGATTTTGAAACCGAATACTAAAATGCTTGAAAATTTCGGTAAAGCTAAATCGAGTGACCGCGGTACAAACACTTTTACAATTGATAATATAGCGTCAATTCATAATAGATTCTTGCAGGATATCACCTGTCATAGACTACTTGATTCTATATCACTTGACAGAGGCGTTGGGAAATTTACCAAGCAATATTACCCTACAATGCTAATCATCCTCCTTGGGGACATAAATGACTTTATTTCAAAATACTCAGAGTTTAATGACAAGGTACATGAGATGTTGATCCAATTGAGTCTCCAAACTGGTGACGAAATCCAAGGGTACCTTTCTAACTTCAACAAACTTCTCAATGATATTGTGATGCAATATAAGGGATTCCAAAACCAGAGTTACCTGTTCATACGTGATTTGAAGGCAGATGGTAATGATGAACTAGAGTTATTAAGCAGACTTTTCCGCTAGGAGATTATATATGTAGTAATTAATTATCTATACTTTCATGGGATAAAACATTCTCCGGAAAAATTTCTTCACGCCCGGCCCTAGAAGATAGTCATATTTGGCTTGCCTTTCTGAAAGCACGGTCCAATTAATGTCATCTTCATCCTCTTTATCGGTGTCGTTTTCTTTTTCCATTAATTTCTCATGTGTGATTTTCTGACGTTCAGTCAGTTTAATTCTAACTGTTAACTCACGGAGTAACAATACCAATAGTAACGCACAGAAAAAGCACAAGCCAGCAAATATTTGAGTATGAAGATAAGGGTTGGAAGGATTTGATTCATCTGTGAGTGCCTGTGCAATCAGTTCACTAACAAGTAAAATTGGTGCTCCGACGCTATTGACGTACCCCCATGCAGGTAAGAAATCGACTGGGCCAACGATATCGGCAACAAGGACCGTATTCATAACATTTGCAACGCCCACACAAGAACCGACACAAATAGAAAAGAAAATCAATTGAATGAAGGTATGACATGGAAGCCAGAATGCGAAAAGAAATATGGTTAGAAGCGTAGTAAGTCCAACAGTAGTATTGGTTCTTCCAAATTTATCACCCATTAGACCCATAACTGGCCGTCCAACTGATTGGGCGGCATTTAAAATAGCAGTTAATAGAGAACTCTGATGTGCTGTCAAGCCTCGAGCAACTGCGTATGGTGATAAAGTAAAAACCATTAAGTTATAACCGAATAATGCAAGAGCAAACCATATAGCAATTAGATTTACACTGTATAGTTTCATTACTCTGATCGAGAAAATCATTGCAAATTGTTCTTTTATCCGTTTCCAAGACTTTACACCTGCAGGTTCTACCGGGGTACGTTGCTTTATTAATAGAGCTGCGACAATGCAGGTTACAGAACACGTAATTGCCATCATTCTTAATGCCCATTTCTGATTTCCCGTATCTTGAATTAATTTGTTAACAGCTAGCGAGTACGTCACACCTCCAGCACCAGTGCCAATCAGAGAGATCCCCATCGCGAAGGATCTTTTCTTCAAAAACCACCCTGGCAGGACAGTTGTGGCAGGTGCATAAATGAGGGAAATACCCATACCGAATAAAACACCTTGTGTCAAATAAAGTTGCCATAAATCTACTGCAAAAGATGCCATAAGTAGCCCTGCGAACAGGATCGTTATCCCGAGGTACATAGGAAACTTCAAACCAAAAATACGCATAAGTACTAAAACTAGAGGCGGAAGACCTTGACCGAAGAAAATGCTAAAGCCGGCGATGAGGGCATACTGGTATTTTGATCCACCAGCGAACACCGCGTTATTAAGGTAGAATGCAAGAAATACACCAAATCCAGAATTGGCACCCCACGTTGCAAACATTACTAGCGTGACACACAAGCAGCATACCCAACCGTAACCTCCATCAGGTGGCAAGTCTAGGTTGCCTGTCGATTTATTAGTGAAAACTTTAGCAATGGTCGGTTGTCCTTCAGTTGAATTGTTATCCACAGAGCTTGCTACATCATCCTCGTCGTACACCCTCACAGGCTGCTCAACGCCTGTATTAGTCCTCATCCTTATGGCATCTTCTAAATCGAAATTGTCTTCGAGTACGTCATTGAGGTCTTTCGAGGCTGCATCTGTCTGCTCGTTGTCATCCTGTACCGCATACCTTAAACTAGTCAGCTTTCGTGAAAGAGACCTGCCAATTGCATAGCTTTGTGGGTTAAACGATACCGAGCTTCTTCTTGATGAAGCAAAAGAACCTTTTCGGATTCGTGGACTATCGTTGGCCGCATGCAGAGACATAGGAGCGTGATCTTCCTCCATGATTGCGGTACTAGGAGCACTAGACGCCACTGAATGAATGTCAGAATCCTCCATCTTTACTTTTATTACTGTGCTTGGTTGTAAAAGTTCATAGGAGATTACTAATACTTTCAACCCCGCTGTTATAGATCCTTTGTCATACCATCGGTTTTTTACCCGTCGCGCTCCTGTTATCTTCCTCGGGGCAAAACTCCCGAAATAGAGAAAATACAGAGGGTAAATCATGTGACTATAAGAGTATTTTTCCGAAGCATAGTTTCTTTTTCTCATCATGAAAAAAGTGCGATGAGAAAGCTCGTTGAAAAAATGAATTGAATAGTCTGGGACCTATAGAGCAGATTCAATCTACTAATTGGTTAAGTTAACGTATATTTGGAGATATGGATGATGACATTTTCTCAAAAACACTCGAAAACCCCGACAAAGTCCCGGTCGCTGACAAAGAAGAGTTGATCGATGTCGGGGACGTTAGCAGCTCAGAAGAAGAGCATGATGAACATGGGGAAGAGACGAGCAAACAAGAAGCTGAGGACCCAAAGAGCAGCAATCAAGAGTTGAGTGACGTGAGTCTGGGATCATCTATGAAAGAAGCAGAGCTTCGCTCTGAAAACTGCGCACTCAAGAGTTCGGGCATCGGAGAAGAAGTTCAGCTAAACGAATCTGGTTCAAAATCCGATGATGACGCAGACTCTGATCGAGACAGTAGCTCTTCGTCGGAAGGAGAGGTTCCTGTTATGGATGAAGATGACGAAGAAGAGCCTTCTCCCCAAGGTCCAATCAAATCGAAGAATGAAATCGAAGAGGAACCTGTGCCAGAGGTTCCTGCAGGATTCGAAATCAACGAGAAGACTGCGATCGAAGAAATTGGTGTTGTCAAGTCTGCTTTCGATTTCAATATCATAGTACACGCGCTAGGGTCTGCTGAGCGGCGCGTCCTGAAAGAAGGATCTATTTTGTGCTTAGGGGACCGTACCATTTTGGGACCTTTATGTGAAGTGTTTGGGCCTTTGCAACGTCCGTTTTACAGGGTGAGCTTTCCTAAGGAGAAGGCAGATTACTTTGATCAGATAAAAGAACGTGTCAGCGAAAAAGTATATTACGTATCTCCTGCTGCTCACTGGCTCGATACATTCGAAATTAAAAAGATACGAGGAACAGATGCATCCAATGGTTTTGATGAGGAGCTTCCTGAAGAAGAGCAGGAGTTTTCCGATGACGAAAAGGAAGCTGAATATAAAAGAATGAAGAAACAATCAAAGAAAAGGAAAAACGAGACTGAGGCTTCACAAGACAACCACTTGGCCAAGAAGAGTGGCAGTAAGCCACAATGGGATGCTCTTTCTGGTCCAAATTTACCCTCTCGTGGAGTCTCTTCCCCTGCCAAGAGCGGTTACAGGTCGCGAAGCGCAAGGCAGTCCGAAAAACATACAAGTACACAGTCCAACAGGAATCATGTTACCCCGGCTTCCTCAGCTCCTTTCATACCCCAGCCATCTTCTCACCAGCAGCCCATAACAAATTTATATGCCCAGCAACCCCAGGTTTATCCCTACAACCCACAAGGCTATAACTACCAAAAAACCTTCCCTTATCAACAGCCTTACCCAGCTCAGTACAACGCGCAATACGCACAAGCATATCCTGGCCAATATCAACAACCATACGGGACAAATCACATACAACAGCAATACATGCCACCATATGGCCAACAATATCCCCCATATCAGCAACAGTACGTCCAACCTCCCGCTAACGCCCCACCCGCAGAATTCATGCAGCCCCACCAATCACAGCAGACACAGCAAAGTCAAATTCTGCAGTTGCAACAAATATTGATGCAACAACGTCAGCAACAAAATCAGATGTCTAACTTGCAATTCAGCCAACAAAATAATCATCAATCACCTCCTCATGATTAGCTGTCAAAGTTGAAAAAGTATATGATATAAATTAAGCGCACTTCATTATATTTCTAATCTAATATTTCACGGGCAACCTGTAGGGCTTCTTCCGGAAACCCCGCCCTCTGAGCTACCTTCAAGGCATCAGACCTGCTGCATATTCCAGGATATAGCCTATGATCATAAAAGAAGTTATCTCCATCGTCGACTATTCCACTTTTATAGTAATGTAATTTTTCATTGAATAAGCTGTCACAGCGAGCTTCTGAAATGTTCTTAAGAGGAAGACCAAAATGTGTTGCAAAGAGTGTCCTGCACTTATTTCTTTGAACCAAGTGCTTCAAAGTTGCAAATGCAATACTCACTCCTTCTTTGCTGCTAGTCCCCCTGCCAATCTCGTCAAGTATCGCCAACGATCTATCAGTCGCACCTTTCAAAATATAACTGGTCTCGATCATTTCAACCATGAAAGTACTCATCTCATTATAAAGATCGTCTGCTGAACCAACACGACTAAAAATCTTGTCAACTAATCCAATGTGTGCAGAGTTGCAGGGAACAAAACTACCAATCTGTGCCAAAATCACTATTATTGCATTCTGTCTTAAAAAAGTAGATTTGCCGCCCATGTTAGGCCCTGTAACAATCCACAAATGTCCCGAAGAGAGCTTGCAATCGTTTTCTGTAAATTTTTCTAAACATTTGGACTGCATCCCATCTTCCACTACAATGTGTCTTCCTCCAGTAATATTCAATTCTCGGCTGTTGTCAACAAGAGGACATGTTAGTCTTTTCTCATTAGATAATTTAGCAAACGAGGTAAGGACGTCCAAGTAGTCAAGGGCCTGTGCTAATTGCCTAATTGAATAACTTTTCTCGATAAATTCACGTTTGAAGGAGTTAATCAAGTTTCTTTCTTCTTGCTTTATCTTCATTGATACGTATTCAAGCTCCTCGCCCAGATCCGTCCACGATTTATGGGCTAACCAGCAGGATTGAGATGATTTTTGTAGTACTCGAAACGCTTCGTTGTTCATATCCGCACCTTCATTAACAAGGTTTATAAGTTTTGTTATGTTTGCGCTCGACCCTAATATATGCAATGCGTACTCATTGGTTGCCTTCAGTTTTAACTGAACGTCCTTCGCTTGAAATTTACCAACAAACATATCTCGAAATTTTTGCAATAAGTTAGACTGTTCCTCGCACAACAGTTCGAATTTTTTATGCAGCTCTAGCAATGCGTTACTGGCTTCAGGCTTTAAAATCCATGGCTCAAACTCATTTAACGTTCCTTTATTCAAAGGTTGTATTTTTAAAGCAGGTTCAGGATCATCAATTTCATCTTCAGTTGTCTGGCGCTGAGCGGCTATTAGCTGCTCTTCATCCAGGGAAAAAAGAATTCTATGCATTAAATCGTCATCAAAAGATAGGGAGGTTGAAATTGATCTAAGTGAACGGTTAATTGGAGTCTTGCGTGCTTTTATGTTATTTTTAATAAACGAACCGATTTTTACTGCGTTCTGCATCGAATGTGACATTTGTATAAGCTCCATCGCACCACCTTTTCCAAATGAAAATTTCTGTAAAATGCGTGGCATATCGTAGGTAAGCTTCAACATGTCTACCAACGATTCTGTTAAGTCAATATTATCTTTGAAAAATTGAACTAGTATTTGGCGATTTCGAATTTCTGAAAGATCAAGAGAGGGTGCAGATAACCATTTAGTCAATAATCGCGTCCCTGAAGGTGTTACTGTCCGTCTAATTACTGAAAGTAATGATCCTTTTTTGCTGTTATTTCTGATTGTTGAATGAAGCTCCAGGGCGGACGAAGTTCTTGAGTCGATTTGCATAATTGAACTTGTCAACTGTCTCTGCGGTAGCTGCAGATTAACTGTAGTATCTGGTAGATGCTCTTCAATATACAACAAATTACTTCTTAGAGCTGCAATTTCTTTTTGTCGAAAGTCCTGTAGAGCTAATGTAATATCTCGAAGTGGATCGTCAACATCAGAATTTGCAAACAAGTGGTGAAATGTGTTCATTGTCCGGTGCCTTGACGGGAGTTTTTGATATTTGAGAAAAAATTTCTTGAGTTCAACCATCTCAGGATACCAGTCGCCCGATTCTATGTGATATTGTAGCAGCTGCTCGTCCAGAAGAATCTCTCTTGGTTGGATTCTCGTGACTGCAGAAACCAAGTCCTTCAATTCCACTTCCTGCACAAATAACTCCCCTGTTGATACATCACACCAGCATAATCCAATTTTCATATTTAGATCAGCAGTTGATTTGAAGCAGTTCTCTGGAAATGCGATACTAAGTAAATATGCATTTTCTTGCAAATTTTCAAAGGCCTCGTCAATGAATGTTCCAGGCGTTACTATCCTTGTCACCCTTCTTAAAAACTTATTCGGTTCGTTATCTGCAAGGTTATCTTTCTTAAATTGATCTGCAATTGCTACGCTGAAACCATGTTCTTTTACAAGGACTTTTAAATGGCGGCTAATATGCTGAACAGGAAAACCCGCAAAAGATACTTTACCGTGAGAATATTCACGACTTGTCAAGGTTAAATTCAGTTTGGGGGCGTATATTTCTGCATGCTCAAAATATAGCTCGTAAAAGGATCCCATCTGAGTAAGAACAACATGATCGTTATAGCGTTCCATCACATCTCGAACATACTGCAAAGACGGCGGCAAAGAGTTGTTATTCGTGCGGGGGCCCCTTTTGGTCCTTAATGTTGCTACTGGAACTTCTAGAGAAGGTAATGGCATAGCTTGCTCAGGAGCTGCATCTGACAGTATTTTTTTGTCATGTATTGGCACTGTCAGGTTCTTCACCTCAATAGCACCGGCAGCCTTTGCCACACAATGGTTACCCCTCTTGAAGAGAGCTATACACATTTGTGAACGAACACATTGCCCTAAAATCATACCATGAAACAATCTGTAAACTCTCTTTTGATTGTATTTAAATCTCAACCATGAATATTTTTTTCGACGCTTCCCATGAAATTTGAGAGACATCTACGAAGCTATAAAACAATAATAGTACAAATGCAGGTATTACATACTTGTCGGAATGGTATGTATATATCGTAAGTGAAAAAATGCTAATTCAAAAAGCCCTTACAATTAGGTGCTCCACAAAGACAAGGTAGTCTTTCTTCGTCATCAGTTTCTCTTTCAAATTTATAGTCATAAGTTAACTCTTCGTTGGCGGCAATATCGCGCAGAGCATATATGACAATTCTTTTCCCCCCACCAACTCTTATAATTTTTGCCGTGCAGCTGGGGTCACAGCAGTGGTTTATGAATCTTGCAATGCCTCCTTTTTTGGTGGCATCAATTACTGTGTTTTCGTCTACTCTGAATAGATAGCTAGAACCAATTCCACTTTTTAGATATCTCTTCTCCCGCATTTCAGCTACCGGTTGCCGTAGAATCTCACCAACATATTCAATAATCATTTCTTTGGCTGCAATCGGTTCCAAAGCGTATAATCCCCAGTTGTGGATTGCGGAGCGAGCAAAAGTCACTGGTTTCTTTCGCTTAGTTAATTGATTTAAGGTGAGTAGTTCTGATTCAGAACCGATTATTGCTTTCTGTGCTTCGATATCCTGCTGGAACCTCCTATTCATTGCCCTATTGACTCTTGATGAAGTCGCCTCTGGCGTGTGATTATCGAACTCAGTTTTCTCAGAGTCTTCTCTATGCATTTCAGAGGTCGTTTCAGGACCGTCCTGATGGTGAAGTACTGTATTCAAAGGCTGGTGCAGCTTTCTACGATGTGGAAGATATGAAGCCTTGATGCTATCCGGAATTCTTCTAAATCCATCTGCTTTGAAGCAGCCTGATACACTCTTTAATATATTATCAAATCCAGCTTCATTGATTTGCTCTTGGGAGGCCAATACTTCATTGCGCCTTTGAGATTCCTTGTTCAACTTCCACATATAGTAATCAATGTTTGTCACTGGTTTTTCTGGAATCTCTTTAGTATCAAAATTGACAAGTTTATTTAAGATATGCATGTCCTCGTCATCCTTGATTGCTGTCTGTAGGTCTAGAATTGATAGTTTCTTGTCTTGGCAAAGATCGAATGGTTCTTCTGGGAATATAGTTGCTGGTTGTGGTGAGATCTTTGGACGATACTTTTCTGGAATTTTCAGCAGCTCTTCAGTTCTTGCATTTGAGAGAATGAATTTCTCCGTTTCTAATTCAGGTGTAGTGACTTCTGATGACTCGCTCTTTAATTTGTTCTGATCGGCGTGGTCGGTGAAATCGGCAGTCTCTTCGTATTCGTCATTTTCTTCCGAGGAAGATGAGAGTTCGAGATCAGAGTCTTTCGCGCTATCTATGAACGGAGTTTGTTCTCTGGAGATAGACTCTTCATTCAACAAGTGGGCCATCGGCTTCATAGCGGCACTCGCATGACTTCGTTTGACGTGTAAATCACGAGCGCTGTTCCCGTCTTCAAACACCGATTCATCGTTTCTCTTCCTTTTAAGTGTAACTTTTCGGCTATTTTTCTTATTTGCGAATCCAGCACCATACAAATTGAAGATATCAAAAGAAGATGTATTTGACTCTTGTTTAAGCCTTATCTCGGCGGCTTTTTTCAAGTCAAGCTTCTTTTTTTCTTCCTCTTCCCTCTTCGATACTATCTCTGGATAGTTGTGGGGGTTTAGAGCATCGAAAACGGCAGGCCCTATTAGTCGCCTACGAATGTCTCTGTCTAAGGCATCTTTCAAGTCATTCAATATGTAATCGATAGCAGCATCTACAATTTCATCCTTTGTGTTATACTGCTTTTTAGTAGCATTTTTAGAGTCCTTATCAAAAATGGCTCCTGGTTGATTGGTCCCTTCTATTATTTGAAATCTTATCTTGAGGGATGAGTGTTTTCTTCTTGAAAGCAGAACAAGCTTTTCGGACTCCATCGCGTGGCATGCGTATGCATCTGTTTTTTCATTGAAAACGATGTATATTCCAGAAAAATGATCCAACACTCGAGACCACTTGTATTTTGCAAGCTTAACCTTGAAATCCTCTGTCTTCAACCCATGTATCGAAACGAACTTCCTCGGGACATACAAACAATACCTGCCATTCACAACCTTTTCTAAATCCTTTGGTATTTTCTTCGGAGCAGGAGGACCAGTCTGAACGCTATTCTTTTTCTGTTGGCGTTCTAATTCTTTCTTTATTGTTAAAGCTTGTTTAGCATTTTCATCTACTAATTTGTTGATGATTTTATTGACATGACCATTCTTGTTGGCAACAACAGCAAATTTGAATCCCGAAATAAAGCAGCTTTTTGTTTCATGAGCCTTAACAGCCTTATAGACTGATCTGTAAGGCGCATCAAGGATGCCCTGAGGGCCCGTAAAGCGGATTAAATAGACATAGAGTGGTAGTGCACTATTGGGGTCATTAAAAGATTCAAAGTGGGAAATCTCTCCGAAACCCGAAAAATAGCCCTTTATTACACTATCTTGAATAGAGTTTGATTGGTCACGCACCAAAGGGTAGACCACCACTTCATTGGGAGGTGGTGGGCCAACAGAATGGACATCATATGCAATTCGTGGTACCTGAACTAGACAGCTTCGTAGCTTTCTGGTTGTCTGAAAGGCGACTACGTTATCCTTAGACCTGGGATCTGTAGCTTTCTGTTCTGGGTGTCTTTGTTTCATTATCGGTCTGGATCGCCCAGTAGTCATATCCTGTACGATTACATAGCCCGTTGAAGGTAGCTTATCAGAAACCCAGGAGCGCATGTCATCTTTGTGAATTAAAACTTTCTTGATGGGGTCAAAATAGTGAAATTTCTCCTTGAAGTTGTCGCTTGCGTATCTCAACTCCGGACTGGGCCTGATTAAGTTTGGCTGCATCTTTTCTACTGATGACACATAAGTGTTCGAATATCTATGCTCGTCTGCTAGGTAATGATCCCCTCTCGCGTAGCTCTTGCGTCTTGCCGCTCCGCTTCCTGATCCATGGCCGTTGTATCGCTTCTCATTACGTCGTCCATGAGAACTATAGCCTCTAGACGACCGCGAGTGTGGTGGATAATACGTCTTACCATAGTATCCTGACATCAACGCTAGCTTCTGTCGTCTTTGCCAGAAAACGTTCAGAAAGACCTTTTATAGAGATCTTGCTAACATTTCATCGCTTCCAAAACGCGTTTCACAGAAAAAAAACCCAAATCATAAATCACGTGACGATACAAACCACCTTGTCAAGAGAGAAATAAGAGTTTACGAGGCATATTATCTTTTCTTTTCATTCACATAGGCTTTAGTGGATAGTGGTTTTTCAGTTTATGAAAACTTGCCAAGCATCCTTGTCATTTTTCCATTAGGATGTTTTTATCTGTTAAAAGTTTCAAAATCTCTTGATAGTTTCTAAAATCAAACTTAAAAATACCACCCACAATTGTGAACTGATGTCCACGAAACAAATTCGCACATGCATTCGGGATATCCTGGGCTATATAGGAGATGAAGACAGTAATGACTGGCACAAGGGACGACTGAAAAAACTGCAAGTAACCACCTCAACCTTGTACAATGTGTCGTTGTCAAAAGTGATGCTGAAACAGAATGAAGAAGCAGCACGGTGTCATGTATGTGCGTACCTTGCTGCAGAAAAGCTTTCTGAGAAGTATGAGCCTGATTTAAAATATCACAGAGATAAAATACCTCTGGAACCAAAATCTGCGAGTAAAATATTGGATATCTTCAGAAATTCCATTTTACAAAGTTCGCCAGTTAAGAACATTTCATGGTCTCCAAGTCCCAAAAAACGGACTCCAGTAGTTAACGGTGGTAGATTTACTGCGATGGACCCTAATGAGCTGCGGAGACAGCTTTTTGGAACTCCTACGAAGGCTAACGGTATTATTAAAGCTATGCCTACCGAAGATCTTTCAAGCTTCAATAATGAGAGTACACCCGAGAATACTGAGTTTGTGGAGACAAGAAGAAAATTGACATTCGAGGAAGAGGACCCTGCGGATGAAGCCCTGCCGTCTACGAGAAGGTCCGAGAGTCCTCACCCTCTCGAGACCGTAGCTAAGGGACCCTTGACTGCATCAAATGGCATGCTGTCGGATACAGTAGCCGAGACAACACCAATGCCACCTACAACCCCGAAAAAGAGAGGCCGCCCACCAAAATCCAAGACTCCCTCGCCCAAAAAGATTCGCATTCAAGGACGCCCCACGAATTCCAAAAAAGACCGCGCCGATTCAAACCGAGGTTGTCTTCTCTACAAAAAGTACTACAAAGTAACCCCCGCAGAGGTCATCGATTTATGCAATCATTTCGAAATTCCAGGTGAAGTGGCATATAAGATTTTGGATCAGTTCAGTGAGCATGCAACGTATCTCGTATTCCCATTTCAATTGGTATGTGGTCTGGTGTTAAACTGCTGTCAAATAATATTTCATACGCGACGCGCAAAGGATCCCCGAATTGACGATTACCTATTCAAGAAAATGGCACTTCTTATGAAAACTTCTGATATGTCTGAGATAAAGGAATCCCTTAGAATCGTTAGAGAACTCATAGATGGTGAGAAGTGGTTCCGAGCGTTGAAAGTGAGCCATAATTATTACGACGGTGTCGCCTACGAAGAAGCAATTGCCATAAGGTTGGGCAACATGTTGCAGAGAACTACCAATCTTGCTACCGACGAGCAATTTGAGGCATGGAAGCATAAAATCATGACGGATATGTCCCTGAGAGACGGCTGATCTATGAATCTATCTGGGATCACGTGATATCATGAAAAAGCTTCAAATAAGCGCAAGAAAAGAAAATTTTTTTGAAGCACAATGCGATGACCATTTTAGTAGTTTAACCTATCTAACAGGGCTAAGTAAAAACTACACATAGTTTATAAGAAGCTCTAGTGTATCCATTTTTGCGTGTTCCTGCAATATTTATATTTTAGCCGCTTAGAATGGCTACCATTAATCATAAGAGAACATTCACTGAACTTTCTGATCTAGATAGCAATGGTCAAGTCACGAAAAGACAAACTACTTACGAAAGTGAAAGTGGTGAGTTGTCATCAGATGAGGAATTCGGGATAAGCGAAATTCCTAACGGAGTCGAAGATTCAGTTAATAACGCTAAATGGCAATCAACCATTTCAAAGGTGGTCAGCTCTGTGGTTTCGATTCATTTTTCACAGGTGGCGCCTTTCGACTGTGATCCAGCTCTTGTTTCTGAAGCAACCGGTTTTGTAGTAGACGCGAAACTTGGTATTATCCTAACTAATAGACATGTTGTAGGAGCAGGTCCATTTGTAGGATATGCCGTATTCGACAATCACGAAGAATGCGATGTCATTCCAATCTACAGAGACCCCGTTCATGACTTTGGTTTCCTGAAGTTTGATCCGAAAAGCATTAAGTATATGGATGTTCAAGCACTAGAGTTGAAACCATCACTGGCAAAAGTGGGTTCTGAAATCAGAGTGATAGGTAACGACGCTGGTGAAAAGCTAAGTATTCTAGCGGGATTTATCAGCAGACTCGACAGAAATGCGCCAGATTATGGTGAGTTAACATATAATGATTTCAACACTGAATATATTCAAGCAGCAGCGTCTGCATCTGGGGGGTCCTCTGGTTCGCCTGTGGTCAACATGGAGGGACACGCAGTTGCATTACAAGCTGGTGGTTCGACAGAAGCATCTACAGATTTTTTCCTGCCATTGGATAGAATACTAAGGGCACTAAACTGTGTTAGAGAAAACAGGCCAGTGACGAGAGGCACTATTCAAACGCAGTGGCTGCTAAAGCCATTTGATGAGTGTAGAAGACTAGGTTTGACTCCCGATCGCGAAAGCGACGCTCGTAAGAAGTTTCCTGAAAGAATTGGGCTACTGGTCGCCGAAACTGTTCTCAGACAGGGGCCAGCCGATGAAAAGATAAAAGAGGGTGATAATTTAATTTCAATCAACGGTGAATTAATTTCCTCCTTCATTCAAGTCGATGACATTTTAGATCGCAGTGTTGGGGAAGAGATTGAAATATTAGTTCAACGTGGAGGCAAAGACTTGGTCATTAAATGTGAAGTGGGTGATTTGCATGCCATAACTCCATCCCGTTATGTGGAGGTCTGTGGCGCCACTTTTAATGAGCTTTCATATCAGATGGCTAGATTCTACGCAATTCCTGTGAGAGGTGTGTTTTTAAGTAGTGCCTCAGGGTCCTTTAATTTTGACTCTAAGGAAAAGTTAGGTTGGATTGTGGATGCTATAGATAATCGTGAAACACCTACTCTCGATATCTTCATTGAAGTGATGAAAACCATACCAGATCGTCAACGTGTCACTGTAAGATATCATCATTTAACTGACCAACATTCTCCTCATGTCACTAGTATCTACATTGATCGCCATTGGTGCAACGAGTTTAGGGTTTACGAGAGAAATGATGTTACCGGCATATGGGACTATAAAAATATTGCTGAACCCATCACTCCTGTTCCCCTTTCTCCCCATCAAGCCAAATTTATCGATCTTCCAATTGTAAACGAAGAATTGAATAAACTTTCCAGAAGTTTGGTTATGGTAAGCAGCGTTTCACCTATCCCATTGGACTCACTCTCCGCAGAGTCCCGTAAAGCAAGTGGTTTGGTAATTGATGCTAGTCAGGGTCACGTTATCGTGTCCCGCAGAATCATTCCACATGACTGCCTGGATGTTTTCGTGACAATTGCTGATTCCATTATCGTACCTGCAACAGTGATATTTTTGCATCCAACCCAAAACTATGCTGTTGTCAAATATGATCCATCCTTGGTCAAAGCGCCTGTTTTGACGCCAAAGTTTTCATTTGAGCGCTTGAAGCGTGGAGATAAACCGCAGTTTATTGGTTATACCCACAACAATAGATTGGTATCGTCCGAGGCAAAGGTTACAGATATTTCCTCATTGAGTATTCCAAGTAATTTGATTCCAAGATACAGGGCTACAAACTTGGAGGCAATTGGTATCGATTGCAATGTCAGCTCAAGATGTAATTCCGGCGTACTCGCGGATGAGGATGGAACAGTCAGGGCTTTGTGGCTGTCCTTCTTAGGTGAAGTTCAAGATGGTAAAGAAAAGATTTATCTATTGGGTTTAGATTTGACGGATCTCAAAGAAGTTGTTCTGCTTCTAAAGGAAGGGAAGAAACCCCGGATTAACATCGTTGATGCCGGTTTTGGTTCGATTTCTATTTTGCAAGCCAGAATTCGAGGCGTTTCGGAAAAATGGATTAAGAAAATGGAGGATGAATCAGAAAATAGGCTACAATTTATGAGCGTTACAAGAGTCTCATATACTAATGAAAAACAAAAGCTAAATCCCGGCGATGTAATACTTTCGGTTAATGATAGACTCGTTAAGGAAATGCGCGATCTTGATGGGATAGTCACGTCAAGCACAGATCCTTCGTCGGAGCAGATATTAAAATTCAAACTAGTGAGAAATGGGAAAATTATTGATCTTGATATAAAAACATGTCAAGTTCATGAGACTTCACACTTCGCCGTCTTTGCGGGTTGCATCGTCCAAGCACCCCACCATGCAGTACTACAAGCAATGATGGATATACCTAGCGGAGTGTACTGTACTTTCCGTGGACAGTCTTCCCCAGCAATGCAGTATGGTATCTCAGCAACTAATTTCATTACACACATAAATGAAATCGAGACGCCGGATCTTGAAACTTTTGTGAGTGTTGTCAAAGGTATTCCCGATAACACATACTGCAAGATCCGCCTTGTTACCTTTGATAATGTGCCCTTCGCAATTTCACTCAAAACGAATTACCACTATTTCCCCACGGCCGAATTAAAGAAGGATATAAAAACAGGGAACTGGATTGAGCACGAATTGAACAAAACCGAGGAGCGCATAGATTGAATTACCTCTTTTAGTAAAACTGCAATGTGGATTAACTTAGATAAATTTGTATATACAGGTGTAAAGCGAAATATATTATCGTATAGTACGCTCAATGATAAGGAAGTAGTCTTTTCAGGTGCTTAATATGTGTAGGATGTGCCAATGTTTTCCCATCCAAAGATTTCAATGTGGACTTACTCCAACCAGCATTCCCATGGTTTCTACCTGCTCTTCCTCTTTTGTAACTATTTGCCGTTTTCTTCCATCTTTTAGCAGCACCCTTATGTGTTTTCATTAGTCCCCTTGATTGCACAGTCGTGGATCCAGACGTCTGTGTTAGCAAGCGACCACATGTCAAAGATAGTTTAGAAAGTGAGCACGTAAGGAATCCAAACATCGTGGCTTGTAAACACACTTTACTTATGACCGGTCTGAAAAGTCTGCCAAATGGTGGATCTAAAATTTTCTATTTTTTAGTTCGTGTGCAGCTATATCGATGATTCTGTGGACACTGACGCGGAACGTAATAAATAGATAATGAAAGTCGTCAATACCATTTCGTACATTTTATAGTTTATAATACTATCTTATCATCGCTTCAGTTTATTTGGGGAGTTATGACAGTTTATGCAAATGACAGGAGTTTTGGTGCAGGTAAGGGATACAAGACGCAGCCGCCTATCGAAATTAGCCGCTTGCGAAAGTCACAAGCTTACGTATCCGAGTTGAAGCAGTTGTTCCTATGGCGATATCCACCGGAAATGCTAAAATTCCCATACTCTGAAAAATGGATTTCCGAGGATATATACAATTTTGAGTCATCAATAGGTGGCTTAATATCCTTGGGGGAAGTTTGTGACAAATTGTCGTCTGCAGGCAATGTGAACACCAAACGACATACACGCAAAAGATCAGCTGGCTCACTAAGTACACTAAACAACGAAGATCAGAAATCAAAACGTTCAAAACGTTATTTGTAAACGATCTGAGATTGCTCACATAAGGCATGGCTATAATAAGTTTTTCGATAATTGAAATATATACAGACATATGAACGAAGCTTTGCCCGGCATGCGTTCGGCTTTTCGTGTCAGTTGAATTTATGGTTATTTACGTTCATTAAATCATTCCCTGTGCACGGTAGGATGCCAAGGTCTCCTCGATTTTGGCGCTGATTATTGGGTCAGCTCTGATCTTTTTCTGGATTTTGGTGGCTTCCGCAAAAGTAGTGGCTTGTAACTTCTCATCAAAGCTTCTGGCAAGATCAGCAGCTTCTTCGAACAGAGCAATGGCCTCGTCGACATCTTCCTGTTGTAGTTTCAATTGAGCCAACCCGATTTTAGCCTGCTCGGATCTAGGGTCCTTCTCACAAGCTTGTTGGAAAAGTTGAGTAGCTTCGACGAAATTTTCCACACTGGGCTCTCTTGCAAGCAAGGTAGCCTTTCCAACCAATGGAGCAACACCAACATGAATGCCTTCTAGAGCGTCTTCTAGCTTTGCAGCAATATCATATTGCTTCTTGGCGGCCTTCAAGTCACCTTTGTCGGAAAGGGTTTCTGCATAAAAGTTTGGAACCTCAGGAGCAGTTGGGAATTTTCTTCTTGCTTCGCTAAATAGAGTTTCGCTGTCGTCGAACTTGTTCTCGCGGTAAGCAAGACAGGCCAATTGAATGAATGGGAAAATATTCTTCTCGTTCAATTCTCTAGCCTTGTCGAAATCCTTGCCAGCCTTGTCATATTGTTGAGTGATAAAGTACATTTGACCACGGTGATAATAGACAGCAGCACAATTAGGGTCTAGTTTCAAAGCATTTTCAAAGTTTTCGAAATATTCTTCGGCTTGGCCTTTGTCAGCCATGATGAGAGCCAAGTAGATGTAGGTGTTAGTTCTTGGAGAGAATTTCAAAGCCCTCTCCAAGTCTGTATGAGCAGAAAGAGGGTCATTCTTCAAGAATTTGAAAATACCAACATGTTCTAGAGCAATAGCAGCCTTCTTTTTCAAAATAGGGTCTTCAGAATTTTCGGATAGTAAAGTGTCATAAGCGGTCTTTGCTTTAGTGAAAAGTTCATCTGCTTGCTCATAGCCTTCACCAGTTCTCTTGTAGAGATTCACCAAACCATCCAACAAAAGTTTGTCGGCTTCAGAGTTTTCGTCATAGTCGTCGAAAGATGTCTCAGGTTGGAAGATGCCAAAGAATGATGCCAAAGAAGTGTTAGATGGGAGTTTGTGTTCTTGTTGCTCTTCAAGTTTCTCCTTTAAAACGAGCATTGCTTGCTTGTTCATGTTACGTTCCAACATTGGCTCGATAGAAGAGCCATTGAAGTCACCATACAAGCTTACAGCGGATAGGTCGAACATAGCATCGGCAAAATTGCCTAGAGACTCGTTGGCAGAAGCTCTGCGCAAAAGACATTTAGAATAATCAGGTTTTAGCTTCAAAGCGGCAGTAGTGTCTTCAACAACTTTCTCCAACTGACCAAGAGAAACGTAGCAAGCTGATCTGTTAGAGTAGAATACAGGATCCTCCTTCACTTTCAAAGCCAAAGTGTAGTACTTGATAGCATCTTCGAATTTCTTTGATTTAAAAAATTCATTACCTTTATCCTTAAGTTCCATCGCGTACTTCTCTTTTTGTTCTTCGCTCAATTCATCAACATTATCTAGCTTTGGTTCTCCCTTCTCATCTACAGGATAGCTTGGCGTAGTTCCATGACTCTTCTTCTTCTTCTTTCCCTTCTTCTTTGCAGTTTTGGTTTCGGAATCACCTTCACCTGTGGAAGGCGACTGCTTTTGCAATTGTTGGTAGTAGTAAAAAGCACCAACCGCAGTGGCACCTGCGGCAGCAGTGGCAATAATTGCCGTTTTATTTCTAGATATAAACGCCCCAAGTGAGTTGCTTTCTGACATTGTTGGCTGTTTTTATATCGCTATAGAATTAAAACCAATAAGTCGTTGTTAGGATGTAGTTTTGCTTGTATTTGTGGCCGAAAAAATTTTTTTTCACCTGGTCAGTTGTTACGTATTGAGCATTCCAACGGAGCGGAATCCCAATGTCCATCGCTTAGGCTGTGCCACTAGAAAACACTTAGTGAGCATTCAATTGACGCTGGCGTTCTCTCAAATTGACTCTCAACTGTTACTCTGTTCCGTTTGAAAGGACCGGCGTTCAGGTTATAATATGTGTAGAGGGTATTGGCTTTGATAGTTGGCCACTTGAGGTGCATTAAGTTTGGTCGGAAAGATATATGCTGTTGGTATAGCAAATGTAATGGACTCGTGGCTCCAATCTGAAGTGAATTCAACCTTTTACTCGAAAAGCACTTAAAATGTCTAACCCACTTGCAATGCGAAGGACAGATGGCCAAAACGCTCTTGGAGCTCGAGTTCCTGAAACAGCTATTATCTATGGATTGAGGCAACCGTAAGAAGATGATAATCTTTCGCGTTGGACTTCTGTGCAATTATTATCTCACACAAGGTAGTATCAGAGTAATACATATCCTCTGCCCTCTCCTACGATTTGAAAAGTATGAGTCGAATATTCTCTGGTTTGCTTACTGCGTATTATTATTTACAAGTATATAATGTGTTAACAATCCTCTCATTCCCATTGACTACGGTCCTTTCTCCTGGCTTGAAGCCACTGCTTTTTACACTCGCGATAAGCGTCAAAGTACTCCTTGCACATTTCCTTATCGTAATTATTCAGTTCCAAGCACTTCATACTCATTTTTGATGACTCCTGACATGGATCGTAGAAGCGGCTGGCATCTTTGGCAGCAAATCTGTACTTGTTGAGAATTGATTCGGGATTGTCGGGGTAGTACTTGAAGGAGTTGACGTCTGTGCTCTCAGGAGTGAAGTTGACCTTCTGCTTATCAGTTTGAAGCTGTGGATCGACATTTTCAGGAATTGAATCCTTTTTTGGGGTATTGTCTGACATCGCTGAAATATTTGGTGTTAAGACTCTACTTAGTGAAGCAAGAATAATACTTTAATAAATGACTTTTTTCAGGATTTCATGAACTGAAAAGTAAAGACAGAAAACCGACTTAAAGAGCAAGGATATACGGGCTGAAGACCCAACTACATTTATTCCAGAGATTAAACTATTAACTGGATTTCCAAAACTCGGTATCCAGCTTCGAGTTAGAGATATAGTTATAGTTCACGTGATGATGAGTTCGAGTTAATTGGATATCATTTTTCCTTTTTTTTTTTTTCAGCCATCTCATCGATCAGCTACTCTTAGATATTAACGAAAACAGATTCAATAATGTCAGCTCCACGATCGTGCCAGCGATGTAAGGTGTCTTCTGCAAGTGTATTAAGCAGAAAAGAATATTTTTGTGATACATGTTTTCGTAAGTTCGTCTCGCTTAAGCAGAGGAAGCAGATGATGTCCGGCGAATACTTTCAACAACTGTTCAAAGTAATCTATCAGGATAAGAAGAAGACACAGGAAGAAGCGGACATGATTAATAATGAGTCGCGCATTTTAGTCCCATTATCTTTGGGGTCGTCCTCTTTGGTCTTGCTAGATATACTTAATGACACTCTTACTGAGCAGAAGCTCACTCACAAAGGAAAAACGGGGTTCCAAGTTGATGTTATCACGCTCTTTCTGACAAGCGAAGCTACTAAAGTCCGCGAGTTTGTGGAAAAATTGAAAAGTGAGAGATATGTATCTAATTATGACAAGTTGAATTTTCACTTGATCGACATCCAGTCCTTCTTTCAAAGCGGCACCCATCTCTTCCGGGTGATATTAGACGATATCTCTTACACAGCGAAGAAATCAAAGTTGAATGAAAATGAATATTCAGTACAAGGGCTTTTGGAATCTTTTACCAATCGATCGGCTCGTGAGGACATTTTTTCCATTTTAGTCGAAAGGCTTATCAAAACGTTTGCATATCAACACAGTTTTAAAGCAATTCTGTGGGGTCATTCCATGACTCGTTTAGCAGATGGCATAATATCATCAGTGGTTAAAGGTCGTGGCTCTCAAATTCCAGATGCGTTAGACGACGAAAATATGGATTCCAGCTATGAATGCAGATTCAAAAACCTCCATCCCCTACGAGATGTGTTACTTTCTGAAATTGATGCATACTGTTTCATAACAGGATTGACCGAGTACACCTATCAGTATCGGCCTCAACAGAATCTACTATTAGCAAGTGACTCGACTAAAGGATCCAACAATGCAACTAGTCGACTTGCTAGAAACATGACAATCAATGAACTCGCAAGACAATATTTCGAAAACATAGAGGAAGGATATTCGAACATTATTTCAACAGTCGTTAGGACAGGAGCAAAACTTACTAGCCCTATTGATACGCTGTCAGAGCAGCAACAATGCTGTATTTGTGAGCAGAGAATATATAAAGACGGTTCTGCGTGGCTTCGTGATATCACTGTTAACAATGGACATCCGCTTGAGGGAAGAGAAGATGAGGCATATTTCAAGTTATGGTCTGAATCGCAGCAAGGACAAGAAAGAAGCGGCTACATTTCACTGAAGACACAAATGGCTGCTAAGGGTCTTGACGCACCAATATGCTATGGATGCATTATAACGTTGGGAGATGTTAAAAATAAGACCATCTGCTGGCCAATTTGTGAAGAAATTGAATCTAGAAAGGTGTTAAATGAGTTTATAATAGGCGATGACAGTGATGATGATGCTTAATTGATGAAGTTTCCGTGGAGATATACTACATAAAAACTACTTCCCCAAATACACAGAACCGTCCAATCATTTTTTTTGCAAGAGACTTAGAAGCTCATTTGATGGAGAATCAATTGCTTGTGTTGAGTTGTATGTTTCTCTATTTTCATGGGAAGGTACTGAATAGTTATTGGACTCTGGAGCCCTTGGTTGCTTCAACATCTGTAATAAACTGTGCGAGGCGGCCGTATTGGAGTTTGTTCCGGGCCCATTCAACATCTGAGCTTTGATAGGTTGATGCAATGAGTAAGATGGATCAGAAGGGGAGTTGTAACTAGAGTACGCAGGGCTCGTTAGAGGAGAGACGTGAGAAGCATTGTCATGCACATTTCCATTATTTACAACACCCATAAGTTCGCGTGCTGATGATTCAGTGAGCTTAGATCTTTCTATATTTGTTATTGTCGTTGCATTTCTTTCCAAATTTATTTTCTTGTTCACACCAGGATTCTTGAGTAATGACAGAAGCTCTTTTGAACCCTTTTCGGTTTCTTCTTTGATTTCGTTGCTGTTATCAATAGTATGTATTTGACCTTCCGTTGATTTTTGATGGCTAGAAGACGGTCTCTTCAAAAGGCTTAGAAGGTCGGCGCTGTCTGATGTTTTCTTGTCTATATTCCCTTCATTTGTAGAGTATCCTCCCGCCAGAGGGGTAGCGCGCGAAGTTTGTGGACTAATAGATGTTTCGAATGCGACGCTTTGATGATTTGGTTCTGATAAAATCGAAATATTTGTCTGCCGTGATGGTTCGGGAGCATTTAAAAGTCTCGCTTTTTCTAACGATTGTTGGACTTCTTCCATAGCTAGCATTTGTGATTTCTTCAGCATGTTCAAAAGTTCTTTACTGTCCTGTTGATGACTGAACGCAGGTTCATTCTCAACAGCAGAAGCCTCACTCGGATTTTGACTCTCGAAGGCAATATCTTTGAGAGTTTCGCCTCTCTTGAGAATTTTTATTTTAGGTTTTGCTTGAGATTTTATTGATTTTAAATCTGCAACTCCTCCAGTTGAAAGGTCACTAACATTACGGGCATCTACATGAGGTACCGACCCTGTAGTAAAAAAGTTCTGTTTCAAAGCTTCTTGGTTTTCGACTCCTGAAGACTTCTCAGTTTTCTCCAACTGTTCAAGTTTATGTTCCTCATCTTGCTCGATTGCTTCCTCTACTTCCTCGGCATTTTCTTCTTCTTCGAGTTGATCACCTTCCTCCTCACTCGAACTGCTTTCGAAGTCTTCATACTCATCAACATTCGTACTCGATTCCTCGGTCGAGGAAGAGAGAATCGAGTTATTGAAATCGTCGGATTTCAGATTATGATTAATGGATTGATAAGGTTCTGGGATGCTTTGAGTCTTTCCAGAAAGTTCAGTATCCCTCTCTTGTGCACTTTTGCTAGGTCTCCGAAGCACATCTAGTAATGCGCTAGCATTTGATTTGTTGTCGTTAATCGTTTGAGAATCTTGTTCTGTATTATTGGTTGTCGTTTGATTTTCAAGAACTTCACCACGCTTCAATAATTTAATCTTGGGCTTTTCCTGACTTTGCTTTTGTTCATTCTTTTGATTCAAAAGATCTAGCAGCACTTTCGATGGTGCGGCCGATGATTTTTCCTCTTCCTCGGCAACCGTGGGTTTGGCAAACACGTTTAAACTAGGAGTAGGAGGTGCCTGTGTTTCAACCATTTGAGTACCTGAAGATGAAGGTGGAGCCACACCTGGTGGAGCACTTAACCCATTATGGAATGGAAATGGGGCAAAAGGCTGAAATCCCATGAAGGGAAACTGTTGATGAAACTGGGGTGGAGGGACCATAAACGGACCTGAAGACATGGGCGGTGGTTGTAAAGGTGGTGGCGCCTGCGGTTGGGTTTCTTGTTGAGCGGGTTCATCGGGCTTAGAGACAGCATTCTGCAGCATATTCAAAAGTTCTCTACCTGGGTCGGCTGTCTCTTCCTTCTTAATGCCCAGAAGTAGTTTTAATTGCTCCTCTACGTGAGCTTTCAATTGATCCTCGTCTTTATTGCCCTTCTGTCTTTTCACCCACAAAGTCATTGGTCTAATCATAGCATTAACAAGGTAGTATTTGACATTTGTTTTGTGAATTGAACGAGATAGTTTTCTGAAGTCGCGCCATTCGATTTTTTCGATTTCATTACGAACCTTTGGTTTAAAATCGAAATCTTCAGGAACGCCGCTAACCAGAAAAATCTTGTAATTTTTACCTTGTATGTTACGCTCGATGAATTGATCTTCATCGATATAGTCAGTCAAGTCGAATCCAATTTCTTCCTGAACCTCACGAATGCAACAATCAACATCATCTTCATCTTTGGAAATCTTACCACGGGGAAATGACCAAGAGTCAGATTCGGTACCCTTCACAAGCAGAAGCTTTGTCAAAGATTTATTGAAGATGGCAGCACCTCTAACAGGGATACTTTTCTTATATTGGGAAAACTTTTTGAGCGCTTGGTCCGCTTTAACATCCCATTTCCACACGAGTGGACACAGCTTAATGACATGCTGCGCGAAGGATTTAATTCTCATATTTGGAAGATTGGGGTTCATCAACGTGACGAAGTCTGTGTAAAACCATGATGCTTCCTCTACATGGAAAAGCTCTCTTTCAACAGAGGAAAAATCCTCTGGAGGACAATTGATGATGAAACGTACTATTAAATCTTCTAAGACCCTATCCAGGGATGTGGCATTCTCTAAAGGATGCCCCAAAGGTAATGACATGGTTGCGAATTCGCGGTATTTGTACGTTAAATGATCAATAATAAAAGGAGATACTGTTCTAACAAACACAGTACGAATTAAGATTAGAAAAATTTTCCGCGGTCACATGGGTATTTTAGATCACGTGTTTTGGGTAAAATGAGTTAATGTGGTACTTGTAATCGATATAAAGATCATTGAGATGTGAAGCATGTTTGTGTAGTGGTGAGGAAGTTGAATAGAGGATTTTGACATATATTACAGCGGTGTTGGCTTCTTCTTCGCGGTTCACTAGACATTGTGCTCCGTCAACATGAAAACCAGTGGCGAAAAAGCACAACTCAGTATTGTAGTCTTGAAAACTTGGCGTGTTTTACACATTTTGACCTCTTGAATATGGCAATCAGAGTTGGCTACGTTCCCGAGCATTTTTCAACACCACTGCAGTTTGCGCAATCCAATGGCTACTTCCAGGAAGCCGGAGTGACTGTGGAGATGATATCATATCCAAGTGGTTCCGGAGCTATGATCCAGTCGTTAAATAGCGGGGACTTGGATATTGCAATTGGGTTAACGGAAGCATTTGTTCGTGGGATTGCGGACACTGAAGAGTCCAGCGAGCCAAAATACCAGATTGTCGGCACATACGTTACGTCGCCCTTGAACTGGGCCGTGTCCACGGGGATTAACAGGGATGACTTACAAAATCTAACGCAACTAGAGGGAGGAAAAATTGGTGTATCGCGCATCGGTAGCGGATCATACGTTATGAGCTTTGTCATGGCATTGCAATTGCAATTCAAGAGCGCATTCAAGTTCTCCGTCTGCAATACTTTTGAAAACCTCAGACGCAGTGTGAATTCCGGGGAAACCGATGCATTCATGTGGGAGTACTTCACATCCAAGAGGTATTACGACACCAAAGAGATCAAGATGATTGGCAGCATTGAGACGCCGTGGCCATCTTGGGTGGTGGTTAAGGCCAAAGAGCTACCAGCAAACGAGTTGCTGGGATTTGTGAAGGCCGTGAACCGCGGGATTGAATATTTCAACGGCCATCACGAGGAAGCTGTGGACTACATTGGTACCCATCTAGACTATTCCCACGAAGACGCAGCCGAGTGGCTACGCACGGTCAAGTTCCATGACGATTGCGGCAAAGTGAACAACGTGCCTGCTGTGATCACCGCTACTGTTAACATTCTTAAGACCGCAGGAGTGCTCAAGCACAATGACAACGACAAACTACTTGAACGAAACATGCAGCTTGGTCTCTACCAGACCCAGTGAATGAGATGTCGGGCGTCGTAGTTTGCCTGAACAAACCGAACAAGTACTAGTACGTAGCGGGTGCCATAAGGACTTCTTTGTGGCACTGACATTGAGACTACACAGTTCGATAGCCCTCGGTCTGCGGCCAAAAGTTCGCTAACAAAATAGCGCATTTTCTATACATGTGCGTGTTTTATATCATGGTTAATGAATATGACTATATAAGGCTTAAATCCTATTTTAGGTTTCGCTCACGTGACTCTAGGAACACAAACTTTTCATTCAACGGTTTTCGTGTAACGTGATACAGCCCTGGTTTATTTCACGTGATTATCGTCTTTTCTTTTTTTCCTCGGATTTTGCTCCGCGCTCTTCCATTCGGCCTAATGCGCTCGTAACCTGTGCCGCTCGGCGTGTTCCGATGAATGATGTCCTTTAAACCTAGTCACAGAGTTACCGGGTGAATTGCAACCATAAGCGGTGATGAATGTATATAAGCGAGGTTATTTTAAAGGTATCAATGCGGAATTAAGGTTTCAGGTGAATATCTTCCGTGGTAATAAGTGTGTATAATGGTTAAAGTGACTCTAGACAACGTTAAACTGTTGGTTGATATCGACAGGGAACCCAAGTTTTCTCCTTCCAAGACGACAGTGGCCGACATATTGACCAAAGATGCTTTGGAATTTATTGTGTTACTTCACAGAACTTTCAATGAAAGACGGAAACAATTGCTGAAGAACAGACAAACAGTGCAGAAAAAGCTAGACTCTGGAAACTACTCGTTGAACTTCTTGCCCGAAACTGAGAATATCAGAAACGATCCAACCTGGCAGGGTGCGATTCCAGCGCCTGGTATGATCAACAGATCAAGTGAGATCACGGGTCCTCCTCTAAGAAACATGCTTGTCAATGCATTGAACTCCGAAGTTAACACATACATGACCGATTTCGAGGATTCTGCATCACCAACGTGGGAGAACTGTATCTACGGGCAGGTGAACCTGTACGACGCGATCAGAGATCAAGTCAACTTTAAGACCCCCAGAAAGGAGTACAAGTTGAAAGCTCCTATTTCCGAGTTGCCCACGCTGATTGTGCGTCCTCGTGGATGGCACATGGTTGACAAGCATTTATTAGTGGATGACGAGCCTATTTCTGCGTCCATTATGGACTTCGGTCTCTACTTCTATCACAATGCGTTTGCATTGCTCAAGATCGGTAAGGGCCCTTATTTCTATCTACCCAAGATGGAGCATCATTTGGAAGCCAAGTTGTGGAACGACATCTTCAATGTGGCACAGGACTATATCGGGATGCCCCGCGGTACCATCAGAGCTACAGTGCTAATTGAAACGCTGCCCGCAGCTTTCCAAATGGAGGAAATCATTTACCAATTGAGATACCACTCCTCTGGGTTGAATTGTGGCCGTTGGGATTATATCTTCAGCACAATCAAGCGTCTAAGAAACCTGCCTGGTCATGTTTTGCCCAACAGAGACTTGGTCACCATGACCTCACCCTTCATGGATGCCTACGTCAAGAGATTAATCAACACCTGCCACAGACGTGGTGTGCACGCCATGGGTGGTATGGCTGCGCAGATCCCAATTAAGGACGATCCAAAGGCTAACGAGGCCGCGATGGCCAAGGTGCGCAACGATAAGATCAGAGAGTTGACCAATGGTCACGACGGGTCGTGGGTCGCTCACCCTGCTTTGGCGCCTATTTGCAATGAAGTTTTCAGCAACATGGGTACCGCCAACCAAATTCACTACGTTCCTGAGACCACCGTCACTGCTTCCGATTTAACCAATACCAAAATCGAAGGCGCAGAGGTTACCGTTGCAGGTATTGTGCAAAACCTTGACATTGGGTTGCAATATATGGAGGCCTGGCTCAGAGGCTCTGGTTGTGTGCCAATCAACAACCTGATGGAGGATGCTGCCACCGCTGAAGTTTCACGTTGCCAGCTCTACCAATGGGTCACACACAAGGTGAAGCTCAGCGACACTGGCGAACAGGTCACACCTGCTCTCACCAAGCGCATTCTAGAGGAGCAGGTGGCAAAATTGTCAGCTGCTAGCCCGCTCGGCGACAAGAACAAGTTTGCATTGGCAGCCAAGTACTTCTTGCCTGAAATTACTGGCGAAAAATTCAGCGAGTTCCTCACCACTTTGCTGTACGATGAAATCGTCACTGCTAAGTCCGCACCAACTGACCTGGCTAAGTTGTAATGTCCTCGAAGATGCCATTAGATTGCAATACGTATATCCACGTTCATATAGTAACTATGTTTGTCATTTTATGAAATCGCTCCTCAGCTTCTAATCGTTCGCTCCTTGCATAAATGTGACTACAATTTCCTTCACTGACGGAGATTGGGCAAAAACCCAATGGTTGTTGGTTTCGATAGTACTTGTACAATTCCTATTTAAACGGTTTATAGACCGTTACGAACAATTTCATTCTCCCCTTGGACAGTCGCTTACCGATTTATCCATTTTTCTATACATGAAGTCTTGAATTCAATTGCCGAACCGTTACAGGGTGGCTACACAGGGACGAACACAGACTTTATTGTACTAAATAACCTTTTTTTCAAGGCAACTGGCGCTTGGCAATGCAACTGTTCACTTTTAGATTTATTCCTTTCGCGTCAGTAATTGCAGACATCATCGATCGTGTATGTCTCAATTGCCACGTGGTTTATATCTCGTTGCTGTTGATAATAGGTCACAAAAGAAAAAAATTTCCAAGGACAATCTTGTGAAGAGGAAAAGCAGGAATTTGCTTGAGAAAACACTCGGTATAAGCGTTGATATCTAGGTGAATCTGCTGCCTAAGGATGATTATGAATAATTCACCAAGGAATGGAACGTCACCTCAGGGGAGAAGGGGCTCGACGATCAACAACTTGCTGAATTCGATGGGGATCCGGCCAGGTTCTGGTACCGCATCGATGCCTGCAAGCGCGTCGAGTACTGCTGCACAATCGAATGGTCCGCCAGCCACGGGAACAAGTTCGACCAATGACATTATGAACTCACATCCGCTTGATATGCTGAGCTCGGACGACGACGAAGATCACCATATGGGGCGCGATGACGCCGGCGCGTCGGGCGCGGTGAACATGTTAGGGACCACGCCGTTTGACCAACTGCAGCTCAACTCCACTGCACCTGGTCTGGGCACCAGCGTTGCTGACGAGTTGCCTATTACTCTCACGCTGGGCGCGGGTGACAACGCGGGTTTGGGTCAGGCCCCCTCCAACACAAGCGACACTCAGTTGGCCATGAAGTCAGTACGCCACTTTGTGTACGGCAGTACACATCCGGAAAGTGCGTTTGAATTACTCAATTTAGAACCACCGAGGAACGGACCGTTCCCAGACCCCGTGGATGAAGAAGGTATACGAAGCCGCAAAGATAAAAATGGTTTGTTTAGTTTGCGGCTCACACCATACTTGGACCAATCTGCAGCAACGAACCCTGGTTTGTATTTTGAACCCATAGTCAGAACTGCCGGTCCATGCTCACAGCTTGTCATTGGTAGGTACACAGAACGCGTACGTGAATCTATTAGTCGCATTCCAGAGCAGTTCCACCCGGTCGTGTTCAAGAGTAAGGTCGTTTCGAGAACACATGGCTGTTTTAAGGTAGACTCACAAGGAAATTGGTACATCCGTGATGTTAAGTCATCCTCGGGTACCTTTTTGAATCATCACCGTCTCGCACCTGCATCGACTATGTCTAAAGATACCCTACTGAAAGATGGTGATGTCATACAACTGGGCTTGGATTTTCGTGGTGGTACTGAAGAGATATACCGCAGTGTCAAAATGAGAATAGAGCTCAATAAGTCTTGGAAGAGGCGCGCAATGAGGTTCAATCGCGAAGCTTTGCAACGCTTGAAAGAGTTGCAGAAGATGACGACAGGACTTGATACCGAAGATTGTTCTATTTGTTTATCAAAGATAAAACCTTGTCAAGCTATATTCATATCGCCCTGTTCCCATAGTTGGCATTATCAGTGCGTTCGTCGACTAGTGATGACCACATATCCTCAATTTGTGTGTCCCAACTGTAGATCTAGTTGTGATTTGGAAGCATCATTGGATAGTGATTTCGATAGTGATGACAATGAATATGATGATATGGTTGATGACGAAGTGAAGGACATGGAAATGCCCTGAACGTCGGGAGGAAGGTTGCTGATAACAAGCTGATAACTACTTTTTTTTGTAAGATTTAATATAATCGAGGTGTGTCTTTTGTACTTTGATTTTTTTTGGGAAGGTGATCTAGGTTGGGAAGCAATACCTTAACTTACTTAGATAATTAAGACTAGTGTTTGAGGGGGCTGGAGAACGCTCCTCATCTACAAAGCGGGTTATATACATTAACTGACTGCTGAGTTAGAATGAAAAGTTTTTCTTCTTATTTAAATTAATAACGGTCCTTATCGCCAATTAACCTTAGCAAGACATCTTGCAGCTCTTGTTTTGCTGTCCCGAATTTATACACTTCATGACCGCCTGTCAAAATTTTCCACTCCTGTGTATTAACAGACACCTTTGTAAGCTCCCGTTGCCAATTGCCCCATTGCGGGGATTTCTTTATGAGTTCATTGGCACTTGCAACACTGGTCTTTACATCGTGTAGTTTCTCTTTACTATTCAAAACATCCTTGTAACTTAACAAGGAACTTGTTACACTCTCCAAAAACTTTCCTCTCAAAAATTTACCCTGATATTTCATATCCCGGCCAAGCAAACGCTCCTTGGATCCATGATGAGCGAGCAGCCATGATGTCTGTAACTTAATGCCAACTGTCGACCATAGCCCATCCCACCATATTCTGAACCCATTGTGTCTTTGAATTTCTGGAGGTAGATTGCTCATGTCATCTGGGTCTTTACTATCTCTGTCAGGAGGGAGCAACCGTTGTAAATAATTCTTCAAGAGAATATCTTCGTGCCAAGATTCCACTAATAGCATTGAATCGACCTTATCAACATTTTTTGCGGTGAAAACTTGAGTAAAAAGCCCCCCTAAATCGTAACCCACAGTAGTGAACGGTCCCTTGATTTTAGCATCTTTTGTGAGCGCGTAAGTTACGGCATCGGCTACCATTGCAATGGAGATTGGAGCAGGAGCAGAATCAGATAATCCATAACCTGGTCGATCGTAAGTACAATAGCGTTGTACTCTGTTCAAATGATATAGCTCTTGGATCCAAGTAGCAGACAAAAATCCCGTATCTATACTGCCATGCTCATAAAGAACAATAGGTTGTAAATCTTTATCCTTAGAGAACACGTCGCCATAGCAGGAAATGTGTATTTGATACGTATGCTCTGGATCCACCCAGTGAAAGGCATCATAGGATGCAGCCTCTGTTGAAACATCTTTTACACCGTGCGTTACGCGGCCTATATCAATGGTGAATAGCAGTGTGTTCAAAGTGAATAAAACGAAAAAGATGAATATAAGGAACTTCACCAAATTACGGAATCCAATTGAAATCCACTCCATAATTGTATGTCTTGATCCAATTGGTGAGGTAGAGGAGTCACTTTCATCGTCCACAGAAGGGTTGAACCCTTTCATGTACGTATACAGACGCCAATCGAGAACCGCACCAACAAAAAAAGTCAATGCTGCCCATAGATAAGTAACAGTCCCGATAAAACCAATTCTTCTCCTCGTGTAACTCAGGATATATGTCAGGAATAGATTGAAAAGTGTCAAAATGCACAAAACAATGTTCAGGCTTTGATCTAGGCCTGAATAAAGCCCCACTCTATTGAACCAAAGATTCATGGAATTGGCGACTATTGAAATGAAAATTAGGCTAAGATCATTGAAGCTCGTTATTCTATTGCTAAAATGTAGGAAGCTCATATTGAAGAAAAAGTCTGACACAAACGTAGTAACCAACCATATAGTATTGAGTATTATAAGCACATTCAAAATAACTCTGGAGTCATGAACGAATATTCTATAATTTCTACGAGCCTCATAAAACCGTCCTGGCTCTCTGTCGTCAATATCGTTCGGTAAATTTTCAGAGTTAGTTGGACCAATGGTGCGGTGAGATGGTCTTCCCTGTGCTCCTAAAAGAGGTTCATTTTCAGAATTGTGATCAAACGCGCCTGGTAATGGATTGGCCTTGGGCGATAATTGTTCATCTCCATGTCCCTTATTTGGTTCACTACGCGAGGTTTTCACAGCCGATGCCTCTCCTGAACTCGGGTCACCTCCTAGAATATTTCCAGATTTAGTAGAGCTCTTTATTGAGCGATTACTAGTGGAAATCGACTTACTAGCCATGATTTTAACCCAAGAACTTAGCTCTTTAGCAAATTATCGGAAGTTAGCGATGCCCCCCCTTTAATATTGCGAATAGAAAAAGATGTTCGTTCAACGTTATAAAAAGCGATGAGCACTATTCTCGATTATTGGATGACTGAAAGACTTCAGATAATCGTCAATTAATATCATAAGTATAAATTTATATACCCTTCAAGAATTAGTATTTTGTCAGTAGACATTGTTAAATTACAACGCTAAAACAAGGATGCTTTCCATTCATTTGCAATAGCTTGTTGGGAATAGCCCTTTGTGGCCATTGACTTCACCGAAAGTCCAACCACTGCCATCATCCTCCTTTATAACGGTAATGATACTACCCTCACTTATGGAAATCTCATCGTCACCCTGCGCGGTATAATCATAGAGTGCTTCCACTGTCCGCGTCGTTACAGTAGCTTTTCTCGGTGGAGGGGCCCTTGGCGCCGGTGAACGAGGTTTTTCTTTTATTTCTATGTATGACGAAGGAACCATACCCACCTTGTCAGTCGTTTCATTTTTTATTTGCGTCCAACCATTTCCTGAATCGCGAGCCACCAATGTGATGGTATCACCAGGACTGACATCTACCTCATCAGAATCCTGCATCTTATAGGCGTATAGTACACGGTTTCCAGTTTGATCGGCAGTTGTGTCAGGAAATGCATCATTACTCGTTGTGCTTGACAGGGCAGAAGCAGACGCAGTACTCTGCGCTCGATCCCGTTTCTTGAAGATTGAAAACCTACCCAAACTGTGATGCTTCGATTCGGATGAAAGAATTGAGGCAGAATCATGAATTTCATGGTGCGTAGGACGTGTCTCTGAGATGGTCATATTACGTTTAAACTTGCTGAGAAATCCTCCTTTCTTTTCAAGTTTTGATAAATCGATATCGTCCGTGGACAGATCATACTCCGAAGGTACGTTGTTTTGAATGCTTTCAATTTCCACTTCTGCCTCAAGCTTGGAAGTTTCATGGGAAGTAAATGCCGAAACAGTGCTCGAATAGCGAGTTAAAATTTCTAAAAGCTGTTTACCGTCGGCAGTTTCATCATCTTTCAACTGCTGTTTTTGCTTATTCAATGATCCTAATGAAGAGCCCTCGTTTTGGGTTATTGAGCTCATTTGATCAAACAATTGCTGTGCTTTTACTAATTTCACCTTCAAATCTTGTAATTCGACTCCAGATGCGACCACAAATTGTTCGTCATCATGCCATACCGGGGAAGGGATGTATTTGAAATCAGCAGGCTCTTTCCATGATTTGATGTTGTGTTTGATAAACATCGAAGAATCAAGATGAGGCTTGTTTTGGGCGACTACCGAATCAATTGTGTCTAGTCTTGTATCAACCCTCTTGTGCAGTTGACGTTCCAAGACACCTGCAGCCTTTAATAAATTGTTCAAAAGACGAGTCTTAGATTCATTCAAGTCCTGTAATAAATCTAATGCCTCTGGGACATCTTGAAAGTAGTACTTGTCCTTAAGACGGTTGGCCTGGTTGATTTTTATGAGGTAATTGTTTTTAGTGATATTCATATTATGCTCCTTGTCATCAACTCTCCGCTGAGCTTTATCACTGGAAGATTTGGTTTGCTTAGCTCTAGCCGATTCCATTTGGGTGCAAGCCTCGTCATAATGCTTTTTTGCCTTATCTAGGTTATCAAAGGCCTGTTCTTTCCTTTCAGTAAGTTCAGTATTAAACCCACTGATAGACGTCAATAAAAGCTCGCATTTTCTGTTCAATGCTACAATTTGGTCCGCTATTTCAAATTCGAACTCCTGAGAAAGCTTATTATGGTCCTTCGATATCATTTCTGTTTGAGATAGAACTTCATTCCAAGCAACCAGTGATGCCGCTTCTAGAGATCCTGGTGTAATTGTAGGAGAGTCACCGACCGATAAGGACACAGTTGCGCTACTTTTCTTTGTGAAATATTCGGCTGTTAGATTAGATAGCTTGACACTGTATTCTTTCTCGAGTTTTGCCCTTTCTTTGTAGAAAGCCTCGATTTCTGAAAGCCATTTAACATTGTTGGATACCCATTTATAGGTTTCCTTGAATCCATCCTTGATTTCATTACCAACTGATATGTCAGCACTCATCTAGTCTTAATTGGAGATGTTTATGTCTTGGATATAGGGGAAGGTACTGCGGCTGGAAGTTGGAAAAAATTCGGTGTTCTAATTATGATAACTTTGATGCTCTAAGTACAAGCTACAGAAAAAGCATCAAATAGGTATGGAAACAGGGCAGCCAACCGAGATAACTGAGCAGCAAAGAGCTCAGCTGCAGTTCCAGCTATTTCAAGAGTCGCTTCCTAAAGTTAGTACCTCAGTTTTTCGCATGCTTCTCAACGAGATGGTTCCTCTTTCTGTCGCTGTTGAAGACAAAGTGGGCGAAAACCCTGGTGGACAACATGAAACCAGCTCCAAAAATGATTTGGAAGAAGCTATCGCTTCCAACCTTTCCTTGAAACCATGCATCGATCCACCATCACACAAACTGATAGCAGAATATGCTGTCGCTGACGAAGATAAACGGCTGCGAATCAAGGCTCGGTTGAATAGCATGGGTCTTCAAATCGGTAAAAAGCTCTCAGAACTTCTGATTTTTAGTAATAATCCCAATTTGAACTTTAAAGACATGGATTTGTTGACCGTCATGAAGTTCATTTGCAGAGACGTCTGGAGACAGATGTTTGGCAAGCAAATCGACAATCTGAAAACCAATCATCGAGGAACCTTCTATCTTTTTGACTACGACTATAGACCAATTCAATGTCTTGCATTAGACGGTGATGTATCAGACCTGGAGCTAAATATGATAGACCCATATCTTGAGATTCCCTGTGGTATTATCAAGGGGGTCTTGCTGTCTCTTGGATTTGATGCGAAAGATCAAGTTTCATGTGAAGCTACCGTAGTAGATTTACCGGATACAAAAACGGGAGAGTTGGGCTCATTTCCTAAAGGCATTAGTTTCAATGTTCAAGTTTTACTCCAGTAGAATATGTATGTATACAAGTAGAACAACAATATGCATTGATTTTTGAATAGAATATATTAATTTCACCTTATTTTCTTTTTTTGCCCACCAAGAGTATGTTCAGTGGCTCCCGTATGGTGTTTGTGAGCGGTCTCTCAACTTTCAAATATCCAATATGACTGGTTGTATGATTGTTGAGTATTTTGGACATATTTTCCTGCAAGGCATCCAGTGCTTTGATTTCATTATCCATTCTGTTTAAAAAGTTGTTTCGAGCATCTTTCAACTTTTTAGTTATTTCTATCTTTTGCTCTTCAGTGACTTGTTCTTTCCACATGAGCCTGCATTCTTTGCACATATTGCGAAACCTTCTATTATAGTCGTTATAATCTTCTAACTCGGCATCTTTTTTGTAAATGCGTGTGACCTTGAATTTGCCAAAGGATCTTGATCTCAATTGTAAACTTTTGCCCTCTAAGCTTCTATTACGCTTTTGACTTTCTTCCCAAAGAGCATCAAATTTGGCCTTAAAACTATTGCGAAACAGTAGGTACTCACTTGAAACAGGTATCGGTATTTCAAGTCTCTTAGCAAGTTCCTCATAGCTCATTTTACCATAATTAATCCTTGCAAAATGGAAATAAAGACAATGATAAACCCTTTTTCTCGATATCGATAACGAATCCCATTCTTTACGAATGTGTCTTTTGAAGGCATTATTCCTGTTAGCAAATTCAAGGATTTCATCACCGGTGGACATCTTGTGTAGGTCTTTCAACTGCAGTTGGTAGTAATAATGGAATACCGTCGGTGGCGTTCTATCTAGTTTTTCGAAGGATTTCTTGCTCACCACTTCCAAAAGAGAAATATGTGCTCTGCAAGCAGTGTATATTCTCATAACGCCGCCAATTAGGTGATATTGAATTGAGTACAAGTTAATTCAGAGCGTTGCTGCTGAAGGCATCCTAACGTTAGCGATGACTTCAATTTATATTTTTCGCGTTTCGTGCACGTACGCGTTCCAATCATATCTAAAGTATAAACATCATTTGAATGATTAACGTAAACGAGAAAAAAATATTACAAGCGTGCATAAACCACCGAAAAGATGGATTTGATTATATTTGTATCCTAACTATGGTAAGACACGTCCTTAAAGTGCATGTCCGACGCACCGTGGGAATGGTTTTGATCTAGTGAAAATGTAAACTCATTCTGTTGTGGTACGGTATGACCATTTGAAGGGTCGCTCCCGTTGTCGTCTACAGCAGTATTACCATTTTCACTTGATGGAGTGCATAGATTATAAGTAAGTTCTGGGTGGGATGCGCCGTCGAGCGGTTTATTAGAACCTAGAGCTTTGGCGGCCACTAAAGTAGCCTCTTGATTTTGCGGCTTGCTTATTAACACGGCATTGTTGGGTGTAGAGTGAGAGGATTTTATTACAGGGCTGGCTGCAGGTGCAACTCGCGTGTTACCTTTACCTCTGCCCTTAATACCCCTGTTAGAGTTTTTGTAAAGATCGGCAAAATACTCCAGCAACTCTTTTTCCTCGGGAGGAATATTTTCGTTGGGATCCATTTCTGCAAGCCTTTGAGTTAATTCATTCAAAGTCTGGAGATGGAATCTGTTTTGATGAGCCTTCATGTTTCCCAATTGAGTGAAACTTTTATTGCAACCGTCTAATTTGCAATGGAAGGGCTTCAGATTTTCATGAGTAAGTTTATGTGCTGCTAAATTCCCCTTTCGAGAAAAACGACGACCACATTTCTCACATTCATAAGGTTTTTCGCCCGTGTGTAACCTGACATGAGTTCTCAAATTACCACCCTGTGTAAATCTCTTGCCACAATACTCGCATTGGAAAGGTTTGTAACCAATGTGGGACCTAACATGAACTTCTAAATGTGTAGATTGAGTGAAGCATTTGTGACAATAAGGGCATTCGTGCTGTTTAACTCCTCGCGCTTTCGGTTTTTCCACGCCACCTACTAGCTCACTTGCAGGCGGAATAATCACAGGAGCACTTTCTAACAAAAGCGACCCGTCTGCAGCACGCGGAACCTTATCTGTAACACCCTTCTTGCGAGCTTGAATGACAAGCATAAGTTGATCGACTTTGGTGGCACCAACAAGCGGCCTGCCGTCATCGCCCACCAGAATTGAGTCCTTGGAATCTAGTAGCCCTACCAAATCCTTCATAGAGTCCGCATTGGATTCTCCGTCCTTGGGACTCGCGATTTTTCGCTTTTTTGTGTCAGGTCTGGGTCCCTTGAGGTCCTTGGAGTCCGGCTCTATGTTGTCTTGTTGTAACATGGGCGTCAAGTGCTTGTGGATGCGCGCTTCAACGTCATCATCGGGTTTGTGCATAGGTGATTCCGACCCTGAGCTCTTTTTCAGCTGATCTGGAGCTTGCTTGCCAGAATTGGCGGCGATCGGGTGTGGCATATAGCCCTGATTATCAAGTGTAGCACGCACTGATGAATCACGACGTTTGAACTGGAAATCGAAGTCATCACCGGAAAATTTCATCGAATTCTTCCTAGAGGACAAGCCTTGGCTGAAAAGCGCGTCTAAGTCCGACTCTTGGCCGGACGCCGGGGTGGGATTAGAGCCAGCCACGTTCGTAGCTTGTGGAGCACTGGAAGTACTGTTTGTTGAACTGCCACGTTGCGGCAGGATGTGAGGGGGTTTCATCATTACGGTGGAGTCGCGCTTCGAATTGGGATTGAAAATGTCTAGATCGGGGGGGTCGTTAGTCCCAAAGAAAATAGAGTTACGCTTGGAGCCTGGCATCATGTCTGGTCGACCGCTGGGCGGTGGCACTGGCTGCTGGAGCTGGCTGGGGCCGGATCGCCCGGACGAGAAGCTGGGGGTCTTGAATCGTGGCATAAAAGGCTCCAATTGCTCGCTCTGGCGGCGCATCACCGTGAACTGCCCGGCCTCGGGTCCCATTGGCCCACCTGCGATTCCTGAACCTCCCACACCGGCGCCCGCGGGCGCCCCGGCCGCAGGCCAAAAGTTGTTTATTATGGAGTATCCACGACTGTAGGGCCCGAGATCCTGGCGCACGCCTTGTGGTTGAGGCTGCAGTTGCCCTCCAGCCTGCTGCTGCTGGGGCTGTTGCTGTTGATGTACTTGCTGCTGTTGCTGGAGCTGTTGTTGTTGCTGCTGCTGGCCCTCCGCGATATTTAGAAACGACGACAGCGACGCGTCCGTCGACAGCCTTGGGGCGTTGAAGTTTGTGTACATCGAGATTGAGTCTGCCCGCTGTGCTCCCACGGGTACACCTTGCGGCGGCCCCGATGGAGGAGGCATTGCCGCGGCCGGCCGTTGTTGGGTATTCGTCTCACTTTCGTGTTTATCCATGGTCAGGTAATCCGCACTGTTGCTCGAACCGCTTAAACTAGTTTGATCTGTGTGAGGCTGATATGAATGAGAAGACTTGACGCTGCCCGAAGGATCCATCCTTCTATCAGAACCTGAGATCTTGTGAGATGTTTATTGCCGATGGTTTGCTCTTCCCCCCCCTGCGAGCGTGAGACCCACCACAGCGATGGGAAAGAAGCGGTGCGAACGCCAGCGAGAGGCAGGTGCGAGATCCGGGTAACTCGGTCACTCTTCCCGTGTACAGTGATGCATTTTCATTCGTGTTGAATGATAGTATATATTTTCGTATATAGCGATTATTAGAATGTCACATGCTTTTCACGTGCTGTGGATTGTTTCTTTTCCTTGCGCACTTTGGTAAAACCAAAAAATTTTCAGGCCATGCAAGAAAAAAAATAGGTCCGATGAGCTATACTCGACGCAGCTGAGACTACTTCGACATACATCCTACCCCCCCCATATACCCTCTCACGCGCAATGACCAGCGAGGAACACAAGGAATTGGCTGCAGGTGAGCAACCTCACGAAGCAGGTGTGGCGCCAGCCGCCGCTCCTGCAGAATTCGCCGACGCAGATGTCGACATGGTGGGTGAAGAAGAGGAAGAGGTCGACCGCGAAAAGATCCGGCTTCTGTCGCAGGCCACATCGGAGGACGGTACATGTGCGTCGTTCCAGGTGGTCGAGGAGGACCATACGCTGGGCAACGCGCTGCGCTACATCATCATGAAAAACCCGGACGTTGAGTTCTGCGGGTACTCGATCCCACATCCCAGTGAAAATCTGTTGAACATCCGTATCCAGACATACGGTCAGTCGACTGCTGTAGAGGCCCTCCAAAAGGGTCTCCAGGATCTCATGGATCTGTGCGACGCAGTCGAGGACAAGTTCACGCAGCGCATACGGGAGATGTGATCGCGTCCGCGCAACATGTATACTAAACCGCACATAACCAGTGTATAGACAAGTGAAAACGAATCGAACTACAGCTTCACGGGCCCGACACCCGATGCCGATTTGTGCTCTATCAGCCTCGGCAATGCCGTCGCCTGGGGCAATACCAGAGCATCCATCTCACTCAACACAGCTGGCCAGTTGGCTGGGTAATGCTCATCGGGGCGGGTTGGAACACCCGTACACCATTATTGCTTTTTGGGCCTGGGAAAAAACTTTCACCATATAAAAGAGCATCTCGCCGCAGCTGGGCATCGACCCTCTATCCCACATTTGTTTCAAGTATATTTCAGTCCGAACAATGACCTACGGCTCCAGAGACCAGCAATTCAATAGAGACAACTACAACTCTCGCGGTGGCGACTTCCGTGGTGGTAGATCTTCCGACAGAAACTCCTACGGTAGAGACAACCGTTCCGGTGGTGGTCGTGGAGGTTTCTCGCGTTCTTTCCACACTCAACCTCAAGAGCTTATTGCTCCAAACTGGGATGAGGAGTTGCCAAACTTGCCAAAGTTTGAGAAGAACTTCTATGTTGAGCATGAAACCGTGCGCAACCGTTCCGATGCTGAGGTTGAGGCGTTCAGAAAGGAAAATGAGATGACCATTTACGGTAAGGACATTCCAAAGCCAATCACTACTTTTGACGAAGCAGGCTTTCCTGACTACGTTTTGAGTGAGGTGAAGGCTGAGGGTTTTGAAAAGCCTACTGGTATTCAATGCCAAGGGTGGCCTATGGCTTTGTCAGGTAGAGACATGATCGGTGTTGCTGCTACCGGTTCTGGTAAGACCTTGTCTTACTGTTTGCCAGGTATCGTGCACATCAACGCTCAGCCACTTCTTTCTCCTGGTGATGGCCCTATCGTTTTGGTGTTGGCTCCAACCAGAGAATTGGCTGTCCAAATTCAAAAGGAATGCTCCAAGTTCGGTAAGTCCTCCAGAATTAGAAACACTTGTGTCTACGGTGGTGTTCCACGTGGTCAACAGATCAGAGATTTGACCAGAGGTGCAGAAATTGTTATCGCCACTCCAGGTAGATTGATTGATATGTTGGAAATTGGTAAGACCAACTTGAAGAGAGTCACCTATTTGGTTCTTGACGAAGCAGATAGAATGTTGGATATGGGTTTTGAGCCTCAAATCAGAAAAATTGTTGATCAAATTAGACCTGACAGACAAACCTTGATGTGGTCTGCTACCTGGCCTAAGGAAGTTCAACAGTTGGCCAGAGATTACTTGCACGACCCTATCCAGGTCAACGTTGGTTCTTTGGAATTGGCTGCTTCTCACAACATTACTCAACTTGTCGAAGTTGTCTCTGAGATGGAAAAACGTGATCGTTTGCTCAAGCACTTGGAGACTGCTTCTGAGGATAAGGACTCTAAGATCTTGATCTTCGCTTCCACCAAGAGAACTTGTGATGAGATCACCAAATATTTGAGACAAGATGGATGGCCCGCCTTGGCAATTCACGGTGACAAGCAGCAACAGGAGCGTGACTGGGTTTTGCAAGAGTTCAGAACTGGTAGATCCCCTATCATGGTAGCAACCGATGTTGCAGCCAGAGGTATTGGTATGTTATAGATTTTTTTTCGACTTAGAAATAGAAGTGGTGCTAGCTGGCTCTAGTGTTTACCGCTATATTTCGATTACTGATTTTAACGAATGACACGCAGGGACAAGGAAAATTATAGACTGGAAAACGTTTTCTCTCGGATGAGATGAAGAGGTTAAATCCAAATATTGACTAATTTCACTACACATGTGTTAAAAGATGATTTGAACGAATTTTTAACCCCTCTATTCACTATTTTTTTCATAAGTGCTAGGTTCATACTGGGCTATGCGCATATTGTGTTCTAATTTCAATGTGAATTTGGGGAGAAGGCGAATGGGCAACGACAAGTTTACCGATCCCGATGACAAATTAAATCGAGATTTGTAAATTATTGAGATGCTATTTTGAACTGGCATTGAATGAAAACTTACGAGGTTCTCGTAGTTCGCGCTCTACATAACCTTTCTTCAAGTAAGGTTTATGCTGCTTTTCGTCATAAAGTGTGTTTGCATTATCTTTTTACCTTTCTGTGTAGTCTGTTTGTATTTGGTCCTCTCTACCGCCATAACCACATGATGGTAAAGGCGTTAAGGCAATGCCTTAATGACGAGAGAATTTATAATTCTAATGTGAAGTATTTTTCTTCCCACTGTCGTTGGTGCTTCAGCACTTCTGTGAGCATTATACTAACAACATTTTACAGATGTCAAGGGTATCAATTATGTTATCAACTACGACATGCCAGGTAACATTGAGGACTACGTTCACAGAATTGGTAGAACTGGTAGAGCTGGTGCTAAAGGTACTGCTGTGTCCTTTTTCACTGAAGCCAATAAGGGTCTAGGTGCCCAATTAATTGGAATTATGAGAGAAGCCAATCAGCAAATCCCACCAGAATTGATGCAATATGACAGAAGACCTTACGGCGGTCACCCAAGATATGGCCGTGGCGGTCGCGGTGGTTATGGTCGCGGTGGCCGCGGTGGCTATGGTCGTGGTCGTGGTGGTTTCGGTGGACGTGGTAGAGATTCTGGCTGGGGTTCTAGAAATGGTGGGAACAGATCTGTAAACTACTAAAGGTTCAATCAGTAAATTGCTAAACCTTGCTGTGTACACTAATATAGATAGATAGATTTCTCAGGTGGTCCTTGCTCGGTGCCTGAAGCTAAGCACATAATATGTCGATTTGAAAAATATTTACTAATTTATCTCAAAAAGAAAGAAGAGCAACTTACCAATCGTTTCCCCAATCATCCTCTTCAATTTCGTCGGCTAGCTGTTCAAAAACGTCATTTGTTGTGCTAGGTTTCTTTATACTAGCTGATGAGAAGCTCTCTGTGTTAGACTTTTTCATTTTCCCCGCATTTACCTTTGAACTAGTCTTTGTGTCATTAGCCTCTGCCCAAGAATCATCCCATTCATCATCATTTAAATCATCGTTCCAAGATTTATTAACTTTCACCTTTGTTGTGAGCGTCTTTCCAAATGCTGTTTTTGTATTCGATCTCTTATTTCCACTTATGCTTTGGACCACTTTGGACTTGGTACTGTTCATTTTTGTAACTAGTGGAGCGTTTCCTTTGCTAGGCTCCTCGGAATTGTTGCTCCAGTCGTCTTCAGCATCCCATTCATCAATAACGCTGTCATTCCAACTGTCCGCTGTATTTTCAATATTCTGCGTCGTATTTCCATCCGTGGGGGTGATGCTTAGTGGTTGGGGTGAAATTCTGAGATTTTCTAAAAATCCTTTAGCCAGATCATCATTGTCATCAGCTATATCCGCCTGGAAATTTAATTCTACATCTTCTGCATGATCGGTGGGGATCTGGTCTGCTTCGTTTTCCAGCTTAGATAAGTATACTTTGAATAGGCTTCTTGCTTTTGATCTAACTTGAGCGTTTTTATCCAACAATCCTGGACCGATTACTGTGAGAACTTTGTTGGCTATAGTTTGAACATCAAATAAATCTAGTGAGTCTTCAAGACCGTACAATGCAGCTAGTCGAGGCTTTACAGCAGGGTCTTTCAGGGATTTTGTAAAGGCAGTCGATAAAATTCCGGACCTGTTGCTTGATTGGGACAACTTTTTGGACAGTTTAGATATAACCAAGATTGTCCAAGTTCTAATATCTTCGTTGGGATCCATTTGAGTTTTGGCCAAATGACGTAGAAGATCATTATTAAGTTGACGCTCCGTGATCATGGAGATGATATCGGGTACGCGTTTTAGGGTCTGGATTCTTATGGTGCTATCAGTGTCTGCCAACCCTTGAACAAATGGTGGAAATATACGTTCAACCACGTCATTATTTGTTAGTCTAGGAATGTATGATGGGAAGTATACTAATAGAAGAAATCTTAACTGTCTATCAGATATTTTGAAATTCTCAAATATCAGTGGTTTCACGTACTTATTAAATGTCGACTCATCATCAGAAATGGGATTTTTTGTGCACGTAAGTTCGAAAATAGTAGCCACGAAAGGGACAATGCTAGCAAAACCAGTAGACATAGGTTGTGTCTTCTGTGTGCTAATAATCGTTGATATGCATTGAGCAAATTCTGGGATTAGAAGGCCATCCACAAAACCTTTTGTAGCATTTTTCAGAACGCTTGCATCTTCAAGTATTTGCCTCTGTAGATCTGACATTACGACTACCTTTCCTTGGGGATCCTTGATTTGTAGCTCTTTCAGCTCTTCATAAATAGAAATTAATGTAGAGTTAAAGGGTTTCGTGGATTCCACTCTTGTGCAAAACTGAGGAATGGTGATCCTTCCTTGTGAAAGTCCAGAGACTAAGGTATTCCATTCGGAGGGAACTCTTTGGTAAAACTGTTTAATTAGTCTGGCGAGTAAAATTGAGTCTACCTGAGCAGCGGCCGATGGTTCAATATCAAGACCAGAGCCTTTTACAAGTTCTGAATAGGAAGCAGAGTACTGATTCAAGTGATTCGGATCGGCCATCTTGGAGCATAGCTCTAATCCAAATAAACACCATTCACCTCTTTTATTGGTGAATATTGTGCCTGGACATAATGTACCCAGAATAACTTTTGCTTGGCCGTGAAGAAGATTCAAGGTTTCACTAATTTGAAAAACGCCCAAGCTCAATGCATCAATACTTAAGCCTTCAACGTCCAATGGATGAACCCTTTCAGTAACCACGTAGATATTAGCTGGGTCAGAATCAATCACATCCAAGACACGAACTAATCCAGGGAGCTTCAATATTTTTGCATTGTGAACAGCATTGGAAGTTAATGCGTCTATTATGGCGTTATCCTTTTGTTTGCAATACGTGAAGACGGTAACTGGGGTAGAATCCGCTTTTTTGGTACCATTAGTAGCTTCCCATAGTGGAGTAGAAAGTACAGGAGACTGGTCTAGTGTATAAGGGAATTGGAAGTTCGATATAGACTTGAACAAAAAGTTCATCTCAGAATTCCTGCTCCTTTAATCTGTGTTGTTACGCGTGAATCGTTACACTGACGATAGTTTTAAAAAAAAAATAAATGAAAACAGAAAATGTCGTGAATGTCAGACATTCAGTAAACATTCGGTAAAGACGCGATGAACTCCAATCCCTGTCGTTGCTCGTTTACATTCGTAAAAGAGTTTAATCCTTCGCAATCCCTGTATGCTAAAAACTCTAGCAATTAAAAACACATTAGTCCAATTGGACAGATATTTATAAATAGTATTATATCTTGAATCTAATCTACAATGCCATAATAGGACCAGACAAAACCTACTGTTGGTTCATGTAGTAAATAACAACCGCGGCAATAACAATGAGGAGAGCTAGAATTAAAGCACCGTTACCCTCACCCCCAGTGGTGGAAGAGGAAGGCTCAGCCTCAACTCTCTTCACAGGTTCACTGTCCTTGTCCAAGTCACCAACGTACAAGTCTTCTAGCATTTTAACGGCATCATCTGAGTGGCCAATATCAGCGAATGGACCAGTAGCGTCTTGACCACCTAAATCAAGCAAAACTTCTTCACCACCTGGATGCTCATCGACGAATTTGGAGCAATCGTACACCTTACCGTCAATGATCATCCACAGATCGCCCTCAGTGTTGTGTTCAGCGATTTCTTTGTATGTGAATTGTTTGGCCATCTTAATTAGTTGGTTAGTGAGGTTAACTGGGAGTTGATGTTGAGCCCTGATATTGATCCTGTCCTTTTATAATGGTCTCGTAAAACTGTGAAAAAATTTGTTGGGAACGAGAGCCCGATACGACCGATCAAGATGTGTCGGAATTAGAATATCATGTGACAAGGACCAATAATAGCTGCGGGGAGTTGATTAACCGGTAAATTTACTCTTTAGAATATCAGCATATTTGGTTGCAAGAATTTGGTTCGATAGCGGTCTTTGAAATTCAATGCTAGAGCCGAGCTGTTTGGAGCATTCGGCGTATGATGTACGAAAAAGATACTATAATATACACAATGGTCCCGGAAGACGTGGCGAGGAATAGAAATGGACTAATTACCACTTGAAGGTGATACCCTTCTCTTGGAGCTTTGCAACTCTTTCTTTGTGCTTTTCTTGGGCCCTTTGGTTTAATTCCTTGGCGTCTTTAGTGACGGGCATCTCCTTGTAAACGCGCTTTCTATACTTGAATAGCTTTTCAATTTTCTTACCCTTAGGAAGAACGACTACTTGTAGTAGATGCCCCAGCAGCAGATAATTGTGCATAGCTTCTTGTGCGATAACGGCATCGTCCTTGTTAACAAATTCAACAAAACCATAATGTCTGCTATTCCCTGTCTTCTTGTTACGAGCAAGTCTCACTTCTTTCAAGTCACCAAATTGTGAAAAGTACTTGGCAAGTTCACGCTCGTGGAATCCCTTGGGAAGTCTGCTGATATAAATGATGCCCGACAATTCGCTTTTCCCCGTTTCCTTCTTGTTACCCTTCTCGACCTTCTTCTTAGCGTCGAGCTTTCTGATAGTGTGGGAGCCATTCTTAGATTTTCTTGATACGTTTTCGTCCTCTTCCTCGTCAGAGTTCGATTCTCCCTCCGACAGCCCTACGATGTCGCTCTCATCAGAAGACGAGCCAAGGTCAAGCTCTTCCTCCTCCTGGGATTTAACTGGCTCTTCAACTGGCTTCTCGGTTCGCTTACTTTCCTGCTTCTTGGTGACTTTAGCCATGGCGATCCTAGCTTATATTGACTTTACAGTTACTTATTTGGCTGATTATACCTGCGATGAGCTAAAAATTTTTCAATGAAGATATGAAAAAGAAATGCCTGAACAATCAGTTTGTACGTTGAAGAGTTCATTTGAACGAACAAATCACGTATATATAGTGTTCATCGTTCACTTGCAACTGGAATCTAAACCCTTGAAATAGATCTGGCTGCTGCAAGTGTTACTTGCCGTTGCAAATCATTCCATTTATCTTGTTTCCTCATCAAGTCCTTTTTGCAAAGGTGTAAATCGTTTTAAATGTCTTGTTGAGCGGTAGGCCCACCACATTGTAATAGTCACCGTTTATTCTTGGGATCATACATCCACCAAACGTTTGTACTTGGAAGCCACCTGCAACTTCAAGTGAGTTATGAGAGCGTACAAAGTCGCGTACAATATCTGATGGCAAATCATGATCAAAATATAACTCTGTTATATCATGAAAGCTTGAAATCTCATACTGATCAGGACCCCTCCAAAGGATGATATTAACAGCGGTCGCAACTCTCACTGGATCTTTACTTTTGCAGAAAGCTTCCAAATTGCGCAATTGAACCTCTTCAATTTTGGGCTTCTCGTGAATCGTATCGTTCTCGTCAATGACAATTGTGTCTGCGCAGATCACAATTTTGGGTCTTAAGTTAACCTTCTTGTCGTCTTTGAGGTCATCTAAAATACTGTCTGCTTTACCTCGGCTGGTGTCAATTACGTAGTCCACTGGTCTGCCTTCATATAGTGTCTTGTCCAAATCCTCTTCAAATGATGGCTTCATTATGGTAGTTTCCGAAAACCCCATTATATCATGCACTATCTCATATCTTCTTGCTGAAGACGAAGCAAGAACAATTTCGAACTTTTCAGTGATCTCAGGGATTATTTTTGACATGTCTAGTACTACTAATCAATGGACTGTTAAAGATTGCGTTGAACGATTTTTGTTGTAATTGAAATACGTGAATCAAGGCAAAAAATTAAAGGATTTTTTATTTTGAAGATAGCTCTTAAGGTATCTAATTGGTGTGACTTCAACTTTTAAGCCTTCAGCTTTGCTCTTTGATTAACTATTTATGCACTTTATCGACTTTCAACATCTTTCCTAAGGGAGAATGGGAATCTTTGATATTTCTGAAAGCACGCCATACACTTTTAGATAGCCATGAGGTTTTTGTCGAATTCATAAAAATACGCCTCAAAGGATACCAGATCAAGTATTAAGTAAAATAAGCACTGTCAGTCTTTTATGTTCAAAATTTTTATTTTATTGTCAGAATTTGACATTAAAACCTTAAAAATTGTAAATTAAATCATTTGAAATATCCGACTCCACTTCGAGTCTCAATTTCGGCAATCTTACTTCATTCATATAATTTCACAAAACTACACATGTTGTCTCTAAATTTTTACATTGGTCTAACATTGTTAAGAACCAGGCGATCTGTAATTCTATAAATCTTTTCTGGCGCGGGCTCTTCCTCATTTTCCTGTACTTTGTCAATTTCAACATCCACTCCATCTTGACTCTCATGATTAACTTTCTTTACTGTGGCCGCATTTGGAAAGGCCAACTCAGTACCAATTAATTTCTTCCAAGTACCTTCATAAACTTTATCACCCACTTTGACGAGAGGCGCCTTTGTATCAAGTCCGGAATACTGAAAAGTTGCAGTTGGCTCAATTTCTGCCTTTTTCTTGTGATGCTCACTGGGAAGGTCCATACTCACATAAACATGCTCATATTCAGTGTCATCTGCTTTGTTTGCAACTACAGGAGCCATCTTCGAGGCGGTTTCTCCAGAAAGGTCACCATTTTTGAGGGCAGCAGCCGCCTGTCTTGCTTTTATATCGGCATCCGAGCCTGCTTCAAATCCATACTTGAAGTCCCAATGCATCTCTTCACCTTGCGTCAAGAATTCGGTATTTCCATTCATCGTGATTTTCCAATGCCTCTGAGAGAAGGGAATCTCGCCATACTCCTCCTCTTCATTGCTGATCAGGTCATATTTGTCCAGAGAACAACTGCCGCTCCTGATTATATTTCCCTCATCGTCGATAGGCTCTCGGCAGTTATCAAACCCTAGAAGATTCATCCCGAGAGCAATCTTAGTTGCCGCGTGAGTCACTAAAAGTATAGTTTCAATATTGGGACATGATTTTTCAACTTTTTCGATGAAGAGGGGCCAGAATTTTTTGCAACGCTCAAATATCTGTTCCTCAGTTTCTCCTGCACTGCTGGGGATGACAGTTGAACTCCATTCCTCCCTTAGCTTTCCGTAAAAGAAGTTGTTTAACACATCAAAAGATGCTGGTTCAGGTATGATATCCCTATCTGGTTTATACCATTCTCCAATCCCTCTTTCTAAGTTGATTGGCAATTGTAGAAGATCGCTTATTGGCTCCGCCGTCTGCAGGCAACGATAAAATGGAGATGAGAATATCATTTCGGGTTGGTTTTCGATTGACATTATATAATGAGCAAGCTCTTTTGCTTGTTTCAACCCATGCTCAGCAAGGGGAACGTCGCTATTAACACCAGTCGGTGGTGGGGGATAAGGACCATGAGGAAGCCAGTTTGATCGATACCCATGCTTGAAAAGAAAGTTAATATATGTTGCAAAAACTTAAAACTAGTATAGAGAGTAACGTACTCTAGCAATATAGATGGTTTTGATGGTCATTTTCTCAATTTTTTTTCTATGGGGTGATTGATGCATTTCAGATAGAAATTTCATTGAAATTTCACAAGAAACTACTCAATTAGAGGACCCTATTAGACTAGAACACATGGCAACACCTGCACCAAGTAAAAGAATTAAAACCTTATCAGTATCAAGACCAATCGTTTATGGAAATACTGCTACAAAGCTCGGCGATAACAGGCCTCCAAATGCCCCGGTAGAGCACACCCACATGTGGACAATATTTGTTCGAGGTCCTCAAGGGGAAGACCTTTCATATTTCATTAAAAGAGTAGTATTTAAGCTACATGACACATACCCTAATCCTACAAGAACTGTGGAGGCGCCTCCCTTCGAGTTGACAGAGACGGGATGGGGAGAGTTTGAGATTAACATCAAGATCCATTTTATCGATGACGCAAACGAAAAAATGCTGAATTTCTACCACCATCTACGCCTTCATCCCTATTATGATACCAACAGGCAACTTATTAAAAGCGAAACTAATCAAGTCGAAACTGAGAAAGCAGTGAACTCGGAAGTTCAATCAATTTTTTTTGATGAGATTGTCTTCAATGAACCCAATGAACAGTTCTTCAAGATACTGATGAGTACGCCTGGATATCTTCTACCCTCCAACAAAACGAAGGAACACATTTTTTCAAAGCAGTTGGAACAGGAAGAGATTGATCGCATCAACATGGGAATCGATAAAGTAGATCAAGAAATTGAAAAGCTCAAACAGAAGCTCTCTGAACAGATTAAACCCGAACCTTGAACCACATTAAATTAATTTACTACTTAAGCATCACTAAAATAATATCACCTTTAAGAAAATTCCATTTCTTGATAATTGTCTTTCCCATCGTTAATTGAATTTAATAAACGCCTCGTGAAGTGCTTATCTTGGTTGTGGCGGAAATATACTATATTTTCCAAATCATCACTGGAGTTAATGATTAAACAACACTCTAAAGGATATTTAGCACCCCCGAGAGGGTCTAAGAGACGCATGTGTCGTATTATTTTTTCACCATTTGTAATGATCGGAAAGTTCACTGCATTACTGCTGTAGTCCACACAACAAGTTATGCCAATGACTGTTACTTTGTTACCAAGTACATTTGCAACGTTTTGCATAACTTCCAAGAATACGAAATGCGGATTGAAGAAGAAAACAAGCAAGTGAGGTCGATAACATCTTATAGCCAATAATTTGTGTATTTGAAGACTAAAGCTCGTGTGTCCCATTGTACCCTCACAATTGAGGAGCCTGATATTGCCCTCATCATCCCTTTCGGTGAACAAGAAAGAGTTCCAGAGAAAAGAGCCACGACGAATCGTATGGTCTATGTCATTGTAGTCGCAGCGTCTATTCTTTATCGGGAACTGCGGAATGGACGTCAATTCAATTGAATTTGTATCAATCAAATGATCATATGATCTTTTCATACTGGCCTAAAAAGCTGTACTGTAAATGATTGATAAGAAACACTTAAGCTAACATGCTCATCAAGAGTTGGAAGAAAAATGCCATTAAAAACGTTTAATGTTCGTCATCTATGATAACAAGACGTTCACGGTTTGCCTTCAGAAGTGAGCATTGTCTCCAATAGCGCTAACCTAATCGGATTGTCTATAGTAGTCAGGAGTTGCAAGTTTTGCGTTAAGGGTTCACAAATAGTTGTGATAAGAGGTCTAATATCAGCGCGAAGAATTGGGGTTTCAAAAAAAACTTCTGGTAATGAATCGCAATTTAAACAATTGCATTTTGCTTCTTTTGCTTCTTATCAGGGACATGCCGTTGCTGTTGCTAGGAGCGAAGAATATACGGTATAGCTGCTGGTGTTGAATACTTTCTTTACAAAGGTATGCTGCTCTGTAAATAGAGAAATAAAAAAATGCTTAACTTTTAGATTATTTAGGAGTCAATGGCTTCCAAGAATCCAAAGAGAGCTTTTCCAAGGAAGGTTTTTTTGCAGGAATTGCAGGTGGAACCTTTTGGGAGTTGTCAATGGGCTTCTCGGCGGGTTTCTCAGTGGGCTTCTCAGTGGGCTTCTCAGCGGAGTTCTCAGTGGGCTTCTCGACAGGACTCTTAGGTGTTGAGATTACTCCTTGAGGTGATGGTGATTTAATTGTTGAAGATGCCGGTGAAGAAGCTCTTGATGTGCTCGTACTGTTTGTTTTGGGAGTCAATATCGCACCACTAAAGCCCGGTGGCAAGGTTGCTTTCCTGGAAGGAGGTGGAGGAGGTGCTAAGATTGATGATGGTTGACTTTCTTTAGAGGCAGCTTGTTGTGCAAGACTTGCTGACGAATTTATGCGGGAGGATCCCGTGGACAAAGCTCCCGAATGTCTAGATGCTGGTAATGGTGGCGGTGGCAATCTGGCTCGATTTGAAGATATTGCTTCTCTCCTTGTTGGTTGAAGAGGGACAGACATTACTGAAGATGTTTCTGAAGTTGATCCAGGAGACAACGGTTGTGACTGCGTTTCAAGTTTGTCACCTGTCAGGTCTATGTCTAATAGATTCATTTCACTCCAGTTGTCAGAAGCAGACTTGCTGAGATGATTGCGTTTGCTTTCATAGTCCACGTCAATTAAGGCGAGAGTAGCATTTTGTGATTCTTCTGGGTGCGATGTTTTGTAATCTAAGTATAGCTTCTTAGTCAACTCCATTTTAACATTTTCGTCAACAAAGTTGACTTGGGCTCTGTAGGCAGCGTAAACGGGTTTGTGATCACTTGCGTTCAGTTGTGCATCCGAATAGGCCAAAGGACGCAAATTATCTCCCTTATAAACTATTCTATCAGTCCACGAAGGCGTTCTTGCTTTTTCAGAGCTATCATAAGTATTGGTCCCATTGTCGTACTTATATGTTGGAGGGAACTTCACGGTTGGTTCTTTGAATCCTTTGAAAACAACGCCTGCATTTATTTCTTGGGTCAACTGATCGTAATTTAGTAATCTTTCGTAACTATTAGCGTCTTTGTTGACAAGCTCCCTTCTTACTTCTTCATTAGAAAGCGAAACTCTGTAGTTCAAATCGCCTAACCAGAAAATAGCATCGTGATGAAGAATTCTCTTTGACCTTGCGAAGTTTATACCTTTGGTAATATTCTCATAGTCATTACGGCGTTCTTCAACATTATTCGAACCAGCAGCAAGGTGTGCATTTATAAAACAGAAGGATGTGACACCATATTCAAAACGGATGGCAACGGCGCCTTTATTACCAGTCATACCACCTAAACCGGTTTTTTTTGAAGCCCCTTCCACTTGCTTTACGTTGTTAACCTTATCAGATTTTACAAAAAACAATATCAAAAGAGATGACATTTGTTCTGCCCTCAAAAGTAGATACTTATCATTGTATTGATTCAAACATTGGTTGACTAGGTTTTGCCAAAACGAACTCTTTGAGTAATCTGCATTCAGGATGGAACCCGCACTCAATTCTATAACCTCTTGCATTCCCAAAACCACAACATCTGGCTTGAATTTGTCGCCAATAGGAAAGAGCCATTCAGAAAGATCTGCCTTCTTAGTTAGACCATTCACATTGTAAGTACCCACGAAAATGTTTATAGTGGACATAGAAGTGAATTTATCGGACACCTTTAATAACTGTGATGTAACATACTCGTTTATAGGATCGTAGAGTAGAACGGCACTTTGGTCTGGCAGTCTTCCCAAAAGGGTATCAATGTTCATTTGCTTCCCTTTATCCATGAAATTATTAATGTACATTCTGCTCACAGACTTTGTTGCATCAGAAAGGACACCTGCAAAGGACATTTTGCCTTTTCTGGAGAACGAAGATTTAAGAGCGTTGGTTCCGGTGTATATTTGCGAAATTTGATCACCATGATCTGCCCAAAGGGTGTTGTGCTTCGAGAATAAATCGCTATCCATGAAGGCAGAGCCTTGACCTGTTGGCATTAAATGGAAGTCTTCCAAAAACAAAGCAAACGCATACCTTGAAATGAATTGTTGTATCAAGTTTGTTCTATCTAAACAGTCAAGACAGTTGGTCCTGAATATCCCATGTTGTTCGGACAAAACTTTATGTTCGCGAACATCGTAAGAAAAATAACCACTTTCGAGTAGAAACTGAGTAATCAAAGGCCTAATTTTAGCAGCAGCTGCAAAACCCTCTTGAGATGTTTCTTTGTGAAAATCAAATTCGGTTAGAAATATATCCTTATTCAACTTCAACTTCTTCGAACGTGTGATATGGTCTCGATAACGCCTTGAAAGCTCAATCTCTGACGATTTAGTTGATAGAAGATTTACGACGTGAACTGGTCCATATTTTTCGATCAGCCTTGTAAAATGATCGTCAAAAATAGGTTGAGTTGCCTCTAATGATCTGGTTATCTGCACTTTGGGGTTAATCAGCGAGGTGTCCTGCTCCCAAAATACTGGTATGCTGCCTCTTATTTCCGTAAACGCATAACAATATTCTCTTGAATACATGATTAGTTCTGTCTCCACGAAATTTGCGACATTGGCTTCGTCGTCAATACCCCGAGCATTGTATCTTGTACCGGCCCTCTTCCAACTTTGTTTAGAAATAACCGTAAGCGAGACCTTCAATTGCTTAACGTATGTCATGAATGTTTCCGCAAAGCCTCGAATAACTGTCGTGAGGAAACCTTCATCGTCTAGAATCTGTTTTGCATTATCATCGAGACGATTTCTAAACGTTATTATTTCTTGCATGAGGAACGAATTCCACATGTACTCTTCCTGGTAATTGTCAAAACTCAAGGAATGTGCCGACATGCCTCTGTTTTGTAGAAGAGACGTGAGATCAAAATTTGAACTGTAATAGAATGAACCATTCGATAAAAGTTTTCTCAATTCATAACTAGGATGACGGGGAACGGTCGGTGTCTGTCCTGCTTTGTAGTCCTCTTCTGGAAGTATTGGATATCCGTTACTATCTATTTCCACAAAATCCCATCTCGAGTCGTTTAGACAAAAGAAGTCAACTGCGAAGATCTTGTTCACTGTTTCACCTGGGATTGGCTGAGCAACCTTAGTTTTGCCAGTGATGGTGCAGATAAATATTTTGTGCTCAAGCTCGATAAGCCCCAAGAAACCATGAACTTCATGTGTGGTCAATTTTTGATACGAAGTTTTCAATTGAGTTTTGGGCAAAAGCTCAATAGCACAAGAAGGTCTCCCACCTCCCTCTTTGTTCTCAACCGCTTTGAATGTTAAAGCATATGCTTCAGATACAATTGCAAGCTTCCTTTCGGGCTCCTTTTGTACTAGGATGAACATTTATTCCCTTGTCTCTTGCTTAAATGTTAAAACACCTCAAATTTCTTTCGTAGTGGTAGACGGACCCCTTTATGAATTTTTCATCGAGAAAAACTCGTGAGGTCCATCAAATTATTGAAAGAAACGAAACAAAAGATACAGAATAAAAAACGAAACGCGGTATCTTAACCCTTTATCTCCTAATTAAAGTATTAATATAGTGCCTATAAAGGAGTTAAATATATTATCCCTATAAATAATGCAATTAAGCGGAGCCGCTAGCCTTAGTAGACTTTTCTGGTAGGGAAACATCTCCAGATTGGATAATGGTGTTAATTGCCGAGAACACAGCTCTAGTTGTTGCATCACCAACATCTTCAGAGACACCAACACCCCATCTGTAAACTTTTTCATTGTCAGAGTCGCGTCTGTAAGCCAAGTGAATGAACGATGCAGCTTGAGTAGCAGATCCAGATCCTAGAGCATGCTCAGTGTAGTTAGCAATTCCGAGACGAACATTCAAGAGGTTTGACATGGCATCAACTAGGGCGGACAATGGACCATTACCGGAACCTTGAATGTCGTAGACTTGACCGTTGATTTCGACCTGACCAGTCAAGGTTCTACGCTCCTTGTCTTCTTTAACAACGTTGCTGTCAATCAAAGAAATGCTACGGATGTTATCGTTGTAATTGTAAGTCTCCTTGAAGAGTTCGGTAATTTCTTGACTCTTGAGTTCTCTTCCTAGAGAGTCAGCCTTGTCTTGAACAACACCAGAGAATTCCATTTGAAGGTTTCTTGGCAAGTCCAATCCCAAAGATCTCAAGATGATCCAAGCGGCACCACCCTTACCAGATTGAGAGTTGACTCTGATAACAGCTTCGTAGTCTCTTCCAACGTCCTTTGGATCCAAAGGTAGGTATGGAATTCTCCATTCCTCTTCACCTTGAGCACGTCTCTTTTCTTGTAGAGCGAAACCCTTCTTGATAGCATCTTGGTGGGAACCAGAGAAAGCACAGACGACCAAATCACCACCATAAGGAGCTCTTGGGGACACAGGGATTTTATTACAACGTTCAACAACTTCAACAACGGAGTTAATGTCAGAGAAATCTAGGTTTGGAGATACACCTTGGGTGTACATGTTCAATGCAACAGTTACAAGGTCAACGTTACCTGTACGTTCACCGTTACCGAAAAGACAACCTTCTACACGATCAGCACCCGCAAGCAAACCTAGTTCAGAAGCAGCAACACCACAGCCACGGTCATTGTGAGCATGTGTAGAAATGCAAACTTTTTCACGTTCAGTTATATGAGTGCTGAAGTATTCGATCTGATCAGCGTAATTGTTTGGAGTGGACATTTCAACAGTGGCTGGCAAGTTGAAAATAATTGGGTTTTCTTCTGTTGGTTCCCAGGCAGCTTTAACTGCTTCACAGATTTCAACGGCAAATTCAACAGGAGTATCACTGAAAGTTTCTGGAGAGAATTGGTAGGTCCAGAGTGTGGCAGACTGGGATGGGTCATCCTTAGTGAGCTTTCTTACCAGACGGGTAGCTTCAACAGCCTTTTTGATAGCCTCCTCCTTGGACATGTTGAAAACAATGTCACGGAACATGTCACTGGTGGCTAGATACGTGTGCACTGTGGCGCGCTTGGCACCAGAAAGGGCCTCCACGGTACGTTTTATTAAATGCTCACGAGATTGGACAAGACATTGAATAGAAACGTCTTCTGGGGCGTTCTCAACGGCATATCTGGTGAAATCAAAATCCGTTTGAGAGGCAGATGGAAAAGAAACTTCGATTTCTTTGAATCCAATCTCGATCAGTTTGTGGAAGTACTCTTTTTTTTGCTCGACCGACATGGGATCCGGGAGAGATTGATTACCATCTCTCAAGTCTGTAGATAGCCAACGAGGCGCTTTAGTGATCCTGTTGTCAGGCCACTGTCTGTGAGGGATGTTTACAGCAGCAAAAGGCTTGTACTTCTTCGAAGGATCTTTTAGCATGTTCTTATAGCCAAGCTTGACCGGGGGAATAGTCTTCCCAACATTCTGGGCAAAAGCAGCAACTGTTCTCTTAAACATTTTGGCTTTCGCTTTTGGTGAAATTCCTTGTTTTGTGGGAAAGTTGCCAATACAATGCCTTATATTAATGACAATTAATTTATAAGCGTGCTTGGAGAGTCATCACTTGAGATTTTGGAAAAAAAAATTTTCAAAATTTTTCAATTGTTAGAGTCATCGCGAAAAGAAACTCCGAAAATTTTGACCTCTCACACTTGCCCCGCTTTTGAAGTGACTAATCTATACTTTCTTGCTCGTTGATCTAATGATGGTAAAGGTCAGAGCTATTTAGGTTCGACCCCATTGCTACTTTTTGACCAAGTGCCTGCTCGGATCGCCGGCCGCATGCTCTTAGAAAAAAAAACTCCAATAATCAATCACAGGGCGTGCGCAATTCGTCTCCACTACCGTTACAGACTGTTAGCCCGCGGAAGAAAAGCGCACCTACCATGTGGTAAGAGAGACGAACTTCGTGATGCTCGAGTGCTTAATACAAACTATGGGACTCTGCATCCAGGGTCACCTGAGTCCAGGGTTACCCGGAGAAGTACGAAAAAGGGTTCGAGTTTCCATGTTTGCCATGTGATGGAGGCAACTTTAAGAAACATCTGTTGACCGACACAAATATTGCAAAACACGGAAGAGCGAGGCCTCTCTCTGGGGAATCTCGTCACCAACTGCTTAACCACGCTCTCTGGCGCGAACCTTCGCTTTTTGCAAATCTTTGTGAATATGCAAGCAAGCTTTGCTCTCGCTTGGAGCGTGCGAGATGAGATGAGATGAGACGAGAAAGAGCGAACAGCGCACCAACAGAGGAGACCTACTTTATTTGATCACGTTTTGTACGCCGTAGATACCTGCGCTTGCGATTTGCTCAATTGTATTCTAGTCCTGGCCAGATTTGTCTTTACGGATAGATTCACAAGGACGCAGGTGCGCATCTTTTTCAAACCGGTGCCGTGTAGCAGAAGAGGAGGACTTTTGACTCTTGATTGCCGTATGCGCATGCCCATACTGAGAACTGATGGCACCATTTCGGTTTGTACGATGAGCCGAAGGACACGGCTCTTGCCAGTGTCCATTCGACCGAGCGGACCACCTTTACGCTGCGATCATCTAAAAACTTCAAGCCCATTTCTTGAACATGTATTATCTACGGTAACTGTCGTGCTACCAGTGACTACTAGTCTACTAAATGCTGTGTAATTGAGCAACTTCTCAATGGCTCAAAAGTGGATTTTGTTAGGCAGCTTTAGGCACACCCTCTACAAGACCCTCAATTGTGCCGGTCAAACACCTTGCGCCGCTTGGCGTTAAGGCTACAAGATAATTGAAGGAATTCCTCCTTTCAGTAGCCCGAGATAAGCGGTGGGTCGTGGTATTGTGCTTAAAAATTCACGGAAAAAATGACTCGCGGGTTATCTTGATGTTTTGATGTAAACAAACAGTGCTATCAGGAACCTCGTAACTGTTCTTCTAATTCCATTGGCCGTGCTTGCTTGTAATTGAAATGCACGAAGTCTAGGCGTCACTTTGACCGGCCTGTTTGTATACGAATTTCAGCTACATAGGTGTCTTGGATGTATATTGTAGGAACGGCGTCGACGGTGGCAGGAAAACCAAAAGTAGAAGATAACGTGCGTTTTTCAACTTTCTGAAGATCCCAACCAGCATTTTTCCTTCTCGAATGTAACTTTGATTACAGTTTGGACACAAATCTACGAACTATACGCACGAGCGTGGAATTAACGTTTTTCAGTGGCCCAGAAAATACCGAACCGGCATTCCTGTGAGACAGGGCTACGGCATTGAAGAGGAACACGCAATGAGGCAAATCAAAGAACACTGGTTCTTGCATGCGTCAAAACGCACGCTGATCGCAACGCAATGCGAGCGATTGCATATCGCAGCGAAAATAACGAGTTTCTGGAGAAAAAGAACAATTAGCGGGTTTTTCTTGGTAGCTATCTATAGAACTCTATAATGACAAGTGCACATGCAGGGCCCCGTGAAAATGTTCGGGCCGTGAGAGTTAACGGGCGAACTGGCTGTGCGCGCAAAGCACTGGAACAAAGCCAACTATTTTGTATATGCAAGTAATAGGGTGGTGGGGCCGCTCTTTGGCTGACAGCCAGGACTATGCTAGGTAGCGCACGCGTAGTAGCAAGTTACCTGCCATCTTGCAGCGGCTAGGGTAAAGTAGAGGAGCCTCCAGAACTTCCGGAGCTGCTCCTACGAAACTTGAATTTGTGCACGAGCTTCTTGCCCGTGTGCTTGAGCTTCAGAGAGTTGAAGCCAGCGCTGCTGCTGGAAAACGACGACGACGGCGTGGACGGCACGTTGCGCTCGAGAGGCACCCCGCTCGGCGACAGGCAGTTGATGGGCGTCGCGGCCGCGTCGTCGTCGTCTTCGATGGCGTATTCGCTGGGGAACGGATACCCTTCAAGGCGGATCGGCGTGTCGGGAGACAGGAGAGACACGGGGGAGGAGTTACCAGTGTTGGCGCCCGTGCACGTGGACGCGATGTTGGAGGTGCCCGGCATGCTTGCGCCCGCGCTTGCGCCCGCGCTTTTGCACGACGGACAGGTATTGACGGAGCAGCGGCGCTGCTTATTGATAAACTTGTTGAAGGCGTCTTGAAGCAACAGCAGAATGTGCTTGCGTGCAGCCTCGATGTCGGCGCGGGACGGCCGCGTCTGGCTCACGTAGCACTCATCAAACTTTTCCCGGATTTCTTGCGGGAGGTTGCATTCCTGCGGCGAATCCAGCCGGATAAACTGGAGATAGACACTGTTGTTCCAGAGCTTGACGGGGAAACTCTCGTTACTGTCCAAAAACGAGTCTGTGATCAAGATAAACTGCAAGTTTTCCTCACAGTGCGATTTTTTGAGAAAGTCATGAAACATCACCAGCGAAAACGGCGACGACGCTGTGTCGGGTGAAGACCTGCGCCCCATCTCCAAGATCGCTTCCAAAGTCGGTCTATCTGTGCTCATCCTGGTGCAGATACGTGATTCGATTGCGCTTGAACTCACTTGCGAACTTTGCGCGTGATACTGTGGCTCGATTATGCTTTTCTTAATATACTCTCCACATATGAAGCTGTCGGCACACCTGCTCGAGATTGCACTAGCCTCTGTCATGAAGATAAAGAAAAAAAACCATATCCGCAAAAAGAAACGCGCAGACCAAACAAAAAAAAAAATAAAAAAAAAATCATGCGCGCCTGGATCCGCACCAGAAAAAACCAGCAGTCCAACCTCCGCCAAGAATTTCCCGTGGAATATGCCGGGGCGTTAGCGCTCTGCAACCACGTAGTTTTCGGGAACCATCGGCGATTACCCAGGGTCTGTCTGCACCAGTCTGTGTTCCCGCCTGCCCGGTTCAACGGTTGCGCCCCTAACCGGTGAGCGAGGCAATGAGGCAAGTGCGTGCCCAGGGCTGACACGAAACTGCTCCAAACCTTCAGTTGAGGCTAAATGAGGTGATCTTGAAGCATTCACCGCCCGGAGATTAAACTATCCGAACTCGCCGTGGTTGGGGCTCACCCTTGTACGCCCGCGTGTGGGGGACAGTGAACGCTTCTAAAGACCGGTTGGAGAGAGGTTCCGCAGAATCCCGGCCAGTGTTCAATGGCCGAAGCGTTCGGGCTTTGCTTGGGACGAGTCAAAAGCGGTGGCACAGATGGCCGCGGAGGGACGCGCGACCGGAAGCAGGCACACCCGCCGACGCCGAAAGGGGAAAGTGAGGCCGGGAGCAGGGGGGCGGGACGGAGTCGCGGGCGGACGTAGCGCGGATTTACGGCCGCGGATGCAGGGGGAGCACGTGACGGCGGGATTCGAGCGCCGCGCGGCGCGCGCGGCGCTAGCACTGTGGCGCCACGAACGAGCACGTGAGCGGCAACTGTGGCGTCGGGAGGGGCGGGGCGCACGTGACGGGACTCGCCGTGCGTTTCTTTTTTTTGTTTTTTTTTTTGCCCTTTCTGCCTCTTCCTCGTCCTCTTTGGCCCAATGCCCCCATCCGATTCCAAAGAGCCGTAGGTCGCTAGAACGACACCGCGAGCCAGTGACTCTTCTTCCCACACAACACACAGACTTTCGAACGCCAGTTTTGTGTGTTAGCAGCGCGTCTACCCCCCAGCCCACCGACACATGAGTTTCGAAGGGGATCACAACTTGCAGAACCTGTTTGGCGAGGACTCCGAGCCCCGGAAGGGCGCGGACGGCAGCGGCCTGCCCAGCGACCCGAACATCACGCCCAGCATCCTGCTGGAGCAGCTAGCGTACGTCGACAACTTCATGCCCGACCTAGAGAACGAGCTCACGTCGTTCGGATCGCTCCTGGACGGCGAGGCACAGAGCGGCGCGCTGGGCATGGACGAGCGTCTGGCTGCCGAGCTGAGCGCGTTTGCAGACGACACTTTCATCTTCCCTGACGAGAACAAGCCACAGGACCCGGACCGCAACGACGCGCTGGGCGGCGGCGACCAGGTCGACGTCGCCAACGCGCCCGCGTACCCGCGCGCTTCTTCCGCGCAACCGCACCAGCGCAACTCGCATTTCCTCACCCAGCGCAGGAACAACTTCCTGGCGTCGCAGTACGACTACTCGCGCCAGCGGTTTTCGTCCAAGAACCGCCGCCGCAGCGCCGACCAATCGCCCGTGGACGACCACGGCGGGTTCACCAACGTCGACATCACCGAGGGCCAGCCCGCGCTCTTCGGCCAGACCGGCCAGCCATACATCACGTCCCCGCTCAGCAACCTGGTCGCCACCGCCTCGAACCCGCAGTCCCAGCAGCCCTACTCGATTTCGAACACGCCCTCGTCCAACCCCAACACAATCACCGAGTCCAGCTCGGTCGTCACTCCGTTCATGTCGAACGTGCTTCCACACGCGCCCGCGCCCGAGCACCCACCACAGCAGCGCCAGCAGTCTGTTGGTCAGATACACATGCCCGACTATTCGTCTATACCGACCAGCACGCTGATTGCCCTGCTGCCCAAAATCGGAGTACCGCCTGGTGCGTACCGATCACTTCTCAACGTGGGCTTTGAACCCGACCAAATAGACGCAATTGCGGCCATCATCGCCTACTATCAGACCAGAAAACTAAACACCACAGAGACCACTCAAAGAGCAACTGCGCTGCCGGAGGGGAACCCGGCTAGTTTCTTATTGCAGGCTCTTCAAAGCGACAACACTTCGCGGTCTACAGTACCTGCTTTGAGCACGAATCTTCGAGAGGATAGCGGTCCCAGCCAGGGATCTCACGACATGGGCAACGCCAATTTTGCGGGCGACGCCTCTGCTAGTTTTTTCCATTCATTATTAGACATGAACAACGCAAAGCAGGAGCCCAGTCCAGGTGCGGATTCGGGAGGCCAATCCGGGAGCTCTTCAAGCCAGTCAGAGAAACCTTCCACTCCCGAAACAGAGAGATTCTCAACGGGCTTAGAGCATTCTTCTCACCCGCCAACCACAGACTCAAAAGACGCGATTCCAAGGCAAGCGTTACCGTCCGATGAAAAGGCCTCTAAAGAACAGCAGAAACCCCACTTGAAGCGCAAATTGAAAGAGCAAGAGTTAGAAAAATCAATACAAGAGTTGAGCGAGTTAGCTATGAGCCTACAGCAGCGTATACACACTCTAGAAATGGAAAATCGTCTTTTGAAAAACTTGGTAATGGAGAGAGGTGAACTGAAAGGGATCGAAGAAGTCGAAAATGTTAGGCGGGAACTAATAAAAAAAATCAGCGAGGAGTCAGGTAAAGCTGACGCTGGTAAACCGGGGCAGTCGGTATGAAATTGTCATCACAACAGCGACCTCCTTAACAAAGGCGAGCTTTTTTCCTGCTAGGCTGAAAGAATTCCTAGTGATGAATAATGACGAGTATGAGGTTTTTAAATAAATCCGTAAATTAATAATACAATAGGTAATTAACGAGTTAGCTCAACGCTGCAAGAAGGACTACAAGTGCGACAACGACTATTATCACTAATGTTACCATACCGCATCTGTTTCTTTTTCGCTGAGAATGCTCCGCTTTTGACAACTGGTCGTTTGCCCTTTGCAAATTCCCGGCCAGACCTGATATGTTGTTATCAATTGTATCGACCTCTTCGCCTTGCTCTCGCACCAGAGATCCCAGCTGATGAAAAATGGCGTTGACTTCTTGAACAGCGGAATGAATACGAGAAATCTCCTGAGACCTCTCCTCTTGAATCAAAGAGTGAAAGTTGAGTTCATCCTGCGTAACAGTGGACTGCGGAATTTGACTTTGAATCTGCTGCTGCTGTAGCTGCTGCTGGCCCTGGAGGAGTGGGGTCGATTCGTCATTGTGTGCTAGTGGCATGGAAACATACCCAGATTGTTGAAAAGTTGTATTTGTCGTGTTAGAATCAGCGCGTTGAAGTTTTCGTATGGGGTACTTATTTTTCAGTTCATTATAATGCCTTCTGCCTCTCAACAGTTCCTCCTTCAAACTGACGAAATCCTTCACCAGTTTGCCATTCATATCCACTCCGGACATTTTGGTCTCGATTTGATCGCGAATGGTCTCACAATGAGGTATTATCTCTGTTTCAATCGAATAGCGCACTTCTTGCGAATCCTTCTTAGTACCCAACACCGCACATCGTTTCCTTAGCAAGTTTATTGAATGCGTGAAGTCGGCAAACAATTGGTCGAAAGCCCCCCCTTCACGCGAATTTGACGCCTTACCCCTAGCCTCTTCATCGAGAAATGACATTACTGGGAGTTGGCGTTAGTTGACCAAAGAAGTTCCTGGCTGTATCGAAATCCAACTACCTATTCACTTCCTGTGACATCCAATTCGTGCAAGAAGAGTTCACAAAAAAAAAAATCCACGTGACAACAGAGACACGTAAAAATACAACTCAACGCGTAATTTGAAATATCGAACTCTTCTTACGCGTTTTCATCCATCATCACCAACCCACCAGATAATCACACGGTCGCCATGAGTTCGAAAAACAAGATGGAGCTCCTGAAAAGGCTCCAGCAGGCTCGGGCAAACAAATCTACAAAGGAGCTTTACGATGACGAGTCTGACGGTAACGATAAAGTATATGACTTGATTGACGAGAATGAATTTCGCGAGCGAAAGCGCCAGGAGTTGCTACGCGACGATTTTGTTGTGGATGACGATGGACTAGGGTATGTTGATAGAGGTGTCGATGAATGGGATGACCGTTACCGAATGCAGGACGACTCTGAAGATGAAACTCCAAATAAGACTGGCAAACGCATTAAAAAGACCGAAAAGGGGCAACAAGATGGGAAGGATAGAATAAAGGAAATGATTACTGCTCAGCATTCACGAACAATGCGTCTACAGAAGAAAGAACCACGGAAAGTTGCAGTTGACGAGTTCGATGATATCCTCAACGAGTTTGATGGTGACCTTCCTTCAAAACCACCTACTAGTGCCAACACCCACAAAACCTCGATGTTAACCTCAAAGAGAACAATCGGTTCAGAGGCTGTGTCTTCAGCAACTAAAAAAGTTAAAATCGATGATCTAAGTCTGGACCCCATGCCGGTGAGGTCTCTTCCCGACTCATCTCCCTTGGCATCGCTAAGAAACAAGAAAAGTCGCGAAAATAATGACGCAGCTGAAATGCTAGTCGATGTCTCTAGCTCACCAACAGCTTCCAAGATGAGATCTCCACACCTGGAACAGGAGAATCACCTTGAAGATTCTGAAAACGATAGCGATGAAGAAATCAAGATCCCCAGAAGAACCATACGGAGTACAGCCACTGTGAGACAAGTCAACTTAGATACTAAATCGATTTTTCCATCTTCGCCATTTGTTACAGCACCAAATACTCCTTCAATTAGCAAAACTGTACAATCCAAAGCGGAAGAGGTTCTTGCAACACATTCTTTGAGTGAAAAGATTGGCAAAGAGGAAATAATTGATCCGCAGAGCAATTCATTCAAGATGTTCTGGCTCGATTTTGCCGAAGTGGATAATTCCCTACTTTTGTTCGGGAAAATAAAAACTCAGAAGAATAAGTTGGTATCAGCAATGATACAAATTACAGGATTATACAAGGAGCTTTTTTTTCTACCTAGAGAAGGAAAAAAGGCTACCGATGTTCACGAAGAAATAATTCCACTTTTGCTGGGCAAATATGGCTTAAATAATATACGTGCCAAACCAGAGAACAAAAAATATGCATTTGAATTGCCAGGTATTCCTAGTGAATCAGAATATCTGAAGGTTCTTCTCCCATATCAAACTCCGAAGAGCAGAAATGTTGCAATTCCTGCTGATTTAGAGGGTGATACTTTTTATCATGTATTTGGTGGCAATACCAATATTTTCGAAAGCTTTGTTGTACAAAGAAAGATTATGGGCCCTTGTTGGTTGGAAATAAAAAATGCTGATTTTGACGCCCTCCGCAATGCATCTCATTGTGCAGTGGATATTCTAGTGTCATCTCCTCAGGATATTGTTCCCTCTAATGACAAGTTTATTCCTGATCTAAATTGCGTCTCTCTCTCAATGCAGACGGTAATGAATCCCAAAGAAAACAAACAAGAAATAGTTAGCGTCACACTCGCACATTATAGAAATTTACCCCAAGATGCCCCTATTCCTGAAGATTTATCAGCTGATGAGATTGTCACATTGGTCAGACCTCCCGCTGCCAACTTCCCAACTGGTCTCGCGTCATTGAGTAAAAAAGAGCTTCGTGGTCAGGTTCGTTTGTTCAATAATGAAAAAGCTTTGCTAAGCTGTTTATGTGCAATGATGAAGGCTTCGGATCCTGATGTGATTATTGGACACCGGTTGGAAAGTTTCTCTCTGGATATTCTTTGTCATAGAGCATTTGAACTCAAAATATCAACATTTAGCTGTTTGGGCCGTCGTTCTAGAAGCTCGTGGCCAGATAAATTTGGAAGGAATAACTCTAATATGAATCAATTTTATATAAGAGAGTTGCTATCTGGTCGCCTGCTTTGTGACATTTCAAATGAAATGGGTCAGTCGTTGACTCCTAAATGCCAGAGCTGGGACTTGGCCGAAATGTATCAGGTAACATGTCAAAAAGAACACAAGACTCTGGAAATCAACTACCAGACTTCGCAGTATCAGAAAGATGTAAATTCAATGGTACTGGCTTTACAAGAAAATGTCACGCATTCTCTGATTACAGCAGAAATTGCGTTCCGAACCCAGATTTTGTCATTGACAAAACAATTGACCAATTTAGCAGGTAACGCCTGGTGTCAAACATTGGGTGGTACCAGAGCAGGTCGTAATGAATATATTTTGCTTCACGAATTCGCTCGAAATAACTATGTTTTACCAGACAAGGAAACACAACAGATGAGGAACCAGCGGCAACAGAAGCAAAGGACAGATATTGGAATGGGCGAAGAAGATGATCAGAATCAAAGTTCGTCAAAAAAGTCCAAATATCAAGGTGGTTTGGTATTTGAACCAGAAAAAGGTCTTCACAAGAACTACATTCTGGTCATGGATTTCAATTCTCTTTACCCTTCAATTATTCAAGAGTTTAACATATGCTTCACAACTGTTGCAAGAGACCCAAATAAAATTGATGAGCTTCCTGAAGTACCTGCTTCTGAAAAAGAACAAGGTGTCCTACCGAGGTTACTTGCTAATCTTGTCCAGCGTCGTCGTGAGGTGAAGAAGCTGATGAAAACAGAAACCGATAGCCATAAAAAAGCTCAATGTGACATTAGACAACAAGCTTTGAAACTGACTGCCAATTCTATGTACGGTTGCTTGGGATATGTTAACAGCAGATTCTATGCAAAGCCACTGGCAATGCTTGTTACCAATAAGGGAAGAGAAATTTTAATGAACACAAGGCAACTGGCCGAAAGTCTGACCCTAGCCGTTGTTTATGGTGATACAGATTCGGTCATGATTGACACCGGATCGGATAGCTACGAAGAATCGATAAGAATTGGCGAGAACTTCAAGAAGTTAGTAAATGAACGGTACCGGTTATTGGAGATTGATATTGATAATGTATTCAAGAAGTTGCTGCTTCATGCTAAGAAAAAATATGCTGCCTTGAATGTAGCAATTGATAAAATGGGTAAGGAGCACACTACTTTGGAAGTCAAAGGTTTAGACATGAAGCGACGCGAATTTTGCCCATTATCGAAGGAAGTATCAGTTCACGTTTTGAATACCATTCTCTCTGATTTGGATTCAGAAACGGCTCTGCAGAAAGTTTACGAGTATCTTGAAGATGTCAAGGATCAAGTGGAGAATAATAAAATCCGGGTTGACAAATTCAAGATAAACACGAAATTATCAAAGGATCCAAAGGCATACCCTGGCGGTAAAAACATGCCTGCGGTGCAAGTTGCACTACGAATGAGAGAGGCAGGCCGTGTCGTGAAGGCGGGTAGTGTCATAACTTTTGTTATCACGAAACAGCAAAATGACGATGATCAATCCAATACACAGCTCTCACCTGCTGAAAAAGCACGCGCATTAAACGAGGTGATGGTAAAGAACAACAACTTGATACCAGATCCCAGCTATTACCTAGAAAAGCAAATATTCGCGCCTGTGGAAAGATTGCTGGAAAGAATTGAGAGTTTTGACATCGTGAGACTTAGCGATTGTCTTGGACTTGATAGTCGGCGTTATATGAATCGAGCTGGAGCTAACGGAGAACTCAATGGCAACAGTATTGAAACATTCCAACCTTTGGAAAGCAGCATTTCTGACACAGAGCGCTTTAAAGACACTTCTTCTTTCATTTTGCAATGCCCCTCTTGCCATGAGAAATTCCCATTCGGCGGAATAGTTGCCTCTAACCACTACATGATGAGCTACAATGGGGTCAAGTGCACACATTGCGAGCATATGTTCACGCCCCTGCAAATTAGTTGTCAATTGGAAAGAACGATTCGTTCACACATTTCGCTATACTACGCCGCATGGCTTGTGTGCGACGACAGCACTTGTGGTAACATTACGCGACAAATCTCGGTTTTCGGAAAACGGTGCTTAAACGAAAATTGCACTGGCGTTATGAGGTACCGATATACCGACAAACAGTTGTACAACCAACTGTTGTATTTCGCGTCACTGTTCGACATTGGGAGAAACAAGAAGGAGGAATTGAAACCTCTGTACCATCCAGACGATCCGGATTTCCCAAGAACAAAGCTTTCCTCTTCGCAAATCCAGGCGTTGAGCGAACAGAACCGCGCACTCTTCGAAACGCTTGATTCAGTGGTACAGAAGTATCTAAGTGATTGTGGTCGTCGCTATGTGGATATGGGTGGAATATTTCAGTTTATGCTCGGGAACTGACCCATTATTTAATTTTATCTAGCATGTAATGTATTATAATCTTGAGTGGAGGAGCTGTATTTTTCTCGCATTTACTAAAACTTGTTCTATGAATGCAATTGGCTGATGTGTCGAACTGTTAACAATGCATGGAATTATGCGGAAGTGTAACCGCTTTTTTCCGATCTGCGTCTCGCTTGTTCGCTGTCCACTTACCTTTTCATGGATAAAGTTGATCTTATCGGGAAGAAAAAGGCACCCGTGCACCAAGAGAATTGATGCTAGTGCCGTGTTTACGCCAGGGGCGATTGGGCTGCATTCGGGGCATCAAGTTCATCAATGTACTCTTCTCATATTTATTGATAGAAAGGTTTGATCAAGGCCATATAAATTTTCATTTGGAAACAGTACAGGAAAGATGGTGTCTGACCCGAGGGGAAAAGATAGAGTGACTCCCCTGTCATCTAATATAAGCATACCTGCCCAACAACAGCAAAGGAGGCAATCAATCATGTTGCTTTCGGAATCTGTACCAAGCAGGAGGTCATCTGTTTTAAATACAATCAAGTCCGGGAGATCTCGTAAGTCTATGGCGATACCACAAAGCCCAGGATTGGGCAGAAGCGTGGACTCCCGTGTATTGATCGACATGGGATCTCCCAACTTTCGGACAAAGGAGCAACGCCAGCATGACGAAATCATCAACAGTCTACGGAATAATTATCTAAATGATTACATGCCCTCGAGAAGAAGTGGCTCTGTGTCAACACAGACCTCAAAAACACCACATGAAACATCAGGCTCGGATTCGGCCTCGGCAATTCTCGAGCATGATCCTAACCTAGAAAGCGAGGGTGGGGATATCACAAGGGACCTTTATCGTTTGACTACTACAAATCAGCTCGAGAAAACTTCGAAAAAAAATAAGTCCATGGACGACTTGGAAATACGACCACATCATCATAGACCCGGTTCAACAGCTAGTGCTCTAAATGTGCCTGGAGGTTTCCGTAGAGAGTTCATAGTCAAGAAACTGAGGAAAGACAAAGACTCTACAGACCAGGGAGATGAACCCAATCCGACGTTGGATTCCGGCTCCGGCGATTCTGATCCGAGTGCAATGGAAAAAGTTCCATTTCTGACGAGAAATTTTCTAGAGTTTCTGTACGTATACGGCCACTTTGCGGGTGAGTCTTTCGAGGACGATTTTATTTCGGAAGAGGATTTAGCAGATGGAGCGCTTGATGAAAGAAGTCCCCTTTTGGGACGTGGAGATCTGGAATCAGGAAGGAAAAGATTGGCTCCTCGGTCTGCCAAAGGTACAACTTCTACTTTCAAGGCATTTTTACTCATGATCAAGTCATTTATCGGCACAGGAGTCTTGTTTCTCCCCAGTGCATTTTCAAACGGCGGTTTAACATTTTCAATAGTAATGCTCCTGTTTTTTGGCATATATTCATACTGGTGTTATTACATCCTCACACAATCAAAGATCGCCACAAAGGTTTCCTCATTTGGTGACATAGGTCTCAAGTTATATGGGCCTTGGATGAAGTTCATCATTCTATTCTCTTTGGTGTTGACACAATTAGGATTTTCAGGTGCTTACGTAGTATTCACTGCTAAAAACTTGATGGCGTTTATCGGTAATGTTTTCCATTGGCACGAAGTGTCAATTGTTCATATGCTAATATTGGAACTGATAATATTTATCCCACTTTCTTTCATAAGAAATATTTCAAAATTATCACTTCCTTCCCTAATGGCCAATTTTTTCATCATGACGGGGATCCTCATTGTGGTGTTTTTCACTGCAAAGCACCTGTTCTTTGATCTTCATTCAATACCGGCAGAAGGTGTCATCATGAATTTCAACCCAAATCGTTGGTCACTCTTCATCGGCACTGCAATCTTTGCTTTTGAGGGTATTGGACTGATCATCCCAGTCCAAGATTCCATGAAGCATCCTGAAAAGTTTCCCCAAGTATTGGGCCTAGTAATTGTCACTGCCACGATTCTTTTTACAACAGTTGCAACTTTGGGATACTTGAGCTACGGATCGAAAACCGAAACTGTAATTCTACTGAACTTACCACAAGATAACATCTGCGTAAATTTGATCCAATTTTTCTATTCTTTGGCTATATTGCTATCTACACCTTTACAATTATTCCCTGCCATTGCAATTATTGAGAACAAAGTGTTTCCGAAATTCACCAAAATTTATGTCAAGCACAATGACCGCACTAATGTCCAATACAAACCAAATTCGGGAAAATTGGATTGGAGAGTCAAATGGTTAAAGAACACTGTTCGCTCAGTTATTGTTTCTTCTGTGGTGACAGCGGCATACTTTGGCGCTGACCATTTGGATGTCTTTGTTTCTATTGTCGGTTCATTTGCGTGTATTCCCTTAGTGTACATTTATCCTCCTATGTTACACTTGGAAAGCTGTAGCAAACCACAGAGCAGTAGAGCGACCAAATTATGGGGCAAGTGGCCAGTGGGTTTGGATTACTTTTTGATATTGTTCGGCATCGTTGCTATGATGTACACATCATATCAATGCATATTTGGCTAAATAAGTTTTGTATACTAGAGACTAACTAACTAATATAGACGAAGATAATTTGCATATTAATTCTATTACACTTTGATTTCGCTTGTCGTCGAAAATGTCCGTTGACCTGTGATATTTTTTTTACCGAAACTTTTCTGAAAAAGTAGCCAATAATAGTCAAAGAAAACTGATTGACATAGCTAGTAGCCAAAGAACTCATTTACATATGCCAAACAGATTTTACGATGATGAGGAACCTAGTACAACCTCTACTGAAGGTCCGTTAGTTCCAAAGCTCATACCTTCCCCAGAAGTTGAGACAAAGACCTTATCAACAGGTAACCAAATTTACGACTCTCGACCCATTAGTGAGCAATTTCACCATCTTAGAAAAGCGGTGGCTCATAAGCTCGACATTTACAATGCAGAGATCAACACTCAAAGAACAGCTTTTGCAAATGAAGTTCAAAGCATAAAAGATTACCTCAGAGACAACATCTTCACTGATCGCTACGAAACTGAGGAGCTTATAGTTCCCTCCAGTATTCTCGGCCTTGGTGCCTTTTTCACTGGCAGAGTTCTAAGCAACCGTACCAATTGGGGATTTACTTCTCCTTTTAATGCCGACAGCGGCTTTCTTTCCCGGAAGCCAACTGTAATAGGGAAACTGACAACTAGCCTTCCCAGCAGAATAATTCTCCCATGGTTATTGGTAGGTACAGTGTTTTCTCAACTGACTCCGGTTACTTGGAAAAATAGTATTAACGCAATAGAGCGGGACGTCTTGCCACAAGAATTTGTCTCCACTTACGACGAGATGTGGAACAAAGTTTATGTTTCAGGCATCAAGCAAAGCGCCATTCAGTTACATGAAAGCTTGGATCAGACATTACAATCTAGCAGCAAACAGATGAGGGAGTTTATTTCAAGACATTGAATTAATGAAAGAGCCTTAATTTAATATATATTCCTACTGAAAACACTCGCTATATATTCCTTTCTGTAAAAAAAACAAAACACATGAAGCATTTAATAGTTATGATTCTGATACCAAGGAAGCTTTAGTATTTACCCTTAGTAATTACCGTGGTGATACTGATACCCCCAATTGGTAGATGCATCATCGTGAGGGTATGGTACTTGCGACGGTTGATAAGGTGGGGCTGGAGAGAATCTATTATTGTTTTGCACATTGGGTTGTTGAATATCCTGCGGTTGATATGTGGACAAAGTAGGATGGTAGGTATTCAGCTCGTGCTCCTCTTCCTCATCGTAAACTAGCGGAGTACGGTCGACTCCTCTCTTCAAAGATTTGTTTCTTTGCGCCTCTAAATCGAAATCCTGTTCAATTTCCTTGACCTTCCCATTATAACGCTCGTCATAATAGCTCTCGTCTGGATAATATGCATTTTGAGGCTGTTGAATTGGTTGATACACGACCATTGGTGGATTACCTGTTTGCTGGGTACGCATTGACTGATCCTGAGCTGCCCTCTTACGGCCACTTCCGCAGCACCAGCAGAAAAACTCTGTTATACCAGTTGCACCGTCTTTGAAACATCTAAGCAGTGAACCAACGATCCAAATACCCACTATTACTGCTAATACTATACCCACAATGGCAATGATCTTGCATACTTTATTATCCATGCATGTGTCCCAACTCTTAAAACTTTCCGCTACACTGGTAATATCCCTTGAATAAATGCGTTTGTAACATATTGTAGACATGTTTATGGTCTATGTGTTGTGAAGTGAATCAAAAGAAGGTTCATCGCTCAGCCTATTTTTTTTTCCTTATTTAGTAAATATATAGCTTTGAGCAACACCTAGTCATTTAACCGCAGAAAGGAGCCAACGGGGTGCTTTTTCTCGGTCAATCTTCACCAGGTGTGTATCAAAGGCTTCTATAAGTAATTCGACTAAAATTCTACCACCTCTACTCCCCGTGAATCGCCTGTATTCTTCCGAGACACTTGCCAAATTCCAGCCCATAATTCTTCTTAAACAGCCAATGACAGTTCCAGTTCTATGTCTACCCATACCACAGCAGACCAGTAGCGGATAATTTTCGATATTAACGATCGTCTGTAGCGCGCTTATTATCGAATGTTCTGTTAAACCATCCCAAGGATTGTCATCTTCTCCTCCATCTGGATTGATAGTTGCAAACTGTAGTTGAATTCCATGTGCATCACAAAACTCTAGCAAAGTATCCTGAGGTTCTTCATTGGCAAGCCATATGATTGTTCTAAGATTTAAATTTAGTAAGAAGGGAAAATTTACTGGAGACGGCTGTCCGGATCTGTAAAGGTATCTTTCGACTGGACAGAAATTCAGTGGGGGCACAATTCGCTGATCAGGTGCATGTGACACAACTACTTGTTCTTTTCCCGACTCTAGCTCTTCATTAATATATACATTGTCATCGTCCTCTTCGTAATCTGTCTCCATAATTGGTTTCTTGCAGGTGTTTGATTAAGGTAGAAAAATTTCGAAATATTTACTACTCAAACAAACTACGCAAGCAACAACGCAAAAAATGACCACGAAAGCTCACAAGAAGAAGACCAGTTCTTTCACCAAGTTTTCCGAAACTTTCAATGCCTCTTTGGAATCTTATAGAAAACAAGTGAGTGGCAACAGCAGGCTGCAGCTAATAGACTTGTTTTGTGTCTTTTTAGTAGTGGTTGGCGTGGCCCAATTTACATTCATGTGCGTGCTTAGAGACACTTTCCCCTTCAACGCATTCCTTGCTGGGTTCATATCATGTGTGGGCCAATTCGTGCTCCTTGTCAGTTTACGTATGCAAATCGTTAACAGCTTCCCAGGAATTTCCAAAGAGAGAGCATTCGGTGAATTCATCTTTGCAAGCCTGATCATGCACTTTATTTGCTTACATTTCGTCAATTGAATTGACTCATTTCAACCAAGCAGGATACAAACAGATTGGGGTTGCGATTCGAGAAATGACATCAGCTTTTACATTATATATATAGTACATATTTTATTTTCACCAGCTACTTTTTCTTCCCATTCAAATATTTTGGTACGCCTAACAAATGACACAACAACCGCCTGAGCTCTCTTTCTTAGCAGGTGCCTCCGCAGCAGTTTTTTGTTGAGCCCGAGCTTGTTGAGGCTTTGTCTTGCTAGCTGGTGAGCCGGCCTTCTCATCACCCGAGGCGCCAACAGGTTGGACGGTTGCAGCTCCAGGAGCGTTGGGAGACGATTCAACCTTTTTCACAGCCGCGTTGTTTGCAGGTAAAGTTGAGGTCTCGTATGTGCCATTGGCAGATGGTTGCACCTTGGTCTTTGCAGTTTGTTGCTGAAATTTCTGCTCAAGTTGCTCGCCGTTGGCAGGGTTATAAGAGGCACCGTCGTCTCTAACCAAGCGCACCAGCCCGAAAAAGGATTCCTCGACATTGATAGCCTGTTTCGCAGAAGTCTCTAGGCAGGGCGCATTGAACTGTTTGGCCAAGTTAACACCTTCTTCGTATGAAACCTGACGTTCATCCTCCAAATCGCTCTTATTACCCACCACGAACACAGGAACGTAGTCTGCGTCCTTGACACGCAAAATTTGCTGGTAGTAAGTCATAAGCTCATCAAACGACGTGCGCGACGTGACTGAGTAAACAAGCAAAAACCCTTCCCCAGTTCTCATGTATTGCTCACGCATTGCCGAGTACTCCTCTTGCCCTGCAGTGTCCAGAATGTCGAGGATTGTCACCTTGTTGTCTATCACTACTTGCTTACGATACGAGTCTTCGATGGTTGGATCATACTCGTCCACAAAGTGCGACTGAATCAGTTGAATGGTTAACGCCGACTTACCGACACCACCACCACCGACAACGACTAGTTTGTATTCTCTGATATTGCTCTAGAAAAAAATTTTCGACGTTAGTGCTCTGACAACCCATAATCATTAGCTTGTTGTATTACTGTGCTTCACAGCCCACATACCTTGTTTAACGACATGATGATTTGATGGTTCGGTCGAATATGTCCTCTTACAAAAGGGGGGATCGAATTTTTTTTCAATGGGAACGCCATTGACGGTGAAAAAAGTAAGAGAAACGGAAAAGAAAAACCGGTAGTGGGTCACGCGAAAATCACGTGCACACAGTTCTAGGAACAAGACTCAATCTCGTCCCACATTCAAACCGCCTGGAGATGGTTATAGCATCTTTCGACAGTCGTCACAGTACCATTTGCCCTTTGGCAAGGTTTCTAGCCCAATACAGGGTAGATGGAACCACTCTAGGGTGCAATTGTCGCCATCACAGCCGACCATCTCGCCGTATGCGACCTGGTTACAGTAGCAGTAGAGTGCCTCGCCATACTCGTTGGTGCGTGGGGCGTGCGGGTCCGCGTCCTTGGGGGAGAGCTTACGCTTGCGTTTCTTGGCGTCGGGCGTGTCAGCGGCCTGGGCCACTACGGCGGAGCCCGCTACGGCAGCAGTGGACGAGCCATGGGCAGAGGACGCTGCGAGAGAAGCAGAAGCGGCGGCGGTGGCGACCGTGTGGGCCCTGCGCTTGCGGCCGTCGGAGGGGGCCTGGGCGTTGGTTGTGGCTGGCGAATTATGGTGGACCGGCGCGGCAACGGCCGCGGTGTGACGTTTGGCGGCCATGGCCTCGCGGCGGGACTCGCTGCGCAGGGCCTGCGAGGACTTGCTGTTGGCCTTGGAGTCGATCTTGGCCATGAGCTCGTGGTGGAGGTGCATGGCCGGGTGGTTGTCCACACCGAGACGCAGCTTGGCAGGGATCTCGCCGTTTTTGATGGCGACCTCGTACGCGAGCTCCAGACGCTGCGTGAGCCGCTGCAGCGCCTCGTACGCGATCGCAGACACGTGCATTTTTTCCTCGAGAGAGGGCATGAGATCCTGGAACAGCCCGTTGATGGCAGCGAGCGGGTCATTGCCGTCTTGGCGTTTGAGAAATCCGTCGATGTTTGCGTTGAGTTCCGGGACGGTGTGCACGCACTTGGCGTCGATTTCGCGCAGAAGCGTCATGTAGCGTGATACCTCGATGGGCAACTCTTCCAGTGCGTCTGAGATTTCATTGAGCCCCGGATGGAGGTTGGCAGGCGTAGCCATTGTTGCGATATGGGGGGGCGTGGAGGGAGTTTGCTTGCAATTTGGAAAGGGAGGTTGGAACTGGTTCGGGAGGATGGTGAAAAAAAGAGCGAATACTGCGTGATTCAGCCGTGCGAGGCCGCCCGTGCGGAGCGACACGAAGACGACGACGTTATCCGGAGGGATGCTCTGGGGGGATGTTCCGGAGATGCTCTAGACGACTGCCCGACGATCGATTCACCCAGAGTGCTATTTTGGCGGTGGTGAAACGGCGACAATTTTGCAGCGTGCAGCGTGCAGCGAAATGAGTAGTACCCCTACGAGGAAAATCACAGCCACCTGCCGCACACATTCCACCCACCACACGGTCTTGGCACAATTTCAACACTAATTTAACGCATTGGTCGTGGGCCGAAGTATCCCCGAATTGCAACGGTGTTCCGCGACCCGGATCTTTTCTGGTCACTTTCGCGCAAAGTGACCGGATTTTGCAGGGCCTATTGTTAACTCCGGGCGGAGTGGAGGGCGGAGCGAACGTCAATGGCGAAAACTTGGGCGAAAGGCGGGCCAGTGAGACACAATGGGCTGGAGGATGGGTCCGGTGCGAGGCGCATCACAGCAGTATGAATAAGTAGCATTCCAGCTTTGGCCACGAGTTTTTTTTTGTAGCTCTCAGCTCTTGCTCATTTTCGCCGTGCGAAACACCGCCAGTGGCCTGGCGGCACGAGCTGTGTTCTGTGGGACGCAATGCGCACTGTGTTCTACATACTTTTCTTCCTTCAACAATCCACTGCACAAATATACTCTATATAACACTACTTCTGCCCTTTCCTCGCAGCACGGCTCCTGTTGAAAGCTTGTCCTTTAGAGATCCTTTGTAACCCGTTGTCGCTGAAGGTGTCGTTTCGACGACAGACACGTTCGTAGTGACAAACAGAACAGTCCGACGGGCGAAACGTGAACCACGTCGTAGCCAACAGCCCTGGCGTCGACACACTTCGCACTTCACGATACATCAACGGGCCCTCTGCGTCGCCCATCTTTACTTCGCCCACGGTACTTGCTTGGCTTCCTTCTCCACGTCGCACATGTCATGTGCGACAAGAAGCACATACATACTCCACGCACAAGCGAGCTTTCATCAATAGGTTGTTTGGCCGAGCGGTCTAAGGCGCCTGATTCAAGAGTCACTCTTAACGTCCCCAGGACGGAGCACTCAGGTATCGTAAGATGCAAGAGTTCGAATCTCTTAGCAACCATTATTTTTTGGCGGGTTTTTGTTTTTTTCCCTTCGGCGCAGCACCGCCCTTGAAAAGCCCAAGTGTCACTTTTAAACTCGATTCGGAGCAATTCTTAGTCTTCTGCCACAACTCTCGCCACACACAATTGTTTCCAACTGCAGACAATGAGTGTATATCTAAGTGTCCTTTTCGCACTCCTAACTTCAGAAATGGCCGTTCTCTTCGTCCTGGTGCTGCCCCTCCACTACAAGATCCGCAAGGCCGTTGTTGCTACGTATGACCGCGCCATGTCGACCACGCAGATGCAGACGGTGATCGTTATCGTGGGCGCTCTGGTCGCACTGCTGTTCGTGGACTCCTGGCGTCGCGCCCAGATAAGCGTGTTTTTGCATCACCATGCGTCCGCAGCGTCGAGCGCGGACCCCGCCGGCCAGGGCTCTGTCACGCCCATCCAGGCGCTAGCCTCTCGCTCCTACAACCAGCGTAACATTTACATTTCAGGCTTCATCCTGTACTTCAGTTTCTGCATTCCCACGGTTATGAGCGTCGTGCGGCGTCTGGTCAAGTACGAGACGCTCGTGCGCGACCAGCGCGCGAATGCCAAGACGGCGGGCGCAGCTGCCGCTGCAGACGCCTCCAGCGTCGACGACAACGACGAGTACACCAAGCTCGAGAGGCAATTGGCCCAGAAACGCGCCTCGCTCAAAGCCCTCAAGACCCAGAAGAAAAACCTGGAGGCGCACTTCGACGCCTCCGTCAAGGGCGACGAGCCCGCTGCCGAAACCAAGAAGCACAATTAGCAATGGTGAGTCCCTGTATATTCGAATACGATCAAAATCCACGCGTCCAGTTGAAAGCCAGCACACACTGCAGGCAAGAGACGCGTCGAGGGGCATCGCCGTTTGTTCCCATCATAGTACATACATACACTACATAGTAAACTATCCATTCGATGCGAACCTGGGTTATTACTTCAATCGCGCGGCCTAGTCCATCTTATGCGGAATGCCTGAACCCCAGGTCTCGTTCAAGTGGGTGCCAAAGACATCGCGCTGCACCGCGGTCACTAACGCCTCGTCGTGCTCACTCAACTGCCCATTGCGGTCTGCTACGGCCCAGTAGTTATTGAGAGCGTGCTCCAGTTCAGAAGTTGAGCTGAGTCCCAAAACTGTGGGGCCCTCGTTATACCATTGCTGGATGGCAAACCGTGTAGCCAGATCTGCCAGATCATCGCCACTGGACTGCACGTATTCCGCTGCTTGTTGTGCCGCGTCTCGTAATTCCTGTGAACATGGATGGAACGCACGCGTCTCTTGCGACCGAAGCAACGACATGCTGAGAATCGACGCGTTCCACAACGACTTCACCTGTGCTTCCTTTTTGAATTGCGCGGCATACTTGAGCAAAGTCATGTTTTGTAAGTTAAGGTTCGCATACGACATCACCGCATCCAGTGGGCCAATCTCTGCAATTTCACAGCACTTCTTGCTCACATACAGCAAGAAATCAACTGGGTACCCGCTCAAACCAAAATTCTTGATCACGCCTTCCTCCTTCAGCTTCCGCAACTCTCGTAACGCCTCCAGGATTTGATGCTCCGCTTGGAACTCGATATCATGTAAGAACACGAGATCCAGGTATGGTGTGTTCAAACGCTCGCATGATCGCTTTACACTGAACCTCACATTCTCGCGGGAGTAATCAAACTCGTCAAGTCTAATACGGCCCACTTTGGTGCTGATGTAGTAAGTGTCTCTGGGGAACTCATCCTCGATTGCCTTCAACGCCGCACCGTACAATTTCTCGCTGTCTCCGTAATACGGGGACGTGTCAATTGCACGAATCCCATGCGACATGGCAAATCGTAGCATGTCCACTAAAGGTACTGTCTCGGGCTCTTCGTTGTATTGTGTATTCAAAGTCGCACCTCCGAGGATTAAAGAGGGGAGCCCTAGCAGATCGTCATGGGCCACCGGCTGATTCACGGGTCCAATTGATTTCATGATGCAATCTCTATTGTGCTTGATATATAACAGCTGTATCCTGTGCCAGTTCTTCACTCACACGTGTGCACGCCAACAAATTTCGACTGTTCTCTTATAGGTCTGGCTGGAGGAAAGACTTTACGACTTTTTATATCACCATTTATAAAAGCATACAAACGCAATGTCGTACTATAACAGGTATCGCGGCGATCAAAGCCGCCCACAGAGGCCCCAAAACGGTGCTTCCAGCGAACCTGATGCGATCTTTGAATTGGGCAAGAACAAGCGGGTCACCGTGCGCCAATTCCGCAACATAAACCTTGTCGACATAAGGGAATACTACGCAGACTCGGCTTCTGGTGAGATGAAGCCATCCAAGAAGGGCATATCACTTACGGAAGAAGTGTACGATGAATTACTGAAACACAGACAGAACATTGACGACGCATTGCGTCGACTAGGCTCCAAACGACCACGCACTAAGACCGTTAACGTACTGTCAGATGATGACTTCGACGGTACTCGCGACAATTCATGGACTAAACAACCAACAGACGAGTTAGATACAACACAAGGCAACCAACAGCAATCAGAAAGACCTCCCAAGCGCCAGAAGAAGCAGAAAAAGGCTCCTGCTCCGCCGCAATCGAAGCCCGAAGATAGAAAAAGGAAGCTAAGTGAACAAGAATCAAAAGCAGAGCTGGTGGTGCCCGGATCGGCCCCAAATAATAATCCCAGACTCGATGACCATTTGCCTAAACTCGCATCTTCCAAAGACGATAACGAATCAGATTTGAACTCGAGTGACGAAGATTTCGCCCTGGCTTTGGAGTCAGAAGTTAAGCATGTAGACGACGGCGCAATTAGCGAAGAGTGCTAGTTTAGCATTTGATTTATGACCTGCACTTGTTGGCCGTCAATTGCTCGTTTGTATAGCTCTGTACGTGTCGACATTTTTTTGCTGAAAATTCTCAAATTTGACGACGGCATGTCGTCATGTAATCTTGATCATTTCAAGCATCGAAATTAGAGAACCACAAGGATCCGACCATGAGTAGCCGTAACAACGACGAAAGTGTTCCTCTTTTGGGGTCAGATGGAAGCAGACACAATTCTTCACATAAGGAATCGGGAAGAAGACGTCGGAAATCAGCGTTTAATGGTCCCAGCGCGGCTTCCGATGCGCATAATATCGCCATCGAACATAGCAACGGACTACTGAACCACAGTAACGACTTTGATAAGGCAGATTCGTGGGGTATGTTGCACGATACCACCGATGAGGACTCAACACATACACGAAACACGTCCGATATACATCTGGCACAATTTGCGTCGTCGTACATCGACCACAGACCCTCGATTGCTGTCATGGAAGCAATGAACTCTTCGCCCATGGTAAAGCGAAACAGAAGGCCCAGTACATCCCAGCGACTGCATCAAACTTCTGTCAGTACACCTGCTGTTGATGTGCGTACGAAAATGCGCAGAAGGTCCAGCCTACCACGAATGTCGCCTAGGGAGGCCGAGCGGTGGGCTAAAGCAACTACTCACAGTGAAATGACTAGTGGATCCCACAAACATGGTGACGATATCATGCAGAAGCGAGGTGAGGATGTAGTCATTGATGTGGACGCTCTCATGGATCACGTTAAACGCGGAACTCGCAGTGATCCGTCGTCGCATGTGTCGAGTCACGGCTCGCAAGATGAATACAACTCACAACCATCCTCTCGAAGGTCATCCAATTCTTCTTCCTTGAATGATGTATGTCTGCCAATAGATGATGAGGATAGCGCTGGGTCCAAAGTTTGGCCAGATGTCGCGGTCCTAGAAGAATTTTCCAAAGAAGAGACTGACAGGTTACGCAAACAAGCTGTGCAAGACACTGAAAATTTCCACTTCCAATACGACGACGAGGAAGATTTCGACGACGAAGGCCAAAGTAATGACGGGGTGTTGTTTTCAAAACCCATCGTTACTAATATAGATGTTCCGGAATTGGGCAATACCAGAATTAACGAAACCGAACATTTGAAAGCGGGGAGATTGAGACCCAGGAAAATTACACCCTGGCAACTTAGACGTAAAGGCATGAATTTGCCAGGATTAGGACTCATCAACAATCAAGCGAAAAGCTCTTTGGAAGAGTCTCAAAAGCAGCAAGAAAGGCAAGATGATTTTCTTGTAGGAAGGAACATCCAATATCCTCCTCATATCATCTCTAACAACCCTGAGCATTTTCGTTTTACCTACTTCAGAGAGGATTTAGACTCCACGATTCATTCCCCCACCATTTCGGGACTGCTTCAACCTGGACAAAAGTTTGACGAACTTTTCGTAGGGCCCGTCTATGCTGCAGGCCATGGTACTCCAAGTGAAACCAAGAGTAGTACACCTTCGCAACCAGCACCCCTGCAGCACCAAATCACGAGGCAATCAGGCTCTTTAGATCTTGACGATTATCCACCATTCTGGCTTGATGTTTCAAATCCTACCGAAGAGGAAATGAAGGTGTTGAGTAAAGCATTTGGTATCCACCCTTTGACAACTGAGGATATTTTCTTGGGAGAAGTGCGCGAAAAGGTTGAGCTTTTCAAGGATTACTACTTGGTTTGTTTCAGAAGTTTTGACATCGTCGCCGAGCGCCATATTAGAAAAAAGAAAATGCAACAAGACACAAACACCTCCGCCTCCAGCGACCGCTCAACTTACAATGGCCGTGGAGGCTGGCTTCCAAAATTCTTCCGCTCTCGTAGACACCCATCAACGGTAAGGACGGCTAACAGTTTCAGCTCGAGTTATAAAAAGAACATGAAAAAGAAGATAGAGGAGAATGAAAAATACAAACGTAAATCAGGAGATAGACGTAAACCACGAGAGGGAGAGCTGGAGCCTTTGAATGTTTACATCATTGTATTTCGCACAGGAGTGTTGACATTCCATTTTGCGCCCACCCCTCACCCAATTAATGTGCGTAGGAGAGCGCGGTTACTAAAGGATTATTTGAATGTTACAGCAGACTGGATCGCATATGCCCTGATCGATGATATAACAGATGCTTTTGCACCTATGATTGAGTTGATTGAAGACGAGGTATATGACATTGAAGATGCCATATTGAAAATGCACCATAGCGCAGATGACTCAAGCGACGACGACGACTCCTCTGACGATGAATCTAGTGATGATGGGTACACGTCTTTGGAAAGAATTCCTCGCAGAATGAGCGTCATAGACGATAGCAGGAGTGGATCAACCCGCTCCACCATGAGGTATTCATCCTCTGAGTCCAGTTTGCGTGCCAATATCATTGGTTGGAAGAAAAAGGGTGACATGTTACGGCGTATTGGTGAGTGTCGGAAGAGAGTTATGAGCATATTGCGGTTGCTTGGTTCCAAAGCTGATGTCATTAAGGGATTTGCTAAGAGATGTAATGAACAATGGGAAGTTGCACCTCGGTCAGAAATTGGCATGTATCTGGGTGACATTCAAGACCATATTATTACTATGGTCTCTTCATTAAACCACTACGAGAAGTTATTAAGTCGCTCCCATTCTAATTATTTGGCTCAGATTAATATTGATATGACTAAAGTTAACAATGACATGAATGATGTGCTCGGGAAGATTACCCTTTTAGGTACTGTTGTTCTTCCTATGAACATCATCACCGGTTTGTGGGGTATGAACGTACTAGTTCCCGGGCAGGAAACTCACTCGTTGACATGGTTTATCAGCATTACAACATTCATGTTCGTGTTCGCCTACGGAGCGTATGTGTACACGAAAAGACGCTTTGGATTCTAGAGCACTGGATAAGAGCAGGGCTTGTCCAGTCATCAAAAGACATTAACGTTTGTAGTGATATATAACAAAGGTGGATTTGTAAGACGCTACATCGTTTAAACAATGTGCCAAAGAAAACTGACCTTTGGATAAATCTATACTACTTATCGAACGACCAATGACTGGAGCAGTATCAGATGATTCGTTCGAAGCCACGTACGCTGTCGACATGCACTGTGATGGCTGTACGAAAGAAATTGCCTCTTGTTTGAAAGGTATCCCAGGACTTCAACTGCAATTCGATGTAGCCAAGCAAATGATGTCCGTGAAGGGTTGTGTTGCACCTTCTGTGATTATTTCTACTTTGCAAAAGTGTGGCCGAGACGCAATTATCAGGGGAACTGGAAAGCCCAATAGCGCGGCAGTGTCAATCTTGGAAACGTTCGAGACAATCAGCAAAAATGACACACCTGTACGTGGGTTAGCACGCATCGTGAGTGTCAGTGATACAAAGACGCTGTTTGACATTACACTGAATGGAGTTCCGCATCCCGGCAAATTTTATGCGTCAGTTCGTGCATGTGGTGACATCTCCAAAGGTCCTGAATCAACGGGCAATCTATATTACAAATTTCCGGAACCTATCGAATGCAACTCTCCTAGCGACTTGGGCAAGGACTTATACAGTGGACAGGCCTTTCTGAGCGCTCCTCTACGGGTGTGGGATTTGATAGGACGCAGCTTCCACGTCACATCGGATCCTAACCATCGCACAGGCCACGGCTACGAGATGTGCGGCGTAATTGCGCGTAGTGCAGGAGTATGGGAGAACGATAAGCAGGTGTGTGCATGCAGCGGTAAAACCGTGTGGCAAGAGCGCAAAGATGCACTAGACAGGAACATTACCAATTAGTAAAGTTTACCGTACGAGTATGTACAAGCTATTTAAACTAGCAGAGATGCTAATTTCAGGCCATAGTACTTAATTTCACAGGCTACATGGCTGTGAGAAATTGAAACGCACTATGTTTTATCTGTTTTTTTAAACGGCGCTTTGTCATTTATCATCTTTGCCTGCTCATCGACTGCTTCTAGGGGCTCTGACTCCTTCATCGCTTTGACATCGTTGCCCACAGCCTGCTTTGGAGGGTCCTTGGCTGGCTCTTTACCGTATTCCTTCTGCAAATTCTTGACCTCCTGCTGCATGGCAACCTCATTGTTGAATTTTTCCTTGGGCACTTTGTTCCCCGCTTCGCCAGCATCCGCCAACGTGTCTGTGTTATCTCTATTTACGCCTGAACGCGAGTTTGACGTGTCTAGCTCAAAGTCTACGTCCTTCTTCTCGCTCAATATCGTCTGTATCATTAGCCATAGCGTGATCAATATCATAACGTACACGATCACTTTTTTCATTGGCGTTGTGAGATATGACTGTTTCTTGTGCCCCGCACCCTTACGGTACCTTGGTAGGAGGTCATTTTTCCTCCTAATTCCTCCTTGCATCTTGCTTTATACGTTAAATAAAGTTGGTTGATTTGTTCGAGAGTAAGTTCACAAGACGAGCTTTCTCTTTATGGACGCGGCGTTCATCTAAAAACACATCCTGAATTCGGGAGTAATACGAAAAAACGGTAAAGTCGCGTGACTAGGCAGGATGCGTATTCAGTGATATCTTGTTGTACGTCTAGTCACTGTATACGTCCTTCACGTGAATTTTTTAAAAGACTGAGTTACCCGGCTTTTCAGTCACGTGCGCTGGTATTTTTGTTTTTGTTTGAAAATGGCTGGGCCACAGTTCGTCCGCAATGATGTCTTTCCCGGTTATCAATTACATATGAGGTTGAATTAATGAATGATAGTGCACTACAAGAGCAAAGCAGCTCATGACGGCAGAAGAAAACCAATACGGCCCAGAAGAGCTGCTCCTTTTCTCGAACAATTCACTGGACATTCGAGGCGGGTTTCAGCCCGAAAGGAGCGCGGGCGAAACCGCAGCTAACACGCCTGTCGCAGATACACCTGTGACTTTAAAGAACAACAAAGTCTCAACACCGACAGCTATGAATGAGCTGTTGGCGATGTTGGAAGACAACTCGATGCTGAGCCAGCTGTCTTCAGGAGGCGAGTCGCAACAGCAAACCGGTAGTAATACCAACAGCAACAGCAACTCCACCGGGCTCTCGCCACAGCAGATTTTGCAGGAGGGCGGCGCCGCTGGCGGCGGTGTGTTTCGGCTGGACGAGCATTCAGTAACGCTGTCGCCATCCATCGACCCCCCCGTGTCTGAACAGCCCTGCATCGACCCCAATCTGCTCAGCAATGCCAACTCCTACATAGACACCGGTATTGCAGATGATGGCCCCACTATGGACTCGCTGCTGGATGATTTCACCTACAAGCGAAGGCCGAGTGAACTGGCAACCCCTTCAATCCCTGCTCTCACGCAGTCTCGTGGCTCTATCTCCCATTCTATCGATTTCTGGAATTTGCCGCACGACCGCGAGCATCAAAATCAGCGGTCTTTGGGACTACTGCCTTCTTCGTCTCTCAAGTCTCAGCGGATACCCGAGTCACAGGGAGGTGTGTCCAATGCACCTTTCAAGATTGACAATGAACTTACACAATTGCTCAACGATTATAACCTAAGCTATGCTCACCAGAAACCCGGGAAGGTAAGGACGAGCTCTTTCAACAACACCAACAATTCAAGAAGAGGCTCCATTTCCGAGCTGAACCGTGTACAGAAACAACGTGCCTCGATGTCCCTGGTGGATGGTAATAACCCAGAGGTAATATCCAAACTGTATGGGGACATCTCAAACCAACGTCCAAAAGTAAGCACACTTTCCTGGGAAAATGCAGTGATGTCAGATGAAGATGACGAGGAAGACTCTGCTCTCCCTGCGCAAAGGTTTATACATCCGAATATGCTAAACAACGACGCAAATCATAGTCTGGACAACACCAGTTTTGACATCGGCGGGGCCACAAATGTAAACCCAAACCAGACTACCACAACAACTACAAATTCCACCTCACCTCAATCCTCGCATTCCAGCAATTTCAAGCGCAAAAGACAATCCATCTCTAAACCTCGACCAAGCAAGTCGTCATCCCCCTTGGATGAAGAGGAAAAGCCTTTTAAGTGCCAAGAATGTACGAAAGCTTTCCGCAGGAGCGAGCACCTCAAACGACACATACGATCTGTTCATTCCAGCGAGCGACCCTTTCATTGTTCTTACTGTGACAAAAAGTTTAGCAGAAGTGACAATTTGTCGCAACATTTGAAAACACACAAGAAGCACGGGGACTTCTGATAAGCAGGGGCTCATGTGATAGAATGAAAAGTATTTAGATTACTTCTTTATGTAGCAATTCTGCGATTGGGTAAGCATTTTGCAAGGTAAACAAAATAGCGCGATGATCCACGCGAAGCACGACAAAATTCTTTAGAAATTTGATAATCGTCATCGTGATTTCCCTCATCACGTCAAAGAAAAGGATATAGAATAAAATGCGAAATGCTTCTCGAAGAATTGCAGCAGAACCGCAATCTCCAGTACCGACACTGATACCTTTTGAGGGTGATATTATTGACCCAGGTCCTATAACACCAAGTAGTGCATCGCCATCGGTTGCAACAACTGACAATGTACCTTCATACCATGAAATCATCGAAAATCATCGGGGCGTGATAGACCGTGCTCTAACTCCGCTTGTGAAGAGATTCACAGTCTACGATGATCATCCAGAATGTATCGACGGATACCGCATAGTTAAATGCATTGGAAAGGGACAATTTGGACAGGTGTATCTCGCTCAATCTAAAACTCTCGAGCAGGTAGCAGTTAAATGTATCCAAAAGCGTCCTCGTAACTCTCAACAATACTCTATGAATCAAGTCATGAGGCAAATGCGGTACTGGAAATCTAAGGGAAAATTTGTTTCAAACAGTGAAGATGCGATAATGCAGATGAATGTCAGCAAAATACGATGGGAAGTTTACATTGCCAATCGGCTAAGGCACAAAAATATTTTACATGTATTAGAATGCCTAGACTCACCTTCAAGTCGAAAAATTTGGATAATAACCCCATGGTCATCTCTGGGGGAATTGAGATGGGAACGTGGTTCAAAATCGCAGACCCTTGATCAATGGAACAGGTTTCTGCGAAAACAGACGACTGTTGAACAATTTTCTGAAATTGTTCTCAAGAATATAGTTGACGGTTTGCTGTATTTATCTAAACAAGGTTGCATTCACCGTGATATCAAGCCGTCGAATATTTTACTTGACGGTACTAGCGGCGAAATGAAAATCTCAGACTTCGGCAGCAGTTTGATATCACCAGAATTTCTCCCTTTCAAAGACCAAGAGCTGGCTCAGGGTTATATGGAGGAAATACACAAAATAGTTGGAACACCCGCATTTATTGCACCGGAACTTTGTGATTTTAGTGCTAAAACGACCTTTCTGGATGGGTTTAAGCTGGATGTATGGTCACTAGGAGTTACAATGTACTGCTTGCTTGAAAATAAACTACCATTTTGGGGTGACAATGAATTCGACACTTTTCACAAGATTGTAAGAGACCGGTTGCCGAAGAATGGCAATTGGCTCCATGACCTCATAGTCACAAGACTTCTTGAAAAAAGCATGTCTGAGAGGATTTCCATAGATGAACTTTCCACACTTTTGAAGAAATCGCGAAAGAAGCATGGCGTAAAGAATTTAATGTCCAAATTTAGGAACTTTGCGACCAAGAAAAAAAATCCCAGTACAACGCAGTTTAGCTCTATCCACATTGATGAAGGGTCATCAGATTTTAATCTGGATACCTCCTCCTCTTCAATTGGATCGTCATTTGGTGAGCCTGTACAAATTTCAGAATTTGTCAAGTCGCCAACCGAAACAGTAAAGCCAGAGTCCGGTACCACAACAGATGTTGAAAGAGTTGAAATTTTAAGTGAGACCTCAAACCAACAGTCATCTATTCCCATCACTCCAGAAGATACCCGAAACGAAGTAAGTCCTTCACCCATAAAAGTGGATACTCCACTGAAGGAACTAATTCGCAGCGGAAATACACCAGAAAAAGATTTAGAATTGATGGAAACTGTCATGCCTGTTGAAAATAAGTCCTTAGCTCAAACACAAGAACATTCTCATATACTTTCTTCTCGTGGTACGATAGATTTTAAGAGATATTTTCGATCTCCATCGAAAGCATCGAAAACTAGGAGTAATCAATCTCAAAAAAACTCATTTGCAAGTAAGGACTCAATTGAAGATATCAGAAAATATCTCGACTACGCAGATACGTAAAGTGTGGACCATTGACCGAATCTTTGTTTTTCCTTTGATTGGTCGGCATTTCCGAAAAATAGACCGTGTTATGTATTTAATTAATTTGAGAGTATTCTTACCTTTTTTAGCACTCTACAAAACATCTCGATCGAATTATATTTGTTTGAAAGGTGCTTCACTCGCGTCATTCTTGAGAGAAACCAATTTCCAAAGTATTTTCGCTTTTGTTTAGGTTTGTAAACTTTTTCTATCGCGGTTGCCTAAAAAAAAAAATTGTATACATTGATTCCTTTCACCTCAACACATCAAAGAAAGCTGAAACATTTCTTTACGTACTTACCATTCCGAAATATACCACATTGGTAAAGGTGCGATTGTAAGCTCTAGTGTGGCTATTGATATTTCAGTTCGCAAAAGTCGATCTTTGATTCCTCTTATCGGTCTCGACCATTTGAATTTGAACACAAAGGCCGATTAGAGCTTAAAAATGCATGATTCCAAAAGTCTCGTGAAAAAAGCTACCCGAAAAGCATTTGCAGGATCAATTCAAGAGGGATCTAATCTGCTCAGAAATTTTCATTCGCTATTGAGCATTCCTAAGCGGAAGAGAGATCTAGAAACATGGAAGCAGGAGAGAAACTCGGCGGGAAATAACACAGATTCGTCATCGCATGTATCTCATGAAGATTCGCCAGATGAAAGTTGTCAGCAATCAGAGTCACAAAGCGAATTTGGTACGCAGCTGATGTTGGTCAATTCCTCGGATTCCTGTTCATCCTATGAAGGTAGCAATTCATGTGTTTCTCCTGTCGTTGGTCAACACTTTTGTCAAAAAGAGTCCTCAGCCCATATACGAACATTTGTTAATGTTCAGAACTCTAAAAAATCGCAATTCTCTTCAAAATATGATAAGGCCAATTGTTCTTCTAGCACGTTAAGCGTTCAAACCATTTCCGAGAAGCCAGTACTACCGAGCCCTCCGTGGAATGCTTCGTCGTTGACTTTGGGACGTGAAGATGAGCTGCTTCTAGCAAGGTCAAGAGGACTCAGAAGACAACCAAGTGGTTTTAAGAAAGATCATGTGTTTCATCCACCACCTAAGAATAAACTTAGAAGAATACACTCCATGTATGCCTCCAAAACTGAAGTTTCGGCTGATTATCGTAATGCTGAAATTGAACCTGAGGAAGAAAGTTCTGCGACTCAAGGACGGGTATACGATTCGTATCTACCTGCAAGCGGCATTTCCCATTACTACAGCGAAAGTAGCGACGATAACCTACCTAGAATTCAGGTAGATACCCTTGTTCGGATTTTAAATGGAAGCTTTCAAGATCATTATGATAAAATTCATTTAGTTGATTGTCGATTTGAATATGAATTTCAAGGCGGCCATATTCAGGGCGCCATCAATATATCCTCACAGAAGGATCTTGAATCAGAATTCATCTACAAACGCAGCGAGCATTGTAAAGGTGACAAACCTCCTCTGGTAATATTTCATTGCGAGTTCAGTTCTTATCGGTGTCCAATCATTGCCTCGCATCTGCGCAGCTGTGATCGTGTGTTAAATTATGACACGTACCCAAAACTGTATTATCCAGATATTTTGATTTTGGAAGGGGGATACAAAACATTTTTTGAGAGGTGTAGTTACCTCTGCTTTCCCCGCCGTTATGTTGGCATGAATTCTGAAGAACACGTTGATAAGTGCGAGACCGAGATGGAGAAGTTTAGGAGAGATGTGAAACGCGTTGTTACACGAGCTAATTCATTTCACGTTCTTAACAAGAGCAGCTCCTCAGGGCCTGTACCAACAGTGGGCAGATTGAAATCTCGAAGCCAATCTCAATTCCAAATGAAGAAAAAGTCCCACAATGAGGACTCTTCACATAATATAGCAGAAAGCTCACTTTCCTTTCGATATGAAGCCCCACCAAAACTTTCATTATCAAGGTGCAGTGTAGGCAGCAGTAGCCCCAGTAGCAGTACTGCCAGTAGTCGTCTTCTTCTTGAAGATGAGCTGGAAGGAGAATTTGGAAGCCCTCTTCTTGATGATGTTAGTGACACTGAAGCAAGAGCTATGTTTAGAGGATGTGATGATTCGGATTCCATATTAACTATGGATGGTGTGAAGCGCTCTTTATTTCAATCGATTTTGAAAGAGGAAGATCATGAAAGCCCATTCGGTCATGCCGAATAACCAATTGCATTTAATTGTTTCATTTTCACCAGGTTTTCAAAAGATCTAAAAACTTGGCATTTGCATAATAATTTGATCAAGATCATCGAGTATACGGTTCATTTACTTTCCCTAATGCATGCATTCGTATGATATATAATATGTTCAAATTTACATTAAAAAGGCTACGGCTTGATATCAAACATCTAAGCCGTTGACCCCTATATCTCCTCTGCCGGTGCTCGAATTTAAATCGGCGTTCCATCGCGAGGGCGGCCATATTACACGGACGGCCTTTCCGAGCACCAAGCCGGTAGAGATAGGACCAAAATTATTGGAGTCAATTGAATGATAAACATTATCGCCTTCTACCCAAAGATGATTACGTGGAATATGCACAATTTCCTTGGGATACGGATGCCTGGTCTTCACAGAGTCGTATTGCACACCTTTTACTCTCTTACAGTACACTTTCTTAGGATTGGATGGTGCTTTGAATAAAATCACATCATTATTTTTAAGAGTTTCGGCATTCTTGGCTCCAAATTTCCACAAGAGTACCCAATCAGTATGTGTCAGGTCATTTGGGTTAAGTGTAGGCCTCATTGACGATCCCTCAATCTTCGCAACATTGCAAACATGTTCATTGAATGTCATTAAAACTGGCACCCAGGATATGCTTATCAGCAGTTTTCTGAGCCCATTATGAAATATGACAGTTTGAACCATCAATAACTGTTTCAGCCGGCTTTAAATAGAGATCTTCTGAATAGCTTTTGAACAGCTTCTCATTTGTGCCTTCTCTCATTTTCGTTAATGGTGACATCAAACAGTTGACTATTTAGCGGGGATGATAGGACAATGATTTTACTTTAATAATCGCAATCAAAAACGATGGCATGGACGTATCTCTAACTAAAAACTCTTTGCTCAGATTTTGTTGGCAGCTTTTATTATCGCAGTGGTTTTTTATAGCATTGGCTGTATTTATCGTTCTTGCCCATTTTTTTCCGAACTTCGCCAGACATGGAGGATTAATTCGAGGTGAATATAGCATAGGGTATGGTGCTGTGGCAGCAATCTTTTTACAAAGTGGATTAAGTATGTCTACAAAAAAACTTTGTCTGAATATGGGAAATTGGAGAGCGCACATCACTATTTTGACCATAAGCTTTCTTATCACCAGCTCAATTGTTTTCGGAATTTGTTGCGGAATTGAAAAAGCGGATGATCCTAATATTGATAGTTGGGTACTCGTTGGGTTGATCATGACTGCTTCTTGTCCTACAACTGTCGCATCCAATGTTATAATGACTAAGAAGGCAGGAGGGAATGATCTTCTATGTTTGTGTGAGGTTTTCATTGGCAATATTTTGGGTGCTTTCGTAACACCTGCCATTGCACAAATGTACTTAAAAACTGGAATATTTGCGTTCGGCAACCCAGCCAATGGTACTAGCGTATCCAATTTATACCGAGATGTAATGAAACAAATTGGTTTATCTGTCTTTGTTCCATTATTCGTTGGACAAGTATTGCAAAATGTATTCCCTCGGCAGGTAGCATGGACATTGAAGACTTTTAGGCTTGGCAAAATCGGAAGTATTTGCCTCTTACTGATCATGTTCAGCTCGTTTTCGACAGCGTTTTATCAAAAAGCATTTCAAAGCGTCTCTCACGCTTGTATTATATTCGTGGTTTTTTTCAATATTGGCATATACTTGTTCTTTACTCTCATTTGCTATTTCTGTGCCAGGCCCCCATTTCTCTTATTCTTCTTCAGGAAGGATCCAGATGAAAGCTGTTCAAGGGTTTACAAAATTCTTCATCAACTGCTTAGGCCATTTTATCACTCGAAAAAAGATTGTATCTGTGTAATGTTCTGTGGTGCAGCAAAAACAGCCGCACTAGGGGTATCACTGATCTCTTCACAATATGGCAGTGATTCGCCTCATTTGGGTAAACTGCTTGTACCCCTAGTACTCTACCAAAGTGAACAAGTCATTACAGCTAATTTTCTTGTCAGCATCTTTAATAAATGGTCTGAAGACGAACAGGAAGATCAAAGTGCGGCAGCTCAGGATTTGGAGAAAGCAAGTTCGGGTTGCGTTGAAACTTTCTCGATAACTGAAAGACAAGAAGATACCATATTTATTCAACAAGAACGTCAACCCCCATTATGACTTGTTCAACAATTACTGCTCATATTCATTTTGAAACATAACTTTAATAATCGATATTATAAAAACTTTTATTAGAATGCGAACGCATGAGATCAAAGCACCAGTCTTGCGGTCGCCGACAGCTACGTTGTTGCTCTTAAAATGCCACGTCCCATATAGCTGCTGGGCCCTTCTTTTCATACTTTTCTCTTGTCACATAAAAGTTTTCGTTAGAGTGCCCAAAAACTTGTTTAGTTACTATCTGCGCACCCAGGAATGGGATTTCAGCGTAACCGTGTTTTTTCCATTCAGGGAAGTACTCGGGATACTTTGCTAATTTTATCACTGTAGGGGCCTGTACGTAGTCGATTGAGCTCAAAAAGGGAGCACCAGAAATCTTCGTTTTTTTCTTGTTGGACATCTGTGATAACATTTCCTCTTCTCTTGCTTGCTTTTCGCCAGCAGGTTCTTGAATCAAATGATCTTCGCATAATCTGTTCAACAGAGCTTCCTTGAATCCGATAATTGATGTAGTTCCACCAACCACCAAAATGTTTTCCCAAATAGCCCTTAGCTTGTGCAAATCGTCAATTTGTGACAACGCTTGCCCCACGGCAATGGAGATACGCGTAATTAAAAGCTCGCACCCTTGAAATCTCTGCTTCCCTACTATAATTGTCTTGCCAGTTCGATCTACAAATGTGTTATTTTCTAGCTCACTGTTTCGAACATTATTTTTTTCTTTCTCACGCTCACGTTCCTCCAGTATTTCGCGGGTGTCTCGATCGCTAGTAACTAAGGCAGCAATGTCTAAATTTCCTTCTTCATCATCTGCCTGGAAATCGAAAGCAGAGTTTTGCTTTGCATCCTCACTCAGAACTTCAAAAATCGCCGATTTTTTCAAGTCTTCTACTTGCTCCTCAGTCCATTGCGGTAGGAGCTTCTTAAGCTGCTCATTAATGCAATCACCCCCAGAAGGAATTCTAGTGATGAGATATGTTAGCTGAGCATAGTCTAAAATTGGGATGACTTCAGTGCTCTGGCTTCCAATGTCAATCACCACACAATTCTGTAACGACCCGAGCGCATAGGAAGTTGCTAAAGCAGAGGGCAAGAACATGAAATTGTTTATTTGCAGCTCTTCAAAAATGAACTGTGTAATTCTTTCTTGTTGAAATTGACTCCAAGAAGAATTGCTTATCAAAAGCATGGGAATATTGGACAATTCTGAGTCGAAAACATCTGCATTTGAACCTGCCCTTGATTTTTCATTAAGAATCGACTTGTAAATAAGCTTGATGAAAGACAGAAACGCGTCTAGATTCACAATCTTTCCATCTCTTATTGGTCTCACAGCCATATTTTGACCTTGTTTGTTGGTGTACTTGTCTTCATTTGTCTTATAAATGAGTGTAGGTATCTCCAAGTGAGGAGGGTGGAAAGTTTCTTCCCTTATGCCAAATTGGACCAGCGTAGTTTGAGAACCAGGGTAAACGACCTACTACTTTGTTAGTATTCATATTTAATAGTGAATATGATGTCTTCTTAGATACATACGAAATAGCTCTCTTGTCTGAATGGCGCCATAGGTAGTCTTGAAGAGGATGTGTTGTTAATGAAAAGTTTGTTTTCTTATTTTTTTCTAATTATCGACGTCGCGAAGTGTCACCAAACAAACAACCTAATCATCACCTAGAGCACACTGATTTTGCAGAGAATGAATGCGAGTATTTCAAGCCAAAGTGGAGGAAGGTCATTGAGCAACACTAATAGACTAGTAGAAGATATTAATGAAAGAGCATTGTCGCTTTTACAAAGAAATCGACAGCGTCGACAATTGCTGCAGAGACAAGAAGAAAGAAGGCGATTTGTACAACCACAACCTAGGCCAGATCCATTCATTAGTAAAATCCAGAGACACAAGTCATCGCATAAGCGATATCGTCCCAGTGATGTTGCTTTAGAAGAGATCCGCAAATACCAGCGAAGTACAGATTTGCTTATATCGAAGATGCCCTTCGCTAGATTAGTGAAGGAGGTAACAGAGCAATTTACGACGGAGGAACAACAACTCCGATGGCAATCAATGGCCATTTTAGCACTTCAAGAAGCAAGTGAGGCTTATTTGGTTGGGCTTCTTGAACATACAAACTTGCTTGCCCTTCATGCTAAGCGGATAACAATTATGAGAAAGGATATGCAACTGGCAAGAAGAATAAGGGGTCAATTTATCTAGGCGTGGTGTCTTAGAAGGTAATTTAACTATTTAGTTAACATTTATTAATATTACAAACTGTTTTCATCCTCGAGTAGCTTATTATTCTAAGCGAGAATTTCGATATAATTTTCAGGAATGATACCAAAACGGTAACTTGTGTCAACACTTTCATCGTTAAGAACTTCTCCAATGTACCAGTCCTTATCAAGTTGCTCGGTTATCAGCAGGTAGTCATCGACTTTGAAATTAACTATTTGCTGGTCATTAGGATCCATGAAGGTGTACAAAGCTTTTGCGTAGTGTATGGCTTTTTCTCCTCGAGATGAAAGTAATGGCAGTTCCACAACCCGCCCATTATCCATGACTCTTTTCTTTTCTGGCTTCGGATCGCTTGGTTGTCCAGCAGGAAAGGGTATGAGATGCTTATTTGAAGTTGTATTTTCATATTCGGCAAAACTCGAATTCGAGTGCTCACTCTTTGACCTCTTCATGGCTTCCAATGCATCCTTTAGTGGATCAGTACTAGACTCACTCCATACCATAGACTTGCGTCTCTGTGACGTCTCAACTTGAGGACGCGATCGTATCTTCGTCGTTTCCATGCTACTAGATCTGCTACAAATGTCGTGCTCTCGATCTTGAGAAGCTGTAAAGATTTGTGACCGCGTTTTAGACCTCCTTCTGTTGTGAGAATTCCATGATTTGGCAAATCTTTGTGAGTCTTCAATACTATGTGCTAAAGATGAAATGGATGTAGACATCGATTCCATGCTGGCGCGATGTCTTATGTCAGTTGTAAAGTCGGTTGTGTTTGAAGAGTCATGAGACGACGCGGACGATGTAGATAGTCGAACATCTTCTTGAGGGGGTTTGAGTCGCCTTTCGCAATGGTGTTCATTATCCGTTTTGGAAGGTAGGGCGCCATTTACACTGCTTCGGCCAGTGAACGATTCTCCTTGAGATGATGGATTATCTTTTGGTGGAACATCTGGTGGGACAATGCTGTCTTTAGCGGATATACGGCTACGCTGGAGTTGGGACGATAAATGTCTGACATTTTCTGCGTGCCTGCTGCGAGAAGTGTCGGCACCAGTACCAGAGGCATCGAAAGAAGATGCGTGCACAAAGTTTCCTTTTATTCTTCCAGTTCCATGGTTATATGCAAAGCTTGAAATATCCTGATCAGCGGTAAATTTGCTAAGTTGCTGCGTAAATTGCTCCATACATATTTGTTCCTCTACCGAACTGTCAGAACAGTGCTTCGCAAACTGCTGTAATTTCAATTTCATGTATTGGATGCGGGTTTTTTCAAGCTCTTGTAGTTCCAAGCTTAGGCGGGACCATTCGTGTAGCCAATGCTTTGACGAAGCTCTGTATTCCTGCTTCAGGACTTCCAACTTCATTTGTAATTCATCAACAATGCTTCTCCATTTATTTAAATGTTTGTCATTTTGGCTAGACTCACGCTTCCCAAGGGTATTGTTCTTATTCAGTTGGCAGTCACGGAGCTCTACGCTTGCCTTTTCCAATTTTTCTTGCACCACGTCGCAGAGTTGTCGTTTGGTGATTTTGTCATTTCTTAGATTCCGCACTTTGCTGCTTATAGTCTTGTAGCGCGCCTGTATATCCTGTACAAACTCCCTCATCTCCTCATAATTGTCCCTATGGATTCCAACGGACTGTTTTGAGTGTGACTGGCTCCATCGTTCCTGCGTTGTCTGTAACGCTTTCACGTTTTGAGCTAGTTTTCCATAGTCAGGACGATTAGAAATGTCATTTTGCAGTTTGTTACTGATTGCACTCAACCTTCTGGAGTAGTCTTTCTCCAGCTTGCTTCTTTCTTCAAAAAACCCTACGAGAGACTTACTAGCCTCAATTCCCTGTGCTACGTGGTCCAGAAGGATCCTTGTTCCATTGTCCTGCTCGTCCCAAAAACTTAGTTGATAATTATAGCTATGTGACATCCAGCACTTGTTGCAACCTGCCGTGAGGGCTTGTAAGCAAATGGAAGCTTGTAGGAATTGTACTACTCACCCAAGATGACTTTCAAGTTCCATCTCATTATTTACAAATTTCTGTTTTAGGTAAGTTAAGGAATTATGTTCTGTCACGTGACTCTTATTCCTATTTCGGTAAACAATTTCTGGTTGCCTTTTCGAGGATGCATATTCTTTGCTTCCAATACACGGCTCTAATAAAATATAAAGGGGCATTATCAAAGGGCACGCAGGGAGTTACCAAGTTTAAGAAACAACTGCATCCAAGACAATCAGCAGACATGTCACTGATATCTACAGCTGTGGATGTACCAGATGAAAATTCAGCTGCCTCCCCCTCCGTGAGAGCTTCTGTTTATCAAAAGAATGGCAAACCACTATCCAAGGAAGCACTCTTCAGGGCTAAACTTAAATACGGAGTCTATCAGTCTCCAGCCAGGCAGGTGGGCACAGGGGTTTCAGACTCTAAAGTTGCTTCTGATGTTGCTGCAACCCTTGCCAACTCCAATCGGACAACAATTGAGGCGTACAAAAGACTAATGGTTGACTCTAATGCATCTAGAGCCGCGACGATTGTATCTAGCAGACCCCGCACTTCGAGTGTTAGTTCAACTACCACAGTTACGTCTGATACAGGCTCCTTGCGCGCTGCTACCAAAGCTCTTTCAGTTATCCCCCCTGCGCCAGCTCCACAAGTATCGCCAGCGAAGTCCGGCGCCTTGAATATTTCGAAAGTTCTTGTTGGCGCAGAGGCCAATGCAGAAAAGCGCATAGAGAGTCGTATGAATCCAGAAAAGACTAACTACGTTTATGGTATCAAGACCGGCGATACGGGAAAAGCGGCCGAAAAGAGCTTTACCTTGACTTCGGAGATAATGGGCCGTATTACTAGTAAGGAAGAGTACATTGCTGAGGCTGAGGCCGAAGCTGACCCAAAGAAGTATGCCTCTCATGCTGCTTATGCAGTGCGTAACTTTGATCCCAAGGCCGAATCTGCAAAGGAGTTGGCTGAAAGAGAGAAAAAGAAGCAAGCGTATTACGGCATGTTAACCTCTGAGGAGGTTTTGTCTATGGCTAAAGTCAACGCACAAGTGCGCCTGGATGCTATTGACAGAATGAGAGCCGGAGATCTGTTGTTTAAAAACGAAGAGTACAATAAGCTAGCTGTTGCCATTGCTCAAAAGAATTCCACCCAGCGTTCGCAACATTTGGGTAAAATCAACCTTGGTGGTGGCCTGTGGCTAACTCAAGATGATGTTCAAAATATTGCCAAGGGTCTTATCACACCTGTTCTGGATGAAGTTGGCACGAGGGCTGGTAGTCAAAGAGCGTTGGATGCCGACATCAAACAGAGAAATGTTGACTACAAGGAACAAAATGCGGCTTGGATCAAACTTCAAGAAGAGAAACTCACCAATGACAAAATTTGGTCCAGAGAAACCAGATTAAGACATAAGCGTGAAACAGAAGGTTTGCATACCAGAACGGAAGCTAAATACAAAGATCTTTGTTCTACCAAGGATGCAGAGCTGGCCGCTATGCAGCAGACTTTGGCAGAAACACAGAAGTCCTACGAAAGTTTGAAGGTTGAAATGGATCAAAACTTGGAAGAGGAAGCAGCAAGGGTGAAGAATGAACTGGCTACCTTGAAAGAAGCTTTGAAAGTTGACATGGCGTCCACTCTTGCAGAACAGGAGGCAGAATTGAAACCATATTCCGATGACGTTAAAGCTGCCGAGGCTGAGCATGAAAGATTGGTAAAAGAGCGTGAATCAATTGATGCGGAAATTAAGGATTTACGTACTTCCATCGAGGAGCACAAAGCCAAGATTGAACAGTTGACTAAGGATATCGAAGATGCAGAAGTAAAACATGGTGACGAAGATAATAAACTTCAAGAATTGTCCGCCACTAAAGAAGAGTCTGAGGACAAGGTGGAAAATCATTTCCGTGTACTTGCAGAAAAGGCAAAGGAGCAGGCTGCATTGTCTTCTGAAGAAGCCCGCGTGAAGCAGCTTGAAGTTGATGCAATGATTAATGAGCGTCAAAACGAGTTCAATGCTACTGACTTGCAACTAAAGAAAGAAAAACTCGCTTTGTTGGAATCCATGAAGGATGTAGCGCAGATCAAGGGCGATGAGAAATTAGATGAGTCCAAACTAAAGGCTTTAATTGGCATGACGTCTGATGAGTTTATCGCGCAACAAAAGGAAGAAGAGGAAAAACTAGCCAAATCCAAACTTGCTTCGGCATCCACTAAATCCATAAAGGACCAATCCGGTGTAATTTCGTCTTCTGCTGCGAATGAGGACAATGATGAAGTTAATTCAATTTCGGAAGAACCTACTTCTGCCAACGCGGTTTCTTCAAAGGCTGCGAAGACGTCAACAACGCCGGATGGCCCGAAAAAGTATAGCATGGTTGACGCTGTTCTGCCAGACGATTTTAAGCCATTGAAACCGGTCACGAAGAATACCAAGGAAACTAAACAGACAACGGCGTCTCCCGAGAAGAAACCCACTCAAAAGAAGAAATTCTTCAGCTTTGGTCAAAAAAAGTCGAGCCCTTCGGAAGCTTCTCCCACCTCACCAACACCTGCTAAAGAGGTAGCTGCTGACAAAAAAGATAGTTCCAAAGGCAATGCTTCAAACAGTGAAGTGAGCAAACCCAAGGAGGCTGAGAAAAAAACAGTAGACAAGAAAGTAGTCGTCAAGGAACCCTCAGTTGAGCCAAAGGCAGATGATGGTTCTAAAGACTTGGACGACGCAAAGCCTGCTAAGCCTGAAGTTACCTCGACTGAATCTCCTTCGGCGAAGGAGGATGCTGCGACTTCCAGTTCTGCAGCAAACAAAACAGTTACTAAGCAAGAGACTGAAAATGAGCTTGAGCACACTTTCAGCGGCTTTTCTCAGGAACCTGCTCCAGAAAAGACGAAAGCTACGCCAGTGGAGCCATCTGAAGAAGACGATGACCTTATTGAATCTAGTGAAGCTGGTGAAGGTGAGCTAGACAGTGACAAGAAGGTGGGTAGTCTCTTCAAAGAAGTATTTTAAGTTCTAATTATTTTCGAAATTTGTAATTCTATTCTTATTTTAAAAACTCCATAAGTTTTATTTGAATCTAGTATTTGCTTAACGTGGAAATATCTCGTCCCTGCTTGAGAGCTCTGTGTGGGATGTACGATCGCCATTTGTTATTTTTTTTCTTTTGATCTTATTAAACGGTAAGAAGTCATCGCGATCGCTTCTGTTATCAGCCGTTTATAGATTATGAAAAAACGTGCATGTATTCTTCACTACTATAATAAAGAGGGGCCCAGAGAAGAATTTAATTAGCATGAATTGACTTCTACGCCTTTCTTATACAGTTCACTGCCATGAAGCATTTCACCAGTATATGTTCGTTACACTAATCACCACTGAAAAGCATTAGGTGCCATTGAAAATGCATGTTGAAACGTGACACCGTTTAATATGAAAGCTTATGGTTAGCAGTGAACTCGAGTTTGAGTTATGAAGCTATTTCTCCGTTCATGAAGCAATCGAGTTCTAAGCATTGCCAACCCTGGCATGAGAATTACAACAACTATTAGATGATCATTCATTAAAATGGTGAATTGGCTTATAGTACAAAAAAATGCTAAGGTGCATATTATGCTATGTACCGATTTAACTCTCGCGTTCGGATGTGATAGTCCATTTAAACGTGCTCTGGTCTAACCGGTGGGACGAGTTTGTCGTATTTGTAATAACCATCGAATGAAGTCACCTGGTGGAAGAACTTCGAGTTTCTATAGCGCCCACCCAAATAAAAGTCTACCGAGATGATCATGAAAATGATACCGAACCAAAAAGCCAAAAGCCACTCAAAACATGCACTCTTGGAGTTGTCATCGATGGCTCCAAAGCAGATAGCCCAGACCACCGAAGTTGTCAACCACAACACCTTGGCAATGGCACTGTTTGTGTATTTGTTGAACTTGTATCCCACCCAATGCTTCCATGATGTTGTTTCTAGCTTAGCTTCTGGGTCTGCGAGCGGATGTACTTGAGCATAATGCCTACCCATCATGAAATATTCTGCGATGTTGCAACACACGGAAAGGAAAATGAATGCACAAAAAAGACCGACCATGGTTCTGTGAACCCTGGGATATGTATTAGTTGAGAAAATCGAGCACATCAACAGGCAAATCTCACCGCACAGCCCTAGCACGAAGCTCGCAAATATACAGTTACGCTCGTGTTTCGTGTAGTAGGGAGGCATCAGAAATTTGGCAGAGCGCAGAATTTCGCTGTAACTGGTCTTCATCGAATCTACGGAGGGTGATGCGGAATTCTGATCGCCCGTAGGGGTGTGAGCGATTGCACCTCTCATAAACGGCCAGCGTCCGCTCCTCTGAAAGTACTCGCACGCAATGGTGATGACATATCCGAGGCCCTGCCATCCGACACATGCAATGAACAGAGGCCGCAAGTTCGTCGCACCAATGTCGGAGATGTACACTGGAAACTGGTCGACGTGCATGAACCAATAGATCGGATGCCCTTGCGCAGCCCAGCATGCGAGCATAGCAATAAGCATACCATACCATGGAATGAACGCTATCCACGGCACGATGAAGAAGTAATTGCCTGGTTTAAGGTTTGACATCACCTAGCTACTATAATTTGTTGTGGTATCTGTCGAACGTTATTAATCAACCCAGTTGTGGTGGTCAGTTTACACTGTCAACTCTTATATCTATGAAAGGAAGCTCGCCTTCAGAATACGTTCGTAGCAATGCAAGTTGTTGCTCTTATGAGTTACGAAGCTATCTTAGTAAGCCTTCACTCAGCCCTCCATATTTTTCACTTTTGCTTAGACGTAATGGCCCCGGCTAGAGAAAAAGGCGCAGAGCGCAGAATTCGGAAGACGGAACATCGGAAGCATAGAAGCGAACGGCTGCAAATAAAATGGCGTAATAGCCGCCCTTTCCTCATCGAGGCTTGTACACTACGAGGCTTATATATGTGGTGAATGCTACTTAGGATATTAGTCAAGACATTGATCAAAAATCAGTGATACATGGCGAATTGTAAATCATATTGCGGGAAAAAAATGCACTCAAGTTTTTCCGGACACAATTTGATAGTGAAGAGCTAGTTCGTAGAAAGTAAAAGGAATGTCGTTAAAGAACGAGGGAAATGGTGTGCGGCGCCGCGGAACTCTTATGTTGCAACGCATCGGCCCGCTGTAGTTGAGCATCTGCTCACACCTTGTCATATGTGCGGCGAAGTGTCATCCTCGTGAAATCGGGCGATAAGCGGAATGGTTTGGCACGGGCTTGGCATGGTCCGCGGAACCGCATGCAACACGTAGAGGGTTCTCTGAATTGGAAACGCCTGACCGCCGTGCCTTCCATCGGTGGCAGAGCGTTAGAGCTTAGATCATATTTCTTGCATGTCTTCCACGGAAAATTAGATTCTGCAGGCGAGGTACACAATATGTCGCCCCAGATGCCTGAGCCCGCCATGGGCCTTACAATAGATAGTAGTATTATGCTTAAAAACGCAGCACCGGAGGGAATCTGGAAGCTTCATGCCAGATCTCGTCTCCACCGTCCTAGTTATGGTGCAAGTATGTCTTAATTGGGTGACAGAACACCTGACACAACGGGGTCAAGATAGTAGAGAAACCGTCGCAAGCTTTGTAGCAGCCCCTCGGCATGTAGCCCATTTTACTGAAAAATAACAACGAGATATTAAAAGATCTACGAAAGCTAAAAGGTTTACGATGTGTTGATGGCCATTCTATCGGATCCGCGTTACAGATTACTAGCGACTACCACGTATTTAATGATGGCATCTAGCGTCCTCTCATCAGTCACGAAATCGAAGTTTAGCGTGTTACGCGGTGCTAAGGCAAACAATAAACACACGCAATGGCAGAAGAGTCGCTGGAACGCCTGGATCAAGAGATCACTTTGCATCTTCAGCAAATTGATTCGAATCTAAGCTATTGTTTTTCCAAAATTACCCAGGATATCATACCACATGTGACCAAATATGGGGCTGTGTGCGACGAAGTGATGGACAGCTGCAATTGGCTCAAAGTCATGTTCCAGCAGGCTGGAAACTTGCAGATAGACTCTGTGGCACGGCCTGGGTCGCCTGAAGACCAGCAAGCTTTGGAATCGCACGTCTCAGAGGGCTCCTTGCAGACACTGTTCCCAGGTAAGCCTCGCGTCAGCGCTGACTCTTCTAGCGTGATGGCGCCTCCTGTGCTGCAGAAACCGACCCTGAGTGCGGACACTGGGGATATTACCACTACCACAGGACAAGTTCTGCAGCTGCCAGACTCCAGCGACGAAGAACGCGCTGATGACGAGCACACAAACGACACGGTCAAGAGCAGTATCGGGGACGATGCAGACGGCAGCACAATGCAGCGGCAACGTCGCAAGCGCAAGATGTCGTTACTTCTCCAACAGCAGTTCGGTTCAAGCTCCAGCAGTGCGGTACCCTCGCCTGCGCAATTGACGGCACCACCTCCAGACTCAAACCTCGACAGCTCTCCTCTTCGCAAGACCGACGTGGGTCAAAGTGAGAGTACGAAGAAATTGGCAGCCCCGCCTGGCACAGTGATTCACTTCTCAACGCGCCAGATGACTCAGGACAGCCTCGACGAGTGAGCTCGAACTGCAATGGTGTGATCACGTGACCTAGACCTAAAATCGCACCATGTGACTTGCACGTGTTCCGAACCTGGTCTCCTGTTTCTCGTTTTTCTGGAACGAAACTTGTCGTCTGCTTCAAACTAAATGGGAAGTCTCAGCAATGGGTAACGTGATGTCTGCAAGCTTTGCGCCCGAGTGCACAGATCTAAAGCACGAATACGACAACTGTTTTAATCAATGGTATAGTGAGAAGTTCCTGAAGGGTCTTTCGGTTGAGAATGAATGTTCTAAGCAGTGGTACGCTTATACGACATGCGTTGACGCAGCGCTTGTGAAGCAAGGAATCAAGCCCGCTCTTGATGAAGCCCGCAAGGAGGCGCCTTTTGAGAAAGACGGTGAGCTAAAGGATAGCGACTGAAGAACTGGTGATTCATTGTACATAGAGCCACTGATTAACGACACTTGTGTATAGATACGAGGTGAATAGGATAATGCTAGTGAAAGCGAACTGGAAACTGCGGGTAACGTTTGCGTATGTAGCGATATTACGTTCAATGTGATGTTGTTTATGACGAAACTCTTTTTCGAGATTTTCACCAATCTTACCCAAGAAAATTTTGCCACCCAAGGTCACATACGCAACATATTCTACCTATCAGGGCTCTAGATTGAACCATTTGCATCACAAAACACCATCACACATAGAGAGTTCGAGGTTGAGATGTCGACACAATTTAGAAAATCCAACAGCAAGCAGTCTCTCAAAAAACTGGATCCAGAGCTTAAATTTAAGCTGGAAACATTAACAGAACTTTTCCCAGACTGGACAAATGATGATTTGATCGATCTAGTCCAGGAATACGATGATCTGGAAACTATAATTGACAAAATTACGTCTGGTGCAGTGACCAAATGGGACGAGGTGAAGAAGCCCTCGAAAAAGGAGAGACAGAGAGAGCAGCAGGCACAGAATTCACAACTGGATAGCGAGCAGCAACAAGAGCATCACACGCATACGCATAGCAATAGCAGTGTAATAAATTCGCATGGCACTAGCCACCACAATAAGTCATCCAGGTATAGCAGCAATCCACGATTCGGCAAGAAGCAGTCGACACGGAAGGAAAGAGCATCCGTGAAACACACCGGCAACGCCGCCAATACCGAAAACTTGAAGCCAGCTACGTCGGCGGCCAAGGCTGCTGTCGCTTCCACATCCTGGGCCGCTATGGCTGCAGACAAAAAGGTAACTAAGGATGCCAAGGACGAGGAAGTACAAGAGTTTAAAGAGGATCAAAAGGATATCCCACCGGCGCAAGAGGAACAACCAGAGAAGTCTACAGCATCAGAACCAGAAGTGGAGCAACAAAATGAAAACAAGGCAGCTGCAGTGGCTGCTGCGCAGACCGCAGTTCAAACTGATAAGCCGAAGAAGATGACTTGGGCTGCTATCGCAACCCCTAAGCCAAAGCCGGAGGCATTGAAGAAAAATGATGCTTTGGAAGAACTGGAAGATTTGAAGAGAGAAATAAAGCAAGTTGCTAATGAAGACGACGATGCTGTTGAAAATGAGACTTATGATCAAGAAAAAGATGTTCCCCAGGTGATTGAGCAGATCGAGGTAGTGGAAGTTGTTGAGGAATATCCGGAAAAGGAATCTGAGGAGGCTACTGCTCCTGTAGATGAAACTGTTGAAGAGGCCTCTCTAGAAGTGGAAGAGGCGCAGCCTATCTCTGCTCCTGAACAGGTCACGCTTACATCCGAAGCTGAAATTGTGGCTTCTCAACCTAGTTACGACGCGGAAGAGAAGCAAGCTCAAGCTGCAGCTCAGCAGCAGCAATCATTTTATCAACAACAGCAGCAACAAGAACAACAACCTCAACAATCTCAACAAACACAAGCACAAACACAATCCCAACCACAAGCACAAGCACAAGCACAGCAACAATTCGCTACTCCTCAGCAAGCTCCACAAACCCCTCGTCAACTTCAACAACAACCTTTACAACAACAGAATGCTGCTGCCGCCGCCGCTGCTGCCCAACAGCAGTACTACATGTACCAAAACCAGTTCCCAGGTTACTCTTACCCAGGTATGTTCGATAGCCAAATGTACCCAGGAGCTTATAACCAACAGCAATATGTTCCACAATCTCAAAATGGTACTCCTGCTCAAACAGCTGCCGCTCAACAAACTCAATCTGGCCAATACTCTGTACCACCAGGATATACTAGCTCTGCTAGAGACATGGCAACTGCTTCTCCAGCTACTTCTCAAGCTCAACTACAGCAGCAACAGCAACCATACGGTGGATCATTTATGCCATATTACCTACATTATCAACAATCATTCCCATACGGCCAACCACAGTATGGTATGGCGGGTCAATACCCATACCAGGTAACTAAGGTTAACTATATGAACCAATATCAACCTCAACAACAGGGTCAAACCCAGTCTTCTCAATCTCAACAGGGCGAAGAAGCTTCTCAGAGTCAGCAACAACCAACTGCTAACCCACAACAATCACAATCTCAAGGATCGAGCCAGCAAAATCAGGGTCAAATGAACGCGCAACAACAAGCTCAATTCCAACAATATTACCAATTCCAACAACAACAGCAGCAACAGCAAGCTGCTGCCGCTGCTGCAGCTCAGCAAGGAATGCCATATGGCTACTCGGGTTATGATTACAATTCTCAAACATCCAGAGGTTTCTACTGAATTTCAAGGATAATGCGTCACTAATATATATATACTCATGCATTATCAATTTCAACTTGAAGTTATGGGCTTCTTGATTTCCTAGCGTTTTCGCAAACAGGTAAGGTGTTAGCGCATTGAAAGGATTTAGGCTTTTTGTGATTTGGATGTGTAAGAACTCTCTTGTGTAAATAAGCAAAAATTAATGTTTTCTCGTCAACTAACTTGCGCACAATATATGTGCCATGCTCACAATGTGGACGTACCTCAAGATTAGAGACTTCAGTGAGAAAATCAGTATCTCTTTTAGAACAGATTCTCCATTTTAAATACTTTAGCATTCTTTTTGCAGTTATGCGATTCGTCGCTAGAATCTCTAGACAGTTTCGTCGGCACTTATGAACAGAATGGCGCGGTTTCCTGTCGCAATCATCACTGGAGCGACACGAGGCATCGGTAGAGCGATCGTGCAGGAGTTGTCATCTCATGGTGTATGTTGTGTCATGATCGGTTCTTCTATGGAAAGCTTACAATCCCTAGAAATGGCTCCACCTCATTTCAAGCATTCTCAACAGTGGCACCGTGCCATTTCTATAGATCTAGCTACGTGGCCACGGTGGACAGAGATGAGTGGATTTCCAGGTTTTGAAATTACGCATGTAGATGGCAAGGTTCATCAAGAGCCCACGCTTTTATCATTTCACGATTACAGCTTTTGGCGGGACAAACACAATGCACAATACGATCTAAAGTTGCTTGTAAATTGTGCTGGCGTGACTCAAACAACTGCTTCGATTCGCACCTCGACTGAAAAGATGCAACAGCTGCTCAATGTCAATTTTATGAGCGCAGTCAGCATGTGCAATATGTTCTCAAGACGTGTAATCCGAACGAAAAAGGACTTGGAAGGCCCCGCCCCATGCATTGTCAACATATCTTCCATTCTTGGCCAGCACCAAGGTCCAATTGTTGCTGGTACTTCTATATACAGTGCTTCTAAAGCTGCTATACTCAGCTATAGCAAAGTGCTGGGCGTTGAGCTGGCACCTCTTGGAATTCGCGTGGAATGCATATGCCCAGGGCTTGTTCCTGGAACCGACATGATAAAGCAACTCGATCCAGATACTCAAAAGAAATTGCAAACCAATTTCGAACTCCGACAACCAATTACGTCCTCGAATATCGCATCGCGAGTTTGGCGAATATTTAATAACGATAACCAGAATAGTATTTGAATATAATCCACGTGACAATCAAGCAGCTCATTTACCGATATTGAAATAGTTTCTTTTTTCCGTGCGATTCCTGAAAAATTTTCAGTCTTATAAAAAGCCGAAGCCCATCTCTCACAATTTGACTTTTCAAGGCATTGGAAGTTTCAATACTGGTCAGCTGCTCTCAAAATGATTATCTACAAGGACATTATCTCTGGTGACGAATTGTTGTCTGATGCCTACGATCTAAAGTTGGTCGATGACGTTATCTACGAAGCCAACTGTGACATGGTCAAGGTTGGTGGTGACAATGTCGACATTGGTGCTAACCCTTCTGCTGAAGGTGCAGATGACGATGTCGAAGATGGTTCTGAGGTCGTTAACAACGTTGTTCACTCTTTCCGTCTACAACAAACCGCTTTTGACAAGAAATCTTTCTTGACCTACATCAAGGGTTACATGAAGGAAATCAAGAGCAAGTTGCAAGAAACTGCTCCAGAAGAAATTCCAAAGTTCGAAAAGGGTGCTCAAACCTACGTCAAGAAGGTCGTTGGTTCTTTCAAGGACTGGGAATTTTTCACTGGTGAATCCATGGACCCAGATGGAATGTTGGTTCTTTTGAACTACCGTGAGGACGGTACCACTCCATTTGTCGCTATCTGGAAGCATGGTGTCTCTGAAGAGAAGATCTAATTAATAGGTATACCTGCGGTATTGTATAGTGTGTATTTAGATTCTTTTCGTATTGCTCTAAGCTCACCGTGTCCTGCTAGCGTCACGTGCGCGTGCGAAGCGATGTAATTCCATAATAATGACTAGGATTTTTGAATGAAGGGCAACCGTTGAAACAATCGAGCTTCCAACTGCGAGCAGAACAAACAATTTGGTATGAGCCATTCACTGCCCTCTGCCATGTATACTCTTCCAGGGGTGATGCATTATTTGCAAACGGAGTTCACGAAGAATGAAAGGGACAGGATAGCATGGGAGTTGGAACGGTGCGAAATGAAATCTCGCATTGCCCTACTGGAGGGCGAGAACCGAACTCTTCGGTATGAATTATCCACTCTGAAGATGAAGCATCCGACAGAATTAAATAATCTGGACACATCAATTCAAGAGCCGCTTCTTCTGAAGTCAAAGCTAGCCGTTCAGGAAAACGTTAAGGAGATCGTTTACCTTCTAAAGAGCCCCAATGTAACTGATCAGCTAAATACACTGACAGACAAAACTGATGAAATGCATATGCTTGAGAGCTTGAACCTTGGTCGTGGCGTTAACTCGGGTAGTGGCGCCATTCAAACAAGTAATCGCGAGGGTGGTGTGAATTATCTTGATCAAAGTTTCAACGGTGCTGATACTCTTGCCGAGAGCACCGAAAGGCCTCCAGAACAATCACACAATAATCCCAGGGATAGGACTAATGTTGAAGATTCCGATACTGACACGATCATTCCTGAGGAAATGCCACATAACCGTTCAAAGTCAGAAGGGCGTCCCAGGGCTTCATCTCTTTTCGCAAGCAAGAATGGAGATGCACCACCAAAATTATTCTTGCGTTGCAAACGTTTAAGATATCATTTGGCCAGTGTGGATAAATTGGTAGTGTCCAATTTCAACATGCTAACTTATGGTAGGGATGGTCTTATGAAGCATTGGATGATCGAACCGAATTTGAATTGTAACGATAAGCTCACCAAAAGCTTCCATGGGTGTGCTCCAGAATTATTGGGCCTTTATTGGCTTGACTCTCAAAAGTTTTTGACGGTGGATAACTATGGGCTCAAGGTCTGGTCCATAAATGAAAATGATCCACTTTTGAAATTGGACGTTTTCCAAGCATCAACTGAACTGAAGTTTGACGATATTCTCAACATTGACTTCAAAAATAAGTGGTTAGTATTAACTAAGATTGACAAAGTTCACATATGGGAAGTGCTCAGAACTAAAAATAACCTCAAAATAGGCTCGAAATATACTGTTCAAGCCACGTCGAAAATTGCAGATTCCATCTTGGGAATGACAGAGAAGTCCTTAATAGTATTTTATGAAGATTTTTGTGAGCTGGTCATTTATAACTTTCAAGGTGAAGTCTTACAAAAGGTAAGTTTGAAAGACACCATAGAAAAAGGAAGGAAGGCACAGACTTTCAATGATGTTCACGTTGGCAAGCTATATCTCAATAAACAGAGCTCAAAGCTTTTAATCCAGCTAGACAACCTCATTTCTATTTACTCCTTTGATAGAAAAAAAATCATATTAGCAGAGGCTCTTCACAATGTTCCTACTTCGGTTGTTTTCCGGTCACCAAGAGACTATGTGGTCTTTGCCTACGATGACGGCTTGGTAGAGGTGAGAAAGATCGAGATATTCCACAAGATTTTGAAGAAATACAACCACTATGATGAGGAGGATGAATACGAAACAGAAGATAGTTTGAAACATTTACAACCCTTGGATGATTCTGAGGAGGATATAATTGATGACCTCAGACAAAATTCTCATAAAGGTGTTATCATTGACGTAACCGAAATCGATTCTGCTCCTGTCATTGTCTCTGGCGGCGAAGATGGTATAATAAGATTAGAGAGAGTGGTTGAGGTCGATAAGTAAAACTACTAGTTCATAAAAAACAAAAACTGCTATATATAAATTCCTTTATGAATTTTAAAAGGTCTACAACATTAACAATTTGCGCGTCTAAGTAAAAAGGTATTGAGCGGATAGTATTCTGATTTTATACTTTTGTGAAGTATTGCAAGTTCGAAAAAATTAACATTTTATATCAGAAAATAAAACTTAAGATGATGAACTAAAAATAAGTTTAAGAGAGACCACATAAAAAGCAGTAAGGATTTCATACACGCGCTTGAGTCGTGAGTCATTTTCCGTTGAGTTTTCATCTTGTGAAATTGTCTGAATCAGATATTTATTTGTTACCGTTTACACTATTTTCATAGTTTAAGGTTCTTTTGCAATTTAGCATTAAAAGTGAAAAATAGCTATTAATACTACCGCAGGACGTAATTTTAAGACCTTTTAAATTAGACATGACTTCTTGTGTTTTGCAGCAAAATGCGAGAAATAAGTCTTTGACAATCAGCTTCTTTGCATAGTGCTAAAAGAATGCAAGTACATTTTTAATAGCAAGTACATTTTAATAAGTGAAAGACCTTCTTCGAGCTATTAAAATTTACAGTACTGGAGAACCGTGAAATAAATCAAGTATACAAGAAGCTTGGGTGCCCAGAAATCAATTTGTTGGTGGGTTTTTTCGATAACGTCGCAATTTGAGAAGTACCATCATAAATAAGTGGTACGTTTTTTTCTACAAAACAAATAAAATAAACAATAAAAGAGTCCTCCAACAAAATCTTGACTGTAGTGTCCATAATTACTTTCATAATTAAAGTTGAAGCCTCTTGGAGACATAATAATACGACCATCGTTGTGGCAGTAGGAAATGTTATGTGCGGTCTTTGCCAAATGGATATCCGGGTAATTAAATAAAATTTTCGTTTTGATGACATGAAAACAGAGCTCCAAAAATATCGAAACTCGATCGACAGTAGCGCATACTTCCCAAATCGCCTCTTACAATGTCAACCACATCGTTTCTATCGAAGATCGATGTTAATATACAGGAGTTAAATCCAACGGGCAGAATTGAGAATACAGTTAACCTTCATCTTGATCAAGAAACAGTTCATAAAGATTTCAATTATGGCATTGGCAATTATTCAAAGTGCATAAGAGTCCTTAATGGAGAGTACATCTGCTATCAGTTCTCACACAATTACTCAGTTTTATCTCTCTATACACTGAAAGATGCTATTAATGGGAAAACCATAGTTATCCATTTGCCTACGAGCTCATTGAACGAACATCACACCTTTACTATTAGGGAAGTATCAGAAAATCTTACCATGGATTTAATCTTGGATAACGGTATATTTTTGAACATGTCTTTTCCTCTCGAATACATCTTTTCAAAAACAAAGACGTTGCTGGGAAACTGGTTCACTGTTTTGAACCCGTATGATTTCACGGTTAGAAGACCTCACTTCATGTGCCCCGTCTCTGAAACGTTTTCAGTTGTATTTTTGAATGATGGTGGCTTATTAGGCTTAACCAGAAAATACTACGAAAACGGCGAACTTGAAATTAATCCCACATTATTCAATGACAACAGCTACCTTCAAAGCTTCACCAAAATATTTTCTTCGAGACGACAAGACACCAAGTATAATAACGTTGTTAGTTGTGTTATTTTTGCTGAACGATTCCTCATCACATTAACCCAAAATTGCAAACTTAAGGTGTGGGATTTGAACTCACACAATATTACACTCGAGATGAGCTTAGCGATGGAGGACGAACATCAAAAGAGAATATATGAAACCCTAGGCGAGTATCTCTCCTTATATGATAATAGTCTAGCAATTTTCCTCCCTTTTGACAATGGTGTATTTCAGATATGGAGATTACAAGTGGACAACAGTGGAAAACTTGTCTTGAATCCAAGCCAAAGTATTTCTGCGACGCTTTCATCATCCTCAATATGGTCACTGGTTGATATGAAGTTCACAAAGCCACTAGACATCAATGCTCCATCTAGCTACGCAAATCTCATAGTCCTATGGAAGAGCAATACGATAGTAAAACTCCAAGTTTTGAATTTTCAAACAGAGAATCTCGAAAGTTACCGCTGGATCGAAGCATGTAATAGATCATTAGTGGATTTGCGTTCAGACCATGATCTACTCACTAATGGAAACACTAAAGAAGCACTCTTGAATCTAAAAACGCACTACACACCATTCGTTTTCAGAGAAGCTCAAAAAATTTTGAGTGCCAATGGAATATTGATGGTGAAGGATTCACCATACAACCAAGATTTTTTAACCAATTTAGAGTCCGTTCTTAAAGACTTGAAGAAGCACAATGATGAGCCATGTTCGCTTACCCTTTATCAAGATGATATGGTCATGATCAATTCAATGAGACTTTACACACATTCTCTTTACAAGATTAATTCGACATTGGAAAATATATTTTACACACTGAATGAGGAATTAGACTCGGAAGATCAATTAGCCACTTACTTGCGCACAATCAACGGGTTTGCTTCCACTCTTTCCACTCAAGTCATTGCTGATGTTTCAGATGCATTTATCAACATGTCCAATTCCAGTTATCCGAGCAATATGAGTTTAAAAGATAAGTTTACAAACATATTTTCTAGCATCTTAGAAGGTCAGTTCCAAATGAGCAACCTCAGAACTTTATTTGAAAGCCTTAGCTCCCTGAATGTGGTTGATATTTTGAATAACTTGATCGATAATCATTTAAAAAAATGTGGTACGGATCAAAATTTAGTTGATTCAATCATGTTTGACAACTTTACGACGGTGGCAATGCTGGAAAGTGTCAATCAGTCAATTCTCATACAAAATCAAATCGTTCTCCAAGTTTTACTCACTTTTGCGTTTATGGATTTCGATGATTCTGTATTCACACAGCATATCAATACTTTACTTCTATTAAATTACAAGCAATGCCTTTGGATTCGGTTATACCAATTAAACAAACCTCTTTTGATTACCGAAATATTCACGCGAACAAGTAAGTTTGGTTTTGGCGCTAAATTCTTTTCTTATGCGGACTGGTTGCTGTATGTGAATACTATAGTAAAGGAGATTTATGACATGCCTATATCTCCTAATCCACTCTTTCTTGAAAGTTTTGATAGATATGTTGTCAACAATAGCGATGACAAAGAGAGTTCAGAGTTGTTCCTAGAGCTTATCCAGCTGCGTTTTTATATTCGGTCGAGTCCTGCTCATGAGTTTATGATGGGATTAACATTTTTCATGTGTGGTAATTTTGAAAAAGCATACGAGTTCTTACAGAAGCATAATTATCCCGAAATTCTACCCAAGGAACTACCCGACCGGCTGTACTTACCTTTACAGAAAGATGGCCATCTATGGAGAGAAGTTATCGAATCGTTCAAACTTCCGAATAAGCAAGCTGCTTATTTTTATCGTCTTTCAAAACTTTTTTCCCTAGCTAAAAGCTATTCATATGCCTTAGGATGTATCAAAAAATCGATCAAGCTATCGGCTCAACTTATAGATATCAAAGAATCATCGGACTTCCAAGTAGCACAATTAACTCAGTATTTGGACACTCTTATCATTTTCAAGGAATTTGAGGAAGTGCTAGATGTTTTGAGATTCAGCTCAGTTACCTTGCCGGATAATATTAGAGCTGAATACTACACAAAATTACTCACAGGTCAGTATAGAGATTCCTTTGTTGCAACTTTACTGACTTTGTGCAGTACCCGTAACGAACTATACTTGCCAATCGAAGATTTCATCATGGTTGACCAAATATTAGAAAAACAAAAGAATGTCAACGATTGGGAAACCTACAAAAGAATATTCAGCTTCAGATTTGTGAACCAACATGAAAGAACAGCTGCCGAGATTTTATATGATTGCATTATGCATGGAGCGAGTAGCGAATTGAAGAACAAGTGCTACTTGATGATCGTCAATATTTTGCAAAGCTTTACTGATGAAAATGACCAATGGATATTGGCAAACGGAATATTGAAAACTCTTTCTGATCTGAAACTAGAATCTCAACACATTTGTAATTAATTTAATGTATACATAAAAAATCTAGCCCCTATTAATGGTATTGCCCTGTCCCTTTGGATTTGCCTCTTTAAATTCATCCCATTCGCGAGCCTTGTACGTTTCTCGATCCTGCCATTCTTCTTTGTCCTCATCCTGATCTTCTTCCGGTTCTTCTCCTCCTTGTAGGACGCGTCCCGATTCGAACTCTTTTTCCAAAAATTCTTCAACAGTCATTGTCGGACCGTATTGGCCATATCCAAACACTTTTTTCTGCAATTGGGATTTGCTATCAGTTAAAGTGAAGTTCCTCAAGATTTTTCCATTTTTGGATAAAAGAGGTTTATTTAATGTTTCTAATTTGTCAGTAAAGTCTGTAGAGCTTGACTTTTCAGGGGACACAGAAGGATTTTCATCGTGTTCAGGAGGTGGAGAAGATGTGAAATTAGTGAGTAATTCTATTTCATAAAGAATTTGTTCAATTTCTCCAAAGGCTTTGTATGACAGCTGCCTCAATTTGCACAACTTCAATTGTCTCAGAGTTTCATCATCGCTATCTTTATCCTTTTCTAACCGATCTAATGCTTCGTCTACCTTCTTGGATAGCTGATATAGTTCAATTTTTTGTTGTCTTTTCAACTGGGCACCAGATAAGTCTTTAGAACTATTAGGTTGCGAGTATAAGTCGTCTAACCTTGGACTATAAGTTGATTCAAATCCATCTAACTTCTTGGATAAGAATGTATCTAGAATTTCATAGTCTTGAAGGGATACAAGAAATTGAACCAGTAATTGAACAGACTTTTGCAAAAATTTTAATCTCAACACACTCCTATCTCTCGGGGATTTCACTTGAATCGCCTGCTTTCTGGCAACGAGAAGACCAAGGTAATAGTCGATACCCAGGAGATCCATTGAAGACGTGGTCAAATCTTCCAGGGATTCATTTTTACTGAATAAAGCGAGAGATGAGTAGACGGTCGTTTTTAACTGTAAAAATCCCTCGATCACGGTGGTCAGGAGTTCTTGGAATTCATTTGAATCTTGTCTCAAAGTCGAAGTTTCTACTTGACTGGTAAACTGATCAACTAGACTCTTGTATTTTTCTCTTACAGACGACATTCCTTGGAAGATGTAAGCTACTGTTAGAATTTTTTCGAATTCCCATTTAAACACAATATTGAATGTAGTTTATTCCTGACACAATTAAAGTATCCGTTTACTGCTATATGCATCCGTTCTTAATATATAAATATTACATATATATATATATACTATTGTTATTCCCCGCTCTTTTTGGAGTTACAAGCCACGATACGTAGTTTGTCGACAACCACAGTGTTCCCTTGAATATCCTCAGTTTGGTCCAGTTTAACATTGCAATCCTCAATAATGAAAGTCCAAACGTCATCACAGAACCTGTAAGTATGCAGATGACCCTTAAATGTGAGTTTACTTTGAGTCTTGTCTCTTAAAGCGTCCGCTACCACACGGTCAAACGTATCGAGGACACGCATGGCCAAAGAGGCTTCAATCCGACCATCACTGATAAGTGTATCCAAAGCATCCACCAGCGTTGCACCAACAGTGCTTCTGCGGTACAGTTCGTAGTAACCAGAGGAACTCATTTATTCAGTGTGGTCTTTGTCAGAGTGAAAAAGTTGTTTTAAAAAAGGCTGAACAAAGCAGTTTACTAAAGATCAATCGATACGCAAAGACAGCAAACATGTCAAGCACAATATTCTTCAAGTTTCGGTCTCAGAAGGATACTTCAAGGATTTTGTTCGATGGGACGGGTATAACTGTTTTTGACTTGAAGAGGGATATCATTCAAGAGACTAAACTTGGAGATGGGACTGATTTCCAACTGAGATTGTACAATCCAGATACGGGCGAAGAATATGAGGACGATTCATATGTAATTCCACGTTCCTCTAGCGTGGAGGTGCGCAGGTCACCAGCCATAAAAGTTAATGGATTAAATGGTAGGGTATCGCTGGGCAATGCCTCTAGATACGTGACAGGTAAGCCACGGGTGAACAAGATGAGCCATACGCAGGTGGCAAATACCAATGTCAACACCAGTGGTATGACAGAGGAGGATGCCATTGCTAGTATGTTTGCAAATCAAGAAAGTCAATGGCAGCAAACGCAGCAAGAGATGTCATCTGCCACTCCAGTATTTCATAAAGGAGGGCCTGCGTCTCATGATGAGGGGCCTCCACCACCAGGGTATATGTGTTATAGATGTGGTGGGAAAGATCATTGGATTAAGAACTGCCCCACCAACTCCGATCCAAACTTCGAAGGGAAGCGTATAAGACGTACTACCGGTATTCCAAAGAAGTTTTTGAAATCGGTAGAGATAGACCCTTCTACTATGACCCCTGAAGAGATGGCACAACGGAAAATTATGGTTACAGACGAGGGTAATTTCGTGGTGCAAGTTGCCGATCAACACTCTTGGGACGATTATCAACGTAAACAACAAGCGCGTGTGATGAACCAAGGGGACATTGTTTGGTCCAAGGGCCATTTTGCAGATCTGCCAGAAGACCTCAAATGCCCCATAACGGGCGGATTACTGCGACAACCGGTAAAGACCAGTAAATGCTGTCAAAAATCGTTCTCCAAGCAGGCGTTAGAGGACGTACTTGTAGAGAGGGATTTTGTGTGTCCTGAATGTGGGGCAGAAGACGTGTTGCTAGACTCTCTGGTACCCGATGACGAGAAACAAGCACAAGTGGAGAAATTCTTGGAAGAACATGGCGTTAAAAGAGACGGCGCCTTTGAAGATGATGAAAAAATTTCTAAAAAACCCAAATTACCTATGCCCGTACCGCCCTTTGGAATGCCTTTCCCCATGTTCCCCATGCCGTTCTTACCCAACATGCCTCCTCCACCTCCAAAGCATACTTGACTTGATGTATATATACGGTATGTAGTGATGTATAGTTTTCACTGCTGCCCATCGCAGTAGCATATAACGGCATATTTACCACTGGACGCCCACCAAGATGGGGGTTCGTCTTTTCTTTCCCTTTTCCACAATTCGCATAATTGTCCATCTACACCGGGAGCCAAGCCCACAACCACGTCTGCTTTGCAAGTTCTCAAACTGAGGGTGTTTATACCGTTGGACGCAAGCGGCCCAATGGCAGTGGCCCATCTGGTGGTGCGAGGCCACTTGCGGTCACCTGTGAGCTTTCTGTAATTCAAGTCACCTTTGAAGATCACCAAGTCACTGTTGCGAAAGTCGGCGTGAATTTCAGCACCGTGATATTTGGTCTCGGAGGGATCCAGGTGCCAGTAATCCAGGTCGGTGGTCCAAAACGAGTCCTGTACAAATTCAATGGCCCCGCTAGCCACTCGGGATTCGATCGCTGCAACCAAGAAGTCAAGAGCACCACGCCCTTGTGGGAGGTTTTGCAAATCGAAAAAACTCGGGGATTTCATATCTTCCAGCATCAAATGGAAATCTTTGATTAAACAGTCACTTACCATGTATGGGATGTCTTTGGCATGGAAAATGCATTTTTTCGTGACGCCCGTGTCCAGCAGGAACAGCGCCAGCATCAAGTCCGCATACACCTCGAAACCCGAATTGTCAAGCACAAAGTCTACACGGCCCTGTTGAGCGTTCTGCAAATGCGCCCACGCACGCTCGGTGTCGTTGACGAGGATCTTGGCCTCGGAGTTCTTACGTGCCTCCGCGCCTTGCAGCGACTGAATGTCTTCTAACGTCGCATTGGTTAGCAACGACAAATCGGTCGCGTTACCCCACAGCGAAATGTCGACAAACTCTTTGAACAGCAACTGCAAGCTTTCAGGGTTTGCAGAGTCCAATTGCGACTTCAATTGCCTGTAGCGATTAGCCAATTCCACTACGCCGAGCGTGGATGATTGGAAAGTGGCCTGCTTTACGCGGTTGAAGATGTCGAAGTCGCGCCACCCACTGCGTGCACGGAACAACACGTTGATCCGCCGGTACAAGTACACCTCGCAAAACAACCACCCGCCAGTGAGCCATGTCTGTGCATACGACGACACCACCTCGTTGAAACTACCGGGGATCTCAGCCACGCGCACTTCTTCCTCGGAAAACGGCCGGATCACTCCGTCATTTAAGATTTCTTCCCTGAGCGCAGCAAGCTCCTTTTCGATGGCCCTGCCCTGGACGTATGCCTCAGAACCCGCGTCCAAAGTGGACAGCTCAGCCTGAAGATCGTCAATTGCATTGCCCACGAGGATGGGCCAGCGCACGTGCGCGGTGTGGTAACCGAAAGTGCCACTGTCGTTATTCCTAAAGACACTTGGAAGAGGCATTGAGCTGTTGATCTCTGTGTATTCGGTCGCGCAAAGGTGCGTCTCTCGAGCGATCTCAGCTATTTAACGGTTGGGTAACACCGTGCTAACTCCGCGGCGGGCGGAGAAACCGCCCGCCACGTACGCAGTGACGCCCTCCACCCAGCCACCCGCGGTCAGACCACGTGCCCGCCCGCCCTCCGCCCACACACCCACCCCGCCGTCCCTGCCCCACGTCATGCCCGCCGCGGCCGCCGCAGCTGGCTTCCTCGGCTTCCCCGGCTTCCCCCGAAGCCCAGATCGCCTGACGCCCGCATCCTCCCAGAACCTCCCGGGCACCTTCACACCGTCACGAGAGCTAGCTAACCGGAACCCACTACCATGGCATGAGCAACCTCGCGTGCCCATTGCATCCACCGCACGCACCGCGCGCCGCAACCCGCGTCCACTTAAATCCCGGCCCGGCCAAACTATATAAGTTCCCGCTCTCGCTCTCCTGTATACTCTATACCTCTTCCCTCCCCCATCCACATATACTATTACAATGGGTGTCCAAGAAGTTCTAAAGAGAAAGACCGGTGTCATCGTCGGTGACGACGTTCGTGCCTTGTTCGACTACGCCAAGGCCCACAAGTTCGCTATCCCAGCCATCAACGTCACTTCTTCCTCCACTGTCGTTGCTGCTTTGGAAGCTGCCAGAGACAACAAGTCCCCAATCATCTTGCAAACCTCCAACGGTGGTGCCGCTTACTTCGCCGGTAAGGGTGTCTCCAACGAGGGCCAAAACGCCTCCATCAAGGGTGCCGTCGCCGCTGCCCACTACATCAGATCCATTGCCCCAGCTTACGGTATTCCAGTCGTCTTGCACTCTGACCACTGTGCCAAGAAGCTATTGCCATGGTACGACGGTATGTTGGCTGCCGACGAAGCCTACTTCAAGGAACACGGTGAACCTTTGTTCTCCTCCCACATGTTGGACTTGTCCGAGGAATCCGACGAGGAAAACATCGCCACCTGTGTCAAGTACTTCACCAGAATGGCCAAGATGAACCAATGGTTGGAAATGGAAATCGGTATCACCGGTGGTGAAGAAGATGGTGTCAACAACGAAAACGCCTCCGAAGACTCCCTATACACCAAGCCAGAACAAGTTTTCGCCGTCTACGAAGCTCTACACCCAATCTCTCCAAACTTCTCAATCGCCGCTGCCTTCGGCAACGTTCATGGTGTCTATCAAGTGGGAAACGTGGTGTTGTCTCCTCAAATCTTGGGTGACCACCAAAAGTACGCTGCTGAAAAGACCAAGGCCGCTGCTGGTGCCAAGCCATTGTACTTGGTCTTCCACGGTGGTTCCGGTTCTACCGACCAAGAATTCCACACTGGTATCGACAACGGTGTCGTCAAGGTCAACTTGGACACTGACTGTCAATTCGCCTACTTGGAAGGTATTAGAGACTACGTCTTGAACAAGAAGGACTACCTAATGACTCCTGTCGGTAACCCAGAAGGTAAGGACAAGCCTAACAAGAAGTTCTTCGACCCAAGAGTCTGGGTTAGAGAGGGTGAGAAGACCATGTCTAAGAGAATTGCTCACGCTTTGCAAGTCTTCAGAACTGTCGACAGTTTGTAAGCTAACAGACGTCTTTTAAGTAATTTATGTCTAACGTGAAACGTAAGTGAATTTTATACAGTCTAGTTGATTGTAGGTCACATCGTACGGTGAGTTATCATTGACTTGAGATTTTGGTGAAAGTCGGAATGAACATGTCTTATAGCGGGATGTTCGAATTGAGTTGGGTTGACGCGAACTTTAGACGCATTCCATAGACTCTACACTGCGAAGCTACCTTATTCTTAAAGCTAGTAAATTGATAGCAAATGGTCTAGCTAAATATACGCTCTACTTAAGCGTGGTTGGTCCTCGGCAAACAATACATGGACGGCATTTGGTGCTGGCACCAGAGGGACCATCAATGTGCTTTAATTTCTTCATTTTGAAAACTTCTGTCTTGGTAAAGATTCTGCGACAACTGGGATTCAGACATCTTTCACCACTTCCGCGCCAAAGATGATAACACCTCTCACAAATTTCAGCGGGCGCCTTTTTATCCCAAGGTAGCCCATTCCATCTTTTCGAGGTGGTTGGGCCACAAGAGTAGCAAGTTCCTTCTCTTTCTTCCAATTTCTTCACAGTTCTGCATTGTTTTTTCAGGTCTTTTCTCGCAACCGAGCCGCATTTTAAACACTTGCAATGCCCCAAACTCTCATCTATGGCCTCCATCTTATTAAATTCGCCTTTGAATGGAATCTTGCGACACTTGTCATTAGTACACACTGTTGCAGTTCCTCCATATCTGCTCCTACATACCGAGCACCATTCTTTATCAGGCACCCAGGGAACTTTTCTCCAGCCTCCGGAGTCCTGAGTATCACAAAAATAGCATGATCCTGGCCTATGCTTATCCCTTGGTGAAGGGTTCGTATTTTTACTACCAGGCTGCTCTATCACGCCATCACAGGTATCACAAGAATAACCTCGAACACGCTTACCGTCTCTAGACATGCAAGTTTTTCATGGACTATTTCCTCATTCGTGCTTGCATTATAGATTTTGAGAATACCTTGTTACAGTTGCAACACCTCATTTTGCTACGCGAATATTGCATATAACAGACCAAGCATAACCGCCGGGCGCTGGCTGTATCCCATGGTAGCTTATACCATCCAGCAGTAACTGTGTCATGGCAAGAGAGGCATGATCTGGAGAAGCTCGCATTCGATCTAGTTTTATTAGTAAGTCGGTGTGCACTAAAGCACATTACCTGTTGCTCGGTCAAGAAAGCTCTGTTATCTGAATCATTTGAAAACGTGATTCCAAAAACTTGCGCAGTGCCCACTTCAGACGTCTTGAATGGGATAAAGGCTAAATGAAGGTTATCATCATCATCTTCAAGATCAAAATCACTACTTTCGTCCGCACCTTGTTCAAATTGATCGTCCTCGCTTATAATTTCTGTAACTTTTCTCTCACCGGCTGATATTCTTGAAGGTAAATCATTGCCATTAATATTGGGAGTTTCGACCCACTCGCCTAACGCTTCTTCAAGGGATACATCCGAGTCTTCCTCATCATCTGTTTCAAATTCTGCAACATCTCTTTTCCTCACAAACTGGATTGGAGGGTTTCTCTTCCTCTCACATGAACATCTGCATAAAATGGACCAAAGCGTGCCATGATTGGAGCCCCCAAAAAGATGAAACACCCAGGTGTCACTTTCATGATAACCGTTAAGATTCTGTTTTTCTGGGCAAAAATGTACTGTCACGTTTAGTCCCATTGACCTACCGACAGAAAGAATTCCGTCTCTAATTAGAGGGAAGGCAGTTGGGATTTTCACACGAAGGCAGTGAGCTTGAATATTGACAGATCCATCAGAATCAATGAGGCCAGCCATGAATGCTTCACGAACTAGCCTCTGCTCTGTTTTCATAAAAGACGGAATTGCCTTCTTCCCATCCAAGCGTCCATTTTCGTAAAATCTCAAGCCTTCCAACACTTTAACTAATGGATTATTTCTGTTCCAATTGCGGACCTCTCCGTCAAAGGTGTGAAGGTAACCGTCTGCTTTATAGCCGTTTTCTGGGTCCCTGAGCACTATCCTCAATGTCATTCCCCACAAAGTACCACATGCCTCCAAATAATCATTGACATCATGATCACCCGAACGCAGTGAAAACTTCGCCCCGCGTCTATGGCCATTACCGATCCAGAATCCTAAAAGCCAAGCCATGGCTTCTAGTTCCTTGTCAGTGATACCTCGATTGAATTTGGATTCTAACCAAGGTAGCAACATAGGTATCTCCACTGCAAGTGGACATAAAATCAATCTTGTAGAAGCACGGAGTTCTTTGTTAAGGTACTTTAGGTCATCCAACTCGGATTCCCACGTTATGAAGCCATTAGGAACTTTGCAACTTTCAATATACTCCTCGATAGTCTGGGATGAACAGCTCGGGGGAAATTGCTTAGACGTCGTCCTTAAAGTTTGTATTGTTCTCCCATCCTCCGTTATATGCTCACGTAATTGAGTAATTTCGATAATAGAACAACGTTCGGGTTTTCTGGTGGTCCGCTTAACTCGCTGCTTGGTCCGAAGTTTCATTCGCTGGCGTTTGGAGCATCTGAGTTCGATCAGGCCCCATGGTGGAGCCCTATTCTCATCCCGTAAATGAGCCGTATGGCAACTAGTTTGGTTGATCTGAAGTATATCGTCGACGCTGGAGTGAATCGAAGATACTCTTGCATCAGATCCATCCAAAGACATTAGACTTGACCCCACTTTGATTTCTTCAACAGGGATCAGTCGCCCGTCTGAAAGGAAGATCTTTGTTCCTGTGATGAGACCACCGATGAAAGTATGCTCTTTCTCGGTCATCCCTCGAGCTGCTGATCTGATGGGATATACCACATCAATGAAGGTCAGCAAACATTGGCATAAATACTGTTTTCGTATTCACTGCATGTCACGAAGACTTCATCTTGTTTCAATCCGCGAAACATGTTCCACAGTAAACTCAGCTTCTTACTTTGAGTTTGCCTGTTAAGAAAGTTTTTCAGCGAACTGGGACAACTGTAAGACATATCCCGTTTTCAATGCGTTGCAAATGTTATTCATGAGAGTCAGTCAAATAAATATACTGATGCAGGAACGTAAACGTAACGAAGTAAGAGAAACTGAATGAAAGGTATGTCAGCTTGATATGAATGAAGTACAAAAATGCCTTTGGGTATTGCTAATATTCAATTTTAAACACGATTTCCCAAACCATCGAGCTAGACTGTATAAATTCACTTACGTTTCACGTTTGACATAAATTACTTAAGACGTGTCTTGACTAACAAATTGTCGACGGTTCTGAAGACTTGCAAAGCGGGAGCAATTCTCTTGGACATGGCCTTCTCACCCTCTCTAACCCAGACTCTTGGCTCGAAGGACTTCTTGTTAGGCTTGTCCTACATGGTCCATAGGTTCTAAACTACTGAGCTACCATATTTTGAAGCTAGTAAACTGATAGCAAATGGTCTAGCTAAATATACGCTCTACTTAAGCGTGGTTGGTCCTCGGCAAACAATACATGGACGGCATTTGGTGCTGGCACCAGAGGGACCATCAATGTGCTTTAATTTCTTCATCTTGAAAACTTCTGTTTTGGTAAAGATTCTGCGACAACTGGGATTAAAACATCTTTCACCACTTCCGCGCCAAAGATGATAACACCTCTGACAAATTTCAGCGGGCGCCTTTTTATCCCAAGGTAGTCCATTCCATCTTTTTGAGGTGGTTGGGCCACAAGAGTAGCAAGTTCCTTCTCTTTCTTCCAATTTCTTCACAGCTCTGCATTGTTTTTTCAGGTCTTTTCTCGCAACCGAGCCGCATTTTAAACACTTGTAATGCCCCAAACTCTCATCTATGGCCTCCATCTTATTAAATTCGCCTTTGAATGGAATCTTGCGACACTTGTCATTAGTACACACTGTTGCAGTTCCTCCATATCTGCTCCTACATACCGAGCACCATTCTTTATCAGGCACCCAAGGGACTTTTCTCCAGCCTCCGGATTCCTGAGAATCACAGAAATAGCATGATCCTGACCTATGCTTATCACTTGGGTGAGGGTTCGTATTTTTACTACCAGGCTGCTCTATCACGCCATCACAGGTATCACAAGAATAACCTTGAACACGCTTACCGTCTCTAGACATGCAAGTTTTCATAGACTCTTTCCTCATTCGTGCTTGCATTATAGATTTTGAGAATACCTTATTACAGTTGCAACATCTCATTTTGCTACGAGAATATTGCTTATAACAAACTGAACATAACCGTCGAGCGCTGGCCGTATCCCATGGTAACTTATACCATTCAATAGTAACTGTGCCATGGCAAGAGAGGCATGATCTGGAGAAGCTCGCATTCGATCTAGTTTCATTAGTAAGTTGGTGTGCACTAAAGCACATTACCTGTTGCTCGGTCAAAAATGGTTTGATATTGGAATCCTCTGAAAACGTGATTCCAAAAACTTGTGCAGTCCCCACTTGAGACGTCTTGAATGGGATAAAAGCGAAATGAAGGTTATTATCATCATCTTCAAGATCAAATTCACTACTTTCGTCCCCACCTTGTTCAAACTGATCGTCCTCGCTTATAATTTCTGAAACTTTTCTCCCACCAGCTGATGATCTTGCAAGCAAACCTTTGTCATTATTACTGGGAGCTTCGACCCACTCGCCTAACGCTTCTTCGAGGGATACATCCGAGTCTTCCTCATCATCTGTTTCAAATTCTGCAACATCTCTTTTCCTCACAAACTGGATTGGAGGGTTTCTCTTCCTCTCACATGAACATCTGCATAAAATGGACCAAAGTGTGCCGTGATTGGAGCCCCCAAAAAGATGAAACACCCAGGTGTCACTTTCATGGTAACCGTTAAGATTCTGTTTTTCTGGGCAAAAATGTACTGTCACGTTTAGTCCCATTGACCTACCGACAGAAAGAATTCCATCTCTAATTAGTGGGGAAATAGTAGAGATTTTCACACGAAGGCAATGATCTTGAATATTGATAAATCCATCAGAATCAATGAGGCCAGCCATGAATGCTTCGCGAACTAGCCTCTGCTCTGTTTTCATAAAAGACGGAATTGCCTTCTTACCATCCAAGCGTCCATTTTGGTAAAATCTCAAGCCTTCCAACACTTTAACTAATGGATTATTTCTGTTCCAATTGCGGACCTCTCCGTCAAAGGTGTGAAGGTAACCGTCTGCTTTATAGCCGTTTTCTGGGTCCCTGAGCACTATCCTCAATGTCATTCCCCACAAAGTACCACATGCCTCCAAATAATCATTGACATCATGATCACCCGAACGCAGTGAAAACTTCGCCCCGCGTCTATGGCCATTACCGATCCAGAATCCTAAAAGCCAAGCCATGGCTTCTAGTTCCTTGTCAGTGATACCTCGATTGAATTTGGATTCTAACCAAGGTAGCAACATAGGTATCTCCACTGCAAGTGGACATAAAATCAATCTTGTAGAAGCACGGAGTTCTTTGTTAAGGTACTTTAGGTCATCCAACTCGGATTCCCACGTTATGAAGCCATTAGGAACTTTGCAACTTTCAATATACTCCTCGATAGTCTGGGATGAACAGCTCGGGGGAAATTGCTTAGACGTCGTCCTTAAAGTTTGTATTGTTCTCCCGTCCTCCGTTACATGCTCACGTAATTGAGTAATTTCGATAATAGAACAACGTTCGGGTTTTCTGGTGATCCGCTTAACTCGCTGTTTAGTCCGAAGTTTCATTCGCTGGCGTTTGGAGCATCCGAGTTCGATCAGACCCCATGGTGGAGCCCTATTCTCATCCCGTAAATGAGCCGTATGGCAACTAGTTTGGTTGATCTGAAGTATATCGTCGACACTGGAGTGAATCGAAGATACTCTTGCATCAGATCCATCCAAAGACATTAGACGCGCCCCCACTTTGATTTCTTCAACAGGAATCAGTCGCCCATCTGAAAGGAAGATCTTTGTTCCTGTGATGAGACCACCGATGAAAGCATGCTCTTTCTCAGTCATCCCTCGAGCTGCTGATCTGATGGGATATACCACATCAATGAAGATCAGCAAACATTGGCATATATAGTGTTTTCGTATTCACCGCATGTTCCTAAGACTTTACCTTGTTTCAATCCGCGAAACATGTTCCAGAGTAGATTCAGCTTCTTACTTTGAGTTTGCCTGTTACAAAAGAAAGTTTTTCAGGGAAAGGGAACTGGAACAAGTGTAAGACATATCCTAGTTTCAATGAGTTGCAAATATTATTCATGAAAGTCAGTCAAGTGTACTGATGCAGAAACGTTAACGTAATGAAGTGAAAGGTATGTCAGTTTGATACGAATGAAGTACCAAAGTGCCTTCAGGTATTGCTAATATTCAATTTAAAACACCACTTCCCAAATCATCCATCGAGACTGACACATGCCACTATTTCAGCTGCTCAAAGGCTTAAACTTCTACGAAATGGATCTGTGGATGGAAGAAAGTCAACCCCTTCGAAGGTAAAAATAACTTCGTCTTGAACAAGAGGGACTGCTGCCTCCTGTCGGTAACCCAGAAGGCAAGGACAAGTCCAACGAAAATACCTCGAGGCAAGGGTCTGGGTTGGAGAGGGTGAGAAGACCATGTCCAAGAGAATTGCTCCCGGTTTGCAAGTCTTTCAAATTGTCGACTCTTTCTAAGCTTGCAGAAACCTTACGTAATCATGTCTAATGTGAAATGTACGTCTGTCACACGATTGGTGATTCGAATCTGATTGGCTCTTAGCATGGTAATCACGAGGGGTCTAATCATCTGATACCATTTTTAAAAGCAGTTTGCCATTCACGGAAAGCATGGAGGGCTCGTCACATAGGCGTAAGAAGTATTCAACATCTCACAACTATCTGGTGGCTGGATGAAGAGATCTGCAGTATGTATTGATTAGTTTTCAATTAAATTGTCGTTTTTCCAACCAAGAAACAATCGGCTTAAAATCCACTATCAAGGAATAGATATGGTCTATGTCATGATGATGAGCTGGCTCGAGCGCGTAATCAAGAACACAACGATTATGTAATCTAAACTGGGCGATTAGCCGATGAATAAACTGACGGGCGACAAACCTCTGGAGGTTGTTGAGACGTTGAAGGAACCTTTTGTAGCAGCTGTTTTGCTCTTTGCATGAATAATTACCGAATGCAAGTGTCAGTCACAAGGTTTACAAGAGTTTCTTCATCACTACCTTAAGCAGACTTCAATAGTATGAAGATTACCCTTCCTATGGAGAAAGCGATTGTGAATTCACCAGATGTCACTTATGGTGTCTTCACTGACTTCCACGTACGGTCCTTCGCTACGGTATCTTCGCTACGGTCCTTCGCTACGGTCCTTCGCTACGGTCTCCTCGGTACGCTCTTCGAATTCAAAAACATTGCTGGTTTCGACATTCAGCCGCACGGTCGTTCGGGTGTCGGCTGCAAAACTGTATAAAAGCGCAAGAAAAGTCGCTATTACAACCAATTCCCTACGCCAAGCATGACTGACGCTACACAAGAAGCATTGACGCAACTCAAGAAAACATTGGAACTTTTAACAATCCATCAAACTCAACCCGCAGCTCCAGTGCGTCCCTTAAAAACCGGTAAAGCGAAAACTAGAAACTTTTTCGAAAAGTATTCCCAAGAATACATAGACTTCACATATGAGAATCCTACCATCTACCATGTTGTTGATTTCTTCTCTAAAAAATTGGACGATGCAGGGTTTACTTATCTAAGTGAAAAGACCGAATGGGAGGGCATAACAAGCGGGAAATATTACACTATCAGAAACGGAACAAACCTCGCCGCTTTTGTTTTAGGTAGCGACTGGAAGTACGAGTACGGTGTGGGCGCAATTGGCTCACACATCGACTCTCTATGTGCTAAGCTCAAACCATTTTCAATTAAAAAGGACGTCGAAGGATTCGAACTGCTAGGTGTCGCCCCTTATGCCGGCACTCTCAACGACCTATGGTTCGATAGAGACCTCGGCATTGGTGGTCGGGTGTTGGTGAGAGACTCTGAGACCGGCAAAGTGGAAGCTAGATTGATCGATTCCACGCCTCACCCAATCGGTAGGATCTCAACCCTTGCGCCTCATTTCGGTGCCCCTGCCGTTGGCCCTTTCGATAAAGAGGACCAGGCTGTTCCTATAATAGGTTACAATGACGAGGAAGAAGACATTGATGAATACGACACTGAAGACGAAGCCAGATCTCCTCTCTACGGCAAACATTCTCCTCAGCTATTGCGGTATATAGCCTCTCTGGCCAATGTGAAGGTGAGTCAGTTAGTCCAATTGGATGTGGATCTTTTCGATGTACAAAAGGGAACTCTGGCCGGTCTCAAAAACGACTTCTTAATTGCTCCAAGATTGGATGACAGACTATGCAGTTTCTCAGCTATCAAAGCTCTTATCGAATTTTCAAAAGAGGGCCCCATTCCAACTGATGGGTTTTCTGTCGTGACGCTGTACGATAACGAGGAAGTCGGTTCCCTCACAAGACAAGGTGCCAAAGGTGGCTTATTCGACAGCGTCGTGCAGCGTATAGTGAAGAACCGCTACGACGACATAACTCTACTACGTCCTGCTTTTGCCAACTCCATTGTCTTATCTGCAGATGTCAACCACATGCTCAACCCAAACTTCAACAACGTGTACATGGAGCATCACAAGCCAAAGCCCAACGTTGGGGTGACTTTGTCCTTGGATCCTAACGGCCACATGGCGACTGATGTGGTGGGCACTGCCCTTATCGAAGAACTCGCACGACTCAACGGTGACAAAATCCAATACTTCCAGATCAAAAACAACTCCAGATCCGGTGGCACTATTGGACCATCAATCTCTTCCCAAACTGGTGTCAGAACGATTGATCTAGGTATTGCCCAGCAGTCCATGCACAGTATTCGTGCTGCGACCGGTTCTCGCGATATCGGATTAGCAGTGAAATTCTTCAAAGGCTTCTTTTCCAACTGGAGACACGTCTACGACAACTATGGCGATCTATGATTTCTGTAAACATATAATTTAAGACTCTAGTGGTTTTACCAAGACTAACGGTTTTCAGGGCTGAACAGGAATGTCACTTCAAAAGCTTATGAAACCGAGACATAACTGCCACCCCTATTAGATATGATAAACTTTTCCATATTGGACTGTACTATCGTAAGCTAATCTAGATACTGGGCGTATTATGCGTAATAGTCTCGAGAAGATTCTTGATCTGCCTTATAAATGGGCTTCATCTCCATATGTTTCCATTTTGGTGTTTGATCTAAAAATATTACATTTGTGTTGTAAAAAAAAAAAAAAAAATTTGTGGCCTAAACAGAACGCGTGTACCTTACAATAGCTTCTCATTCCCATAGTACAAGCAATTAAATAATGTGTGGTATATTCGGATATTGCAACTACTTGGTTGAGAAATCAAGAGGGGATGTTATTGATACTTTAGTAGAAGGTCTTCAAAGACTGGAATACAGAGGATACGATTCCACTGGTATCGCGATCGATGGTGATGAACCTGATTCCACTTTAATTTACAAGCAAATTGGTAAGGTCAAGGCTCTTGAAAAAGAGATTGAGGAACATCATCCAAACAGAGAGGTGACTTTTGTTACTCACTGTGGTATCGCACACACCAGATGGGCTACGCATGGTGAACCTGTTCAAATCAACTGCCATCCACAAAGGTCGGACAGACACAATGAGTTCGTCATTGTGCATAATGGTATTATCACCAACTTTAGAGAGCTAAAACAACTGCTGCTCAACAAGGGGTATACATTCGAATCGGAAACCGATACGGAATGTATTGCAAAGCTTTTCAAACATATGTATGACACGAACTTGAAAAATGGTGTCGAACTTGATTTCCATGACTTGACTAAGCAAGTTCTTTTGGAGTTAGAGGGCTCTTATGGTTTGTTGTGTAGATCTGCACACTATCCGAATGAGGTGATTGCCACTAGAAAGGGTTCGCCACTGTTGATCGGTGTTAAATCTGAGAGAAAACTAAAGGTTGACTTTGTTGACGTCGAATTTCCAGACACTGATGACGTTCAGCCGGACATTCCTCTGAATAGCGCACGTACCGAGGATAGAAACTTATTACCTATCGCAGCCAATGAATCTGCTTTGAGGCGTTCTCAATCCAGAGCCTTCTTGTCTGAAGATGGTGCTCCAAACCCAGTGGAGTTTTTCGTGTCTTCTGACGCAGCATCCGTCATCAAGCACACCAAGAAGGTTTTATTCTTGGAAGATGATGATATTGCACACATTTATGACGGTGAACTTCACATTCACAGGTCCAGAAGGGAAATGGGTGCTTCCGCTATCAGATCTATTCAAACTTTAGAAATGGAGCTGGCACAAATCATGAAGGGTCCTTACAAACACTTCATGCAAAAGGAAATCTTTGAACAACCCGAGTCTACCCTCAATACTATGAGAGGTAGAATTGATTTTGAAAACAATACTGTAATGCTTGGTGGGCTGAAATCTTGGCTACCCATCATTAGAAGAACGCGTCGCTTGATAATGATTGCTTGTGGTACCTCATACCACTCCTGTCTGGCCACCAGAGCAATTTTTGAAGAGTTGTCCGAAATTCCAGTTAGCGTTGAGTTAGCGTCCGATTTCTTGGACAGAAAGACACCTGTGTTCAGAGATGACGTGTGTGTGTTTGTGTCTCAAAGTGGTGAAACCGCGGATACTATGCTTGCTTTGAAATACTGTCTCGAAAGAGGTGCTTTGACAGTGGGTATTGTCAACAATGTGGGTTCCTCGATTTCCAGAGTTACCCACTGTGGTGTTCACATAAACGCAGGCCCTGAAATCGGTGTAGCTTCTACCAAGGCTTACACTTCTCAATACATTGCGTTGGTGATGCTTGCATTGTCACTCTCGGATGATAAGGTTTCCAGAGTGGAAAGAAGAAAGGAAATTATTCAAGGCTTGAAAGAAATTCCTGAGCAGATCAAGCAGGTTTTGAAGATGGAGCCTCGCATCAAGGAGTTATGCGAAACCGAACTCCGTGATAAAAGATCTTTGCTACTTTTAGGGAGAGGTTACCAATTCGCCTCTGCTTTGGAAGGTGCTCTTAAAATCAAGGAAATTTCTTACATGCACTCCGAAGGTGTTTTGGCAGGTGAGTTGAAGCACGGTGTACTTGCTCTAGTTGATGAGAATCTACCAATCATCGCGTTTGGCACAAGGGACTCGCTATTTCCAAAAGTCGTTTCTTCCATTGAACAGGTGACTGCCAGAAAGGGACGTCCTATAATTATTTGCAATGAGAACGATGATCTATGGTCTAAAAGAGCTTCCCAGAGTAACTTGGTTACTTTGGAAGTTCCACTAACGGTTGACTGTCTACAAGGATTGCTAAATATCATCCCATTGCAACTAACTTCTTACTGGTTGGCAGTTAACAAGGGTATCGACGTAGACTTTCCTAGAAACTTGGCCAAGTCTGTCACTGTAGAATAAGATTTAAATTCACAAATCACTAAAAAATAGTCCTAGACAAATTTTTATTTCCTCAATTATCAGTCAGGGTTATACAGCTATGCACAACAGAATGATTTACGTGAGCGATATAGAATGATCTAAGTTCATTAAATAGCTGAACTCTAATTTAACATAAAATATTGACATATTGTATTTACTTATACTATTGGGGTATAAAAAGGTCCGGTGATCGCTGCACGTGTGCAATGACCTTCTTTTTCTGGCAGCAAAAAAGTTTCATCAACAAAAGAAACCCCTAGGCCAACAATCATTGTAACAAGCACGAGAGGTCGTCAATGTTCCACTCGAGGAAGTCTCGCGAGAGCCGTTCAATAGATTCTGGTGCATTAGCTGCTGCTTCTGCGATTGGGAAGGCGTTAGATGCTAGTGGGACCAAGGTAAATGCCGAAAGGTTACCTCGATACAATAGCTTCTCTCGCTCTAACTCGATGATTCGAACTACGTCGATGAGCAGCCGTAGCGGAAGTCTAAGATCAAACAAAAATGGAGCACGGTCGTCTAGTTTACAGCTTGGAACAAGCAGGAACAAGAATAGAGAGAGTATTATCGACGAAAGTGAATTTTTCGATGCAGAAGATACGTTCCATGCATTTGGAGGTGCCCCCGCACCAAGTAGACGAGCTACAATGAAAAAATATGTACCGGGCCCAAACGGACTGGTGGCTGTTGAGGTTCCAATTATAGAAAATGCCCATCAGAAAAAGCGAGGCTCTAAGATAAGAAGGTCAACATCTATGACGAGTGGTATGCAAGTGCGCAACAACTCCCTCGGAAGAAAGTCATCTTCTGGATCCTTGACTTCCAATAGTAGTCAAAAAGGTGGCCAAGTTCGTCGTACATCGATGGAGACTCAAAAACGTCATACAATCGATGTTCAGAAGGGCACCAAACCACTAGTCGAACAATTCGTCAAGGAGGAAACCGATGAGCAACTGGAGGAAGAAAAAAAGGAGGCTATTAAGCCTATAGTCATCCCTCCTTCTCCAGGTAAGCAAGATACTACTTTTAAGCGCTTTGGGAGGAACGAAGATGTCATTGAGAAGCAGCACGAAGTGAATGAGCTATTAGAGAAAGCTGTCGGTATTGAGAATGAGATAATTACGGAAGAACAAGAACTACAGACACAATCAGCACCAGTTGTGTTAATTAACCCACCGGAACAAGAATTCAAGGAGGAGAAAAGTAAACCTGTTAGTCAAGGTACAGATTCAAAAACTCCAGATGACATTAATGCAATGGAAAGCGTCTCTGAAAAGACTACTGCTGTTCCTGGAGATGTGGACATATCTCCTGAGTTAGCTAGTACAGAAATTCCAGCAATTGAGGTTATTACCGATGATACCACACCAGTTGAAGATTTGTCGGGAACTGCGAATGATTCTGTCAAGAGTGGTGAAATTAATGCAAACAATTCAGAAACTACTACCTCCACAAAATCCGAGTTATCTATGCCAGGTATATCTAAGCCTAATGTTGCAAAAGAACAGGGCGGGAAGATTGATAAAAAACTGAATTCAGGCAGCAGCATGGCCCAATATATCCGCTCTGCAAATCAATATCTCAATAAGGGACACGAAAACGTCACAAATGCCCACTCTAAAGAGTCTTTACCCGCTAATGATATTCCGGAATTGGGGACTAAAAAGGAACAAGTTGCAAAACCTGCTCCTTTACAGAAAGTTCCGTCTCCAATGAAATCTGCCTTGAAGAAGACTAATAGTCGTACGTCTACTAGCTCCCATTATAATGACCGTGGTAATTCAAAAGCAAATGAAGCTTACTTATCCTTGGCAACAGCGGAAAATACGAGGTTGAATGCGCAACTGACTGGAGATCCCCCTAGTCGCAGGTCTTCAGTAAGAAAGGCGAGACCAACTTCTATGATGACTCAAAATATCACAGACAACGGCGGACCAGGGCAACCCAGGACCAAACATCTTTCCATGCAGCCTTCCATGCAGCAGATGCAACCCCCTGCAAGATCAAAGAAAAGGCCGGATACGAGTAGAGTTGTAGCTGGTAGTGGGGAAGCTACATCTAGAAAATCATCAAAGCACTCACAGTCCACAGATAATATTCTCTACCCCAAGGAATCACCAGCCAAGAGATCAAGTTTTGAGAAGCAAAGGCCACAACAGAGCCATTTAGGGTTCAAAAAACTGTCGCTGAGAGAAGATGTTACAGATATCATGTATGAGCAGAGCTCCTTGAATAATAGATTTCATGGCAATGACCCTCAAACACCAACAAAAAAACAAGAGCCTCCTCCTCAGACATCACAGCAAGCACTTCAATCCATTTCAGGTGGTGCATGGAAATCCCGCTTTCACGATTCGGACTCAGAGGAAGAAGGTGGACCTTTCAGTAGCGGTGGAAGTGGCTCCACTCAACCTAGTAGCACGGGTGGGGCTTTCTTATTTAAAAGTAAGCACAGCGATGTGAAACTGGCGCCTCCGCAACCTCACTTCAGCCAAGGATCCTCTAGCGCACCAGCTTCCAAGCATTCAACTCCCAACAAAAAAATTAGTCAAATGTCGCTAAGAACATCAAGTAGCGTCAGCGAGCTTGGGCCACCTAAAGCAAGCAATAAAGTGACTAGTAGATACTTCAGTGAAACGTTACCGACTCCTCAACCTATATCGGAGCCCAAAAAGAAGAATGGATTTGGAAAGAAGCTTAAGAAAATTTTTGGTAGGAAAAAGTAGTTTTTTAGTTTTTATTACTTGTATATCTAATGTGCTAATTAGGAAAATTTAGCCCTTCTTCGTCGTCTCTATCAAGTTTGTTGAGTGGTTACTTTTTGAAGGGCTTCGCAGATGTAGTCAACATTGGAGTCATTAACCCCACTTAGTGATAGGCGTCCATCTTGCGTTAAATAAATGGAGAAGCTCTCTCGCAGAAGATCGACTTGAGAGGGAGTCAAGCCCGTGTAGTAAAACATACCATGTTGAAGAGAACTGTCTCGCAGAGACTGCCAGCCGAGTCTATCATACATCTCAGATTTGACATGTCTCAATCTTGCTGCCATGTGTTCGACATCAGCAAACCATTGCTTCTTAAGTTGTGGAGTAGATAACACCAAGTTTGCAACCCGAGAGCCATACCCCGGCGGAGAAGAGTATAAACCTCGCACGACCTTCTTGAGCTGAGAATCCACATTCAATTTCAACTCTGGATCTGGGGGTGTTACCACTGATAAGGACCCAACTCTTTCACCATACAGACCCATGTTTTTAGCAAAAGATTGGCACAAGAACAATCCATTGGGCCACTGATAACGAGATGAATCTAAGCTCATCCGCAAAAGATACGCGTCTTCATAAATATTTCCGGATTCCAAGCCCTGATATGCCATGTCTATGATAGGAATGAGTTTAAGGTCATGAATAGTGTCCAGAATTTCGATCCATTGTTCTCTTCTCGGATCGACGCCAGTAGGATTATGACAGCACGCGTGAAGCACAATGCATTGAGGGTTGTATAAATTGTCACTGTAAGAAGATTTCAGGTCGTCCAGCCATTGACTTACGTCCAGTTGACCGTTCTTGAAATAAGTATAGTACTTGATGTCTTTGAAACCATTATTTTGGAATACGTTTGTATGGTTGGCCCACGACGGATCAGGAACCCATACCGTCTTGGACACGAATAGCGACAACAACTTTGATGTCACTGCCAGGGCACCCGTGCCTGAAAGCGTTTGGACAAAGCTAACACGGTTTTGGTCCAAATACAAAGACCCTTGTGGGCAAGATTCACGGAACAAGAAGCTCAGCACGTTCGCTTGAAACTCCGGACACCCCGTGATGGGCAGATATGACAGGTCGGTATTGAGCTCCACGTTTTCATCCAGAATGTTTTGTGCACGAGCTACGCTTGGAAAAGTAGTTACCTGGCCCCAATTGTCCTTATATATTCCCACCGTTAAGTTGCATTTCCTCGGATGACAATCCTGATTAAACCGCTCAGTGAGACCCAGAATTTTGTCAGGGGGGGCCCTTGGAATTTTGAATATCGCAGCCGGAACATGGTATAATCTTATAGACCTGGGCCAAGGAATCATTCGTCGAACAGATGAGCCAACTAGTTTATTCCTCGCTCATCGCCATATATGCTCAGATTTTTCCCGCTTTAAATTTTTTTTATTTTTTTTTTTTTGCCGTAACTTTTTCTTCAACGCCTCAGTCATCATCTATCATCATCTTATCATCAATTAGCTCTTGGAGTAAACATGAGAATTGTGCTCGTAGATACAAACGAACGGCTGGTACAAAATTGGAGGAATTTGATGGGAAATGTCTCCACTGCAAGACATTCGGTATTGGTGATGAAAGGGCGGCTTAGCATCCTTTCAGGAAGTCAAATTAACAAGCCAGCCGCGGTCGTATCACCTGGAAACTCTTTTGGTTACCTCGGAGGTGGTTTCGACTTGGCGCTGAGAGAATATTTCGGAGGGACAAAATTTGAGCAATACTTTAGAGAACAATTGGGAGATACGTACAGAACTGTAGGTAGCACTAAGGTAGTTCCCTTGAATAGCTGGGGTCGGGATGGGTTCGAGTATATAGTTTATGTGCCCACAGTAGTAGCTCCTTCGCGACCATTGTTCGACGCCGAAAGGCCAAGAGAGACAGGATTCGAGCCGGTCTTCAACGCTATGTGGAATGCTTTGATTCACGTACCTGCTGGAACTCAAACTCTAGTCATTCCGGGACTTTGTTCAGGTTATGCTGGCGTTCCTCTGGATATTAGTAGCAAATCTATGTGCTTTGCATTACGTCTATATCTCATCAAGAACACGATATCAAAAGATCTCCAACGTGTTCTTATTCTGCAGTTTTTAGGCTACAATTACGCTCCGTTCATGGACAACGACTGGGAGGAAGAATGCGAAGCAGTGGGGATTGACGTGCGCAAACTAATGAAGTTTGATGTTGCTAACGATTCTATAAATGAAATTATGCCAATTATTTAAGATACTTCTTTGGGCCTGTACACCCTTATGAGTACTAGTGCTACTCCGACGGCAACGACTGCAATCGAGATATTCGGTAGATATGATATAATGAAAGCGGTGTTATAAATATCCAGAAGCTCCGCCAATTCCTTGCCAGAAAATGCATGCCTCAAGTAACTAGAGTCACGGATCAAAGGTTTATACGCATCTTTTAGCCCATTTGTCGACATGAATTTCCACAGTTTGTCTGATAATGCTTTGTCATATAAAGATAATGTCAAAGATGCCCCAAGTACATTACCTATGGATCTCCATAGATAGAAAATGCCCGTGACAGTTGCCTGTTGAGATTTGTCCACCGTGAAAACAATACTCACTAAGGTGGCTACCAGTAGGCTTGCATACCCATAGGAATTAAAAACCATGGAGGTGATGTATATCAATTTCCAGCAAAAGCTGTCGGATTTTAGGACGTATGATTTTAAATTGCCCTTCTTTGTCTCGTATGCTAAGTAGGAAGTTTGATTCGGTTCCAATTGGGATAGAAGCAGTGCGTTGCAGGACAATCCCAAAAGTTGTAGAACGAAGGCGACGAAGACTATTAAAAACGCGCATTTGGCCATGTCCATTCTAGTCCTTCTCAAAATCCATCCCGTCACTAAAGAAGCGCAAGCAGAAGCCACTGAACCAAACAGCACAAATAATCCACTCTTTGTAATCGACATATTTTGTACAAGTTGCAGGTAAATTGGTGATCTGAAAACATCACCAAAAATTACAAAGGACGAAAAGACAGTGAGTAGGGAAGACAAACCGAAAGAGCCTTTTAAAAGCTCTAGTGGTAAGATGCGTTCAGGAGCCAGAAAAAGCTCATTGTATGTGAAGGTGATAAAACTCAGTGCAGTGAAAACAGATAACATTAATTTGTTCAAGTTGCTAGAGCACAGAAATAATATGCCACTAATAGAGAAGACTAAGGTGATCGAACCCAGGAAATCCAGACGAGCCAAGTTTTTTCTTGTAAACCTTTCATTAGCAGGAGGTATATGTGCCAACTTGATATTCACATTTCGATGTCCCAAAATAATGCATAGAACAACCATGGGCACTTGCGTAGAAAAAATCGTTCTCCAACCAAATTTGTTGATTACAAATCCGCCTAATGGAGCTCCTAAGAGTTGCCCTGATCCAAAGACAACATTAGCGTATCCTTGATAAATTCCTCTTTCTTTTGCCGTGCAAATATCGCTCACCGTGATGCTACTCATGGCGCTAATCCCTCCGCCACCTATACCGCATACAGCCCTGGCAATGGAAAATTCAGTTACATTACGTGCGAAGCAAGTCAAAAGACAACCTATTCCGAAAAAAAATTGAGCTGTAAATAATGCAAATCGCCTTCCTGTTATGTCTGAAAGCTTGCCATATAGTGGCTGAAAAGCGGTGTTTGTTAAGAGAAAACTTGTGGCAATCCATTGCTTCTTATCAGACTCCTCGAATTCCTCCGCTATTCTATTCATGATATTTGCTACTATAGTACCATCCAGTGCCACCAGAAAACTTCCTAACCACAATGAAATCAAAATGGGAAGTTTCGGCAGCGACAGATTATGCCTGTTATATTCCTCCTCTATCAGATCAGGCTCATCCGAAAAGTCACTTGTAGATTCCTCTCGTAGAAGTGATGTAAGCTCACTAACATTTCCCTTTGACATTTTATATTACTTTAGGCTGCAAAATGAAGCTTTAGTAGACGCCAAGTGCTATCCAAAGGACTGTTATTTTATATAAGTTCCATAATCGATGCTTTCGTTTTGTCACGCCTTTTCCTTTCTTCGGCACGTTCGGTCTACACTCCTAAATTAGAAATCTGCTCCGACTCTATCTTCAGTGCCGAGCAGAAAAATGAGAGATTTTCAAGACTCGTCGAGGAAGACTCATAAGAAGTCAATGCAGCCCTACAGGTGATTTTACTACTCTCATCAGTATTGTGATCTGGGCAATTCGGTATGTTATCCTCATGACTGTCAGTTAGTTTGTCCATTCAATATATGGAATACTCACGTCTTGTGAATCTTCATAAATTGTTAAAACTTTGTAAATATTTACGGTTTCCTTCGTACTTTGCAGCTAACGTGGAACGCAAGTGAACTGACGTAGTATAAAAGGAAAGATTATGTTTAAGCAAGTGGATTTTAAATTCTAAATATTTGGCGACCGTTCAATTGGGTTTCTGAAATGAAAAGAAAGCTTCTAAGGATATTTTGAAAGCTCTCATGGCTTACAATAGATCTCAGCGAAGAGCAAAAGAGCAGCTGCAAAAGGTTCTTTCAACGTCCCAACAACCTCCAGAGGTTTGTCGCCCGTCAGTTTATTCATCGGGTAATCACCCGGTTTGGATTACATAATCGTGATGTTCTTGATTACGTGCTCGAGCCAGCTCATCATAATGACATAAAACCATATCTATTCTTGATAGTGGATTTTAAGCCGACTGTTTCTTGGCTGGCAAAACGACAATTTTTAATTGAAAACTAATCAATACATACTGCAGATCTCTTTATCCAGCCACCAATCTTTCCATGTTCACTCGTGATTATCATACTACAGAACTACTCAGATTCGAATCACCACAACGCTTACAATCACTGATCAATCGTGTGACAGACGTACATGTCACATTAGACATAAATTACGTAAGGTTATTGCAAGCTTAGAAAGAGTCGACAATTTGGAAGACTTGCAAAGCGGGAGCAATTCTCTTGGACATGGTCTTCTCACCCTCTCTAACCCAGACTCTTGGGTCGAAGACTTTCTTTTTTGGCTTGCCCTACATGTTCCATAGGTTCTAAACTATTGAGCTACCTTATTTTGAAGCTAGCAACCTGATAGCAAATGGTCTAGCTACATATAGGCTCTACTTGAGCATCGTTCGTCCTCGGCAAACAATACATGGACGGCATTTGGTGCCGGCACCAGGGGGACCATCAATGTGCTTTATTTTCTTCATTTTGAAAACTTCTGTTTTGGTAAAGATTCTACGACAACTGGGATTCAGACATCTTTCACCACTTCCGCGCCAAAGATGATAGCACCTCTCACAAATTTCAGCGGGCGCCTTTTTATCCCAAGGTAGCCCATTCCATCTTTTCGAGGTGGTTGGGCCACAAGAGTAGCAAGTTCCTTCCCTTTCTTCCAATTTTTTCACAGTTCTGCATTGTTTTTTCAAATCTTTTCTTGCAATAGAACCGCATTTTAAACACTTGTAATGTCCCAAACTCTCATCTATTGCCTCCATCTTATTGAATTCGCCTTTGAATGGAATCTTACGACACTTGTCATTAGTACACACTGTTGCAGTTCCTCCATATCTGCTCCTACAAACCGAGCACCATTCTTTATCAGGCACCCAAGGGACTTTTCTCCAGGATCCAGATTCCTGAGTATCACAAAAATAACATGATCCAGACCTATGCTTATCACTTGGTCGAGGATTTGTATTTTGAATGCCAGGCTGCTCTATTACACCATCACAGGTATCACAAGAATAACCTTGAACACGCTTACCGTCTCTAGACATGCAAGTTTTCATAGACTCTTTCCTCATTCGTCCTTGCATTATAGATTTTGAGAATACCTTGTTACAGTTGCAACATCTCATTTTGCTACGAGAATATTGCTTATAACAAACTGAACATAACCGTCGAGCGCTAGCCGTATCCCATGGTAACTTGTACCATTCAATAGTAACTGTGCCATGGCAAGAGAGGCATGATCTGGAGAAGCTCGCATTCGATCTAGTTTCATTAGTAAGTCGGTGTGCACTAAAGCACATTACCTGTTGCTCGGTCAAGAAAGTGTTGTTATCGGAATCCTCCGAAAGAGTGAATCCAAAAACTTGTGCGGTCCCCACTTCAGACGTCTTGAATGGGATAAAGGCGAAATGAAGGTTATCATCATCATCTTCAAGATCAAATTCACTACTTTCGTCCCCACCTTGTTCAAATTGATCGTCCTTGCTTATAATTTCAGTACCTTTTCTCCCACCAGCTGATGATCTTGGAGGCAAACCATTCTCATTAATATTGGGAGCTTCGGCCCATTCGCCTAACGCTTCTTCAAGGGATATATCCGAGTCTTCCTCATCATCTGTTTCAAATTCTGCAACATCTCTTTTCCTCACAAACTGGATTGGAGGGTTTCTCTTCCTCTCACATGAACATCTGCATAAAATGGACCAAAGCGTGCCATGATTGGAGCCCCCCAAAAAGATGAAGCACCCAGGTGTCACTTTCATGGTAACCTTTAGGACTCTCTTTCTCTGGGGACAAATATACACTTACATTTAGCCCCATGGATCTTCCGACAGAAAGAATTCCATCTCTAATTGGCGGGGAAGTCGTAGACATTTTCACGCGAAGGCAATGATCCTGAATATTGACGGAACCATTCGAGTCAATGAGACCAGCCATGAATGCTCCGCGTACTGGTTTTTGCTCCGTTTTCATAAAAGATGGAACTGACTTCTTTCCATCTAAAGGACCATTTTCGTAGAAGTTCAAGCCTTCGAGTACTTTGACCAGAGGATTGTGTCTATTCCAGTTCCGCACTTCTTCGTCATAGGTATGAAGGTAGCCGTCTGCTTTATAGCCGTTACCTGGGTCTCTGGGAACTATTCGTAATGTCATTCCCCAAAGAGAGGCACTCGCTTCCAAATAACAATTAACATCATCGTTACCTAAATGTAGCGCAGATTTAGCACCGCGACTGTGGCCGTCACCAATCCAAAATCCGACAAGCCATGCCATTGCTTTCAATTCGTTACTAGCAACATTAGGATTTAAATTAGATTGCAACCATGGCAACAAAACCGGAAATTCCAATGTAAGCGGGCACAGCATCAATTTCAGTAGAAGCGCGAAGCTCCTTGTTTAGGTAATTTATGTCATTAAACTCCGATTCTCATGTTATAAAACCGTTGGGTACTTTGAGGCTATCAATGTATTCTTGAATAGTTTGAGGTGCAGTGTTTTGAGAGAACTGCCTCGAAGTTGTCCGCAAAATCTGTATTTTTCTATCATCCTCGGTTACATGATCTCTTAACTGCGTAATTTCAACAACATGATTATTGTTTAACTTCTTCAAAATCTTTTTTACTCTTTGTTTCGTCCTTAATTGTACCCGCTGACGCCCTGAGCAACCGAGCTTAATCAAGCACCATGGAGGAGCTCTATTTTCATCACGCAACTGGGCCGAATGACAACTACTCTGCTTGATTTGGATCACCTCCTCGAACCCTGATTGAATTGATGCAACAGTTGAGTAAGAACCATCCGAAGATAAAACCAAGGATCCGACCTTAATTTCTTCAATAGGAATCACGTCGCCATTTGAAGTAAAGATGTTCGTCCCTTTAGCGAGACCATCAATGAAGGGTGGACTTTTCTTGCTCATTAATTGTGTCCTCTATATGATGGGACATGGTACATCAGTTAGCATCAGTAGCAGTTTAAGATATATTATTCATAGAATCTCCAGGATATTTTGTAAATTGTAAACTCCACATTTGTTTCAGGCGGTGTCGCATTTCTCAGAGGAACACGCAGCAGCATCTGACACCAGCTCCACCGGTAACACTTTGTAACTAGCTAGTCACAGGTGAAATGGAAGTTTAACGGCAACTCTCTATCCTGGTGGCAAGGGCTTGGATAGTACAAATACAAGTTGCTCCAATAAGGTGCTGTTACGTATCTGCTTCCAGCATGAACTGAGTATTAATATCCGTGTTTAAGGGGATGGCCTATGCATCCCTTATACACACTTCACAGGTCAAAGTGCATATTTTGCATATTCTCAGCATGTATAACAAAAGTCTGCTGGACCTTTGGTCATGATAAATCCATGAGTAACTGATTGTTACTGGACAGAATATGAAATTGACGAGATAGTTTTAGTCCATTGGCAAGAGAATTACATGTGAAAACAATCATCGTAAACATGTCAAATATTGTAAAGTGGTAAAGGACATTGAAAAATAAATAGAATGCCAGCCTGATAATCTGTTGTTGCGTTGACAGAGGTGCGACTCCTATCTATAATTTTACTCACTAATCCTGTGCAGGACTTTCAGGTCAAATCATTACAATTATATGTATGGAAACAAATTGTATAGCCTGACGCTACTCAGGAAGAATTTCATTTTAGACAACGGTTCGGTGGGTTTATTATAGTAAAATATCTATCGGATTACTCGGTTTCTAACCCATGCGGTTTGTTTATACGTCAAGACATACCGTGTTCCGCTATATTCCTTTCCACGGCATTTGTTTGTTTTTGTCGTGGTTTCTCATTCGTGGTTTCGAAGCGAACTTTTCGCGTTTTCTTCTCTTCAAACAATCAACAAGACTCCAATTCCCATGTCGATGGCAATGCAAGCAGCTATAGCAGCTACTGCACAACCCTCAGATCATCTTGATCGTGTTGTGCAGTCTGTGACAGATGCTACCAAAAGATTGTCCCAGATCTCCACTAGCACGACGAATACAACAACAAAGTCGTCGAAGCGTAGATCTAGAGACACAATTGGGCCTTGGAAGCTTGGCAAAACGCTTGGAAAGGGCTCTTCCGGTCGTGTCAGACTTGCTAAAAACATGGAAACAGGTAAACTGGCTGCTATAAAGATTGTGCCCAAAACAAAATCTTCTTCGAGACCAAACTCACTGCCCTACGGCATTGAGCGTGAAATCATCATTATGAAGCTAATCTCCCACCCTAATGTCATGGGCCTTTATGAAGTGTGGGAAAACAAACTGGAATTATTTCTGGTACTTGAATACGTCGATGGCGGCGAACTTTTCGATTATTTGGTGTCGCGCGGTCGGTTACCTGAAAGAGAAGCTATCCATTATTTCAAGCAAATAATCGAAGGAGTTGCATACTGTCACAGCTTTAACATATGTCACCGTGACTTGAAGCCTGAGAATTTGTTATTGGACAAAAAAAACAGACGTATCAAAATCGCGGATTTTGGGATGGCTGCATTACAAACTTCCAATAAACTTCTCGAGACATCCTGTGGGTCACCCCATTATGCGTCACCCGAAATCGTTATGGGCAAAACTTATAACGGTGGGCCAAGTGATATCTGGTCGTGCGGTATTGTTTTGTTTGCACTACTCACTGGCCATCTTCCATTTAACGATGACAACGTCAAAAGATTACTTTTAAAAGTTCAGTCTGGGAGATACCAATTACCTTCAAACATGTCAGCTGAGGCGCGCGACCTCATTTCAAAGATATTGATTGTAGATCCAAGTAAGAGAATTAGCATTCAGGGCATTCTGTCACACCCTCTGATCACGAAATATGATACAAAACGTAGCAAATCTAATTCCAATTTACATCTTCTCAACAATTCCGCTGCTCAAATTGTTACGCTTGAAAGTAAGCAAGATGTTGACCCCACAATTTTACAGAATTTACAAATTCTGTGGCATGGTGCTCCAAAAGAATTTATCATCAGACGTCTATTGCAACCTGATTTCACCGAAGAGAAAATGTTTTATTCCCTGCTTTTAGCATACCAACAAAGACAGTCAAATCAAAACCAGAAGCAGAAGGAACCTTCCGTGAATGCTCCGAAAGTCATTCAGAAATCTCAATTCAGCGTTCCATCGATAAGATCCCAATACTCACCAAAAAAGGAACATGTTGCTTCATCTTCTCGGGTCTTCAAATCCAACTCTAACAGATTTATTCACTCTGCTTCTAAAAGATCTTTGCATAGTTCAACATCCAAAAGATCACTAAGATCTTCTGCCTCCAAGAAATCTTTAAGAGTATCTCCTGAAAAATCTCTTATCAGCAAGTCTTCGAATACTCCAACAATGCATCCACCGCAACCGGCGGAACCACTTGAATCGTCAAAAAGGTCCTTATATTCTTTGAAATCGATCTCTAAGCGTTCGGTTAATTTGAAGGATTATTTGAACGATGAGTCTAGCTCAATTCCCCCGCTACCAACCCAATCTGAATTTGAAATGTTATGCGAGCAAATACTTTTCGGTGGTGGCCTCAGCGGAATCAAGGAAGAAGGCCCTGAGGAAAATGAAATATCTAATGATTTCAATTATAATACCTCTCAGGACGACTCAAACGATTCTCGCATTGAAACTCAAACGTCAGTTGATACCATTACAGCTCCTGTAGTAAACAAGACTCAGTCCCATAGCCCCGGAAAAGCTCCTGAACCTGACACTTACCCTCTTCCAAGAAGACCTGTTGAGAAAACTGCAGATCAAAAGCAGCGTATTGTCTCTGCTCCGACATCGAAGGAAAAACCAATCTCACTTGACCCTCGTCGTAATGTTTCTCAACCCAATTCAATCGAGATGCTATTGGCTAAGTATAGTTTAAGAACTCACTTGAGGTCAAAGTCCAATTTGAAAAAGCTGAGAAACAGTGGGGATTGGTCTATTGAAAAAGATTTTGATTTTGGATCGTCCGAGAATGCCGTACAACCAGTGGCAGAATCTACAATGGAGGCGAACACATCCACAGCTTTGAATCATGGCCTGCTAACAAGCGTTCTGGCTCAATCTAGTACGATTGAAAGTACAAGTAGCCATGCCTCGCGCCAAGAATCGAGCAGCTTCGAACCACTGTTGTCCTTACCATCCAGCACGCTTAACAGCTCGATGACATTCAAGAATTTGAGTCAATTTCTTTCTGAGAACGCTGTGCAACCAAGAAGAACGGCTTCAGTGGCTCATAGTACTGATCCTAAATCAGAGACGCTCACTTTGGCACCAGTGAGGAAACAGTCGAAAAAGCAGACCCTAGCTCCTCGAACTAGTTTAAATGTGCCAGCGTCCCGTAAGCCAAGTCAAGTAAGCACTGATGCGCGCTCTGAAAATAGATCCGAATATTTTTCGGACATGTCCTTTGCGTTGGAGATACCCACGCATACCTTTACAGCCCAGGCTGTTCAAATATCCAACGGTAGTTCTTTGGAGCAGCTTGAAATTCCCAAGCACGTGGAAACAATGCACGCAGAGCCCGTCGAAGAAGAGATCAATATCTTCGAGGATGCACCCGGGGATACTGCTTCTGTTGCGACAAGTTCGTCTGGGGTTGATTCCCAATTGCAAGCACATCGTAAGGCAACATCAATTGATACTTTGAACACGACTAATCTATTGACTACGTCGCCTACAGATGTCCGAGTGTCGTTGTATGCTAACAACATAGCGTCTTCTATTGGATTGCCCAGAGAAACAACCGAGGAGATTATTTCCAAATTCAAACTATCGCCCGAGAAGGGTATGCAGATGCCCCAGAAGCGCTTTTCGTATCAGCAAGGTAAGATACCTCTTTCTCAAAGCATGATTTCCTTATTCAAAGATTTGGATGACGAGCAAGACGAAATTGAGAATAATTCGACTAAACCAGGTGGCACACAACATGGGTTAGACAATTTCCAAGAGACCACCACAAATGAAGAGCCCACGCAGGGCGAGCCTCGTGCGGCAGAAAACAAGAAGCCTGAGCTCGAGGGCAAAAAACGTGTAACCATGCTGTTCGACGACGATACGGAAAATGTGTTCAAGGCCTCCCCGATCAAGCGCCCCCCCGCGCCAGCGACCACGGCAACGCCAAAGGTTTCTACGTCAAAGGCAAGTGCGCCCGCTCCATTTAGAAAGAGCAAGCTCACGACGGTGGTCGAGTGCGAGCACTCGCCGCCACCTAAACCACAGCGCGCTCCCGTGCAGATGGCAAAACCTGTGTCAACAGGCGGCAACTGGTTCACAAAACTCATGCGTACGTTGGCTCCGCGTTCTAACCGTGGGCCGGCGTTGACGCGAGACCACGTTACGTCGCTTCCATTCGAGGAAGCACACCTGGTAGTGTTACGCGAGTTCGGGAACAACGCGGTAGACTACGAGCTCAAGCGTCTGGACAAGCGCGGCACGCACAGCCGCGCAGAGTACGCGTGCCAATTCGTACAGGGCCGGTTCCGATTCAAGATTCGCATCGAGGGCGACACGCGCAGCGCAAACATCCATGTCAAGAAGCGCGGTGGGAACGTGGACGCCGACGCGTTCCAGCGCTTCAACAACGACATTGCCAAAGTACTGCGTAAGGCACAATGCTAGTGCAAGGCACAGTAATAGAGCCGCCCCGGCTCAGCCGGGCGGAGACATCGTTTGTAAACATAGTTATTTAGACAAGACAATGAAATGTAGAGTAGCAAAAGGGGGATGGCGAGTTGCCGAAAGACGGGGGGCCTCAAAATCTCCGTACCGTGTGACATCAACACTTTCCGTACCAAGTGACATGTCTCGGCGGCTGTTCCCTCCCAATTCGCGTCGAGTTCTCACGGATCGTTTCTGAGATATTTATCGTCTATAGACACAGCGTGGCTACACAGGCCGCGGCCCACGGAGGGCGGCTTATTTCGAAGTGTCGACCACGTAACGGCCGAGGATCTTGCCTTCCTCCATGAGACTGTACACCTGAGGAAGTTCGGAAAGACCAATCAACTTGATAGGAGACTTGACCAGGCCTCTGGCGAAAAAGTCCAGCGCTTCACGGGTGTCGGCACGGTTACCGACGTACGAGCCCTTGATGCTGATGGACTTGACGACGTGCGAGAAAACCTCCGATTTGACGTAAGCATTGGCGGGTAACCCGACCAAAACCACGGTACCGGTGGGTCTGACGTATTCCGTCGACATGCTGATGGCGGCTTCCGACACAGACACGTTGATCACACCGTGGGGCCCACCGTGCGTGGCCTCCTGGATGGCGCCAACCATGTCCTTGGTCTTGGTGAAATCGATGAACACTTCACCGCCCAGCGATCTGAACAATTCTTCCTTGCCCTCACCACCGTCGATACCGAGCACACGGAGCCCCATGGCACGAGCGTACTGCACTGCCAAGGAACCGAGGCCACCGGCGGCACCGGAGATAGCCACCCATTGTCCGGGCTGTAACTCCGCGGTTTTAAGCGCCTTGTAAACAGTCACACCTGCACACAAAATAGGGGCCACCTGAGCGAGATCGGTACCCTTGGGGATCTGCGCGGCTTGGACGGCGTCTGCAGTGGCATATTGTTGGAACGAACCGTCGTGCGTGTAACCGGACAAGTCGGCTTTCAAACAGTTGGCTTCGTAACCCTGCTCACACAATTCACACGACATACACGATGAGTTTAGCCATTTGATACCAGCAAGATCGCCGATTTCGAAGTTGGTGACGTTTTCACCTTTGGCCACCACCACACCTGCACCTTCGTGGCCACCAACTAGCGGCAATTTGACCGGCAAAGGCCAGTCACCCTTCCAGGCGTGTAAATCCGTGTGACATACACCGGAGTACTTGACGTTGACCAGGATTTCGTTGGGCTTGGGTTTTGGCACGGGTAAGTCCTTGTAGAAGAGCTCACCGTGTGGCTCGTAGAAAATCACACCCTTTTGCGTGCTTGGGATAGCCGCAGACGCCAGTCCGCGTAGCGTGATGGTGAAAGGGCGCAAAGTGCGCGTAGAGCGCGCGGCGCGAACGGCCGCGGCTGTAGAGCTGCCGGTAGCAAAACGAGAGATCATTCTTGGAGAGTGGATGTTTGTAGGGGGAGAGGATTGAAGTTGGGGTAATAAGAGTGGGGGTTAAAGCGGGGTCGAAACCGTTGGGGCTTATGTAGTAAAATAGTGGGGTAGCAACCGCGGGCTCGAGGACTATAAGCTGGGGTGCCGGACTTTAGAACGAGTGCTCGCGTTTAAGATTGCACCGGGGGGTGCGGCGGGGCATTCGCCATTGGTCCGGAATATATACTGGCGGGCGTGCGCGCGGGTACGCCTGTACGAGAGGGGCTGACTGCCCCCTGCCCCTCTTCGGAGTGGTGTCAGACCACTGCACCTCAGCCGGGACTTCCCGCCGTTAGCGGCCGACGACGCGGCCGCGGACGGCGCGGCGCACAGAGCGGGCCGCGGGGTGAGTGCGCCCAGGAAACTCGAAGCGAAAATGGTACGGGCGGCAGTCACGCGGCGGCGGCAGCGTGCCAGAGCTGGGCAGGGGAGAAGAGGGTGGCCGAGAGGATGGCCGGGAGCGAGAGCGGGAGGGAAGCGAGACCGGAAGGGAAGAGCGGAAGGGAAAAGCGGGCGAGAGAGGAGCAAATCGCGCACGTGACGCGGGCACGTGACGCGCGCGCTGGCACGTGACGCGTCCGGAGCAGATCTGGCGTGCGCCCTCACCTCTTGCGCTGCTTCTTCCACTTGAACGTCACGCGCCCCGCAGCGTCCGTCACCTTCTTCTTGGAGCCCTTCTTCATGCCCTCGCGCTGCGTCTCCATGCGCTCCAACACGCCTGCCAGCTGTTTCTCGCGCGCTTGATGCTGCTGGATCTGGCGCAGCCGCTTCAGCCGCTTGCGCTCGAGCGTCTCGGCTGACATCCCCAGCGTGTCGACGCCCACCTTGAGGCTGTGGTCGGCCAGCTGCTCGCGCGTCAGCCGGTTTTCGCGCCGGCCCACCATTTCCTGCGTCGTGTTGAAATGCGACGCCGCGTCAAACGTCTCGAGCGCCTCGCGGTCCTCCACGAACACCGTGTGGCTGCCCTTCGCCTGGAACGTCACCGCGCCCGTTTCGCGCTCCAGTTTCTGTTTCTCGTTTTGCCGCAGCGTCCGCACGTAGTTGGCGTCCTGCGTCTTGAGTAGCTTTACCTGCGCCGTTGTGAGGCCCTCGTCGGCCGCGTCGTCGCCGCGACGCGACACCATCAAACGGCCCTTGGCGTCCACCGACCGCGAGTGCATCCCATGGTAGAACTCGTCTGGGTTCCGCTGCTGTGCCTTTTCGCGAAGAATCTTCAACGTCGCCTGCTTGCGGTGGTAGTCCTGCGCACGCTTCACATAGTCCTTGTGTTTCTCTAGAAAGCCGAACCGCGCACGCGACGCAACTTGCGAACGCTCACGATGCTGTTTCTTCTGAACATTGTGCACAAGTTTGGCCATCTTTGTTCTGCGATGAGGTGCCAGCTCTGAAGCCCAGACGGGCTCATCTTGCCAGAAAATTTTTTTTTCTACACCGTTTAAGAAGAGCATCGGTCGCGTTGTACGTGGTGAAACCGTTTCATTCGCACCATCTGCGATCCACCTTCAAGCACAAACCCACCAAAATCATCCTTAATGTCGAACCCTTCGTTGCCTCCCTTTCGCGACTCCCTATTGGGCGCGCTCGGATGCACCAAGAACCTGGTTTGCTACACCGACGATGCCTCCCTTGTCGTCGAGCAACTGCGCAAGCAGAAGCTCCCCTACGTGATTTGGGACAACTACGACAACATCGAATCGCGCGAAAAACCCTTCAACGCTCACATACTGGTGCTTCCAAACCTCGACAAGACCCTGGGTTGGCAGCAGGACCGTCTCGGCCGCTACTTGCAAGATATGCGCGCGCTCGACCCAACGCCCTTCTTCATCGCTATAGCCACTGTCTCCAGCTCCTTCGTGCCTCACCGCCACATGACCGCGTACCTCAAGCGCCAGTTCTGGTTTGCGTGTGCTGAGCCACAGCCAGGTTCACAAGATGTCCTATCCATTGACGAGGCCAGTTTGGCACGCTACCGTGCCGCACTGGCTGAGGTCTTCGTGCATCCGTCCGTGCGTCGCTACGTGCTCGACTTGATCATCCACATTCGCGTCCATCGGCTCGCAAAACAGGCTACGGGAGGCGGATGCTCCACCAATGCCCTGAAGGACATGTTGGCGGTCTGTCAAGTGCTAGCGTTACTCCAAGGTAAGTCGTTTGTGATTCCTGACATCGTAAAAACCGCCTCCATGTGGTATTTCCCATTCCACATCGATCTCATCGAAGATCCAGCCGACGAGATCTCGCTTCAGTACGGAAGCGACCCTGCACTAGTCGCGGATCTCGTTCACAAATTACAGAACTTTTCGCTTTCCAAAAGTGTGGAAACGAACTACCCTCTTTATTTTCAGTTCATGGTATTGCGTGATGTCCTAAGTAACGTCATTCCCGCCATATGACATTTTTTTTTGACTCTCCCCACGCTCGGACTTATCCGATTCCCCGACAAATACCTATAGTGTCAATTATTTGCACCCACTGCGGTTTTGATGCTGCTTCCGGTTAATGACTTTTTCCATGTTTTTGTTTTCCGCTTGACCGTTTTCGATTTACTCGGTCTACGTCATTGGACCCTCTCAGGCACGCCCAGGAAAGCCAGCGCGGTTCACGTGGCTGTCAAAAATAGAAGTTTACGAAAACCTGAAGAGACACAAAGAGACAAGAATTGCAGCGTAAGAAGAGTATAAGAGGGGTGGGCTAACTGTGGAACCCTGAGAGATTTTGGAAGGTTTTCCTATAGTCAATCTAAGTTGAAAAAACAAGATTTAAAAATGAAATACTCTACAACCTTTTCCATCGCTTTGTTGGCTTTTGCCAAGTTCATCGTTGCCGACTCCGAACAATTCGGCCTTATCGCCATCAGGTCCGGTTCAGCTCTACAATACGCCTCCCCTTATGTGGAGGATGGTAAGTTGTACTTGGGCAGTGGCGACAACAGTGTCTCTGGTGTGGTTACCGACAGCGGGAAACTAAAGTTCTCCGACGACACTTACGCTGTGGTTACCAGCGACGGTTCTATCATCGAGGGTTCTGAGTCCGATGCCTCCACTGGGTTCTCTGTTGGCGACGGCTACTTGAAATACAACGGTAGCAGCGGTTTTGTTGGTGTCGCTTCCGACAACAAGTACATTTTCTCCACTGAGGGCAACGCTTCCGGCGATCTAGGCGTTGCTATTAGAGCTACCGGCTCAAGCGGCTCAACTATCCCAGATTTCACTCCTTCTGGGTCCTCTTCCGCCAGCACTTCTGCTACTTCTTCTGAAGTCGCTTCTTCCACCTCTGAGGCTGTCTCCTCTACCTCTACCTCTGAGGCTGCCTCCTCGACTACCTCTAACTCTGAGGCCGCCTCCTCGACTGCCTCTACCTCTGAGGCTGCATCCTCCACTTCTTCCGAAGCTGCCACTTCTGCTGCCTCCTCCGTCGCTCCAGTGTCTCAAATTGACGATGGTCAAATTCAAGCCACTACCGCCACTTCTTCCGCTGCTCCTCCAGTGGCCACCACTTTGTCCGCGGTATCTCAGATCACTGACGGTCAAGTTCAAGCCACTGCCTCCATTCAACAGCAAACCGAAAACGGTGCTCCAAGAGCCGTTGCCGGGGTTGGAGCTGGTATTGCTGCCGCTGTAGCCCTACTTTTGTGATTTGCATCGCCCTGCATCTTTGTACGACTAAATAATCGCCTATGAAAAAACATTAATTCTTTGCATTTGCCTTCACATTGTCAGTATAAAACATCATCTCCGGGTGCTCCTGCTGGAAAGCATCTATCAGTTGCCTCCAGTCACCAAAAGCTAGTAAAGGCAAGCACCTGCCGGACTTGGCCGTTAATCTTGTCAAACAGGAGATCCCCCGCGACTAGAGCGTTTGCTTCGCTTTCCTCCCAAAACTTATCCAAGGAGTTATACGAATCAGCGTATCGCTATGACGTAGAGCCGTTTACAGTTGCGAGTCTCCATTGATTACCCGATTTAACAACTTTTAGCTACAATCAAATATTAGCATGCCTGCGATCGCAGGCAATGCTTGAGCTCGGTTAACTCACCAGGATTTGTCAAGCTTTTTGCAAAATATTGTGTTCAAGCGAAGTTATAATAGAGCTTCGACTAGCTTTTAATAAAGCATTATATAAGGCTAATGAGGCAAATTAGCAATGCTTTTTCGAAGCTTAAAATAGATTTATGCGAAACATTGTGCTATGAGCTTTAATAACAAACACGTTTCTATCCCGGTTACTTGGCATGTTTTCAACAGCTGTCAAAATTATTTTTGCGTCGCGCCAAGTTTCACCTGCTGCGCATGTTTCTCGAGAAAGAGCGTTGCAAAACTCGAGAAATTAAAATGCAGCCTGCATTTTTAGAATTAGACACTTGTTGTGCTCTAGCGTATGCTCAAGAGTGAAACCTTGCCGTTTAAATGGCATTGTGCAAATTAAGTGGGGAACAAAGGTGGTTTCCCAGTATACAAATTGTTATTGTTAGAAATGCAAAAACATACCAACTTATTGTTTCAAGGGTATTGTTGTTTCTGAATATCAGTTAAAGGAAATTTGGGTTGTATATAATAGTTGTGTCATAGAACAGTATTTCAAAACTTGGCATTGATATCGTTATCGAGCTAAGCATCAATGAGATTCTCTTATACTATTATCCTCGGAACTTTTGCATTCTTTGAGACCGCCCTTTCTCAATCCAATGGGCCTGTGTCCAGCATCATTGTCACAGAGACGTCATGCCCTCCTCCTGAACCCTCAGAATCATCTGTCAGCCATGAATCTACCTCTTTTACCACCGTGACAACTACATACTGTCCTCCAACTGAATCTACTGCAGTCTCCACGAGCGCCGAGGAGACCACCTACACTACCGTACTCTCAACGATATCCTCTCAAGAGTCTCCATCTAGCGTCGTGGTTACAAGTGTCTACGAGACTAGATTTTCCACATTGACGTCTACCGTGTGCCCTCCTATCTCAGAGACGTCGATTCCACCAGTAGAGTCGACTGTGGTTCCTCCAGTAGAGTCGACCGTGGTTCCCCCAGTTGAATCAACTGCCGTCCCACCTGTGGAGTCCACTGCCGTCCCACCAGTCGAGTCCACAGCCGTTCCTCCAGTCGAATCCACTGCCGTCCCACCTGTCGAGTCCACTGCTGTCCCTCCTACTGAATCCACTGCTGTCCCACCTGTTGAGTCCACAGCCGTTCCTCCAGTCGAATCCACTGCTGTCCCACCTGTTGAATCCACTGCCGTCCCTCCTACTGAATCCACTGCTGTCCCTCCTGCTGAATCCACTGCCATCCCACCAGTCGAATCCACAGCCGTCCCACCAGTCGAGTCCACAGCTGTTCCTCCAGTTGAATCCACTGAGGCGTCAACAATTTCGACAGCCATTTCTACCGAGCAGGTCTCTACTCAAACTACCCCTGTTTCCACCACATATGCTTCGACAGTGGAAACCTCAGTTGTGAGCACTCCAATCTCCACCTCTGCTGAAATTACGATGACCGCCCCAGTGGTTGAGACACACAATGTTGCGGCTTTTGCCCGTCCTGAATTTGGTGCTGGCCTACTCGCGGCTGCTGCCTTCCTCCTTTGAACAGAGCTACACCTGACAAGGCATTTTTATGTTACTTGAAATGATGTTGCATTTTTTTTTAAGTGCGTTCGTTAGATCTCGACGAGATTTTTACAGCTTAATCGACGACTTGCTTGATTGGCTCGATTAAATATAAGTTGGAAACCCTATATCGTCCTTTTGTATGTTAATGTAGCTCATGATAACTAGTTACAATACTCTGAATATACAGCGACTATTTTTTTATCACGTGACTGTAATCATAATTAATTTTTCATGGTGAGCAAGATGAGCTTATATGAATGGCTTGGAATTCAACTGTTCACTATAATAACTCTTGTAAAGGCTCTTTCAAGGACGGATGTCAGAGAGAAAGGTTATTAACAAGTATTACCCGCCAAATTTCAACCCTCTAGAGGCAGAAAATGCGGCGCGCAAGCTTTCGAAGAAACTAAAGACTATGAATAAGGAGTCTATCACGATCCGATTAATGACTCCATTCAGCCTGAGGTGTTTGAAATGTTCAGAGTACATACCAAAAAGTCGGAAATTCAATGGTAAAAAAGAGCTCTTACCAGAGAGGTATCTGGAAACGATCAAAATCTATAGACTGAGCATAAAATGTCCACGGTGCAACAATATGATATCTTTTAGGACAGATCCCAAAAGCGGAGACTACGTAATGGAGATTGGTGGGGTGCGCAACTATGTAAAGCAGCAGGACCTCCCCAAGCCGGATGAAACCCTAGACGAAACACTCGAACGCTTAGAGAAAGAGCAGCAACAGGAAAATGCTAAGCTAGCCTCTGACGGTCAGGAGGACAGGCTTGAGCAATTGGAGACACGTCTTGCCAAGCTTCAAAAGGAAGAACAAGACCTTGAAGAACTTGAGCAACTTCGTAAGCAAACCACGCTGCGAATGAGAAGGGCACGCGATTTTCAGGCTCCTGACGTGGGGACAAATGAACGGGAAGAGGACTTAGACGAGCTCATCGCAGAGCAAGCCTTCAAGCAGGATAAAAAAGATGCCTCGCAGTCTCTCGAAAAGGAGCGAAGTTCTGGTCGCCCGGACCTCGCGCCATCGTCTTCGGACGTTCCTGTAATACCGCACCGAATTCAGTTAAAGAAGAAATCTAAAGCTAATTCCCTGGGTGTGGTCATCAAGAAGAAGAGAAAAAACTAGATACTCACATATATACGAGCACAGTGCCGCGGCGCCGGCGCAAGCAGCAATGCTACATTCTCCTTTCTTTCACAAATTTCTAGATATTGGAATTACAAAAACTTCAATTGTACGGATAAGATACATCTCAATGACTTGTTTCGCATTGATTCCGGCCGATATGATCTCTCATCAGTCAAGTTTAGCACTTGTATCTGAGAATACAAGCATTGGACGTTTTACGACAAATAATGTTACCCTGCCAATTGGATGTAATCATGTGGAACACATCGAATGGATAAAGTACCCCAAAGAAAGTTCCATACTTCTGTGTACAGCATACAATGTTCTTCTTCAGTAAGCCCACATTAGAAGCTCAGGAGTATCCTTACAATGCAACCACTTTTGATCCCAAGAAACAGAAGCACGAATTCAATGGTGCGAATTTCACCTATGTAATGTGGCCCAGCACGCTAAAGGATGAGGCGTCGGGCGAGGTCATCACCAAGGCTCGCATGCTTATCGTTCACGGGTTCGATGAGCATACACAGCTATATAGCAGGTTTATGGACAATCTGAGCGCAGTCGGCATCGAATCGTTCATCTTCGACCAACGGGGGTCCGGCGAGACGTCGCCGGGCAAACTCAAGGGCCAAACTAACGAGTTCCACACGTTCAACGATCTAGACCACTTCCTGGAGTGGAACCTCAAGGACAAGGATGCCGCCACGCCGCTTTTCCTGTTCGGCCACTCCATGGGCGGCGGGATCTGTCTCAACTACGGGTGCAACGGTCGCTACAAGGACCAAGTCGCAGGAATCACGGTCACGGGCCCACTTGTCGTACTACATCCACACACGCAGCCACGCGCGATCGTTCGGCTCTGCGCACCGGTACTGGCTGCTGCGCTACCCCGTCTGCGCATCGACACAGGACTCGATATCGATGCCACCACCAGCGACCAACGCTTCCGCGACTTTCTGCGTCACGACCCGCTCACCATGCCGGTTTACGGCACATTACGCCAGATCTACGACTTCATGGAACGTGGCAAGCGTCTCATCCACGACAAAGCCCATTTGTCCCGCTTCGACCGCCCGGTCCTCGTGCTCCACGGCCAAGATGACCGTATAAATGACCCTCAGGGCTCTCAGAGTTTCCACGACCTGTGCCCCGTCACCGATAAAACCCTCAACTTTTACCCTGCTGCCCGCCACTCCTTGTGTCTCGAGACCGACTCCGTTTTCGAGCAAGTCTTTCGAGACTTGTCTGTCTGGGTCCTGCACCACTGCGACGACGGAAACGACCACGACTCCGCGCGCTTGCGTCCTGCACAAGTTCCAAGCAATTAATAGCTAGCCCCTCGCATTATTCGCGTGCCTGCTCCTCCCTATCTATGCCAAGCCAGCTCGTGTTTGGCTCGGTAACCCATCTTTTCCGTAAATTAGCCAAGAATCACCATATTGGATGCAAGGATTTTTTTTCTCTTCTGTGGGGAAGACGCATGGAAGACGCAGGGTTTTTGTCCGTATATAAACAGCAGCAAAAAATATAAGGAGACTTCAACTTCATGTGTAACAAGATTAAACAGGATTATTAGCAGGCTTGAATACTGTTATGAGCGAGAAAAAGATTGTTGATGGGCCAAAAGTATGTGATAAACTGAGGGATTTGAAAATAGACACAGGAGTGGAATCTAAAAATGGTTGCAAAACGGAATGTGGAGTGGGCTGCGAGGATGGCTGCGAACCGGGATGTGATACGTGTCACTGCGAAGACAGTTTGGACATTTTCGAGCGATGCGTCCAGGATCCGTGCTCTGCGGCGTGTAACGATCTTGACGAAGAGCAATCAGACTGCGCAGTGGAAGAAGAGCACGACTGTGAGCCGTACATGGACGACGAGTTGGATCCACTGCAGGAAAATGTGGTTTGTGACGGGCACGAGTACGGACGAGGCCCCAAGGGCGAAAAGCGCGCACGCGACGGCAAAAACGATTGCGAAAGCCGGTGTTCCAACTGCCACCGACTGCGGCGCTGGAAGACCGACGGGCACGCGGACGACCCCAGCGAGCCCGTGCTGCGCTGTTCGCGCACCAACAGTTTCATGTCGCAGCTGTCGCGACAGGCGTCGCGGCAGTCGCTTCCAGACGCGGGGGACGCGCTCGATATGTCTCCAGGAAGCCGTTCACGGTCGCGATCGTCGTTCAGTGGCACAGGCGCGATCCCAACACACCTGTACTGTCTGGAGCGCTTTGTGTCGTCAGAGCTCGACTCGGCTGCAGAGTTCTTCTTCAAAGGCGACTCCGCAGACGAAAACACACGTATGGCGTCTCCAGTCACGTCTATCACATCACAACACTGTCCTAGCATCCTGCATGCAACAACATCTACCTCGCCCGTGGGCTCCGCTGGCCAAACACAAACCAAAGAAGCCGATAGAGCGTCGCCCGAGGCCATTCCAGCATTTCTCACTAGACGCAAGTCCCGAATGTCCTCTATTGAAGTGTCTTTACTCAATTCACTGTCGTGAGCCGCGGTTGGCGTACGCAGGTAAGAAGCTACTTTCTTTGGCTATTAGCTATTCGAATAGATTTGTTACACAGATGTTTGATTCCTCCGTTAATTTGTAGTTTTTTACATTAATCTTCTAATACTGGTGCATATTATTAATTAAATGGTTTATTGCGTTGACGAGAGTCGCTCTGCAGCAACTTGATATCATTCATCTCTCGACGATCACATTTACGTGTTGTAATGAGTGCCATGGTCTTCGGTCCGTTCAGCATGAGACCGCTGCTGAAATTTTTTTTTGCATTGCTCATCAAAAACTTGTCCAAGGCCTTTAGCGTGCACTGAACTTTAAAATAACAAGTGCTTAGGAGTCTCCAGATCAGCTCTTAAAATTGATGGTCTTTTCTAGTTAAGTTTCCAAAGAGTTACAAATATTTTACACGTAAAAGTTTTCTGGACGCCACCAACAAAGACACTATAAAAGTTTTAGATTATATGGTTGTGGAAAGCGCTTTATTTTCCAAACCTCACCATGATGGAGAAGGCTCTTCAGTGTCTGGCTCCGATATGGGGAGTATAGATGACACTGGTAATTATTACTTCGATTCCGACACAGAGGCAGCCGCGCTAGATCAACAGGACGATAACGAGCTCGGACAGACAGTGGCGGGGGCCGTCGCGGAGCATGCATGCGCATATTGTGGAATCGACTCTCCCAAGTGCGTTATCAAGTGTAACTCCTGTAACAAATGGTTTTGTAACTCAAAGAATGGTACCTCGAGCTCCCATATCATCAACCACCTCGTACTTTCACACCACAACGTTGTTTCGCTTCATCCTGACTCAGACCTCGGTGATACCGTCCTTGAATGCTACAATTGTGGCTGTAAAAATGTTTTTGTTTTAGGGTTCGTCTCTGCGAAGAGTGAAGCCGTTGTTGTCATTCTATGTCGTCTGCCATGTGCACAAACGAAAAATGTCAATTGGGATACTGATCAATGGCAATCTTTAATTGAAGATAGACAATTCTTGCCCTGGGTTGCAGAAGAATGTGATGAAGAGCAGCTTTTAAAATCGAGAATGATTACTCCTACGCAAATTTCCAAGCTGGAGGCGAAGTGGCGTTCTAACAAAGATGCTACCATTAGTGATATTGACGCTCCTGATGAACATGAAGAAGTGCCACATGTCCTCATGCGCTACGCAGATGCGTATCAGTATCAGAGATCTTTTGGTCCTCTAATCAAGATCGAGGCTGACTACGACAAACAACTCAAGGAGTCGCAAGCGTTGGAACACATATCTGTCACTTGGACACTAGCACTCAATAATAGGCATCTTGCGTCTTTCCCTCTATCTACGTTTGAATCTAATGGCCTAAAAGTTGCTGTTGGGGATGAGATGATTTTAAGATACTCTGGTTTGCAACATCCGGAATGGGAGGGACGTGGTTATATTGTTCGACTACCCAATAGTTTTCAAGATGAATTTACGTTGGAGTTGAAACCCAATAAGACGCCTCCTCCAACTCACCTAAACACTGGTTTCACTGCTGAATTTGTCTGGAAGGGTACATCCTATGACAGGATGCAGGAGGCTATGAAGAAGTTTGCTGTCGTCAAGAAGTCAATTTCTGGATTTCTTTACTACAAAATTTTGGGACATGATGTTCCCGATCTTGAATTTGATGTTAGCATGCCAGAACAGTTCTCAATACCTCATTTCACTCAATTGAATGTTTCTCAGGCAAACGCGGTTAAACACGTTCTCCAAAGGCCGCTTTCTTTAATTCAAGGGCCCCCTGGTACAGGTAAAACTGTGACATCCGCAACAATCGTATATCATTTATCAAAATTGCATAAGGAACGCATATTGGTTTGTGCACCATCTAATGTAGCTGTTGATCATTTGGCAGCAAAATTACGCGATCTGGGTCTTACGGTGGTACGCTTGACTGCCAAGAGCAGGGAAGATGTTGAAAGCTCTGTTTCAGATCTGGGATTGCATAACTTGGTCTCAAGATCGGCTAAAGGGGAACTCAAGAAGCTTTTGAAATTGAAAGAGGAAGTTGGGGAGCTATCTTCTATCGATACAAAAAAATTTGTGAAGCAAGTGAGAAGATCTGAACTTGAAATACTGAAAAAAGCTGATGTCGTCTGCTGTACTTGTGTAGGTGCAGGTGATAAAAGGTTGGAGGCCAAGTTTAGAACAGTCTTGATAGATGAAAGTACACAGGCATCAGAGCCGGAGTGTCTGATCCCTATTGTTAAGGGTGCCAAGCAAGTTGTACTAGTCGGGGATCATCAACAATTGGGGCCCGTTATATTGGACAGAAAAGCCGCAGATGCAGGTTTAAAGCAGTCACTATTTGAAAGACTTATTTCATTAGGACACGTTCCAATTCGATTGGAAGTCCAATATCGTATGAACCCCCACCTCAGTGAATTCCCAAGTAATATGTTCTACGAAGGCAGTTTGCAAAATGGTGTTACTATTGAACAAAGAATAGTGACAAATAGTACGTTCCCTTGGCCCATTCATGACCTTCCTATGATGTTCTGGTCCAATTATGGTAGAGAAGAAATTTCGGGCAATGGTACATCTTATTTGAACAGAATAGAAGCTATGAATTGTGAACGTGTTATTACCAGACTATTTAGAGATGGGGTGAAACCTAGTCAAATTGGTGTTATTACCCCTTACGAAGGTCAAAGAGCGTATATCGTTCAATACATGCAAATGAATGGCTCTCTGGATAAAGATCTTTATGTCAATGTAGAGGTTGCGTCAGTTGATGCCTTCCAGGGTCGTGAGAAGGATTATATCATTCTATCATGTGTTCGTGCCAATGAGCAACAAGCAATCGGATTTTTGAGTGATCCTCGTCGTTTAAATGTGGCATTGACAAGGGCAAAATATGGTCTCATTATATTGGGTAATCCTAGATCCCTGTCGCGGAATAGTTTGTGGAATCACCTTTTGATTCATTTCAGAGAAAAGGGCTGTTTGGTTGAGGGTTCCCTTGACAATTTGCAACTGTGTACTGTTCAATTGACAAGACCTCGTGTCAATCGTAATAATCGCCGCCAAAACATTAGCAGATTCGAGTTCTCTAAAGCTACTGACATGGGACAAGGTTCTATGGCAGATTTTGATGCTCAGAGCTTAATCTCCTTTGGGGGTGTTGAAGGTGTCGAATTTGGAGGAAATAATTTAGTTCCAAACACGGACATGACTTCTTTTCTGGGCAATAAATATTGGAATACAGTCCAAATGCCGCCAAATGGAAGCACTCTTAGCAATGATAACACCTACAATGGTGATAATAGTTTCGATTCTAGCTTAGCTAGAGGCCTACAAAGATATAACGGTGCATCATCAAAATATGATGACGGTACTCAAGGTAATGACGCTTCGGTCAAGGGTTTGGAATCGTTTAGAAACCTCAACATATAAGTAATTAGCTGAACATTTTACTAATTTTTGAACGTCCCACACATGTATACCTCATTCTTAGACCACATTTCAGTTTCATAAATCAAAATTGTGCAAGAACGCAATATATATTCGGCATTGATATTTTAAATGGCAAGTAGCTATGATTGAGATTTTCATATGTGTATACGTATTTAATGGATCAAAAGGCAGCATCTTATTCTACCTCAACTCTTCTTGAACAGGCGGAGGAATTTGTTTGTTCCCTTCCCATCTTGATTGGGCTCTCCCGCTGCCTTCCTTACGATCTGCGAAAATTTCCTGGATTTGGAGTGTCGTAGCTTTGGTACTGACTGATTGATTATTTTTTCATCTTCGGATTGTGACATTGAATTTAGATCATTAAGTGATTGACTTCCATTATTGAAGAATTTAATGTTGCTAGAAGTATTAGTAAAAACCCTTTTCAGGCCCTCTTTTTTGGCGAATGTGTCATGCAGATCGATCTTGAGATTTTTATCCTTGTCAAAATATAGGCTTTCAATCAAAAAGTCTGCAAATTCAGCTTTCCCAATGATGATATCGCTTGGAAATTCGTAATCCGACAAAACGTGAGTCAAGTGGTCGATTTTATGATGTAATAGGCTTGCTTCCTGTTCTAGGTTTTTGACCAGATCTCTGCTTTCTTTAGGAGACACGCTATTCAATTTACCATTTCCTTTACTTTCATTTTCTTCATCGGCAAGAAATTTCATCAAATCATCTCCAAAGACTTCAGCGTTATTTTCACTCAGTTTTTCAAATTCGAGCTCACCTATTTTTATTCTTTCGTCTGTAGGTGACGTTGGGAGGGTTGCAGATGTATCTTTGGATAATCTATTCATACTAATACTCCTCGAGCGACTTTCTGGCAGCCCCACATTTTGTTTGGTCATTGCGAAAACACTGATGAGCTCTGTCTCCCTCAAATATTTGTCGATTAAAAATGGATTGGACGGTAGTTCCTTAAGGATACTTTTATTCATCGTTAATTTGGGTCTTGCGACGCTGTCGCTTAATTTCAGACATTTAGGTGAGAAGTCAAGCTTCTTCTCGGTGACTTTGTCCATGTAATCTAATAATTCCTCTTCGTGAGCTGATATAAAGTCATTCATTCTGATCATCCATGGTTCCTTCTGCCCAAACGGTGTCAAAGTAGATAAGTTCAGTAGAACCTTAGTCAATAAAGTTAAAGTTCTCCGAGAAGCCTCTGATGGGTGGTTCTCAACCATGTTAAAGAGCTTTGGATTTAAGATAACGGGACAGAAAAAACGGAGAAACAAGAACCCGGAAATGCAGTTTATAGTACTTCTCACATCATCATCGCCATGGCGCATTATTTCTAGCTTTTTGCGAAATATTTTTAGTTGATCTTTAACCCCAGAAGGCAAATCATTACTGGTAAGATAGATGCGTCTCCATAAATGCTCAATGCACCTTGAAAAATTTTGAAAGTTTTCATCTAATATTTGTTGCTTTTTACCTGCATCACTCTCTTTGATTCTATTCGGATCCAGTTCCAGGCATTTGCCACTTTTAATGATTCTTCGAAGAATATTACCAATTGCCTTATCTAGATATTCTTGACCAATTCTGTAACAATACTTCTCCACAGATTTCGTTAAGATAGAATTGCCTCGGAAAAGAGAGTTGTAAATATGAGCAGATGAAAGGTTATTATTGTTGTTTTTCAAAACAGAGTCGTCTATTTTGGACATTTCCTTGTCAATTAACGCGTGAAACCAGTCATTCTCACGTTCAATCGCTTGAAAAATATCCAAGAACACTATGGAAAGATCCTCTAATTTCAAAATATCACTGATTGAAGGATCATAGACATATTCTGTCATGCTTTTTAAATCCATGGCTGATAGAATAGATTCAAACTTGGTGAAGTTAATTGAAGGTAAGACGAAATTCAAACTTGAATCGATCTTGATACAAATGGTACCTAATTGGAAATGTTTGTTTTCCGCGTCGAATATAGGAAGTCTTGTTTCGACATTTAGGGTGGTCTCATTTATCATTTCCTGCGTAACCTCTATGTGACCTAGTATTTTGTCAGAGCTGTGATAGACACTGTTTGCAGTATCTGCTTGCCTAATGCAAATGCATACTGGAGATGTTTTGACCGAAAAATTGAAATTAAACTCCTCTCTCCAGAAAGGTGAGTTTGAGGAAGAAACAATGGAGGTTCTGGCCCATGGATAGCCCCAAATTGAAACTTCTGCATAGAGTGATGGCGGCTCTTGCTTTGCAGTTTCTGCATTCATTTTTGATAAGTTAATGCCACTAAAGTCGGCCTCGAGAATTGAAATCTTGAATCGATTCGAAATTCTCAATTCATTAGACTTATCGGTTCCAATTAGTGAAACCATCTCTAGCTTAGCATAGGAGCTTAAAGCAACATACCAGTCCTCTAAATCTATTCTCAGTGGAAACTGAAGAAAGAAACGTTGCAATCCTACTTGGGATCTTGATATATTAGAAAATAAAGTATCATTTGTCGAGAGCCCTAACTGATTGCGTAGTGCTGGAATGATTCCTAAAAACAGGTAGTTGTCATTTTGGAATATTGAAGAATCCAAAATTTGGATTTCCGATCTTAATAGCAGAGGAATATTGATAGAGTAGAGTAGGGAGCCATCACTTTGCAATAGCAAGTCAAGAGTTCCGTCAGACTTTAGCCGCCCCATCGCTGAAAACCAACCCTCATCAGCTTTATTGTGGGATATATGAGGTTCAGGAGGCGGAAGATAATTCTCGAGTAAATGAACATGCTTGTTTCTGGGAATTGGGCCGTAGATATTAAACTGACAAACAAGCAGATCCACAGGTTTCCCTTGGTTTGGGAAAATGGGCTGAACCACTGAACACTTATTGAAAATTCCGCGATCTTTCAAGCTTTTCCAGAAGAGCAAGGCCGAGAGCAACTCCAAGAATGTGGAGTGATCTGTAACTCGTAGGTAAATTGTATTATAGTAAGTCTCCACTTTAATAATGGAACACTCGAGTCCTACTTCGTCAATCAATTGGAGCTTACAGCTCTGAAGATGCTTGATGATTGCTCCATTTGAAGTACTAGCAGATTGGGCTGTCTTTTGAAGATCTGCAACGCTCTCTTTGCTCACCGCATGGCATAGCTCACCGGTTTCATTGATCGCTAGATAATGGGTACGCCAGTCATTTAAAGAAAGATTGCTACACCACTGTACTTCACCCCGAAACAAGCCCCTCTTCGTCTGGATCATTGAGATTACCTGGTTCTTGATCGTCGGCTGTGTCTTAAAATTGCCGTTCGTTAACAGGGGTGAACCGTCCAGAGGCGACATCCCTCCTACAGGCGATGGCACAGATATATTGACTTGAATACCACCCATTGTCTTTGGCACAAGAGACTTTATTTGATTTCTGGTGGATGGTCGACGATTTTATTGGTATTTCACGAGACGCGTTTATTTCGGCACCTGCCAAGACAAATTACGCAGCCTCCGATGAAAACAAACAAGCTGAAAAACAATTCAAATTATGGATGTAAAAAGATATCGTGTATACAATGCACAACTATTTAGAAATTCTTTAGATATCGAAAGCCTTTGGGGCTTCACCCTCAGGTCCAATATACTGGGGATCTCTCCAAGGACCGACATCAGAGAGGTACAAGCCACCCTCTGCATCGCTCACTTCAGATTTACCCCCGAACTTGACTGGCAAGTTTTCAGCAGGAATCTGTTTCAAAAGATCTTTTTGGTAAGAAGAGCCTAGGATGAAGATTTTAGAAACCGTGACGGGATCTAAGAATGGCTTAAAAAGGCGGAAAGCGGTAGAGAAGCCGAATGGCGCATTGATCAAGTAAAACTTACCCATACGTTCCGGGTAGTAGTTTTGGCCAATGTAGGAAGCTTCTCTGACGTAGCTTAGAACTTGAGCAGCAGCGGAAATAGAGATGCCCTTCAAGTCCAAGATAGTGCACGAAGTCTCGACCAGGTAGCCAAACTTTCTAGAGCAAGCAGGCAACCTGTATCTGACGAAAGATTCGTACTCCCAAACCAAGTTCTTCAACATGCGCTCTTGTGTAGTGATCTTGTACATCTCGGTCAAGTTGACTGATCCCAGCTCTTCAATGTAAACTGGGCGACCTTCCTTGTCAGTCTTGTGGTAATACTGTGGGTAGTACTTCGCAACCAATGGTTTTTCCTCATAGTGGAAGTCTTCAAATATGGTGTCTACACCGTATTCTTTTCTCCATTTTTCACAGTTCTCGTACATCAATTTGGCAGCTGGGATGTCGAACTTACGAGCTCTTAGGAAACGAAGTAAAGTCGATTCATCCAAGCGTTGCGTGTATCCAGCTTCAGAGAGAACCTTTTTGAATTCTTCAAGAGCCTTTTGTTGCTCATCAGTCAAATTACCGGGTGTGCCTGGCAATGATCCGGGAGCACACGTTTGAGGATAAGATTTCAATAATTCTGCTTCCTGCAACCTATTGTTAGTAAAAAAAAGCCACAATATAACACTTCTCAACTATTCACATACAGAAACCATTCTATTGTACACTTCCACTACGCCACTTTCAACCATTGCTTTCTCTGCTGCCAAAGTTTGAGTTGTTTTTGTCCAAACATTTGTCAAGCCCGGGTAATTCTGGGCGAAATGGTTTACGCGTGAGCATGGAAGTATTTACTCTTCACATAACGCGAGAACAACATGAGCTTCCCACCGGCTCCTCAATTTGGTGATAGCATTCTCTTTGCTAAACCTAGTGTGTCTGAGAAGTCGTTTACTACAAGCCAGGGGAAGGTTATTAAATTACGCCGGAAAACAAGAAGAGATGATGTCGCGGTGACGTGGAAACATGATGAGTCTTATGGTATAGACATTAACAAGCTTTTGGATCTTGTTGAAGCTTCCAAGGATCAAAAAAGTGTGATCAGTCGGCCAGGAAGTAAACAAAGGCATCAAAGTATACTTTGGACTGAGAAGTGGAGGCCTAAAACCTTTTTTGATCTAGTGGGCAATGAACGCACAAACAGGCGGGTATTGAAATGGCTCAGGCAATGGTCTCCACTGGTGTTTGGTGAAACGCTTCCCAAAGCACCAAGCACAAACTGGCACTCAAAAAATGACACAATCTCAGAAGATCCCCTTCTTAGACCAAATAAACGAATCTTACTTATCAACGGCCCACCAGGTATCGGCAAAACGTCTGTGGCACATATTGTGGCTAAGCAAGCCGGATACTCTGTGGTAGAAATAAACGCGAGCGACGAGAGAGCAGGTCCTCGTGTAAGGGACAAGGTCTACAATGCGCTATTTAATCATACTTTTGATAACAAGCCTGTTTGCCTGATTGCAGATGAAATTGACGGGAGCGTAGAGAATGGTTTTGTAAAGGTTTTGATAGATATTGTCAACCACGATTACAAAGCAACACAGCGGCTCATTAGTGAGGGCTCCCTTAAGGGTAAGCGAAAGGGACGAAAGAAGTCTTTCAATCTTCTAACAAGACCAATAATAACAGTTTGCAACAACATATACGTGAGTGCACTGGACAAATTGAAACCTCATTGTGAGATCGTCACTTTCAATAGACCTGTAGAGAATGCCTTGCTTGACAGACTTGAGCAAGTATGTCGTAAAGAGAATTTACGCCTCGATAAAAAAGCCTTGAAGGAGATCACGGAGCTAGCACAAGGAGATATACGAAATTGCCTCAATAGCTTGCAGTTTTTAGCCTCGAATGATTGTTCTGATCCATCTTTCACCTCTGACAAGGATGATCAGTCAAAAGACACGAGCCTTTCTTGGTATAGGATCTGCAACAAAATATTCAAAAGAGATCCTCACGTGGATACGCGACATCAATTTAAAAGCTTGTTGAGACATGTGGAGGCCAATTCGAATTTCGAGAAGATCATTCAGGGTTGTTTTACGCTATATCCAGATGTTAAATACTCCGATAATGGTGTGAACAAACCTAGCATGCTTTCTGATTGGCTATACTTCAACGATCGAATGTTCAATTCACTTTTCGAACATAATGGTGACCTGATCCGATACAGCGCAGTTGTTCCAATGGTGTTTTTCCAGCATTTTAGTGACATTGCAAACAAAGAAGATCTTCGCATCAAAACTAATGATTACGAGCTCAGAGAGCGCCAAAAGAGCATAGCTGATTTGTTGAAGTTAATCTGTGCTCGTATTCCCATTGGGGCGCGTGTTTATATGGATCGAGAATCGTTAATACAAGAGATTCTACCATTGTTGGACTACATAATCGCTCCTGATATCGGAAAGATTAGAAATATTCAACTAAAGCAGACTATTCTCAACAGTGTGGTGGCTGCAATTGAAGGGCTTGGCTTAGGATTTGGAGAGACCAACGAAGCTGAGGTAGCTAATGTCATATGTATAGATCCTCCATTCCACAAAATATCTATTCTGGATGAAAAGAGGTTGAAAGAGGTGATAATCAAAAGGCCAGCATTGCTCAATCTTATTTTGGCAAAGGTACAGGAGAGTAAGGTGAAAAAAAGAACGGTTTCCAGAGTTCTCAAGGAAAACGAAAACGCGTCTGTAGCCAACAAAAGACAGAAAACTTCTAAGGGAAGCAATTCTAATCCAATTGAGTTTTTCAAATCACAGTATGGAACCATGCAGAAAAAACCTGATAATCAAAGTGTGGAGGAAGCGAATGCAGACAACACCTCAGAGAATGTCAGAATATGGGTACAGTACAACGAAGGATTTTCCAATGCCGTTAGAAAGAACGTGACATGGAGCTCTTTATGGCAATAGTTTTTAAACTTCTATAGATTTAAAGCAAAACTGCCGATGCATTATATATGAAGTCTTGATTAAAGAAATTAAGGAGCTGGCGACTTAATTTTTAAGATTTCGAACCGCTGGACGCCTTTCACCGGATTCCATAAAACACTCAAAACCGTTGGAAGTTACGAGAAACATGAATTTTTATTGCAACTCATGCCGATACTTTAGGTGACAATTATAGTAAATTGGAGGATCATCTTGACAAGTTATTTTTTACTCTACGCTTGTTCTGACTATCAAGAAACAGCTCTACCAAAATGATAAGAATTTTTCGAAGACATCATTAAAACTGCCATTATGCTATGCAAATGGAATAAAAGTTAAACTACTGGCCAGGGGGGATGGGGCGTTTGAGGTTACTAGCTTATTGGTACACCGACATCAAATTATTCGCATGAATCTCGCGTTTGCGACTACATTCAGATGTATGGGTTCCATTGTCATTCTTGTTCCTATTGTTGTTAGAAGCTCTTGCTTCACAAATGATGAAAGTGCTATAGAAGCCAGGCACAGAGAGCTAAGCGAATTAATGTAGAGTAATCATTTCAAGATAAGCTAAAAAAGAGAAGTCGTCGGCTTTTATGATAATCAATCTACAAGATATCATTGATTTGGATCTGATTTTGGATCAATCGTTCGATGAAATTTGCGCCTTTCTCGATGTGATTGTTTTTCAGAATTCGAGAATCCCGAGGGAGTGATTTCCAAAAAAAGAGAAAAATTCCATTGAAAAGTGATTAGAATATCCAATAACGTGAGAAGGCAAACGAGCGCATTCAAACTTGCGATAAGCGTCATAGGATAAAATAGAAGAGATTTTGAAACAAAGAACGCTCTAAATGATTTGCAAAGCATCTTGAATCAGTTCCAAAATGAATACGAACGATCTAGAGAAGCCGGTACTCTCTGCCAACAATGCCAGCGCACTTCATTGTGTCATGAGCAAGACAGACATCGAGATTGCACAGGAGGAAAGAGCACTTGAAACAAGCAGTGAACCATCTACTGCTTTAGGTCGCTTTCTCCGGAAACTCGAAGTTCCACACGAGGGAAAGCCCTTGTCTGTTTTAAGAAATCCTGACTTGGAGCCTGTTCCAGACAAAGAACGTACCTGGGGGTTTTGGTCTTATTTTGCCTACTGGGGTTTGCCCAACTTTTCGGTTGCTACGTTTTCTACCGGCTCTGCTTTATTGGCTCTCGATCTGAATATTCAACAATCTATTGGTGCACTCGTAATTGCCAACGTGCTTATTGCAGTTGCCACTATTTTAAATTCCAACCCTGGTATCAAATACCACATCGGTTTCACTTTGGATCAGAGAATGATTTTTGGGATTTACGGTTCGTATTTGGGTATCATCATCAGAGTCGGTCTTTCTGTGGTCATGTATGGCTACTCGGCGTGGCTTGGTGGGCTTTGTATGAACATGATCTTCGATTCATTTTCTTTCAACTACTTGAACATGAAAAACACATTTCCAGAATCTGTGCCGATGGCAAGGAAAGACTTGATTGGATTTCTATGCTTTCAATTGGTGCAAATGCCTTTTGCCTTTGTTAAGCCTCGTCGTGTGAACATCCCATCCATCGTCACTTGTTTTATGGCCTTGTTTGCAACAATTGGTTTACTGGCGTACTTGACAAAGACAAATGGTGGGCCAGGACCTATTTTTTACGAGAAAGTTACTCTTTCAGCGAGCCAACGTTCGTGGATGTGGTTGTTCGCCATCACTATCTGGTATAGTGGTGTCTCTATGGGTGTCGCTAACCAGTCTGACTTTTCTCGGTTTTCTTCCAATAAAATGGCATGCTACTCAGGGCTATTCATTGGTACCGTGCTTCCCGGTACGTTCATTTCATTAGCAGGAATGCTCTGCGCATCCGCTTGTCAAGGGCTGTACGGTGAAGCGTACTGGACCCCCGACGAAATTGTCAGTCAATGGCTAAATGATAATTACTCCTCAAAAGCAAGAGCTGCTTCCTTCTTCATTGGAATTAGTTTTACTGGATCTCAAATGTTTTTGAATTTAACCCAGAATGGATATGCCTGCGGTATGGACTTGGCAGGTATTTTCCCAAAATACATCAATGTTGTGCGTGGTACGTTGTTTGTGCAACTTATATCTTGGGTCGTCCAACCATGGACATTTTTCAACACCTCATCATCCTTTTTAACAGCTATGAGCTCATTTGGTATTTTCACGACACCAATCGTGACTATCAATGTCATTGATTATTACCTCGTGCGCAGATCTAAAATTTCTTTACTAGATTTCTTCACACTTTCAAAAAAGGGCACTTATTGGTATAACCATGGTGTTAACTGGCGTGCCATATTCTCACTCTTGGCTGGAATTGCCCTCGGAATTCCGGGACTGGTTTATTCCGTGCAAACACAACTAAAGGCCAACGAGGGGATGATGAATTACTTTTACGGTTACTTTTTTTTCATCCCGCTCGTTTCCGGAGTATCATACGCTATTCTATGTTATTTCTTTCCATATCGTCCAGAAAAGTTTGGCATGGAAGATCCTATCGACTACTTCAACTGCTTTTCTGAGAATGAGCTGCAAGCGTTGGGTATGCTACCTTTCGATGACAGCCAAGGTGATATTTATGAGATAATCGATGCAAGGGAACAGGATGAGAACAGTGACAGCGTGATAGATGAAATAGATTTCACCAATAAGGCTAAACACTAATTTTACTGAAATGTGCCCTATTGGATGATCAGATATATATGTATAAGTATAATTGAAGGATAATAGTAATTCTGTGCGGCAAAAAGGTAAGCTCGCACTCAGGTTCGAACTAAGGACCAACAGATTTGCAATCTGCTGCGCTACCACTGCGCCATACGAGCATAATGGACAAGCGTAAAACATCCCTGGTATATATTGACGGCTCTCGGTCAATCATGAAACAATAAGATCTTGAGGTACCTCGCAGATACCAAACTGAACCTCAAACATGAGTGAGGATCGATACAAGCTCACAATCTATACCTATAAATATTACGAAGTCCTGAGGATACGATGAGACTAAATAGGAGGAGAACAGGGCTAAGTAGAACTCATTCCATTAGTTTCAAGAACGTCATAACTAGTTACGACAATCGGCTACCCTTCTCGATTATTTGATGAATAAAATGCTGACATCTAACTCCAAGCAACCCCGGGAAAGAATATGTCTGCCTGTAAGTTTGAGAGTTCATGGTTTCTCGCTTAATAAAAACAGAAATGCACTTTATACCTTGTGTCTACAGGAAACTACATCAGTTTTATCTTGCGAGGAGATTTTCAGCATCGATGCCCGTATTGGATAAGATGAGAATATTCTACTGAGCGTGTCATTCTTGAAAAACTTATCTTTTTGACTCCGTTCCTGATCCAAGGCGAAGTCAGATTTAGAACGTACAACAGTATGTTCAAGTCTTCTTTCGTATATAAGTATTAAAGATGATTCGTGATAATCGATCGAAACATGGCCTTGAGATGCTTTCGTTGACAACAATATCTAGAACGAGTTTTACTAGCAATGCTTTCAAAAATTGCTACACGCCAATCCTTCGTGTTTGGACGCAGATATATCTCCAAGAATACTGCAAATCAAGTACTGATCTCGAAACATGTCGCTGATGTTGATCCAGAAATGCATAAGATCTTGACCAACGAACGCCATAGACAGAAGCATTCGGTGACTTTGATTCCAAGTGAAAACTTTACTTCTAAGTCTGTGATGGATTTACTCGGTTCGGAAATGCAAAATAAATACTCTGAGGGCTATCCAGGTGAGCGTTACTATGGTGGAAATCAATTTATCGACCAGGCAGAATCGTTGTGTCAAAAGCGTGCACTGGATCTATATGGTTTGGATCCTGAAAAGTGGGGCGTCAATGTCCAGTCTTTAAGCGGTGCACCTGCCAATCTGTATACTTATTCCGCCATAATGGAGGTTGGCGATCGTCTGATGGGGCTTGACTTACCCCATGGAGGACATCTGTCGCATGGCTATCAATTGGCTAGCGGAACAAAGATATCCTATGTTTCTAAGTATTTCCAAACTATGCCATACAATGTCAACCCTCAAACAGGTCTTATTGATTACGACATGTTGAGCAAGACGTCAAAACTTTTCAGACCAAAGGTGATTGTTGCTGGGGCTTCTGCTTATTCAAGAACTTTGGATTATAAAACTTTCAAGGAAATTGCTGATGCCTGTGGTGCATATTTGATGAGCGATATGGCTCATATTTCTGGTTTAGTTGCTGCAGGTGTCACTCCATCACCATTTGAGTATTCTGATATTGTCACGACAACCACTCACAAATCGTTAAGAGGCCCCCGTGGTGCCATGATCTTCTACAGGAAGGGCGTTAGGAAAGTCACGAAAAAGGGTAAAGAGGTCCTTTACGACTTAGACAAAAAGATAAACTTTTCTGTCTTTCCAGGTCATCAAGGTGGGCCTCATAACCATACGATCTCTGCCCTTGCCGTTGCTTTGAAACAAGCTTCTACCCCAGAGTTTAAGCAATATCAGAGTGCCGTGGTTGAAAATGCTCGTGTTTTCGGTGAGGAACTAATCAAGCGTGGATTCCAATTAGTTTCAGGCGGCACAGACACTCACCTAATTCTGATCAATTTGTCGAACATTGGTATTGATGGTGCTCGTCTAGAAACAATGTTGGAAAAAATCAACATAGCCGCCAATAAAAACACAATTCCTGGTGATAAATCTGCACTGTTTCCTTCTGGGTTGAGAGTTGGTACTCCTGCGATGACTACAAGAGGATTCGGGCCGGAAGAGTTTTCAAAAGTTGCAGAATACATTGACCGCGCGGTAAAGATGGCCATTGCTTTGAAATCTCAAGAACCACTCGACGCAAAGGATTCTAGATCCAAGTTGATGAGCTTCAAAAATCTATGCGATAAATCACAAGAGGTTTCGAAGCTTGCCGAAGAAGTTTCAGACTGGGTGGGCCAATATCCTGTTCCAGGTGAATTGTGAAGACCACTTTAGATCTAGTACCCTAATATAGGAAGTTGCAATTAGTGTTACACTATCACTGTTTATCAGCAACTACAATTACTTATTACTTCTTTAGAGCTTAGATTGACTTGATTTTCTTGAGTAGCCCGTATTGTATTTTGTTGAATGAATTTATCATAAGGAATTTCTTCCGCAATTAGCCGAAACAAGTTTTCGATGCCTTGACCGGTCTTAGCACTAACAGGGAACCACTCCATATCATATTCGAGTAGTTGAGGGCTTAAGTCAATTTTGTTTCCGACGATTTTGATAATGAGGTTCTCCGCCTCTTCTTGTTCAACGTAGCTATTAAGCTCGTCAATCCATGATTGTGCCTTGCTCATTGTGTTCTTATCCGTAACATCAAAGACCACAAGAGCAACATCTGTTTTTCTATAATACATGGGTGCCAGTGAACGATACCTTTCTTGCCCTGCGGTATCCCAAATTTCTAGTTTAACTTGCTTTATCATCGTGTCATTTTCTACCCTTATCGTCTTCGTTGTAAAAGCAGCTCCTATGGTGGCATTATTCTTCTGAAATTGGCCAGTTGTCAATCGTGATACAATTGAGGACTTACCCACAGACGATTCTCCGAGGAGAACTAATTTCAGCTCTGCGCTGTATATAGGTTTATCCATGAGAGTGATGACCTTTTTCTTAAGTTAGCGAAGATTTTACGATTTGTTATAATTAAGACGAATTGACTAATGATAAAGAATTCTCAGTAAAAAGCGGTGATGTGTATACATTACTACTGCTAAAACACGAGGAAGAACAGCTACTGTTCAAGCTGAATTCAAGAATGTTGAACTGAGTATGCTGGGTACCTTCTCGTAAGTGATTCACCCGATGAGGTGAATAATTTGGTACGAGTAAATAAACTGGAGTTGATGCGTTTTGATTGAACATACTAGAAACGATCTGTGTCACTTCTTGATCGAGTACCATGAAAAGTCCGTGCGGCAATAAGCGTACAAAAGCCCTAGATGTTCTGGATAAGCATATTAGTCACAAAAGGAAAAGGCAGAAAGCTAGTTTGCACGGTACGAGGTCAATGCTCAACTCGATAACTGATTTAACATGTTTACCGGCACCCAATGAAGCAGTGATTCAACATACTACCCCTTCACCACGCGTAATTAGGACAGTGTACTCTTCTCCAAGTGGCAGCGAGACGGCATCACGCAGTCCAAGAAGTGATAGGGACCTCACATCTCCTATGAGAAAGACAGTTGCATTTTCAGATAAATTAGAATCTTCTCCACCTGAAATTGAAATCAATTCAAGTCCTCAGCGCTCATCAACGTTCAAGCCTGCCAAATCGATTTTGAAATATTCACGCTTATCAACTACCAAACAACTTCCTGATGTGTCAAACAGCCCAAGTTGCTTAACAAGATTCAAAGCTTCCTCACGTAGTTTTATTGCGGTAGAAGCTGCAAACGCAGAGATTAATCCGTACCAATTGGAGTACTGGGTCCCGGGAGAAGTTCACAGTCTAAAAGATATCAACAATATAAATGAATTCAAGAGTATAATTGAAGGAGGGCTACAACTCTTAAATGTGAACAGGACTGAAAATAAAAATCGACATTTCGAGATATACGCAACTTTCAACAACATAATCCCCATAGTTACAGTAGCGAATAACTCAGAAATCAATAATAAGAAAATTGGTATTATTATTGACAATTTAAACAGTTTACTTCGACTCAGCATATCCCACTTGGGAGATGTACAATACGTGCTTTTAAAAGCACTTAAAAAAGATCCATTCGTGTCAAGACTTTATGTGCAAATTGTTCGATTTTTAAGTGCATTGCTATCTAATTTTAAGGTCGTCAAATCATCAGAAAATAGCCCAGAAAAGCAAGAAACGTTCAGGAGAGTACTGCAACATTCAATTGAGGTCTTGAACCACGAAAATTCTAATAAAGTGATGATAGCAGCCCAAATTGCTTTACTTAGAGAAGAGAAATATGGACCTCTCTACCTGCATTCTGAACAGGCAACAGAAATAATCAATGCTTTGCACGATATGAAAGAAATCAATAGTACAAATTTAACTTGCGAAAAATTACTGCTGTTAAAGAGTTTTTTGGCCAAATACCCTACGCTGATGTTGAAAAATATCGACAAGTGGCTGTTGACAGAAATATTATCAAGGCTTCTCATTGAAGAAGAGTTGTACTCTATGAAAATTGCTGCAACATGCATTTCAGTCTTGTTAGATGTTTCCAAGAAAAGTTTGGACGAGGTTTCTTGTATAAATTACGTTCGTCAAATTAGCAAGAAAAAAGCGATCGAAGAAATCCCCCAGAAGTTCCTATCAAAATTAAAGGATTGCGACGACAAAGTCCACTTCAGCAAGTCAACATTGAGTGATCTTCTAATTACCAGAATCAAATACTTTGCCCTGGAAAAGAAAGAATACAAACTAGCCATGGACTTCTGGCTAGCAATGATAGGCTTAATTTTTAATACAAGAGATGGACTACAGGAACTTACTGAAAATGAAAATGAAAAGTGGTGGGATACTCACATATGCTGTCTCAACACCAATGATCCTGTAGCTCAAAGTATGGCCTTAAAATCGTGGAGAATTGTGGCTTTTGTTTTCATCTCAAATATTACAGCAAACACGCATAATATCTCTGAACTCATGAAGCTTCTCCTACTTCCCCTTCGAAAAATAGAAACGAAGAATGTACATCCTCAGGTTACGGAATCAATCATGTATATCATACCAAGACTGCTTTGCATTACGTGCTGTGACACAAAACCAGTTTCTTACGCGAATTTTAATTATTACCTGGAAGGATTGATAATACCGTTGTACAATGATTTGGTTTTCAAAACTAACAGTCTAAAAATTTACGAACTTAGCCAAATGGTTCTTTTTCGACTGCTTAAAGAATGTGCGGAGGAAAAATCGAATATTAATAGGAATTTCAATAGATTAAAAATTGCTGCTTCTACAGGGGTGACACTGAATGATATCAAAGCTCTGCCACAGGAAGCTGTCAATAATAATTGGAATGCTTTGCGAGATTTAGCGCTTAATTCTTTTGATCATTCCTTAGTGAAGAACGCCTCTTTAACTATTTCTATCATCAATGCTCTCATCGAAAGGTTACCTATCCAGTGTAGAACTTATGGCGAACTAGAAAAATGCATTGAAATTCAAGTACATTTATTAAATGAAATTGAGGAAAATCTTAATGACTCGTTGGTTGGATGTTTATGCGTTGCAATGAAGTCATTGGGTGAATTAATGTCTTGTGATTATAAGTCTGCAGCCGGCTACTTTACTCGAATTTTGCCATTTCTAGAAAAGGGCTCTGTTGATTATTCTTACGTTGTTAAGAATGTCCAAGAAAACTCCCGTGATGCTGTTTCAGAGTTTCTACTGTACGAATGGTTTTCCAGGTTTGGTGGTAGGCAGCTTAAAAGATATGTTGTCAATTTGGTTGGATCCAAATTACTGTCCCCTAAAATTTCGGAGGATGCTTTTGAAAGCTTGCTTAATATAATAAATATTGAGCCCAGCCCTGATATTATCGACAATGTTTTGGACCTGTGCACAAAAATTCAGTTTCAAGTGAATATGTTCACAAAATTAGACATTATGTCCTGGAATGATGATGCAATCGTGTACTTTGTGAAGTCCTACACGCAGAGAAATAACGGGCTTTTGGAAGCTAATTTATATGACATTATGTCCAAGTGCGTGTCTACCAAGGAAAATGTTTTTATCATGCTTTGCCCTCTTTTACTTGAATCTGGCAAGTGTGAAATTGTAAAGAAAGCTATTGAAGAGAAACCAAAGCTGCTCGAAGTCTTAATCTCAACCAATGACCCATCATTTCTGAAATTTCTTCCTCAAGAAATTACGAGAGTATCGTTACAGCATCTCGATGCCTATAGTCATGAATTAAAAATAGCCCTCCTTCAAGTAGCAGTTAGTTGTGGTGACTTTGAAGCAGTTTTTGAGTCTTATGCCAAAATTGAAAAGGTGTTTCTCGAGACAACAAAATCTCCTGTAGATATTTTCCGCCACGCCAAAAATATCATGAATGAACTATTACATGGCTCCATGAAGGGCGCTATGTGGAATCTCTTCAATTGTCTTATCAAAACATGCATAAAGAATGAAGACATAGAGGATTTTGTAAACATTCTGGAGCATAACAAGAACATTCTTTACGAGCACATAGGGCCTGACAACTTATCATCAATGGTGAACAGATGCGGAAAGCTGAATCCTGAACTCATAAAGACGGTAAAGTCATGCTTCAAAGATAAAGACACTAGTTTTAATTTCGAACTTATAAGATGTTTTATTGAAAGAAAGAAGTTTCAAATATTCTCTATTTGTCGCAATGATTTCTTGGACTTCATCTTCGATCCTAATTCCAAATTCCTCGAAGAAGACAAATCAAAAGCAGTGACATATTTTAGTGAGGTCTCTGAATACGTTGTTCCGCAAAACAAAAAGTTGATGGCAGAGCTCATGCGTGTCCTGAGTGCATATTTACCACCCAAGGATGAAAACTTCACTTATGAGCTTTTATCTTTCGTCTGTTTCAATCCACGATTTAATTTGAAGGGATATCGAGGGTTAATCAAAGATATTAATGACTGGAAAAATACACGACGTCTCGACTCAAATGGATCACGAGAGGGGAGAAAGTGCTTACAGTATCATTTTTACACACTAACAAAAAGCAAGAGCCCCTCACCGAATAGTACTGCATCCCTGCACGATGAAACTAAAAAGAAAGAGGAATCATTGAATCACGTCAATCCTCGAATTGCGAATTGTGATAATGAAGTAACAAAAGTTTCAACCGAAGAAAACAATAACGTCATGACACGAGAGGCTGACTCGACTTATTTAATTGAAGACGGTATCGCGTGCATTGAGAACACTACTACACAAAGAAATGAGTCTACTCGTCACTTGTCAGTAGATCCATCACTATCTGATTGCACTGAAAATGGAATGAACGGTCATGCTAGTTCTACAATTATGGCTGATGAATGTAATGTGCTGGAAACTGGAAATAACGAGCGAAAACTAACAGGCCCTACTTTGACTGAAATGCGTACCGTGACCAAAGAAGGTGTAACGACAGAGGGTTCCAATTTACATGAGCTTGAAAAAGCGGTCGCCAATAATTCACTCGTATCCAGGAATCCTTTTGGTGGTGAACAGTTGGATAATACACCAATGCCAAACATCTCAACCACATGCCTTAACCAAATCTCACCAGAGCCAGCCTCCGTAATAGGCAAAGAAAATCACGACGACTTTTACTCAAAAGTTAGCAATTATCGTGGAGAATCCACGGAGCATGCTCTATGTGGGAATAATGTTAGACAAAACACTGCCAGTTGCACGAATGGAATTTCTAACAAGTTAGGAAGAACTGAAATTAACTCAAAACTACCGTCAGTATTAGGCAACGATCAAAATTCAGATGCTTCCGATACCGAGAATATCAATTTCGGCATTTCAGAAGATAACAGAGAAAGAAAGCAAGAAAGTTGTTCAATAAATAATAATGGAGAAAACAAGAGAGGAAAAACTTCAAGTGAAATTCATTTTGAGAATAGCATGCAGAATTATGACACACAGGCCGGTAAACTACCCGATCGCTCCACTAAATTTGACCAAGCAATATCCCACCATGGATCTGACGCTGTAAAAGTAATCCTTGAAGACAATATCGAAAGTCCTCTTTCAAGGACTCTGGGAGCCAGCTCAGAACCCTGTATGGAGAGTGCTGACGGTTCCGTTCACGAAAGTAAGGGCACGTTCCAGGTTAGTAGAAGCCGCATGCACAAAATGAATGACTGCAATGATGATGACAGTAGTGTTTCGCATTCATTAATCAAAGATGCTGGCGAGGCAGAAGTTGCAGATCCAAAAGGTGACAATGTTGAGACGAAAGGCAAGCCTAGGAGAAAAGTAAGTACTACTGATTGTCTTCGCATTCCTATTTTCAACTCCTTGAAGGTAGCCTATGTGACCAAAAAACAGAATCTCAAACATGCTCAAGATGAAATTAATGCAGAAAATGGCGAAATAAAAACATTAGACAAAATTCCAAAAAACGACGATCTCAAAAAGTTCCCTTTGATCGAGGCTACAAACCTAGGACAAGTTCAGTCGACTAAAGTAAAAACCTCAGCAACATTGGACGATGAAACGGGGAAAAAAGGATTTGCTAAATTGACGTTTTCAACTGCTCAAAGCCGAGATATGGTGAATTTGTTTGACAAAAAGTCATGCGCACTGATAAAAGAGCTCAAATCATACTCTGAAGAGGATATACGACAGTTTAGCGATGAGGAAAAAAAATCAGTCAGAATGGAATTGTTAGAATTCATGCTACGACTGGAAAGAAATATGTGACAAATGAATGCTCCTAGAGCTTTTACAATCCTAATAATTTTCAAATTTGCAGGATACGTTTCTTTTGGGTGATGAATCATTGATTGGCGAGTAATTGAATCGCCACTGACAGGGTTTCATTGTTAATATTGATATTATTATTTTTAACCGATCATGAAGTCGTTAAATTATGGTACAAAAATTAGGTCTCTACATAATAAACTGATTCTCTTAAATAGTCTCCTCCATTCAATGGGATCTCCACTTTTTCTTTCAAAGCTAACAGCCTTCAAACGATCGTCTACAACGGCTATAGTAATACCTCCTGATAGAGTCCATCCTTTTTTGTCCACTGTCTTTATCTGAATTGACACAGGAAAAACGTCAGTATAGCTTAGCTCACTAACCAATCTCAAGAATTTATCGTAAAGTCCAAGCTTCACTGGAATACTTGATAACTTCAAAGCTCGCTCCAAACTCGGGAGAATTACATCCATGTCACAAACACAGTAAAATTTTGTCAGTCTACCTGGATTTAGTTTCGTGGGCAATTTTATTGGTCCACTCATGAATTGTTGGGTAGCGTAATCTTGATTGACAAATTGAGTCCATTTTACCTCTTGTGCCAGTGATTCATCGCGGAAGAGTTCTTGGGAAAAGTTGATTTGCGTAAAAGTGAAGGCATTGATATTCAAAGGATTGTGTACTAGTTGAGCAATATCAGAGATCATGGGTTGTGTTGATAAGACACGACTTCTATCAATGTAGAGATTATCTTGCGTTGATTTCAAATATTCGTCATCGCCCAAGGAAACTTCTAGCTTTTCTAACAGCTTAGCTGCTAATACTTGCGGTTTACAACATAAGTCATTATCATCTGCGAATGAAATACGATCTGAAAACCAAGAATGGGATTTTAAATCCCTTATCGTTGCGCGTTTGCGGGGATCAGGCTGCAGAATTTTTCTAATCAAGTTTAACTGTGTAAACTCAATTTTTGACCAAGCACCACTAGTTAATTTCCCATCATTTCTCAAAAATGCTGAAAAACTAGTATCATCGCGACTGGGCAATGCCCAAGGTGTTTCGCCCGTAAGCAAAACAAATAGAAGTATTCCCGCTGACCAAATATCGGTTAGATCTGCAAAGTATTCGGTGCTGTATAAAATCTCTGGTGCCAAGTAAGGTGGGCTTCCTCGCTGATCCCTGGCAACCCTTTTTGTACCATCTTTTCTTCTAAATTGAGAGGCAAGCCCAAAATCTGCCAACTTCAGATTACCGTCTTTGTCGAGTAGTATATTCTCAGGTTTTATATCGCGATGAGCAACACCGCAATGCTCATGGAGGTAATCAAGGGCATTTAAAAGCTGACGGAAGTAAAATTGTGCGACTTCAGGATCCACGCCAATGTCTGGCTCGATTTTGTCAAAAAGGTCACCACCATCCGCCATTTCCATTGCTATCCATAGGTAGTCTTTCGAGATGTTACAATCAATAACCTTAAGGATATTCGCATGGCCACAACATTTGGATTGAGTCACGACCTCTTGCGTTACCTCCTTTTCTGAAAGGCCATGCTCTTTACACGTAGGCAGGTGAACAAATTTTACCGCTATAATCGTGGAGGGATCAAAATCCAGGGATGCAGTTTTAACGCTAACTGAAGAGTTAGTAATTCGATATTTGACATATGAAATGCAATTAAGTGACATACAAAGCAAAAGAGCCCTCCCCCACTGTGTCACCGAGCTTTAAGTGCTTGATTTTGGGTAATGGTGCCACCTGGGAGAAATTCGTTGCCATGTTTTTTTGTAAGTATTTTCAGGTCAGCGGAGAACAAAATGTAACATCTATAAGTCTACTTTCATAAAAATCAATAAAAGTTAAAACCGATGAGCACTATCGACATACATTTTAGTGAGTCTGTAAAGGAGGCAGTGGATCTATCGCTGCAGCAGGCATTGCCCCTTCTCGTTTATAGTTCAAGTGGAAGTGATGAATGGCTCAAGAAGTGGTTCAGTAGAGAGCTACAACGAAAGATTGATGGTAAGTGCATAGCACTGAAGTTACTGAAAGGAACGGAGGAATTTCAGTACTTTGAGCAGATTTTTCCATCTGTTACTATTCCTAGCGTATGTTGCTTGACTTCTGGTAAAATAACGGAAGTTATAGATGATGTTTCCAATTTAGAGGGGAATGCTAATCGTTTAATGACAGCACTTGATTGCATTCGAGTCACTAAAGCGTCAGAATCAAGAGCAAAACCTCTAGAGGATTCCAGTGAGAAGGTCAAGGGTACCACCCCGTTAACACTTAAGGAGCAAGCAGCTGAGACAGCAGCTAAGATATACCATGAGCAGCTCCTGAAACAGAGAAAAATCGAAAAAGAAGAACGAGAAAGGATAAAAAGATTGGTTAAAGCAGATCGCGAAGAATTCAAAGCCAAAGAACGTGAAAGAAGTGTGGGTACATCTGGCTTAGATAACATTCGTGATAATATAAAGCATTATGACCTATTACATACCAAGAGTTGTATTCTTCTGATAAGATTATTGAATGGTCACTCAATCAGCCATAAATTTCCATCGAATACCACATTGAATTCTGTAAGAAAATGGGTGGATGAAAATAGAACTGATAATGATGATCCCTACAATTTTCACAGAACGATTCCTCGGGTTACATTTACTGAGTCGGATGAGATTAGGACCTTAGAGGAGCTGGAACTCACTCCTCGTTCCGCCCTTATTTTAAAACCCCTAGATAATGAGGACCGGAAACATGGAATTGTCGACGCGCAAGGTCCAGGATTACTGGGAAGAGTATTTAATTCACTAACTTCCTGGTGGTCAAAGCCGCAGGAGTTTACGGAACAACCTTTTGACGCAAGTGCCAAATCTCAAAGTCACTCAGAAGATGCACCCTCCCCCACTTCATCCAAATACGTGTCGCCACTGCATTCACCGTATATGAGTCACACAGATCCGAATACTTCAGAGCTAAGCCTTCCTTCAAGGCCTGTTTCCCCTAACGTTTATTCATTTTCAAACTCCGAAGATCACCAAGTGGACGAAGAGCGTAAGACTTTTAATGGAAACAACGTTAAGCTCGAAGATAAAAAGGAAGACCGCTGAATAATCGACTTGAATATCAGCCTGCTAGAGGTACAGCCTGACTTTCACTTTTTGAGTCTATGATATCATCAGCTTCTTCTGTCGACTTGCCTACTTCATCTTTCCCTATTTGAAGTTTGGCAAGTTTATTCAAGGCTTCTTGTTCCTTCTTTAGCTCTTTGCCCATATTTTCCAGTTCTTTATCGATTTCGTCTTCATTATCCCTGCCTACCGTCAGTACGTTGCTGATTTCTTCAATTTTCGACATCTCATCTTCACTCTCAATGAGAGTTTTCTCAATTTTTTCAACACTTCCTAACTCCTCCGAGATGGTCTTAATGGCTCCTTTGGATTGTTGGAGCACCTCATATAGTGTAACTGCGTCAAGGGCTGCTTCGATAGAATTCCTCATTTTCTGGATATTATGTAGATTGTTGTATGAGTTGAGTAAATTTTTCTCAAGCATCTTTTTAATTCGAAGGTGAACTCGTTGTAATTCTTTGGGGCGTCCGCTTTCAATATCACCTTCAAGAACTTGTGAATAATGTGCAATACTCTCTTCTAAATTGGAAATCTGACTTTTGTATCTCCATGTGACTGATTTCAGAGATGCTATGCTTCTATCATTTTCAGTTATCTTATTGGGCTCAAAATTGCTGACCAAATTCCCGGCACCTCTTCCACACATTTTAATAACATTATTGTCCACGACAATTTCCCTCTTGAACAGCTGTAAATATGTCAACATTATTTCAAACTCAGCCCAATCATTTAAAAAGTCATTCATTTGAACTCTACGGCAGAAATCATCCTTCGTGAATATCAGGTCAGAGAATTTGTTGGAATGACTATAAATTGAAGATTTGATCTTATCCATGACAATTTCATATTTCTCCTCCAAAGAAGGTACTGCGACCAACTCGACCTCTTTTAAATAAAAGCCCTTAGAAGATATTCTACTTCGGAAAGGAGGCAAAATGGGGGTTTTCCTTAAAGCCCATCTCAAGGATGATAAAAATATATTCTGCTTACCTTGTACAAAGTCCTCCAGGGGAATCAAAGTACCCTCACTAACCAACTCATCAAGCACTACATCAATGCTTTGAGGCACTCCAAATTGCATCAAGTTGAGGCTTTCTAAGAGCGATCTTCCACATTTTATCGTTAGCCTATCATGACAAATAGTTTTTAGCAAATAATCCTTCCAAGTTCTCACGTTCGCATGGAACCCTTCAGGGTTTAACTCCTTAAGTGGTCTGAAATCCGAGTATAGCGAGTTTAACCTAGTTTCCGGTAAGCGAGTTTTCTTCATATATACTTTTTACTATATGACTTAGTTTTATTTTTTCAATTCACTTGAAAGTAATACCCTAGCGAAGATGGCGGCTGACCAGGTACACAGTCAACTTCAAGATCTACTCGAGAAGCTCGTCACATGCATACGTAACCGAGATTATGTCTCTTTAAACAAATTGATGGCGAAGGCATCTCTAGACTTCAGTGTTTCGACTAGCATTAATTGTGATCCCAAGAGTTTTTTAACTGAAATGAGGTCTTTGCTCTATCTTACCGACGACGAGACACTTGATTACGACTTAACAGTCGAAATGCTAGATCGCGTCATATCAATTTCTCCCTTTGAAGAAGTGCTAGAGGTGTTTACAGTGGATAATCTCAGGGCTGCCTTGCTTTGCCAAATAAGACCATTACAAATTTCTGCTTGCAAAGTTTTGGAGCGATCTTATCCGAAAGGATTATTTGCGTGCTCAGATTTATTCGACATTTTACTGAAGCTGTTGTTCGAACCCATGACGGATGTTGTTCTTGTGAACGAAATCGAAGTTGTTTTTGAGAGACTAAAGACTGATGCGTTAGTGAGGAGACGCGTTTTGGAAGATAACCTGTTGACTTTGGAAAACGTGAAAGAATGCTCCGATCCTGTTCTTCTTGCTCGGCTGTATAAGATACTTGGCGTATTTTTTGAATGCATTACGCGCACAGAGTTCAAACCAGAGCTATTCATAACATCTAAGGAAGATATCATGCGCTTCATAGATGTTGATATTCTTCTATTTATCAATGTGACGTCTTATTATTGCGATTTGTTGGAATGTATTAAAATGAAGCCCACAAACCCCTCGCCACTTGTGTGGGCTTTAAGTTACATTGTACCGGCTCTCGAAGTTTATGGCTACATCTACAAAAACTTGAATCAAATGATCGATGTGAAACATTTTGGTAGAGCTTATATTTTTCGACTGCTTAGAGCTATTTCCAATCTCGATGATTTGAGCTTTTTTGAATCTTTTGACAAAAACTATATCAATCTTTCGAGTACAAATCCTGATATATCAAATTTCTTGGCCTTCATTAATCCAAGGTACTTATTGGAGTTTCACAAAGAACTGTTGGCCGATCTTTTTTCTGTTAAACCATCGTCTTTGAATATTGCAAGAAACATTTTGACAAACGAGTCATGTTTTCATTTCCTCAAAGACAAATTCACGTCAGCGGCTATTTTGGATATGCCTTACCTTGAGCAAATGGTTCTTCTAGAAAAAATGACACTTTACAAGTACTCTGCTATATTTTTACTTCACAATTTACCTCAAGTGATGACAAATTTAATAGAAGCCGATGGAAGAAATGTCACTGAAAGAGAAACAGCAAATCTAAGACGTGAAGCAATCGAAAACCTGCTTCACTTGAATGCAGAAGCGTTGAATGTATGGAAGATTCCTTTGGAGGAAGCGTATGGAAGAATTATCGGTAGATCAACAAGAGTTACAGGTGCGGAAATTGCGAGTACATTCATCTAAAACTTTTTGAGCGTGCTTCTGATTTATATATATGGTTACATATCACAAGTATAGCGATCCTGCAGAAACAATATCCCTGTGAATGAGATTAAGAGCTGCCTCCATCTTTTCCTTAAGCATAGAATTACCGATGGTGTTAGCTACTTCAATCAATTCCTTAATCAACTCTTCTAACCTCTTGAACATCCTAATTAGAGATCCTTCGTACACATCGGTCATCTTACAGATTTGTGTGAAAGTAGCGCCTTTGCACCATTCAAAAACAACCTCCATTAGTTCATGTCTGAAGCTCTCGACATAGTCCTTTTCCACAATTTCCATTTTAGAGTCTTTGACAATTTTGGCTATTTTTGCGGCAACTTCCCTCATCGCTTTCAGTGGTTCTGCAAGCTCAGGCTTTAACCTAGGAGCTTCTTTACATCTTTCCTGAAATGCAAAACAGGATAACAATGCAGCTGATTGTTCTGGTGAAAGTTCGTTGAAGTTACCATTGAAAATAAGTTCTGTCATGAGAAGCTCATCACCACTAGAAATTTCACATGCGACTCTCCCTTTCAGTTCAATGACATCATTGGGAGTACAAAACCCTAGCCGACGTAACACTCTTTTACGACGACGGAGATCATCCAACTGAATGACAGCTTGTGCCTCATTGATTTGTCTTGTTAACTTTTTAATCTCATCATCCAATGCCACTTTCTGGCTGTATTGTTCATACATCTGCTTTAATTTTACGGATCCTGATAAAACATTCGATGTAAGCTTAGTTTCGAGTACTTCTATCTTTTTCAACAACTTGGTGAATTCTTCGTCCTCAATTTTCATATTTTTTATGGGATCAATAGGAGGCACACCGTCGGGAAATCTTCTTGCTACTTCTTTTAAAGACTTTCCAACGACTTCTCGCTGGCTGCTTGATTTAACATCTTTGGGCATATACAGTCTTAAATTCCCCAACGCTTGTATCGAATTTAGGGTGATGGGTAAAATAGCGCAAAGAGCTTTTTCTCCTTCTTTGGCAGGTCTAATTCCTTCTGGTAAGCTGGGATTGAAAGGCTTTATTAAATTCACGGGTGCATCAATAAACATCGTGTTCACGACGACATTAACGATGTAGGATTCATGGTCGCTATATGAAGCTGTTGGATTCCGTTTATTGGTTCTCTTTGCAAATTCAACAACCGAACCCCAACCGTAGTCGAATTTCCCATCAATTTTTACCTTGATTAGTCTTCCAGGTTGCAAAAAGCTGAGTATGTTTGCTGGATGTGTAATAATTTGACGAACATCTTCCTTGTAGGCATCAACTGTTCTACTGATTTCGTAGTAATCTCTAATGTTCTTTTCATCTTCAATTTCGATCTTAGATACCTCATTATTCAGTTCAGTCATTTTTTTCTCCATAGTAGGTACAGAAGTGACATTTTGAAATTGGTAAAAAGAGTGTTCAAGCATAAATTCAGGAGAAATACCTTCGACTCTCATTAGATTTAAAATCATGTTATACCCTAGATGAAATGCGGAGTCAAGCCTATCGGCTTGGCCCTTGACCATCCCTTTGGCTACTTGCGGTTCCATTTTCTCGTCAATCATCATAATTACTATACCACGGTCATCTAAACCACGACGTCCAGCACGGCCGGACATTTGAATGTATTCACCACCTGAAACCCAACGGAATTGTTTACCATCCCACTTTCTCACGCTGGTGAAAACCACTGTTTTTGCAGGCATATTCAATCCAATAGAGAATGTTTCTGTTGCAAAAAGTACTTTCAAGAATCCTTCTTGGAATAAAATTTCTATGACTTCCTTCAAAATAGGTAGTAGTCCAGAATGATGAATACCAATACCTCTTCTTAATAAAGGTAAAATGTGTTGAATTTGAGGGAGGGCCCTGTCACTTTCAGGCAAAAGGTCAACAGCATTAGTAAAGATCTTGGTTAAAGCTTCCTTTTCTTCTTCAGAATTGAAATCAAGTTTGGACATTTTCAGAGCCAATTCCTCACAGTCACGCTTGCTGAATGAGAACACAATTACCGGGTTGTATTTTTTCTTCCATATCATTCTCACAATCTTATATATGTCACCTTTTGAATCACCTTTTGAGGCACCACCTTTATAAGATTGTCCCTTCTTACCTTTTGTATTGACGGACCCTGAGTCTTCGCCAACCTGATTGCTAATTGATACCATTGCTTTTTGGAAATTTTCCTCTCTGAAAGTTCCCTTCTCATCAACAACCAAATGAATACCGTCACCATGTGCTGGAAATAGATAATGTTGTAGCGGCGTTGGACGGAAGTCTGTATAGACAATATGGCAAGGCTGTGAGTGAATCTTACAAATCCATTCAGCGAACTCCATAGCATTGGGTATAGTTGCCGAAAGGAACACGTAGCGAACTTTGTCTGGTAGTAAAATTATTGTTTCTTCCCAGACAACACCACGTTCCTTATCTCTCATATAGTGCACCTCATCAAAGATCACCCACGCAACTTCTCGCATGACCTCACTACCCCTGTACAACATGCTTCTCAAAATCTCCGTTGTCATCACTAAACAGCCAGCATCGGGATTTATAGTAATATCACCAGTCATCAATCCAACATCTCCAAAGTCTGCTAGAAGCTCTCTGTATTTTTGGTTCGAAAGTGCTTTAATAGGAGAAGTATAAATGACTCGCTGTTTATCCCTTAGAGATTGCGCGATGGCGTATTCTGCTACTACTGTTTTACCGGCTGATGTGTGCGCAGATACTAGCACCGACTCTCCTCGATCAATACACGATATGGCTGTATCTTGAAAAGGATCTAGAGTAAACGGATATGTCCTAGCTTCGTTAAGCCTTTTATGCTCACCAATAGGTGCATAATTGTAAAGAGGAGGTAGTGCTACTTGATGTCTCACCTGATGTGAAAGCTTTACTTTCCCATCTTGTTCCGGCTCGACACTCGTGTTATTTGTTAAACCATTTGATGCATTGACTTCTCTAGAAGCTTCCTGCTCAAAAGAATCTGCAACAATCGGAACAACTTCCGATTTTTTCTTTTCCTTCAATAAGGACCGTTCTGCTTTATTCTTCTTGCTAGGTTCCTCCTTTTGTTGGCTGGTGCTATCCTCAGAATCCAAGGTTAAAGAACGTTTCTTAGACTTGTCATTTGAGCTATTCTGATCTTCGACAACCTTTTCTGGAGTTTCCATAGAGGTTGAGTGAGGGACTTCAGTGGGTGTCTCTCCAAATACACCAAAAAGATCATCACCGTCCATATTTACTGAGGTATTCGATGGTCTCACAATTGGCAGTTGTACTTAACTACCTCATCTCATCGCTCCAAAAAATTTTTCAATGGAGAAAGCAGAAAACATCACGTGACAATCACTGCTTCAAATTTCAACTTAAATCAATCAACGTATGATATAACTATACTAGAAGATCAGATCATTCTGGTAATTAATATATCCTGGGGTTCTACCAACTTTATTAAATCTCAAAAAACTCTGTTATTTAAATCTATCAATTTGAAAAACGAATAATGATAAAAATGGATTGACTGTAGGGGAATATATTCCCCAACTATATAATCTACAATGCATGTTGTGGATGAATGCCGCCGTTCTTCTCGAGACTTAAGATTGTTGACCATTTTTCTCGGTCATACTCACTAAAAACTTTCTTCGGGTAGGAAATATCGCTGCACTTCGACGATGTGCTAATCGCGCTAGACTGATCTTTCTCCTCCAATAGTTCTCCGTCAGGTAGAGTTATGTTGCATTCCTGCTGAGATTTACTTTCTTCTTCATTTTGCAAAAAAAATAATGCGCTGACTGACCTTAATCCCCGTTCACCTGCATTTATGGTGCTATTTCTCCTTCCTATTGTCGACAGAGATTTAGAGGGTGAGTGCTTACTTTGTAACGTGTGGACATAACTGAAATCTATACTCTGGCCTCGACTGTGCCTAGATGAGTGAAAACAGTCATTGAAACTTGTTTCATGCTCGTCGTGCTTGAAAGATATGCTGGAAAGGGAAATTTTTTTCGTTAAACTTCTTCTTAATTTATTACTTTTAGTCGGGGAGGATTGAACTGAGTAATTGGCATTCATATAGTTGGATGTTGGGTATGGTGCCGCTGTAACCTGGGAATTGGACCTAGAATGCTGATAATAGTTTGCAATACTGGATGAACCTCCATTAGAAAATATGGAAGCCAATTTAGAGGGTGACTTCACGCTGTTATTCGCAGATGAAGACATGATAGATGTGATTGACTTGGTCGGTGAATGTGGGTCGATTCTATATGTCAAATCTTTGGACATCTTCTGAATGATTGGCGACGAATTATCTTGTTTTAATACGTCCTGCATTATGTCTGTTTCATCTTCATTTTTCTGAAACTGGATTGCGTTTTCAGTAAACAGAACATCAAGCTCACTTACAGTGTCGCCGTGTTCGTTTTCCAACATATCATGACGAGGAATCGATTTTTTTGCAGTTCCAGGAAAGCTGAACTCTGATTTTGTTTGTAACTGTGCATTGGCGTAGAAGTTAAACCCAGGAAGTAGTTGAGATGTTGAGGCACTGAGCTTTCTTTCATTCTCTAAAAGTTGTGCGCCGTTTGACTTCCACTCTTTCAAACTGGTACTTCTCAAAAAGTTATTATTTGCAACGGGAATTTCATGATTCTCGTCCCAGGTTGGTATTTGTGGGATATCTTGAAGGTCATTTACCAAAAGGGTATCACAATTAGTGTTAGACACAGCTATATCAGCAAGCGTGTTGTTTTTGAAGTTATCATCGAGTGACTTCTTGTTCGTGTCGTTATTTCGCAAAGAGGGAGGTAAAAGTGCGCTATTAATTCGATCAATAGCATGCTTTTCCATAAGTAACATGGAATTATCCAGGTCAACGACACTTTTAGATTCATTTTCGGGGAGTGAAATAGAGTTGAGACTTTTGCGTGTTTCCTCCGCACACTGAGAATTGCTTAAAACGTTAAGGAAACTCCTAGAATTATCTTGAATGGTTGACAACCTTGTCACGTATCGAACGTGTGTTTCATTTAAAGGACTCACAGGTGATTCTGGTGAACTGTTTCGGCTGGATTTCCCTTTTGCAATTTTTTTAAGGGCTTCCATCTTGGGACTCTTGGCCAATTTTCCAGAAAATGCGAGCTTATGTCTAAACGTCTTGGAATGATCGTGATCTTTATATTGCTTCTGCACGCTTTGTTGTTCTAGGTTATATTTCACAACAGAAGGTGTTGAGGTGGTGTCAGATCCAGAATATATTGTCGGACAATTATTCATCCAATTTTGAAGCGGTTTCGCCATCAGCTCTTCCATATCGTGTTCAGGTGTCAGCGTTTGAGCTGAATTCTTCAACCGTACAGTTTTGGATTCTGTATGCTCGCGAGTCACAGGTTGATTCTCTAAGTCTTGCTCCTCCTCTATAGGACATTTAATAGCCAACACAGAGCTCGCGAGGATTGTTCCGCCCAACAGCATCGAGTAAAATATGAGAGATAAATGTGCAACAATCAGATGCATGCTGATCTCGCTCACTTGGCTTATTTGCAGGCCTTTAATGAGAGTATAAGTGTAACTTATGCTTGAAGCAAGTGCTATCCCATGTGCAACGATTGAAATACAGATCAAGAACCTGCTTGATATTATCAGCATCACAATCTGATTGATACCACCGGTGATAAAAGCACATGCCTGTATAATTAATGAGGGACGATTCAGAATTATTGTTGGGTTCTTAATACAGACCAATGTTACTGCCAATCCGCCACATGCAAGGAAAGACCCGATACTCATAGCTCGAAGACACGCTTTCCACAATGCCGAGTGACTAACTCGCATCATTTCTTGTTGGGATCCAATCGATGGTTGTAATTTTACTTTTTCGAATATGAGGCCAGAGAAGCAATTAAGAGGCTGTTTTCTTTACCTAAGATAATAGTATCATCGATTGTTAGATCTACTCATGAACAATCTTCGATGTTTACGTATTCCCTAAAAGGGCAAATATTTTTGCCAGCGTCCACGGCTCATCAATGACATAAGATGCAACCCCTTTTTTCCCTCGTAGAGAAACTCCGTTAAAAATGATATCATGCGTGAAACATGATTTAACCATCGGTGTTTGAAATCCAATGCAGGCGTAAACGAATAACACTAACTTTAATATGCTTTTGATGCCAGAGTAACGTATAATTTACGCAAAAATGTGTCCCAGATTTCGCTTGACAGTTTTTTGATGGATGATTGATTTTTGTATTAGATCTAGGCACATGCCAAAACAGCTTATATTATATAATGACATTGAGAGGAGTTCGTTGTAAAGGGCATTAGTAACAGCTTTATCCATAAAGAATGGGATGAGGTAGTAAAAGCTAGATTCTTGTACGGTACAAAATAATTTCTGTTTGCTTGAAGTATCGTCTCCCGTCTTCATCAATTATCACCAAACTTAGATAGTTTCGGATGTTGAAATAGTTCGAAGTGACGTTTGGTACCAGATCATATCCACCTAGAAAAAGGCGGATAGGAATAGTCTCGCCTTTGACGGGTGACCCATCCATAATCTCATACCTGATAGAAGTAGAATCTGAAAGCTGATTTGGTTCTAAACCACATGTCTCCCTTGTTATCAGGCTAAGTTCCATGTGCTTCACTTTTAACCTTGTCAATAGGAAATATATCCTACCTACAATTACGTCTTTCAAAGTGTATCTCGATTTAGAGTATTCAAATTCAATGTGGAGACAATTTTCAATCCCAATGTCAAGTTTGACTGGCTTTGGCTCATCGGTTGATGTTGCAGCTGTGTGCGTAGCAGGAATGGAGTTATAAAGGTAGCACCAAAACCTCTTTAGTTTCACAATATCGGTGGACTTTCTTAACACAGTAACTTTCAAATAGTACATTACTTCAACATTCTTACCTTTGTAAGATTCATAACGTTTTTCTACATCTTTAAAACTGAAGGGAAAACTTTGAGAATGTACTAGTTCTCCTTGAGGACATAAATCTGCGCTTAAACAGAGAAAGTTATCAACAGACCGTTTCTTGTACTCAGTACCTGACTTTGAAATGTCAACAGTACCGATCAAACTGACTTTCACGCCCAAATGTTCAACTTTCCTCCCTTCTTTAACCCTTAATGTGACAATACCACTGAGACTCTCGCCGTCTTCGTAAAGTGGATATCGATCTTTCAAAGTTCTAGCACTACTACTTGTGGTGTTTGGGATTTCAACATGCTTACGTGACTCCTCTCCATCAAAAAGAATTTCTATATCTATGGGCGATTTGAAGAATAGACTCATCCTTCCATGCAATGCTGTCAAATATTGAAGCTTCCTTCTATCAATGCGGTTTTGACGATCGCGCCCCTTTTGGGACATTCGCCTGCGGTGAATTCGTTTGTAATGATCAATGCGAACCGAGAGAAGTGCGTTAAAAACTGTTCTTAGATATTTACAAAATTACGTGATTATTCTTTGATAGATGATTCAGAATTGGGCCGGGAGCTTAGTTCCAACTTGCTGATATTTGAATGATCAAAAACATTTAGTTTTTTTAAAATTCTTTCGTCTCCTCTAAGCTCTTGAACCCATTCGCTCTTTTTTTCTTTCCCCAATTGAACCCATTTCTTGGGCCAGTCTTCCTCTTCAGACTTGCCGAGATCCAAATCGAATTTTGGATCAAAGGGTCTGATAGTTTGCAATACACAGCTGACAGCGGCTTGGCAATAAGCTTCAGCCTGGTAACGCCTGCGATAAAATCTGTAGATACGTTCGGGGATGTTTGTGAAACCTATCAAATGTGGAATAGGAATAACAAGAATTGGTTGCTCAAACAATGCAGGGACATGAGTCCTTGGGTTTTTTATTGAGCCAGTTTTTGATAGTTCAAATGGGATGATTGCCTTTGAATAATCGTCAGGAAAAATATACGGTTTGGGTATTGGTTTGCTCTTTTCTTGATCGTCTTCTTCATCAGTATCACTTGGAGAGATTTCTTGAGATTCATTGGTTTCTGATGGCGTCGCAGAAGGTTCTGAAGATTGATTATCCAGAGACTGAGTAATGGTACTGTTTTCTCCTTTATCGTTATCAGCCAGGCCATTCACTTTTCCCCCAATCTCTGTAATCTTATCCCCTTCGGATTTACTTGCAGTTGACAAGTCTTCAGAAGGTATAGCAACTGGAGGATCGAGAGGGCCTAATATACCTTCATGTAGTCCAGCAATATACTCCTTATAAGCTCCGCGACCAAGACAAATAACTCCTCCTGCAAGTTTGGGATCTACCACCAATGCGTCTTCGCTCAAGGGTGAGGTTTCCCTGAGCTTTGAGCTCATGAAAACGCCCAATAGTTCCTTATAATCAAAATCGGCTTTGTATTTCTTTGCAAGGATCCTCTCCTTTTCTTCATCAATTTCTTCGTCTGATCTAATAGATTTTCCCCAACCTACCAATTGGGATAGTTGCTTCTTGAGTTTATTCCATCTTTTTGCCTCTTCTTCCAAGGCTTGCAAGTTTTGTTCGTGATCCAAAAGTTCTCTTCTCAATTCTCGTATACGCTCTGCAACTTCGAACCTGATGAGTCCTTGTCTACTTTCAGTAAAGACTTCGTAATCGATACCACTCGAGAATAAGACAGGTTTTATAAATCTTCGCCAAATCACCATACTTGTATCAAGATAATCATTTGGAGGAGGAGCCACAAATACAGTTACTTTCCGCGGAGTGAGTGACGTTGGGAAAGTTTCCTGCGCTAGAGGTGCGACCAGATCGCACCACCTCTTTCTGATTTGCTTTTGTTTGTACTTATCATACGCCACACCTGATACTGATACTGTGAGTAGAGTCCAGAAAATCATCCAATTTCTCGAAGGTAACCGAATGGCAGGTAATCCCATCGCCCTAAAAGCCGGATTAGTAAATCCCGCACTTTTTGGCTTGGCATTTGAGCCGACAGGAAGCTGTTCTGTCTTCTCTGCAGCCATGTTTGATCAATTTCGCAGTAAATTGAACTTGCCATTGATTTGAATGTTTCAAAAAATTTTAATTCGGGGCCTTGTCGACAAATATCAGAATCGTCAAAAAATGGAAGAGTCTTCCATACAGGCATTAAATGTGCCAAGATATTCTACATGCAGCTCATAATAAGTTTGCTAATACGATCAATAAACAGAAGCACGGTTGAGAAAGTAATAGACCGGTCAACAACTTCGAAAAGTTGAAAAAAAAAAGTAATGATAATGAGAGGTAAGATTGAAAAAGTACGTATTATATAATAGCATCAATTTCGAATCCTCATGCTAGCAATTTTTTTCAATGCTTGGGGACTATTGAATAAATCCAAAAAGTTTACAACAGCCCACGCTGCCTGGCGCGGGTACGATCATTTTGAAACATCCTTTCCCGAAGGTTTAATGGCATTTTTTTTGATTCAATGTCTGTCCTTATTCAGCCAATGGGTTATTATTTGATCCTATGGTGCTGTTGAGTAATTGGCTGACCGGAATGCTAATCTGTGTCTGTATCGTTTAGGAGATAATTGAGTTTGGCTCTCGCATGGTCCTTATGGGATGCATGGTCGCTGCTCGCGGGAGGGTCTTGACCGGTAGGAGTATTGGACAACGGTTTCAAAGGTTGACCGTTTTCCGTCTTGACACTGTCGGAGTCCATGGTCTTTAGGGAAGTCGAGCTGGAGGCACGATCTAGTCGCGGCTCCTTCTGTTGGAGGGCGGAGTCGGATTCTACGCTCTTGAAAGGCGGTTTTTGGATCTCTGCAAACTTGAAATTGGGCTTGAACAGCTCGGGAGAGGAGTGCGAGATCACAGTGGAAGAAGATGTGGGTACGGTGTTGCAGTTGCTTGCTGGGTTGCTGAAAGATGTAAAGCTACTGTTGCTGGAGCTATTACTCACAGTAGTACCCAGGGAGTTGACGCTAACGCGTCGCGAGAAGGGCAACGGGGAATTGACCTGCGCAGAGTTTCGTCTCTTGCTGGAGGGCACACCGTCGAGGAAGGCCACGGACGAACGACGTGACGTGCCCGTGGACGACGTGGACGCTGTGGGAAAACTATCGGCAGAAACGGAGTTTTTGCGCGAGGGTAGAATCATGGCCACGGGGCTGTTGCCCGCGGGGGTCTTGCGACCGCCCGCGTGGGCGGCACCGGCAGAAAGAGACGGCAGCTCGTTGTGACCAATGGAGGAGCGTCTGGCCGGGCTAATGAGGCCCGGCACTTGGAACTGGTACTGGCCGTGGGCCATGGGCTGGAAATGCGGCAGGTGGGGGTTCGGGTACACTGGGGCCGTGAGCTGCGGAGGGTGGCCGGGAATCATGTACATGGGCTGCATCATCGACACGGGAGGGAGGTTGGGATAGCCCTGAGAGGCGTTTGCGGCCGGATTGGGGCCCGTGGAAGGGGGCGGGGCCGGCAGAGTGGCAGTTGCATTTGGGACGGGTAGGCCAGTCGTGGCGGGCGCGTGGGCAGCGTCGTGGTGGCGGGCCAGCGCGTACGCAGCAAGCGGCGCGGCCGGGTCCTTGGCCGGCTCACCAGAAGCCACGGCTGCACGCCTGCGCTTGTTGGCGCCGCCATTCCACCAGTTCTTGATGGCATTGTCGCTGCGGCCGTTGTTCAGCAGCCGCGCGATCTCGGCCCATTTTTTGCCGATCTTGTTGACCAGCTCCTCGATCATCTGGCCCTCCTCCTCGGTGATTGGGCTCTTGTTGAGACTGGGCTTGAGGTTTTGGTGGTAGCGCTCCCGGCACTGCTTGGGGCTGCGCACTTTGAGCTGCGCGGCGACTTTGACCCAGTTCTGGGCCCCGAGCTCCTGTACCAGTTGCAACAGCGCTCGGTCCTCGTCACTGGTCCAAGGTCCCTTCTTGATGTGCTTGTCCATGGGTTGCTTTGGCTCCTATCGACGTCGCTGGAAAATTTTGTTCTATGCCTATTCCGGTTTTATACGATTGCCTAACGGCCTCTGAGGGATGTGCCTGCCGTTTCTGAGAAAAAAACCTAAAAAAACCCATCGCTTGACGGTCGCGCGGACACGCGTTCGGCGACTGCGGAATGCCGCTCGTGGTGCGAGAGGCGCGCGGTTGCAACGGCGTGCTTAGAGTGGGCGGTGCAGCCCGCGTGCGCCGATCCCAGCGCGACGCGCAGCGTAGCGTGTAGGTTGCTACACACTAACGCCGGCTTGGGGGGCGGCGAGCGCGAGCGAGACGCGATGACGCGCACGGCGACGCGATCGCGACGCCCGCGCGACGATTGTCCACGTGGCTCCGCGTTTGCGACGCCCGCCTACCACCTGTATTTGTTCAATTTGTTCTTCTGCCGTGCACGGCTTTGTCGCAGACACCCACGATTGGTTGCCCACGGCCGTTCTTCCTCTTTTTCTCTTGTTGCCCGCCGCTGGAACCCACCGGCCGCGATTTTTTCTTCGCGTGGAACATTTTCCGGTGGGCTTCCATGCGGGTCTTCGTCGGCGGTGCCCGGGTCGGCCCAGACGGCCCCGGGGGCCTGCCCGGACAGGGGCCCTCCGCCGTTGCTGGCGGTCGCATAAACACGCAGGTACGTTTCGAATCCGGCGGGACTAGAAAAATGCAGGCTTTGGCTGTCTTGGAGCTGACCCGATGCGCTGGGAGGGCACGCACAATAAGCTGGAATGCTGACTAAACGGAGGACCACGCAGTGCCAGTTGGCAAGCGCAGGAATGGATCCAGAAATTCAGGTGGCATTTCGGCGCATATGCAGCGCGTATCTGCCGCAGGAGCGGCAGACCGTGCTTACCAGCCGTAACCTGGCGCAAGCAAACCTGGCTGCGTTGGCGTAAGCGCGGAACCCACACACCGCGCACAGCTGCGATCCGACCGTTCAGTTGCAGCGAAGCGTAGCCCGGCCGGGTCATCCGCTCGCAGGGGCCACAACGGTATTGCAGATCGGCCGGAGAAGCGCGGAGTTAGCTGCGCGGCTGCCGCCGCGCAGCCGGAACCGGGAGGCGAGAGCGAGCGCGCGCTGCGGGCGCGTGTGGGGGACGCGGGGACGCCTGGGGCCCCCCTGTGGCCCCCCACAGCGGACGTAACACCGTCGGCCAGACACAGGGGCGGCGACCGGGTGACCTCGGCGACCGCGGCCACCGGTCTGGATACACTGCCGGGGCGAGGCGGGCGAGGCGGGCGAGGCGGGCGAGATCCTGGGGGGGTCCGCAGCGGCGTGGGAGAAGCCGAGGAAAGCGCCGAGAGGCCGAGAGCGGGGGCGGTCGCCAGGCCCAATCCCGAGCGAATCCCGACGGCGCGGCGGCGGTGTCACGTGAATATATCAGCTTGGTCGGATTACGTAGGTATACAGGACGTTTCTATACACGGGGCGGCGGGGGTGTCGGGCGGCTCTCGGGCGGCTCTCGGGCGGCTCTCGCCCGGCTCTCGGCCGCCTATCGGCCGCCCTCGTCGCTCCAGTTCAGGTTGAACCGGCCCTCGGGCACCACGTACCGCTCGATCTTGTCGATGGCCTCCTCGGCGGTCGTCGCCACCTGCACGATGTGGCCGTTCTTCTCGCTGATGAACCCGCTCGCGATCGCGTGCTGGATGAACTGCAGCAGCCCGTCGAAGAAGCCGTCCACGTTGAGCACCACCACGGGCTTGTTGTGGATGCCCAGCTGGGACCACGTGATGCACTCCATCACCTCCTCCAGCGTGCCGTACCCGCCCGGCATCGCCACGAACGCGTCGCTTTCCGTCGCCATCAGCCGCTTGCGCGTGTGCATGTCCGGGACAATCGTGGTGCGGCCGTACTCCGCGCTCACGGGCGTGGAGCCCTTGTGGTTCTCGACCGACTTCTTGATCTCCTCGTTGAGCGCGTCCACGGTCTTGGTCTCGTCGCGCTCCTTGACCACCAGCGCGTCCGGGATGATGCCGTGCACGAACCCGTCGAGCTTGGCGCCCATGGTCGCGCGCGCGATCTCCCCCATCAGGCCCGTGGTCCCGCCGCCGTACACGAGCTTCCACTTGAGCGCGTGCAGCAGCTCGCCCAGTTTGCGGGCTTCGGCTGCGAATTTGGCGTCTTTGCCGAAAGACGACCCGCAGTAGACACATACGGACTTGAGAGGCTCGGATTCTGTCATGTTGCTGGTAGAAATGCGTGTAGTCGTTGTTGTTTGGATCTTGTGAATGTAACCGTTTGTGTTTCTGTTCTGTTCCACGTGCAAAGTAGCCCTGTTAAGAGTGCAATTTGTACGATTTTTTTGAATGTTTCAGCTCAAAGCGCGGTGCAGAAAAACTCCGATTGTCTCGATTGTAGAGTGTATCTGATTATTCACTTTCACCGCGCACTTTATATACGTAGTCTCAGGTTTGCTTCCTGAGCGATGCGAGCTCAGGAGCCCAGCTGCTCCGGCCGGAGATGCCGAGCAGGCGCGTCGCATTGCGACGCGCCCGGCCGTTCCGTGACGAGAGCTAAACGAGGGGGGGGGGGGTTCCTCCTGGGGCACCCGCGGTTCTCCCACGGCGTTTCCACCGGCACGGAAGGCAAGGGGGGGCGCTATTTCTGTCGATGCGAATCAGGGGCGCCCGCCCGAGCGGCGCGGAGTTGCCGCGGGGGAAGCCGCGCGAAACATAAATCGCGGCGCGCAGGGTTCGAAAAGAGGGCGAGGGAGACGGGACGCTCTTCCGTCACTTCGCACGGCGGCTGCGGCCCGGCTGTTACAATCGGCTGCTGCACATCAGCGGGTCGCCCGAATGTGGAACGTGCGGTGGAATGTGGACACTGGACCGTGCAGAGCGCGACGCCATGTGAAATGGAATTGACACTGCAGGCACGGCGGAAAACGGCCCTCACGTGACGGATGTAGCGGTGCATGGGTGTGCGAGGCGGGTGTTAGGATGCTGGTGTGCATGGGTGCTGAAGCCGGGGTCACGTGGTGCGGCGGCGGCGGCTTCTCGAGGCCCTGCGATGTGCCAGCAGTAGAGCACGCCAGGCAGGGCATTTGCCGGCAGCTGGACCGACTACTTCGCCCGCTCATCAGCTAGCGGCTACGTATTTCTGCCAAGTGACCGCCTTTCGGCCCACTACAGCAAGAGCGACGCTCGCGGTAAGATTTCGTCGTCGCGTCAGCAGCGCAAATGCCCGGACTGCACGTCGCAAAAACGACGCATACGGGGGTGGGCCCCAACAAAACATTCTATCCCCCAGACGCTCTTCCGTCCCCTGTCGTTTCTTCACACCTGCGCAGCCGGAATGGCTGCTGAAGCTAGATCCACACGGTATCTCTGTCTGTGAGCAGCCACGCTTGCCGCCTGTAGCACGCCCACACCGACAATGAGCCTCTCACTTCTCCATGACAGCCTCAAGCGTCCTACCGCCTTCGTCACATCCCACTCGTACATCGATGGCCAACCGCGCCCTACCCAGTTTTGTGGTCGCCGCCACAGGGGTTTCCTTCCTTGGCGGCTTGGCATGACCCCGCCATTACGTGATCATTTTTTGAAACGGCGCAGGCACATGCATATCGCCACACACGGCACAGGCCCGCCATGTGACCCCAGTGCAAAAAACGTGCCCACGGCGACTCCACGTGACTCAGCAGCCGCATAACCTCCAAGGTTCTCGCTCTGCTCAGTCGATTATGCACATCCCGCCATGAACCACAGCTCACGGGAGGAAGCGCAGAAATTGTACAGCGGATAAGTTTTCAGATTTGACGATTGTGCTCAATTAGTATCTGAGCTGTGAAACTCATCACACTGTTAGCAGTCAGCTATGAGCAGCGAAAGAGATTCGGCTGTTGCTAAAGGCGTGGTACATGGCCACATCCACAACTTCAACAATCTCACGTATATCCACGGTCATGTCCACCGGAGATCCTCCATGGTCGACATCGACAACGAGGCGGGGTCAGCTGCTGCCCCTCCTCTTTCGGAATTTCACGACTCGTCCGTCGCACCAATGCCCGCCAGCTCCAACGAGGTGGACACTGAAACCGATGATCAGGGCATTTGCTCCCAATTCCAGGACTGCCAGCATTTCGAGTTCATGAACTACCACAACCTCAACGTCTTCAACGAAAATCAGCAGGCCAGCGCGCGCTCCGACGACCTCTTGGTCTTGCCGGAAAAGCGTCGCAGATTGACCGACTGTTCCTGCCAACCGCGAGTGGTGAAAATATGCTGCGACGTTGACCACGAGTACGACGGGAAAAATCACGCACCGGCTTTGAACGACGACATTGTTCTATTCACCAACGAAGCCAAGCCTGCACAGCTGCCGACCAACGCGGCTTTGCCGGAGTTCATCAACTGTGATCTCACATGCGCTCCCCAGGAAATGAGCGACGATCGCATGTTCGAAGAACTTTGCGAGCAGTGCATGAACCTAGACGATCAAGAAGATACCTGCATGCACACCCATGACCACGCGCATACCCATTCCCATAATGAAGATGAACTACTTTCGCACGACACTTCGTTTCACGACCACATCATCAACACAACAACGGATCTCAAGATCCTCGAAGATCTCACTAGCATTTCTAGCATGTACGATTTTCCCTTTGGCAAGCACGTCCACTCCGAGATGCCTGGTGGAAAGTCAAACGAGTTGAATTTATTACAAACAACTGTATCTGCAGTCAAAACTGAAGACGACGACATGCAGCTCAATAAGACCCATCATCATCACCGAGTTGAGGTCCACCCTCACTCTGCCCCACCTGCTAATGTTCCTGCGGGGTACAGTAATGAAAGAGATACTCAAGCCTCCCAAAATTCTTCCATGGAGTTTTCCAAACTCCATCACCATCTGCCGCCTATCCCTCAACCTACAGACATGACCAGAACCAACACGATTAATTTCAAATGGGCTTTTAAAGATGACCTCTCCAAAGTGAATTGTCAATGGGATCATTGTCCTGAAACGTGTGATAATCTCATAGATTTGCAAAAACATATTCTCAAAGATCACGTTCTCGATACACCTCTACCGATAATGCTCCCCACCCCGCAAGGGCAATTCGACTGCAGTTGGGGTGAATGTGAATACTCTGGTGAGGATATTTGTTCCTTGGTTAACCATATAAATGGTCAACATGGTATTGCATTTGATATGAAATTCGTTGATCAACATAAAATCGAAGAACAAAGCGAACAGCATCATCAACTTCATAAAGGAGATCAACAGCCCGAAAAGAAAAGTCACATTTGCAAGTGGGAAAATTGTAACCAAGAGTTCTTAAATGAGCAAGAGTTAAACAACCACATCGAAGAATGTCATATCTCTCGTGGCAAGTCCTCTTACAAATGTAATTGGGATTCTTGTGGCAAAGTGTTCACTCAAAGACAAAAGATACTAAGACATTTGAAAGTGCATACCAAATATAAACCTTTTGAGTGTCCGTATTGTTCCAAAACTTTCTCTACAGAAGATATTTTACAACAGCATATTCGCACGCACTCTGGTGAAAAACCTTTTAAATGCACTTTTTGCACCAAGAGTTTTGCTACATCAAGCTCATTGAGAATACATGTAAGAACCCATACTGGCGAAAAACCTCTTCAATGCAAGGTTTGCGGGAAAAGATTTAATGAAAGCTCTAATTTGAGTAAACATATGAAGACGCATGAAAGGCAATATAAATGCAAATCTTGCAAAAGAAGCTTTCATAAATTAGAACAATATCAGTTGCATCAAAATCGGTGTCCCTGCTGTGCCAGAAGGGATTCCAATCATCTTAACGAGAAACATTGAACCATCTCTTAAGGTATTACAAATCGTTGACCGTTAGCATTCACGTACTTTTCCATACAATCTCTTTATATATATATTTAACGTTACCCCAGTCATCTAATCCTTCATCAATCTCCTCGACAATGCCACAAAGCCCATGCGATTCAAGTAAGTCCCAAAGTTGTTGTCGCTCTTTAGAGTACTTAGCTCTTACCGGCACTTCCAAGAACACTTTACCACTTTTTGCCAAAAATTCCACAATCATATCAACAACCCATTTGGGATGTTCAGGCGAATAAATGGGATCCGCGATTAATATGATATCAAATTTATCTCCGCCATATTTTTCGACAAATGGTGTTGAGTTTGTCCAGTCCAGTACGTCGGCGTGAACCTTTCCGGTTAAATTCAAGTCATTTATCTCAACATTTTTCCTTAGATTTGGTAAAATCTCAGGAAGATCTGTCAAGTAAATCACATATTGGGAATGGAGATCAATTTCCAGTGACTTATGTGCAAATGCAATACCCACTAGCCCCGTTCCAGCTCCAAGTTCAAGAACTCTCTTACTACCTCTGCAACACTTTATTTGAGGAAAATTGGAGCAAATCTTTTGGGATAATATAAGAGAAGCTCCCCAAGTTTTCAAGCCAAGATTATCAGAAGTGAGAGAGGGCTCGTGTAGTTTTATCAAGCAGTCAAGGTTGTCTATTTGGAATTCTCGTGTCATAGATGGTTGAGCTGTGCGCCCACACTTTTCAGAGATTCGGCAACTTACCTCTTGAAGAATGTTCTCCACCACTTTGTCATTTGAATCCATCTTGTTGTATTTCGATAGAATATTCGTGTAGTAGCCAAGCAACTCTGGACTACTTTGACATATCCCTAATCGAGGAATTTTTGTACAGATTTTGTCTTTTGAATTAAGATTTAAATTTCCCATATGCTCATACCATTTAACCGTAGCTTTCAGATATTTCGGTGGGATGTTCTTTTCATTGCAAATACTGTCTGATGATTGTTTCGTAACCCTCTTTTCCTGTCCAAAGTTCACAGATACGCCAGGCTTCAATAGAAGAAGAACTGTAAGAACCACTTCGCTTGGTGCCAACTGAACATAAGGAAGATCAATTACTTGTATTGGGGCATCAATGTCGATATCATCGATCACAGGACCATCTGTTTCAGTGACGACTTCTGCAGCACTGCACTCTGTATTACTAACCAGTGATGAGGTATTATCCTCACCTTTAGGTGAATGAAACGATGAGCTTTCATTCGAAATGAAATCTAATGGGTCAAACATCTCAGCATGCATTGTATCTTTTTCCTCGATGAGATGTATACCAAAAATTTTTCACTTACAAAATGAAATATTCAGAGCCAGCGGTAGCCACCGATGGCCTTATGTGAACACATATCCTTGAAAAGAACGATCGAACGAATACATGCGATTCACAGTATCGCAGGTATTTATCTGGAAGTTTCGCAGTAGATTGAAGATCTTCATAATATCAACTATCAGTCATCCTGAACGATTACCGCGGTATTAGGGTAAAGAAATAGTAATGAATACTTCTAGGTAAGTGTCTGTTACTTTCTAGGTGAACTATGAGTTTAGTTGTATACGGTGACAATAATGGAGAAGATGATTCGTCTGTAATACTATATGATCCAAGCTCTAGATCCCTAGTATTTTTGAATCAAAACTCCGGAGAGATATCTTTAGTTCGACAAATAAGGGGACCGACAGGCTTGCAGTCTTCAGATGGGCCGATTGGCGCCATTTCATCATTTCATTGTCCACAATGTGGAAGTGAAGTGGGGACCAGTAGAGATTTTACGTCTCCTGTATCCCCCTACGAGGCAGACAAAAGCCTCTTTGTGCACAAAAATTACTTCAAACTCTTGGAACAAAATGGATCTAGAAGGCCCTCCTTTTCTTTGGCATCATCATTTATCCCCTCTGATCTTTTTACACCCGACTATTATCGACGATTCTTCCAAGAGCTTTCTTTGCTTGGAAATGGAGCCCGGGGCTCCGTCTACAAAGTGGAGCATGTACTACTCAATAATCATTTGGGTATATATGCACTCAAAAAGATACCGATTGGCAACGATCTATCCTGGCTGGAGCGTGGAATTCAAGAGGTGAAATTTCTTAGCTCGCTTACACATAAAAGCGCTAATCTTATAACTTACAATCACGTTTGGCTGGAGATGGACTCCGCATGTGGAATTGTACAAGCAAGCGATGGAAAGGATTGTGGTACACCTGAGAATATTCCTTGTATATTCATTTTACAGCAATTTTGTCCAGGAGGTAACCTTGAGGATGTTATTTACAAGAAGGTATTTGGCAAAGACTCTGACCATGAGTCTCCAGAAGAAAGGAAGAGAAAATTCAAGTTGCAAAGAAGACATAAGGCATCCCAAACTGCTCAACGAGGGCTAAGATCTGAGCAAATTGTCTCCATTATGCTTGATTTATCCTCTGGGCTACAGGAGCTTCACAACCTTAATATAATCCACCGTGATCTAAAACCATCTAATTGTTTATTGTTAGAAGAATTTGACAACAACTCCGATGAATTGTCTTATAGCGGGAGAGCTTTTCCAACTGTCTTGATAAGTGACTTTGGAGAAAGCCAGTTGTGCGGACAACTACGCTCAGCTACGGGTGCTACTGGTACACCCGAATTTACAGCGCCAGAAGTCTTGATTTTAGATCCTAATGATCATTCTTTCCCCCAATTTACGTTTCAATCAGACATGTTCTCTTTGGGAATGATCTGTTATTTTTTGGTTTTTGGAGAGCTTCCATTCTCCAGCCAGTGCAGCATGCCGGAACTTAAACGCAGCATTAGCCGTTTCAGATTTAAAAAGGAAGAGCTATGGAATATGCACAATCATTTAAACCTACGTGAAATTGATCCAGCTATATTTGACTTGATGGAATCTTTACTCTCTCAGGAAGAAAGTAAACGACCAACTGCTAAGGAAACAAAGCTTATGCTCGAAAAAATTATGCATAAAGATGATCAAACAAATTCCGAAATCGACCCAAGCTCGCCGTTGTCGTCGGCCGAAATCAAAACTTTTACGGAAGAGTTGAATGCCAAGAAAACGGCCATAGTTTCGCTACACTGTTCGCCTATCTTATGGAATATTGCTAATAGTCTACTTGCCTTTTTTGCAGTATTTGGACAACCTTCTGCAAACTACTTGCCATATCTTTGTGTTTTTATATTAGGTATGTCATTAAGATCATCACCACCTGTCAGGAAGTACTTTTTCTTCGTTATGGTACTTCTTGTACTCGCCATGCATTTCATGGTGTAGTATATAGTAAAGATCCAATAAATTCATCGTATATAAGCCCGAAATAGCTTAGTTATGCCCTCTATTACCGTTTAATTCGATCAGTTGATAAGCGACAATAATTGTAAAAATGCTTCTTTTTCAGAGCAGTGCAAGGACGGAAAAATACTTCTCACTATTACGAGCACTCTTAATGAACGCGGAAGTCAAAAGAAAAAGGAGCTCCTCTGCACTCCCGTCAATTCAAAGGGTCGGAGTGAAAGATGACCGACAAAGATCACGTCTGAACAGTTTTTCTTCTGATATCGTTCCACAAATAGTTCCGTTAGGAAATGGTTCCCAGGAATTAAGCACTTCGCGGCCAGCCTTGGCTAATCTTCCGAGCCTCTCTAATGTTGGGTTTCAATCAATATTTCAGAATTCAAGCCTGCGAAGAAGTCAGCAAAGCGTTAATTCAGAAGATTTGAATGATAGGCTACAGACGATTAGTCCCGTCTCTTCCAGTCGAAGTAATACCATTACGAGCTATAATTCTCATAAAACCGACTCAAATGTCTCTGCAGATAGCTCTAGGAAAAGATCAAGCTCTAAATCAACACGCCCAACGCTTAAAACGACGAATGACAAATCTGAGCGCAGCTCTCGCCTGTTTAAAAGCTTGAGTAACAAAAGTTCCACAAGCTTGAGCTCATCGCTTCTTAATTCGACTGCTCACAGTTCAAAAAGCTCCTTTAGTAAAGCCGCAAGAAAGCTCTTTAGAAAGAAGGACCATAGCTTAGAATCTGAAAACGAGGCTGCAAGAGCACCTGCAAACGTCCCTACCTCTGCGTTTGGAAAGTTTCTACACCATCAATATAACAAGCATGTTGGAAAAGTATCCTCACACTACATGCATTCTGCGGGAAACTTGATGGATTCAGGAAAATCCGTTTACTCTTTCAATCCTGCGTTTACGAATAATAGCAACGACGTCCCTTTGCAATTAGTTCAGGAAGCAAACTTTGATGCTACAGATGTTCATATGCTACACGACTTAGTGAAAAATTTGAAATCTCTAGACTCAAACTATAAGTCTTTTACTATGGAAGAGCAAGAGGCTTTAATTAGCAACATATGGGGAGTGTTTTGCAATATAATACTTTCCTTATTCAAAAATCAAAAACTTTGGGAGCTTCCAACTAAAGTTGAGGACATCAATCATGTTTTGGAATTTTACATCAAGTTGAAGACTGAATCGAGAGCGTCCACAAATAGCTCCAAATTCATTAGTGAAATTGAAGAATTTTTAACCACTTCGTTATACATTCTTGAAAACCAGATTGTATTCAACTATAATAACGAGAATACAATCAATACGGCTCTTAAACGCTTGTGCGTTATCTGGGAGGTCTTTTATCAACAAATATATCATGGGGTTATGGCTGTTTTGTTGCCTTTAGAAACCAGCTTCCAGAACAACCATCATTACTGGTCTGAAATGCATTCTTCATTTATCAATGACTCAAGCGGAAATGTACGGACAAGCACGCTATCTGTTGATTTTCTTTTGCTCAAGAGCTTTAGAGACTCTATCGTATTACCTTATTATCAAAGCTTCATCAATAGCAACGCTGGCGCCAGTAAAGGCTTTCATATGTATATCATGAATGAAGAAGAGGAAAAAGGGGTAACGCAACAGGATAAATTAGTTCTCTTACAGTGTTTCGGTATTCTCTCCTCTATCCAAAGTAATGATATAAATCAAACTCTCATAGACGATTTACTAGTGGGGATTAGAATGAGTATCTGATTTGCTATTGAAACATTAAACTATGAAGTTTAAGTAGTATTTGATTTATCATACATTGAGAGAGCTTCCAACTATGGATTAAGGATCAAGTCACTCAACTGCACACCAAGGCCTTCCTGTGGCAACTTGGTGTCCGCATAGTTTAGGTTCCAATGCTATCCCGGCAAATGCAGCCAAAAGGGTCCCAAAAGAATCTGAAATTGAAACAGCACCCAATGAAAATTCCCTTTCTGAAGGATTAACCTCATCAATAATGTTCATAAAGGTATTAACGTATGATGCACCACCCAGCAACCCCTCATAAAATATCAGCAACATAATGGGCCAAACCGAATGTGAAACATAAAACCACGATTGTGTTACTGTCAAAGCGAGGTTAACACCCTGCAAGACTGATAATAAGTACAATCTTCTGATTCTCACAAAGCTTCCGCTTGATCTGGAAATGAACACACCCAATTGATACAGAGTTCCATAAGTAACGTAAATGTCTCTGTATTTATGGAAGAAAAACGGATGTGAGTGTTCATCATCCAATGGAAAAAGTAGTGTAGGAGAAACACCTTGGTTAATGAGATACTCGAAGAAATAAACCGTAGAGAGGGGAACCATATACGGCTTTACTAAAGAGGCCAATTTGTTGCAAGTATTCCGAAAATGCTGGAAAATCAGCTTCCAATTCTCCTCAGCTCTCTCAAAATCCGGTTGAAATTGGACCTCCTCAATTGTAGGTGATTCAATATTAGTATATTCTGTGTAGTCTAGAGATTCTACTCTTTCCAAACGATAGAAGAGCAAAAATCCCAAAGGCAAGATACTGAATAAGGCTAAGGAGAGGCCGATTGGGATTTTGAGAATCGAAGTTAACAGCAAATAAGATGCGCTCCCCAAGAGACCCGCACCACCAGTACCAGAACTCCAACCATTTAAGCTAGCCTCTTCGTAGTAGTGAGTTAGTTGCAGAAATGTGATTTCGCCCAGTCCGGAAGACAAAGACGCCAAAACTATCCCTGCAATACAGACCCCTAGTTTCCTGCCGGAGACTAATATCATGCCCACACAGCTCAAGACAACCAATATTGCTATACGGCTCCGATATGGAATGCGGTGAATGAAGAACGGAGCGGTCAACTTTACAATAAATGAAGGCAAGATATCCACGAGGAGGACCAAAGACTTTGGTAGGTTAGGCCCAACAATGTCTGCAGCAGCAGATAAAATAACTACATACAGCACATTGTTTATACAACCAAAAGCCCAGAAATAACGAAATATGGTGCTTCCCTTGGCCATCAGACTTTTTGTTTCGTCTCGATGTGTTTTGCACTACTATGCCATAAATGTCAGTAAGCTGATCCTGCGTATATTATATTTTAAGGAATAATAGTCACGTGATAGGAATATAATGTCAGCACTGTGATTACTGGTTCTAACCAAGTGTCCTCATACTTTATCATGGCATTGATTGGTACTTTCTACTCTCATTAGGCTCATCTTGTCTAATTCTTATTTTTGATACTATATTTATATGAAGCCAGCCAGAGGTTTTAATATTAAAGTAATGCCGTATCGATTAGTCCGAAATTCTTCTGAGCTTGATACTCCAGAGAAATTATTTAAACATCAATACATTTGGGCTGAAATTGCTCCATCTAAAACCAAAAAGGACATCATCGTGCTCCAAAAGTAGCCCCAATAAGCTGACTTGCATTAGAGTATGGCAGTTTTCAGCTTTTGATACTTTACAACCCTGTTGGCGTTTGAGTTTAATCTAAGGAAGAAGTGTATTCGAGGTGCAATATATTCTACGTTGGAGAGCTATAAATATTGCTTCAATAAACGCAATCTATCAACAGCCTTTTGTAAATAGTCATCGCTCTTGCAGACAGCGAATCTTAATAGGTTTTCTGCTGCCTTCTCATGTTCTGGGATGTAAAACTCAGTTGGTGGAATGGCCACAACTCCTAGCTCGTTAATCAACCAGTAGGAGATTCTGAAATCTTTGGCTTTAGATTTCAAATCATCTGGAAATGGATAGTCTTCTGGAATTTTGACCTTTGAAAAATCAACCAAAACGAAGTAAGTGCCCTCTGGTTTAGTGTACGGCAAACCAAGCTCATCAAAGACGCTTGTGAAAATCTCAAACTTCTTGATGTATTCGTCTCTCATCTTTGCGTAGTAACCATTATCCATAGCAATTGTAATTGCATTCGCACAAGCTTCTTGCAATGGAGATGGGGTAGAGAAGCAAATTCTGGTGTGTGCCATGGATGCGAACTTCAAAAGATCAGGATTTAAAGAAATGACCCAGCCAATTCTCCAACCGGTAGCGGCAAAGCTCTTTCCTGCAGATCCAATCGTTAAGGTTATTTGGCTAATTTCTGGACTCAAAGTTGCGATCCTCGTAAATTCCTTGGTGAAGTACAAGTTTTCGTACACTTCATCAGAAATGATTGCAATTCCGTTCTCAACACAGATGTTGCCCACCTTCAAAAGTTCTTCCTTGGTGAAAACCTTTCCAATAGGGTTGTGAGGGGTGTTCAAAATCAAAGCTTTGGTTTTTGGAGTGATCGCCGCCCGCAGCTCTTCGTAATCGATTGTCCATTCAGTACCTTCAGTCACTCTTGTTTCTAGATCTTTTGGTGGGTGCAAAGGAACATAAACAACCTTTCCACCAGGAATCTGAATGTTGGAAATATACTGATCAAAAAACGGTTCGAAAACAATTACTTCGTCACCAGGGTTAAGTAGCCCTACTAAGCATGATAAAATGCCTTCGTTAGCACCGGTGGTAACCTGTATGTTTTCTGGCTTCAATTCTGTGTTGTAGATTGGCGAGTAAAGCTTTTGAAGGGAGCTTATTAAGGAGGGACGGCCCTTCGTAGGGGCATACTGGTTAGTTAATGGAACGTCCAACGCTTTTTGAGCTTCTTTAATTGCGAACTCGGGTGGTGAGTACGAGAAAAACCCTTGGCCCAAATTAATAATTTCTCTTCCTTTGTTCTTGGGATTTTTGGCCGCGACTGCTGCTGCTTCGTTTGTCAATGACCATACGTCCTTACCTGTGTTTCCTGTGAATGTTTTGTTTGGAACAATTTTCGATGCCATTTTGGAGAATGTTCTTGTTTGTCTAGCCAAATTTTTGATCATGAAAAGCATCAATCTCTCCGGTTCATATATATACCATTGATTATCGAGCTTTTATCATATATAAATAATCATATCGCTTGCATCCATGAATCACCGATGAAGCCACAGTTTCATGGTTCTGATCACGTGTGTCTTTTATTTCAACGGCTCTCGCTAAAAAGCTAGGTGTCATAGAGGGTGTAAATGTAGACTTACATCAGTCTAGAGTCGAATGGCACCAGGTATATGATGGGGACCGTTTTGAGCTTTCTATTCTCTATCTGTCATTTTTGCTAGTAATCAAAAAATAAAAAGGCCGACACGGCTTTTGTCAGCTTTGTCCCAGGATCAAAAATCAAGCGTGGATTCAAACAGCATGTTACCAACAGTCAGTTTCAAGGTATCACAGAGGTGTGCGGCAGCTGCGAGAATAAACTTCAATGTACTAGTCCGTTCCTTTAACACGGAACGCATCCCATCGCCTCCAAAGCTTCCAAAAGAAGAGCAAGAAGAGTTTGAAAGACTGCAGAAGCTTGCTCAATCACAGGATGCTATCGACGAGTATAACGCTGCGATCGAGAACGATCCAACTAAGGAAAGCGCAAAGTCGCCAATTCTAAAGAACGATATAGGTGCTTTTTCGCCCGAGTTCTTCAAAACGATTCCGGAGTTTGAGGGCGATGTGAACCCCAAGACTGGCGAAAGAGGTGGGCCAAAGCAAGATCCTCTAAGACATGGCGACTATTCTTTCAATGGAAGGGTTACTGACTTCTAAATAGTTTTATATAATGACCAATAGCGTTTGTTCCACTCGGAGAGCTTTTAGATGCTTAGATTGCGGAGTTACTTTAATTTTAAAACCGTTCTTAGGTTCTATATCTTCTTTTCCAGTTCATCGGCAGTAGTTTTCAGTTCTTTATTACATTTCTTGATAATCTCAGAGTCCTCCTCTAGCACCTTTTGTAGTTCCTTCCACGAAAATGCTTCCTTTTCGTTGTCCAAGACGCAGCTTTGAGCCAAAGTATCAAGATCAGCTTTAAGAAGATCTAAACTCTCTCTTACATTCTGCTGTTCTAAAACCGATTTGTTGAATAGAGAAACTTGAGACCTGAGCTCTAGAAACCATTCAATTTCAGCTTTGCTCAATGGTAGTGCTTGGAGCTGTTTGGATTGTGCAACTTGAGATAATTTTTGCTGAAGCAATTCGAGACGGTTATCGATATTCTGCTCTCTATTAAGAGCTTTTTCCCACTTAGATTTTTGAGTATCATAAAGAACAGAGATCTTCTCTTCATTCCTCAATATTTTGCTTGATGCCGATAATTGGCGAGTGAGCTCGGCTTGCTGTTCCTTAAGTCTATTATGCAAAGTCAACCCAAAGGTTTGAGACACCATAATCCGATTCATAATTTCTCGCGATATTTTTGTCAACGTAGAAAGTTGCTCTTCATTGGATTCATTTTTGAATTGTGACAATCTTTGCTGTGGAGGGATCACTGTTTTCAAAGGGCTTTTGCAAGCACTTTGGACTTTTTTGTGCAACGCATCCAGTTCATTGCTAGGTTGTGAAAAATGAACTTCGTATTTCACTTTGGATTCTGCAGTTGGTTTTGAGTTTGTCAATACCTTCTCAGGTGTTCTAGATAAAACAGTATTTTTGATTTCTGTAGCAGAAAGCATGATTAGGTTCAAATGTCCCTCAAATTTCCAAGTCCCCACAGAATCAAAGCACCCTTTAAAGTCAGTGACAACATCAGTGATGTCCGCAGAAACTAGGTCAGATAAATCATATTCTTCTAAAGAACGTTTTAAAGTGTTCATAATGCGGTCACACTCCACAAGTGTTGCTTTTTCCGGTCCTAGTGCCACTATCTTGTCATATGATATAGAGACTAGGTTTCCTTTTGCCATCATACTATCAACCAATATTAAAGAATTATTATAGGAGTATTCCTGCTTTTCCCAGGACATGCAGGGTTCCAAATCTGGAAAGCATTTGAGAATTGTTCCGTCATCGAATGAGATTAACAAAAGTTCGCTTGCCGAGCCACTGAATTTCAAGACCTGGATTTGCTTTGCAGTAACTGAATAGAGTTTCTCTGGGAAGGGGTTGATGGTATAGGGCCCTTGAAACCCTGCTTCATAGTAATTTGCCGAGAGTTCAAAAGTTAGCTGGCCATTTGCCGGTAGAACTTGTTCATCGGTAAATTGTTTATGCAATCTGGAGACGAACTGTAATTGCTTTATTACATTTCTTTTCACACTAGAGTCGTCGTTCAGTCCGAGGGTTTCATACTGTAGTAATGCTTTGTGAAAAATCAGATTTAATGAATCAGGAGATATTGAGAACTTTGATGGCAAAAATGGGTAAATAGAGAATAAGTCTCCACCATCACTTGTATTTAATGTGTAAAGTGTTAAACCATCCGCACTGAAACATATTGACGTGATGTCCATTAAATTGGATGAATATCCGAGCTGTTTCGATGGACTATTCAAAACAAGTGTTGGTTTTGTAAAATCTTCTGACAGTAATTCGAACACCAGTAGTTCGCCATTTTCACCCAAAACCACTAATGTCGAGTCTAGTACCCCTCTTGGATGCCAAACGATTTGTCTAATGCTAACATCAGGAGTGATATTGTACACCACAGGCCGAATTGAGTTCCACGTAAGAGCCACCACCTGGAGACAGTGATCATTATAGATGCACAGAAGACTGCCGGTATTGTTCAATGTAGCGTGATCGTAGTCCTCTATTGCGTCGAACTCAGCATATTCATAGTCCTCTTGGCCAAGTGAAGTCCATTTCAGTGAGTTTCCTTGAATAACCAGTACCTTAGAGCTATCTTCTGTAGATAAAAAAAACGCTTTGCATGATTGGTTCCTGTAGACACAGTTTTGAAGATGGGATGTGATTGGATCGGCATATCCAAGATGCCAGTTTCGATGAATCGATGCAATGGTTGAAAAACCATTAGATGTAAAACCGAGATGCATTTGGACGACGACAAAAATTTTAATACGTTAATCATGACCTACAGCCATGGCGAAATCAATATTCCACGCTAATAGCAGCTGTCATTCGGCATTGTTACATTATAAAGTTATATGAACTGGTTATTTACAGGTATCATAATGTTAAAAGGCTCAAATTTCAGACAAAAAGTTGTTTTGCTTGATATGTTTTCTGTTCGCTTTTCTCATCTGTTTCTTTCTGAGCTTGAGGGGGTCCTCACTTAGCTTCTTTTCTTGTGCTTTCTGATCAAGAACAGTCCACAGCCATTCAGGGTATTCGCTGTCCTCTAATGCAGTAATCTCTTTGCCTGACTTTTTAATCTGAAGATTTAGAGGTGTTCCTGCAGGGCATGATGACTTAATACCTGAGATAATGGCTTTTTCCTGCTGAAGGAGTTTGGAGCCCGTAGAAATGCCACGCTTAAATGAAATTCGTAGAGATGCTAAAATCATGAAGCGATTTTTAAATGTGAAATGCTGGCTACTTTAATTGTCTGGTAACTCAAATGGAATCCAAATTTTTCCAAATCTCTTGATGTCCATATATACGACTAACTAATTTTTAATTGCAGCTATTAAGATCTATGCTAATTTCCACTTAATATAGAGCCACCAGTAGCCCTTCTACTACCCAACCAATCAATCCATTCATGAATGCATTCCAAGTCACGTAGTAGCATAGCTTTGGGCTGAAAACGCTCCAAATAAATAAATGGTATCTCAGGATAATGCAAGAGGCTAATAAGAAGCATCCAAAGAGACAGTAAAAGAAGAATTGAGGCAGCTTCGCTCGATAAAATACACTCCATTTATCTGTATTAGACTTGTAGAGGACTTTGGATGATGCAAGAGACCAATATATGGAAGGAGCGAAGTTACCTATGCACATTAACAGCCCAACTGTGTAAATATTATAGTCGTCTGAAACACCGTTGTAAGCATTGGTCAAATTTACCGTAGCAATGGAGTTGGTGCTGCCAAACTGGAAAAACGATAGGTGTTGTAATATTAAATTGAGCAACATCAATATTGCTTGATTGGAAGAATAATATGCGGTCCATAAATAGTGCAATCTTCCAGAAAGTATTTGAAACACCAAAAAAAGTGGTATATTGGCAGATGAGGTTTGAAATATTAATATGGAACTAATAATGGAGTGTACATCCTGAAAAAACCCAACCTTTTTCGAGAAATATTTATGAACGAGAATTCGTGCAATCAGGACAGTTATGGAAGCTTGAAAAAAAAGTCGGGCAAGAGGTACCAGAGTCTCGCTGTAGATATCAGAGCTTTCATCTTCCTGCAGTAAAGAACACGATTTGAAGACTATTATTTCGAGCCATTTCGGAAGACCTTCCCCATTTACAATGCTCCAATTAGCTTTGTATACTAAACACAAGCTTGCGAGAACAAACGAAGAAGTAAAGGAGAAATAGTCATGCGTTGCAGTGTTGCAACTCACTGCAAAAATTGTCAAAGTATTGAAAACCCATTGCAAGTTGTTATGAGTTTTTAACAACTCGTAGATAGTATGCTCAAAGAAATACTTTTGTCCGCTATTGTTCCAGCCCCGCACGAATCTTAGACAGACCAAAACCAGGAGGTGATTTAATATTTCATTAGGATTAGAAATACATGATGCCCCGACAATTCCGATTGTAATCCACCACCACAGCTGATGTTCTTCCTCGACAAAACTGCTCCCAAAAGTACTGAAACTGAGGATCATCGTGGTTCCAAGTAACAATGCTGTTGTATAGGTTAATCTCAATAGTCTGAGTGTGCTTGCAGTTGTAATCACCGTTATTCCAATTAAAACAGCGTATCCAATAGCTATGAGCGAATAGTCGTAGTTTGTAGCAGACTGTGCCAGCTTCGCTTGAATGTCTTTCATACGTGACATAATTGCAGTCAGGTCATCAATCTGTTCGGAATAACCTTGAGCCACGCTAACTAATTGGTGATAATTATCCATTATCTTAATTTTCGAAGCATCTTTGGAGAATAGTTGCAAAAAATCCGCTATTATAACACCGATGCTGTTTTTGGGAATGGGCAGATTGAACAAAGAGGCAAGTGTCGGTACCAAATCGATTTGTTGAATTTTGGTTAGGTATTCGTAATTTTCATTCAACTCAGAGATAGGTAGAACAACGTTTCGTTGTGCTATGGGCTTTTCATATTTTTCTAGCTTTTCAGAAATGAATACAAGTCCAGCAGATGTTTCACCTGCTGAAGAACCACCGTGATTGCCTAAATCATTCATTCCATGGTCTCCCATGACGCATAAAAGAGTGCTTTCATCAATTGAGCTGTATATTTCTTTGATAATTGAATCCATTTCGCGATGTTTAGCTGGCATGAAGTGGGATTTAGCACCACCTTTGTGTCCTATGTGATCGAGCCCAAGATAATGTAGAATTAGTACATCCCACTCGTCCTGATTGCCCAATTGTTTTGGTAGATGTCTAGTAACGTTAAGATCAACTTGCTCAAAATCGCTCACGAAGAAAGAGTTCGTTCCATCCACCTCATCGAAAAACTCATGCGGGAACAATTTTAGCCAGGTGTCATCACCAAAAAATTTCATGTGCTTGTTGTGAACATGGAACTGCCGTAACCACGAGTCTTGCTCTTTCAAATTCGATGACGAGTCATCCTCTGCAACGTTGAGGATGGCATCCAAAAAATTGGGCGTCGAACCAGTCGTAATGCCCTTGAGTCTAGGTAGTGTCACCGTAGGTGGATTGGAATAAGCTGTGTAACCCCAGGCCTTACCATTATTTAATAATTCATGGACAAAGTGAAAATTACTGGCCTCCTTCTGAAATAAAAAGTCTGCTCTAAGGGCATCAATGACAACAAAAACTAGTTTATCGAATTTTGGCGCCATATGAATCTGCTCATCAGGCAAATACCAGAATTGGGCATCTCCTTGCATCACAGATTTCTGAGGAAAGAATCCTGCTGAAAATGTGAATATTGCTATCAATTGCAATACCACAAGTACGATTAATCTCTTCCCCATTGGCAAGTCTAGGAGTTTCCTAAAGGCGTTGGTCCCTTCTGTGGGTGCCGCGTTTTCCATCATTTTTCAATATTTACTTATTGAGTCCGTATTCAATGATCCATGCGATTTCGAATATCACCTTGTATATATTGTACATGAAACTAAATATACTATTGCAATAGTTGGTCCCTATAGTGAGGTTGGTTATTGATGAATTTGGCGCTTCTCTTGTCATCCCGCTTCTTGTCTTTGACTTCTGTCTGCCACACCTTCTTCTGAGTCGCAACTTGTTTTCTGTCAAATATGGTAGCGAAATGCCTTGTTTCCGCCGCCATCACTGTGCCTTGACCCTCCGACAGAACAGTCTCGGGCTTGAGATTTTGTCTGTAGTATCTCTGGAGGGAGCGGTGTCCCACTTTGACACCAGTGGGCAAATGCAGCTCGACACCGTCATTGTACAGGTATTCCTGAGGAACCTCTTCGTCTTCGTCATCAAGATCCTCGGCCTCGTCAGAGTTAATATCCTCCCACTCATCATCATTTCCACTAGTGGCTTGATTATTTTCAGCGTAAGTGCTAGAAAAGTCGTAAAATTCGCAAATCTCAAGCCTTTCATCTTCTGTTTCATATGGAATACGGCAGTGGTTCTTGGAAAGCATGTGAGCACGCACAGCCTCGAGCGATCTGCCCTGATAGCTGCACACTAGGCATACATTTCCAAGACCGATTTTTTCAGATAAATATTTAACAAGTCCTTCCTTGTCCACTAGATACTTCTGTTCGGGAATGAAGAAGCCGTGCTTCCTGTACATGTGATCGAGGTTTTCTTCGAATGAAGTAAACTCACGCTTGGGGCAAAATAAACAAGTATTGAGTGGAATTTCGACCTTATTGGCTAGCTTTTCCTCCATGAGTCTCTCGGCAAGCTGATCAGGCGTCAGTTGTTCTTCTTGCTCAGATTCCTGAGCTTCTTCTAGTGGATGCTCTTGCTTTGCTAAATTTTTCACGGGCTCTTGAGTATTCATGAAATCTGCAGAGTTTGTTGCTGATGCTTCTCCATGTTCCTTTGCTTCTTCTGGCTTTTCCGCCTCCGCTGAATGTTCTCCCATGTTGCGCAAAATGTTCATACGAGCCATTTCCAATAGCTGTTTTTTCTTCTCCAAAAGAGCTTCTTTTTCTCTTCTCCTCAGTTCCTTCTTTGTCATCTGCCGATTGGATTCAGGCTGTGGCTGTTCGGAGAGTACCTTAACCTTGCTGTTGAAGGTCGTTTCATCGAGCGGAGGCAGTTGTGCGACTCTTCTCTTCAAGTTGTAACGGTGCCAGTCCGATTTCATATGCTCACGCTGGTCCATGCCAGTAGGAAACTGCAAGGTGCATGAGTTACAAGTGTAAGATGACATGCTTAGTGACAGTTTGAGTTTCAACTATTCTCTGCGATGAGCATCAAATTTTTTTCATCATTACAAAGAAAAAGGCTTGATGCTAAGGAAAAGCAATTAACAGATAAACTATCATGTTAAACGAATTTAGTATAAGGATTATTACAAATAAAATACACGTGATTTCGAAGCACCAGTATGAGTCACGTGGTTGTTTCATATATCATATAACGCCAACAGCGCAGCCAATCAGAGAGCAGAAATGAGTAGACAGGATCAAAAGGGAACGTGAATGGCAACAGTGGCCATCACGTAACGATACAACCGCCCCCAGGTGCGGTGATAGACGTCTCACCAGCCAGTAGACGTAGCAAATTAAGGCGGGAAGAGGCGTCATGTGGCAGGGCCGAGATCCCGAAACAAAATGTGGTATATTATGTTGCTCATGTAGAGAATGTGGAACTCCGGCAACTTACTTGTTTCCACGATCATTGTGCCAGCGATTGATCTGAAATCTGCAAATAAGCAAATAAATGGGGACGATTATGAGGTTTGCGAGGATTCCGCAAACGAACTGTAGGATCCAGCCGAAAGAGCGATTATTCTGTTTGTTGAGCCCCATGTCCGTGCTCATGAGAACCCAGCCGATGAAATCGGTGATAATGTCGTCGTAGCCGGCAGAGAGCGAACGCACGATGCGATTACAGCAGCGCTCGCATGAGATGGGCACTGAAGAGCCCTCGATGGCCTTGGTGATTGTGGGTTTGGTCTCGTTTTCAAGCACGAAGCCCTCACTATCGAAATTTCCCGGATACACGCACGAAATGCGCTGATAGGGGCATTCCTGTCTGAGGATTGCAACCAGTGACCGGATGGACTGCTTTAGCGGCGCATACTGCGCGTACCCGATGAAGGGGAAGAACGCAACCTCGCTTGAAAAGAACACCAGGTGGCATAGCGGAGAGCGCCGCACAGCAACGTGAGCCAAGTAGAGACAAGTCATGTAGTTGACGCGTACGCCCATTTCCAACTCGTGGCCAAGCATATCCTTGAAAAGCCCCGGTTTGGACCCGCCCGCACATAGCAGCACCTGTGTCGGGATGAGCGCGCACGCAACCAGTGTGTCATACATCTTTTCCACCTCATCGTACTGTGATAGGTCGCACGCTAGATACACAATACGATTCGACTCCTGAGGCAGCTTTTCTTCAACCGTCAGCTCCATGGCGTCACGAAATCCAGTGATGTCGCAAACTGCGTTGCGTAGCTTCTGACGTGAACGGCTCACCACTATCACCGTCGTGTTTCGGCCCTCATGGAAGTATTTGCGTGCGAATTCTTTGCCAAGACCTTGTGAACCGCCTGCAACGAGAACTATCTGATTGTCCAAGCTAAATTCCTGCATCTTGCGGGGTCCTGGACTAGTTTCTTGTTGTGATGACAAGAGAAAGAAGGCCCCACCACTACTTTCCTAAATAGTAATCCTGCCCGAAAAAAAAAAATTTTACGAAAACGATACAATTATAATTTAAAACTTTCTATATACAAGCATATGTGCATGCGAAGGAGCTCAATTCTGATTCTTTCGATCCTTCTTGTGCTGTTCGTATTCCTTTTTCAATTGTGCCAACTCTTTTTCGTCGATAGGAGGGATGGGCACGTCCGCAAAGTCATTGTCCTTATTCAAGAATCTGTAAGTGTAGACGTAGATACCGCCTGTGACACCGACCAGAAGTGCAAGCCCCGCAAGATTCTTCTTAAAAAAGGGGGCCCTGGCTCTAATCATCGCAGGCGTCATTTTCCAGGTTCGCTGGTCCTGGTACCTCGATGGTTCGAATACCATGTCGCTTGTTTGGGGTTTGAAATGGTTTAAGGAGCTAATGGTAGTTACTAGTTCGAGAAAAGATGAAAAAATGGATCCTTGTAGTCACGTGCGCTATTGGATTTACAGCTGCTACACATGCCACGTTCATCGTATGTCCCTGTCAAGGTGGTATTGAGTTCTGGCAATAGTTGTACAGATCTTGGATGCGCTTGAAGTTGAACAAGCCCATGTGGTCGTGCTGTAGGACTGGTTTTGTATCCTTGGGACCTTTCAACATGAAAAAATTTTCAGAAAACATAACCTTACAGCTAGCATCACTAGCATCCAAAAGCATTCGAAGCAATGACACAAGGTCTAGCCAGGCATTTTTCCCGTACCAAGGCTCATCGCGATGCGATGCTCAAGAATCTGGTAACACAGTTGTTTCAGCACGGTTCTATCGTGTCGACGCACGAGAAATGCCAGGAGGCAAGCAGACTCGCAGAGCGAGTGATCACAATGGCTAAGAAAGCAGACACGCAACCTCGATACCTAAGTGAAATTCAATCGCGGCTTATGCTGGCAGGTGACAACAGACACCTTCTACAACGTGTAGTTCGCGAGATTGCGCCCCGCTACCAGGCGCGGCCCGGAGGCTACACTCGGATTCTAAAACTGGAGCCCCGACTCGGTGACCGTGCCAAGCAGAGTGTATTGGAGCTCGTGGACTCTCCCTTGTTCAACTCTTCGGGTGAATTTCAACGCGGTAACCTCAAACTTTGGCTGCTCTGCAAGACGGTGATGGCCAACGAGGCGGAGGGCACCCAATACTCAGAACTTACGCTCACAAATCTCAAGAAAATGCTCAAGTTCACCGATGACGTGGAATCCTTTTTTACCAAGCATGTTCTTGCCGTAAAGAAGCTTATCGCAGAACAAGAGGGTGTTGTGTGGGACAAAGATCGTCAGTTACAACTCGTAAAAGAGCTCAAACAGCAGGTTGTCGCACAAATACCTCCCAAACAAGCTGATAAGGGCTTTGTTTACGTGCAGCAGCGTCCTGAGCGCAACTGAGCCTCTTTAAACTATCCATCTGCACCTTGTAAATAGGTTAGTGTACATAACAATTCTTCAATAGTGCATTCATTCAGCACACGTGAGATGATGATATTTGTCGCACTGTACGTGCAAAACCCACTAAAAGCTGATTGCATTCATCTCACCAAAAGAGCGCACCAAATTGTATTGTAGTTAGTGTGATCAGGAGCTTTTCATCATGCAGATCCGCAATCTTCATATACCTGTATTGGCAAGAAAGGGCTTCGTCGATGCTGTGGGCAACACACCGCTTATCAAGCTCAACCGGCTATCGCAGAAACTTGGCCGCAACATTTTTGGTAAAGCTGAATTCCAGAACCCCGGTGGTTCAGTGAAAGATCGAGCTGCATTATACCTGATCGAGCAAGCTGAACGCAATGGCCAGATAGATCCCTCGAGGGTAGCTACAATTGTAGAAGGTTCTGCTGGTAACACTGCGATTGGTCTTGCGCATATTGCACGCTCCAAAGGCTACCGCTCTGTGTTCTACATGCCCAATACGCAATCACAGTCAAAGATCAATCTTCTCAAGTATTTGGGCGCCGAAGTGCACGCTGTACCGGTGTGTCCAATCACAGACCCTCTAAACTTCAACAACCGAGCACGTGACCACGCCAAGAGGTTAGATAACGCAGTTTGGACCGATCAATTCGACAACGACGCCAATTGGAAATCCCACTATGCAACTACAGGTCCTGAAATCTGGGATCAGCTCAAGTCGGGTGGATTGACTTGTGATGCGTTCACCTGCTCCACCGGTACTGGAGGTACTTTCACTGGTGTCGCAAAATATTTGAAAGAGGCATCAAACGGGAAATGCAAGCTGGTAGTTGCTGATCCTCCAGGATCTGTTATATATTCTTATGTGAAAACTGGGCAAATGAATCGCGAGGGTTCATCTTTTACTGAGGGGATTGGACAGGGGCGCATTACAGAGAATTTGAAGGCATCTTTGGACTGTATCGACGATGCAGAGTTCATTCCGGATGAAGAAAGCATCGTTATGTTATACAGATTGCTTGACGAGGAAGGTCTTTTCTTAGGAGGCACTTCTGGGCTAAACGTAGTCGCTGCTTGTAAGGTGGCTGAGAGTTTGCCCGAAGGCAGTAGCGTGGCCACGATCTTATGTGACTCGGGCCACAAATACGCGGATAGAATATTCTCTAAGAAATGGTTGAAAGAAAAGAGCCTATATGAATGTATTCCAGACTCTTTGAAGAAGTATATCACGTTAGAGTAAAATGTTAACCTCTTATGAACTGTGTGCGTTCTGCAGTCCGCTTCATTATATAGGGAAAAAGTACAAAGTTTATGAATTGAACCAGCAATCATAGATAGTTGCTATTAAGCTCTGCGATTGAACGGCACATAATATGCCAATCCACTTTCTGAGCTATTCCACGGGACTCTTGCCATTTGCAAAGCTCATACATAAACATCAAGTTCGGTTGGATGATGATGTTCAGCCGACGTACTCTGACGTACAGATATGCGCGAAGCACGTCACAGTTTAAGCGCCGCATGCATTCAGCAATACAAACGGTGGCAGACCGCGAAACCCCTACCATGCAATGAACCAATACCGATTCTCCTCGCTCACGACATTCGTCAATAAACGCCAAAATTTGCTCGAGTTGCGCCAAGAGACGGTCCTGGCCATTATCATCTAGATTAGTGATATGCAAGACGCGAAATCCATTTTCTTCGAAAAGTGAGATATCATCGTCGGTTGTGTTGGTCGATGTCGATGCTAATTGTGAAACTTGTGACATGGAAAGTGCAGAGTTAAGGGGAGGTCTCTTTGTATTTTTGAATGAGCCGCCTTCGCCAACAGTGTGGCTTCGCCGCCTAGAGATGGCCGCTAGCAACCATGGCATTGTTTCCCCAACAGAGACTATGTTTTTGATATCAAGCTTCTTTAGCAAATCTGGACACTGTGCGTGCTCTAAAGACCCAAGGTATAGATGTGGAAGAATTCGTGATGGCAGTGGACCTTTCAACTGGAACAAATTGCAAGTGTCTTCTGGCTTAATGAAAAACATCCTACTGAACAAATCAGGATCTACGTCTAAGAAAGACGAAGTGGGAACTTTTCTAAGTGGACTCAATTCTCGTAACAAAATTTGTAAATGACCCAACACCTGCAAATCCACCGGGAAAAGGAAAAAAGGCCTTTGCCTTTCCTTATGCAAACGTAGGAGTACTTCTTCTAATGGTACATCCCACATAAAAATCAGATGTGCCACTAAAAGAAAAGATGTCTCCGTGTAACCATCGGAACAGTATAAAAGGGTAGAATTATCGGTATTCTTTGCCACAACGTAAATTAGGTAACACACATTTAAAATGGACTTTATGGACTCCAAGTTAAGATTGCCTAAACCTATCGAGCCTGAACTTGGGAAGGATAGAAGTGTATGACTTATGTTACTTGATGCTTGAACTTGTTCTATCAATTGCTTGATTTTGGTTGACGTGGGGAATTCCCCGTTCTCAGAACAATGAATGAATAGTCTCCAAGGTTTATCAGGATGAGGGACGTTAAAAAGAAGCTTGTCGTTGATGCTGGGATCCTCTGAATGGTAGTCGAGACATGGAAGCTTCACGATAGTGTTGTCGGTGCTGAAATAAGATCGGTATGAAGGATTTAAGCTCTGTGGAACGTCTTGTGCGCAGCCCCCTGTAACTTTATAGATCTCGTAATCAGTGGCATTGCCGCACCAAACAGCAGATTCTTCATCGGCACAACTGGCGCTTGACATTTTTGATATCTCGAGCCTTTCGCGGTAAAATAGATCACGGTCCCAGTTGTTGAAAGAAGCCACGTCAAAGCTCGAGGCCAATTGCGATGGTGATGCTTTTTGCAGACTGCTCAGTGGCATGGGCTGAGTGCCCAGCAACTGTGGTTCGACCTCTGTTGTTTGTAAGATGCTCACGGTGAATTCCGAGTCCGGGTCCACGCACTTGCGCGCCAATGTTACCAGCAAAGCCAGTTCGCTGCATTGGCAGTCTTTGAGGTGCCGCTTCTTGTCGAGACAGTACACCACGCAGTGCTCCGCGAGCTCGAGGAATTTGGCAGGTTGCAGGTCGAACCGCCGGAACATGCCCGGCTGCTTCCAGCCCTCACTGCTTTGTCCAACACGCCGCTTGGCCCCGACACCGTACAGCTGCTGGGCAGCCGCATCGGTTATCAGAAACGGAAGTACGTTGTAGCGTCTGCATACGCTGCACACGGCGTCGGCATCGCTGTTGCTGAATCCCACTCGCGCCGCGGCCTCACGAACAATCTTGTCGAGATCCTGAGAGTGCGTATTCCAAGGCAGCAGGAACTCGTGCGCATCCATCGAGGACTTCAGCAGCCCGGAGTTTTCCACCATTTCTTCGCACAACGGTTGCGATCGCAACACCGCTAGTAACCCCGCGCAGCGGGGACGCTCACGTTCACTCGAGTATCCGTGAAGCCACGGAAACACTTCCTCGCACTCAGGTAAATTCTGACTTGCGTGCCTCTCGTACAACTGCGCTAACTCGTGCGATGATATGAGACGGGGTGTGTCCTGCGATCCCGCGTCCAACGCTTTGCTGCTCACAACCCCGGTCATCTCGTCACCTTTATGCCTCTTGTAAGGTGGTTGCCCCATCGTTTTACTCTCGACGAACGCCATTGTTGAGAGTTTTTCGGTGGTTTAATGAACCAGATGCCGAGCGTTTCGGGGAGGGGAATATTAGGACGAATCAATCATTCTTCAAAGGGGCGGGAAGGGAAAAAAACGACACCGGTTTCTCAGGTCACGTGCGCCAGCGGCCGATGCGCCGTCCGGCTGAAATAAAAAGAAACGACAAGTCCAAAAAAGAAATACACATAGTCATGTGACCTAGTGCGCTTTGGTCACGTGCATGTCGTGTGTCGCGATATTATGTGTTCTTTTGTACGGCGGTCATGTGCTGTTCACGTGACTGTTTTTCTTTCCCTTTTTTCTCTACGATTTGACGGAAGTTCATTTCGCGTCTTGTTCTTCTTCACTGTCATTGTTGGTCTGATTTACTGCCTGTCGATTGACTCGCTTCTACGGTCCTCCTTCCTTCATTGACCCTATAGTACCCACAGCAATGAGTGTGGCGGAATCATCAGCTGCTCAGGCCGTCAAGCAGGCCGCGCCTCGCCTGCCGATCTCCAAGTGTAAGCGAATCGCCAAGACCGACCCCGAATACATGCTCACGTCGCAGGGCGCAAGCGCAGCTGTCGCGTTCGCGACCGAGCTGTTTGTGCAGGCACTGGCAGAAGACGCACTGGCGCGTTCGCAACTGGAGCGTGCCAGCGGTGCGCGTCTGCGGCTGCAATATGACGAACTTGCACAATGCGTCGCGACCATGGACCGCTATTCGTTTCTGAGCGACGTGGTACCTCAGACTCAATCTCTTGCTGCGCTCACACGCGAGAATCGTGTACGTTACACAACGCTCGCGCCGGGCCAGACCACTTTACCGTTCAGAGCGCGCGATGACCCCGGGGACGCGGACGAGCAAGGCCAAGATCAGGGCGAAGACGACGATAACGAGCAAGAGTCCTGAAGCTGCACCCTTCACTGTATGCCTCCACTTGGCCCATGGTAAATGAGTCACTAATGTGCAGAAACGCAGGTTCTGGTGCAATTAGGTCATTCGACAGACTTTTGGACAGACGCTTTATTGGGAGCCGCAGCATGCATATGGGTTTCCAAACCCGGGTGTCAAGAAACAGCCAAAATGGTTGAGTTCCATGGCTTCGGCATGGCTCCTTGTTGTGTGTTCCCGTTTGGCACTAGGTTTGGGCGAGCTTTTCCATATTCGTACTCAACGCTTCCCTCCAGAAAGTTCCATTTTAAAGATGGCATATAAGGGAATCAATCAAGTTTAGCGCACCATCGCTCAGGTATACACCTCTGTATAAACAAATAAGCTACTAGAGACTTACACAAGTATAGTATGGGGCTCTTTACAGGAGAAGACGACAAAAACACAAAAGATTACAACGATAAACTCGTGCGCAACTCACCCACGGAGCGTGTACGCGATGGGATCCACTCCGTGGGTGACTCGCTCCGGTCGTTCTGGCAACAGGCTATGGGCAGTGATGAAAACCCATTTTCGGATCTGTGGCTCAATGCCAGTGGCGGTCTAGGCGACGTGCTTGCTGGGCTGGGCTTACCGGGCGGGTTCGCACACCCATCGCGGATTCGCACTTTGATGGATGACACTCGCGAGGAAGAGGGCGTCACAGGATTGTACGGTTACCGAACACCCACAAACTCGCAGTTCGAAGAATGCCAGGAGGTTAAAGGCCTCTCTGTCTGGGATTCTCACGGCTTGTGGCGTTGTCTGTTCCCCGAGTCAGTGGTGAGAACCAAGGTGCAGCCTGGCCAACTTTCTGACGTTGTTACCCGAGAAAAGGTCGAAAATGACAACCATCACAATCTCGGGCTGTTCTTCACTGAGTACTCATCCTACCTTACGTGGCGCTCACATATGCTGCGGCTAGCTGAGCGTCGTCGCAAGGAAGCTAGGGAATCGCTAGAAACATGGAGGTCCCCCACCCCTGAAGACCTAACCGACCTCGCTACAGGCAAAAAAGTCGTGGGAACCTCTGAGTATGTCACCTATAACACTACTGACAACGGCCAGGAACAAATTAAGGAGACCAAGACCTATTACGATGACGGAACTGTCCGGTTGCGCTCTGAAAAAAGGCATACTTCTCCAGATGGAGGTAAACCGAAAGTGGAGTCAGTTGAAAAGTTGCTAACTCAGGACGAGGCCAAAGATGGTTGGTTCTGGCGCCGCGATAGGTAAGATAGATAAGACTACCGGAGTCAATTATTTTTGGACTCACAAGTCTTCATTCGCAAAGTTCGGTCAATTATACCTATTTTGGTGCTTAGATACGGGCAATGCAAATATATGTGTATGGGGTATAAAACAAGATGAGCAGTCTTGAGACGCAGCCCATCGCGTTGTTTTCGGAGACCAATGACTTCCCATGACATTGAGAAAGGTGTTGCTTTTCAGCAACGCAACCGTGGTTTCCGAAGCCTCTGGTTTTTAGTTTTAGTTTTAATTGGAATCGGTATACATATGCGTTCCGAGATTCAGCAGTTGCTCCCCGCAACAGGTTATGCCAAACTGGATGCAATATTCACGCCTTACTGCAGGGACTACGATGCGGTTGCGCCAAAGGTCGGCGCGCATTACTTCTCCAAGATAGAGACCATGTTGCATGATGACAGCTTCAAGAATGCCACTGCCGAAAAACTCGCTGGAGCAGTCCGCATTCCTACTCAAATTGGAGACGATGTGCCCAATCCTAAGGAGGACCCTGATTTTTTTGCCAAGTTCTTCGAACTACACGAGTATCTCAAGCAAACATATCCTCTTGTCCATGAGAATTTGAAGCTTGAAAAGGTTAACGATGTCGCACTGCTGTATACTTGGGAGGGATCCGATCAGGAATTGAAACCTGCAATGTTTATGGCTCACCAGGACGTGGTGCTTGTGAATGAAGATACGATTGATCAGTGGACATATCCACCTTACTCTGGTTACTTTGATGGAGAGAAAGTTTGGGGCAGAGGTTCATCAGATTGTAAGACTTTACTTACTGCTGAGCTTGTAGCTATTGAAGAGCTCATCAGAGATGGTTTTACCCCACGCCGTACAATTCTGTTGGCATTTGGATTTGACGAAGAATCCTCTGGAGAGAAAGGTGCATTGGAGCTCTCGAAGTTCATTGAAAAAAGATACGGCGCAGATAGCATCTTTAGCATTCTTGATGAGGGAATGGGTGTCTTTGAAATTGAGAAAGATTTGTTTGTAGCAACGCCAGTCGTGAGAGAAAAAGGTTTCCTCAATGTGCAAATTGATATTCAGGGCCCTGGAGGTCATTCGTCTTTACCACCAAGTCACACTAATGTTGGTATCCTCAGTGAGCTGGTTTATCGCTTGGAAAACGATCCTTTTGAATACAACATTGAGAATACTCACCCTTTCATGTCTTTCTTTCAGTGCGTTGCGGATCATAGCAAAAGCTTAAATCCTACATTCAGGAAATCCATTAAAAAGGCCCCATTCAGTGAGAAGTACAAAAAGGAGTTTATTGGCTTCGTGGAGGCAACCGATCCGATGATGGCATTCACTTTCAAGACGTCGCAGGCGATAGATGTCCTCAATAGCGGTATCAAAGTGAACGCGTTGCCAGAAACCGGACGCTTGTTAATCAATTATAGAATTGACTTCAGTAGCAATGTCGATGAGGTTATTAACAAGATAAAGAAACACGCATGTGTAGTCGCGGAAAAGTATACCTACTCAGTGGATGTTGCTGGCGAAGCAGTCTTAAGTCCTCAACAAGCCGTTGGTTCGCTAAATATCTTGCCTCTTACCCCAAGAAATCCATCCCCTGCATCTCCAGACTACCGAGATGACGATGTCGTTTGGGAGTTACTGGCCACCACGGTAAAGGATTTCTTCCAAAATAGGGTGTTCGTGGAGAACAACAGTACGCAAGTTTACCTGGCTCCTGGTACAATGACACCAAATACCGATACTAGGCATATGTGGAATTTGACAAATCACATTTACCGTTTCCAAGGTGCTGTACTACCTAAGGATGGACTGAAGGTGGCACATTCGGTCAATGAATATGGACTAATGTCAACTGTACTTCAGTCAGCTGCCTTCATGTATGAGTATATACTGGGTGCAGACGCACTAGATAGCTGATTTATAGATAGCGGGTTTTCAGATTAATATGAATATTATCTCGATCTTTTCAGTGAGGCCGTTAGAATTGAAGTTTACCCGGATTTAGTGAAAGAAAATTCATGATAAAATTTGAGTTTCCAATCGTTGACGAGCAGCTCTATTATTGTGATAAGTGCAAAAGATGTCGAAGAAGCAGGAGTATATCGCGAAGGTCAGGTACCAGAACGAACTGCCACCTCCCTTACTACCGCCCAAACTACTAAAGTATAAATTTGCTCCCGAGGAAGCGGTGGAATCGCCACAACTTGTAACTTCACTCTACACCAAAACTAATGTTACACCACTGGTGAAGCTGAACGAGGATCTCAGCATGCCGCTAGATTTGACCAAAATTCCTGGTGTATTAAATCGTATGGATACGAAATATCTTTATGGGTTTGATAACATCAAATTGCAGCCTGAAGACCGTGTACTATTAAGAGATCCAAGAGTTGATAGGCTCACGAAAACAGATATGTCCAAAGTCACTTTCCTGAGAAGAACTGAATACGTATCCACAACTACGACTTCTAAGCACAATATAAAGAAGAGAAGTGCTTCAGAATTGGCAAATGAGGAGGACGAACTGTTAACACCAGTGCAAATCGTGAAGAGGGTGGAGAACACATTCGATAGCATTTCTGATGACTTGTCAAAGATTTCCCATCCTACCAAGAAAAAAGTCCATGCAGTTAAAACCTGGGATTTACTTCCCGACACGGTTGCAATGGACCAGACATTTTTCACCATTAGGATGATCGGGTCTGCAGCATTGGAGAGCGCTGAGAAAAATAAGCTTGCACTGTCAACAGCACTATTTAGACCAGTTGAGTTGGAAGAAGATGAATGGGTCACGCTATATACGACAGACCAAGATAGCTCGAAGGCCTTCGAGCGAAACTTTGAGCAACAAATCGACGACGTTCCCGAGGACGATGACAGAGTCTACAAATTTAGGAGACTAAGAGATTTTGATATGAAGCATGTGCAGCCTTCAAGTGGAGGTTTATTCAGTGAGCTTACTTTAAGATTCAATGACGAAAGAGGTGTGGTGTATTACACTCCTCTCCGGTCAAGAATTGAGCTTAGAAGGCGGAGAGTCAATGATGTTATTAAGCCCTTAGTAAGAGAGAACAATCTTGACCAAATAAACATCAAGCTCAGAAACCCGACAACGCAAGAAACGAAGCTGCGGGACAGAATCAGGATGAAATTTGATCCTATTGACTTCCCTGCAATTGAGGACGATGAAGAAGAGACAAAGAATAATCAAGAGCTCACCAACACGGATGACTTAGAATTGAACGTAGATGATCAGCACCATGACGAAAAGGAGGATGGAAACCGTGACAATCAGCTTGGTCACGAGCCTGAGGAGAAGACGCAAAATAGTTTGAGCAATGAAGCGGAGCCCGATATCAAGGCAGAAGCAGAAGGTCATGCAGCTCAGGATACTACCGAAACGTAGGCATCGTTGCAGCCATTATGTATTTTAACTTCTTCAGACGTTTTATCACTGTGTACGCCATAATGATGAAGATGATGTTATACTGAAATTCACTATCCAACCCACAGCATGTTAGCATAGCTAAAGTATTAAAGAATGTCATTCAAAATTAATCAGGAAATTGCATGTTGTGGAGGGAAACTTCTTAAGTTATCACACCAATCAAGTGAGACGAAGACGGCAATGGATGTGAATATTTATTTGCCAAAACAGTATTATGAAGAGGGTATCACCCTTATTCCTGTGATATATTATCTATCTGGGTTGACCTGCAGTCCACAGAATGCAACTGAAAAGGCATTTTGGCAAGTGCAGGCAGATAAGTATGGATTTGCAATTGTTTTCCCTGATACTTCTCCTCGTGGAGAAAAGGTCCCGGATGATCCCGAAAAGGGATGGGACTTTGGTCTTGCAGCCGGGTTTTATGTTGACGCTACTCAAGAACCATACAAAACGAATTATCGAATGTTTTCATATGTCCATGAGGAATTACCTAAAGAATTGGACTCGTACTTCAACAAAGAAAATACCAAGATAGATTTTCTCGATAATGTTGCTATCACTGGCCATTCGATGGGGGGCTTTGGCGCTCTATCCGGATATCTGAAATACTATAATCGGTACAAATCATGTTCAGCATTTGCTCCAATTGCTAATCCAACGAATGTTCCTTGGGGTATCAAGGCTTTAAGCGGGTATTTGGGGTCTGACAAAGAATTGTGGGCTCAATATGACCCATGCTCTTTGGTATCAGAGGTGGACAATACCAGACAGAGCACCATCCTGATTCATTGTGGAACAAAGGACCCCTTCTTGAAGGATCAGTTGAAACCAGAACAACTACAGGAAGCGGTTAAGAATACGTCTTGGGAAGGGAAAATCGACTTAAAGATTGTCGAAGGATTTGATCACTCATATTTTTTCATAAGTACGTTCGTTCCGGAACATGCTGAGTTTCATGCTAAAAATCTTGGTCTCATCTAGGTAATATTTAAATTAATTAAGTGCTTTAGACTTTCTTATGTTTAATTTTGCTTGATGATTAGCGCACCCGTTTGCCATCCACCAGCAGTGATTGCGACGCAGGTATAGTCTGAGTCAAGAAGGACCTGGGTTGGTTTAGTAACCCTTATACTCCTGTTATTTTCAAACACACCAACATGTCTGTCCAAAACAACATGATTACTCGGACCTAGTCCTAAGCATCCACATAACTCACTTTCGAGACCCCATGTGAAGATTTTTCCAGTTGAAGTTAATGCTACAGCATGGTAATCACCAGTTGATAAAGAAATGAATCTGTCATTGGTATCTTCAACCTCCATTAATTGTAGAGAGTCATGTGAAACTCCGCCGTTATGGACCTCAATTGTGTAGCACTTTGCGTCAGTGAACAAAGCCAAAGTGCTGTAGCTGCCCTCTATTTTTTCCAGTTTTCCTTCAATTGGAAGATTAACCGATCTTGTGGCCCCTCTAGAATATAGCCACAATTCTTCGCCGGTGGCATTTATGAAAAATACGCAATCCTCAGCACAACAGGCAAAGTCTACGATCTTTTTATCACCATTAATTTCAGCTGTATTTGGTATTATCTTGTAATTAGCATTAGAAAACCCTTCTCCCTTCTTTACTGGTTGGCGATTCTCCCAAATAATAAGTCCCACTTCATAAACGAGTGCGCAACTGAAATTCCATCCACAGCCGATTTTCAAAATGGGGTTTTTTCTACTATCAGAAATGTTTTCAAGATTTATCTTAATACCATGCTCTACTTCTGGCCCGTCCCATGAATAGAGCTCATTATTGGTGCTTAAAGCGAGAAAATGAGATCTACCAGATGAGAGTGCTAGGAATTTTACGGGTTCTAGGTTTTTCTCAGATTTGCTTGTATCAGCGTCTAGGGCCGCATTCTGATATATTTCCAGCTCATCGCGAACAAACATGCGTCTTATATGCTTATTTCCTGGTAAGAATTCCGTTGCCTTATTTTGCAAATCTTGGAATCTCGCATAGATATCCTCGTGGGGCTCTTCTAGTACTGCTGTATTTCTAGAACGCGGAAGTTGGAGACGATGAGGCATTACACCGGTAGTATTGATTGGAAAAACACCACCGATGCGAATTGGAATACCTCTCAACGGAGTGAAGTTCCGCTCGACATTTGCAGCTAATTCTTGGAATGGGTTGTGATCATGTTCGCCATCTTTGGGTCCCGGACCTTTATGCCCACCAGTGTATGTTGATCCTGTCGAGTACAGTTTTCCGGATTTGGTAAGGATTTGAAACGAAAACCCCCCTGCAGATATCTGTACAATAGTGTTATCATCATCACGTAAATCTTGCTCATTATTTGATTCCTTGGAATTCGTTGGGCTTGCGTCCCCCAGGCCTGGAACTCTAACCGGCGTGTTGATGCCAAATTTCAATCGCATTCCAGCATTATTAATGTAAACCTCGGGTAAATTTCCATGAGATACTGCGGTATATCCCAATCGGGCATGTTTGAGACATCCCCAGGTGTAAAAATTAGCTTCATTCGATCGCAATTTATACAGGGCAAGCCAAGTTTTATCTGGGTTTTTGTTCGTCATTATAGCTTCGCAACAGCTCATAAATCCCTGATTGCCTTTCGATATGAGTGGTTCGTCATTTGAGTTTGTAGATCCAAAAGCCTTGTGAAACAATTCATGCCATAAAGTGCTCGATCTTTCGAAGTCCAGCAACCTATGAAAGTATTTGTTAGTTAATGATAGATTTTTTATGTCTTCAGATGATAAATAAGGAAGTACAGCCTCCACAATGTCAGGTGGTAAATCCTGGTCGATGAAGTGTCCACTGTGACCTGATGCCATTGCCTCTGTCGTGAACGCGGTGGTTTCTCAACGGTCGCGCTCCTTATTCACGCCTACGCCCCTACTAAATTAAACAGGTGTCGTCGTAAATGAGCCTGCATCGAACTTTAAAGATAAATATGTGGTTCCTTACAATTTACTGAATACGTTTCCCAGAATCTGCCGCATCCTATACCAGTTTTTGATTCTCAGTTGTTCATTATCCAGATGTGCATTATCGGTGGATTGTCCACATGGAATTTGGGCGGCTGGTGCGTCGAGGACACGCTCTAAGAACCTCACTTGCGGGATAGAACCTCCCTCTCTTACAAGAAGAGGATCAATACCCCATGCATCGGATATTTCTTCTTTGAGAACTTTGTAAGCAAGGTTTTCGGGATCTCCTAACCATGGTTCTGCTTCGTTCAGTATTTTGATTTCCATATGATTTTTAGATTTTAATTTTGTAAAGCTAGACTGAACGTAGTCTTCTAAAGACTTTCTAACTGCATGCAAGTTTTGTTCGGGAACTAATCGAATAGAAATGCTTATCGTTGCCTTCCGAGGAATAACTGTTGCATTACCCGGACCGCTAACCTTCATGGTGGTAATAGATAATGACGGTTTTGTCCATTTTGCAATTAGCTGATCAACAGTTATAGTTTCATCAATGTCGGCTCTGTGTATAATTTCCTTGAAATGATTGTACTCTTTGCCACTGAGCTCTTTGATGGATTCGTAAAATCCAGGTATGAGAACATTCCCCTCGTCATCTTGCAGTTTTGAAATCACCCTAACGAGATCTGCTGTGGGTTCTCGATGAACACCACCATCGACACCAGAATGACGGTCCGGTTCATTGCTCCAGATGGTAATTTTAGCGTTGATGACACCTCTCAATCCGTAGTTCAAGCAAGGTATTTCTCTATCGATCCAGTAAGAGTTACTGAATAGGATCCAGCCAACATCCCGCCCTATCAAATCAATATGCTGGTTCACCACGTTAGCAAATCCATCTGATCCTGACTCTTCTTGTCCTTCAATTAGAAAGACCACATCGTTTGGAAGAGAGTTGTTTAAAGCTAATTCTGCCACGCTGTAAATGGCAGCGACAAGGGGACCCTTGTTATCTGAAACACCTCTTCCCTTCAAGTAGCCGTCTTCGCATGTCAGAGAGAAAGGATCTGTATTCCAGCATGAGGGATCTCCAGCAGAAATAACATCATAGTGCGCATACCATAAGATTTTTGACTTGTTTTCGGCATTACCCTTGAAAAGTGCATATACCAGCGGGTTCCCACCATTCTCTACAGCTAAAAGCTCACATTTGGCGGCCCCAAATTTGTTAAAAAGCTGCTGCAAGAATGTTGCACATTTGCGGGCATCTATGAGATATTGTGTCTCATTTCTTGCAGATACAGTTTTGAAACTGATCAGTTCTTTGAGTGTTTGTAACATGTTATCGTGTTCCAGCAAAGAAGCTTGGTATTTTACCCATGAATTGCCATTGTCCTTTTGGCTGAGCTCTTCAAATTCACTAGCATTGTAATGAAATACGTGCCCTGAATCGTTTTCTTCAACCAGGTTGTTGATATCCCATAATGCCAATGTCCCGTCATTACCTCCCGTAACTAGTCTAACATGTTTGCAACGTGTGCACGCTTTCCGTAGGATCTCTGCACTAAGCACTAGTCGTTCATGGGCGCTCCAATGGTAAATGCTGTCCTGGTAAAATTTTGTTATGCCTTTCTCTTGCGTCGCGAATATATGGTCTTGATAGACGGTGAGAGACATTATATCGGAAGAATCAGGGGCATGAAGAGTGGAAATCAGCTCGTTGGTGTTCAAATCCCAAATTTTAATGATGCCGCCGGTGAGGCCACAGTACAAAAATGGGTATTCGATGAACTGGCAAAGAACGCTATCATCGCTATCCAGTTCAGATACCAATGCAATTCGTGTGGATGAATCTGGAAGCATTGCAAGCGCCCATACTTTGTTCATTCCGTCACCCCCTCCAGAAACAATAAACTCGTAGTTTTCGTTTGGAACATTAAAAGGATAAAAGTGGTCTGGAAGTGACTCCTTATATCCTTTTAACTGTTGAATGGAGTATATGAAGCCGTTATGCGCGTATTGTACAATGTTCTCTGATGGAACCTGAAGGATGACGTTATCGGAGAAAGACGAAACAGAGTCGGGGCTGGCTGGTCTCGAGTACTCTGGCTTTGAGCCGGGCCCAAGAGAGTCAAAAAACTTATCGAATCTCCTGTGAGGTAGTTTATTAAGGTCGTCAAAACTATCCTTAGATTGAATCTTGTCCAATACGTTTGGGAGATAAAGCATGTTAGCATTCTGACAGCCGAAGACGATGGTTTGATGTCCATCGAGATACTTGAGCGAAAAAATGTCACCAATGTCCAGCAGTGAATACACGGTTCCCAGCTCCTTGACGCATATCGAATAGTCGCGTGTAATGTCTCCTACAGACCATATTCTGACCAATGAGTCAGCTCCACCAGAGAAAAGTAGTTTCTCATCCTTAGACTTGGCTAGACATAATACACTAGACTTGGTGTGCGTTTCATCTGAGTCGCCTAAGCGTATCGTTTTGATTAGATTGTAAGTGTTCAGATCGAAGCATAGAATCTTGGAGTCATGCGTCCCTGCAAACAAGATCTTCTTGTGTGGAAATGCAACTGTTGACAAGATAGAGTAAGTATGACTCCAACGATGTATTAACGACGGCTGATCTGGCATTTATTTAGAGGGTCTTTGTCCACTAAATATGAGTTCTTTCTTACCTTAATCCTCGATTCAGTTATATATCCACACTATGGCGCCATAGTCATAATGCAAAATCTTGAGCCGTACACTACTATGTCCATCGGTGTTAAAAAAGAGAATTCCATTTCTGCAGGCTCATGATTCAGAAACACGCAGCCTATGACACCGCCAAACAAAACTCCGAGTTGAGTTGATAACAAGAGCTATTGAATAGCGTGGTACTATAGCATATCAATCTTCTGTCTAATCAAGCGGGTCTACTTTTTGCGGAATAACAGCATCTCGAACGAGATTTTACCGATACCACGCATCATTAAAGTGAAACGCCGCTCTTGGGCTCAACTTGGTGTATCACAATTGAGCGCAGCTTTTCCAACAGCGCAGTAATTCTTACATATCATAACAAGTCAAAAGCCTAGAACTCTCGAACTGTTACGCAAGTTGACACTTAGGATGCGAAACTGCTGCTTGTGTAGTCATTCTAGCTGAACCAAATGCCAAGAACGCCTTGTCGAACACGTGAGATCTCTAAAACATCTGCCATTGAAGTATGCTGGACCAAATATGGGCTGCCAAGGTATTTTTATGTTCCTAGATTTAGGCAGATCTGCTACAAATCTCGCCTACAGGCACAGATGCCGTAAACATATTTTTGTCAAGAGAGCTAAAGCTCGACCTGATGCAGCAGGACGAAAGAAAGAGCTTGTCGTAATCGTCAAGATCTGTAGTAGTTTGCCAGCGTATGGCTAGTGCCTTCGATGGAATTCAAGCTTCCAATGGAGGCGCTTTTCTCCTCAGTTTCTTTCTAAAACACCGCTACAGATGTGAAGAGCAATGTCATGTGACAAGAACATCGAAGATACACGTGTCACGGTGAAAGGTTGAAGTGTGATGCAACCAGCATACACAAGGATCGCATATGATACATATCTCCATGTAGATTTTCGTTACAGAGCTGTCTGCGCGCAATGAGAAGCGAGCCGTTACTTTCTCCCGTTTGTATGGTAATTACATCTTAGTGGCACTTCGTGAATAGGTACATCAAGCATTGTTTGTCAATTTCTTTTTACCAGGCCAATACCTGAAAATTTTATCAATCTCATCTCATCTCACGTCGAATATTTAGACATTACGAAGAATAATGGCAGCCGCTACTGGTGTACCTTACGTGGTTCCACCCCCAGATGAAGAGGAATTGGTGCTCAGCAAGCTAGTGTTTGGTGACACCTCTGATTTTCGGGGAAACTTGGCTAATGTCACTCTCTTTGACGATGGGTTTGGATCCGACGCTGATGTAGACATGATCGGTGAACAAAGCGAAGATGACGAGGAGGAAAACGATGATATGGACCGTATCAATGATGACCAGCTATTTTTTGTGGATGACGGCGGTGAAGGAAACGACGAGGTTGTGGACGATGCTCGCGAAGCGACGGATGTAAGTGACGAAGAAAGCTCAGAGTCGAGTAGCGATGCTTGGACGGATTCCGAGGACGAGCGCATCACTGTACCCATTATGTTGACGAACAAAACAAAAAAGCTTCGGACTTCCTACACAGACACAACAATAAACGGAAAAGAATATGTCAGGCGTTTGAGAGCGCAGTTTGAAAAGATATATCCCAAGCCTAAGTGGGTTGATGACGTGAGTGATGATGAAACAATCGAAAATGACATGGCCTCAGATGAGGAAGATCTCGAACAAGCGATTGATGGAGACATTCATGCGCTATCGAAAGTCCTTCAGAGTACATTTTCCTACAAAGACACTACTTCGAAGCTGCTGCCAGCGAAAAACCTTGACATCACCCGTTTAAAAGATGCGAATGCTTCACATCCTTCACATTCTGCTATTCAATCTCTTTCTTTCCATCCTTTGAAGCCACTGCTTTTGACTGGTGGTTATGACCGTACTTTGAGAATATACCATATCGATGGTAAGAATAATCATTTGGTGACCAGTCTTTACATAACGAAAACACCGGTTCAAACTTGTACCTTTTATGTGACTCCTTCGCATGATGAGCAAAGAATTTTCACAGCAGGAAGAAGGCGGTACATGCATTCTTGGGATATCTCCAACACGAACACTCAACAAGCAAAGATTGAAAAGATATCGAGAATGTACGGGCATGAAGCAACTCAAAGATCATTCGAGAAGTTTAAACTAGCACATTTGCAACGGGAAAATGGCAAAATACATGGAGTCATCTTGTTACAAGGTAACAATGGTTGGATCAATGTGTTACACGCCACCACGGGAACGTGGATCACGGGCTGTAAGATTGAAGGTGTTCTGGTCGATTTTTGTGTTGACTACAAGTCCCTTCCAGGCGGCGGTTTTCAAACTATATTGATTGTGGTCAACACTTATGGTGAAATTTGGGAATTTGATTTGTCCAAACAAGGCAAGGTTCTCCGCACATGGCAAGATGAAGGAAGCGTTGGTGTGACAACCATTCAAGTCGGAGGAGGAACTAACTCTTCACAACTTCTTCCATTCAAGAAAATAAGGCATAATAGATGGTTGGCCATCGGTAGTGAAAGTGGATATGTCCATGTATACGACAGAACACAATCTTCCAAAAGCCCAGTTGCGAAACTAGATCAACTGACAACCTCCATTTCAACTTTGGCATTCTCTCCAGATGGTCAGATTTTATGTATGGCATCCCGAGCAACAAAAGACGCCCTGAGACTTGTGCATTTACCCTCCGGCAAGGTATATTCTAACTGGCCAACCAGTGGTACACCCTTAGGTAAAGTTACTAGTGCTGCTTTTTCCCCTCGTGGTGAAATGTTGGCTGCTGGTAACGAGCAAGGCAAGGTGAGGCTATGGAGATTAAATCATTATATATAGTAACTTTGATTAACGCATCAACCACCACTCGTGTACAAAAGAACAAATTTCGGTGATATTCTGGGCGACAATATAGTAGAACGTGTCCAAGAAATCAACACTAATGGTCCCTCGAGATGATAGTTTTACCTGCCATTCACAACATTCTGAACAGTTTAATTTATAATCGTTGTGTACGAAAGAGTAAAAGTTTTTTAAGTTAATCATTCCGCTTAATAGGATTTTCATCATAAGCTCTGTTGAAGAAGTTCTTTGATCAGCGCACAATGAGACAGACGTTTGTTTCCCTTTTCCATGAATCTCCTATTTCTCTTCTGACGCGCCCTTGGAAGAAAAACCGCGATGGGACTTTATTCTACGGTTTGTCCAAGTCTGGTAACAGACGTACTGCACTAACCACCAAGCAAGGTAACAAGACGATGTACAAAGGTACCCGCTCTTCTGGTATCGGTAAACACACCAGATATGGTGGCTACACAATTCAATGGAACAAAGTACGTACATTTGTGACTCCAAAAAACTACAACACAGATCTGAAACCACTCGTGAGCCATAATTTGCCAGAACTTAAGCACTCCTTTAAAGGCTTTGAAAAAGGTGCATTGGATTCGAAGCTCTATTTTGACAAGCTAAGAAACTACGTTAAGCACGGGAAAGTTCAAAGCGAAGCATCTGACGTGAACTGTTACCTCGAGAGGGGCTGATTCTATGTGTGTCACTGATTATCGCGTTAACCTGTATATAGTAAGCAACTATCATGTACTGCCCGGTATATTTAATGAGGTTTTAAAGTCATTTACAATAAACGGTCTTGGTAAGAAGAAAAGGTGGTCTTTAGAAGATTAAAGTCTTTCAAACTAATATTCATTTTCAGATGCATGGAAAATAAACTAAATGTGAACTTAGTTTAAAAAAAATTGAAATCTCAAACGCAAAATCAGATAAAGAACACATTGTCTAACTCGGCCGAGCCGGCAGTAATTTTATACACGTTGAATACTGTTTTTATGATATGTTGTCATTAAACTAACAAAATTGGAAAAAAGAAGCGAGCACTACACTCGAAGGTTCAAAGATCTCGTTACAAGGCGACTTACCTTAAAAGGAGCCACCAGGAGCGCCTAAAACTTGAGCAAGGGCACTTTGACCACCACTTTGTTGATAGTCCATCGTGATCAACTCAAGTAACGCAAAAGTTCCGGTAACACCAAGCACAATACTGGCACCCTTACCCTTCAATCCAAGAAGCTCACCAGCTGAAACTATCAAAGCTAAGGAAACGGCACCAGCGGCGGAAGCAACAGGAACAACTTTATCTAATTCCTTAGCTACACTTTGCTCCCTGCGACCCATCAAAGTGATGCCTTGCTCTTTGAATTGTTGGGCAATATCACGGGCAGACGAACCACTGATTGCTTGCCAATTGGTTGCGAACCATGCACCGGTACCGACCAAGAAGGCAGTGAAGGTGATCAAAGTTAAAGGTTGTCTGATCAAACATTCAAGGAAAGACTTTGGTGGGGTCAAGAGGGAAAGTGGAAACTGAGGAACATATAGTAAATTGTTGACTGGTGCATAACCTCCAACTATCTTGTAAATGATGGAAGTTGGATCATTCTTAGCAACCAATTGAACTAGCGAGAAAGCTGCAATATGGACGTAGAATAAGATCACATAGGAAAACCAGATGGATAAGCCCCCAATGTATAGCAAACGGATTGGATAAACGTTAGTCGTACCGCGGGCTCTGGTAGATCTGATTGGCAGTTCGATTCTGTAGTTTTGTAGAAGACAAACTGCAGCAGCTAGCCCAACAACCAAGAAAGCAGTAGTTAGATTAGGTAAGTAATCTCTGTTGAACGCACCGACAACAGCTCCCGTGTAAGTCTTGTGACTAGCACGCAAAGATTGAAGTAGATTGATCAAAGCGCCTTGGGGTTCAGTGTGACCTTCATCGTCAACAGGAAACTGGTTGATACCCAAAACATCAGCCACGAAATTAGTGGCAATTGTTATAGTGGTAATTGCCATAGCACCTGAGGCAAAGCCATGTCCTTTGTCCACAACTTCCACCAAAAGGGTGACAAAGAAGCCTGCACCTACCAATTGCAAGTTCAAAAGAACAATAGCAGTTAAAGAAAGGTTGTTGCCATAGTACCCAGAGAAAATGAAGATGTTGGCAAGAACAAAATATTGGGCAATAGCAAATAGTTTTGTCGTGCTTTGGAAAAGCTCTCTGTCTTGACGCAATTTGAAGTTAACCTTGATCAATTTCAAACCAGCGAGTAGTTGCATAATCAAAGCTGAAGACACCACAGGAAATAAACCGAACTCTAGTAACGTCTTTGGCTCCGAAGCAAAAATACTTCTCAAGAAGTAAATAGGGTCCAAAACATTGGTTGACTCCTTTGAAATACCCGCTAGAGGAAATTGGGCGAAAAGAAAGATCAATCCGGAGATTAGAGTGTACACAATCTTGTCATCAAAACCAATCTTCTCGTAAGGCAATTCAACTTCGGGTAGGAGGGGCAAAAAGGGCTTTGCCACATCAATAAGACGGACTAAAACATATAAAAGTTAGTAATTGTTCACTATGCAACATCTGCAGATTCAATGGTCACGTACAGCCAGCCATGTCTCAGTTATAGTTACTTCTTGTTGGCGATTAGATTGTCGTTGCTGCAAAAATTTTCCAGCTCTAATTCAAAATTTTTCAAATGTTACCCGATCGATTTCTTATCCAAGACACACCAATCATGAGCAAACTACTTAAGCTAACATCCGTGAGCGTGCTGACTTCGGCATTAGGGGTTTCCTATTACTTCTATGTATTTGATAAAGATGGCTACCACTATAAAAATGCATCTTGGAAGAGATACAGCGATCACGTTCAAGGTATAATAGATCATAAAGAAGATATTCCGGTGGAGGTAATTGGCAGCGCACCTCGCAATGTGGTAGCAAGGCCAATGGGAGAAACTATGAAGGATATTTGGAATCAGCAAGTAAGAAGCACGGTGGAATGGATCTACTCTTTCGGAAGCCATTAGGGGAGAAACTTAAATAAAACGTATATATTCGAATAAACATGACTTGATGCTCAAAAAACGAGACGGAGCATATATCAGAAACGTCTATGATTTTACCAACTATAATCGTGACCTTACAAGGTATTTCTTGAATATTTGGTGGTTTTTTAAAAGAGTCTGTAATAACTTCAATGTGAGAAAAATTTCTTCGCCAGTAGGTCATCACTGCATTTCCTCGCGATCATACCGTTGTCAATGGATAGACCGGACTCTCATATCAACTATAATGATGCTATAGATTATTGGAGTGCCACTCCCGCCACAGTGGATGGTGTTCTAGGCGGTTATGGAGAGGGTACAACCGTGCCAGTACTCGACGTGCTTGGCTCAAACCATTTTTTACGTAAGCTTAAATCTCGAATGGTCCCAGCGGAAGGATGTAAGCGCTATGGTGTGGATATTGGAGCAGGTATAGGTCGTGTGACTCGCGACATGCTACACAAACACTGCGATATAGTTGATCTTGTTGAGCCTGTGGCACCATTTGTGGAGCAGATGCATGTGGAGTTGGCGGACTTGAAGAAAGAAGGACATGTCGGCGAAATCTACGAAGTTGGAATGCAAGACTGGACTCCAGAGCCCAAGAAGTACTGGCTAATCTGGTGCCAGTGGTGTGTTGGCCATCTACCTGACGATGAGCTTGTGGCCTTTTTCCAACGGTGCAAGAGCGGTCTACAGTCTAACGGCACCATTGTGATCAAGGAAAACAACACGATCACTGGATCTGACGATTTTGACCCACAAGATTCTTCTGTGACACGCTCCGACGAAACTTTCAAGAGTATTTTCGAACGCGCGGGCCTCAAGCTAATCGCTTCCGAGCGCCAGAAAGGCCTTCCAAAAGAGCTTTACCCTGTGCGTATGTATGCACTTAAACCTATAGACTAGCTACAATATACCACGTGTTTCTCTGGTCAGATAGGAGCGAAAGACTAAATTCGATGGTATTTATATCTTCAATCTAAAAGTCAGTTGAACTATGCATTACCGGTGTCTATCATCATTCAGAGAACGGAGAACAAACTCCATGTGGTTTCAAGATGCATTAATGGTGGGAATACAACCTCTATAGTCCTTATAACTGTCGTTTCCTTCCTTTAACGCATGTAGTATTGAATAAAGGTAGAACATGGAGAGAATACAAATTTTTTATACATCAACTTATCGCTGCTGACGATAAATTTCAAATAAGCTTTGTTAGGGCTAACGTCTTCCCCAAACGTTGCATCAACGAATTGTGGAGTATTTAACAGGGGTTTGAGCGCTTTGGATAACTTGTAATCAAGTGCACGAGGTTGATAAATACTGAACTTTTTTGCGGTAGAGAAGAAAGTGCTTTTCAGTTCGTGAAGGACCCGAGCGGGTTGCTATGGTGGCTCGTGGCCGAGGGCGGTTAACATCACTATACACGGGACAAGAATGTTTCAATCAGGATCGGACAGCTTACATCACGAAGTTGTTAACCGTTGCGAAGACCAGAAGAACAACAAAGTCTGAATGGCAGAGTCGCGCGCAGTGTCAACGGCCAGCGAGGCACCTAGTGGCCTATCAGCTGTAACATCGCCACATCAAGCGCTCCCTGCAGCGGCAACAGCCGAGTCAAATGATGAATCACTAAAGGCGGATTTGCTAGAGAAGCCCGAAATTAAGAGGGTGCTGGACTCAGACGTGGCAATCAATGCACTTCTGATGCGTTTGAAACGGTCTCTCTTGACTTGCGAAGAACTCACAAAGTTTGTGCGCAAGAAGTATCTAATGGAAGACGAACACGCTCAGGAATTGGGCAAAACTTACCGAAACTTCTTTGTAAGCGAGCCCGCCAACTCATCACTGCAAAGGAGTATTCACAGTGTTCTTGACTTTGATGGAAAGTTGGCACAAGTGAAAAACAGTTACGTTAAGGCTCTTCAAAAAATGTACGACGAATTGAGTGCGCTACTGCTTACTATGACAAAAATGAGAAAATCCCTTAAAGAAACAAGTAGACGATTAGAGAAAGACGTTGCAGATGCTATACATAGTGCTGAAAAAGCCAAAAGCAGATACGTCTCATTGTGTCAGGATTGGGAGAAACTCAGAATGGCGGATCCAAGTAAGACCAAACTAACACTACGAGGATCGAAGACGACCAGAGAACAAGAAGAAGAATTACAGAGGAAAATTGATAATGCAGATCTCGATTACAAGCAGAAAGTTGACCATTCAACCTCGCTAAGAAGTACATTTTTGTCTCGTGAGAGGCCCAAAATTGTATCAGAGCTTAAGGATTTAATTTTGGAAATTGACACGGCGATGGCAATCCAATTACAAAAATACACAATATGGACGGAAACACTTATTTTAAATAGTGGAGTTACGGTAACTCCATTTGATTCTTCAAAATCAATGAAAAGCATCGCTATTTCTATGACTAATGAACTTGACCTTTATAATTTTTTGAACAAGTATAACCAGGGTACGAAAAATAGCGGATTCGTTAACAAAAATCTCATTCCGGTAGATTATAAAAAACATCCCTCTATGTCTAAACAAGGATACACCCCTGGAAAGACCGGCTTTACCAAGTTGCAAACTCCAAGTTCTTCTCGCCCTGCCTTTGTCGTAAACCCTGCTAAAAATTCTCTTCCACCCCATGTCGGTCCAACAGAAAATGACCATCCTTTTAACACATCCTCTGGTACCATTTCTTCGGCCAATCATGGTGGCTTTCACGGAAATGGATCGTCATCTTTCAACTCGAATCCGACTAGAAGCTCTCCACCTTCTTCCACAACCAACGGTGAACGAAAGCCTGTTTCTTCTATGTTAGACGTGCTCAATTCTCCTCCAGTTCCAAGAAAGTCACAAGATGGTAATAATGGTGAACTAGATGACCGATTCCCCACCCTTGATCCGGGAAACTCCACGAGGACGACGAGTTTGACGGCGTCGATGGTATCCGGCACAATCGAAAGACCCTTATCTCAAATTCAAACTAATACTACGCTGCCACCTGGAATAACGAAAAATTTCAAGACATTCGGTGTTCCACTTGAAAGTCTATTAGAATATGAACAAGACATGGTGCCAGCGATCGTGCGGCAGTGTATCTATGTCGTAGATAAATATGGTCTTGATATGGAGGGGATATACCGGAAATCGGCTAATGTTTTAGACGTCAGCAACTTGAAGGAAGAAATTGACAAAGATCCATCAAATATTTCAATGATTCTTCCGTCTAAAAATTTCACCGACTCTGACATCTATTTAGTGGGTTCGTTATTGAAGACATTCTTTGCCAACTTACCTGATTCCCTCATGCCTTCATCAATGACCGCAGAGGTAAAAACATGTTTGTCAATTTCAGACCCTACTACCAGGAAGAATTATATGCATGGTTTGATCTATAAGTTACCAGATGGCCAATATTGGACTTTGAGGGCTCTGATATTTCACTTGATCAGGGTTATGGAACACGAGCCGGCGAATCGGATGAACCTGAAGAGCTTGTGCATTATTTGGGGCCCTACTATTTTCTCCAGTAGCGAGGGTGATATGAATGACGTCAATTATCAAATTCAGGCCATGGAGGTATTAATAAATGTTGCCAACCAGGCATTTGAGCCCGAATAATGCACTCAACCTGGTGGCATGACATGGAAGTGTTGATCTTTACCCTGTGTTTTCTTACGTGAAGTGCACACAAGGAAATCGGTATATCGTAAATCTATAATTTTTATGTTCTATATCTATATACAAACAACTTTGTGTCCAGCATTTCCACGTCGCAATTCAATTGCCCAAGTTTAGTTATTAATTTCCTCCCATTACGAGCTTGTTTAAATCAGTTTAACTTGTGAAAAATAAGTCACAAATCTTGTCAAGGCCGATAATGATAAATTCCATTATCTAACACATAATAGTCTGAACAATCTGAAAGAGCGGTCTTGAACTCGCCTACACTGAAACCCATAATTTCCTCATTCACCAAGTCAAACAATTCATTAAACGTGTATCCATTTTGTTCGACCTTCAAACGCCGAATGATGCAAGCAAGCATCAGTTCTTTTCTCCACATTGATTCGTTGCCTTTGGACGGGTTTGAAGTACCAAGCCCGCCAGTACTTGTATTTTGCGGGGAACGATGGGTTACGCGAAGCTTTCCGTTTCTAACCTTTTTTCTATCAGGTCTGAATCGCATGTTTAATGTGTATATACCGGCCGATTCGATTAACAGCTTGATATCCATGAATGCGCTCAGAGCCAAACGAAGATGGGAGGAAGGGACATTTAAAGTAGCTAGCATTTCTTCGAAACTAAAAGTAACATCTTGGTTGAAAAGATCCAAAATAGAGCTTTGCAGCAACGTCACCTCTAGAATCAAATTTTGGTTTGCACCTAGCTTGAATGGTGTACTTACTTCCAAGTGATGAAGCATATGCTGCAGTTTTATAGATTTATATGCTGCCTTTGAATCGCTCTTTCTGTATTCCTCCGCAAAATCATTCCAAACTTCTTGAAGAACTGGAGGTAGATTAAGCCCCTGAAAATCCATCTCTTGAAAGGATCTGGGTATATTATTCCTTTCAAACAGCATTGGAACAAGTACAATATCATTTTTATTCTTATAATGCTCTAAAAGTTGATGGGATTTCTCGGCATCCTCCACCAAACTTTTTAGTTTCTTCAATGATTCCATGTTTTCGCTGTTTGCGAGAAGTCTGGTAATCAACAACATTTCGGCATTTTGAGGATTATTCATAAGGTTGAGAAAATTGTCACTCATTAAGATCATCCTTCTAAAAAGGCTCTTTTCAAGATAAACAGCTAAGAAGGTCTCCTTGAGACCATAGTCTCCCAGTATTCTCCACGTTACATCCCATTTCATTTCATTGTCCTTTGCTTGAACAGGCTCCATAGTGTGATGCAAAATTAATGATTGATAGCACTTCTTTACCCTAGCGTCTAAATCTTTTAAAAGAGGATCGATAAGATTTGCTTCCCCATTGAAGGTGTTTCTTAGCGCTTTCTTGACTATTAGTGAAGATTCTGGCCCCTTGTGATTATACATAGCCTGGCAACAGGATAAAATATCAGTCATGTTATGCTGCAAACTATAGGATTCTTTGAATATGGAAGTGACTGTTTCTGTCAATATTTGAAAAAAAACCTCTTTCCGGCCAGCAGATAGATATGAAAGTTTTGTTATTTCATACTCCTTGCTCATATTTTCTTTTAAGACAAGAACTGGGACAAGCTTTTTCAGAATTGTGGATTCATGAAGGGTATTTTTTAGTACAATCTTCTTCACTTCGAAGCTCCAATTCCTGGAGATAGTTGAAACTAACACAAGTTCTGTTGTGAGAAAACGTTCGATGACGTTAAAACACTGATAAGCTGGAATGTTTCGCAATAAGTGATGGGAAGTCACTTCGACATTATTCATATAGAAATCTTTTATCGATGCTTCACCGCGCTTATCCAAAGTAACTTTATAATCATTCATAAGTTTCAATGGGCTGATTATTGACCCTGGTAAACAACGTTGCCCATTACATTCATGCTCACCGTACAAATTATTAAAACAATTCCTCAAATTCTGAAGCACGTTTTCTAAGAAGGGCTTGATTTTCTGTCCGAGGCATTTCACCAGAAATCTAATGCAGTGATACTCAGAATATCGGTACACGCTGGTGACCATTGGATGCTGAGAGAAGATATAAGGGAAATTATCGTTAAGATATTGGCATGCGATATTTAAAGTCTCCATTTTCTTTTTGATGTCTTCCTCGAAAACTGTAGGCCACAAATTTGCGACATAGCCCTCAAAGCTTTCTTCATGTATTGCTTGCTCTAAGAGCAAACTAATCCGATCTTCAATAAATTTGCAGAGCTCTTCTCGAATAATTTTCCAAACGTGTTCGACAATATCTTGCTGACTCAACAACTTATCACCTTTCGGTTTTTTCCTAAAAATTCCAGATTCTGCTGTTTGGTTAAAAGTCAGTGGCACGTATACCTTACTTCTCGTCAAGGATTTGAGAACTTCATAGAAATAGGCCTTCTCTTCGGTAGGCAATCCGTTTAACGGGGAACGCTCTTCCAAAATTTCATGAATAGCACACCCAAGAGGAGCGCATAGAACCTCTAGATCAGAGGGTGGATAGCTTCCAGTAACAACAGCATCTGAACTCATTAAAGCAAGTGCAGTTGCCTCATACTGTTCTACACTAAAGGTGGGGAAGGAAATTACATCAACTTACGTATGAAGGTACTGGCGCAGAACGCAGAATAGACCCATACACTATACGATTAGTACTAGCCCAACCTCCAGAAGTTCTTACAACATATAGCACATGAGTTCTTATTATAATGTCAATGAATATATATCTATATATACATATCCTTATTATAAAAGGCACTATGAAAAATGCTTACAATGATTCTGTAAACTTGAACATCAGTTTGCCATGCCTAACTTCCTTCAGCTCCGGGATGAAATCTTGATTCAGTTCATAGAAACAACGATCTTCTATCAAGAGACCTGCTTTTACGAATGATCTCAGTGCTTTTCTAATTATTTCTAAATCAAAACGTTCAAATTCGCAAAACATTTGGTCTCGTGACCATTTCAATCGAGCATTAAAACATTCAAGAACTGCCGCCTGCGGTAAGTTTAATTCGAAGATTAACCGGTCTCCATTGGGAAGTTCAAATGGTGAAGACAATTCCAGTCTATGAAGTTTGTACGCGTTACCAATCTTTTTAGACCTGTTTTCGAGGCTTTGAGTGAGATATCTTTTGATACAGGCTTCCCAACTTGTTTGAAGGCTTCTCGGAATTGGATATTTTTCATGCATACTATCATGATATGCACGAGGAACAGCATGTTTCTCAAGTATCAAAGGGATTATCTGTGGCGCACAATCGTGATTATCAGTTATCAAATGGAAAGAGGACTCAAAATCTCGAAGAATTTTCTTAAGATTTGTAGCTTTTTCTTCAAACTCAGTGATTAACATTTTGCAGAACCTGCGCTCGATGCACTGAGCATCTGGATTACAGAATTTCTCAAGGAAATTAATATTCATCAGAAACATGCGTCTCATCAGGCTTTCGCTCAAATAATATTTTAGCACATCCGACTCTATGCCCATATAGGCCAAAACACCAGGAATTGCGTCAATCCACTCTTGGGCTTCGATACTGGGACATATCTTGCTTTTATACGATTGTTTGAAAAACTTGTCCAAATTTTTAACAAGTACTCGAACAAAAGTAGATTTTTCATCGGTATTCTCCATGATACTATTCCTTACATTTTTTGAAAAAATCTTAAAATCGCAACTGAATGATTTCAAGTATGTTTCAAAGAAATCTATAATGTCCCGTATCTCTAAGATCCCGGTGAGGTATTGATTCTCATGTAGAGAGTCCGCGAAATACCTTATCAAACAATCTGAAAGTGAAGATATTAGCTGTTGAAGTTTATCACAGGAGTGGAATAGATCATGCAATTCGATTAAATTCTGTCTGATTTCATCGTATTTGGCAATGTTTGAAATGATTTCGCTCATGAGGTATTGAAGAACACTTGCATCTAGGATTGTATGTTGAATTACTTTACTCCTAGCCTCTTCAGCCAAGTCAAATCTGATAGTAGACGCAATACGAGTTTCTTTTGTAATAAGAGCCTTTAAATTACCTATAAACGAGGCATTAAAGTTGATGCGGATAATCTGAACAAATCTTGACAAATTATTCTCGTAAAGTTTCAAAACATTCTGACGCTCGCTACCATTTGGAAATGTTAGAGAATATTGATGACTTTTGTTGAAAAACCAACACAGATTTTCAATTAATATTGTCGGTGAATCAGGTTGTCTAGCTCTATCCAAGGTTTGGAGCACACAGTGCAAAACATCGTTTTCCATTTCATACACCAGATCTTCGAGAAACCAAGCTTCGGCCCTCAATGCTAAGTTTCTCTTGCAACCGTTAGTGCGGCGAGAACATCCATCAGCCATTGTGCAAGCTGGACCTAGTTTAGCAAGGAAAATCATATATCTTTCATTCGCTAACCTTATATCGCCTACACTCAAATTATCGGCATTGATTCTTGTATTATCAATAAAATGAGATGCACATTTGCGAATAGCATTCTCCAGATTGCGCGTCAGGTTCTTCTCGGCTGCTTTTCTCCGCCGCTTAGGATTAGATTGTGCCTGAGCTAAATTATTAGCAATATAAATGCATTGTGTTGTTAGTGAATCAAATAACGTATAGTGAGACTTATCCGATATCCTGTTCAAAATATCAGCGATGAGCAGAAATGATGTATCTAAGCTCTTATTTGCCAATCGAAAAGTTTCTCCACCTTCAATTTTGTCCCTTTTCTTACTATTTGAATCCCATCTATGCTTGCCAGTCATACGGAGAGGAAGTTATAACCCTTAGATTATTGTGATCAGTTGCCTCGGTTGCTGTTTCATTCTTAAGTATATAAAAAGATTATACTTGAAAATAACAAAATATGTTGAAGTCGTATTATAATTTTTGATCTGATCATATCGAAGAAAACCTGGCATCTCAAGACAGAAATGTCAAAGCACGAAGAAATTGATCCAGCTAAGAAGCTTGCGGACCAATTCAAAAAGCAGGGCCATTTTGACAAGATAAAACAGGATATGCTCCTTGGCCCCATCGACAATACAGATTCAACCCCTCTGCAAGATTTCATTAAAACTCGAGTTTCAGCAGTAGTTCAAACTATGGTAAAAGATGATGAATCTCTTATATTTAAAAATAGGGGCTCCACAAGCGCACTCATAGAGGGTCAACTGTTGAAAGATGGATATCGAAAACTCGATACCGATACAATATCAGTGGATGCACGCATTAGAAAGATATTTGAGCAACCCCAATTGACGACGCAACTGAAAGAAACGCTAGTCAGGGAATTAGATACTAGCGAAGACTATGAATTTTCAACTGATAATTGATTCATAAATCTACACCGCAAAAAAAGCAAAACAACATATAGAGAGACATGGTGTGTCGAAATCAACTTACATCTTCTCTATCTCGCGCCCTTAGAGTACAACAGTTTGTATGACCATCACAAATCTGATTCATATCATAAAATTATTAGGGTTTGCATCTTGCATTTTATTTTTGCATAGATTTTAAACAATCAGCTTGCGGGTTTACACAAGATTGATTTTCACAATGAAAGCTGAGTGGGTATATTATTGACTGAACAGTTCATAGACTTCCACACTGACAAATTAACGTTCTATATAGTAAAGCATGTCATCACATCGCCTGCTCTTGAATTTCCGACCTGCCCGGTCACTACTTCTATACTTAAATCTATCCCCAAGAATGGTATATTCTAGTGCATCATCATCATTTATTGGAATTTGAAAGTTGAAAACCGACCCCTTTTTTGGAATTATCTTGATTTCATCTGTCAATGATCCTTTTGTAATCATTATAAAGGTTTTTTGCGAGTCCCATAAAACGATCCCTTCAAGTCCACGCATGTTTTGGTTTCGGCTTTTGGATACCATTAGTTTTGACCCGTTAAAATCTGCCATAGACAACTTCAATAAGGAATTGGTACCATTGATGTTCAGGTTTTTTGAGCAAGATAAATTGTCCGGAATATTTAGTATCTCGCGCATATAATTCACCCAAAGGTCGCTGTACATTGGCAAAAATGTTTGATAATTCGGTAATTTATCAAAAACATCACGGTTATTCTTGTGGAGAAATGACTCCAGCTCCTCTCTTGTAGATAAAGAGTTCTCGTGCGCTATCTTTTTTGCTTGAGTTATAGCCTTACGTGATGTGTTTATGAATTCCTTGAGGGCCAGTTTCGAGTTCTTGTTTATCTTGCGGTAATTAGGATGTCTTATTCCCGATTCCTGTTCAAGATTCGCTAAGTTCAATTTTCTGTTCCTCTGTTTGAGCCTTGACGACATCCCGCCATCGGTCGGCAGAAGGAGTAAAGTTTCTTGTAGTCTGTTCTCATTCAAAACCTTAGTTGGATCATTGAAACTTTTAGTGAGGAGATTTTGGGTAATGAAGGGCTGAAATCTGTCCATTTTCTTTTCACCTGCGATGTACAAGCTAATTCTAATTGGACATTTTTTTTTTTTTTCAATGAATGCAAGCTATATAAACGTTTTGACATATGCTGAAGACTGGTAGGACTGGTATACTACAAAGAGCTGTGCAAAGGGCATTTTATGGATCCCAATATTTAGGGGCACCTTTCGAGTTGGGCCCAAAGAATGATCAGTACAGGGAACTTAATGATATGTACTCTGAGCTTTTTACTGGTGGTGATTCGAAGTCGCCGCAAAATAGAAAAATCTCGATGGAGTCTGAAATAGACGAATTAAATAGTGAACTACAAGAAACGTTCAATATTAAATCTGGTGGTATTTCTTCTCAAGATCTGGAGAGAATTGTGTCGTCACCGGGAAGATTCATTATTGAAAGCAAGTCTAACAACCCATTTTACAACTTGGCTTTGGAAGATTACGTCTTCAGGCATACACCAATCGTGAAGAATAGCTCATTTGATAGTGAAAGACTTCTGTTCTATATCAATAAGCCCTCGGTTGTGATAGGTAAAAATCAGACGCCATGGAGAGAGTTGTATTTAGAGAACTGTGCTGCGAAGGGATATCATTATTTGAGGAGAAAATCTGGCGGGGGTGCTGTGGTACATGACTTGGGCAACGTAAACTATTCTTTCCTCACGTCCAGAGACAATTTTGACAGAGAGTACTTCAACAGACTTTTGGTAAATTGGCTGCGTCAACACTGCCCGAGTGCCGCAATAGGTTTGAATGAACGTAGTGATATCACATTAGGAAGTAAAAAGGTCAGTGGAAGTGCATTCAAAATTGCACGAGGAAAAGCTTATCATCATGGAACCATGCTTGTTTCCTCTGACCTTCGGCAGTTTAGTGGTTTATTAAAACCTGATAAAGTGGAGGATGTTCAGTGGCATGGCGGAAGTGTTGAAAGTGTCAGATCACATGTTACAAACATTTCAGGAGAGGTTGTTGAAGACGTTGATGAATTTATTGATATTTGTATCCGGGGCTTTAAATCATTATACAGAGAAGCGCTACCCGTATATTATTGCACCGAAAGTGATACTATCACGGATGACATTGCTTCTACAATGGAGTTGCTCCAAAGCAACGATTGGCTATATATGTCAAGCCCAAAATTTTCTCTCAAAATACAAAGCCACTCACTTACTGTTGAAAAGGGCATTGTGACAGAATCTACGATAAAAGATGCACAAGGTATGCGCTTCTCTGACTTCGTGCATTGCGCTAATAATCATCTTATTAGCGAGATACATACAAAATTATAATCCTGTATATTATTTCTTGAAAAATTAAGGCAAGTTTCGGTGTTATTTTTGGGTATTAGTACAATATAAGCTCAATTAATTTGTTTGCATTTAGTCACTTCGTGATCTTGGGGCAAACCATATGCAAAATCTTCAACGTACAAAGTCCCTTTCCTATCTAGCAAATAGAGCCTATGTCCATCTGCACTAAATCTTAGTGACGCCGCCTCTCTCATTCGGTAGGCATTTGCAACTTCCTCAACGGCAACGACTCTTCTCTTCTCATTGTCTAACAATGTAGGTGCGTACATTATATAGACAGTGCCATTTCTGTCCAAAAAAGCAATCGAGTCATTTCTGGGCGAAATTTCGCACTTGTGAATCTTTGAACCCAGTTCGTCCAGCCGTAGTAGCATTGTAGGTTGAGCCACTGTTTGAACTCCATTAATTGTCTGAATTTTCGTATTGATGACGATAGGCGGGGCATTGAAGGCTACAGAGGTAACGCACATCAGGTTGGAGTTGCCTGGAAATATTTTTGTGTCTGTAATTCCTTCAGACTCCAAGGAAGTATCTATTGAACGAAGCGATTTCATAACAAGTCTAGGCTCATTTATCTTCCTAAGTGATATCACCAAAAATCTAGACTCTAAGGCTGTAGAACATGAAAGGTAGGCACTATCTGGAGAGAATTGCAAAGTGTTTATGGGATCTCGATATGGTAATGTAATTGTAATTGGAGGAGGAAAATGAATCTCATCAGTATCAAAAGAATTCACGACCTTAGTAGTGTCTCTTTCAATTTTATGAAATAAAATCAGGGCCTGCTCTGCGCCGCTTGCTCTATCATTACCTGTAATGCCGCACGCAATAACTGAGCTCTGAGGATCTATGTCAATACATCGTATGGGAAATGTTGAACCATAGGTATATATAGGCTCCCCTCCTCGAAGTAAATCAAAAACACGGAAATGCCCCTTGGAGCCAGATATCACTAAAAATTTGTCAGACAGTTTACAATAAAGATGCTCCCAATGAAACGAGCTGTCTGGTGATTGTGCTGAAGAGGAAGAGATTTGGGAATCATCCCAAGCGTATATTGGATGCAAGGCCCGCAGATCAGAAGGCATCGATAACTTATCGAAATTTGGACCAAATTCACCACTAGATTTTCCACAAAACAGTAATTCGGGCTCTTTGCCACTGTTCATATGCTCCTTTTTCTGCCTTGCAGTATCAATAAACCGCTTTGCGGAGTCTTTCGTCTTGGAAGAGTGATCATTATGTCTTTTGTGTTCTAATGGAATTGAATACACTTCCCATTTGTGCTCCGTTATTAATGCAAATTTAGTACAATCAGGAGAGATCGCAGTGTTGATAAAAAGCTTGCTCCTCGTCCTTAAAAACTTGGGGTGCGTGTTGAACTGTGAGCGCTTGCGATACATAGGGAAGCATTTTGCAAAATAGAACTCCTTTTCCTCATCCAACTGGGAGATTTGGACAGAGGGCTGCGATGGTGTGGTTGTAATAGGTATCGACGTAGATCTGGAATCTTGAATTGGCATGGTTTTAGCATTAGAGACGTTGTCCAGCGAATGGGCGTCTGTAACTATATTTTCTGCCGTGTTATTCAGTTTAGATGCCACGCTGTGAAATAAAGATAGCAGTGATTGCTGCTCAGAGGATTTCTTCCGCATCGGTACCAGCTCCTCTGCCTTGTCCTCCTTGAAGAAATGTAACTGATGATATAGGTTCCTAAGCGGCCCGATAGGGCCTACGAGGACAGATGGAGACTTGAAACATAATGGACACGACTGTCTACCATCACACCGTTTCACCCATTTTTTGTAAAGTGCCTCGGACAAAATGCATCCGCATTGTAGCATCGCTGCGTCGTCCACTATATCATATTTAACCTTGCACTTGTATTGCTGACCAGACCCTTCAGATGCTATTAGATCGTGAGGTAAAAAAATGTTCTGTTCCAAATCCGATATTATCTGCTTTAGGCTCATTTATCCTTTTCCTTGTTTGACGCACTCGTCGACTTGGGAGATATCCTCAGATTCAAAAAGTCCGTAAGAAGATCTTCTCACCTTCCAATATCACCTATTATTCCACCCAAGCTGATGGTATGATGGTGAAAAGACTTCTTCAATGAAAATATCTATAAAGTACGCTGAAGATCGATGCTTGTTTGCAAATGCTTGTTTGTTTAATGTCTCCAGAGAGTCACTGGTGGATGATTATCCAGATATTATCGTCGACTTTTAGTCACGTGTCAATCGGCAATAATGATCTCTCTATACGAATTATTTGATAAAGTAATCATTCAAAACTGTCCGAAACTGCGCAGAATTCTAGACTGGAACAGTCGAAATAGACGAGCGTAGAGCCACTCGTTCAGATTCCCTGCAGGTTTTCTAAAGGTTTTGATGGTTAATACAATTGTTAGGGGTTTCAAAAATTCCCTGGAGCTTCGTGAACAGGGTCTCTAATGGCGACATGAGCGTGAAGATTCCCCATTGGGGTGATAAATATAGGAGTAGTTTTGATGGCTTTGCAAGTACTGGTTTTGTAGAGTTGTGAAGAGAAACGAAATCTCAAGTTTCAAGAAGATCAATTCAAGTTCAAGAAGAAGTTTTTAAGCAATGGTTGAATATTATAAATGGCTCAGTCAGTTAGATGACCAAACAGAAGTTGCGCGTCTTTCTTTACCGGGAACACACAACAGCGCAGCGTGCCATACATCCTTGCCGTCTGTGCGGTGCCAGGACTGTAGTGTGACAGAACAATTGAAGAACGGTGTACGCTTCTTTGATATTCGCTTGGGAAAGCTGTTTTTTAAGCAAGACAAAGACGAGGGCTACTCAGCAGATGAATTGCAAGTCATCCATGGTAAATTTCCAGTACGCGTACCCCTACCATTGAAATTCTCAAGCGTGCTAGAGGAGTTTTATCGCTTCTTGGACGACAATCCAAATGAATGCTGTGTTGTGTCTTTAAAGCAGGAAGGCGAAGATTCGTGGGACAATGAGAACGAAGAGTTTCCTAACTTCTTGTGGGATCACTATCTTGGGAAGAACGAAGGCAGATGGTACCTACAAGATACACTGCCTCGTTTGCAGGATGTACGGGGCAAAGTTATTCTTTTCCGTAGATTCGGATGGAACCAGGACAAACACGGTCGTCCACTGGGTATCAATGCCGCATGGTGGTCCTACAACACGACAAATGAAGATCGCGGTCTTTTCCAAGTTCAGGATTACTGCGAGCTTGCCAGCAGTGAAGACATTGAAAAAAAAGCTACCTACGTCAAGGATCTGATTCGTACAGCTTCGCAGTACAATTCAACAGCCGAAAATTCTCCGAAGCTATTTGTCAATTATTGCTCAGGATCCAATTTCTTTAACAGAAGTTGCTGGCCAGAAATGATTGCAACCAAAATGAAGGATTGTGGAATTGATTCGGAAATCAGAAAAGCCTGCGGTGTAGTGATTCTTGACTTTGCTGGTAAGGACGATTGGTCCATGGTAAGAAGGGTAGTGGACTCTAATTTTTAGGCAGCCTTCCTTTAGCTTATAGTGTTATGTAACGAGCCAATCATGTGGACGCGCCGAATTCACGTAAAAGAACTACAACAAAAGTAGATTAATATCAAAAAATTTTGCCACTTCGACAACACAATCCAAACTGACAGAGAGTAGGGAATGTCTGATACGATTGACTCGGGTCAGGAGGAAGGAGTATCAGCGCAGTCAAAGCCTTTCCAATCAATTAAACCGATGGTTACGGGCAAGCCAAATCAAATACAACTGACCTTTAATGATTTTAAAAACGTGACGATGACAAAGTCACCAGAGGATATGCTCAAGCATGCCAACGACATGCTTGAGCAATCAAAAAGGAGGCGGTCACGTCGTGTGGTTCCCAAGAGACCACTCGATGATGATGAAGAGGAACCGCCTAAAAGGCAAATCAAAAAGAAGCGTAAGCCAGTCAGTAAAAAGGCCAAGGAGAGCAACATAGATAGGGAAGCTGTCAAGGAACGCGTCAAAAAGCAGCAACAAAGCGCTATTCAACAAACTACAGAGCCGTTACTTACTGAAGAAAGTTGGTCTCCAAATGTCCCGCTCAAGTCATCGGACTTCAAATCGCATCACAGTGTGGTTTCTCGCCTTAAATCACCTAATATGAAAACAGTACCTTATGCTAATGACGTTATTAGGGTGATGTCTTTTATTAATAAGTTCAATCAATTCTTCCCTCGCGAACTATGGGGCCTCTCTTTCCAAGATTTTGAAGTTGGTTTAGACTTGTACCCAGAAATTGAAAAAGGCTCGACGCAACCTTTGTACCAAGATTTTCTCTTGATTCGGGATGTGGTGAGAAGTCAGGATAAAATGAATCTCTTGTTTCTGTCACTTTTGAAATTGGCTCTGAATAATAACTCTGCTACCTCAATGGAGGCGCTGCGTAACACGTCCAGGCCGTACGCGAAATTTATTGATCAATTACGTGCGCATGCATGGTCTTGGGGATATCCAAGGGAATGGCGGAAAGATCCCAGCTCAACAATGAGCAAAGAAGATTGTAAGTACTTCGCAGAAGATGATAATGATCCAGTGGATATCAGTCATCCCGAAATTTTAACTCCAAACATTTATGTATGGCCTCAACAAAGTCCAATTGATCAAGATCCTTTGGCGACTTCTGAACTGGAGAAGAACGGTATACTTGCGCTTCAACCCCGCGATAGGTCTATTTTGTTAAGGATTTTAACGCAATGGTGTTTAGCACAATCGGAAAAAATTCATTCTGAAATCTTCCGTTTATCGCACCTCAAGAGAGATCCTCCTTTTGGGGTCTCCACTTCACACGTCCCTCTGCTAATGGCGGAGGGTGAACTCGTAATGCGGGCTAAATTCAAGAGACTTTGCGAGCTTTTGGCTACCAAATTGAAGTTGAAGAGCAAGAAAAAACACGTCAAGAAGCAGCTGGAGACGGGTAAGCGTGAGGGCCTCTCCAACAAACTGAAAGTTTTAGAAGCGATTCAGCAAGACATGAAAAAAAGGGTTCGCGAAAGAGAGCTTAATGAATCTCCGGCAGTTTCTGAATGGGACGAAAGCATAGACAAGGACTTTGATGAATGGTGTGATTTAATTAAAGGAGAAGTTCCGGATCATCCACTGCAGTCCCCATTTGGCGATGAAATATACAAATTGAGATCATCAGAATTTTTCATAGGGCGTGTGCCACATGTTGGAGATTTCTACTTACCTCGTCTGTTTACCTATCAAAATCAGAAGGGAATGAAAATTCCGTCGACCTATACTGATTTCCGGTCTTTAAAACAGCTTTTCGCATCATTTGCCAGTAACGAGGTGGATGCGTTCACTCTGTTTGGTAAAAATGGTAAATTGATGAGTGTTCAATTTAAGCTCTTATACCATGACACCCCAAGTATGATCCGCGATGTTGCGTCCCAGGCAGACACTAAATCAAAAACGTACTGGTATGAAATGTGCCATAATTGTGAGACCCTCCAGGAATTTATTACATTACTCGACTACAAACTTGGTCTTATCGAGATTACCGATGGCGATTCCACTAACAAATCTGCAATAAATAAAAACCCTCTTCCTAAAGAATCCAAGTACAATGCATCGCGTGAAAAGATACGCATACTCAAGAATTATTTGACTCAGTTGTATTATTTCCTAGAAAAGTTTGAAGAGTTGGGGGTAAAATACGGTGATATGCAAGCTAATGATAGAACCCTGAGAAGGTCCCAAAGAAACAAAGTAAACTACGCTGATGATGACGGCGCATATCAGGATGAGGGAGACGAGTATCTCCCAGAAGAACAAACTGAAAACTCAGAGGATAACTATCAGGATGATGATGATCAAAATCCTGATGATGACACCAATAGCGATGATAGCGACGAAGAAGCTAGGTTCCAACAAAGACGCTTGAAGCCCTCCACAACTCGCGTAAAAAAGAGGGGGCGTGGGCGGCCCCGAAAGAATATCTAGTTTTTAGGAGTTTTAGATTTTGAACGATTAATTTTAGATAATGAAAGTACAGCTTGGGCGGTATTCGTCCAGTTACCTAAAAGGACAGTTTATATTGTAAAAAAAAAAAGATTTCGCTCGGCATCACTAAGCGCAGTAAAAATTAAATGCTCCAGGGGAGGTTCGAACTCTCGACCTTCAGATTATGAGACTGACGCTCTTCCGACTGAGCTACTGAAGCATGTGTTCATTAAATTTCGCTAATTGTTCTATCTAATCTTCTGATTTCATGGGTTACTGCCGTCAAATGATAACTATCAAACACCAAAAATAATAATTTAAGAGATAACCGTGAACACTTGTTATTATGATATTTACTATCACTTTTAGACCTATAAATATTAGCCTCAACGAGTCTTGAACTTAATATGGATTAAATAGATGGAAAGAGCTAATTAAGTAATAATTCCATTATACAGTTATCTTCGAAATTAAAAAATGAGAAATGGGTGAATATTGAGCTAAATGTTGGGATTCCATTTTTGATTAAGGCTATAATTATTGGTATATGGTTATACTAGAAGTTCTCCTCATCTTTCTAAGAATCCAGAAAGAAGAGTCAATAATTCTACTTACAAATATTCTTACTCTTTCTGTTCCTTTTATACATTTTCATTCATTATCCTATTACATTATCAATCCTTGCGCTTCAGCTTCCACTAATTTCGATGACTGTTTCTCATTATTTATGTCATCTTAAAACACCGTGTATGATAATATACTAGTAGCACGAATACTAGTCGATGGTCGATAGTTGTATCTCGTTCCAACAAAAAAGATGTAGAGATTTCCGCCTTGTACTGAAAAATTGTTCCAATTTTCGAGATCGCTCTTAGAATCAACCATCGCAGTTTTGAAACTGGTAATTTTGGTAAATTTCGTGAAATAATATCGTGCAACATATGTGAAAGGGAGCATTGAGCTTACTTAAAAAATTGATTAATTGACGAAAATTTTCAGTACATTATGTGGCATTATTATACAAAACATTACGTTTGCATTATTTACTGGGCTTCCTCGAGATAATCACTTCGTTTCATCATCATCCTTATAGTTGATGATCCTATCTTTGTTCTGAGTGGCGGCCTTTACAATCTGTGCGAAAGCGTTTTGTGTGAGGTGGGATTTCAGCTGTTTCGATTCGATTGAATCTTTGCTGCTATCTCTTGAGTTTTGGCTTAGATCCGTTAAAGATTGCTGGAGACTTTCCATGTTAAAAGATCCAGCCGAATTTTCTTCGATATCGGTATCCGTCTCGCCTTCTTCACCATATAATTGCTTCAATTTCTTTATTCTATTGTTCAATTTTACAATTTCAACAGCCTCACGGAATTTCTTGCGTGCATCGAAACCCTTCCTGATCGCTGGCAATAGATCAGCTGTGCGTTGAGTCTCGGTTGCAATCCATTTGTCCTTCAGTAGGTCAGCAGCAGTTGGTCTCTTTACTGGATTCACTGTCAAAGCTCGTAAGATGAAATCCTTGGCTTCTTGTGAAATACTGTTCCAATATGGACGGTGAAACGTTACAGGTTCACGCCTTGAGGTACATTCCTCCAAAAACCCTTCTACACTCTCTGCAACAAACGGGGAGTATCCACACAGCAATGTGTATGTAATTACTCCAACAGACCAAATATCACAAGGCTTCCCGTGTCCGCTGGTAGTCAGTACTTCTGGAGCGACGTAGCCCATGGACCCTGCGGCTTTGTGTATCAGGTCGTCATCGCTTTTCAACTCTTTGGCAATGCCAAAATCTCCCACCACGAGTCGCGAATCATCAGATTCATCAAGATAAAGTATGTTCTCAGGCTTCAAATCACGGTGAACAATGTTTTTGGAATGCAGGTAATCTACAGCGTCCAAAATTTGTACCACAATTTTTACTGCATCCTTTTCCGTGAACTTCCCCTTTTTCAAAATTCGATCAAAGAGTTCCCCACCGGTGGCCAACTGAGTTACTATGTAGAATTTGTCCTTAGACTCGAACCAATCCTTAAACCTGACAATGTTGGGGTGATCCAATCTCTGTAAAATTGACAATTCATCGTAGAGCATTTGCAATTGAACATCTTTACCCTTTAGTGCTTTCTTCAGAAGAATTTTAACAGCTACGTTTTCTCCAGTTGAGATTTTGCGGGCTTGTCTAACGACACCAAATGAGCCTGCGCCCAGAGTCCGTCCGAAAATATAGTCAGACTTATTCACGTAAGATGAGGGCTGTCCGCTAATCTTATGAATCATCTTCATCAACTTATGTCCTTCAACTGGCTCAGGATCTTCCGGTTTTTGAATAGTATCCTTATTTGTCTCCTTGAGCATTTTTGCTGTATACACCGACAAGCTGGTATCTGTATTACGATGTTCAGTCAACGAATTTAAATAATACCAACCCTTAAGAACACGCAGTGAGATTATATATGAAAATTTAGCTAAACCCCTGGTAAATAAGCCTCACTGAAAAATACAGTGCACGCTGGATCTTTTGTTCGTGCATGATTACATAATCATGCAAAGAGTTTCCCGTAAATTAAAGCTCCAAGCCTCTTCCAACATCTTCTTGCCAAGTTACATTTCTACCTCCGATATCACGTAATTATCCCAAGTAAAATCATTTCGTTGAGGAAGTTGAATTCTGTTCTTACTTTTCCGTGTTCTACTTTTCCGAATAAAAGACGGTTCGGTAAGCAGCTGCCAACATTACGCGTGTGCATAAAATGTACTCTTTTAGTCAAACTTCAGAAGTAAGGGAGTAAATAAAGTATATAGTTGTACATATTTCTTTTGGATTCGGGTTTTGTACCGAATATATTGATAACAAAACTGATGGAGGCGTACAATATTAGAAGTCATTCGGCCAAGTGGTTGGCCACGTCTTCGTCGTCGTCGTCGTCGTCTCCCATACTCAAGTGGAAATAATCATCCGCAGTGTTTGCATCCTGTAGGGTGCCGAGATCACCCGGTGTCATTAAGATGGCGCTCCCAACACTGGCAGCTCTACTGTCTCTTGGGGAGCCAGGAACGCTCAAAGGTCTGGCTATTTTAAATTTCTTGCCGCCGGCCAAAGTATCCATGTTCGTGTCGCTGGTTTCTTCGCCCACAAACGCTTTGAATTGGTCTGGGTAAGCTCTGCGTAGCGCTAATTGCCTTGCCTTTACGTATTCGAGCCCCATCCGTCTCCAATCCAATAAATCAGACAATCTTTCTGTTCTGTTTCTCTGGTTGATTCTCTGTCTTCTTGTCTTGTTCACGAATTCCTCCATGTAATCGACTAATTGTTCAACGGATTCGTCAGCATTTTTGAAACGACGGTCCACGATATAGATACCGTAATCCTTTGCCTGGTTTTGCTCAATGAGGTCTTCCATGTAGGCGCCGAATCCTGATAGATTAGTTGTTATAGATGGAATCCCCATCACGGTACACTCGGCTGGTGTGTAGCCCCAGGGCTCATAGTAGGATGGGAAGACACCCAGATGACACCCACGGACAAATTCATCATAATCAAGGTTAAGAATTGGATTGTTGGCGTTCAAAAACTCGGGGTGGAAAATGATCTTTACCCTATCGCTTGGGTTGTTGAAAAGTTTGACTCGTCTGATTTGGTTTAAAACAGGATCGTTCGCATCATCTACCATGTTGTGGGTTACTACTGGTGGCAATGAACCATCGGGTCTTCTTAATGCATAGACACGTTTCTTTAAAAGCACCTTATCTGAAGGCTTCAACAACTGATCCAAAGACGTTGGAATCTCTGATTGAGTTCCATGCGGATATCTCATCGCATGCTCGAAAATACGTTTTCCTATCAAACTAGTGACATCTTTGACAGTGTTCTCCAAAGATTTCACCACTGCCTGACCCTTCAGCGCTTCGACAGTATAGGATTTATTTTTTGCTGGCATAATTACAAATGCCACCACTGTCATGTTAGAATTGGACATTTTCAGCCGATAGTTCAGCCGCGCCAGCGCTTCGATAAACATGTCAGCACCTTTGTTGCGGAACTCATATCTGCCTGCAATAAAGAAGTACAGGGTGTTATCCAAATTGAAATCGTAATGACCGTGGAAGTGACCGCGAATAAATTCGTTGATTTTTTCCTTCTTCAGCGCATGCAGGTTTTGAAATTCGTGCACAGCCTGGAATTTGACCACATTCAACCCGTTCGGCAAAATTCCGTCAGGTTTTCTTTTCAACAGGAACTCCGACTCATATGCGGTAATTTGGGATACAGTTGTAAATACGTCTGCGGTATGGGCTGCAGCGCGCTCAATGCAGTACCGATGATAGATACCACGCTTGCCCGCTTCTGCATCAACGTCGAATTTGTCAAGGTTATTGTAGAAATCCACATTACCAGCGCACAAATACCTGCCTAGCAAAGTGGCGTGGGTGGTGAAAATGGTCACAATGTCAACGCGGCGTTTACGACACAAGGGCAATGCTACACCGGCCAACCACTCGTGGAAGTGTGCAATAATTGCGTGACGTTGGTCGAGGTGCGCTAATTCGCCAAGAAACCATGCCACCGTGTAACCCAGTAAAATGGCGTCACTGGTTTCGTAGTCGCTGTCTGGAGAGGGAATGCCAGCGAGGTCCCAGAGGTCGGTCTTCCACTCATTTAAATATCCTCTAACGGAGTCGAGCTCGAACAGAATAACACGGGGGGCGCCCTCGATCAGCCACCGCCCGTACACGAAGCGTACGCCGCGGTTGCTCATGGTCTCGAGCGCAGTACCGATCTCGGCGGTATGCGTAGCGCCCTTTTCGAACGTCTCTGGGTTCCGCCAGTCAAGTTCCTCCACTTCAACCTGGTACGTCTGCGGGTTGAGCGGGCCGATGAGCGTGTAGTTGTGTTTGTACTGAGCGCACGTGATCGGCGCTTTCGACTTTAACACCGAGTAAATACCCCCGACCCGGTTGGCCACTTCTGTCGCCACTTCAAACAGTAGATGGTCTTGGATATCTCTAGCCATAATTGTACTGTCTCTGATGCGTATCTATCTGTCTGCACGTGGATGTGTGTTTGTGTATGTAGCACTAGTTCGTGGCAGCCGATTGTATCTGCACGCCAAACCTTTTCAAATGCTTTCCAGTAAGGGTGAAAGTTCAATCCCTACAAAACACTAAACCCGACTATGTAGCTGCTGTACAATGTACCTTGCTAATTCAATGCCTTTTATGGAACTTGTGACTTTCGTTACACTCCTCTCGAGCTCTTAACCCTTGAATATATATTTTTTCTATGGCAAAACACGTTGCGGCATAAGGGTTAGGGAGACGGCGTTTCGAGTTGGAGCGCATGTTTTACCGCCCAACCCCTTCTTTTGACCCTTGTTTTTCCTCAAGAGATCTCGCGGCTGAATGGAGCCTTGAGTTTCTGCCGTACAGCGCGATGTTGGTGTCGTTCCAAATGACTTGTGTTTTTTTTAGGTCCGCCAATATCCGCTTTTTCTCCGCTGCAGAGAAGCCTGTGCTGGTTCGTTCCGCTGGTTAGCTGAGGTGAGATGAGATGGCGGGCCGTTCATCAACACACAGCTGGCTCCATTCTGGGCTTGTCGAATACAATACAGGCAGTCAAACGGCACAGTGTTGAGATGGCAACAAGGCTCGCATTGGAAGTAACGATATACAGTGCATACAGTGGTGTCTTTTTTTAGATCTGAACAAATTGAGCCGCACAGTTTGTGGAAAAGAGAAGGAATTACAAGTTGATAGAGATTAGATAGTGATATACAGAAGAAACACATGATGCGATCAGTGTTTGAGGAAGGGTATCCACAGTTGTCAAGTGTGGAGAGAGGAATATATTGTATCGTAATACGACGCTCATGCTCCATTGGCATTGCCATCACGAAGCGGTTGGTATTAGTGATGGTTTCTATACATAGTCTACACTCGTGGTGAGGTACAGATTGTATTTTGTTTGGAGCCTGGTGCCCTCAATTTGTGGAAATACTAGTTTCTCGCCGCAAGCGTGAGCGGCGAGTGCAAAATGCAAAAAAAATGATGTGAAAAATACATGTGATGGTTATGTTTGTGTGTATGTTGGCGCGCGAGTGCGGTGCAAAGATTGTGTCCGTACCGGCTAGATGCAATTGTTTGTGCTGTCACTAAGGGTGCTGGTTTAAAGTTGTGCCGTCCTGAGGCTGCGCGCCTCCAGACGCGATCAGCGCCTCAAGCGAGGTGTTTGGCAGATACAAGGGCAGACCGGAGTCTAAGGTTGTGGGTGAGCACACTGGCGACAGCGTGTTGGTGCCTAGGTTGCCGTCGAACATGAAGGGCATCACGTTCTTGGCCTCTGGCTGCAGGGTAGCCTCCGCAACGTCGGTCCCGCTAAGTGAGGTGAGCGAGGTGATCATTGTGTCGTCGCGGGTGGGAAGGTCACCACCCAAGGATGAGGCCTGGAACGAGGGGTTCGAAGACATGAATCCCGAGAGAAACATGCGGTCAAATTCCTCGGGCTCGGGGATCACAGAGTTGACGCGATTGCGCGAGTACTTGCCTGCCGACTCACCTGCCGCGTTGCTAATCATTGTGTTCACCGTGCTGACGCTAGTGCCAGCGCTCTCCAGCGCCTTGCCCTCGTCCAAGATCTGTGTCGTGCCATACAAACGATACGCCTGCGATAACTCGTCATCCGGCACGACGCCCATGCCGCCCACAAGGGTACTTCCATCTGCGTCATTGGCATTCGGCAGCACGTTCTGGTTGAACATGGCGGCGTCGTTTATAGACATGGTAAAGGGCGCCGAAGGAAGTGAGTCGCCCGAAGAACTCGTGGTTGGCACGGGCTCATTCTGCATACCCATTGCATACACGCCACTGTCCTGAGGATCCAGCACGTGGGGCGGCACACTGCTGCCAAAATCGAGTGGGAAGCCCATGTCGCCAGAATCCTGGCGGGCTGAGTGAGTGCCAGGGCGCATGTCCCCCGACGAAAACATGTTGTACTTGAAATCCACTTTTGGAGACACCAGTGGGGATATCATTACGTTCTGTGCAGTTAGATTCTGTTCAAGGGGCAACGAGCGGAGGTTTTTGTTGATTACTGGGTCGCTCACGTTACGCATGTGGGCAGTACCACGGCGTTTGGTGACTTTGCCAGCGGGGATGTTGGTGCTCTGCTGAGGAAACCCGGCAATTCCGGAAACCACCGAGCCCTTGCGAGAGCGGCTATGTGTCAATCCCAAATTCATCATTGGAGACGCGGATTCGGACTGGTCCGAGTAATCAGACTGTTCTGCCGACGAAGTCATCTGGGGCGTCGTAGGGAAGCTCACCTCGTTGTGGAGGGCGTCTTGGATCGACGAGTTGGAGCAAATGCTTGATTGCGATGCGCGACGAATACGGCCGGACATCACGGAACTGCGGCGCTTGCGAGCTTCGACGCGCTGCGTGCACTTGCCGTCGGAGTTCTTGGCCTCTTTTTGCTTTTTCTTGTGTTCTTTTGACTTGTTTGGGTCTATGAAGTACTCCGGGAGAAGCACCACATTTTCGGTGGGTTCGTACGACAGCGTGCCCTCCTTGAGGAAGTCCGGGTCGTCGAAGCAGTGGTAGGAGTGGCCCAGGGCTTTGAGCTCCTCCACCTTCTTCTTGCATGCGTTCATGATATCGCGGTTCTTCTTGATGAACTCGCAGCACAACTGGCCGTACTCGCGAATTGTGAGTCCCGTGATCACCTTGAACACACGGTGGAAATGCCATGGCGTAATCGACACAAGGTAGCCCAGCTCGCGAAACCCAATGACACCGCCGCGCCGCAGCGCGAGCGTGGCGCTCTCGGCGGGCGACAGCTTTTCTGGATCCATGTCGTCGTCGCTGTCGTCGTGGCCTGTGTCGTGCATCTCTACGTTGACGGCCTTGTTGACCGTTGCGTACGCGATGTACGCGCACGCCAGCTCCACACGCTTTACGTTCTCGTAGTCGAGCTCTGTAATCAACCGGTTCTTGTAATATACGTGACCGTCCGTGGGGAATTCCTTGGCCGACTCTGGAATTGACGTGTTCAATTGCTGCAGCTCATCGGAAATGTTGGTGGGCAGAAAATACAACTTGGACTTGTTCTTGCGCATTGACGTTCCGGTGAACGCAATGTAACGCTCGCGCAACTCTGCGTAGTCCTGAGCGGGTACCTGGTAGCAGAGTTGTGGCTTGAACGATATTGCCTCATTGACGTTCGACAACACGAAGTTGGTTAAGTCTATCGCTACTTCTTTGATTGTGGGCATTATCCTTGACCAAAAAATTCGCACTGAAAAATAACCGCTTGCGTAAGCCGAAACCTCTAAAAAAATAAACCAGTAATATTTGGCGCTACTTAGTTTAGTACGCTATTCTTTATATACCTTTTTTCGCCGCCCCCTCTCCAAGTACCCTTGGACCATCCGGTTCTGACAGATGTCATTACGTCGGCCTTACTGCACCAATTCCGGATACCGGAGGGCTTTGAGCCTGTCCGGCGTGACCCCGGGTTGGGTAGACGATCACATCACCGGTTCTAGACTTGAGACTTGCCCCCCACCTTGTGCTCACGTACGACCCCTCCGCCCCGTTCTGTCACGGCGGACGCCAGCGGCTTTTAACGGCGGGCGGGCCGTGCCTCAGGCAACGTGCATGGGAGGTGCGCTGCGGCCGTTTCACAGGCATGACTCTCGAGACTGCTTCCCTGCATGGAGGCCGCAGCCGTTTCTGCCCGAGCCTATCAACCGAGGTACACAGGTGCACCAACCGCAGCGGTTGTAAGCGGCGGGCCGGCCGCCGCCAGTTCGAACGGCCCGTAGAAGCGCACGAAAGCGCCCGTAGCAACGGCGCGGGCCGCTCCGGCCCGCGCCGCTGCTACGAGGATTAAAGTTTTCTCAGGTGACTCGTACCGGTAGTAACAGGCAAACTTAAAACGGAGTTCAGGCAGCTCCAGCGGCACCCGTTGTTGGCGCCGATAAATAACGGCGCGGACTAATCTGCGAGACAATATAGGGGCTTGATAGTGAGAAAAGAGAAAAGACTACTGTTGTAGGCGGGCGTCACCAGCAAACAGAGGCCTAGAAGTGCCGGTCCGGTAACGAGGGGAATAGCGTTAAAACGTAAGTTTGTCATCGCACAAATCGGGGCGTAAGTAGGCAGTGTACGTGTTGTAATAGGCGTGGGCGTGGCCGCCCCTCTTGTGGTGTCTCACGTACCCACACACCGAGCGGCGAAACCCGGCCAAGGGCGGCGGAGATGCAGCGGTGTCCGACATCTTCGGATCCCGTCCTACTTAAGTTTTGACATATACCGGAGAGCTCAGGGGAGGGCCGCCGATGCACAGTAAATCGCCTAGGAAGCTGAAGGATTATCCAACGTGTGTATGCGCTCAGACGCGGCCGCGTGCGGTTATGCAGAGGACCTTGTGCCTAGTAGCAGCCAGGGTATTACGTACCTGTGGGCCCCCACGCGTCAGGCGCACTTTGCACGGGATGCCGCGCGGCGTGGGGCCCGCGTAGGCGGCGAGTAGTAAGCGGAGGTTGCAGCGGGCACCGCGCCCTCTCAGGGAAAGCATCGCCCGGTAAGCGCGTCGTGTAGGGCGACCGCCTACGTAACCGTGGATTTTGAGTTTGGCCATTATTACGTAGGATGGTTGCTCACGCTATGGCAGGATGAGGTAATTGCTTTCGTAACAGAGCGCGATGGGCACACTTGCAGCCAGCGGAGCGGAGTAGAGCGGAGTGTGAGCGGAGCGTGTGTGTGGTCTGATCTGGCGTTTTGCGTGCCAATTGCTAAGATGCGAGCCGCGCAGCTCTCCGCCCGCCTCGCTCCCCGCAGCCGCCAGGGTGGGGCTTGCCTGGCGCTTGTTTGCCGCGCTTCTTTGCCGTGGTTGCCCACGCGGAGCACGCCACTCGAACTCCGCTGTTTTATTTAGCAAGTGGAGCTGCTTGTTACGCGGATTAATGCCCCGCCCTGGTTTTTCCGGTTATGGCTTCATGCGCGACTACGTAACCTATCGAAAATTCCATACGCTTCTGCTCCCGCACATGTAATCTATTTTGGGCTGCAGCTTGCACCTGCGTGAGATTCGAGCGCTGCTCAGGGTGGGCTGCCAAGACGCGCCTGCGGCACTCGTTTTACGTGGACGTTAAGCCAGATTTACCCGTGGCAACGCCGCACCCCCCTAATCCGGCGGTGCTAAATTTTAGAGTTTTGGGTTCAGCAACAAAGGAGAGCGGCCGACGCACGGCCGCGGTCGTTACTTAAAGCGTCAATATCCTAAGCAAGTCTTACAAAAAAGTATAAACAAATGCGCTGCCGCGTTTTCTGGCGCGATATTTTAGCACCTGAAACGGGTCTGTCGTCGCACCAGCGCACCCTATGCGGCGATACCCCGCCTGCACTGCCGCCTTACCTGTGCTGCCCTACAATGTCTCGTAAATAAGTGTTCTCACGCGATACTCCTCGTTGGCCTCGTCAATCTCTTCCCAGTTGCCTATGATATCGTCGCGCCCACGTACTACCGCCGGCAAAGAACGGCCTGCACCGTACCTTTTCCACACTTTCCTCGCCTCCGGGTCTGTACCCAAATCCCGGTACGTGAACTTGACGCGATTGGCTTCCAGTATCTGCGCGACCCGATTTGTGCGTGACGGCATATGGAATCCCCCGCCTGCCAGCGATGTGAACAGGTATACAGGCTCGTTGGCCAGCGCCGCGCGAATCTCGGAATGCGCAATTGCCCCGGGGGCCGCGTCGCGCCGCGACGCTTCCTTTGTCTCGTTCGGAGCGGCGGCTACGGACCGCGCACCCGCGCTAAGGCCGGCGCCGCCGGTCGCAGGCAACTCCAACTCCCGCAAAAGCTGGGCGGCGTCCGAGTCATCTACAAACTCCAACTCTCGCAACAAGTTGTCGATGTCATCGGTCATCGCATCCAGCACTGACGAGCTTGATTTGGTATTTTCGTCCTTTAATTGCCGCTCCTCGTCACCGCTGGCACTCCTTGGCACCTCCAGCGCACGCACTGACTCGTCCTCCACTGACGACACCTCTAAGGGTTGGGGTACAGATGGGGCTGATTCTGATCCGGCTTGCGTAACAATAGGGGTTTCATTCGATGCAGCCGGGGTGACATCTTGCGTACCTGCCGCTACTGCAGGAGCCGACTCCGGGTTTGCCTCACTTGTGGCCCGTTCCCCATCTTCTGCGTCCGGGTCACCAGTGAGCTCTCGAGGAGCGTTGTGGCGTGACTCTGATGGCTGCCCCGCTTCTGACTCCGAGTTGGCCTTTTGTGATTCGGACTGCGCGCCACAATTAGGGGCGGTGGCTTTAACAGGAGGTTCGGCAACGGTCGCCGGTTGCTTTTCAACGGTATCCCTTTTTTCCCCTGTTTCTGCTGTTTGTCTCGGCAGCTGCTCGGGGGAATTTGAGACGCTGGGTTCCTTGGCGCCAACGGGCAGGTTGTCTTGAAGTTCCTCTAGTGAGAGGGTAGTCTCGCGCTCGACGTTTTCGCCGCTGTTGTTGTGTGTTGGAGGTCCGCGGTCAGCGCTAGAATGTGCATCTTGCACTGCCGCTTCAGACGCTTCTGGATCCTCTGACGCGTTCTCTTGAGATATAGCAGTAGCTTCACCGGTGGAATGCTCCGACAAGCAATCTTCCTCCTCAGTTTCGATCCTGCACGATGCACTGGGCGCCTCTGTAGGTTTTGGCTTTTGCGAGTCCGTTTTTTCCCTTGCTGACGTGGTGGATGCGTCGGAATGCGTCGCGGCAACAGGAGTCTCTGTGGATCCCGGAGATGCGCCTGGCGAATTTTGTTTCTCCTTTGGTGAGTCGGAGCCGCCCACGGGCGAATTTTCAGTGTCCGTTTCAATCTCGCCTTCGACGTCAGGTGCGACGTTTGAGACTGGACTTTTGTCCCCGGGTTCGCTGCTAGACGTAACGTCGGATCTCACAGGGGATGCGGTCGGAGTTGAGTTCCCGACACTCTTTGTGTCCACAACTCCCGATTCGTTTTCCTCTGGCACGAAAAGAATGGAAGCGGGCAAAGAGGCGTCTTCAGAAAGTTTTGGCGATTTTGGCTCAACGGTTGAAGGACTCCCTTTCTTGGCATCCTTGGATGTGATCGTAGAAAGGTGCTCTGTAGCTTCAAGTGCGGAAATCGCGCCATCACAATCTTTTTCTGTCGCAGATTCGTGGTCTGTCGCGGAATGTTGATTTGTCGCGGAATGTTCGTTTGTCGCGGAATGTTCGTTTGTCGCAGGATCTGGTTTTGGATTATTGCCTAAACCGGACTTTGGGGAAACGGTCGTTGCCGCAGCTGTTAAAGTGGTTTCTCCTGCTTCGGAGGTAATCTTTTGGTGCGTGGTTTCTACGGGTGCCGAAGTGATCTTTTCACTTGGGGTTTCCTTGTGTTTTGGAGAATTCCTTCCTTCGGCCGTGCCATCCGTTGATTCCCCAGCTTTAGAGGAGATTTTTTCGTCTCTGGCCACCTCAGGTTTGGCAGTAACCACTTCATCTCTCGTTTCCTCGGACTTTGCAGAATTGATACCTTCTGCGGTGTCCTCTGACTGAGAAAACGCATTTGAAGTTATCTGATCCTCGCTTTCTGCGGCATTCAAAGAGACGTCTTCACTCGCAGTGCCTCCAAGCTCTGACTTCTTGGCTTCTGTGGCATCTTCATGGCCTGAAGAAACCTTCTTCTGGATAGCTTGCCCACATTTTGTGTTTCCCGTCGCCTCCAGCAATTCTTGGTCACGTGTAGAATGGCCAGTTTCACCTGCGCGGGTCGACGTCCTGGATTCACTCGATGACGATTTATTTTCTGAGGTTTTGAGAGCAGTTTCGAAAACATCAGACAGTGTTCCCAACGTCTGCTCATTTGCCTTTATCAAATTCACCTCATCTGTATCTTTTGCTACTTCCAACTCATCTTGCGAACCATTGTCATCCTTTCCGTGTGCCGAAAACTGAGGATGCTCCGACGCGCCAAGGTTTCCATCCACGTCCAATTTCTCTTGTTTGCATTTAAAGTCCTCCAAGTCTCTCGAGTCTCTGTCAATCTGGGAAAAGTCATCCTCGGCCTTCTCGCTTGAAGAAACTTCATGGCCTGGAAGCGAATTATTTACGCTCGGCTTCATTTTACCTGATTCGTTCGAGGTGGCCTTGTCACGAAGTTCCGAGTCGCAAGATTCTGTTCCAGTTTTCTTTGGCTTCTCCTCCGTATCTTGCTCGAGAGAGTCTCCTATATCGCGCAGTAGATCCGCGGAGCCTTCCGACTTCTCATGAATTGGTACCATACTTGCTGTCTCGATCTGTTCTGTCTTTTCATCCTTCTTAACTTGCTGCTTCTGCGAACCGGTAGCTAGTATATCCGTTGTATCTTCGCCCTCAGCAGTCCCACTTGCTTTTGAGGGTTCGGGAAGAAGAGTCTCCCGTGGCACATTTGCAAGTGGAGCCGTTCCTTGAGGCTCCCCTGAGACGTCTTGACTCTCCTGGCCCAATAATGGCAGCTCAGATTCGTCGCCAGCGCCTAGGATATTCACCTCCACGTCCCTTGGAACTGTACTGATTTCATCATCAACCACTTCTATTAAGTGATCACTATAAACGTCTGATCCCCGAAGGGCCTCAGCTTTAATAAATAGGGGCTCGCGATCCGACGACCCAATAAGCCCATCGACAGCAGTGTTTTGTTTGTCGTTTTCATTGTTCTTAACTTGCAGTTTTGAAGTTTTCTCTGCACTTTGTCCTTTGTTTTTGTCTTCTCTATCAGTCTCGACGCCACCAACGCTGTGGTCCTCAACTTCATCACCCAGATCGATCTCGAGATCATCATCATTCAAGATAAAATCCTCGATCCCGTCCATGAGATCTTGAAGCTCATTAATCATGCCTCGCGCTGGTGCTTGCTGCTGCATTGTTTAATTCTTCTGAATATTCTTCGTTTCCTTCGTCGTTCATAAGCGCGCCTTCTTCTTCTTCTTCTTCTTCCTCCTTGATCACGTGAGGCGCATTTTCAAGCTCCACTTGCGAAATACTGTAATTGTTAGTGCTATACATTCTCGCGTCTTTAATCTCCTCAATGTCGTGTGCAGCCTTTGCGTCACGACTCAATGAGCGTGATAACGATCTTAAGTAACCAGTAGACACACCCTTCCTGATCGAACTTCTTCCGGAACGTTCCTCACCTTCTTCATCACTACCTTTCGTAGTTTGGTAAGACTCTCCACGGGCCAGATGGGGTCTATGAGAGCTGTCCTTGATAAATTCACCGTATGAGTTTCTAATGGTCTCGTTAGGAGCCTTTTCGTCGAACCCAACCCTTTTGTCCCTAGATGGACTCACAGTAGGATCAATCGGATCCGTAGACGTCACCAAAGAAGAGGATCTGGTTAAAGAAGAAGACAATGGAGTTTCTCCTGGCGAGTGTACTTTAGCAAGCTTCTTCTTTCTCAGCTGCTTTTTCTTCATGTCACTGATATCCTCCGTCTTCTTGGTAATTAGCTGATCTAAGTCAACGTCATTGTCGTCAGTTAACAATGCACCTTCACGTGTCAACTCATCAACTGTCGAGTAGGGCGTGGTCAGCTTGTTCAGCTGTGTCGATGAGTGAATCTTGTTCAGGAGTTGGGGCGACGATCTAGCCCCGGCCACAGAAGGTCTGGTACCTTCGCAGAAATCCGGATTCTTAGTGTCATTGATGCTTCTAACAGAAACGCCAACAAGAGAGGGTGTACTAGAGTTATCCATTGTGTGTTATTATCTGTACGATTTGTCTTTCACTTGTGCTAAATAAAGGGGTAATGAGAACTATTGCGTATAGCCGAAATTCACAACTTTTTGCTTCTCAAAAGAAAGGTTTCTTATGTCAAAAGTTGAATACTACAAGTTCGAGAATATATAATTAGATGCCGTTAACAACATCGTTCTTCCAAAAAAGAGCTTAACAAGATTTCCGACCCGTTGCAGCACTCACAGTCAAAACCTGAGATATGAATTGTTTACTTGTTTTGATGAAATGATAAGAAAATTTTTTCTCGAAACGACATAGAGCCTTGCGGCAATTCAATTTTCAGAGCTTGCACTTCATGGTAATGAAAAATTAAAAATATGCGCAAGCCCGGAATCGAACCGGGGGCCCATCGATGGCAACGATGGATTTTACCACTAAACCACTTGCGCTACTTGTTGGAATAGAATTTGGTTATGTTGACTATAGCCCGCGCTACGGGTCAAGTGTAACGGTTGTTATTAACTCTTCCATGCGTGTCGTATCGGACCAAAATTAATAATTTGAAGCATCTTCGAGCTGTAGACAACTCTTCTGTAGGCCAATTACGTTCATCCGCCAGTAATGCAGCTATTTCCTAGGCACGGTGAAACTCACTTTGCAAATATCAATTACGGTCTCTATGCCCTTGCAGCTAGTGTGGTCTACGTGCTCGTTATCATTGTGGTTCGAAGAGTAGTTCCGTCAAGACAGAAAACTAATTCTAAATGGAAGAACTACATTATTCGTAACTTGTACTATACATCACCGTTATTGCATCTGTCTGTTCTAACAATTGCGCTTGCTATCCCATTTGTGCATCATTACTCGGTAAAAGAAAATGTATCCCTATATGTGAAGCGATTGGGTCGTCTCAGCTATGTTCTAGTTAGTTTGAACCTGTTTATTACAATCAGGCCCAACTTTCTCATGCCCGGTTACCAGTATCTGGATCTTATACCTTTACACAAATGGCTTTCCCGTGGAATTGTCGTCCTAGCTTTGGTTCATGGAGTTGCATTCATTATAATATGGGTTCTTAGACCAAATGTGTCTTTGATTGATAAAGCTATCAAGAATGTTTGGAACCTTATTGGTGTCCTTTTAAGCATATTATTAGTGGCCTTAGTAGCTATATCACTTAAACCAATGCGGCGTTTCAGTTATAATACTTTTTACGCTATACACACTATCGCTTCGTGGGCTATGGTCTATCTCACCGCATTACATGCTAGACCAGGTGTTTTTATTCCTTATACCATAATAAATTCATGCATTTTGCTGCTACAGATTCTATCCAAATGCTTCTTCACTAGGCCTGTGGACTTGGTATCCAAGCATAAAACACATGAAGGTTTGTGTAGAATTGTTCTACCCCGCAATGCGATGCCTGAGCACTTCAGTCCTGGGAGTCACTTGAGAATTTCACCTTACAGAAAGTTGAATCCACTGTACTGGCTCCTTCCTTCACATCCTTATACTGTGGCATCTTTGCCGGGGGACCAGTATGTCGAGTTAGTGGTTAGAGAGCATAGTGGTGGGTTTGAATTCGAGCACGGCCGTCGCTATACCATTCAAAATTTTTATCGGTCTGTCTCTGGTGACTCTTTGCAAAAGGCTAAAAGGGTTGCCCTTGTCTGTGGTGGAAGTGGTATCTCGTATGCGTTGCCAATCTATAGATACTTTTCAAGTCTTAACGGGAATTCCCAATTGAATTATATCAAGCTGATATGGCTCGTTCGTGACTTGGACGATTTGGCGGCTGTACAAGACATGGACCTCGCAGACATGGAAACTTCAACCTTTGAGATATTTCTAACGAAGGCGGTTCCTACGGATGATGCTGTGGAGGGCGGTTCTGAAATTGTCATGCAGAACAATGACAACTTTGATGATTTGGATTTCGAATTGGAGTCTTTTGGTGATCAAGTGGATCAGAATGGGGGACTTTTAGAGGGTGCCAAGAAGGCAGATAAGCTTGCTTCAAAGCTTGCCTCTAATATTCACTTGGGTAGAAGATTGGATTGGTTTACTGATCTTGCACAATTCGTTGAACCGGAAGAGCTAGATAACACTTGGTTATTTCTTTGTGGTCCTATGGGACTAATAAACGCAGGGAAGCAATTTGGAAGAGATAATAAGATTAATGTCTCTACGGAGGTTTATGCCTTGTGAATAATATATTGTCATGCAACTTATAAGTCATAGAAACATGCTTCCAACGGAATTTTTTGATGATTGAACGCGTTTGAATTCAATACTGTTCTTTATTGTGTACTTTGACAGTTTTCTCCCAAGGCGGTTAATCAGTTTCGCTTCTACCTGACAATAAATTATTCTTGTAACTTGGGATGGAAGATAAAGTTTTCATGTTTATTTATGCTACTAATCCATAATCTGGAAATAAGCTGAGGCTCTAAAATGTGATTCCAGTGACTCCAGTGTGGCAGGAAATGTATATCCAGGAAAACTTGTATTTATAAAAGCTGTCTTTGTTTTTGCCTTTTCTGAGATCTTGTAATAGTCCCATCTGAAAAATCATTATTTTTGACTACTATCAATTGGTCGAGAGAGACAATTCTATATAATCAGAACAAGAAGGAATATTCACCTGCAGTCTCGCGACGCTAAATTTCTCCGTTATCGAAGAAGATACTTTTTGATTTCCCGGACATAATCCATGATATATTCTTGTTTACTATCATTTAAACATACTGCTATTTAGGAACTATCAAGGGTAGAGGAAGTATCGAGTATGTGAGACATTTCAACAAGATCAAGTTTAGATCATTGGTATGGCACATCCATCGCCTCTCTTGTCACTACCAGCCGAATAGAGAAGAGTTGAGGATTTCTCAGAGGAACTCTTTTTGATTATTTGGCCTCTGCCAAAAAGCGACCTGCCACTTCCACTAATTACCTCCACGTCATGGCCAAGTGCTCGCAATCCCTCAATAACATCAGATGGCATGTCTTCCTCTATTGAAACCAAAGTGACAGGTGTTGAAACAGGGCCATCAGAGCCCAACCCTCTATCCTTATCGGCGTACTTTGGATGTGGTGATAGACATATACGCGGGGCATCTAAAGATTCTTGAGGGGATAACTTGAATAATATAAGGTTCAGGAAATGTTGCAGATGGCCAGTGGGTTGCATGAACCCGCCCATGTTTCCCAAACTGTAAACTAGTTCCCCGCTTACTGCGTCAGTTATCATCGCCGGAATTATAGTGTGATAAGGCCTCTTATTGGGTTCCAGAGAGTTCTTCGATCCTGGCGTTAAATTGAAATTAGCTCCTCTGTTCTGTAAACAAAATCCCCCAAATTTTGCAGGTATTATGGCAGATCCAAACCCCATATACACCGAATTTATGAATGAAGTTGCATTGCCTTGAGGATCGCTGACAGTAAAATAAACAGTATCTGCTTGATTTAAGGTTGCATCTGGTACACCATGCTTCATTTTACTCGAGTCAATTATACCATCCTTTCTGAAGAACCGCGCCCTTGACTTCAAATAAGATTTGGAGAGTAAACGCGGTAAGATGTCTGCTTGTTGATATTGTGGATCGGATACATATTCATCGGCATCATAAAATGCAATTTTCAGACATTCGATTAATAAATGCAGATACTCCGTGGAGTTCTGTTTAAGATCACGCAGACAAATCTTCCCATCTTCATCCAACTCTCTGATAATACCGAGAGCGATTAATACGACTAATCCTTGACTGTTTGGAGGAATTTCCCACATCTTGTGTCCCAAGAATTCCAAGTTAATTGGCTCAACAAAAGTAGTCTGGTGCTGAGCTAAATCATCAAGGGAGAGAGCGCCCCCTCTAGATTGAACCTCGTCCACTATGGCCCTTGCAACTTCGCCTTCATAAAATCCTTTCTTTCCTTTCTCGGCAAGAAGCCTGAAAACTGATCCCAGCGGTCTATTAACAACAAGATCTCCCTCTTTTGGTGCAACTTGGCTGTCTTCAACTGATGCAAAGCACTGTAACAAATCAACCTGTTTTGAGTTCTGTTTTTGAAGTCTCTTCCAACACTGTTGGGAAAGTGAAGCCGATATCTCACTTATAGGATGCCCATCTTCGCAAAGTGATATGGCTGCGTCTAGCACTTGAGCAAGTGTTACCTTACCTGAGCCCAACGTTTCGAATGCATCTATCCATCCAGCTACTCCCCCGGGAACTGTAACACTGTGAACGGAATTGGCTGACAATCTAAGTGGCAAATCCTCCTCATTCCCTAGTTGCTTTCTTAGGAATTCAATGCTTAAAGCAGAAGGAGACCTACCTGTGCCGTTCATACCACTAATTTTGTGGGTCTCACCATCATAGTGCAACAGGAAACAGTCTCCACCTACACCTGTTGACGCTGGTTCCAAAACACATAAACAGGCCGCGACAGCAATTGATGCATCAATTGAGTTGCCTCCCAATTCTAGAATCTTGATACCAGCTGAAGCCGCCAGCGGTTGAGAGCATGCTACAATGCCTTTCGTGGAATGAACCACTGACCTTCGACTGCAATTAAATGACATTAAGCTTCAAAAATACGATTGCCCTATAGATGTTGGCTATTGGTTCTATAAGGCTCTACCATTAGCTCCTTCTTTGATGTTATGGCGAATATATAGTTCTGATCAATTCTCTTGTCCCGGATACTCTCCTCTTCTTCGGTCCGAAGGCCCGAACCCGAATGCAGCCATGCTGATAGTTGGTTGAATCTTGGGATTACATAAGCAACGTCTAATCTTCAGCGATAAACGAACGCCATTTATCAAATCATATGAATTGCAATATAACTTACCCTTTATAATCAACCTTGATGAAATACCGTTACATAAGAAATACATGATGTTTATTCCCAAATTGGGAAGTCTGCGCCATTGGTGCTTGATAATTCCGCCAGGCCATCTATCTCTGAGTTATCGATTGGGAGGAAATCGGTAGCAATTCCCATCCCATCGTTATTCTGAGTACTATAGTTTTCAAAACCTACAGCTTCAACTATGCTGGATGGATTTATCATTAAACCGTTGAAGTTTGAATTCTGCATCAAAAAGTCTTCGAAATCAGGAGTGTAATTCACAGACGATGAGACCTCTGAGACTGCTGCAGGTGACTGCATACCTAATGATCCACTTATTGAAACAGCACTGTTTTTAAAACTCTCTGCAGGGCTGAATGCACCGGCAACTCTCTCCAATGGGGGTAGTAATTCACTTTTCATACCTGCACCCAACATCGCGGGGGCTGGAGGTGAAGCCGATTGTAGGACTGGCAATGGAGACCATACTCGTGGAGTCTCTGCTTTTAGTCCACCTGCTGGCAACGAATCTTGGTCGCTTGGACTAGTTGTAGTGAGCTTACGCCTTTTAGAATCTGACTCCCGCACATCAGACGTGCGACGCAAGTCATTGCTAGTGTATGTAATTGGACGATACGCCCTAATCGGGGGCAGCTGCTGAACCACGGAGGAAGATTGACTTGCTGGCATGCCGTTCGAATTTGCCCTGGGAGGAAGGAACCCTAATGCGTCCTGGTATACAGGACATCTCCTTAGTTGATCTCCGTCGGCCGATAAGACTAATGAAGGTACATTTTTGAAAAAGCCTGACATTTTAGCAATGCTTGGATGTTGGAATTTTGGTAATCCTTTTTGGATGCTGGTGGCGTTTTTCCCTCCAGCTCCAGACTTTCCTGATGGATTTTTTAGTAATGTAATAAAAAAGCCAGTCGATTTCATCATACGTTTGGCATAATGATACTTATTGGAAATTTGCTTCGTGAGCTTATGAAAGAGGACCATTCTCGCCATAAGAATGTCAGCTAATTCGTCTCCCACGTCAAGACTTATGTCTTTCGTCATGTCTGCACTATCCACAGAACCTTCTTTAGAGCCAGTACCATTTTTGCCATCATTTTCATCTTCGCTGCTACTTGTATTATTGGCACTCGCAATAACCGGACTTTCGCTCATGCCAGTTAATGGACCGCACTTGGCACGTAAAATTAGGCAAACCATAAATTGTAGTGCTCTATGCCCAATGTCTAAACAGCAAGGAGTTAATGCGACTTCCATATAGTTAAATATAGATCCATTACCACCTTCGACAATCTTCGCGTTGCTAAAAAACAAGAGACAGTTCCTAAACCCATCCATTGCATAATTAAGAGCTTCCTGAGCGTACTCTTTAGCTAACGGTCTCGTTCCGGCATCAATATTACCCTTCGGTTCATAGTGCGTAAAAAGGATGTAATTCAATAGATAAAGCAACATTCTCAGAGTCATATGTTTTGAAAAAAATAATGCTCGAGTCGTCATTTCGTGAGGAAGATTTAACTTCTTATCTTTTTCATTTTCAGTTGGTGGAGGAGGAGAGAGCACCTGTTCTAATGAAGGTAATGTATATATTTCATCAGTTGTCTGATCAATGCTGCCTTCTGTTGTGAAAAGAAGACCATTGTTGACTAGCTTGTTCAAAACTTCGTTGACGTTCCCCCCTCCGAAACACAGTTCTTTGAGAATTTCAATTAAGGAATCAAGTTCAAACTTTCTCACTGTTTTTGCCATCGAAACATTAAGTATATGGTTTAAGACAGCCATAATACAGACGTCTAGTTGGAAAAATAATGTAAAATTTTTTACCACAATTAATTCTTTGATGTCACGAACATAGTCTATCTTGGATGTAGAAGGCAATTTAGTATCACTGAAATCCCTCAGATTACGAAGCAGGCGTGGTGCTCCCAATGATATCGATTGTTGGACATCTAGCGACACGATGAAATACCACGTCTTTCTCCATGTGTGCTTGAGCCTTTCCGCATTGGTAATTGCCTCCTTATTGAGCTTTCCGTGTGTATTTGCGGTAAGTTGAGGGAAATTATCAGGGTCTCTGTGTAACCCACAACTGAACGCCATTTGAACGATACTTGACAGTAACATTTGATGAGTTTCATTATCCTGACTAGTAGATGTGAAGGTGTTCATCTGTGTGTCGGTTGTTACATCAGGACAACACATTAAGTATTGCTTGTAAAATAATGCAAATTGCACCGTAGTCAGATTAACGCTACTATTGGAAAAGCTGGTAATTTCATCAAACTTGATCAGATATTTCCTAACTAAGTGAACTGCCTCGGATGGGGTCCCAAAATTCATAAGTAATAGTTCTTCTTTAGATTGCGTCACTGTCGAGGTGGTCACATGAGGGACAAAAAAGCGCACGCATTGGGGGCCAAGATCAATATCACAGGCATTCTGTGGTAGCGATAACCAAGTGATTCTCAAAATGATCACCAGTATTCCTAATATACAGCAATCTGAGGGTTTTGTCAGTTTCAATGTCATGACATCATCTTTGGTTTGAATTATTTGAGCAGTTTGGCTCTTGAAACTCTGTTCATCTAGTATGGGGATTACTGGATAGATGTATTTGAAAAACTTCTCCAGTAATAATGCTATTATTCTCTTTGGTGGTAAGAGTTTGCACAACCGTGCGATGGCTTGCTCTTGTGTAATATGTTCTGGTATGTGTGGTACACTACTAGGAGGTGGAGGTGTTGAATCATGTATAACAGGGCACTTGGAAGTTAATTTATCAAATGAAGGAAGCGAGGTTGTATGAGGGATAACCGGGCAACCTGTACTTGATCCATTTACACCCGTGCTATGGTTAACAGGACATTTTGATTCAACATCAAAGCTTCCACTCTGAGTGATTGGTACCTCCCGTTGGCCGTGGTCCACTGGACATTTTGATTCAGACTTTCCATGACTAACAGGGCACTTTCGCTCTTCCAGCTGGGCGTGATTTACCGGACATTTCCGTTCTTCTGATTGACCATGGTTAATAGGGCATTTGCCTGTCTCTCTGGGACCAGATTGAGTCTCCATGAGGTTGGCGTTTCCTTTAGCTTCCATCAAAGCCTGGTGATCCACTGGACATTTTCTCATGCCGTTACCTTCTCCGTTCTTCGTCGGTACGCCGGGACCGCGAGGTACGGATCCCCTGAGCCCTCCGCCTGCTTGATGCACGACGGGACATCTCCCTGTCGAGACGCCGCCACCCGATGATCTCCTTTTCTGAGAGTACCATTCAGAAAGCTTTTCTCTTAAAGTGAAGATATGCGACCACAGTAATTTCAGGTATGGATCTCCCTTCATGATGGCAAGCCAGTGAGTCGCACCCAAATGCACAGTCCCGTTGTTTTTTAAGTGCAACATGTCAAACTGTCTTGTAAGGTCTAGCTCGTCGTTATCGTAATTATTTTGCTGCGCGAGCTTGGGCTCATCCAATACAGCAGTATTGCTATCTGGGGTGTTATTGCTCACAGAGTGTATTTTCGATAGCGTCTCCTCTAGCGATTTCACGCGTTCTCGCAGCTGTTTTAGCTCGGCTTCTTTTGAAAGCTCCTTCTCGGCCTCCTCTGCCCACGTCTGCTCCATATAGTGGCACAAGTGTGCCACGCCAGTCTTGCTACACTGCTGACAATGTGGTCTTGTCTTATCACACTTTACCTTACGTTTCCGACATATAGTACAACTCAAAGGAACCCTGTTCCTCTTTCTTTTAACCTGTGATGCCATACGCTGCTCTATGATGATGCTGCTCCTTTTCTCCTCACGTCAGAATCCTCCTATGTGAAGATTATCGCTCCAGTACTGCCTAGCCGTCGCTCTGGGGGTTGCAATACTTTTATATTTGCAAAGAGTCGTTTGTTATAACAACCCACTCATTGATCGACTCTTCACTCGTTTAACTTTTCAACTTCGTTGGGTGCCAACATCACCCGATTCGTGCTTCGGTCTGCAGTAACGACGCACGGCAGAACAAAATTCATCGACACATATTCGTAGAGTTGGCAGTAGTTTTACGGGCGCAATCGCTAAACGAGAGCACACCCGTTCGTGTTGAAAATGGTTACGAGTGGGGAGTATTGAGAGCATTAGTTTGTAAGCATTACACGTGACATATCGTTCTCTGACGTTTACTCTGGATTGGAAATCGGAAATTGGTTATTACAACAGAAAAAAAAGTGAAAAGTTAAAGATGAATGCAGCCACGAAAGGCACCAAAGGTTCGGTAAGATGAATCGGGTTATTGCAGATTCGCAGGTGAAGAACTACTTTCTTAAAGCTTCGAGAACAGCGCTTCTCGAATACATTGGTGGGCTATGCCAGGCCCTACAGAGATATACGTTGAACCCGGACATCATTCCTCCCCGGATTGTGCAGACAACACCCGACGGTACGACATTGCACATGTTCATGCCTGTTATCGATGACGTTTTTAGTGGTGTTAAGACACTGGGGTACAACGCGAGCAGCGGCGAGGGGTTTACGGGCGTAGTGAACGTGACTGACTCGCATTCGGGGAGCCTCGTTGGAGTGGTGATGGCCAAGCAGCTCACGGCGGTGAGAACTGCAATGACCAGCTGCATTGGGCTTGTGGACCAAATCAAGAGATTCGGCAGCCATGTTGAAATTACAGCTTTCGGTACGGGTTTGCAGGTGTTCTGGCACGTCGTTCTGGCTTATAGGCTTTTGGAGGCGAGATCTGTGACGATAAATGTGGTTTACCGCTCTGCGCCCATGGATGTTGCATCCTTGCAAAGCCTCTTGCCGAATGCGAACTTTGTGCAGGTGCAATTAGATGACAAGAATGCCATTTCAGAAGCGGTGTCGCATAGCGACGTCATTTTCGGCTGTGTACCCTCGCAACAACCAGCCTTGCTGTTGCGAGACCTCGAGAAAAGTAATAGGCCTTCGTTTACCTACGTTTCTCTGATCGGTAGTTACAAGCCGCACATGCACGAGTGTGACGGTGCATTGATTGAGCGTTTTCAAGCGCAACACGCTAAGATTATTGTGGACTCCAAGGAGCACACGTTGCTCGAGGCTGGAGAGCTGATTGACGCGCAGGTTGCCCCATCGGAACTAGTTGAGGTGGGTGAACTTGGGGCAGATTCGAAGATCACGATGAAATGTGAAAACGGCAAACAAGTGAATCTTTGTAAGATCGTCGGACTATCAATTATGGATATAAGTGTTGCTAAGATTTTGTTGGCAAACTTGAGCGCTTGAATATCGTATGAAGTCCAATTGTTACCGAAGTTTTGCATTGGAAAACCCTAGTGACTGTTTTTATAGACACCATTTTAAATATTCATCAGATTGCTGAAATTAGTTAGTGTTTCGGACTGCCAAGGCAGACTTTGGTGTGATCAATAACGTAATCGTGTAGTGTTTTCTATTGCGTTTATATTTTTTGAACTATAAGTCTAAAACTATTTCTGAAAATTTAATTTTTCAATATTACAAACAATAAGCAAATGCTTCTTTGACACCTATCGAAACATCGGGCGAAATGGACCTGCCCACCGCCCTCCGTGCTATCTCGACTCTCGAGAAACAGCTCGAGGAATTGGAAAGTACAAGCAATGAATACGAGCTCGAACTCGAGGCAACAGTCGAACGTCTTAAGGTTGAACTACAGAAAGCTAAGGATGAAAAGAATTCGGTACAATCTTCAAATGTAGCAGCCAACAATATCACAAAGCTCGAGATTCGTATAGATGAACTAGAGAATGAGAATCGTGCCTTGAAATCTCAAGTTGAGTCTTTACGAAGAGAGAACGACTCAATACTAGAGGAGAACGTGCTACTGCAACACGAAGTGAACGACATGACGGAACTTATCCATCAAACGCAAGTTATACCGCAAAAAAGTATTAAAGAGGCACCTCACGGAGAAAATATCCGAGTTAGCAGCAATGGCTCATCTCTTCGCATTACATCCCGTCACACAGCTGATAGCAGCAAGATAACACATTTGAGCAGCACCACTGTTTTGGCTAAAACAAATTATAAATGAATAGATAAAATTCTATTTACACGCTTGAGGCCTTCTGGAAATGTCTTCTCCACCACAAAGCAATATCATAAAAAACCAGTTGGTTTTTTCTCCTTTCATATTCCCACCAGGCGTGAATTTCACAGAGAATCCACTGTAAGGACCATTTAACATGATCATGACTGATTTTTTGACGAGATTCATCATAGACGGTACGCGCGCAATATTGACTCAAGATCAAAAAAGTGCGCTCCGGTCCAAGAGGATTGTTTAAGCATTCATCCAAGTGCCTTGTAAGATCATTAGTTTTCAAAATCAAAAGCACTATTCTGGGAACTTTTGAGAGGATTCCCATGAGGTCTACGAAAAGTGTCCCTTGGGTTAAAGCCTTTGTCATAACTCTTATTTCCTCATCCGATCGAGGTTTCGTAATGTCAGGAGACAGGGCTGCATCAATACTGCGCCCAGTAATCGCTGCTGCAAACAGGGGAAACTGCTCCTCCTTTATGTTCGCAAATTTCATAGCATATTTTTTCATGTTTGCTTCGTCATTGTCCAGTAAGGCTAACCAGAACTTGGCGTAGTTTCTTCTCGTTTCAGTGGTTGGGTATCTGTATAAACCATGATCATAGAGAATTATCTCAAAATTATGATGGCCTCTTGCTTTGGGCAAATACCTAATGGCTAAATTACCTCCATGGGGGTCACAATGTATCCCTACATTAGGAGTGAAAATCATGTTGTTGAAAATATGGGACAGGCATGAAGAGACTTCTGCTCGAGAAATGTGATTTTCATCCAAGTAATGAGGGTCATCCAATCTATGGCCCTCGAGATATTCCATGACTAGAATTCTTTTATTCGCAGATACAACTTTAGGAATCCTAAGCGCCGTTTCTTTCAAATAGCTTGAAAAATACTCTGCTGTGTGCTTGGAGTTTTCTGCTTCTTTTGTAAAATCCAACTCTACATAAATCGAATTCTGCAGTTCGTCACTGAGCCAAGTCAATGGATAATCAGGAAATACAAAGTCCAACACGTTGAATACCGTCTGCGTCATAAGTACGTCTATTGGTACAAACTCCTTCAGTGAAGGATGTTGGCATTTCACCGCAACCCTCTCGCCAGTTGATCTTAGTGTTGCAGTATGAACTTGAGCCAACGATGCAACTCCGATGGGTTCTGGGTCGAATTTAATAAACATGTCTTTCAAATCCACCTTTAGATCTTGTCTAAACATATCGTTAATCTCTTCAAGCGTTGACTGAGGGCATTTATCTTGCAGTGGTATCATTGTATCTGTCCATTCAACCGGGAGGAGGTAAGTTAATGCTCCTATGTGCTGTCCCAGTTTGATGTAAATTCCCCCATTGGACTCAAGTGCTCGAAGAGTAATGTCAGCGCATAGCTTATGACACTTTTTCAGGGCTTCGCGACGATTGAGTTCTGTATCATAATGACCGTCCAAAGTCTTCTGATAGTGGTATAAACACCGCACAGTCGCTTGGGTTACGACACCAATTCTGCGCCCAGTCATAGCAATATGCCTCATCAAACTATGCGCCGTATCATTTGTGTAATAAAGAGTGGTTCCAGTTACAGCTGTGGCTAAGAGTACCCTTTTCCATGTGATTAATCGTCTCGTTTGTGGTGTTAGTTTAACGGCGGACGACGAATAGTTACTCAAGAAAACCTTCGATCCAGATCGAAAGCCCCTAGTAGCATGCGCCGCATGATTTAATGGAGAAAACATCTGTACTCCTACTAGTGCTAGCTCTTATATTTGTGAGTATCCGGAAAAAATTTCCGTGAGTTGCCCCGTTTGACTATTGAACTTTACTCTTCAAACGCTCTCCACGAAACGACCGGCAAGATGGTGCCATAAGTGTATTAAGTGTGGCTAGTGAAGCAGTAGTATAATATTAATGTCCTATTTACGGCATGATGATATGCATTGATTGGCGAAATCAGATCAATAAAATTAAAGAGTCAATTAAAAGAGTTGTAACCAGTAAAGGGACACTTGGCCGCCAAAACTCGTAATATTTGGCATTGTTGTTTTGGCTCACTGGTTACTTATAAATAAATATGAACAAAAATATCTTCGTATCATCTATTCAGGGACCGGAGGATAACTCACTGGGTACTTTTCGTCCGTTTCAATGGTTTTCGCATTTCTACTGGATAAAAAGGTATTCCAGAAGATCGCCACGAAGTTCACAGCCAACAATCTGTGCTGCACTGGTACTATAGAAAAGTTAAAGACTTGAAACAATGGCCACACGGCCCAGTTGGTGAGCAAAATATTCCACCAGTTTTGCTGAATTTTGACCTTTGCATCCTCCAGCGACTTTCCCTCCATCAATGTAATGGTACCAAAGTAAAAAGGAATCACTGATGGTGCAAAAAATAGCTGATCTGTACCAACTCTCAATATCAAGTTACTCCAGTGATTGTTTGGCCTGCCCTTGAACTTAACTTTCCCATTCAAAGTCTTAAACCACTTATCGCCGATGAACGAAAAGATCAAAGACCCGTAAGTCACAGCTCTGACTGTGCGTGCTACATCGTACTTCGTATCCTTCTTGCTGTTTGGGAACCAGATTTGTGCAACCGCATCACCAATCCCAAAGAGCGACCCCGTCATGACCGCATTTGTTGTCTTGGGGTATTTCTTCAAAGATTGCGTATAAAATTTCAAAAACGAAGACATCACGAACTGGTGACCAGGGTATAGTGGGTAGTAAGAGGCAGGTGCAAAAAGTTTAAGGAGCTGGTAAAACGGATCGAACTCTGACTTTGTAGTCGATCTTCTCCTCTTCGATTAGGGCATCTTCAACAGAAATTATATTTCGTCCAAAACGATAACAACCAACATGACTCAAAAAAACGCTACTAAGATGACTATTGTGTCACTGTCACAATGAAATGAATTATTAGATTGAAAATATTAATTGACCACAATGAATATACTAGCCACAATAAGCATATAAATTTACAATTAAAGGGCCACAAGAACGATCTCAAAAATTTGCATATAAGGCGGCCGTATTTTCAATGAAGATGCTATAACTCTTCCCTCCTACAAACAAGTTTAAAAGAAAATTTAGAACAAATGTTTGTTGATTACTCAAGCCTTAGCCAATTTACTGAAATCAACACGAATTTCGCCGACAGGTATCAAGACCTCTTATTTATGGAGAACTTAGTCGGTGCAGAAGATAAACTGTACTTTCTCCAGGTTCGCAATGCATGCTTCCCAGCTGTACAAGAACTCCATAAGAAAGATTTCAGGAAGAACATCCACTGGATCGAATACATTTTTGCACTATGTGAATCCATACAACAAATCAAAGATTGTATGGAAGATCTTCTCCAATGTCCCACCTTGTACATGGTTGAATTCGATTTGCCTGGATGTTCTTACGAAGATTCATGTCGCCTATCTCCTCATGATCCGATAAAGAAAAGTATTGTGGAGGTCTATACATACTTAACACATATGCGGAGCAAGGTTACAAATAATCTCAGAAACCTGATCATTGCTCAAAAGCCTTTCCCTCCTTACTCCAATCTGAGCCATACTCAGAGACTACTTTTTGGCGACTATATTGCCAATCAGTTAGAAGCAGTAAGGGCACGAACTGATGTTTTGATCATTCCGAAGACCTTTAGCACCGTTTATATTAACCTAGTTTCTAAAAATGGATCGATCAGATCCGATTTCCACGCCAAGTTTTATAAATGGGGCCCACCCGGTACGGAAAACACCTTGGATACAATTGAAGCTTCCAAATTGAGGGCAGCCCCCATCAGGACTCAGATTATAACGATTTGGAGGGAAGGTTTACCTGAGTCGTCTCTCGATTGCTACTCCGATTATCTGCAGGCGCCAGCAGTTAACAGGCTTAGCGAAGGCGAGACGACAATTATATTGCATGGGATTCAAGAACGCTTAAGGCTACGGAACGAAAAAATGAAAGCCACTTCAAAAACTGGAACTTCAAACCACAATGCTCCTGACAATAATTCGGATGCCGAACCAGCAGATATTTTCGAAAGGTTGTTTGGCTGTAGCGAACGCCCTCAGGATCGCAAATTAAGACGTAAGGAAAAACGTACTCGTGCTTCTAAGCATGAGGAACAGACTAAAGAGACTCTTTGTAATGCGCCGAAAGGTGTACTTAACGAAAGGAATCCAAACGCCTTAAAGATATCTGAGACAGAAGAACTTTTGAGCATTCATAGGTCTTTAAATGATGTATCTGCTATCGAAAGTGAGAAAGGTTTTTGTGAAAACTTCTCAATCCAATCAAAAGACATACACAAGTCTAACCATTGCTTGCATAGTAAATTCGCCGATAATGCTCAGGTAGTTCCTAGCAAAAATCAGATTGATTCAAAAAATATGCCCTATCCTGATGAAGAAGTTATTCCTCTAAAGAGACCGCAAAGTCTTTCCAATAATGTACCTTCCAAGATCAATCCGGCGGTGACTGGAACAATAAATCACGAGCAAATCAATGTTATAGAGAATCATATCAATTCAAAGGGCGGTCCCCCTTTGACACATTCCAACAAGGACGTTGCCATTGAGAGAGGTTTAAACACAGAAAACATTGAACATGAGCAAGAACATTGTGTTCAACTCGAAATCTGCTCAAAAAATGAGTGTCCCGGTGACAAAAGCACAGTTAATCATGAAGGCTTTTCGATGTATGAATTCAGCGAGGTAGCCAAAAATATGGAGCTTATAAAGTCCCATCAAGCTCAAGTTTCTCAGAAAAATGAATCTCTCATAGACGGCGATGTAATCTCTCGTGATACATCTCAAACCTCGTTAAACAAAAAATCCATCCTTAACGAGTGTTCCCATAATAAAAATTCCTGCCGTGAGCAAAGGAATTCGTCTAGTGTTCAAATATACTCGATTGATTTTGATGCTTCTCAGGAAAATGAACTTAGAAGTGACATGCTTTACCTAAATATTTCCCGAACATCTTCTAAAAATGTGGATTCGATGGATTGTATTCCTGACACTAGCAAGGCCACATCTCCAACCATCTCCATGGATGCTCCCTCAATCCACAGCTGCGCGAAATTCAAACATGACGATCTCACTAGTTCAAGAATTGCACCTTCCGCGGGAACTGATATATTTTATCGGAAAAATGCTGCTGGCCATTCAAATGAAGCCTTTCATAGAAATGAGGTTCCAAAGTTTGAATGCACCTCCCCATCTCCTTTAATGAATGCCTTCTTGATAGAAAGTCGCTCAAAAGCGATTAATAATTCTCAGACCCCTCCAAAAGATTCTTCCTTCACGAACGGCTTCTTGCATTTTAGGAAGGGCTCCTCACATTTGGTAGAAGATGCGATGTTTGAATATAATAAAAGCGGACACCCTAATGAATGCCAAACGGCTAAACCGCTTATCTGCCCATCTTTCACTTCAAGCATATGCCCGCCACGTCCCATCGACTTGAATATGTCGAAGTATCAGTATAGTGCCTATCTACCGCAAGCCAATAACTCCAAAAACCCAGAGTTCTCTTTGAACAACCGCTCTAGCAGAAGGCATTCTTCTAGGTTGCGGAAATTTCACATATCCTCTGCCTTTTCATCGCGCACACGATCAACCGTGGAAAACACCAAAATAAGCGAAGAATTAGATTACGATGAGTTAGACCCGTTATTATCAACAATTTCCTTTAGAAAATTTCTCAAGCTGAAATTTAGAAAAATGAGAAAAGACATGCATTATTACTCTGATGTTGCCAAATACTGCATGCACGACTTTCGTGAAAATCCTTATGTAATAGACTAGTTTTATTAAACAAAAACCAAAAAAAAAATTGCTTTAAACATTACAACGTGTATATGTTACACTGAATCTCTATTTAAGATCCACGTCATCACCGTAAACACTTGATATTGGAAAAAATAAGTCAAAATTATCAAAGCTTGAAAATGTACCGATATCTGCATCGGCAACAGCATTTGTGTCTTTGTTAAGTGGATTGTCCCTAGGGGAATCACTTCTAGAGACATCATAAGTATTACCAATGCTCTTTTGAGCATGCTGGTCATTGATTGTAGCTTGTCGGCTAGTTAACTGTTGTAACTGCTGAATGACATGCTCTTGTAACAACGCCTGGTTGTTAAAAAGCTCATCTAAGCCCACATTTCCATTACTTATTTCATCATTTACGATCTTTTCTGCGTTTTCGGCCTGCTCTTCATAGCCGCCATTATCAGTTCTAATCCCAAGCTGACTGTTAGGCTTTCCCCGCAACTCGACATTTTGATGGCGAGACGTAAAGTTGTTAGAGGGGGAAGGAGTCCAGTCTGCATTTCCATTGGCGTTACGAAGCATCGTGCTATACCAGAATGCATCAACTTCGTCCAATGTTTTCCGATCATTGGGACCCTCAATATCATCTGTCGTTCCTACCGTCGCAGAGTTCACGTCACTTCCCGAAAGGGTGCTCTGAGGAGAATTACTATACGAAACGTCATTTGGCCCAAAATTCTGGCTTCTAGAGCGTACTTCAGAAAGTCCGGGGCTCTTCTTACTATTTCTTGAAGATATTGATGATTTCTTCGGCTTACCGCCATTGCGTTTCTTCCTGAACTCGTTTGTTCTATATTCCCGAGCTACTCTTGCCTCTTCTTCTTTAATGTAAGGCGCGAATGCATCCCATTTCGTTGAGCTGAGAATGGACAGAATTTCACCAAAATCAGAGAGCTCAGCAAACAACAGTGTATTGAATTTGGGAATGGCATACAAAGGATTTAATGCATCCTGCAGAAGGGGCTCCCCGGTTTCTAAGTCTCTCCCAGATAGTTTTACGTGTTGCTGGTTCATTTTGGAGTTCAAATCAAAAAGGTTATTAACTTGATTGTTCAATAGTTTATAAAGATAAGGCCTTCCTTTGAAAAGCTTCCATGCATAGAAATAAGTGCCACTCAATAGTTGATTTATACTTGCAAAATTTGCAAATTTATCAAGCGCAATCTTTATTATTAGATCTATCATTTTGGGCAGACTCTTTATAATTTCGGGATGTCTAAACAAATTGTGCTTTTCTTCTTTATTCAAATAATTAAACTTGAGATGCTCCAATCTTGATACCAAACCTAACATGATGACAGAATACCTAGATATGAACAAACAACAGCTCTGGGAGATAATCATCTTCGAATTATGACCAAAAATTACTTCGAAGACATCTTTTTGCGCCGTTGTAACTTTGCTATAATACAGGAGAATGAGTACAGGCTCAACTTCAGCGTAAATATTCAGTAATTTTTTGAGATAAAAAAAAGACATCTTTGGATCGTATGTTTTGGAATCTTCAGCCACCAGTTTGTCCACATGCAAATACAGATGAAAATAAACCATTATCAGAAATGAAATTGTTTCCATATAAGTTTTGAAGTTGTTACACTTGTGTATTGACTCCTCAATAGTGGTGCAAGGTTGAGAAATAATTGTCTTGAGATCGTCACCAAAGTTCTCCCTGAGGCAATCTTCGACTTCATCGATGGCTTTCTGAACAGCTTGACAGCTAACTTTGGATCTCTTATTAACAACAATTTTCAGTAGGGTGCGGCAATACAAAGATAGATTGAAGTTCTTAGTAAAGCAACTTATGGACGCATTCTCAACCTTAGCATCCGTGACATAGCTAGGATACTCTCCATTTGCGTCGACATCGATGGACGGAAGCTTTGTGTTGAAAGAATCCCCATCAATAATTGTCGTGTTACCACTATTCATTGCTTCATACTCATCCAAAAAGTAGATAATATACCAGCATTTCCTCCAAGCCTGGAGATACCATGGCGATTGAGATAATTGATATGAAGTCTCTGCTTCTGTATTTAAACCAATAGAAGTTGCTATGCGCACTAGTAATCCTGTAAATGGTTCTGTATCCCCTCCATCAACAACGTCGCCCTCCTCAGGGGCATATCTTCTATAGATACGTAACAGGAGTGCACAATGCAAGACGGGCAGAACTCCTTTTCTCAGCATTTTGAATAGATTCAGACACATCTGCGCCACGTTTATGAATTCAATACCGATCGGATGCGACAAAACGTACCGCTCTTCGTCTGTCGAGCAGTTTTCAAGTTTATCGGGATACATCAAAAATGAAAGTCTTAGAACTATGAGTAAGCAGCCAACATTGGAAAACCCAAATCTCTTTAAAATAGTGACTTTTGGCTGTACTTCTATATCTCTTCGTTCTCCGATGAAGTTTGTCATTGTATCACGAAACCAGTCCTCATTCAAAACAGGATAAAGAGCATATAGTGGAGACTTGAAAAAGTTATCAATATGGATCCAGATAAGCTTATCAGTCGGAATAATGCTTTGAATAATTGAGAGTACAGTCCATTCAGAGCTAGGACTACTTGATGCAAATTGACCGAAAAGCATTTCCGGAACTCTCTGATTTGCGAGCAGCTTCTTCTGCTGTTCCAACTGTTGCTGCTGCAATGTAGATAGCAGGGTCTGAAGTTTTCTCCATATCGCAAGATCACCGTTTTGATTGGCAGGGGTGCTACTCGTTTCGTTTTCTAAAGACGATTTCATCTTGTTCTCCTGATTTAAAAGATTTACGACGGATAATGGATTATTTGTGATATCTTGCCTATGATCTATTGATCCCATTTCATCTAACCCTTCGTTCTCCATAAGCTTTTTCTTGAACCTGAGCTCAACATTATCGCCAATAGTTGAAAAATGTGAACTGGACTTATTCACTGAGTCATCTGCATCTTCAGAGTCTTCAGCATTCTCAGCATCCCCTGTTGAATTTTTGTCCCCATGCGCCTTACTATTACTGGGAGCATCTTCCTTGTCCGATTTATTATCCTGCGTGCCATCGGAGCTACCTTCTCCTTTTGCTGCGGCCGTTGAGCTATAAATTAGTTGATAGGCAATTTCGTCTTGTGAGTATTTAATGTACGGGTACTTGCGATGTGCCTCTGACTTGTTTTTCATTCCTTCATCATGTGTTTGAAATCTCAGCTTCCTTAGCAGTGTAATGAACACATAGAGAAATGGATCTCGCCTAGAAAGGGCTATGAAGTGCAAAGGTCCAGCAAATGCTAATCTACCCGCCCTCACTTCGATAGCTCCATAGTCTTCATTGAAGCCCATAACTCCAAATTTTGCAAGCGAATTCGAGTCACCATTTACCTTTACACTTGGGCTGGTATTTTGATCTGCTGTGGGAGGAGGTGATTCCTGTAGTAAGACCTCTAATGAATGTAGCTTGTTCTTCAAGAAATCCAGCTCCTGGACCACATTGCTTTTCGGCACAGGCTGTTTCTTAGTGCCTGAGGTTTTAGAAACTTTGTCACCTGAACCAGCACTATCATGCTGCTGTTCGTAAACCATGTGAAAGAACCGTATATTTCCGCGATCTTCATACTTGCACTCCCCCGTAGATTGATGCTTAATGCATGCAAGACACACAGGCTTTATCTTGTCACACTTAACTTTTCTGCGTCGACATACCAAGCAAGACTTACCAAGCTTCTTTCTAGTATCTGTTCCCATTGGAGCCAGTCTTTGGTGCGTCGCGTTTAGTTGGTGATGGCCATATGAGATTTTCAGGTTTACTAGAGGGAAGGGAAATTATATTTCAAAAACTATCGTCGAAAATGAAAGCTGCGATAAAGTCTAATGCGACAAATAACCTTTACCATAAATACGACCTGATATATAATTTCGCTATATGCAAATAAAAACCGATTTAGTTTAGTCCCTCAAGGAACTATAATAACAACTTCATATTAGAAGTTATTTCTTTACTACCGTTTTGCCATCTCCCTTTAGACCAAAAAAGACGATATCACCGAGTTTGGTTTCGGTCATTAGATCTAAAGTTCCTTCCACGAAGACCTGAGCCTGTCCACGAATAAGAATTTCATTGAGGCATTTCGTCAGTTGGAGGCGATTCACAATTTCGACCTCCTCATTGGCTATGTCAAATGATACTTGCAACTGGTTTTTAGAACGATCGTCACTGGGCAACATATCTGACTTAGCATCCTTCCACACGTTGATAGGTACTGTTAGGAAATGACGATCCTCGTGATAAAGATTCGTATAGCCTTTAATTTTTTTTATTGATATGCTCTCAGCACCAGAACCAGATGATGTGTAATAAGGTATATTGACAATGCCAATGACTTTACCTAAAACCGCGAGCTCCTTCTCTCCACGTTTTCCTTTTACCCACTTCAGTTTTAATCCATCGACAGAAACCTGTTCGATGAGCTCGTCTGAATTTACAGTCAAATTAGCATCTACGGGAAACTGAACCATAGGCAGAAAATCATTAATTAGGTCGATGGGGAAAACAGTGTTATTGATGTATTGTGCATTTTGGGCCTGTACTTCAAATGAGACTAATTCCGTCCCATTGAATATTTTACCCAGCAGCAAATTAATTGGCGTGATGACATTTTCTTCATCCGAAGAGCACACTTGATAAAGCAGTTGATCAGGTAAAGAACTCCGCACTTGGCCATGAATTGACGTGAAGAAAACTCCTTCGTTGGGAAAATCGTTCATGTTAATTGCTGAGGTCTGAAATGAGGCATGCTCTAAGCTGATGGAGTATTCGGCATTGCAGTCTGGCAAGTTTATTTTCCATACAGTTGGTGGTAACACACAATTTGCGGGAAGTTCTATTGTATCATCTCTTTCGGCTATGGAGCACGAGATGTCAACCTTGAGATCGAATCCATCTGTACTATCTCTGAATTCGAAGCTCTCAACTTGAAAGGGTTCAGTAATGCGAATGAAGGAACGCCTAAGACGATCGTAGGACTTCTCCCAATTAATGAGATCGTCCCACTCAAATCTGCGTAGTTTAATGTTGCCAATTGGAAGTTTCCAATTTTTCCAAAGAGGTTTTGATAAATCTACGTCGAGGTCAGACCAGATTCTAATTTCTTTGTATTTTTTCTTCCAGATTTTTAATATTACTGAAGCAAGGTTTTTAATCTTCGGTTGAACGAGTACCGGAATATCCAACTCTGTCACCACTTTATCTCTTAGATCAACGCAAATGCGAGAAGGAACACTTGCAAAGCCCAGAAGTTCGGAGGATGTTGAGTTATCGTTGTATGTGGTCATGTTCTTTAAATTGAAACAAACAGTTTTCATTACAGATTGTCCAATTGCACTCAGTAAACGAGCTTGCTTTTGGGAGAGTTCTGAACTCGAAGTTGATTCGTAGTCCATCCAAACACCGACCCGCAGTCTCATCTTAAGTATCTTTATCTCATCAGGACTGTCCGACTCGCCGCCATCTCCAGGATCATCCAGACGATCACCTCCATCAGAGTACCATCCATCGAAGGAGATGCCACGGACTTCAACATTCGTAGCATCCTCAAAATAATGCTCAATAGCATCAGAAGAGGGTGAATTATTCCAGATATAAGTTAAAAGGTACAGTATACATCCAGCCAGAATTGCCATCAATACGAAACCTTTTTTCCGTGAACATCCTCTTTTGTCAGGCACTTGTGGTTGAGCTTCCAAAGCATTATAACGGACTATTTCTTCTCTCAGAGGCTGCCGCTCCAAATCAGCATCAGTAGTTCTCGACATTCCAATTACTGTCCTCTTCCTGCGGTTAATCTGTTAGACTGTACCAAGCGTCTAGAAAGTCCCTTGCCCATCGCTAAAAGCTAAGTGGGCGGGTTGTCTGAAATCGCTATATACGTCACTAATTAGAGCAATGTTTAGGAAAGGGTTCTCTCACTTGATCGTAAACTTGGTTATTCTACTGATTCCGAGATTATTTATCGTCATTAGAGAATCGCTTTGAATTGGTGCCGCTTTCAGTTTTGTAGTGTGTGTTATATCCCATTGAAAGACTAAGTCAAAAAAATTTTCGTTAGCCATCTCATCAAAGGAACGTTGATAAACTTTTATATATTCAATTCTAAATGCTCTATTTGATCGGATTGGGACTTTCATACAAATCTGATATCACAGTGCGTGGGCTTGAGGCCATCAAAAAATGCAACCGTGTGTATCTGGAACATTATACCAGCATTTTAATGGCTGCCACTCAAGAAGAACTTGAAGAGTTTTATGGAAAATCTATCGTGCTTGCTGACAGAGAATTGGTTGAAAGCGGTTGCGAAGACATTCTACGTGATGCGGACAAAGAAGATGTGGCTTTCTTAGTAGTCGGCGATCCCTTTGGTGCTACTACTCACACCGACCTGGTTTTGCGTGCTAAAAAGCAGGGCATTCCAGTTGATGTCATTCATAATGCCTCCATCATGAATGCGGTTGGAAGTTGTGGCCTTCAATTGTATAACTTTGGTCAAACCGTCTCTATGGTGTTCTTCACTGACAGCTGGAGACCCGATTCATGGTATGACAAGATTTGGGAGAACCGTAAGATTGGATTGCATACTCTTGTTTTGTTGGACATCAAAGTTAAGGAACAAAGCTTGGAAAACATGGCTCGTGGACGTCTTATCTACGAACCTCCACGCTACATGTCCATATCGCAATGCTGCGAGCAGCTGCTGGAAATTGAGGAGAACAGAGGTACAAAAGCCTACACTCCTGACACACCTGCTGTTGCTATTAGCAGACTGGGGTCTGCACAACAGGCTTTTAAATCAGGTACCATTGCGGAATTGGCCAATTATGATTCTGGTGAACCACTTCACTCTCTAGTGATATTGGGAAGACAATGCCATGAATTAGAGCTGGAGTATTTGATGGAATTCGCTGACGACAAACAAAAATTGAGACAAGACGTTATAAAAGATCAGGAATACTTTAAACCAGCCCCATGGGTACCAACTGAAGAAGATGACAACTGATCAGAGCGTAAGTATATTGATATATAAATAAAGGCACTATTGTGTTTTTGTAATGTTTTACGAAACGGAACAATTAATATATCGTTCCTCTTTGAAGATTTAGAATATAACACCGAGCCAAGGGTTGAGAATAAGATAGCCATGACGGACATCAAGTATATGTTATTGGTCTCGCGCCAGGGAAAATCGCGGCTTATGAAGTGGTATAGCGTATACACTGCAAAAGAAAAGGCAAAAATCATCAGAGAACTCACCACCGCGGTGCTTTCACGTAAACCTAAGATGTGTAATATATTAGAATACCAGGACCACAAAGTCGTATACAAAAGATATGCTAGTCTTTATTTCATCTGTGGGATCAATGCGGACACGGATAATGAACTTTTGACGCTGGAAATTATTCATAGGTTTGTCGAGACAATGGATGCGTATTTCAACAACGTTTGCGAATTGGACATAATCTTCAACTTCAACAAGGCATATAATATTTTGGACGAAGTGCTAATGTGTGATGGATCAATTACTGAAACGAGTAAACAAGACATTTTGAGACACATAGCTACCATGGACACCTTAGAAACAAGTGATAATCTGAACAAGGTTTTGAGTTAACGTACTGTAAATGTGAAATAACCTCGGGCACAATGCTTTGGGTAATGAACTATATAACAGCTTGCATAATAGGTCGTCCAAAACGTACATAAATTTGGGTTAAACTCAATTTATTACCTAAAACGATTCAATTCGATTATTGAACTTGTGCAAAAATGAGTGTCAGCACGGTATCATCACCACTTTGTTATAGGTCTTTCAATCACAAAGTATCTAAAATGTTTAATATGCCATAAAAGGGTTCCTGTTGATGAGAAGAACGTATTCCTGCCAATATAACGAGTCAACTCACAGTCCAAGTGATTATGTTATTTCTATATGGAAATTCTCTGCGGCTTCTTGTTGTTACTATTTTTGTCTATTTGAACAAAAGCTTCTCAAAGTCTGGGTCACCCATGGCACCTACACCTTTCTTATTATCCGTTGAGATCCCTATTGACACCGATCTTATCTCGTTGTACAATATACCAAAAACATAAGGTGTGTCGTCAAATTCTTCCATATCATTGGCCAGTGCACGGTACATCACATTACTCTTACTACATGGATGTTTTTCTTTGTACAGTTGAATAAATCCCCTAATAAAATGCTGTTTATTCTTCTTGTTAAGTTCTGACCAATTCTTATACTGCCATAGTTGTGAGGAATGGAAATGCTTACTCTGCACTGATAACTTAACTCTCGAGCATTTTGCGATGTTGATACGCTTAATCATTGTAAGTGATATACGACCTTGTTATTACAACAGTAAGAAACGGCCCAAAGATCTGTCTACCTCTTAAAGGTTGAGATGCCAATTAGAATCAAGCGTCGGGATAATTTGAATGACATGTCTTGTGACATAGATAGGTTTTTGATCTCTTTATGGAAACCAATAATAGTATGCCATTTTAGTATAGTGGCTAGTACACATCGTTGTGGCCGATGAAACCCTGGTTCGATTCCAGGAAATGGCATTTATTTTTATTTTTCGGCTGTATTACGTTCTACAAAAAAATGATCCATGCGACAGATGACGGATAATATAAACGTACTGACACGATATCCCCTTTTACATATAGTTGTATTTCGTTCCAACAGTATTTCGTTCCAACAAAATCCTTTATCTTATAACTATTTAACATAGTGCACCTTACCAGGTTATGTTGGTGTTGGAACGAAATACAACTATCGACCATCGACTAGTATTCGTGTTACTAGTATATTATCATACACGGTGTTTTAAGATGACATAAAGAATGAGAAACAGTCATCGAAATTAGTGGAAGCTGAAGCGCAAGGATTGATAATATAATAGGATAATGAATGAAAATGTATAAAAGGAACAGAAAGAGTAAGAATATTTGTAAGTAGAATTATTGACTCTTCTTTCTGGATTCTTAGAAAGATGAGGAGAACTTCTAGTATAACCATATACCAATAATTATAGCCTTAATCAAAAATGGAATCCCAACATTTAGCTCAATATTCACCCCATTCTCAGTTGGAACGAAATACAACTATCGACCATCGACTAGTATTCGTTTTACTAGTATATTATCATACACGGTGTTTTAAGATGACATAAAGAATGAGAAGCAGTCATCGAAATTAGTGGAAGCTGAAGCGCAAGGATTGATAATGTAATAGGATAATGAATGAATGAAAATGTATAAAAGGAACGGAAAGAGTAAGAACATTTGTAAGTAGAATTATTGACTCTTCTTTCTGGATTCTTAGAAAGAAGAGGAGAACTTCTAGTATAACCATATATCAATAATTATAGCCTTAATCAAAAATGGAATCCCAACATTTAGCTCAATATTCACAAATTTCTCAGGTTAGTACTCCCTTTGGGGGGTTAGTCATCTTACTTTGGCCTTGCTACAAAAGATAAGTGGTTCTGGAAACTAAATAACAAGCGGTTGTTTGGCCGAGCGGTCTAAGGCGCCTGATTCAAGAGTCACTCTTAACGTCCACAGGGCGGAGCACTCAGGTATCGTAAGATGCAAGAGTTCGAATCTCTTAGCAACCATTATTTTTCAATTATGAAACGTCTTCAACGTTTGCGACTGATTGTGTTGAGTCTGTGAATTATACCGAATTTCTTACTTCTCTGTTAAAACTGCACACTAGTAACTAGACTATACACCCAAATCAGTTTTTTCCTACATTTGCAACGAAAGGTTATGAGAATCTACTGTTGAAAAAAACAGTTCCAAATATGCTTTTTGGATACGCTTTCGTCCCCTACGTTATTGAACTCGTACTCATCGTCATCTGAGTCACTATCATCACTAGGTGAGCTTTGTGTGTTATCTGATGTTTCGACCTTATTTTTATTCTTTCTACTTTGCGCTTTTTTTTCATCAAGAACACATTTATACTTGAGGATATTCTGTTCGACTGTATTACGTACCACAAAATTCCAAACATAGGTATCATGTGTCTGACCAATCCTGTGTATTCTGTTGATTGCCTGGGCTTCATCACCACTATTGATAATGGGATCTAGTATGAAAACATGAGTGGCATTCACAAGTGTTAGACCTGTCGCCTGCTTTCTAACGTTTAGAAGCAGACATGTGATGTCGGGATTCTTTTTGTATTTTTCAATAGCTGTAGATATTTTTCCTGATGTGGTCGCGTTGACATGTTTGATTGAATGATGATTAAGCACTTTGGAAAGGATTTCTAAAAAGTCAGCGTACTGAGAATAGATAATAATCTGCGGGGGTTTCGAATGTGGCTCATCATTATCTCCTTCTTGATGATTGATTTTCAAATATAAAATTAATTTCACAACAAAATCGATTTTTGTTCCGTAGCTCTCTTTTATTGCAAGCTGATGAATTTTCTCGAGATGAGGATATCTTTGATATTTGCGCAAAAATAAATCATCCTCTACATGCATCTCATCCGAAGCAACTTGATTTGAATTTTTTTTGGATTGCTGATCATTCCCTTCCTCATCTGAAGCGCTATTTTGCTCATCTTGAAACTTGAAAGTATAAACATCGGAAAAAGTTGTTTCCATCTTGCATAATGGGCATGCCATTTTCGTTTTCAGCCAGCTGTGAATACAACTCTTACAAAAGAAGTGACCACACTTTATAATGGAACCCATGTAAATTTCACTAAAACATATTGTGCAGTTAAATCTTTTCTTGTGGTCAATGTTCTCCTTCAACTTCGTCAAAGTCTCTAAGTACTTTATTCTGGACTGAAGATTATTTATCTTCTTCGTATTCTTATGGAACTGGTTGTCATCTTTTGTGTTGCGAAGTATGGTAGATCTAGCATGGGGCTCAAGTTGAACAAGAGATACAAGCGAGTCTGAAATTTTTTGCAAGTAACTGAAGTAGGCAGTCTTGGCATTGTAGATGTCGTTGTACTTTTTGAGTAAATCCCTAAATCTTTTATTTTCTTTCTTAACACGAGGAATTTCCCTTTCAAATCCTAATAGGTATTGTTCAAATCCTTCTTCCTTCGCTTCCGATGATGAAGTCAAGCTTTTGACTATGCTTACATTTTTTAATTCAGTAAATACTTGTCTTAAAGGCAATCCCTCAACAAGACAAAGATCAGAAACAAGACCTATATGGTAGTCAGAGAAAGTTTGAGTGTTTTTGAATAAATTCGGTGATATTTTAATCTCCTCATCAGCAATCGCGACCTCTTCTCTATTGTCCAGAATTCTACTCAAGCAATCAAGAATAGCAAATATCTTATCTTGGTCGTTGATCGAGTTTTCATATTCGAGAGCCTTTTCATCTTGGTTTTCTTCATCATATTCTCTTATTATGGGTTTATATGCGAGACTTCGTAGCTTTTCCAACAGGTCATTAAACTGATCGGCTTGTATATTCAAATTGTTGAACAGTGAATTTAATTGCTTGAAACACATAGCCACATTCATATTGTTGGAATAATCCTGATCTTGCAAATCATCTATTTTCTTCAGAACACAGTTTACATCAGGATTTTCTGTCTTTGAAAATGCATTCTTAACAGCTAATATCTCCATGTTTACTTTTTCAATTCGATCAGACAGTATTTCCTTCCTCAAGGACTCTGCAGCAGCATAGTTTTCTTGCTCTAGATTCTGATATTTTTCGATCTCCCGCATTTGATTCTCTGTATATACATCAGTGAATGCCTTGGGCTTGTGTTCGATTTCTTTCAAAGCCATTTTTTCATTCATCTCATCTACCAATTCGAGCTTCTTCGAACCTAGGAAATAATAAGCTGTAGCAACGAAAAAATAACACTGGTGAAGTAAATCAAGATACAGCTTGGCTCGCGGGACTTGTGGATCGTCTTTGTCGCCTTCAATATCAGCTCGTACCATTTTGAAGGGATCTTGAATGTTAAATTTATTCTTTAAGTCATTGGAGAGCTCATCTTTAGTCTTATTCAAGATTTCAACTGCTGTCGCAGGTTTGTTTTCCAATTCCATTGCCACTTGAGCAGATTGAATTCTTAAAGTAAAGTTTTCTCTATGCAGACCATCGATTTTATCATATATTTCATCTGTTAAAGTCTTTAATATGGCATCAATCGTTTGCACAGCAATGAAGTCCTGTTCTCCCTCCTGTTTGGAGGACGCTTTAGGCATCAAAGCGTGGCAGCACGTTTTTCTTAGTATGCTCAACCAGTAATTTAATTCCTTGGCCGCTAAATATGTTTGACCTTGACCTTCTCTTCCGAAACCAGAAGCTTCAAGGAAGGATGACCATAAGTTCATATAATTGTCTTGCTCTATTGGCAGGAATTCAAGAGGGACAATGTAATTATGCTGCGGTGGAATTCTAATCTGATCGGTGACATCTGCTTTGGAGTGTCTGATGCAAAGGTCAAAACGAGGAAAAATATCCATGAGGTCGTTGGCATCAAATTTGATTCCGTTTACGAGACTGCTGCTCGAAAGGTCGTTTGTCAAATCACCGAGATTAGATTTGACCTGTTTTGTTATATTCTTTCTTACCGTATCTACTATCTTTGGAAAATCTTGAAAAGGATGGAATTGCAGATATGAAAGGACCGTTTTAAAATCCGTGATGCTATAGATTGGTGTGCCTGATACGCCCCATGTGTGTACTCGATGTAAAAGACTAGTGCATCTGGCTGCATTCGTGCTCTCACCTTTCAGCATTTGAACTTCATCTAGAATAATCCTAAAAAATTGCATCAGTGAAAGCGGAGACGAATAATCATACTTAGGCGCTGTCCCTCGCCGATGTCTCGATGAAGCATTAAACTCAGCGTAATGAACTTCAGCAGAAACAGTAGTGTAAGAGCATATAATGATGTCAAACTTTGCAAGGCTTTCAACAATTTCACGGATGTTATCGGTATCAAAAAACTTTTTAACGGCCTGAAATCCTTTGTAATGAAAAACCATAATGCTGCTCTCCTTGGCGTGGGCGTAAATTTCATCCACCCACTGTCTCAAAATACTATCAGGGCATATTATAAGATTTGTAGCCACTTTCGTAATCAGTTTGTTGGCTTCTGATAGATATGTAACATCTCCGGAGAGTACTCTTTTGTTTAGTAAAACCAAAGCCAAAATCTCTATCGTTTTTCCGAGTCCCATCTCCTCCGATAATACTCCTTTTGCATGAGCTTCCTTGTGTTTGAGTTGTTGACATATTTTCCTCGCTTCTCTCTCAGTTAGTATAATTCCAGTGAATTTGTTCCAAAACAAGGTTTCACTGGATAGCCTCATAACTTCATATCCAAAAGAGATATACTTATTGAGAATCTCGCGTACGTTTTGTAGATCCAAAATCCCCTCGAAATCAAGATTCCCCCGCACGACACCTTCTTTAGTAAGCATCCATTGAACAGATTCCTTCTGGAAAGGGAGTAATTCTAAGTTCAAATCAGGCCTTTTCATACCTTCCACGCTTGGAATTGCGAGCTCCTTTGTGTACTTGGACGTTTGATGATTGAACTGACGTTGAACATAGTAGTGTGTGATTTCGTGCTTAACAAAATGACTACGATCCCGCGCAGAAAACAACGAGTCCAGTAGTTCGTTCGTCTCGGAAGAGAAATTATTCGTTGAATTTGGGACATAATTCAAATTTATGGAAAATGAGATCATCCAATTGCCCGTAAAAGCATACGACAATATGGCTTCTGTACATTCCAACTCTTTGTATTTATGCTGAATTCTTGTAGGATTTATTACAATTTTCCTCCTCTTGCGCTTACCTGCCACAGAAATCTGCTCTTTTCGCAAGGCAGCATTGCTATGCTTTATATCAGCCTCCAAATACTTTTGAGTCAATACTTTGAGTGGCAAGTCGATTTTTTCAGCGCTCTTGGTTACATTACATTTAATCAGAGGGGTTGAATTGGCAGATACCACGATAAATCGTTCAGCACCTATCTCATGATATTGCAAACGAACCGGAACTATGACATTGCTAGTCCCAAAATCGCCGCTTCCAATTTCGCAACGTAGGATCTCAATAGATGTCTCGTTCGTTTTTTTTTTCCTATTCTTGATAATTTCATTTAATTCAGGCGCATTTCTTATTTTCTCAAGTTTATCATCTTGGTCAAAGTAATATTCAATGCAGCTTTCTTTCAGCTTCACAGTAGCCATTACTACTATAATGCAGCTCCAAGATTTGAAATCATGTTGGCAGCAGCCACGCTCATCTAATAGAGAACAATGGCAAAGTAATTTTTAACGATCGACATGGAGAGCCCCTTTGAAAAGCGCCAGGCCAACTTTTGCTAATTGGTAATGTACAAAAAACAAACAAGAAAAAACCCACTCGAGGAGAATAATGCTGAAGGTATGTTTTCATGTAGCATGCAGTGTAATGTTACTTCGAGTATATCGAAGTTCCGATAGCGTCTTTAGCGCTGCTTATGATCATAAATTGATTACTAACTCCAATTTAGTTTAAAAATCTCTTCAAGAAGAAAACAGTTATCCCTATAGACAAGTATGCTGCTGAGAAGGATCAAATGGATGCAAATAACCTCTTAGTAGATGATGAAGCAACACCGGTTGCCAATAGTTTACAAGAAAAGGACCTTGAGGGACTCAAACCGGCCGATGACATCAAAGAGCAAAATTTCGTGACAACTACAACTGGTAGCACCACGAATACAACCGATGTGGATATTAGCAGTGAAGGCGTTATCTTAGAAATACCTCTGCAAGAAAGGAGCCACGAAAGTCTGAAGGACACCCCTGTGCAAGCCGAGGCGGAATCCTACGATTCTGATAGTTTTTCGTCTGAGTCAGAAGAACCCGATGAAGATTTCTCTGAGCAAGCAGAACTGTCGGATTACAAGCTTCTCAATAAAATTGGTGAAGGTGCGTTTTCAAGAGTCTTCAGAGCTACTCCCCAGCGAGACACTTCTAAAGCCTTTTTGACCAGAAATTTCAGTGAGGTTGCTGTAAAGGTCATCAGCAAAAAACATCTGACATCGCAAAAAGACTCAAAAAGTAAGGCGACATCAAAGGAGCAAGTATTGAAGGAGGTCGCCATCCACAAAGCTGTGTCTTCCTCCAAGAACATTGTTACGTTTGTGGACTTTCAGGAAACGCAAAATTACTATTTCATTGTACAGGAGTTGCTTGCCGGTGGGGAAATTTTTGGCGAAATTGTAAGACTAACTTATTTTAGTGAAGACTTATCTCGTCATGTCATCAAACAGTTGGCGCTTGCGGTCAAGGATATGCATTCACAAGGTATTGTTCATCGTGACATTAAGCCCGAAAACCTGTTGTTTGAGCGTATTGAACATATTCCCTCTTCCCAACCAAAACTCAGAAAGTCAGATGATCCTAAAACGAAACAGGACGAGGGTGTATTTAGACCCGGTGTGGGTGGAGGTGGAATTGGTGTTGTCAAGTTAGCCGACTTTGGCCTATCGAAACAGATTTACTCGACAAACACGAAGACACCATGTGGAACAGTCGGTTACACAGCTCCCGAAGTGGTCAAAGACGAACGGTACTCTATGCAAGTGGACATGTGGGGTATCGGATGCGTTCTATACACCGTCTTATGTGGGTTCCCGCCATTTTATGACGAAAGAGTGGACGTGTTGACTGAAAAGATTTCACGTGGTGAATACACCTTCCTCAGACCTTGGTGGGATGAGATCAGTGATGGTGCGAAATACGCAGTGCGGAAACTTCTTGAGGTCGATCCGGAAAAGCGTTACGATATCGATGAATTCTTGGCCGATCCATGGTTGAACCAGTATGACTGTCTCAGGCAGCAGACTTTGAAGAAACATAAGAATCATTCGATGGAAAATGTGCATACTGTATCGTCGAAAAAGAAGAAGCACCGTCATCAGCGCTGGGCGTTCAAGAAGGATTCCTCCCTGATGTACTCTCCTGCCGCAGTTGCCATGCGTGACGCCTTTGAAATCAATAACGCTGTCCAACGTAATGAGGAAGACAAGCGGATGACTCCTGGGGGAGTAAACCTTGGCCAGCTGCAGGAGGATGAGGAAACAGAGCTGGAGCAGGACATGTTCCAATTGAGGCTGAATTCGTCTACAATCATTAAGAGGAGAAAGAACAAGGATACAGTCAAAATCCCGCTGACATTAAATGAATAATCATCATGTCAGGTTATCGGGTATGATTTGAATGTACATTAGTGTTTAGAGATTTTTGCTTTCTGTAATTCGAACAATCGTTTTAATGGGATTAATATGAGCTTTCTAATAGAAAAACCAAGATTATACACATTTTACAGCGCGCCTTCTTCATCATCTCACTCATTCCGGTGTTGAACGTGCCTCTGCACATCTCATCTCCGTTGAGCACCTGTTCCTGCGAAGGGTTGCAAAGTCATCTTTTCTTTTATTGTCATGCACGTGACAATAAAAGAAAGACACCCATGCAACTTTCTCGAAAAAGAAATTAATATGAAAATTTTTAACAGCTCATCGCCATAAGAAAAATTTTCAATGAGATAGTATATAACATGTGTGGATAAAAAAAAATTTTCCAATCTACTTTTTACTTAGACTCGTGTGAATAGGCTAAGTGAATCTCGAATCTCAAGATGTCTGATTCTGAACAATCTGTCAAGGTTCTAAATGAACTATTCGAGAAGCTCTCAGTTGCTACTGCAGAGACAAGAGATGCCACCGCTGATGAAATCTCTTCCTTCTTGAACGGTAACATCATCGAACATGATGTTCCAGAGCAGTTCTTCAAGGAGCTACAAAAGTCAATCAAGGACAAGAAGACTGCCGCCAACGGTTTGGCTGCTGTTGTCAGCATTGCCAGCGCTTCCAACTTGTCTCCAGCTGTTGAGCCATCCGTTGTTGAGTTGGTCCCAGATATTTGCGCTAAGGCCGGTGACAAGGACAAGGATGTCCAAGCTATTGCCGCTGCTGCTTTGAAGGCTGTCGTCAAGGCCATCAACCCAGTTTCTGTCAAGATCTTGTTGCCATATTTGACGACCGCTTTGGGTAACACCAACAAGTGGCAAGAAAAGGTTGCCGTCTTGGCTGCCATTTCCGACTTGGTCGATGCTGCCAAGGACCAAGTTGCCTTGAGAATGCCTGAGTTGATCCCAGTTTTGTCTGAAGCCATGTGGGACACCAAGAAGGACGTTAAGGAAGCCGCCACCGCCACCATCACCAAGGCTACCGAAACCGTCGACAACAAGGATATTGAGCGTTTCATTCCAAAGTTGATTGAATGTATCGCCAACCCTAACGACGTCCCAGAGACCGTCCACTTGTTGGGTGCCACCACCTTCGTTGCCGAAGTTACCCCAGCCACTTTGTCCATCATGGTTCCATTGTTGTCCAGAGGTTTGGCCGAAAGAGAAACTTCTATCAAGCGTAAGGCTGCCGTCATCATTGACAACATGTGTAAGTTGGTCGAAGACCCACAAGTTGTTGCTCCTTTCTTGGACAAGCTATTGCCAGGTTTGAAGAACAACTTCGCCACTATTGCCGACCCAGAAGCCCGTGAGGTTACTTTGAGAGGTTTGAAGACCTTGAGAAGAGTCGGTAACGTCGGTGAAAACGATGCCTTGCCAGAGGTTTCCCACGCTGGTGATGTTTCTACCACCAGAGGTGTCTTGGATGAGCTTCTAAAGGGTGAGAGCGTTGCTCCAAGATTCTTGCCAGTTCTAAACTACATTGCTGGTATTGCCGGTGACTTGATCGATGAGAGAATTATTGACCAACAGGCTTGGTTCACTCACGTTCTACCATACGCTACTATCTTCTTGCACGAGAGACAAGCTAAGGAGATCATCGACGAATTCAGAAAGAGAGCCGTCGACAACATCCCAGTCGGTCCAAACTTCGATGACGAAGAAGATGAAGGTGAAGACCTATGTAACTGTGAGTTCTCTTTGGCCTACGGTGCCAAGATCTTGTTGAACAAGACTCAATTGAGATTGAAGAGAGCTAGAAGATACGGTTTGTGTGGTCCAAACGGTGCTGGTAAGTCTACCTTGATGAGAGCTATCGCTAACGGTCAAGTTGATGGTTTCCCAACTCAAGAAGAATGTAGAACTGTCTACGTCGAACACGACATTGACGGTACTCACTCTGAAACCTCCGTTCTAGACTTCGTTTTCCAAGGTAACGTTGGTACCAAGGAAGCTATTACCGAAAAGTTGAGAGAGTTCGGTTTCTCCGATGAAATGATCAACATGCCAATTGCCTCCCTATCTGGTGGTTGGAAGATGAAGTTGGCTTTGGCCAGAGCTGTGTTGAAGAACGCCGATATCTTGTTGCTAGATGAGCCAACTAACCATTTGGACACTGTTAACGTCGCTTGGTTGGTCAACTACCTAAACACCTGTGGTATCACCTCTATCATTGTTTCCCACGACTCTGGTTTCTTGGACAACGTGTGTCAATACATTATTCACTACGAGGGTTTGAAACTAAGAAAGTACAAGGGTAACTTGTCTGAATTCGTCAAGAAGTGCCCAACTGCCAAGTCTTACTACGAGCTAGGTGCTTCTGACTTGGAATTCAGATTCCCAGAACCTGGTTACCTAGAAGGTGTTAAGACCAAGCAAAAGGCTATCGTCAAGGTCGCTAACATGTCCTTCCAATACCCAGGTACCTCCAAGCCACAAATCGAGGACATTTCTTTCCAATGTTCGCTATCTTCCAGAATTGCTGTCATTGGTCCTAACGGTGCTGGTAAGTCCACTTTGATCAATGTCTTGACCGGTGAACTATTGCCAACTACTGGTGAAGTTTACACTCACGAAAACTGTCGTATTGCCTACATCAAGCAACACGCTTTCGCTCACATTGAATCCCACTTGGACAAGACTCCTTCTGAATATATCCAATGGAGATTCCAAACTGGTGAAGACAGAGAGACCATGGACAGAGCCAACAGACAAATTAACGAGGATGATGCTGAGGCCATGAACAAGATCTTCAAGATCGAAGGTACTCCAAGAAGAATTGCCGGTATCCACGCCAGAAGAAAGTTCAAGAACACTTACGAATACGAGTGTTCCTTCTTGCTAGGTGAAAACATTGGTATGAAGTCTGAAAGATGGGTTCCAATGATGTCTGTTGACAACGCTTGGTTGCCAAGAGGTGAATTGGTTGAATCTCACTCCAAGATGGTTGCTGAAGTCGACATGAAGGAAGCTTTGGCTTCTGGTCAATTCCGTCCTTTGACTAGAAAGGAGATCGAAGAACACTGTGCTATGTTGGGTCTAGACGCCGAACTGGTTTCTCACTCCAGAATCAGAGGTTTGTCTGGTGGTCAAAAGGTTAAGTTGGTCTTGGCCGCCGGTACATGGCAAAGACCTCACTTGATCGTCTTGGATGAACCTACTAACTATCTAGACAGAGACTCTTTGGGTGCTTTGTCTAAGGCTTTGAAGGCTTTCGAGGGTGGTGTTATCATCATTACTCACTCTGCTGAGTTCACTAAGAACTTGACTGAGGAAGTCTGGGCCGTTAAGGATGGTAAGATGACTCCATCTGGTCACAACTGGGTTACTGGTCAAGGTTCTGGTCCAAGAATCGAGAAGAAGGAGGACGAAGAAGACAAATTCGATGCTATGGGTAACAAGATCTCTGCTGCCAAGAAGAAGAAGAAGTTGTCTTCTGCTGAACTAAGAAAGAAGAAGAAGGAAAGAATGAAGAAGAAGAAGGAATTGGGTGATGCTTACGTTTCTTCCGATGAAGAGTTCTAAGATGATAAAATATTTAATGCCTCTTTTTCTCATAATGTATGAAAAGCACTTCCTTTTTGCAGAGTTGGTTTGCTAAGCTGACTTGCTTTTATTTGTATCCTATTATGTGTATACATTAAAGTAATAGAAATTGTAAACTTTTACTTGGTTTTTAGCCCTGGGCGGCAAAAGTCATTTTCGCACGTTAAAGTTAGATTCTTTGAAAGTAAGAAAAATATGACCAGAGCGAGTGTATTCTTGATAGTTCTATATGTCGTTACTTTCAATTTGATCGTGGACTGTGAACGCCTACCGTATGGTCCTTATGAAGTAGCATGCCCACCACATGAACTTATAAGATTAGCAGAAGTATGAAAAGTGCAGATAGCACCAAGCCATCCGATAAGAAGCTATGATTAACTAACAGACTGTTCAGGACTCTCTTTGCGAAGAAGAAAGTGACTATCTTGCCAATAGACGGCAAGTTACCCAAGCGTGGATCACGAAGTTTCTTAATAAACTATCCATTCCCGAATTTGATATAGCTGTATTTAATGAACTATCCGACCAGCCCATCGGGATTGGATTGGCGTTATCAGGAGGCGGATATAGATCCATGCTCACAGGCTCGGGGTTTTTGATCAAAATGGACCAGTATGGAATATTCGATTGTTTGAGCCATATCAGCGCTATATCTGGAGGTAGTTGGCTGCTAGCAAGTCTGATTTTGAATAATTTTAACATCACTGCAATCCAAAAATGGGATATTGAGGACAGCTTATTGAGAGGAATACCTGATATTGAAGTGCACGATAAAGATATTGTCACAAGAATTAACATGAAGGATGCAAGCGAGATCATTGAGTCAGATGAATGGTTCTACGATCAGTTGACAGAATCTAAAGTATTGGAAAAAAGAAGCGAAGATAGCTTCAATACCTTCGAAAAGTTCTTTGCGCAAATGGATCAATACTCCGATACATTAAACAATAATTCATTGCGTAAGAGAACGGTTAACTATTTCAGTTTGATCAAAGACGTAATTATAAACAGTTTCAAGAACAAAGAGACAACAATTGACAAGGACTTGACTATCAAGGGAATGGTCCAATCTTTCAAAAAGTTTCGTACTGCTTTGGAATTCTACATTGAAATTCATTCAGAAGTGAGAGGCAAAAGAATGTTGGGATTTCCTTTGTCATTCACCGACTATTGGGGTAGGGCACTTATCAGACATATCGGCGTTAAAATGAATTCTTCTGATACCGTAAACTCTCTTGCCCAATCATTTCAAGAAAGTTCAAAGTTCCAATCATTTCAAATGCCGATTCCTATATTAGTCTCTAATTGCAAAAATGAGCAACTGAAAGATGCAGTGTTTGAATTTACGCCCTTTGAGTTTGGATCATGGAATGTACTCAAGTTGTTTGTAAAACTAAGATATTTGGGCTCTAAAATTATATCAGGAAAACCACAGTTCTGTGTAAATGGGTTTGATGATATCAGTTTTTTGACTGCCACGTCTTCATCACTGTTCAATAACGTACTGATCTACATTTGGCAGTTAGTCGCACCATCACTGGAGACAAGGAATGCTGTACGCGCAATTATCAGCACGTTTGGACTTGATTTTCGACAGTCAAGCATTCATGGAGGAAAAATTAACTTCACACTTGCTCGTCCTGAATATGCGCTATACGGGCCTAATCCATTTTACAAATATCCTAATGTCGAAAGCGTTCTCACGAATGAATCACAATTGTATCTTGTAGACGGAGGAGAAGATGGAGAAAATGTTCCAATTCGATCTTTAGCTATTCCGGAGAGGTCGTCAGACCTCATATTTGCTTTAGATTCAAGCTCAGACGTGAATAACTATCCCAATGGATCAATGCTAAGAAACCTGTATGATCACTATATGAAAGAAGAGCACATCGAAACCTCTAGCACATATCGACCAAATTATCCATTTGTTTCGTTACCTTTCATACCTTCTAGTGAGTTTTTCGCCAGAGGTAACCTATTGAGCCGCCCGATCGCATTTGGTTGTAACTTGGAAAGCTACAGCCTTCGTAAAGGTGCTGAAATTCCTTCCAAAACCAGTCCAAAAATTCAAACTCCTCCTATTATTATCTACTATGCAAATTATAACCATTCCTTCCCATCAAATACTTCAACTTTCAAATTGAGGTACAGCGAACAGGAGGTCGAGGGCATGTTAGATAATGGAAAAGATATATTCAGCTTTGACTCAAGCTCCTTCTTTATGAAATGTATTGGATGTTTGATGGTGAAAAGAACATATGATCGTCACATCATTGAAGGTGGTCAAAACAAACCGCCCACGTTTTGTCAAAAATGCTATTATGAGTTTTGTTACAATTGATGTGATATAACTTGAAATTGGCTGATTACGTATACAGTGATATAATAGTTATGATTACAATAACCTGCTATTCTTGAAACAGCTCATTCTTGACAAAACTATCGAAAGGAACATGAAAATCAAGCACTTTGTATTTGCTTCACTGTTGGCACTCGTGACCTCAGTTCCCCTCAAAGATGATGGTTCTGGGATCAATGTCGAGTCTGAGAAACTGCCGGAAGGTTTGACATGGGAACAGTGGCACATGCAACATGAACATCAATTGGATGACTATGACCCAGAGACATTCTTCACATTGCATGACGTTGGAAAGAAAGGTTACTTGGATAGAAATGATATATTGTCATTGTACGGATTAAATCGTGATGAGATAGTGGGTGCAGGTGATGGAATGGGTAAGCACGACAATTCCGAAGTAGTTGACGAAGAACATGCTGATCGTGTCGTTAAGTTTATCATGAGGTTACTTGATGTCGACGACGACACAAAGATTGCAAAGAAGGAGTATCTTGACTATGCCAAGAGCGGGAAATCTTTTCCAGATTTGGGTGTGGGAGTTGGTCACCACGCCGACTTCGAAAAGGAATACGAGATTCACCACTGGAATAAATATCATAAAGATTCCGACCCAGAGGTCAAAAATGTGCACAAAGAGGACATAGAGCATGAATTATTGCACCACGAACATGAAATAGAGCATGAAGAAAAAATTCAAAGAGGTGCATCGAGATCCACGGTTGTCACTGATGATGAATTAGAGAGCAGGATTGACCGCAAGAACATTCCTAGCAAATATAAGAATGGTTTTTAAATTATGTAATTGATATCTTTAATTCTGTAAGGATTGCAGTGTTTGTAACAACACTTCGTTGTCAAATGTATCCGAGCCTATTGCATGTGTGCGTATTCCGTTGGAATTCAATGCTAATGTATCGACCAAAATTTCGCCCTTTTCCAAGTATACCACATCAGTGATGAACTTTTGCCATGGTATAGGTTCTTCATGGCGAGAGACGCGACTTGTGCGCCTTTTGCGAATATTTGAATGAACAGCTCTATCCATCGATTCAATGATCATTTGCACAAAATGGAAACCATCCAAGCCAAATGTTTCTCTATCGTATTTGTTATTGATCAGGAGGACTTTTCTGGCTTTCGAATTATCAACGATTGATTCTGCAATATTTCCTAGTATTGTGATGGGAAGCAGGCTTGTCATCAAAGAACCAATTGAATAGAGAACAAGATCACATTGTTTGAGTTTAGAGATAGCCCTGCTATTTCCCTGAGGTAAAACCTCTTCTCCATACGGGTTTATGTAAAAAATGCGCTTGATGGGTGCTGGCAGGAGGTGATCCTCATTTATATCTAGTTTATCGAAATGCAACTGTGAGAGTTTGAGCTGGGGATGAATATAGCCGGGGTATGCATATTCTTCATCATCCTCTTCATCTACGTCATCTTCATTCAGATGTACTAAAGTGTCAGGCCCTACCAAAGAGGAACTGCTGTTGTTTTGTTCGAGGACGGCTGAGCGCAACCTGGAGTTCGAGACCATCTGCTTCGAGGGATGAGAAATTTGTGACTGGCCTGTTATGACTTCTCCATTCGCGAGCAATGCAGATATGTGATGAGTATGATTAGTGTTTATGCAAGGAATAACGCTTATGCGCTCTTCGCATCGGCAAAGGCGTAGCATGAGTTCGATAGAAGCGTCGAGCGACCCAAGAAACAAACGAATGCCGGTGAGAAACAAGTTACCCACACTAGCTTTCTCGAACTGAAAGGGAGCAGAGTTTTTATGTTTCTTTAAAAGTTCTGCCTGTATATGTACCATAAAGGAACGGCATATCTCCTTGACCTGACTGGGGATATCCTTCCAAACATCATGCGTGCCATCTACGATTGAATTCCATTCCTGCTTAGCCGTAAGGACGTCATCTGAAAGTCTGTATCCGAAAAGTTCTGCTAGCAAAGGATCTTTAATCATACTCACGATCCTTGATCTGATGTCGCCAATTGCTGGGCCTCCAACGACTCTCAAAATCTCGCTTGTGGAGCCACCATTATCCGAAATTGGGAGAATAAAAGATAGATCCTTGGATAGTGAATCCAGTGCTGGCAATATAGAATTCGCCGCGGTTCCTCCGGAAAGCACTACTATGTTCATTGCTATTGCTTACAGTTCTGTGGCTGTTTAATGGTGTGCTAGTTGCAAGCACGTAATATTCGTTCTCGACGATCGCGAACAAAATATAAGGTGACGTGAACGATAAATAGCGGTGAAGTTTTTAGAAACTTATTCGCAATATTCTGTCAAGCAGGATACGCTCAAATTGACAGGTATTTACGATGGTTAAAGCAGTTATATTCACAGATTTCGACGGTACAGTGACTTGGGAAGATTCCAACGACTACCTTACCGACAACTACGGATTTGGTAAAGAGAAGAGGCTTAAGGTGTTTGACGGAGTGCTAGACGGAACCAAGACTTTCCGGGAGGGTTTCTGGGAGATGTTGGACTCCATTGATAAGCCTCTTCCTGAATGCATCAAAGTTTTGGAAGAGCACATCGACCTAGACCCTGGTTTCAAGGACACATTCCAGTGGGCACAGGAAAACAACGTCCCAATTGTTGTGGTTTCGAGCGGGATGAAACCTATCATCAAGGCTCTGTTGGAGAAGCTGGTGGGCCCAGACTCAATCCACAAGATTGACATTGTGTCGAACGAGGTTGAGATCGACGCCAAGAACCACTGGAAGATCGTGTACAGGGACGAGACGGGTTTCGGCCACGACAAATCCAGAACCATCGAGGCATACAAGAAGAAGTTCGAAGCCGGTGGTGAGAAGCCCACATACTTCTACTGCGGTGACGGTGTGTCTGACTTGTCTGCTGCCAAAGAGTGTGACCTGCTGTTCGCCAGAAGAGGCAAGGACCTAGTCACCTTTTGTAAGAAGCAGCATGTGCCATTCCACGAATTCGACACCTTCCAAGACATCTTGGGCTGCATGCAGGATGTCTTGTCGGGCAAGAAGACGGTGAAGGAGTTGATGGAGAACTAGGTGACTCCATCACAACGATTATACAGTAATGTCTGCGAGCCTCGACGGGCATGCAGAGCTTTATACACTAAATACGTTACGACGCGCTGCACGATGACCGAACGCACAGTAATACAATAAAAACACCAATGACACGATGGCCAATGACAAACGATTGCCAATGACAGACGATGGCCGATGCACGGACGGCGCAACCACATACGTACAAAGCGACACACGAGATCCTAGCCCGACGAAAACGAAAAGAAACGACCTCGAGCTGCTCACGTGTGTATATCGCTATCTAAGTACACCCACCCACCTCCAAAAACATATAATATCACTATGAACGTGAACGGCCGACTCTCCATCGCCGGCCGGTTTTGGTTTCTCCGGGGCGCCCCGGAGAAATCGTGCGTCATCACACACGATTGTCTTCTTCCTGTCTCCCTCACGCTCGGAACGTGACCACTTGTTCTTCGGACAATCCGTGTAAAGAGATATCTCCGCACAATAGGTTTGCGCGGGCCGCCCGTCCCCCCCACACTTTTAAGGTTTCAGTTGCAGATATCGCCGGGGCAATGGTGAATTGGAACCAACCCCGAAGCTGGAACCGAACTTGCAAGGGACTTAGCGGATGACCTTCTCCACGGAATCGTGGAAGTAAGGCTATAAATGGAGGAGAAGATGGTTGCGATGTTTGTGGGTTGGTAAAGTGAGTAAAGACGAAAGCACTGCCAGTCACTTCAAGCGCCGTAGTATTTTGTAATACGCCAAGAATTATCGAGCACCAAGCACCAAGCACCAAGCACCAAGCACCAAGCACCAAGCACTGAGCACTGAGCACCTAGTTTGAGAATAATGACCAAGATCAAAGTTACAAACCCCATTGTGGAAATGGACGGGGACGAGCAGACGCGGATCATCTGGCATCTGATCCGCGAAAAGCTGATTTTGCCCTTTCTGGACGTGGACCTCAAGTATTACGATCTGTCGATCGAGAACCGTGATGCGACGGACGACGGCGTCACGGTGGAGTCTGCGGAGGCGACTCTCAAGTACGGGGTGGCGGTGAAATGCGCTACAATCACTCCGGACGAGGCGCGTGTCGAAGAGTTTGGGCTCAAAAAGATGTGGAAATCGCCCAACGGGACCATCCGTAACGTGCTGGGCGGGACCGTGTTCCGGGAGCCCATTGTGATCCCCCGGATCCCTCGTTTGATCCCACAATGGAAGCAACCCATCGTAATTGGCAGGCACGCGTTTGGAGATCAGTACAAGGCTACAGACGTGGTAATCTCGGGCGCCGGGCAGCTCAGACTGGTCTTCGAGTCTGCTGACGGCTTGCACGACATCGATGAGAGCGTGTACGAATTTCCCCCAGGCGGCGGTGTCGCGCTCTCTATGTACAACACTACGGAGTCGATCCAAGGATTCGCCAAGGCCAGTTTCGAGCTCGCGCTCCAACGCAAAATGCCCCTCTACTCCACTACTAAGAACACCATTTTGAAGAAGTACGACGGTAAGTTCAAGGACATCTTCGAGGAAATGTACGCTCGCGAGTACCAGAAGGATTTCGAGGCGGCGGGCATTTGGTACGAGCACCGTCTTATTGACGATATGGTTGCGCAGATGCTAAAGTCCAGCGGCGGGTTCATCATCGCCATGAAAAACTACGATGGTGACGTGGAATCCGACATTGTCGCGCAAGGTTTTGGGTCCCTGGGGCTCATGACCTCGGTGCTGGTCACCCCAGACGGCAAGACTTTTGAGAGTGAAGCGGCCCACGGCACCGTCACCAGACATTACAGGTTGCATCAACAGGGCAAGGAGACGTCAACCAACTCCATTGCGTCAATTTTCGCCTGGTCAAGGGGCATCATTCAACGTGGAAAAATTGACAACACCCAGGATGTCGTCAAGTTTGGTGAATTGCTAGAGCACGCGACCGTAAATACTGTCCAAGAAGACGGTATTATGACGAAGGACTTGGCGCTGATGCTTGGCAAGACGGACCGCTCCAGTTATGTCACTACCGAGGAGTTTATCGACGCGGTGGAACAGCGTCTTAAAAAAGACTTCGGGACTGAAACCTAAGTTGTGAGCCAATGCCTTCCGTCGTTTATTTATATTCTTTGTCTTTTCGTAATTTTACATACGCTACAATAATGTCGGGAAACACACAGATAACAGTATATGAGGAGACTACTCAATCGGTGGGTACACAGTTCTTCACGGAGGATCGAGATTAGTTGCTTTGATCTCTCGAACAGATTTTTTTCTCCCCTTGCCTCGTAAAATGTAATAAATTCCTTTCCGCGATAGTTTAGTGGCTAGAATTCGAGCTTGTCGCGCTTGAGACCGGGGTTCGATTCCCCGTCGCGGAGTTTTTTGCTTCATTCATTTTTCATGCCTAATGTTAATCAAGCACTTCTCGTGGGACGATTATTCAACCTGCATGTGGAGTATAGGCAGATCTTGAAAGTTTCTTGAATCCGTTAACCATTTTTGAATTTTAATTTGTCACTGACAGGCTAAACAGACTATTACCGACTAGGCAGCAGCTTTGCGAGACTGCTTTTAATCGGCTTATTTATAGGACGAAGACCGGACGTTAGCTTTCAAAAAGTCCGAACTACAATATCTGGCCACTACGTCCGCTCAAGATAACTGCTACTTAAGCAAAACAGAACTCAGCTCTTAATCAGTTGTACATTCAATACTCGCGTTATATATGAGGTGAATTAGATAGTGGGGGTGTTAACGCAGCGAAATAGCTAGATTTATCAAACAAATGCCGTGGACAACGTTCCTTCTCTTTTGCTTAGAAGACTCATTGGGGTGGTTTTTCTCACTAGGAGATCGGTTTGCTTAATTGCCATAATCATTCTGCGAACTCCGGTCTTAGATCTGCACGACGAGGCTCCACCAAAGGATGCAACTGAGACAAATATGTGATTGCCCACATTAGGTACATCATGGAAAGTGTTAGAATAACGGTACTTCTCCACACTCTGGTAAACGCAAAGTTAGTAATGGCTTGATATTAGTGAATTTCTCTTTAATGAACATACGTTTGGTTCTGCTTAGGTGCGAAAACCCAGAATACTGCGGATGTTAGCGCAACAACTAAAAGGACAGCGACAACAGTGTAACTGTGAAAAATGTTAGTAGCTTATCTATGATCTGCTGGGATTCTCTGGGCTAACATACAAGCTCATTTGTGGTACACTTTCGGATTCAGTTGATGATTGAAACGCTTCAAAAGTAACTTGTGATCACCATACAATTCAATTTTTTTTTTTTTGCAACCCTTTTTTGATGCTCTTTCTACGAAAAGGGAACTAATTCTACTTTTCTTGCAGAGTATCTCATGGAGTCGATTGAACTGCCTCCTGCAGTCGTGAACTGGCTTTTTAAAGTCCTACAACCGGTATGATTTCAAACACTTGATAATCGATCATTCTTTACCTTACATTTATTCCTTGGAAGTTACAGGAAAACTAACAAAATTGAGCAGACATACTTTGACGCGCGAACGACATTCCATGATGTGGCTTGTACTTTAAGCACATATAAGCAACTTCGCCCAAGAACTAGGGTGTTTACGGATATTTATGGTCGCTCCCAGCTGTTGCTGTGTCTATATGGCAAAATTGGAACTGAATATCCGCTTCCTATTTTAATTTGGATCCCTACGGAGTATCCAATTGTGGCGCCGCTCGTGTACCTCGACTTCGAATCACTACAAAGCCCGCCGGTTGATCTTGCGGGTATTGTTGATTCAAATGGTAGCTTAAATTTACCTACCCTTTCGCAATGGAATTCAGAACACTGCAACCTTCTTCAATTGGTAGCTGACCTCGATAATTTAAGAAGTGATTACTTTGCAATTCCTACCCCTCTTTCAAATCCTTCAAGTCCTCCTATTCCTTCCAAAGAGATATCTGTAACTCCTGAGATACCGGAATTGCCCTCCAAACCTCCTAAGCCTCCAATTAAGGAGCCTGCGTCTCTCCATGCGAACGTTGACCGTCTCGCCTCTGAAATTAATAACGTTTCCATAACAGGACAGTCACCAGCATTACCACCTAGACCCAATTTTTCACTTCCGAGCACACCTCAACCTCTTTCAAATATTCCAACTGGTGGCGCTTCAGTATCATCCAATGACATATCTTTATCTAGGACCTCGCCATGTGTACCGGCCGCAGATTCCAAACTTGCTAATGCGGTTAGCGTATCTCAACAATTCCAACAGCCTGATTTAATGGATCTAGGTACTGAGACGTCAGAAGATCCAGTGCATGTTAAAAAGATCCAAGAATTGCAGAATACGCTCAATAAGATGGCACACAGTGATCAAGATACTATACAAGAAAGTTTAGGATCTAGAGTACTTTCAATTAAAGTAGCTGCAGATCAGTTCGAAACTATATATCGGCATGAATCAGCTTCCTTGGATAACCTCGAACAACAAATTGAAGAAGGCAAAAAACTTTTGACCAAGGAGGTTGAAGAAACAGATAAGGAGCTTAAGAGGGCGAGAGAATACATCCAGAATTATGGCCCGCCAGTTGACATGTCTACAATTCTGACTACAGATCGAGAGGGACTTAATCAGCTCTACTCACTTCTGGCCAAAGATCATGCAATTACTGATACTATTCACACTTTGAATGAGATGCTCGGTACAGATGATGTCGATTTTGACGTGTTTCTAAAGAAAGTGCGATCTCTGGCTAGAGAACAATTTCTTACAAGATTTCACATAAATAAGATATTGTCAACAGTAAATAAGTAGCTGAAGTTGTCTGTATAATGATTTCTCAAATCACGTGCCAAACATAAACAAATTGTTTCTTTTTCGTTAGTGTAGCATACTGAAAAATTTTCTTTCGATGAGATGAACTTGGAGCTAGACTTTTCATTAGTCGAAGAAGAAGTTAAGGCTAACTGTCATGTCTGAAGAGTACATTATCAAGCCAGAAAGTGTGGCTCCATCAAGTGATGCTAGCGAATGGCCACTATTGTTGAAGAACTACGACAAATTGTTGGTCAGAAGTGGACATTACACACCAATCCCATCTGGTTCTTCTCCTCACAAGAGAGATCTAAAATCTTACATCAGCTCGGGTGTTATCAACTTGGATAAGCCATCCAATCCATCTTCGCATGAAGTTGTCGCTTGGATCAAGCGTATTTTGCGCTGTGAAAAGACTGGTCATTCTGGTACCTTGGATCCAAAGGTTACCGGTTGTCTAATTGTGTGTATTGACAGAGCTACCAGATTAGTCAAGTCTCAACAAGGTGCCGGTAAGGAGTATGTGTGTATCGTTCGTCTACACGATGCTTTGAAGGACGAAAAGGACTTGGGAAGAAGCCTCGAAAACTTGACTGGTGCTTTATTCCAAAGACCTCCCTTGATTTCTGCTGTTAAGCGTCAACTTCGTGTGCGTACCATCTATGACTCGAATTTGATTGAGTTCGATAACAAGAGAAACTTGGGTGTTTTCTGGGCCTCCTGTGAGGCTGGTACTTACATGCGTACATTGTGTGTGCACTTGGGTATGTTACTTGGTGTCGGTGGCCATATGCAAGAACTGCGTCGTGTTAGATCCGGTGCTTTGTCTGAGAATGACAACATGGTCACTCTACATGACGTTTTGGACGCTCAATGGGTTTATGACAACACTAGAGATGAATCATACCTAAGGAAGATCATCCAGCCACTAGAGACTTTGCTACTGGGTTACAAGAGAATTGTTGTCAAGGATTCTGCGGTCAATGCTGTGTGTTATGGTGCTAAATTAATGATTCCTGGTTTGCTACGTTACGAGGAGGGCATCGAGTTGTACGACGAAGTCGTTTTGATGACTACGAAAGGTGAAGGTATCGCTATCGCTATTGCTCAAATGTCTACCGTTGATTTGGCTACTTGTGATCACGGCGTCGTTGCCAAGGTAAAGCGTTGTATCATGGAAAGAGACTTGTACCCAAGAAGGTGGGGTATGGGTCCTGTTGCTCAAAAGAAGAAGCAGATGAAGGCCGATGGTAAGTTGGATAAATACGGCAGAGTTAACGAGAATACCCCATCCGAATGGAAGAAGAGTTACGTTCCTTTGGATGGTTCAGAAGGTAACGTGTCTGCTACTCCTGTTGAAACCTCTTCTGCTCCTTTGGTCGAAGAAGTGGAGGTTACCAAGGTTGAACAAGTTGTCGAAGAGGCAAACGCCGAAGAAGATGATGATGAAAAGAAAGAAAAGAAGGCAAAGAAGGAGAAGAAGGAGAAGAAGGAGAAGAAAGAGAAGAAAGAGAAGAAGGAAAAGAAGGAAAAGAAAGAAAAGAAGAGAAAAGCTGAAGATGACGAGTCATCCGAAAAGAAGAAGAAGTCCAAGAAATAAATCACCTTTACTTAGTTGCATACTATATTATCACCCCCTTTTTATATACTTAACTAAACACTGTGTATTGTATTTTAATGTGTTAAAAAATGTACAGCCTTATCAATGATGGCGGGCTGCCGTGGCAGTAAAGTCAACTATTTTATCAGTTTGAAAGTTGTTAGATTCAAATATGTTACATATCATTATATTGGTGTTTATGTAATTCTTTTCGTGGCATCTGACTCGGATAAGTCATGGGAGCATGCATTTGTGGACATTAATTAAGTCCCTGATGGATTGTCGTTTATCCGTTACCAACCCGCTTCTTTAATCAACTGTGTATGTGGTGACCTTCAAATCAAAAGTTTTCTGATATCGCACGTTTTTGCGCATCGGTCAAGGAAGTTGGGTAGTCAACTTTGTAGTTGATGATTAGGTTACCTCTTTGAGTAGGGTTCTTTGGTAATGGCATACCTTGACCTGGATAGGTCGATTTCTCAGACGGTTGTATAGGCTGAACTCTTGATAATGGTAAAGTGCGGCCATCTATGGTTTGAATGTTCTTCGAAAACCCTAGCAATGACTCCTTGAAAGTTAATGGAAGAGTGTAGATCAAGTCGTTACCGTCTCTCTTGAATGTCTCATGAGGCTTTTCCTGGATAATAAATTGCATCGTTTGTCTTCCGCCGGTACGAGGGTTGTAGTCGCCCTCATTCTTGTATGTAATCTTGGTACCCGCTTTCCAGCCAGGTTTCAATTGAATATCAACTTGTTGTTTCTCAGGAGTACCGCCAGGGCCCTTCCTTGTGATCTTGAAAGATTTCTTCTTACCTGTAAATAGATCTTCTAGACTGACAGGTAAGTTGACCTGTACAGTTTCCTCTTCCGGTGGAGGAGACGATGCACCAGATCCAAACCCACCTGGCATGCCACCACCAGGCATACCACCAGTGGTACGGAATCGCGTGCCACCACCTGGGAAGCCACTGGAAGTGAAACCTGAGGCCCCGCCAGGGAAGCCACCACTGGAAAATCCACCGAAAGAATCGTCACCTCCGTAACCGAATGGAGATCCACCGCCGGACCCACCACCGAAGAACTGCGAGAAAATGTTGAATGCATCTTCTTGCGAGAAAGCGTGAGCGCCACTGAATCCTCCTGCTCCGCCAGGCATACCACCTGGTCCTCCGCCTCCTGCACTGAAAGCTGGGCCGCCATTTCTGGCAGCCTCTAGACCGTATTGATCGTACACCTCTCTTTTCTGAGGATCATTCAAAATTTCAAAGGCTTCAGAAATTTCCTTGAACTTCTCTGTGTCACCCGTAGGCTTATCTGGATGGTACTTTAGAGCCGCTTTTCTGTACCCCTTCTTTAATTCGGCTTCCCCTGCACTTGGAGAAACTCCAAGCAAATCATACAGCTTAGTTTCTTTTACCATTTTGTCTGCTGTTTTTCCAATTGGATTGATATCGCGTGTATGGCGAATAGAAGGCTGCCGGTTCTTGCTCTCTCCTTAAATATCTACCCTCTCGTCATCCGAGCGCTTTAATATATACTGGAACTTTCTAGAAGGGTCTTGATGGGGATGGGTGTGTTGATCTTCGTATAAAAATATTTTTAAAATTTCTAGATCGTTCGATACGTATTGATGAAACTTTGCAAGCTGAGGTGAGTTTTATTCAGGTTCATTGCAAAGAGCCTCTGAATTATCGCACGAAGAAGGTTAAGAGCTGAAGAAATCAGATTAATGTCTGTCATTCTTGCTTCTGCTGGATATGATCATACGATTCGGTTTTGGGAAGCTCTGACGGGGGTATGCTCGCGGACTATCCAGCATTCCGATTCACAGGTCAACAGACTCGAAATAACATCAGATAAGCGGTTTCTAGCGGCAGCAGGTCACCTTCATGTCCGTTTATATGATATACGAACTACAAATCCTAATCCCGTCACCTCTTTTGAGGGGCATAGGGGAAACGTGACGTCGATTGCATTTCAACAAGATAATAAGTGGATGGTTTCGTCCAGTGAAGACGGCACAATCAAGGTGTGGGATGTGCGCGCACCATCTGTGCAAAGGAACTACAAGCATCACGCAGCGGTCAATGAGGTAGTAATACATCCCAATCAAGGTGAGCTGATTTCATGTGATCAAGATGGTAATATTCGAATATGGGATCTGGGCGAAAACCAATGCACACATCAATTGACACCGGAAGATGATACACCACTCCAATCGCTCTCGGTTGCCAGCGATGGTTCGATGCTTGTTGCGGGTAACAACAAGGGAAACTGCTACGTTTGGCAGATGCCGAATCATACTGATGCGGCAAATTTGAAACCCGTAACAAGGTTTCGTTCTCACACGAAGTACATTACGAGGGTCCTTCTTTCATCTGACGTAAAGCACCTAGCAACCTGCTCAGCGGATCACACTGCACGTGTTTGGTCGATAGATGACAATTTTCAATTAGAAACTACGTTAGATGGCCACCAGCGGTGGGTGTGGGATTGCGCCTTTAGTGCCGATTCTGCGTATCTTGTAACTGCATCTTCAGACCATTACGTTAGGCTTTGGGATTTATCTACGAGAGAAATTGTGAGGCAGTACGGTGGCCACCATAAGGGTGCTGTTTGTGTGGCCTTGAATGATGTGTAAAGGTAAGGACTTTGGCACTAATAGAACAATTTTTTGGTAATGTACAAATTAAAGGCAAATATAGTGACATATACACGAAGCTTGTTATGTAGCTTTGGCGTGTATCTATGCAGTAATGCAAAACCGAGAGGTAGTAGAGGGTGTTCACTTCGCTAGAAATCCGCCAAATTCAGCGCACCAATATAGCCACTCGTCTATAAAACTTTTTAAGGCCCACCAAGATCCTATATCCTCAGGGCCTGCAATGTAGAGCTCTCGCAGTAACGCTGCAGTGAATGAGTTAATATTCATGACAATTAAACGGGCAGGTAGTTCCTTAAACTTTTCAACGAAAGTAACTACAGCTTTGCCAAACTGGAGAACCAAATCAAGACCTTCTGTGCTATCGTCTTGCATAAACAACTCATTCATTTGCTCACTTATAAATAAAGGAATCTCTGCTGAAAAAGAATCGCCTTTCCAACAGCACATAAACTCTGAACGACACAATTCATGAATATTGAGCTTTTCCCAATTTTTACCCATGTTGCGTCGAGTTTGCGCCATTGAAAGGGCAGTAGCGGCATTCTTCGAAGCTTGAACAAGTTTTATAAGCCGTTTAACAAGTCTCGTGAAGTTTTCAGCAAGCTGACCTTTTTGAGTGACAACTGGAACAGGGAGATCAATATTTGCCTCAGATATCATCTTTGAATATGTTAAAGAAAAGTCTTTAAATTTTTGACAGTCGAAGTTGGCGATTTCTTTTGGTTCGAATGCAAACTTAGATAGCATTCGAGCCATTGCTTTGTGTGTCACCAAGTCAGCGTCATTTATCCATTCATATAAATTGTCCGATATGAAAAGGTTAAACATTTGTGGTGATATGGATCCTGAGCTGAATGAATCCAAAGTGACGGGCAAAGCATCGAATTTTGAAAAATTGATATTTTCATAAATCGTGTTGCAATGAACCTTATACAATGCTTCTAACGCCGATGCTATGTCTGAATCGGTATTGGGTTTCAGAAATGGACTTATCGAAGGAATGTCCAAAGCAAAGGTGGAGTCGCGAGGAATCACCTTTTCAGCGGTCCCTTCTATAAATTGGAGTCCATCGTCTTGTATAACAGCTTGCCACGCATATGGCTTCTTTGAATCAGGGTTGTGATATAGTGCTGGCGTAGCTGACCTTGTTGAGGGTCCACTTTGTACTGAGTTGGATCCATAAGAATTCTCTGTATTTACAGTATGCAGTAAGTCTGGTGTACTGACAGATGATGTACTAGGAGAAGAAGTCTTGGATGGTGACAATAGTTTAAGACCGCAGTAATGATATTTCGATTGGCCACGCATACCAAGACGTCTTGTAGTCAAATCTGGGTAGATAGTTCTGATCAGTTTACCTAAAGACGCCTGTGAGAGCGGTTTGAGATTGTGCTGTGCACAGCAAGCTGCATATTGGGCAAAAATGCGGCCACGAGGGACGTAACTATCTTTTTCAGGGATACAAGTATTCATGAGCCAAATTAATGCATACACTTGTCTTTCTCTTTCTCTATGTTGTTCGGCGATTTGAATCTCTGTCTTAGGATGAGTGCAAGAGCTCATATTCAAAACTGCAATTTCAGCTTCTCTGACCATTGTAGCGTATTCTGCTAGTGGACGGCCCTTGTGCTTGATGGCAAGAGCCTTTAAAGTACTTTCTTGGGTGTTTTTCTTAATTGTATGGGCATCTTTTTGAATTGTATCGTTACTATCATGATAGTCGCTCAATTTTTGCTTTCTTGCATCTTGATCTGATTCCAAAGGTGAGGCAAAATGCTGGGTAGCAGGGTGAAAAGCCTGGAAAGGTTGTCCAGGGCTTTGAAACCCAACGTGGAGATCCAAACCCTTCTCATTCATGGTAGTTTGGGGTATGGGGCTGGGAAGATAGCCGGATGTTAGAGGAGGGTAACCTTGTGGGTAACTTAACTGCTGTTTCCCACTAGTAAACGGTAAAAAGTGGTTCGAATATGATCTGTGGGCCTGTTGACTAGACTGTGTTAAGAATGAATGCTGCGTTTGAGGCTGAGGTTGCGTTCCTGTAGTGTTACCTAGTGGAGGTACCGAGTCGGGCCTTGGGGGGATACGCATAGCACTGTTGTTTCCCACGAGAGGCTGTATTGGCATCAAAGAACCACTGCTACTATGCGGGTGACCTGCCAGATATGATAGACCATGTTTCGTATTTGGAGAGACCCATCTCTCGGTATTATTCGACTGATTTGGAGCACTCATTCTCCGAAAGCTCTTCCGTCACGTGGCAGGTTGTGCTGGATTCTGTTCAAGTGCTATCCTCTGTTTTGAAGCGGTCCTAAGGGTCACGGATTCTTTGTTTTTAGATAGTCTTCCCTGTGTCCGTCCCTTTAAGCTCAATTTTACGTACGTAAATCCTTCTTGAGAGTGGTTTCTGACCTAATTTTCACTTACTTCGTGTAGTCTCAACCAGCTGACTTTATTCGATTTTGATGCGATGAGCTTTGAAAATTTTCGCCATTCCATCAAAAAAAGAAACGCATCTTTTTAGCTAAAAATTTTCCAGATGAGCTGCCCGATGAGCTCTTCACCCTCCAACAAACGAAAGGAACGATGTCTGCTCCTTTGAACTCGAACCCTGAGGTTCTGTTGCGTAAGAGGAGAAATGCTGAGAGGACCCGCTTGGAGAAGCAAGAGCTTGCCAGAAAGAGAGCTGAGCTTGAAAAAAAGCGCAAACATGCCCGCAAGAACAAATTTGTGAGAGCGGAGACTATTGTAGCCACAACACTAGCAACACAGAGGGAGAAGGAGAGAATCAAAAGAATGTCTAAGTTGGAGGCCAAGAAGGCTAAAAATGACGTTGCACACCTTCCCTCCGACAGAGATTTCATCTTAAAAGTGAGCGAAAGCGAAGCTGAAGTCGATTCAGACGCCGATGATGACGACAGTGAGTCGCTGCACAGTGAGAAAGTCGTCTACGATGGGGAGCCCACACTTCTTTTTGTCATCAGAATTAAGGGCCCTACTGCGGTCAAGATTCCACACAAGGCATTCAAAGTTTTGTCGCTTCTTAGACTTTCTGAAATTAACACCGGTGTGTTTGTCAAACTGACAAAGCAGGTGTATCCACTTTTAAAGCTTGTGGCTCCCTACGTGGTTGTTGGGAGGCCCTCATTGGCTTCCATCCGTTCTTTGATTCAGAAGAGAAGTAGAATCTTGTACAAGACGTCTGAGGATGAAGAAGCCAAGGAAATCATACTTAACGACAACAATATCGTCGAGGAGCAGTTGGGGGACGAAGGCATTATTTGTATTGAAGATATTATTCATGAAATTGCAACGCTGGGTGAATCGTTTGCTAAATGTAACTTCTTCATGCTACCCTTCAAACTAAGTAGAGAAGTATCTGGTTTCAGTGCATTGAGCAAACTTCAAAAGCTAAAACAAAAGGAGTGGAAGCAAAAGACTTTACAAGTTTCCAACGCAGCAACGGCTCCAGTCATCCAGGTTGATATCGACAGTATGATCGCTAAATTAAATTAGTATGCTTCCTTTAGCCTACTTACGCAACTTGCCGGCATATGTCACATGATGATTTTTTGCACCGGCCCTGTTCCGGCCTTTCACAGGTCAAATTTTTTCATGTAGGCTGACTCTTTATGTATAGTATATAAGTGAAAGGTAACGAGATCAAAATTACGAGGGACCTAGCATATAGGAATTATCTAATCAACTCATTGTTATCATCTCAATGTCAGACGTTAAGAAGATTGTTGTTCTACCAGGTGACCATGTCGGTCAAGAAATTACCGAAGAAGCTATCAAGGTCTTGAATGCCATCTCAGAAGCCCGCCCTCAAGTGAAATTCGATTTCCAGAACCATTTGATTGGTGGAGCTGCCATTGACGCTACTGGTGTTCCTCTACCAGATGAAGCCTTGGAAGCTGCTAAAAAATCAGACGCTGTCTTGCTTGGTGCCGTTGGTGGTCCAAAATGGGGTACAGGCAGTGTTAGACCAGAACAAGGTTTGTTGAAAATCCGTAAAGAACTTCAATTGTACGCTAACTTGAGACCTTGTAACTTTGCATCTGAATCTCTTCTTGAATTATCTCCTTTGAAGCCAGAGTACGCACGTGGTACTGATTTCGTTGTTGTGAGAGAACTGGTTGGTGGTATCTACTTTGGTAAGAGAAAGGAAGATGATGGTGATGGTGTCGCCTGGGACAGTGAACAATACTCTGTTCCTGAAGTTCAAAGAATTACCAGAATGGCCGCCTTTTTGGCTCTTCAACACAACCCTCCATTGCCAATTTGGTCCTTAGACAAGGCCAACGTTTTGGCCTCTTCTAGATTGTGGAGAAAGACCGTTGAGGAAACAATTAAGAATGAGTTCCCAACACTAAAGGTCCAACATCAATTGATTGACTCAGCTGCCATGATTCTGGTGAAGAACCCAACTCATTTGAACGGTATTATCATTACCAGCAACATGTTCGGTGATATCATTTCTGATGAAGCATCCGTGATCCCAGGATCTCTAGGTTTGCTACCATCTGCCTCTTTGGCTTCCTTACCTGACACCAACACCGCTTTTGGTCTGTACGAACCTTGCCACGGTTCTGCACCAGATTTGCCAAAGGGCAAGGTCAACCCAATTGCCACTATTCTATCAGCAGCCATGATGTTGAAGCTTTCTTTGAACTTGGTTGAAGAAGGTAATGCCATTGAAGAGGCTGTTAAAAACGTATTGGATGCAGGTGTCAGAACTGGTGACTTGGGGGGAAGCAACTCCACCTCGGAGGTTGGTGACGCTGTCGCTACCGCAGTCAAAAAATTGTTGGCTTAATCTGTCTGCACTGATTAATAGACGTTAATTAGGTTTGAAACGATAGATCACCTGTTTTCATCCTTTTCCAGACAATGAACAAGTTACGAAAAATACGAATATATATAAAGCGAGAGGTATAATTCACAAATTAAAATATTACCATCAAACAAAGCATAATAAAACATAATATCCATATAAGCTCGATGGAATGCCATAATTACTCAGGCTTAAGTCTGATCAAATCAGTGGCCAGACCATTCAATAGAATTCAAATCAATTCCCTCCTTGACCATCTCCCATAATGGCGACAGCTCACGGAGAAATTCTACCCTCTCCTTAATTGCCTTGATAACGTAGTCAACCTCTTCCTCTGTGGTGAATCTCCCGATACCAAATCTAATAGAGGAGTGGGCTAGAGCATCGTCCTTTCCTAACGCGTGCAATACGTAGGAAGGTTCCAAAGAAGCAGATGTACAAGCGGATCCTGAACTTAATGCGATGTCTCTCAAAGCCATCAACAGAGATTCACCCTCGACATATGCAAAAGATACGTTGATGCATCCAGGGTAGCGATGGTCAGATGAGCCATTCAATGATGTATGCTCAATGGACAGTAATCCCTTGGTTAGCCTCTCTGATAGTCTCTGTATATGCTCGATATCAGTTTCATACTCCTCTTTCACTAATCTGGCGGCTTCACCAAAACCTGCGACAAGCGAGGGAGCTAGGGTTCCGGATCTTAAACCTCTTTCCTGTCCACCACCAGATATTATAGGGTCCAATCTCACACGGGGTCTTCTTCTGACGTATACAGCACCGATACCTTTTGGTCCATAAATCTTGTGGGAGGATATAGATAATAAATCAATGTTCATCTCATTGACGTCAATAGGAATTTTTCCATATGCTTGAGCGGCATCGGTGTGGAAGTAAACTTTGTGCTTTCTGCAAATTGCACCGATTTCCTTGATTGGTTGCATGACACCAATTTCATTGTTAACAGCCATTACTGAAACTAGGCAGGTATCTGGTCTTATGGCAGCTTCTAAATCCTTCAGATCGACCAAACCCTGCTCATCAACGTTCAGGAAGGTCACTTCAAAGCCCTCATTTTTCATGGCCCTTGCTGCCTCAAGAACACACTTATGCTCGGTTCTTGTGGTAATGATGTGCTTCTTGGTTTTCTTGTAAAATCTTGGGACACCCTTCAAAACCATGTTATTGGACTCCGTGGCGCCGGAAGTGAAAATGATCTCCTTCACATCTGCGTTTATTACGCTTGCGATGTGCTTGCGAGCATTTTCTACCTCCTTATTCGTTTCCCAACCATAACTATGGGTATTAGAGTGTGGATTACCGTAAAGTCCTGTGTAGAACTTCAACATGGTGTCTAGAACACGAGGATCAGTGGGAGTGGTAGCCTGCATGTCCAAATATATGGGCCTGGTTCCGAAACCAGAGTTTTCACGGTAAGCATGATTTAATGCTGTAGTGCCAGAGGCGATAACATCTTCAGAATTAGAGCGAGCCTGCGCTTGTTCCCTGGTAGCCGTCTCTATGTCAGTTGGAGTTTCCAACTTAACATCAAAAGCAACTTTTGCGGAAGCATAAGAACGATAACACAACCTCGGTAAGTACCGTTGTCTTACTGTTAGAGAACGTGTAATAGATCTGAGCATGATTGGTTTGATGTGCGAATTCAATTAATATGATAAGGCTGCTATTAGTCAGACCTTTTTCTCCACTGATCACACAAATTTGAGACTGGTGTCATTTTTTACGTGTAAATCTGGTCACGTGATTGATCTCTATTCAATTAATATTGGGAATAATCTTGGCATTAAGGGCCTCATCATTTGGTCTTCATCCTCTCAGGTGTAGGTACGATTGTACCAATCAGATTTTACTTCATTTCGGGTAGGAAATGATACTATATGAAACGATAATGCATGTGTAAAAAGAAAGTCCGATTGCGCTTCAATTTGAAGATTTCAGAAGCCCCATATTCATACCACTCTCTTTTCCATTGGCAGAATTAGTCAGTCGTGGCACTTCTATCGATATCTTTTAGAGACGCGAGTTACGTTGAATTCAAGCTACTAAATCTATTCTCTTCCCCTATAGTCTCATTGATAGAACTTCGACGATTAGCTAGCTTTGAAATTCTCTATGTTTTTCCTTAGCTCATTCTGAAATTATTGCAGTGTGAATTTTTCAAGAAAAAAACACGCTCTCGATCTCGCGAGGGTGTATTAAGAGTACTCATTAATGGCTTCTTCATCGCTGCTTGTATCACTGGTAGCCGGTGCTGCAGCTGGAACTTCAACTGATGTTGTATTCTTTCCAATTGACACTCTTAAAACTCGTCTACAAGCAGCAGGAGGGTTTTTCGCTAACGGTGGGTACCATGGGGTTTATCGCGGTTTGGGAAGTGCAGTAGTTGCTAGCGCTCCAAGTGCATCCTTATTCTTTATTACTTACGATTCACTCAAGACGTATACTCGACCATTCTTCCGCAAATACATAAAATCGAATGATGAATTGGCTGACATGGTTACGCATATGTTTTCGTCATCATTCGGAGAAATTGCGGCATGTTCGGTAAGAGTACCAGCTGAGGTCATTAAGCAAAGGACGCAGACACATCAAAGTGATACATCTTGGCAGACACTATCCAAATTGCTGAAGAACGAAAATGGCGAGGGCATTCGGAGGAACCTTTACAGAGGATGGTCCACCACCATTATGAGAGAGATCCCATTTACCTGCATCCAATTTCCCTTATATGAGTTTCTTAAAAAAAAATGGGCGTTCGCAGAGAGCCGTGATCAAGTTGCTCCCTGGCAAGGCGCATTTTGCGGCTCTTTTGCAGGAGGGATAGCTGCTGCTGCTACAACACCCTTAGATGTGATTAAAACAAGAATAATGTTGAGTCATAAATCTGTACCAATTGCTCAATTGGCCCGTCGTATCTACGTTGAGGAGGGCGCCAAAGTATTTTTCAGTGGCATTGGTCCACGGACTATGTGGATTAGTGCTGGAGGTGCCATTTTCTTGGGTATGTACGAGACAGTGCACTCGCTTTTATCATAACTTCTAGCTTGTTTATATGCATATTGTACTATAGCATATCTAAATGAACACAATCAATCATTGGTGGGTCCACAAACTATCTACTGCTTACCAAAGTGCGCTTCCCTTGTTTTCTTCTTCTTGCGTATTTCATCACGAAACTGTCGATTTTTAAACCTTTGATATTTAATCCCTTGATGTAAGGTTCAATTTCTTCAAGTTCCCAAGTTGACTGCAATTTGAACAGGTGCTTGAATCTATCTCTCACGTCATTCGGCAGAGTGCTGACTGATAAGTACTGTACTCCAGATCCAAGAGGACGGTAAAAATGGCCCCGAAGAACTGAAAAATCGAGATTGCACGAAAAGTATGGGGGGAATTGTGATTTCCATTTTATCATAAACTCATCTTCAGATATCATGCGCGAAGATGCAAATTTTTTAAGCGCAATAATGCCATACCAAACACTAACTAACTTCTCATCCAGTTTCCACGTAGTTGAGCCACAAGGCGTGCAAAATTTGCCGATAACTGTTGCAATCATTTCCTTCGTGAAGGTGATGTTGCTATCGGTATCATCAATGTCTTTTTTCACTGCTTCGAAGGTTCTATCTATTTCCATTTCATCGAGCGCTAAATTTTCCGCCATGCAGCTCATCAGCATGATATGAAGTGTTCTTGATATAAAGTCATGGGATAATAAGCACGCATACCCATTTATTACACAACCGCCAATTGAATGCCATTTATTATTAAATTCCCGCTCAGAGCATGGAGAGCACCTTTTTACATTCTCAAGAGACCAATATGTCAGGCTTCTATCTTTCGTATTGTTTAAAAACTCTGATTTGTCACCATTATAAATAGGCAATGATGTGAAGTTTATCTGACCCTCGGTCAGTCTTGGCTCTAACTCAGAGTCAAGTTTTGTGAATCCTAGATGATGGGTACATAGTTGGGCCTTATCTATCAGAGCATTCGGCGTAGATGAATTAATATGTGAGCCAACTTCTTTCATTAATAGTACTGTATTAGAATGATTCTTTTGCTTAAGAATCCACGTTGTATCTTCAGAGCAGAGAACAACAGGCTGCTCAGGATCTGTAGCTTTGAATTCGAGGGTTTTTTTGGCATAAAGTGCACCAAAAATCTCTGGAGTCAGTTGTATCAACTTGTAGTTCGAGTCATAGTTGAGCTTTGAGTATAAAATTGCTGTGGTCATCGACTAACAACTCTTTTCGTGTACTCTTTATGTGATGAAAATGTAAACTTAAAAAAAATACCATAAACAAATAAAAAAATACAATCAAGCAGCCCAAAAGCAGCATGGAGAATGGCGCCAAAGAGGGGCTCATAGATAGCTCAAATGCAACGGTAGATAAAATGGATACTGGATGCCGCATAAAATTGAGGCCAAATTTAGCACTAAATGGAAAACCTAAACAATGGATAATTGATCGAAGCACTGAGGAGTGGGTGTCGCAAATATTCCCTACTGCAGCTATCTTCAAAGGATATGATAATCTCATTTGGGGTAACTTCTTCATTGTTGTATACAGGGAGATATTAACTGAGAAATTTAGTAGCATAATCATTGATAAACTGGGTCTTACGCATTTCAATTCAATTGACATTTCTCGCCAATCAAGGTTCTACCCCGCAGTTGAGAACCTTACAGATGTTAACCAAAAATCTAATGTGAGGAAGCTAATCGCAATTTCTCTTCTGCGGAAGTACGCCGATATAGATTCCAAGCTAATCAAAAAGATATCGCCAGAAATGAAATATGATTATGATCCCACGATTGCAGGAGATTTAGCTAATTCATGTGAGCTTTTTGGACAGTGTACACCAGAAGAATTTGGGGAAAGTTTATCACAACTTGGCGTTCTACGTGATCGATTTATTAACTCCATTTTACTTGATGTTGTTTATGAGAATAAAGCCAAGATCATTGACTCCAATAATGAACTCGTATTTCATCTAGGTGAGCAATTGGAACAGCTTTTCAACCCCCTGTCCGAATATTCTCCAGAGCAAACGGAGTATGTCTACAAGTCACCTGATGATGGATATGTTGTTGAAAGCGAAGATCCTTTGATAGTGTCAATCTGTAATGAGCTGCTTCAACTACAAACGAATTTTACACTCTCCCTGGTAGAGTTTTTGCAAAACTTTCTAATACCCCTGAGAATTGAAGTTGCGAATGATGAAATCGATGGCCTATCAATACCGAAGCTTAATCGTCTATTTCCTCCAACAATTGACGAGGTTACGAGAATTAACTGCATTTTTTTAGATGCATTGAAGTCAGCAACGCCCTATGGTTCGGCAGAAGTCCTGAAGGCTTGTAGTGTAACAATTCCTTACTTTTACAAGGCTTACACGAGACATGAGGCAGCAACGAAGAACTTTTCGAAAGATATCAAGCTCTTCTTGAGCAAGTTTGGACATTTAACTCCTAACCGGGATGTGTACACAGAATTAAAGATAGAGACACTCATTAAGGGACCTCAAGAGAAAATAATGAAATTGAAACTAATCATTGAAAGGTTATGGTCAAACGAAAACCTGGTTCATGATGATGCGGCAAAAAAACGGTATGATGACATTATCGAGACAATACACTCTTTTGGTACACTAGAGAAGCCCATGAGTGCGTATAGCACGAGGGTATTTACGCCTTCAGGTAAAATTCTAACTGAATTGGCCAAGGGTTGGCCTGTGGAATTGCAGTACAAATGGCTGAAAAGGAGAGTCGTAGGAGTATTTGATATGGTCGATGCGGATGATAAGGCCAAAAGAGACATTTTGGTCATATTCAGCGACTACGTTGTGTTTCTTAGAGTGATTGGAGGAGAAGATTATTATAACATGGATGGTAATAAGCCACTGATATCAGACATTCTCATGAACTCGCTCATAAATGAAGTCCCGCTGCCCTCGAAGATTCCGAAATTGGAAGTGTTGGCACATACGTACATTGACAAGGTGTTGGTGTCAACGTACGGTTCTTCTTTCCTCCGTTTCGATCTTCGTGATAAAAATTTTTGTACACCGTTAACGTATGAATTGGCCTCAAACTCTATGACTACCTCTGAGGTAGCTGATTTGGTGACGAAAGCACAAATTTTGGAGAAGGATACAGCATTCCATCTGTTCAAATATTCTAATGACTATCTACAAATCTATTCGACTGCTCATGAATTAAGTGCGTACTCGACTGAAAAAATAAAGTCTCAGTTCGCTTTATTTTTGAACTTGGAGCCATCCATTGAATTAATCGAGAAATATGGTCTCTGTATGGCACTTTTTGCAAGCTTTCGCAAAGATCATCAAGTTAATCTGACAAGAATTACGGTGGATAATGCTCGAACAGAATTAACTGTACCTCTTCATGATCTTGCTGAAACTCTCGCCAATGAGCTCGTTGATGCTATTCCAATTTACTTCTCATCACTCAGTTCGCCCTTTTATGAAGAACTTTTGCAGCTGAACGCAAAACTTGTCCAAAGAATTGGCAAGAGCTTTCGAAAGGATGAACTCACGATCCAAGAGAACAAGAATGATAAAGCACCTGAAAAAACTTCCTCTGCTGAGATAATTTATCATCATCAGAAAAATAAATCCTTCGGAACCATAACAACGTTTAGAAGTTTTCCCAGTGATATGAAAGAATTGAGCGATAACAATACGATCAATGAAAAGATAAAAGATAAGAGCAAGCATGGTGGATCCAAAGCTCGTAAGACTGTTAACCGAGATATAGCAAATCATCCTCCGAAGCAAATGGGGCTCATTAAGACCTTCAAAAACCTATTCGGCAGAAGGAAGAAGAGCAGAAAGGAAAATGAACGGCTGACTATTAGTTCTCCCCATATTACGAGTCCCAAAACCGAAAGCAAGGCCAACTCTAGCATTACCCGAGTTAAGAAAACAATTGGTGATCCAAAAAGTCATGTACGTGAGTCTCAGGAGGTGGAACACCTTGCAACTCAACCCGCAGAGAGTAGTAGAGTATCCTCTGTAATTCACACCCCCAGCAGAAATATTACAGATTGTGTTGACATTTCAAAAGAGAGCATGTCCTCCATGAATCGCAAAGCTCAAGCTGGCGTAGAGAAAAATTCAACTGAAAATTCCAGCAGTACTCAACTTCAGGACTATGAAATCAATCATTCATCCCTCAGTGTGCATTCTGAGAAAGAAGTTCTACCTGATTCTGTCAAAGCCACGGGGACCCCATACAAAGAAAGTCTCAGACAAAGCAAGGTATTTAATGACGATCCTTTTGCCAGTGTTATAAGTTCTGATGAAAATGAAAGTATAGGTCCGGCAAAGGATAATTTGTGTGGCGAAAGTCTTACTGGTGAAACATCCGTGTCTGTCAAGGATTCAAAACTTGTAGGAAAAGAAGCAGATGAACCAACGATTCATAAGGAAGATAATCACTTTGCGAAAACTCTGGCCGAAAAAGTCGAATTAAAACCCTCCATTCCAGAAGTTCACGATACCGCTAAGAGTTTCGAGGGGCCTATAGACTCTCGAAGACTTTCTGAGGGGCGTTGTGGCCAAGAATTCGAAAATGCACAAATATTTCCTAAAGTTCAGGGACTGAAAACGAAGACGATCGATTTTTGCAGATCCCCATCATTTGTGGAGTTGTTTGACGGGATGAGGGCTATTCTAGATATTACTGATGAGTCAACTAACTGGAGACGTCTTTCGAGTGAAGGATCGTTGACGATTCAAACTACTCCTCATGCAGAAGATGTAAAGGCTTTAGATAAAAATTGCATCAAAGGCAACAGCTCTGCAATCATGCTGGACAAATCCAATCACTCCAATATGCCTGACGCTAGAAAATCTTCTCCTGATCATCGTGACGAAAATGATGATGCTAGGATATTCGCAAGTTCAAAAGTCAGTGAACCTGAATATGGACAATTAAATTTGGATTTTTCAAAATCTGAAGGGACTTTGACACCCGTTTTTCCAACCTTCAAAGTCGTTAACACATCTCCTGCCAAGATTGTTAACTTTGCCACTTCTATCAACAATGTACACCCTGATCTAACGAATAATTCTACTCGAGAGTCCAGCTCACCTGTGAAGAACTCTTATTCTTCTGATCTCAACGCTGAAAATCTACGTTTAGTTGAATTAAGTTTCAATTCTCAAGATGATGTTTACAGCTATGATTCGCGTCAAAAGCCTAATGATATACTTGAAACTCTGCCACCAAGCCATTCGATTCATTCTCCACGCTTGTCTAATTCAGAAGTGAACTCTAAACCTCTTGCTGATCAGCTATCCGCTACAACTAGCGTGGAAGTCGCGAACCTACAAAACGAGCTGGTTATTGAGCCACTGGAAAGCAACATTCTTGGGGATCTTGACTTCAGCTCCTTCAATATGACATTTGATATTAGTAATGAGCTGAATGACTCTACGCAAGAGTCAATCATGGACGAACCGAAAAATCCGTTCGTACGCAAGCCACATTTGAGCCCTCGAGATCCCGTCTTTTACCGTCTACCAAATTCAACTAGATCAGATGAGACATTCTTTTCTTGCGTGGATGATCAACGTAACAAAGGTCAGAAAAGGAAAAGTTATATCAATTCACTTCCTCTCGAATGTGAAGATGAACCAATGTGGGTTTCGCCGAGTAAGATTGATATGTTTGACCTAAGTAAACAACCAGATTCTGTCTTTCAAGAGCTAAAACTCAGATCAAAGCAAACACGCGAGGCCAAATTTCAGCTCCCTGGGAAAGCTAATAGATCATCAACAGAAGAACAACTTCTTCTACCGGATTCTTCCTACGCGTATTTGGGATCTTTGCTAACGGACGATGATATGCAACTAGCGGAAATAAGCAGTGACGATCGGCCAGTTAGGCTTAAATTCAACCCTTAACAAGAAAAATCCGACAAAACTATATATGAATATAATGTATATGCTTTCGTAAAGCTAGTTGGGATGTAAAAGATTTAGTCCCTCCGAAATGTAACTGCTTTAGGATCCATTGGCGTCCCATCAGGTGCAATATTATTGTTTCCAAACTTTTGAGACATTAACAGAAGCCTGGCATCATCAAAAGTTATATTCCTATCGTGCATAAGCTTTTTGATTTCTTCTTTGGACCCTTCATCAAGACCTTTCCTTGAATCCAAACGATTTTGGCTGACGATATCGAAATTCTTTGAACTCAGTCCAGCCTCCAGATCTTGTACAAAGTTGTCATTCAAATGAATTCTGTTGCCCAGCCTATGGCTGATTTTGGTTTTGATTTCATTGAATTTATACCCTACAATAGTTAATAAATTTGTTCAACGCAAGTTCCCCCCTTCAGGTGGACAAAATGGACATACTGATACTTTCTCGCTTGTGAAATGCTAGAATTAAAATAGAAATTAATATAAACCATAGCAAAAAGTGAGCATTTAGAGATGCCATTTTGTTTAGTTTAAACTCACATCTAAATTCACGTTAACATCGTAAAAGGAGGTGAAATTGTACCTTAGAAGTATTATCGTTGATCACGTGAAAGTTACATCGAAACTTACTGTTTATGAATAAACTGAGATCCATAGGGGTTCGATACGTACGGTAAAATAAAAGAAAACTATGATGAATTTTGACCTATCTGCACTTATTATTTTTTAGCGAAACCAATGATTAAATCATGACCTCCATAGGTATAATTATTTAATCTCTTGATACTCACTTTGGCATCTTCTTCATTTTCGTATTCCACGTATGCAGAACCACTTTTGTCGTGATAGAATATCTCAGCATTTGTGACTTTTCCAATCGTTTCGAAAAGATCAAAGAGATCACTTTTTGCTGTAGCAAGGGGCAAATTCTCTACGTAGATAACTTTGTTTTCACTCTCTTTACCAGTTCTTGGGATGGCCTGCTCTCTGTTTTGTGGATAATGCTCGACACTTTTATGATTTTTGGATAAACTGTTGTTATTGACAAATGAATTGTGGCCCTCTTTCACCTCCAATATCCTTCCATCCAACTCATATCCATTATACTGTTCAATTGCTGCGTGTGCTTCTTCGATCGTTTGGAAAATCACTGTTCCGAACCCTCGAGAACGCCCGTCACGGTCTAGTTTGACATCTGCACGTATTGGAATGCCACATTCTTTGAACATGTCTTTCAAAGCCTGCCAGTTGATGGAAAAGGGCAAATTTGCAACGAAGACCTCATATCCCGATTGGAAGCGATCTCTCGCACCTTCCCTCGATATCGGATTCTCAGCTCTCATGCTCTCAGGAGGAGGGTTATCGTGTCTGACAAAGATATCGCGCCCCAAGAATGAAGCTCCGTTAAATCTTCTAATTGCCTCGTTGACATCATGCCCATTAGTGAACTCGACTGTGCCCATTCCCCTGTGATGGCCGCGAGATGTGATGATATCAGCTCTGATGACCTCACCAACTTCTCCGAAGAATTGTTCGAGATCAGAAGGCTGACAATCGTAGGTCAAGTTTCCTACAAATATGCTATTTGCGTAATTCCTGTTCAATTTTTCTTGGTAGGGGCTATCCAACTCTCTCGAAAGTAGAGGACCCCGCTCTCTTGGCGCTCTATCTTTAGTATCTCTTACTTCGTCTTTCATGTAGTTTGAACGTTTATAACCTCTTCGAGGCCCGTATCCACCACGGTAGTTGCCCCCAACATTCGAAAATCTTTGATTTGAATCGTCTCTTTGATAACCACTATACCTCGAGTATCTCCCATTTTCGTACCTACTAACGTGGTTTTCTGAAGAGTTCTCATAATTTCCTTCAATACGATGACCGCCAATGTTGTAGGAGCGGCTCTTTCCAGCGTCATCACGGTCGTGCTCAAACCTACTGGTTTCGCTTTTCAAATGACGAACGGGTGACCTTGAGCGAGATCTTTGATTATCCTGGAAGTCTTTAATTAGTAATTAATTCAACCTTTATGTACTGCACATGCTGTAAAGCAATCACCTTAAACCAGTACTTCAGCAAACAGAAGTCTCACGAGTCGAGAGTGAGTGGAAGCCTCTATGAAGAGAAATGTGCTTGAAGTTAAAACTGTGGAACAAAAGCCAACATACATATCCACCATCTATTCCATTCTCGCTCATCTCGCCAAGTTGATATTAAGTGAAGAAGTTTGCAATTGAACGTTGCGGTGTTGCTTCAATTTTCATTTTCGTTTGGTCGCTTTCCACGCTTTAGATCACGTGCGTATAATAATCTAATTGATCATCTTCTTGAAGGAAATGGCAGAACAAGTCGGCGACTGACCTCTGTTTCCTTATCTACCTCATCTTCACCATCAAAACGAAGACGACAAGTGCCATCCCTTTTGTTCCCAATGACAAATGCAGGATAAAAGGTAGTTGTTTCCGGATACCTTGCTAAGACTTTCGTACCTGCCGGATAATTGGGGGTCATTTGTTTAGGTAAGTGTGGCGGCGGTATTAGAATAATGTCCTTCCAGTTACATTTGTACATTTGGCCTTGGTTACCAAATTCATCCGGCTCAGGATCGCGGACCTCGAACTTTGTCCCATCGCCAGATATTTTCACAACTTCGCATTGAAACCACTCACCGTCACCACTTCTCTTAGGCTTGTAAGCCACTTCAGAACCTACCAGGATGGGTTCGTTTGGGTTGTGTGGATTAGACCAGTAAGACCTTCCCCTGCTATCTGCTTCATTATTTTTTACGTTCATACCTTCACCATTTTGTGAATTTTCTCTAACATATTGTAATACAGGCTCCAAATTTTGTAGGATGGTAACTAACAGCCCCCTTGCAAGCTTGATATTTTGGTTGTGTTCTTGGAAACGTTCGAGTTGCGATTTTAATTGGTCTTCTGAGAGATTCTGGAAATTTATTCTTTTTTCATTCACAGGATCATCGAAGCTTATCTTCTCATTAGCGTTATACAGCTCTTGTAACAAGGAGATTATAATATCCCACTGACCGTCCATCTTTATTGTGAAGGTTGTTTAGAAGGTCTCTCTAAAGTGATCATTTGAGGTTAATCAACATGACAAAATCATTCGGAACGGAAATGGTTTACAGTAAGAAAAATTTTAACTAGTGCAACGGTATGCAAGACACTTGTTGAGTTACATCAACTAATAGTATGACACTTTGGAGCAGCTTTGAGGCCTTCAATTGTAAGCCCTTAAGAGGCCTTTTACCAAATATTACAATCCAGGTACGTACTGCTACTAAAAAAGCAGCCGGTTCGAGGACTTCTATGAAAGACTCCGCAGGTCGTCGATTAGGTCCAAAGAAATACGAAGGACAAATCGTTAAGCCTGGTGAAATTTTAATGAGACAACGTGGAACCAAGTTCTACCCGGGTGAGAATGTAGGAATTGGGAAAGATCACACTATATTTGCTCTTGAGAAAGGATTTGTCAGATTTTATTTGGATCCTTTTCACCCTAAACGTCGTTTCGTTGGGGTAGCACTCAAATCAGACATAAAACTTCCGACTCCTCATTTTGAGCCTCGCATAAGAAGATTTGGTCGTAGGCTTATCATAAATCCAGCAGCAGCTCAAAAGGAAGAAAACTCTTTGAATCGGAAACAGTATCTTCAAAGGGATTCCATCGTTGATGCAATGAAGAAAAGAGAGGTTGTTCGTGAGCAATTGAAAGATGACTTTATCAAGACTCTTAGGGAGCTCCTTAAAATGAACATTCAAGAATCTGAGAGGGACGTGATTTCTTCTTATCTTTTGCGTGTTAGATCTTGCCTGAAAAACGGTTTCAGTCTGCAGGATGCCCAGTTCAATGCCTTATATTACTTACAACAAGAATTAGACCTGCAAGCTACCAGAGATTCGTGGCCACAGACAGATCTCGAGGCAAAGAAAAACGCTCTGCACACATGGTCCGTTAAGTTGAACTCCACAACGTCTTTCAACAATAGACTTGAATTGATAGCCTTCATTTCTTCGGAGGAAAAAGAGGTTATGAAAGCAAATTTGATTCGTGATTTGGCGGCGACTGACATAAATACAAGGAAAGACAGAAAAAACATAGAGAAATTGTTCGAAGAGGCTAAAAACTATTTGACAAGATCTGAAGAGGTTCATCTGCGGAGGAGATTTCTCAAGCCCGTTAAACCAGAAAATGTCGCAATATCTGAAAAAGGTGGCAAGCGAGCCACAACTCTGAGACGCTTCAATTATGAAAAAGGTCAAATAGATACCATTTCAAGGACAAAAGAAGCATTTTTGAGTAAGTTATAGTCTAAAGCAGCTATTTTCCTGTACATAATTAAATTAATGTAAATAGGCTCCAAGCCATCCTCAAAGAATTGGTCCTCAATAAGAGTGTAAAGATTCATACAGGGCAATCTCTGACTTGGTAATAATTAACCTGGTGGCAATTGGGACACATCCACGATTTCATTAACCTCGGATTCTAATTCTTGGTCGTTTTCAAACTGCAGTGGAGTTCTTGGGAGGGCCATCATACCACTTCTGGCAATTTCCAAAACACCAAAAGGCTCGATTAACTTCAAAAATGCAGTAATACGTGATGGCTTAGCACTCAATTCAACAATGCAGTTTTCTTCACTGATGTCAACCACTCTTCCACCAAAGTTTTTGGCTAGACTTGTGATATCGTTCAAATGCTCATGTTTCAACCTCAGAACTTCACTCAAAGGCAAGTTTGATGGGTGAAATTGCTTGTTTCTGATCAAATCAACAGCTTCTGCGGTAGCTCCAACTCCAGAAGATGATTGCTCATGCTGGTGAATCAGGTCTTCGAAATATTCTGCACCGAGTAGAGAAACACGAGCAAGGACCAATTCTCTCTTGATGATATCAGAGTTAGAGTAGTCTAGAACAGCGTACACTGGTACCAAATCCTCAATTTGTCTTCTTGCTTGCTCGATGACAGCGTCTTGCCCTTTTAAAACGATAGTCATTCTACTCAAATCTTTGACTTCCGTGTTACAAACGACAAGGGAATCAATATTGAACCCTCTCGCAGCAAGTGTACCACTAATTCTAGATAGAACACCAGGCTCGTTTTGGACTAAACAGTTCAAAACATGTTGTTTCTTTGGTACACGAGAAGGAACAGGCGTCTCATACAGAATTGAAGACACTGCAGAGTTTGCACTCCACGAAGGTGTTTCTAAAGTAGGTAAAGGAGGGTTGGTTTTGTTTCTGTGTAGCTGCTTATATGCTAGAGCTGACGTGGAAGAAGAGCTCTGACGAATAGACGAGCATCTCCCAACGTTACACCTCAATAATGATCTTATCATCTCCCACCTTTCTGTCAGTGAGAAATGTGTAAGTTGATGTAAATTTTCGACTTTTGTAAAGAGTGATATGATGACTCAACGAGCGTAAAAAAAATTTTCCGCAACTATGTTTTCAAATGTGAAGGCCCTTGGATGACTGACATCCAGCTGGTAAACATTTTTGGAAAGACTGAGGAAAACTTGCTTGAACCGACCGTCATCGTTCGTAATTAAAAATATATGCGCAAGCCCGGAATCGAACCGGGGGCCCATCGATGGCAACGATGGATTTTACCACTAAACCACTTGCGCTTCTCTTGAAGTAGAGTTGAACCTCCGTGTTGATTTGTCTCTACACTAAATTTTGGATAGAATTAAAAATGTTTAGTCTTGAGAATTTGGTGAATATTGAGCTAAATGTTGGAATCCATTTTTGATTAAGGCTATAATTATTGGCATATGGTTATACTAGAAGTTCTCCTCCTCTTTCTAAGAATCCAGAAAGAAGAGTCGATAATTATACTTGTTGGAACGAAATACAACTATCGACCATCGACTAGTATTCGTGTTACTAGTATATTATCATACACGGTGTTTTAAGATGACATAAAGAATGAGAAACAGTCATTGAAATTAGTGGAAGCTGAAGCGCAAGGATTGATAATGTAATAGGATAATGAATGAAAATGTATAAAAGGAACAGAAAGAGTAAGAATATTTGTAAGTAGAATTATTGACTCTTCTTTCTGGATTCTTAGAAAAAGGAGGAGAACTTCTAGTATAACCATATACCAATAATTACAGCCTTAATCAAAAATGGAATCCCAACATTTAGCTCAATATTCACCAAATTCTCACCAACCCTATTTAAGACTTGCCTTTTGTTTAACATGTTTAGGAATTTCCCCGTCGATTGCAGTCTTTTCCCAAAAAATTTTCGTTACAGATACTAAGCTTCCAGAATCAATGGCATGCACAATGTATCCGAATATTGGAACAGCTTGGAGAGTACATAGATAACATTCCTCAAGTCTTTTGCACGCTAGATTCGTGATGCGAACCAGCTGATTTCGCATATAGCTTGTTAGCATTTCCACAAGGGTATCTTCGCACTTTGCGGGTGTTGTG